TCGCACGCGGACGGCTGCACAACAAAGGTAATACGCGTTAATATGCATGTGTGCCAATCGGGGGTTCGCACGAGCCGAACAGTGGGATAGCTCGACTTACCGACTTTGACAGCAGTCCGCGCCTCCTCGTCGGAGGCGCGGCTTTCGCGCCCGGCTTTGCTGTTGGTGCTCATCCGGCTGCTGCTCCTCTGAGCCTGAGGAGCAGGTCTGATCAGGGCGCTCATCGGTCGAGGAGGGACGATGCCGGCGGGTGAGCCGGGGCGTGAGGTGGCCATGTTAGCGGCACGAGCGAGACCCCAGTGTATGTAGTCTCAGCAGGCGACGGGTTCGGTCGAGCCCACGACGCTGCTGAACCTGGGATTGGTTGCTCGGAGATTTCGGGTCACACGTCGTTGGCGAGGAATGCTCGACGGTGTGGAATGCAGACTCGGCAACAGCGAGAGCTAGTCCGGTCCCGAGACGCTCGACGGCAGGTCGACGTCACGCTGGGCCTCACTTCTCTCGCACAGGCGATTAGCACAGGCGCGGGCAGCTGCTTCCTGTTTTCCTTCGACTTCATAAAGCCAGACACGATGCGGCGGGCTGCCCGTGTTCGTGCTTGGCCCCAGAGGCGAACAGGACGGAACCGACGTGTCGAGAGCGCTGCACGCGGAACAAGCTGCCGGCGGCGTCCGCGAGACAATGGGAAGAGGGTCAAAGACGTCAAGACAGGGCGAATACCGCAGTTGGTAGTTGCTGTGGTGGATCCTCTGTACGGATGCAGTGTCGCTGGGACCGGGTGCGCGGAGGCGTGGGTGGTGAAAAAAACCGAGAGACACTGATCGTAGCAGGCAGATGCTTCCAGACACGCTCGCACGACTTGACGACTCTAGCGCTCGGCACGCCTTCGTGAAGAAGGAAAGAGAGAGGAGAAAGAGCACAACGCAAAGCAACAGCGATTGATGCCTGGTTCCGGCAGTGGTCGAGGCACAGATGAGGTCGCGAAAGTCGAACTGGGGAGGCGGGAGCAGGCGGGAGTGCAAAATTCAGGGGGCTTCCCTCTCGCAGGCTGGGCCCAGCGAGCAGGCAAAGTGCGGCGCTAAGACCGGAGCTGGCCCAAGTGCGGCCCACCTGGGCACCCTTGCACAACGTACCTGCGCTGGGCTGGGGGCGAGCCCACCACAATCACGCCCGTGTCGGGCCATTAGGGGTCGCCCTCCTCTCGATTTGGTAGTCCTGGGCGGCGCCAGGCACTAGGGACGGGGGAGGAGAGTGCGCAACTGCATGGAAGCCCCTGGCCGTCATGCATGTCGACCCAGGCCACGAAGCGCTCCGCGTTGGAGAGGCACACCACGTGTAGCAGCACCACGCCTATTCTCGTCCCGTCTCGTCTGAGGGCGTTGTCGTCGTCGTCGTCGTCGTCGTCGTCGTCGTCCACCAGCTCAGCCACGCAAACTACCTTACACTTGAGCACCGTCGATCATCTCGCAGTGGCAGAGCGTCCCTCCGCATCCCCCGTGGGACACACTCCACCAGTGGCCACCCGAGACTTTGGCACCAAGCCAAATTGACAGCTCTCAAGCGTCCGTCATTGTGGGTTCTTCCGATAGAGTTCTTGCCACTGGCTGGAGCAGGAGAGCCCCTAGCCCCTATCGCGTGGCTATCACGCGGCCCGGACGGAACCGCAATCCGAGGAGGAGAGCAGCATTTAAGTTGACGGGCTGCGATCGTCGCAGTTGGGGTACGTTTCAGTGCGTGGGAGGTCGTGCTCTTTTGTGAGCTATCGCGGCACGGCAAGGGCCTTTTCCCATGGAGCTATGTCGGAAGCGTGTCGATTTTCCGCTCAACTTCATGCGCATTGCCATGCCATCACCCAGAAGACTCCAGCATGCGATCCCGGCGCGTCGGCGCAATTGCTCAGCGTTGAAAAAATGTGCCGGGAATCGCTCTTTCTCTCCGTCATGCACAATTACTCGCTCCGTCGTTCGATGTCTGGGCGCGCCGCAAGGATCTGCAAGCTACAATGCTTCAGGCACACAGAACTCACAGGGGATCCCTCCATACGACTGATTTGGCGGCTGGCGTGATAAGCCACAGACGGCCAATACATGCGCGGATGTAGCCCGCGTTGACTCGTCACCAGGCGATGCGTACTGTGCTGCGGGGACTAGCTCCCTGTCTCGAACACCCAGCACCAACAATCAATCATCCATATTACGAGAAGAGCTGCCCAGCGGAAACTTAATTGTTGACACAATCAATAACACTCGTGTGGCGCAACGCAACCAAGCTCTCTGTGCTCCTCTTGCTTATGAAGCAGACTGTACTTCGAAAGGTCGGGTGATTGCTGGGGCGCCGACCGGGGCTTTGTGGCAGGGCCTCAGGGGGGTCTACGGTAGGTAGCAAGAAGAAACACCGGCCCAATGAGCGGCGAGCTTGAGGTGGAAACTGCCCAGGGCAATCTGGCATCGAATGGTCCAGTCCAGGTTGCCCATTCGGCTCGATGGTAAGGTACTGAAAGGGTGGCCGAGCAAAATGCTGAGCGTCGCCGACATCTCACTGCATAAGAACCAGGCCTGCCCCTAATGGGCTAGCAACACGCCATGATCCATGTCGTTTCCGAGAGCTATTTCTTGCGGTTGCGGGCCTTGGGGACACCTGAGTTAGATTGGACTATCCCGGCACCCGATGTTTCGAAACTTTTGGATGGCTGCAGCCCGGCCGTTGAACGCACAGCAACTTCAGGTCACGTACACGTATCGAATCCCTACATCGAAACTGGCCATAATTAAAGCCCACTTTTCAAGATCATCAAGCTGGCCCAGCGATAGCTTCTAATCGTCCGCCCTTTGTGCCGGCCACGTCAAATGGCAGAGTCTCACCATCGCCTCTGTCAACACATGACCTCGTCTTTGACCCAGAAATTGCGCGGTTTGCCTTGCTCCCAGGGATTCGGGTTGGTTTCAACCCTCAGGGTCCTCCACATCTTTCTGACTAGCACCTGGGCGCACGACCCTGATCGCGCCAGAACACGCCATGCTGGTCCAGTCGGGGATACCCAGGACTGGCTCCATCGCTCGCGCGTCATTTCGTGGCCCGTCCAGCCCAGGAGCTGGCCCCGGCGAGTCGTAGTACAGGCCAGCGCTTGACCGATCAGTTCTACGAGGGAGGTACGCCCCCCACACACAGGCAGACGTTGTGTGAGATGGCCAATGTCACCCTGGACCCAGGCGGCCACGCGAGAGTCAAGACAAATTGCTGCGAGCGTGAGATCCGTGCGTTCCAGCTTCTGGAGAACCGCTGCTCTCGTAGTCTGTGCTCAATGCTGCAACAGCTGAGCAGCTTGTATTAGCTGCGAAAACATCATTTTGCATACTTCTGGAAACGTACTGTGCATGACGAGCCGGCGAGTTAGAAGCCCTCTTGCTCCTGTTTACGAGCGGCTCTCCCCTTTATCCAGCACACACCGACAATTCGTTTCCAGGTTTGCTGCCATCTGCCATCTAGCCACTATAACGAATCACAACAGCGCGCCAAGACTCAAGGTAGCCTGTGAAGCAGACGGCCCATCTCATCACACCACTGGAGCTCATTGCCCACTTGAGCTGTGACCCAAGACGCGCCTCGTTGTCATCGACCAGCCGAACCATTCCCAGCCACTTCCGAACTTGTCAATACGGTGATGGAGCCCCTCTTTCATCACAGCGGCGTCAGCCCAGTGGGAACATGTTCCAGATTCCGGAAACAGTGGCCGAGCTTGGATCAGAACGGGCTTGGGCAGACTCACGGAATGAAAATAGTGGGGGGCATCCACTGATGACAGGGGGCCCACAGATAGAGCTCCCGAGGAGCCCTCGCTCCCGTCTTCGTTGGTTTGACAGAGAGGCTGGAGCTGCTGGAAGCTGAGGACGAGACTCTTCTTGAAGTGGTTCTCCGCTGTACCCTCAATAAGTCGCGACTGGGGGTCCTTACAGGTGTCGTGTTTCAGGAACAGCACAAATCCCTGAAGTGTCTGATGTCGTCCAGTGACGTGCTCGAATCAGCAACCCAGGATTCCCCGGAACCGTGCTTGCAGGTCTTAGCGACGCCGTTGCCTCCGGCCAAGGATGCCCCAGCCCGTCCTGCAAGCCAAAGTTCAGACGACCGAGAAAGGCAGGACCAAGAGGAAATCGTCATCTTCTCCGTATTCGTAGGGGATCAGGAGTGGCCCATCAGGAGCCATTGCAGCAGGGCTGCAACCAATTCGGACGCACACATTGCTTTGGCACTTTGAGGCAGTACTCGTGTTTGTGCTACCCAAGTCGGCACCCGGGAAACAAAAAGGAAAGTGGCCAAGAAAAGCTTTTGCACTTGCATACGCCGGTTTTGTGATGCTGCACGATAGACGAGCGAGCGAGCCGCCTGCGACCCTAGGGTTGCAGTGCGTAGCCTGGGATGCTGGCATTTCGTCGTCCTCGTCTGCAGCAGCTCCGCGACGTCCGCAGTGCAGTGAATGAATACCGGCTTGGCCTGGCATATCAACGTGTACCTCAGCCGTCCGCTTGTTCAAACGTGTGAGGAAGCCCCACGCACGGCGTTGTACTCACTACGAACGAAAGACACAGACGAGGGATTCGGGATACAATTTCGAGGTTGTCCTAGGATTACCCAGCTTGCTGCATCACCCGCTCGGATTCTCACCGTACGAAGCGGCACATTGTTCAATTGTGCTACTCCAGACGGCGACATAAATAATTCGGATGAACTTTAGAACCGATTTTGTAATAAGCCCCCCGTCCTCCTCTAACTCTAGAAGGTTTTGAGGCTCAAGCCACTTCCCGCTAACTTTAGCATGCATAAGCGAACGCCTAAGTGACCTCGGGAGGGTTGTGCATGGCATTAGACAATTAAAGTATCCGAGGCCAAGGCTCGGCGACGCGTCACGTGATTGCGCGAGACCGCGCTGGTGGCCGAGGTCGTGCCTGCTCACAGCTGTCACCAGAGGCGCGGATCCACTCTGGTGCAAACCACTCTATCGTGATCTGACGCGTGATGTGGACAATCAATGACAGTTTTGGAGCACTTCGTTCGCCTTTATTGTTCTCAATTGATGCCAGGCTCGTCAGTATGCCAGTCGAGGTAATAGACTTGCTCTCGAGCTCGCCCATTGCTGGAAACGCAGACCTCCATCAGCCACAACATTCGGCTGCATCAGCCAGCGTTGACGACACTGTACCATCAGCACAGTCCATCCAGGTCACGGCCAATGTGCAGTCAAGCTTACAGTTCTCTGACTTCCCTTTGATATCCTCTTCGCTTCCAGACGTGCAGCAACCTGCTCCACTCCCAAATGGAGCTGTTCGGACTCGAGATGCTGAGATCTTGTTCTTGTCTGACGACTTTGACAGCACCGGTGATCTTGAGGTGCAAATCACCAGACGACCTCACCTGAATACCGCTGTGCGTCGCACGAGGTCCGAGGCAACCAGAACTTCCACAGGTGCAACAACAGGATCAGCGACCACAACAAGCGCACAGATTATCTCACCGATGAAACACAGTGCAACAACGTCAAGACATCGCCAAGCGGTGGAGGATTTTGTGAGCTCGGATCCGTTCGCAACCTCACCACCAAAGATTTCAAGCGGTCAAAAGCCAGAAGTCGCGCCTGACTTGGTTCCAACACTTTCAAGCGATCCATTTTCCAGTCCACCGAGGACATCGTCAAACGCATGGGAACGCAGGACAGACAGCTCAACACGTGCTGGTCTTGCCGCGAATTCTGGCAGTGGCGTCTCCGGTGCAAGTCTTGCAAGGAAGACTGTCGACACGATTGATCTATCCAGCGATCTAGATGATGGACGGCCGCCAGCCGCCAAGACATCATCAAAGGGCAAGGGGAAGGAGCTTGCGGCCTGGGATCCCATTTCGAGCTCCATGCCGGAGATGCGATCACGCGGATTGTCATCCCCAGAGCAGACAACAAGCCCCCGCACGGCAATTACCTTGGAAAGTGCGAGTGAGTCCGATTCGGATGGTTTACCTGATCTCGCGGATGTCGACTTCTCGAGGGTGGAACCCCAGTTCACCTTGAGCGAATCGCCACCGCCCAAGCGATCTAGACCGAAGCCCACTGCTGTCCCAAAGAAGAACGACGGGAACAAAGAGCTCGAGAAAGCGGCAAAGGCAAAAGCACGAGAGGCTGAGAAAGAACGCAAAAGGCTCGAGAGGGAGCAAGCCAAGAGCCTGAAGGCGACCGAAAAGCTGAAACAAAAAGCCTTAGAGGAGGTGAACAAGAAGCGAACGAATCATAAGATCTCAACACCAGAGATGATTGTTGACCTGCCCACTTCCCTCCGCGCACCACTCAAATTGCAGATTGAAACTCTACTGGGGGATCTGGGCGTCGACTACCAGGCCTACCATTCCGCAACGGACAATGTTGTGAAGTGGCGACGTAAAGTCTCTGCAGTCTACGACCTTGAAGAAGCCATCTGGAGAGACATACCACCCAGGATCCTCCCTGAGGAGCATGTGCTAGCCATCCTCGAAGCACCAGAGTTCGTTAAGCTCGCCTTGGGCACCGGTGACGAAACCCTTGAGTCGCACATTGCCCGTGTACGGGCAACAGCGCCGAATGCTGCAGTGATATACATTATTGAAGGTCTCAATGCCTGGATGAGGAAGAACCGCAACGTCCGAAATCGTCAATATATTGACAATGTTCGCTCTCAGGAAAACGAGGCCGGGCCAAGCCAGCCACGCAAAAGGAAAGCTCAGAGTCAGGAGTACATCGACGGGGACTCTGTCGAGGATGCCCTGCTATCACTTCAGGTAATCCATGGGGCGCTAATACACCAAACTGGGGCCATGGTAGAAACAGCTCAGTGGGTATCAATCTTCACTCAGCACATCAGCACTGTGCCGTATCGGCGAGCTCAAGCCGAAAGCGCGGACGCCGGCTTCTGCATGGAGGCAGGGCAGGTCCGAACTGGCCAAGATTCCAAAGACACGTATATCCGTATGTTGCAGGAGATTGCACGGATCACGGCGCCTATAGCGTATGGCATCGCCTCCGAATATCCTTCACTGAGACAGCTCATTGACGGGCTCGAGGCCAACGGACCACTGGCATTAGCCGAATGCAGGAAAAGCGCAAACCAGGATGGTGCTTTCTCAGACCGGAAAATCGGGCCTGCCGTTAGCAAGAGAGTACACAAGATATTCACAGGCCGTGATCCAGGCAGCACAGACGTGTGAAGCACAGTAGCGCTCATCTCAAGTCAGCCATTATCTTGCCTCGGAGCTGACATTTCCGGATGCCCACACGGTAGTCTTATGGAATATACCCACTTGCATGTAATCCAATCGTGTCCTACTGAATTAGCAAGTGATGACTTTACACACTGCTCCCTCACCTCACATTTGGAATGGTAAGCCAAAAATCGCTTATCACTGTTCGAGGTTTTTCTTTTCATCTTTCGCTTTGATCGCAAAGACGCACGTGGCCCCCATCTCAATTGACTTCACCGGGCGGAAGCGATGAGCAGAGCACGGATACTGGCAATCACAATGCCTGAACAAAGACCGTCGCGATACTTCTCCACGTCGTAAAGCGCAGCCGAGTTGGTGATGTGGATGCACCAAGCATCCGAGAGTCACCGATGGCTTGCCTGGATCCACCTGCTCAGGCACCAGCGGGTGCCTGGGGTTTCCGCCCGGGCCCCTCAACACCAAGTCCCCTGCGGACTAAGATGTCTCCCAGCTGAGGCTGAAGCTCCATTGGCTAGTGGCTCAGGGGTCGACCGGCTTGTGAAATCTATAAGTCCAATCCAAATTTCTGACTCGTAGGGCAGTGAAGCACCGTTCTCTGTCACCAATAAAACATCCCTGGTGCCTCGCCTCTTGCACATACGGCCCTATTCCGCAGGACTGTTCCCTCCGCGCAACTCCAACATCTCAAGCCATTCATTGAGTGCAAATGAGTACTTCTTCCGACGCGACGCGGTTGCCTGGGTTTGGCTTGCCGGTCGACTTCCGCTGGCTTTCTGAGGACGGGAGCCGTCAATATGACCACGCCTTGGATTGCTGTTTCCTGAGTGGGGGAGTTCCGGTGCGGGAGCAGCGCATGCTCGAGTTTATGGGCCAGATCACGGACAAGGTGGACTGGCAACGAAAAGTCAACGATGATGATATTGTAGCAAAGTGGAAGACCGAGGCATCCCGAGAGATTGATGTCAATGGTACCGAGGACGAATACCTCTCTGAGGAGATGTTCGACTACGTAAGTGCTGTATTATCTTGTTGATGCCTCCAGTGCCCATGCTCGACGGACTGACACTAGACCTTCACAGTGCATGAAAGAACTTCGGGACAAGGCAGAGTACATGGAAAAGACTGGGATCGTCACAGTCCTGGACTCGGAGCTTTACATCGCCAAGTCGGATACTCTTGTGCCAGCAGAGCTACTCGCACGCCTCAAAGAGGCTGTCGCCCTTTTGGAAGACGTGCCCGAGTCCAAGAAGGACTGGCATCCAGGCTCGGATGAGAAGGTTCTCGACCTTCTTCATCCCTCGCTCTTTCCTCTGCGCTATGGGCTCACGCGAGTCCTGCCGTCGGGGAAAGTCCCACTAGATGATTGCTTGACATATATAGGCAAAGGAGAAGTCACAGAGCCGTTTGATCCTTCCACCGTCAGGTCTTGTTATGACTTGAAACATGTAAGCCTGGCCTTGTTCTTCAATCTTGATCACGGTGCTGACACTTCAGAGGCATTCGGCAAGCACCAATGGCTACCCAGCGATCTCAAGTGGACTCCTGAGGGCCTCGAGATTGCCAGCTATGTCAACAACCTCCATCCAAGAAAGCACAAGGATCTTTACAAGATTCTGGAGTCCTTTGCGAGTTTGGCAGTGCCTCTATTCGAACATGTCGTTTTGCGCTCGTCATACACACGCACTGAGCAGGATCTCGCCCCGAGAATTGAAATAGAGCATACAAGCCATGATGACTATTACGTACCCGATGACATCCTCTTCACAGGATATGAGAAGCCACTGGAGGAATATGATGAATGGGAGCTCAAGCGGCGCCAACGCGAAGACGACTACATGGACTGGAAGCAAACAGTCTGGATCCTTTCCCAGCCCGAGCCTGAGACCTACGCTCCGCGGAACAAGAAGAACCTGCCGGACTTCCGCACCCTGTTTCCTGACGGACTGCAGGTGATCTTCAAGCTTGCGAATATCCATCTCAGCCCGGACAAGCCTGAATACGAGGGTGGGACATGGCACATTGAGGGTGCCCTGAACGAGCGAATTTGCGCCACGGTCCTGTACTACTACGATCAGGACAACATTACCGACAGCCATCTCGCTTTCCGCCATAGACTTGACGAGGAACACATAATTATGCAACCTGCGCAGGATGAGTACGAATCCATTCAACAGTACTTGGGTATTAGGAACTACGGGCAGGCCATCCAAAACCTGGGCAAGGTACTCACACGAGAGGGCAGAATGCTTGCATTCCCCAACGTGCTGCAGCACCAGGTCCAACCGTTCAGCCTCGTGGACAAGACGAAGCACGGGCACCGCAAGATACTGGCCATGTTCCTCGTCGATCCGCACCTCAGGGTCCTGAGCACGTCGGTTGTGCCGCCCCAGCGCCGCGATTGGTGGGCCGAGGAGGTCCGCAAAGTGCCGCGCTTTGGCAAGCTGCCCCAGGAGATTTTCGAGATGAACATTGAGCAGGTCGAAGACTTCCCGATCAAGTGGGAGGACGCGCTCAAGTACCGCGAAGACCTCATGGCGGAGCGCACAGCTGTTTCGCAGGCCGTGGACGACATGTGGAATGAGGTGAGCTTCTGCAGGCATCATCCTACCGTCTCTGGAACGGTACCGGGTGATTCTTTCTGCTAACTACATATGTTTCGCTCAGATGACATTCAGCTTTTGTGAGCATTGAGGTTGAGGCTTTCCGTAATTGGCACGTCTTGCACAGAAACAAGCAGGACAGCTTATACTTTAGAAATTCTGGGGGATATTGTTGTGCTTCTCCTGAGGGCAGCTGTCCCGAGTCCAAGCTTTAATAAGTCTGCTTACCGCGCTTTATGCGTGTTGCAAATTGTGCCCCCTCTCGAGAAGTAGACAGCACATCTGCGAAGTTGAAAGTTGGGCAGCTACCTAGGTAGTATTGTCCTCAGCTTGGCAGGCGGGCCATCTGGTGTTTGAACTCTTCCATGGACTTCAGATTTTCATAATCATTGGCAGGCAAGCAAGAAGAGTGGTTTGATCCACGAAACCTTGAGAGAATCACAGTATGGCTTTCTTGTCTTCCTGACCCATTCATGAGATGCCAGTGAACTATCCTTGCGCCAACTGCCCATGAGTGTCCCACCACTTCCTGAGCCCGGCAACATCACACCAGGCAAACTGCACGGGATTCTCAAACCACCAGCTCCCACCATGATGATTCTTACTCTCTTCCACATTGATTGCACCGCCGCCATGATAATCTGCCGTGGCCAGCACTCTCGCGAGATCTCCACCACTACCGGCGCCGCCGCCGCTGGCGCCAGCCTTCGGGCGGTCACTAGCATACTTCTTCAAGCTGCCGCCATCAAAGGTGTGGTTCTTGACTCCCAGCAGGAGCACGACGCTGCCCACGCTGGGGGTGAATCCTTCCGGGTCGAGGAAGACGGTGAGCAGGACGTGCTTCGGCGTGGTCGGGTCCGCGAGGCGGACTTGTCGCTGGGTAAAAGTTGGTGGCAGGCTCGCGGGCTCGAGGGCCGAGATTGCGCTCACCACGGCCAGGACGTTGACGGACCAGTTTTGCTTGTAGGGGAGAGAAGGGATGGATTTTAGGAGGGTCAGCTTGATTGGTGGTGGTGGTGGTTGTGGTTTTGGGGGCACATAGGCTGTGGTGGGCACGGCGTCTCTGGTGGCGGTCGAAGTTGTTATGGTGGTTGAAGGTTGACGAAGTTCAAAAGAAGGAGGGGGAGGAGCAGGGGGGAGGCCGCCGGGTTTTGTTCCTGGCTGTGGGAGTTGGTCTGGATATTTGGCATTGTCTGTTCTGCGGGCGGGGAAATCATGTGTATTTGATCCTCGCTTTGAATTGGTGCGACGCTGGCTGGTGGGCATGACCTCGAAGTCATCGTCGTCAAGGTCTTTGTCACCATCATCCTCCATGTACTGTGCATCCGCCAGGGCCTCGAGCACTAAGGCGTCTTCTGTGACATGTTCTGCGGTAGGGATGCTGCTTTCAGTTGGGTGTGATTTATGGAGCGCATTGCCATGCTCTTCAGCAAGAGAGGTGGGTAGGCTTGTGGCGGCCTGATCAGCTTGAGAACGCTCGGTACCCATCTCGTCTGGTTCCAGGGTTTGCTCGTCTGACGCTGAGACAGCCGCCTGGGCACTCCATCCTTCCGCCATGGCGATCAGGCTTCTGTTCCAGCCGATGGGCACCATGTTCTCAATAATCAGGCACGCCATCTTGCCCGACGCCTTTTCCCTTGTCGTCGTCTTCTTCTTCTTCCTCCGGTCTCCGTCCACCGGCTTTGAGGGCTCATCTCCGTCTCGGCGTGCCTGAGCACCGCTTTTACTAGCAGCAGCAGCAGCAGCAGCAGCAGCACTACTCGCCGACGAGCCCCCCACAGTCCTGTACACGAGCTTGAACTCGTCAAGCCTCAGGTACGTGCCCACCGCGACCTCGGCGGTGTCGACGTAGCGGTGCAGGCCGACCGCGAGGAGGGCCTGGATGCACAGCTCCCCGTCGCCGAGGAGCAGGCGGACGGTGCGCCAGCGCCCAGTGGCCGAGGTGCAGGCTGTGTCGATGGCCTCGACGAGCAGGATCGCGCCGGGGGCGGCGTAGCGCGTACGCAGGAGCTCGCGGATCACGAGGCGCGGCGGGTCAAACGGCTCCGGGCAGGTCTGCGGGTTGTGCACGACGGCCACGCTGACGACGTCGTCGGCAACGGCAAATGTGATGGCGGGTGGGCCATGGCTGTCTGCTGAGGATGGCTCGTGGCGGCGGCGGGTGGTGGTGGTGAGTGTTCTTGTGGATGAAGTAGACGACGATGCTGGCCCTGCTTTGGTGGACATTTGGGGCCAGCGCCTGATTGCCTGCCTGCCTGTCTGCCTCCGCTGGTCGAGGTGTCAAGACATCATGCGGATTTCTCTATGAAATAAGAGGCATCACTGTGCCCTGCGACCAAGGCGAAGAGTCTTGTGCGTGTCGAGCGTGAATGGGAGGCGGGATGTGCGTTTACAATGTCGGATGCACCTTCAGAGACCCGTCCGTGGGGTCGTCCACCCATCAGTACAGTACCCCGGCCCGTTTGGGAACCACCTGCAGTACAATGCTTGTTGCAAAATAGCGTACCCAGCAAATTCAATTACATGAAAATGAACTTGCGTAGACAAATCTTTATTGTAAATTCACCATAGGTTACTGTCTTTGGCCTCCTAGAAAAAGTTTAAAGACATCCGATAAGTCCGTGGTTTGACGGCTGCAGAAGTGGCCAAACGCACACCAACTGGTGTACAGCTCCTATAAGGGATCGTATATTATTATTGAGATCTAATTCTACTCTGACTTCTAAACGGATAGTATAACAACAGAAGGAGACGCACATGAACAAAAATCATTCCGCTGTCAAACCCACAAATATCTATATGCGCCATGCAAATAACCACAACCTCCGAATCTCACACGCATCAGGTAAACTTCGCCACCACAAGCCCAGCCTGGGTCCTCGCAACAGCGGCCGCCGCAGCGATAGCACCCGCGGGGGAAGACACCAGGGGAAGAGAAGCCCCCGGTGCATCTGACCCAAAGTCGTCCGTCATCGGCGGCCCCAGCGTGTAGCACGCCCTCCCGAGCGCCGACAGGGCAAGCCCCATGTCACCACCAACACCACCACCACCGCCACCTCCACCGCTCCGGCAGTAGCGCACGCCGTTGACACGGATCCGGTTCCGCGATGCTCCCAGGGTGAACTGGAACAGCCCGTCCCCGCCGCACTGCTCCCTTGCGCGCTGGTCGGAGAGGAGCGGGCAGAAGAAGACGCGGTAGCAGTCTGCCACGGTGATGCACCTCAGGGCCGGCAGCTCCAAGGTCGTGGTGGTGGCGAGCAGCTCCAGCACGTCGCGGATGCCGCCGTCCTGGGCCAGCACGGCGCGCTCAATCCATATCGACTCGATGGTGGTCTGAACGCGGGCGATGGCACTGATAAAAGCGGCCGGCGAATCAAGCGCGCAGTCGACAAGCTTGAGTTCTGACAGCGCCGGCGATTGTCCCGGCGGGGCACACGCCAGCCCCGTGAAGAAGGCGTGGATGTCGTCGGGACGCGGGTGGGAGAGTGTCAGGGATTTGAGATTGGCGGCAGATGAAATCGATGGCAGGAGCACCTCGTTGAACAGGCTGTGCCCGAATTGCCAGCTCATGCTGAGCTGCTGGAGGGTCTGGGCCCATGAAGAACGGCCCAGAAGACTTCTGTGTACATGCTCTGAGCTGGGAGACCAGCCATGGACTTCTTCGACGGGGCCCTTGTCGAGTTGCACCTCGAATCGGCGCACCTCGAGTCTCTTCCCGCCATTTCCGTCCCCACTGAAAAGGGAGAGCAGGAGCCAGCATATGTCGATGGGGTTGAGTCTGCCAGGTGAGGCCTCTGACCAGAGTCTATCCTCGTCTTCATCGGTCAGGCAGAATTCGGAGCAATTGGAAAAACGCAGGAGCATGTTCCTTAGCCGGGCGGCCTGTGGCGAGTCAAGGTCGATGTGGCCGCTCCAGCTCCGGGGGAACTGCTCCTCGAAGCTATCAGCTTCATCATCGGGTACATGTGGACCTGATCCGAGCCCCCGTCTGTAGCATTTAGCTATACGTAGGCACCGAACGCGCGATGCCATGTCATGGTTGCGTGAGATGTGAGAGAGGCGGCGCAGGCTCTGTGGTGTGAAGTCGGTCGTCAGAGTCGTCAGCCATCGCTTCACGAACAAGTGGTATGTCGCTCGACATGACCGACGAGAGACAAAACGAAATGCGATCAAGCTAGAATCATCGAGAAACGAGGCAATGAGCTCGACCAGTTCGATGCTTAGATGTTCCAACATCGTGAAAGAGAATGATTGACGGGCACTAGACGAGGATTGCGCCGATGGGCGCCAGCCACGGGCGTCTCAAGAAAGCATGTGAGAGGTTCCCGAAAGCAGCCGGGGAGATGTTAGGAGAGTTTGCGGACCCCCACTAGAGGCAGTTGGTTCTGGAAGGACGTTATCTAAGGTTCACCAGATTGCTCGAATGGTAAAATTGCAGCTCCGACCGTCCTCGCCGCCTCACCAAAACATTTTTTTTTTCCTTTAGAAAATTGTTCAATCTCGATGGTAGCTACTCCATACAATATAGCTACTGATTTCAACGACTGCATGCGCTCTGCAAGTCAGGCTGCATTGGTCTGCTATCAAGCACGAATTGTGACTGTCCGAGACAAAACAACACTACTTGATTCGGTGTCTGGGGGGGCTAACCACACTCTTCTAGAAAGTAATAAATGTACACATTTGAATAAAAGCGAAACTGCGCAACCCGTAGGCCATGCTTCCCAGAGCTTCGGCGGAAGCAAATGAGAGCCACCACAACCTAGTCCTCACGAGAAAATTGCACGTTGCCAGCACGAAAGCTCCAGCACCTCAGGCATGGAACTTGTAGGCGGCACCGTTTCTCACATCAACTGACGCGCATGGCGGCGGGCGTTGTTGCCGCCAGCCTTGGTGCGCAGCCACGCGATGAACGTATCGAGGGTGAAAGACTCGGGCACGGACCCGTCACCACTGCCACTACCACCCCCCACGGGATCCTGAGGAGCCGCTGTAGGCGTCGGGGCCGCGGACGAAGTCGCGCTGCTCGCAGTGGGGGAGGCAGAGGAAGTAGGCAAAGGCGCAGTCGGGCTCGCGACCGGCGGCGGCGAGGAGGGAGCAGGCGCCTGACCATCACCACCACCACCACCACCACCAACAACAAAGTCCACGCAAGCCTCATAAGTCTGGTCGATGCTCCTGGCGTCCCAGTACCACTGGAGCACACAGTCGCCGGGCTGGGCACACTGCCCGCCGATGTCCTCCGGGATCGTGACGTCGAACTTTGTCTGGTCGGCCGGGATGGGCGCCGCGTTCGAGGCGTACACGTCCCACGAGATCAGAGGCCCACTACCGATGACCGTGTTGGAGGCGGTGCTGACGATGGACACGTTGGCCGTGCCCTCGTGCGGGGCGCGGATCTCGACCGTCATCGGCACGACCTGGCCCGGGCGGAAGGACTGGACGTTCTGGGCAGGGCTGTCGGCGAGCTGGAAGCCCTTGCACTGCCAGACGTTGCACTTTGAGGCGTCAAAGTCGGCCTGGTTCCTGGCTACCTGGAGCTCGCCTTGGATGTTTCCTGAGGTGGGGGTGGGGATGTGATCAGCATGGGGTTCGCGGTTCACAGGATAGTTTTATAAGGGAAAAGAAGAGAAAGAAAGAAAGCTTACCGTAGATATCAGAGTTCTGGTTGTTGAACATTTGCTGGCCGCAGGCGGCGGCCATCGCAGGCCCGGGCTTGCGAGCAGGCGGATCAATGACATAGCCGTGGCCAAGTACGGTTGTGGCGAGCGCCGCCACGCCGAAGAGAGTCTTTGTGCTGGAAACCATGGTTTGACGAATTGTTTTGAGCTCGCGAAGGAATCGGTCGAGGAAAAGAGAAAAAAAAGGTAATAGCACCAGGCGTAAGTGAGTGTTTTGGTCAAGATAGTAACGAATGGGACAGTCACGGACTGTGTTTGACGAAGACAAGATGAAGGAGTGACCGAAGGTTGTTATTGGCGTACCAAGGACTCACGAAGCGCAAGATGGGAACTCCGGAATATTTAAAGCATTCTCTGGCGCCCAACGCTGTTCAGAGGCCATCGTCATCTCATCCCAAGTGTGGAGAACTCTGCATGACCTTGTACAGTGACCCACGAGACTGAGCCAGGTTCCGATATTGCAAAGGTCGGACGACCTGATACTTTGGCAAGCCTTGTTACCAGGTTCAAAATCCCGTCAGTCAGTAAATCCACGCTCCCTGGCCCAATTTGCACGTGACGCTGGTGCCCTCACCCCTGGTATACCTCGGAGCGATCCTGCTCCCCATGACGCGCTCGCAGCGACTGTCCAGGGTTGCCAGGCTGACAGGTTGCAAACCTGCAAACCCCCTGCTGAATTGGCGCGCGGCTACCCACTTTACTGCGTTTTAAGTTGATAGAAACAACATGCTATCAGCAGGGGTATGGCACATGCAGGATCCAGGGCCTGGCAGGGGAATAGGTACAGTATGGTTGACGTCTGGTCTCGACGCACGCTGCCTAATATCCCTCGAACAGAGCCGCATTCGCCGCCGCATTGGCGAGCCAGGCCCCCCTTGCACCTTGCCGTTGAAACCGTTTCAACTCTACGAGGTGATTTGTTGTCCAGCCTGTCCCACCGCCTCTTTAGCTTGTGTTCCGCCTCGGTGGGACCTCTCGGATCTCTTGCCGAACAGGGTAGCATGGGGACATCTGCTCCGAAGGGGCTAAACGCACGGCCACGTCTGATCTTGACGATGCTCGCTGGGATGCTGCTGAACCCTGGACGTTGCTTATCAAGTCCGATCGTATGGCAGCAGGTCGTGGTCGCTATTGCTGCAGCTCACCTTATTTCATTATGCCAAGGCACTCTTTATATGCGACGTGGAGCAGCAAATTGTGCATTCGAGGATATAATGGACCACTTGACCACCTGCCTCAAGCAGTTGATGCTCCCTATGAGCTTATTGCAGGCGCGCCGGACCGTGCCTGCACCATTCTTCATCTTCCCTTTGTGCGAAGGCAGTTACATACTTTTAAGTAGCGCGCTGTTGTATTTGCGATCTATATGCTAGAATGCAGGGGTATCGGACAGGAAAATGACAAAGGAGAAGTCGCCAGCCAAGTCTCCTTGTAACATCAATGGCTCCAAGCTTTCAGAGGAGCAATGACGTTACCCTAAATGGAGGAGATGGAAGAGCAAAGCAAAACTATGATATACATGGTATCGCTGCCAGAGCCACACAAACCCAAAGACAAAAGAAAAGTGCAAGTTCGTAAGCTCACAATCAGCTCGCTAGCCAAGCGAGCCTACTACTTGTGGCCATTCACACCGTGTTGCTTGGCCTCAACGTTCGCGACCTGGCTGTCGTTATTCGCGGCAGGCATGCGCCCAAACTGCCACTCGGGGAGTGAGATACCCGTCTGGTCGTGGATCGTCGACATCAGGGGCGGGAGCATCTGGTAGACGTTACGGAGGGCCGCAGTCTCGCTACCACCGCCAGCACCGCTTCCGCTACCAGTACCAGCATCGGGACCAGTGTTCCACACGTTGATCTTGGGCTGCATGCCCTTGACGGCAGCCGCGTTGGCCTGCGCGAGCTGGACGAAAGTGCCCTTCTCGATCATCATGTAGTTCAGCAGGCCTGTGGGACCACCGAATGCCTGGCTCATCTTCATGTAGGCATCGGCCATGGCGCTGAGACCCTCCGCCTCCTTGAGACGGGCGGCCAGCTGAGCGTCCGCGGCCTGGAGAGCGGCGTGGTTGCCGGCCTCGGCGTCGACTCTGGTCGAGTAGGCTGCAGCATCGGCGTTCCGGGTCATCATGTCCGTCTTTGCCTTGGTCTCGGCCTGGACCTGGTAGGCCTTTGCATCGGCCTGGCGTGTCATCTTCTCGAAATCGGCCTTGGCTTGGGCTTGCACCTCGTATGCCTTGGCATCGGCGGCCTGCTGCGTCGCCTCCTTTGCAATCTCGGCCTTGACGACGTCAATGGCACGGAGACGCTCGAGCTCGGCCGCGGCACGGCGAGTCTGGACCGTCTTCTTGAGCTCCTCGTCCTGGGCCTCTGTGGCGCGGACAGCCTGGATGCGGGCGATGTCGACTTCCTGGTCGAGCTTGGTCTTCTCGGTGGCCAGCCTGGCCTCGGCGACAGCACGCTCGATATCACGCTCCGTCTTTGCGACGGCCGTGTCGGCGTGAATCTTGGCAATCTCCTGGTCCCGCTGGCCGTGGCGGTGGGCCTCACCGACCGTACCCTTGAGCTGGGCCTCGGCGACATCGATACGGGCCTGGTTGGTGGCACCCTCGTGCGCTTTCTGGGACAAAGATTGGAAGTAGGTCGAGCCAACGGCGTCCTTGAGCTCCTTGACGTTGGCATTGTCTGTGAAATAAGTTGTCAGTGATCGGTCTGAGGAGGTGAAGTGAGGTGTGAGGCAAGCTTACAGATCTTGAGACCAAACTGGTCCAGTTCGCCCTGAATGTTGCGAAAGATGCGGCGCTTGAACTCCTCTCTCTCGGTAAATATTTCCTCCATGGTCATGCTCGACACGAGCACACGAATCTCACCCTCTACGATACCCTTGACAATGTTCTCGAGGTACTGGGTCGTGCTACCCTGTTTCTCGTCCGAGTCGGCAAGAAGCATGGCGTACTTCACCAGTGCGTCTCCGCGGTCCTCGTTGCCCTCGTCCTCTGCGGACGCACCCTGAATGGTGCTATTGGCGCCCCGTGTGTTTACATCACTTATACGCGGTTCTTGTCAGTATCCCTGTTTGGTTTTCTTGTCTTTTCCCGCCCTGAAGAGAGCTGTGTGTTTAAGGTTCTCTGGAGATGACTTACGGGCCGACGGTTAAGACGACTGGAAGAAGGAATTGAAGCTTCTCCCGCGTCATTGCTGTGAGAAAGCGCAAAAGAAGTGCTTGGTCAGCATCGTGGACCGTGTCATCGCTGATTTATGGGCGTTTTGCCAACCTACCTTGCAGATTCATGGCATAATCGTGGGGCTGCACCGAAAAGCGGGCGCATCGCTGGAAGGGCCTGTGTGGAGCCAGTCAGCGCGTGTTCTGCAGGAATTTCTGAGAACATCTGGGTTTGGTGACTGCGAACTTACCATACCCAGGCGGCCTTTGTGATGCGGACCGTCTTGATACCTGAGCCAGTGATGGCCAGGTACTCGTGGGGCTGCGCAATCTGGTATCTCATTGTGGCGGTATATGGATGTGATGCGTAGAGGTGTGAGAGTGTGTAGGACGGCCGCGGACGTGTTGTGCCGAGATGTCGTGTGTAAGTGAGTCTAAGCTGCGTATATGTGGTGGTACCTCTCTCTAGAGAAAGGTTGGGTGGGAGGTGCTTGCTGTAAACACCTTTGGACGTGTGATGACTGGAATGGACCAGTTCCAACGAGAGACAGGGACACTTGAGAGGATTATATACAAGCCGCCATGTCTTTAAGGGCACTCCACGTCACTGGCCAGGAGGCTGTGGTTTGTGGTTGACAAGACTGGACGTGGTGGGTGGCACCAGCCGGGTCTGCGGCAAGGGTCCGTGTCTGCAGGCTGCAGTGCAGTGGAGCCGCAGTGCGTGCTGTGGGGAAGACACCACTGACAGCGCTGCCCGCCCGGCGCAAGGTAAGACAAGGGTGTCGCCCAGCTGGTACGCCACCAGGGGTGGTTGGTGGTTGCACTGCCGCCCGCCATCAAGAATGCCTCGCCGCCGCATTCCAGCACTGGAGTTCGGTGACGGACCTGGCAAACTTCAGGTGGGAAGGCTGATGGATGGGTGGCTGCTGAGCCGATGATTGTCATCTGGCTCGCCAATGGCAACGGTCCGAGCTCTACATGCTGGTGTGACTCAGAAACTCTGAAGCGAAGACCCTGGAGAGCGCAGGCAGGAGCAACCCAAAGTACGCTGATACTTACGTCCTAAGGCAGCTTGTCGAGCTACGCCGGCTCAGTCGGCACACGCACCCGGGCTGGTTTGGTGCCCAAATGAGCACTTTCCAGGCACATTCGCGACTTCGGTGCTTCAGAGAGAGATGCGTACACTACTTACACTAACCACCAACCCATGTCAGCGTCAGCACGCCGTGCTCTCTGCATCTCCCATCGTTGCTGTCTCTGGCGTGGCTGTGCCGCCTCAGCTGAGAGAGGGCCCAGTGCGTGCCAGTCACGCGGAGCCGCACTGGCCATTCTCCAGGGTCTTCGAGAAGCTGTGGATGTGGCGCTGGGGCAGGGCTGAGCCAATCCCAGCGCCTGCCTGCCCTGCCGCACTGCCGGATTGGGCAGCTTCCCTGGCCCCGTAGGGCGTTTGCTCTCCGGTCCAGTAGCTCTAGCCTCTCGGTGACCCAAACCGTTTGCTTGTCGAGCTTCTGCTCCATAGACCTCGAGGCTGAGTCTGCCACAAAATCCAAGGACGTCAAATCACCCAAACACGTGCTGGATGTAAGCCCTGGCTCAACTGCATCTGCATCTGGAGGAGCCCAAAAGCGTGACCGACGTCATACTCGCACATTGGGGCAGTCCGACACGCGACATGCCTGTCCTGACCGTGTGCTGTCAAAACCTCATCCTCGAGTGCCGCGATAGGCGAATCATGCCGACTCGACTGCCAATTTCCCGCATGTCTGCCTTGCGCCTCAGGCTATTCAACTTCGAAATTGCCCCTTTCCCCGCCAGAATTGCACATCTGAAGCTGCACTTTGTGATTGCCCAATGGCTTGGGCGTCCGTGAGTTCCGCGGGGTCCCCTGGTGGCTGGCTGGGCTGAGGCGCAGCCGGAAATAGTGGCCAATTCGCACCCACCCAAGCTCCCACCTCCGCCACTAGAGTAGGACTGACAGGCAGGCCAATCCGCATAATCGCGTGCCGTGATACACACGGCTGTGCCAGCCGAGACGGTGCGTTGTGACACACAGCCAAGGCATACTCGCCATTGGCTGGCCCTGCAGTAGGGCACTCACGCTAAGGTGTCACCCGACGGCCAGCGACAGCCAGGATCTGCTCTACCAAGAAAGAGACTTGAGGCTTTGGCAAACTCACCTCATCCCAGCTCAAATCGACTTAATCTTTCATTCCACCGCACAGCCTCAGCCTCAGCATTGTTGGTCTCGCTCCCAACAACGGAGCCCACGACCGCCAGACTTTGCCAGTTCTTCCCATTCTTCTACACATTGTTAGGTGACAGATCGTTGTAGCGGCAAGCAGAGGTATCACACGAGGATACCCCAAGTCCATCATCTGGTATGTCCGCTACTCACAGCAACGCTCCGCCGCCATACAGCGCGGCGAGCAAATCAAACCACATCAACCACAATTCATCACCACCACCACCACCACCACAACAACAACAACAACAACGACAGCAGCAGCCCATCATAAACCCAAACTCCACAACCTACCACCTCCGCAACCACGTCTCCTCCCTGCCCTCCCGCATCCGGGACAGCCACAACGCCCGCGCAAACCGGCATGCCAGCGACGACTCGGCCCTGCTCGAGGAGACCCTGGTCCCCCACGTCGAGGCCTTCCTCGCAGACCTCGGCTCCCGCCCCGTGGCGCCGCCCTCGGCCACGCTCGTCCTCTACCCGACCGCGGCGATGCTGCTGGGCAACAGCTTCGACAGCATCAGCGGGTTCGGCGCCGAGGCGGAGACGGGACGGGCCCGGCCCCGGACGCCGAAGTTGAGCGGGCTCGACGACATGCAGCGGCACGGCGAGTTTGTGCGAGTCCAGGGCGTCGAATCGTCGTCGTCGTCGTTGTCTGAGCCGAAGCCTGGGAACGACAAGCCGGGCCTTTATGGGCACGGTTTCGGGGACGGCAAGGGTGGTAGTGGCAGCAGGGAGAAAGACTTGTTATGGTGGAAAGACGAGGCGATGGCCCGGAGACTAGCCGCGTACATCCAGCCCAAGCCCGAGGAGGATCCCAACCTGGCGCCACCGGCCTTCTTTGACGCCGACGTGGCGCGGCACGAGCATCAGCAGCAGGAACAAGCGGGGGCCAAGAAGAGCAAGGACAAGAAATCCTGGGGTCTCAAGAAGTTCATCGGCGGCGGTGGCGGCAGCCGCTCACCACCAGCGGCAAGGGGTTATGCCGTGCAGTCGATCAATGCCTCGGAGCTGGACACCAGGGCGAAGATGACGGTCAAGGCGGAGGAGATGACGTTCCGCGTCGAGAATGACATGGGGCTTTACGAGAGCTTCAACGGGTGGGCTTTGGTTGCTAGGGTGACTTTTCTACACGGTGAGGGAGATCTCTGAATATTTGGGCGTCACGATAAGATGCAGCCAATGCCTGGCTCAAATGAGGGTATAAATTGACTAGAAGCGCAATGACAAGCGGCTGGTAGCTAACTAGTCCTCTTCTCACGTAAATATTAAGCAGGTCGAGAGAACTGAATTAGAGGCGCATGGCAGCGTTCTTGCACAAAAGATTATCTGAATATTTCGCTAAGCATAAGGAGCCGAATTTTGCTGAGCAGTATCCCCCTTGAGTGAAGCCAATCTAAACCGGGCGGTGTGCTTGCTCTTGCTCTGAACTCTACATCCCGTCATATCCCTCCTCCCTCCTCCGCTCAGTCATCCTCGGCATCGCGCGGGTCATGCTCCTTCCAGTACTTTTCGTAATCCGGCCACGCCTGGGCCGGGAAGCTCAGGGGCACGGTCAGCGGCGCAAAGGGCACGCCGCGCTTTTCCATCTCGTCGAGCCTCGCCTTGGTGAGGGGGTGCTTCTTGTTGACGCTGAAGATGTTGATGCGGTGGCACGAGCTCGTGACGTGCAGGCCCCAGTTCCAGGCGGTCCGCACGTCGGGAGGCTGCGTGTTGAGCGAGTTGTCCCAGCAGCGCACGACAATCTCGACCCAGCCCTCGACGTCGCAGGGCAGGTCGAGCTCCCAGGTGCGCCACGTCCAGCGGCGCTTCTTGGACAGGTTCTCCTCGGGCACCGTGTACCAGTTGAACCCGCCGTCGGCCGACAGCTCGACCCGCTCCGGCCAGCGGCCGCCGCCTGAGTAGGCCCAGCCTTTGCACCGGATGTGGCCCTCGTGGACGACGACCTGCTTTGTCCACGGCGACATGATGGCGGAGCTGACGGGCATCTCCTGGATCTGGATGCCGTCCGTGAGGCGGAAGTTGTGCTTGGCCACCTGCTGAGGGAAGTACAGGTACTCCTGGCTCTGGACGGGGGCCCTGCTGGGCTGCTCGATGGCCTTGATCCGGTAAAGCCACTTGACGCCCCGCGCCCCGATGTATCCCATCACCATGATCCGCAGCGGGTACCCGTGGATCCGGGGCAGCGGCTCGCCGTTCATATTCCACGCCAGCATGACTTCGTTGGCCTTGACCTTTGACCAGGGCACACTGACCAGGTAGTTCATGCACTTGTCGTCCTTGAAGTAGGTGTCTGCGCCGTAGAACTCGAGATGTTTGGCTCCCTCCTTCAGGCCTCCGCAGGCCTTGATGACCTTCTTGAGAGAGATGCCCTCGTACTCGGCAGTGCCGATGGCACCTTCAGCCCAGGGCGCCTGGGGCACTTCGTCGCCCTGGCCCGGGTACTTGAGGATCTGCTCGATGCGGCGAGTGCCGGAGCACTGCATCGTGATGTGCTTCTTCATCCTGGGGAATCTCGATTCGTCTTGGAGGTCTGCCAATGTGAAAGACTGGGGATTGGCCACGAGACCGTCGACGAGAAAGCTGAAGTCGTCCTTGTCGATGATTGGTATACCGCCATGATTCCTTTTTCAAAAGTCAGCCATGCTGTCACGCCCTGTGTGTTTCTTGTGTTGTTTTAGGAAAGGCTTCGGCTTACCGGACGAAATGGAGCGGGTTGGGCGTGATGGCCTTGTCAGTCACCAGGCGCTTCGGCGGTTCTCCATTGTAGGGGAACTGCAGAAGGTGAAGCATGTTGGGATCCTTCTCCTTGAGCACCAGGTCCCACGAGTCGCCCGGGACGGCCTCGAGCTCGCCGCCAATGGCGTTGTGCCACATCTTCCAGCGCGTGCCCGGCAGCACGGGGTTCGTGGGCGGGATCTCGCCCAGCTGGTACTCCGGGTTCGGCGGCCATGTCTGCGACGTGAGGATCTTGTGCGCGGCAGCCTTCTTCTCGGGGTAGTTCTCCCATTCGACGAAACTACAGGAGCATACAGATCGTGTTAGCGGTGGCCTCTCGACTTTTGCACCGGACTCTTGTGCTGCGGAGTTGCGGAGAAATCCCCTCATCAGATTGCTCACCCCTTCCAGCCCTTGCGTTCAATCTTGAACAACTCGTTGCGGTCGCCAACAGAATCGATGGCCGCCTCGTCTTTGGTAAGTTCTCCAAAGGTCTGCGGGGCGATCTCTTTCGTCTCAGGGCCAGTCATGTCCAGGATGGGCTAGTCATGGTTAGCATGGATGACAAGATTGTGTCACTTTTCTCAGACATGGGTTTCTTCATACGAGCGTCGCGGCAGACATGCCCTGCTCAATCTTCCATTCATCTGGACGGTTCTGGTCCTCCGCATGGAGCGGAAACGTGGCGGTGGCAGCGGCAGCCATTGTGAGCTCGGTTTGCGATGTTCGCAATACCTCAGATTATTTCTTCAGAATCTTCACAAGTATCCGAGTTCTTATCGAGTGTATAAGAAGGAACAACGTGATTGAAAGAGTGGTCGAGGCTGGGTAGAGAGATATCCCGAGATATCCCCAACTGATATCGAGACAGTCCGAACGAGGCGAGCCCTCCCTCGGGCCGCGAGCATTCATAGTGTTATCCGCCCCGCCCCTTTGCAGTCAATACTAACATGCTCTATATGCCTGATTGTAACGTTACACTGCCTTTTCCTTTTTTGTTCTTGATGCTCGCGCTGCAGCTGCTGAGTTTCGTGGCGAGGGGGGCCAGAGTCAATCGACGACAAAGTTCCCACTGTGCTGACGCGGACCGCCAACAATGAGGGGAAGCTCCATGGTTGCTAAGTTGCATCGTTACTAAGCTAGAACCACTCTTGATCCTGGACCATATCGAAAGGGTACAGTCACGATTGAATTGAGTTGCCTGTCAGAATTTTGGAACGGAGGGCAACGGGAGACTGCTGGTGTAGTATGGGATCTATTAAATGCTGGCATATCGGCCTGAAGAGTTGCCGTGATGTTCCAGCTCCATGCGTGATCATTAAAGCAAACTCGACAAGTTTCACCTGACCGACGAAATGGCTTCAGTAAGACACCTCAAGATCCGCCTGATGGTTGTTTGGTTGCTTTCAGCAGCGTCCAGCCATGACCGTTGTGACGTGGCAGCTAATTCTTACTTAGTCAACGGGACTCAATGGCAATCCGATGAGCACTCTTGCAAACGGTACTATCTTATCATGAACCTCAAGCATGTCCTAAGCACTGACTGTGAGTCGGCCTATAGGACAGCCAAGCGAGAATCCTGGGAGTGTGCAGCAAGTCCGCTATGGCCAAAGCAACGGCGGTCTAGTCGTCTTGAGCGACACCCAGACAATCGAGATATTGGCACACTTCGCCCGAGAACGTATTCCCGAGCGGTGAGAACCATACCTCTACTCTTTGAATCGCCTATCTCGTCCGCTGATTGCCTCTAAAATCACTCAGGAGTGTACATGCCAAGGCAGCAGGAGCATTCGGCGAGTTCGAAGTTCTCGAAGACCTCACCGACCTGACGGATGCCAATTTCCTCGCACATGTGGGCAAGAAGACGCCCACACTCTCGCGCATCTCTACCGTCGGTGGGGAGAAGGGCTCTGCCGACACCGTACGCGACGTCAGAGGCTGGTCAACAAAGTTCTACACCGAGGAGGGCATCCAAGACTTCGTCTTCAACGACTTGCCAGTCTTCTTCATCCGCGATCCGATCAAGTTTCCGTCCATGAACAGGAGCCACAAGCGCCACCCGAGGACGAATGTGCCGGACGATGCCATGTTCTGGGACTACCATGTCAATAATCCCGAGGGTATCCATGCACTCATGCATCTGTTTGGCCAGCGTGGCATTCCTGCTTCCCTGCGCCACATCAATGGGTTCGGAGTGCACACGTACACATTGAACAAGGCGGTAAGGGGTGCCTGTTTCCTGTTCCCAATTTTCATCGTCGTCATCTCGAGCTAACATCAGGGGGACCCCAGGATGGTAGCTACGTGTACGTCAAGTGGCACTACAAGCCAGAAGGCGGGATCGAAACCCTGGACTCGGCGACTGCTGCACGCCTTGCTGGTACAGAGCCCGACTACCACGTCAAGGACCTGTTCAATTCCATAGAGGCGGGCGATTATCCGTCATGGATTGTGTACGTCCAGGTCATCCGACCCGAGGAAGTCCGGTCTGCACCCATCGACATCTTCGACTGCACTTACACCTGGCCACACGAGAAATACCCACTGAGGCGCGTGGGACGATTGACCCTCAAGAAGAACGTGAGTAAGCCTCAATGTCGTACCGCAGTTATCAAACCCCCCACCCGCTAACAACGGTTATACGAAGCCTGATAACTACTTCCAAGACATCGAGCAGGCATGCTTCTCCCCATCCAACATGGTGCCAGGGATTGGCCCCTCCGCCGACCCGGTCCTGCAGGCACGCATGTTCAGCTACCCCGACGCACATCGCTATCGTGTTGGGCCCAACTACTTTCAGCTCCCGCCCAACCGGCCGCACAACAAGGTTTATGCCCCATACGTGCGTGATGGCCCAGGCACGATGAATGGCAACTACGGCGCGGATCCAGACTACATCTTCTCGCAGCTCCGGCCAGTGAGCATGAGCAACAGGGTGCAAGTCCCCATGCACGAGCAGTTTGATGGCAAAGTCACGGCGGTGGCCACACAGTTCACGAACAGGGACTATGAGCAGGCCAGGGATCTCTGGAAGCTTATCTGCTCCGAGGGGAATGGCAAGCAGCAGTTCCTCGAGAACATTGTGCCGACCATCAAGGATCTGCCGGGCGATCTCAAGACCAAAGTGCTAGGTGAGTGATATCCCCGTTCAGCCGTCAGTCGGCGAGCAGGGCTCTTGAAGGACTGTGCTGATTGGTCGCAGAATATCTTGGCGGCGTGGACACTGGGCTCAAGACGCTTCTTCAGCAAGCAGTGGGCTCACAGTAGCCAGGGGACATGCCTCACTCCATGGGGCTTTTTTCGAGATACGAGCTTCCGACCTTTTTTTGGACATCAAACCTGTGGAGGACAAAAGGACCTGCCAGTAAAAGCTGACGCGTTACGAGAACTGGGCCTTGGCAAGCTGGAATGGCTTGCGAGGTTGTGTTGGCAAAGGTTCCAGATAAAAGCACGCGCCAAGGTAGCTTACTCATGCCAGCTGGAAACCCTGCATGTTCTCCTCTTGTAATAGCGTATCGCCATTGGTCCTTCTGGGAGACTCGCAACTCGATCAACACGGACACTGTGTAACTAAGAGACAGACCACAAGCCACATTGTCTCTGCATCCACTCCAGTAGCAACTTTTGCTTGTTCTGCTGCACGGTTTCGGTTGCAGCTGGCGCAAGGTTCTACTTACACCAATCGAACCGGCCCGGTGGAGGCGCTTAGGTTTCGCGATCCCCTCACCGGCTACTCGGATACGGCCTTGTGCATGAAGTCTACTGTCGACTGGACTGGCTGGCATTTGCGTGATTTTCTTGGGACGCATGGGGAGTGGGACGATCCAGAGAGGGAAGGCATGTCGAAAAAGGCGAACTGCGATGATGAGTTGAGGAAGGGAAAAGTTCTTACTTCACCCCCTGTTTTTCGCTTTTCATTGTCCGGGTTTCCGGCAACGAATTATGGCATGCGCTCGTTCCACTCAAGGGAAGCAAAGAAAGAAACCCCAAAGGGAGCCCGACGGCCCAACATGGGCATGCGTCATCGTTGCAGGTGATCCAAATGGATATCCCTGTGTTATAGACCAAGTCTCTTGTCTGAACCAATCCGCTAAGTTAGTCGAAGGGTACTTAGTCACACTTCGGTTGCGCCTTCGTCCCGCTTTTCTTCGGTGCTCGGTCCGAGCAAGGAAGTCGGAATATTCGGGGGTTCGGCAGCTTGCGACGACCATGGCGTCATACGATAGTAGCTTTATTACTTTTCAGGCTCTCGCAATTGGTGCGCTTCTCAACAGTAGCCAGGGAAAACATGAGCTTGTCTCATCCAGGACATTGGTGGGCATCAACGGCGATATTAGCGAAGAGCCAAAAGTCTGGGTGGGCAAAGTGCCCGGCTCGTTAGATGCGATGATGGCAACATGCTTAATCCTGAACTTGGTCCAGACTCTCAAGCATGTCTGCCGAAGGTGCAAAGAATGTGCTCCCTGTGACTGGCGTCGAGTAGTCCAAGATGCGATCATGCATGCCCGGCGGCGATCCCACAAACATGCGCTCCAGCATCTTTTCCGTGACCCAGAGCTTTGACGAGTAGCCAATGAAGTACGTGCCATACTCGCCAGAGGCTGGTGATCCAAAGGGCATGTTTTCCCTCACAATGTCCTGTTCATTGCCGTCATCGTCGGTTATGGAGGCTAGGGTCTTGTGCGCTGCTTGCGTGCCCTCCGGGGCGTCGTCAAGCTCCATGTTCTCAACCTTGGTGCGGCCGATGATGGACTCTTGCTCTTCGACCTTGAGCTTCTTCCAGCGGTCGAGGTCGTGTATGTACTTTTGCACGACTACGTAGCTCCCACCGGCGCCCGCGAAGTCCTCTTCCTCGGCGACAATGGCTGAGGGCATGACGGCTGGCCCTACAGGGTTCGCCGTGCCGTCCACAAACCCAAGAAGATCGCGGGCATCGAAATACCGGAAGCCGACGGTTGAGTCAGTGAGATCGACAGAGTCACCCAAGCCGTCCATGACCTGCCTCTCGAGCTCGAAACAGAGATCTCTTCTGTCTGCGCGAATGTGGAACAGCAGGTCTGCCGGGGTCGACACAGTTGCGTGGACACGGCCTTTGAGCACAGGCAGAGGGCGAAGTTCCTTTGGTCGCGATGCTCGTGTCAGGCGGTCCCAAATGTCGCTGCCTATCCCGACGGTACATGTCAGATTGGAGCGAAGATCGCGAATGCCAATGTTCTTGGTGAGGTCGCCCAAGCTGGCCAAGGTCGAGCGGATTGTGGCAAGATTGTTGTTCCCAGGCTTCGCTTTGAATGTCAAGAAAGTCGCACATTTCGTGAGGACCGCGTCTACGGTCTGATGCGAGGCCATATGGCGCATAGTCATGTTTGAACACCAAGTGGAAGTGGACTTGCACGATAAATGTGGTGGCACCGGTCGAAGTGATGAGATAAGATCGGAGCAGTATGGGTTGAGAAAAACAACGTTGTCGTGTCAAAGGGGAAAACTTAACGTTACGTATTTAAGCTCCTCAGTTCAGAGCGGACTGGGGGTCAGATTTATGCAGTCTGGTTTAGAAGGCTATGGAAGCCACCTTGGTGAACTACATAGAGCTATCGTCGTCAGCGTATACCGCAGCTCAGTGCACATCGATTCACACGTGTAAAAGTCGATTCACCAGCTACAGTTCTTGCTTTGTAGAGGAGATGGTGAAAGCCAAAACGGCAGTGGTAGAAGAGTTCGGTAATGCGGAGGCAGGTGCGCATCTGGGCGGGACCATCCGCGGCAATCGTTTTCCCCTCAGCCTCCAACTCGCGGAACCACACTTACACGAAACCGGGGACGGCACCCACGCCACAACAAGTACAGTAGTACTCTTTTCTATAGCATTGTTGACCTCTGACTCTGCTCTTTTCATAATGATTCTGGATAGTAACCACCCCAGGCGTTGACTCCCGCGATATCAGAGGATCAACCAAAACGGACTGGTTTCACTAAGAACAGTTCCCAACAGCACGGATGAAGCCAGCAGATCTCAATATACTTAGCACATCGAGGCGAATGACAGAGAACATGACAGGGGACAACGGCGGCAATGTTGATAAGTCTACCTCCAGCGTTGGCAGCATCAAAGGTCGGGTCAACCACGACTTCCGATACCCAAAGGAACTTGGCTGGGACGTTCCTGAGCGTGTGACTCGTAAGGCTCCTTTCTTTCCCTTCCAGTATGTCCGCTGAGATTCAGGGTACTGGTATTTACTGTTGTACCAGCGTGCATCAAGCTGTCGTTCTTTTTCCGTAAGCTCGATACTGTGTCATGGGAAGATTTCTACAGGTGAGTCAAACTGCGCGAGTATGACAAACGCCATTTCACCCGCAAACGAATCAGAATTTCAGCCAGGAACTTTAGCCGGCGAAGACAAGGGCAGAAGCATTCAAGGTGCTGACTTACTAATGCGGCGCCCAACATATGCCTAGGCACTGTGCCCACGTGCATGCCGACTTGACCGTCGCGCTCGAGTGCTTCAAGGCGTTGCAGGTGCAGCGATACGTCCAGGTCTGTCTCCAAAACTCCCGATGACCGCTTTTCTTCCCTTGAGCCAGTCCAAAGCACACACGACCAGGCCAAACTCAAAGCTCACAGTGCATCCTGTTTTCCACTGCATCAACAGTCGTACCAGAAACCTGAGTTCAAGCAGAAACTTCAGTCTCTCGGCTTCCCCGCAGCAGATTTTGACGCCTACACGAGCGTCTGGTTCCGGTCCTGGGACGATGTGGCAGCTTTCTTTTCAGCTGACGAGCAAAAGCCTGTCGGCGAGGACGGCGCGCGGTTCATGAACTCAGAGACTTTGAAGGTCATGGCTACGTGAGTGATAAGATCTCTTTCATGTTTCTGATCTCCCAGAACACCGCACGTGTATCTCGGCACAAGATTGGTTTGATAGCATAGAGAGGTTTGGCTAACTTCTTCTTTCACGTTTTTATAGCGAGGATGTGTTGATATTTGGAAGAGGTGTGCCTGATCTTGATGGAGGCGATGGTATCACTTATAGGACCAGCTCAAAGTTGTGATGACTGAATGCCAGAGTGGAAGAGAAGAGTTAATCGTGGAATGAATTTTAACTGAATGCCTCGTCATCTGTAATGACTATAATCCTTGTAAGCCTCCTCCTTAGCAGTACGGCGAACGTAATTCGAGATAGAGGGCCATTCCCTCTTTCTTAAGGAGGACAAGCCCCTCCAGGCAGGGCCTCTGCCTATCGCGGCCGCTTCATGGGCGCATGGGGCTTCGAACGATCAGAAATAACGGCGCGTATGATTCAATACAAATCAGTATAGATGCTTGACTTATTCAGGCCTTTTACATACTTGTCGCACTCGACACACATGAGCGGAGGGTGCTTGTAAGTGGCCTCCGGACCCCTGCACTTAGCTGTACCCCACAGCGGGTAGTAGTGGGGCCAGCAACTGTAGTCGCAGGCGCAAACGCCAAAAAATTTGGAACCGCTCAGCACAAAGTTGGAGCACATCGATCGTCAACTCCTGCATCTGAGCGTGGAGGGCGACCCTGCACCCTTGACGACCTCTGCAGCCTTGCCGCACAGTATCGTAGCTGCAATGCATTCCATCGTGCAACCACACTCCTGGGTGGCCATCAAGCTGCCCACGGGCAACCTCAGGATCCTCCAGGTCACACCAAACACGTAAGACTCACAAAGGCTCTCTCACACCAGTACAGATCACACCTGCTGACCCGGGCTTGCACAGAACGATATCCCTTGGCAAATACGGCACCTTCCCCAGCAATCTCATCATCCAGCGACCCTTCCATCTCACCTACGAGCTCGAAGATCGTCGAGAGAACGAGTCCTTCAACCGCCTCCGCATCGTCCCCGCGTCCGAACTGTACCAGGACGTTCTCACAGAATCCTCCAACACCACAGACACACAGTCCACGCCTGTTCCAGACCAAGATGATGACACGGCGGCCGGCACAGGCGGTAGCGCCGCCGCAGAGCCCACAAATGTCGAGTTCTCTCTAGTCGACCCAGAATCCGGCGCGGTCGTCGCGAAGACCAATCGTGTCGACATTGACGCTGCCGTGGCTGCCACGCAGACGCTGACCATGGAGGAGATTGAGGCGCTCAAGAAGCACGGGACCAATGCTGGCCAGGACCTCATCGCCAAGCTCATGCTCTCGCACACGGCCATCGACCAGAAGACCGAGTACTCGCTCGCAAAGTACAAGCTGCTCAAGACGAAAAAGTACATTCGCCGGTTCTCCGTGCTGCCTCTCGACGTGCCGCTCCTCAACCACTGGCTGCTTGAGGAAAAGGATCCGTCCAAGATCCTGGACATGAGGGAGGAAATGATTGGCCTGCTGGGTTGCTGGGCGAATGTCCACTTTGGCGGCGAGGAGTCATGCGAGGGCCAGGAGGTGGCCGTGGATGGGGTTGATGCCGAGGAGCAGGCAAAGAAGACCTTGGAGGATGCGTCGGGACGCTGGCTTGCGATCGACGATACGGGTGGTCTCCTGGTGGCCGCAATGGCTGAGCGAATGGGTGTTCTTTTCTCGCCAGAGGCCACGGAAGGCCCGCAGCCAAAGACGGATAAGAAGCCAGCGAAACCTCGGCCCGCCGGCGAGGAGAAAGAGCAGGCGCAGGTAACAGAGAGCGTCGCCACCGAGAACAACCCGTCAGCTACGGCGGAGCAGTCTGAGCCGACATCAGCACCTGAGCATGCGCAAACACAGCCCGCAGAAGAACAACAAGTATCCAAAGCGACAGCTCCAAAGCGAACATTCAGCGACCTACAGATCCCCTACTCCCAGAACAACACCCTCACCGTCATCCACGCCAACTCGCAACCCAACCTCAGCTTCCTGCGCTACTTTGACTACGACGCCGCCAACCCGCCGCAGGCCCACCAGCACCCGCTGGCACGCCACCTCTTGACACTCACCTGGTTGCAACTGCTCGACCCGCAAGCCGACACGACCTACGCGGCCGAGCTCGCCACCGCGACCCCGGAAGAACTGCGCTCCTGGAAGGCCAACCGGCGGGGCAATTACCACCGCAAGCGCCGGCGGTGGGCGCGCCTGCGACACATTGTCGACACGACGCGGCAGGGCGGCTTCTCGGGGCTCGTGGTCGCAAGCACAATGGACCCAGTCTCCATCATGCGCCATACGGTCCCGCTGCTCGCGGGCGGCGCCCCCGTCGCGATATACTCGCAGTCGGTAGAGCCCCTGAACGCGCTGATGGACTGCTACAGCATCGCGCGCCGCGCCGCGTGGGTGCAAACCCCGCCCGCGGAGCTCGAGGGCAAGTCCGCCGAGGAGCTCGAGCGGTGGCAGGGCAACGACGAGTTCCCGCTCAACCCGACGCTGCTGCTCGGCGCGTCGCTGCAGACCAGCAGGGTGCGCAAGTGGCAGGTGCTGCCAAACCGGACACACCCGCTCATGACGAGCCGCGGCGGCGCCGAGGGATATGTGTTTACTGCATTCAGGGTGAAGCCAGCGGAGGGCAAGGTTGAGGCGCGCGGCAAGGCAAGGAGTAAGAAGAGGAAAGTCGACGAGGTTTGATACCTTACTGTACTCTGGGACAAGGTTATTATAGTATGATATTGAAACTATTCGATGTGGGATGTCGACATTCGATCGGATGCGTCTTGTCCGCACAGTAGAGACTGCTAAATGTGTCAGATGTCTGATGTATGCTGCTGGAGAAAGGTATGCCTGTTGAAACGATGAAAGCTTTATCCACAACATGTCACAAGCGCCACCAGAATGCCATGTCAACCTATGCTTGAAATTTTGATGATGCCAATGGCCGCTTCTATATCTTCGAATGAACCATCGTCCCTGAAATAGTTCATTCTCACCCCCCTCCACGTATGACTCTTCACATGATCACCGCGCCAGCCGATCTACAGCTGCTTGCCCATGAACTTCCGCTTGGTAAAGCTCAGCCACCACTTGCTGGGCTTGCCGTCGCCCCCTTCCTCGTACACGCGCGCTAGTAAGCGACCAGCCAGTTCTTGCCGGACCTGGGCGAGATACTGCTTCAGGTGCTCGGCCTCTTGCCTGTCCGCGGGGGGTTCGTAGATCTATTCGAGCAGGATTAGTCCTCCACTTGTCGCTCAAGCTCACTATCGGCACCAATGCTATTTGCAATATAGTACTCAATAACGGAGAGTACGCCGCGTGCCAGGCGACTCTCTCATCAAGCTAGTCTCTGGCCGACAACGGCTACTACACTCCACGGTATATGACTGACCTGGTTCAGGGGAAACGCCGGATCGCCGGGGATCGCAAACTGGAGGTCGAGGGCGGTGTTGAAGACCTCCTTCTGGGCCTCGCGGACCCCATATGAGGGCTTGATCTTGCCGAGGCACTCGGAGACGAAGAGGATGCCATAGATAAGGATGCGGTCGGCGGGGCCCTGGATTTCAAAGTTGCGGAAGAAGGTGTTTGCGCGGAAGAGGGAGAGCACCTCGTCGAGGATGTCGTAGCTCTGGTCGTCCGGATCGGGCGACTCGTTGGCGGGCAACGGCGGGTCGGGGAAGGGCAACGTGTAAGCCGGTCCGCGGGTCTTTGTTCGCAGTGGGAGGAGAGGGAAGTTGCCGATCACCCGGGGAATGTTGGGGTCGGTGTTGAACATGGAGTTGTAGGCCTGTGTCGTAGTGGCTTGTGGTCAGATACGAGGCTATATGGTGAAGTGGCGGACAGGCAGCGATGCTCCGTTCTCACAAGCGACGACGGCGCTGCAAGCCATGCTGCCTGAAGTAGAGGACTTGGAACACATACAGGCATCTCGGCGACGCTTCACCGAAGAGAGTCGGCTGCTCGCGGGTGGACAATTGGTGCTGCGACCTGGCGATGCGTTGTGTTCAAGCTTCGTAGCTATTGGTAGCGCATGAGCAGAGTGGAGGGGCTCGCCAGCGGAGGTGTGCTATGATGCCAGAGCCGCTGGCTGGCTGACGTCTGCGTGTGCAGCAGACCCGCCCCATCAACAGCTCCAGCACCGAACGGGGTACGTACCGCGAGATGTGGCTGCCGTGAAGGAGCCCTCCTGGAGGACGGTGGAGTGTGGCTGTGCTCTCGACTTGCTCTGGGCGACACTTTGGAACATGCACGATTGACATTCCAGAAATGAATGCCGATGCAAGAGTATGTAGATATTATGAAATTAATGAATGTCATTGACTTGTGATAGGACTGTTCCTGGGCGACTGCTCAGCTCGGAGCTCGGAGCTGACTGTCCGCGCCACAAGGCAGCAGTCCAGCTTGAGAGCCACAGGGCGAAGCGCAGCCAGGCTTGGATCGATGTGTTGGCAGGCTGCTTACGTCAACTTGCAGGTCACGGGACCGCGCGACAAGTTGGTGTCGGCTACTGCCAAATCAGGACAAGCCTGCAGCGGGCTTCCAAGGTTTTTGTGCAAGCCCGCCGGGTGGGGCCACCCAACAGTGGTGGGAAAGAGCGAGGGAGGGGCGGCAGGCAGGAAAGTGGCGGAGAGGTACGCGCCGGGCGCAAATACTTATTGACAGCCCTTCCCACCCACCGCGTCCCGTTGCCACACTAGAGCCATCACCGCCCTTGCTTCAACGCCCCTGCCTAGCCGCTTGCTTTTTCCATCCGCCTGTCAACTTGCCAACGTTGAACCGGCACTGCGGACAAAAGCAAACTTGCAGACATCCTGGCGCAAATCACCCCTTGTCCTTCGACTCTGGAGCCTGCTGGGAAGGCTCTCAAGCTGCAGACTGACAGGAGTCACCGCACCGGCATCTGTGAGTAACCACGCGCCCAACAGCACTACACCGCCCAGTCACTCGACATTCTCGAGGCCCCCAAAAGTCATTCCCACCATACCAGGCCTACGTCTTCACAGTCCTGCCTCATCGCCTTTGTTCCTCAAATCTCGCCTTCAGTATCTCGAGTCACACACCGTAGAACAGGACACGGCCCCGCAGGGCTGGCGAAAGCGCCCTGTCACCCCTGCACGCCCCTGTCAGTATCGACATGATCGACAAGACTAACATGCGTACGCGCCTGCCATAGCCCAAGCGCTCCCAATGCGACAAACAACAACAAAGCCCCCATTCTCAAGAACTTCCGCCCAGACGACAGCGATCACGACGTCAACCACGAATGTCTGTCACACCCTCGCTCCCAGCACAACATCCACCATGACTACGAATACGCCTCCCAGTAAGCGCGCAAGGATGCGACGCGGCCACACCGTCCCTGAGGCGCGTTCGCTCAACTCTACGATGCTACGACACCCAGGCACATCACTCTTCATCCTGCCCATCTGCTGGACACCATTGCATTCGCAGCTGCTGGGCGTCAGCTTCTCTCAACAACCAGACCAACGCACTCCCATGCCTGCAAACACTTCGTCTCCACGCAGATCGCGGCGTATCCCGCCAACTGTTCTCAAGATCCAACGCGATCTGAATGCGCTTCTGACAGTGGAAGAGATGCGACCGCTGCCTCTCACTAAGACGCGCGCCCTCAAGGACATCCTCTCGACCTTGTTCCCTTCACATCTGTCCCGGCCAAAGACGTCTGCCGATCTCGACATGCGCTTTGGAAGTCGGTGCTATGCAAAGGCTGTTAGGGCGCAGGCCATCTGGAAACATCCGGATTCGGGATCTTCGTCGTTCGACTCGGCTGCCACGTGCTCTAATAGATCCGCCAGCCAGCTCTTGGCGTCGATGAGCGTCAATAGCTTCAGTAGCCCTGTAAGTCGTGCCTTGCTTCAAGATTTTTCTTTCTGCGCATTGCCACTAACCTCATAGTTGTAGACGCAAGATCATCCTGTGCTGGCTTATATAAGTCGCAGTCATCTCGATCACATTCGGCGCAACTGCTTTAGGATAATGAGTGGCCCAAATCGGTCATATAATGGCCCTGTTCATCGGCTGCAGGCCCTACGCTCCAAGAACCTTATGCCCAGCAACATGGACGAGGACCAGTACTTTGTTGCTGCCATCATCGCGCTCGCCCAGCAAGCAGTCTATGCTGACGTACAATCTCGGAGGACGCTTTTCATGCCCAGAGACGTCGAAGTCCGCGTCATCACAGTTTCTGAGGAGGAAGAGTGCTTCATCGTCTACTCTACGGTCGTGCCCGCTGCACGCATAGAGATGTTCGATGAACCCAATAAGGCACCCAAAAACCCTGCAGACATCCACATCAAGCACACTCGGGTACCGGTATGGCCCGTACTTGGTCTGAAAGAGCGCCTTGGTCATGTGCTAGGTCGGGACGTGGTTGGTGACTTCAAAGAAAACGGCATGGACACGTACGAAGATGAGCTCACGCCCGTCCCCGAGACACCATCGCCCAAACGGCGGCGCGAAGTTCTGTCAGAAGTTCTGAACGTGAGCTTTTCAGAAGATCGCGACGCAAGCAGTCCTGATCACAACGACAACATGGTGAAACGCCGGCGACTGGAAGAGGGAAGAGTTGGGCTCGTCCGATGAGGTACTCTTCTCCTACAATGTCGTGATCTAACGACAAGTGCGCGGACTCTTTGCTCCTTCCCCCAGCGTCCTGCTGGTCTTACACAAGACACGACATACGACACTAGATATTTGCATGGCATTGCTTTCATACAAGCATGACACATTGCATTAGACACGGGGCAACCCACATGCATTTGAAGCGCCATACTGGAGGAAATCTGCTTCGGCTAAAGGAAGGTTGATGTGGTTTGTTTGTTTTTTTGGCTTCCAACACGATGGAGAGATCATGACGAGAACGAGATACCCAAGCACGGCATGACACTGTGTATGAGATCAGCACGATTTAATGGACCGCAGTTCCGCGTATATACACTTTTAGCTCTATGATACTAGACGACGATCAATCATGACACCCAAGAATACAACACGCGGTTTGATGACTACACTTGCTTCCGTTAATGAAACTAGACTCATGCAGATATGGGCAGGTGAATTTCTGATATCCCATCAATGTCCACCAGCACACACAACTTACAGCTTGCTCCGCACGCGACTCGTGTTGGCCTCCTAACCGAACCGAATCCCGCTGTTCGGATCCCAAGTCCCACCAGCCGGAGCGGGGGGCTGTCTCAATGCCATGCCGCCAGATACTGCTCCTCCAGGTCCTGGTTGTTGCTGCTGCTGCTGTTGCGGTGGGCCACCAGGGGTACCAGGCGTGCCGGCTCCTGGTCCGGTCCCGCCAAACTTGATGCCCAGCTCCGGATGCCACATGCTGTGTAGCGGGTTAGCCCTCGGCGGCTGGGGCTGCGGAGCGACGGTCTCGCCCGCGGGAGCCCAGGTCTGAATATGTGCTTCGGCCGGTGGGCTGTTGATGGGTTGCTGCTGCTGCTGCGGCGGGGGAAATCCCTGTGGCGGTGGTTGCTGCTGGTGCATGAAAGCAGGAGACTGTACCTGCTGCGGCGGCATCTGCTGCTGCTGTTGCTGCTGCTGTTGCTGCTGCTGGCCGCCAAGGCTGAGCGAGTTCAGGGGTGGCATGGATAGCTCGTCCTCGAGCATCTTTGCCTCGCGCCGGCGCTCCGTGACGAAAGTGCGGACGTTGTCGCGGAAACCGCCCACGATGCGCTGGAGGTCGTTGTAGAACTTGCGCCCGACCTCGACGTTGCTGACGAGCTCCTTGTACTTGTAGTACGCGTTTTCGAGCTTCTGCAGGGCCTGCTCGCGCTCCTTGATGCCCTTGTCACTAACAACCCTCTTCTGCGACTCGAATCCGCGATTGATCTGGACTAATTCGTCCAGCAGTCGTTCTTGCTCCTGTGCCTCCTTCTGCACCATCTCCAGATCCGCCTCGTAGAGCTGGTCGAGGCGCTTCTCGAAGAAGTCTTCAAAGTGGGCGGGTACGATGGCCGTGGCTACAGCCTGTGTCCGTTCCAGGCGGGCTGCTTCCGCTAGAATATCATGCTTGATGTCGTCGCCGCGGGCTTTCTCGCGAAGGGCCTCGGCTTTCCGCCGTCGCCGAGACTCGAAGCGAGTGACTTCGTTATAAGCAGTGCGCAGTCTGTTGAGCGCGGGTTTTAGAGGTTCGGGGATCTCTGTGCGTCTCGACGATGGTACAAAGTCTAGCATGCCCCGGTCCGGCCCTGCGAGAATGGCCAAGGTGGCCTCAATCTTGTAGAACTTCTCGCGTACCACACCATCGCTGCTAGCACTGTTCCCGAACCAGCCTTCCGCCTCACTCACTTGGTTCCAAAGCTTGGCGCCCTGGCTCGGCTCGACGCGACTTGAAGGACGATTCCATCTGTCTGTGCCAAACTTCATTCGCAATCGGTTGTCCTCGTCTTCTTCGGCCTGTAGAAGCTCCTTGCCCTCCTCGAACACGGCAACATCGGCATTGCGAAGCTTGTCTATGTCTGCAAAAGACCGCTGTAGGCGGTGAATGGCGTCCGCTTGCCGTACTTCATCGGCGTGTTGGGCCAGAGTGCCTGGAAGACCAAGAGGCTTCTCGAGGGCCTGAATCGACCCAGGCAGATTGAGCGACGACAGGATTTCATGGATCCTCTCATTCAGTGTCTCCAGCTCGGCGATGATATTCTGATTGACCAGTCTGTCCCTCCTCTCCTCGTAGATGGAAACGGCGATGTGTACCGAGTACGGGACAAGTTTGCTAAACAGGCCCGGTCCGAACTCTGCCTTTGGCCCAAGGAAGTCCAAGGGCGAAGTTACTTGCGGAGGCGCCTTGCTCACTGCCATGGTCGCTCGTTCCAGAATCTTGAGTTCGGCTTTGGGCGGTACGACCTGCAGGTAGATGACGTCGTTGTCTCTCTCCGCGCGCTTCACGTCCTCTTCGACCCGCTTCTTGAGACCATTCAGGTCGTCGACAACAGACTTGTGTAGATATCCGCCCCGTGACTCCTTGAGACCTTCCGCGACACAGGCGACTGCATCCTTGAGCCGCGCAACCTCCTCGCCGTACTTGCGCTTCTCTAAGCAATCGCAGGCCGCGCGGTATTGAGCAGCAGCCGCAAAGTGGTGGTGCTTGGCGCTCATGTGATGGATCCAGCCGCTGCTGATGGCCTCGGAGAGCATGGCAGCTTCGCCGGCGAGGTTGTACAAGTCCGACACCTTGGCGGCAAGTTTGGCAATTAGGGCGTCCTTGTAGCCGTCCATAACGGCTTTTTGCCAGAAGCACTCCTGGCTCTGTGCAAGCTGCAACTGGATCAGCGCCTCGAGGGCGTGTTCATCCATGTCCTCGGGCGGTGTCGTTCGCATCTCGGGTAGTACGGCGGTCTTGATGTGGGACAAAACACCGGCCGACTGGTTGAAGTAGCTAGCCGCCGTCTTGAGGCCCTCTGTGCTTGATCGATTGCTGGCGATGGCCATCTGGGAGTATAGTGCGGCAAGGTTGAATAGGATGTTGGCAAGCTCGAACTGGAGGTTGTTGTGGACGACTGGGCGCTCAGTGTTGTACCCGAGCGCTGGGTACCAGGTGAAGTCGGCACCGATCTAAAGGGCAAGCAGGTCGACCATCGTGTCAGCTGTACTCTGCTCCTGGCGGGATCTCCTCTCGAGCTTCGCGTATCGACTTACGTCTATCGGGAACTTGCCCCCTATCCAGACCAGCTGCGCGGCATACGCCTGGAGCTTGCCTATGCCTGTCGGATGTGGCTCGCGCACGTTGACAGCGTCGTTCCGTAGCGTCTCGATGACCTCGAGGTCCTGGCGGAACATGTCTGGGTGCTGGTCATACTTTGTCGAGATGTACTGACGCACTGCCGCCGAGAGCGACAGCTGCGTGCCCTTGCGGAACGGCACCGCGAGAATGTGGCTCTGCATCGTGACGAAAGCTTGCTCGGCCGAAGGTGGGGTTTAATGTTGTAGCTCGAGGAGCCTGTTTGGGGCAGGCAAAACTGGTCGAACGCTGAGTCTCCGGCGCTGCCCAAGTCGAGTCGCAGGCTTCTAATCAGAGTAATTTCCTCCTGGTCGCAGGCGTCGTGGGCACCAGGGAGGCGGGGATTGTTGACCTTGAAGTCCTGGCAGTGGGGGCGCGCGAGGTCCATCGCATCCCTCCCATGTCATGCTTCACAGTGGCAATGACTTCATAGGTCGGCTCAGTCGTGTCTGGACTCTCCCCCCACCTGCCTGCACAATCAAGATCTTGTGCAACCAGCGCATCGCATGGCCACACCTTATGTTCCGACGGCTTTGATGATCACATGCTGTCGATCGTGCAACCACGCCCTTTTCGAAGCTGTCGAGGCTGAGTAGTCTCTTGTCACATCAGGCACGTTCCACAAAGGGCTGATCTGCAGAAGTTCTTCTACTATTTATCCTATGCTACAAATGCAGCGTCTTCTGTGCGCCTCGAACGAGGCCACGAGTCGAGCACTTCGATCTCGCGCGCTTTGTCCTCCCCTGAGTCCCCCATCCCCATCTGTCTTTTGAATCTGCCCATGGCAGATGTTTCTACATCCCATCGAGCAAATACAGCTCAAACGAATGAGTGTGCTATGTCGAAACAGCAGCACCTTCTTGCGTAGTTTCATGTTGGAAGAGAAGTGAAAAAGCAAGTTTTCAACGAAGGCAAGAAAAAAAGAAAGAGAACAAAAAAAAAGACTACGCCAACCCAATGCCTATGCAAGCAAACTCCATCGTGAGTGGTGCACACCGCCTATAATACAACCGAGATCTCAGGGACGGTGTAGAGCGACCCTTCTAGGGGCAGCTGGTGTTCGTCTAAGATCATAGTGTCCGAATAAAAGAAGATAAATAATCAACCCGTGCTATGTCGTCTGTCATGCTCGGTAAACGCCGGGTTCTAGGGCCGTGGCTCATGGTGAATGGCTCTTATAATAAGAAGAGGTAAACGAAATTTTGGACGATAAGAGGGCAAGATCCGGTGATCCATTCCGTGTGGTTGGGGGTATGATGGAGGTCTTTCCAGATCCTCGTTCATGTGCAAATGTTGGTCAGAAACCTGACAAGGAGTATCAAAGGTGCTGCTGACATTCAAGGACATCTCCCTGGTTCCAGCCGAAAGAGTAGTGCTGTGGTTCAAATCGAGTCGCTCATGGAAGCCATACCAGCTCAATCAGGCCGTCGGCAGATGACATCGGTACGTCGTTACCATCGACCCATCTCCAGTCATTCGCCTTGCGGACATAGTATTGAGTAAGCGTGTTGTCGGGGTTCAACACCGCCTCTTGAAGGTCCCAGCTGATCTTGCGTCCAGTTTTGAGAAGACTGGGTCTCTGGGGGTCGAACACATAGTCAAGGTTCCATCCCTTATCTTGGGGCGCGGCGGCGAAAGTGCGCTCCATCTGCGCGAGGTTGAAGTTGATGCCCTTGGGGTAGTGCACGACACTGAAGCCGGACGACAGAATAAAGTTATCGGCCGTCTGGAAACGCATAAGCGTGCAGTCCTCGCCACAGATGTATGCCAACTTGGTGTACTCTGAGGGGAGGGCCAAGTGCCAACCGCCACCCTTGAAGTGGTGCAGCGTGATGGGCTTGATTCCAGACTCGTAGAAACCCGAAGGATCGCCATAAAGATCAAGCTGGTACAGGCCATGAAGGACAGACAAGCGGACGTCGGTGTTTTCGTAGATGCACTTGCGCAGCAAGATATCACCCTGAGGACCCCAACCAGAGTTCGACTCGTGGATCTTTTGCTCCGTTTTGCATGTCTGGTAATCATGGCGAACCTTGGCGGCGAGCGGAACCGAGATGAAGACACCGGCACCGCCGAAGGCTTGGGAACCGTGACGGTCAATGTTGTTCACATCCTCCGAGAGCGTGCCGATGTAAAGCATGTCCTCAGGATCGTACTGCTTAAACTTCTCGACCAGGGTGTGGACGCTTGGGAAGAAGGTGTCGTCGTCACAGGACACGAGCCACTTCTTGTTCGGGCGCTCTGGGTGATCGTACAGTGTCGGGATCAGCGTCAAGTAGCGGACAGCCATCTCCATTGACGAATCCGAATGGTAGACGTCAACATCGATTCCCCTGCTTGTCAACACAGTCCGCGCCTTGTCCATCTGCTCCTCGGTTGCATCCAGAAGTAAGAGCACAAGCTTGCCACCATTCGAGTGGCCCTTACCATCGGTAAGCCAGTAGGTCCACTCGTTGACGGGGCTCGTCTTCTCAGAGCTGAAGCGCTTGAACGTGGTGGAAACACCAAACATGAAGTCGGACAGGTTACCCGAGACGGGATAAGGGGATTGAGGCACGGGGAAATGCATCGGCTCAATGCACTTCTCATGGCCGTATGAGTTAGGCTTGTCCAATGCCACAGCGGTGAATGCAGTAGGCAAAAAGCGCTGGTCGAGCTTGGTGATTGACTTGCGCGGGATGTGCTCACGCTGGGTTTTGATGTAGCGCTTGTAGTACTGGAAGTTGCTGTCGAGCTCAAACTTCTTTGCTAGACCTTCCATCTTGGTCATGTTGATGCTGCAGTCCATCACATGGTCTGTCGTGGGGATGTACTGCTGGTCTGTCCCCTCCATCCACTCGCCCGAGAATGGCATTCCATACGTCGAGGACGAGGAGCTCCCATGCGTGGACGCAGCCTTGATGATGTGGGAGCTCATGGTCTCGATTCGGTCCGATTTCCATGTTATGGCAAGCAGAAAGAGCAATGCTACGGCAAATAGCACGCATCGTGAGAAGGGATTCCGCATGCTGAAGAATTTCTGGTGAGGAGCCGGCAATGCTGCTCCCATTGTTTCGTGGTCGGTAAGGGTTGACAGTGCCAGCGAGGAAGTTTCGTTGACACAATTTTATGTGACGAGCAGAGCTCGAGTTGTGGCGAGCTGTGGCGGTTTCAGCTCAACCGCTTCGAGCGTGCGTCGTGTAGTCTGTCGCAAAGACGAAGTTGAAGTTGAAGGAGTGGATTGCCAGGCACATGCGCGGACAAACGCGAGTGGGCGGCCGGCTTTGGTTGGTTCGAGAAAGAAAGGGAGACGGGGGTAGCAGCAGCACAGCCGCAGCAGCAGAGGCTGGCCAGAGACAGAGAGACACGGGGAGATGACGACGCGAGAGCGACGACAGTCTGGCCGCAGCGACGTGACGTGTCCGAGGCGTGGCGATTTGTGCCTGTGCAAGAAAGAGACGGAGGAGGAAAGCAAGAGAAGAGGCCACGGAGAAGCTGCAGATGACGGGGACGAGGGGCCTAAGTAAAGGAAGGGTCCGTGGCGGCGGTGGTGGTGTGCCGGCCTGGTGCGACGGCGGATGCAGCTCGACTCCTATTATTGCTTCCCTGCGCCTGCCAGTGCAGCGTCTCATGCAAAGAGGCGCCCCAGCACCACCAGCAGCACAATCAGACCGACACACACACACACGCATCGTCGACGGATCGGCCCCAGCAGCACCACCAGGATCCAGGGGCTCGCCTGTCCAATGCGGTGCCCAAACGGCAAGGGGCCGGATTCGGGCCCACGGTACCTGCAGAAGAACAAGCAGCGTGGAGAGGTCGTTGTGCGGGAGCCAAGGGGGCCCGCTGCCATGGGTGCTCCAGTGGCCGGCCCACCAGACCGCCGCTCCCACTGCGCGGCGGGCTCCAGTGCGCCACTCTATTTCTGAGGTTCAGGGGTTCCCAGCCAGTCGGCCACCGCCCTCGCGTGCCCGACCACACTGTGTTCGCAGCCGACATTGCACGCCAGCCAGCCATCCATTCCCACGCATCCCCTTTTCCTCCATCTGGCACCACAGATCACATCCTCTCCTCGACAGCACTGGGGCCCTGACACATCAGCTCACGCGCGTCACTCGCCGTGCAAGGCTCCATCATGCTCCGCCGCGGGCCTGCCATCTTCTCCCATGACTTGCTAGACTTGGCCAGCTCAGCCAGTCAGAATCGCACATCACCACGGCCCGCCGCTTGACATCTGCAGCCAGCACTCTAAGAAACTTAGACGGTGCTGCCACGTGCTGCCACAGAGGTCATGGCGCCAGCGACCAGCCCGCCGCGCCAGCCCATTTGCGGTGGTGGCATTCTCTGACAACATCCGCTTGTGGATCGCCTTTTAGAGTCCCAGGCCATCCGCTAGCGCTTGCCATTCCCAGCCGTGACATCTGCCAGATCCTTCAGGCGCAAGGCGCTGACAGGTCCTTTCCGCTGGACGTCTGACACTGCGTCCATCAACCCTACCGGATCTTGTCGTCGCTCAGGTGTCACCCCGCCGTGTGTTTGGATAGATACTCGTTGCTATATATCGCAAGGGGCAGAGAGCTGCGCCAGTGGATGGATCCCAGTCCAGCCCTCCAGCTTCTTTGACGTCCACGACCCCACGACTCGACAAGTGCCGGCCATCGGTGGTCAGCCGGCGGCCCCTGCGAGCCCGGCACCTGCCAAGCTTTCAAGGTTTGCTCAAATCAAGGCAGGATCGACCTGTCTGGGACAAGCAAAGACGTCGCCCAGAATTTTAGTGCTGCCCAGTCCGGCCTAGTCACATGCTGTTATCTTGCTCTCATTTCGCAAGGCTTGGGGTTTCCTTCCCCTCTACAGGCTTTGCCGACAGCCTTGGAAAAGCTCGGGGTCGCGTGTTCTTCGCCCTGGCCTGACTCGACGTGCACACCGCAGACCACGACTTGGTGACCAATCGTGACGGTACGCTTCAGCTTCACAGGTCTGAGCCCTAGGGGCGTTGCAAACTAACGTTGCGCCTGCATATGCTCCTCTGTCATGTCGACATGTGCTTCGCTCGCTGCCACAGTGTTCACCGTCGCACAACCGACTAGGTACTTCACCTGTGGAGCCTCTTCCCGGCTCAATACAATTGCATCCCACCCACCCACAAACATCCTGGCAACCGCATTTTTAAAGTTGTGAGCAGAACACCAATGTCGTCACCGTGTTTCAGCTTGTGCCTTTGTGTGTGCAGCAACCTGTTGACGGAGGCCGAGGACTGCCTGTTTGCTGCTCAAGTGCAAACACTAAGTACAGAGGGCCGCCTTTTGCAACGGCCCTGGCAAATTTCGAGCGATGTGCAGAACTGCCAGCGTACCTAGGTACGCAGTAATTATGCCCCGTTTCGAAAGACACGAAAGGCTTGGTGCCGCTCCTGGAAGAGGTTAACGACGTCTTCCATGAGATATTGCGGCGAGGCATATGCTGCAACTAGCCCTGCCAAAGCGGAGGAGCCGCTTCCGGTCGATCTCAACACACGGGGCCATGCTTCCCCTATCCAGTGTCATTCTCGATAATTGTAAGGCGTGGGACCCTTCCGTCCATTGCCGGTTGAATCGTACTGTTCCCACGATGAAAAATGATTGGGCAAGTCCGGCTCAATGGAAAAGGCCATGTCGAATGAGGCCTGACAACGTCATCTGCACTACCAAGCGATATCGCAGCAGGTCGCCTCGATTTTGAGTACACCCACATAGCACTTAGACTTTTCAAACACTCTTCCATGCAGATGATCACGGACTAGCTCATACTGCGCACCGTGCTCGTTGGATGCTCGAAATTGGGCATCCTCCTAATGATTTAGCAGATGCTTTATCAATGGTGCATGGAAACAAGCATGGAGGCCAAAAGCTGAAGATCGTCAAAGAAAAGCATTGCAACGGCCTGTGTGCAGCAACGATTGACGCTTCTCTTCATCAAACCGACTCCATCGTTGTGCCAAGACCGACTCGTGGCAGCTTCAGACAGCGATGATCATGATGGTTACGCGTAAGCCACACCCACATCTCGACGCGCGAGTCCCGCAAATCTTGCTGAACCCTGGCAGATGAGATGGTGCGGCTCCGCCGACTTTAATGCCACAGCGCCTAACCCTGTCGAGCCCGTCCCCCGACCATGCAAGTAAATCGCAGGGGTCTTCTGTTGGAAAATACCCCTCGGAACGCTCAAATCGTCATTCTTTTGATGGCCAGGAACCAAACGAGACGTTGATCACTGAACAAAGCTTATTGTGGCCGACATGAAGACCCCCGAGCTGGGTCGACAGAGTGGCAAATGATCGTCCCTCTGGACGAAGTCATCATTTGGTGCATCATAGAAGGACATTTCCGCACAACAGCCATTTCCATCGCATAGACTTAATATTAAGCAATCAAGGCGCGGCGCCAAGTATCAGTCAGACAGCGGCACGGTCCTTTCCATACTTCCTTTGAGTTATAATGAGGTCGGCCTCCCTCTCCCAAGCGACAAGTGGTACAGAAGTCTATCTGGAATGCGACGATGCGCTTCCTGCTGCTTGCAGATTATGGACACTATCACAGGGGTGGTCAACAGCCTCTCCACGGTTGGTGGAATCAATTCGTGGTGTCTGCTATCATTGCTTGATGTGTCAGGGTCCTAGAGTCCAGGCTAGCAGACCCCAGGCTCGCTTGGCATGCTGAACGGCGCAAGTAGCCCTGCAACACGGAGATGAAGCCAATCACAAGTCAACCTTGCGAAGGACCTGCACGCGACGGCCCATCCCAGAACCGCAAGAGCACGCAGAACTGTCATACAATGACCCAAATATTAGCTATCTTCCCAGGAGAGTTGCGAGCAGGGAGGGCGCGGCCACCGTCCATTCGAAAGGGGCAAACCAGCGCCAACTGCTTCAACATTTGGTCAGACCGTCGTTGCAACATCAACCCTTGCAGGGTGGCTATCGTTCTAGAATTGATAACAGTCCGGATAACGTAACTAGTGTCGGGTACCTAGGTTGTCTCTCGTCTCTCCCACCGCTATTTATGCGACGAGATGATTGAGCAAGCCAGATCAAATTAAACAGAAGAGGAAAAAGCAAAGGAGAAGGAGGATTCACCCCGTGCCGCACTACGGAGTCCTACGGTCAGGCACCTCATCCGTCAGAACGCCAGCACAATCTATCTGTGTCAATCGTGGGATCTCGCACAGAGAGCCGTGGAAGAAGGGCCACAACCGACCAACAGGACAGGCTGGCCGTTGGTGGCGTTTACGACGGACGCTTGCAGGCTGACGGGCTGAATCCACCGGATTGATTCTAGCCACAGGCAATCTCGCCTTGTCGGAGGGTGGGTGGCTTCTCTTGTCTGCTTCCAGCCCCAAGGGCTGACGCCAAGGGTGCAATCCCACGGCCCTCGCTCCTCACATGCGCGCGCGCGCATCCACAGCTTCATGAATCGGAAGGCCCCAGGCTGCGCCAGACTGACGAGCAAGCCCCATAGGCCAGGATTTACGCTCGCAACGCCGCCTGCTCTAGCGTGGCGGTCTAGTGCTCACATTGGCCAGCCAGGCAACGAGGGCTACTACTGCGTATTCTGGCAGGGCATGGAGCAACGATGAGCATGCTGCTGGCTGGCCAGCACCAGCAAATAGATGGCTACGTCATCTGCTTCATAGCGGTCAGGGCGATGGCGATGAGACGACGAGAGCAGTCGTCACAGAACACGTTTACATAAGGTAATAACGGGAGCTGCACTAGCCAAGTGGCAACTCGGTGCGCAAACGAGGTCCGAGGCGAGACGTGGGCGGCGGGCGGAGACCCTGATGTTGGTCTTGCCCCTTTGGGACGATGAAACGAGCAGAGCGCAAGATCTGCGGCCATCCTGCTGCAACACCGCGCACGCACGCACGCACGCACGCAACACATTCCTCGGGTCTGGCGAGGTTGGCGAGGTTGGAGAAGGGGAAGGGTGCGCGCCGCCCTTGATCGGCAGGCAGCTGCTCGACCACTCGCCGGGCGACGGGCGACGGGACGGGACGTGATCAGCCACCACGGCGGCCGGGGCCTGGCAACGAGCAAGGGGCATGTCTCCATGTCTCCATGTCTCCATGTGATGCGGTGTGATATGTAAACGATGATCCAGACGGGGAGAAGCAAACCACGAGCTCACCGTAGCCAATGGGTACCTGCTGTCTGTCCTAATGAAAAGCGTAGATTGCTCTTGGCGCAGCAACGACGACGTATGCGCACACCAAGATACCAGCACGCAAAGGCTCTGTCACGACCCACGCGCTGGGGGGGATGGATCGTCAGTGCTAGCTGCCAAAGCGCAATATAGCTCTAGTCTCCCGGAAACTCGACCACGGGAGGCGTTTGGCATTGATCACAACGCTCGGGGCAAGATCCGTTCTGGAAAAAAGGCATGGAATCGGCCTCGGAGCGGTGCATTGATGATACGGTCGTGCAACAGAGCACCGCCGCACCCGCCTTTGTCCTCTCGTGCCGGGCACCTTCCAGAAGAGGCTCTGTGGATAACAAAACCGCTCCGCCCTCTCTTGCACTCCACCAACTGCCGGTGGCAGAGCGCGGGCAGAGCTGCTCGATATAGATCACGGAGCAGATCTGAAACACTTTGGTTGGTTGCATGGCACGACACGCTTGGGGAAGCCGTCTGGAGGTCGTCCTGGTGGTGCCGAGTCGCAGTCCCTTGTCAAGTTTCTTGAAGTTTGTATGAGCTGTCGTGGGCCTCCTCCTCCTCCTCCTGCGGACCTTCCTGCGGACCTTCCTGCGGATGATAATCTTCCGTCCAGTTTGGCAAGGTTTGGTTTCCGTCTGCTTGCCCTGGACAGAGGACATGTACGATGAGATCACACACACACACACCTCTTACGATGAACTGACCATGGGCCGTAATCCATGCCCGGCGCTCGTTGTGAAACGCCAGCAACGGTCGAGTCAATCGGATGCTGCCGCAGATCAAGATGCCAAAACAAGCTTTTCTGTCCCGTTTTGTTCCCCGCATGATTCGAGCAGGGAAGTCTACAGGTTTCCGATCCCAAAACCATGTAATTATATGGTGCTGCGAAAGCAGGCTGCTACGTACTTGTTTTTGAAAGCCCCCGGTCCGGCATCGCATGGAACATACTCGTGAAGACCAGGTTATCCGCGTTTCGGATTGTTTTGAAACCCAAAATTGGGGGTCTCACCTCGAACTGCACTCGTGTCCCTGACAGCGTATCAGACTATGGGAAAATAGCATAGCCAATTGCTAGGAGTAATGAATGGTGGGCTCCCGGCCCTTTGGCGGATCGTGCCAGTGACCTGCTGTCCATTCGCTCGCTCTGGAAACGTGATTGTGGCATGGAACTTGACCTGCCTGCGAGCAATCCGTTCTCTTTTCTCAGGCCTGATCGAGTTAGGGACTCACGAGTCCTAAGAGACTTTCAACCTACTCAGGGTCAGTGCACCTGTCTGCTTCGATTATTGAGGTAGTCTCTTACAATAAGAAAAGAAAATTTTCCACCCATAATCGTGTCCTGGGTGACCCTGAAGCCGGGTTGAGCAGAGGCTGTCGTGGTTCTCAAGCATTGCTACGGCCTAGCCGGTTGAGCACGTATCAGTTCCCGTAGGTATACATTGCGGGTCGTGTCGATGGGAGGCTGACTTTATCTGGCCTACTTTCTTGCGCCGCGGTGGAAACCCTGAAAGTGACGAGGAGTGCTACCTGTAAGTCAAGTAGGACGTCACAGCCCTTCTCTTACAGCAGCCAACGTTGACGTTGAGTACTAACGCTACTTCCAGGCGAAGTTGAAGCTTGTACGTACGTGGCTAGCAACAATGATTCTACCTTCACACATAACTCAGGTCGGTCCGGACAAGGTCAGCTTTGATACCCGCCGTTTGCAAGTGAGGTCAGTATTACACTCGTCTCGTGCGTTGTTAAGTCTCTTTGTGGAAGTCTGCCCCTGCTAATCTCCACGGCCCGGCAATAGCAAGCCATGCGTAGGGCCACGACTCTGCCCAACTTTCCAGATCTAGGGCACTCACGAGGCGAGTCTGAGGATCCGGATCTTCTTCGGGATATGGGCATGATGTAATGTCATGTGCAGGTTACAAGAACTGAGACATGGAAGATAAGCTTTACCTGGTCTAGTCTTCGCAAAGTTGACTCTCTTCGGGAATAATCGAAAGTCCCATTGGTGCTAATCACTAGGGGCGGATGTGAGGCTGAAATCGTGGGCGTGTCACGTTCGCCGTGCTCTTTTTTTGCGTGCCTTGGTGTGGCACGCGAATTCCTCCAGACTCCCTTCCCGGCGTCGAGTATTCTGGGCATACCGGCGAATGTCAGGAATCTGCAGACACTATAGCAATGATACAAACAGTCACGCCGACGAGTTTTCCAAAGTAGCGCAAATAGCATCTACTATGCTTTTCTGTGTTGTATTCACATGGATTTTACTAGGTTCATTTTGCGAAATCAAGCATTCGCTCTGCCACGCGCGCCCAAGACAGCTTTGCCAACCGCTGAATCATTAGGCTTGCCAATTTCTGCGGTGATCCACTGCCCAATATCGGCCATGGCATCAAGGTCGATTCCAGAGTCCATACCTAGGGTCTCCAGGAAGTAGACCATGTTCTCCGTGGCAACATTTCCAGTCGCGCCGGGACTGTAAGGGCAACCACCGAGACCGCCGACGGAGCTGTCAAAGATGCGGATTCCACGCTCGAGCGAGACGGCAGTGTTGACGAGGGCCTGCCCATACGTGTCGTGGAAGTGCATGGCAATGTCCTCGTTGCGGATGCCGGCAGCGTTCATGCAGCGCAGGAGCTCCTGCGTCCTCGGCGCCGTGCCCATGCCCGTCGTGTCGCCGAGGGAGATCTCGTCTGCGCCCATCTCGAGGAGGGATGCTGCGATCTCAGCTACCTTGTGCGGGTCCACATCGTAGCCCTCAAAGGGGCACCCCAGGACAACGGAGATATAGGCGCGTGCTCGTACGCCGAGCTCCTTGGCGCCCTGGATGACGGGCTTGAACCGCTCGAGCGACGTGGCGATGTCGCAGTTCAGGTTCTTCTTTGAGAAGCTCTCGGTCGCCGCGGCGAAGACGGCGAGCTCTATGGAAGGCTTCCCTGTCGTGTCGAGGCCGACTTGGGCCTGTGTCTGTGTGAGGAAGGAGTCCTGATGCTGCTGTAAGAGGGCGCTGGCGTTCTCGACGCCTTTCGCGTTTGGTGCCAGGAATGAATATGTAATTGGTGTTGGAGAGGCAATCTTTTTGGTCAGGATGTGCTCCATGATCTTGCCAGAGTTGTCCATCTGCAGCGAGAATTGGTCGGCCGTTGTTAGCACAGTCATATCATCACTACGTGGCCGCAGGTCCATCGCCTACCTGAGGCACCCACTTTGGGGAGACAAAAGAGCCCGCCTCGATATAAGAAACGCCGGTCTTGGCAAGCCGCTCAATCAACTCGATCTTGGTCTCGAACGGGATCGACTTCTTCTCGTTCTGGAGGCCATCTCGAGGGCCGACCTCGACGAGTCGGACGTAGTTGTCGGGACGAGACGGCGAGGAAGGGGGATTCCTGACGTCGGAAGCTGTGGCGTAGCACCTGCGTAGTGGTGTGGGGAGGGGAGCGCGTGGACGGGCGAGGCGAAGAAGGGGGCGCATGGACGCCATTTTCCTGCTCATGACATGCCGCAACGGGCGAACCGCCTGTATCAGAATCTCGCTCAGGCGTGGGCACCGGGAGTGAGAGGAGAGAATGTGAGGAAGGTGGTGGTTTTTGTCTCGGAGCAGCTGATGTTGCTGGGAGCTCCAAGCTTCCGGGTCGCCGCCGGCTGGGCGGACAGACACGGCTTAAGCCCCAGAGCTGCCGGAGTGCAGGCATTATTAGCGTGTGGGGAAAAGCCAGAATCAGAGACAACACGGAATCCACTGGACATGACCGTCCCAGAGTGCTGGACATGCAAGTACACCCACGGATGAGACATGTGCATGTCGAAAAGTGAACCCTTGGTTGTCAGTGGTTCTTTCGCTACAGTGCAGCCTTTGTCCGGCCATCGGTCATTCATATTGATACAAAGACCCGCTCGAAGCTCGTAGCAGCCTTCTTGCCTTTAGAAACTGATCGAGGGTGGGCATCAGAAATGCGGTGGTCAATAGTCTTCAACAGAAACAGGCACGTCATGGTTAGGCCTGTTCGTTACGAGCTGGTCGTCATACATGCCCTCATAGAAAACGACAAAACCAGAGCCACTGTCGCCCATCGTCTTCTGGTGGTGTACAATTTGTGGATGGCCGAAGTGATTGGTGATGAGGAGACAGACCCCGAGGCTCTCTAACACCCTTCCCTCTCTGAGTTCAACCTCCGAAGCCTCGAGGATATAGGGATGAATGCTCGCCGGCCTAGTGAAAACCGAACGTCCCAGCCCTGAGCCTCGAGTGACGGGTCCCAGAGCCCAGCGTCAATTGAAGAGCCCTTACGTCAGCAGCCAGCGATGCCCCACCTGCGGTTCGAGCCAGGCGCAGGCGCTCCACCAGGCTCGACGTAACTTGGCGCCTCGTCGACCTGGAGCTCCCAGCTCAATGCGAGGTACATACCTGCTACCTTGAACGGCAGACTTCATCATCGCCACGACTGCCCTCGGCTCGTCGTCCTTCCCATCCTCGTCGCATAGTCTTCGGCGAAGGCCCTCTGTTACCTCGCATAGATCCAAGCCGCTCACTCTGCTCTGCCAATCACGCGCAGTACAACCAACCAGGCAGCCGGCCGAGCTCGCTCCTCCTCCGCACCCCATTTCCCAAGCTGCGATCCGCCAATCCACCAATCCGTCATCATGTCCGACCCTCGCGACCCTTCGTCCTACTCCATCGTCCCTCGCATCAGCTACAACACTGTTGGTGGTGTCAACGGACCCCTCGTCATTCTTGAGAATGTCAAGGCGCCCAAGTACAACGAAATTGTCTCCCTGACCTTGCCTGATGGCACCGAACGATCAGGTCAAGTCCTCGAGGCTCGAGGTAAGAAACAACAACACAACCGCCAGGGCATACTTGAACTTTGATCTCTGATCGAAGCGTGGTTTTGCGCGTCTTGACCATGTCTGACATTGCTGGATAGGCGACCGCGCCGTCGTGCAGGTCTTTGAGGGAACTTCTGGCATTGACGTCAAGAAGACGAGAGTCAAGTTCACAGGCCAAAGCTTGAAGCTTGGTGTCTCTGAGGACATGCTGGGACGTATCTTCGATGGTTCCGGAAGGGCTATCGACAAGGGCCCCAAGGTCCTCGCCGAGGAGTACCTCGACATCAACGGAAGTCCCATCAACCCCTTCTCCAGAGTAGGTCTAGCGACATGATGCTTTCAGGGTTGCGCCTCGCGGTTGCTGACGTATCGCTCCCGCCAGGAATACCCCGAGGAAATGATCTCGACAGGTATCTCAACCATCGACACCATGAACTCCATTGCTCGTGGTCAGAAGATTCCCATCTTCTCCGCTTCTGGTCTTCCCCACAACGAAATTGCCGCCCAGATCTGTAGACAGGCTTCGCTCGTGAAGCAGAAGGGTGCAACCAACAAGGGTGTCCACGATGACCACGAGGACAACTTCTCCATTGTCTTCGCTGCCATGGGTGTCAACTTGGAGACTGCCAGATTCTTCACCCGCGACTTCGAGGAGAACGGCAGTCTGGAGCGCACTACCCTCTTCCTCAACTTGGCCAACGACCCTACGTAAGTCATACCCCATTGAACTGGAGGATCTTTTTTTTCAGGACTAATTGGCGGCCTCATAGTATCGAGCGTATCATCACTCCTCGTCTCGCTCTTACCACCGCCGAGTACTACGCCTACCAGCTCGAGAAGCACGTCCTGGTCATCCTTACGGATCTGTCTGCGTACTGCGACGCTCTTCGAGAAGTGTCTGCAGCCCGCGAAGAAGTTCCTGGTCGTCGCGGTTATCCCGGTTACATGTACACGGATTTGTCGACCATCTACGAACGTGCCGGTCGTGTCGCTGGCCGCAACGGCTCCATCACCCAGATTCCTATTTTGACAATGCCCAACGATGACATCACTCACCCTATCCCTGATTTGACTGGTTACATCACGGAGGGACAGATCTTCGTCGACCGTCAGCTCGATAACCGTGGTATCTACCCGCCCATCAACGTCCTGCCATCCCTCTCGCGTCTCATGAAGTCTGCCATCGGTGAGGGTATGACGCGAAAGGACCACGGTGACGTTTCCAACCAGCTCTATGCCAAGTACGCCATTGGTCGTGATGCCGCCGCCATGAAGGCTGTCGTTGGTGAGGAAGCCCTGTCGGCAGAGGATAAGCTCTCTCTCGAGTTCCTTGAGAAGTTTGAGAGACAGTTCGTCGCTCAGGGCCAGTACGAGGCCCGTGACATTCACGAGTCTCTTGACCTTGCGTGGAGCCTGCTCCGCATCTACCCCAAGGAGTTGCTCAACCGTATCCCTGCCAAGGTCATTGCGGAGTTCTACTCGCGCTCCGACCGGAAGAAGGAGGAGAAGAAGGAGGAGAAGAAGGACAAGAACGTGAAGGACACTGCCGAGGAGAACCTGGTCGATGTTTGATCGGGTGATGCCTCTTACATGCGTTCGAATTTCATAGACAGTCCCGTAATCTGATTCCGAGTCGTTAGTAAAGCATCTATCTATCACTACATTCTACCCATGAGCATCCTGATTTCCATAACTGCTCCTTTTTTCTCGTGAAAAACTTCATGTCTGCGCTCCTGGGCCTCTACCGTTCAGGCCGGCAGGGCCTCATGAGATTGAGTAGGCTTTATTTCTTCCGCCACCGACATCAACTTGAAATGGTAGCCGCGTGGCATGAACGAGAGGCAGGAATAATAAGATAAATAATGTTAAAATCCCGAGAGAGTGCGGAGAGGAACGCATACTGAATGGAGGCGTGCTTGTCCACAATGCCGAGCAAGGTATGGGTTGCTCTCCTCTGCGGATCAGCTAACAAAGAAGATAGAGAAAGAAAAGGGAAATGGAATGCCAAGGCCGCGCTGTGCAAAGTGTGGTTTGACTTCAGCGCGTTGGTCGGGCCTTCGACTTTCAAACGGCTCACAAGAAATCGTATACCAGGTCGGCCTGGACCAGTATGGCCATACGTGGGCGTAGTTGACATCGGCCCATATGCGACTATGCGCTGTTCTTTATCTTTCCAATGAACCAAATAGTGCTCTGGTGTCATTATCCCATTCTCGCTTTGGACTTTCTTCCGAGACGAATGCAAACACAACGAGGATGGCTTATGCACCTTTATCTTCTCTTATTATTATTCGTTAAGCTTCTCTGTTCGTCTTCTTGTGCTGAGTTACTATCCAGGCACAAAATCTCGGAGACGACGCCACTGCTTACGATCTAGGGGGATGGTTTTGCGCCATGCAGGTTGACCGCCAATAAATGGACGCGTGGTCTGTCCTGATATTGCTCACGGAGCCCGTGCCAGGATGGAGATTGGCTTCGCGGACGAAGGCAGCACAGCAGGCCGCGTTTATATTATGGTAGAGACCAGCATGGCCGTGTTTCGCATTCATAACCCGCGGAGATTTGGCCTATGTCGGAGGCGTCCGTCAGTGTGGTTGGGAGAAGGGCGATGAAGAAGAATGTGCTCAATGTCCCTGCACTATATCTAGCCGGAGCTGAAAGGTCATGCATTTTCCGCCAATAGGGAGAAGCGCTGCTATAAATGTATATTTTGCCGTCACGGCGCTCTGGACTAGACAGCCTCGGGCTGCTCTGCCTCTACCTGGCATATGATATGCGATTGACAAATCAGTGGTCAGCATTGTGGCTGCGCCATAGCGAAGTGGTGAGCGAGTGGGAGGGTGTATCGAACATAGTGTAGTTCCTGATTCTGCATAACAGATCGTGCGGGTCACGCAACTAAGGTATCTATGTCTTGCCTTGCAAACAAATGTGACCCTGATCAAGCAGTGTCGCACTCGATCAGTGATGACGAGACCCCTTCCCTCGCTCCCGAAAGTCTGGAGTCAATCCCCATTCGCTCCCTCGGCAGTGCTCTGAGTATCAACAGGTTCTCGGGGAGCGCGAGTTTGAGTTTCCATCCCATTTTGTGCCTCGGAAATTGCCTTGGAGGACGATGTAACCTGGCGATGCGAGGGGATCTATACCGCCATTGCACGTGGAGACGGATGTGGGTGGTACACTTGTCCAGCTTCCGCGGACTGCAGCCAGAGTCGACGCAAACGCTTGGAATAAGATCACTTAGAACATCACTCGGCTTCCACAGCGCAAGACCACGAGACGGCACGCCATTGAGCTCAAAGCCAGGTTCTTGTTGGGATGCTCATGTCAGAGCCTTACGACGAGGCCGCCCATACAAGTGGCGGATAGAAGGCAGCACCCCGCCTAGAATCGAAGACGCACAACCTCCTCCACCGCATACGTGATCGACCAAGAAAGAAAGATGCTGGCTGCCATCCCTGGAAGCTTCAAGCCACCGGGCCAGGCCAGGGGAGAAAAGCCTGCCGGGGGAGGCGTGGGAGAAGCTCACAAGCTCCCCCGCACGAGGCGCCTGCCCCGGACTTTGGAACTTCTGCCGGCTGCTTGCGCACCAATCGGAGTGCCTCAAGGCCTGGCGTGGCTGGGCTGCCCACGGGGCCACACCCGTGAGGCGTCTGCGGCAGTCGAGGATCCTTGGGCTGGGCAAAAAGGCTTGGGCGGGCGGAGTGGCTTGCGAGCATCGCGGCCAGGGTTTGGCAGAAACACACAAGTTTGTCACCTCATCTGCCCGGGAAAAACACAGACTGACCAAAACGACTGGCCAATGGCCCAGCATTATTGCACGGAGATGACCGCTTGCAAGAATCCAGCGGGAAAGCACACGAGCAGAACGGTTGGCAGGTGAGGGGAAGCTGCATGCAATTCTGGGCTTGAGGGTGGCGTGAGTTGGGGATCTGGCGTGGCTAGTCAGCATGGGATAAGGCCCGAAAGTCGGCTGGAAGCTGACGAACCCGTCGCGTTGCGTCATGGCCAATTCGGGGTAAAACAACGGCGAGCAGAGTATTGCGGGTTGCTAGACAAACACGCGTCCAAACGACCTCGCTTGACAGCTCGTCCGTCACGAGCTAGATCGTCCCGTGATTGGCGAGGCTGTGCTCGAGACCATGCCCTCGCGTCTATTTTGCCAGAGCCAATAATTAGTGACCAACGCCATCCTTGGTCTGTTCAGTCTGCTCGCGGTCTCACCGACTGCTTGCTCGACATGGGCCTCGGTGCTCTGCTGGTTTTTCAGCCACATTGTGACCTCGCAACACAAGACTGGCTCGGCTGGGACGGCCGACCGATTCACCCCGGATCGGATGGTCGACCGATTGTGACACTGGGACTGGAGACCTGTGAAGGTCTCGCATCGTCAGGCGAGCAGTATTGTGGCTGTTGTGTTTACCCTCGACCCCGGGCCCGACCCTGGCCCTGGATCCGGGGGAGGAGGTGTGGATCGTCATCACCTGCACGAAAGGAAGAGGCAGGAGGGTGAGAGTGGGAGAGAGGGAGAGAGAGAGAGGTAGCAAGACCAAGAAACAGAGGCAGATTTGGCTGGGGCTGGTGTCACCGGCCTGGTGGTGATCCCTGCCAATGCTGGCCATGGCGTTGCATTCTCGTGGCCGCGCTCGTGTGGAGAATTGGAGAGCGCTCGACGCACAAGCTTCCACTTTCCGGCCCATCGTCGCCCTCTTCCCCAGGAAATGACGGAGTGCGCGCCAGCCGGGCCGCTGCTCCTGTCGCTGTCGTCGCCTGTATAAAGAGGCACACTTCTCTCCTGTCTGCGCGTCCCCGTGTGGCCTTTTCCTCAGGGTTCAGGGCTTCAATTCGCAGTCCGGCAGCAACGGACATCCCCTTGTGCGCATCTCCTCGCGTCAGCCAGCCGTGCCTCGCCTCACTGCCATTGGCAATTGACCCTGACACTTTCGATCAATTGGTCCAGTCTGCAAGTCAAGATGCGCTTCACTGCCCAGCTTGCGGCCCTCGCGGCCTCCTGCCTGCCTGCCGTCCTTGCCACAGCTGGCCCAGACGAGAATGGCATGTACTGGATCAAGAGCGACCACATCAAGGCTGCCTTTATCCCCTACGGCGCGTCCCTGGCAAAGTTCCTCATCAACGACCAGTACGGCATCGAGAGAGACATTGTCACCGGCTTCGATAATGCCACCTACTACGAGATTGATGGCCAGCACGGTCACTTTGGTGGTGTCCCCGGCCGCTACGCAAACCGCATCAGGAACAGCACCTTTACCATTGACGGCGAGACCTTCCACGTGAACCCCAACGAGCACCCAACCCCAGAGGCGCCCGAGGGTGCCAACACCCTCCACGGCGGCCACAACGGCTGGGACTACCGCAACTTCACCGTCGTCACTCACACCGACGACAGCATCACCTTCTCCATCGTCGACCCTGACGGAGAGCAGGGGTTCCCCGGCGAGGTCATCTCGTACATCACCTACACCCTCCACGACCTCACCTGGGACTTCAAGATGATCGCCTTGGCCACCACCAAGAAGACCCCGATCATGCTCAGCAGCCACGTCTACTGGAACCTGGACGGCTTTGCCAACAACGAGACCAACACCGTCCTCAACCACACCCTCCACCTGCCATACAGCGGCCAGATTATCGGTGTGGACAACATCCTCATCCCTGACGGCACCATCCTCGCGAACCAGCCCGGCTCGCCCAACGACTTCTGGACTGCGCCCAAGCAGATTGGTGCGGACCTCGACAAGACTCTGAACAACTGCGGCTTCAACTGCACTGGCTACGGTACGTTCCAGGCCCAAACCCCCAAAAGTGACCGCAACTAATTGAGACTGTACTACAGACAACGCCTGGCTCGTCAACCGTGCCCAGGACGGCCCTTATGACTGGCGCACCGACGGCTACGTTGCCCGTGTCCACTCGCCGTGGTCTGGCATCCAGCTGGACATCTATTCGGACCAAGAGGCCTTCCAGGTCTACTCCTGTAACGGGCAGAACGGCACCGTGGCCCTGAAGAAGGACCAGGGACTCTTTGACAATGCCGATTTCCCCAGAACCATTCCTCAGTACGGTTGCATGGTTCTCGAGGTTGAGGACTGGATCGACGCCATCAACCAGCCCTCGTGGCAGCGCGAGAAGAAGCAGATCTTTGGTCCTGGTGGTGACCCTTATGTTCTGCAAGCCAGCTATGTCTTCAGCATCAACTCGACTAGCACCTACTAGAAGCGCCTTCTCATTTTTGCAGTCAGTCTAAGCACTGCAAGGTTGGCAGACGAATCTGGATCGGGTGCTGGGAGAGGAAGGGCTTGCAGGACATCTTGTGTCTACTGGTTCACGCTGTACCCTTTAGACACGCTTCTAATGTATATATTGTAATCTTCTATAAGGAAATTGGACCTCTCTAGTTCGCCTGCATCGTGTCAGAGATTACCTTTTCGGCATGAATATCGTGGAGCAGCGCTTGCGAGAACTTACACGGGGCCAGTGCATGGTACAGTGCTTGACAGTGTATAGACTGTGCCCATTGAAAATTCCCCTGCTTTGCCCCTCCAAAACTTCATTCGCAACTTTCCTAGTGGGGCCATGAATGATCTTGTTACTCTTGCAGCCATACTGAGAACGATCATTACAATCTTTGGAAAGGTTCCTTTACTCACAACAATAGTTCCCTAATTTCCTGTCGTATTCTTCTCAAATTCAGTCTTTGAAGTCGTACACACCCAGACAGCAGCATGGAGGAAGACCGAGCACAGGTCGACGTGGGCATTGCTGCTGATATTGAGCATGCACACCCATCGACGCCGGTTCAAAAGCAACCAAAGAAGAGATTTGTCGGAAGAAGGACTGCTGCTAACAGTGCCTCAAATTCTGGACCATCATCAGAAGATGCCGGTGCAATCCAAGGCAAGAGACTCAAAGTGGGCTTGATTTTTGATGAAGGACTGGTCAACTAACCGATAGAACAGTGTCACAAGCGAGGCGGGCTCCGAGGTTGATGAACCAGGTGCCACCGGAGATCCTGGAAAATCCGGATATCAAGGAAGCCATCGCTCTCCTGCCGGCCAACTACTCGTTCGAGATTCCCAAGACGATCCATCGCATCCGGTCGCTGGGTGCCAAAAAGGTCGCCCTGCAGATGCCAGAGGGCCTTCTCCTCTTTGCCACCACCATCTCCGACATTCTGACCCAGTTCTGTCCCGGCGTCGAGACGCTGATCATGGGCGACGTGACTTATGGCGCCTGCTGTATCGATGACTACACCGCCCGAGCGCTTGGCTGCGATCTTCTGGTGCACTACGCCCACAGCTGCCTCATCCCCGTGGACGTCACCAAGATCAAGGTCCTCTACGTGTTTGTCGACATCAGCATCGACACGTCACACCTCCTCACGACCCTCGAGCGCAACTTTGCGCCGCCAAAGACCATCGCCATGGTCGGCACGATCCAGTTCAACGCCACAATCCACGGCGTCCGCTCGACGCTGGAAAAGGCCGGGTTCAACGTCATCGTGCCGCAGATTGCGCCCTTGTCAAAGGGCGAGATTCTCGGCTGCACCTCCCCGCGGCTCCCGGATACAGACCAGGTCGACCTCATCCTGTACCTCGGCGACGGCCGCTTCCACCTCGAGAGCATCATGATCCACAACCCTTCCATCCCGGCCTACCGGTACGACCCGTACTCCCGCAAGCTGACGCGCGAGGAGTACGGGCACGAGGAGATGCAGACTGTCCGGCGGGACGCCATCAGGACGGCCAAGGGGGCCAAGAAATGGGGCCTGATCCTGGGCTCGCTGGGCCGCCAGGGCAACCCGCACACGATGACCATGATTGAGAACAAGCTCAAGCAGCTCGGCATCCCCTGGGTCAACCTGCTCCTCAGCGAGATCTTCCCTGGCAAGCTCGCCATGATGGGCGACGTCGAGGCCTGGGTGCAGGTCGCGTGCCCCCGCTTGTCCATAGACTGGGGTTATGCCTTCCCACGGCCGCTGCTGACGCCGTATGAGGCTCTCGTCGTCCTCGAGGAGAGGCAGGACTGGAGCGCCTCTGGCGTCTACCCCATGGACTACTATGGCAAAGATGGGCTTGGCCGCACGAAGCCGGTTGTGGCGAGCAGTTAGGCATGATTGCTTGGTGCCGATGAGAAAGAAAAGCTCAACCTTAGCCATGAATCACACAGAAACGACGAACCGCACGTTAGGAGAGCCTTCTTTGGCTTCTTGCGAAAGATGAAAAAAAACTGTGGCAAGTGTACCTTATCTACAGCTGTCGCTCTCCCGCGGCCAACATTCCTGAAGTTTACGCACTCGAGATCTATTCTGCGAAACAACGATACACCCATCTCCCGTAATCATCCGGCCCTTATTTCTTGGACTTGGCGTCCAAAGCCTTGAGCAGCTCGAGCTGCTCCTTTGATCCTACACTCATACTCAAATCCTTGATTGCTTCGATATCGACCCGAAGCTGCTCGACATCCGCCTGTATCGCGGACCATGCGTCTGGCCCCAAAGGCACACGGAGCGGGATCTTGCCACCACGGCTGGCGATGCCGTACATGGCGGCTGCCACATCTTCGACGCGAGCAAAGTTCTTGAGGATCTCGGGATTATGCATGAGGCCGAGCATAAACGTGGTCGCGCTGTGGGGATTGCTCTCGTACGCTGGGTGACGGTCGGGAATCTGGATCGAGGTCGTCGCAAAGTTTGTTTCCACGCCACCGGGCTCAATGATGCTGAAGTGGACTGCCAAATTCGAACATGTCAGCCACGCTATCCTTCCCATATGGAACACAACTAGGCACCATGCTTTTCGACCAGAAACCACGGAACAGGATGGGGATTAGGGAAAGGTGTCGGGGGGGGGGGGGGCGGCGGTTTCATGACGTACTGTTCCAATCCGGAGGCATCTCCTTGGCCACACTCTCCGTGAAGCCTTCCATGGCGAACTTGGCGGAATGGTAGAACGCATTGCCCGGGTAGCCGACGAAGCCGCCCATCGAGCTCACATTCATCACCAGGCCGCCCTGCTTGCCGCCATTCTCGGCGTTTGTCTCGCGAAGCACGGGCAGTACTCGCCTGGTCACGTCCACCATGCCCCAGAAGTCGGTGTCCACCACTGCCCGCGCGGCCTCGTCAGAGATGGCCTCGGTGTCGCCCAGGACGTTGTACCCGGCGTTGTTGACCACGACGTCGATGCGGCCAAACTTTTGCAGGGCCTGGGTGACCGCGGCGTCGATGGAGGTCTTGGACTTGACGTCCAGGGCCACCTTGAGCACGCGGTCGTTGTCGTCAACGTATGACAGAGCTTGCGGGTTGCGCGCTGTTGCGACGACTCTGTCGCTGGTTTTCGAGGCGATGTGTTGAACCAAGGCGCGGCCTATGCCGGTAGAGCAGCCGGTGACTATGCAGTGGATGTATTTGTGTCAGAAATGAAGCAGAACTTCCAGCACGAAGAAACTGCCTGCCATCTCAGGGTCGAGGGCTTGGGTATAGACCTACTGAACCAGACAGCCCCCTCAGGCAGCTGAAATCCGACAGGTGCAGCAGCCATGATGATAATATATCGTCACGCTCCTAAGTAATCTCGAGTAATTTGAAGTTCGAGTCCGATCGTAGAAAGTGATAGCAGTATCGTTTGTCGTGGGTAGTTGATCCTCGTTTAGAACCGATGGAATGCCCTGAGTGTTGAGATGAATGGATGATAGAGTCCTGCAGAAACTCAAAAGGCAGTTCCGAGCGGAGGAAAGACCGGCTTTATATGCGCAGGGCCTCCGGCGTGGACCTCTGCTCAACCATCGCCAAAACTCTTATTAGCCATAGCCATTTGCGCTCTGGAGAGTCTTCCTACATCATTAGCTTGGCGGCTACTCGTTTTGGAAGGTTTGACCGAGCGACAGCTCTTACGTCAACAGGGTCGGTCCCCCTTTCCTTTCCAAAGTTTCCAGGGCCCTCCGTGCGATTGGAGCCCGGACGAGCGAAACCGGCCCTAAACCCGCGCAGCTTTCGCCGCTCATGCAAGTGTCCCGGAGACAAGCCGAAATCGAGCCTCCAAATGCCGTTTGATGGTCATGCATGTCCCATTCTTTTGGTCTTGTTCGCTTGGCTGGTCTCTCTGACGCACACTCCCCACCATCACGCCGCGCGGCTCGGTATAATACTCTCTTCTCACATACACGCACGCAGGGTACTGCATACCTACGCCACATACGTGGAGTGGTCAATTGTCCGGGCTAACCCTTTGGCATAGCGTACAGGGTACCCGCAGGCTAGACCAGTCGCGGCGTTAAAGGACTTAAACCCCGGGGAGCCGTGCCAGCCCTTCCTCGGTCGAGTCTGAAATTATGGTTTCATGAATCAGCACCGGCCAAGCAACCAAGGGAACAATACTAAGCAGAGGAGAATAAGGGCTCACGAAATAAGTGATTTGGAGTGTTTGATAATCCGCGGTTGTGGTGGAGTTGTCGAGTATGCACCCTGTTCATGGGTAAAAGTGGATCTTCCTGCACGTCGGCCTGCAAGCCATGCTTATTTCCGTATCGTGCATTAGCCTGCGAACCCTGGCTTTGGATCGGTGCCACCGTCGGGGACGGCTGGGAGCAACACAAGTCAGATGCACGTGGCCGGATTTAAATCTAGCAAAGCGGTGGGATCTCTACTGGCCTTGCGAAGGCTCGGCAGTGGACCTGTGGCAAGGGGGATTGTAGTATCCTGAAATTCTGTCTGTCCTCGCCGAACCCGAGCAAGGCGATCAGGTGTGACGTTGATTCCACATCTCTCGAATGTAGAGTCGGTGTTGGTGTCTGGTACGTATCGCTGGAATACCTTTACGAATTGCTGAGAAATGAGGCAAAGGCCGGGAAAGGAATGAGAGAGAAAACCCCCGAGGGCTTGCAACATTTTCCCATGAAAAACCCTCCTCAAACCCTCAGTGACCTCCCTTCACAGGTACATGCCCGGTGCCCACATGGCCGCAGGTATGGCGCGTACTCAGCCTCGACCAGCTCGTCTTGAACCTCCGCCTGCCGGAAGAGGTCGCAAGCCTCGTCCACCGACATGGTTGTGAGGACCGGTCTGCGTTGTCTTGCCGCATACCCGAAGGGGTTCAGCTCGGCATCGGCAGGCAACGGATGAGGCTCAGAACGCAGCTTGTCTCGGTAGCGCTGGAGGCATTGTATCGCAGCTTTCAGGTCCTCTGTGACCGAGTTGCTGGACGTGTATTTCTGGAGATATTCCTCCAGGCTGAGCGTATCGAGCGAGCTTGCGGAGACAGCCCCCCATGTTGATGATGGGCCTGAGGCGGGATCAACAGCGGCGTCAGCTTTGAGCCGGATAAGCACGGCGCGAAAGCTTCGAGTCCACGGTACAAAGGCTGTGCCGTAAGACGATATCCTGGAAAGATTGAGGAGACCTCCATCATCGTTGAGTGACTCGTCGAAGCCAGACTCTACCTGCATGTCCGTCCGAGCGACGACCATTGTCCACTCGCCGGGCGTCAGGTCCCGCAGTCGAGCCGCCAATACCGTGTCACGGGGGACTGGGTGCTGAGCCTGGCTGATTGCAAACAATTCTGCAGGCAGGGGATTGATTCCGAATGTTCCCTCGGGACGCAATGTAGCTGGAGCGGTTGCGAAACTGAAGGCAGACAGAAGGCGGAACGTTGTCTCTGGTGGCGAGAATATGCGGTGCCGAAGCAGCTGCAGCAGCCCTGTCACTAGCCGTGTCGGCGAGAGCAGTGAATCACCGAGATAGATCGTCTCTGTCGTGTTAGGCCTGAATCTACCGTCTGGGCAATGGAATATAAGCTGCGTAACACTTCTAGTATCACTTGAAGTTGAGCTTGGGACGCGCGAAATTTGGCTGCTGGACTTTGCTGGATAGCGTCTACTGCCCAGGCTTTTCGGATGCTTGGGTTGGTCCAGCCATGGGATCTGCCGGACACCATGCGAAAGAACCGGTCCGAGAATCAACTTCTCTCGAATCTTGTGCCTCAATAATCGGTACGCCTCTACCGGGTCAAAACTGTCGCCCTCGCGGGTGGGGGACTCCAACAGATGAAAATTGGAGATGCCCGCCGGGGGCAAGACATCGACCAAATGGGAAAATGCCGCTGTCGTCAACGTCCCTGCTGCGAGGCTAAGAGTGTCCATTGACTGTGCTATATCTCGGTTGCGAAGTATGAGGGCGATGTGCTCGATTTCCAGGCCATAGTAAGGTGACAGGTCGATACGTTTCTCTCCTGCAAAGGCCAGCTGTAGAAGCTGAGCACCAGCGTCCGGATTGCCGGTCACTGCGTCGGCGCGGCACTCCAAGCAAGCGCGCAAGCACCCGCGAAAGTCAGGTAGCTTGCCGACCTCGTCGAGCAGCGTGAAGTCGGGTGCGGAGCTGGCCAGGAAGGTGTCAACTACTTTTCCAAACGCCATGGCCTTCAACGAGGCTGTTTCAGGGACCTTGTCAGACTTTATCTGCTCATCTCCGGCCCGGACTCCCCAGTGCTCGTAGAAAGGCCACAGCTTGGGCAGGCAATCAGAGTAAAGAACACCAAACTGTCCAAGCTGGCCAAGCACGCTCTCGACCGGGGTCTTCTCATGCTCAACTTTACGGCGGTGAGCCACAGACCACCGGATTTCACCGCCCAGGAACTCCCTCGCCGAAAGAGGCGTGTTGTGCGGCTCCGGCATCTCCGCACTGTCGTCTTGGTCGTCCTCCCGCCACGGCACATTTACAAAGCCATACCGGCACTCATCCAGGTCCGTAATGTCCAGCACGGCGAGCGCACCCTCATTCCTGGTCTGGTCAAACGCGACGCCATAGGGTTGCTCGGAAACGCGCAGCGTACCGCGATCCGGATGGAACGAGGTCCCGGCGAGCAGGCAAGTGGTAACGAAAGGGAACGGGCAAGGTCTCTGGAACTGCTCGTATAACGCTGTCGGGCTGGGTCTCACAGGGAGGACAACATCCGCGTCTATGCCGTCCTCGGCACCGCCTGGGAAGAAAGGCCTGCCAGGTGAAGACAGACATTCTTCTCCACTCTCCTGGCTTGCTTCCTGCTGGTGCTGCTGGTGCTGCTGTCGTCGTCGTGATGACAATGACGACCGCCTGGGTCTACCCCACCTTGGCGCAACATCAACCCCAGCGCTGCGAAGCTCCTGCTTCAGACACTCTCGGTTCTCAAGAGCCGAGAAGATGTTGAGAAGGCGCAGGCAGGTTTCAACTACAAGCCGCTTGAGTTGTCAGCCAGTTCTTCCTGCTCCAGGACCACGAAGATGTGCCGTTCAATGGAGCTTCACCTGCATCGAAGCCTCCCAGAAAGCTGGCCAAGACTGTTGCAAGCGCTCTGTAGTGCTTGCCGACTCGGGCAATCACGAACACCTGCAATTTCTCCCTCATGGCTTCTGGAAGTCGTGGTCCTCATCGGGCGTGGGTGTGATGGTTGTTGTTGTTGTTGTTGTTGTTTGTTGAGTGAGTGGATTAACCCCATGATGTCGGATGGCACTAAAAGCAGCTCTTGGCTCGCCCGCTTGATGCTGCTTGGACGGGGTTGGCCGATACTTGGCACCACGGTGCACCAGGCTTGCAGCCCAACGAATTTGCATTGAAAGAGGTCGCAATCATGTACAGCGCTTATTTCAAGGTTGTGTAAGGGCCAATTCGTCTCTCATGACATTTTGTGGTGATCTCATGCAGCTTTGCAAGACTCGAAAGGGTGGGTATCATTATTAAATGGCTAGGCAAACATCCAGAGACGCTCGCACGCCCATCGCTCAGCAGTGGGTATTCTAGAAATTTTCAAGTCAAGAACTTGCAACGTTGTGGACGTCCCCACCGAAACAAAGGTTGTACGGCTATTTCAACCCGAAGCCTTCGCTCTCGTAGACAGCTCGCCAAAGTGTGTCTTCTAGTCGCTGCCGTGAGCTGCAACGATAGAGAGACAACATGTTGAAGCAAGTCCGAGCGGACGGGAATCTCCCCTCATCGTCGCCCAGGCAGTGGACCTTGATGGTAAGAGCCGCCGCCCCAGTTGCTGGTATTCGGTCACTGCCCGTAATGAATGCTAGCAGCCGTTGCTGGTCGGGCGGAGTCGCCTCCGCAAAGGACCGCCAGAACCACTGTACTGTTGGCTCTGTATCAGGCGTGAAGTCCTTGGACCAGTTGGAGTATTCCGCCGCACCCTGGAGTGATGCAATGTCCAGAGGCTCAGCGGAGCCCCGCACGAGCAACTCGATTTCCTCGGCACGGAACAGAGATAATGCATTGCCCCCACAGACAGTGAAGAAACCTCGTTTAAAGGGCTCGAACTGGCGAGTTACGGCCGTGTCCAGGTGGTAACGCACAAAAAGATCAACATACTCTCGACGATTTGAGGCTGTGACCATTTTCGTTTCTCCCCCGGGGCACAGAGGAACACGCACTCGGGTGCCATATCTCTCTGTCTCGACGACAAAGTCAAGGCAGAAGTCAGCCTGCACGTCGCCATCGTAATCTAGAAGCTGCTGCAGTCCCCGAGCCACCGCAGGCCGGAACTCAGCTAGGTCGTCCAGGGAATAGGTCATTGTGGGCTTGGGATGTCCGCCATTTCCCTGGATAGGGCCGGCAGCCAGTAGCTTCCTGAACGCGAATGGAGGTAGCGCAATATCCAAAATGGTAGAGTTGTAGATAGCCAGTCCAAGAACGACGCCGACAAGGAAATACTGGTCTGATGTCTCGAAGGAATGGGGATTGAAGTAGCAGAGCTGCGAGTCATCGTCGTAGATGAACAATCCTTCGATGTCGTGTCAGACAGCTCGTTCGTCCAGCATTTGAATACGAAACTTGACTCACCATGATCTGGGTTGAACACCTCACGGACTAACAGCAGAAACCACTCTTTCCGCAGGCCGCCAGCATCGACACCTTCCTCGCCGTCGAACTCGATTCTCAATGCTTTCTTGATATCCTCACTGCCACTCCCAACGATTGCACTGACTTTCTTAAGGCTGTCATCCACCAAACAATCTCTTCGAATCTTGAGTACAAGATGCTGAGCATACGTCCTGTGGCTAAGTATGCTGTCAAAGAAAGCTTCACGAGCTTTGCCTGTCATCTGCCTCTTCGCGTCATGTTCGAGTATCTGGATCTTGGCCCAGATGCTCAAAAAGAAAGGATATTGGCAGAACGTGAACTTGGCGCGCTTGGACTCCCACAGCTCAAAGTCGCTCTTGAAATCAAGAGTGTCGACTACGCTGTGATAGAAGTCGCTGATAGGTAGCGGGCGCCCGTTGCCACGGCGCGTTTTGCGTGTGTGGTCGAGTACCTCGACGGCCTCATTCGCGGCAAATATCAAAGCCATGACCCTTGCCGCAGCTTTAATTTGCCAATCGTCAGTATAGGCTGACTGCTTCGCCTCGTTAGACTTTGTCTTCCCCGTGTTCACACCGTGAAGGGCAGCGTGCAGGCTTGCCGTGTTGCTCCTGCTAGTCGTTTCTGACATCTGAGGCACCAAACTATCGATCACGTTGACCTTTGCCTCGATGACCTTCTCATTCTGTCGAGTCAGCCTGTAGGTGACAAAGCTTGACGTAAGGTCTTTGACCTGCAGGAACAGGTTGTCGGGCATGCCGGAGAACCACAGAGTCAGGAAGCGATGGCATATTTCGGAGGAGTTGGCCATGATCCCTAGAATTCTTTTGATTATTCCAGAATGCCGACTGGGCCCCGACTTGCTGTCCTGAACGTCGACCGGGGGAGGGCCTCTTCGGCTGGTCTTGCTATAACTGGAGCGAGATTCCCATGAAGATGCAGCGGATGCCGTCAGTAACGGGTTGCACATCAAGATTGCGAGAAATCGCGCATGCTGAGGCTCCGAGATCTGCGTTCTAGGACGCTTCAGGAGCGTCTCAATACATTTGAGAAACACACGCTGCAGACGATGATGCGCTGCGCCTAGTGCATTCTCAAAATGTTGCTGGGCAGCATTTGATAATTTGTAGTGCGGTTGGGCGGATACCAGATCATCGTAGACATCTCGCCAGTGGCTCGGTGTTTCAACAATGGTGTGATACCATTCAGTGACTTGTGACCAGTCGATGCCGAGAGTCGCTGCTGTCGCGGCCGACACGCTGTCAGGCTTGTTCTGGCTGGACTTTGTGCGATTGTGAGACTTGCTAGTCGATTTGGGCTGGTGACTCCTGACACCCTGGCCACCAGTCCACCATGAACCATTTTCTGCAAAGTCGCCAAGCATGAGAAGCTTCGGATCAAGCTCAGTGAGATCCGGCGCACTGACCGATTGGGATCTGAAATGTTCTGACCTGGCTGGGTGGCTCCGACCAGATTCTGAGTTTGTCGAAGTTTGAAAGCCCATTGAAGTGGTGAAAGAATGGCTGATGCAGGAGTATGACTTGAAACAGATCATCAGGTAGTCCTCTAGTCTTTTGAAGATGTTCTCCCCGACCTCTGCGCTAGCTGTGCTTGGCTCCGCAAGACGCGAGGAGCAAGAAGTAGTGTCTCCGGGATAGGAAGTTGAAAATGAAGGTTGGCCCCGATCGGCCATAGGTCTACGAAAAGATGTTGGTGCCATGGGGTTCTCACGCGCCTCCTCGTCGAGAGTATGTGTCCGACGATGGCTTATGTCCCAAGGCGACGCGCCCCCGCAGCTTGACTCGGGTATATCTGAACCACCTGTTCCAGCTTGATTGCCAGAGTCGCCCCTGCCGCCCGCGTACAGTTGCAGCGAGGAGGTCAGACATTCTGTAATAAGGTGCTTGGTGTGTGCTACTGAGATGGTATCCACTAAGTCCATCCAAATCGTTAGTATGCATCCTTTGGGTACCACGCTATGGTACGACTTAGATAAATGGCCTTTGGTTGTCCTCATACCTGTTCGAGTTTCGCCATCCCCATACGCGTGGGCACCCATGCCAGTTCCCTGGCGCGAAGGCTCGATGTCGTTGACCGTCATGCATATGGTACAACGAAACACATGCAGGTCTTTGGGCCACCGCACGAGGCTGGCACAGGTCATACAGTGACCGGTCCTGAAGTCATGCGGGCCCAGGACGGGTTTGCGGCGCCTATCGTGTGTATTGCCTTGGCCCGGACTCCTGGATGGTATATTCCGACGACTCGATTCGCCATGTTCGGAGAGTTCGAAAGGTAATGGCGAGGGCGGTGGCTGGCCATGGTCCCTCCTCTTCTTCCCGGAGAAGAGGGAAGGGATTGGGTTGCTCATAGAGCGGGAGTGTATTGGACGGCCAGGACTCAGGAGGGTGGGATCGTGGTCTTGGACGCCTTGTTGCACGAAGGGTTTCGGCTGAGAGGAGTTGTCGCTACTGACGGTCCAGATGGTCATAGACGCATTCGCTCGGTGGGATGTGGGATGTTGGGTCGGAGTCCCGGCGTCCGAAGTTGTCGGTGCAGTGTCGAGATAGGCTTCTGGTGGAAGAGGCGGCAGAGGCCGGTCTTCCCATGACCGGCTTGCCATGGCAACGACTGTGGCCGCCGTGGACGGAAGGAGTGGCCGGGTCGAGTTGCGCGAGAACTAGACCGACTGGAGCGACCTGCCTCGGTCCTGCCGAGGAGGAGCCTTTGTGACGGATATGGAAAGCAAGCGCCTGTTGGGCAGCACTCGGCGGGCCAGCCTTTCAACAGATACCCAGCTGCCGCATATGCTCGTTCTTGACAAGCCCGTATGGGATAGGTCGAAGGTCGAGCGTTTGTGGAATCAGTAATCGAAGCCGGACGTGAGAGCATGCATATCAGCAAAGCTCTCCGCGAGGTGCGTGGTGTGGCGGGCGTATCGGCAGGGAGCAGTGGCTCTAATCGGCAGGCGTGGTCAAATACGAGGTCGGCCCATGACAGTTCAAGGGTGTATCGTAGCGTGGCGGGCGTGGGCGTGTTGTTGGTGCGGATGGCTGCGAGCATGGATATCTTGACGATCCGTGGTGAGGCGCCTGGGGTTGGAGCGGACCTATCCCATGTCGTCAGTGCCGGCGGCAAGAGGCAGCACTGCGAAGCGACCAGTGGCCCGTCATGGACACCGCGACTGCGAGCTGGAGGAGGATGGGAAGGATTTGGGGAAGACCGTTGCAATCGGCCAGGCACCAAGAATGCGGGATTGGCACGCCGACCCCGGGTCCGGCAGACTGACAGGCCAAGGCCCCGCCGGATCTGCACTGTGGCAGGGGGGTTGGGACCCTTTGCGCCGCACTCTGCTCCATGCATACTGCGTAGGTACAGGCCTCGAAGTGCTCCAGATAGTGGATGGTACAGCAATCAATAAATGGTAGGCCACAAAGTCCTCATTCAACTGCAGCAGACCACTGTATCGCTTGGGTTCTCGCCCAGCCTGAGTCTTGCTTCGCGGCTTCCTCTGATGGGAAAGCACCAGGCACAGGGAGTAAGTACCCTTGTGTCATGCTCGGGTGTGTGTTTCTCAGACCTAGGTCAATGTCTCAGGTCACGATAAGGCGCCGCTTGTGGCACTAGCGCAGAACCCGGGCCGCGGAACTGCAAGCCCGGCAGGTACCAGCAGGTCAGAGTCAGGATAGCACAAACTGCGGCGGTCCGGGGTAAACTTGCGGGAAAGCTATTACTTACTTTAAGGTACGCTTACGTGGTAGATTTCTCGATACTCGTTTCTGTTATGTCATCGCAAATCGTGGGGAAACGAGCCCGCCCCGCCGTCACACTCATCAATCATTGCGGTTGGTCGACTTATGCCTCGTTCGTCCTTCCAGCCTATTCATCAACCATGTGCACTGTCATGCAAACTCCCGTATAGATGCCAGCTGAACGCCAGTCTTCACCAAGTATTGTTGAGATGACGACCATTCATCGAGATCTCCCAAGTATGCCCTGGTTAGAAGTGCATGACCGGCCATACCACAGGCTTTCGTCATGGCGGGGCCTTCCCTCGGATCGCTGTGCCGTCGTCCAACGAAACCTGCTTGCCAGACTACAAACCACCACGTCACCCTACATATCAGTCGTGACACCATTGTATATATCTCATGCCCATCATCACTCTCAGCCAGTCTGTACACTTCGGCTAGCGTAACATACATTAGAATACAAGACATCACCTACAACTTACACATCAATCTTGTCGAGGTAAAACGCCCGCCAAACCGAAACAACAACAGCAACAACAACAACAACAACAACAATGGACTCCGCAGGTGCCAAGTCAACCATGTCTCGAGACATGGAGGAGCTCACAACCGGCCAGGAGACCGTCTCCAAGCAAGTCCAAGGCCACAAGGCCGCGCTTTCGAACCCTAGTCAGTTTTCTTTCTTATCCCAATCCCCCACTCGGTCCTATTCCCGTGACACTAGGTTCGAACAAAGCAGATAATCGCAGGGCTAATGGCTGTTCTGACTGATGGAACCAGACACAAGCGAGGCGGCAAAGGAAAACAGCAGAGCTGTCATCGAAGAGCTCGGTGGCGAGGCGGCGCATTACGGAGGCAAAGACGACCCGCAGAGCAAGAATGCCGCGGAGAACCTTGACGGCAGCCGCGCAATGGCTGCGTGAGTTGCGCTGTTTTGTCAGGGGAATGGGTTTTGCTTGAAGAGTGGAGAATCACCAGGAATAATAGTGGCACTCGAACTAGCAAGTTCAACTTTTACTTTTATTGTCATGGTAGCTTGTTCATACATTTGCCCGTCGCCCTAGGCCCTTACTCGATGTATCCATGCGCGCCGAGCCATTCCTTGATCACGGCACTGTCGCGCTCACGGTAAGCGGCCCTACCACGGATGGCGTCCTTGACCTGCTCGAGCGTGCGGTTGTATGCGGAAGTGTCTTTGTCAGCGAAGAAAGCATCCACCTCGTCCACATACTTGACATCGGTAAACTTGTTGAGAGAGAGCTTCACGAAACGGTCGATGACGACGGGGTTGGCCATCTTGGTTTCGAGCTGCTTCCAGTTCTCCTGCATGTACTTCCAAAGTAGCGGTCGGGCTGTGCCGTTGGCGGCAAGACCGCCGCCAAGGGTGTGCATGTCGGCCGAGGGGACAGACTCGGAGGCGTGCGCGGGTGGAGACGAGTCGAACAAGAACGGGAACAGCTTGCTAATGATGGCTTCGTCGTCGACCTGAGCCAGGGCAGCCAAAGAGACCTCCTTGCCATCGACGGCAGTGCCCGAGTACCACTCCTTCTTGATGGCAGTGACAGCCTCCTCAGGACTGAGCTTGATTCCAGCACGATAGGCGACAGATCTCAGATTGGGCTGGATCGCCTTGCCCTCCTTTGCCCAGCTATCAAACAGAGACTTGGCGTGCTGGAGAGAACTGTGAACCAGTCTGGTCAGCATCATTGAAATGACAGGCTCCGTCAAGGTCCAAAACTTACGACTCGTGGCCGCTGGCAACCGCGGCGAGCAAAATTCTCTTGCGCATCAAACCAGTGAGGTAGTCCTCGCCTTCTGGGAATTCCCAGCCGACCCTATTGACAGCACCATCCACGAGCTTTAGCGTGAACTTGTCAAGGCCCTTCTTGATGGCCTCATCACTGCCGAATATGGCCTTTACTAGGCCAAGAGAATCCAGAGCCTGCGACCAGACTAAGTGGTTGGTCTCGGAACCGAATCCCTCAATGAACGATAGAAGCGCCGGGGTGCTGCCCAGTCCAGAGAATGCCAGATCGGCTGCGGAGCCGATGATGGAGATCTTGTCCTCGTTGCTAAGGCGATCAAGCTGCTGCCCAAGCTTGGCAAGACGAGCGGGCGGGTAGTTGGTGCGGTAGAAACCAGTAGCATTGCTGTTAAGCTTGTAGAAGCCATCGTCAATGTTGCGGACAGTGATTTCCTTCTCGGTCAGAGCAAGCTTCTGGATGTCGTTGGTGCCAACTTGGCCCTGGAGAGCCAGTGGCACCCACCACACAGTCTCGTCCTCTTCTGGCTTGACGTCACCAGTCGCGAGATATCTGTTCTGTTTGATGGAGATCTGGCCGGGCTCCTCTGCAACAGTAAGGACCGGATGTCCAATTTTCTCAATCCAGTTGTCCATCAGAGCAGTAACATCAACTCCAGAAGCCTCGCTCAAGTGTTGCCAGAGTGACTCTGTCTTGGCATTGCCATAGGCGTTCTTCTTCAAGTAGGCGCCAACACCCTGGAGAAAGGTCTTCTCGCCGAGGTGGTTGACCAACATGCGTAGTGTGGAGCAGCCCTTGAGGTAGCTAATGTGGTCGAAGATCTGGTTTACGTCAAGAGCATCGTTGACAGGGACGTGGATTGGGTGAGAAGCGCGCATGCCGTCGAGCTTGAACGCCATCTCGGTACCCTCGTTGACAAATTGAGCCCACACCTCCCACTCTGGGTGAAACTCGTTTACAGCATACCAGCCCGCCCAGGTCGCGAAGGACTCGTTGAGCCACAGCTCGTCCCACCAGTCCATAGTCACTAGGTTTCCGAACCACTGATGGGCAAGTTCGTGGGCGACAACGTATGCGACACGGTTCTTGTATCTGGCATCGGAGGTCTTCTCATCGAAGAGGACAGCAGTAGTTCTGTAGGTGACGAGACCCCAGTTCTCCATCGCGCCGTGGCTGAAAGAGTGCACCGCCAAGAGATCAGACTTTGGCAGTGGGTAGTCGATGCCAAAGCTCTCTGAGAACAGGTCAATAGTCTTGGGGGCGTGCTCAAGGGCGAAGCGTCCTTGTTCTTTGAGACCGCGGGTTGTATAAACACGGACAGGGATCTGCTTGCCGTTGTACTTGCGGTCAGTGAAGGCCTCAATGTACTCAAAGTCGCCAACCGCCCAGGCGAGGAGGTAAGTGCTCATGACGGGCGAACGCTCGAATGCAACAACCTGCAGGCCATTGCTGGTTTTGGTAGCAGACTTGACAGGCATGTTCGAGAGAGCGACCTGGTCCTCGGGAATCTCAATCTCGAAGTCAAAGGTGGCCTTGAGCTTGGGCTCGTCAAAGCAAGGGAACGCCCGACGAGCATCGCAGGCCTCGAACTGAGTGCTCAGCATGTAGTGGAAGGTGTCGTCACGGAAAACAGAATCGGCGGCGGGAACTGGGGGCTTGTAGTTGCTGCGGTAGAAACCCTGCATCTCGTTGTTGATGGTTCCCTGGAAGGCGATGTCAAGAGTGGCCTTCTCGGAAGCAGGAATCTCCTCTGGGAACTTGATGGTCACGCGCTGCTTCTTCTCATTGTAGGAGAAGTCTGACGACTCAAGGGTCTTGGAACCAGCCACAACCTTGGCCTTGTGTAGCTTGAGCTCGATGGCATTGATGACAATCTCGGTCGCCGCCTCGGCGATGGAGATGTCAATTCTGAGGCAAGTTAGACACGTGACAAACAAGCTGTCAGGGCCAATGCCGGACGGTAACTTACACGACATTGCCCTGGAAGGACCAATCCTCCTGCTTGAGGTTGGAGATGGAGAGGTTGTAGTGGGACGGCTTGATGGCCGTGGAGAGGATATCGCGGTCCGCCATGATGGATGATGGGAGGATGGCCGAGCAGCGAGACGTTGCGGTTGTGGAGAGCAGCCGAGCAGGCGTATATATGGCAACCGTTTGGCGGGGCAAAGGGCGAGGGTACTGGCGGGCCAACCGCCTGGAGGGTCCTTGCTCGAAGTATCGGTGGTGGTGGTGTATCGCCCGAAAGCAGGTCGAGGAACTTGTCAAAGGCACCGCCCGAGAGCACCGGCGTAGGTGCTGCCCCGCAGCTGCCCGCCCCGAAGCGCCCAGCAGCATCCCCGTCCCTACCCCACCTTGGTCTCGGAGCCCGGGATACGGTGGGCTCACTGTTGTCGGCCGCTGTCCCAATTTCTCGGGCCCTTTTGACCTGCCCGCCTGCGCAAAATTCTGGCTGTGCACGCGCGGCGTGGGTGTGAGCCACGCGACGTCCGGCTTGCTGCGGACTGTGCGAACGCGCAGTACGGCTGCTTGCTCTAGTGGATGCGACGGGCTTGGGACGAATCGTTTGTGCGTAAGGAGGGTCTTGCTGGAGAACCAAGGACCACACTTCTGGTTCGAACGGGCATGTGCAGTGGCAGCGAGACTGAGAGGCGGGCTCGAGTCGACGGTCACCTTCAGACCTCCAGACCTTGACGAGCTTCCCAATCAGGCGACCGGTCCGCACACGAGACCCGCAGGCAGAGAGACGACGGTAGGCGAGCGGGCGAGAGGCAATCAAAGACACGTAATCTCCAAGACGATCGTGAACTCCGTAACGTAGCGTGCGCAAAATTAAAGAGGCCTGGCCGCTGCGGAGCTGGGTGTCCCAAAACGGCAGATATCCGGCCGAAGGTTGTCCATCAAGACCTATGGACAGCTCCACGGCTTGAGGCTCTGAGACGCGTCAAGCCAGGCGCGCTTTTAGGCGGCTTGGTGAATGCTTAACAGCGACCTCTTGCAGTTATGCAACTAAGCCGTCCAGGTGCTTGATATCCACCTTCATGCCTCCCCCAATGCTGCCATGAACAAATACTAGCGAGATCAACTTCTCTACAAGCTGTCAGGTTGTTTGTCCAAAGGATTGCCAGGATTGACGTTCTTGTCAAAGTGGCCAGGTTGTGCACTAGAGACGCGCACTTGCATACAATATCCTGCCTCACACTTGGTGGCTCGATGTTGCGGTAGAAGGCAGCTGTGTGCTGCCGGCTCCTGCCTGCCAGAGATGGACCACCACCAGGACTCGAGCAGCCCAAGTAGAGGCTTTGCAGCCAGCCCGACGATCCGCGACGAGCTGCGGCATCGACTGATGCGGCCTCCAAGAGCGCCCAGGGGTGCGCAGGCCGCTGCCCAGCTGCAGGAAACCCCGTCAGGTCCAGCTGCGAGATCAGACAGGCCCGACCTCTGGGCTCTCTTGAATGCTGCGGATGCGCGGGCGCGCGAGGCTGCGCAACGCGGCTTCCGCACTCCTCAAGGTGAGTTGGTGCTTCTTTCTGTGGGCGGACGGCCAGTTGCTCGGGTGATTATGGGATACGCTTGCACTGGGAAAGCATGCAAGCAAGCAAGCAAGACCAAACCCCTCCCATCAACGTGGCGCAACGTGCCCAGGCCGCTGCAAACAAGGTCGTTTATCGTGCACATTGCGCCCGTCATCGTCATGTCTCTGCAACGCCGACGTATAGTCTCCATCCATGATGGCATGCTTCCTCACGACCCCGGCCGTCCCCGCAGTGCTCTTCTCTTCCTTGAGACCACAGCCCCCGTCTCGATTCGAGACGACAGTCCACGCACAATCGATACTGATTCTTACTCTCAAGTGCCAAACGAGGACGATGATGGCGACCACCAAGCTGAGGAGAGCTATCTTGCCAACCTCGACACACAGCAGGAGGAAGACTATGATGTCACCCAGGAAGATGACGAGGATGGGGTAGACGATGTGGACGATGAGGGCGATACAAAGGCAACAGACGATGGCGAGCAGGAAGGCGAGGATGTAGGCGAGGATGACGAGAGTTCCTTCGACGCATCTGCAACAGGCTTGAAGGAGATCAGTAACCTGGCATGCTTCACGGTAAGCAGCTACAAGCCAGGCTGTGGAGTCAAGGAGCTTCGGAGCGACGACATGAACCAGTATTGGCAGTAAGTTATTCCGTCTCTGGCCGAAACCGCGTGCGTTTACCTGGCTCACTCTTGGGAACCCATCAGATCTGATGGACCACAACCTCACCGGCTCAATATACACTTCATCAAGAGAGTCGAGATAAGAGTGCTACGCCTCTTTCTTGACTACGAACTGGACGAGAGTTACACGCCTACCAAGATACAGATCACCGCAGGATTTGGGCCTAATCAGACGATACCTTTCTCCACACTGGAGCTTACTATGCCAAAGGGCTGGATCGATGTGCCTATTGCCGGCGCAGGAGGCGGGCCGGATGGTAATTCTCTGTGCTGCTGGTTCATTCGGATCATAATTCTCGAAAACCACCAGAACGGCAAGGACACCCATCTGCGAGGTGTCAAGGTATACGCTCTCGATGACAGTGCCGACACGGCAGAGAACAACCCCGTCGACGACATTGGCGAGGCAATTGACGAGTATCGGGAACGGATGACGCTTATGAACATTCACGACCATGATGAGGATGCTGTATCAAATCGTGATGGCGATGTCCGCAAGAGGAGAGCGGCAGCGAAAAAATACGCACCAGGTGATGGAGGCTTGAGCGTTCCCGATTTTATGCGTGAGCCAGAGATCCGCTAGAGCCACAACTCAGGGGCCTGGTCGAATAGTTGGAAGTATAATAAGTCGCCATCCATTTACAAGCAAACATTGCATCGAAGGACGTGGACGTTCATGTAGATCAAGATATTCTAGGCAGGACAAGTCGCCAAGTCTTAAGCCTATATTGCTGCCATGCCAGTTTTCTCCAATATCATTTGCGAACTGAGCAATCTTTATCTGAAGCGTCCAGGAAAAACTGGCCATTGATTGAGTGGCGGTTTGTGATCAGATGCACGGCCCGGGAGCTCACTTACATGTCATTCTGTGGTGGGGCGGGGATGACAACTTGGAGACATACAGCATGTCTCGTCCAGATTGAGACTTGTGAACTTCAACCGTCTTGACACCAACTCATGATGATGCCTGGAAAACAGGAAGGTGACGCTATGGCTGGAAGCACAGCGACATCGAAGCTCTTGCCGTTCTTCACGGCAGCACTCAAGACATTTCAGCACTCCAGCAAGACATTTGCCGTGCTGTGCTCCGTTGCAACGACCACCACCACAGCTACCGAGCTAGCACCGCCGTCCCCGCCGCATCCATCACCGCGGACTTTACTCGTGCTGGATTCCTCATTCAACCCGCCGACTGTCGCCCATCGGCGTATGGTCCTCTCCGCGCTGTCCGACGTCAAATACGCACATGATTCCTCGCGGGTCCTGCTCCTGCTCGCCACCAGCAATGCTGACAAGGCGCCCAAGCCGGCGGCGTTTCCGGAACGGTTGGCCATGATGTACATCTTTGCCGAGGACCTTCTTGCACAGTATCTGAGCAGCGAGGGCGCTTCGGGCCCGTCGCCGTCGTCACCGTCGTCGTCTAGTGGGGGCGGACTGAGCGGCGTCGACATCGCCGTCACCACGGAGCCGTATTTCCACAGCAAGAGTGCCGCAGTGCACCGGTCCGGCTTTTACCATCCCACATCCCATGCGGCGGCGGCGGCGGCGGTAGCGGATGGCAGTGAGGATGTTCCGCGTGAGGGACAACAAGCGACGGAACAAGTCTACCTCACGGGTTTCGACACGCTCATCCGCATCTTCAACAGCAAGTACTACCCGGGGCAGGCCATGTCGGATGTGCTGGATCCATTCTTTGCACACTCGAGCCTGCGCGTGACGATGCGCACCGACGCAGACTGGGGCGATGCAGCGGAACAGGAGGCATACCTGGACGAGCTGCGCGGTGGTAAATTGGACGAGATGGGCGGCAGGACAGAATGGGCAGATAAAATTGAGATGACAGCTGGCCGGAAGGAGGGCGAGGACGTGGTTAGCAGCACCAAGGTCCGCGATGCGGTCAAGAGACAAGACTGGGGGGGACTCGAGGGTTTGACGAGCCCCGGTGCTGCCAGGTGGGTGAGGGAGCAGAAGCTTTATGAAGAGTAGGCTTTCCAAATGGGCCTTCGAGGTTAAGCACGGTGCTTGTCATTGTCACTTCAGTAACAAAGCGACATTGATCTGGATTGTTGCATACAAGACTGTGTAAGACCATGTTATGAGGATAGACATTGATTGCATTGCAATTTGACGAAATAGAGGTTTGAGAATAGTCACAAATGATAATTGATACCATGCAATGCGGGATGGAAAAAACTTCAAATACGTCTCGACCCAGTCAGTCACCTGGTTACCAGACCTCGCCGAGCATAAAGTCTTGTGTTTCCAGGACTTGGTAAATACAGCCACAGACAATTCAACAAAATCAAGCACTCTCTGGGAAGGCTATCCCGCATCATCTTGCGGACCAAAATTTGTTCCTTACTGGCAGATAGCACAGCTGTCTCACTCCTTGCATATGGCCGGCGAATGCAACTAGCTGCATGTGATGGTCCAGCATAGTCGACATGCATGATGGGCTTGGGGGGCTCGGTCTTGCCGTCAGGCAGCAGTGCCTCGAGAAAATTGTGAGTTCCATGCCGTCAAAGAAGCCTGGTTTACACAGTCCATTGCGGCTGATATTGGCGAATGCGGATTGTCCAGTTCCGTGATCGGTGGATGGTAGTCTTTGCTTTTAGCCCAGTTTCTTTTTGTCTCGAGGAACACTGCCCATGTAAACCCGACTCTATGTCAAGGAATCAAGGATAACCATATTTTTTCTTGTTCAAATCAGGAAGTTCAAGTTGTTGAGAGAATGACCCTACAGTACTGTACTCTACTACGGCCTTGTCGTGATGATTTCGACACCGCAGTGCTTCATATCCCGACCTTGACTCGCGAAATTGGAGGCTGAAACAAGCTACCAGTCTGTCAACTCACATGGCCAGACTCCACAGAATCGCTGGATTCAATTTGACATAACCACTTGGGATAATACATCGTACACCAGTCAAACCGCCTGCCTGCTTGGCAGAGGAATATGAACGCAGCAATATCAAAGATGCAAACGCCGTCAAAGTCTCGAGACATGTCCCGCAACCTGACACTCGAGCCGATCCGACGGCAACGTCACACCCGGCAGTTCACGAGAAGATGCCGCTTCAGATAGATTACAGTCCCCTTATCGAGAAAGAGCCCCCTGCGTCCGTGACGCTATCGGGTGGGGGGACGACGCGCGCATCTCCCGCTCGAGAAGCGGACTTTCATTGATCCAGGCTCTCGAGGCGGGCCAGGGTCCAGGTCAACAGGAGGCGATCAGTGATCAGGATCCAAGGCTGCCCCTCTCTCTCTGTCGTGGCGATGTGAGACGAGATTGGCTCGAACGACCACGAGGGCTCCGCTTGTGGGTTGTGAGAAGCACCAGGGTTTGCGTGGTGGGAGAGCGGCTTCTGACGGGCTGGGCTGCATGCACAAGCAGGGCAGGGCAGGGCTCACAAACCCCCCGGCCCATTTTCTCAGTACCTGCTCGTCGCAAGCGCCCACACACACACACACACAGATATCGAGCAATCACAAGCGATCCACTCCAAGTGACAGGCAGGTGCAGGGCCCTGGGCTCAGGCGGGAAAGGAAAAGCTGTGTCAGTATTTCCCGCATCGAGCCATGGTTGGGCCGAGCCGAAGCCTGACTGGCAGGGAGGGAAGGCTTGGGCCTCGAAAAGTACCATGCCAAAGACCGCACAGCCTGATGGCCTGACCAACAGGAGAGCTTGTGCGCAAAGCGCAGCTCCAAGCCTGAGCTTAATTGTGCTTGTGTTTTGCATGAAGGAGGAAAAAAGCAAGCCGAACCTGCCTGTCGCGGACGGACTGCTTTTTCGCCTGGGGAAATGCAGAGCTGCAAGCAAGCCCGGGCCTGAACCTTAATGATTGAGACGTCCATGTGCGTGCTATGCTGGTGCAGGCTGGAGTCTGCAGGCACAACTTGTTCGAGAGAATCAACCTGAGAAGACAGGCCTCGAGTGCACGTGCCCCCTGGGATGTGAGACACAAAGGCAGGCCAGGACGGCAGAATGCGGCAGAGCGGATGGGTCCAACGTCATCGGCCATGTGCGGCTTTCAGAGCAAAGGGAGACGGAGAAAAGGTTCTCTGAGGTTCTACGTAGCAAGCAAGCGTGAACGGAGTACCGACAGCCCATCTCCCATGGCCGGGGGCCAGGCAGCCATTGGCTCAAGCCATCATCACTCGCCCATTCAGCCCGACGCTTCCCGCCGCCCGCCTCGGCGTCTCGATGCTCCCACGCGTGCTCAAGTGTGTGAAGTGAGGCACGACAGTCCAGCCCCTCTGGCGCACACGGTGCAGGCTCTGGCTGGAACAGCAGCAGCAGCCAGCCAGCCCTCCCTTGTCCATCTGGGAACTGAGAAAAGCAAGGCCCTGGCATGATTAGAGCGCTGGATCCTGGCCGCCTGACAAGCCAGAGGGAAGCCCATCTATCGTCTCCTTGTAGATACAGACCATCCCGATACCATTCTAGTACGTGCTTCGATGGATGAATCGTGGCTTATGCGGACAACCACACCATCCGCGCAAGCACCTGCTGAATGACTCAAAGCCATCGCCGCCTCCCTTGCCCACCGCCATCTGCCGTGGAAACAGGGAGAGACACCAGAGTCGCGAGGGAAAACCACCGCAGAATAGCCGAAGCGCACGCTCAGGCACTTGATGAGCAGCTGGGGGAAATCGAGGACGATACCTTCCCAAGGCAGCCAGGGGGGCGCGGCTGTACGTATGTCCTACCTTGAGCCAGACCCAGATACCCTGCAGCAGCACCCTTTGGCGGTGGAGTCGCCGCCGCGGGCCCCACGCCTGCCAGCCCAGCTGACTGGACGAGCCTGCGACGCAAAACGCTCCTCTGCCACTAGGGCCTCCAGGGCTCGTCTTGTCGAGGAGGAGGCGGCTGCAGCGCGCAGTGCGTGAGTGACTCGAGTCGTCAACTGGTCTCCTCCCCTCTGCTGCTGCTGCACCCGGTCCTCTGTGCACATGCAGCTGCCGTCCGTCACCTCCTCCCTTTCTCGCGAGCATCGCAGCGCAAGCGCTCGACCCAGACCAAACTGCCCAGGTGGAGCCTCAAGCCAAGCCGCCCACTCTCCACACTGCTCCGTGCCCATTCTCCGCAGCCGCACACGGTACGCATTCTGCGTGAGCAGATGCGCTTTGCAGCTCGTGTAGTGCTCTCCTCATCCACCAAGCAACTCCGGCTCCGTAGACTGTGATCCAATCTTAGAACAAGCCCAGGACCGCCCCAAACCCTTAAGCCGATCTGACCGCCTGGCGAAACGGAACCCCCAAAGCTACAACAAAGTCACGAAACCACAATCGCCGCAGCACGAACCACCGCACCCAACAGCTTTTCGTGCGCCTTGATCCTGGCGCTCCCCGATCCGAAGGACTTCGAACACCCCTCTCCGGAGCCTGTTCGAGTCCGCACCCGACCGTCTACTTGCGAGAGGTCAGTCCCCGGATTGGCCGATCGCATGTAGGCCTCCTTCGAGCAATCATGGCGACCGAAGCGACCGCCGTTGCGGCACCCGACCACTCTGAGATCCAAGTCGCCCCCGAGGGCGTCTCTGCAGCCGTTGTCAGCGTCATCAAAGATGCTGCCGCTCCTGCTGCTTCCAGCGACGGTTGTGTGCCTGACGACGGCGCCGGCGATTCACCAAAGCCCACCGGCCTGCACTCGCCCCCTGACAGCAACAACGCGATGAAGCTCGACGGCAGCGACGACTCGGAACTTAGCGACATTGACGACTCCGTCATCGAGGGTATGCACCCGCCTGTCGCGCCGGAAGCGACCCATTTGCCTTCGATTGGCGAGGAAAAGGAGACGCCCGATGCTGCAATCAAAGAAGAAGAAGAAGAAGAGGAGGATATCGGCGAGGTGGTGCCTGACCACTGGTCCGGGACCGTCCCGGTCTTCAAGCCGACCATGTTCCAGTTCAAGGACTTCACCAAGTTTGTATGTAGCTCTGTCTAGAACCGCTGGCGCGCGCGAGCAGGAGAGACAGCTAACATTGGGGACGCGCAGATGGAGAAGGTCGATTCGTACGGCATGAAGTCTGGAATCATCAAGGTTATCCCGCCGGACGAATGGCGCCAGCGACAACCGCCCTTAGACGACATCGTGAAGCAAGTCACTGTGAAGCAGCCAATCAAACAAGACATCATGGGCTCCAATGGTACCTATCGGCAGGTCAATATCCTTCACCAGCGATCATACAATCTTCCTCAGTGGCGCCAACTGTGCGACCAGAGCGAGCATCAACCACCCGCGAGGCGCGGCGAGCGGCGGCTCAACGCTGACAAACCTCGGGCGGCACCGCGGCCACGAGCTGCAGCACCTGCAAGTACCACAGAAGCCAAGGCGCCAAAGTCCGGGGGCCGACGCAGTACACGTGGGAGAGGCAAGAGCACAAACACCCAGGAGGAACCCGAGGATGCAGAGGACCGACCGATGACGCCTGTCTCGCCACAACCGGAGGACGCCATCATGGACTCTGTTGAACAGGACCCTGGGGCCGACATCGATCCTGCCGAGACAACACCGCGCGTAGGTCGTATGGGCGCTGTCAAGATGCCCAAGGAGAAGGTGCAGTCCACCTCGGCAAGAAGAAAGTTTGCACGCCGAGAGGCCTCTGCCAGGATCGATGAGGAGGCGTTCAAGGACTTCGACTACAAGATGGACATTTCCGACTACACGCCAGAGCGGTGTGAAGAGCTCGAGCGGATCTACTGGAAGACCTTGACATACGCCCAGCCTCTTTACGGCGCCGATATGCCAGGCACGCTCTTCAATGACGAGACAGAGACCTGGAACCTGGGGAAGCTACCGAACCTCCTGGATGTTCTTGGCACCAAGATTCCTGGTGTGAACACGGCATATCTGTACCTCGGCATGTGGAAGGCGACTTTCGCCTGGCATCTGGAGGACGTGGACCTCTACAGCATCAACTATCTGCACTTTGGTGCCCCGAAGCAGTGGTACAGCATCTCTCAAGGCGATGCCCGACGCTTTGAGGCTGCCATGAAGAGCATCTGGCCGACAGATGCGCAAGCCTGCGACCAGTTCTTACGCCACAAGGCCTTCCTGATCTCGCCAAACCACCTCAAACAGCACTTCAACATCAAGGTTAACAAGTGTGTGTCGTACCCCGGAGAGTTCGTCGTGACGTATCCCTATGGATACCACTCCGGCTATAACTTGGGGTATAATTGCGCCGAGGCTGTCAACTTCGCCCTCGATTCGTGGCTTCCTATGGGGAAGATTGCAAAGAGGTGTGAGTGCGCGCAAGCGCAGGACAGTGTGTGGATCGACGTCAACGAAATCGAGCGCAAGCTTCGTGGCGAGTCTACCGACTATGAGGAGACTGAGGACGAGGAAGACGAGGAAGATGAAGAGGAAGATGAGGAAGAAGAAGAGGACGGTCCTGGCTTGGTTCCCTCGAAGAGCGTCATCAAGATTCGTGTCGCAAGTCGCAAACGAAAGCGGGCTAGCGATGAGAAGGGCGAGCGCAAGAAGGTCAAGAAGATCCGCCTTCGCGTCAAGGCATCCGTGGAGCCGACGTGCTGCTTGTGCCCCCACGATATCGCTGGTGCAGAAATTCTGCCGACGGACGACGGTCGGAAGGCCCACCGTATGTGCGCCTTGTATGGGCCCGAAGTCTGGGTTGAGACTGTTGATGGCCAAGAAGTCATTGCCAATGCCGGCAACATCAGCAAGGCACGGCTCGACCTCAAGTGTCTCTACTGTCGTTCGAAGCGGGGCATCTGCTTCCAGTGCTCCCACAAAAAGTGCACCAGAGCATACCACGCAACCTGCGCAGCGGCAGCAGGCGTGCTTGTCGAGGAAGGCGAGGTACCTCTGTTTGGCGAGGATGGCACCGAGTACAAGGAGCAAGCGTTCGAGTTCACCTGCCGATTCCACCGGTCGAAGAGAGACAAGAAGACGTCTGCCGAAGCCTTGGAAGCCTGCGAGGCCACCCGTACTGCGGCGGCCTCGCTGCAGAAGGGCGAGGTCTGCCAGTTGCAGTTTTACCGCGGCGACATCTTTGCGGGCATCATCGTGGAGAACAGAGCCGACGAGGAGACGTTCTTGGTCGACGTCGTTCCCAATGGGTTAGTCCTTTGTGCACACCTTGCCGTGTTTTCTGTTTTGATCTGATTAGCTGACCCCGACCTTTACAGCGACCGTGTCGAGGTTGAGTGGAAATACCTACTCCTGCCTGATCCCGCCGACTTGCGACTACCGAAAGCCTCACCGAACGCGATCCCCATGCCCTCGTCTCGAAAAGCCAAGGAGCTCATCAATGCCAGCAAACGGGAAGAAGCGGGCTCACCGCGTGCCGACGAGGCATTTGTCGAAGGCCACACGTGGGCCGAGTTCAAGACGTATGCACCTGTCAACCGGGCACAAGCCAAGATTGATCTGTCGAAGCAGGATCAGCTCTGGCATTATCTCGGCAAGACGTCCACGGAGGCCCGCGCACAATACTCGGAGGATCCCAGGGTCGTGCGGCATAACACAAGGAGTAATTTCCTGGATACGCTGCCTCGCCCACCACCCACCGCGATCCCGCCTCCACCACGATTTACCCCTGCCCCTCATTCCATGCCCCCACAGAGCTCAAAATCTCCAGTGGCCACAAAGACTCCCAAACCGTACGCCTACAAGCCCAAGCCCGTCACTGCCGTCCCGGCACCGTTCGTCGCGCCTCAGCCTGTGTCGGCGCCCATGCCCGCCGCAGTGCCGACGGCGACGGACATGACTTTTACCGCGCAGCAGTTTGTCCCTCCTGCAGCTGTGATGCCCGCGCCCAAGGTGCCGATTGAGCTGCCTGTCGCACCGATGGCGGCACCCCCGCAGCCCTCTCAGACAAACTCGAACGCGTCGGCGCCCGTGATACCGCCGCCTCCCCATCCTTCCAAGATCAGGCCATTTGCCACCCCAAAGCTAAAGTCCAGCTCCAAACATGGACATACAAGAAACAGCCTGTCTCTGCACAGTGTGAGCAGCTCGTCCAAGATCACCAAGAGCCACTCCCGGATGCGCAACTACTCCTTCTCCTTTGGATCCTCCTTTGGCAACAAGACCAGCGCGAAGACGTCACCCTTCAGCCTTGGCTTTATGCAACCCCAGGGCCTCGGTGCCTCGCCGTCGCCTCAAAATGGCTCACTTTTCCAGGCCCAGGCCCGAGCACGGTCAAACTCGACCGTGTCAACAAAGTCCTTTACAGTCCCCATGACGTCTGCCGCCATCAGGCCTTCCTCGTCAGCCTCCAATCAGAGCTCTTTGATGCACACACAGGCACCGCCCACACCCGTCGCGACCTCGAACTCCCACTCTGTTGTTGTGAAGTACGCCTTCTTCCAACTGAACCACAACAAGTAAGTCTCCCTTCTGTTTTGAAATCTTGCCGTGAGCCACACTAACAAAGTCAGGGATTCGAGCAAGTACCGTACACCATACGCACCATGGGGCGGTTTCACCAACGGCTATGAGGGAAACCTCAGAGCACATCTCATGAAGACTCCTGATGCCTTGTTCAGCGCAAAGAAGGACTCGTCAGCCAGGCCGGGGACTGCCATGTCAGCTCCGGTCAGTGCTAATCTTTCCCCGTTCACACCAGGGACGCCGTCAAGAAAGGCCAAGGCCAAGCAGGGCTTCCACCCCAACCTATCTCAGCCATCGGTCTTTGGCTCGTGGGATTCTGGCGACTTCTCTGTGATATCACAGGATTCTCTCGAGCTTTCAAGCAAGCCATGGGGCCACCGACCGAATGGCGGTATGCCTCAAGTCCAGCGCTCAAACGTTGCACCTCGAAAGGCTAGATTGTCTCAATCTGCGCCGAGCAGCTCACCCATGGCTACCGTCAACACCCACTCACGCTCAAAGTCAACTCAGGTACCGCTCTCAAACGTGTTCAACAATTCCAAGCAAACATATGTGCCTCCGCCACGTCCTTGGGAATCGCTCAAGCAGCCTGTGCCTTCATCGGCGTCGATTCCCATGAACCAATTTCATGGAATGACGAATGGGTTCTCTGCCCCGTCGCCATACTCGACGTTGGCGGCCAACTCGCCACACTCTGCCATGACGAACCCTTTCAACCCGATGATGTTTGGGCCAAGCCCATTCGTTCACAACGGACCATCCCCGACGCTGCCTGTCATGGGCTCGGCCATGGAGGGCAGTCCTTTCGGCAACGATGCGGACGTCTTTTTAGGCGAGTCTGGCTTGGAAGATGTGTCTGAACCGAGCGATATGACTGGGTCGTTCTGGCCAAAGTTCGAACAGTCTACCCCGTCCAGTAACACCAACCATCTCGGTCACGACAGCTTTCCCTCTAGCAGCATGTTTGGGCACGATCACTTCCCGTCCCCTCCGTGGAATCCATACTGAATGGGTCCATGGCTGTGCAAGAAGGCGTGGACGTTGATTATATGGCTAGTCATACCCTGAACATACTTTTTTCTTATGTGGCCAGAATGGCTACAAGTGCTTACCGATATAGCAGCAACGACTGCACGGCGTTAACCGAGGTTAGGCTCAAAGGGTAAACAAAAGCATTGGTTTTCATCTCCTGCTCGCAAAGCGCCAACTGGACGAGCGCGAGTCCTCACAAGTCACGGATATCACGGCGTAATGAAAGCAAGCTCATTTTCAAACTTTTTTTCTGGCGGGGGTTTATTCTTTTTATTTTGGTTCCTTTCCCATTATCGGGGCAGGAAGAAGGGCGTTCAGGAGCTGCAAAGCATGGCAAGCAGCATATCGGGTGCAAGCGAAACCCAAACCAGAGTTCATGTATTTGAGAATGGTGCGTCCAGGAAAGGATTGCTCAAGTAGGGGGGAGATCATGTGTAGACAACGGGCAGGGATGGAAACAATAACGGTATGGAACCGCGATGTATACCTGGGCGATGCCCGGTACCACCACAAATGTAGCTAGACAAAGAAAGAAAAACCATCACAAAGCACAGATCTTGGCAACCTCGCCTGCCTTGGACAACATTGATTCGGATTGTGTTTGCTCACAACACCGAGGCGGAAACGCCAGGTTTCACAAGTCGGAAACTGAACCTTATCTCTAAAGGCAAACTCGTACTGTTTATTCGGCAGGCTGGCCTGTCAAGTCAGATGAGCTCTGCCCGAATTAGCATAGTGCTCGTTCTTGATTGTCACCAAGTTCAATCTCTAGGCACGTTGGGGCAGCTGTGTTCGTTGATTACGTAATGAGATGGCCCAAACCTTGCTTATCGCTTATCTACAACTGGCGGGGCCCGAAAAAAAGTTCCGTCACCCGGTGAAGTCGCCGTCTGTTTATCGAGTTGGTGCAGGCAGCAAGGGTCTTGAATTCTTGGAGTAGATCGGTTTTGCTAGTTGTACGCTGTGATTCGCGCAGCACGCCAGGCAGACATTATCCAAACGCGGCAAACCACTTCTGCTTCTCGCCTTTGAAAGTTTGTCCTGTTTGTCTGAACATCGCCATGGGCAGGAGCGACGAGAACGGCCGCAAGGCAGAGAAGAAGCGCCAGAGCAGCACCGAGGAGGATTCGCCAGTGAAGCGCATGAAGACCGAGGACGAGGAGGACCAAAAGGATACCAAGTACAACCCATACCTCGCCCACATGGAGGACAATAAGGAGTCTACAAACGGCGCCTACCACGCCCTCGTCCCAGGCTCCGCGTTCCACAGCTTCAAGCGCCGCCAGACGACCGCGAAGCAGGCCTCCGCCGCCGAGGAGGGCGACAACAACCCGTTTACGGGCAATCCGCATTCGCAGCAATACTTTGGCATTCTCAAGACCCGGCGCAACCTGCCTGTTCACAAGCAAAGGTTTGTTGTCTCCGTGAGCTGCGATCCTTCCTCTAGTGGACAATCATGCTGACCTCACCACTTTGTTTTGTTTCACAGGCAAGAGTTCCTCGACGCATACCAGAGCACGCAGATCCTCGTCTTCGTCGGTGAGACTGGTTCCGGAAAGACGACACAGATCCCTCAATATGTCCTCTACGATGAGCTGCCGCAGCTCAACAAGAAGCTCATCGCGTGTACGCAGCCGAGACGAGTCGCTGCCATGTCCGTGGCACAGCGTGTGGCCGACGAACTGGACGTCACTCTGGGCGAGGAGGTCGGCTACAGCATCAGATTCGAGGACAAGACGGGCCCCAAGACGGTGCTCAAGTACATGACTGATGGTATGCTGCTGCGCGAGGCCATGCACGACCACGAAATGTCGCGGTACAGCTGCATTATTCTCGACGAGGCTCACGAGCGCACCCTCGCGACTGATATCCTCATGGCGTTGCTCAAGCAGATCGCCAAGCGCCGTCCAGACCTCAAGATCATCGTCATGTCCGCCACGCTGGATGCGCAAAAGTTCCAGCGGTACTTCTACGACGCGCCGCTCCTCGCCGTGCCTGGTCGTACGCACCCGGTCGAAATCTACTACACACCCGAGCCGGAGAAGGACTACGTCGAGGCCGCGATCCGGACTGTTCTCCAGATACACGCTTCAGAACCCGAGGGCGATATCCTGCTGTTCTTGACCGGAGAGGAGGAGATCGAGGATACGTGTCGCAAGATCTCGTATGAGGTCGACGAGCTGATCCGAGAGACAGACTGCGGGCCTATGAGGGTATGCCCGCTCTACGGTACGCTGCCACCGCACCAGCAGCAGAAGATTTTCGACCCTGCGCCCGCGCCACTGAAGAAGGGCGGACGGCCTGGCCGCAAGTGCATCATCTCGACGAATATTGCCGAGACGTCACTTACCATTGATGGTATCGTCTACGTCGTGGACCCTGGCTTCAGCAAACAGAAGATCTACAACCCGCGGATCAGAGTCGAGTCGCTTCTGGTCTCACCAATCTCGAAAGCCTCGGCCCAGCAGCGTGCTGGTCGTGCTGGTCGTACGAAGCCCGGAAAGTGTTTCCGCCTGTACACCGAGAAGGCGTTCAAGGAGGAGCTTATCGAGCAGACCTATCCCGAGATTCTGCGTTCGAATCTGTCAAACACCGTCCTCGAGCTCAAGAAGCTGGGTGTTGAGGACTTGGTACATTTCGACCTGATGGACCCGCCGGCTCCTGAGACCATGATGCGAGCTCTGGAGGAGCTCAACTACCTCGCGTGTCTCGATGATGAGGGAGAGCTCACCCAGCTCGGCGGTCTGGCTTCCGAGTTCCCGCTCGACCCAGCTCTTGCAGTCATGTTGATTTCGAGCCCAGAATTCTACTGCTCAAACGAGATGCTCTCCATCACGGCCCTTCTCTCAGTGCCACAGATCTTTGTCCGGCCTGCGAACAAGCGCCGTGAGGCTGACGAGATGAAGAACATGTTCAAACACCCTGAGGGCGATCATCTGACGATGCTCAATGTATACCACGCGTTCAAGGGCGAGGCTGAGCGCGGCGAGGACACGAAGCGCTGGTGCCACGAGCACTACCTGTCCCATCGGCATCTTTCGAGTGCGGACAACGTCCGCGCCCAGCTCAAGCGTATCATGGAGACACAGGGTCTCGAGCTCTGCAGCACGCCCTTCCACGACAAGAACTACTACACAAACATTCGCCGCGCCCTGGTGGCAGGCTTCTTCATGCAGGTTGCCAAGCGGGAGAATAACAAGATCTACCGGACCATGAAGGACAACAACCAGGCCGTTATGCTGCACCCCAGTTCTGTTTTGACGACAGACTACGAGTGGGTGCTGTACAATGAGTTCGTCCTCACGACGAAGCAATACGTCCGGACAGTCACTGGCATCAAACCGGAGTGGCTCTTGGTAAGTTTTGGCGCCTCACATACTCTTCCTCCTCCTGCTCCCGATGTCGCTGTCTCGATGTCCGATGGTCGGCCTGTACTAACCAATGATATTTTCAGGAAATTGCTCCTGGCTACTATGACATCGACTCGTGGGACGGCCAGCCTGACGTCAAGCAGGCGCTCAAGTCAGTCGCCGACAAGATGCGTCGCCGCGCAGCCATGAAGGCTCGACCATGAGCTGGACATTGGAGGGTTCGGATTTTTGAATCTCGCACCCACAAAATCCGCAGGCATTGTTCTGCCGCAGGATACTCACGCATGTCGACCTTTCTGAGACCAACCACGATCACATGCAGAGATTCTCGCTTGCGGAAAGCATTCCGCTTGGCTGGACGCATGGCCAGTGTCACGCATTGTCTTGAAAGTCTGGAGCAGCATCAAGTTTGCGAGCGTGCCATGAGATGCTCCACTCGCCAGCCGAAGCGAGGGAGGGCTGACCTCATGCATTGGTGAAGGATGGCACCCATCGGGAGCGCAGCGGAGTGGCGGCGGAGTGGCGCTTCCCGGCGGCAAAGGAGGACATCCAAGAATAGGTAAATGTAGAGCGGGCGGTATGTGGCGAACGGCAAGGATGGTGGGTAGACACAGCCAGAAGGAAGAGACCGAGGTCAATGACACATCTATCTCAAGTTTTCGTGATACGCATGCATCGGGGGCTTTCTTGATCTGCACAAACGCATGCCAGAAGCGTTGTGCAACACTGGACTCACGTCAGAGCCGACGGTCTGCTTGCCAAGGTACGTACACATGCACTAATCAAGGTACCCGTGGACGCCAGCTAGTGACCGTCCCACCTCGCGAATCTTCAGCGCCTCCACGCGTGGTTCGGCAGCTTGGTCGAAGCCTATTTTCCGGGTGGCTCCCTTTCCTCGGAACTTGCCGAACCTCACCTGCAAGGACCCCCGGGCTTTGGGGTATGGAGATTCCCGTGATCTCACCGGTGGCGGCAGTAGCCGGCATATCGAAGCGCCTCGTGTGCAAACACAGGAACGTTCCTGGCGGGGAGTTTTGTTTATTTGTTCCGAGGCGGCAGCACCCGCGGACCGATTCTTGGAGGCGCCTTTTCGCACTGACACCTTTTGATAACAGCACTGCCCAACCTGAGCAGACCCTAGCTCGCACCTGCCGTTGCCTCTCGCATACCTGATCTTGGCCGGCTTCGGGAACATGGTCTTTACCTAGCGACACGTAACGAACGCTGTGCGGCGCTGATTAAGAGAAGGACTAGGGCCTGGGGCGCGATGATTACAGATCGGTCTGATCAAGCGCATGGTGATGCAGATCTGGGCGCCCAAGTTCACCACTTGGGGACGGCGTTTGGCACCCGGGGCGTGGCGTGACACTTTCGCCTGCATTGACGGGCACACCCCATCAGCCCACCAGCCGATCAGCCGACCTAGCGGCGTCCGAAGGCGGGATCCGGGTCGAAGTTGGCTGCATGGGCAGCATAGGTAATGCAGCAGGTCGGACCACGGGCGCGGTACCCCCTCGAAAGCGGCGGCGGCTCCTAGTATGTAGGCCGGCCGGACCATCTGCGCCGAGCCCCAGGGGATAATATGTGTGCAACAACCACGTCGTTTGTGGGTGGCATGTGAGTCTTGAAGTTCCGTCACTTCCATGGGGCTCTGCGTGACACAACTAAGCATACACTACATATTCGCCCCCCCCTGCCGAGCGATGGTGATGCAGAGAGGGAACAAGGGAAGATTGGAGCCAGAAACAGGCTCGGCAGGCAGTCCAACAGGCTATAGGCACGCGGTGATATGGCTGCAAGGCGGCGGCCTTTGGGCAGGTGAGAAGCATGCAGAGACTTCTGAAATAGGCTCGACGGGCACTGGGGCCACGCTTCCCCGGTGGCGGACGTTGCAGCGGCCTGCAGGACGAGACGGCACCGACAAGGCTGGTCTGGCGAGCTGGGGACGAGAACGAGCAAGCTGCTCGCTCTCCAAAGGGCCGTCCTGCATAAGCGTGTCTGGGCCTGCAGTGCTATATGCAGCCTGTGACTTAAGGTCAGCAATGCTGTGCAGGCGGCTGCATGGCGCGCGAGAGCGGGCGGACGGCGTGGTTGTCGTGTCGAAGCAGAGCCCGTGCCGTGATGGAATGGGACGACACGACATGCGTTGCCAGGCTGGCATGGCTCGGGACCGGTTCACCCTCACAGTGTTGTTCCCAGGCTGTTGTTGGTGGCCCGACGGACGGCAAGCTGGCCTGGTCGTCGTCGGCCGCACACACACACACACACCATAATCAAGTGCTACTCACAAAGTTCCAAAGGGTACGTATTTGACGAGCATGACCAACAGACGAGACGACTTGCTTCCTGCTGGTTTCAAGGTGCCCCATCCAGTGCCAGCCCCCAGGAGTCATGCCATGCCTGCCTGCCTGCCTGCCTGCCTGCCTGCCTGCCGCATCATTCCTTTGACAGCTGCAGGGCAAGTGCGTCGACCGGATCGTGGCCTGCCTCGACTCGTCGTCCCCCTCCTGCTCCCCATGTCGCCCAGAGCATGCATTGCAGCGCAGCTCGTCTTTCCGACGCCGCCCGTGTCAAACCTCCTGGCCCGTGGCTGACTCCGTTCAACCCCCTGCCCCCCTCTTTTTTCCAATATTACATCGTGGCCTCCACGTCCAGACATCGTACTTCACACGAGCTCGACCTGCGCGCCCCCGGGATCGCTCCCATTCGGTGCAGCCACCTCGCCCGCCGCCGCCCGCATTTTGCACTGCCGCCTTCAGCAGTGCAGGCCTTGAGCAGCCTATGATATCCCTTGTGCGTGGCCAGCCCTACATTCTGGGCCGTCCAACAGCACCACCACCAGGCCCTCAATGCCGCCCAGACGGTGACACATTGCGGCTTGCGCCAGGGTCTCTGTCGGCCCGCTCGTGGCGCGACACTCTGGGCTCATCGTGAACCTATTATCGAGTCTTGCACGACCCTTGCTTGCCGCCCGCGCCGATAGCCAACCTGTGGCCTTCAGCAGTCCGCCGCCATTCCCGGATACTCGACACCATCTCTCCAAGCCGGGACGATGGACGCTCCAGCCAAGCGGCATGATCGGCTAGTGTACAGTGCCACCGTCCAAGCAGGATGGGCCTCGCCCGAGCCCCCTTTTTGGTCAAATAACCATGGACACCGGGCCAATCCCCGGATGGTCGAGAGTCATCGAGATGTGGTCTGAGGATTGTCCTGGAGGGCGCATGTGGCGAGTCTGCAACGCGTGCAAGGATCAGCTGCTTCGAGGCGGAACTTCCCAATTTCTCAGTTCACACTAGTAAAGTTGTGACAAACGAGCGTCTTCCTTCATATCGACATTTCCAAGGGACCGTTTCGTCAGATCTCGTGCACTCACTAAACAAGGAAGCCGCATCTTGTGCTCGCCCGAGTTGCAGAGGGCCGTCATGTGGGCGTGCGGCTTGCAACTTTGGCTCAGCTGCCAGTCTCGTGTTCACGGGCCACCCAAGACAAGATTGGCCATTGCAACCTCATTGATCGACTTGATACAACGGCTCTGGCTTATCAGCACTCACGGCGCGAGCATCAAGTCGCGAAAGGGATGTCTGTGGAAACGTATGCTCATTATACAAATTACACAAAAGTGCCGACCTGGAGTATATCATATTCGCCCATTAGTTCCTCCAAGAATTAAGCTGCGATGGTGCAGCAAGCAAAATGTCCAGTACTCAGATTCTCGTCTTTGGTGTCGGGACGTCTGGCATGGTCCTGACCACTTCTACGCCTATGTGCTGTCCGGCTGTTTGTGGGAGCGCTTTGCGGCAGAGAACCCGGTCGTTCGACGCCTCGCCATGGTGGACGATTTCCATCAGAGTGTAGTTGATTGCTCCACCATGCATCCGAGGCGCACATATGTCCCTTGACAGCCGCCACAAGTCGAGCGCCATCGGTGACTGCTCGTTTTCGCGACCTTCAGCCTGCTCAGATGGTCAGTGAATGCGCGCAGAACCCGCTGTCCAACCGAAGGAGTCACGAACACAGCATCTTGCACAAGGGGAACCGTTCACGTAGACCCAATTTTCGCAGTTGAGACTCCACCAGTACTTGCAGTGGTACTTGTAGTAGCCGCCACTCATCTTGAAGCAGGAAAGCTGTACCAGGTCCGTATGTCGGGCGTTTTGTGGGCGAAGACCGAAATCAGTGGAGGGGGATGGGCAAAGTCGACCAGGCCTCTCTAGGTAGGGCTTCGGATTCCTGACTTTATTGTTCTTATTGTTGTTCGTCTTCCGACTTCATAAGCAATGGCGGTGTGTTGCTGGAGGTCATTCACGTCGAAATGGGCACTGTCACAGAGGAGTTGGTGTGAGGCCATTCGACGTATTTATATTCAAAGGGCACTTGGGACGGTGCCTCACAAGAAAGCCAGCCAACTGGAAGAATAAGGATGTCAACTTCTTGCTCCGACGAATGCACCCTTCCCAATTCAGCAGCCAGCATACAGCACCCTGGTCCTGGCAGCACATCCACGGCAGCTTGTGGCGTGCATGCCGGCCCTCCACTGTTCATGTGGTATTGCTCATGTCAGCCGCCGAAAGTCTCTCGGATCAAACCATTCATGTCACGCTACACAAGCAACCTGTTTCGGGGCGAAAAGAACCCCTGCTACCAAACGAATTGCTCCTCGAATTGGTTGCTGCGCGGGTCCCACCGAATTTCTCGAAGCGGACAGTCTGCCAAGCGACAAATCCTATCAGGTCCGAGCCAGTCTGTGCAATAACTGGTTTTATATGAGATGAGTCTGGCCATGACGAGTACCGCAGGCTGGAGCAGGAAAGCATTGTGCAGGAATGTTATACAGCTGGTCTCGTGGTCCGCATCTTTGTAAAGGCATGGCGGCGGCCTGGAGCAATTCTTCGACCCGCAGAGGCGGCCCCATCACACAACCTGGCCTACCACAAGGGCCAGCTTCTCGGTCTTGGCAGACTGAGTGTACAACTTACTTACATCATGCTGCTTCAATTTTCCCTAGCAGACGGCTGACGACAATAGTCAGGACATTCGAGCAAAGCTCAATGTCGTCGGCTGGTTGTCATTGCGCTGCTTGAGAACTTGACGAGCCCAGATACAGAAGGGTGGAAAAGTGCTTTCCCGATTGTGTCTAACTTATTCAGCGAAGGACAACAAGGGTCCATGCACGACCAAGGTTACTGCCGTTGAAAGACAGCAGAGGAGCATGTTACAACCGATGTGGGTGACGTGCCTGGCTTTGCGTCCTATGGCATATGTAGCCCCACGTAAGATCGAGCTCAGAGACATGTCAATGCTGGAGTCTTTCGGGAGTTTTCCCGCTTCTCAATGGTGCTTTCGGAGCCTGTGGGACCCATCAAGAAGGACTTGAGCAGGCATGATCCTTGCTAGCAGCATGACTGGGCTTGTTCCCGTGCCTGGAAGGCCAAGCCGGCAACAGGATGCTACGTAGGTGCTTTGCGGACGAGGCGGGGAAAACGCATTTCAGCGCCCGGCGATCACGTACCTTTGGACTCTGAGATTGGGCTATAGACTTTGCCCACGCAGCAGCATAACTGTTGACTGGCCGTGGGTCTGGTGGAATACGAAGCCCAAGTATGGGGCAACACGTGGCTGCCGACTTCTGTTTGGCTGGAATCTTTTCCTGGACCCCTGACAGGCATATCCGGACCGCCAAATCTTCACCAATGACTACCCCCTACGCTGCTCTGCGACGACAACGACGACGACGATGACGACGTCGATGTCGATGACGATGACCGCGATGCCGCGCTATCTCAGCATCAAGCGGAGGAGATGATGTGTGGGAAGAAGCCGTCTCGGCACCCGCAGCAACGGCAAAGGCTGACTGTTAGATATCCCCAAGGCATCGGAATGCGCCACGTTTGGTGTTTCGGAACACGTTCCTGGTCGTTGGAGTCGAAAAGCCACCACACACCTTGGTCGGATTTGAGGGATCGACAAGTCACTATGTGCACCAGCAGGAGCACGAGCGCCATGGGGACTGCTCGGATATCAGTGCCCATCGGAGGGGCAGCTGACCTCGACCCATTGGCAGTGACGTTAAAAGCTACCCCTTGCTGGTCTCTCTGCCGGCTGGCTACCAGTGGATACTCCAACGGGGATGCTCTACTTATCCAAGGTGGTAGCAGGCAAGATGATGACCCTGAAAAAGTAACAGACGGGATGTGGGCGACATCCGCAGTCGACACACACAACGAGCAGCAGGATTGTTGCACATCATGGCCTGAGGCGTGAACCGGAAGCTGCAGACCGTTGATGGCCATCAATCATCCCACAGCCGTACGAAAGGCCCGGAGTTCAGGGGAGCCTCGAGCCTTGGAGCACATGGGCGCAAGGACGACCAGGGGTCATTGTCAGCTCACCATGTTGCCGGCAAGTGGAATCCGCCAGTGGTTGGACACTGCGCTGGATTTCGGAGACGCCTCCGGCACACACGTCGACAATGACAATACGTGAATGGGCACTGGGCTCGCTGCTCTGGCATGTGGAGGCTGCTTGGGAAGTGACAGACAGGCAGGCAGGCCGCCCAATACTCGCCATCAGGGTTCGCTGACGCTTGTTGTTGTAGGCCTGTCGTTGCGAAGCCCATGGCATGGCGATGCTGCACGGGATCGGCTTCAAAGGGCAACAATCAGCCGCAGTCTCGAACCGCCTCCCCACTGCTCCTCAGCCTGTCCTGCTGGGCTTGTGGCGACGAGACACATCACATCAGAACTTGGTCGTGGCCGTTGCCGGGTCTGGCTTCCTGTCTTGGCTACCTTTCCCTTCCTGCCTGCCCGCCCATGAGTGAATCCCGAACTCACACCCGGCCCGTCGTTTGCTTTATTTGGCCGCGTGCATGCATTTCACATATCCATGCCTGATTCTCACAGGCAGGACACCCTGGCCCGCGCGACACTGCCAACCGTTGCCCAATGCCTGAAACCGGCAACGCCATCGCCTGCAACGGCCGCCCAGGCTCGTCACCCACCATCGCTCCTCGGCACGCCTCTCTGCGACTGGCAGCGCGCTGCGTTCCAACTCAGCCGTGTCGTCCTCTACCGTCTCACGCTCAGGTCACTCGGATCCGTCCGTCCCTGAGACCAAACGCACCGTGGTAGTAAGTAGTAAGGTCTCTCTGGTTCCTCCACTTTCCACGAGCTAACTCCTCACGTCAAACCCAGCAGCGTAGACAGCAGCTGTCTCGAGGCCGCCGCAAGGCAAACCACGTTGGAACCTGCTGGCAGGCATGCCACCGTCTTTCGATGCCTTGGTGTTTTTCCCCCGGTGGGAGCTGGATCTCGCTTGTCGGCTTTCCTGGTGCCGCACCGCAAATAACACTACACCAGGCCTCCCGAGAGTGTGATGATGACCAACATGCATGACGTGCAGGATCTCGAACTGCCAAGACTGCAAAATTAATAATGTGATGAAAGGATGGATGGATGGGCGGTCTTGTTATCCTTGCACCTCGCTTGTACTGTGGAGTTGTGGCACCTGTGGGCCATGTCATCATCCAGGTCAGGTAGGGAGACGCCCCGAGCATGCCGTCTAGGTCGCCGGTCCGGCCCGTGGAAAAGAGCGGCCGCCATCATTTTTGGAGCCAATAGCCAAGACTTGCGCGCCTCAGGGTCACCTTGCGTGCGTGGGATCGCTGACGACGGCGGCGGTTGACCAAAGCAGACAGCAACGACGTCTTTGGTCACACATCATTGCGCTGCCAGTGGGGGACTCCACGCCAATCCTACCTCATAACAGCCCAAGCAAGCGAGCGAGCAACGGGAGCACCGGCATAGTCAGCAGAGTCCTGCCCAGAGATAGTGTAGGATTGGGTGCGAGTTACCTGCTGTGCAACACCGTCTTGACTCGTACAGAGATAGAGAGGCCTGTCAGGTTGACACACTGAGCTCGACCCTGGCAATGATTGCATGCTATCTGCCGAGCGACCCCATCGGCACTCACGGACGAGCCCATTATCAACCTGGGCCGCATTCTCACTCATGTTACACACGTACTTAATGTACGCACACACGCACACACACGCGTCCGCGCCTACTCGCCCTTTGCAGCAATACTTTCGGAGGAACAAGGCTTTCCGACCGTTGGAGGGGAGATCCTCTTCCAGTGTTCCAAGGGGAAAAACGTGCTTTGTTGAAACCCCCCACGGAAGATAACGCTCTGACAGGGCGGCGGATAGTCACGAGGTCTTGAAAACCCACGACATCTCAAAGACGTATCCACACAACAAGCGAGTCTCCTCTGCAAACAGTCCCGGCCAAGCCTGGCCTATTACACGAGTGGTCACAATTCGAGTCAGCTTCGGGTCAGCAACATGCGGAACACCAAGACAAGAATAGATCATGCCCACACGTGCGCACGCATATATATGTGTGTCAAATATACATGTAATAGTTGACGGAGTGCGAAGACATCCTGCTTACTTGCAGCAGAAATTTGTGCACATTCGCCGTGCTGCCCTAGTCATATTTGTGTGTTCATTTTGTACAATAGAGAACAAAGAGAAGGTGACCCATGCAGTGTAAAAACGGGACGGTAGGAAAAGTCGCTGTGGGACCTCCTCATTCGTTCCCTTCCTCTACCTTTGCGGCTTTTCTGGGTAAACGTAGAGAGAGAGAGAGAGAGAGAGAGAAGAAAAAGACTTAAATTGACTCAATTCTTACACTCCTCATTCGTCATCGCCCCTGAGTGTCCGTGTCGCCGGCGGAGGAGCAGGCGGAGGAGCGGTGGGCGGTTCACTCCCCGTGTCTGAAGGTGGCGTCGGAGGAGCTGGAAAGTCCCCAGGCGCCGGAAGTTTCGCCGGCAGGGGCACCGTCATAGGGCCACGCGGCGCTGCTATCCTGCCCTCGAGCTTCTCGCCGCGGATGACCTTCTCGACCTCCTCCCTGCTGAGCGTCTCGTACTCGACCAGGGCCTTGGCGAGCAGGTCGAGCTCGTTGCGGTGGTCCGTGAGGAGCTTCCGCGCGCGCTCGTACGCCTCGTCGACCGTCCGCTGGACCTCGGCCTCTATTATCGCTCGGGTCTCGCTGCTCAGGGTGTCGTAGCGCGTCGCATACTCCATGTTGCCCAGCCGCGGGGACATGCCTAGCCTGGCAATCATGGTGAACGCCGTGGATGTGGCGCTCTTAAGATCCTACAAGAGTCAAACGGGGGGTTAGTGGGATGGTTCTGGGCACCCTGTAAAACGGCACAAAGTGTATGAAAAAACGTACGGATGAAGCACCGCCAGTGACCTTGCTGGTGCCGTACACAATCTCCTCGGCGAGCTTGCCGCCTAGGGACATGTCAATCATGGCGAGGTAGTTCTGGACAGTGTACGAGTACTTGTCCATCTCTGGCAAGTAAGCCGTGTGACCCAGAGAGGGGCCGCGAGGCAAGACAGTGACTTTGTAGAGGGTGTTGGCGCCGCCCTTGGTGAGCAGGTTGACCAGGGCATGACCGGCCTCGTGGTACGCAGTCATCTCTTTTTCCTCGGGCGTGATGACCATGGTCTTGCGCTCGGCTCCCATGATGACCTTGTCCTTGGCCCAGTCGAAGTCGGCCTTGGAGACAGAGGTGGCCTTGGCCTTGCTAGCATGGACAGCAGCCTGGTTCACAATGTTCTCCAGCTCGGCACCAGACAGGCCAGAAGTGGTTTGCGCAATGGCAGTGAGGTCGACGTCGGTGGCGGCCTTGATCTTGCGGGTGTGGTGCTTGAGAATGGCGAGGCGGCCGCGGACATCAGGGAGCTCAACGCGGACGTGGCGGTCGAAGCGGCCGGGACGAGTCAGAGCCTTGTCGAGCGATTCGGGGAAGTTGGTGGCGCCAATGATGATGACATTGCTGTTCTGGTCGAAACCGTCAAGCTCAGTCAGGAGCTGGTTGAGCGTCTGGCGGACGTAAGAGGCATCGCGGGACTGGCGGCGGCTGCCAATGGCGTCGAGCTCGTCGATGAAGACGATGGCGGGAGACTTTGCCTTTGCGGCAGCAAACAGATCACGGACACGCTTGGCACCCACACCGACGTAGACCTCGTCGAATTCGCTGCCAGACATGTAGAAGAAAGGTACACCAGCTTCGCCAGCAACGGCGCGAGCCAACAATGTCTTACCGGTTCCCGGGGGGCCAACAAGGAGGATACCCTTTGGGAGCTTTCCACCGAGCTGTGAGAACCTTTCCGGGTTACGCAGAAACTCGACCATCTCTTGCAGCTCCTCCTTGGCCTCGTCGGCGCCGTGGACATCAGTGAAGCGTGCCTTTTGCTGCTCGGCCTTGACCTCGGTGTCGCTCTTGGACGCGCCGGGGCCGCCAGGGCGCTTGATGACGCTCATGGCTTCGATGAGCATAGTGAGGACGATGAGACTGAGGTAGGTGAAGAGGCCGAACCAGAGCAGGAACTTGACCCATCTGAAGATGGTGCCACCGATGGTCTCGTCCACCACGACGTGGAGCGGGCCATCCTTTGTGCCGGTGCCCGTGTTGTTCTTGGAGACGGCGAGGGTGGTACCGCGCGAGCGGGCGGCCAGAGCCTGCGTGACGGCCTGAATCTGAGTCGGCGAGTAGTTACCAGGGATGTTGGCGGCCGCATCGTTGATCGCATTGCTGTCGACGCCGTCCTTGGGAGAGACCATGATCAGGGCCTTGTGGTAGGCGTCGGTTGCGGCGGCGTTGGTGGCGAAGCGGCCGGAAGCGTAGCGTTCGACGATGATGGCAGGCATGTTGGCGCGGAGCAGGGCTTGGTAGAAGGCATTCTGGGCGGTGGCGCTGTTGGGATTGCGATTGGCAGCTTCTTCCATGTGGGCGAGGAGATTCCTAGACGTGCCTCCAGTATTGAAGGCTCGCCATTGTCGGAGCTGAGAGTGGAAATGCGAGGCTTGGAATGGTCGAAGAGTGGACGAGGAGGAGAACGATCGCGCGAGGGACAGGTTGCCAAAGGTGAGGTTGTGCGCGGCCGGGGCGGCAGAGAGCAGCTGGCTCCGGTGCGCGCGGGAGAAGGCCGTTCGGATGTCAAAGGCGGCCGTCCTGCCCGATGCAGCAATGGAGCGCGCCGGCAAAGTGAGGGTGTTGACGATGCCCGTGAGGGCCGGTGTTCGGCACGCCATGGCAGCGATTCGGACGAAGCAGCTACCGCAGGCCTCCGCGGAGGTGCAGAACGAGAGGAAGGACTGCGCGCTATCTGAGGTCGGCGCTGCCGAAAGATTGTCGAAGTCTTCGAGGTGTCGAGCAAGTCGAGACGACGGACCGTGATATGGCGATGGCCAGGTGTGAATGTTCGAGATGTGCCGATGCCGATGCGCCAGAAATATACAGGGATCAGATGATCAGGGACGCTGGGCCGGCAGCTGGGTTGGTACGTGGCCAGGCACGCGCGGCAGCCAGAGTGATGGGCCGCAGTGATGTCGATTATGTCGATGCCGGAAAGGTGATGCGGGTAATTAGCACCTCGCCTGGTCAACCACCACTGGCAGTCAGTCAAGAGGGTTGGTTTGTCGTGCCGGGCGGGATGGGCGGACGGGGACGGGGACGACGGGGGTTGGTGGCGTAGGCGGCGACGACGGACGGGTCCAGGCGGCGGTGGAATGACATGGACCCGAGCGTAGGCCCTGCTGCCCCAACATTCCAGGCGCTTCCCCCACCTCACGACGCCATCTGTGGCTGAGGACCCTGCAAGCACTATCTGGTGTACTTGAAACCGCTGCGGATATCGGCACCAGCCAAAAGTCTCCATGTTAGCACATCCTACAGCCGGCACGTTCTGGCAAACATCGTGGGTGGAGGACCAAACCTGGGACAAACATGTAAGTACGCTTACTTCAAGGAGCCATCTCTTTACGGGCAACAGGTCAACAATGAAATCACTCGTCCTTTTTATCGCTGCAGCCAAATAAAGATTGGCCTCATTTGGTTCGCGTTGCAAGCACACATATGTGCATTCGTATTTGCCAGTCGGCGCTTCAGTTCCTTCTGCCCTTGTGATTCCTGCTTCTGACGCGCACCGTTTTATCTGCCGTGCAAGGGCATTTTCCTCCATTTTATCTCCCGTCGCGCGCGTGTTTCTATTATGCTCGCCTTGCAGTCATACAAGCTGAAAATCCGTCTCAGCAGCTTCATACCTGCTTCATTCAAAATCCTGCTGTTATAGCCGTACGAGCTCACGCTGTCGCCTCGCCGTCGCCCTTGGTGAGCCCGCGGCGAATCGCCAGCACATTGTCCACAATCACCGCATCGATGCCCTCCTTGACTTGGCGCTGCATAATATGTCAGTATATCGTATCGAAACAAAAAGCCACCGTAGACTCGTTGCACTACTGTGAGCGGCCGACGTACCTGTACCAGAGTAGGGTCGTTGTTCTCCTTGCCGTAGCTGACACAGACCAGACCGCTCTGCTTCACAACCTTGACCAGCCGGGGGCTATTGACAAATGGCCTCGCCTCGCTCACTATACCCAGTAGGTTCCACCGGCTGGCAAAGCGAATGGCCTCCTGTAGACTGCTGGCGCGGATGTCGCTCACATCACAGGCGCCGGCGTCGGTGAGAAACAGGATGGGTATGCTGGGCTGCTTGAAGGACAGGCACAGGCAGATGTCCGGGTTGAAGCTGCTGAAGAGGATCTGCCGAGGCCCCGACAGGTCGTACACTTTGGCGAGGACCGTGTCGCAGAACTCGTTGAGCTCGATCGCGTACGTGTCCATGTCATGCTCCTCGCTCTCGTAGAGCATGGGGTATTTCATCTCAATGTTGAAGCCCACCTCGTCCGGCACCTTCTTGAACAAGTCCTCGAGTGTCGCAAAGGGTGCCTGGATAAAGTTGCCCTTGGTATTTGCTTTGTAGCCCTTCTGCTTAAAGTCGAGTGTGTACTTCATCCGCTCCTCTAGGCTGGTGCCCTTGGGATGGTCCAGGTTGACGGACATGGAACGTTGTCTTGGCCCTGGCTCATTGCTCCGTAACCTTCTCGTCTCCAAGTTCGTCGGAGCGTCGCCATTGTTATTCGGCCGAGCATTGTCCTGGTTGATATGCAGGAACTGCTCGAGCGTCAGCGTGTGGACTGGTGCGTCAATGCCTGTCTCGCTGACGAGGAAGTCGTGATAGATGACAGGCACATGATCTTTGGTCAGCTGCACGTCAAACTCGACATAATTGGCACCGAGATTGGCCGCGGCAATAAACGAAGGGACCGTGTTCTCGCCGAGTTGCAGCGACTTGCTGGACAGGAAATTCTTGCCCATGCCACGGTGACCAAAGACCATTGTGGTGGAAAGCTTCTTCCAATATGTCTGCTGGGATGTGATCTCCATGTTGGGATGCGAGAACGGTGTGATGACCAAGAAATTGAAATTGACGACGCCAATCACCTCAAAGTTGGCACCCTGAATAGGCACGCAGACGTCGCCCTGCAGATTCATCCTCTTGGTGCCAAGCGTGGGCCGAACAGCAGACAGTAAAGCGACAGCTCTGCCAATTTTGTTCTTCTCGTTTCCAGAGTATGTCGGGACGAGATCAAATAGGAGTTTGACTTTCGAGGGGTCCGCAGTCGAAAAGACAATGGGCTCTGTCGAAATGTTGTCGTGGGTAGGTAGGTCGATAATAACAGGCTCGCCCTGGGCACCCTGAGCAGAGACGACCACAGAGAGTGCTGTATCGAGCTGATTTGTATGCGCCTCGGCAAGAGGGACGCGGTCAAGCTTCACAGGTTCTATGTTCTTGCGAACATCCATGGAGCCCAAGCTGACCATGACCAGACTACTGTCCTTGAGATATCGGTGCCCAAAAGATTTGACTGGCTCAGCAATCCTAGTGCTTCCCTCAGACCTGCGATCCTCAAGAGACGATGTTTCTGGCGGTGAAGATGACGAGCTGGAGCCGTTTGACTCCGCGACAACCTCGAGTGTGGGTTGATAGGGCGCATGAGCTTCCAGCAGGTCAGCAATGTCCAGATGCCCGCGCAATGCCGCATGCTCTTTGGGAGTCCAGCCGAAAGAATCGGCCTTGTTGATGTCTACGCCAGCCTCAACAAGTAGCTTCGCCACTTCCAAATGTCCATCGACAGCCGCAATGTGCATCGGCGTCCAAGAGAACGACTTCTCGGTCAACTCCAGGTTCGTCTTTTGCTCGGGCGAGCCATTGATCAATACCTTGGCGCAGTCCGTGTGGCCGAATCGTGCGGCGATGTGGAGGGCAGTCTCACCCGCCTCGTCCTGCCAGTTCACGTCGACGCCAGCTTCCACTAGCATCTGCACGATCTTGACAGAGTTGCCCTTGGCCGCCATGGCTAGCACGGCACTGGACCTGGTCACGACCCTGCGGCCTCCATGGCGAATATCAATATCGCCTTGCCAATTTTCGCCCTGGAGCAGACACTGCACTGTCAACGGGTGGCCGCCGATGACTGCAAGATGCAGAGGCGCATTGCCCTCCTTGTCCTGCCACTCGAATGCGTCAATGCCATCGTGTACATCGAACAACGACCACTCTTGCATCTTGGCCATCAGAATTTGGCAGACAGTCCTAACACCAGCCTGGGCAGCGTAGTGAAGCGGCATCCGTCCCAAGGAGTCCTTGCTGGCCAGTGACGGGCGCTGCTCCGGCTTGAGACAGCTCAGAAGATATTCGAGCGTTTGTACCAGCTCATCGTCGGTACCGAGAACACCAAAATCAGGCTCGCCAAAGAGGCCATTTGGTAAGGGACCCTGCCCGATGGTCGCGTTCGGCGTTCGGTAGTGGCTGTTGTAATGCGAGCCCACGGGGAAAGGCACACTCGCAGTGTTGTGTTCGACATGCTTGGCAATTGGTGCTTTCGACCGGCCGATGTGGATCACAAGCCGGTGGATGCAGTTGCGCTCGTTCAGGTCCCCGGATTCCTCCAGAGATTTCGCTTCCCCGACAAGATAAGCAATACATGCCTTCGACCTTGACGAGATCGCTCGCTGGAGCAAGTTGAGTAGCACCTCCTGACCTGGTGGGTATGCGCTGGTCAGATCCTCCTTGACAAGTGTCTTCTCCAACGTAGCCGCATCGTCTTGCCGGATTGCAAGCTCCAGACTGTCCAGCACTGCTTGAGGCACGCTCAGCATCGCCTTGGCGGTGACACGCCCAAGTGAGCGCACAGAACGCGCCGACTTCTCAGACACGGAATCGTCAAAGTTCTGCGCATCGGCAAGCATGGACAGCCACTTGTTGATCTCGTTGACCAGGCGTGCTAACGTTACGTCCTTCGCGAACGGCTTAGGGTCCACTTTCGTCATGATGTACCGCTCCTGCGTCGTGCAGTCGGGCAGCTTCTTGTCGAGCTTCTTGGTGATTTTGACGAATCCTCGCCTGTTGATCTCGCCGAACCACTGCAGATTTCGGAGCTGATTCCGGAGCTCCAAAAGAGCGCCCATGAGCTCTTCTACCTCGTGCTCGTCCAGATCGGCGATGACATCCGCACTGCGGCCATATCGATCCTGGAGCAGCTTGAGGCGGCGATGTGCCTCGCCAAATTTTTTGTTGTAGAAAGAGTCGACATCTTCGAGGTTGCGGTCCAAAGCAAAGAAGAATTCTGGCGTGGAGGATTAGGGGATGCTCGTGGCATCGTCTATCGGGACGCAATGTCCCTTCAAAGGGGTGAGCCCACCTGCAAGATCAACTTCCTCCCCTGCTTGCTGTGCTTTTGCGGCTGACTTGATGAGCCTCTTCAGGCCCTTGTAGTCGATATATGAGGCCGACCACTCTGGGACTTGATTCCGAGGAAGACTAGTGCAAGATGTATCAGTGTCTGTGGAGGTGAACCAGGAGCGCGGAGGTGGACGACTTACTTGCGGCCAAATTTCATCTTGACCGGTACTTTGAGATGAATATCCAACAACCACGAACTGCAAATGTACTCCTTTTCTGCGAATACTATTCGACTTGCCAGCACCGCTTGAGTGAAAGCCAGAAAATCAAAAGGGCCGCGATGACGCTTGGAAACAGTTTATTGGGCCAGCAGCAGTCGAATTTTCCTTCAGTCTCGTGAGCTGTGACGGCTCGGCCGGCGTATAAAGCACCCACAAGAATTGTATGGGCTGGTGGGGCCAGCAGGCGGGAAGTGAGATCCGCGTGAGCGGGCTTCAATTTCACGGTGGCGTGTCACGAGGGCTTGCGCTCAGGGCAGAATGTGAGCACCGAGATGAGGCGAGGGGCCCTCCCGTGTTCCGGAATCCGGGGAAGACCCTGGGCGAAGGGGGCTCTGGAGGTGGCGGGTTGCAACTTTGTGCTTTGTGCTTTCTTGTGCAGCCCAGGCTTGGCGGCCGTGTGCGGTGGGTGAGGGTATCGTGACGGGCGGTGGGTGATGTGGCGCTATCTGGATTCAGGGTCTTGCACTGGTCCTCGGAGGGCGGATTGTTATGACAGGCCGGTGGGCAGGATGGAATGCTGGTGACAACCAAGCTCAGGCGCCATTTAGTAGCAGGAGGAACAGGAGACGGAAAGGGGTTGGAGACGAGACGAGGGGTACGTAGGCTGTGGGAAGATGACGAGACGTGAAGCTATCAATCTCTGCAAAAGAATGGATCAAGAGCGACTCAAGATGCATGTCAATCAATGCCCGGCCGCTGTGCGGGAGGTGCCCTCGTGCCCTGACGGGATCGCCGGGCTGGCTGGCCGGCCGAGCATGCATGGGATGCATCAATCAGCACCACCAGCGGGCGGCGAGGGCCCCTGACAAGCCTCCCCGGGCTGCACTATTACCTACTGCGAGCAACAAGAATCAGCCGAGCCGCCACTCTGCTCGCGTACGCTTAATCAAGCCTGTCCTTTCTTTGTCAGGCCGTCGTGGGCGCATTCCAGCTGCTCCACGTGCCATGACGCACTGTCCCCATTGCTGTCCTTGCTCTGTTCAGCCGATCACCCACGCTGGACCCTTGCCCCGTCTGTCTGGCCCGCGTCACCCACGGGTGTCCCTCGTGTCCCTCTTGTCCCTCTTGTCCCTCTCGTCAATCTCCGCACCGGAGAGACTGGCCTCATCACGGCATTGCGTGACTCGAACAGTGTCTGCGAAACTCGGAACTCGACGTCCTCGCCGCCGCCCCAGCTTCACACCGACTCACCTGCGAGCCGGACGGAGCCCACACTTGCAGTTTGCACACTTGCTTGCAACAGCGCTGGCCTTGCTCCGGAAGCAGGGCTCCACACCACCACGGCTGCTAGTGGCCCCCCTCCTGGCGGGCGGCTCTGCACCAGTCGTGGGCGGTCGTGGCTCCAGCTTCAACCTCTGACTGGATGATGTCTCAGAGGCCATCGGGCCGGCCACTTAAACCATTCCAGCTTCATCTTTGGCATACAAGGTTTGCTTTTCAAGCTTATTACCATCACGGAACTTGGTGCTAACACGGTTGAGCTGATCGTTGTGGCCCCGAACTCTATTCTTTTGATGGTATCATCCCTGTGCTGAATACAAGGTCTTCCTGTATGATTCGCCCGGCCGCCATGCCCAAATGCGACCCATCTCATGCTTCGTCAAAATGCACAGCCGCGGAATCTATAAATGCTTGAAAGTATTGTACAATGGATGCACGCGTACGCAATCCGATTTCGAGTATACATCAGGCCGTAGCAGACATCCTGCCCGAGTCTGTGCTCGTCACAATCCGCGTCGAGTCTGACGACTGGTGCAATGGGTCGATATAGAACTTTCTGTGCGTCCCCGCAGACTCTGTTGGTTGAGCCCATGATTTCCTCGGTGGCGGGTTCCATGTCCTCCGAATGTCAAGTCCTATTGGCGACACCTCAATACCTGCGGGTAGAGGTTTCGGTGTGGGATTTGGCTTCAATCTTGACTCCGTTGCTTTGGCCTTGTCAATATGCCCACCAGCGGCTTCTGCCGGCCTCGAGGTCCTGCCTGGAGCCAGGCCTGCTCCCTTTGGCTTTGGGAGCCTCTGTAGATTCATCTTTACTAGAAGCTTCAAAGGTACGTCATTCCAGTCGCTGTACTTCCAAGTCAAGAGTCTGTGCTGCCTTGAACACAAGGAACCATACAGGAGGGCTTTGACAGATCGCAGCCTGTCGGTGAACGAGGCCTGCAGCGTGGCAACTGCATTATCTTGTGGTGTATATGCCTTTGCAGTGGCGAGATGACGTTGTCGCGGGCCGTAGAACCGGGTCAAGTTGCCAATACTCATTGTTCCTGCAATCCCAGCTTGCTTGAAAGCATCGGCTTGTTGGGCATCTGGAAGTCCTGCTACCAAGTCTTCCTTGACTTCTCTGGCAGTCATTGTGTCTCGGAGGAGCACTTGATCAAGGGCATCAGCAAGAACAAGCTGCCGAGCTCTCTCCCGGACCCTAGTCGAATCGAGATCCCCAAATGGGTCAAAGTCGACCCCGGTCTTGTACTTGATCACCAAGTGCTGCACCTGTGAGCTGAGCCGGATGGTCTTGCTGGTCAAATGATCAAAATGTGACTGCACAGCAGACAGCGTCACTGCTCTTTGCCATAGTGTGCTGTTTTGCGACAAGGTGGCACTTGGGGTTATACACTCCAGCGCCACCTCGACCCGGTTCAGGAGGGGCCGGTCAACAGCAAAAGCGTCGAGGATTGCGTCAGCTTCGGATATTGCCTGTCGGGCTTGGAGTTGCAGTCGTCGAGCGAACACCCAAGGCTTGAATCTGGTTGTGAAGTCGACGAAGCCGTCCATGGTGCGCCCGGATTTGTAGATAGTGGTGTCCCAGCTAAGCTCAAGCAGCTGATACAAGTTATCAAAGATGGCTAGCGATAGCGAGGCTGGCGCATCGAGTACGAGCTGTCGGATCATGACGATGAATGTACTAGTATGCTTCGCGATACCTTGGACGAGTTTTCGTGCCGCTTTCGAGTCCAAGGCCCCAACACAATCCCGCAATAACCGAAGTATTGTTTGCGGATCTATCCGCACGTCGTGCCGTATACACTCCACAAATTTCTTGGCTGCGCGATCGGTATCACTGACTTCAAGCCAAGTACGAATTAAGGTATCGTAGCTCAAGCTCGTGGTTGGAGCAGCCTTCAAGTACATGTTGGATCGCCTTTCGACGGGAGCCTGATCATGAAGCCACCCATCGAAAGTCACAGCACTTGGCTCAGGCTCAGACAGCTCAGCGAGATGGAGGGAAGAGCCGGAAACGCCACGCATGCGCTGAGCTATCCTACGCACGCCTCGACGATTATTGGTGCCGCGGAAATGATTCAGAAGGCAGAGCGTAGTCTGTTGCGTATCTGGTCCGGCCGTGTTCTTCAGCACCGTGTCAACGACGCTCTGAGCAAGATCCGGTCGCTCGAGACGGTTGAAACCAGCAATCAGCGTGTTGTATATCGTGATTGAGGGAGGCGCAGTTGACACCAGGAGGTTATAGCATACCCTGGCAACCATCTCCCTCGGAGTTAAAGCGCCGTCCATTGCCGACACGAGGGACTTTCGCAGGTTTGTGCGAACGTCTGCGGACAACTCAGGATTGCCATGGGGGAATTCGTAGCTGGGATATTTGCTGCTGATCCGCGCGCTTTGCAGTTCTTGCCAGACCTGCTGCTCGTGTGCGTCTGCTAGTATAGTTGACTGCACAGTCTGATCCTGCAACCCCATTTTTGCAGGCCGTTCGACCTTGGCCACGAGCGCTTCCACCAAGTCAATGACCGTAGTGGTAACTTGGAGCAACTGATCCGCAGATGTCGGCTCTATCAGCTTGATTCTAGGATCATGGTGCTCGACGGCGACAGCCTTCTCAATCCCTGCCCAGTCGATGCGAGTTTGACCCGAGGTGGTCGTTCTATTAGACTTCCATTGTTCGCCATAGATGGCAGCACACTGCTGAGATATTGTAAGGCCGTGGATTCTGGACAGGAAGTCGGAGCTGATATCGGTTGAGCTTTGGCGGCTGGACGCCGCGGCCGCGGCGCTTTCGGCGAGGGCGGTGGCATTCTGCGCGGTGAGATTGTTGACAGCGGTCCTTGCCTTTTCCAACTTGTCATCGAGGTCCTGCTTGCGGAATTCCTTGTTTTGGGCGTCTATTATGGCAGCGGTACCGAGGATCGTCGTGTAGCAGGCGGTAAAGAGGTCCGTCGCCGTGACCTTGCGGCGCCTTGTGGCGGCTGTCGTTGAGCGGCGAGCTACCGTCTTCGCCGAATGGATGCAGCCTCTGCAGAGGCAAGAGGATTGCCTCTGACCCGTCCGAGACCACATCGCTCGCAGTAGGTTGCCGGCATGTCGCCGCGTGCGCGAGACGGACTGTGGCTACCGGGTTGGTGCGGCTCGAACGCGGTGCCGATGGGTAGTCGGACGGCAGCGTAGTGGCGGTTGTGCGGGCAATTGGATGATGATGGGCACGATAACTCACGTCCAATCCAATGGTTCGATGATTGGCTGCATGGAGCGGTGCGCCCTCCAGAGCTGGCCGCCGTAGGTTGTCGGTGCGGCTCAAGATGGGTACAGTGCCGGGTAGCCCTCCGGCGGGGTTGTAAGCCTCAGTTCGGCGCCACTGAGGATGCATGGGCTGGCCTTGAGCTCCAGCTTCAACTCATTACCAGTCGTCTTCTATCCGGTGCTCCGCCCGTCATTCACTCGGCCCAGCGGCAGGCAAAGAGCTTTCACGCATCCACGATGTTTTCTTTAGCGCTGACAGCCGAGCTGAACGGGTATGTCCCCTCAACGAGCAACGACAACTCGAGCCTGTACTGAAATGGTGTAAATGCTCACTATGACCAGCGTCACCAATCTTCGCCCTCGAGATACAGAAGACAGCCCTTTTTGGTATACGTTCACCGTACAGTGCACGTCATGCCGGGAAACGCATCCTAAGCCTGTGGCCGTCAACAGATTTGTATGCCCCTACCTGTCGCGGCGGACACCTGATCATGCAGACCTGGGAACTCACATTGCTGGCTAGGAAAACAATGAAATGAGCGGCAGCCGCGGGGAGGCCAACTTTGTGTGGAAGTGCAAGAACTGCAAGGTCAGTCTTTATTCAATCCTCCCAAGGGACACAGCCCAGCTCAACTCTTGGTGCACAGCGCGAATCCACTGCCTCGATAAAACTCGGTCCCAAGCCCTATGAGCACGCCGAGCCCCCCACACGGCAGTCTATAATCGAGTTTGACTGCAGAGGCCTCGAGTTCACAGCCTTTGCTCCAGAAGGCGAGTGGCTCGCGGACGCCATAGACTCTGGGACCAAGTTTGAAGGAATTGACTGTCTTGGTGAGGGCGAGTGGTTTGACTATGATGAGAAGGCCAATGAGGAAGTGAGTATCAAAGACCTCAAGTGGGAGATCAGGAGGGCATAGTTGATCTCGCGGGTTTCTACAAATGAGGTCAATTATTGAATAGAAAGCTGCCAGACCAACATCACCACCCAATTGGTACAAGAATCTCATTTCGCTGTGAATGAACCAAAGGCATTTCGATACCTGCTCTGTCTAGCTGTGCTCGTGGTCAATGTTTGTCCTCAGATCCCCGCCATGGCGGCCCACTCGCAGCCTTGTCCCCTGCCTTGGGGAGTGAGCTGTAGCCACTGTCATTCGCCAGCGAGCTCCTTCCATAGCATGCTGGCTCCAGAAAAAATGCAGCCTTGTCCGCCAATTGCTTCCAGGCTGCGCTCAGCACGCCAGCCAAGCAACTCCCACGATCTTGAACGCTGAGCATTTCACCGCAACATTGCAAGACCAGGCAACGGCGAATCTGGCGCGAATCGCACGACACAAACGGAGACGGTCGCCAACCACCCCTGCAGCTCCTCCCGGCCGCACAACATTCAAAGCAGCCCACCCACCCACCGCCCTCGTCGAATCGATCTCGCGACACACCGCGCTGCATAGCGCTTCAATACAGACAACATGAGTTTCATGCCCATAAACCCGCGGCCTATGCTGCAAGACTTGTTCGTCCACCCTCCCCTCCTCAAGATATCATGTCGCCCCCCCCCCCCCCCCCGAAGTCGCCCGCCGAACCTCGCCCGCCGAACCTCGCCCGCCGAACCTCGCAGTGTTCGTCGACAGAGGTCTACCGGGCCCCTTTGCTCAACTCCCTCGCACGAACCTCTGCCTCAAACATTACACTGGCTAACTACTTTCTTCCCTTCGGGAATACAGGGTCAACAAGGACATCGTGGTGCGGCTCAAGTGGGGCGAGACCGAGTACAAGGGCAGACTCGTGAGCATCGACAGCTACATGAACATCCAGCTCACCAACGCGCAAGAGTTCATTGACCAGAAGTTCACGAGCGACCTCGGCCAGATCCTGATTCGGTGTAATAACGTGCTGTGGATCAAGGGCGCGGACGGCAGCGAAGGCGCCGGCGACGTGAGCATGCAGGGTTAAAGACAAAAAAAGGGGCAACGGGCGGAATCCGGACGTGGGAGCCCAACGATATGGGAGCAGACGTCCGGCTCCCTCAACCAACGTTCTTCATGTATCAGCCGGAGGCAGAAAGTCAACCATAGTGAGCCCACATAATGTGAGCTTTGCGGGACACGGGCAATACGACTCGACTCTTTAGCATTCGTCGTCATGATCGAGGAAGAGATCGGGCTGGCGTTGCAGCCATGGCTAGGAGTAGAGACGGCACGAAAAAAAAGCCAGGCTGTTCGACGGATCAGCGCCCCCAAAAGACCTCAGAGGGCCTTGTCGCCTGTCAGCTACAGGTCCCTGCTCATCTAAACCTCGAACCCGCTATGGTCGCACAGGGATACTGTATTTATCTTAGGGTATATCACCACCTGCGATGTTGGTTACAGAAAGCGACCTGCAGGTCAAATCTAGCAAAGAGACAATCACAACCGGGCTGCTGAATTGATCATTGACACCCACATATGGGATTCCGGGCGCACACGTCAGAAGATGGCAATAAGCTGACGAACGATACAAGCACAACCAACTGAGGTCTCACATCGTGCAACTCGATTTTTTCGGTTGCCTGGCAGGCTAACAATACCACTCACGATTGCATGCTCTCTCAAAGACGACGATTCCGTGGCTCAGTGCTTTCTCTTCCACCCTTCTGCTCACATCTTCATGGACATTTGAGACCCGCGCGCCTCATGCCGACCATCATAGTGTCATTCCTGAACTACAGTTTACATCAAGCAAGCGACCTTGCGACTGCTGCACATGTCCGATCCGCCGACCTTGACCCGCTGGCTCTCGCCCACCCACATGTACGCCTCGACCATCCACTCGTACCAGACCTTGGTATCGTCCGTCTGGCGCCACATGCTAACCTCGAGTTCCGAGTCTGGGGGGAAGTATAAGGGCGTCTATGGATCGGATGAGTTAGCAAAGTTGTTGGTTTATTGATGTTTGCAAAGTAGTGACAATGCTCGCAGATCCAGGTAATGAAACTGGCCCTGATCTGAATGGTAGGAAGAGAGGGCTTGAGGCTTGATCGGAACATACTTTGAGAGGGAAGAAGATGGGAAACCAGGAGATCATGTCTTTGCTCTTGCGATCGATTTGTTCAGGCAAGATGCTCAGCTCAACGGGGGTCGGTGTGCCCTGCTCTGCACTGCTGGTGCCGCCGGCCGCCGAGGAGGCAGTCGTGGTGGGCGCGTACAGGACAGATTCGAAGTAGCCCGCCAGGCCGTGGATCACGCCACGGTTCCTGCAGACAAACGTCTGGTGGCAGTACCGCGAGTTGTGGTCGTTGGCGCCCACGCCACCAGCCATGCTGCCGCCACCGCCGCCTACGACGCCGCCGGACCGCCGTGCCTCGACCATGTCCATGGTCACCTGAGGCAAAGGGTGCGCAAATTCCCAGCACTGCTGGAAGCGCGGCCGGTCGGGCACGCCACGCTGGGCAACAAAATCCAGCTGGAAGAGCCGCACAACCCAGGGGGTGTCGAAAGCATTGGCATCGCCCCCGGCTAGACGCTGACTGATGTCGGCGAAGAGGCGTGGCGTCGAGATCGGGCTCAGGTGGGCGGTATAGGTCTTGGGAATAGAGATGCCGTGCTCGGGAGCCAGGACGTGTTGGATGCCATCGAGGCACTCTGGGGAGAGCTCGTTGTCACCGAAGGAGCCCAGGAGCTCAGAGACAAGAATATCGACCTTTCCATACACGGCGGTGTTGTCGTCTGGTGAACCGGAAAGGAGAGGACCTTTCCATGCGCGCATATCAGTCTTCACGACGGTGACTTTGCCGTCCCAAACCTTCTGGTTCTGGCGGAGTAGGTATACATAAGCATTAGGGTTCTTTTCCACCGCATAGACCTGGACAGGGACACCGGTTGTCTTGCTGGCTTGGAGAGCACGGGTGACCAGCGGTCCACGCCCGGAGCCTGCAACCGCAATCACAACGCCGTTAGGGGACGATGTCGGCTTCTTTTGCTCTGACCACTCTCGAAGGGCTTCAACACATGCCATCTCGTACTGGTGATACTTGACAGGGTCACCCTCAAAGACTTCGTAAGTGACAGACTCGAGGTTGTCGGACAGCGGTTGAAGCGGCGATTGAAGCCAGTCTTGGAAGTTGGTGAGGTTGGGTTGCTCGAGATATCCGAACGGCTCTTGCTGTCTCTGCAAATGCTGCAAGTAGGCAGAGTGAGCGTTTTGACCAGACTGCTTGTTCTCGCCCTTTGCTGAATGAGCAGCCGCCTCGGACAGGCTAGGAAAGTCTGAGGACGAAGACACATCCACACTCTCCCCCTCTTGCGGATCAGGCTTGACTTCCGGCCCGACATCACACAGGAGAAAGTACGGCGCATGCTTCAGGCGCATGTACCAGTCGATCATCTCCTGGTGGTTGCGGCTCAAGGAAGGATGGCCAGCCTTGTTGGCCTGGAAGACCTGCGGCGAAAGGGTCAGGTACTGTACGGGCTCTGAGTACCACCTTGACTGCAGCTCCTTTTCGGGTAGCATCTTGGGTAGTCGCAGTGCTTTTGAAGACAACATGTCAGTGACGCAGTTGGCAGAGGATGGTAATAGAGAAGAAACCTGAGCTCACCAACAACCAGTCTGCTGTCATACTCGCAGGTCGTACGGATAACATGCCAAGAATCCCATGTGCTGAAGATGTCAATGCTGTCCTTGGCCGAGCTATTCTGACTGTCGGATTTGCCATCAGATAAGAGGTCGACCTTTTCCTCGAGCCCGGGCTCACGGTACATGGGCAGATGGATGATGATGTTGATCCTGGTGCCGACCAGAAGCGCCTCCTGAATAGCTCTGGCGTACTGGGCGATTCCTTGGCCATTGCCAGCCTTGACGGCATCTGTACGTGGACCAGGGATGATGATGCTCCTCACGCCGCAAAAGTTGGCATATGCAATCTCGAGATTGAGAACCTGACGGGAAATGCTAGACACGACATGGTTCGTGGAGCAGAGGTCCAGCCACGGGCTTGAGTATGCGACGTAGCCGCTGGTGTAGGTGCTGGGGTAGAGAGCAGTGTCATCGCCCGTCAAGGGCGGCACGATGGGATCAGGCCGAGAGCCTGAGCTGGTGCTGGCTTCCAGATCCTTGATGCTGGATGCCACGAGGGCCTTGATGCGCTCGTGGAAGTGCCTGTTGGTGATTGGCGAGGTCACATAGCTGAACTAGAGTGGCGTACTGTGTAAGTCTTGCAGGCCTTGCGAGAGACAAGAATTTGCGTTGGCGCCGTCGCCCACTTACACCCGAGTTGAGGACCTGGCCGTATTGCAGGTCTGTCAGCGGCTCGGCACGGGCAGAATCATGCTGGCCGATATAAAAGACGGGACGAGCTTCGTCGTAGCTCTCAGTGTCTGTCGACATGGCGACGGACGTTCGACTGGCAAAGCAAGTACTTTACGGTGAAGGAGTGCAATGAGTGAGAGTGAAGGTTGCGCAAATGGGTGAGGAGGCTAGCGGCAAGTACATGCAGGGTCTGCCACGCCGCGGGATGGACGTGCAGCCCTGCGAGCTTTTTCACCCGCGGGGTCCAAGCCCAAGGCAACACTTTCATGGCCGCAAGAGAAGAATGCATGTCAGAAGGTGGTCTCTGGCTTCCTCTCGTACTTGGATACTGGTTTACGGCGTTATACTTCTAGAACACCTGCAGTAATTGTGTTTCTGCACCTGCGGGTGCCTGCGTCAAAAGTCGCGACAAATCTGAGCGCGGATACGACCAGTGGCCTTGATTTGCAAGGATGCACTGGGTAGCTCGTTGGGCAAATCTCAAGTCACACGATAGCGAGCTCTGGTTCACGGCCAGAGCTAGCGATATTGATTTCCTCTTTAGTTATTGAGCCGTGCAGCAGGCATTTGCACATGCTGGGTTTGGTCATTGTGAAGGTGCTCAAGAATTATGCTCCCTAGAAAGACTGTGCGAGGTGCTTCGATGATTGGCGTGCCCCGCCATTCTCCGCCAGGAGCTGGCGTCCCTTTTATTTCTGAAGCCACCCCGCGCCCCACGCGGCAGCTCCTGGTTGCGCGCAAGACATCCAGACATCCGCGACAGCATGAATCGGCGCATGGTGGGTGGCCGGCCTCTGCTTCCGGGGTTGCCTGAACCGCAGGCAGTCCTGATTGTGCGACCATTCTGCTGACTCCGAGTCCGCACATACAGCTTACAAAGGCCGAAGAGGCCACGGCCGGCGACGAGGTCGAGGTCCGGCGCGAGGACCAGGACAAGATCAACAAGTTCAGCCGGCTACACCAGCGCGAGCTCAACATCCAGGATGAGCTCAAGGCCAAGATGGTATGTCCCAAGTGCTTTTCCTCACACTGAGGACTGAAATTCGCTTGCCGCTGCGGCCAGCTGAGAGCACCCGAAGACTGACCCTCTGTGTTCGTCGTGAGCAGAAGGAGAAGGAAGAGCTCGACGATGTGACCATGGAGCTCGAGCTCGCAGACGAAGACGACACGGTGCCGTAAGTTGCGACGACAGACGACCAGATACAAACCCGAGACAAAAGAATAGTTGCCGCCCTTGAAGATCGCAGCCAAGCAGACATCCAATAAGACTGACGCGGGCATCCCGGCTCTAGATACAAGATCGGCGACGCGTTCTTCCACGTCAAGGTTGAACAAGCACAGGAGATGCTCTCAACCGCGACGGAGAAGCTGGAAGAGGAGGTTGAGGAGCTAGAGGAGAAGCTCGGCACAACCAAGGAGGAGATGCAGGAGCTCAAGGTACAACTGTACGCGCGCTTTGGCCGCAGCATCAACCTCGAGACATGAGACACCTCGGAAATAAAGGTGTCGCAACAAATGCGAGCGCCAGAGCGGCATGACCAGAGGGACAAACGATGGCGGGATAGCGGGCAAAGTTGCAGCAAAGGTATCCCCGCCGAATAGTCTTCGGAAAGCGTGGGCAGAAATGGCGCCGAGGGCTGTAGGCACCTCAGGCTATCATTTGTATGCTGGGTCGGTCCAGTATACCAGGCATTACTGCTCGAGCTGAGCCGTCCACTTTCATGTACTAGCTAGCATCGAGTCAAGAGGCTACATTATGTGGTTGGAGGCGGCGAGTGCGCACGTCCGTCCGCGGTCAGGAGGCTCTGGTCGTGTAGTTGGGGAGAGTCATGCATTTGATAACTGCGAATTGAAACAGGAACGGACAATGCGATTGTTGTGTTGCACATGGCAGTGCCGTCTCGAACCCATGCCTACGACAACCCAGGAGAATACCCGTGGCCAGCATCTGCGCTAGTGAAGGATGTGGAGATTGAGGGATCTCAAATGCCACCTCGACCCCCGAGAGCTGACGTCATTACACGCGGCACCGCGGGTTTCAACCCCAGCCATCAACACGGCGCCCCTGGCCGTGCTGTAACCCCAGCCCGGGGATCAAGCTTTCCTGGCGTGGCCGCCATTGTATGGCCGGCGTGCCTTGGGGGTAGAGGATGGTGCCTGGCCTCGCCTGGCCACGTCGAGACAAGCCTTGGATCGACAGGGCGGCCGCTAGCCATGCCAGTAACTACTAGCTATGGCGCCAATGACATCAGCTCGAGGCCGGTTTCCTGCTTTCACTGCCTGCGCCTTTTGCGCGCCTTTCTCAATTCGACCAGGCACGTGTCGCACCTGTGGGAGCAGCCTTCTCTTGTTCTCTCCATGATCTGGCTCTCCCAGTCCTGCTCCATTCTTTGCTCCTCATCCCTCTCCGCACTCGTGGTGGCCCGGTCACGCTGCACTCCCGGTTGAGGCATTGCGGTCGCAATCTCACGACTCCACCCGGCATTACTTGACACCATGGCGTTCAAGAACATCGCGGCAGCCCTGCTGCTGGCTCTCGCCGCCCACGGCGCTGTGGCACTCCCCACGGCCACCGACGACGCTGCTCTCGCCCTCATCACAGCGCCGCCAGACCTCAAGGACCGCGCGGTCCTGGATAGAAGACTCAACCTTGACCCCGGTAGCTTCATCGGTAGCGTCCTCAGCGGCCTCGGCAGCGACGTCAGCAGCTTTGTCGCCTCGGGGGTGCCTCAGTACTTCCAAAACTTGCCTGTGGGCGACGATGTCAAGAGCAAGCTTGGCATCAGCGACCAGGACCTCGAGGCGATCCCTACGCAGGTGCTCAACCTACCCAGCTACGCCAACTGGACCGATCAGGGCTGGAACATGCGCGTGCATGGCAACGTGTACAAGCTGCCAAATGTGTCCCAATCCAAAATCGATGACCTGGCAAACGTGTTCCTGATTGACGTCGACATAGACCAGCTGTCTCCGTCGGAGCAGGCTGAGGCCAGGAACGTGACCCGCTCCATCTTTGTGGTCCAGCAGGGAGACGAGCAGGTTACCATGGATTTTGTCACGGACGTCAGTGTGCGGCCAGATGCCAGTGGCGGTGTGATCAACGCCGTAAGTCGCTTGCCAATGATTCGTGCATGGCATGTGGACGAGATGCTAACTTGAAATCCGTATCACAGAAAGGAGGAAACCAGACAATTATCTTGCCGTACAATACAACCGACGAGGGCGATTTTGACGTGTTTGTCCCGCTCAAAAACACCACTGGTCAAACCGGCGGACACTTGCTGCGTGGCAACGAGACAAGCTCGATCCAGGCGTTGAACATGTACGCAAAGGGTACCACCTCTGGCAACGCCACTGCCTACCTGGTCCCGCCCAAGGGATACACAATTGTTTCGGACATCGACGACATCCTGCGAGTCACCAAGATCTATGTGCCAAAGGAAGGGCTGCTCAACTCTTTTGCGCGTCCCTACACCCCTTGGATGAACATGCCCGACATCTATGCCAACTGGTCCGCGTCGATCCCAGACTTCCACTTCCACTACCTGACTACCACTCCCGAGCAAGTCACACGCAACTACATGGACTTCATATACAAGACTTATCCTCTTGGATCGTTTGACACACGCCCGCTCAACTTCTCGGATGTATCGGCCACCCTGTCCATCCGCAAGTTCCTGCTCATCAAGATCCTCCAGACGTTCCCCGAGCGCAAGTTTGTGCTGGTGGGGGACACGACAAACTCGGACATCATGAGAGACTACCCGCAGCTGGCCAAGGACTACCCGAACCAAGTCCAGTGCATCTTCCTGCGCAACACGACCTCCACGGACGACACTGATCTCTTCCCGTACGACACCGCCGGCTTCCAGGGCCTGGACCAGCGCAAGTACATGTTCTTCAACGTGCCCGACCAGCTCAGGAACACCGACATTGTGGGTGGCAACTGCTACAACCCGGCCGTCATCCAGAACGTCACTTTTGGCTATCAGGGCCGCGGGTTCGGCAACACCAAGAACGATGCCGTGTCCCCGCTTGCAGGCCGGACATCTCTCATGGCGCTGGCTGCGCCCGTGATGATGATGCTGATGGTGCTGCTGTAGGGTGTTGGATCGGGAGGGCCTCGGGGTGGGGAACAATGCAAGATTGTGTAATTGGCTTTTGTTGCATTCTTTTCAGAGCAAGTATCATGTATATAATTTCATCGATAAGTGATGTTCCTGTCTGGCTGAGCCAGATTTTCCGTGAAACGGCAATACATGTTTACAGACCAGTACGTCTGAGAAACCCAACGCACGGCAATGATTATCCTACCCGTGCTTTTGGTGTTTTCAAAGCATTGGTCAGAGTATTCGCGGTCGTCATTCAATTCTTGCTGCGTCTACAATAACGCCCCTAGACATGCTCCTCCCAAAGAAAAAGACAGGCCGCTCGCTTGTATCATTTCAATGTCATGTGATTTCCCAAAAAGAAAAACAGCAACGTGCTACCACCACAGAGTGTTCCAACACTCCAAACCCAAGGACAAGGGAGCACTTGGACGAACCAAACCGCCCACACACGGCACTCGAGTGATGCTCTCCACCTAACCATCAGCCACAACCTCCACCGGCACGCAGCGGACAAGCCTCGTGGTCCCACTCCCGCCAATGTGTAGTCCAATGTATGCAACTCTAGTCGGATTGCTCGTCCGCCGAGTCCCAGATGATCGGCGGCGGGCCGTCGTTGTCATCGTCGTGGCCAAGAAGGCTCTCTGGCAACATCAGGCCGGTGGAGTGGAAGTGCGCGGCCGACGACGAGGGCGGGTACGATTGTGTCCGTCCTGACTCCGACTCGGGCTCCTCCTCTTTCCCTGCATCATCTTGCGCACGCGCTGCTGCTACTGTCGTTGTCGTTGTTCTTATTGTTCTGTACTCTTGCGAGTCCTCTTCACCGTCGCCGGCTGGGACGTGGTCGAGGATGCGTGGTAGCACGGGACTGCTGCTACTTATGATGTCGACAACTGTGTGCTCTCCGTGTGCCACGACGGGGCCAGAGGGTTGGCTGCTGCGCTGGCTTTGCCGCCGTGTGCTCCTCCTGGTCCGCCGCTGCCGAGACGGCGTCTCCTTGGACTTTTGCGACTTTTTCGGCGAGGGAGCCGGGCTCGAGAACAACTGGCTGATTGTGGTGGCTTGTGATGTGCGCACCAGGCTGCTGCTAGTAGCTGCATACCTCGCCCGGCTCGGCCGCGGGGTCTGCAGGTCCGAGTCGACCTTATCGCTCGGCGGCAGAGCTGGCTTCGCGAACATGTTTTCTTGATCCTCCTCATCCGGACGAAGCGGCGACGACTTCTCGCGGCCCTCGTGAGCTGGGTCATGCTCAGAGGGCAAGCTTTGGGTCGAGTAGTGTCCCTCGCTTTGGAGCTGCGCCTTGAGCTCCTGGGATTCGGTCAGTGGCTGACTGCTGGCCGGGAACTCTGGATACTGCTGTGTCTCCTCGTCGCTGCCAAACAGCGCGCAGCGCAGGTTGGCCGTCAGTTCCCCGACCACTGCGGGCGGCACGAATGCGTACTTCTGCGGCGCGCCCCTGATCCAGCCTTTGCGTATCATCTCGGCCAGCGGCACGGGATTGTTGAGCTCGTATATCTGGATGAACTCGTATGCGTACTTTGCAAATCTCTTCTTCCCGCTGTTGAACTCTGCGTTGCCCAGGCCCTTCTCGTTCTCGATCTCGCCAGGCGCCTTGGGAGGTCCCAGGATGCACATGTACCTGAGTTCGCTGTGTGGGTTCGTTGCGTAGAGCCAGACCCTAGAGACCTCGGGAGGGATCTTCCAGGCTCGGAACTCATGGTCTTTGGTGCCCTCGATAATGTGCCGCAGGGGCTCGGGGTGTAGTGACACCATGATATCAGAGCGGTCAGTCTGCGGACCCAGCGCTCGGATGTCATCTAGAGGTACACGCTGGCTTTCCATTCCCTGCGTGTACGGTGTGAACTGCGTCTCGTGGTCCTTTGCTGGACCATCCTTTGTGCGCTTTGGGGTGGCCACTTTTGATGTCTGGGCACTGGATTGTGGCAATCGTGGCGCTCGAGGACTTGGGGAACCCGCAGCACGCGGTCGTCTTGGGGTCAAATTCTCATTAGCACGCTTCTGCGGATGCCTGTTCAGGTCATGACTTGAGGTCAAGTTGGATGAGAGCAGTTGAGCTTGCGTCTCCGCCCCAAGGTCACCATAGCAGCTCTCTGGGTCGGCGGTGGCGTCTGAGTCATCCTCCGCTATTGGACATGGTGTCTCGTCTCGTGTGCCACGATCTTCGACCGCCCCCGACACACTTTCTGCCTCGTCGGTGGTATCGTCGAGTTCTTCATCTGAGTCTGGGACTTCCCGTAGCGGCTTGCGGCCAGACGTGTCCCTGGGGGCCTTGGGGGACTTCGGTTTCTTTCTGCCAGGAGTAATGTTCTCCTTGTCGACCTCAAATTCGAAACGCAGTCTCTTGGCCGTACCCGCTCTTGGCGTCATGGCCACCGACAGAGCTGTGGGTGTCGTGGGCGAGCTCTCCAGAGTGGCAAAGGTGTCTTCAACCTGGAGCCTGGGAGTCTTGCGGGCACTTTTCAGAATGGGAGTTGTTTGCGGTCGAAGCGGCGAGGACTTTCGTCGCAGTGGTGACTCGTGCGGCGCAGCTGGATTGTAGCGGAGCAACATCGGTGTCAATGGTGACTGAGACGATGGGATTTCTGTCCTCCTGTCCCTGCCAGACGGCGTGACAAGCTTCGCTGTCTCAGCTTCCAGGTCTGCGGCACGGAGCTGTTCGGGCACCGCTGCTGCCGCTGTCGGTTTGTTCTTCTGTGGCGTCTCCAGAATGAAACCAGCATCTCCTCCGGCCTCCGAGTCTGTGACGTGCCAGCCCTGGTCCAAAGCTTCTTCCGAGTCGTGGTTTGACAAGAATTGTGTCAAGGTCTGAGTGTGAAAGCTGCTTGATGCGCTTCCGGTGGGTGTATCGCCCATGGTCTTACGTCGTTTGGAGTCCCGCTTGCGCTCTGGCGGCTCCAGGCTCTCTCCAGCTGTCACTCTGCGGGCTGACCTGGCCTTCTTGTTGGCCTTTGTTTCCCGCGGTTGCCTGGTCGAGGGAAGCGGCAGCGGCTCGAGTTCTATGAAGTGGTCATCGTCATCCTGGCTGTCTTCCAGCAGCAGCTCGGGTGCAGACCCAGCCGGCGTGCCCACAAAGTCCATTTGCGTCAGCGTCTCCTGCTTGAGGCTGCGAGTTGTGGCCTTTCCGTAGGTTTTGGCGGATCTCTTGCGGCCGGGGAAAAGCTGCTGTTTTGGTGTAGGCCCGGTGGACCGATACACGGTGGGCGGAGCGGAGGACTCCCCGCGCTTATGGGACGGCGGCATGGCGTTTTGATGAGGTCGTCTTGCTCCCAGCTACCATTTGGATTCTGGCTAGTCCAGGCAGGAGGCGCAAGAGCCGTTCAGTGTCGAATAGTGCCGCCTTGTGGGTTGTCCGGGCCAGTGCAATATGCTGGTGTCGTCATGTCCGTTCCTCGTCGCTGCGCTGCCTAACATGGGGGGGACATGCCAAAGTGGGTGGTGGTGGGACGTGGGACGCGCTCCTGTCGCGTCAAGTGCATAATCCATTAAACTCTGTACCCTGTAGGTGCATGTGTGCTCTCCGTGGGGCCCAGACCCGCTCCCGAGCCGCGCCTGGACCCACTCGCTGGCCCGCCCCTCTGCCTGAGCAGGACGGCAATTGAGCACGGCGATACCCGTTATAGCCTATGTACGTGAACCTGCACTTTGACAAAACACACAAAACACGAACCAAAAGAATGAAGGAAAAGTCTGGTGAACCTGGGTGGTGATCGTGTGCGTGCTCATTTCGTGCTATTGTACGCAGAAGCCGGGTCTTTTATGAGCCTGCAACCAGGACCCCGGAGCAGTGACCACCGGGACCCTGTTTCCCCGGAGCTCCTCTGTTGGCTGGGCGCAAAGCCCCCAAAATTGCCGAGGCATCGGGGCCGCATCCACCAACCACCCCCATCCAGCAAACAGGCATGGAAAAATAACAACGAATACAAACTTGGAACCTTTGCCCACTGAGTCAAATATATCGGGAGAGTCAGCAGCCCGCACACACAAGTTTGCCTCGTAGGCACTGTGACACTCCCAGACAGCAGCAGGCCGCACCGAGACCGGGCCATCTGACCAGTCCTGCCGACCCCGTGCCCGGCATCTTGGCGGACGGCGTTTAGTCCCACCGGCACAAAGCTCCACCGAGATACCCGGAGCCTGGGGATCTGGGGTAGCCGGACGGTTGTACTCAAGCTACGCTACTTAAGGTAAACATGCTCACTTTCCCAGGAGAGACGAGATTCTCATACCAGTCCTTCGCCAGTACTGACCCGTACCACCCACAGGCACCAACCAACATCTGCCTGCCTGCCGCCATGGCGTTCCCGTTCCACGTCAAGGAGCACAAGATTGCCTCGCAGCACGTCCGCGAGTTCCCGCGGGCGACGGCCAACTCGCAGGAGGACGTGCTGTGGCTGTCGGTCAAGCAGTACACGCCCGTCGACAACCCGGAGCCGCAGCCCGGCGACGTTACCATCATCGGCGCCCACGCCAACGGCTTCCCCAAGGAGCTCTACGAGGCCCTCTGGGCCGACCTCCACGCCGCCGCCCGCCGCCACGGCTTCCGCATCCGCGGCATCTGGATCGCAGACGTCACCAACCAGGGCGCCAGTGGCGTCGCCAACGAAGCCGCCCTCGGCAACGACCCTTCCTGGCACGACCACCCCCGCGACCTCCTCCACCTCACAAACGTCTTCCGCCACGACATGCCCCGCCCCATCGTCGGCCTCGGCCACTCCTTTGGCGGCAACTGCCTCACCCAGCTCGCCCTCCTCCACCCCCGCCTCCTCACCTCCCTCGTCCTCCTCGACCCCGTCATCACTAAGTTCACAAACAGGAACGCCGGCGCCGGCGTCAGCCCCGCCCGCTCCTCCACCTGGCGCCGCGACCTCTGGCCCTCGCGCCAGGCCGCCGCAGACTCCTTCCGCAAGTCCCCCTTCTACAATGCGTGGGACCCCCGCGTGCTGCAGTCCTGGATCGACCACGCCATCCGCGACACGCCCACCGCTCTGTTCCCCGAGTCCTCCCAAAGCAGCTCAGGCGCCACCCTGACCACGACAAAGCACCAAGAGGTCTTTACCTTCTTCCGGCCCTTGTGGCCCGCCCTATCTCCCGGAGGAGACGGCAACAACAACGGCGATGTGACAATCTCCCGCGCCGAGGCCCCCGACTTTGACGAGGACGGCCAGCAGGGCAAGATCTCCAGGGACGTCAGCTTCCCCTTCTACCGCAGCGAGGGCGGCTGGGTCCTCAAGCGCCTGCCCCACGTCCGGCCCTCGGTGCTCTGGGTCTTCGGCGAGGACAGCGACCTGAGCACCCCAGAGGCCCAGGAGCTCAAGCTCCGCACGACGGGCGTCGGCCCGGGAGGCAGCGGCGGCAAGCCGGCCGGTAAGGTGTCGAGCGTCGTCATGCCCAAGATGGGCCACCTGTTCCCCATGGAGGTCCCCGGTCAGTGCGCAGAGCACGCCGCCGCGTGGATCGGCACCGAGATGGAGGCCTGGCGCGAGCAGGAGCGCAAGTACCACGAGTGGACGAGGCAGGACCTGCGGGCAAAGTCGACGCTCAGCGACGAGTTTGTCAAACGCGTCGGCCCGTTGCCGGCGAGGAATAAGAAGAAACCCGCAGAGACCAGCTCGAAGCTGTGATTTCGATAATATTCACATCGCGGGGACTATTTCATAGATAAAGATTTCATTTGCGGGTACCAGAGAACCTACAGTCAGCGGATATGATTCAGCCAGCACCGTGAAAGCACCTGGTCGACCATCTATACTGCGCTTCATCAAGAGTTGTCCATAGAGAACCAGTCATATTGCCCCCCAGTTGTCAGTCTATCAGTATCCAGGATCAGAATTTGCCGTAACATCTACAAAGGTCGTCCCAAATCATCGATCGGCGCGACTAATAGGAAGCGTCGTCTATTGCCATATTTCCTCATGTATGAGAATCTGGGCGTTGCCCATCTATTGACTAAAGTCCTTCAACCAAGCTGGCACACCCTAAAATGCTTAAACATGCTGCAATACGCAGTGCTGGGCTTAGTTAGACCCGATGCCGTGACAACTGTCCGACTGTCCTGTTGAGCACTCAAAGCACAACTCCATGGAATGTACAACATGCGTATCCATCCTCATTACTTCGTTAAGATGTCTGTGGTTCAACGGAGCCCCAGGTAGCCTCTTCCAGACTCAACACGGGCTTGTCCACTGTTCCTCAAGACAAATGGAAGGCACCCTGACCTTCTCTAGTCGCAGTGAAAAGCTGCTTCCTCATAATCTCGATGCTGCTGTAGTCTGGCAGCTTCAGGTAGTTGACACAGGTCATTACACTCGGAAGATAATCGTCTGATGTGTACGGCGGTTCACTTGGCTTGCAGACGACGGTGAACATTGGTGTGAGACTTCGGAAGCCTGGGAGAAACAGTTAGCCCATCTCTATCATAAAAAGGCGCTTTCCAAAAGGCACTATCATGCTCACCTCCGATCGGAAGTTTAGGGCTGCCAGTCGTGAACTGCAAGAAGTCGCGACGCTCAGCGGGACCCAGTTCACTCATCGTCTGGAGCAAGTTCCTAACGCTCTTGCTATCCATGTTGTAGCCGTGGTCGGCCTTGATCGAGTCCATGAGAGCTGTGCGGTACATGTCAGCTCATATGGCGAGTTGTAGCTGGGGGGTTACACCATGACTTACTCTCGAGCGTCCAATCCTCCTCTACTCGGCCAAACAGGGAGACTAATTCGTCTGGTGTGAAAGCACTCAACGCAGTGTATGGGAAGACCTGGGAGAAGCCTGCACGGAATGCGTCCACTTGAGCCTTGACGCCGCTTCCCAGGGTCATATCGATGACCTTGTCGAGGTAAGTTTCCACATTGTAGATGTCAACTGCTTGACTCGAGCCGCCTGGGATCAACTCAATCTCGGGATAGCCAGGGAGGGTGAAGTCAAGAGCTAAGTCCTCCAATGACACATTGTCAACCATAATCTTCTCCGTGTCGGCGACCTTCTGCGCGGCAGTGCGGTAAAGGTCCTCGTCGATCGCCTTCTTGGCCAAGGCAAACTTCTTAACGAGTTTCAGCGAACTTGCCAACCCAGGATCAACCACCTTGATAGCGCCAAGTGATGGCTTGACACTGGAAGTGTCATCTCCAATGCGGAAGAAAATTGGGTTGAAGTTGATATCAATAATTCTGGAGTCAATCATGGACCTCGCGACGAATTTGCCAAGTGTTTTGAAGAGGTGGATGATGACTGGGTTTTCTTCACACATTGGTCGTGGGAACAGCCCGTTGGGTCCGCCCGCGTATTCTTCGGCGTCGCTCGTATCTGTGTCTCTGAAGAGCTTGAGTTTCTTCTTCGAGAACTCCCTAGATACTGTGGAGTAGAATTCGAGCGTCGGTCCGAGACCGGTCCCGACTTCCTCAAAGTATTCAACCTCGAGAATACTTTGCGATGCTCCGTATAGCTCCATGACCTTCAGTGCTGATTCGAGGATCTTGCCCCGGGAGATGCGGACTTTCTGTCTCTGGAGGCGACCAAGGAACGGACGGTCATCCCGGCGATCTCGACGCGATGTGTCCTCCTGCTGCGCATTCTGCCAACGGCTCATAGACCGTGCATATCCAAACGATGTTGACTGGAGGAACAAGTGACGCGTCTCAAATGGGAAGAGGAACGGGTATAACCTGGCGAGATCCTCACTCCAGCTTGGGAGGCAGTTGCTAGCCACGATCAGTGGTTCTTCCAGCTGGCGATTCAGCTTGGCTGTGAGCTTCGTGTTCACAAACTGCGCAAGAGGCTCCGCGTTGAGTCGCAGTGCTGCCTTGTCCTCCACCAGAACATCATCAAGGTTGGCGTTCAGGCTGTGGAGGATATTAAGCAGGCGAAGGATGGACGCCGTAGTCGGATGGTGTGCCAGCGAAGCCGGCACGCCGTTGATGTCGGCGGAGCCTTCGGAAACGTGTCCAAAGCCGATCGTCTCCGCTGGGGGAGGTCCTGGCACGCGGCGAAACTTGATCGAGTGCACAGCAGACCATGCACTTCGGCTTGAATGGTCGTCGGAAGCTGACGAACTCTTATGAACCGCGCGATAGATTGTGGTCTCATTTGGAATGACTTTATTGTCCAGGCTGAACTCGATGTGCCAATCCTGAGGTATAGCTTGTATCGCAGCCGCGTAGGATTGAGGCCGAGAGGAGGTGGCAGGTGTCGGGGTCTGCTGGCCGCTGGCCCCTTTGTCACGCTGAGAACTGGAAGCGACTGCTGATCCTGTGCGCTGCGGCGGAGGCTTGGAGGAGGTAGTTTGGGCCGGTGTGGGAACACGGGTACCATCTTCATTCATGGCGGTGACTTTGCCTCCCGCGGCAACCTCGACGCTTACAGCCGATGGGTCTGGCATAGGTTCGTCGTCCAGATCTTCGTCCAGCTCGCCGACAATGGCATCAAGCGCAGAGGTATCTGCAAGCTCGGTGTCCTCCTCATCGTCGTCGTCTGACATTTGCTTCTCGTCTGCACACTCGAGTGCGTTCCGCAGATCATCACTATCATCATGAGGTGCTGAAACAGATGGCCGGGAAGAATCAGGCGGGCCAGACGGGTTCCGTCTTGACGATCTGCGAAGTGTCGTCTTGTCCCGCTCGGTGTCGCTCAAGTTAGAGGTCGATGTCTCGGGCTGCGACTTCTTTTGTTTGGATTGCCTGTCAGAGAATGAGCTGCCGCCAAATGGAGGGCCAGCCAACGCAGAGAGAGAGCCCGCACGCTCAGCCAGTCGGCCTGTAGCAGGGAGACCGGCGGAGCTCGCCATGGCTGCCAGTGCTCTTGACAAGCCATCCCGCGGACGAGCAAGACGGGGTCTCTCGAACAAGCTGATTCTTGGACGCAAATAATCATCAAGAGCCTTGAATGTTGCGATTGCATGGATGGAAACCATAATATTGCGGTAGGAGCGGGGAATATCCGACTCGTCATCAGCCACAAGTCGCAGTCTGATCTGTTTTGCCAGCATCGACGCGGCGCTGCTGCGATTGCCGTCAAAGGTGTTTTGATGAACGGTCAAGACCTCGAAATGCTCCGATCGACTCAGAAGATCCTGCAATTTGTGTACGAGGACACTGAACGGTGTGGCGGGCGACTCTGCGGTAGATGTCTTAGGTTTGACGCGAACAGATCGTCCCATGAAGACCTCGAGGAAAGCCGCTCGTGCCGAGTTGGCAAGAGCCTCGTCCGGATTGCTGAAAATCTCTTCCAGGACTCGTACAAGCCCAGATGCAAGCAGTTCAGCACTAGTGACACTCTCCAGCATCTCGGCATCAAAGTGTGAAGCCAACTGCTCAAATAAAGCCAATCCTTCCTCCGGCACAGAGGCATCTCCTGTGGGCTGAAGATAGAATGTCCTGATTCTCGAGGCCAGTTCTTGCAGGTTCGCAAGAATCTTTTGTGCCTTTTCTTTCATCAGTCTGCCCTGCTGCGCCGTTTCGTGGACTTGGAGGAACATCTTTGCCACGTTCGCGATTCTGGACTCCGTCCCAGGTCCATCGGTAGAAAAGATATGGCTAGGCCCGTCGAGAGACATTGTCGAGCCATCGGAGCTGGCTGGCGATCCGGACCCGTCCTCATCGTGATGACCATTGTCCTGGTCATCTTCGATCTTGTCGTCATCGCCTTCATCGTCCTCATCGTCGTGTTCGTCCTCATCCGCTTCTTCCGGAACATGCTCGTCGTCCCTGGAGGTATGTGTCCCAGGGCTTTCTGCTTTGGAGTCGGTCGTATCGTCCGCAGAGTGCATCACTTGGTCCGTGTCAAGGCCGACCGGCTCACTTGAGGCGTTCTTCGAATCCGACTCACGGTGCCCGGCTGCCAACTTAGACACTTCTGCGATGACACCTTCGCGGTAGACCTGATAGCGATAGATATCACCGAGACGGCTGAGGAGTAGCTCCGTGGAGTGTATGGCCGAGACTACCAATGAAGGATGGTCCTGCTGCGACAAAATGGAAGCCAAAAAAGACGCATACGGGACTGACTTGAGCGCGTCCACAAGGATGTCCTGGTCTAGGTTGGAGAGCATCTTCAGCTGTGCAAGGAGAACTTTCTGACGGACGCTTAGATTCACGGTGCTTGAAAAAGCATCCGTCAAAGTTGGGAACAAGATGAGTGCAAAGCGCCGAACCTCATCTTTGCAACCATTCAACAGGTCAAGACGCTTCTCTGCTGAAGTCTTCTTGCGTTGCCCACCCTGAGCCGGCTGGCCTGCTGACTCGGTTTCGGTGCCTGACGCCTGCATATCCTCGGTGTCTCGCATTCTGATTCCTGGCAACAGCTCGCAGATCACATTCAAAGTCTCGATGATCTGTTCACGTGGACGATGGATGAGCGCTTGCATAATGACCACGCTGTCAAGTTTCGAAGCGACATCATCTGTTTCGCTTGGTGGTGAGACGCCCGTCAGGATCTGGTACAGCGTTTCGACAACGTTGAGCTTGAAGAGTTCCGCGGAGAGCCTTGGACTGGACCTGGCTGTGATGGCAAGCACACGAAGAAACTGTGTGTGAATGTTGGCACTGATCAGGTTGGTAGTGCCTGGAACCAGGAGCCGCAAGACAGCTCGGAGGAGGTCTACGCTGACCAACTCCTCGAGCTTGGCAGACTGATACTTGAAGCTCTCGATGATGCGGGTCACGCACAAGGACGCCTGCTCCACAACTCTCTGGTCGCTGCTTCCAAGTACGTTCAGCAAGATCGGCATTACATCTCTTATGACGCCAAACGAGTCTTCTGGGATATTACGACAACAGTTCGCAGCGGTCGTGACAGCCGTGCGTTGTGTGCTGGTCGCGAAGAAGTCGAGATACGAGAGACAGGCTGTAAGCCCACCTTCGCGAACGATGCTGGTAGGGTACTCGACGGAGATCTTCTCCAGCGTGCTCAGAGCTTGCTCAGCCAAATCGATGAACTGAATCTCGAGCAGCTTTTGGCAGAGGACTGGCACCGCCCCGCCGTAGACCACGTTGGCTGTACTGGCGGGTATGGCTTCCATCAGGTTTGCCAAACTTCGACAGGCGAGGAGCATGATTTCCGGGTTCTCTTCGCCCGTGAATTCGTTTGGCTGCATGAGCGTAACCAGCTCCTTGACGAAAGAGTCCGGGGAAAAGTGACCGGAAAGGTTGTCCTCATTCGACACGAGTAGGATTTCAGACAACTCCTGCAAGGCGATCAGCTGAAGCGATGAGTCTCCTTTCTGGCGCAGGTTGTTGAGGATGTCACGAAGTCGGGAGGAGATCCCAGACATCATCCCGGTGAGAGCTCTGAGGGTGCTTGTTAATCCAGCACCTGGCCCGCCAGGACCGCCGAACCCCCCAAAGGGATCATCATCCTCATCCTCATCATCATCCTCGTCGTAGTTGTGTTGTGAATCGTCATCATCTTCTTCGTCCTCTTCATTGTCACTATCATCTGCTGGACGGCTTGGATCTGACGGGTTTTGCGGCTCGTGTGGCACTTCTTGTTCATTCTCGGGTTCCTCTGTTCCCGTCATGGTCGTATCAAAGTCGCTGCTCTGGGCGTGAGTGGAAGAATCCTCTTTTGTGCGTTGTGAAGACATTGCAGTGCTGGTCGACGCGCCTGGATGGAGCAGCTCCGTTAGTTATGCAGATACCGTGGGGAGAAAGAGTGCACTCTGGACGAACCTGCTTGGCGGCTGCCTCTTTTGCTGCGACTCGATTTCCTGCTAGAAGAGGCTGATGGGGTCTGCTCATTTTGTTCCATTCTCAGCGAGAGACGTGACGGGCTTGAGACCTGTTAGCTTGGGACCCGAATCAGGAGAGTTATCATTGTCATAAAGTGCCTTACTCTTCTGGGCTGGACATGTCTGCAGCCGTCTTGCCTTTCTTGGCACGTGGGGCAGATTGGGCAGTACTCGCAGTCGGTGCCTCTGCCGTCGGCTCAGATACTTTTGCCCTCTTGGAGCGGCGCGACGACGACACAGCCTCTTGACCTTCCTGGGCAGGCGGCTTGTCTGGCTGATGAGCAGGAGGTGAGCGTCTTCTTTTCCGACCTGGCGTCGCCTTGCCAAGTGCCGGAACCTCCTCCGCGATGGTACTTATTGCTGGTGTGGGTGTCGACGCTTGCTCGGAAGCAGCCAACGAGGGGTCGGGAGTCGCGGTCTGGCTCGCGGCTTTCCGAGCCGATGAGCGCGTGTGTCTGCTGGGAGGCATGAGTGTTAATACTGGCACACGTCCTGCAGAGATATGAACAAGTCCAAATGGAAGAGGCGATGATGGCCGGTGAGGTGAAGATGAAGTTGCAAGAACGGCGTATATCTGCAACCCGAATGTCGTGGAGTGGTCGAAGTAACCAAAGACATTCCGTTGTCCAGGAGTTGGTTGCGCAAACGGTGTGCTGTTGCAGTTGCTCGGTGTGATGGAGAAAATGACACAGAGGTGTGGTCGGACGATCGAGATTGCCGTGGACCAGGGAAACCAAATGATGTCGGGAGAAACAATATGGCCAAGGAAAGGCACTATGAGAGACGGGCTGTGACCAGTCCGACTTGGATGCCCCGGGCACTGTTCTTCCAGGCTACCTGGTTGCTACCCTGATAACGACCGATATTCTCTGACCTGTGCTGGTGCAAGCGTGGACGTCGGCAAGACAAGGCTATGCCGAGCATGAGGCCTTTGGTCGTACAACGGTGCCTGGCAAGACTTGCAAGACTGCAAAGACGACGGGTGTTTTATTCAAGTGGTTGGCAGCGGCGTGGCCGGGCAAACGCCGATCCAAGATGGCGGCCAGCGAACGGCGAGAGCTGGCTTTGGCTGGGACCAGAGGGACGTCACGTTGAGGCCTTGCGGAGGACGGGTGGAGAGTGCACACAGAAAGCGGTTGCTCCCAGCATATAATGATGGCAGGAGGAGGAGAAGGAGGTGGTGTTGGTGTTGGTGATAAGCATGCGAGCCGGAGACATGAAACCGTACCTTGGGGAGTTTGCAGAAGGAGCAATCGGGGACCGCAGCTTCGCACTCGAGGGCGAGGTCTTGTCGGCGGAGGGAAGGCGCACAGGAGGATCGTGGTGGACGGCCGATCGGGAGCGCTGCGATGGGATTCGGTCTGCCATTTATTACGCCATGGGGCAAGCGGCTGAGCCAGCGTTGGGCAGAGTCGAGATGGGTGGGCCTGCACCACTATCCGTCGTCGTTGTCGTCGTGGTGATTCGCGGTGCGGGATGCTCGAGCGTGTTGCCGGTCGCAGGTGCAGTGTTGAAGCTCTCCTGCTCGCAGAGTGTCGTCAGGCGCTGGACGGGGCAAGTTGGAAGGAGACGGAACCGACAATCAGAAGCGGCAGGGCAGCTCTGTCATGCGGGAGTCGACGTTGGCTGTTATCAGGCTAGTGCTGGGCTCATTATCGGCATGCCAGCCTGGCGGTGCGGGCAGGCGGGCGGGCAGGCAGGCACTTGGTAGGCTGCCTGTGTGGTGTGTGGTGGTGTGTGCTGGCAGAGACGCTGTCATCGGCCCGAGATCGCACGCCATTGGGGCGGCAGTCTGGAGCACCCGTGGTGCCAGCGCCTACGGAGAACCTTGCTCTGGTTCTCACACCAGCCTTGTGCCACACACACCAAATACTCGAGGGAGCATTCTTCGCTATCCCTAGAACTTTCGCGGGCTGGTCTTCTTAATGACAGCATCCTGAACACCACCGGGGTGCCGCGTTGTTCCTTTGTGGACAGCCACTTTGTGCTTGAACGAACCTGGTGGAGTTCCGTCTCTAAGGTCCCTCAGGGTGTCTCGACCCCCCGGCGATGCCTGTGCTGCCCATCCTGGTGGCGTCTTCAAAAGCCCCTGGGCTGCTGAACGACATGGTCTGCGCAGCACTCTGTCTTGCAGCTGACTCTGGCTCGTCAACGATGCGATGGTGCACAAGAAAATCAACAGCAAACTTGGCAGGTAATGTCTTTACGAGGCCTGATTTGTGAGGTCTACTACTGGTCTAAGCTGCTCTTGGCACCCTCGTACTCTCCGAGATCATACTCGTCGGGATACTTGTCTAGATGCTCGCGCAGCTGGCGCATCTGGTCCTTGAGGTCCGGCGTCAGCTCCTCGTAGATGTCCTCAAACATGGTCCGAATCGGGGGCTTCTTCTCGCGCTCCGCCTCGGCAAAGGCCTTGAGCACGTCCCTCCGTATGCTGTCCCGCGCCTCCTTCTCCTTGGCCTCGTCCCAGAAGCCCCTGGCCTCCATGTACTTGCGGAGCCGGGCGATCGGGTTGTCACGGCGCTTCCAGTCCTCGACCTCGACCCGCGCACGGTACGCAAACGAGTCGTCCGACGTGCTGTGGTGGCTGACGCGGTAGCTCATGGCCTCGATGAGAATGGGCTTGCCGCCGTCCTCGAGCGCCATCTCGCGCGCCTTCTTGGTCACCTCGCGCACCGCCCAGATGTCGTTGCCGTCCACGCGCACCGTGTCAATGCCGTACCCGATGCCGCGGCTGGCAATGCCGTCGCCCCGGTACTGCTCCAGTGTCGGCGTCGAGATGGAGTACCCGTTGTTCCGGCAGATGAAGATGACCGGGCACGCCCGTGTCGCGGCAATGTTGAGTGCTGCGTGGAAGTCGCCCTCACTCGCGGCGCCCTCGCCAAAGTACACGACGGCGACCCGCGGCGGCAGCGATGGGTCATTGACGCGCTGCATCTTGAGCCCGTATGCCGCACCCGCGGCATGTGGTATCTGTGTCGCCAGCGGTGACGAGATAGTATGCTGTAGCATTGTTAGAGGCGTGCTCTTGCTGTATACTCTTTTGCTTGGATGAGACCTACTATGTTCAACTCCTTGCTGCCATAGTGCACAGGCATGTTACGACCCTTGCCAGGGTCCTTCTTGTTTGCAAACAGCTGGTTCATGAAGTCTGCCAGCGTGAATCCGCGCTGCGCAAAGACGCCCTGCTCGCGGTACTGGCAGAATATGACGTCCTCCTTGTCCAGCACTGACGCCGAGCCGACGCTGAGCGCCTCCTCGCCCGCCGAGACTATGTAGAAGCTGACTCGGCCCTGGCGCTGGGCGTCGAACATGATGACGTCCATGATGGATATGCTCAGCATGGTCTTGTACAGCTTGATGACCTCCTCCTCGCTGATGTCGGGCTTGAACGACTCGTCCACAATGGCGCCATCCTGGTCCACGACGCGATACGTCGGCATCGCCGGGCTCTCGGCGCTGAGGTGGAACTTGAGGCTGTCGGTGAAGGCGCTCTTGACGGCGCCGGGAAAGGAGACATGGCTCGCGCCTTGCCGCTGGGACACGCTGCTGGCTGCCCTGGCTGCAGTGCGGCACAACGGCGACGGATGTGTGGTTCGTGGGATGTGCGAAGTGGCCAGTCTCCGCAGAGATGCCCGCGACTGGACGCTGGCTTTCATGTTACTGTGGTTGCTGGCCGAAGCTCGTCTGGTCGGTCGGGTCTGACGCACGTCGCTAGGTAGATGGTGGACGTGGCAATTGCAGGTCGGCCAGAAACAAAACCAAATTGAGTGTTGTTGCACGCAAGCTCTGGGCCGGACACTGGTTGTCCCAAGAGGATTGGAGTTGGACGAGACATGGTCGAATGAGCCTTCCGTGGCCGGGCGGCCGGTGCATGCCGAAGCAAAGCGCGGCCGGGGCAGTGGGTTTAGTGCCGATGGTTTCCTTGCCCGGGCGGCGCTAGAGCACCCTGTCAGTGGCTCCTGAGTGAGACCAGCCCACGCCCCCGGATTGTGGAGTGCGGGGTCTCCGGCAGGGGTTTTCCCCCAAATCCTCACCACCAATGTCGACAATACACATGAAGTACTTAAAGACAGCCTCATACAGGAAGCATGCATGTACCAATGTTAGTGAGAGTCGACGCATGGGCGCGGGCATGGCTTGGTATCCCGTTAAATTTCTCATGTATCATACTTGCATCATGCCACTGTTGAGGCCAATGAACCAAAATCTTGAAAATAAAAACACATCAATAAAATAAATCAATTTGTCGTAGAGGCCGGCCGGCCGTTATAATCCAACCATAACTCTCAGGGTTTCCGTCGCCAATTTTCCATGGTGAAAATAGTGTGTCCAACGTCGAATGAACGGCAGCAGTATTCGGCTTGTCCTTCTAGCATTGGCAACCCAAATCGCCGCTGCAAAAGTCCGCTGTGCAGTATAATCCGTCAGTATGAGGACTTTTGTGACTTGAAGTGAAGAGAGAAACACCAGGGGTGGGACGTGAATGTGTTTTATGTGGAATTAATGGGAGGAGAAAGCATGTAAGCAGACAGAAATATATACAAAGAAAGCAAGAAGCACGGATGGGAACCAAAACAAGGCATAGGAAGGAGGGAGGAACAAAAACAAAAGCAATGAAGACAGACAGCCAACTTACTGCACCAAGCATTACACTCCGTGTTTCCCGGGTTGCAATTGCTCTCGTTGCAAACGCTAACGCATTCGGTGCACAAATCGCACTGCGCGTACACTATGGCCGGGGCCATTGCCGCAAAGGTGAGAAGCATCGTCCTAAACTGCATAATGGTTTGCTGGGTTGCGGTCGGTCTGAATTTGAAATTGTGAAAGGTGAAATGGTTTTCTTCAAAAGTTGAGTTCTCGTGCTGAAACTCGGAACGATGAGGCTCGTCAAGTTGACGGTGGATGAGCTGAAATGCAGTTTGCCTGATACGGTTTCTACCACTTATATACTTGTTCCGATCCTCTTTTATGACCACGGGCATGATCAGACATTCCATATACAAAAGGGTCCCATCGCCATGTGGCGATCGTAGCACGGGGATTTGACTCCGGTGCGTGAGCATTGCCCGCTTGCAACTCATGGCCTTCCGCAAACCGACCATGATTTGCTTCAAGAATATCGGCGAGGCCGAACAGGATTCCATGCCAAGGCCTTAGTCTGGCGGCCAGCGTTAATGGCGAAGTCCAGGAACGCCCGAAGCAGGAGTTGTCGGGGATTTGGTCAAGAACTCCACTAGCAAGCGGGCCGAAAAGTCCGTTCCTGTATGGATGGCGCATATGCTCATCCGGAAACTCTGAGTGGCTGATTGCAAAAGTCCCAATCCGTGAGTTTCCTGTTCAAGTGCTGATCTGCGCTCGAGCACTATTGTCGCTCGGTCGCCAGAAGCACATCAGTCGGTCAGGTATGGATGGATATCAGGTTCGCGGTTGTGTAGACTTTATCAGAATCATCGCCGAGACTGAATTGACGAGTTTGGCAGGTGGCGGCAAAGCCGGCAAAGCGCACATTTCACTTTGCCCACCAGATGGACAGCGAATGCCGAGATCGATGGAGAACAGGGATAGTATGAACAGCAAGCTCAAATACCTGTGTCGGCATATATTCATGCTGGAATCAGTGGTAGCCTGCCAGACCAAAGGGGCAATAATGCACAAAGAACTATGAAACCTACACCCAGCTATTTCTAGTCTGGAGAAAGTCCATGCCCCTGGGCAGGCTGGGCTGCCACACAAAACGCAGTATGCACCTTGGATCGGAACCGGCAGCGAGTGTCGTCCAGAAAGGCACTATCACTCTGATCACGTATTTGTACTTCATCGCTGACGTATTTCTAAATTGGTGTCGCTGTAACCTCCGTGAAAGGCAGGTCTCGAATATGGTCTTCCAACTCACACAATGAGAAAAAAGCCAGCAGTTCCGTAGCTATGAAGAGTAAAACCTCTGTCATGTCTCATTCCAACCCAGAAACTCCAAGCCATGCCAAATAAAATTCGTGCCACGACGTTCGACTGCTGACAACCTAACCCAACCCGGTCAGACTCACACTTGATACGGCGTGCCACACAAATCCTCCAACGCCATATGCCGATCAACCCATAAATGAGAAAGAACCCTCAGCCAAACTGACAGCCATGTAACGCCGATTGCCACGTACAATCTTCTCGTACGTGATACTTTAGAAGAATACACTATCGCGAGTCGCTAAACAGTGCAAGAAAATTGGAAGCAAACTGCAATGGTTTGCGGCGCTGCCTATGCCACCTCGGAGGTGGCCAAATCGCGCCCAGCGGCGAGATCTGAAGCGATGCTTTCCCAGATACTCCCGTGCGCCTCTCGGTCCACTGTACCCACACGACTCATTTCGTCAACGACCTCGCGCACCTTCTCTACGAACTCTGGCAGTCCAAGTCCGGCGAGCTTCTCACCAGCTGTGCCGGTGGCCTTGACCTTCTCACTGGCAGAGCTGGCTTGTAGGCGTGCAAGCATGTGGTTGCGCACGCGGGTCAAGAGCAGTTTCAGTACAGGTTCGCGCGGCTCAGCGTTCTCCTTCTTGGCGTCCAAACTTGCCGTCAGGATTTTGAGGACAAGAGCACGAAGGTGTGCCTTGGTGGCTGCGGGCATAGAACGACCAGCTTCGAGTGCGGCCATGATGCCGTCAACAGCGGCTGACACACTCAGACTCTTGGAGTCGTCGGTCATGGCTTCCAGAACCACGAAGATGCGACCGGCCTCGCCTTTCCAAGGAGCGCGCACGTCGCGTTTGAGAATGTTCTTGCATTGAAGCAAGATGGCACCTGCTGTGGCGACACGCAGAGTCTGTAAGCCCAACCGCGATCGGCGTTTCACATCCAGAGCGAAAGGGGCAGGGACTGATTCGACTGTGGCCGAAGGCTGCGTAAACTCGTCGAGGAGCATCTGCCAATAAATCTTGTCTGATGTTGGTCGGGATCGCGGGTGGCTGACGCCCTCAGGGTCGCGCCTGGCGGCCTCGGCGTGAACCTTGTCGTGGGCGGCGCGCCACGACGCCTTTGCTGTTTCCAGAGTAACCTGGCCACTTTCAAGATCCTCGGCGAATCTTTTCGCCTCGTATGAGCTTGCGTGCTCCGCCAGTTTAGGGGTGGCAACCTGCAACATATAGTTGGCGTAATCGTAGAGCATAATGTCTATGATCGCAATCAATGCTTCTAGACGATCCACGACATGCCCATTCCTCATTTTATTGTCGACGAAATCTTTGACCTGCTCATCTCGAACTGGCGCGCAGAGCTTGGGCAAAAGCGAACCCATTGAAGCAAAAAACTTCTCGTACGAAAAGCTGCCAGCTCGGAACTGTCGTTGTGCTACATCGGCGTCCAGTATCTCGCCGATGAATGTGTGCATCGAGTTGCCGGGTCGCACAAGGTGCTGCAGCCGGTCCTTGATGTAGTGGGTCATGATCAAAAGGTAGCGGAACTCCTTCTCTTTGTCGTTCTCGCTCGCTCGCAGATCTTTCAGTAGAGGATCCATACGGAGCTTGTGCTGCTCCTGGAAGTATTCGTATTCGATCCTGTACTCCCGGTTGATGGCAAGCTCGTGTACAATGATTCTGTTTTCAGGGAGGATAGGAGGATAAGCGGGATGGTCGATTGCCTGCTTCAGCACGCGACTGCTGGGCGGTGTCGGAGGTGGCGTCAGCGTCCGCAATTGTGAGGAGACGACATCCGCTGCAGAGGCTTGTGGCTCCATAATGTTGTCACTGTCTGGGGCCTCAGCAATTCTTGGTCGCCTGTCGCCCGCTGTCTTCTTGGCGGCTCTGGCCTTGCGCGCTTTCTGAACTGCCTCGAACACAAGCTTCTTCCCCCTCTGAGGACCTGCCAACTTCTTGATGCGAACCATGAGCTTGATCTGGTTGTCTTGGATGCTTTCGCGGTATGCGGCGGTGACCGCCTCTTCAGTCATGCCTTTGACTGACTCCAGTATCGCATCGAGCTCGACAAATTGCATCAGCATGATCTCGATAAGAGCATCCGAGTCGCGTGCTTTCCAGGCAATAAATGCATTGTGGAATGTCGCATACGCCTCTGGTAGCGCCTCTCGTAGTGCTGGAGGCGGAGTATAGCCGTTCAGCGTCGTCAACCTCGATAGAATGTTTTCAAAGGTAATTAGAAGATCTCGTGCTTTGCCCACCAGATCTTGCAGTTGAGGATTTGCTGAGTCATTTCTTGGAATATATTGACCTTGAGCCGAGCTGTTTTGGGCCCGTTTTTTTTGTTCCTCACCGTCGTTGTTATTCAGTACCTGGTTCGGATGCCCCAAGATCATGAAGGCGCTCAGAAAAGTTCGGACGGCGGCCATATCTTCCACAGACCCGGTGTCCCCTTCTCGCAGCCCACACAACCGCAATATTGATGCCGTTGTCACCAGCACATCTTCTTGAGCAAGAAGCTCAACGACAGCCTCGAAAGAGGTGTCACGGACGCTGTCGATGCTGAGACCGAGCTTGGCAAAGTCGTGCACAACCTTTTGCCGGCGAGTCGCCCGCCACCACCACTGTATTCGAGAGACAGCTGTATTTTCACTGAGAGGAGCAGCATCCTGCTCCTTCACATCAGGCAGCACTTCCAGACTCGGCTTCTTTGCACCAAGACTCTGGCCCCTAGATCGCCTGGCAGCCTGGGACTTGCGCAGGTTCTCGCGGCGTTTTTCAGCTTCGGCGAGGCGCTGTTCCATCTGCTGGCGTAGTTGGTGCAGTTGCTGCTCTCTGAGGTCCTTGATTGCTTCTGCCCGGGATTTCGCCCTTCGGACCTCTTCAGCACAAGACGCAACAATCTCTGCCAGATTCTTCTCGCGTGCTTGCGCTGCTGCTAAGGCTCGTTCTTCCGAGTTGGAACTTTTCTGTGACGATGCTTTTGCCATCGCAGCCCTTAGACGGACCTTCTCTGCGTGCGCCGCTCGGTCAGCCAACCTCGCCTTGCGATCCTCGAGAATAGAGGCTCGGCGAAGCTGCTGCGCAATATATTTGCTTTGGGGTCCATCCTCCTGAGCGAAGTTGATGGAGGATCTTGAGGACGAGATGGAATTTCGTCGCGATGAGGCAGCCGAGTCCTTGCGACGAATCTGTGATGGACGGTAGAATCTGGCGGCAATATGAGGAGGCGGCGTATAGACACGTGGGTTGTGCTCATCCACAACCTCTGTGGCCAAATCGTCCATGGTCGTGTCGATGGCTCCTGGGTCGGGCGAACCCACTGACTCTTCTAAGTTGCGAGCAGGGTCGCTGAGATCGGCAGAAGCACGACGCATGATTGCGGGCAGCGCGAAACAAGTTGATCTTGTCGCTTGCGCAAACGAGTGTTAGTGTTGTAGTAGATAGGCGCGTTGCGCGATCGTAGGAAAACGCGCCCGATAGGCAAAATTGGTTGCTGTCCTCTGTCGGCAGTCTCGGATATGGTCTGAGGAGATCAGAGGTGTTCAGGCGTGCTGTTGGGCGAGACTGGAGTGCTTTGTAGCGAGAGTGCAGGGGCGTGAAGGAGTGACGGCGTTGCGCAGGTGCGGCGACCGAGGCAGGACAGCAGCAACAACTCTAGAATGAAAGGAGGAAGTCGCTGATCCCTGTTGTCGATGTCATGCGTGTTTCAAGCGATGTCCCCGAGCGCGGCTGGTAAGATCTCACGGTGGCCGTGTCGTCCCTATGTCTGCGCGTGTGAGCGGCCGTGCTTCTGTCGTGTCAAGCAGTCTGTAACCGCAGTTGCATGTCTTTGGGTAGGTCGCCAAGCGGGTGTGTTGATCATAAAGAAGGACGAGGCGGTGCAAGTCGCTGGTCGGCGGGTGGGAGGCCGGGCACGTAGTGTCAGCATGTGTCAGGATGACGACTGCGGCTGGTGCATGCGCGTGGAACTAATTGGATCGTCAGACCCGCCAGGCCGAGCCAAGGTCTGCGTCACGGAACTGGCGAGGACAGAAGGTGCAAGGCGAGGCGTTGGCGATGGAATGAGTCGCTCACGCGGCAGCCCACCAAGCTGAGACAGGCGTGTGTGCGCGGCGCAAGCGATCCGATAGGCGGCGGCAGCGGGGAGCACGGGCAGGCACGTCGCTCGCCCCGGGAAGCACATGGAAGTGCCAGGAATAACTGGGACGGGGCCGCCTGCCGGGGGGGTTGGATTGGTAAGGTTCCTGCTCCTGGCCGGGGCTGGCCTAGCCCCAGATTCCAGCCCTTATCCTCCAGCCTTCGATCTCAGATCACCTGGGCAGCTCGACATCGCCTTGGCCATTGACAGCTTCGAGAAGAACCAAGGGGGCTGGGGGGCTACTGCAGGCTCTCACCTGATCGCCCGGGCATGGGGCTGGTCAGGCTGCATTGGCGCATGCACGACAAAGTCAAGTTGCGTCGAGTCCCCTCATGCCCAAGGCTGGAATGTCTGGTGCTGCTCAATCCGGGTCACAAGCCCCGGCTCTGTTGGCGGACTCTTGTGATACTGCGGCACAGGGTCTGGATGACCAGAGAGATCAAGCAACAAACCCAGTACTCAGCGTTTCACAGGCTTTTGCCCATAGCCACTTCCGCTGTTTCACTACCCTACCGCACTAACAACCTTGAAAGGTTTCACGCTCAGGCAACTTCTTAGCCGATGTTGATACAGTGCCAGTTTTCTGGCGGGTGGCTCCACCCTTAACATCAGTGAAGACTTCCCATGCCCCTAGGCTTAAGCCCTGGAGTCACCAAGCCTTACACACAATGCCTCTCACGATCTCTGCTCACACTTCAGCTCTCAGGGCAGTGCCGAAGATCCACAAGGAGTTGTGCGACCATGGAGTCTGGGCATATCTGGGTTTAGGGGGGTTGAGGCAGAACACCCAGCGTGTCAACGCGACAGTTCACTGTGCCGGTGCCTGATCTGTGGGTGGGGCCGTCTGGCGACTTCAAGTTAGTTCACGCGCGTGCCACCGCGTTTCTTCCATCAACGTGCTGCACAAACGCCGTAATTGTCACCGCCAGCGCACTTCAGGACACGCAGGACATTTTCTCTCCAGGCATCAGGCGATTCCGAATGCGGCATGTCTTGTAGCAGCAGCGTATTCTGAAGCACTCGCTGCCGTGCACATTTACACAAGCCAAAGTCAGATTCCGGGACCATGTCCGCTTCTCAGTTCACGGGTTCGTCACACCTTGGTCACATTCAAGATCGGATGGCCCACTGACATAGATCACAACCTCAGAGGCGGACACGATCCGTATCCTGATTGCCACAGACAACCATGTCGGGTATGAGGAGCGGGACCCTATACGAACAGATGACAGCTGGAGGACATTCGACGAGATTATGAACATCGCCCGGACTGAAGATGTAAGGCCGTCTTGTTTCCAGACGAAGACGCCATACTGACACACAGCCGCACCATGGCAGGTAGACATGGTTCTCTTAGCTGGCGATCTCTTTCATGACAACAAGCCGTCACGAAAGTCCATGTATCAGGTCATGCGGTCACTGCGCAAGAACTGCCTGGGCATGAAACCTTGTGAGCTGCAGTTCATGAGCGACGCGAGTGACGTTTTTGATAGCGCCTTCAGCCATGTCAACTATGAAGACCCGGACATCAACATTTCCATCCCCGTCTTTTCAATACACGGTAACCATGACGATCCAAGCGGTGAGGGCAACTATTGCTCACTCGACCTTCTCCAAGTTGCTGGTCTTGTCAACTACTTTGGCCGTGTGCCGGAAGCGGATAACATCGAGGTCAAACCGGTGCTGCTCCAAAAGGGAGGCACGAAACTGGCCCTGTTTGGGCTGAGCAACGTTCGCGATGAGCGCATGTTCCGAACATTCCGAGATCACAGGGTCAAGTGGTTTCGACCAAATGTGCAGTCATCTGACTGGTTCAATCTGTTGGCTGTCCACCAGAACCACCACGCACACACAGCAACTGGCTATCTTCCCGAAAACATGCTGCCAGAGTGGATGGATCTGGTTGTCTGGGGCCACGAGCACGAATGCTTGATTGATCCTGTCCACAACCCGGAGACGGGTTTCCACGTCATGCAGCCTGGCTCGTCAGTAGCGACCTCACTAGTTCCCGGTGAAGCTGTCGCAAAACACGTGGCAATCATGAGTATTGTCGGCAAGGACTTTACAATAGAAAAGCACAGACTCAAGAGCGTTCGGCCGTTTGTTACGCGCGAAATCATCCTGCACAGTGACAAGCGGTTCAAGGGATTGGAAAAACGCAAGGACAACCGTGGGGAGTTGACGCGGAAGTTGATGGAAGTCGTGGAGGAGATGATTGAGGAAGCTAACACAGAGTGGAACTCGATACAGGAAGAGGAGATAGACCCTCGTGAAAGACCTCTGCCGCTTGTGAGGTTGAAAGTCGAATACACTGCGCCTGATGGCGGCCAATTTGACATTGAGAACCCACAGCGGTTCTCGAATCGCTTCAGCAACAAAGTCGCCAACACCAATGATGTGGTCTATTTCTATCGCAAGAAGAAGGTCGCAAGTGAGTATGCATAGTTCTTTTGGCTGGAAGCATGCTGGCTAACCTGATGTGGTCAAACAGAGAACGAGAAAGCTGCCGATGTCGCCGAGGAGATTCTGGCCAACTTGGACCCGGATGAGATCCAAGTGAGCTCCTTAGTCGAAGAGTTTCTTGCTGCACAGTCATTGAAGATCCTGCCCCAAGCACCCTTCGGAGATGCTGTGACGCAATTCGTGACAAAGGACGACAAACATGCTATGGAGCACTTTGTCAGCGAGTCCTTGTCTGGACAAGTCCGGCAAATGCTGTCATTGGAGGACGATGAGGAAGATCTCGAGAATGCCATGACTCTGTTCAAGCAGAAACTTGAGCAGCAGTTCAAGCTCGGCGGCATAAAGCAGAGCAAGATGCGCAGATACAAACCTCAGCCGGATGGCTGGGACTCGGACCTTGACGGTCATTGGCAAGACCAACCAGAAGCGATAGACACGGGTGGCCCAGCACCCACCGTTAGCACGAAGGCGGCTACTACTGCCTCCAGAACCACAACCCGCGGACGGAAGACCACGCAGGTCGTCGATGACGACGATGAGGACATGGACGATGCTGAGTCTGTTGCGCCAGCACCCAAAACGCGTACTAGAGCGCCAGCCGCCAAAAAAGCTGCACCAAAACCCAAAGCTCCGGCAAAGAAACCTGCGGCTAAAGGACGGGGCAAGAAAGCGCAAGTTTTCGAGCAAAGCGACGACGAAGACGAGGACGACGTTTTCATGGATGACGATGATCATGACCCGCCTGTGCCGGCCCCCAAACGGACGACAGCGACCAGAACCACAACGACGCGCTCACAGCCCACACGTGCAGCTGCAACAGCTACAGCCACGAAGACACGGCAGAGCAAGCTCAACTTCTCGTCGCAGAAGGCCACTCAACAAGAGCCCATGGAGATTAGCGATGACGCTATTTCCGACGACCCCTTCGAGTCCATGCCATCAACAAGGTCGCGTGGGCGTTGATGCCGTCATGAGCAACATCACTTGCCACTCAACCATTTCATTACTGCCTTGTTGCCCAATCATAATCTACAACAGCTCTGATCTCAAGGGACGTCTTGTATGGGGGTCTCGAGGTATGACGAGAGCGTATCAGACCGGACGAGAAATGAATATTGGGCGAAACCACCACCAATCTGAGTGCTGCAGGCCATCTTTGCGGATTCGCTGGATATTCAGCCCTGTTCTGTCGAGAACCTCGATGCTTGGTTGGCATCTGGGCTCAGACAACCAGACTGGCCGCAGATTGATTCCTTCTCTGCCAAAGTATTGTTGATGCCACTCTGCCGGCAGAGACAGGGTTTGTGTAGTTCTGCATCATGGATGAAAGTAATAGCTAGATCCCCTCACTAAGCCCGGCAGCGGGCGACCAGGACACCTGCATAAGTGCTTCGGAGTGTTGATGTCCGCCAGACTGTGTGGTGAGTTTATGGATGCTGCAGGGCTTGACGCTAGTGCTCGCATGGCTGTCTGCGACCCACCACCATGACACAGGCAGGGCCAACTCACATGCCTTGGCCCGGCCCGGAGCAGCAGAGCATATTGACTCGCGATGCCCTCATGGCCACCTATGAGGATGAAGAACTCTGTCGGCGGCCTGCGGAGGGTACCGATGGCGCCCTCTGTGCTCTGGCCAGTACTTGCGGCGGCTAGTCGCTGCGCAATTGCGCCTTAGAGATGGACCTGACGTGCCCGTGATTTCACAGCCCTGAGCCGCACTCGAGGCAAGAGTGGGCACTGTCGGCTCCTGGTTCCCCAGTTCTCCATCTTTTTTTCACTCACCTTGGCCAGGGCCAGCCGACCTCGCCCGACTGCCAATCTGCCCTTTATTTGTATCATTGCTCTCCCACTCTCCTCCGCCAGCAAAGCCCGCAGCCTGTGGACAACAGCCTTTCCCGGAGCCTGCTCACGACTGCCCGTGTGCCACGACCTCACAGCATCCGACAGAAGCCGCTCTTGCCGTGCCGTCAGCCTCGGGGGCCCCGCGTATTTCCGCCGAAGAAAGAACTATTGGGGGCTCACGCAAGCCGGTGTCGCAGCGCAGTCCCAGGCAGCCCAAGACCTCGCTCCGTCCCAGCACGATCCGCGCAGCTTTTTGCTCCTTGCTTTTTGCGCACGTGGGCACACCCTACTGCAAATCAACATCACCAGCCCAGCCCAGTCCAGTCCTACGCACAGGAGGCGCTGTCGCACCTGCAGCAGTGTGTGTGCCCGCCCCGTGGTTGGCTGTCGCTGCCGTGAGAACCCTTACTGATTCACCACAGAGTTTTACCCCCCTGCTCGCCTTATCGGTTATATCTGCGCCTTGCCCGACAGCGGCCCCGCGCCCTAGACTCTCTCCTCCATCATGGGCGACATGGCGAACGAGATCAAGCTGCTCTCTGGCTCAAGCCACCCGAGCCTGGCCAAGTCGGTCGCCGACCGGTACGTCGCTGCTTCATCATATTTTCTCGTCACAACACCCCCTGCACAATCCCTGTCCCTGCCCGACTTCCCTGGGGCGCATCAACGTCCAGCATGCTACGCCAAGCATCAATTGCGCCTCGCGGCAGCATCCCGTGATGGTATCACGGCTCTACCATAATAGTCAAATCACGCGATGGCAGAGCTCATTTGGTGCTGTGAATGTGATAGCTTGGACGTGTTTGATTCTGTGTTGCTGACGATGACCATGTATGAGTAGACTGGGTATCGAGATTGCAAAGACCATGAGTTTGAACTACTCCAACCAGGAGACGAGCGTCACGATTGGAGAATCAGTGCGCGACGAAGATGGTATGGCCACGGCCAGGTCCTCTTGAAGCTGTGTTGCGCACTGGCTTCAGGATTCGAGAGCTAACCTGCGTCTGCTCCTGCAGTCTTCATCCTCCAGTCTACCGCGCCAGGTGACATCAACGACGGCCTCATGGAGCTCCTCATCATGATCCACGCCTGCCGCACCGCCTCGGCTCGCAGAATCACAGCCGTCATTCCCAATTTCCCCTACGCCCGACAGGACAAGAAGGACAAGAGTCGTGCCCCGATCTCAGCCAAGCTCATCGCCAACATGCTGCAAACAGCTGGGTGCAACCACGTCATCACCATGGACCTGCACGCTTCTCAGATCCAGGGCTTCTTCAACGTCCCTGTCGACAACCTCTACGCCGAGCCGAGCGTCCTGCGTTGGATCCGCGAGAACCGGGGTGGAGAGGACACTGTCATTGTCAGTCCCGATGCTGGTGGCGCCAAGAGGGCGACTTCTATTGCCGACCGTCTGGATCGTGCTTTCGCCCTGATCCACAAGGAGCGCCCCCGTCCCAACGTTGTCGGCCGCATGGTCCTCGTTGGCGATGTTGTGGACAAGGTCGCCATCCTTGTTGACGACATGGCAGACACATGTGGTACCCTTGCGTAAGTCATCTCTTGTCAAATCCGCTCTAGACCGTGCGCTGACCCTTCCCTATAGCAAGGCGGCTCAGACAGTCAAGGATCACGGCGCCAAAGAGGTCATCGCCATTGTGACGCACGGTATTCTGAGTGGTAGGTCGGCCTCATTACGTGTATGCTGTTCTCTAGGTTAGAGCTAACCGAGACGTCCAGGTGATGCTATCAACATCCTCAACAACAGTGTGCTGAGCCAGATCGTCGTCACCAACACCGTGCCTCTTGGCGACAAGATCAACAAGTGCAAGAAGCTGCGCGTCATTGACGTCTCGCCCACGCTGGCCGAGGCCATCAGAAGAACTCACAACGGAGAGAGTGTCAGGTAAGTCTCCATATATCAGAGTGGCCATGCTTTACGCTACAAGTTACGTACTGACGTGCAATCGAACAGCTTCCTCTTCTCGCACGCTCCGTTATAATCAACGACTACGAGCCGGCGGAGGGGCTTGTGCTCTATAGCCAGTTCGCAGACGGAGTGCGGTTGAAGTGCGAGTTTAGAAGCATTTGGGATACAAATTTGTCAAAGGACGGATCAAAAATTGTGTGTGGGCGAGGAGTTATTATCATCGTTATTGCTTCAAAGGTCTTCACTACCACCATAAACCAAAACATTGCATTTCTTGGGCCGTCAATCGCGTGTGATCGCTGATACTACCAAAATCTGCCTGCTATATATATCTTCACAATATACAAAACGTACATGTCGGAATACCGTCCTGCTGTCGGTTCTGCCGTATCGAGTCTGGAATTGTTACGATGGGGGGGGCCGCAAGTGCGAGAGATGTGCAATCATGAAGCAAGCACTCTCAAAGTTTCGTCCTCTTTTGTTTGAACAGACCTGCAGGCTAACCTACCTGCCGTGGATGAGCCAGCCTCAACGCAAGGGGGCATACCCATCCAGAAATATCAAGTTCATGCAATTATACAATTGCTCCGTAACCATTTATGGAATTATACAACGGGAGAGCTTCATCTTACTCGCGGCGGAAATGTTCATTATTGCACTGTTGCTGGATGTGACAAGAGGTACAAAGCCTTGATCAGCATTCACATAAGTGGTGTCCAGTAAACACGAGCAAGCAGTACGAGACAAAGTATGCGATCATCGGGCCAGTGTGCTTTCTTTCATAAGTTTTTTGTCTTTTTGGAGGGGAGGCCCCCCAGCCTTGGTAGATGAGGAAGGGGGGCCCAGATGTGTTTTGATGTGGTACAAAAGAAGTTCATGGTATCTCTTTCGTATCTGAACTCTTCTTTTCCTGTACCCTCCCCCGAGTTGTTTGAACAAAAAGAAGCTCTTCCTTGCAGCAGGGAGGTGATGATGTGGCCTGCACAGTGTAGGCGCGCTTATGCCCGTCATGCTGCCTCCCGCGCTTGACCTTCTTTTCGTATCTCCGAGAACCCAGTCATGAATTTTTACTCCCAAATGCAAGAACCAGATGATGAAGACACCGACCCAACAACGCCTGTAATAATTTACTTGCGCATAGAGCTGGCACGTCTCTTGCGAGACTCGGCCTTCTGGGCCTTGGCCTCAGAGACACGCTTGGCCAGGATCTGGGCGTACTCGTTCTGTAGGAAGACATGTTAGTCATTGCACTCATGACTAGGCAGGGTGTTGATTTGACGTACAGCCTCATCCTTGACCTTCTCGGCCTGGCGGCGCTTGAGGGCGATCCGGTGGCGCTTGTGCTGGAGGCGCTGAGGAGTGACGAGTCTCTGGATCTTGGGAGCCTTGGTGTAGGCAGCCTTGCCCTCGCCCTTGGGCTGGACCTCACGTCTGATGACGTACTTGCGGACCTATATGATGGGAGAAGAACCCTTATTAATATCTCGTGTGTTTTTCCTTTCGATCGGTGTTGTACGCTCAGACTCTGCTCCGGCATTGCTCGAGTGGGACTCCGAAAGAACCTCATTCTTTCTTCATCCCACACAAGCAACGACCGGGCAGGCGACGACGATTGTTGTACTTACATCGTCATCCTTGCTGAGACCGAAGAAGCGGCGGATCTTGGTGGCACGCTTGGGGCCGAGGCGCTTGGGGTGGACGACGTCGGTCAGGCCGGGGATCTCGTTCTCGCCCTGCTTGACGACGGAGAGGGCAAGGACGGAAAGGTCCATGGCGACGATGCAGCCACGGACGGACTTCCTCTTGCGCTCGCCGGTGCGGCGGGGGCGGTAGCAGGAGTGACCCTCAGAGAGCAGGAGTCTGACACGGGTAGGGTGCATGACACCCTGCTTCATGGGGAAACCCTGCTTGTCGTTGCCGCCGGTGATGCGGAAGATGTAGCCCTTGAACTCATCGCCGAGGTTGTCGCCGGGAACTTCTTGACCCATCTAAACAAGCAAAGGCATGTTAGTTTGTGTTGCATAGAATCGGCCATTGTGCGGATCGATGGAGCGACAGAAGGCGGTAAAGATCGACTATCGACGAAGCCCGACGAACAGGCCAGGCGTCCGTCTCAAATCCTTCCTTGCGCGCGCTTCGTCGGGTGTCTCGAATTCCGTTCTTTTCGGCCGGTGTGGTGCATGTTTTCCCGGAGTGCCGTGGCAACGTACGCGCTTCTCCATGAAGTCACGGAGCTTTCTCTCATCCTCGATCTCGACGAGCTTCTGGCTGCCATTGGCAGGGTAGGAGATGTTCAACTTCATCTCGGCGGTGTTGGGTGGTCGACTGGTCGTTGGGTGTGCTGGGGAAAGAGAAGTCGTAGGAGTCCACCAAAAATCGCAGAACTTCGCAACACTGGGAGATGGGCCATACGGACAGGGGGGGTTTGTGATTTTGCTCGCCTAAAATTTCACGGCCGTGCCTGCCTTGTGTGGACCCATGCGGGAGCCCCTTCCAGGTTGTAGGGTTGGAGCACGGACCAGGCTGGGAGTCTGCTTATCCGCGTCCTTATCAGAGCCAGTCTGGCCAAGCTCCGCACGAGTGCCCGGAGTCTGGCCGCCTCTGATGCTTGACATCGGCGAGTGCTCATCCGCATGGTGTATGCGCAGCAACCATGCAAAGGGCCTATGCTACGCCGGGCTCCTGATCACACATGCTGTCTGTGAAGCGAACTTCTCAAGCTCACCAAGATGGCATCCTCCGTCAAACTCCATCCTCGACCTCTCGAAAAGTCAACCGAGCCGCTGGACCAGTTTCCTTCTGTAATCCAGACGCCAGCAGGCTTGGCTATTCTTGAGCTACAAGGCACAATCAACTTGCCGGAAACTGATGAGTCGGACAGCACCGCAATCCCTATCGGAAGACTTTCATTCCCGGACTACCATCCAGACACCCAGGACAGCTCGGGCACGGCTTGGATGAAGCGGGTGCACCTTTTCATCGGTCAGAATCAACGGCTGACAGGGGAGGTCAAGAAACTGCCCAAGGCAATTGCTATTCTGCGTAAACGGCATTCTCGGGATGATACCCCCATGAAGGATGGTCCCCTAGGGACGGCCAGCGAAGACCTCGAGGTCTTCGAAATTGTAAAGTACAAGCTCATGTTCAGTCACCGGCCTGAGCCAGTCGGCACGTCTTGAGTCCTGTCAAACGCTCACATGACCTTGCCACCACCTGATGACCGCCTCAACCACCACCAGATTGGGGAATGACAGTCACTCATCCGGGTCATGATCGAGACTGGATCAGCGGTATAAGGACATCCGCAATCTTGTCGCCCATCAGGTCATACCCAGCCGCGGAAAAGTGCACGCCGTCTGTATCCCAGTATTTCGAACGATCTGCGCTGCTCATGGTGTGGTACGGAAACTCTTTGTAAAGGTCCAAAGAGGAACTATGTGGTCGTCAGCGTTGCAACGTACACATATGTATGATTTTGGCCCCGCGCGACTGGTTGGGTTGACTTACAAAGCTGCGTGGTCGTAAGACCTGATTGCATCGTTGACCGCTGCTCTTTTGTCGTCAATCTTCTGGATCTTGGCGCGATATTCTGGAATTGTCATAGCCAGGACACGGCTGCCCTCTGCTATGGGAAATTCCCAAACCTGCTTCAGCGCAGCAATGATTGCATCTGCAGGCTTGTTCCAGTTGATATCACTGGCCTCCGGTCAATTATGAAGGCTGTCAAAGCGCGGTAGTCCGGACTCACTTCGATCCACCCAGAATGATTGCCCAGTCGAACGGACGATCAGCGACGGACCCTATTTGCCGTACGCTTCAGCGACTGCGGAACGAAAAGAATGGTCCGGCACAGATGGGGGAATCATACATGCTGCCTCAAGTCGTTCGTCGAAGCCGCCTTGAGTGACTTGATCTCCATGCTTGCCTTCGACCTGGCACTCGATTTCATGGTCCGGGAATGCCTGTTGGAGCCTGGTTCTTAACTTCAGTGCGTATGGGTGTTCCATCCCTGCCGTTGATCCAGCCGTCAACGAGTCGCCAACACAGAGAATGTTCAGAGTTGTCATTTTGCTGTCCGGACCTGTGAACGCAGTTCGATGGATATTGTACCGGAGATGGATACGTGAATTTCATCTCTGATGTTTCAAGAGGAATATATGACCAGTGACTGGGAGTACACAGTGAAGAATGATGGTTTAGTAAGCCGGGAAGTCGCGAGGCCACGCTGCCTAAGCCTCGTGTGCCGAGTTCACCAGTACCAGGACAGAGACTCAGCGGCCAAACTCTGCAGATTGTCTTGAGAAAAAGCCTATGGTGTTGTTCTAAATGCTGACGGAAAGCAACAAACTGGTTCTTGAGTAGAAGGACCCAGACAGAACACCCGGGCTCAAGCGCCAAACAGTGAGGAAACTGCTAAAACCAATCAGAAAGAAAATTATGTCTCCGAATAGCGGCAGATATCATAATCGCCACTGAAAATAAAGTACAGCTAGCCCAATGCCATCCTCGTCATTGTGATTCCCAGCAGTTACGGCATTCCAGCCGGAGCAAACTGAACGTGAGGCCCCGCACCCGACTCCCCCATGCCGGAAATCTTATGTAATCGCGGATCCGTATCCCGAACTCTCCCTCCGACGGCGCGACCACCACCAAATGCAGCAAGCAGCTATTTGTATTGACCATCGAACGCTGCGCGCAACCATCGATAATATCCACGGCCAGGGATCGACATTTCAAGTACCTCACAAGCGCGCTCGTAGGAACCGTCGCAGCCAGCTTTTCAAACACCAGCGCGAGAGGCTTTGCACAGAAAATCACGTCAAGCCCGCACGCATCGGCGTCGCGACATTCCGCCGTCCTGAGATTCACCTGATCCATCCCACAAGACGAGCGGCATCGGCCTGTCGAACATGCAGACCGACAACGCGGACTCGGCCGCCGCGCCGACGGAATCGCAACAGCAGCAGTCACAACCTCCCGCTTCGCAGCAACAGCAGCAGCAAGCATCAACACAGCAGCCCGCAGCGGCTCCTGCCCAGGATGCGGCGGCGCCGCCGCTGCCAGAATCCAAGATGCCCACGCGCAAGGACACGTCTCTGAAGGAATTCCTCAACAAGATGGATGACTACGCGCCTATCGTATGTGGCCCTAACCCCCTCTCCCCCACCTCTTTACCATTGAGCTCGCTTGTCGTCGTCGTCGTCGTCGTCGTCATCGTCGCAGATCCCATGCTGACTTGCTCCCTCTCTCTTTCCGCAACCGCGCAGATCCCCGACGCAGTCACAAACTACTACATGACCAAAGCCGGCCTCCCGCCCCCGCCACACACGGACCCGCGGCTGGCGCGCCTGATTGCGCTCGCCGTGCAGAAGTTTGTCGCCGACGTCGCCGCCGACGCGTACCAGTACAGCCGCATCCGCGCGTCCAACACCAGCACCAACAACCCCATGGGCAACCTCGGCGCGGCCGCGGGCATTCCCATGCCGGGCCAGGCGCCCGGCGGCTCGAGCAAGGACCAAGGCAAAGGCGGGCCGCTGGGTATCCAGCGCGCGGGCTATGGCGGTGGCGGGCAGGGCGGCAGCCAGAACCGGACGGTGCTGACGATGGAGGACCTCGGCATGGCGGTGGGCGAGTATGGCGTGAATGTCAAGAGGAGCGAGTTCTACCGGTGAGGCAAAGGCAGGTGAGCCCTGCAAGGGGCGCCGGCACACCGCTCTGGGTCGCTGGAGTTGTGGACTGGGAGACAGGAGTGCTTTGTCCCCATTATTAGTGGTGTTTTCGTGCGGAATCTGAGCTCCGCGTGTGCTTTTTTGATACGCATTTTCTAAGAGGCTTGCAATCAGGGGTTAGGCGCATATCATGGCGTTTGGGGCCGCATTATGGCATGAATATATCAGAATTAGGAAACCAACGCGTGCTCTCTGTGCCAGACGACGTCCAGGATGATGCGTATGAGCCTCTGCATGCGCTCACGAAAGCAAAACCACGTCTTTACAACAATCTGCGACTGATCCATGTCTTGGCGTCTTTCATTGACTCGTAAATGTACAGTTCCCCCCATTTCTTGTAATGTACAATATCAAACACAAACTTGTCCATGACTTCCTCTCCTCGTCTATTTATTCCAGATGAATGGCCTCCTCGTCCTAGAAAGACAAGATAGTCAGCAAACTGCTCTTTATACCCCCCCCCCCCCCCCCCCGAAAACCACGACCCCATAACAACAAATGAGATGGGAGGGACCGGGAGAAAAAGAAAGACGTACATTGAAAACTCGCCAAGCTTGTGACCGACCATGTCCTCGGTGATGAACACGTCGGTGTAGTCCTTGCCGTTGTGCACCTGGAACTTGAGCCCGACGAAGCTCGGCAAGATCGTGGCCGAGCGGGCCTGCGTGCGTATCGGCTTGGCCTTGACACCTGGCGCGGGGCGGACGATGGGGAGCCTGTTTTCCGTGGCGTATGATGGTTCTTTGTTAGCTGCGTCCGCTTGTCTGGCGCAATTTCTCTTCTGCTTTTCCTGTCGGTTCTCGTGTGCCGCTCGACGTCTCCCTTTACTATCTGATGTGCTGCATTCCCCGTCCGGATTGAAACGGGTCTGGCTCTTGGGACTGTGTTCGACTTGCGTGCGAAGAGGCTTCCAAGAGCTATGCCCCCCAGCTGTGCCTCTGTTGCCACCCATGCAACCCCCTGTGTGGTGCGGAAGTGTTCATCATAGTCGAGAGTCAAAGGGACGAGAGCGAGGCAGATCGAGACCGGGCGAGGTTGAGATCACGAAAGGGTCAGGTCGCATGCTTACGGGACAATGTGAGGGCCTGCAAGATGATTCAACGGATCAGTCAGCCTGCCTCTATATGTTGTGCACCCGCTCGGGCGGTGGTCGGGAGCAGCGATTGACCATGAGGGGGCTCATGACATACCTTTCCAGACCGAACGGCCCTTGAGAAGGCACCGGGTGGGCTGCATCCTGGCCGTGTGCTATGTGTGTAGGCGTGTGCGCGCGCGAGTACGGTGCGGGACGGGTTTGCAACTGGCGATGCGCGGATACCGCGAGTTTGAGGCGGCTGGAGGGGAGGGCGTGGGGGATCGTGCAGTTGTGGTGAGCGGTTCGTTTGGAGGTGTCTTGTGGGATTCGGGCCTGGCGTGGGTAGTGCTGGGGAAATCCAAAAGTTGAAGATCTGGAAGCCGCGCCGAGACCCTCGAAATGGTTTAGCGCGCCGGGGGCCGACCTGTGGTTATGCTCCACCCACTCACATGAAGCTGGAGGATCTCCGAGCTTCTGGCTGCACTGGCTTGGGAATGACTGGACATTTGTACTGGGTTGCAATTCAACGCATGGGTTTCTGCTAATTGCAGCAATCTCTGCAGGTGCTAAATGCAGCGTTGACGTTTAAAACGGATCGCATGCTGCGCCGTGTAAATGGAATGTTCACTAACTATTATAATGTAACCAGAACGCCGTGCGCCCAGTCTAATCGCTGAAGAATGCCACACGCTCCTGATGCTTGGAAAAACACAAAACCTCACAGACAGCCCGCCCAACGACTACTTTGAAGCCTCGCTGCCATCAGGCGAACGATCTGGTGATCTCCTCGTCTCCGTCATCTTCTTCATACGCTCTTCCGCAGCTTTGGCAATGATCTCGCGCCTACTCAAGGCAATGCCGCTGGAGCTTGGCCCAGCTGCCCCGGTCGCCGTGCCTCCGCCCAGGACGAACTCGCCGCCCGTCCAGCCCCCATGGTCGTATGCTATCTCGTCGCTTTCAACGTCTGCAGGCTCGTAAAAGTCGGACCCGGCCACGTTGCGCCCTCCGCTCTTCCAGTCGGCTTTGGCCACCTCGCGCTCAATCTGGTGGCACAGGTCCCAGAAGTTGCGGTCGTGAGGGCTGTGCACATTGTGCGCCAGCTCGTGGCACAAGGTGTTGCGGATCGTCTTGTAGTCTCGGTACCCGTCATAGGCGTCTGTCCGCAGCCGCAGCTCAATAACCTCGCCCTTGTTGCGGTTGAGCCCCAGAATCCGCGTGGTGCCCTCATGGTTCGACTCTGTGTTGGACAAGGGGTCCATCTCGGTAAGGAGGCCAACAGAGAACTTGTGCTTGCGCATGGCGGCCTTGATGCCCGGGTCGGCCTTGAGCCGCTCCAGAAAAGCCAGCGAGCGGCTGGGGTGTGGCAAGTTTGGAAGCGGCCGGAGCTGCATGAAGGTATACGTGCTGTCTTCTTGCGCTCTGGCTGGATCGCGACGGGAGATGAGCTTTGGTGGGTGGCGACGGACCGCGGCCAGATGAGCTTGGCGGGCAGCCGCAGCCGCAGATGCACGGTTCAGGGAGGCGATCTCATCATTTGGGGTGCCCATGAGTGTGATCTTTTTGTTCTCAAGCTGTTTGAGAGACATGTCGTCGGAGAATGGTGCCTTTAGCGTGCCGACCTTTGGGACGAGCAGCTTCTGGTTTTCAACGGGGACGCGGAGGTCATCCTCGATGGCCGCGCACAGGTGCGCTATCGTGGCCGACTCATCAAAGTGTAGAGAATGCTGCTTGCCGCGGTATGTGAAGGAGACGACGACGACGGCATCGCTGTGAGACGCCTCGTGCTCGTGCACCCCCGGGTCTGCCATGGAGTTGACGCTTTGATACTCAAGGGTTGCCGCCTCGCGGATGTCCAGCGGCCAAGTGGTGGCAAGGAAGAACAAGTGGTGGGTGCAGGTTAGCCTCCGAATCGCTCTCGAGTGTCCAGGATGAGAGAGCAGAAGCTGTGGCTTGTGTGTTGGTGGTCTTGTGTGTGTGTGTGTGTGTGATGGGTTACTGGTGATGATCACTGCTCAAGACCCATCCTTGAGAAGAGCATGGCGACCTGTATATAATCGAGGGTAGGGCTGAGAACCACAGCGGCGCCGGCCGGCGCTGCCGTCGAAGCTTCACGATGATGAGGCGAAGGCAGCTTTGTAATACGTCGGATGCCGCCCTGATGACCTGCAGGGCCCCGGCAGGCCCGCCTCTGGTCTGGACAGGGGTCCTTCCCTGCTGACATAATCCGTCTCTGGGAGCTCCACTTGCACCCGCGGACGTCAGGGCTCCACGACTGCCACTTTGAGGCAGTCGAGCAATGGTGGAGCTGTCAAGCCCAAGGAGGGAATGCAGCACTGGTTGGTCAATCGGCGCGTTTCGTGTCCTTTCCGTTCGCCCTCGACACGTTTCTCCCTCTCATTAATCACGTCGCCCCATCCTCCCCGGCTCGAACGAACGACAAGCCAAACAAAGTCTGCGCAGCGCCCGATCCCTCCGAATCTCGACAACCTCGATTCCTCGCCGACTAGCCCTCGCGAGGCACCCGCGTCAGACCGGAGCCACCAGGACAACGACCTTTCTAGTACAAGCTCGAGCTTGCTGGAGCTAAAGCTCCTTCCTCAGACCACACACACAACCTCGCACCAGCTCGACCCCGGGTAAACTGCGTTGCAGTTGGCCTGCACTCTTCGCCGACATGCCGCTCAACGTATTCAGAGTCCTTGGTACGACCATGAACAGGGGGCCATCATACGCAGCAAGGAACAAGAGCTAACGCTGGCTGTGTAGCGGACTTTTCCCATCTCGCGTCCATCTTCATCCTCCTCCACAAGATGACCGAGCTCAATGTATGATACGACACTGTTCACACAAGTCCCTATGTGACAGCGACGAGGACTCCAGCTGACAGTATGATCTAGGGCTGTGCCGGCATCTCATTCAAATCACAAGCCCTCTACCTCGTAGTCTACGTGACGAGATACCTTGGTATGACCGCCCCGATCGTCTAACGGCCCAGCCAGACATGGCTGCAGCTCTTCCTCTCTCTAACAGCACCCAAAACAGATCTGTTCAATACCGACAGCGTATACAACTTTATATTCAAGGTCCTCTTCATCGCCTCGCAGAGCTACATCATCTACCTCATGACGTCCAAGTACAAGCCCACGCACGACCCCGGGCTCGACACCTTCCGCGTGCAGTACCTGGTCGGCGGCGCCGCGATCCTGGCCATCCTCATCCCTTACAAGTACACCATGTCCGAGATCCTCTGGGCCTTCTCCATCTGGCTCGAGTCCGTCGCCATTCTGCCGCAGCTCTTCATGCTCCAGCGCACCGGCGAGGCCGAGACCATCACCACGCACTACCTCTTCGCCCTGGGCATCTACCGCGGCCTCTACATCCCCAACTGGATCTGGCGCTACTTCTCCGAGCCCAACCACAAGATCGATTGGATCGCCATGGTCGCCGGCATCGTCCAGACCATTCTCTACAGTGACTTCTTCTGGATATACTACACAAAGGTCATGAAGGGCAAGAAGTTCAAGCTCCCGGTCTGAAAATGCCTCCGTCTCGAGGAGCCGCACAGGGTTGCAAAAACAACAACAAAAAATTCCTCTCTAGACCGCACAGGGCGTCATTGGAGGGGCACATGCTTTGAGAGGGATCACTATACCATTATTGGAGTTCGTTCTTGGGCATAGGCGGGGAACCAAGCAGGATTTGTCGGGTTTGTTTAATAGATGTCATTTATCATGACTCGCAGAAAAGCACACGTTGTCGGCGCAAAAGGACAACACTGGCCGGAAAAATAATAAAAACCATGTCAAAAAACACCCCATCATGCCTGTTCTCTTTTTCTATGAAACCAGCATCTATCCCGCGCATGATGCACCGTTGGCCAGCAATCCTCGAAAGCATACACGCCACATGCTGAAATAGCGTCCTTGAAGAACACCGTGCGATGAAACAAATCAAAACCGGCGTGTTGAGTAACCATGTGAGAAACAAGATAGATATGATGCGCGAAACTATTGGAAACATTTCGGGGCTGTCCCCGTCCTATCATGTGCCATGCCCTCACACCCCAGAAAATCTCATTGATTGATCCCGTTAGACTGAGTCTTATGTCTATCGATGGCCTGCACTCCTTCGAATAAACTTGCCTTCAGAATAAGTCCAGCGGCCCAGGTAGTTGTGGGATGGATCCGGCCGACTGCCACTTTCTCTCTCGATTGTGGGGGAAACGGGACCTATCTCCGTTCCAAGGTGACCTCGACTAGGCGAAGCCGAAGTATTCGCTACCAGCAGTAATGGCTTTGAGTAGTTGACTGCGGAGCATGTCGTAGCTGTCATACTCGGGCAAATCCAGTTCTATTGTGGGTCAGAAAGTCAGCTTTGCTATTGCGTCAGGTAACTGGAATGGTGGACTTACGGTTGAAGCACGTGTGCGAGCTGGGCAAGCGATCCTTGTTGCCATAGTCACGGTGGATGTTGAAACGGTTGATGCCATTCATGCCTTCAAGCTCCTTGAAGCCGTTCAGCGGCACTTTACTGGTGCCCGTCACAAATTGCAACAGCTTGGCGAGCTCCTCCTTGTCGAAAGAGCGCAGTGCACGCCAGAACCACTGGATCTGCTGTGACGATGGCGTGTAGTTGTGGTACTCGGTGTTACCCTTCCAGTCGTCGACATCAATGTCAGGCAACCCGGAGATAAGGAGCTCCAGTTCCTGCTCGTTGAAGATTGAGATCAAGTCCGCTGGAATGATTTCATGGAAGCCTGTCAAGTTGTGTCAGTTATGCTTTGTGTCACCTTTTTAAAACTGTCCTTGGGCAGAGTGTAATATACCTTTGAGGAATTGCTCCATTTGCTCACGCACAGAAGAGAGTAGCTTGTGCTCAACCACCAGACGCACATACTCCTGCTTGTTCTCTTCCGTGACGGGAATATTGCGACCATTTTCGCGGAGGTCTTCGACACGAGTGACGCCAAACTCGTCAGTCTCGACCGAGAAGGTCTCAGTGATGATATCAGTGATGTCGTTCTCAAGCATCCAAACAAGTGACTTGTAGTAGTCGGGATCGAATGACTCCATATCCTTGACAGACACCGGCTTGCCCAAAATGCGCTTGTAGACAGCACGGCTAAAGTAGCAATCAAGGACTCTTCCCTCGTACAGAGCCTTGCCTATCACGCGCCCAATGAACTTGAAGTACATCAAGTGCTCATCGTTGATACCGCTGAGCTTGTTGGGGTGGAAGGTTGTGCGATCGCTGGAGACCGGAACGAAGAGCGCGTAGTTGGGGTCGAACATCTGTCGCGAGAGGACTTGGAACCACTCTCGAGTAACACCGCCCGCGTCCACACCCTCTTCGCCGTGGAAACGGATGTTGAGCTTGCCAAACTTCATTTCATCGCCACTCTTGAAGTAGAGAGACTTGAAGGAATCCTGGAAGACCTGGTCACGACGAACCTGGAGCTGGAGAGTGGGGAAGATTCGCCCAGCAGGCACTTGACCCTTGTTGTGGACACTGCGAGTGAACCAGCTACGCTTGTTGTCGAACTCCAGGACCTTCGGGTTCTTGACCAGGTTGGAGAAAGTGCCCTTCATCAGCGAAGGATTGTTCCGCACAAGCTCGTTGAGAATTCGGCGATGCTCCTCGGTGAACGTGAAGAACAGGCTCGCAATGTGCGACTCCGGCGGAGGGCTAGTAAGGAGCATTTCCTTGTCTTGACCACTTTGCAACTCAGTCTGCGCATTGTCCTTGCAGACGACCATCAAGGACTCGATTAGTGGCAACAGGATCGTTGCGACGTTGATAAGGTTCTCTCTCTCCCGGATGGCGCTGAGACAAGCGCTGAGCTTTTCCCAGAGTGCGTTGAAGGTGGGATTACGGTAGAGTTCGGAGAGGAGGTCCTGTTTCCGTGCCTGTTCGGCAGAGGCAGAGGCGTCGTTGGCGTCGACGTCGCTCTTCTTTTGGGCAAACAGATGATCAAGCGCCGTGAGAACACGGAGCAGCTTGTTCTGGTCGGAAGCCCCAGGCGAAAACTTGGCCAAGGCTACGCCTTGAATTTCAGTGCCAGAAGTGGCATTCTCAATGTGCGGCAACAGATCGTCGAGATGCTTCACAATCTTTTCGCTTAGCACCTGTGCTTGTTTGGCGAGTTCTTCGCCAAAAACCAGCATGGCACCTGGAACGGCAGACAAGTTCTTGATAGTCGACAGAGTCTCCTTGAACGTCCTTGAACTGCATTCCCTGGCAATGAAGATGTTGATAATGAGGGTCAGGTTCTGGACAGGAATGACAGGGGGGTGCAAGTGCTTCAGCTTCTTCTGCAGTGCCAGCTTCTTCTCGGCAAGCTGGGTGGGATTGTCATCAGCAGTGGACGTGCTGTCGGCCGCCGCAGCTTGGTCAGTAGAGCCAGAGGTACTGACGTGAGGCTGTTCGTTGGCAGGCTCGGAGTCGCCTATGCGTTCTTCGGCATTTCCTCCTTCCTGAACAGCACCTGTCATGGCAGTTGACTGTGCTGCAGGAGCAGGCGTAGCCTCCAACTTCTGAATAGCCGCGATGGCCTCCTTCTTCTTGCGCTCGAGAGCTAGTAGTGGGAAAGTGACTCGGCTCAGCAGCGACGACAAGCTGTCCATGATAGCAGAGCTCTCCATCACCAGATCTCGGTCGAGGAGTGCGAGGAGAGAGTTGATAGCGTACTTATGAGCCTTGGCATCCTTGTTCTTTCCCTTGCGACTCAGTGTGCGCTTCAAGGGTAATGTGGCCGTTTCATGCTCGGTCAGGAAGAGGGAGGGGACGTGGATATTATATTCGGCAAGGTAGCCAAGAAGATCCAGGCATTGCTGGACAATAAGCAGCGGCGATGTCTCCGAGCTCGGGTGGACAGCTTGAGAAGGCGTGAGACCTGTGCCAGAACGCTTTATGCTTTGTGGTGTCTTTGGGTCCTTTTCTTTCGGTTGCTTGGCCTTTATTGAAAGATGCACAAAGCTTCGTTCTACAGCGTCGATGTCGGTGGTCCCGTCTTGCAGAATCTGCAACAGTGTATTGATGACCTCGGATCGGTTGAACCTATTCTCACACACGTCCTTGAAGACATGCTTGAGTGAGCTCTCCAAAGACCCGCCCTTGACATTGATGAACATGAGGCGCAACAAGGTGGCCACGCCGGGTTTGTCAAGCATCTGAACAACCGCCTTGCGCTGATTCTTGTCGCTCTCGGTTTGCCCAGAAGAGGTCGTCTCGCGTGGACGGCTGGAAGATGCGGCTGTCTCGCGGGCACCGGGTTCGGGACGAGCTAGCCGGCGCGCCTGCGCAGCCATCTCGGGTGGCAGCGTATCCATGAGGTCAGCTCCTTGTTCGATGAGAACTTGTTCTCGCAAATCAGGGGGGAGAGTCATGAGAATGCTGGCCGGATCCATGTCCTGCGCCTCGGACAATTGTCCAGGATTGGCAGTGGAGGCTTGTCTTCGGGCTTCCTGGTGCTCACGCCGACGTTGCTCGGCACGCTCCTGTTGAACAATCTCCATGCGTAGCTCGCGTGGGAGTGCATCGAGGAACTCCTGGAATACTTCCGTCTGTTCTCCAGGACCAGGGCCCTCTCGCGCTTGCGCGCGGCGGGTGCTGATGGTCTGAGCAATGACTTCTTCTCGGAATTCTTCAGGTAGAGCCTCAAGATAATCAGCATCGATACCAAGATCTGTGATATCGACCTGTTCTCCCCTAATCGTTGTGTAGACACGTGGTTGGCTTGGCTGGGCACTGCCTTGGATGGCATCAGGGTCATCATGCGTGGTCTCTATGCCTTCCATCGCCTCTACGTCTGACGCGGCGGATGGCTGTTCCGTAGAACCAGATTCCGACTGGACTTGCGCGGCGAGCTCTGCCGCTTCTGCCGCAGCACGCTCACGCTCCTCAGCCTCTTGCTTCTCGCGAATCGCCCTTTCTTCCGCCTCTTTTGCTTCGCGGGCCTTTCGCTCCTCTTCCTCAATCCGCTTCCGCTCCTCTTCCTGCTTGCGGCGGATTTCTGCTTGCTCTCGCTCATGCTTCATGGCTGGTGGTACCAGATGCGACAGAATGATGGGAACTAGGCGAGCTGACTTGTCTGCATGCTGCTGGCCGAAGATCATCTTCACTTCATCGATCCATCTGAGGATTGTGTTCTCGATGGTGAAGGAGCTGGCTTGGCTGGGTTCTTGGAAATGCTCTCTCCTGTCTGGGCGGGCTTCACGGCCGTGGTGGTCAATAGGTAGGTGAACCTCACGAACCTCGCCGCGCGGTCCTTGCGTGATTTGGAAATGCAGAGCGTGCCCGTTCCTGTTGAACGAGAGTGGCAGCGATGATACGAGCTCATTGATGAAGGCCATGGGGTTGTCCAGGTTGGCGGCCCCAAACAAGTTGCCAGGCAGACCCAGGCGCAACAGGTTGGGATTGAAGCCACGATTGGAACCTTCCTGGGCGGCATCTGTTCGACGCAAAAGTGGATTGGTGCCGTCCTCATTGCTTGGTGTACGAGCATCATGCCGATGAACGCGCCCAAAGCCTCGCCCATCCAGGGCAGCAAGCGGGTCACCCCTTGTGCCCATCATGAACGGAATAGGGGGCAGTCCTGGGTTGCGAACGTTATGGCGGTGACGATGGTGAGGGTGGCCACCGAACATGCCGCCGTTGTCGACAACAAAGGTGGTGTCCCATCCTAGGCTCGGAGCGCCCATGTTAGGAGGCGGAGGATCGTTCGGGTAGTCGTCCTCGTACGCATACTCGTCTTCCAGATCTTCATCGACGTCGTCTTCATCGTCCTCTTCCGCGACAAAACGGTCGTTCAGGTCGTCTATCTGGAAATCCTCGTCAATAGCGCGCATGATGTCGCCGATCCTGGGAGCTCCGTCGCCATCCAGCTCGTGGGTATGAGGCTCGTCGAGCTCCTCATCGTGTTCGCCAAAATCCTCCCCGTCAACATCATCTTCGTCCTCCTCGCTGGAACTCTCCCAGCCAGAACCTCCATCGTCCTCAAGCGGGTTACCTTCCTCGTCGACGATTTCGATACGATCCTCGACATCGTCCATGTCGTCAGAGTCTTCTTCGTCATCGTCATCACTATCTTCGTCGTCGTCTTCATCCATGTCGTCGTCCTCGTCATCGTCGTCATCGTCCATGGTTACTTCGACGACACCAAGGTCTCCAGGGAGTCCCTCAATAGGACCCATCCCCGCCATTTCCTCCTCATCTTCATCGTCCTCGCTGACGTCTTCCTCGGGATCTCTGATCTCGTCATCCTCTTCGTCGTACTCCATTTCGTCGTCATATTCGTCGTCGTACATTTCGTCATCCTCTTCTTCATCATCTTCGGAATAGTCGCCCTCCCGAGCTCGGCCAGGCTCGTTGAGACCAAGAGCAGAGTTGCGATAGAGATCAGGTGTCTCTTCACGGTCGTCCTCAATGTCGGATAGAGATGTCGCTGACGCAATCTCATCGTCGAGTATGTCTTGGTTGGGAGGCATGGAGATGATGTTGGAATGGCTGAGCTGAATGGCGGTACTAGTCAAGATACGGAGGACTCGCAAAATATACTTGATCGTCCGTTTGACAGGGGGAAAAGCCAGATCAATGTCCGCAATGGACGTGGTCAGCGCCGAGAGATATCCTTTCTCGTACATGAGACGACGGATCTGAGCCTGAGAGCGGTCAGGCGACTCTAGCGTTGCGCGCGATGGAAGCGGCGTTTCCTTCTCCTTGTCGCCCATCATGACGTACATGACCTCTGCAAGGGCCAGCATCTTGGCGTATCGGGCCTCGAAGGTCTCGCTAGAGAACGAAGCGTCTTTGTAGGCCTTGAGAGTCGTGTCTAGAACGAACTTGCGTACGAATAGGAGGTCTGGCTCTTCATCGTAGTCATACTTATCGCGGCTTCGGTCGATGGGCTTTTCGCCTGTTTTGCTGACCAACGCCACCAAGAGATTCTGCGCCAAGGTGGCAGTCGCATGCTTCTTCTTCAGAACTAGACTGTCAGCGTGCGGGTCTGCCCAGCTACTCGAACAGAGAAGATCATTGAGGAGGTAGTTCAGAGCGTTTGATCGAGGCTTGATAGGCGTGTTTGTCTGCAGCGGGGCGCTTCGCTTGAAGTTGATAAACTCCATCTTTGTTCTGTTGTAGCTTTGGAGAAGCTCCGCCAAGCAGGACAAGAGGAAGCATCGATACACGAAGATGGGGTGTTCATCAGGCTTGAACGCTGGCTTCGTCTTCTTGTCTTTGGCTTCTGAGTTCCGATCACCCCCTTCACTTGAATCGCCAGTTCGGGCTGTGGTGGACACCGCTTTGTCCTCAGCCTGTGTGGGCTCCTTCTGGCCAGACGATGAATCCACGTCATCGACTGCCCGATAGTTTTGCAACTCGCAGAGAAGGAAGTGCACCACGCCATCGGGGTTTTCCAGCACTGGTCGTTTGTCAGTGGTGGACAGTTTTGCATGGTCTGCAATAGACTTGTCTTTATCCTCCGTAGACTGCTTGACGTCCTGGATGGACAAGTCCTCGGTAGCGCGAACAGTTGGAGCGACATCATCCTTGGCCGCATCTGAGCGTGGCTCTTTCAGAGCAATTGGTTGTCGATGGCCCATGCCTGATTCATGCAGATTCCAACGAGGGAGTTTGATGAGCTCGTTTGCAATTTGTATAAACAGCTTGGGTTCCCTGAGCGCGACATGGGACAATGTGCGAACAAAGTTGGTCATCTCAGGGGAGCCACGGCTCCTCGTCTGCTCAAAGAAGGACCGAATCTCACAGCGCATGAATTGCTTGAGTACCTCCTCATCCTCGACGATGTGGCGAAGGACTATAAGCATGTGCGCTGTGATTCGCTTGTCATTGAGGCGCGCGGAGCCCAGTCCACACAACTGCTTCGCCATGACGAAGAGCCTTTGAAGATTGGCTTGTTTGCCCACCACGCGAGCAAAGCTACGGTCGCGCGTCATGATGACAAGAATCCGCAAGACCGACACTGCTAGAGCTTCCTCTTTGCCAATTCGAGGGAGAATAGCCAGAATCGATTCCAGCAAGACTTTGCGGTCATCATTCTTGATGTTCATGTCTTTAGTGGGCCACAGGAGAGGCTCCACTGTGTCACTTTCGCTCGAAGGCGCCTTCCAACTGATCTCAACAGGCTGCTCGTCGTCACTAAGAAGGATCTCGAGTACCAGCAAGATGTAGGGGATCCAAGGCGGTAGCTCTTCAGACGAAGATGAAGCTCGCAATTCCAAGAAGCGTAGAAGATCGCTCACGTTATCCTTCAGCGATCCAACCGTCGCCTTGAAGAAGTCCTTGTCCTGCAGCAGCAGAGAGAGCAGGTGGGCATATGCTGCAATGCTCCGCCCAATGGGCTTGAAGTCATCTTCAGCAGCGAAAGACATTAGAGCGTTAACAAGGGTCTCGCCGATTTCCTGACGGGAAGAGACATCCTCAGAGCCACGCAGGGACGTGACCCGAATCAGTTCCGATATTTCATGCGTTGAATCGGGATGCTCTCGGATCACGTCGAGGCATCTGTCAATAAGGTCTTCCCGTATCTCAGCCCGCGCCTTGTCCAGGTCGTCTCTGCTGGCCGCGGGACGTTCCTTCTGATCTGCCTCACTGACGACAGCTGACGGCGCAGTTTGTGCTCCAGGTCCCGAAACCACAGCAATCGAGCTTGACTCTGGACGTGAAGGAGGAAGTGAAGTGGTCCCTTGTTCAAGGTCAATGCCTGGCAATATCCCAACGTCTCGAAGCTCATCGAGAAAGTCATTTGCTTGATCGATTCGCATCTGGCCGTCATCTCCACCTGATTCGCTTCTAGCTGACGCATCTTCGGTATCCGGCTCGATGTGTGTTGGCGCATCAATTGGAGGAATAGGATTCCGAGGACCTGCCAATCCCGAGGCATGCGCGGTGCAATACTCGGAACTGAGTTGCGCATTGCCGTTGGCCCTGTAGACTGCTTCCTGGACGAGGTCTTCTGGGTGGCCTGTCTCGATGAGCCCACGTATCTCCCCAGCTACCGATGACCAGGGGAATGGCTCAAGTTTCGGCTGGAGGTAAGTGGGCGGAGGATTCTTCTCAGAGCTCCGATACGCGTGATTCTCGGAGTCAGCATCTGAAATTGCGCGCAGGATGTTGATGATCTTTGTGGTCAAATTCGACGCGGAGGTCTTCTCAACGAGCGGAGAATCCCACAATCTTCGTACGGCTGGAAGGATGGCTACACGCAGCTCGACAACTAGGTTGGGTGCGACTTGAGAATCAGGTCGACGATCCGAGCCACCAGTTCGTGGGATGAGGTTGACCTGCTGTACAGAATCCGTGACCACTTTTCCATTGACAAGCAAGGTGTAGAGGTCCAGTATCTTTTTCATGCCAATGGAAGCGAGTCTCGATAATGACGCGTCCTCGGAATCACTTCTGTCCCGGCAGAGGTCGTTGTTGAAGGTGCCGAGCAACTCATTCAGCTTTTCTATGCCCCCGTGTTTCTTGAACGCCACAAGCACAGGAGCAATGATATGGTGCCCAGTCCGTTCCATGTGTCTCGTGTCCAATCGGCGATCTATCAACATCTCATGGACTGTGTGGAGCATGATGATCCAGTATTGGTAATCCTTGGACGGCTTGCCAGGGCCCAGCGAATGCAGTTGCGACAAAATCGTCAGGGCTAGGCGCTCAGCCATCCGGACATGGTGGGCGCGAGTATATGCGTCACGCTCACGTCGGGGAAGCAAGGCCTTGCCGAATGTCTGCAGTAGGGGAAATGCGGTAGGCATGAGAGAATGGAGTAGCCCCCTGATTGTACGGAAGTTTCGATAGCGCGGCGTAGATTGCTCGCTCTTCGAGGCTTCGTGATTCTTCTCACCCGATGCAGAGGCCTGTGACAGGACATCAGGCAAGCCGTTTTCGTCAATGAATGCACTCATCGAGTCACCCCCAGTTATTCCTGGTGTGACAGGAGTCGTCTGATCTGCCGGCTGTGCATCCCTCTTAGCTGACCAGTGTCCAGGCACACAGTTGTTGATCGCCATCTCTTCAAGGATAACGGTCCTCAGCAGCGGACCGATGGATCCAATTAGACGGTCGTAATAATCGAAGACATTGACGGAGTGGAGAGTAATGGTCTGCGCACGAGAGGAATAGGGGTAACACTGGAAAAGCGTTCTGATAAGGGACTGAGCATTCAGAAGTGCCTTGATCAGTTGTGTTCCGCTCTCGACAACTTGCACGTCCGGTTGATCGACCAATACTGGCGCAAAGAAAGAGGTTTCCCCTCCAGAAGCATGCTGGACAACGGGTTCGAGGGCATCCAGAGCTGACTGAGTGCGTCTCAGCAGAGATGGAAGGCCGATGATGGGAGAGGTCTCGATCAGTTGTGAGATACAGACTTGTAGGTGTTTTGAAGCATGAGTATTGCCGAAATCATGCACTAGACTCGGGGCCGTGCTCAAATCTAGGAGCAATTCTATCCCGCCCTTTGAAATCAGTAATGACTTCAAGCTCGGGTTGCCAATGTATGACAACAGGAAGTTGGCCAGGGCGAAGATATATGGCGAAATCGACTCTCGAGGGGAACTAGGGCGCTGCTGGGCCTCCGAATCTGGCATGAGGGCTGGCACGGTTGCATCTGCCATGTCCACATCCGTGTCTTCGCTCGTACCAAGGGCTGTGTCTTTGCCTTTGCCTTGGTCTTCGGCACCCAAAAGCCGCGCACCCCAACCTGCCTCGCCCTTGACAATCGCAAGTTGGGTGACGCGTGCTATCATGTCCAAGACTGCATTTCCAATGGCAGGCCTGAGTGCAGGATGGTGCCGTGCCAGCTCGTCGAACAGACCACCCACACTCTGCGCGAGATCGGCATCGCTAGCAAGCACTCGAACGTGATTGGGACTTTCGAACACTTCGAAGAAGCTGTCAAGAACGCGAGACTGGACAACCAATTTCATGCCAACATTGTTGAGGGAGATGGCGTTGAGCACAGTCGGTATCGTTGTGATCACATCAGTCGACGGAAGGATACTGTGAGCGAGTGCGTCCGTCGACCTGCCCCGGAGAGATTCCCTCGGTGGTGGATGCGGTCGCGGGTCTTCTGCGAGATCGGTCTGTGTCGACTCGGAATCGTCCGATGCGCCTTCCGCAGACTCCGACTCGAGGATATCCGCGCCGGTGACAGCCTTGAGAAAGCTTTTGACAAGACCGGCCTCGGAAACAGCCGCAAAACTCGTTGGGTCGTTGTTGAGAAAGTCGCTTAAAATGGTGACCGCATTCGTCCAAACCAGAGACCCGAACCTCGGTGCCTTTTCAATTATTGATTTGATGCTGGCAAGGAGCGCGGACTGATCCACGAGGTTGCGCAGTAAGCGGTCTGTATTGCCTCCATGGGCGAAGGCATTCGACATGGAGTGATGAATGAACTTCAGCAGGAATTTGAGGTTCTGCTGCTGGTAAAAAGGGATCTCATAGTCCACAACGAGAGACCGGTGGCTTTCGGGGGTACGGTTGCCATTTGTAGCCAGAGTCTCTGCAAGTCGAACCTCGTGGGTCACCAGCTCTGTGATGGCTTCGAGACCGTTCGCGGCCACCAGAGTCTGGAATGACGTTTGTACATTGTATACTAGGCTGTCCAGGAACCCTACCAAAGTCCCATGAGTGCGCTCGGCGACGTTGGACCGCAGATTCAGAATCTCGACGAGAACATCGAGCAATCCTGCCGATATGATCTCTGGTGTACTTCTGGCTGTGTGCGCCATCGCCATTGTGATGTGTAGCGTGAGTGAGAAGAGGTTCTCACGCCATTCGTCCTCGATCGTCCACTGACTGCCAGTGTCGTCCTCTTTCATCTCCGCAACCGCTTTTCGGATCACATAAAGCAGTATGCCGTGGTTGACGGTCGCGTTCAGGGCAGAGAAAATGTCCGGAATCTTGGACGGATATCCTGAGATGGCCTCTAGAAGCGACAGGGCGATGGCTTGCAGGTCGAGCGGGACGACGGTCGCTCCATCCGAAGGAGGATGGATGAGTTCTGCGAGCTGATAGATTAACTGAAATCTGCGTGGCTCATCCTGATCTTGTCGTAGAACCTTCTCGGCGAAGCTGTTTTCCATGTGGATGTAAGCCAGGTTCTGTATAGCAAGTAGGCGAGCTTTGAGCGCAAGTTGCCGAGTCTCCTGTGATACGAGTAGAGCTTTTGCGACGCGGAGACGGTTGAGAAACTCGTAGCTGGCCTCTTTTGGCATGTCATCAGGGGTGCGCTCGAGCAGGCGAAAGATTGGGGTCGAGACGACAGACGATTGCGGGATCTCCAAAGATTTCTGATTTGGGGGGCTTGCTGTGGTGTCATGTCCTCCTTGGGGCGAGCCACTGTTCGATGCGGGACTATCATCCAAAGCAGTCTGGCGAGCCGATCGTGGAGTGGCATGAGAGCCCAGGGCCGAGCTTGATCGTCTCAAGGGGGTTGGCGTGGCCGGCAAAGCCGATGACGAATGCCGACCCTCCGTTATCGCAGGCTGCTGTGGCTCATGTGCGGTGCTTTGCTTGGGATAGTATGTCACCTTGATGTCGCCCCAACCTGCCCAGCGAGCATCCTGCGTGGTGTCGCCGGTGCTCTCTGGCTTGGCGATTGCACAAAGGTCATTTGCATACATGGCTGCAGAATTGCGTCCTGCACCAGCATGTGGCCTGTCCTTGTCCTTGTTCTTGCTTGAAGCTGGTGTGGAGAACGCTACTGGCCCAGTTGCTTTGACGATTGGCGTCTTGACGAAAGGCTGGGCGAGCTGTTGTACTCTATCAAGATCGATGTTGTAGTGGTTGGATAACAGGGCAGAGTGAACCTGACGAGGTGGTATGCCCATTCGCTTGACCGATGCCTGATAGCGCTGTGCTAGCTCCACGCCGACGTGTAGGGCGGCACAGATCAAGTTCAAGTCTGTACTGTTCAGCAGATGGTTGAGAGAAGAGCTGCTGGCATAGATGCTCCTATTTCCGCAATGGTCCAGCAACATTTGCGTGAACTTGAGCACCGCGATAACGAGCTGCACATCGCCGTCTTCGCGATAGCCAAGCGCGGCAAGTGTCTCTGCATCACGGCCCGTTTCGGAACCTATGAGCTGGGTGCCAGCCTTCAGCAAAACCTCGCAGCCAAAATCTCTTGTCTGCGGGCCTTCGTTGAGCTTGTACGTTGTGCAGAACTCATCCAGTATGTCGTCGAACCTGTTGAGCAGGGGTATCCAGTGGTAAAGATCTCCCCGAGGGAATGGCCAGCGGGAGGGGAACGTCTCGAGCAGTTGTGGCAAGGTGCTTAGCGGGCTCGTGGCCGCATTGTCGACAAACTGCTGGAGCCAAGGAGACTGCAGACAAGGACATGGTCAGCGGCAGGGTCATACTTGGGAGCGGGAAAGATGCGGGCAGAGCTTACCAAAGTCTCCTTGTGCTTCGGCTGTATGGTCTTGGTGATCTTGCCCATTGTGAAGACCAGAGCGGCCAGGCCGCAGAAGGACGTGAGGAAAGGCCCCGCGCTCTCTCCAAGTCACAGTCGAAAAGAACTGGATCGATTATGACCTTTGAGCTGCTGCGGGTTTCCGAGGCAGAATACACTGCCTGGACGACGCCAATATATACGGTCTCGCGTCTTGTTGTGGATAGTCGGGTGGTCGTTTGGTGGGTGATGGTTGATAGAGGATCGGAGGATCGGAGGTCAGCTCCAGGAGGCCAGCTAGTCCAGCCTCGCCGGAGGCTGTTGCGTAATGAGGCGAGGGAATCTTCGTGGGAGGAGTCGATCCGACGGGCTGACACCAGAGAGCCTCTGAGCGAGTGCAGGTCGCTGAGGGGTCTCTTGGTAAGAGCTCTTTGGAGAGAGGCGCCAAGCGCTGTGACCGAGAGGGTCGGGCTGTAGAGGTTGGTGGCGCGTGGTCGAGCAGGCAATCAGCGGCGGGTGTCGGACAGCAGCATCGAGTTGTGGCCGCGGTGAGGGACGAGTGGTGGGAAGGTCAGGGCAGAAAGCGGCTCGACGTCTGCGGTCGTTGGCGCCGTTGCTGCCTCGTGTGCCTGTCGCGCGGCCCGCTTCACAGTCTGCAAAGTGCTGCGGACCAGCGAAGATCAAGAGGTCAGTCGTTGCTAGCGAATCGGCAGCCGTGCACAGTGCTGTCAGAGGCGGAGCTTTGGCAGCCCACCACCCGCCGCCTGCGTCAAGGGTGCACCTGGGCAATGACCAGAGCTCGCCGTCCTAGGCTGCTAGGTACCCCACTCAGGCCACCACACAGACGTCACTTGAGCAGTGCTCGGCTGGCTCCTGTCGCCTTAGGTAATCAGATTCATCCACCCCGCGCCAACGGGCTCGGTCGGCTCAAGGTAATAGAGAGAGAGAGAGTCTCACACAAGCGCGCTGAGACAGCGCGGTGCTGGTGTTCCCGCCGAGCTTATTGCAAATTTTGTAATGGGCGGGGTATGGCGAGATGCTCACTGTGAAGAGCTCCGCGGTCTTCGAATCACCGCCGCAGCTGTTAATCTGCTGCTGGTGAGGGCTCTATATAATTGGGCCATTCGACGCTTGCTAGCCACCAATGCGTTTGTGTGCAACAAACATGACGTTTCCAGCTTTCATCATGACCCCTTCGCAGATACTGCATGCTGCGCAAATTGGTGGAAGAGCTGCTTCCGGGTTCTGTCACACCAGCAGGGGAATTCGAAGTCAGCCTTTGCTGCCTTCCCTTTGTTGTCCGTGCCTATGCCTGCAATTATTCCAAGGGTTGCACCACATGCGCCTGCTCTGATGCGTACTTTTAAGGTAAGCACCCACCGAGGCATCACTTAGGCAGCTGGTGATTGATGCCCAGATGACTTTGAGCCCTGTCTTTTATCATCGGGCGGAAAACACATTTCAGGCTCACAAAATTGTCGGCATACTTGGACTCTATATTGTAGGAGACAGATGCTCAATATGCAGGGAAAAGGATTTCTCAAACCCCATGGTAACAACCAGGGAGCCCGCCAGATCCTGGAGAGAACCACGGACTTAGTTCGAAATGGATGACCGCCAGACCGAAGCCACACCGTTGGTTCCACTTAATTTGCAATCACCATCTTTCAAGGTGTTGATTTCCTAGAGCTGTGTCTAAAGCAAAAAAAAAAAATGGTGAAACATGGCATGGCCATAATCGAGCCATTAGAGAGAAACTCACCGTCTTGGTCATTTTTGGTTTTCAAAGCCAGTCATTTAAGAAGCAGAGATCCCCAGAGCTGACTCCTGACGAGCCAGCACAGCCTGGCCTCGTTTCCAAAGTACAGAGGGCTGCCTAAACCTGCTCGTCCCGAAACTCGATAGAATTGTGGCCGCTTTTCACGATTAAGCAGAGCGTAATCGTGCCTCAGAAGACGGCATGATGATGCCCTCATACACTTTTCATGTCGCCAGAGCAGTATATGTGGTTGAATTCTCTTTTTTTTCATCATACCTAGAAGGCTGCATCCGCTACACATTGACCGTAGGCAGTGCTATTGTCTTCGATACTGGCTCTGCAGTATACCTCAGTGCTGTTAAGAGGCCAAGTACGCTCCGCGCGGCCTCAGCTAGAAGAAACCACCAATACTCGATACCACACAACAAAAGGCAAAGGCAGCAAACTACCTAGGCAGGGTTGAACATAAAAGCCCTAGGCGCGGATGGTTTCGGACAAATGAACGGCAACTGCATCCCGCGATGGAGTTATCCAGGTCAAGTCTCGCTCGTTGTTATAAGCATTAACCTCAGCTCAGGCTTGTTGTGAGTCGGTCTGGACTAAACAGATAGTGTCAGCACCAGCTCAGCTGGGTATCACGGGCCCTGCTTGTTCTTCGCAACCGGTGGGTTGATACCAATCATTCGTAGAAAACAGTTGTCCTGGCGTACGCATGTGTGAGGGGCTTGGCGTTGTGTGTATTGAAGGTGGACAGACCCAACAGATCCCCTCGTATTCAGGCACTCTACCGACAACTATTAGCGAACTTCCCGAGTCCGCTCCCTCTGAACCTGACGATTTCTGGTCGAGGAGAGGCAAGGCTGTGCTATTGATGCCGTAATCACATAGATTAACTATCGATGCCCCACGCATCTGAATTATGTCGTTGGATATTGTCATCACGGATCACAATTTGAGGTCTAGGACTGTGGCACATGGATACGCATGCTGGCAGTCGACGCGTTGTTGCTGCTATTCTCCGAAGGCCTGGACGATTCAAACGCATGGTGCGAGAGTACCAAGACCAAGGACGCCACTACGGACCTCGGATTGCCCGTAGACTGCCTTGGTTTGCTGGAACGACAGCGGGCGGCAAGCTGCGGCTCAAGATGCCCCCCACGAGGAAAACAATTCGGGCTTGTTTATCTTCCGCAGTGTGACTAGGCTTATCCTGTATGGCGAGGAGGTGGAAATCTGCTGCCGCGCCTGCGGGACCATACAGGTATTTATCCTGTGAAGTTTGAGATGCATGGTAGCTGCACAACTCTCAGTTCACTCTTTGCTATCTTGCAGGGCAGTGCGCGATGGTGCGCAACTAAGGTCATGGAAGGACAAAGATATTGACTTTTCGAGTATCCCCAGAAGTCTACTTACCTAAGTACTTGGCGTAAGATAGCTGCGTGCTCTTCTTGAGTTGTTGCCTATCAAAGGAATGCAGCCATGTACATCAAACTTGGAAGGCTTCAGCAGCGCATGTCGTCCACTCCAGCAGGGGGAGAGGGTGGGCCCTCGCAGGTCCAGGAGTGGATCCTTGCAAACTTGGTGGACCCATGAGGTGCTGGGAGGTGCTGGGCAAGCACGGACCACTCTACGCGAGGCGCACCTGCCCACAATTCCACCACGCACAATTTTCGATAACCCCGGCGAACTTTTGGACTGCATCCCGCTCTCCCACTCTTCCCATCTCGACCAACCCCAACGACGACAAACGCCAAACTTGCAACTGGTGACCGCCTCCATCAGGTACGTCGGCCCGCAGTGTGCGCACAGATCAGACAGACGACCAGAATTGTACCTTTGTCCCAATAGTCGAAACGCAATCGCGGCCACTCGCCGTGGGACAAGGAAAAGTTTCGGGAATCTGGCGTCTGTATCTGTCCACGCACAAAGATCCCAAAGAACCGCTTTACTACCCGGATAGTCAGAGCTAACCCTTATCCTCTCTCCTCGCTCAGAATCTGCAGCCATGGGTATCTCTCGCGACTCTCGCCACAAGCGCTCCGCCTCCGGTGCCAAGCGCGCCTACTACCGTACGTCCTGAACAAATACATGCCAGCGGGCGATCCCGCAAGGCAAAATACACATACAAATGCTCGAGAATGAATGCCCGAAGCGACTTTCGACTCCTTCAACATGCCGAGCCGATGTTCTCTTGGAAATCTGAGAGTCATGGGTTTTGTGTGTGTCGCTGGTTCGAGGGTCGCTTCGCATTGATCGAAAGCCCGTATGGCCTTCATACTTTGTTATGAATCATACGTTCTGACCTCCTCAACAGGGAAGAAGCGCGCTTTCGAGGCTGGCCGTCAGGAGGCCAACACCCGTATCGGCCCCAAGCGCATCCACACCGTCCGCACTCGTGGTGGCAACCACAAGTACCGTGCCCTCCGTCTCGACTCTGGCAACTTCGCCTGGGCCTCTGAGGGTATCACCCGCAAGACCCGTGTCATCGTTGTCGCCTACCACCCGTCCAACAACGAGCTGGTCCGCACCAACACCCTGACCAAGTCCGCCGTCGTCCAGATCGATGCTGCTCCCTTCCGTCAGTGGTACGAGGCCCACTACGGCCAGCCCATTGGCCGCAGACGCCAGCAGAAGCAGGGCAAGGAGGAGGAGGTTGTCAAGAAGAGCAAGGCCGTCGAGAAGAAGCAGGCCGAGCGCTACCAGGCCCAGGGCAAGGTCGACCCCGTCCTCGAGAAGCAGTTCGAGGCTGGTCGTCTCTACGCCGTGATTGCCTCCAGACCCGGCCAGAGCGGTCGTGCTGACGGCTACATCCTCGAGGGTGAGGAGCTTGCTTTCTACCAGCGCAAGCTCCACAAGTAAGCGTCTCACATAAACGCGGACGTCGCCTACTTGCAGCTCGGGATGTTGTGGGGATGCATTCAGGGGGGGTTGAAACAAGTAAAAATCAAAGACCATTTCAGCACAAGAAGGGAGTTGAAAAATGTCGTGTGTGCTCATCATACCGCTACACAAAACGACGAGCTATGACTACGATGGTTTTACTGCACTGGGAACGATGTTTACGGAATTCTTTGCCTGCTCATTTCGGCATTGGGATATGGGATGGATCCTTTTTTATCTTTTTTTCCAGACAACGTGAGAGATGAAAGAAAAGAGGGTCAAATGTCATGATCAGAAATAAAAACTTTGATCACCACCAACCAAAATGAAGTAGAAGGATTTCTCTACCAATCTCGGGATGAATCAGCCGCATCTATGACGCTTCCTCAATTGTGAATGCTACATCATGGTCGAGTTGACTCTTCCTCCTCGGACCATCACGTCTGCAATGCGTACTTGGCGACACCGCCAGATCGGCCAATAACATTTCCTCAGGAACCTGGAGATAAAATCTTGTCCCGTTAAAGCACGCAAAGATTATTTCCAGTAGCGTGACTTTGAACCGGTCGTGGGACCATGTTGGACCAATCCATGTCACGCAATGTTCCATACTTGATGACGTTAAGAAGCGTGCTTTGGCCTTTATTACACCATATAGATCATCCGCTCCTTTACTGCCGGCCTTCACTCATTTCTCAAAAGCTTCTCTCGCCAAGGCACGGAATTGTAGCACTCCAGTAAGGCAAGTGCGAACCTGTCTTCTTTTGGTCGTTTGTGGTCACGGGCCTTGTGCCTCAAAACTAGGGTATCGCGTCTGCTGATGCATACAAGCAGGCCATATGATCTTAACTCCAGCTCCAAACAATTTAGTCAACTGCGGTGCAACCACCTGTCTATACCTGTCCAGGACCCGCTTAAAGATGCAATGATCAAGTTTGTCGTGGCTGCGTCACAGCATTAGTTTATACAAGAATGGCAACCGCCTCGCCCGGAGTCGGTGTAAGTGTCCTAAGACGGGCAAAAAGCGGAACCAGATCAAGCGAACTGGCGCCGAAGCTCTTGCCACTTCTTCTGCAGCGTTTCGTGCGAAGCGTTGATCTGGAAAATTGAGTTAGTAAAGGCCGCGTTCTTCAGTGTGCTGGGGGTGATGGCTGAGACGAACCTCGGCATATTGCATCTTGGTTTCCACGAGCCTCTCCTCAAGCTCAGCCATTTCTTTCTCGAGCTTCAAGTTCTCCTCGTGGACAGCTTGATTACGCTTCATGAGGTCTGCCCGCTCAGCTTGCCACGCTTGCTCGAGCTCCTCTGGCTGTTTCTCGATGACATTTCGCAGCTCCTTGACTTGTCCTGTGAGGCTCTCGTTGATGTCGGAGAGTTCCTCATTGCGTACTTTTGTCTGCACAAGATCAGTGGCCATGTCCGCAGCTTCACGGTCGCTTGCCTCGAGTCGCTCCTCCAGCTTGCGCATTCGGATCGCTTGGCTCAAGTTCGTGCTTCTCAACTGCTCGAGCTCCTGCTCTTTGTCCTTCTCGATCCGAGTCTTCTCCTCCCATTCGACTGTGTAAGCCTTGAGAAGTTCAGGAGTGATCTTGACCTCACACGCATCTAGGACGAGCTCGTCCGCCCGGTACACCTCCTTATCAATGCTGGAGGAGCTGCTGCCGAAGAATCCGTTCTCGAGGATGCTGCCAGCACTAGGCGCGTGGTCGATGTACACGTCAAAGATCTTGTCCTTGAGGAATGTCGTCAGCTGAGACATGTCAGACATGCTGAGCAGGTTCGTAGCGTTCTTCTGCATGAGGACCAGCCCAAATTTGAGGATCGCGGAAAGACCTTCCGAGAATATGAGATCGTAGATCCGCAGCACAAGCTGCAAAGGGAAGCGGTACGCAAAGAGCGTCAAGAACCACTGCGTGGCATAGAGATGAGGAGTGATACCACGCCGCCGGAGGTGGCAGTACAGCGCAGGCTCGAAATCCTCGAGAAGGCGCTCAAACTGGTAGAGGTGCATGTGCAGGCCAGGCATGTCCTCGACAAAGAGGTCACGAAGCTTGTACTGATTCATGAGCTTGACGAGGATACAGAATGCTTCTTCCTCGGGCATGTTAAAAAGCAGCGGCATTATCAGAAAGTTCATACCCTGCGCGTAGCCGACGGCCTCGTCGAAAAGAGCATACGCCTTGCATACGCCGAAAAGACCCTCCTGGAGTCCTGCGGCTACAGCATGCTTTGAGTAGCTCGTTCGGGTGCCCATATCGCGTTTGATGACCTTCTCCAGCTTCGACAGGGCAGCGGCATCCTCCTGTTGCTTCTTCTTGGTAGCGGCCTGGAGCTTGGCGACAGCCTCCGCTGATTCCGCTGAGGGAGCAGGCGATTTGGCGCCACTAGCGCCCGACACCTCAGAATGAACTGAAGAAGCAGAAGACGCCACTGTGTCTTTCTCGACGTTGAGAGTACCGTTGCTGGAGCCGCTAATAGACGTGCCGTTACTATTCCGGTCCTTCTTTTCGGCGCCTCTTGTTGAGAGCTCCTTGTATACGACTTCCAGCTCTTCGTTCTTGCTCTGAGCCAACACTTGCCATACGACTCCACGGATTACCGTTGGGATTCCTGTTGCAATTGCACGGTTGAGCTCCTCAGGACTCGTCCTAGCCACGGCAGCAGGGCCTTCATAGACAACTGATTGCCACAAGTCCCAATCAACCTGGGCATCGGCAAGAGAAGACGGCCCCGCAGTAATGCCGGAGACAGTGCCCGGGGCAAGTGAAGGATTCGGGCTGGGAGGGATCGGTGACTTCGGCCCGAGGCTAACGTCCAAGCCGCCCTCTGTCGGAGGTCCGCCAACATCAAGCGTGCCTGTCGAGCCCCGATTCGGTGCGAGACCGCCAGACGGATCCTCGTCGCCAACCGCCATAGAGATACCAGCCTCCTCGCGCATGCGTACCATCTTGAACCGGTCCCTGAGGCTATTGCGCTGACGAGGTGCATTGCTGCCACCATCGCCATTGTCTTCTTCTTCCAACTTACTCAGCATCATTTCCGGGTTGCTTGTGAGAGTTGTGATGGAGCTAGCAGTGTTCCTCCTGGGAGAAGACAACGCGGCGGTGGGCGGAGAGACAGCCGCATCCTTCGAGCTTGAGTTCCTGGACATCCAGGAGAACGGGCTTGTGAACTTTCGAGTGGGTGCAGCAGGCTGCGTGCCACCCGGGGCGGTTGGCAGACCTGCCGTGCCGGCAATCCCTGCTTTGGAAGCTGTGTCGTTAGCCGGAGGCGACCAAGGCATCGCCGGCAGAGAGCTTGCGATGTTGCTCAACGATAGCTTCTTCCTGGGCTGTTTCGCAGGCTGCGCGGCCTCTACTTCCGGAACTATGGGCATTGGCCGTCAGCAAGATTGTCCTCCAACAGCCAAAGGGGTTCGCTCCAAGTTTACTGGCAAGTAGCTTACCTGAGACTTGGCTGGGTGTCCGACTATCTGTCGGTGCCTGTGTTGTTGTCGTGGCCGTGTCTTCGAGATCGACGTTGTCCATGGTGGTCGCCGACAGTCGCTTGGACGACCGCTTAGTGTCCGTGACGGTTCCATTGTCCGAACGACCGTCAATATCTACACCTTCAAAGGACTTGTCGTCCTCATCCTCGTCCTCGTCCTCGTCGTCTCTGTCCTCGTCCTTTGGTCCGGATGCGGCCTCTGGCTTGTCCAAGGAGTCTGGTGTGTCGGCCCTTTCTTGGGTGCTCGTGGGCCTGGAAGCCTGTTCCTGGCGTGATGTCTTTGACGGGGTGCGGGTGCGACCAGTCAGTGACCTGACTGAGCTTGTGTCGACGGCATCCTCAAAGGTGTCCTACGGGATAAGTGATTGGTCAGTCAGTGAGCAATATGTAGTGCAACCGGCAAGCCGCAGCAGGGTGGAAGAGAGCAGTGTCTCTGAGGAGTGCCATACGGTGTCCTTGTCGTTGTCTGAGCCAGCAGGCGACGGGGGGCTCTGAGGCCGGCCGCCTGCATCTCGCAGCTCGTCCTGGAGTGACATGACTGCTTGATCTCGTGCGGTGTGCTTGGTGCTCTAAGGGCCGGGCAAGAGAAGTTGCTGGTGGACAAGTGGTCTGGAGAGGCAGGAGACGGTGAGAAGCCAAGGGGTTGTTGTGATCGTGGGCGAGGGAGGCCAAAGGGAGCGGCTCGAGTCGGGAAAGTAGCGGCGCCGGAGAAAGGGTGTCAAGGGCAGGCCATGAAGGCAGCGGAGACGGCTGGCAGGTAGGAGGCAACGGAGGAGCGACCGGTCAAACTTCTGGACCTGCAGGAGTGGCAAGGTGGTGGTGCGAGACGGCTGCAACGAGAGGGCGCTGTCGTGGTTGGGAGAAGGAGTGACTCTGAGGGGGTTGCGTGTTGTTTGGCAGGCGTGAGAGGGAGTGCGTGCAGCGGTATTCACAAAAATGCCCCAAAGGTTGGAGTGCAGTGCAGTGCAGTGTGGCAGCAGCTGGCTTGCTGGCGCATGATGGCGATTAGGGGATCGCTGGAGCAGGGGGTTCACTGGGAAATGGCGGGCACTAGACACGTCGCCCCGGCTAGGTTGAATAACGCTGTGGCATCCCCCGCGCAGGGGTGAGCCTGCCTGGGCTGGGCCGCCCAATCCTGTGCAGTAGCAGCGTCGTTACAGAACCCGTGCACGGCTGGTTGCCCAGGGACAAGGACATGTGCCGACTTTCCAATCTCGTTTCATCCCATCCATCCTTGGACTCGCCGGGTTTGGGCTTTCGTTTCCAGGACATGCCGCAAACAAAAGGTTTGGTGCTGCATATCCCCAGATGTTGACCTCGGGATAATATGTAGAATTACGCACATACGCTGTCATCTTGCCACATGTCCCCCAACCTTCTTAAGGTACTTGAAGAAGCCTTGCGGCCGCAACGTTCCAGTTGTTGCCCGCAAGCTGCAAACAGCCACGAGCGCGAGCCGCACACACTTGCCCCTTCTGCAGGCATGCCGCCCCAGCAACGGGCCAGCTTGCATCTTCCCACAGGCTCGGGAATCCCACAGATCACCATTGAGACCGACGGAACTCTCTGTCCCCAAACTCCAGACCAATGCCACTACCTTCACTGAGCGTGGCTCTCTTGCTCTTCACGTCATCCACCTCTCTTTACCCGCTTGCCTCTAAACCCCCTAGATACTTCTCAAAGTTTTGGTGGTCCTCCCCCAAGCATCGCACGCCAATGAGATTCCCCATGCTCATGACCTACCATACCTGCCTGCTCAACAACACTGCATGTGCTTGTTTGGCGCCCCCGCCCCCCCTGAAGCTAGCTCCGCAACAGGCAACACGCGCGCCTCCAGAGCGTCTGCCCTCGAATTCTCCTCACCCTAAGCCGCAGCTCCCAAAATAACCCGCCCCCTTCTGCAGTTTGGGTTGGACCAATCGGCACGCCGTCTCGACCCCTCCCCTGGCCCTGAAAGCCAACAAGCAAACCAGTGGAGTCCGGATCCCCCCAATGCGGCTCTAAACTCTCAAACATCCAACTACTCGTGGTAGATCAGATCATCTAAAGCAACCTCTCTCGCTCCACAGAACAGCGGATAGGGGAAAGGGAGAGAGAGGGAGAGGAGCAACCACCAGAAACGCACACCGCGCTCAGGTTTTTGAAATTGTTTGCTCTTAGGACAAAATTGCTGCACCCGGCCTGCTCCCTTTCCTGCTCACCCAGGGTACTGGGTCACCCAATTTTCTACATATTAGATGTACCCGCTCGGAGGGACCGGCCAGCTTGTAATATCGAAACGGCACGTGCCAGTGCACCTTGGCGTATTTGAGCAGCGGCCACAGCTTCCCTGCGTTCCAGCCAGGCTGTGTGGACCGGCACTCCGTCCTGTATCATCAGATCGGCTGAACGCAGAGGACCGATCCGGACTTCCGAGCTCAGCGGTCAGTTGTTAAGGAGTGCTCTCGACCCCAGGAACTCGCGAGGCAACCTGTCGATACACGTGTAGACATTCGAGACTTGGTGGCACAGCCATTAATCATATGTGCTTTGCCAGAACAAAGCAAGCTATGAGACACCCCATACCACAAATCATTTGAGGGGAAGGGCTTCCGGAATACAAGCCGTTCATAGTAAATCAACATCAAAAACAATCGCTGGGATGAATACTGCAAAGCGCCCGACCATATGACACGCCTAGTTACACAAGTGCTGCCACTCCGATATCCTGATACTTTTTCCAGAAGTGCATGACGCCATACCTCTGAGCACCGCGGCGTAGTTTCAAGCTCGGCCTGGTACCATACACCATCACGAGCCAATCTCTGAGGACCACACCCAACCATGCTTCCTCGTACCTAACCCCGGATCACAAGGAAATCGCGTACGAGTGAGGCCCATCCAGCCCAGCCATCAAGCTTATCTTGCACTGTCAACTGGTGGCAGGCCGCGGGCAAGGCCCTGACGTGCCATCTGGTCGCCATAGGCCTTGAGCTGTGCCACTGACGGCCAAGTCTTCTCGTCACGGGCATTGATGTCTCTATGCCAAACCTCAGGGCCGCCGGCTGCATTGGTAGTGATACTGCTGTTGAAGCCGGGGCCATCAATGGCACCATCAAGCCTGCGTCCTTGCCCACCCAAAAATGTGTCACTAGGCACGTTTTCGCCAGACGCAATTCGATCTCGAAGACCATCCCATTCATTCTGTTTATGCTCTAGCTTCTCACGAGCTTCTCGGAGCTGAAGATTGGCTTGATCAACTCGCTGAGTCATGTATTCTGCGAAGTTGGTCGGCAAGTACGGCGAATACGACATGCCTGCATGATATAGGCTGTTTTGAATCTTATTCCAGCGTGCTCGCTCCTTCTCCTCGTTGGCGATCCAGGTGTGCGAGTTGGTCCAGCTAGCTGGCTGCCGTGCTTCGTGGTGTTGGAGGGCTTGAGCGCTCGCATCATGGTGGGTGGACGTGGAGAGTCGGCTATGCTGTTGTCCTTGCCACTCCTCTCGCAGCTGGGCTATATTGCCAGTACCACCACGAAGATCTACTGTAAAGCCATGCGTGGCTCTGGACGCTGGTGTTCTCTCTGGAAGAGGCTTGTTACGAGAGGACTTTGGGGCAGCTGGGGAGTAACTCCTTGGTGGTCGACGAGCCATCTCCTCGAGAGAAACCAGGCCGCCAGGCCAGAGCTGGGCGATCAACTTGCTGTGAACGGTCGAAAGAGTCAAGTTGGTCCAGTTCCTGCAATGCGTATGATTATGCAGGAAAGGCTGAGGGTCGCGCGTGGGCGTACAGCCACCGTTCTCGCCTGCGGTGGAACGATAGTCGCTATCGATGTTCAGTTCGATGCTACGTCTCTCCTCGAGTATCCTGGCAGCGCTGTCGAGCGTTTTCTCCGGGGACTTCTTCAGGCCGTGTCTAACGACGCCCTCACGTGCTGCGGTCTCCACGGCTGCACGGAGTAGCTCGAGACGGTCACTATTGCCCTTGCTATCGGCACCGCAGGTTGGGTGACTGCCGCCGTTGCTGCGAAATTTGGTCTCGGACAAGTCTGAGAATTCCATCCTGGGCACGTCTCGGCGGAATATTCTGGTAGTGTCATCTTTGGAGATTGATGAAGCACAGATCTGCCCATGCTCGTCGCCGCCGTTGATGGCTTTGTCCAAAGCTTCGAGGAGACCGTTGCCGCCATGACTGTCTTGATTATGGTGACTGTCCAAATGACCTCCAGAAATTGGCTGGCTGTTCAAAAAGTGCATGCTCGCATTTTCCGGCAAGACGGAACTAGGGTTATGCGCGTGCCAGCTGTGGTCTGGCTTCGTCGGGATTCTGGGCTGTTGCACGGGTACCCCAGATGTTCCGGTGTTGAGCACGGGATGTGCCTGGCTCATGCTGACTTTTGAGTCGTTTGCCGGAGGCTGATGCTGTGTGGACGTCCCCAGACACGAAGCACTGCTTGTGGCACTGGCCACTGCTGGCGCTGTGGCAGGCACTGCAGGCGTCGCAGCTGCCGCCCGTTTGGCCACAGCCGCATATGCCAGAGGCTTCTGTCCAGCTTGGCCAGCTTGTTCCATGGCAGGCAACGATCTCTGGGTCGACTGACCATCTGGTACTGGTACTGAAGGCATCGTCAAGAATGTCGGGGCGGAAGCGTTGGTTTCTCGCGTGTGAACGCTTGTGTCTCGGCTGTCGTCGTCCGTCTTCTTGCCGTTGCTACTGCTATTGTTGCTGCTACTGTTGTTGTACATCTGACTCGACGCATAATCCACTCTGCGAAAAGTGATGCGTGAGTTGGGCGTGATGGGTCGTCTCATGGAGTAACTGGTGCTTGCGTAGTCGTGCTCCGCGATGATGGCGCTCTGGCGAGCTATCATCTCCGAGTACGACAAAGGAGCGCGGTTTGGGTGTGCCGCCATGATGGTGCAAGGTGCTGGTTTTGTTGTGGTCTGCTTGATGTCATGCCTGAGTCGTGCCTTCCTTCTGCCAGGGCGTCAGTTTGTGGTCGTTGTCGCCGTTGGGGTTCGCTGCTTGGCGGTCGATTTCCCCAGGTGGTTTGGCTTACAAGGTGATTGCACAGGGAGAATTGATTCTGCTCCTGTGACTTGGGAAGGTCTTTCGTCGTCGTGAAACCCCCGAGAAATGGCCCAAGGCAGTTCTGAAAGAAAGGCAAACAATTAAACCTCGGACAAGGTGAAGTTGAGACAGGTGTGATTCCGATAGCCACGAGAATGTAGTGCTGTCGATGTTCGTTCGGTCGATGCAAAAAATAAAACCTCCAAAGCGTGGCGTGCGGGTTCCGCTGACTTGATAGTCGTGATTGATGAATGCAGTGTGACCAGAATGTGGATCTTGAAGGGAGACTGCCCAGGATGAACACAACAAACGATTTGGGAGTGATTGTATGACCTTTGGAGGAGGGCCGAAAGGTCTTGATGTTAATTGGAGCTGTTGCTGGAGTAACAAAGACGTGGAAGCAACCATTGTCCGCATTCGTTGAAGGAGTAGCTACAACATTGCCGTGCACCGTCCAGCGATGAATGGCCTCTGATGGGTGCGTGAAGCACTGACCGAGAACGATCAAACCAACGAGCATTATGTTCATATACAAGCGTTCCAACATGCGACGGGTGCTCAGATGATGTTCTGATATGACGAGACCCTGTGCCCTCGCACACACGAGTACCGGACTTGTCATCTCGGCTGACGTATAATCACGAAGTCTTTCGCCTGGTGCGCACCTTGCTGTTGTTCGCTCGCCAGCATGACACGGCCGTCCGGTCCGTTGACCAGGACAAGATCTGGCTCGTCGTCGTCGTCGGTCGCAAGCCAGGACCCGCGCATGTAGTCCTGAGATGCTCTATGCCGGGATCCGGGTCCTTGCACCGGCAGCTCAACGTCGACAGGCCCTGCGGATGTTGCAGGAGTGTACGGTGCCTCCCTGTGCCCATGTAGCAACACGCGGAATGTCGGGATCGATTGCGCTATGATCGTGATGGCGGCCTCCGCAATCGTTGTAATGGTCATTTTGTCTTCGAGACCTGTCGTAGCGTCCTTGGTCAGTCATGCGGATTTCCTGATAGTAAACTAACATCGCGACTCCTACCACTCAAGTCATTCGTTCTTTGAGCATTGAGATAGATTGCTGGTCTGATGACCACCGTAAGGCCCGCTCTGGAAAACGGCATTGTGTTGTCAGTAAGGGGTGCGCCGGGAAGATCACCTCGACCCGGACAAAACCCACAACACTCCAAGACTCATCGCCACACAGATTCCCAGCTTCTCCGCCTTGCGAAGTTTGAGCTTCCATACGATCGACCACGGGAACAATGCAAGCACCATGTCAAGCACGCCGGATATGGCTGTTCAGAGCGGATCGGATCAGTAATCCAGAAGGCCATGATATCACGGGAGCCAGGCTCAACTCACTGATAGCAATACCTAAACCCGCGGAGCGGCTGGCAGCCGATATGCACTCGATAGGAAGCAGAGCCGGCGCTTCCTCCAGACCCTCGTCACAGTGGCGTGCCCAGCCGAGGACCGTGGCGATGGCGTATGCGACATTGAGGACGATGATGGCTGTCCAGAGAAAGATCTTGCTGCCTTTGCCACGCACGAGCCGTAGCAGGCTTATAGCAAATGCTGTCTTGCTCAGAGTCACGGCCACATGTGCGGTCGTCATGATGATATTGTAGAGTACCCGCAGATGCCATCTTATCGAAGTCGGGTCGCGACGACGGTGCAGAGCGGCGCTAGCTACAGCACAGCTAATAAGCAGGGCCACCTGTCACGACGGTTAGTTCCGTGCCAGGGTCAATGCTCGGGGCAGCGGCATGATGGTTTCGGGAGCTTGGGAGCAAGGCTGATCACGTACATTGGAAATGATGAGGATGTAATCGTCCCAACAAATCCGCCTAAGAGTCTTGCAATAGAGACGAAGGCCGAGGCACAGGGTCGCCAGTAGCGTACACGTCCAGATCGAAGCATAAACAGTTGCGACGAGCTGATCGCTCGGTGGCTCCTGGAGTGTCATCGGGAGGTAGCCTGCTTGCCTAGACCCGAGAAGTAAATTTCTAGAAGTGAAAAAAGCTGCAAAGCATCAACGCCCGGCGAGCGTCCACAAAACCGTCATATTCAGCATTGTCTTTTGACGATGAACCCGAGGACAGATACAAATCTCTTTCGGATCCGAGCGAGACATGGAGAAGATAACGGGGCCTGAAGCGAGACTCGGCCACGGACCCAGTTGAGGGTGCCTGCCGCGGATCCTTCATGTCAGCATTGACAGCTCGGACATATACTGCAACCATGGGCAGGCATCTTGAGCTTGTCCTTGTCGATTTGCTCGTACGGACGGAGGATTTGTGCCAGGGCCGCTCCACAGCTTCGGTAGCGAACAAGGTCTCGCCCGATGAAAAGGAGAGCCCTGCGCATGAACCCCCCACGACATCTGGAGACATGGACCCCGGCAACAGTCACCTTCGGGCACCAAACCAGAATATTGAGCCGATAGGCCCCATTTAGAGTACGACACCACTACCTTGACCCAAACCTGGCAGCCTCCAAGATTGTGACCATCGCAGATGCATTCCTGCTCCGCCAAACTCCACCACGCCTGTGGCAGGCTTTCCGTCAGGTTGGTCCATATGTCTTTCATTATCATCCTGGACTGCTGCGGGCGACTTGGCGATTGGACTCCAAATGGCACTGCTGGTCATTATTTTGTCCAAGAAAACAGGCCAAGGCGGCAACCTGATGCCCCTCCGCGAGCTCGAAGCTTCGAGCATTCACCCTCCATCGTCATCGATCAAAAGGTCCTGACCGTCAATGGTCCTCATCTTGGGGCTCGTGCTGTGGATGAGATTCAACGAGCTCCAGAGCTCCCTGGCCCATGATGCCCGCAGAGTATCGCTCCACGAACTTGTCCACAATCGATTTTGGCTGCATGGCCGCTGGTGTCAGCGACCAGACAAACCCGTGCAACTGCTGCCTCCTCCGGTACTCATCCCAGACATCTTCGACCAAGGACCGTGGACCTCCAGCCTCTGCAAGGTCGTCCAGGTACCCCGCCGAGGATGCCACTTTCATGCTTTGTGCGTTCCTCAATGTCCATAGCACCTGTCACAAACTACGCGATGTCGTGCAGGGCCGAATTGATGAACGTGTTGCGGACGTCAGTGTCGCCACGAGCGAGCGTCTGCAGCCGGGCGTCTGTAGTTCTTCAGAGAGCGTGATAGCCAGCAACAACCTGGGCACGGTTCTTTAGATCCTCGTGCACTGGTGGACAGACAGCATCGTCGCCAAAGAAGCACTCTTACCACCTTTCGGGCGTCCAAACGGACTCGAACACCTCGCGAAGGGCTTGAGGCTCGACTTGCTGGCTTCTTTGGCTGGCATGGGCATGCTAGACAATGCTGGGGAAGGTTCATCTCCACGTTGGGCGGTGTGATGTGAGTATAGAAGCCACCCTCGACGCAGTAAATTGCTGATATCTCCAGGGCATGCTTTGAGGAGGGCTGGGTTGAAGCCGCCTTTGACGCAGAGCCTGGCTGGCAGGCTTGCAGACACAATATCACGATCGTAAATGCAGTGCCGTGGATCTCTTTCATGAAATTTGACACCGATTACTTTGTGACTGAGCGCGCTGGTGAATCATTCCGGTGTCAATTCAGGCACCATTAGGGAAAGAGACTCTGCATGGTCGCGGTGATTTTTGGGTTGCCGGGCCGGGGTCGTGTTCTCCTCGTTGTTGACAGCCATGTTGGCTGAGACTTATGAACTGATGTGACTAGAGCTGTGGTTGATGAGCCAGCGCTCGTTGTTGTGTGCGGTGGGAGAGCGGGTGGACGTTGGCGACATCTTGTCACTGTCCACTCTTATAACTGGAGCTGTCACCACGCTCGAGCTGTGATGTTTGGCTCGACGTGACCAATGCCTTTGACAGGTTGGGTGAGATGATTGTACACGGGCAGTACTGTAGGTGCAAGGGCCACAGCCCACCAATCCTGAATGCAGGCTGCAGGCTGACAGATGACAGACAGGTGTGCAGCAAAGACTGGACGACGCTCTTAAGCATAACGGGATTAAAGGTGGCCCACCCCACAGCCACTAGCCTACGTTAGCCTACTTAGCGTACTCTAATGTCAGCGATGATTCCCGACCTCCCTCAGCCGCACGCCATTCGCCAGAGACAACCCTACCCACGCCTTGGCAGCCCCCTCGTGGACCATACACAGCGCTGCTCGCCTGCTGGGCGTCCCAAGATAGACCATGGGCACTGCCCTAGGAACGGGGCCATGCTTGAGTCGGTCGTCCCCTTCAGCCCTCCCAAGGCTGAACGACTGGGCGGGCGATCGATCCCAAGCCCTTCCTGTCAGCCTATTTCTGACCAAGGAGGGCTCCGACGTCTCTTTCCCCGCCCTCGCTGCTCAGTAGGACTCGGCATACCAAGGATACACCAGGTATATTTGAGCACACACGAGTCCTGTCTCGCAGAAGCCCGCCTGTGTATCCCAGTGTCCTTCAAACCCTTTTCCCACCCACTAAAGGACCCCATCAGCCGTCAACATTCATCAGAAGCCGACTCATGGCCGCAGCCCTCTACAACGCAATGGCGCTCCTGGCACCTCGGCAAGACGACGTCGACCCCATGCAGAAGGGAGGCGGCGGCGGCCACTCATCTGGCGGTGGTGGTGGCCACTCCTCGAGTGGTGGCAGCAGCTCTTCTGGGTCGTCTGGAGGCAGTTCTGGCGGCAGCAGTGGAAGTAGCTCTTCTGGGTCGTCATCGAGCGGCCTCGGTAGCGGCAGCAGCAGTGGCAGTAGTAGTGGTGGCAGCAGCAGCTACTATCCCGGCACGGGCCCAAAGGGATCTTCATACCACGGCGGAGGAGCTGGCGGCGCCGGCGGGAGCAGCCTACATTGGTGGCAGATTCTCATCATCGTCTTGGTCATCGTGTGGCTGATCCTCTTCATATTCGCCCTCGTCTACTACACCCGAAAAGGTATGCGTGCGGCTGCTCAGTTCCTCACAAAGAGGGACAAAAAACAGACAACCCCCAATTCATCCAATCCCGAAATGCCATGACTGACCAGACCTGCAAACGCTTCACAGAGAAGAAAACCGGACAGTCGGGCAAAGACCGCGCGCCACGCATCGTGGGCAAGGCGCTGCTCCTGTCCACCGGCCTGATCCTGCTCGTCAAGCTCTGGCAAGCCGTGGCGCGACGATCCGGCAAAGCTGGCGACGGAAGCCGCAGCCTCAGCGGCGGCCGCACCAAGACCGGCCTCGCTGCCCTGCGCGCATTCTCCTTCAAGCCCGCAGACCGCGGCGGCAAGTACAACAAGATGGAAGAAGGCCGGGCCGGCGTGAACGACCACGACGTTGACGACCTTCCCTGGACCGGCGGCGTGTACGACCACCCCAGAGCTTCTGCTACCGCTTCCGCTTCTGCCGGCGCCGGGCCTACTGCTGCTGCTGTAATCAACGAGAAGCGGCCTACTTCCGCAACGCAGGGATCGGGCGGCGCCGACCCAACAACGGCGGCACCAGCAGGTCACGTCCCTCCGTCATCGTCGCGCGTGAGCAGTGTCGTTTCTGACGACGATGACGACGACGACGAAGACGACGATCGCCGGGGAGGGAGGCGCTTCGAGCCTATAAGAAGACCCGCGGCGGCCTCCTCTCGGACCCCCTCGCCCGCAAGACCTCAAGGTGGTGCGGCAGCAGAGTACTACAGCGCAAGCCTGGATGCGTCTAGAAAACCGTAGGCGAGGGTCGTGATTCCTGTAACAGGGGCGGGAGCGGGATAAGGGGAGGGGGGCAAATGGGAAGGAGCCGCGCGGCAATGAGCAGACCGCAAGCATTATCAAGTCGCGACGGCCGCCTCGAATCGAGAAAGTCGTGGGGGGGCTCACATGGCTGATAAATTGGTCCTAGATTACATACTCTTCGATACCCTGGACAATCCTAAACGAGACATGATCCATAGCATTAAAAGACTTTTGCATATGTGAAAGGTGCATTGAGCGGAAAACTAGAGACCCCGATCCAGTCCGTCGGCAACAGTGAAAGGAGATCACACTGAATAGCCGGGTTTCAGATTTGCCTATTTTATGGTTGAACTCTAGGTAGCATACAAAGTCAATCCAGCCATTCCGATTATTCAGTCATTCAACAATAGCATGAATTAGCCGGGCAACCCCGTGAGCAGAGGAGTTGGCATATGTTCAAGAAAAGAAAAAAAGGCTGGTGCTCGCCAATATTCCATATGCAGATGATTATCTACTACTACGCAACAACTTCTTCCGGATGCCAGCCCCATGCCTTGGGAGAACGTGAGGCCGCACCCGCCACCCTTTCTCAGCCCCGCCTTCGATTGTCGAAGTGTAAAAAGACAAGAAGAGCATTCTATGCAGTGTGGCAAAGGACGAAGTGTCTCCACTCCTTTAGCGCACCACGTCAGTTCAATTATGTGCTGTTGCCCGCCTCTTTCCCCTCAAGATGATGGGCCTATCTCAATTCATGATGAGCTGGCGAGGTAGTTGGCAGCCTGTTCACGCCATCAGCACAATGCTTATCCACACCAAGGACATGGATCATAACTCACTCTCTCCAGGTTATAGTCGTACTTCTCAAGAGCCGTGATGGCGTCCTTCCTTGAATACCCCATCGCAGTGAGATCCTTCACTATAGGGTCGTCATGTGTGCCCTCCTCCGTAAGTGCCCTGCCAATCGGGCTGGGTCTTTCGGTAGTGGCAGAAGACAGGTTCTGGGAGGACGACACGGAATCCTCCGTTGTCGTGGCACCTGGTGCTGTAGCGCCAGTGGCGGCCCCGCCCTCCGCCGGCGTGTCAAGGCCCGCAAAGATGGCATCCCAGTCGTGGTTGTCTGCCGCACTCTTGCCCGCGGCTGGCGCAGCAGTGACTGAACCAGAGGAGGCGCCGTTGGGCGCAGTGTTCGAGGGTTGGGACACGCTCCCAAAGTCGTAGCTGCTGTCTGTCCCGAAGGCGTTGGCCGAGTTGCCAAGCTCACTCTTGGGTTGGCTGGGCGGCGGGCTGCTGTCAAATACAGGATTGAAATCGTCGAGGTTGGATCGAGAGATGCTGGCAAAGTCATCCTCAGTCGATCCTTCTTTGGCGTCTTCCAGTCCTTCGAATTCATCGCTCATGTCATCGAACGCACCCTTTGCCACAGCAGGGGCTATAGCTTGGCTTGCGTTCGTGGGCGTCGCGGCGAATGGGTCGGCGTCCTTGGGTGGAGGGAACGCAGGTGATTTTGGAGGCTCGGGGAAGGCGGATAGATCACTTCACCACACATGTATCAGTCATCTACAGGGAGCGGTATGGCCGGTGTTTCACCCGTTAGACTTACCTAGCCGGCAAAGATGATCCTGTGGGCTCCGCAACGAGTTCCGACTTCTTGAGGGCAGGAGACGACGTGGCCACCGAATCAGCCTTCTGTGACCCTGCTGCAGCGGTCGCCGCCGGAGCAACAGGCGAGAAGTCATCCTCGAATCCATTGCCATCATCGCTGCTGTCCGAGTCGTCGTCTTGCTCAAGCTCCGAGATGGGTGGGAATTCAGAATGGAAGTCCTTGGCGGGCTTATCGGGGACTGCCTTGGACGTTGAGCTGCCAAAGCTGGCAAAGGCAGAATCAAAGTCGTCCTTGGCGTTACGAGTGTCATTCATCTGGCCAAAGGGGTCACTGTCCCGGTGGCCAGCAAAAGCTGGGGCCCCTTGTGCTGGCGTCTCAGGGAAAGCGCCTGGGATGCTGTCGCTACGCTCTAGCTCGTCCAACTTGGGTGACGCAGAGTGCAGGCTTGATGCACTGGGAGTAGCATCTGGCTGGGCAGCCGCTGACAAAATGCTTGGTGCATCTTCCGCGCGGCTTGCGGGCGGCGAGACTTGGCGTGACGAGGACAAAGACTCAGTCGCCCCACCAAATGGCAAGAAGCTCGAGTTGAGTTGCTTGGACTCGGGTGGCGCGGGAGGCTCGCCAGTAAGCGTCGCCTGGCGGCTAACAGTCGGTGTAGAGCCTGCCGGGGTGTTAAAGGAGCCGGAGCCTACACTGACAGATGAGTTGCCCGTGTTCTGCTGCTTGAAAGAGGTCGGGGGAGGTGGAGTTGCCGAGGTGCTTCCAGTTGGGACGCTGCCAAAGATGTCATCGAATGATTTGTCGTTGTAAGACTTGGCTGCCGGGGAGGCAAAAGCCCCCATGATATCTGTGCTACCAGTACGTCTGAAAAACGGGTTGTTGGCGCTCGAAGTCGACAATGCCGGACTAGCGATGTGGGCGTGGGCAGGGACGGGCGAGGCAGGGCTGGCTGCACGCGACAACTCCTCGTTGCTTTTTGTTAGATCCTCAACCTCTGCCTTGTGCTTATCGCGCTCGCCTTCGGTCGTCGAAAGCTGCTTCTTGTTGATGGCCACCAGGCCCTTTTGCTGGCGCGCTTCGGACTTGAGCTTCTCGATCTGCGGCTTTAGCTGGGCAATCTCTGCGTTGACAGCGCTGATCCGCTGCTTCAGGCTTGCGTTTTCCTGCTGGTCAGCCTGCAGAGCAGTCTTCAACTCGTGGTGCTGCTTCTGAAGATCCTGGTAGTTCCCGTCAATGGTCACCATCTCGCCTGTCAGCTTGCGAGTCTCTTCGCGGACCGTCTTCAGCTGTTCTTGCAGAGTGGCAACATCAGCAGCCTCTTTCTCGTACAAAACGCGCAGCTGCGCCAGGCGGTCCTCAAAGTTCTTCTTCTGCTGGCTTGCCTGGCTGAACTCGTTCTGCGTGGTGCTACGCTGACCCTGGACCTGCTGCATCTGCTTAGACAGCGAGCTGACTTGGTTGGAGAGGTTGGCAAGCTCAGTCGTCTCATCAGTGAGCTTCTTGCTAATCTCGGGGTCATTGTCACCCAGGAGGTCATCCGATGCCGTGGCGCGGCTGGCAGATCCGGCGGCGGAGCTGCCCGTGTCGTTCGTGGTGAGTGTCCTGCCAAACGAGGAGGATGGCACGAATGGCTTGAAAGTGTTGGAAGTGGTTGCGGCAGACGGTCTGACTGGCGAAGATGGGCCACCGGCAAAGGGGTCCTGCGCAGCAGATCCTCCAGTAGACATGGGCTGCTGGAGCGAAGCAGGGGCTGGCATAGTGTCGAGGTCGAACAGATCGGCAAGTGCCGAGGTAGGCTGTGGTGGCTTCGCTTGCGCGGGCGCGGGTGCGGGTGCGGGCGCTCCAGGTGCATCAAAGGGCGACGCACCCATGCCACCAAGGGGTCGTGCCTGGCTGCGCATCGACGGAGGCACCAGGTTTGGAGGGATTGAAGTGGGAAGAGGTGCATCACGACGGCTGCGGTGCTGTCGGATCAGGTACATCGCCACCGCGAACGTCTCCTTTGTCAGACGACCCTCGGAATTGATGTCCGCCAGATCCCAGATCTGCGCAAGGGCATCTTCGGTGAGCCCGGACTGGCTAAGGAAAGGCACCGCTTCTTCTCCCGTGATGAATCCTTTGTTCGTCTTATCCAAGTCCACGTAGAATTGGTCGAACCTGGCCTTGTCCACGGGCGTGACGAGCCAATCACTTCCTGTGGTCTGCTGGGCAATACCCGTGCCTTGCGGGCTCATTGGAGGACGACCAAGAGGGCTGCTCGTGCGGACTTGTGCGGTGCCGCTGAGCTGGCGAGGGATGGCCGAGATGGTGCCTGTGGGGGCCGGGCTTTGTCTGGCGGCAGTTGGGCGCCTCGTGGCGGCCTCGTAGAGAGCTGCCGGCAGGATCGTAGGAAGACTCCGGAGCGCGCCGCTCTTCATAGAGGTTAGAAGGTGCATGGCGATCACGAATTCGGCCAGCACAAGTGCGCCCCTCTGCTCCGTGTCAGCAAGCTGCCATATGCGCCCAAGAGCTTCGTTGGGCAGGCCCGACTTCTCGAAAATGTTCTTGGCCTGATCACCGGCCAGCATGCTGCCGTTCTGGAGGGGTTGGCGCTCAAAGAGCCCGGCATACTGGGCGACCTTTTCGGGGGTTAGAGGCGGTATTCTGAGTGGACCACCAGTACCCTGTGCTTGTATGGGGGCTGCCGGTGCTTGTGCCGGCGGAGGAAGCCCACCGCCAATGTTGATGCCTTCGAATCGAGGGAGCTGGCCGGGTTGGAAGGCGAGTTCCGTCGTAGGCTCACGGCCGGCCTGGGCATGTCCGATGAGTCGCAGGACGATGCCAAAGCCAACTGGCGTTAGGAAACCGCGATTCTCCTGGTCCGCGATCTGCCAGATCTGTGTGACAACAAACTGGTCAGCAACTTGCGCACTCGGGCCCAATCCAGAGAACTTTCAATCATGCCCGCCCGTCTCCGCGACAACCCGAATAGAATGACTGACCTCTCCCAGGATTCGCGACTCGAGTTTCGTCCTCTCGAAGAACTTGACGGCGATCTCGCCAGTCACGACGCCCACATTATCGGTGTCGGCTTGTCGGAAGAGCTGACCGTATACACGTTTCTCCTCAGGGGTAAGGTTGAGATTCGGCGCTAGAGTCGCAAGCACGTCAGCAAGGTGGTCCTATACCAATTATTCCAGATAGTCCTGATGGCTAGAATAGTCTCGTAGAGCTCAGGGAAGCTCACCCGGATCGGCGGAACCTTCGACAGACATGTTGCGCGGCCGAGCTCACGATGCTGCAGGGTGGGCGCAGAGCTCGGCTGTCAAGCTACAGTGGGGGGGGAAGGCTGTCGATGTGACGTGTTGTAAACGCAGAGTTGGATGGTGTGCTGTCGCTCGAGGTCTGGAAACGGCAGAATGGAAGCTGGAAGTCAGGTTGACCCAGCAGCTCCCCGGGACCACAGTATCGAGGTTGGAGATCGAGACTGGCCGGTGGTGTGTTACGTTCTTGCGCAAGGCTTCGTGATGCTCGGGTCCGCGGTGGCTGGTGTCTACGTCTGGGTACCGGCGAGCTCGCTGTTGGCCCGTCACTGGGATGGGCTTACCTGGCACCAATGCACTGGAGCTGAGCTCGGCACCCTGGCCTGGGTCACTGGCGCCCCAGCGGATCCGCGAGCTCATTTTAGCCCTGGATTGGGGAGTCCAGTTCCCCAGACCCAACCCCTGCAGATTTCACTGCGCTGAGGTCCTGGTTGCTGCACATGCGAAGCTGGCGCCTGCAGCTCGCGCCAGGCAGTGACGGCATCCGCGTCGTTATGTCTCAAAGGGCTGCATGCTCGCCATGCACGAAGGACCTTGTGTTAGCTCCCCGGCCATCGATGAGATATAGAGAGAGTCACACACCTGTATCAGAGGCATCCGTCACGCACAGCAGTGGACTCACAACAGTCGCATCAGCCCGCCGCTACCTTGCCTAAGTCGGGAGGGGGGAACTGAAATGTGATGTGGGCGTCTAATAGCTAAGGTACCTATACTTAGTGTAGCATCGCATGATCACCTCCGTCCCTGTCTTACTGCCGGCCCACGCAGGTGGATAAATACGCGTAGGATTGGTACGAATGGAAATGCCGTCAAAACGAACAGCAGTCTGGACAGCCTGGTTGCAAATTATGTGATAACGTGATTAAAAAGTCCTAAGACAAATCTACAATGCTGCAACAGCTTCCAGTAGGTCCATACTTGCCGTCGCTAGCATACCGGCATCGAAAACAAAGTAAGCATGCCCAGTCTGCAAGGTAATCAACAGCATCCGAGCCCCGCAACAAAGGGGTATAGTTATGACAATAAAAACTCTGGTTGCCAATAAACACAACCCTGCCGCAATCTAGTCTGTCTAGCCCCTGGGGACTCTGCTCCAGTCCTTGCTGACGCTCTAGTACTCGGCCTCGAGGTCACCCTCAGCCTCGAGAGAGTCGGAAGCAACCTCCTCGTAGTCGCGCTCAAGAGCAGCCAAGTCCTCACGAGCCTCGGAGAACTCACCCTCCTCCATACCCTCACCGACGTACCAGTGGACGAAGGCACGCTTGGAGTACATGAGGTCGAACTTGGCGGACAGGGCAGACCAGGCCTCGGCGATGGCAGTGGTGTTGGAAAGCATGCACCTATTGTCATTGATTAGTTGGCAAATCTCGAAGCGGCACAGAAAAGACCAGACTTACACAGCGCGGTCGACCTTGGCAAGATCGCCGTTGGGCACCAGCTGAGGAGGCTGGAAGCAGATACCGAGCTTGAAACCAGTAGGGCACCAGTCGACGAACTGGATGGTGCGCTTGGTCTTGAGGGTAGCGACGGCGGCATGGGCGTCCTTGGGGACGACGTCACCGCGGTACAGCAAGCACGTGGCCATGTACTTGCCGTGGCGGGGGTCGCACTTGACCATCTGGTTGAAGGGCTCGAAGCAGGCCATGGTCATCTCCTGGACCGTGTTGGCCTCGTGAGCAGCCTTGGCGGCCGAGACGATAGGCGAGTAAGCAACCAGAGGGAAGTGGATGCGAGGGTAAGGAACGAGGTTGGTCTGGAACTCGTTCAGGTCGACGTTGAGGGAGCCATCGAACCGCAGGGAAGCGGTAATGGACGAAACGACTGTGGTCTTGTTAGCGAAATAAACGAGGCAACATATTCCGCTGTGTGGACTCACCCTGGGCGATCAGGCGGTTCAGGTTCTCATAGTTGGGGCGCTCGAGGCCGAGGCTGCGACGGCAGATGTCGTAGATGGCCTCGTTGTCGACCATGAAAGAGCAGTCGGAGTGCTCGAGGGTGGTGTGTGTAGTCAGAATAGAGTTGTAGGGCTCGACGACGGAGGTCGCAGTCGAAGGAGCAGGGTAGACGCAGAACTCGAGCTTGCTCTTCTTGCCATAGTCGACCGAGAGGCGCTCCATGAGGAGAGCACCGAAACCAGAGCCGGTACCACCGCCAAAGGAGTGGAAGACGAGGAAACCCTGGAGACCAGAGCAGGAGTCGGCAACTCTGCGCACCTTGTCCATGACCTGGTCGATGAGCTCCTTGCCCACAGTGTAGTGGCCACGAGCATAGTTGTTGGAAGCATCCTCCTTTCCGGTGATCATCTGCTCGGGGTGGAACAGACTGCGGTAGGTACCGGTGCGGACCTCATCGACGACATTTGGCTCCAAATCCGCGTAAATAGTGCGGGGAACGTACTTGCCCTGTCCTGTTTGTGGTCAAGGGTTGGTCAGTAAGCCGTGACGACGCCCATCATGAGCTTCCCAGATGCGAGTTCTTACCGGTCTCGGAGAAGAAGGTGCTGAAGCCGTGGTCGGGGTCAGCGGCCTTGCGCTCTTCGGTCAGGTATCCATCAGGCTAGATTCGAGGCATTAGTCAACATTCTCAAAGAGCTCCTCTTCGGGACGGAGTGTGCCATACCTGGATACCGTGCTCAAGGCAGTAGAGCTACAATCAGGGTCGTAGGGTTAGTTTGTGTGTTCGGCCAAGTGCCATATGTCTCGTGGTTGGTCGGCTGGGAATCACGCAGGTCGCTGGTCCCGGCGGCAACACGAGCAACTGCATCTTTGTCGTGGTCGTCGGTTGGCGTTCGGGGGAAGAACTCACCTCCCAGCAGGCGTTGGCGATCTGGCAACCGGCCTGGCCGACTATGGGGCACGAAAAGGGTCAGTTTCGGGACGCATGAGAACGATGTGTGGTGTGGTGGTGATTTTGAGCGGACGATGCGGTGAAGGGGCCGGGCGACGCGCGCAGGGGAACGAGGGGCGCGGCGGGACAGAGGCAGACATACCGTTGATGCTGATGATCTCACGCATATTGGCGGTACGAGTAGTCGAGATGGCGTTTGTGTGATGCAAAGAGAGGAGCCGGAGAGAGGAGCAGGAGACCGACGCGGAGGACGGAGGTTAAGGAGGACTTGGTCGGGAGAGGTGCGGTCTGGCGAAGAAGGGGTCTGGGCTGTGGAGGTGTGTTGACAGTGCGGCAGGCCGACGTGAAGGGGTCGAGTGTATTTTCCAAATCACTGGTGGGGCGTCAAATGAATGGGCCGTCCGGGGGGTCCAGAGGAGGAGGGGTGCTTGCCCGAATGGAAGTGCTATCTGCACAGCGGCGTGCTCTGTTGAGCTCCCTCGAGCACCAGCCAGTGAGCAGCCGCCACCAGCACGCGATAAACACGCTAGCACCGCTGCCCCTGGTTGCTGTGCACAATTTCCACGGCGGGCAGCTTGTGATCTGCCCGACTGCCTGACTGCGATGCCAGGCACTGCTGTGAATACCCGCCAAGGCAAGGAACAGTCCCAGTCCGGCTCATGTCAGTATATGCACAAGCAAGTTCTGCAGCAGCAGAACGTCGCACATCATTGCACACTTGCACGCCGCCTCCACAGCTGCGCACACCGCGTTCCTGGCAGGCATAGGGAACAGCCAGGCACGCGGTACAACCAAGAGCTAATAATACTAGCTGCACAGCTGATAAACTTTTTGACACGGCTCAAATGTAAACAACCACACCGGCTCTGCAAGGCAACCACTTTTGAGCGCTCAAAACGTAGCAGCAGCAGCAACGCAGGCAGCCATGTACCGTCCAAGGCAAAAGGCACACAGACATCGCACTGTCTGTCAAGGGCAGGCGAAAGTTTGTCCTGCCTGCTCAGTTCACCTCTCATCCCATGTCGATCGATGTCTGCTCACACTACACAGGGAACATTGGTGAGGTAGTCCCGCACCCCTGTCGCGCTGGTTGGTCCGGGAGCTCGCCGTCGCCAAATTGGATACACGGTTCACCTGACCGTCCTTTCAACCCTGGTGACACTGAGCCGTCCGGGGAGCGGCCCGTGGCAGACTCGGTCACATCTACTTCGCCTTCTAGAACAACGGTTGAGTCGCCGAGTCCAGCGTAAGCCTGAGCACCTTGGATACCTACGCTTTTTAGATATTGCAGCCTTTCAAGCGTCATTTGAGCCGTGGAGTGCTTGAACTCAGCAGTCTCAACGGACTTCCTCGGTCAAGTCGCGACCCAGCGGGCCGTTAAGCTCACTCAGCCCCACATGTGCCACGCTTGCCCCTGCTGACTTAGCGTCAGTACCTCAAGCTCAAGGTACAGTAGGAGATGTGCACCCTGCATAAGGCGGCGACAGCTCATCAGCCAAGCCAACATCCGTCACAGCTTGCCTCTCTGATAGTGAATATCAGTCCGCAAGACGACGAATTCTCAACACGCCTAAAGTATGAGCCATTGCCTGCTACAATCTAGAAGCACAATCCCGCCCAGACCTCGGCCCTCCCCTATACTTATCCACACGCCTGCTTCCTGCTGTGCTCGCCAACATGAAGCTCCATCTCCTCTCACTGGCCGCAATCGCTGGTCTCCTCCCGACATTTGTCAATGCAAACACGGAGAAGACAATCTTCCTCGGCCCGCCAACAGTCAACGTCCCGTCCACCAGCCCCACACTAGGGACCCTTGGGCTCGACGTCCTGACGCCAGAGTCCTCCGCCTCGTCCATCATCAGGACTCAGCTTAATGCCTCTTTCCCCCGGAACTCGCCCTACCTAGCATCATTTCCCTCGTCGAGTACAGGCACCAATGCAGACGGCACGGACAACGAGCGTGGCACGACGTCGTGGTTCATATTGGACAACCTGGTCCCGGGCCAGCGGTATGAAGTGAGGGTATGTTGGGCAGCCACTGTAAGTCTTCGCATTTCTTTGCAGATATCCTCCATTTGGGTTCGTTCTCGGGCTTGGCTCCCTCGTGCGAGGGTTCTCGATCAATACACCTGCTCCCAAGATTGCCAAAAACTAAAACTCCCTCGACAAAAAAGCAACCAACCGCCTTCAAGCTGGAAACGTTTCCCATCGACACAGTATTTGACACCCCAGACCTCATCTCGTCACTTTCAACATACTCGTACGCCCGCCACGCCAGCGGCGGCGGCGGCAGCGACAGCGGCAACACGGCAGCAGCTGCTGCTGTAGTCGGCACAGAGACACAGCGCTCCGTTCTGTTCCTCCGCATAGTTGCTGCTGCAGACTACTTCACGCTCGATAAGGCTCTCATGACGCACGTCCCGCCTGTGCGCGTGGACGTCATCCTCGACCCGTTCCTGCTCAACGTTCTCCCGAGGTCCTTGCTGCCCATCGTCGGGTATATCGTTGTTGTGGCGATTAGTTCCTGGTTCCTGGCCAAGTATATCGCCACGACCATTCGTTTCGTGGCTCTGCAACCGGAGCAAGAAAAGAAGACACTATGATAAAAGCAGGCGGAAGGTTCAAATCACGTATATATATTCACCTCGTCATTTACGTCTGCTTCACGTCTAGAAAGCAGGGGATCGTAATCCAAAGCTGCAGCAAAGTCATAACTCATAAGCACCTTAACGACCAACCCCAAGACCATGCCAGTTCCGGCACTTCTGCCTACGCTCTTAAGTTTTTATATTCATGGGTCATATCGACTTCAGGCCTGGCCCGAATCTACCACTGCCCGGGGTATCCGGAATGTCCGTGCGGTGCATGACCGCCGGGTGGAGGCTGCTGGCTGTTCGCGTAGGGGGAGTGGCTTGGGTAGTTGTGTGGACCCTGTTGGTGCTGGGGAGCGCCACCGCTATATCCAGCGTTGTAGCCCTGCTGTGAAGGAGGGTGATACTGCTGCGGCGCGCCGTAGGAGGGTTGGGTCGGTGTGGACGAGCCATATGGCTGAGATTGCGCTGCCGGGACGTCAGCCGGGATCGACGATATCGTGGCCAACATTTACTTACGATAACCGTGAGCAGAACCTTGCGGAGCTCCGGATACGTGCCCATAAGTTGACTGGGGACCACCCGAATGTTGGCCCGGGGGCGGAGGGTACGACGGCGTGCCTTGTTGTCCTGGGGGTGGCGGGTACGACTGAGTAGGCGTCTGGCCGTGAGGCGGTGGGGAGCTGTATGCCGCTGTCGAGGGAGTCGAACCGTGCTGCGTAGTCGAGGCCTGGTATGATGTGGGGGGCGCCGTGCCCGAGTAGGATCCGGACTGCCCAGCCCCTGAATAACCATAGTTCTGGTTCTGTGGAAGGGAGTATCGCCCGTTAGCAATGCAAAGCACGTCTGGGTCTTGGGCTCCAGAATGCTCACAGATGATGAATGATGACCACCAAAGGCATTGACCACCCCTCCAATCAAGCCACCGTGATGAGGCTGGTTTTGCGGCGTGCCGCCATGGTAGTTTTGCGGTTGCGCCGGCTTGTCCTTGCCACCGCCAGAGGAGAAGAGGTTCGAGGCTAACTGGCCGACCAGCTTGCCAGCAGCACCGTTACCACCGCTGCCGCCGTGGCCTCCAGATTGGCCGCCTCCATGTCCACCACCACCAGTGAGTCCTCCTATCAACTGGCCCGCGAGACCTCCCAACCCACCCGAGCCCCCACTGCCGTGAGAGCCGCCTTGTTTGCCGGAGAATTGGTTCATAAGAGTCTGCGTTGCAAAGCTCTGTGCAAGGTTGTCAGCGCATCTGGTCGAGAACTGGGCTCAACAATGTGCCAAGACTTACGCCGAATCCTCTCTCACCAGTCTGTCCTCCAGGGCCGCCTCGAGTGCCGTCTGAGGGCAGCACTGGCTCCATTCTACCGTCGGGGTGCTTGATTGTCTGGGTGCCATCGGGGTGTGTGATAATCTGCTGCTGGTCCGGTGTGCCGTAGGGGTGCTCGTGACCAGGAGCAGGCGTGCCACCAGGAGCCGCGTGGGTGGGAGTCTCCCATTGCGATACGCCCGTGGACAGCTGGACGAAGTAGTATTTTCTCGAGGCACCATCCCACTGGGCGATCCAGCCGGGAGGCAGTTGAGGAGGCTCGTGGTCCGGACCCTCGTTGGGCGACGCAGGACCGGGCATCGCGAAAGCTGTGGAGCTGTGCTGTTGCTACGAGCACAGGGAACAATAGCAAGGCTGCGCGAGGATGGGTGAAGAGCGTGCGTGGGGTGTTGAAGGTGCGCAGGGCGAGCTGGAGGGGTCGATGACGGATTCGGCTAGGAGAGGAGAGGCGGAGAGACAACAGGCGGAATATAGAAGCCCGGCAGCTTCTATATTGCCTCTATCCTGCGATGGCCAGCAGAAGGGGGGGCAAAGTCAGGACGCAGAGGAAGGGTGCAAGCACCAGGCCAAGGGCGGTCCAAGACTGGAGCGAGCAGACTGGTCGAGCAGGGTCGAGTCGAGGCAGGCGGCGGCGGGTGGTTGCGAGTGGAGGGGTCCAGCGAGATAAAGTGCCACCACCATGAACAGGCGCTCCACTCGATGCTGGGAGTGGGTGGGATCAGCCCCGTGAGGTTCTGGCCCGGCTCGATGTGGCCCTCTCTCTTTTTGCACACTCTGCAAAGTCGCAGCATGACAGCAGCAACGGCAACGACCTTGATGCGCAGACCGCCCCTGCCATGCCGGTCTTCCTTTGGCCACCTTGCCTTATGGCGACTTGATATCCCGCGTGAAGCTTCGCTTGAGGAAATTCAATGTCACCACTGGGCACTGCCTCGCGTGGGCAGCTGAACTTAACACCCTCCGTGCCACAGGACATGACATGGCCATCACGAGCCAGCCGCCACCACCAGTCTATCGCTCGCTCGCTCTACGGCCCATCTTGCGCCTCGGCTTGCCCCATGTGGCTTTTTCGGTCCGCCATCACCAGCCACCTTGCCAGCAGTTGAGAAACACGCAGCATCTTGTCAGCCGGCCCTTCAAGGAGAACAGTAGACCACGCGCGATGGGTCCGGGCATGTCGATGGCAAGTGACAGGCACGACTTACGAGGCCGCCATCATGGCGTGGCTGCCCACCAAGTGTCAAGCTGGTAAGCTAGATGAGCCACCATGGGGATGGACGGACCCCTGGTCGGCTGCCTCCACAAGCCACCTCGCTGGAAAGCCGTGCATCTCACCGATCATGGTCCTTCCTTCACTTCAGGTCGTTAGCCCCTCTTGATGTGCAAATTCCAGCGCAGCCTAATTAAGGTACATACTGGGCAAGCATACGCTGGCTCCAGGACATGGCGATTCTTGATATCACGGCCCTGTGCTACAAGCATGCGAATCCGACACCATCCTCAGGGGGGCATGTTGAAGACCGGCCCACTATTATTAGCACGACACATCACAACGCGCGAAGCCAACCACAATACCCGACTCGTCATTCAAACTACTTTGCTCCCATTTCTCTCCACATGTCCAGCCTCACCTCACTCGCCTTTGACCCACCCTTCCTTCTCGTTCTCAGCCTTGCTCTTCTGGCTCCACTCGGGTGGCTCATCGCGACCTTCGTCCTCTGCACGATCCCCCTCCGCCTTGGTCTTGTGCACGCTTGTCGGGTTGTGCTCGGCCGGGCTGTACACCGTGTACAACAGCAGCGGCGTCGGTCCCGTGTTGAGGAACTGGTGCTTTGTGCCCGCGGGCACAATCACGAGGTCTCCCGCCTTCACATTCTGGTCAACGCCCGCGACCTGTGCAACGCCGGTGCCCGAGGTAAACGTGAGGATCTGGTCAACGGTGTGGATCTGCATATCAAAAACGCCGCGTCAGATCTTTCGTCAGTCAAGATCATTCCCGTGCCAGAAGACACGACTTCATGGCTCACACAGGCTCCCTTAAAAACATTGAACAAAAGGTACTGCGCGAGGCACAACTAACCTCTTCTCCAATTTCTCCACCGACGGGAACATTCATCAGCACAAGCTGGCTGTACAAACCCGTCCACAGCACCCGCCGGAAGTCGCCAGACTGCGAGGGTAGTGACCCCTGCATGTCCGGAAAATACACCATCTCATTCTTCGGGCGGTCGCTCGAAGGTCTGTCAAAGTGCGCCATTGTGCGGGCTGTGCTGGCTTGAGAGGCGGGGGCGAAACAACGGTGAGCGGTTCCGTGCCGGTGAGTTGTCGCGGATCCGATGAGTGGTGATGCGCCACGAAATGTCCTTGCTGCTCTCGTGATGATGGATGCGCTCGCAGTAGTGACGATGGCTGTGCGGTACAGGGATTGTATATGAAGCATTTAGAATTACCGTGTTTTCTGATCTAGAACGTTCAGTTCGGCGTCGTGTAGTATAAAGGGAAGTTAGCATCAATAACGGGGGCCACGAAGAAGGAAGCCCATATGCGTCCAAACAATTGGCATTGGACAGTGGTGCATGGCATGCATCATCGTTATATCATCTTTTTTTCCTCCACAGGTTCCCCTCTTTCTTCCATCCGTTGCTGTGCTCTTGTGTGTGTGTGTGCGTGAGTTTGAAAAGTCACGGACGTCATGATGAGGTCTTACACGTCCTGCTTCTACAGGGCGGCCCTTGCATGACGCCGCGCACCGCCGCGCCGTACCCGCCCGCGGGGTTTAGCAGAGGTGTAAGTCGTACATAGTAGCTCTGAGGAACCACGCAGGGTTCAGTGTGTGGAGGAGGATGGGGGGTTACCAGAGGAAACTTAATTGCATGAGGCTTATTACTGACTGATTTGTCCCGAGCTTGCAGGATGCATCTTATTTCTGGAGCGGCCCCTGGACGCTTTCGCTAAGAAACAATAACAAGGACATGTAAGATCCCGAGGTAAGACTCAATGACGGAATCCGAATACTGCAGTTGAATTCATGCAGCAATCCTGAGTTGCAAGTTAGCAAGGCCTCGTTTAACATTGATCAACATGCATATCAGTCCTATGTCATTCCCCAAACGCCATGGCTATGGAAGAAAACAATACTAGAACAACAAGGCAGCCCGGGTGCACCGGGAACATGGCATCCTACCACAACCCCGTCTCGCCTGGAGCTCAAAAATTCAAAAAAAACAATTGCTCACGCTGGTGCCGGCGAAACTGCCCCATTCTCGTCGTTGTCCGCATCTCCTTCAACAGTCTCTGCACCCTCTTCGCCTTCGACATACTCCTCGCCGATTGGATCGTCTGGGATGATTCCGTTCATTCGCTCCCAGACCTCCTTGCGAATCCGGTCATCCTTGGCTTTCCTGGCGCGCTCGACCTCTTCAAACCCACCACTCTTCTTGAGCTTGCCTTCTTCGACAAAGTTGGACAGCTCCTTCTTGAGCGGGTTGGTCATTCGGCCTGCCAGTTCCTTCTGCCGCAGCTTCTCTGCGCGCTCGATCGCCTCAAGTCTGTCCTCGTGGTTTGGCTGCAGGGCTCGGACTTCTCCGAGCACGCCCTCCTTGGCGGCAGACGGGTTTGAGCTGTTGCCGAGGTTGCTCAAGCCCTTAGAGAATTGTCTGCTGGAAGGCGCGCTGTCCTTCATCTGCTCCTTGGTAGCCTGCTCGACAAGGGCGAATGTCTCTGATGCTTTCTCTAGATCGTCCTGCAGATCGACCATGAGATCTTCCATGAGTCTGAGCTCGTCTCTGCCTTGGCAGACATCCTCGAGCTCCTTTTCCCAGATCTTGGTCCAGATGGGCTTCTCCTTCTTCATATAATCGTCCATTCTCTTGAGCTCTGTCGTCAGCTGCGAAATGTCCTTGGACACACTGTCCAACTGGCGAGGAAGGGGTCGGACACCGCGGAGCACAACGTCTTTCCGGAGGTCTTCGACCAGATCCTGCAGGTCATCAACCTTGGTCACAAGGCGATCCGAATCTGCATTCATCTGCTTGCGACCGTTCTTGACATAACCATAGCCGCTATCTCCGTCCGCGCTTGGGACCGAGGCCTTGGCGGCTGCCACCTTGACATTGTCGGCTTTGGTGCGCAAGGTAGACATAGAGCTCTGGACCTCTGTCTGGAAGTTGGAGTATGTTTGTCGGAGGATAGCGAGATCGCGACGCAAGGTCTGGAGCTCGCGCAGCTGACTCGGGTTGAGCTTCCCAGACGAGCCACTGCCGTTGCTCTTGCCACCGTCGATGACCACGGCGGGGGCCGCAGCCATCCGGGCCATTTCTTTCGAAGTCTCCAACTGCTGATCGGAAACCCGTTGAAGAGCTAGCCCTTGATCTGTGACGTTCTGTTTGACTTCGTCCATGGCCTTCTTCAAAGAGCCGAGCCCATCATCAAAGTGCTTCTTGACTTCATCCAAGGCCTCGACATTCAGAGCGAGCACTGTACGGTCCTTGATGTCCGACAGATCCTCCAGCTCATGACGAACGCCCGAGACAGGATCTTGGATGTAAATCTCGGGCAGATCACTGCCATTGAGTGCCGTGTTCCACGAGAACTTCTCGATGAATGCCAGCTGCAAGCGGCCAAGAGTCAGATCCGCATATCCTTCAGGAAGGACAAACTTCTTGACCCTTGACTTGTACTGCAGGAACAGAGTAAGTTCCTTGTCCAGAGGTGGACTCTGTTCAAGTGCAAATGGTCGCCCCTCCTTGGCTGGCGGTGTCTGCACGCGTTGCTGCGGCGGTTGCTGCTGTTCGGGCTCAACGGCTGGGATTGGAGCGCGGGGCCGGCTCGGATCCTTCTTAGGAGAACCAGGAGCAGATGAAGCCGTAATGGGGAACGCATCGTCCAGTGGCCCAGAGAGAGTTGCGCTCGGCTTGTAGCTGTCCGGCGATGGTGCTGGCGGGGACTGAGCCCGCGACTGGCCCAAGTCAGACTGTGCGGAGCTCTCCTCTGAGACTTTGCTTGGTACTCTAACGGGGGAAGGATCGAAGCCATTACGTGACTGGTTGGACTCGTTCCTGTTGTGCTTTAATGCTTCACGGACTTGCACAGCTCGCATGGACTCCCGAACCTCGCCCCTGCCGCGGTTCGGAATAGGCGTGTTCTGTGTTGGCAGCATAGGCACGCCGTTCGCCGGCGCACCCAAGTGCTTGGAAATCTGGTACGCAGAATACCGGCGTGAAGCTCGCCGCTCGAGGTCTCCTCCCCTTTGTAAAGCTGCAAGCGCACTTTGCTGGGACTTTGGTGGTGGCGGTGGTGGTGGGAAGGAGTCGATATCGATGCTACCGTTGGAAGGCCCAGACGGTATCGTGTTGTCGTCCCCAGGATATGGGGGCAATGATGGGATGTTTTGCATCACCGTGCTGTCAATCGACGACGAATTGTCTCTTGGTTGACCTCGACGGCTGGGCGAACTGTTGATTCCAGAAGGGCCGGCCTGGCTCGACGCGCTGTCGCGTTGCGCCGTACCATATCCCTTGTCGATGCCTTCGTTCAGTAGGCTCGTGAGACCGGTATTTGTGCTCCCCACGGTACTGGAGCTCATCGAGCGTCCTACCCCAGAGCCTTCAGCTTCAGGCGACGCGGCGCCATCTCTGTCTTTGCTCTGCTTTTGCCTGAGGCGTTGCTGCTTGCGCTTGAGGCCGTGAAGCAGGTTGATGATGATGTCTCGAATCTTGGGCAAGTACTTCTCTAAGCTTTCGGTACTAGCTTCTTGACTCAGAGTAGACTCGAGAATGTGTCGCAGGGATTCGGGCACGTTGCCGAGGTCTGAAGTGTCCACGTTGATAGCTGTGAAGGCACGGCAGGCCATGTTGAACTCGTATCCTAGCCTGACATAGACATCAGACACCTGTGTGTCCGTGGCAGCGCCACGGGACCACTGCGTAAGGGTTTCGAGCAGCTGCTTGGTCGCGACCAAGAGGTGCGTGACGCTCTTTTCGATCTGGGAAAGCGGCATGTTGGAACCGCCGGATTGCTATTGTGACAGACACCGCAAGTCAGCCTTGAGAGCCTCACGAACTGGTTGCCAGGCTGAGGCGCGAAGGGGCAACAGGTGAATGCGCCAGCAGCCGTGCGGCCAGTAGCACCTGATGACGTGGTCCAAATGTCAACTCACATTCCGCCTCGACGATCCGAGCGATCTCGAGGATGCCGCAGAAGAGCGTGGCTGCATGCCGGCGGGCGACATGGGCCGCGGCGGTAGATTCGAGGGGCCGTCGGGGCCCGGCGAGCGGCGCTGTATGGAGCGCTGCACCGAGTTGGAAGCTTGCATCGTCTGTGCCGTCAGAGAGAGGTGTTCTGGTATGATGTCGGGGTCGGGAGTGTGTGGTCGCGGTCGCTTCGACGCCGCGGTGGTTCTGGCAGGATTGCGCCTCAGAAGTATCGGGTGTTGTCGTGCTCAGAACCTGGCAAGTGTGCCGTCGGGCTGGCAGCGCTGGGTGAGTTGCGGCGGCGTGGTGATGCCCAGGTGGAGCTGGATGGGGGTGGATGTGTGTGTGTGTGTGTGCTCGCCCGTGGCTTTGGCCCAGCGAGGACCCAGGCAGAACTAGGTACAGTAGCCCACACGGGGGGTCCGTGCCTAGTGGACGGCTTCAAGGTTGTCAAGGTGCGGGCTGAGAGGGACAGGGGGATCGACGCCTGGGCTGTCTTTGTAGCACGCGAGCGATGTTGTGCAGCCAACAGAGACACCCTGTCTGTGGATGAGCTATGAATCAACCTTGCACGGGGTGTGTTTCCGCTAGGCCTTATTATGACGGAAGTCGAGGTTTTGCGGTTTGCATACCATAGGGTAGCGTACGTACAAGTATCTTTGCGATTCCGTCGAGTGCTGGTGGGCAGGCAGTTGCACAAGGGCAAGACCGGACCGTGGGGGTGTGGCTGCCTACATGTGATGTCGAGGCTGCATGTCGAGCTGCAGCCCAGATAAGCCTCCGGGGCCCATCACGAGCTTACCCAGTCTCTAGTGCCACCAATCCCACCAGCTGCTCAGACTGACGCTCGTGTTGGTCCAGCCATGTATGTGCCTTGAGCTGCATGAACCCTTCACACGTGCCCCAAACTTATCTTGGGTGCCTCCCTTAAGAAGGCAGTTTGAACCTGCGAGGCTGTCAGGCGGAGCTGAACATGATTGATAGGACACGCAGCATCTTATGGATTCGGTTTATTTCAACCGCATAGCCTCTAGAGGTAACACCTGTGTTTCAATCTTTCAATTTCATAGCCCTTGGAAGTCTGGGGCTCTAAGCGTTCGAGGTTAACAAGTTGAAATAGTGGCAATGTGACGGGGCCGCATTGCCCGCTTGGGCCGGGTATGGACTGTGCATCGGGAACACCTGCGAATCCCCAAGACAACAATCCCTATGCGGAATGAGCAGTGTCTCTCTTTGGTCGACTTCAAGTTTTGCCAATGTTGGACCGCGTCAGCTTCTCTAAGTTTTGCAGACTCTGTCCTAGTCTAATGCCCTTCAGCTCGCATTCGCATGACCTGAGCTCAGAACCGTAGGCACGATCTAAGACGCGGGACTGAGTTTGGCAACCCGACAATAATTAGAACTGTCGGAACGCTCTCGCCTTTTGGATTGCAATGGTCTGGCATCTGTCTGCAACCACCCTCTGAAGGAATGCCCAAGTCGTTTCTCTAGTTCATCTCGTGATATTTCATTCAAGACAACGTTTCCGGGCGTCCCATAGCCACTGTCCAGCACAGCGATCAACTTCACAACTCAGCATGTCGCACAAACCCAAGATCGCCATTATCGGGCTGGCCCTGCAGGCAGTATGCTTGGCAGGCTACTCACTAAGGCAGGCATCCCTGTCGACATCTTTGAAGGCGAGGAGCACATAATACTCGAACACAAGGCGGCACGCTCGATCTTCATGCTGCCACAGGGCTCGCAGCCATGCATGATGCTGGGCTGGTAGCACAGTTCAAGAGCGCTGCTCGACTTGATGCGGATTACTACCGGATGATAGACAAGCAGCAAAGGACATACTTTGCGTTTGGATCCAGCACGGCAAAGGAGAGGCCAGAGATCGATCGCAACGATCTTCGCCGCATCCTGCTCGACAGTTTACCTGTGGGAAGTGTGAGATGGGGTCAGAGACCCCAGAGGATCGATCCTGGGGGCACCCTGGTGTTTCGTGAGCACACCGAGAAAGGCTACGACCTTGTTGTCGGCTGTGAAGGCACATGGAGCAAGACTCGGGACTACGTGACCGACGTTAAACCACATTTTGCCGGTGTCGAGTACACAAAGCTGACTATACGGGATGCGGGGAACACTGCTTCAGACCTCGTCAAGCTTGTCAACAACGGGAACCTCTTTGCGCACAGCGAGGGTCAGTTTCTGTCAGCACAGCAGCTCGGAGACGACAGCCTCTACATTGGCCGGAGCACTACCACATCTCAAGACCGATCACAAAGGAAGGAGGACGAGATCCGAGATCCGGTGGCAAGGAAGAGAGCCATTCTGGACGAGATGCAGGGCTGGTCGGCCCAGCTTCAGCGATCGATTGAGAAAGCCGAGGTCGAAGGTGAGCCAAAGGACTTGTACGTGCTGCCACCCGATCATCGATGGACACATGTCCGCGGCGTCACATTGATTGGTGATGCAGCGCACGTCATGACGCCCTTTGCCGGCGAGGGCGTCAACACGGCGCTGGATGATGCACGGCGGCTTGCTGCGGTCATTATCGGAGCTGTGGGGTCTGGCGGGGTGCCAGGTCTCAGTGGGTATGATGATTCTCCCGGTTGGGTTCGAAGCCGGACTCGAGGTCTATCAGCCGAATGTCCGGACACACCCATCCATCGTCCCTTGCCCCGAGCCACTTCTTAAATCGAGCTTCGAGAAAGCCTACTTCCCTAGACCACTGACTAAGGCCGCCGTGAGCAACATGTATCTGCAGGCTCTCGAGGTTGTTCATTCTGTCAATTGGGGCTGTGGTTTCTTGGAAGAACTCCCAAACCTCGCTAAAGTGAAGGATCATATGTCGCATAGCGGTACTGTCCTGGTCGCCTAGTTTACTTAAGTAGATGGCATTATCGACGAAGCGTACCGTATCGAGCTCGAAGTTGACCCATATGTAACGTGCGCCTTTACCACCGGAGCCATCGTTGCGGAGGACCACGACGTTACGGAAGGCGCGGACGTAGGGCGCCCATTTGCGCGATTCGTGACAGGTATGTAGCACGGCTGGCACCGAGTCGTAGTAGAAGAAGTAGTCGTCCTTCGGGTCCCGCTGTCTTCGCTGCCACGGTCGGTGGGTGATTGTGAGAATCCGTGGGAAAGCGGCAAGTTGCCAGCCTTTGCACCGCAGCTCGAGAGGTAGACGCGGAAAGGCGTGGAAGGCGTTGGCATCGGGCGGTGCCATCGCGGGGATGAACAGACTGGGATCCTTTGGAATGTAGACCCAACAGGAGATTTGCAAAAGAGAGATGTAATAGACGGGCGACAAACAATCCCATGCTGGCAAAACAAGCCTCTCCAGGGCTGGTGAAGAAGTTGTATCTTGCTGGCCGTCTCCGAGTCGAGCGTGCTGATCCTTTCCTGTCAGCGACTGCTGCTCTCCCGCGCCCTGCTAGGCAGATCCTGGCTTCCCCAGAATCGCAGCCGGACGACTGATTGCGTAGTATCCAAGGATATTCTACGTGTAACTTGAGTAAAGCATGTACGAGCCAAGATGGAATCAACTACCAGCCATCGCAAGCATTGGCGAGGCTCTTGGTATTGGTCCAAAAACCGCCTGCAACCAAATACTTAGGCAACGTGCGTTGGTTACGCTCGCCATGCACGCGTTTACAACAAACGGTGATTGTCGAGCAGCATCCGTTGAGGTATGCATGGTGCCTGAAGACATGTAGAAAGGGTGATTCGACAAAACCCAGCACAAATAGTGCTCAACTTCGGTGAGCGCGCATGTGAGACCTGAGACTTTGTGCCATGGATCCATCCCTCCCTTGATGCGACAGTTGTGCTCCCACCGGCATTAATTCATCCCGAGGTCGTCCTTTGCTACTAGGAAGGCCAAAGTTGGCCATACTGTTCCAAGGGCGACCAGAGCGAGCATTTGGTGGTGCGGCACGCGGCGGCCTACCCGGGAGGATTGCACACCCCACAGTTGCAGAGGGACGGACGGCCAGGCCAGGCTGTGCGTGCCCACCGTACAAAGTGCCACTGTAGGAGCTCTCCCCATCACACCCGTCGACGGTGCCCAGGTCAGGTCGTTTGATGGCGCCTGATTGTGCTGCCGCAGTCGTGCGCTCCCCCCCCCCCCGGAAGCTGGAAGGAAGCCCTTTGGGTGGTGGTCCAGTCCCGCCCACTTTTTTATCCGCTGCTGCCCACCCCCCTTGAATCATCGCCTGCCCACGGTTTCTTTGTGCTCCTGCTTGTCAAGAAGGACCATCTGCGACAGCTACACTCTTTGTCCACCGGCTGTCTTCAGGCCTTCTCTTCGACCTTCTCGTTGACTGGAGCAGCGAGCCGCGTCTGCCTTCTTACACCTACCGGCATCCTCCCCCCCTTCGTGCCTCTCTTCGTGCAGTCCAGCCGTCTCCATGTGCTAGCGAGGAGCCTCATCGACGACGCCCACCACCGCCCAGACGGCCACATACGACAATCCGCTCCGCCCGCCTACCGATTCCCTCCCGCCCCCAGCGACTTCCCTCCCACGCCGGGACTGCGAACCGCACCGACCCACGATCGCGGCAGCATCAACTCCCCATTGCGGCCGACATTATATTCTAACAGACGTCGTCTGTGAGCAGACGTCCTTGGGACAGGGTGAGTTCGACCTAGACCCCGTCAATGGCCAGCCAAGCTCCATCGAACAGAGCTCCCACGCTTCCTCCACCTCCCCCCGTCCCACAACGCCAGCTTTCGCCGTCCACGCCAAGCTGCGTTGAAGAAGCTACGATGCTATCACCAACGAGTCACAATGATTTCCGCTGTTCAGACCGACACCATCTATACCCCTGTCAACACTGTTGAATCCCGTTGATCCGCCGTCCATTTTCCTCCTCGCTGACTCACGTGCAACTTGCAGTCAAGACATATAGGGAGCAGCTTGCGAACTGAGCTGGCCAAGAGGCACCGATCATCGAGCCGAGCCGACTCCATTTTCACCAACTACTGCGAGGCTGTGAAATGGTACAAGCGAGGAAGAATCAACCCTCGTCATCGACCAACGGAACCTCAAAGAAGCAGCAGACAGACGCCAGGACAATGGGGGGTAACACGGGAAGAAGTGACCACAAAGCTAATGGTGAGTCTGCTTGCTGGCACCATCCATGTCAATTTTGGAGCTTCGCCGCTGACGACATCTCTGTTGTCCCTGTCATTAGGTAATTCTGCTGCTTTCCGCACCGATAGCGCCATCTCTGGCGGCCGCTTTGGTGCCGAGAGGCAACTGCAGAGATGGGTCCCTGATGATGCCGACACGTTCGACGTGACATTGGAGAGATCCAAGGATGGCGGTCACTGGGACCAATTCGAAGAGAATGAGCGCCGCTTTGGTATCAAGTCGGACTACGACGAGAACATCTATACTACACAAATCAACAGGAGCCATCCTCAACACAAAGAGCGCATGGCGGCTGCGGACAAGAAGGCTCGCGAGATCGAGCGCAGCGCCGCCGCCACAGCCCACGTTGCGGAGGAGCGGATCATGGATTTTGTCGGAGGCGACAACAAAGATGACGAGGAGGACAAGTAAGTGTCTCGTCCACGTCGACTCCTGTGCTCTTGCTAACAGCCGGAACAGATACAGTGGCGTCAAGCGGCAGGACTTTCCTCCTCTGCCTGGCAGCAGAGAAAACAAGTATACTCCTCCAGCTCGTCGCGCGCCCGCCGGCGCCTCGACTGTGAAAGGGGCCCCGGTCGACCCTGCCATCATCTCATCCCAGCTCAAAGCCCCCGCCAAGACGTCGCCTGCACCCAAGGTGGATGAGAGCAAGAGCAAAGTGCCCAAACCCGAGACTGCTCCTGCGCCGATACCGCCCAAGGCTACAGAGGCAAAGCCGGAGCCGAAGGAGGATGCCCAAGCGAAGCCTACCGACGTCAAAGCTGCAACTCAGGCAGCTGTGCCGCTGAAGACTACGCCTGCAGCTGGTCGTACAGTCTCTCCCCAGGGCAAAGAAGCTGCTCCCAGCGCTACCTCTACCGTGGAGAGAGATGTGCTCAAGGAGTTCAAAACATTTGCAAACCAGCAACGCCTCAACGCGGAGAAGGCTCGCAGTACCAAGGCCAAGGCTGACAAAGAGGTTAAACTGACTGAGCTGAAGAAGTTTGCGGACAGCTTCAAGCTGCCCACCTTGGTCCCTGTTGATTTGATCCCGATCATCGCCAAAGACCCTGCGAAGCAACGCGAAATTCAAGAGAAAGCCCAGCGGGACGTTGACCTGATGGCCAAGCGAAAAGCAGACGAGGTCGCTGCGAAAGAGAAGAAGGCCTCCATCAGTAAGGAGACGCCTGCCGCTACTGCTGTTGCAAGTTCGACGGAGCCCGCCAACACTACCACCAACAATGCAAAGCAGCCAGCTCGGGCTTCAGGTGTACCGAGCAATGCTCAGCCACCTGCGGGACAGCAGCCTCGTCACCAGAACAACCGCGCAAGCTATGCCCCTCCTTACAACCAGTACCAGGGTGGGAACCGACCTGGCCCTCCACACATGCAAGGTGGACGTCAGTCGGGCGGCTTGTCTGCGCGTATTCGCAACATGGAGCAGCAAAAGGCTCAACAATCCATGATGCAAGGGGATTTGCGCATGCCTCCCACCGGACCCTCGAACACTGGCGCTCCCGCATACAACCGCCCAATGCCTTCGATGGCTAACCACATGGGCGGCAAGTTGAATCCCAACAGCCATGAGTTCCGACCTAGTCCATTTGCCGCAAGCTTCAGCCCCAATGGGCATCCAAGTGCCACCTCGAGCCCTCGTTCGGGGCCGAACAACGCGCCTGAGGCCCAATCCGCAACTGGTTCTGCTCCGTCTCTCGTTGTCGTCACGAGAAAGAGGAAGGCTGTCGACTCGAAGAAGTGCGTGATCTTGTCCTTTGTCAAGACCGTTGCCCCTCCAGAGAATAAGAACTGGAACGAGAACGATGGACTACGGCCATCCTACGACACACTCCCTACGTGGCGCACAATTGCGGACAACGAGAAGGCCGACTCGACCATGCACATGACCTACAACGAGTACCTAGAGAAGCAGCCTTTCGCGGCCCAGCCCACTCCAAACACTGGCCATGCCATGCCACAGCTGGCGCATCAGCACCAGCTCCCGTTCCATCTGCAGCACGGAGCCCATAACTATGGCCCGCGACACTCCCCGCATGTTCCGCCTGTACAGATGCACGGCGGCCACCATGGCCCTGGAGCGCATGTCCCGTTCAATGGGAGCGACGATCATCGGATGATGCACTCAAACTCTACGCAGTCATACTCGTCACCTAGAATGGGACAGGTGCCAATGGCCCATCCTCCCAACATGAACTCGCCTGGCCAGATGCCATATAACCAGCCTGGTATGCCGCAATTCATGGGTGGTGGGCAGCCTGGAATGAATCAATTCAGTCGCAGCTTCTCCAACAACGGCTCATACATACCCCAGCCAGGGGCTATGGGTGGGCCTATGATGATGCCAGGCCAGTTTATGAACCCACAGGGGATGGTTGGCCCTCCTCAGATGCACATGTACCAGTCTGGACACCCGCAGTTCATCCCACCAGGCTCTGGACCCCCACAGCAAATGCCTGGTGCGAACGGCTACCCGAGCCCCGGCAGACCGTCGGCACCCATGATGGTCCACCAAGGCTCTCAGCAGGGTCAGCAGGTGTACGGAATGAGCCCTGGCATGCATTACCAGCAGCCGGCCTTTGCGCCGCAACAGCAAGGTCCCAGTAAGTTGCCATCAATGCTTCGTCGATTGCCCTGAGGAACTCAAGGACTAACAGACATTAGTGAATCCTTCACGTGGTTACAACAATCAAGGCCCGCAACATTTCGGCACAAGCCCGTCACAGATGCATCATTATGGACCCCAGCGGGGCTCAAATACCAGCTTCAAGAACTCCCCATCTCATAACTCGCCTGGGACACAGAGTGGACAGCCCACACCGCCGGCACAAAGCCGAGCACCGGAGGCTCCTGGAGAGACGAAGTGAGCCATCGCGGCCCAACATATGTAGCGGCTCATCCACAGCGCTCGCGGTTCGACGAAGCGCAATACGATATTGTTACCAAGTTTCAACACGGGCTCGATGCTAGATGTTCTGCCGGCCAGGCTGTACTGCCTAACATAACGAGGATAGCTGCAGCACCTGTCACATACAAGCGCATCAATGTCAAGCGCTGCCCATTCATGGATAGCGGCGGTTCGCTGTATAGACACAGGAGACGTTCAGCACCCCGTTCAAGCCCGCCGGTGCTTGTGTGCTGCGCCGAGCAGCCAGACGCCATGCGACTATGCTATGAACAAACTCATTGATCATTAGTCGAAGATCGACCGGCCCTTGCAGGCAGTGGAGACTGACAGAGCACATAGGAAAGTCATGATGTTTGAACGAGGCGGGTCGTGTTGGATCTGCCGACTTGCTGATATGTGGATAGCTTGGAGTCTGGGTATTTCGCCTCGCCAATCGCCTAGGGCTCCGTTCTGGATGGATACGGCTGGTCTGTGGATGGCGAAGGCGCTGCGAATGAGACGTATGAGCATGGGGGCTTGAGTGGCCCTGACTGTGAAGGCCTGCGAGGTAGTGGCGTAGGGGCCACCAGGCAATCCAAAAAAAGAAAACTAAAAAAAAACTACGCAAAATTGCAACGTCTGTCCATGTGAACAATTCACTTGTGATGATTGAAATACCCTGCCATTTTCGCCAGCATAATATAACAGCCGCATTCACGAGATGTCGGCCAGCTAATAAGCCTGTCACCAGTGAAGGTCACATTGCGCACCTGGAAAGACACATGCGGATCCCAAAACCCAAGGATGGGAAGGTGGGAAAAGAAGCAGCAAAGGCAACCCGAAGGAGGAGGTAACAACCGCTAATGCGTGATATACAAGTATGATGTTGCCATAATTAACCTCACCAACAAAAAAAAATTAAAAAAAGGCCCTCCGACGCGAGTGTGAGCAGGTTTGCTGTATGGGCGCGGGATTGAGACTTTCAACTTTATGCGGAAAGCGAGTATAGCGAAGCACTTGAGCCTGTCCTAGATGATGCCTGTGCTTCTTCTGTTACACATGACATTTACAGCCAGGTACAATCCTTTTTCAATGCAAGTAATTCATCCGCCCTGTTTAAAATAAGCGCTTTTGTGAATTGGCCTCACAGAACTAGTCCGAGCAATCTCGAACACGGCCGATCGAAGGCTGTTCATAATCCCCATGAAGGACTAATGGATCGCTCTGTTCTGTACTCCCTGGTGGGTCCTGGAAGGTTTACTGGCGGACCCGCAGGCAGAGAGCAAAGAAAGTGTATACCTCAGGAGGAGGACCCTGTGGGGATACTTTCCATGCCCGGAATAGTCCTATGTCGAGCTGAGAACGGGTTTCGGTGTATGCACTATTTCTTGGCTGATGGTAAAGCTTTTCCTCGTAGAGGGAACTAGCGGATATCCCTTCGCAACTATATGAATATATCCATACCTATTTATATCTCAAGCAAGTTGGATAAGAGAAGTGCTTGCATGCGAGTGTGCTTGATCGGACCGCCATATCCACATCCTGGAAGGACCATGGTCCGGTTAACAAAGGATTTGTATTTACCCGCTCTGGCGAAAGCTTCTGACAGACAGGTGTGGATCTCCCAGATAGAGAGGTACAGACTCTTTTGCTGTTTTTTTATTATGGCTTTCCTTTTCATTCTTCCTTTGAATCATTCCTCGGCTTACCGCGGCGTCGCTGCTCCATGTAAAATGAACCTCTCGATTTAGCTTAGAGGTCTGGAGAGTCGTCCGGGCTTGGTCTGGACAACCCAGCTGGGCTGATTGAGCAGATGGATCGACCTGGAGCAATGGGACACTGGTGCATCACGGGAACGGGGCGAGGTCTTTTCGTCAAAAGTGAGTTATCAGGTGTGGCCGGGGCGAACCTGGCCCCAGAGGAGAGGGGGGTGTCTCCGAATGCTCTAATATATCCGAAGCCTCTGGTGGCGGAACGGGATGACAAGAATAGACATTTGTTTCGGGACAAAGACAACCCCATGGCGCTTTTGGCAAGTGAGGTGAACGGATTAGGAAATGGTCAAGTCCGAGCAACATGTGTGCAGAAGGATGTTGGCTACATGAACGTCTCTGCGTTTCAGTCTAGTGTGGCTCGACTCCGCGAGAGGCGGCAGGCAGATACTTGTTTCGTTAGCGAGCGATCAAGGCAAGGCAAGGCTGCTGCCATGTGTGTTTCGTTTCGTCGCGCGAAGGAGCAAACCATGTAGAACAAACCATGTTCAGCAAGGCCTGGTTGGACGAAACAAAGAGTCTTTCGGATGGCAGCTGGGCTGCATGCATACGCTAAGTACTGTAACCGCGGGAAGGAAGGAGTCTCACACCTGCAAGCGAGAGGACGAGCAGCGAGCGACCGCTGGACCGTTTCAGGGCCGGACGATCAGCCGAGCTGGTGGGACCCGACAGAGAGGCCTTGGAGTTTGGAGTGGGCGGGCGAGCGAGCCGAGATCTTCAGTCAGTCAGTCTGTCTGTCTGTGCACGCGCTGGTGGTGGTGGGGCGGCGATCATTGACTGAGGCCTTTGTGGACATGCAACGTCGTGCCGGTATTGATTGTGTATTTGGCAAACAGAGGGGAGCGAGAGGAGGCCTCGATGTGACGACAATAGAATACGCAGTATTAATGATGAGTCGAGAGGCAGGCGGGACGGTGCTCAGCCACAGACCACGGGCTGCCTCTGTCATGCGAGCGGTGGAGCGGGACGGGACCTATTCATGTGGTGCAGCAGACCAGGGCTCGCATGACGGCTGTGGCGATGCGGGCAGGCGGCAGCCACAGTCTGGGCCTGGGCCTGGGCCTGTGCCTGCGTGTGCTGGAGGGCTCCCATTCCACTCAGCATCGTTTGTAGAGGCCGGGACAGATGACTAACAGTATGATACTGTGATGGGAACACGAAAAGGTTGCATTCCAGAGGCGGCGTTGAGGAAAAGGAGGGGGGAACCACATTCCTCCCTGGCCACACAGGTCGCCACTTATTGTCCAGCCTCGCCTGCTAAGGGCACGGAAAGTGCTGCCTCGCACAATGTTTCCTCTGCCTCTGCCTCCGCCTCTCCTCTGCTCTGAAGAAAATGTTTGACTGGTTTCGCAGGATGGAGGCACCACCAGCGACGATAGGCCAGCACGGACAAAAGGTTGAAACACGGACGGTGGTTGGGCGTAGCCAATGGGGAGCCAGCATGCCGTTTCTCCTGGCAGGTGGGCCCGTTTCGATGCCAGGCACGGGCCGCTGCTGATTGGCTGCCTGGCCCAAGGTGTGCTTCCTGCCAGGGGCGGGGCGCCTTCTGGCGTGCCTGCCCCGGGGGGGGGGAATGCACCGGCGGATCGACAAGCGCACCTGCCAGTCTCTGCACTGGACACCTTGAGGCAGTCAGTCAGTGAGTTCTGACCTTGAGGCCTGGGATAGGGAGTAAAGTACGCAATCGTGCGAGTCGCATGCAGCCCGCCGATCAGCAGCCGACGTAATGTGACAGCACATCCCAAAGAGGGCTCAACGGACCGACTGTGGCAGACTCTGGCGGAATGGTCCAACGGCTTCTTCGTGTGCGCCGAACATGTGGAACAAGATGTCATGCTGTGGGACGCCAGCAACACGCACCTCCCCAGACCAGGCAGAGCCCAGCAGTGCTCTGCGAGCGGCCTCGCATCTAGAAGCGGCTGTGGACAGACAGGGCCGCATCTCGGCCTGCAAGATTGCATCGTGACACATATGAGGCTCGAATATACAAGGCCTCCTGCGGCGATCGGCCACGGGATACGCGCGGCTTGGCTCGAGGGCAGGGAGCAACCCAGGGCCTTGGTTCGTCTAGAATCCTCGCATTGATCACGCTGCCCTGGGATGGGATCCCCCGCCTTTTTCTCCCGGGCGGCGTCGTCGTCGAGGCGAGGGCGACGAGGGCGAGAGCATCAAGCCAGGGCACCGGCCGCGCATCGACTGGCTGCGAGCGAGCCGCCCGCCCTCCTGCGCCTGCCAAGGCGGCAGTCGCGACCCAGTCGTCGCCCGTGGCGGGGTGGGGCTCTGCAACCTCACTGGTGGAGGTGCCCCTGAGCGCGCAAACCGAGTCGGCCGGTACGTACCCCCCATCCCCACTCCACCCTGCCAGACCAGTCCCTTCACTCCACTCACTTACACGCACACGCACACGCACAAACGTCTTAGTCCCTGCCCAGCTCGACTTATAAAGACGGCCGCCATCAACCTCCCTCACCTGTCGACCGTCTTTTGAGCCATCGCAAACGCATCCGCCCTTTTGTGTCTTTGTTCTTGACGCTTCCTTTCGCCCTCCTTGTAGAGATCCCCCCTCCTTTGCGGATCTCTTTAGCTTCTTTTCTCGTGCCAGCACACACAGACCCCGGTGGTCTCGGCTCTTCATTCCCAGCGGCAGTGCCCCAGCCTCACACAACCACGCCGAACACTAACAGCGAGGCCATTGTTCTCGTCAACCACCAACCACGGCACCCATTCCACACAACGTCACGCCCACCACGTGCTGGAATCTGTTAGCACCCGCCCGCCCGCTGCTTGCTTCTTGGCTCTCGATAAAGAACAGCACACGACTCACTCCTTCTCGTCCGTGTCTCTGATCAGAGCCCTGTCCATCTTTCCCCTCGAGATATCACACATCTCGCCCACGCCAAGACAAAGAACACCTCACTGTCTCTTCACCAACAACTCACCAAAAGGTCACCACTGCAACCATGCACTTCACATCTCTCCTCGTCGCCGCGCTGGCTGGTTCAGCGTACGGCCACATTGCCATTGTCAAGCCGGCTCCTCTCCGCTCAAAGGAGAACCCCAACTCGGGCAACGCCATTGACTACGACATCAACTCACCTCTAGCCGACATGTCCCAGTTCCCCTGCAAGGGTGCCCTCAAGTACCTCGGCCAACCTGAGGGTGCTTCTGTCGAGACCTACGCTCCTGGCGGTTCTTACGACATGGTCATCGGCAACGGCGCTGCTCATAACGGCGGCTCCTGCCAGATCTCCCTCTCTTATGACCAGGGCAAGACTTTTACCGTCATCAAGTCTATTGAGGGTGGCTGCCCCTCGGCTGGCGCTAGCTACAAGTTCACTGTCCCTTCCGACGCCCCCAAGGGTGAGGCTGTCTTCTCCTGGTCCTGGAACAACAAGTCGGGAAACCGCGAGTTCTACCAGAACTGTGCCGTCGTCACCATCGCAGGTGGTGCCCAGAAGCGCTCCGATGAGCTTGTCAGCCGCGACGTTGCCTTCTCTGCCCGTCCTCAGATCTTCGTCTCCAACCTCGGCGGCGAGTACTGCACTCCCGAAGGAGTCGACGTCATCTATCCCAACCCTGGCCCGGATGTCGAGCGCAACACCAACACACCTGGCAACGCCAAGGTCTGCTCCTCCGGCGCTGATGTCCCAGCTGGTGGCTCCGGTGGCGGCAGCAGCGGCGGCGGCAACGGTGGCTCGGCTCCCGCTCCCAGCTCGGCTGCTCCGTCTGCTGGCCCTACCAGTGCTCCTGCTCAGCCTGCCCCTCAGCCTTCTGCAGTCATCCCTCCCGGTGGTGTCTTCATCACTGTTCCCCCTACAGACACTACCACCCCTGAGCCTACCGCCGCCCCTGAGTCTAGCTCGAGTCCTACGACTCTGCAGACTCAGACCTCGGCAGCCAGCTCTTCTGCCGCTCAAAGCTCAGCCGTCGCCTCCGCAACGCCCACGAGCGGCAGCCCGCCTCCTGCTGCCACTTCTAGCGGTGCTGCTGCTCCCGTTCCGTCCGGCGCTCCCCCTGCTGGTGGTGCTAGTGGCGGTCTCACAGGACCTTGCACTGCTGAGGGTGACTGGAACTGCATCGGTGGTTCCAGCTTCCAGCGCTGTGCTTCGGGCGCTTGGTCTGCCGTCATTCCCATGGCTGCCGGAACCAGCTGCCAGCCGGGCGTCTCTGCCAACTTCATTACCAGTCGTCAAGACCTTGGTGCTCTGCGCCGCCGCCGCGTTGGTGTCTGGTACTAGAGCCGTTGAAATCAGCTAGCCTGATTCTCAGCGTTCAAAAAAATTCTTGTACACAATCTCTTGACAAAACGAGGCGGACAGTGGTTGCAGAGGTCTGCGGCGCAGACACACGGGGTCTTCTTGTACATACGATTTTCTCTTTCTTTGCGACTTGTCATCATGATTCTGACACGTCGTTGCCACCCTTTTCCCCGCACAAATGACCAACACCCGAGCATATATGCAGAAAAGCATAGCATTCAACTCTTTCCTTTTCTGTTCTGCATTGGAGACATGAGGAATGGGGACATACTTGTGTGCCCATAGATGAAGCAAATGACAAACTATCGTTTACCGAATTCTTCTACCTGCCCGCAAGAGTTGTAGTGCCTGCTTTTTGAAATCCGTGTTGAATTGATCCCCTCATCGCGACGTCTCAATGATCAATACGACCGAGGGCGTCTTGCCAAACTCATCAACCCGGCTTTCCTTCAAATAATGCAGACGTAAGGTCATATATACCTGCAGGCGTTGTCACCAATGCCCACCACCCATCAGGCAGTCCGAATCCTTTGCGTCCCAATCAATATAAGTGCGGCTGAACAGCGGCTATCCCCGCGCCGTGTGCCAAGTTCTTCATCTCCCATACTTTATGACTTGTCGGTCTGGAACGTCAATTTAATGTTACTCATGTCTTCGCAAAGTTTGCAACGTGCAGGGGCGAACAAAAAGCATATGGCAGCAGAAAGATGCAGCCAGTGTCCTCGCACACCAGAGGGGATAAGAAATAAGGATGGCGTACAGCCTTAGTAGTTGGTTGTCTTCCACTTCTATCACGGTGAGGAAGGAGGTTCAGGCCAAAGTCAGGATAGAGCAAAGGGTGTAATTGAGAAGAAGAAGAAGAAGAAGAAAAAAGGGGTGGTTTCTGTACATCGTCTTTGTTATCTCTCCTCATATTTCTCGTCTTTCCCCTTTCCCCTCTTAAGATCACCGTGAAATCACGTGGTCCTAATGACAACTACTACAACAATGACAGCAACATCAACACCAATAACAGCAACAAAGGCTCTCTTGACCCTCCTCGACATCAACAAACTCGACGGACAAACCAACTTCCAGAAAACCATTAACAGTTCAACCAGACACGTACAAAGGAAAAGCCTCCGCCTCCGGCTGAACGACCACACGTCCGTAGACTCAACCTCCTCCAAACCCGACATTACGCTCCTCCACCGATGCTTGAACAACCCTTCAAAGGACTAGCGCTAGAGTCAAACAACTATTTTTCTCAAGCCCGCCATCTCCGCTGGACAGGGTGGCCCATCATCGGCGCAGGGGCGGCGGGTGGATGCATTGCCGCTGCTGTTGTTGTTGTCTCTGCCGGGGGCGGCATCATTGGGTGCGCGGCGACGGGAGCGGCCGTGGTGTGGACCATGGCCGGCGCCGACGCGGTAGAGCTGCAGGCGGCGGTCTCGGTAACGTGGACCGTCTCAACGACAGTGTGGACCATGGGCGGGACGGTGACGTGGACCGTCTCCTTGACCGTCTGTGGCGGCAGTGTCACATGGACGGTCTCCTTGACCACGGAGGGCGCCTCCGTGATGTGGACGGTTTGTGTGACTGCGACTGGCGCACCGGTCTCCTTCATCGTCACAGTCTGGGGAGGAAGCGTGACGTGAACGGTCTCCTTGACTGTCTCCTTAACTGTCTGTGGAGGCTGAGTAACGTGGACGGTCTGGGTAACGGCGACGGCGGCGCCCGTCTCCTTCATGGTAACCGTGACGTGGACAGTCTCCTTGACAGTCTGAGGGGGTTGAGTGATGTGAACAGTCTGGGTGACTGCAGCGGGAGCAGCGGTCTCCTTCATGGTCACGGTAACGTGAACAGTCTCCTTGACAGTTTGAGGAGGCTGGGTGACGTGAACGGTCTGAGTAACGGCGACGGCGGCGCCCGTCTCCTTCATAGTAACCGTGACGTGGACAGTTTCCTTGACTGTCTGCGGAGGCTGAGTAACGTGGACAGTCTGAGTCACTGCCATGGGCGCGGCAGTCTCCTTCATCGTCACTGTCTGTGGGGGCAGAGTGACATGAACAGTCTGAGTAACGGCGACGGCGGCGCCCGTCTCCTTCATGGTAACCGTGACGTGGACAGTCTCCTTGACAGTTTGAGGAGGCTGAGTAATGTGGACGGTCTGGGTGACTGCGACTGGAGCGGCAGTCTCCTTCATCGTGACTGTCACAGGCGGCAACGTGACGTGAACAGTCTCCTTGACAGTCTGAGGGGCTTGAGTGACGTGCACAGTCTGGGTGACTGCCACGGGCGCGGCAGTCTCCTTCATCGTCACTGTCTGTGGGGGTAGAGTGACGTGAACAGTCTCCTTGACGGTTTGAGTGACAGGGACGGTAACCTGCACCTTTTCGACCTTCGTGACGGGAACGCTGACGGCAACTGTATGCATGACAGTCTCAACCTTGGTGACAGGAACCGTAACCTGTACCTTTTCGACCTTGGTGACAGGAACGCTGACGGCAACCGTGTGCATGATAGTCTCGACCTTGGTAACAGGGACTGTAACCTGCACCTTTTCGACTTTGGTGACCGGTACACTGACATGTACTGTCTCGACTTTGGTGACGGGAACTGTGACCTGTACCTTCTCAACCTTGGTGACGGGAACGCTGACGTGCACAGTCTCGATCTTGGTGACAGGCTTCTCCACAGCCTTGGTGATGGTCATGTGGACGGTTTCGATCTTCGTAACAGGCTTCTCTACAGCCTTGGTGACAGTGACATGTACTGTCTCAACCTTGGTAACGGGCTTCTCAACAGCCTTGGTAACAGTGACATGTACTGTCTCGACCTTGGTGACAGGCTTCTCGACAGACTTGGTTATAGTCATGTGAACTGTTTCCACCTTTGTCTCAACCTTTGTCTCGACCTTTGTCTCGACCTTGGTTACCGGCACGCTGACGTGTACAGTCTCGACTTTGGTGACGGGCTTTTCGACAGGGACTGTGACGTGGACTGTCTGTGTCTCGGCAGATCCCTTCTCTGTGATGGTGTGAACCATTGTCTCGGTAACGTGAACAGTCTCCTTGACAGTCTCCTTCACTGTCTTCACGCCACTCTCGGAAGCGGGAGTCTCGACAACTGGCATAGCGGGTGCAACCATCATTGGTGGTGGCGAGGGAGCGGCTGCGGCGACTGTCACCAGCGCCAGCAACGTGACGGGCAACGCTCTGAAGGAAACCATGGTTCTCGCTTATCTCGTAGTCGTCGTTTTTCTTGTCGTAATCCTGTCCCGTGAGTGGGAAATTTTTGCGCTGGTGAGAACTACTCCTGCTGACAGACCAGGAGCGACGGCTGGAATATCGAGCTTGTCTGTCGAGATGACAGGGCCGCGGGCTTCGAAGCGAATAGTAACAAAACTGATCAATATATCGGAAAACGAGTAGATGCCGGATCTGGTGCTCGTGTCTCTATAGGATCGAAGGGAATGAAGGACAATGGATTAAGAAAAGACCGTGATGGACCAGCACAACACACGAAAGGGAAAGAGAGAAACAGAACACAGTTCTGTGAGAAGAGAAACAAAGACGTCGGTAGAAGGATAGGATGACGCAAAAGGGAAAGAGCATGGGAGAGAGGAAGGAAGAGGAAATGTTTTGACCGACCTGGCCGGGTCTTTTGCAGGCCAGCCGAGAGCCAAGCTCATCGCTAGCCTGCTCGCCTGCTGGCCAAGCCGGGTAGCCGACGATACTCTGCCAGGGAGGCCATGCAAGCACAAGAAACACGAAGAACATCGAACGAGCCCGCAAGGGGGTGTAGCACAGAGTCAGGCATCGCGACAGTCGACGGCGCCGGTTTTCCACGCCCCTGGCAAGCTAGCAACACAGAGAGGGCCTGGTGCCGAGCCCTACCACCAGACTTGGTGGCGACTGGGAGTGAGGCCCAGCGGCACACGGCTGCGTGAAGAGGAATAGTACTGGGGTCCTTGCTGTGACGGGGGTCGCATTGATGCTATCGGGCCAGCGCCCTCCCTGAAGCCTGCTTGCAGGTCAGCCTGGTTCCTCGGATGATGTTTGAGGTCCCCATGCTGCGGGCGATGGTGATATTAGGGAGTTGGGGCTATACTCCGTGTGGAGCCACGGCCTGGGATCGAATGGCCAAGAGCTGGCCGGCCGTTGGGCGACCTCGACGGCGATCCTTGCGGCTCAAAAAGACGGGGTCCAGGGGCTGTTAGGGCCCGGGGTAGTGAGCCAGGGGCCTGGCTCGTCCAGTCTCGGCACGGCAGGGGCCTCCTTTTGTGTTTTGTGGCTCCAGCTCGCTGTCACAGCGTTGATGTGCACGCGAGTCGGGACGAAGACTGCCTACGGCTAGCGTAGGAGACATATTCCAAGCAAAGAGCTGCAATGCATTTTGTCAGCACTGGTTGACCACTTATTTCATCCACCAGGTAACAGTCATGTGCGTGCCGCTCTGGCTGTCATGGTTTCAGGCCCATCTGAAGTGCTCCTTGATAAGGTATCGCGGCTCACTTCAGATGCATTGTGCTCATTGCCCATGGAATGTGCCTTGGGAGGCATACACATTTCATGCTGCATCATGCTGCAAGAGCAGATTGCGCCGCTGCCGTCATCAAGTTAAGCGACGATGCCTGTGTTGGCCAGGGTCGTCGTCGCCATATGGGTTCGTGCAAGGCTTCCTGTGCCGTGGCATGGGCCTGAGTGACGATTTGTTTCTTTTCTCTTTCTTTCTTTTTCGAGTTTTTTCATTTTCGCAGGCTGGTTCTTCTGTATGTGTAGTGCGCAAGGCAGACCACATCGACGTCGCTGTTGCGAGATGGGAGCCCTGGACCGTGAGTTGTAAGCCAGCTGGGCAGCCAGGCGGAGCTGGCAAGGCCCAGAGTTTCACAAGGGGTTCGAAACGGCTTGGCGCGAGGGGCAGCCACGCTCCTGCCTCCGTCACAACACACACCCAGGCACGCCGTCACGGCGCCCACCGCATGGTGACATGGCCTTCTGCGAATGCTTAAGGTTTGGACTGCCTCCTCCCTCACCGACCCGTCGTCGCGGAACTCGAACACTTCAGGTGGCCCAGAGCGAGACCCCCCACGAGGCGGCCGGCTTCTGGACCTGCCGGACTGTAGCCTTGCGCTCATTGGCGGGTTGCTCTCTTTTCCTCCTCCTCGGCTGCCGTTGTTCCCGGTTGTGTCGTTTCCCTTACCCAGGGCTGCGGGGCGCCTTCAAGTATGACCCCATACAGAACAGGTCATCTTTTCTTGCCCCCGCCATGCTGTCGCAGATCTGCACGTTCACGAGTAATGAGAAACATGGCTCTACAGGACCAAGGCACCCACCATCGCGAGGTTTCGGTGCGCCTGCCGATGCAGTGGGCAGTCAACTTGGGCATCGCTCCTCAGCGCACCTTGCCATGGCTTTATATGACATTGCACGCCCTCTTGTCTTGTATATGACCGCGAATCTAGCACCATCTGGCTCATTGTCCAGGGACAACACCAACTGGTGTTACGCCGCTTTCGGCGGCTGCTTTTATCCCCCTCGTCCTCTTCGCTGTCTTACGCTCATCCTTCGCCTGCTGCTCTGCCAGTTCTTTACACGCCAATTCGTGTTCAGATTCATCAGTGGCATCAGTTGGCTTGGAAGCAAGCGGCGAGGCGTCGCTCTGCGCAAAGATGGACCGGTTGTGCTGCCAGACTAGCCACGCCATGCCTTGACACAGACAATCTGCAAGGTCATCAAGCTTGGTAAAGTCGTCCTGTTGCTTGTCGACCGTCTTTTTGACCCGAGCTCTTCCTGCTCTTCCTGGTTGCAGCAGCTGGCTCGTTGTGATAAATGCGTCCTGCACTTTGCGTACTGCGGGCGTCTCTGGTTGAATGATGGCCGGTCGCTTCAGCCATTCTTTGACAAGATACATTCTCTTGGCCTTTATGTCGGTCTTGGAGTCAGGTTCGGGTGTGAAGGCGGGGAAATCCTCTCTTGACATTCCCGCAGCGGCTGCCCTGCCCTTTGTTTGACGGGCTAGCCTTTCCATTTTCTTGTAATACCTCTCCTTTTTGCCTGCTTCCTTCTCGTCCTTGTGGTGTTTCCATTCCGCTAGAGCCTCGGAGTCCTCCTCAACAGATCCCAGCCAGAACTGAGTGGCACGGCCGGGCGGTACCGACATGATGGCTCCCTGCCACTTGCCAGCGGTTATAAGGACTTTGAGCATGGCGTGCAGCATGGCTTCGAGGACATTGACGCGCAGGGTCCATTCCTGGACCTTGGGGCCGGAGAGGGTGCGCGAGCGTTGGCGCTCCATCACAATGTGTGTCGGTTCCATGGGTAAGAGGCGGTTCTGGAGCAGGTCCCAGGTCATAGCAGCCATCCTGTCCGGAGCGAAGCACGCAGTGTCCGCGTCCGAGGCGACCAGCTCGAGCCGTTCCCACGCATGCAAATGGATGGGAACAGGCTGCCGATGGAATGCGGGCTGCTGTGCTTTGCGTGGAGGTATCTGAGACGTGCCAGCGTCGACCGGGCTCATGAGGGCGAAGCCAAAGTTGCGCAGGCCAAGGTCGATGCTGAGGACACGCGGCGCTTGGGTATCTGCCCGCCAGGAAGCACGAGTGTCGGCCAGACGGTCAAGCAGCTCCTGTCGCCTGCCGGTGTGCGGGAGACCGCATGCTGCCAGGACCTGCCTGAGCTGCGGCGCGATCAGCTGGCTGTATGCCACAGGCAGCCCGGGCGGCACTGGAGGCATTGGCCTTGCCTATGGAGAGCGCCGATGGCTGGTTTTTCTCATAGGTCGTGAGAGGACTTGAGGAACTGGCGAATCTTCGAGCTGCGTTGACCTTTGTTGGTACGTTGTTCGCAGAGTGATGTCTCATAACCCGGCACTTGCTGCAACTACGGACGCGGCCAACCAAAAAGAGTGAGGCAGTCCTTCGGGGCCGGCGGGGCCAGTGGAAGGGCCGTCAGTGTCAGTCCAGGAACGGCAGAAAAGTTAGAGCTAACACCCTGCACCTGCCGTTAGTAAGCCCAGGCCAGGCATCATCCAGAAGAAGAGCACGTCATGCGAGGAGCCAGCTGCACCAGACTTCGGCTCAAGATAAGAGCGTTGCCTCCGGTCGTATCCAGACCGAAGCCGCCCTCGGAGAAAAGGAGCAGCTCGTTGACACCAGATAGGACAGGCTTGTGCGTACCATGTTGCTGGATTTAAGAATAGAAGCAACATGGAAGCTGCAAGAATGGCCTCGGCAGCTTGACAAGCATCTCAGAGCGGCCGCTCGAGCAGGTGGTGGTGGTGGTGGTGGTGGATGCCCCTCCGAGGATGCTAGCCATTCATTAGTGAGCATGCACATTGTCGGCTTCGGCCGCCCCGGCTCAAATCCCAACCGCGCCGCGAACAGCGAAGCTCTGTCATCTCGCCCACCCCTCGCCCAGACGTCATCAAGGCTGCATCAAAGCTGCGCTGCCGCCGTATCTTTTTATATGCCCTCCTCCCACGCAGCACAGCTCTGACCCCGCCATAAAACCCGCCTCGCCGCCCCTCTGTTGCCGGCGTCCTGAACCACGAGCTCCACCCATGCCGCCTTTCGCATCGCTCCTCGGCCGGGTTTCTGCAGCTACAGCCGCTTCCTCCTCCGCATCCCCCGCCGTCTCTCGTATCGCCGTCTCACGCCTCTCCTCTGTCTCCAGGCACTTCTCCTCCACCGCCCGCATCATGGCTCCCATCTCTACCGAGACCGACTACCTCGTCATTGGCGGCGGCAGCGGAGGCCTCGCCTCTGCCCGCATGGCCAGTGGCAAGTTTGGTGTAAAGGCCATGATTGTCGAGGCCGGCCGCCTCGGAGGCACTTGCGTCAACGTTGGGTAAGTTTTGAAAACACCTCCCGTGCCCTCAGGGCTTGCGACAGGAGTTGGATTACTGACAATTCCCCATCTCGCTCACCCAGCTGTGTCCCCAAGAAGGTGACCTTTAACGCCGCCGCCATTGCGGAGGCCCTCCACGACTCCAAGGCCTATGGATTCTCGGTCGAGGAGACCAAGCCTTTCGACTTTACCTCGTTCAAGAACAAGCGTGATGCTTACGTCAAGCGCCTCAACGGCATCTACGAGAAGAACCTCACCAATGACAAGGTCGAGTACGTGCACGGCTGGGCGAAGCTGCTGAGCCGCAACGAGGCCGAGATCACCCAGGACGACGGCACCAAGACGACAGTGCGCGCCAAGAAGATCCTCGTCGCCGTCGGTGGCCAGCCCACGCTAGGCCCTTCCGACATCCCCGGCAACGAGCTGGGCATCAACAGCGACGGCTTCTTCGACATTGACAAGCTGCCCAAGAAGGTCGCTCTCGTCGGTGCGGGCTACATCGCCGTCGAGTTCGCGGGCATGTTCAACGCCCTGGGCAGCGAGACGCACCTGTTCTTCCGCCACGAGACGTTCCTGCGCACCTTTGACCCGATCATCCAGGAGGGCGTCACCAACGAGTACGAGCGCCTCGGCGTCAAGCTGCACAAGAACTCGAGCCAGAGCAAGATCGAAAAGGACCCAAGCACGGGCAAGCTCACGATCCACTACAAGGACAGCAACGGCGAGGGCAAGCTCGAGGACGTGGACCACCTGATCTGGGCGATTGGCCGCACCCCCATGACCAAGAACATTGGTCTCGAGGAGGCGGGCGTCAAGCTCGACGAGAAGGGCCACATTGTCGCCGACGACTACCAGAACACCTCTGTCGACAACATCTTTGCCCTCGGCGACGTCTGCGGCAAGGTCGAGCTGACCCCCGTCGCCATCGCCGCCGGCCGCCGGCTCGCGGAGCGCCTGTTCGGCCCCGAGCAGTTCCGCACCAACCGCATCGACTACTCCAACATCCCGTCGGTCGTGTTCGCGCACCCCGAGGTCGGCAGCATTGGCCTCACCGAGCCCCAGGCCATCGAGAAGTACGGCAAGGAGAACCTTACCATCTACAAGACCAACTTCACCGCCATGTACTACGCCATGATGGACCCGGAGGACAAGGGCCCGACAAAGTACAAGCTCATCTGTGCTGGGCCGGAGCAAAAGGTCGTTGGCCTGCACATCATGGGCCTGGGCAGCGGCGAGATGCTGCAGGGCTTTGGTGTTGCTATCAAAATGGGTGCTACCAAGAAGGACTTTGACTCGTGTATAGCGATTCACCCCACGAGTGCTGAGGAGCTCGTCACGCTCAAGTAGATGAGATAAATGTTTAGAATACAGATTAGACATCTTGTGCAAGACATAATGCTCTCCCCCCGTGTGGACATGCTTGGATTGTTGATCTAATTCATTCTTCGATCCGTAACGACATCTGTGGACAGTTATTCCTATGTGAGGCATTGCCTTTCGATGCGACTACTGCCACAATGTATAAGGACGCAACAGTGGACCAAATCAATCATCCCAGTACACATCATAATGGCCCTCCTCTCGTTGTGTGCTCACCCAGTCCTCGCTCGCGAGACCTTTGCTTATCCTTGTGTGCAGGTCGTCACTGTCCTTGTGCCAGTCACAAGCATAGTCGCACGCCGGGACCTCGGTCTCTCCGAAATACTGACATATCATGCGATGCCGACAGGCTGATGTGCTCTCGCAGTACTGCGCGAGGGCCTGCAAGCTGCGCGCGCGCGCCTGGAAATTCGACCCGGCCACCGCACGGTCCCGCATCACCATACTGCTCACGCGGTCCCGGTCCTCGCGAGAGTAGTACAAGAAGCAGTACGCCGCGTTGCCGTCCCGTCCCGCGCGCCCGGCTTCCTGGTAGTACCCTTCAAACGACTTGGGGAGGCGCCAGTGGCATACGAAGCGCACGTTGTCCTTGTCGATGCCCATGCCGAACGCGGTCGTGGCGACGATGATATCGTAGCCGGGTTCGTTGTTCACCCACCTCGCGAGCGTCTGTTCCTTGGCGTCCTTGGACAGCTTTGCGTGAAACGGCTGCGCGCCGATACCTTCCTGGCGGAGGGCGCTCGCGAGATTCTCGCACTCGTCGCGGGATATGGTATAGATGATGCCTGGCACGTTGTCCACCCTCTCGCCTGCAGCCTCGAGCTCAGTTTTTCGCGTTTCCCCGCCTCTGCGCGCATACACCCCGCGAATCCACTTGATGAAGTTGTCGATTCGCATGTCCTCCTCTTCGTCCCTCGTGAACCGTATTTCAAAGTGCAGGTTGGGCCTGTGGGCGGTCATGGTGAAGCTCCTGAGCCTGTCGCCGTCTGCATCGAGTCCAAGTGTGGCGAGCACGTCGTTTCTCACTTGGCTGTTCGCAGTCGCCGTGAGGCACATGATGGGCACATCCGGGAAGGACTGCCTGAACCATGATAGCTTCTTGAAGTCTTTGCGGAAGTCGTGGCCCCATTCAGAAATGCAGTGAGCCTCGTCAATGGCAATCCGTGCGAGTTCCCGCTGCTCGTGCACTATTTTGAGACGGCCACGGAAATGCTCCTGTGCACATAATTCTGGCGTGACATAGAGCAGTCTCGTCCGCGGGTGGCCAGTCTTGAGGTCACCCAGGATCCGATCCCGCTCGTGTTGCGGCGTGTTGCTGTTGAGGGAGCTGGCGTCGATATCAGCAGCTCGCAATGCTTCCACCTGGTTCATCATGAGGCTGAGCAGTGGAGAGATGACGATGGTGATGCCTGGGTCCACCACGGCTGGCAGTTGGAAGCAGAGGCTCTTGCCAAACGACGTGGCAGCCTGTACGAAGACATCCTTGCCATCGAGGGCGGCGCAAATGATTTCGCGCTGATTCGGCCGGAAGGAAGTCTTCTTGAACTGCTGTCGTAGTGTGAAGTCGATGTCAGGGGTGACGAACGAGCTTGAGCGGACTAGTGCAGGCATTCTCTCAAGCCAGGACGTGTTGTCGACCGAGAGAGGGACGTCGAGGCAACGCGCTAGACTGGTCTGGCAGATGTGCAAGAGATCGACAGGTACGCTCTTCTGCAGGTCCAGTGGCTGTGATCTCTCGGGTGGTTGACTGCATGCTCATCGCAGTGACGATGCTGGCATGGCAAGCAGAAAATTCACAGATCTGCTCAATGTCATTGTGCGCTATCGCACAACCATTCTGGTGCCCGCCCCGGCAAGCTGCAATTCTTGTCGAGGTACGATCCTGTTAGGTCTTTGTGTGCATGCTCAAGGTGTTTGCATGCAACGGAACCTCAGAAGTGTGAAGTGAAGTGCAATCGCAGTTGCAACTAGTGGTCGACACCACGGTGGGCAATGATTTTCAGTGGAGCCTCCACAGGGCTGTTGCCGGCCGTCGCCGTGGCGTGCAAGGGTTCCGCGTGGTGATTGCTTTTAAGTTTAGCTAACTGCGTCTCGCCGCCTCTCAAAGTGCGCAGCCTTTTGTTCCTCGCATTTCACGTCTCGCAGCTCAACACCTGCAGAGGCCCGGAGGTCCGGACGGCCGCCATACCTAGCCTGAGCCTGCCGGATCTGGTGTAGTTAGGCGACCTCGCATGCAATTGCTTGAGGAGTGAACCAGAACTGGCACGATAAGCGCTGGCGTGATGATATGCGTGCCTGGTGCCTGAGCTGGGTTAGATAAGGCTGGGACCACCTCGCGGGAAAGTTTCAAGGCCAGTCAATCACGGATCGCCACCCCGAAGTCTCCTCACGTGGCTCGGATCTACAAAACGCAGTGGAAACCTTGGACCCGGCAGGGTGCTCGCAACGACTGCCAGTGTCTGTGGCTGGCCCGCGATTCACGTTTCGCCTTCCTGTCGAGCCCAGCTGCTGCCGCCTCCCAGGTTTCAGGGGAGCAGAGGAGACACAGCCCAGCCAGAGAGGAGCACCGGGAGCCTGCGACGGCGATGGAGCACGCTCGAGATGCGCACCCCCGCCCTGGCCCCCGGCAACGACGCCACGGGAATTCCTGGAATGCCCCCCGAGTGCTTCTAGGGCCGTCTCCTCCCCTCATCCTTGCCAGGCTAAATTGGGCTGGTTCCTGGCGAGCGTGGGCAGCCTCGTGGGCGGCTGGCAACCACCAGCAATGCAGAGTTTGGAATGTGCAGTAGAGCGGCGTTGCACTGAAGTCTGTATCTTAGGCACAGCTTTTCCCGTGCTGCTGCTGCTGCTGCATGCCGCTGTCGTCACGCCACGGCCGGCCTCCCGTCATCGACTCCCCTAGGGTGGCTGCACGTTGTGTCTCCATTCCCCCCATCCACTGGCCTTTGACTGGCGGGGGCTGATCTGCTTGGCAGTCCTTGCATGCTTGTGCCTGCCCGTCAACCGCTCAGGCACGGCGCTGACTGCCCAATCATCCCGCATCGGCCTTGCAGACAGCTGAACACGAGCTTGCGTGCTGCACCGCGTGCCACACTGCGCAGGCGAGACACGAAGGCTCGTCCTCGTCCAGTCGGAGCGCCGTCGGGTTGTGGACAGGGAGAAGAAAGGATGCGGAGTGGCTGGTGCCAGGAGCACCAGCGTGAGACGGACTGGGTGCGCGCGGGCGTTGTTGTTCCTGCCGAGGGCGGGGCAAGGGTCGAGTCCGCCTGTCCCCATCCCCCTTTTGCAGCAAGCCAGCCGCCTGGCCTGCAAGGAAGGTGCACGAGCGACGACTCCACCCCGACCATGCCTGCTGCCAGTGTCGCCAAACACCACGCCTAGCACCTCGGAGCCTGAGACTCGTCCTTGGGCAGGCCCGGTCTTCGGTCAAGGTTGCGAGCTCCTCCGTCTGGCCTGCTTCTCGCCGTCCCCGGTCGCCATCTCGACAGGCATGCATGCTGCAAATTTGTCTCTCTCCCCCCGGAATCATCACCGCCCGCCAGCGCTCTTCCGCGTGCGAATTTCCCCGTCGCCTTCGACCTCCCTGCGCAAACAACTCTGACGGCGCTCGCTCCACCAGCGCCCGTGCTGCGATCGGCCTCCTCGAGTCCAGGCCGGCACACCCTGGCACGTCCATCGCCTTTCCCCCAACGCCGCTCTCTCATTTCGCCCTTTACTTCCGACAGCATCGACTCCATCTCGCCGACTTCCCCTCGGACTAGCCAGCCAGTCATCGCCTTCCCTGCCTGGATTGGCTCTCCTGCCTTGTGTGCTTACCTCCAATCCTCGTTGGAGGCGGCTTTGCAATCCATCACGATCGACGGCCTGATCATTGGTTGGCGGACACCACAGCCTCGAGTCCTAGCACTCGCCAAGGAGCGTGGGAAAATAACTGGCGAACCGTTGACGGGCTTCATCCAGCGTCAACGGAGGACACTCGAATTCGAACCTTCAAGGAACTGCAAACGATCCCCCCCGCGCGCGGGTCCTCCGATTATGCTGCAACCTCGGCGGTAGATCCAGCCTTGACATATTCCGATCGAGTTCATCCGTCGAGTGGCCACGGGGCCTAGCGTCCTCGAGACTGCCTATCATTCTTGTCTTCTCTGGCAGAACGAAGTACTCCTCGACTTGCAGCCGGTTCAGCAATGATGAACGGGGGCATAGGCTCTGCCGGCACGGCGGTCATGCCACCACCGCCTGGCAGAGGGCTTCCGTTGAATCCTTCTCAAACTCGCCGTGTGGCCGCCCCGCCCGCAACCGCGATTCTCGCCCCCCAGTATCCATCCTTTGCGGACAGGCAACATCATCCCCAGAATAGTTCCGCCTCAAACTTGTCGGCGACATCAATCTCGGCGCCGCTCAGCTCGAACCAGGTCATCAATATCGCGAGGGAAGCGATGAACAACGCACTGCTGGACAACGAGAGCCAAGCTGCCGAAGCCAGCGGTGTCAGTAATGAACTGAAACCTGGTATCACAATTGATTTGTCTCGAAGAAATATTCAGGAACTGCCAGAGGGTGTTGTTGATATTATCAAACACGAGTTGGAAAGGTCAGTCAGAGTGCACAATCTACTCCCCGTTGCCTCACGTCCGATCAGTGGGCTAATGTTCAGGCGTCTCCAGGCTAGCACTATCACACAACCGCCTGTCATCATTCCCGGCGAGGTTTGCAGAATGCACAACCCTGCGCTATCTTAACGTTAGAAACAACCAGATCAAGGAGTTTCCTCAACCTGTATGTGTACCACACTCTTCCCAGACTTGTCTTGTGACAAGTTGTTTAGGACTAACAATGCCACTCGTGATGATCCAGTTGTGTGAACTTCGGTCACTGGAAATTCTTGATCTTGGGAGGAACCGTATCCGCGTCCTGCCTCCTGAGATTGCGAAGCTGACATCCCTCAAAGTTCTTGCCGTCCAGCGAAATCGTATAGAAGAGCTTCCACTATGTCTTGCAGACATGGTATCCTTGCAGGTCCTTAAGCTGGACGGTAACAACATCACATTCCCTCCAAGGGAAGTATTTCAGTTTCAAGCGGCAAGCCCACCAAATGACGGGCAGTCGAAGGAGAGCGAGGTCACAGAGCTCGCCATGACAGCTCACCTCAAACGATACCTCAGACAATGTTCACAAAGTCTTAATGAGAAGGAGCGAGAAATCGAGAACGGTGATGACTTTCTCGACACTGGAGATGCCCCACGAGCACCATTGAAACGGGTTGTCAGCGGGCGATTTCCTGTGAAAGTCAGCGGGAGCAGTGATTCTTCTGAACGGCTAGCTCCCTCAACGGCTCGGTTACCTATGGGTCAGGCTCGCCTTCACTCTCGGGGCTTGTCACAGCAGAGCACAACCATACGGAGACCGGGGGTGATGCCTCTGACCATTGGGAATCCCCATGAACGCCTTCGTTCCAACAGCGAAACAATGTTCCACACGCCAAAGCTCGACAGACCCTCTGAGAGACAACGACGCATGGCCATGGCATCAAAACGTGCCAACGACCTCGGCACCTTGGATGAGACGCAGGCCAACAACCGCTTCAGCCACTACCGAGGCCTCAGCCATGGCTCCTCTATGACTGGACATCTCAATCCAGGGAACAACAACGCCATCTCGAGCTTGAACAGCCCTGCAGATCCGCTCCTGCAGAGGCCGTACTACGTGCGGCGGCTATCTGTGCTTCCCGAGCAACGCCGGGAGTCCAAGATGTTTGATCCGATTATAGAGTCTGCAAAGGGCATCCTTTACTCCATCTTTCAGATCCACCCCATGATTCAGCTCTTCACCCGCCTCACTGGCGACGGCACAGCCAGGCGATCAAGCCTCGAAATTGTGTTTTACAACACCAACATGCACGTAGAGGAACTCGAGGTCGAGATCCAGAAGCACGAGGATGCGACAGAGCGCGGTGTCCAAGCCCCGAGGGAGAACGAGAACATCCAGCGCGCGGTGTTGACTCTCGTGAATGCTTACAGTCATATCTGTTCGTTGCTGGTGAACAACATGGACAACATAGTCGACAACGGAGACCCTCGCTACATCCGCACGATGATGATGCTATTATACAACAGCATCATGGAACTGCGTGTGACTGCGAACGAGGCGACCATCGGGCTCTCGTTGCGCGGATCTCAGGACCGTGCTAATGCGCAGGGCTTCGGTGAGACCATCCGACCCATTTACCGGGAAAGCGCAAGTGCAACACCAACTGCAGACAGGCCAGCGGGCGGCCCCCGCTCAAGAACCGGTACGCTTGTTCAACACCCGAGCAGCAACCTGAGAGTTGCCACGGACGTACCGGTGCCGCACGTCCACCTCAACGGACGCATCCCCCAGATAGCATCCGCCACGCCTCGTTCTGGAGAGTCGTTTGCGTCGATTGACAGCCGTTTTGCTGCCGACTTCAACGGCGAGGAACGAATCTTTGACAAGATCTTCCTCTCACTACAAAAGTCCACAGACCTGGTCATGCGCACTCTGCCCAGCTTCAACATGCAATTCAATGCGGCAAAGACCAAGGCGGAAGCCGAGCGGCAGCCAGAGCATATTGTGCAATGTTGGAGGGGTTTGTCGATCAAGTGCACTGTCGCCATCCGAGAGACGGAGATCCTCAAGAACAGACTGTCACGGATCAAACTCAAGGAGCCTGGCATCCGTACAGATCCAGGATTCTGGACTCTGTGTAAGAGTTTCATTGATGCATGGGCCGAATACGGTAGCAAGCTCAAGAGCTCCATGGATCTGGTGCAGCTCTCTCCAGACATCAGAAGTCGTCTCCGCCCCATCCAAGTTGGTGTCAAGGAGACCAACCAGCTCATCATGGCGTCTCCATGGGCAAACCTGTTCCGACAAGCCGGCAGCTACGCAGACCATTCAAACATGTATTCTCCAGTCAGTACCTCGTCTGGCATGGGCATGGGACCTGGTCAGATGCCCATGACTCCACAGAGCGCTGCGTTGGGGCCTGCGGTCCAGGCTACTGTGCCTGCTACACCACAGAGCGCTTCATTCGCGCATGCTTTCAATGGCAACGTGTTTGAGCGAGCCAATGCCTTCATCTCCATGGGAGGATTGACAATGTCACGCTCGGGAACCATGACGAGTGCGTCGTCGCTCTCATTGACGTCGGCGTCGTCCATGTCTTCCATGTACGATGACAGATACGCGGGGCCTGGTCCAAATGGGTTTCAGGGCAGCAGCGTGACATCGATGCCACAGCGATTCCATGGGGGTAGCAAGCCCTCGTTCTAGAAAAGAGATGTACAACCTTTCAATGTGCTCTACGTGGGGGAGCTCAGGGGTTGGGGAATGACCCAGCCAGAACAGAATGGGGAAGTGACTGGCAAATGGTAGATGGCGCTTGGGAGGAGTTCTGGTCTGCTTGTAAAAACACATGGCATGTTTTGTGGGACGACGGCGTCTGGGCACGATTGCTTTGGCTGCTTGTGATGGGATATGGTCTGTACTCTACATGGGTTGCTTTGTTTCCTCAAGGTCGGGCAAAAGCGATAATTGTAATTCGAAACACAGCGGAACAAACGACCGAGATTATTTGATGACAAGCAAGCCTTGCGACTCCGTTGGCATGATTGCGGGAACAGCAGGAGATGCAAGAGTGAACCGGCTCCGTTGCGCTGTGTGACCTGGGCTTGCATGGATCGGCTGCGACTTTTAGAGTTTCGGTAGTTGACTCCGCAGCCTCCGTGGACAATGCTATTGTGTTGTGATAGTGGGGATCTCACGCATGCGCGACGAAGACCGTGGGCTGACTTCACAAAGAACCGAACCCCTCTGAGCCTTGTCTTGACACCTGAGCGGCTTGACGTGCGGAGTGCCTACTTGGATAATATCAACAACTGGCCAACCAACCAGGATAAATCCTCCCCTAGACAGCTCTGGAGCTCCAAAGGGCGCTTGTTCTGTACTAACTTAGGACCAGTAACAACCACCACCATTCCCCGCACGAGCTCTGGACAAAACAAACCACCGCTTCCCATTTCCAACATCTCGTCGAGAACCAGGGCCAACGCTCGCAGCCAACGCCCGAAGGTGATTTCATGTGTCTGTCTCCACTCGTGCAGACTACTACTTCTTCTAGTTACAGTTTAGTCCGGGGATACGCACCTCGGTGGCCTAATAAGCAGTCCATTCGACCACCGCTCGTCCAGCCATGGCGGACGATGCAGCGGCATCAGCAACAGCAGCAGTGTCGGCGACGAGTGCACCACCAAGTGCCGGAGGACGAGCCGCAACGATGGCTGCTGCCGCCGCCGCCGCCGGGTCGCTGCCAGCGGGTCCAGTCTCCAAGGAGGAGGAGAGCATGGCACCTGCTGCTGAACAACAACATCAACCACAGCTGCAGCAAGCGGTGCCTGCGCCGACAGAGGAGCCACAAGAAGACGTGGGGCTGCCGCCGCCGCCGCCGCCACTGAGGGAAGCGCCATCCACAAACAAAGAAGGACCTGGCACAACAACGGCAGCAGATGTCGCAGTCGGCAGCACAAGCCACATCGACGGGACAGCCATAAGCGGAGGAGGAGGAGGAGGAGGAGGAGGAGGAGGAGGAGGAGGAGGAGGAGGAGGAGGAGGAGGAGCCGAGGCGGCGGCGGGCGTCTCGTCGGAGGTTGTCCCCGGTGCGACGGTGGTTGAGGCTGCTGCTGCTGGAGTCAAGCATTCGGCGGCGACGGCGGCGGCGGCTTTTGCTCCTCAAGAGGTCGCGTCACATGGTAGCGGTAGCAACTCGGCACTGACAGGTGAGGTTGATGGAGGTAGTAGTGGTAGTGGTGGTAGTGCTGGTGGGACTGGTGGCCAACACAACCATCCTGTCTTCTCACAACTGCGGTTTACACCAGGACCACTACTACCGCCGGCGGGGCCGCGGAGCTCTGCCTCGGCACCGGCATTCACCAGCAGACCGGGCCCGGCGTCGCCGACATCCCCTTCTTCACTTGCAAGTGGTGGTGCTGGTGGTGGTAGTATCAGCGGCATTGTTCTCGGTCGAGGAAGAGGAGGAAGCCCGCCCTCGTCCATGCCAGGTCCGAGCAACCTCAACCCCCAGCTGTATCACCACCACCACCACCGCCACCAACAGCAACAACAACAACAACAACCGCTCCCCATCCCCCTCACACCGACCCTCCCCTCCTCGTCCTCCGCCAGCCTTCCCACCGCGGAGGCCCGCGACGCTCTGATTGCCGGCATGTCGAACCTGCTCGACCACAAGCTGCAGACGCGCGCGACGCAGCTGCACGCCAACTCGGCGGCCCTGGAGAGGCAGGAGAGGGACGTGAGTCGGGCGACCGAGTCGCTGCGCAGGGAGACGGCCAAGCTGGAGCGCGTGGCCCGGGACGCGGGGAGGAAGGTGAAGGAGCTGGGGAACGTGCAGAACTGGGCAGAGGTGCTGGAGCGGGATCTGCTGGTCATCGAGGAGACTATCCGGCTGGCGAACCGGCCGAGAAGGCCTAGAGGTGGTGGTGGTGGTGGTGGTGATGATGAAGAGGAGTACGCGACCAGTGACGAAGAAGGTAGTGAGCGATGTAGCGACTGCGAGGGGAGCTGCTGCTGGAGCGGAAGTGGAAGCGGGAGCGGCAGCGAGGATGGTGGTGGTCGTGACGATAATGATGATGAGGACAATGACGCTGATAATCGCGAACGGCTGCGAGATCGACCAAGCGGAGGAGATCCTTCCAACGAAAGCTCGTTTCACGTCAGAAGAGGGGGAGGTGGAGGAGGAGTCAAGGTCGAGATTAATGACGATCTGCTGGCAAGTCTCAGCGAGGCGATGCGACTCGACATCTACGGTAAAGACAACGAGAGTAGTCACGGCGACCCGACGGATAGTGCAATGAGCATGGTGTCAACTTCCGAGCAGCAGACAACGCCGTCTCTGCTGGCCGATACGGAGAGAGGAGGATGCTCGCATTCTCCGAGCAGTATCAGCGTTGACAGTCATCTGGATCCGACCTGAGGAATCCTATGGCCATGTCACGAGGGCTCCTACGTGGGCACGATCGAAACGATACACGAAAGACATACGATTTTGTGGCCGCAGCATGCCGCGTACTATTATGATTTCTGTGTTTCTATTTCTTGTCATTTCCAGCGTGCTAGGCAGCAAATGTATGGCAAGCTCTATATGGTACTCCGGTCACTACCTTACCGTAATCTACATGTGAACGTACAGTATTCGAGGCATCGCCAGAACCCCAGAACCCCTGGTCTCTGAGAAGCCAGAGCCAACGTCGTGCTATGGCTTACAAAAGGCCAGGAAGCATAACGGAGCGCTTCTTCTTGTACTGATCACCAAACTGCTTGCGGTAGGCCTTCTCCTTGCCCCAGCCCCAGGTCCACATGTAGTAGATGCCGATGGAGATGAAGAAGATGAGGCTGGGGCTGCGGGTGGCGATGATGATGCCTGCCCACGCAATGACCTCGAACATGTAGTTGGGGCAGGTGACCAGCTGGAAGGTGAAGCCCTGGGGCAGCTTGCGGTCCGTCTCACCAGGCTTGCGCAAGCCCGAGAGGTACTTGTGGATGCGGAAGTTGCCGACCTGGCCGAACACGAAGAGCGCGATGCCCAGATACGTGGTGATGGGGTCCTTGGCGAGCGCCGCGGGGCTGAAGGGCGCGTAAATCTCAAAGGCGCCGAGGAGACCTGCGGCGGACCAGTAGAAAATCGAGTTCCAGAAAATGTTGGCGACGGGCATGGTCGCAGCCGAGAACTTGTGGACAAAGACTGTCTCGTACTCGCGCTTGAGGAAGTGCAGCATGATCATGGCGAAGCCGGCCTTCTGCGCGAACGAGAGCTCGGTGGCAGGCGCGGGGACGTGGCCCTTGAGCAGCGAGTAGAGCGGGGGGTAGATGTAGTTGCGCAGAGCGAGGATCGGGGGGTGGAAGAGCATTGGACCGAGGTACTCCATGATGAAGACGGTGCGCCAAGAGACTTGGGGTCCTGGAGTTGAGGAAATGTTGTTAGCTTGGGAGCTCTCCAAGGGGTTTTGGCCAGAGTGCCATGCTCAGTATAGCAAAAGTTTCGGAACGTACCCATGTCCTTGACAAGAACTTCGCCATGCTTGACGACGGCCTCGAGGCTCGAGAGAGGGGCCTTTCTGTCCTTGAGGGTCTTCTTTGTGGACGGGTCGTAGATGCCTAGGCGATTGTGGTCGGCGATGCCGGCAGCCTTGGCGAGGGCGAGCTTGACATCCTCGACGGTGGCGTCGCTGCCAAGCTCAATGGATGAAGGGAGCTTCTTGATGGGTCTCTTGGGGACTACAAGTCGTGTTGGGACCCTTGTCAGTACTCTTTGCTGCTTGAGCTCTGGACACGGAGGTGTAGCGGTCGAGGATGTACTTACCCCTGTTGGTCACCTTCAAGGAGATTCCGCCCGCCATTGTGGAATAGATTGGAGAGAGAATAGAGCCACACAAAGAAGGCCGCCGTTGGCTTGTGCGACTGGCTGAAGCAGGCTGGATGGATGTAGAGAGGAGTGAAGGTCGAAGAAGGAGGCACAGAGGGGGGGAGCAAGAGGACTGCGCGGCCCCCGAATACTAATATTTGTTAATTATGGCAGGCTGCGGGCAACGTGGGGCTGCTCAACAGCTGCGGGTCGCCCCGATCTGGAAAGAATGGCATTCCGCGCCTGCGCATCTTCGCATCTAATTACGGCCTTGCGCATAGTAATCAGTCAGGGTCTCCGTAGTCCTGGCTGTGCATACGGCATTGTCTTTACGGCTGGGTCTCTATATCTCGATACTCAGTCGGCCGAGAATAAAACCGTAGTTGTCGGAAGCCACTGCAAGACCAAAGCACTGCTCGAGTTGACAGGACAGGCCTTGGTGGAATCTGTTGAGGGCCGCCGGGGCGGGATGGCTCTTAAAAGAGCCTGCTATAATCTGGCCAGTCGGCATCGGAGTAGTGCCTTGCCATCGTCACTTGGCCACAGGGAATTGGCGCCAAGCAGCCCAAGGATGGTGGTGTGCCTGACTAAGGTGCGAAAGAAAGGGAATCCACCTGGGGAATCGCCGAGGCAAGAGGAGAGCAACCTCGGAAAGTCCAGAAGAGGGCAGAGCAATGCCAGGGTACCTAGTGCTCCACAACCCTCCGTGACATGTGAACTCTGGCCAGCCAACACAACACCACAAATTGTTGCGCCAGCACCCTCGAACGACCATCGCGGGCCTCAAGAGTAGACAGGCACATTGACCTTCACCACTGTCTCCATACACATGATCACACTTCGATGCTGTCCCAGCCCTCACTTAACACCAGCAGCAAGGGCAGCCAGCCACAGCCAAGCTGCATCGTGACCATGGCCTGGCACAGGAGGATGTCCTGGCTGGGTCGCCACAAGAATGTGCGACTGACCAGTCGTGTAGTGAGCAACCCGATCTCGAATCTCTGACACAAGCTCTGACAAGACCAGACGGGACACCAGCCTCACAGTCCTGGGACAGCGATGGGGAAAAGAAGCAGCCATCGAGCTCATCACTGCAGTGCCCCCACACCGATGCGCCTTCCGCCCGCGGCTCGGTCCCCGCCGTCCACTCACGGCAGGCCGTACAGTCCCCTACAGTACGCTAGTTAGCCCCGGCCACCCGCCCAAACCGCTCCGCCGGGACGGCGATGCGCGTCTCCAAATGCCACCGCCACCTGCATCCCCCATCATCCATCATCATCGTCGTCGTCGTCGTCGTCAACAACACGGCACCTTCCTTGCGTCACCACAATCCCTCCTCGTCCCCCGGCCAGCCAGCCCTAGCCATGCCTCTGACCATGCTGTGCCAGCCAGCCTGCGCCATGCACTGAGTCCCGGAATCCCGACCGCTCTGCGCCCCCCACGCCTCTCTCCCCCGCCTCTCCCGCAAGCTCGAGTCCTTCCACCAGTCCACCCAGAGTTCCTAGGTAGTGTCGAACATGCCACCACCAAACACACCTGAGGAGGGCTTGCTACCCTCGGGCAACTCCGTCATTGCGCCTGGCACGGCCACCGCCACCTTGGCCCTGCGTCCTATTGTCCGCAGCGAGGTCCCCGCCGCGCCGCTTGTCGATCTTCGGGCCCTCGAGTACGAGGACGTTGTCGACGAGAACCTCCTCTGCCCCATCTGCCACGTCGCCCTCGTCGAGCCCGTCATCACAGCATGCGACCACGTCTTTTGTCATCAATGTCTGGTCCAGGCTCACGCGCTCAACGCCATCTGTCCGGTTGACCGGTCCCCTCTCAAGCTTGCGTCCGACACTCGCCCGGCCCCCAAGATCGTGCACAACCAGCTTGACAACCTCAATGTCCGATGTCCCAACAGCTGTCGAGGTTGCGACCTCGTCGTCGCGCGGTCCCTGGTGGAGAACCATGTGGCGCGCTACTGCGACAAGACCTTGGTGCCCTGTCCTCACACGGCCTGCGATAAGTCTGTCGTCCGCAAGGACACGAGCAAGGGCTGCCTCCACTTTGACGTCGAGTGCGAGTACTGCCAGCAGGTCCAGCAGAAGGCGGACCTGGAGCATCACCAGGACTCGGAATGCCCAAATCGCACCGCCATCTGCAGTCTCTGCGATGCCGAGTTCGTCCGCCACAAGCAGGAGCTGCACATCAAAGAGTGTCCCGAAGCCGAAGCTCCGTGCAAGTACTCTATTTTTGGCTGCGCAAGAATCATGTGCCGTAAGCACATGGATGCGCACGGCCGAGTCTGCGACTATCGTGTGGTCGGACCCTTGGGCGAGCAGATGGCGGAGTTGCGAGCTGAACTCAGGGCTCTCCAGGAGCGAGACCGTCTCAAGGATCGTCGAATCAAGTTTCTCGAGAACCGTGGCTTCTACATGCCGAGTGGCGGCTCTCCAGAAGCCATCTCGGACATGGCCCTGCCTGGGTCATCCACGACTGCCGATTCGGCTCCATATGAGTCGCGCGATCAGTATTTCCTCTCCCTCTTCGAGACCATGGAGTCCAAAGTGGAGCGTTTGTCGTCTGCCCTGACAGAGGTCGAGGCCAGGCACTCCATGATGCTATTCAACGAGACACTCCAGATCAAGGACCAACTTGCCGAAATACGCAGTACTCAAGGCGTGCTTGGCATGCACGTTCGGTGGTTGATGAACTTCCGGCTCCAAGAGCGTGGCAGGGTTGGCAGCACGACACCCGGGGTACCCGAGACTTTTACAGGGAACCACGAGACAACCGCAATCATCATGAACGTCCCCAGGCGTCTGAGCGATACCTACAGAGAAGACGCACCACGGCTGTGAATGAACTGTAGGACTTACACAGCAAGCCGGGTTCACACGGAGGAGAAGGCGTCATCTCCTGCCGCGTGGCCCCACCATCCGGGGGCTGTCAATTCATCGCCACTTAATCCGTACAGTGGCTTTGAAGTTTGGCACGAAACCTAGGACCGCGACGTGCTCAGCTTTGATGACGATTGCCGGTACGGAGGTGTACCAAGCGCTTCGAGTGGTGATGTCGGCAAGTGCATGGACGCTCAAAGTTATCTTGTCTGACGGTGACAAGTAAGGCAGTGGACTATCAGCACGTGCATTTCCACAGCATACACTGATCCATTGGAAAATCTAGCCCGAGTCTCGCCTGTTCAACACTCGTCAGAAAGTGCCCGCAGACTTGCGAGAGGTGTGCCCGGGTGGAGAGGCGACGGAAACATTGTGTCACATGCAGAGGGTATAAACCTCTCAGGTTAGCAGCCTCGAGAAGAGCAAAGAACTGGCGGCACACCACGAGGTCTGCCCATTTCCGCCTCCGATTATCGCATTTGGCGTAAGACCAACAGAGGCACATGAATGGCGGTCCCATAGTTGTGAAGAGCGTGAAACACTTTTCTCAGACTCCATGGCAGACTTCTGGAGCTGTCCCTGACCGAATTCGGTTCAGCTTCACAGTAAGCGTCATGCCAGAGGGTCACGTCCTCAAGGCAAAGCCATGCGTACCATGGCAACCGAGGGAGGTTGCCTCGCTGACCGGCGTCGTGTGCCATTACCTGCGGGAGGTCAGCTGAGCCCTTTGCGATCCCCATATACCATCACTAGCGCCGCGTTCTGCAGCAATGACTACATGCTGCCTTGGCAGAGCATCGGTGCATCAGGACATCGGCTGAGCCGGTGGCACGCGGAGAACCAGCGAGTCGGGAACAATGGGAAAGCTTTATCATCGAAATCAGCTCGAATCGCTCCTCACTTATCCGCAATCAAAGCTTTTTCAGAATTATATATAGATTTAGTTATCTCAACTGACCGAATATTGGCCGCACCTCACGGTCTCCGTTGTCATGCCACTGGGACCCGAAGCTTCGTGTATGTGAAAGCTTGTGCCAACAACGAGGTGATGATGACCTGCAGATCATCCGGAAGTATGACAGCCCCGCCCGCTTAGATAACCACTTCGAGCTTCATTTCACCATGAGCAACTCCGATGATCACAACTCCTCAATTGTGAATCTGCTGACCGACAGCAGTTGCATCAATATAAAGGTTCTGTGGCACCAAAGAGAACCCACGGCATTCATCAGCAGCAAAGAGAATGGAAGAGCTCTTCAAGCAAGCGGTCGCCCGCAACGAGGCGGCCAGAAAGACGTCGGTCCCGTGGCAGCCGGACGTGCCGTACCCGCAGGCATACTACGCTTACAACGCGGCCGCAGGCCAGTGGGAAGCGCAACAGCCCTCGTCGCATACATCATCATCATCAGCACCATCAGCACCACCATCTGATCTTCAAGGTGGAGGACAAACGGGGACATCGTCGTCGCCATCGTCGTCACCGGCGGGACACATCTCCAAGATCGCCCTGTATGCGTGGAACGTAGACTTTATGCTGCCCTTTGCCGAGGCGCGGATGACGGCGGCGCTGGGCCATCTCGAGACTCTCATCTCTCCGACACTATCGGCGGCGGCGGCGGCGGCAGCGGCGCAGACCCCCACAGGAGGAGGAAGAGGCGTCGTCATCTTCCTCCAGGAGTGCACCGAGCCGGACCTGCTCACCATCGCGGGCAACCCCTGGGTGCGGGACAACTTTGTCGTGACCGACCTGGACAACGCGAACTGGGCGTCTGGCTACTACGGGACCACGACGCTCGTGGACAGGAAGCTGGCTGCCGCCGCCGGACTGGCAGCCTGCTTCCGGGTGCACTACTCCAAGACTCGCATGGAGCGCGACGTCTTGTTCGTGGACATAGACATCAGTGGCGGCGGCGGTAACAGCAGCGGCGGGACGAGAGAAGCGGCAAAGATCCTCCGCGTCGGCAACACGCACCTCGAGTCCATGGCCCTGGAACCCGCCTATCGTCCGCCCCAAGTCGAGCTTGCAGCGCGGTATATGAAGGGCGGCGACGGGGCGGCCGGCACCGAGGCCGACAAGACAGTCCACGCGGCGTTGTTAGCTGGCGATTTCAACGCTGTCCAGGAGTTCGACAGGACGCTGCACGCCGACAACGGCCTGAAGGACGCGTATATCGAGCTCGGCGGGAAAGAGGACACCCAAGACGGGTATACGTGGGGACAACAGGCTGCGACGGTGCTGCGGGAACGGTACGGCTGCTCGCGCATGGACAAGGTGTACTTCCATGGCAATGGCCTGCAGCTGAACAAGTTTGAGAGATTCGGCGCGGACGTGGAGCTACAAGATGAAGAGCAGAGAAGGGAACTGGTTGATCTTGGATTCGATAAGCCCTGGATCACTGATCATCTTGGTGTTGTGGCTGAGTTTGACATCGTTGATTAGGCATGCGTTTATAAGGAGTGCAGTAGTATAGCATACCGATTTGCAGCCAAGTCAATCAAGACACCATGCTGGGAGTGAGCCTGATTGGTGGTTATGACATATTGTATTCATCATCGTTTATCATAAAAGTAATGTGGTATCTCGGGCGTTGCGCAAGTGCTCTCCTGGTTCAATACACTTATAGACGCGCTCATGGTGACGTAGACCACTCATTTCCTGATGATTTTTAGCAGCGGCGCGATCCTAGACTTCTTGCTCAGTCCAACTCGGTACTGAGCTGTGCGCTGCAATCCCATGGGCGTGCTTGATTTTGCCACTGGCTTGGCAGAACTCATCTCTCCAGCATCGCCCTCTGGCTTGGGGACTTCCTTGAGTGAGCCGCCCGTATTGACGTCTTTCGTCTCCAGCGCTGTCCGTTTCGGCGATGGCGAATGTCGCTTCTCCTCATCTGCCGATACCCCTGTGCGATTCTTTTGATCGTCGCCCTCGTTCTTTGTGTTCAGCACAGCATTGTCCTGCCCATCCGCACCAGGCTCAGCGACGCTGGCTATTTTAGCTTTGTCCGACTTTTTTGGACGTCCACGTCGTTTCTTTGGTGCTTCAGGCAGCTCGTTGACAATGTCTTCTGACAGACCAGCCTCGAGATTCTGCTCACTGTGTTGCGCGCCTGCTCCGTCCTCGACAACAGTTGCTTCCACTGGCATCTCTGCAGCAGGTGGCTGCTTCTTCTTCCGACCCCTTTTCTTTGGGACGATGGCTACCTCTGGCGTCTTTTCTTCATCCTCGTGCACTTCGACTCGACGCTTGCGACCCATTGCTGAGGTCTGCTCATCGTTATTCGTGAGTGCCAACTCATCCTCTTCGTGCTTTTCATCTGGCTTGCTCTCGTGGCCGTGCGTCTCATCCTTGTTCGGTGACGCGGCTTTCATTCTACGCCGGCTTGGACGAGGTCTGTATGCCTCTTCGGGTTCATCTTTGCCTTGAAATGCCCACATATCATCCGTGCCAGCAAGCTCGTCTTCGTCTTCGTCGTCTGCGGATTTCTTCACTGATTTCCGCTTTTTGCCAGAGCCTCGTATGCTCGAGCGGACCGGCGACGCAAAGCTTGCTTCAGGCCCTGCTTCAGGCAAGTCTGCCTCCAGCTGAGGTAATATACTTGGGCCTTCCTGTGCAAACACGTCTGGGGAGGAAGGAATCTAGGGATGGTCAGGTCAAATCTTACGCATTGATTCTGCGTCAAAAGTTAAGGCCAACTTACATTGATGACCTCATGATCACCTTCGTCCTCAACCACCACACTAGACTCCCAGGGATATCGACCTCCCGATGACGCATATCGACTCGGTGTCGTGTACGCAATCGTCGTGGCCCCACTAGACTTCAATTGCTGGCTGATTGGCGTGCCCTTGGTTGCCTCCACAGTCAAGCTGTTTTGCGGCACACTGACGCGTTGATACTCGAGTTTCTGCATTGTCGTAAGATGGCTTGGGGCGACGTAGAAGCCTTTGGTCGAGTCTCCGAGTGTATCGTGCAGGGACACCCGCTGCCTCTTTGCTTGCGGGAGGCTTAGATGGCCCGTAAGCTCATCATCCACGGAGTCTGTTGTCACTTTTGAGGCGCCCTCAGTCGCATCTTCGCCAATGCTTTCCAAGCTTTCCCTGGCCCGGCGGGTGGTAGTCGTGCGCCGGGTTTCCGATTTCGTTGGCAAGCGCTCTTCGGCTGCCTCGGGGCTGCTTGGAATGTCCCACTCGTCATGTTTCCGCGCCTGAGCAGGTATAGAGCTCGCTGTACTGTCGAAACCCAAAACCACGTGAGGCTGACCAGACGCACTGCTGCTCTCGTCGGCATTCCAGATTCCATTGACCTCTGCGCCATTGCCATTGCCATTGTCATCAGCACCAACACCAACAACTCTCTGCGACTGGCGAACGATATTCTCAATCAGTCGAGATTGCTGGAGCACCTTCTCCTGCTGAGCAGCCGCGATACGTGCAAATACAGACTGGCTCGTCGAGTCGGACGACTGGTCGCCATGGTTTTCGTTCGAGAACGACGAATCTGCCCCTTGCTCTTCTCGCCGTCGCCGCTCCTCTCGACGGGAGCGAGGCCGGTGCTCTGGGCTCAGTGGCTCTGCCTGGGGCGTGCTAAGCGGTGGCTGTGCTACGTCTGGCACTTTCTGTCGCTGTGATGGACTATGATCCCGCTGCCATTCATCTCCTTGCGTTGCTGCGTCATGGGCGATCAGGTCGACCTCCTCATCCTCATCACGCTCATCGTCGTCATCGTCATCTGAATCCGCAACGACCCTGCGGGGATGTGCCATCGTTGCGCGTCAGCCATGCGGGTAATTTAGCTCCTAGTGCCAACAGGTAAAGATCAGAAAAAGAGGAAAACGTCAAGCAAGAGTGGTAATTGATGTAAACGTTCAGGCATTCCGCAATTGTTGGTGGGGGATGATTTGGGTTGGCCACCAGACAAACCCGGAGACGCGTTCCAGCATTACCACGATACGCGACTGGCACCAGCAACCACTTTAGCCAGTGGGTGCCGAAAAGTGGAGACCGGTCTTGGTACTTAAAGCACACAGATGACATAATCAATATTCCACTCATCCGTCTTTGGGCATCATAATTTAGATTGTTGTCTGGCTTGAGCCACATCTCTCTTATTGTGTTCCTAACGATGGGGTATACAGCAAAACTACAAGTATCGGCACGCTCTCAAAGATATTGGGTGAGAGGTTCGATGCGATTACGTGCATGTGCACGAAGGGCTGGCAACGTCATATGCTTGGTGCTTCCCACATAAAGTCAACCCCTAACTCTGCGCCGCTTGGCATCACCAGGCTGCTCGTCGGCATCGTCTTCTGCTGTGCTGGCCTCGCCGCCGGCCAGACTCATACTCCTGCTCTGGCCTGGACCACCCACAGGCGGCGGTGCGTTGCGGTCCACCTCGTTACGTAGATCGCTCAGCAGCTTCTCGACCTCTCCAAACATGCTGCGTGTGTCCTTGACGATGCCGTCCTCGTCAACCTCGTATCCTAGAACGTCCTCGCTCGAATCCTCTGATCCTTCCCGGTGCCGTTTCTTAAAAGCGGGACCAACGCCTCGGTCAGGATCAGGGGCGTACATGATTGCATTGGCAAACATATGAACGAGCTCTCTTTCCAGCTGCGCAATGTTTATGATGCCTCGGGGCGGAACCAGATCTGCCGAGATAGGCAACCAGATGTTCATAGGCGACGTGCTCGGATCAAAATCTGGTAGGGACTGGGCGGCCTGGTTCGCTGCACGAGACCCTTGATTGATAGCCCGTTTGATACCCATCAGGTCCTGTGGCCGGAGCACGATATTACGGTAGCCCGGTGCGTCACGCTCTTTGACAGCGTGGGCAAACATGTTTGCATGACGATGACTGATGACCTGCTCAAGCGCAGATGCACTAACTTTGTGGAAGGAGCGTGTCCACAACACCTGGGTCGCAAGACCAGAACTCCTTTGCGGGGTGACCGCTGGGCTTTCCTCGCGTTTCCGCTTGTTTGTAGCCTTGACCACAGATGCTTGTGATACGGCCTGAGCCGACTGCGGGGTGGCGGTCTCTTCGACCTCCTCCAGCGCCCGCGGTGTCGCCACCTCGGTTTTGATACTCTGAATCGGATCCTCCTGCATCTCGCCTGTGGGGACTGTCTGTTTGACTGCCGGCTGTGACGGAGTCGTTGCTGGAGGCTTGGGTGGGTTCCGAGGCGGGCGTCCACGAGGCTTCGGAGTGACGACGGGTTCGGCCGCCCGCGGGGTGCTTTCTGGCGCCTTGGTTTTTGCCTCCGCAGCTGATACCGATGGCGGCGCTGCTGAAGGAGGTGCTGTGGGTGGCTGCGGTTGGACCGACGGCTGTGGCTTGGGCAGTTGTGCCTTCGGTAGCGGCGGACTAAGCGGCTCGAATGCCGGGCTAGCTGCATCGAAATAGCTCTTCATGTCTTCCATGCGCGGCGTTGCAGGAGTCGGAGTCGTCACCCATTTGGTTCCGTGACCTCGAATGACATGGGCCGGCACTATGGTGCCACCTGGCGTCCTAGGTATCGATGGCGTCCGAGCTGTATGCGGTAGCAACTGCGGCTGCTGTGCGGAAGGCGGGCGTGAACCGCTTGCGAGCTGGGCATGCTGGCTGTAGGGCGAGCCGAAGGACGCCTTGACGGCCGCTTGTTGATGCTGTTGAGGAGTGCTCGGCGTTTGCGGCTGCAGAGGATGATGTGGTCGCCCAGCTTGAGGTCTTTGCATAATCGGGGTGGCCCCAGTCTTGACAGCACTGCCATGAGGGTGGGCGGCCTGTAAAGGCACAGGAGGTCTGACTGGAGTTTGCGCAGCAGCATTCGGACCCTGAGGCGGCACGTAGCGGCCTGGTGTCTGTCCCGGAGCAGGAGACCGAGCATTGGCCTGCGCTCTTTGGAGAGGTCGTCCTGTAGTGTCCAACCCAGCGCCCGCAGGCACATTCTGCGTCGCGGGCGCGGCTTGGCTGGCTACATGGGGTGACGGCTGTACAGATACACCTTGTTGTACATTTCCTTGTACAGGTGGCCGACCTTGCGGAGCAACTTGTCTTGGGGTAGTAGCTGCGAGCGCGACCTGGCCCTGAACCGGATTGACCTGTGGCGGATATCCTGGCGGCTTCGGTGCGCCAGGAACAAAGGCTGGACGTGGAGAGGGTATGGCTGTCTGTTGCGGCGGCTGATAAGGCGGTTCCCACTGCAAAGGTGTCGCCTGCGCTGTACCGGTCTGCGCTGCTTGGCCGGCCTGGCTGATCGCCGGAGATTGGGTTGACGGCGGCGGTACTGCGGCTGGGACTGATGACGTGTCTGACAACGGTGACTTGGATGGTGTAGGGCTCGGCCTTGATGCTTGCGCCTGGGTCTGAGCTGCTTGAGGGTGCTGCAGGACGGGTGATGGACCTGAACTCGGTGGCCGGCCTTTGACCGGTTGTTTGCTGGCATCGAGCCCGGGTCGTGCGTCCGCTGGCTGGCGTGCTGGCCCAGGAGGTGCTGGAGACGGGCTGTTTTGTGCTGACTTGCGATCCAAGGGCGCAATCGGCGCGGGCGCAGGGCTCGAAGTCGCTGCCCGAAGCTTTTGGATTTCTTGGGCTTTCGTGGCAGTAGTCGAAGGCGGAGGAACCGAGGCCGAATACGGCGGAACCTGCCCATTCAGTTTGGTAGGTTGCTGCTCGGTTGCAGCAGCAACCGCGCTGGGTGCAGCCGCCGTTGCATCCTTTCGTAATTGAGGTTGAAGCTCAGTACCATTCCCGACCTTCTCGAGTTCACTAATCTCGCGTTGTATGCCCTCTAGCCGTGCTTCATCCTCCCTAATCTCCTTGACAATCACTTCTCGGTATCGCGCGTACAGCCTCTCTACGAGAAGGGGCAATCGATCGACATATCTGTGTGCATCCTCGAGGGAGGGCAGAGGTGGGCTTTGCAACTTGCGCTTCTTTGAGTTCGGAGAGAGCCCCGCGGCGTTCTTCTCGGCAATCTCGGCTTCGCGCCTCTGCTCGTCACGCAGCAGCCGCAGAGCGAGCTCCTGAAGAGCCTCGGGGCTCAGTCTCGCCGCATCGTAGGTGACTTGCTCGCGGATCAGAGGTGTGTTGCGGAGCTCGTCGGAGATCCGGCCAAAGGCGCCGTTCAGGAAGCCGTGCTTGGGGAGGAGCTGGAACAGGAACAGAGATTCGAGGTTGGTGTATACTGTCGGATTGGTCATGCCCCAAGATCCGCCTCGCCCGTGGTCGAGGGGACCGTCGCGTCGCTGTGCGAGGTGAATGGGCGCCACGGTCTGTTGCTTGCAGTTAGTAGCCTGGCGAGATCTTGCGTCACAATCCGCATCGCTGCCCAGAGAGGAAGTCCATCACATACGGAGATGGTCAGAGACGCGTGCAGCAATGCGCGAGGCACCTGGCTACAGTGGTGACGCGTCTGAGATGATGCGATGCACGGTCGGGTGGGCGATTGTCGCGACAAAGATTTTCGGATGGTTGATGCAGTATTGGAAGCTGCAGGCGCGCTCAATCGCCAGACTCCTGTGAGATTTGGGGTTGCAGCTACCTGGCATCACCCATGACTGGGCGTGGCGGCCTGCCCAGGTGGTGCAGCACGCGTGACTCCACCAGGCTGGTCCGTCCCAAGTAGCGCTTCTGAATGGCTGCATCAGGCTGGAGCAGAACCCGTCCCAATGAAGGGTCGGCTTTCTGGGTTCTGAAAAGGAACGCTATCAGCCAAATATCCAGTGACAGCAGTAAACTATCAAGAGCTGTCAGACGCGCTATGCGAGGTATAACGAATGCGCGACACCAGACAGGCCGGCTGTCGGTTGATTCACAAAAACAGAAACCACGAAAGGTCAATTTGCAAACTGCTTTGAATGTGCAAAGATGTGCCAGCACGACATGGTGGCAGCACGAACCTTGCCGTACCCCAAATTCCCCAGAGCATACAGGCCGTAATCAGTAACGTCTTGTTCAACATCGATCGCTAGGTAGTATGGAGTCGGGATGGTGATCTACGAGACGATCCGCGGACGATACCACAGGTAGTGCACTTGCTCCCCTGCCTATCCCAAATTTAGCGCGGGCTTTACTCCAGACTGGAGAATTCCGCAGGCATTTCTCGATTCTCCGTGGATGCTCACCAGGCTCTGTATGGCATGAGATTTTATGCAAGGAGAAGCACGGCATCAGCTGTGGGTGCTCACTCCTCCATTAGCAACTTGTATCCAATGCAAATGAACTCGATTTGCACGGCACTCGGCTGGGCCACTGGGCAAGGGCCATAAATGACGGGCCCATGTCATGCGAAATGAAGGCGGATCTGGTCAATTGTCGTGTGGATCAAGTGCTCCATTTGGGCAGCATCCTTCGACCCCCGTCGTGGTTTGTGTCGTGAAAAGCTAAGGGATCCTGGGATAGGGGCGAGAAGGGGCTGGCAGTCAGCATCCGTTCTTAAGGTTCTTGACACTGACCAGTCGTGATAATTAAGTATAACCGGACATGAGCGTCTGAAACGAAACATAATGTATTTCATCTGCTTTTGCTATGGTCAGACAGTATTGGTCCCAGGCTCATGAGCAGCGAAGCCGAGGCTTTGTTCTCTGGCACAGGTAAGGGCGATGCCCGTTGGGAATACAGGAATGGCGTAAAATGGAGAGGCCATCTGGGTGCGTTGAACCTCTCTCACAAGCCCCTGAATCAATCAGCCACCCCACATGGAACTCGTGGAGTGACTCGAGGGGACGCTGGCTAGCGTGAGGTCCACTTGTTCTAGCAACGGCCTCTGCTTGCAAACTGAACTGTGGGATACACTCCAGATGCCGTGTGATACATGCCCAGGTTGGAGATTTGACAGCCGAAAAAACGGACTTCGACGAGGGCTTCGAAAGTCGGGAAAGTGGTGCCAGGCTCAGCAAGGGAGGCCGACCAGGAGTCTCTCTCGCCGGCGCGAGCACTGGCATCACACTGTATTGTAGCAATAATCACAATCATGGCTGGCGGTCGCTCCAGCTCGTCTGTGTGGGAGTGCACCGCCGAGGGTGGCACGGTGGGCATCGCAGTTGGGATGAGACTGGCAAGTCATCTGGGGGGCTGCACAGTTCAGCAGGCATGAAGTCATTCGCAGATGCCCGAGCCGTCACCATGCGGATGGCCAGGGTACCCTGATCCATGCACGTCAAGCGCCCGTCAGGCCGGCCACGCTGGTTAAAGCGGCGGTGGTGGTGATCGTTCAGGCGTGCGTGGGAGCCATGGGAACAACCCACGGAGCTGGGACTCGACTCAAGTGATGCAGTGATGATGATCATGCAGGGCTGGAATGCTGCTAAGAGTGGACATCCGCATCTGGAGCATGATCGGCGCAGCCATGGCGGATACCAAAATCATGTCGTGGCTCGCCTGTGGTGGTCAGGGAACATGATGAGAATAATCGTGGAGCCTCGGGAAAGCAAGTGTTGAACCACCAGGTCGAATGCCCCACGAGGCCAGAGGCACACACAACACTCCTTGACCATGAAAAGCCAAGGGTCCTCCCCACCACACCACACCACACCACGCTGCACAAGCGGTGCTTTACACAGTAATGCGCCCCCCCCTAGCCTTATGACAGCCTCGCGTGCGCGCGTGGTACCTGGTCCGCCTGACAGCCCGCTGTCAGTGACCTTGCTTCCCGCGCATAACCTCGCTCATCACAATGGTGCACATGCGTTGATCAGTATGCCCTCCCTCCCTCACCAGGCGGCGGCCCCCCCTCGATGCCCCTGGCTCCCCTCCCCTGCCGCGCTACTCTGCTAATTAATGCTCGTCGGCGCCAGCGCCAGCTTCCCGTCCCTCACCCTAACTACTAATCCCGCCCTAGAGGCTCGTCCCCTAATCATACAACAACGCCGTCCTGCCCACCGCCATCTGCTCGCCGATCGCCGCGCTGCCCTTCCTCGTCCACCTTCTTCCCTCCCTTTTTTCCCAGTCTCCCATCTACTAGCAACCGCTTCCCTCCGGTCTCACGACACCCGCAACCAGCATCCTCCAGCTAGCTTCATCCATTCTCAGCAGCACAGCTCCATATCGCCATCCAACATGAGCTCCTACAACAAGACCGACGCCGAGCTCGACGCCGACTGGCAGCCCAGTGGCCGTCGTCCCCAGTCGTACGTCTCTGCCACGGTCAAGAAACCCGCGCTGCCAGCGGCTCTATGCTAACTCGCAATGGCCCCCCCGATTATAGCACAATAGCTCGCTCCTTTAGTGCGGAGCTCATGGACATCTTCAAGATCGAGAACAGCATCGATGACCTCGACAACCAGGTCAAGACTCGGTTCGTGCGCGTTCTAGGCCCCGGGGTCGCAGACACCGCCATGCTAACGTCTTTTCTTGTCAACGCATATCAGCCAGCAGCAAGTGCGTGGTCATACCAGCGAGCTCGAATCTCTCGAGGCCCGCATCCGCGAGATGGAGGAGCGCCTCAAGAGCGGAGGTGCTGCCGTGCCCATGGGCTCGCCTCGCGGCCAGCGACCAGCCGTCGACGGCGCTTTCCAGACAGCTTCGGCCGACGACGCCCAGAAGACCCAGACGTCACGCCCCAACACTGCCAAGCCAACCCAGCAGCAGCAGCCGCTCCACGGAGGTGCCATGCCCCCTACCCCCACAGCCAGCGAAGGTGAGTTCCTCTTCAGGGACCCCGTGGCGGCGCGTCCCCCAAGGGAGAGATCCCTGACTTGGAAACCGCCTCCCGTCCTGGATTTGAAATGATTTGTGCTAACGCAGCTTCCTCTGGAAGACGGCGGTGACCGCGACCAATAGATTAGCACCACCAGCAAGTTTACATATCCGCCTGTGCTGTCCGGCCCAGCCCACGATTCCTAATGGGTGGACGTTCGCCGCCTCCGCGCAGTTAATGAGTCGCAATCAAGCCAATCGACTGCGTCTAGCCCGGCATCTGTTCTCGCACTGGTAGCCCGGCATTCTTTCATGCACCAATTGCTGTTAGAGCTGCAGAGTTGCTCTTTGTTGGGAGTTCGGATACTCGTGGCGGCGCTCCTAGTGCGAACCCTTGTTGCACGAGTCAGAGTTGCGGTCCGCCATGACGGGCATGGGCGTCCCAGGCATTTCCCAGCATTCAATTTGAGTTTCCGCATTTGTCGTTCTCTCGAGCCGGCAACATCCAAGATATCCCTCGTTCTACCTCGACAACCATACGAATCGACACATCCACGGCCGACACGGCCGCCGTCCGTGGAAAGGCGTTTTACGGCGTTCACATCACTTTGCTTTGGTGGAGTTTTTGGGTTCTTGCAATCCCTCGGTTTCAGGGGCATTTTGACGTGTCCCGGGAGGGGGGCATTGATGATCTGTTTTGGTCCCTTTCCGTAGCTCATTCGAGCGGCAGAAAGCTCGGCAGCTACGCATAACAATCACGCCGAACTATCTAATCTGTTATGCCTCGATCAAGGGAGAGGAATTTCCGAACAGGCATGACAAGTATGTGTGAAGCCGAGAGCTTGCACATGCGTACCAGTAAGGGTTGGGCACGCTGGAGTTCGGTGGGCAGCTAGGACTTAGTATTATCCTGTCTCGTTCAGCTACAGCTTATGACCAATAGACCAATTTAAAGACACAGTCGACGATCATACCGAACGAATCCGCACAAATGTCCATACGATTGCTCCTGCAAAATGGCAAATGCTGGGCGTGCAACATGTTACGTCTTATTTGAAGAAGCTAGCCTGTGGCGCTAGGGTTTGTTATCAGAGTCTAACACTACTCGGAGAGCACTTCGTCACTCCACACACCACGCAGGCAGTGATGAGTATCTGTGTCCCAAAGACGGCTTGCCACCAACATAATCCTGGAGCCTCCCTCCAAGGTTATTCAGGTGTCGCTGACCTGCCGCTGTGGACTGCCATATCGATTTCACGACCCTCGGGTCTGATTGTGCTCAAGAGTCTGTGTCCAAGGGCTTTGGGGCCATGCCAAACTTTTTCTCTCCGATGTCAAATACCGCGAAGCCGCTTTTAAGGTACATGTCTCCAAGAATACCTTGCAGGTCAGTGAATGATCCAAGCGACTGGATGCCGCCGAAGCACTCGTTGTCGCTGAGATGTGCGTAGATGACGTATTCGCCCGGGATTGTAGTTTCGACCTTGTTCCCGTGTGCATCGGAAAGTTCCACAATGTAATCTGGTGGTGTTGTGTCGCATGGAATCGTGTAGGCGTATTCCTTGTTGGAGAATTTCCCCCCCTGGACCAAGTCATAGTACTTCTTAACAGCAGCCTCTGGCGCAAAGAGCAGTGTTGAGCCAGTATCGACGATGACAGGCTTTGGCTTGGCAAACTCATACTTGATGCTGTCACCAGCAATCCTGAAGCCGTGGTAATCAACTGTCCAAAATCCGTCCTTGGTATCCACATCCACATACTTGATTTCGTCCTTGTACAAGTTCTTGTCGATGAAGCCAAAATTGAATGAGCCAGTGCCGTTGTGAACGAAATCGACGGTGAAGAGTGGCTCGGCCATCATTCTAGGCAAGAAATCGATCAGACAAGGTTGTTTGGGCACCATCTGAGCAAGTGAGCTCCATGCAAGACCAACGAGTCCGGACATGGCAGCTGTCTCTGTGAACATGTACGATGCATGCATCGCCGATTCGATCGTCATTCCCTCGATCTTGATATCACCAAAGGCGAACGTGTCTCGATAGCAAATCCCCGACGACGTCGAGAAGTCGCCATACATGATGGACCAGGTGCAGTCATCAATGAGTTCCGCGGTTGTTGACTTGGCAGGATGATACAAGTCTTGTCCGTTGACGTTGCGCTTGTCGGTGTCGGTCGAGAAAACCCAGCTAACAATAACAGTGAGCAACCCGCCTTCAAACGAAAACAAAAACAAGAACATTATAAGAAAGAAAGAAGAAACTGCAATGAAACAGAACGTACGTGTCCGTAGAGCCAGTGTCTAGGTCCAAATATAATGTCTGTGGTGGAGTGCCAATTTGGACCGGAGCGAGCCAGAGAAGATCACCACCGTGGGCTATGGCGGGGATTGATGATTCTGCAGAAGTTGTCAGCTTTCAAAACCTCGTCTGCATCTTAGAATCCAGGTGGCTATCACTGTAAAAGAAACAGTAACTGACCATTGTTGGACACAAACTTGTGAGGGGAGGTTTCCCGCACGATTTCCTGTAGCCGCCCGGGAATGGGGATGTTGTGCTTCCGAAGGGTGCGGTAGTGCTCCCAGTGGGGGTTGCGGACAGAATCAACATTGTGCCTCAAAGGAATCGAGACGGTGCGCTTGCTAATGTTAGCCTCCTCGGCGGCATGGTTCGTGGCTACGAAGCAGGCGACCAGCGTGACCAGCACTGAGAGCAGGCGGCAGAACGACATTGCCGCCCACATATTCAGACTCGTGATGGGACTGGCAACGGGTAGTCGGAGGTTTGTCTTGCGACTTCTAGTCAGCGGAAGCTTCCCGGAATAAACCAGTACGTGTGCGTATATGAGCGACTCGTGATGTATTCCTGAGCGGACGGCTCTTGCTTGGCTCAAGCCTGGGGCTGCTACATGTGTATGTGGCAAACGTGTTGAAGGTGCTTACAGCTATGGCGACAAAATTGGGGGAAGATGATGGAGATGGCGTGAGCAAGGAGCGTTGCGGTTGGAGGGAAGAGACCACGGCGTTCTGCGTTCAAGTGAACAAGACCCAAAGGGAGGGTTGAGGGACCCAACGAAAAAGGCACGGATGAGACGCCTGATGGCAAGAGAAGCCGGTGGGAATAACTTTGGGTTGTCCAGAGTGGGAACACAAGTGATAGCGAGCGGCGTGAGGTTCGATATGAAAATGATTTCATGGTTGTGGCAGGTCCTGACACAACGTTTTATGTACTGGACTTAGCACGCAGGGGCCTTCCTATTCTTTCCAATACTCGTCCATCCAATGCGGCTTCGGTGCCCAGACTGTGCGTCCCGTAAAGTTGAGGCGAAGGCAAGAACGACCATGCCCAGCACACGGCTGCCAAGACGGCAAGAGGCAGGCAAGTGCCGCCTTCGCAGAGAAGACGTTGCCAGACCTGACGCATTGACGCACTTACTGGAAGAAGCGATTGGTCTTTGTTCCGCGCAGAACGTCGGGAGAAGCAGCGTAGAGTACGTACTTGGTGTAGGCTCTCACAACTCAGGTACAAAGTCTGTAGGTGCGTAGCTGATACCCGAAGCGCAGACATACCACGACAGCTGCAGCGTCAACTCGAAACAGATTATCATGGACCAAAACCCGATGACACATCACTTTATGAGGCCTTACATTACAATCGCGAGTATACATGCTCGAGCCAGGCAGCCGTGTCAAGATGTCGTACTACGCTGGCGGGCGAGCCAGGCTGGCCGCATTGCCACCACGTTACTCGGACGGCCCCGGGGTGATTTCTCGTGCGCTTGTACCATGTCACTCCCGGTTACGCTCGTGACACCCGTGGGCGCTACTGAGCAAACACGTTTCTGCATAGGAGTTCTGACACCGACCGGCGTGGCACTGGACCGCATTGATCGAGCAGTGACAAATAAAGGATGTACACCTAGCAGACGATATACCGAGACAGAAACATTGGATGCATAGCTCAGGGACAGAAGAGACATGAGTTCATCGCTAGATATGGTGCTATGCAAAGCCACATGGCCTGTCTATATATGCTAATTTGTTTACAGCTCGTCGTGACTGGGCTTCTCGGCCTCGGCCTCGGCCTCAGTTTCAGCCTCTGCTTTACCATCCTTGTTCTCCGCCTGGAATTGCTTCATTTTCTGCAGGAGCGCCTCCATATCCTCCTTGTTTATCCTCTCGCCCTTGTCGTTGAACTGGAAAAGGTCCTCGGCCTTCAAGTTATCAAAGTCAAGGGTAGGAGCGGAACCCTCACCAGTCGCCGTCTTGGTGCTGGACTTGGTCTTGGACTTCTTGGTGGAACTAGACTTCTTCTTGTTCTTCTTGTCAAAGTTCTTGACGCTCTTCATGGCAAGATCCATGCCGGCCTTCTCAAGCTGCTTGGTCTTCTCGGTAATATCCTTGATCAGGAGGACAGGGTTCGCAGTGTCAGGCAGCTTGTCTTGAGCCGTCAGCTTCTCTTTAAGCCACTTTGCAGTAGACTCAGCCAGCTCAGTGATCTCCTTGAGGTCATCCAGCGTGTAGAGAGGAGGGATGGGACCACGGTCATCAACGACACTGCTTGCTGTAGTGGTCGAGCTGGAAGCATCGCCTTCGGCACTGCTGGCATCTTCCGATGGCGCAGAGGTGACAGTGGACTCTGCCTCGGATGTGCTGGAAGAGCCTACGCTGGCGCTGACAGAGGAAGCATAGGCCTCAGCCTCGGCAATCTTCTCCTTGATGTTCTCAACGAAGGAATTCGTCCTGCTGAGGGCATCCTGCAATTTCTGGACAAGCTGCGGACGCTCGGCCAGCTCGCCCACGCGCTTCTCGATAGGGTTGACAATATCCTTCAACTGCTTCAGGCGCGCGCGGAGCGTGTCATGGGAGGCATCGGCACCGTCTTCGTAGAGCCACTCGCTAGCGTCGTGGGCTTTCTTCTCCAGTAGGGTGCGCTCCTTATCGGTAGAGGCCGCAATAAAGTCCTCCTTCTCGAGCAGGTCGCGAATCTTGTAGGTGAAGCCTTCAAGCTGGTTCAGAGTCTCTTCACGAAGACGACGTGCCCGGTCAGAAGACTCGAATGCCTTGAGGCGATTCTTTGCAGTGGTAAACTCGGTCTTCGACAACTCGGGAGCTCCAGTCTTCTCAAGGGTGAAGTCGACAGGTATCACAACAGTCACCTTCTTCTTGGCTGCCGGGCTGCTCTCGGCAGCAGCCGCGGTTCCAGAAGAAGTCCCAGTAGTGGAGGAGCTCTCGGTGGAGGAGGACTCGGCAGACTCGGCAGACTCTGTGGCCGATTCCGATTCAACGGCCTCGGCCTTTTCACCCTCCTTGAGAGGCTGCTGGTCCTTCTTACCAAAGCCAAAGAGGTTCTTGACACCGTCCATGATGCCTTCCTTCTCGGCGTCGGCCTCGCACTCTACAGCAGCTCTGACAACTTCGACATCGCCGTCAACCATGTTCAGTTTGAGCTGAACCTTGAATTGAATGTCGGCATCGGCGCAGCCATTCTTCTCGATGAGAGACGCGACTGAGTCGGTGAGGTTCTTTGTCGTCATCACCTGCATCTCCTGATCAACAAGGCCAGAGGAAGAGGTCAGTTGTTGGAAGAAGCTGACAGGGAAGTCGGCGTGATTGGCGAAGGTGACTTCCTTGGGTGCAGCACCCAGAAGTGAGCGCTGGTTCCAGAGACGTTGTTGGTTGGGTCGGCCATGAGGGCTGGACCACTTAATGCCAACTGGGTAGAAAGCACCGTCAAATACACGAATCTCCTTGACACGGAAGCTCGGGCTGATCTCGGCAGCTCTGAATCCGGCACCAAAGACAGCAGCTTCGTCAGAGTTGACGTTGCTGCGCAGCTTGTCGGCTCCAGCAATCTTCTCGAGTTGCTTCTGGACGAAAGGAGTCCTAGAGGCGCCACCGTGGAGAATGATAGAGTCAAGCTGCGAGATGTCCAAGTCGGCAGTTTCTAGGGCCTTCTTGATGACTGCATCCACACGCTCAGCATGTGCCTCGGCCAACTTCTCGAAATCGGCACGGGTGATCTTGTACCGGAAATCGATGTCCTCGTAGAGACCCTCGAAGCTCGCCGACGTCTCGGTGTTGGCGCTCAGGACGTGGCGAATCTTCTCAGCATCCTTGACGAGCTTGGCCATGGCTCTGCCATGAGCCTCCACGTCCTTTACAGCAACGCCGACCTTCTTGGCGGCGGGGGACTCGACGAACTTGGCCAGCATATCCTCCACGATCAGGTAGTTAAGAGAGTCACCACCCAGAGTCCTGTCCCAGCCACTGCCCATAACCTGGATTTCCTGGACAGTCTTGTTGAACTTGCCGACGTCCTTCACGACACGGCCTTGGAACTTCATGATTGTGGCCTTGGCCGAGCCAGCACCCATGTCGAACACCATGTGCTGCTCGGGCTTCTGGCCATCGCTGACTGTGGGGAACGTGCGGCTAGTGGCGTAGTTCAGACCAACAGCCAGACCATCGCTAATCAGGGACAGGACCTTGAGACCGACGAGCTCGGCAGCGAGTTCTACAGCCCTCTTCTCCTGGATGGTGAAGAATGGGGGCACAGTGATGACGACTGAGCGAACAGAAGACCCGGAACCAGCCATGTCCTCGGCATTGCGCTGGATGCTCTGCAGCTCCATGGCCAGCAGCTCCTCGATCATCCAGGCCTCCTCCTCTGTGGAAAAGGCCTTGCTCTTGAAAGCGACGGTGCCCCGTGTCTTGTGTGCCTCGACCTGGAGGGCGGGGTGCTTGGCCAGATATTCGGCGGCGATTTCATGGTCTGTGCTGAGGCCGAGGAGAGTCTTAAGGTTGGGATAGACGTCGCCGGGGAAGCGGGCGGAGAGCGCAACGGCATCGGAGCCGTAGGCTCGCTCGGGGTACTCGTCTTTGCCCAGAGCACTTCTGGACGGCTTGAAGGTGACGGCGGAAATTTCTTTGCGGCGCGAGTCCTTGGTGAGGACAATGTCGAGGGGGATACCTGGTTTGACGAGGGCGGCTTTGATGTATTCTGTTCCGAGGTCGATGCCGAGGACGGCAGCTATCGCGGAGACGTTTGTCGAAAAGCCCAGTAGCACGCAGAGCGCTACAGAGCGCAGGGAGAGGGCGGGCACCATCGTGGGCGGCCCTGGACTGGTTCGTGGACGCCGTTTGCGTGTAGTCCTGGCCACAGATGGATGTGATGTAAGTGGCAGAAGAACAACAGCACAGCCGGTGCTGGCCTGGGTGGGATGGCGGGGTGTAGGTATAAGAGGGTCTATGCGGGCGGGTCGGTGAAGCAAGAACCCTGGGGATCTGTCCTCTACGCTTCGCAGAAGCAGCCGGGAAGAGCAATTGGTCTAGCTGTCCCCTTGAGCCAGCCAGAAGGATTCTAAGTCGAGGGCGTGGCTCGCTCTGCTGCGGTGGAGGGCGACGTTCCGTGTGGCAGAGGACCAGCTTCTGAAGAGGACAACTTTCAACGGCCGTGGGCGCCCACTCTTTGACACCACCGCACAGAGCTGACCCCTGCCCGCGCGGTTCAAGCCACTGGCGGACTCCTGATTGGCTCCGCTCAGGCACACCTCTCCCAAAACAGCCACCGCCAGAAATCCTCGTGCTCCAGCAATCATCCGTGCTCACACACGTCATCCAGAACAGATAATTATGCCAGTCATTCAGTCAGCCTGCCTGCGGTCATGCGCGACGGGCACAGAAGGCGCAGCCATCTGCATATTTTTGTTCGGTATATCATCTCCCTCATCCCATATAGTGAACACGTAGCAGCTCCCACTAGCTACAGAACCAATACCCTGGAACGAGACAGCTTGGTCCCTGCTGTTTGCCCCACTGTCTGGTCTCCCTGGCGTCTCTTGTCTTCGCGGTAGTCCTGTTCAGTTGAAGGCTCTCCTCGGCATGTCCTGGGATTTCAGATCAAGTATCCAGGGCACAGTCAGCTGCATCTTGGCAAGTCCAGCGGTGGCCACCATATATTCACCATTGGGAACATTTGCATCCCTGCTGGCCCATTTGGTCTCGGCCTGTCTGCCCAATGTAATGATCGCTTTCATGTATGATATCTCGGATATATGGCCACCAGTATTGCAGAGCTTATGTCTGTACGTGGATTTGTTCCACTTGAATTCCGTGTGCATTCCGCTTGCAGATCAAAACATTCAGAAACATTTGGCCGACGGCAGGGTTGCACTTGGACGACCAATATAGCCCCCTCAAATTAGGATGGGGGACACCACTAAGGACCAGCTGCGGGCGCTGGTCTCCTTCCCCGCATGAATCAACTTCCTGTCCCACGCAACGCACAACATTTTATAAGCCTTCTCCCCTGGAATATATAGATCTCGGGGCGTCTCGCGTCATACTATTCCCTTGGAATCTTGCTGTACCTCGATCACACGGCAACATGAGTGTCGACAACAGGGTAGCTCGGCGGCTCGCGCTGGTGACTGGTGCTTCGGGAGGGTAAGTCCATCTCATCAGGGATCGCCATAGACTCAAACAGAGAGACGATTCCACTGGTGTTATAATCCACATCCGCTTTAAGACTGACAGATTCTCTAGGATCGGTGCTGCTTGTGCTCGGGCATTATGGGAAGAGGGAGCATCCTTGGCACTCACTTATCTCTCACACCAGGAGTCCGTAGATGCGCTCGCAAAGGAGCTTTCCGCAAGCGGTACCGACAACCGTCGGCGTATCACCAAACATAAGGTTGACACGAGTTCCGTGGAGGCCCTCGAGAAGCTCTTTGCCGAGATCAGAGAGCAGCACGGCCAGGACGCGCCAGACATCCTTGTCTCCAACGCGGGATACGGCAAGAGACTTCCCGGCATACTGGACGTCACCTACGACGAATTCGACTTCACGCTTGACGTGAACCTCAAGGCATCTTTTGTGCTTTCCAAGTTGAGCATACCGTACATGGAGGCACAGGGCTGGGGCAGGATCGTGTTTGTCTCTTCTATTGCTGCCATTGGCGGTGGTATCAACGCCTGTCATTAGTAAGTGCTTCTGGAATGTATTTGGGGTTCTGGCAACCACTTGGCAACTCAGCAATGGCTCTTCACTAACACAGTTGGTTCCCTCTCCACAGCGCGGCATCAAAAGCTGGACTCAGCGGCATGATGAAGAACCTCGCCCGCAAGCACGCCAAGTCCGGTATCACGGTTAATGATGTTGCGCCCGCCATGATCGGCGAGACTGGCATGATCCCCAACGCCGAGTTCGTCGTGGGAACATCAGGCGACGTCAGAAACATCCCGGTGGGCCGCCTTGGCACGCCCGAGGAGTGTGCCAACGTGGTTATGATGTTCTGCAAGACCGGCTACTTGACGGGACAGAGCATCTTGCTAAGTGGTGGATTGACATAGATGATTGACACTGCGGCGGGATCTTGCAGCCCACGGCGAGATTGCAGTGCTTGTAAGGGAAAGACCAATGCTGGATTCTAGACAAGACTGGAAAATCCAGTTTGCCTCCAGCTCAGAATGATCCTCTCCGACCGCATCATAGCATTGTAATAACCAGTGTCTTGTGGATTGCCAGGCTCTCAATGGCCCCGCCATCCCCCGCCATTTCTCCAGTGTTTTGGGAGAAGATGTGGAGGAGCCGCAGCAGTTTGACCTAGTTCGATGGCCGGCATATGGTAACTAAACTGCGACGAGCTTTTGCTAAAACTTACAAAAACAAAAGGCAGACTGTACTAGCGTGGAAGGCAATGGGAGAGGGACAAGGCTGTGTTTAAGTACTTGTCGAATTACTTTGCGCCCTGCTGAGTGACTGAGTGGCCAAAGGAGTCACATCCACTCTGGCCCACACGGCAACTGCCGCATTCAGCGGCCACGTCATAAGCTCTGATCACCGCTGCGAAACATAACATGTAAACTGAGGCGACATCGTACACAGGGGAACAACATATTCCTGTCACCAACTCCCGCCAGTACAGAACGTTCTACATAGAACATGGCACTTTCGCGAACTAGACTCTAGTCACTTTGTCCAAGCAGTAAAGCTACCTGAGTACGCAGAGCTTCCAAGACACCGTGGAATCGAGAGCAATCTTTCGCTTTGGGACGCTTTGCAGCCAGAAGGTCCTCCCGCCAACCAGAAGAGCAGGCTCCAGCGGCAGGCGGGATTTTTTAAGAAACCAAAGGAGAAGCCTCATTCTCCTCCTTCCTCCTTCCTCCTCCTCCTCACCATGGGAACACCATTCATATCCCTCCTTGAGCCGACCCGGCTCGCCGACTACGACCGGCTGAAGCCCCACGACCAGCAGCCCGAGTGCGCGCACATACCCAAGGTCTTCTGCGACGCCATGGAGGTCCGCGAGGCGGTGTTTGTCCGGGAGCAAGGGGTCCCGCTCGAGTACGAGCACGACAGCGACGACGCGCGGTCCTGCCACTGGGTCATGTACGCCTCGGTCAACCGGACGACCCAGCAGCAGCAGCACGACCCGGCCACGGGGCAAGTCACGCAGCGCAAGCAGACCGAGACGGATAGCGTGCCGATCGGGACCATGCGCGTCGTGCCGTTCCCGCACCCGCCGCACCCGCCGCACGGAGGGGTCTATGTGGACAATGAGCTCCAGAACGGCCGCGGGGCGAGTGGTGGGGATAGTAACAGCAGCAGCGATGGGAGCGCTGGGAGCGAGGATGCCAAGACTAAAGACGGCTTCCATGAGCAGCAGGCGGCGCTGCAGGTCGGCCAGGACCAAGAGACGACGTACCACGACGGCAAGGAGCCGTACGTCAAGATAGGCCGGGTCGCGGTGGTCAAGGACTTCCGCGGACACAATGTCTCTGCTCAGCTGTGGCGCGCGGCGAGGACGTGGCTCGAGCAGAACCCATCATACTTCAACCCAAGCGTCAGGGAGCTTGGTCTGGACCAGGTCGGCATCTCCGGCACGGACGAGATTCCTGAATGGAAGGGGCTTGTGTGCTGCCATGCCCAGGAGCAGGTTGTCAAGGTCTACGAGAGATGGGGCTTCAAGGTGGATGAAAAAATGGGCAAGTGGACTGAGGAAGGCATCCCGCATGTTGGCATGTTCATGCGTGTGGACGTCAAGAAAGAGAAGCCGATTATAATATGACGTACAACACGTGTACTGGGTATCGATGAGGACTAGCATTACTGGCGGCATACAGGCAGATATTGTTGCCTCCCGAAGAGCTCAAGAAGGCTCAAGCAGATTCTCAGACGTACAGTTGTGAACGACATTCATAATCGAAACCCTTTAGACAGCTGCGAAGGATGTCGCAGATCTCGGTGCATCAAGTCACATATCGAGGCGATCCCCAGTGGTACGTTTTTTGAATGATTTCATTTGCCATTTCTTTTTGCCCATTCCTCGAGCAGAGCCTTTTTCATCGAGCAGCTCTACGTGACTTGTATGCCATGAAACCACATCCCGCCTGAGCCGTAAACGCGCAAATGCAGTAGTAGTAGTAAAATGCCCAGATCGTCCGCGCCGAAGAAACCCCAGAGAGTGTTGTTTGTTGTTTTTGGAATGAACCTTTCTCCATTGCACGCGCAGAGGCGTGCGATGGAGGTTGAGTGTGTTTTTTCTATTGTCAAGAGGTTGAAACCGTTTATCGGTTGCTCTTGGCGACACGCTCCAGCTCGTCCTTCTTCTTGATGGCGTAAGAGTTGCTGCTGCCCTTGGCGGCGTTGATCAGCTCCTCAGCAAGGCACTCGGCGATGGACTTGACGTTGCGGAAAGAAGCCTCGCGAGCACCGGTGGTGAGGAGGGCGATGGCCTGGTTGACTCTGCGGAGGGGCGAAACATCGACGGCCTGTCTGCGGACGGTACCGGCGGAACCGATACGGGTGCTGTCTTCGCGGGGACCGCAGTTGACAATGGCGTCAACAGCAATCTGGATGGGGTTCTGGTCGGTCATCAGGTGGATCTGTGAAGACTGGTTAGCGACGCCATTCGACGATGTTCGGGTCCCACAAAGATGGGGCCGAGTGACTGGTGACAGGCGGGCTTACGATCTCGAAAGCGTGGGCAACGATGCGGACAGCCATGAGCTTCTTGCCGTTGTTGCGGCCGTGCATCATGAGCGAGTTGGTGAGACGCTCAATGATGGGGCAGTTGGCCTTGCGGAAGCGCTTGGCGGCATAGCGACCAGCAGAGTGAGGAACGTAGACCGGCGAGCGGATCTGGATGTAGTCGCTATTCGCAGCAGTCGTGGTTAGCCAGATGTCCCTCGTCGCATCATCTGAGAAGCCTTTCCCCCTTCCCGAAAGAGTCGTCGTGCCGTGCCGTGCCGTGCCAATTTCCTCCGCGTCGTAGCAAACTGCTTCCCCTTTGTCCTCCATTGTCCCGTTTCCTGTCGTCGTTGACTGTGGTGTCTTCGGGAGATGGCTGGCGGCGACAATCTCGATCGGGTTGGCTGAGAAAGATTCAAGGTTGACTTACGTCAGGGAAATGTCACGGATCTCGACATCCTCGTAGCTCCCTGTTGAAATGATTTAGCATGCACTCTCTCCCGATTGATTCGTGTCTTGGTGTTGTGTGCGACGGATCAAAGGTGTTCGATTCCGGGGTGTCGTGGATGCGTGGGCGAACAACGTACATCGGTTGAACAGCTTGATGCTGCCAATCTCGGCAACCACGTCCTTGGGGAGGACCTGGTACTGGGAAGTCTCGACCTCGACGCCGCCGTCAGACATGCTGGGCAATTGTGATAGGGACCTGGGGTTAGTTGTCGTGTGGTGAGGCCGAATACGGTTGCAGCTCGAGTCTTGGAGGGGATATCGCGAGCCTGTACACTGGTGTCCACTAGGGAAGAGATCTTGCGCGCCTCAGAAAAATTTGTGTGTGCCGAGCAAATTGGGGTTTTCCAAAGAAAGTTCCCAGGTTGTGTGTGAGGGAGTGGGGCCTTATCGATTGGAGGTTAGACCGTGCTCAAGTTAAGGTGGATACGCTGAGCACTGTGCCATGCGTCGCGAAGACTCTGGTTTTGGACTGTGACTACGTTAAGGACAGCCCTGGAGACGTCCCAGACTTTGAGTGTCCCGAGGTCCCCCCTCAGGGATGCCTCAGCACTTGGCAGATCAAACACTTCCAAAGTCTCCAAGGTTGGTGTGAGCCCTGGAGTGCTTTACACGTGTTTGCACGCAGCCATGCTATGGATATGTCTTGGTTCGGGTTTTGTCCCTTGATGATACCCCTGATACCTCTAACTTGAATTCCATATGATACGGGCAAGCGGATGAGCAGCCAGTCCTCCATGGCTTACTGGAGGACATCCAAACATGACCTCCTTTCTCAAGGAGACCGTGGTACCAATGAGCAACGGTGACTTGCCTGTGCCCTCCTGTGCTGCGTGCATGGAGGTGATGCGTACTGCGTGTGAGACCCTGACCTGGCGAGCCTGGCTTCGTGAGAGTCCCCTTTTGTATGCTGCTGGGCCTGATTGGCGCGCGGACCCAAGGTTTCCGAGACAGGACCAGTCCCAACACCAATTCTGGGGTAAGCAACGACGCTCATTGGCTGCTTTCCACAGCTCTCCTCCATTCCCAGAGCTCGAGAGACTTGCTCTCTGGCCTTTCCAGACATCTCGTCTTGCACTTGTCAAGAGCTCAATTGCAGCACGAGCGTCGCGTTACTTCCAATTTCCAATATTCACTCGGTCCTCCAGACCCCCCAGGTTCCAATTGCACCAGCTCCCGCTGCTTCGCTGGCAGCACTCCGGCACCCACTCGAGTCCCCGAGGTCTGGTGCACCAGGATCATCCCCGTCATGGCGTCCGTCCGGCAGCGGAGGGGCAACCCAGCAGATCTCCCGCCTCGGCGCGCAGTCGTCGAGGAGCTGTCCACGTCCGAGGACGAGGCCGACACGGCCAACGAGACCCTCGCCCAGACCAAGACCAACGTCGACAACAAGAATGTCCAGCCCAAGAACAAGAAGAAGACAGTCGCCCAGGCCGAGGATGACGAGGACTCGTACAGCCCCTGGCTGGACATTCTACGCGTGCTGTCGTTCCTCTTCCTCGCCTCGTGCGGCCTCAGCTACCTCGTCTCCGGCGGCGAGACCTTCTTCTGGGGCATGAAGAACCCGCCAAAGTACCTCCAGAAACAATACTGGGCCGCGCAATGGGTACGTTCTCCCCCCCCCCAATCACTTCGCTATCTCTCTCTGTCAAGATCACAAAACCGCTGACACAACAGTCTCCCATCCACCAGGCCGGCCCGACATACCTCACCCTCGAAGAGCTAGCGCAGTACAACGGCAAAGACGAGACCAAGCCCCTCTACATCGCCATCAACGGCACAATCTTTGACGTCAGCTCGAACCGCCGCACCTACGGGCCGGGCGGGTCGTACCAGTACTTTGCGGGCACCGACGCCGCGCGGTCCTTTGTGACGGGCTGCTTCGCCACCGACCAGACGGCCGACATGCGCGGCGTCGAGGACATGTTCCTGCCCCTCGATGACCCGGAGGTCGACAGGCACTGGACCCCGTCGCAGCTCGTGGAGCTCAAGAAGCAGGAGCTCGAGGAGGCCCGGAAGCGCGTGCACGACGGCCTCGCCCACTGGGTCGGGTTCTTCGAGAACAGCCCCCGCTACCACAAGGTCGGCTACGTCAAGCGGCCCAAGAACTGGCTCGACAAGGAGCCCCTCAAGCCCTTGTGCGAGGCGGCAGCAAAGGGCCGCAGGAAGAGGACGATTCCTGGGACCGAGTAGAGTACAAAAGGAAAAAGAAAACGTGTAAAAATAAGTTATGAGGGAAGGACAGGATGCATTGTTTTGGTTCCAAGTCAGGCGGCGTGAGGGATGAACACTTCTATTTTCTGCGGAGGACCACCAGGCAAAGGCCTTTCTAGAGGGTTGCATGGATTGGGAATAACACGTTTCTTGGACGAAAGCTAGAGCCAGCCATGCAGTGACAGACACAGGGCGATATCGTCAGCAAGGCACCTCAGTGAACACAGTGACAAGTTCAGCTCCCCAGGGTGCTATCAAGCAGCGAGGGCGTAAAGACACTGATACGCTCACCTGTCAGAGAAGCAACAAACAGCAAATTGTCACATCAAACTTCATTTTGGCACTTTATCTTGGCATCAGCACTACGAAACACTATGCAATAGTCACTAGCTGGCATCATCACGAGGCTTGGAAGAGAAGAAGTATTTCAGAGTCCACGACCGGGTATAAATTAACTCTCTCTCAACTAAGGATATCCAAAAAATAACGAAGAAAAAAAAATACTGAAGAAGAAAGTAGAATGTCGACAAAGGCATAATTACATTGTATACAATGTCTTCGATGCATCTACCGTTTAAATAACCCCCCTTTCATCCCCGCCCCGGTTGATGGTTGAACCGGAACCTCGACACGCACGAGGCGGAGATGGGTTATAAAAAAGAGATCCCCAAGCCCATTAGAAGCCCCACCGCCCATAACTCCTGGTATGATATAAAACATGATGCCCTTTTTTGTTTTGTTCGTGTGACAAATCCCAGAGATGTATGATGAAAAGATCCAGGAAGGGAAAGATGCTTATAGCACGAGGAAGGCGGCGACGAGGGACAGCAGACCCATAGACGCGGAGACGGCGACGACGTTGCCAGCAGCAGGGGCAATGGTGGGAGTGACAACACCGGCAGAGCCACCAACGGGAGTGCCAGCATCGGAGCCGCTGCCGGTACCAGATCCAGATCCGGTTCCAGAACCAGAGCCGGAGCCAGAACCGGAGCCAGATCCAGAACCAGAGCCGGATCCAGTACCAGATCCAGTACCGTTGCCAGCGCCGGAGCCAGCGCCAGGAGTGCCACCGGGACCGTAGTTGGCAGGAGCAGCCTTAGCAAGAGCCTTGTAACCGGCCAGGCTACGAGTAGAGTTGGCAGCAGTGCTGTGGAAGAGGTTAGTCCGAGGATCATGTGAATATTCGTTGTTTGGAAAGGTATAGAAACTCACTTCTCGTTGATGACCATGCTCATGCCGTTCTGGCAGTGCTTGGCTTGCGAGCAGTAGAGCCACATAGGCTTGGTGTCCTTGATGGCGATGGTGTATGTGGGGATGACACCGGCGGACATGCTGGCAGCGACGGCCTGGTATCCAGAGAAGATGCCAGCGATGGAGGAGTTGTGCTCGTTGATGGGGGTGCAAGGGTTGTCAAAGTTGGACTGGACGACACTGTGGTTGCCAGCGCGGAACTGGAACTGGATCATGTCGCCGGCGTTGGCCTTGATGTTGTCGGGCGTGAAGATGATTTCACCCTTGGTGCCAGCGACGGAAACAACGTGGACCATGGCGGGACTCTGGGCGAGAGCAGTGCTGGCGAAGGCAGCGACGAGGAGAGTGGTGAACTGCATCTTGACTGATTTTGCTTTTTGTGACGTTCTTTAAAAACTTCTTTTTCTTCGTTTTCTTTGGATAAAGAGAGAGGGCGTGATGATGAAGACTGAGAATAAAGTCGACAAGAATGAATGGTCTTGTTGAAGCTGTTGGAAAGGCGACTAGCGCTCTGGGTAGGACTAGCCTGTTAGAAGATTAAAGACGGCAAAGAAAGAACCGAAAGAGGAAATGGACGTGGACAACGAGTATGAGGACTGAGGAAGGAAGAGGAGAAGAAACATGTTCACCACAGAGGGGCAGCCATGGCTCATCATATACCCAGGGCCGTTGCCGTGGACATGAGAGCTTCAAGGAGCTGGGCGGCTCCTCGGGGACCCCTGCTCTACCGGCCGGGCCCCCGGTCAGGATGGGGACGGCCGAAGGGGCTTCCGGCAGGGGTCGTCCTCCCAGGCCGGCGAGGGCAGCGCTGAAACACGTTTTGGCTGCCAGAGACTGGCCGCATGTTTGGAAACGAAGCCAGAGTCGTCTCAAGCCCGCAGCAGCTACATGGCGCTGGCTCCTCGTTGCCGGGTTTGCCATGCTAAGTCCAGGCATCCCTCAACGGCTCCGCACCTGGTCATCTCCCATGCCTGGGACTTTGCTGGAATCCCTGGCTTGGCGGTCCATGACCCAGTATACCATGCTGAGAAGGCCCCGTGCCCAGCTATATCAGGCGTCGTCTAAGCCGGGGATTCGAGAAATTGCAGCACCACAGCACCAGGAGTGTAGTCCGCGTGTGAGCCCGTATTATCGTTCTGGCACGTTGCGCTCAACTTCAGGATCCCATCATCATCATAATGCGCCACGGGTTTCTGCTGCAAGGACGAATAAAACTGAGCCTAACGCTTGCACATATGGTGATTTCTCTGACTCGGCAGCACCTCTAGGACCAAACAGAGACAATATTCAACACAGCCACAGGTGAGCGCCGCCCCCTCGGCTGTGGCCTACATCTGGGTTGAGTCAGGGGCCAGTAGTGTCACCGGACGATCCGTATGCCGGCCTCTTGCAAGCTTGGCTTATACAAAGCCAAGTGCCGGAGGGGCGGTGCCGATTCTCAGAGGTGCTGATCAAGGCTGGAGAATGGCCATGTGCCAGCTGGGCAGCTACCGGTGTGGGCCGTGCTGAAGAAGACTCTAGAGCTGTACGCGTAGCCAGGTCGGCGGCAGCGCTACCGAAGCATTACGCAGCCTCGGCCGTGGCCTATGTATGGGCGGTGCTCTTTGCACGGCGAGGCTGGATGGATGCTGGAGTTCTGGTTGACTGCAATGGGAAAGTGGAAAGTGGAAAGTGGAAAGTGGAAAGTGGGAAGTGGGAAGTGCTGGCGCTGGGCCAGGGGAAATGGCGTGTTGTGCTGGGGGGGTTGCTGGAGGCTGAGGAGCCCCAAGAGCGCCCCCAGCCGCAGTGATGCTTCAGGACCAGGCGTGTGCGACGCCTGCAAAACCACTCCGGTTTCACCCCTGGGCCACCCTCCCCTTGACCCAGTGCCCCTGCAACAACACGACAAAGTCCTTTCTGGCTGCAACGTAGCCACTGACAGAGCGTCGGCGTCGTCGTCGCGTCGCCACGGCTCTCACACAAAGGAGCCTCGCTAAAGTGCGTGCATGCAATACTTCAGATTTCATCGCATTCTCCGGGCCACTTTGAAACCCGGAGGCAGCCCACTCGACAGCACCACCGCTTGACATGTTTCCGAGCGCACGCCGGGGTCTGAGATGTTGGGCATGCGGTTTCGATCGGACGTTTCCTGGGGAGCGAGTCACGTAGGCCGAACCTGTGGCCAGCCTGCCGTGTTTCGGACATTGCGAGAAACATGTGGCAGATCCAACCCCAGATCTCCCAACGGTCGTCCAACACAGTCATCTGAAGTGTTGTTCTTTTTTGTCATCGGGCACAGACCACGCCTCATACCATGAGAGTGACAATGGCCCATCTCCATACAACTGCTGTCTGCATTCGGGCGCTGTTCGAGCACACTTCTCGGCCAGTCTTTGTCCCGAATAACGACCCATATGTGTGCCCATCCAGCTATTCAGCTCTTCCTCTCCTCCCCTGATTATGTTCTACAGTTCATCATGGACTGCCATTCGACTCCATGAATGTGAGGGCACAGCGACGAGTTTGTCATGGCAGCCTTATGATTCGAGGTCGTCACAACCTGAAGCACTCGATTGCTTACATCGTCCCAAGGCGATACGCGACAGACTGATGGCCAATTTGGCTTCTCGGGAGGTTGCGAGTGTGCTGAGAAAAGTGACAGCTTTGCCCAACAGCCAACCGCTCTGAGTGTCAACCATGAATAGCTAGCGCTATAGTCATCCCGCTTGCTGTGACATGGTAAGACCTGGCACAGCTGTGAATGAGATAACCAGGCTCCGCTGGTCCTCTTCGCTAGTTGTACAGTGATTGAGGTATCACACTCTGTGTCTGAACAAAGGCAGCAGAATACGATCGCGCTCTACAAGTCCAGCAGGACTTGAGGCGCAATCTTCTCCAAGTCCTCAACCTATATCCAAAGTAAAAGAAGATGAAGTCATCGTCAGCAGGGCCCATATCTTCTCACTCAACATCAAGAATGCAGAGGAAACTCGTCGCAAGGAGTGCAGACAGGACTAACCTCTACGAACCCGGCCTCCTTCTCGACCGCGGCCCGGGCAATGGTCTCCCGCACAAAGATATCCATGTACTTTGCTGCCGCGGCATTTGCGTCTTTGGATATCCGCGTGCCGTTCTTCTCAAAGAACTCGTGCATGATGCGCGTCAGGAGGTCTGGCGGGATCGACTTGGGCGCGTCTTCATCGTCCTCCTCGCCACCATCATCGTCGTCCCCGCCCCCGTCGACGTCCATGCGCTGCCGCTTATGGCTGTTGCTGCTCTGCTTTCCAGACTGCTTCCCGGTGCTGCTCCGGCGTCTGGCTATCGAAGCCGTGTCCTCCTCCGCGAACGGGTCGTCATCATCGTCCTCGTCAAACTCATCGGCATCTGGTTCCGAGCCCGACGCCGCGTCAGAGTCTGGCTGCTGGAGACGGCTCCGGGACCGCACAGGCTGTTTCCCTTTTGCTGTGCTGGATTTTGCTCTGCTTGTGGCTGATGACGCCGCCGATTTCGCGTTTGCCCGTGGTGGCATGGTTATGATTATGTGTGTTTGTTTCTGGCTCGTGGCTGAGCGAATTCTATTGGAGCAGAACGCTGGAAAAGACCGACGTCCCACAATGCGACGCGTCCAAATGGGATGTTCCTCTCAAAAGGTGCCCGCCTGTGATCCAAATTGTCTGGTTGGTTACGTAGTCAAGCTGTTGTTGTTGATGTACTTGACCAGTATTTTGTGGAGAAGCCTCTCGCGGTCCCTGGCGTAGGTAACCTTGGAAGCCTTGCCTCGAGATGTTTGAGTGCAACGACAGCAGGCACAAATGCGGATTTTCGAATGGTGCCCGGCCACAACGCCAAATAGCAAGCGAGTTGACCACAGTCAGAGAGACAGAATATCTATGTCGGCTGCATGGTAAGGCATGTAGGCAATCGTGTATGCCCTGCACAAACATACCCAGGTGAGGCATGAAAACTAACTGTGGTCTGCCAGTGGCGGGCAGGTGGCCCAGTGGAGGCCGTTTTCTTAGGTACAATTTCACAGGAGCTTTCCCCGGAAAAGCTCGTTGCGCAATCAAATCGCGCATGCCAATCGCGTCAGGCAACAAAATGCGCGTAGTTCATCAATGAGCACAAAAACCACATGCACAGAAGGTTGAATGAGATGGAGGTATCGGACGCAGAAAAAGTACATCAAGGGAACTGCCTGGGATCTAAATTACAGCGGAAAAGGCGGGCTGGCCACCAGCCCATACCGCAAATGACGAGCTGTTCCAGAACGCCACGATCGTGTGCCTGTAACAAAGTTCGGCTGCGACTTTTGCGTGCGCACGCCTTTTACCACCCCTGACCATATCTTACTGAGCCGTGCATCACATCGCCACGCCTCCCAAGTCTATTGAGGGATGAGGGTATATGAGGAGTTCGCGTGGTTGAGCTGTTTAGCCCGAGCCACCCTTGAAGGCCTTGCCGAAGAGGATGACCTGGAGCTGATCGTAGATCGACAGGACACCCGCACCGGCGACACCACGGAGGATGTTGGCACCAGCACCCTTGAAGAGGGACTTGACACCCTCCTTGGCAACGATCTGGCGGGCAGCATCGAGAGTACCGTTGTACTTGACGGCCTCACCAGAGGTCATCATCATGCGACGACGGATGGTGTCAAGAGGGTACGAGGCGATACCGGCACCGGTGGTGACGCACCAACCGAGAGCGAAAGAGGCAAGGAAGTTGTTCTGGAGGGAGCCAGTGAGGAGGACGGGCTTGATGGAGTCGTACATGCCGAAGTACAGACCACGGTAGACGACGATACCAGCGACGGAGGGCATGAAGCCACGGTAGAGACCGGCAACACCGTCGGAGGCGAGGGTCTTCTTGTAGACGTCAATCAGACCGTTGAACTGACGGTCGCCACCCTTCTTGGCGTTCTTGGCGTCGTTGGCCAGACGGGTACGGGCGTAGTCAAGGGAGTAGACGAAGAGGAGGGAGGTGGCACCAGCAGCCTGTAAACCCGTTAGTCACTTTCAATCGGTAGCGCATGTGAGATCAACCGAGACTTACACCACCGGAGGCCAAGTTACCGGCCATCCACCACCAGTATCCGTCACGGTCCTTCTTGAAACCGAACATCTGCTTGAACTTGTCACGGAAAGCGAAGTTCAGAGCCTGGGTGGGGAAGTAACGGATGACGTTGGCAGTGTTACCACGCCACAGGGACATGACACCCTCGTCAGCGGCGGTACGGCGGAAGCAGTCAGCAATGCCGTCGTACTTGCGGTCGAGACGACCGGACTTGAGCATCTCATCCTGTTGTCGTTGTCAGTACACTGGGCATGTGATTGGGTGGACATGAATGGCCGGGGCAATGACATACCTGGTTCTGAATCAGGAGCTTGATACGCTCAATGGGGGCAGCGGCGGTCTTCGAGACGGCGGCAGAGACACCACCCACTGTTGTACTTGTTAGCATTCATTCATGTACCGAGTAGCCGTCGTCGCGGAGTGCCCCGCAGTTGCGGTGCGGGAGGCATGCAAATGATGCTCCCTCAGGTATTGAGGCTTGACATACTCAGGAAGTCGGCCATGAAGGGCTGCGAGAACGGAATCATGTTAGCTCTCTGGTATCATGGTTGTTATGTGGTGATGGTGGCATGAGAAAATCCTGATAAGCCCCCCGCGACAACGAAGCCACACAGAACAACCATTGCCAACATTGCGCAAGAGGTCGTCTCCAACGCGAACGTGTCGGCGGAAACTCCCAATTGATGCCATGATTGCTTGCGTAGTGATGCTGGCTGCGATGCCATGGCTTGTCGCTGCGCGAGGCGGTCACGGATGGACGAGGGAATTTCGTGCGTCGGCGGCGGCGAGGTTCGACGGCGCGCGCAGCCGGGAGAGAGCAGACTTACCGGCATGCCCAGAACCTTGGGTTGTTCCGTAGCCATTTTGACTGATGGTTCCGTAGATGCACTTGATCTTTGGAAAGGAAGGGGTGAGTGGAGATGAGGAAGGGAAAGGGAAGAAGGGGAAGACGGCTGCGTGAAGCCAGCGGGTTATAAAAAAAATTGCCTTGGGAGCCGGCCAGCAGCCAAGGCCAGCTCTCCCCCCGAGCCAGGCGTCCAACCAGTGCAGTCGCCCAATTGTTCCGGGGCCCGCCGCTAGCCTGAAAATCTGAAAGGCACACCTCCCCAATCTCACCCAAGTGCCAGCCATCGTGGTTGCCCCGATACCAGGTCACGTGCTGGGTGGGCCGCTGATAGTCTCTCTGTGGACAGCCGCGGCCGCACGCCAGCAAGAAAACGGCGCATGTCCAGGGCCCCATCGCCGTGCTTCCACTCGGCCGGCGGCTACGGGCGCGCGGGCTATTCCCATCGCAGGCCGCCCCTCGTGAGACCGGCGGCAATTACCACACCCAGCCTGGCCCCCTGCGCAAGGCCTGCGGACGTTTTCGGGACGGCTAAGGGGAAGGCGGTGCCCAGGGTGTGTTGCTGCAAGGTCGCCAAAAGCCTGCGCTACGTCTTCAGATGGCGATCCCCGTCCCCTAACCAAGGCACTTGGTGTTTGACAAGGCCTATCCTGCAGCGAGCCTGGCGACGCAACCGTCAGCGGCATCGCCGTCCTCCTCACTTCGACCCTGCTACCAGACTACATCCTACCATGTAAGCTCTCCTGATCGAGTCACACTGGCCATGCGATGCACCGGCAGGAATCTGTCCGCGGTGGCAAGAAGCTGCTCCTCGCTGCCATGGGCCCAGACCCAGAAAACCTGCGATGCACATGCCAGACGTCCGTACCTGTACCTGTACATATGAGGCACAACCACACAGTCCGCAGTACTGTACTCTCCACAGGCTGCTCCTCCAGGCCGAGATTTGCTTGCTGGGGAGCGAGAGAAAACCCACACATTTCGCCCCTCTGCGTGGGCGGTCCCTGGGAAACAGCGAAGAAACCACGCAGCTCGTGCTGCTGCTGCAACTGTATTGCACCCCGCCCTCCTCCCGCCTCGCCCACACTGCTGCAAACCTTGGACGTCTTGATCCGCCTTGACCTTCCGAGCAACAGCACGGCTCGGGGCCGTGCCGTGTCATTCAGGGGCCTGCATGTGCCAGAGAGGCTACTGTGGGCAGAAAGTTAGCCTTCTGTGGTCGCCATGCGCTCCCGCTTGTGCAGGCAGGACCCCACGCCGAGTCCCTGGACTGCCGCTCCTGGTTGACCAATTGGCAATTGGCGAATCTGTCCAGACCCTCGACACTTATCGGCTCGAGATGTGGGGCTCACGGGGCCGCCGCCTCTGATCTCGGCTCTGCGAGCCCGACGGCTTTGGTTGGAGTCGCTTTTACGATTCAGACTCTGCATTACTGCGAAAAGGGGGCATTCCACCGACATATTCGTCGTGGCCATCTATGAGCATGGGGAGAGGGAATCATCCTCATGATGTTACATTTCCTTGACAATGACAACCAATATCCTGCCGTCGCTCACGTTTCCGCCATGAGATGTCACCTCCGCGCCTGAGAAAATGCAGACTTGAAATTTTGGTTGCTGGCATCGACTTCTCAATTAGCAGACCACAAGATCGGGCTCATAAGCATTCATCCTTCAATACAGCCACGTTTTTTCGCCTGTCCAAAGGCCGTTACATCGATTTACGTGCAGGCAGACACGTTTTAATTGCGCTTTCCTCGTGTCTCGTTGATAATCGGCGGTGCAGCCTTTTAATGATTCCCCAGTTCCTCCTATTCATCGTGAGCCACCCGGTTGCATGGTCCGCATCCGTATATCACGCTCGTGGACGTCACCCCGCAGCTCTAGAGGTCAGGCTGCTCGGCAGCATCCGGGGCTGGGCTCTGCCCACCATGATTTCGCCTGGTCCAGACCGGGCTATTGAGTTGAGGATGTAACTATCAGATTATACCAATCAACAAAATTTGAAAGAAATCCCCCACGAAGTCGACCATGCCATCCCACTTCGTGCTCTGGTGGTTGCTAACTTGTGCTCATTACTTGATTGCACGTGTCCATGCGGAGCAAGATAGTCCGGACAACGATCCCGAAAGGCAGAGTCTTGTTTCGATGCTTTTGGACCTGTCCGGAGTCACCGTTGATGGCACAGGGTTTTTTTTTTTCTCTTTTTTTTTTTTTTTTTTTTTTTTTTTTGGGAAGGTATTCCTAAAGCTACAGGCGCCCGACTTATATTCGACGAATGCCTGACAGGCGTTCAGTATTTTTACACCTCGCGATGTTGTCTTTCCGGGCTCTTTTGGCGTACTCCATCCTCGAGGTTGTTCAGAAACGAAACTCACCTCTGGGTGGGCAGTGCAACTCATTCTTCTGAAGTGGGACCTGTGCCTGAAGGCTGTGAACACCATTGCCGGCACACGAGCAAAACAGATGTTGGATAGCTCTTCCCACTTGTAAGTGCTGTACTGTAGGAATCGTATACCACAACATGCTTCTCTGGACAGAGGACGATGAGAAACACCGGATCAGCTTGCTATTAGCCATGTTGAGGAAGGAATGACTGGGAGAGACCACTGCTATAGCAAACTCCTAGCTACAACAACCAGGACAGCCTCAGACTCGTGGTGTTGATGAAACCCCGAGGGTAGCAAGTCAAAGTCAGAGCGCTTGCCATTCAGACTGGAGTTGTCACATAGTGCCTGCTTAGTTATAGCAGTCCAGAATGCGTATTGATTACCCATCCATCCATTGGTCATGCAAATTCACCATCGTCATACGAGCATCGTCCCAACTAGTGTGATTCGTTCGCGAAACGACCAGGGTCTTATATTCTTCTAACCCTATCTGAATGCGTGATGACTCTTCTTTTGGAGTCGTGAAACCGTGAACCAGTCCCAAATGGTACGCCGTAGATCAAATGCCCCCGACACCTGAGAGTCCCTTCCAGGATCCCTCCATAGTCAGCCGACCGTTTCTGCCGATCGACGTTTTATTTCATTTTTTTGCTTTCGTTATGAGATCGTTATGGGACACATTTACTCGGCAGCGGTAACAGCACGAGCTATAATTATTGTTAGCACAAGTCTCGCGGGGACGCTCGGCGGTCCTGGGGTTCTTGTCGACGTACTGTAGATCTTCATCTTGCTGTGTGTAACGACGGGCTTGATCTGGCCCTTCTCCTCGAGGTCCTTGAGGCACCGGCGAGCGAGGGAGCCGTTGATCTTCATGCGGTCAACGAGGGTGGCGACGGTGACGAGGCGGTAGGACTGGACATCCTTGTAGAGCTTCTCAGAGGTGGTCTTGTCGAGCATGACAGCATGCTGGGCCTTGTCCTTGACTATTCGTTGATGGTCGAGTTAGTCTCTGGTTGTGCGGTGGTGGCGAAGTCGGTTCCCTTCAAAACACATCTTGGCGCTCGCAACAAAAGTCCTCCTCCATTGCCGTGGCCGAAGGAAACGTTTCGTCCGAACAGGATGTCTCTCGCATCGTCGCATCGGGTTCCGACATTCGACTTTGTGTTTGGAAAGCATATCAGGACTTACCCTTGCCCTTGGACCACCTAGTGAGTTGCGCGTTAGCATGCTAAAATTGAGGATGGGTACATTGTTGCAGTCTGGCGTGCTGGACCTACTTCTTCTTCTGCTTCTTAGCACCGGTCGACGCGGGAGCCATGTTGACTATGTTCGTATGACGACGAGATAGTCAAAGGGGGGGATTCGTTGGGTGGATGATGGTCGAGGTTGAAGGTTGCAAAGGTCGGCCAGCCAGACTCAGTCCCAATCCATCACCACTTCCCAGAGGGGCCCACCGAGAGCGCACGGCGCATTTTATTTTTTTGTGCAGCCGAAAAATGGAGGCAAGCGACCTCCGTGGTCCGAGCGCCCCTCCACCTAAAGAAAAGTGGATTTTTCGCCCACACGCAGGCCTGTAGTGGGCGGTGGTGCAGCGACGCCCGCGCTTGCAGCCAGCACCCGTCAAACCCCGTCAAATTTCTCGAGTTCTTTTGAAAGACTCCTTGTTGTTGTCCCTTGCCCATTTCTCTCACGACACGCCAATCCTCGTCCTCGTCAATCACCGACAGACATACTAACCACAGTCAAAATGACCAAGCACGCTGCTTCCGGTAAGCACTCGCTCAGTGCCAAGTATGGCTGCAGCATAGCGTCACGTCGACGTTGCTGCTAGACTTCGACATGAGCGCTGACCATTGTGATGTGCAAACTTCAGGCATTGCCTCCTCCCGGCGCAAGTCGCGGAAGGCTCACTTCTCGGCGCCTTCCAGCATCCGCCGCAACATCATGAGCGCTCCTCTCTCCAAGGAGCTTCGTGAGAAGTACAACGTAAGCCGCCAGCCTTCCATCGCTTTGACAATATTCCCTCCAACGAGCCTCTCCTAACATGCTTCGCCCATCCACAGGTCCGCAGCATCCCCATCCGCAAGGACGACGAGGTCACCATTGTCCGTGGCTCCAACAAAGGCCGTGAGGGCAAGGTCACCTCTGTGTACCGTCTCAAGTACGTCATCCACGTCGAGCGTGTCACCCGCGACAAGGCTTCCGGCCAGAGCGTCCCCCTGGGCATCCACCCCAGCAAGGTCGTCGTCACCAAGCTCAAGCTCGACAAGGACCGTGAGAACATCCTTGAGCGCATCAAGGCCGGCCGCGAGCTCCGCGCCAAGACCCAGAAGAAATAAGTGCACTCATCTCACTCTGGATGACACGGCACTTTGAATTTTTCTTTCCGCGGCAACAACAAAACATCGACCTCCTTTGATATCCTTCCGTGGTTCCCTTGCGTCGATATACCAATTACACCATACGACGGGTCAATTGACTGCCCACTGCGGATACCAAGCAACAACAACCAATATATGCTGTCGGTACCAAAGGACGAGTGGACGGGACTGCTCTGATGGTTGACGAGTATACCCGGTCCCCTCATTCCAACAACACAAGGATAAAGAGGAGTTTCGGTACAACACTTTTCTTGGCGTCATATCACGAGGGACACGAAACGAAAAAAGCATACCGGAGAGCCCTTCTGTGGGAAAAGGCTCAGGATGTCCGGTCTCTGGGACTTCATCAGTGGCATGGGATTTTTTGCGTCCGGATTTCTTTCATAGACGCCCGAGTCTCTCTGACCGACACGACTCGACCAACAAAAAAGAGAAAAAAGTTTCATGCACACAATGGCCGTCTTTTCACCTTGAACCTCCTTTGCGGGTGGGAAAAGGTGAAGAGTTACGTTCCATGGGAGGTTCTTCCCGAAGTCTCACTGGCCTGTCTCGTGTCTTCTAGACAGACGAGCAAGCCAATTGCAGTTCCCCCTGTGCCTGTGACTTGACATGTTTCTACCCCATCCCATCATCCCTCCCGAGGTCTCTGCACCAGTCTGATCCCATATCCTCTTGCATTTCCCAACAGACCCGCCAGTAAATCTCCGCGTCAACCACTTAGTCCCATGGTTTTCGAGGTAAACGAATGGCGCAGAGCAAAGCGGCGAGGGTGCACTTATGAATCACCGCTCCTTCGCTCTCGCCTGCAGACTTTCAACCCAAGGCGTCTTGTGACGTTTGTCTGGGATTGGGAGTTTGATGGTGAGGCACATTCTGCAATTCGTCCTGGTGCATGTTTGATGAGCCGCTCAAAATGTGACACCACAGGATTTAGCATTGGGTGTCATTGTGGTGTTAGAACAAATCTAGATATGTTTGAGCTACAAATAGACTTTCTATCAACTCTGCTGCGCCTGATCTCCACGTACAGTATCGATGTGCTAGAAGTGTCTATGCGAACTCGTCGGTTACAACCACCGAAAGACATCATTTCGTGAACACTCGCCAGAATCCACAACATTCCTGGCCGCGTAATACATGCGGGCCGTCCCAATTACAAGATAATGAATTCGCAAGGCCGCGATAACTTTGCTCATGCGTCCACTGATACACTGGTAATACTTGCCAAAATTGTGAGATCAACGACAACAGGCCCTATCTCATCAAGAACCCCAGCCTGTTGATTCACGTCGGGACACGTGATCATGAGGGCGCGAACCGTGGAGGCCTTTAAAGGCAATGGATCAGATGGCACTGGATTGTACACTGTTTGGAGGACAGTTCTCCCCAGTTCTCTCAAATGCCGAATCAGGAATCTCGGACTCCACGGGCTTGTCACCAGACGAGGAGGGACCAAGAGGACTGACGTTTGGGACAGAAGGCATGAGAGATGCAGAAGCATGGCCAGAGTATTGCGGAAGGTATCCCTTAGCTGTAGCTGATGTGATGGTGCCGGGAGTCACATTGCCCCCTGTTGAGCCATTGCGCATCATGCTGTGCCACAAGTCATTAGTCGATCGATTACTACTCGAAACTATCAGTGTCAGCGGAATCTGAGAACGTTCAGCGTGTCATGATCGCTAACCTTGGTCGGTCCAGGACATGCTGGCTATGTCGTGGCGGGAGTGAGGTCGCCTGACTGTCGCTCGTGCTTGTCCGGAGAGCCCGAAGCTTCATGGCATCCTCCCCGGATCTGCTCGTCATGTCCGCAGGAGCAACAATGGGGATGGCATGGCTTAGCTTCCGATTCGCCCTGTGGCGAGATGTAGCGGGAGCATCAGCAAACAGCTGGGAAACGACGGGCACTGTATTTTCGCTTCGCGCCTCTTGAGTTCCTTTTGTACCGTTTGCCGCCTTGAACTCGCCATTGAAAGTTGTGTTGGCGAGGGAGCTGAACTTGACTGGAGAAGGTGGGTAGAAATCCTTTCCGTCGAACTTGGGCAATCCCATGCCTTTGGTTTGACCATTGCCCCAGTAAACCTCGCGGGCACGTTTCTCATCCGGCGTCAGTTCACGCGGATAATTGTACTCGGAGTAGAACGACCGCTCGCTAGGTTTTGCCGAAGTGTGACTGACGCTGCCCACAAGGTAAGGATGGGCCTGTGATAGTTGGTGATCAGGCTCAACGCGGTGTTGTTGTAGCTGTGCTGGTATCTCAGCATACGGCAAGCCCACATCGGGCGAGAATGGCTGGGCCAAAGCTGCATCGCTTGGAAGTGTAGCACTCATTACATCCAATGCATCTGAGGAAGACCTCTGGTCATCGCCCATCCTGATGGAGTTCATGCCACGCACGTGGCCGGATTTGAGTCTATCAAACCTGTGGCTGAGAAGGTCCGCAGATTTGGGCTGACGAAGAAGGTATTTGTTGTCAGCATCGATGGAACTGAATGAGCCGGCATGTGGCTCACTGCCAGACATGCGCACGCTGCGTGAACCCTGGTGTCTCTGGGACATTTGCGAATCATCACCCGTGATAGAAAAGCTCGGCTCAGGCTCTGAAGTTTGCTTCGGATAGTTGATTGCCTCGAACTCTTCCTGAAGCTTCAAGTTCTGCTCAAATTGCGCGATACTGCGGCGGATCTTGCGAGCCTGCTCTTGGGTCCCCTGCTCATCAATCTGATGCTTATTGTACGCGAGTTGATCTTCGTAGTACTTCAAGGACGAGTGCAACGACTCAAGCTGGCGCCTTGTCACGGAGCTGGGCTTGATTGAGCTTAGCGGAGGTGTTGCTATAGGCCGGGTGGGAAGCGTCTGGTGGGTAGCGTTGTTGCCAACGTTTGCGGGCTGCCCATCAGATGGTACGACATAAGGGCCAGCTGGGGTCGGAATGGGCGGAGCAGAAGCTGTGTGAGCCATGTGTACAAAGCCTGGCGGAAGGAATGGGTGACGACCCAGGCCTGGACCAGGGACATACGGGCTCGGCATGAAGCCAGGAAAGGGGGTCCGCGGGTAGACAAGTTGTCCTTGATATACAAATGGTCTTCCAGCTTCACGGTTCTCGGTTGGCAAGACCAGAATGGGTGGCGGGCGGTCCTTCCTGACGCTTCTGTCACCGTCATTCAAGCCGTCTTGACTAGCCACATCGCTGGTACTGTCAAGGCGTCTTGTACCCTGAGACGGCATGGCTTGTGTTGCCGAATGGCCGGCCAAGTTCGGCATGGACACATTGCCATATGCCATGGGAAAGCCGTTTGCGAGATGGTAGAGAGGCACAGGGCTTGGCATAGGAGCCATCATCTGCGGGAAAAGAAATTGTCCGTACATGCTGGGGGCTACCATCACGGGGTGAGCCGCGCCATTGATGCTTTGTTTGTGATTTGGAATACTTTGTCCAGATTGGTCACCGCACTCGGCAGTGGAAGATTCTTTGTCCCATTTCGCGGTTGGAGAGGTCGACGGTCGGGTGTTCGGTACAATACGGCCCCCTGCTGTGACACGGACGTGCGAAGGCGACACGACTGCTTTGTAGAACCTTTTGAAGCCTTCGGACTGCTGAGCAACAAGCCCGGCTGGGGCTGAGATGGGACCGCCGACCGTGAGGTCTGATCCAGCACGGCCACGATATTGCCATCCAGATGAGTCATTTGTTATGTGCGTGGACTTCTTGCCCTTGAAAAGAATCTGCTCGTCACTATCCGTGGACGTCGCCGTGTCTTCTTTTGTGCTGCGTGAGCGACGGCTGTAGCTGGCAAAGGAGTTGTTGAGCAAACTTGCTACAAGGGAGATTCCGACTGTCAGCCAAAAGCACGAGGGGTGAATGTGCCTATTATACTGGTCGTAGGACTCATGGCACCACCGATATGCTTACCGAACTCGGGGTTTCTTGCAATCTTCCCGACGGCACTCTCTGACGTGGCACGAGTTGCGGAGTCACGAAGCTCTAAGAGCTCCGCGCTCGTGTATTTGTGGGATGCCATGGAGACTTTGAGATAGGCGAAGAGGTAGGCGTGGCGTTGAGCTTCTTGGTCGAACCAGGAAATGAGGGTCGGGAAAGCTGGACCCCGGACAGGATCATCGGCCAGGAAGGCGCAAACCACACAGAGTGCGATAGACAGCTGTACAGATCTTCTTGATCGGTGAGTAAGCTTTTGTGCTTCAAGTTGAGAGTTCAAGAAGGCGGGAGCAGAGAGAAGCTGAAAAGGTATGGAGGCGGAGGTGCAATGTGTCTCATTGACCACAGTGATGTGTCTACACTTGCAATGGAATTTGAGGTGATGCCTGATGGCAAGGACCAAGGGGCCCGTGAGCGGAGCGTCGTCCAACTGGGAGTGTCGAAGCTGCTTGTAGAGACGCTTACGAGCTGCCCTGAGTGTCGATGGCATGGCCGGGGGAGTAGCGGCGAAGCTATGCCATGGGTAGGGTTGAAGTGGGTGATGGTGGTTGAGGTTGAGGACGGAAAAGAAGGATTGGGCAGGACGGGTCTAGGGCTTCTCAGGCTTACCAGGAGACGTGGCGTTGAGCAACAGCAGCGAAGACCAAAACAGTAGGCATATAGGATCGCCGTGTGAGTGGTGGACGCCGGTGGTGGTGAGGTCAAGCTGAGAGAGGAGTGGCTGGTGTTGTGGTTGCTCACGGGGGAAGAGGGCGGAGGGTGACGGAGAGCAGTGAGATGCAGGTCGAGAGTAGCAACCTCGCGAGAAGCGGAGCGTGCAAGACTTGAGCCAACCTAGATGAGGTGCTGACAGTCTGCTGGCGCGAGGCAGGAGAGCATTTACATCTGATGGCAAGGAAGGTGCTGCTGGCAGCTGGGGACTGGGAAGGCACGGTCCGGAGGGCGCGAGGTTGCTGCAACAGCTGCAGCTAGCATCGGCCAAGACAAAGACAAGGACAATCTCCCAGCATGTAGCAGCATTTGGGCAGATCGGGAGTGAAGCTGGCTCTACGAATTCTGTCCTGACACTGGTGGATGAGTGGTGCCTCGGGCATCGTCACACAGAACGAGATGATAACCACGGCAACGAGTACACGCCAGCCTCTCAGCGCCGGTTGAGGACCGCTCGCCACGGCTCACATGGCAGCGAGGGCTTCTCTGGGACAAGCAGAGCGGTCGTGGTTGACATAGTGCCAGATCTGACCTTCTGGAGTTGTGGCCTGGCGAGGTGTGAATGATGGTGCATACGATAAGTCGTGCTCCAAGCATTTTATAAGCGCAGGGCAACAAGCTTTGCTTGTGAGCATGTTGGTTATGGGAAGAAGTGAAAACATGGCGGCGTAGTGTAAGTACCTAGCGCATCCATGGACGCCTTGAGACATTGATACAACCATCTCGCCCCCTCGAACCGCTGAGCTCATAACGATGCAGGAGTAAATGCGCCCACGGCTGCCATCTATAGATCGACCTGGTGTTGCTGCAGGTACCTGGCTCAGTTTCACACCCACTCGCCATGTGCCATTGAGAGAGTCCCTGGAAACCTGCCCACTTGGGCAGCCACGGGTGCAGTGATAGGCTGTCCTGGAGCCTGTCCCCAGGCCCCCCCGGCCAAGTTCCCCGCACCCGGAGCACCACCCTCAGAACGTAACTAAGTCCGCCCCGGAGGGGCTCCACGGGTTTCCAATTGTATTGTGCGTTTCCATTCCCTCTTAGTCTCTGGTCCGCCAGCCCCAGATAGAAGACGCACGGATTGGCTTCTGAGTGACGTGGACTATTTACCCTAGGGTAGTGCCGAGCCGCCTCGAGTCCTGAACCTCGGGACAACCCAAAGGAAGCCACTTGCATCCTCGTCCATGTGGTAGCTTGTCCGTAGACGATTACCTAGACCATAGACTTTCCTCTCCAACAAAGACAGAATTGCTCACCTCCCACCCACTGCAGCCTCGCAAGCCTTGAAATATTACCTCAACACTGACTGACCACACTAGAGCTCCACCCAGAGACTCTTGATACTTCGTAGTTGGCTCGTAAGCTACCAGGACCTCTGAGACTGGAGCAGATACTGACACATGAACACCAGAAACACCGAAGGCAACGTTAACACCTCTTTCTGTCCCCCCCAACAATCCCAGAGACGACCGTTCAAGTCTTCAAAAAATGGCCCCCCTCACCCCCCACTGGCACCGCCCTTCGCACCCGGACGTGCAGGAAGTCATCATCCTCGACGACAAGGAGTTCACCACAAAGAGCATCTCGCGGGTCGACCTCCCGCCCTTCGGCCTCCTGGCCAAGATGTCCTACCCGCCATGCACAGAGGCCGACGCGCCGTCGTACGCCAGCGTCCAGAGCGGCAAGGACAAGCACTTCCTGCTCAACAGCGATCTCATGTACATCAACCACTCGTGCGAGCCTAGCCTGGTGCGTGCGTTCGTGTGTGTTCCGATGTCACCGGGATGACCTCTGTTTCCCTCCTCATCATCAGAACCGCTTGCTAGTGGGCCAAGCCCGTGCGTGGACTGACAACCGCCGTATCCGTCCACCTCCACTAGATCTTTGACACGGGCAACTCAAACATCATTGCCGGGCCGAACGGCCTCAAGAAAGGCGAGGAACTCACCGTAAGTCCTCTCTCCACACAATTAATACCACGCATAGTACCTACTCAGTCATCTTGCATGCCGTCATGTTGCCCTGCCACCCGCCTCCTTTATCAAATCACCCTCTTTCTTCACGGCGCCGTGCCCTACCTTTGGCTTCACCTTGTCTGACAATTGGGAGCAAACACCCCCGCCGCCGCCCAGTTCTTCTACCCCTCCACAGAATGGCACATGGCCCAGCCCTTCGACTGCCTGTGCGGCAAGCCGACCTGCCGCGGCCGGATCAGCGGGGCCAAGGACATGAAGCCCGCCCAGCTCGACGGGCTCTGGCTCAACGGGCACATCCGTGAGCTGCTCGAGGAGCAGCAGCAGCAGCAGCAGCAGCAGGCGCAGCCAGCAACAACAACAACTACGACGACGACGAGCAACGGGGTGGTCGTCAGCGAGGACGACGAGACGGCCACCGCCCTCCGCGAGGCCCTGAGCCACGCGGAAAAGGGCGCCGACGCTGCTCGCAGGGCTCTCGACGCTTACATGGCAGCCAGCGTCTCGGCCAAGAGTGCCCTGTCCTCCTCCGGGGCGACGCGGCGCGGGCCGACGTCGCGCGAGCTGAGCGGCGAGATGGGGGGTGATACGAAGCGCGGCGCTGCTGTTGCTGTCTGAGGAAGGAAAGGAAGGGGTTTGTTTTGAGAAAATGGAGGAGCTGGAGAAGTAAGTAGGTGGGTGGAGTTGGCAGAGAGGTGGTGGAGGGGTTGCGTGGATATGTTTTCCATGGATTTGGTCTTTTCTGTTTTGTTTTGGTTTTGTGTGTACTCTGGTTGCGCAGGCCGTCCTAGGATCGACCGAGATCACTGGTCGTCTCTCTGTTGTGTATGCGAACTGTCATATGCGTGGTCCAACACCTCGCGCTTGGTTTGTTATCGATGGCCTTGTCAACCACGGCTTGCTGCTTGACAGACTCTGTTTCGTGCACGAATAAAGAAGAGATATTTATTGGCTGTTTAAAATGTTCGCAGGTGCTCTACTAGCCTCTATATGCACGACAAAAATGCGTCCATTAATGAGCTTCCAAACGCACCGTCAAATACAACACAAAAAACGCCGTGCTGAAAACATTACGGACCCCCAACGCTCTATCTGCTTTCAAGGCTGGGGATCATCCTTCCAGCGATGGGTCCACCCACTCTTTGCACCAGTCTCAGTGTCCCGTCCGACTCCCTCGGCATACTTGCTCTCCTCTTCCTCCCACTTCAGTCTCTCAACTCGGGACCGGGCCATGAAGGCCTTGGTGAACTTCCACGCCTCCGTATCGGCAAGATTCCACGCTTCAATGGCGTTCCTGATACGGATCTCGTTCTTGTCCTTGGTCTTCCTCATCGCGCGAGCCTTCATCAGAAGCTGTAGCTCTCGTTCATCATCGGTCTCAACGTCTTCCGCCGCGGACGCGGACGCAGGCCCCAGAGGGGCTGCGGGTGTCGCCCCTTCCTTGTCATCGGCTCTCTTCTCCGCCTTGGGCTTCTCCTCAGATTTCGCCTTGGGAGTGCTGGCCGTTTCCTGAGCAGCCTCGGTGCCTATATGGAGATCAAAGCCAAACCACCACTCCAAGTCGCGTGGTGTCTCACGCTCGACAGTCAGCCAAATGGAGCTGTAGCGAGTCTGCTTACCTGCCACGGCTTCCTTGAATCTGAGCAGTCGGGCAGAGCTTGACACCTTCTTGCTGAACAAGTCCTTAGACACCGTCTCGAGCCAGAGATCTCGCGGCGATTCCTCTCTTATCCATGTGAGGTTCAAATAAGCACGCTGGCTGTTCAGTGATTGCAGTGTATATGGGTGTGGCACCGTTCCAATGGTGAAGAGGTCAGTTGTGTTGCGATAGGTTGCGGGGGTTGTGATCTTGACAGGCTTCTTGGGAGAACACGGGGTGCATTTCGGCAGGTTTGGCGGGCAAGAATCGGGCATTGGGGTTGTGGGACAGGTTGACAACGACTTCGCCAGGTCTGACGCCGCCTCGACCATTCTCGTAGTGTGTCGAGGCAGGGGCTTCAAGACCGCGATGCCCTTTTTGAAGCTCCGTTGCCATGAATTGTGCAGATGGGCGTTAATAAGACGGTTCAGGCTCTTGAGACCGCTTGCATGATCCGACGCGAGCTCTGCGGCAACCTTGTCATACTTCTGCTCGACAGTCCTGCTGTCGTAGTATGCCACGGCCGCAGGCTGCTTATCTACCTGGAAGTCTGCGGCCTCAACGGCGGCAATAACGTCCTTGACGCCCTTCGTCTTCTTGCTCCGTAACGCCTTGGTCAGCACCTCGGTGACCTGGGCCTTCGGACCCACGAAAAGACGGCTGCTGAGGCCTTCCCATCGAGTCAGCTTGGGAAAATCTCCTCTCCGCATAAAAGATAATAGGGGATCGTGCGAGTCGCCCATCGGGAACAGCCTGTAGTGTGCCAGAATGCCGCCCCGCATGTTCTCCCAGGCCAGCCACCTCATGAGGTCCTTCTTGAATGTCGACTCGACGTCTAAGCGCTGGACCTCGTCATACAGAGGGTTCTTGGTGGCTTCCGCGTCACTCAGGATGACCGGGCGGAAGCCCTGTGACCACCAAGCGCGTCTCCATGTCAGGAGCAGCTCACTCTCCGCCTCCTTGGTCTTGGCATCACGCTGGATGCTCGTATCGTAGTAGCAGTAGATGGCTGGGCGTTCCTGCAGGGGCGGGAGGAGCGATCGGTTCTCATCGAGAGTGATGGATGAGGAGAAAGCGCTCAGCCAGTTCCAATTCGAGTACCAGGACACTCCGTCGTAAGTAGAGTTCTTCTGGACGGGCGGGGCGTGGGCCGGTGGTCGGAACGGCGCGAGGAGACCAGAGGAGAGCGAATTAGGCAGACTCGGAAGCTTCGGTATGCTTGGCAGAGATAGCTTGTGATCGGCGAGAGTCTTGGACAAGCTTGGTGTCGCTGGTATCGAGCCTGGGAGTGTGAAGAAGAGGGAGAAGAGGGCGAAGACGCCGATTGCGATAAGCAACGGAGCCAGCCTCCGGGGAGACAGCCGAGGCATTGGGGCGAAGCGATCGAATCGTCTATCAGAATCGGGTGGTGCTTGCTGGACAAGGAGGTCGGAGCGTGTGTCAAAGTACGAATGATGCCAGATCAGACACACTCTGAAGCCGAAAAGATGGCAAGACGGGGCTGATTAGGAGAGAGGTCCACGAGCACGAAATTGGTTATCGGTCGCTTGAAGGAAGGTATGAGAGAGCGAATGGCGAAGGTAGAAGAGGATTAGGCAATATGCTGGGATCGACCGATCCTTAGATGGGACTACTGGTCATGGCGAACGCAAGGGAGGTGAACAGTGTTGAATCTTTGGTGTTTTCGGACATCACCAAAAGCAGTTGCAAGCACCAGCCCGGCGTACCCGCAGAAACGCCCTGGCATTTGTAGGGGGCTTGAGCTGCCACGCCAGGGCTGAGGGTCCTGCCCGACAGCCCCTGACAGCCAGGAGGCAATGCAGGGGCAGCTTTCACATGCCCTGTGTGATTGGCTCTCTATTAGTAGTAGGGACTCGACTTCTCCTCAATCAATTCCCAAGCAGCATGTCCTGCCTAAACAGCGTCCACAGAGCTCGTACGCAGCAGTTTTGTTTATAGCCTCTCAAAGACCACTTTCAGGTGGGAGGCGTGCTCATGGGTGTGCTGTTCCGAAAACTGTCTTTGGCGAATGCAAGTCAGCAAGCATTCCGTCAGCAATGAGGTTTCTTGAAAGGTGCTGCCCAACCAACGTCTCGGGCCACTGTATGAGAAATGCCTAGAATGTACTTGATCGATGTGAAAAATAGATTAGAGACCCGTGATGAAGCTTGTTCTCGAATCAGTTTTTAGAAGTTGGCTTTTCGTCACAGAATGTGGGCTGGGCCGGCCAGTTCTTGCACGGCAGAGGAGCATACGGGCAGCAGCCTGCAACGAAGGCCCACCGAGGTGGGATGATCTCTTGGTGGTGACATCCCTGCCGCAGAAAGTTGCTGGAGCTAGCAACTTGTCGCAACCACCCATCAAACAACCACCACCCACCGCTTCCTCGTGTCGATCACAACGCAGCACTTTTGACCGCTGGCCGGCTTTCCGTGCAGTCCCTCTCTGTCAGCAGAGACTCATCAGCAATGTTCTCGAGGATAGCACGGCGCAGCCGGGCATTGCCCGCGCTCCGCGGCGGCGCGAGGTGCACCAACAGCAGCGCGCGCAATCACATCCAACTCCAGCACCGCACGCTCGTCTCAGCCCCGAAACCTGGCGATGGGCCGTTGATGGAGAGGCGGGCAGACCGCGAGCTTCCAGGTACATTGATACTTCCTTGCTCTGCTTGTGATACGCCTCTTTGATCATGAGGCCAAGGGCTGCCACGAGGAAGAACGAACACTGACACCATCCCCTCCCTTCCTTGGGATACAGAAATTCCCGGATCTCGCTGGGCCCGCACAATGCCCATCTTCGTCGTCCTAATCGCTGCCGCGAGCATCGCAATCTTCAACTACCAGAAGTCGTCGAGCCCAATCGTCGGCGCGACCATGTATGCGCTGCGGACGAACCAGAAGGCCCGCGACTACCTCGGCGACGAGGTCTACTTCAAGCACCAGATCCCCTGGATCTCGGGCGAGATGAACCAGGTCCGCGGCCGGATAAACATCAGCTTCGCCGTCAAGGGCACGCGGAACACTGGAGTCATGCGGTTCTCAAGTAACCGCCCCACTCCCCGCAGTGCGTTCGAGACGCTCGAGTGGAGTTTGGTCACGTCGGATGGGCAGGTCATTGATCTGCTTGACGGGGAGGATCCGTTCAAGGCAGTAGAAAGTTTCCCCATGGATGAAGAGGAGCTGGAGGCCATCAGGACCAAGGGCTTCCGGCAGGAACTCAGATAATGTGGAACACGCTTTTGAGGATGAGAGTGTGCTTGGCCACACACAGCGACAGAGCTCCTGGGCACAACTTTAGGAAGGGCGTCTTTGCTGTGCTACCGTGCTGATGCCTTTTAGGCGGGTCAAGCAGGGAGAAAGTAAGCGGGATGGACGGTCAGGACTTAGGTCAAAAGGGAAACAATGCCAATTGCGGCAATGCGGCATCCCGCCAGCAAGTCTGATGATATGTGTACAACATGTAAAATATGATACAATACAACACCGCGATGCTCCAGCGGTGGGAGATACCTTGCTAAAAGTAAGATACAGGGTTGACACTTCACGACTCTCACGCTGTAGCCAGCATCTGGTCAAACGCACCCACCCTGCGCATATCCTTGAGCTCCAAGTGCTTTACCCGTGCCTCCTGCAACCTGGCTTCGTGGCCCTCATTCCGCTCCAGCAAGATCCGTCTCGCCTTGGCAATGAATGTCTCGGCCGGCGGGGGCTTCTTGATGGCGTCTGCAATCTTGACAATACAGCCCTTGGGCCCAGCAACATGGCCCTTGACGACCACGATGCCCATCTCGTTGTCCACCTTGAGTACCTCGAGGTTCTGTACCGTCACCCGCTCGTTGCCCATTCGGCCAGGCATCTTCTTGCCTGGGTGCACACGAGAACCACCACCCTGACTGGGACCGTTGGAACCGATAGTGCGGTGGTTCTTGGAGTTACCGTGGGACGCCTCCTGACCGGCGAAACCGTGCCTCTTCATACCACCGGCAAAGCCCATGCCGCGGCTGTTGCTCCGCGCGTCGACGTACTGGCCGACCTTGAACCAGTCGGGCTGGAGCTGCACACCTACGGGCAGCAGACCCTCCTCGCCGCGAACCTTGAACTCTGCGAGGTGGCGCTTGGGCGCGATGCCCTTGGCCTCGTAGTAGCCGAGCTGAGGGGCCGTCACGTTGCCGGGCGTCTTGTGGCCGCAGCCGACCTGCACGGCCCAGTATCCGTTGGTGGCACGGGTCTTGCTGGCGACGACCTGGACCTGGTCGAGCTGGAGGATGGTGCAGGGGATGCGGCGGCCCTGCGCGAACATGGCCGAGACGCCCTTCTTGACGGCGAGGACGCCTGGCCGTAACGGCGTCGACTGGGCAGTGCGGGCGAGGGCGGCGGCCGGGCCTGTCGTCGGGGCGGGAATGCCCGAGGAGACCTGGTTGAAGCGGTTGGGCTTGCTGCGGGGAGGCGCTGTGGCCCAGCCGTACTGCACGCCGCGCTTGGCCGTGCGTGGCAGCAGCGCATGGTGTTCTGTGATGAGGACTCTGGAGGTGACGGGTGTCGAGCAGCTTCGGACGAGTGCCGCTGCCGCCCACCGCGTGGGCAGAGCAGGGGCCATTGTCGGCTGTGAGGCTGCCCTCTGCCTAGTTGCGGCCGCCGGGCGTGATATGGGAGAGCGAGGCGCTTTCTGGATGCCTCTTTGGTTCGGTCGCGGACGCTGCCTAGTGTGAGGCCGGTCGTTGGTGGTTGCTGGTGCCGTGTCGAGATGTCGTGATTGTCGAATTGGCTCGTCTCGTTCAGACCGTCGTTGGCTCGATGTGCACTTGAGCAGCTGCGAAAAAAACAAGGTGGGGCGCTGGTGCAGTTGTCGCAGGAAAGGACGAGTTATGATTGGCTGTACCGCATCCCATAGGCCTGTCCGGCGATTTAGTGCACCAGGCGTGGCACTGACAAGCTTCCGATTCGGTGACAGCCTCAAATATCATCTTCGTTTTGTCGGCTGCACTGACGCTCCTGCCGTCACACGGTCTGCTGTCCCGTAGTCGCTTTTCTCTTTGTATTTCTCATCAATCTTTGCTGCGGAGACACCCCGGGGAGATGGTTTACTACTTCACTTCGACGGTCGTCGACCCTTCGGCGTTTGTCTATGTGGGAAAGGACAAATTTGAGAGTGAGGGGGCCCGTTCGATGTTTGACAGCAACAGGCCAATGCTGACCCGCGACGTATGACCACCGTAGACGAGGAATTGATCAAATATGGCTGGGAAGAAGATGTCTGGTGAGTTGGCTCAATCTAGATACCCACACAGATATCCAAGACATCATGCTCATCGCACTCCAGGGTACGCAATGCTTCATTCTTCGCAAGACGTCTTGCTGCGAGCGCTTTTAGTGAACTGGCAAAATTGTGAACTTGGGAGATTGAATCCGAGCCACTGACGCAGAATTCCTCACACGAATGCAGTTCCACGTAGACAAGTTGTCCAGTGCTCATATTTACCTTCGGCTCCGCGAGGGTGACAGCTGGGACTCGATACCAGCAGACCTGCTCACCGATCTGGCGCAGCTCACAAAAGCCAACTCAATTGAGGGCAACAAGAAGGACAACATTACCATAATTTACACGCCATGGTCGAACCTGAAGAAAGACGGCAGTATGGTCACCGGCCAAGTGAGCTTCCACGACCCTCGCAAGGTCAAGAAGATCCTCGTGGCCCAGCGGGAGAACCCCATCGTCAATCGCCTCAATAAGACCAAGGTCGAGAAGTACCCGGACCTGAAGCAGGAGAAGGACGACCGCTTACGGGAGCTTCGCAAGAGAGATCAGGCTGCACAGCTAGCACGGGTACGTGATCCAACCGTATTCTGCAGTCCACAGCGGTGTTGCATTTCGACTTAGATATGTAGTTTTCACTAACACACGACGGACGATTTTAGAAGAAGGAGGAAGCGAAAATTATGCAGGAGCGTAAGCAAAAGAAGTACCAGAAAGACCACGCATATGACGACCTGTTCACCGAGGAGAACATGGAGGCATCGAGCAACCAAAACCGGGACGAGAACTGGGAGGACGACTTCATGTAGTCACTTTTCCTTGGGTAGACAATGCACTCGATGAAGAAAGACATGACGTTGCTCAGGACTACATAGCTGAGACCCGCGCAAGGCAACCAGACCTGTCCATTATTTCCGATACACGCTCCCGCTCTTTAGACTCCAGGACCTCTTCCGCCAATACCACTGCCCATCTGATTCAGACTCGTCCCCTTGAGCGCATGATCATTGGGATTCGGCGCCGCCTCGTACAAGATCTGGCTCGGCGCCCTGCCAAGCTGCATCCACTCGCCCTTGAACCCCAGGTAGCTGACGCGAGTGACATCCTCGTCGCCGTCCCCAAAGTTGTCCACAAAGAAGAGCGTCAGGCGCTGAACCTTGCCGAACAGCGCGCGCTTCACGGGTAGCTCCTGCACCTGCGACGTCTGCGAGAGCTCAAACTCCTGCGTGGGCCGCAGCTCCTCGGCGGACTCAAAGTCCATGTCGTCGCGGTTGATGAAGACCTTGAGCGTGCGCGGGGCGCTGTCGGACGAGGACGTGCGCAGCATGATGGCGTGGAGCTTGACTTGCCCGGTGAATCTGGAAGCATTGTAAGTGAGCGTATAGCGGCGCATCTTGCTGTGCGTGAATGGTGTTCCAACGACAAAGTGTTTGAATGACATGACAACCGTCACTTTCCAAAAAAGAAAGTGGTCGGTGCACCTGATCAAAGTCGCCTCGAAAACATTTGGCAGGCACTTGAGGTGACAATAACGAAACCTACGTACGGCACAGTCATGAGGATCTGCTCATCGGCATCACTAGCAAGCTCCGGCTCCTCCTGCAGCCGTTCGGCCCAGGTCTTTTGCACAATGGCCCGCCCGGAGCCGGTGGCCTCCTCGTTCATGGTGTTGATGGCGTCGAAGTTGATGTACTGGTACAAATTGTGCTGCAGCGCAGGCGTGATGTCGTCGCTGTGGTCATGCTCGTGGTCGTGGCCATGATCGTGGCCGTGGTCGCCGTGACCAGCGTGCTCGTCATGGCAGTGGGACATGGCGTTGTCTAGGACGAACGATGCCTGTGGGGATTTGAAGGCAGGCAGGCTGATAGCACGTTATCAATCTGTGTCCTCTGGGTTGAGCGGCAGAGCAATGAGATGGAGCAATGCTTCTTGTTGCTGTTGGATGCCTACCATAGTAGTGTAACAATGCGGCTAGATGCGGAGCGACCCAGAAAAGTCGTGACTATGATGCTAAACACAGCTCATGGGTCAACCAAGCAGCCCTCAATATTCCACTGCCACTATAACCAACGTTTTGTTCTCAGCTAATTGATCACTTTTCGGGCCAGATCTCTAGACGCAATTTTCATTTGCAACTAACCACAAACACTAGAGATTTATTGAATTGTGCGTTACTACAGGCAAGCATGCAACTACAGATTCTGTGATCCACCCGCTAGAAACCGCCTTTCCGCTTCGCCTTCTTCTTCGGTCTTTGTGCAAATGGCCCTGATATGGGTTGGGACATCGTCACTGGCTGTGAAAGCCCTTGGGAGAAGCCCTGCGACACATTCTGCGAAGAGTGCTGGCGGACGGGACTTGACTGGACAAAGGAGATCTCCGGCGCCGGCTGAGTAGCAGGCAGGCTGTCGCTCTGCCCTCTGGTCTGCAGCTGCAGCAACGCATCGGCTCGCTGCCGTTTGCGGGTGGCCCTAGCCAGCTTTTTCTCCCTACGCTGCATGCCCTCCGTCATCTCCTTCTCCTTATCAAGGTCAAATACATATTGATGAGGATCTGTCCCGCGCTCCCACAATGTACGAAGCTCCGTGTCTTTGTTGAGCACGAATCTGCCTGATCCTGTGTAGGACCTAATCAGCTTCATTGCAGGGTCCTCCTCGCTCGTGCTCGTGATGGTCTGAGATGGCCTTGGTTCGATCTGCGAGGAGGGAATATCAATCGACGGCTGGCTGGAACTGTCTACTAGGTAACCCCGATGTGACGTGTCAGTCGGCAGAGCCGAGATCTCCCCGGAGTCTTGCTCCTCTGTGTCACCAAGAATGAGTCCAGTTGAAGCAAGATAAAGATCGCACGCCATTTTCCGAAGGGGTTCTTGTGCACTGTAATCTGTCGAATCGCTGGTGGTCTTCGCTGAGTGTTGGACACTGAAGAGATTTTGCAGCTTGTCGACGAGTCCTTGAAGCGTTGCTGAATTCCCTATACTGTGATCCGGGCGCCGTAAACTGAACACTCTCAGCCGCGAGTCTGCACGCTTCAGCAGCTCCATTTCTGTTTCCCAGTCGTCATCCGCTGTTAGCAGATCAGGTGGCGTATCGAAGCTCTCGACCAGTTCAAGACTTAAAGATTTCGTTAGCACAACAAATCCAAGATTGCCAGTGATAATGGGAATACTAACATCGAAGTAGCAGGGAGACTACCCGCTGCCGCTGCGTCCTCGATTTGACCGTGCACAGGATCGAACGGGTTTGACTCGATCCTGCCGCCCATAGTTGGCTCTTTGGCCTTGTCGAGGAGATCGGCCATGGAACCCAAGAATCTGGACAAAGGCAACAACTCTTCGAAGTAACCTTTTGAGTCCGAATCGTGGAGGTCAACGTCTGCCGCACCCATGAGCTGCATTTCGCCATCTGGGATGACAAAGCGTGTCGCCACGCGCCTGCCTGACTTCGTCGTCTCCTTGATTTGTGGTGGTTCTGATTTCAACTTGTCAAAGCCGGGTGGGCCGAGTCCCGCCACCTGCGATTCTGAGACCATCAACAACAACTGCTGGATGTCGTCGTCCTCGCGAGCTTGCATGAGCTGATAAAAACGGACTTGGGCCGTTGCGACCCTTTGGCCGAAAGACTCTTGTGGCTTCTCATCCCCGAACTCTGCTGCCACTGGCTGCAGCCATGCCAAATCGACTCCAGGAAGACAAGGTATGGTTTCACGGCGCCAGTCGATACGCAGCTGGTCTTGCTTTTCCACCCTTAGACACAGGACATCCATGCATTCACTACCACGCGAATACAGCAAGAGAAGGAGCGCCCTCTTGCCTTCGCTTCTGGGACCTGCTGTCACAGACAGGCGGGTGGAGTTGCTGAGGGGACTTCGAAAGTGAGGTATAGAGCTGACAATGAAGCAGCGCTTGTCCGGCTTGGTGAAGTCATGGCCAACTGAGCTGGTGAGGCGCATAACCACGACTGCCCGCGCCGTGAGCAGGCATACACAGCTAGTGTCGTGGCAAGACACATGTACTTCGAGAATCTGATCCGCCGGGTCGCTGCTGAGTACGTTGAGAGAGGGAAGGAAACTCTGTCTGTTGAGGTCAAAGACCTTGACTGTCTTCCTATTGCACAACAACAAGCTCGTTGAATGTGGCGTCGGTGTGAGGATAGATGGTGCTTTTTCGAGTTCATCTTCATAATCAGAGTCGTCGAAACCAGCCATAATGCCATCTGGGGGGCCGACCCATGCGATAGAATGCCAATCAGAATGAGACGAGGGCAAACGCTGCTCTTCCTTTGATTCTTGCTGCTCGACGGAGCCACGATGAGCAATTCTCGGCTTCAACCTCCGATTCACCCTGGTCCGTAAGCCGGGCAAGTCCCAAACCGTCCAGAACCCTTTGTGATCAATGATCGCCAGCTGGGGGTGCTTCGACTTGGTGCCGGAATTGAAAGTGACGTCGCAATGATTACCACCACCGGTCTCTTCTCTGGATATACTGACTACGCAGTTTGGAGTAATCCTTGAGGCGACAGAATCGAGACCAGTCTCGATGTCGGAGCTTGCCTTCCCAATCTCAGGTATGAACAGCCTGGTTTCGGTGTCCCACTGCGCCAGCAGTATGCGCAGGGGATCATATGGCTTCGAGTCAACAACACATTTGAGAGAGCGCACTGGGCCGACTGCTCGGGAATACTCGACCGACGCCGCGATCTCGAGGTCCATGGGACGAATGAATATGTTCTCGTCTGCCGAACACTGCCAACGCTCTTGCCGAAATGTCATAAGGCGAATGATGTTCCTGCCTACGCCAGTGGCTTGGGCCAAGTACGACACGGGTTTCGGTACAGAAGGCTCAGTGAAGTCCATCATCTCGCCGGCTGCGACCAGGCAAAGCGAGTCCGAGTCCTTCTGGGAACCATTGCGTGGACTGTTCACATCGGAGAGCAGCTGATGTATAAGTGCGGTCTCTCCGACTCGCGCCTCTGGATGGTTCTTCAGGAGCCAGCCTTCTTGTCTTTTGCTGACCTGCCATGCGTCCAAGTGTTCATCTTGCGCTGTGCGCTGCGTTGTGGGCGTTCCGGACGGGACAGCCGTGCTCAGCCGCTTGATTGAGAGTCCTGTCCTCGGGTTAGTGACGGCGCTGGCGGTTTGCCTAGCAGGGACTATGGTCTTACCATTTTGTGAATGGTTCCGCGAAGATCGCCAAACGCAATCCTCCGCCTTGGTGACAAGCTCTACAGGCTTGAGTGAAAGACGTCCTGCGTGTCCAAGGTAAGAGTCCCGGGGAAGACGCTGATCAGTCATCCGGGGGACTTGCACTTGACTCTCGGCAGGCAAATCCAGGTTCGCATAGCTTGTTGGAAGACGCCTATGCTACGTATACCAGTCGCATTCGAACAGGGCCAAAAGCTGAAGAAAGGCTCGATTCTAACAGCATGAAGTAAAGCCGTTGCGCCGTTGAGTGCCTGCACTGAGCTGCCCTCGATGAAGCAGCGCAAGGAAAAAGCCATTTGCTCGCAGACTGCCCACCTGGAATGAATTACTTGCGGATGGGTCCGACTCCCCGGACCGTGCACAGCCGCGACTCCACCGCGCACGGCCTTTGCACACTGTACTGTTCCCAGGCCCCCCCGACCCGGCTTTCAAAGTAAACAGTGCAAAGTAAACAATTGGCCATCTGCTCCACCGCATCTCGAGTTGCCCTCTGCCCCACCACCTTTACAAGACGAGATCACAACCAGAACACGACAACGGCGACGAAGACGACGGCGTGGTGTGGGTTCCAACAGCAAGCATTTGACGACGACTGCACACTTCTATTTGCGACTGCGCCCTCATAGCCGTGATTGCCGGAAGCGAAAACCTCGTCACCATGGCGGCATTCGAACCCTCCCTGTCGCAAAGCCTCAGCCGGCCGCCAATGTCTACGGCCGCGCCCTCGATGGCCGACTCGCTGCCAAACATCAACTTCGGCTTTGATGAGCTGCGCGACCGCATGACAAAGTTCACAGCCAGATTTGATACGTTCATCGAGCAAAGCCGAAAGCGTGTCCTCGAGGAGCGCAACCAGTTTCGCATGAACGTCGCAGAGCTTCAAGGTACGGATTGCCCGCCGAAAAAGCCCAGACTGGATGCACTTGCACAAAAGGCAGCACGCTGATTATCTGACTGTGCCATGAAACAGAGGACCAGCGCATGAAGAAGAAGGACATGGAGATCCTCCAGCTCAAGACCAGCACCCACCAGCAGACCGTCTCGAAAGAGGCGGCCGAGAAACGCGAGATGCAAGCGGCCATCGCCTCGCTCACGGAACAGCGCGACAAGAACATGGCCCAGCGCGATGCGCTGAAACAGCAGATCGCCGAGACGCAGAAGGAGATTGACGCCCGCCTGGCGGCGCAGCGTGCACATGCGGCGCGCATCGATGCGCAGGCACGGTTCAACATACCCGAGCTCGATTTCTGGGTGACGAACCTGTGCTTGAGGATCGAGGGTGCCGGGCAGACGGACCGGCTGCGCTTCATCTACTCACATATCGACGAGAAGGATTGGGAGCGCGAGGCGTGGTTCGAGCTGAGCACGGCGTCGAGAGATTACGACGTGAGGCATTGCAGGCCAAAGCTCGAGCGCGAGAAGGTGGAAAGAGTGCTCGAGCGGGTCAACGAGTCCAGAGAGCTGGTGGCGCTGCTGAAGGGGATGCGGGAGCTGTTTGTTGAGGCGATGAAGTCCTGACGGGTCTTGCGAGCGGGAAGGCAATTGCAATCTGCCGAGTCTGATGACCACATGGCGTCGCGGAGTTCTGGGGTATATACCACATCTTTTTAGCGGTGATTGGAGTGAAATTAATCTGCAGCGTATCGTGGTGCGCCACTGCAATTGATCAAGCGTTGTTCGAAATCCCGATTGCCATGATGCCCTCATCGGAGGTGTGATGGGCGCGCAGCTTGAACCATGAATCTTCTTCGTGAATCTGATGTGTGCAAGTAACCATGCACAGAACACCAAATGCGGCTCCGCGCAACCCACATCTGTGCAGGTCCACACCTCACTCGACCATCTCTCTTCATACAATCGCGTCCTTGATTCCCGCGGTGCCAATTCCAGCCATCGTCGCGTTTTTGCACAAAGAGGTTGTGCATAAGCGGGCTCTTGGGTCATAGCGAGTCTTCATCATTAATTGCAACGCGCGACCTGCCCAGACGGACAGCAGGCCGCCAAACACACAACCAACAACACCACCACCATCTTTCCCATAGGAGAAGCAGACCAGCACGATGCAAAAGTCCCAAGTATCTTCCAAGGAGAGTGAGAAGCAAGAGGCGGCCCAGCAGGCCGTCGACATCCTGCACGAGATCTCAACGATCCTCGTAAGTTGCTCTCCTCTCACCCTTTTCAGCCCAAACATTTCCCTCGTCGCTGCGCGCCCCACCAAGACAGACCACGGCCATTCCGCGCTCAGGCAGTGAGGCCGTGTCCGGCAAATTCTGAACACATGCTCCGTCGCACACAAGGCAAGACACAAAACCTTGCGGAGGCGACGAGGCGGACATTGAAACCCAGCCAGAGAAGAAGAGGGAACGAAGGGTGTTGCTGACAATCTTCCCACAACAGAACTGCCACCTCGATCGCCGCACCCTATCCATATGTATCTCTATGATCGAGAATGGCGTCAACCCAGAGGCCTTGGCGGTACGTCCTTTGCTTCGTTTCTTCACTTTCTTTCCCCCCCAAATAGCCCTCAGCCCATTCTGCGCTTGGATCTTGACTTCCGTTTTCCGCCGTCTTTACTTCATCAACATTCCTCCTTGCTTGATCTCAAGCCATGCTCCACCACGTAAACGCTCGGCGAGCTCAGCCAACTGACCGTGCACCTCCCACTTGTGTGTGTGAAAAACAAACAGAACGTCGTGCAGTTCATGAGGAAAGAACTCCAAAAGTCACAGTTCGCCGCCAACGACTCCTCACGAGCAAACGAGGGCGGTAACGCCGGCAGCGGTGGTGGTAGGGCAGAGTGGAAGTAATTTGGTAATCGGGAGTGTTTTATGGTCTCATGCGACACTTTCAAGGCCACACTGCCTGGCATGCTGGTTATGATGAGCTTCGTCTTTGGCGCCCCCTTCTCTCGATTCGTGGTTTGTTTCATGTCAGGCGGGCGTTATCCAGGTGTTCTTTGGTGGCCAGGCTTAGTATGTGTCATGTAGGTTCCTGCCTTGGTTTTCGCTTAGTGTAGTCGATCTGAGATGCAATTTTCTTCACAATGGCAAAACTGCAAGCCCTTGTGCTTATGGACTATATTTTAGCTATGTGTCACCTCTGCGTATAACACTACCAACACCATCGGAAAACATTTCCAACGCCGACGCCCGCTTTCAACCAAATTGAGAATGCAATGCCCACCAGACTGCCTCCCTGTTGTAGATGACAGCCGTTCTTGAACCCATGTACCTCACTATGCTTCCCAGAAACCCTGTGCTCCCGACGAAGCGGCCCAGCCGGATATGTACCAGTATGCAAAATGTTCGAAGCGATGAGATAACGCCGTTGGGACTCATGCCCGTGTCAAATAGCCTGCACCGAGCCCTATCGATGTCCCGGCATGAAGAAACCAAGTCGTGTTCCTTCATCTTCATCTTCATCGTCATCGTCTTCATCATCAAGATTCTCATCGTCGTCATCGGTCTCCTCTTCTGACTCTTCATCAGTGTCATCTGGTGCTTCTTGGTCACCAGCCTCGTCGTCTGATGTTATGCTGCGAGGGATCCGGCTCCACAGTCCCAGCATATCCTCCTCGTCTTCTTCCTCAATATCCATTGGATGGGCGCGACCTAGGTGACGCGCGGCGAAGGCAGTCGGCGACTCTGACCGTGCAAGCCGATTTTGGACGCGACGATCTGTATCGGTCTCGGGGACCGGGGGGCCTGTGTAACTTGAAGAATGGCGGCGTCTTCTGAGCGTTTCTCGAGAGTTGGGGATTTCTACAGGACTGGCAGCAGGTGCGTCGGCAAATGTGACATTATGGACCGCGGTATTGAGAGACGTTGTGGCTGGCGTCTGCATTGCTGCCGGCGCCGGAGTGGAAGTGTCGGTTGACCCAGTGATCTGTAGCTGTGCCGTGTTATAGGACTGACAGACGCCGCATTTGAGGCCAAGCCAGTGATACTGAACAGAGCTTTTCGCAGAACAATCGTTACACAAGACAACGGCTTGCGTGTCCCGGAGCTCCGGGGGCATCGGCTGGGCCGCAATGGCCAGGTCGAGGTTGCGGAATTGTATTTCCATGTTGACAACACTCTTGTTGCAAATGGGACACTTGTACGAAGTGTGCATGTAGTCGTCGAAGCAATTGCGGTGAATGCTGTGTCCACATTTCATGAAGACAACCGGCTTTGGTGACGTGAACATGTACTCGCCGCAGATGGGACAATCACAGTCTGTAGCCCGCTCGAAACACTTGTGATCGTGAACTGTCGAGATGGCGATGCAGGCCACACATCTCTGCTCATCAGGTCAGCAGGCGGATCCCAGTACAACGAGCACCATGGACTTACCTTGCAGTGGAAGAAATCTTTCCCAATGCCTCTTCCCACCCGGCAAATGCCACAATCATCGCAATGATAGACATTCTTGTCGGGGTCATTGTTCCAGAGCTTGCAGACACTACAGTAGTACCTTGCAGCAGACACGCCACAAGCCACGCACACCTCGCCGGCCTTTTGCGCGGTTCCGCAGTACATGCAGAGCATGTTCTTGGTCTCTTTCCGAATCAACTCGTGATCCTCGGCCTCATTATGGCAAAACCGACAAGTGTACCACCGCTCGCAGGTTGAGCATTGGAGCTTAACATTTCGCATGTAGTGCTGGCATCCCAATGGGCGATCGCTTGGATCGTCGTCAGGGCCTGCAGGCACATATGTAGGTCTCGTGTCGTCCTCTGTCAACGTGAACTCTTCCTGTGTGCTGGACTCGCCCAGGACATTCTGCCAAAACTTCAGCGAGTCTAGGGAGCCCCCAGTGATTCGCTGCTGCCACGACGAGCCATCGGTCGATGTCGTTGGTCGTTCTACGGCCGCCAAAAGTTCCGAGCGTGCATTATTCGAGATTTGTGCTTTAGCGTACTTCTCGATAAACAGGCGGTGCATCAGCTGCGCTTTCTCGTTGGCAGGAAGGTCCTGCGCCTGAATTGCGAGAATCCGTCTGCGCAATAGCCCCATTCCGTCATCTTCAGGGATAGGCTTAGGGGCTCTGGGCGACCTTGAGGTGGTGGGCGCTTCCGAAACGTGTTGCACGTCCTCTTCGGTTTCCTCTACAGTCATCGTCCTTGGTTGTGACTCGTTGTCGTGGGCGGCTTCCCTTATGGGCAGGGAAGCTCGCGCTGGCGTATGGTCGAGATCATCCGTAGCGACGGCGCACTCGTCTGCGTGTAACGGGTCATCCATGTCGTCCGAGCTGGCGAGGGTGGCAGATTGAACATGGAAGTATTGTACATCATCGTCCCTCGAGCTTGTGACGTCGGCTGACGAATCTGAAGGACCCAAGTCCTGGGCTGGAAGACCTAAATTGGCCAGCGAGCCAGTGTCGCTGTCCAGACGAGTTTGTCTTTGGGGCCCGGAAATGGTGGGATCCGCCAGCTGGGTGTCGGGGACACCAGAGAGACGACGGGCGTGGCGGATGACGGGATTGACGAGGAAGTCGGCGACCAGAGACGTCATGGGCCCAGCAAGCTCTTGGAATTTGGAGACGTATACTAGATAGGGCTTCTGCTGGGCATTGTTGCTGAGGTGGTTGAGTCGGTGTGCAACGGAGGCGTAGAAACTGGCCCAGGCGGCGGTTGGCGACAGTGGAGGGAGGGCAGCGGCCGCCGAGGTGAAGTGTGAAGTCATGGCCTGGCCTAGGTGGGAGGGAGTGGGCGGGTGGGTGAGGTAACCATCTGCAGCTCGCTAAGCACCGAGCCGGCAGAGCTAGCCAGGGCTGTGGGGATGCGGCCAGCAAGCGTACGTATTTGAGCTTCAGGCGAGGGAGCCAGAGACCGAGGCGTGCGGCCGTGGAATTAGACGCAAAACCACCCTGCAGTGTTTCAATCGCGCAAGATGCCGTGTTTGACTATGGTCTCGGCATACACTTGCTGTCCTGCGTATAAGCCATTCGAATCTCGGATGAGTTGACAGTCGAGGCCGATGTCGAGGGCGTTGGGTCGTTTTCGGGCCTGAAGGGAGCACGCTCTTGAAGGTACCGGAGCAGTGAAAGACTGGACTGGTAACGTTGCGAGGCTACACGAAGCAGCGCACGGGGGCCAGCAGCCGCCCGCAGTATATATGTATGCCGCCATCACATGCTGGCGCGTGACCTCCTAAAGGGGACAGACCAGCTTCGGAGCACTTGACGATCCGCCACACCGGCCTAGGCCTGTCCACTCAGCTGGGTCGGTCCAGTGTTAAGGTGTGAGGCTCATCACTCCACGGCTGCGCCCTGGACCCCCGAGGGCCGCATGTCAGTGGTGCTCGGGCGGCCAGTCATGCCCTGCAGCCACTATACTTTATTCCCAGGATGGCGCCTGCCGCTCAATGCGGGGCTGTGGGGTGACATTTAGGCGCTTCTTCTTCCATTTCGGACTGAAGTCTTAGCTGTTGCCACTGTCCCTGCCCCATGACAGCTTTCGACGGGAGGGCCTCCGCAATCAAGCGATGACTTGCAGACCTCGACAAGATGCCGCCAGTTATGTCATTATTCTCTCCTCGCAAGATTTTTACTGCCCAGGAAAGTGAGGGGGGCTCGGTGTAGAAACAAGCGTTCAAGCTTGACGTTGGCTCTGTGCCCACTCGTGAAATGGTAGCGCGGAATGGCCGCAATCCTTGGCTTCGAGCCTCCACTCAAGATCCACGTCTTTGGGTCGGCTCACCCTTGTGCTGCTTGCCTCCGAAATGAAACAGCATGGCCAACCCTGCCGCAGATGACTACTCTCAGTCAACCTCATCCTGCAAAAGACCGCTCCAAAGACCAGCTACCGGGGTTGCTTCGCTCAGCATTGCCGTTTCACGCATCCAACTCGACTCTGCAACAGTCAGCTGAGTCCACGTCGCGACGTCATCCGCTTTTGATCCGCCACGCCTAGACGAGCCTGAGACACTGTAGTAAGCATCGCGAACACTCCAAGGCGAGCGCCGGCCATCACGGCCTCGTCCCGGGGCACCCGCAATGTCAACCGAGCAGGTGCTACACGCCTACCGGCATCTCTATCGGGGACTCTTGCACGCCGTCCAATTCTCCAAGCCAGCACGCTATGTCGCTCGCGATCGTCTGAGAGTGGCCTTTCGCGAGGAGGGTGCCGTTCTTGAGCCGCGCAGCATCGCCAGAACGCTACGCTTTCTGGAAGCCGCCACCCGGGAGCGCGGCCTCGAGCACAAGGTGCTCAAGAATCTGCTGGCGACACAATTCTTCAGAGCTCAACAAGAGCATCTGACATGGAAGCATGTCAAGCTAAATCAGTCGCTGAAGCACACAAAGTGGGCATCACCTCTCGAAGGACGACAGGAGGGAGCAAACGAAAATTTGGCTAACAACATTGCAGGAACGATCTTACAAACCATTTACACAGTACCGCATTTCGTCACTACGACATGACTGTAGCCATGCTGAACAAGTCTCTCGGGCTATGTCTACGATGAGCAGAATACATTGTTCTCAAGCAGGCAAGACAATACAAAATTTCCCCTTCAAAGCCACAACTCCAGAGGTCATTAGTGAGGTCAGAGTTCATGATTTGATGGACGAGACACAAGAAGAGCCTGGTATACACACAACAATATTGTATCCTGCACTTGCAACAAGTCAATGGTAGCGGATCCCTTCATGAAGATCAGTCTGGAATACTTTGCACACGCGGCCACCGTTTGATGAATCCATTGACTGGTATAGACAATGAATGCGCACTGGGTCTGGCAAGACGGAATTCGACGTAGGCCTGTCCTCAGACCCGCGCGTCTTCGCAGATGCACGCATGCATTCGATCTCGATTCAAAACGACATGACACTATGCTCTCGAAACGCATTGTTTCTAGCCTCCTTACCCTAAGCACACTGTGCATTTGTGATGTGCATCACAAAGACGAATACTTGTCCTCCCGAATCACGAGTGACGTGCACGGAGACACTACCGGCCGAGTCATTTGCTCCGCGACAAAGCTAAAACCATGCCGACTAGGAATGGCGTGTTTTGTGAAGAATGCGCAGGGCGAGAGATTCACATTGAGCGAGTCAGTCTTCAGTGCTCAGTTGAGGGATGATGCGTGCGTCCTTCAACCCAAGACGCCATGTTTGATGTGGTCACGAAGATACATGAAAAATTGAGTGCATATCGGCTCGGATTTGCCGCTGCTTCTCGCGTTCCAGAAACATGATCGACCACGTGGGACTAATCTCACTTGGTCTTGGTTATGCTCTGCAGAGCAAATGCAAGGTTGAAGGCACTTGAGCAGTGGAGACCAACCCGAACGATTGCCAGAATGTTCATCGCGGGCTTTCTGGGGATGTCTTCATCTTTGTGACGCGTGCAGAGCATATGAAAGAAAATAATACTTGATTAAGCACTTGGTGCATCTAGATGCTTGAGATTCTCGGGCGATGATGCGTCCAGAGCTCATCTATGAGCGATGACACCAAAAAATGAATAGAAGGACAACCCTGAGGGGGACGATTTGGGGTGCAGCAAGCTCCAGCTCCAACCCCGCATCCACACAGCTGCTGGAGCAACATGCTTGCTCGAAGCGTCAAGGGCCGGCCACATGGGCACGCTGCTCCAAACCTCTCTCCACCACGCCACCATCATCGCCTCCCAACGCCCAGAAACCTGCCATTGAACCCTCGCCTCGGTACGCTCTGAATGGCACAGCTCAGACTGGCCGCCATTGACGCCACTCTATAGCGACGACGCCGACGACTCTGGTCCTCCTCGGAGGCCACTGTCGGAAGCGCTTCCAGCCCGTATGCGCGCAACACCAGCTCGTTGCCACGCCCGCGTCCCAGTCTAAGGGTCCGCCATGCCAGCAGAGTCCAATGTTCAAGATGTCACCAGCCCGGCCTCACCTCGGACTCGCACCATGCCTCAGCCCAGCACAAACCCAACCACGGCCGCTGGTAGCAGCAGCAGCAGCGCAGCGACAGAGAAGCCCCGACGCTGGGTGAAGCGATACCGGACAGAGGTCTCGGCCAGCTCTGCCAGTGTCCTGTCGACCATCACCGCTTTCCCACTCGACAGCGTAAAGACTCGCCTGCAGACATATCCGTACAAAGGGTTTCTCGACTGCGTCAACACTACATACAAAGCCGAAGGCATGCGAGGTTTCTTCCGAGGTAAGGCTAAGCCCCCAAACCACTCACACCGGGTGACGCTGTCCCCTGCATACGCTCTTTTCGAAGCGCTAGACACTTGACTGATTACAACATTTCCCCCCCCCCGTCTTTCTGTAGGCGTCACCGCTCCACTTGCCAGCGTAACTCTTGTCCGGACCGTGTCTTTCTCGATATACCAGCGCTCCAAGTACACCTACTCCGACTGGATGGGCAAGAACTTGGGTTTCTGTCCCCTCGATCATGTCAACAAAACCGGTGCCTACCCGACACTTGGTACTTTGGCCTGTTTTGGCCTTGCCGGAGCCACAGCAGGCTCCGGGATCACCTTCATTGCCTGTGAGTCGGAGCTTCTGGATGGATCCAAGTGCTGTGCCCATGCTGATTAGGTTAACAAATGATAGGTCCATTCGAATTGACCAAGCTCAGCGCTCAAGTGTCAGTTCTCATGGCCAACCAGAAGAACGCGGATCCAAAACGGCAGGCTATTGCGCTGAGCTACCACAACAAGGGAACATTCCAGACCCTGGCCAACATCGTAAAACATCGAGGAATAAGTGGAATGTACACAGGTCTCAACCTGCATTTGTGTAAGCACCCTTGAATTGGTGGTGCTGGACGTTTGCTGTCGAGACCACGTGCTCACAAAGAACTGCAGTGAGAGACACGCTCGGCACTGGTATATATTTCGCCACATACGAGAGCAGCAAGCAGATTCTCACCACTGTAAGCGGCAAGGACGCCCACAAAAATCCAATCGCAGTCCTGGTTGCTGGCGCGTTATGTGGCATTGTGTCGTGGGCACTGATATGTAAGTACTTCAAGTACCGAAAACGAGGTGCCTCCTATTCACTAGCCCACACTGACGCGTGCCTTTTTCAGACCCAATTGACTCCGTCAAGAGCATATACCAACGCAACGCGCTCATGTACTCACGGAAGGAGAAGGTCCCGCTGCCAAAGATCCGCTGGTTCCGACGAGACATGTATCGGGGCCTCGGAGTGTCAATGGGGCGCTCCGCGGCTGTCAATGCCGTCTTCTTCTCCGCATTCGAGTTCTTCAAGAAGAAGATCAATGCCCTGGAAGACACGGAGCCAGGCCGGAGTCTATGAGGGGGGAGAGAGAAAGGGGGGGGGGCATAAACCCCATTTTATCGCAGCACGACGACGCGGCAGATTGTGCCACTTTATTGTTGTTTTTCATCAGGCGGGCCCCATGACAGGCCGAGAAGCATCATTTTCAGGACCGGCGTTTTTACTATGAGGGATTGTTTTTTTTGGCGAGTGACATCGCGATGCACTCCACCAACGTCTGCGCCCACGCAGTCTACCTTTGGCAGGCGACATGTTTGAAAGGTTCAAGATCGTGTTAGGACAGTCAATGATACCACGACTAGTTGCGAGTTTCTGTTTTGGTCGCGATGACAGCTGTGTTGATGATGCATGTTGTTGATCTACGGCCTCGCAACCCCTATGAGATGGGTGCCAAGAAGGATAGGTATGCCGGGACATGCAGCAAGGGTCTCAATGCACAAACTCTACCTTGGGCATCTCTCGGCAATGCTTGTGCGAAGCAGTAAGACAGCTTCAAGGCTATGGATATACTCCTGGAATTTTCTATCCTTCATGACCGTATGATATTATCGCCTTCTGCGCTGCAAGCTTCTGGAAATTTCAAGAAGCGCATGGACACAAGTATTTCCCGTTGAACGCCTGCTGAGAAACCCCTTTTGAAAAGCCCAATCAACAAGAATGCAGAACGAAACCCAAAACCACAGCGCTACAGAAACCCCAAGCCACATCCTCGGGATTTGCACGCACGCGCACGCATACGCACCCGAAACAGTATATGCAAGTCTCCCTTTCAGTCGCTGCGAAGCATGCTGTCCACGAGATCGCCGAGGGGCCCCCAAAAGTCCTTGCCGCTAGCAAGGTTGTGCTCGTCGATGAAGAGGACGTACTGCTTGAAGCTCGTGTTGAGGTGGGGCTCGAGGCCGAGCTCGCGGATGACCGGGTAGTGGTGGCAGTAGATGTGCGCGTAGACGCGGTACATGCGCTTGAAGATCTGGCGGACGAGGGCCGGGAACGACTTTGGGAACGGCACGCCGATACGGCTGGGCAGGACGGCCTCGTTGTCGATGCTGCTCTGGACCCAGCTCATGAGCTGCTCGATGTAGGCCGGCGCGGTCATCTTGGTCGGCCGCTTGTACGTGTCGTTGTCTTGCCAGAGGTATTCGAACCTAAAAATAAACGACATTTGTGGTTGGCAACTGTCCCGTCGTCTTTGTCTTTTCCCCGGGTCGATTTGTGTAGAGTAGGTTTGTGTGCGGAGGAGCCAAGGTCAAAAATTGCCAAACTTACTCGTCTGTGGCCTTCATCTCCGGGCATGACTGGGGAGAGCAGAACTCTGTGATGGCGCCGTAGATGAGGTTTATCTGGTTGTAGAAGTCGACCATGTTGACGGCAAGCCACTCGTTCTCATCCTCGCCCTCAGGCAACTTGACGACCTTGCGCAGGCTGCCGCCGCCGAGTGTAGCCTCGGCATACTGGCGGAGCTGGTGACTGGAGCTGCCGCCTTTGCCTGGCCTGGAGCGAAACTGATTGCGCCGGGCATTTCTGTTCGTGGACAGCGTGTTAGACGACGAGGTGTACATCGCGGAGGCTGGTCTGGCAGTGGTGTTGGGCAGGGGAAAGGGCCCATTGGGAGCGCGCCCCTGGGTGGTGCGAAAAGACGTACACGGTGGTCATGAACGAGGTCATCTCTGCGGTGAGGGCGGCGACGGCGATGCTGGGCTGACTTGTCTCGGGCTGGGGTCTGTCTCGCGCGCTGCTTGTCGTTGATGGCTCTTGTGTGTCTTGGAGGCGGCTCTGCGATTGAGGTGTTAGCGGGGTGCTGGCTGTCCCACCCGATTGAGCAGACCCTGGTTTCCCCTACGCCCCCTGGCCTTCAAACGCCGAATTGGAGTTACAGGCGGGCATCTGCGGCAACGGCTATGTCACATACCAGGCAGCGATTGGTGTTTTGTGCAGCGGAATTCCAGAGATGCCTCTGCGAGTTGTGGTCGGTGACCCCGTCGGTGGAAAAATGGGCGGGTGTTTTGTTGAAGATTGCCCGTCAATGCGAGCGGGAGGGCTGGCAATGTTTACCTTTGTCTGATGTTGAGCTCGTGCAGCGTTGCCGGGATGCCAGGCAGGTGTGGGGGGTGCCTCACCCTTGCTACCTAAGGCACGGCCCGGCGCTCATCTCGGGCGAGAGAGAGTAGTGTGTCAGGTGTGTGTGTGTGTGTGTGTGTTGAGCCTCTGACATCTGACAGCTCCCCACATTTCCGCAGCCATCATCCGATCAAACCTTGGAGCTCCCAACCGCAGACTCATGCCTAAGGTACCTTAGGCTGCTTACTCACTCAATTGACAGAGGGTTGTGGTTTCTGTGGAAAGTGTGTTCAAACAGACCTTGAATGATCATGGTGTCCAAGAGTGGCTCCTCCAGACGGGCGCACAAACCCTGCCGCTCGACGAAGAGTGTGCGTACGCGTACAAGACACTAAAGAGTGACCATTAGACCAAGCAAGGTAGCTGTTCCCATGCATCCTCCGTTTTCGTCACGTCCTTGACGGGCTTTTTGCAAAGCCGTGCAGCAGGGTGGACTTTTCTAGCAACAATGCTCATCACGATGCCCGTATGTCGACGGCAACACACCCATGACACTGGGCCACGCAACAGGCTCACCTCCCCAGTGCTCGCAGTGCCCAGACTCCTATGACGGCATCATGATCGCGAACCAGACGCGCAAACGTCACAAACCCTCACTCCTTCAGAGTGCCTCCCAAGCGGCCGAGTCATCCGCGTTGGTTGAACGCAAGCGACAGTCATGGTGACGGGCTCGTATATATGCGCTTTTCGCAGAGTTCAAGTCCTCGGTGCCCTTGATGTGGCCTCTCTCTCCCAGTCCACGTTTCTGGGAGCCCTTGGACGCAGCTTACCTCCACGATCACGACCAGCACGAGCGACCGCAAGAGTCGTGGCAGCTTTCACGACAACAACCAGGACAGCAAGGACAGACTCGTCACCAAGCACCATGAAGATTGCCATCACCGGCGCCCGCGGCAGCGTGGGCCGCGAGGTTGTCCGCGTCTGCGCCGAGGCCGGCCACGACACGATCCATATCAACCGGTCGCCCGAGGAGCCAGACGGCACCCCGCGCAGCGAGGTGCGCACGGCCGACGTGGCCGGCGACTACGACGCCTTCGTCAGGGCCCTGAAGGGCTGCGACGCCCTCATCCACCTGGCCGCGCTGCCGGACCCGGTGGGCAAGGCCGATCACGTGGTCTTCAGCAACAACGTCCTCGCGGCCTTCAACGGCTTCCGCGCCGCCGCAGAGGTGGGCATCACGCGCGTGTGCTACGCCAGCTCCGTCAACGCCATCGGCCTCGCCTTTGCCACCCAGCCCCTCAAGTTCCCCTACTTCCCCATCGAGGAGGAATCTTACCCGTGCAACCCGACCGACTCGTACGCGCTGTCCAAGCAGGAGGCCGAGGTCGCGGCCAAGGCATTTGTCAACTGGTTCCCGGGGATGCGCATCGCGTGCATGCGCATCCACAACGTCGGGGCCCGCAAGGACGTTGCAGAAGAGCACGCCAAGGACTGGGAGGGCACCGCGGTCAAGGAGCTCTGGGGCTGGGTCAACCCGACGGCAACGGCCCGGGCGTGCCTCATGTCCGTCTGGGACGACGAGTCGGTGGCCAAGGGCGAGAAGTGGGCGGGCTGCGAGATCTTCAACATTGTCGCCCCGACGACCACGCAGGACGACAAGTCGAGCGAGCAGCTTGCAAAGAAGTACTACCCGGATGCCGAGCTCAGAGGGGATTTCAAGGGGCACCGCGGTTTCTGGGCCACCGACAAGGCCAGGAAGTTGCTGGGGTGGACGCACCATGAGAAGGAGTAGAATGTCGTCTCTTCACTAGGCATAGATGGCGAGCTCACAGTGATGGGAGTTCGAAATTGGCAAAAATCACAAACCTTGCCAATAGTGAGGGCCTGGTCAAGCGAGACTATGAGTTGTGATGTTGTCCTACCTATTATAGTGAAGACCTAACACAGTCGGCTCAATAATTCTGCCCATGGTAATCGAAGTATTCATGGCAGTCTCCACTCTTGCGGCTACCTTGGAGTGTCATAGTTTTGTTGCTATAGGTTTTCGATGCGAGCTGCCCGCGACCAAGACGACATGTACTTGGACGACTAGTCTACACTTGATCAATTGTCAGACATCTCCTTGGAAATGCGAGGCTCCAAACCATCGATGACTCTGGTTACTGCGCCGTTTTCGCGAGATTGTGGGCATTTCACAATATTCTGCCCACAACCCGCCGCTGTACCTGCTTGGAAGCCGCATCTGCTGCAATTCCTAAGCGTACACGTGATGACATATTTCGCCGGTGCGTATCTTGGGCGGCGCATGAGCATGCTGCAGACAGCAATTTCCCCCCAACGGATTATGAGCGAGTCGTTATCCTGCACTCATAGGATGATCTCGCCCATGTTCTCTCCCTCAAACCCGAGAGAGGCGAGCTTCTTGAGCCGTCCCTTCTCGCGGGCCTTCTCGGCCGCTTTCCTCTCCTTGGCGAGCTTCTGCACCGTCTTGAACTCGCCCTTCTCGAAGCCGGCGGGGATGTCGTCGTCCTTGTCGAGGTCAATCTCGCCCAGCAGCAGCACGTTCTCGCCGCGCACAAGGTAGATGCCGTGTGTCTCGTCGGCGTAATATCCTCTGGGCTGGGGGTCGTCGGGCTCCGAGGTGTGCGCAAAGACGCGCTCGACGGTCGACTGGAGGACAAGGTTTGCTGCAAGACGGAACAGAGGTTGAGACAAGTCAGCTAGCTGGGCCTGGCTGGGGGTGGTGGGTGGCAGCAGCGAGAGTGGTGCAAGAAGATGGGTGTCAAAGACCCAGGGGGGACCTACCGAACTGATCCCAGCTTCGTAATATGCCAGTCAACTTGCGGCCGTCGCGGAGGATGACGAGGAGCTTCTCTGGAAGGGATGTACGCGCGTCAGAATTCGTGGTGATTATATGATGACGAGGTGGAATGGCGCGGCCAGGAGTCAGGGAGACTTGCTGTCAGTCAGGTCGAGCAGCTGGGCGGCAGTCGTAAACATCTGGGGAGGCAGCTGCTGCGGTTGAGGCGGCGGCGCGGCGCGGCCAAGGACATGTGGCATGGGACCTCCTCCGGCAGGCGGCGGAGGGCCGTCGTGATGGTGGGATTGCTGGTTGTCCATCGCGGGGCTATATCATTTGGCTGGTGGTTTGTGCTTGATGGGGGACGGCGGCGGCGGGCGTGGCAAGTCTGCGCCAATCCATGTGGCAGCAGCAGCGAGGTGTCGAGGAGCCTAGCTAGCACAGCGCCGAATGATGTGACGAGGCAAATGGATGATGGCCCGACACAGACAGCGCGCCGTGGTGGGCTGGCGGGCTCAACCACGATGGTCTGGAATCGGAGTGGGTCCGCAGGCGGCCTGGAGGTCTGCACTTTCCGCCCGCCATGTTTTTTCCTTTGCTCAATTCTGCTCTTCAGGCGGGAGGCATGCATGTGATCACCACTACGAACTCATTGTTCATAAAACACAAAAACCTGGTTGGTAGGTTTCATCATGGCGCATATTGAGAGCGAAAACCCCGCTACGACACTCCTGATTTCTGCTCGACATCTCCAGCTGGTAATGAATGCGACAGCTCAAGAGGTGCTGGTGGATTATGTAAGCCCACACCTCAGGCCTGGGAACTTTCGAGGTTGCAGCCACGCAGCCATGGGCCAGTCTGTCGGATGCACAATTCTGGACGTGTTTAGCAAGCCCACTCTTCCTGACCTGTCGCTTTCCTCTGGCCCTTGACAACCTACTGACGTTTCGATCTGATATCACTTTGGCGGAACCACCCACCCGGATTGAAGGAGCAGCTTGGCCGAGACTGAGGCAGTCTCGCGGCAGCAGACAGCGACCGCCCTTGGACGTTTCCAGGTGTCATTTCACCGCAGCACCGCCGGGCGTTGTGCTCTCGCACACGGGGCAAAGAGCGGGCTGCTGTCGTTTATCTTGGTGCTGGCTTGGATATTGTTCGAGCTCATGGCGAATTTTGTCACACAAATGAAGCGACAGAGGATCCCAGGCGGTCGGCCTTTTAGGGACTGTTCATTATAAGGCTGAGAGGAAGGCGACGATAATACGGCACGGCACGGAAGTGGTGATGGCCGACAAGTGCGTGCTGCGGATCCCGGAGCCGGAGTGGGGAGGTCGCCTGGCCACTCCGGCAGCGTTCCGGGACTTGACGAAGGCTTGCTTGCGAAGGCCACTCGAGCAGGACTCGTCACACTGCGCGGGCGCCCTCGACGCGTCCGGTAAAGTGCTTGCCCGATGTGACGATGGGAATGCCACGGTGACGGCGAATGGCACCAGGCACGCACGCAAATGTGACTGCTCTGCCGTGACGACGCACCCCTGTCGAGTCTGCGGCTCTGAGAGCTTCACACCCTGGTCCTCACACCTTGCAGCCAGATCCAGGGGCTGCCACCCTCCCAAACAAGCCAGCGGCCACCCAAGACAGGACGGGCCTCGCTGACGACATGCTGCTGCCCGTCGGAGCGAGCCGAGCCAGTGCAGTGCCAATCTCTCAGCTCAGCCTCGAGGGGCCACGCCCACGACTCGAGGCCGTGGAGCCCACCGTCCCTAGCTCCGGACGACGTCGTCCCGGGGGCGGACCCCGGCCCTCCAAGACTGAGGCGGCCGCAACCTAGCAGGCATACTGGAAACACTTCAATCATGCCATGTCCACACCGGACGGCTGGGTGCCATCTTTCCTCCTCCTCCTCCTCCACTGCGCGCAAGACCTGTTGACGGCTCCCTACCAGCGTCGCCTACTTTGTTTCTGTTTACTTCTCTTCACAATCCCGCCGAGTCGTCCCTGGAGGATGCTCGACGTTTTATTGTACTAATTGGCTTTTCTTTCTATTCGTCGCTCGCTTACCACCATTCTATTCTTCACGCCGCTTCACGAACAAACGGTCGTCGCTTTCTACTTTGACTGTCCCTACTTGGACTCAAGCGGCTGGTGTCTCACGCGGGCTCCGCAACCCTCGGCGGCGGTCAGCAGGACAAGGAAGGGCAGGCCTGATGATTCTGGATTATGTTGGCAACAGCGGTATCGCGGTTGAGCGGAGAGGTCTTGCCAGTTCAGCACCGTACATTGTTAAGCACTCGATCAATACCACGGCCGTAACAGGGCTCAAGATGGCCGGGAGCGTCCGCGCAGACGCCGGTTCTGCCACAACAGCACTTCCAGCGGCGGCAGCAGTATGTACTCACACAATCTGTTTCCTTCCAGAGCTGGTCTTGCTTGACCTGGGTGTACTTATAACTAACCCTTACGTTCCTCACGTAGCCGGCACTGAGCGACGAACTGAGTGCCTGCACCTCCATGTCGATGACGACCGCACTCATTATATTACTGGCATCCATCGTTGGGACAGCACTCATCTCATCGACGGCCACATGGGTGTTCTTCCGGCGCCGCTACGCCAGGTATCTGCCGGGAAAGAAGCAGAAGAGAGAAAAGGAGGGAGAACCACCGACTACTCCCGGCTCGCCCCATTGGGAGACCTGGGCTCGCGGCACACCAAAGGAACCCAACGTACCCGACGGGCAGCCCTCAGCGCCTGCTCAACTAGAACTGGCTGTCCAGATCACAGCGGCTCCGCAGTCAGGAAGCGAGACGGATGTCTCGCAATCCTCCCGCCCAGAGTCGGGTGCGCTTCCGCTGCGCAGGCGACCCGAGTATGCCAGTGGGCTGTCGAGCACTTTCATGTTCCCTCGGCGCGAGACCGGGGTCACAGTGACAATCATGAGCGACGCCATTACAAAGAAGAAGAGCGAGCGGAGGAGAAAACTCCAGCGCCGGGAATCACCTGAGATGACGACAACGACCGCCACGATGACCAAGACGAAGACGACGACAGATCCTGCTCCAGAGGAGGCTTCAGAGGCTCCAGAGGCTCCGGCAACTGCTCCGCAGACTCCGGGCATGCCGTCACCCGCCGCCACAGAGAACGCCCTAGATATTGGTTCCACGGAAAGATTGGTTCTCATGCCCGACGAACCGCAGCAGCCCGCCCGCACACGACCGTCACAATCCCGACGAGCACAGAGAGGGAGGGACCGTGCCGCCTCGGGCTCTGCCAGCTCCAGTCAACCTCCTCCTCAGGCGAAATCGGCCATCGAGGCCCTGCGGGAGCGCCTGCAAGCTTCCCACGCCGCGGCCGCTGCTGCCGCTGCTGCGACCACAAGCTCCGAGAGCCGTACGGAACCGCCAGTTTCGATCAGTCGGGCGCCCAGCATTCCAAAGCGGTCATCCATGCGTGCGAGCACCGTCCCGCCGCCAGCAAAGGAAGCAACTGCTAGGACAGCGTCACCTGACGACGAACCCTCCGGGTTCCCTGAGAATAGCATCCACATTCGCAGCCGGCAACAGCCCTTTGCGTCCCTCATCCAGCCACAGCCACAGCCTCGACAGCCGCCGCCAGTCTTACAACGGCCCCAGCAGCGGGAACAGTCGCAAGATCCAGAAAGGCCAGTGACTCGCGACAATGACGAAGATGAGCCCCAACGTCGGCCATCCACCTCTGACACCATGCGCAGCCTGGAGCGGACGGGCTCCAAGCGGACGCCGCGACGTGCTCGCAAGGGCACGCTGGTCATGTTCCCCAAGATCCAAGACGGACCGCCCGCGTCTATCGCGGCGGGACTCTCCATCTCTCTTCCGAGCGGTGGGGTGGGAAAGACGGATCCCACAGCGCCGCAGTCCCTTGAACCATCCGAGCAGCAGCAGGAGCAGGAGCAACAGCAGCAACAACAACAACAACAAGAAGGACAAGAACAAGAACAAGAAGGCCTTGACCAGCGTGGCAGGCAAGACGACGGCCGCGAGGACGCCGTACTGCCTCCACGCAGGTCTTACGGCCCCAACTGGCCGTTCAAGCCAGCGTAGCATAGCATGGGTAGATAGCACAGCGTAATTTCGTGTAATCTCTAAATAATGATGATGACGAAGTTTTTTCTCTTTATACCACAATAAACAAGATCACAGCCGCGTGTTCTTTCTTTTTCGTTTGCCATCTCGGAGATCCCGTGAGCTCATGGGGAAAAAGCCCTTTGGGGTGACTGCGCTGCTAGAGTTTGCGTATTGTAAGATTGCCGTCGTCAAGTTTATAGCTGGCGAAACAGCCTTCTGTCTGCACATCTATTCCAATACGTGAACGTTGTTCCCAGTGCCGCACGTAGTCGTGCTGCTGCAAGTGAGACAAAAGCATCAAGCCTTCTTCTTCCCCGTACGGCAAACCAGGTTGCTACGAATCCTCGCCATTGCAGTGGCTGTTTGCGTACGTAGTGAGCGGTTTGACTTGCTGGTTCACACAAATAGCTGCCAAGGCCGCTCGCGCTTGCAGTGCGATCATGGCTTCAGCATAGCCTTTTGACATTCTTGCACAGTCGATTTCACCAGTGTGTGATTCATGAGAGACAACTCCATGGATGATGCTGTGACCTTTCATCCATCTCGTGTGCTGAAGCAGACTTGCCTGCGCTCGGCCCCTTTGACACTAGATTTCAGTGCAAGCGCACCGATGAGGGTTCGAGGCGCAAGCGCTCGTGTCTTTTTTTGTTTGCGTAGCGATCTAGTCGTAAATGCAATCAAGAAACTACAATTCGGCCATTTGGTGCCAAATAATTCACTTTTCCTGGTGGCCAGAGAGTCATTCCTGCATCTGCATGGTATGGCTACGGCGATGGGCCAGTGACTGCGGTTGGTCTGGGTGGCCGAGCCAGATAGGAACTGCAGGAGCGTCGTAGTGTAAAAGTGTAGGGGTGGTGTTGCCCAGGACGCCAATAACTCCATACCCAAGCCCAGTCTATACAATCCCTTTTTAAAATGCGATGCAGATACGGGCACGTCTGCCTTGACTCCAGGAGCATACTTGAGTCTGTTGAACTCGGTCGCACCTTCATTTTTGGGGGGACCTCTCAAGCATGATTCATGCCCGAACGATTCAAGGCTTCCAGCAGCTCCGGCCGATGCGCCAGAGCCTCTTGGGCCTCTGTGAATGTGAACCATTGCCGCTGCCTCTTGTGCTTCTCGGGCCAGTCCTCCTCTTCTGTGAGCACTGTCACCTGGTAGAAGCGGTACAGCGACTTTGGTGATTCTTTCGAGAGCTTCTTCGGGGGCCGGTTGTCGAGGATGTCGCCAAGGTCGTAATCGATGGTGATTGTGATTCCTGCCTCTTCCCAGGCCTCGCGAGTCGCCGCCTGCATACAGTCTTCATCTGATTCCCAACCGCCCTTGGGCAGCACCCAGCCTTTCCTGCGCGTGGATTGTATGAGCAGAACATAGTATTTGTCCGCCGACAGAGGGACCACACCCGCGACAAGCCGTTCGCCGTTCGAGTTGTAGCCTGGCGTTATGACAGGAGGTCAGTTTGCCACTCGAGCAGTCGGGACAAGCGACGGCGGAACAAGCAGGAGGGAGGCAAGCTACTGGCACAGCCAGGATGCCGTTGGATTTGTGGGAGTAGCCCACTTACGCTGCTTGGCACGCCCAGTCCGGGACTCCATCGACCGACCATTTGATCCTGATGCCATGGTAAGGGGTGGTTTGACGTTGACGAGCGGAGGTACCAGTGGTGAGGCAGAAAGGGTTCGAGACGCCAGGTTTCCAGGGTAAGACGGGAGTGGTCTCGTCTTGGATGGCAGCTCGACGGGGAGTGTGCAGATGGGTTGAAGTCGGCAATTGAGCACTGCGATGGCGTCGAGAACAGAATGCTGTTACCGGCCTTGTAAAGGTGGGAAGGAATGGGATTCTACCGACTAGTAGAGAACAGCATGGTCGTAGAAAGGTAGACTAGGGGATTGCTACGATTATTCGAACCAAAGCTGCGTGGCGGACGGACGGCTCGACGGTGGTTCCTGACCGCGGGACCTGGTGGTAGGTGGTAGTTTCTAGGTGATCCGAGTCTTGTATAAAGTTGGATAGAGGGGCGCACGTGCAGACACGACAGCTAGAGCACCGCTGACGTGACAGAGGCTCCCGAGGAGGCCGACGAGTTGGGGGACGAGGGAGAAAGATGAGGGCAGCGACACAAGCCTTCACCGCGTCGGCCCGGCAGAGTGAGAGCTGGCGAGCAAGAGGAGAGAAAGGCAGGGCAGAGGGGACGCCTCTCGCGGCGAGAGCTGGTGGAGGGGACGGAGGGCGGAACGATGGATGAGGGCATGAGGTGGATCGCAAGGGCACGGAAGCTTAGCGCAGGTCCAGAGGGCCGGCTTAATTTTTTGGCCTGCCCTGCCTGGCCAAGCAAAGCCAGGCGGTGCAAGTGGTGCTATGCTGGGGTGGGCCGCTGCAGCTCCTGCAGCAGCACTTGCAGCTCTCGCAGTCGAATTGCAGGGCAGGGCAAAGCAGGGCGCACACCACGCGGGCGACTCGACTCGAGCCGGCAGGGGCGGGGGGGCCACCACCGTATCGTATCCATGGATGGATGTCTCGAGGGTGTGACGAGTGCGTGCGTGCGTGCCTCGAGGTACCAGAGTCAGGTCCCACAACTCCTGGGGCGGCATTACTTCTGAGCAGTTCCAGGAGGGGGGGCAGATTCTCTGTCGATATCTTTTTCTCGGGCACTCGGACGGTCTTGTGTCTGCCGTGGCACAAACATCTGGCCCCCTCTACCCGACTTCCTGCCGCGTCCAAGAAGTGATGTGCTTAAGTAAGGTTGTCTCCAGTTGTCTTTGAGCATGTCCCAGACCTGTGGGCACTGAGACAGCGCCGCCTGCCCTGGCCGTGTCTGCTGCTGCAGAAAGGTCTGGCAGCCGTTGGACATGCCACTGGCACCTAACCAACAGGCCCTTCACTCACCCAGCCAGACATGACGCTGACAGGAGTTGCACACGTGCGCATCAACACGCCCCCAGGCCTGGGCCTGAGGCTACGACATGGGCAGTGGCGGCATCGCTGAGTTGCCATCGCCGATGCAATGGCTGTTGTCGCTAGACTGCCACTGCATCAAGCGCGTCAAGGAGAACAAGACACGGCCAGCCCCCCACGCCGGCCCATGCACAGGATGGGGGGGAATAGAGGGAGATGCGGTCCCGAGAATGGCACGGCCGGGGAATGCGAAAATCTGCATCTCCAACCCCCCTTTCAGCCTACAAGCCATTTTATGAGTAACAGATTGGACCCCGAATCTGCTGGCTGGCGATCGCCTCGCAGCCCCGCCAAATGCTGCCCCTCTGCTCCGATTGCCGGCGGGCCAGCCAGAGGGCGCCCTCAACATGCGGCTCTACGCTTAAAACCTCGCCCGACTTCTGGAACCCCACCACTGGCGTCTTTGCAACAGCCAGAGACTCTCTCTCTGCCTCCCGACTTCAGCATTGCCCCTTGAGCTAGTCGCCTGATCGCGTGCTCCCGTGGCCTCCCAGCACGACTTGAAAGCGCCCCCAGACACTCGTTCTTGTCCAGAGAACCCTAGGCACCGCTTCCAAACAAACCTCCACCGCCAGCCAAGGCACGCCCGGCGACAAAGCAAGGCCACGATCGGCCCCTTCTCCCCGCGGACGGAACAGCTTCCCGCGGAGCTGCTGGACCAAAACAGCTGGGGCTCCGTGTTACACCGTCGCTGCACGCCGCAAGGCTCTCTCGTCATGGACTCGCCCGGCACCACGCACACGACCCCTGGCGCTGCGCTGTCCTACATCACCCCCATTGGTAGGTTCGCCCTCTAGCTGTCCGCTCGCCCCCATCAAGTCTTCTTTCCGTCCCAGCTCTGTCTCAATTCGCTTTCCCCAGTCTTTGCCTACCCGCCGTCCTGGGCCAACCATTCCCACCCCGTGCAGCAATGGCTGTCTCTTGTTGGCTGGTCAGCGCGACGCGGGCCTTGGCTGACGGCGTCTCACTACCGCCATGTGCTTCCCCATACTCCGCTCGGCTCTACCCGTACGCCATCGTGACTTGTACGGGCCTGACATTGCTCCTTCGATGACCCTGACCAGCCTACCTACTCGCGTCATGTCTTTCCCACGGGCTTTTGGGCGCGGTAGTCTGCATGTCCTCTGCATCAGGCCTACAGCTCGTCTGATGTCCTGTATGGTCGCACAAAACCCAGCCAGCAGGTCATCGTGCTTGTGCCCCCCATGTGTAGTTACATCATGAGGGCCCTCAACAGACGTCGCCGATGCCACTGGACAATGACGGTTTTGTCAGGTGAAGTGTATGTTGCCTCTGTCAGTGTCATGTGTCGAGCCCTATTTGTTGTGACTCAGCTTGCCATGCCTCGAATGATGCGAAGAGCACATGCTCCTCTGTGTAGCTGAAACGCTCCCAAACTAACACAAGGAATAGGCTACAGGCGATCAACGCATTGCGGATACTGCAAGGACAGCAATCGTCCCGATAAGCCAATTCAGATATGTGAGTCGCGATCTTGGCCAGCCTTGCTGCGCGGTTGTCGATCTTGTGAACATTCAGAAAGCCGTCGTGGTGACCTTCAATTCCGCGCAGGCAAATCTTGGAACCCCACACTCCAGGACGTGCTCCATCAGACTGATGGCAGAATACCTGCCCGTCGATCATGCTCCTCTGGAAGATGCAGCAGCAACTGACAGGTCTGGTCGACTTCAGCTCACTCATATTACATCCGGGCACGGTCCCTTGAACCTCACTTATACCAAACTCTGGTAGACCGGTGCTGGAGACGGTCCGGCAATCTGCTGTATCGCCCGAATCAGAAGGACTGCTGCTGCCCGCACTATACAATACGGCTAGATGCAAACGAGTTCAGGCCTTCACGGGACCACCGACAGGCACTGAACCGTTTCAACAAGCATGTACTGGGCGAGAGCTATCTGGCTGACCTGGCCCGCCTCCACCCCAGGTCTCGAGAGGAGGCGAGGCGGCGGGCAACTGAATTTGATCTGCTCGAGAGACTGCACGAGAGCGAGACTTCCCTCACAAAGCAGCCTCCAAGACCTGCCCACTCTCTCACGGTGACGCTGGAGACAAACGAATTTACCGAGGAGAAGTATGAATGCTATGAGAACTACCAGAGGTTAGTACACCATGACAAGCCCGACGATATCAGTCGTGATGGGTTCAAGCGCTTTTTGTGCGACTCGCCACTGCAGACGAGATCGATGAAGTCCCCAACAGGCCAAGAGAGCCCTCTCGGCTCGTATCACCAATGCTACCGCCTCGACGGCAAGCTCGTGGCGGTCGGTGTGCTTGATCTTCTCCCCTCGTGTGTTAGCGGCGTCTATTTTTTCTATCATGATTCCATATCGAAGTGGGCACCGGGCAAGCTGAGCGCGCTGCGAGAGATTGGCCTTGCCCAGGAAAACGGGTACCGGTATTGGTATCCTGGCTACTACATCCACACGTGTCCCAAGATGAAGTACAAAAGAGACTTCAAGCCGCAGACGATACTTGACCCAGAGAGTCTCTCGTGGGTTCCATTCGACGATGAATTCACACGGCATTTCGACGAGCAGGGATATCTCGACTTGTCGAGGCAGCATGAGTCAGCGGACAACTCGGAGTCAGGAATATTGTCTGGGGACGATGGGGCCAGTCAGCCACGCCTGCAGCCTCAGTCCGAGGACGATTTGCCTGAGTTTGACGACGCGTTATTCCGGAGTGATATGCCGGGGTTGACCCCGCTGGCGATGCTGGACATGGAAGTCCTAGACAACCTCATTGTGCAAACCAAGTTCGGCAACCTGGCAGCGGTGGACTTGTTCCGTTGGCAGGACGAGGACATCACCACCACTGGGAGCGAGGCAGGAGAGGACATGACGAGCCCGAAGGTACTGGTTGCAGAGATGGTGGCGATGCTGGGCGAGGATCTGGCTGGGCATGTTTGTCTAGATCTGACCAAGTCATGATTGGTACTGTACTGTAATCCATCCTAGGAGGGAGGTATAGTCATACCAAACACATATCATCTTGGGGAAATTCCGAACCCCTTTATTCTTTGTTTCTGGGTATGAAGCAGAACTAAGCACTATTTGCCCTGCGTGTCTTCTGTCTTAGTCGACCCACAACCACATTTACGCCGTTGCCGCGCCCGCAAGTTTCTTGCTAACAAACCCATCGATCCCCTCGGCAACCTCGGTAGGCATCTCCAGTGGACACCAGTGTCCACAGTCGAGCACCAGCGAGTCAAAATCCGGCAGCATCCCCTTGTCCAGCGGGGTTCCGATCATCTCGGGCCGACAGACGGCGTCCTTGGTGCACGCGATGTAGAACGCGGGCACGTTGACGACGAACCTGTCCGGGGTGAGTTCCTGGATCTCGTCGAGGCGCTGCGTGTCGGCGTGGAACACGCGGTAGTAGTTGACGGGGCCGTCGAACCCGTCGCGCTGGAGGCGCTGCACGAAGCGGTCTCGCACCTCGGCGTTCTGCGCGTAGGGCTTGACGGCCGAGAGGTCTGACGACGAGTCGTCGTCGGTGCTGAGGAGGAACTTCTCGATCGCGCCGGGGACGCAGAAAATGTCCCTCATGCTGTTGTCCCCCTTCAGGTGGGAGCCCAGGTACACCCTGTCGGCGTGCTCTCTCAGGATCTTGGGTCCGCGCTCGGAGGCGAGGAACTCTTGGTACGCCATGATCGGGTACCCAAAGATCTGCTCCATCATCTTGTTGACCTTGGCGAGGTCGAAGGGGTTCTCCGGGTCGGGCAGCATGTAGGCCACGTTGAGCATGACGAGGGCGAGCACGCGCTCCGGGTGCCAGAGATACAGCCGCTGGGCGACGGCCGAGCCCCAGTCGTGGCCGATGGAGACGACCTTGCCGACAGCCTCGGCGTCGAGGATGTCGACGAGGTCGGCGGCAATGTGCTTGAACCGGTATGCCGAAGGGTCGGTGGGCTTCGAGGTCCCCGCGTAGCCGAGCATGTCCGGGACGATGAGGCGGTAGCCCTTGGGTGCGAGCTGGGCGACCACAGCATCCCACATGTAGGCCTCGTCGGGGAAGCCGTGGACCAGGAGCAGGGTGGGCTGGGAGGGGTTGACGGTGGACGGGTCCGAGGTGTAGTACGTGTAGGTCATGCCGCGCGAGTTCTCGGCGATGGTCTTCTTGGTGAGGGACTCCATGGCGGGCGAGCAGGTGCTATCGTGCGGCTGAGATATCAAAGGGTGTGTTTGCGAGGATGCTTGAGGGTCTGGATTGCAAGTGTGGGCACAGTCGAGGTGCGGGCACAAAGGGTTATATGGCGTCCACTGAACAATTGCCGTGGGACCATTGTCACGAGTGGGCATGACATGCACCGCCGAAAGTGCCGGGTGGATCGGGCTTGGAAACTCCCCGCACAGGCGGAACCTCGGCGTGTCAGCTGCGCCGCGCTGGAGCCCGTAGGTGATCTGATCCTTGCTTGCGATAGGCAGAGCCTGTGTCTTCTACCTAATTACACGATTAAGCGAGTGCGAGACAGGAAGCGTACATGCTGAGGACATCAACAAGAACTCAATTGACGTGGATTCCCAAGGCAATTGGCCTGTTCGCATCCACGGGCCACTCGGGGCCAACGATAAGCTGACCGCAGGGTCCAGAGTCCTGGACGGTGCATGGCCAAAGCTGCTGAGTGGCGGCGACAGCTTCGACCGGCCGGGGCTTGGTGGGGTCCCGAGATGTTACCCCACCCGGCGCCGGCCACTTCGGTGCCGTCTAAGGTATGTAGCCTACCTACTCTCACAAGCGTGATACCCGCTGCCCTGGATCCGAACGTCGACGTTCGCCGCAGCCCGTCACGACCTGCAGATGTCTTGAAGACGCCGCGGCGACGGCTGACATGCCTGAATATTGCTCTCAAATTACCTGAGCTGGCAGGCAGTGTCGGTGGCCCAAGAAACCGCCATAGTCAAGGCGCGGTCGCCCCGGACTGGGTCACATCCTTCAGCTCCGAGGACCGGCAGTCCTCTCTGATGACTCCGTCCTAGAACATCCACGGCAGTGGTCGAATTGATTTGGTGCTGCAACGGGACTGCGAGAGCTGCACGCTGCAAGGCAAGGGCAAGGCTGCACTTGCCCCACCACCACCAGGCCCCCACCTTGCGTATGCGCCAATCAGCTTAATCGATAGAGCTAAGCTAAGAATTTCATCCTTGCAGCCTTGCCATACTTTGCCGGGCCTCTGCAGCAACCATCACGTTTGCCAGAATCACTCAGCAAACAGCAGCACGGATCTATAGATAGATCTACATTCACCAGCTCGCCAAGATTAGAGATTTCCCGGCCTGCAGTTGCTTGCGCTTGTTGTTGTCCGCCTCCCGAGCCGCAAAGCAGCCAATTTAACCAAGCAGACCCCGCCGCTCTGAAGGCGCACACCACCCACCACCTTCGCCCGCCATGGCGAGCTCGCAACACCTCCTCCTCTCGCCGGCCGAGCTCGCATACCTCCACAGCTCCCTCAGCCATACCCCGCCAATCAGACCAGACGGCCGCTCAGCGACACAGTTTCGTCCCCTCACCGCCGAAACAGCCATCCTGCCCGGCACAAATGGCAGCGCCAGAGTCTGCTTCGCGGACGGCACAGAGGCCATCGTCGGCGTCAAGGCCGAGGTCGAGCGCACGCCCAGGCGGCATGTGTACACGAACGAGCAGGACGACGGCGCCGATGGTAACGGGGCGACACGGCAGGAAGCAAAAGGCCAGAACGACTGGGTCGAGGTCACCGTCGAGATCCCCGGCCACAGAGACGACGACTCAAGCACGATTTTCCTGTCCACCATGCTCAGCGAGGCGCTGCTCGCCGATGGAGAGCTCACCAAGAAGCTCTGGATAAACCGGCGGTTCCACTGGAAGCTGTACCTTGATGTAAGTTCACCAGGCTGGTGCGGTTGTGGCCGCTTATTTATTTCCCTTGTCAATGTTCCTGGGCTAATTCTTGGGGTTTCTTTCCAATTTCCCCCCAAAACAGATCATACTGATCTCGCCGCCACTTTCATATCCCCTGCCGCTACTCAGCCTGACCACACACCTGGCACTTCTCTCGACACGCCTGCCAAGATTAAAATCCGAGGCCGATGAAGATCCCATGTTTGACGATGACTGGGCGGCTAGCGTGTACCTGTACTCCTCGTCCACCTCCTCGTCGACGGGTTCACCACCACCATCAACACTGCAAAAACCGCCAATCACCCTCCTCGTCATGGCGGTCGGGGACAATATCATCTTCGACCCGTCCAAGGAGGAGCTCGCGGTCGCGGATGCCGCGCTGGCCGTGTCCGTCGTCGAGGCACCATCCAGTGGGTCTACGACGATTACGACAACAGCAGCAGCAGCAGGTGGGGAGAGCATGGACGTTGACGACGACAATGGCAAAAAGAGCGCCGCCGCCGCCGCCAGCACGGGGGTTCCGGCTGCGAGACAGAGAAACCTGAGCCTGCTCGCGGTCCGGACGATAGACCCGCCCTCCCGGCTAACGGGGCCTGGCGTGCCCAACGCCGTCAACGCCGCGGCCTGGGGCCACACCGAGGGTAAGGCAGCGGCGGACGCCACATCCGCGTCGGCCAAGTCTGCCGCCGGCGGGGGTGGTGGAGCCACGGCAAAGGGCAATTACGAGGGCGAGGACGTCGAGGGCGTGTGGAAGGCTCCTAGGGGTGGCGCGCGGGTCGGCGTCCTGGCCGCCATGGTGGCCAAGGTGTTGGAACGGGGCGGCATGGCGGATGAGGTGCTCGACGGCCTTGAGGGTGTTGAGCTGGGCTGAAGATCTGATTTAAAGCACAGCGATCAGGCTCAGGATAATTGCTACAGATTAGAGACGGAGACATCACAAGACGATCACACCCGAGCGTATTAAGCAAGCTCATTCGGGCCCTGTGCCGGACTTGCAGAATCATCGACTTAGAAAGTGACATTTTATTTCTGAGTATGAACCCTTGTTTATAACCCTTTTCTTGAAAGGAAAGAAGAGGGGAGAGGAATTGCTTCTAAGCTGGGTTACAGAAAGCCTGCCGTAGTATCGGTCTATGCATGGTTTCTTGGTATATTTCTCATATGATACATGATTACACATTGTCCCATTTTCTCCTCATCAATAGTTCGGCATGATCGTGTACAACTATATCACTCTGCCCGATGACTGCAGACATACGAGGGCAAAAGAAAATCAGAAGATGCCAAGGAACTTCTTGCGCTTCCCTTCTTCGGTGAACTCGCCCGTCTCTGCCAGCGAGCTTGGGCCGGCCTTGTCAGCCCTAGCTGGCGCTTCTTGCTGCGAGACCGCGTCTGTGGTCGTCGCGGCTTGGCTTTCCACAGCCGCAACATCATCACCAGCAGCTGGAGCAGGAGACTTGGCGGCCCAGGGCGCGACCCCCGACGCGGGCTCCAGGCCGTGCGCCTTGCGGAACTCGTTGCGCTTGGCGACGTCCTCGACCTTTTGGCGACGCTTCTCGGCCGTGATGGCCGACTCGTGCTCCTCGTGCAGCTTGAGCACGTCAATGCACACGCCAATGTACTGGAACGGGTGCCGCGGGAACTCGGAGATGGGCGGCACCATGTCGGCAAACTGCGAGTTGGCCTGGAAGTTTGTGGCGAAAGTATAGATGGCCAGGCTGGACAGCGTGCCCTGTTTTTTTGACAATCATTTTTGTGTTAGCTATGATGCCTCCTGCGGGTTGTGTAATTCATTCTGTGTGCCTTGCAGGGACTCGGCTGCTACTCACCAGGGTGATGAACAGGTGGATGCCCCGGCTGTTGATGAACCAGTGCGACCATGTATTCTCCGGCGGCGGCATGCCCGGGTACTGCTTTGTGCGCTGTGCCTGCACCTCCTCGGCCGTCGGCCCGCCTCCATAGTGCTTCGGCATCGCACGCGGCAGCCTCTTGCCGTGTGACGGCGGTCTGAAGGCATCTGGCTGCTCTAGGATGATCGGGCCAGCCCGGTCAGCCGCCAGGGACGCCGGCAGGGAACCTGACGCATCTGCGGCTGGTGAGGATGTGGGCGCTGCAGTAGTTGCCGGACTTGGTGGCGGGGTTGCTGCCGCTACTGGCCGAGATGTACTCGTCGCTGCAGGAGCAGTCTTGACAGGATTCGCGGGCGAGGAGGCGGCAGGAGACGGCGGCGTGTATGTTGTCTTTGCTGTGACAGGCTTCGTGGTCAGGACTGGCTTGGAGGCTGGCGTCTTTGGTGTAGCTGTAGTTGTCTTCGCCGTGGCCGCAGCTGTCTTGGTGGCTGCCTTGGTTGTGGTCGCTGTCGCCGTCGCCTTTGGCGCAGGCCTTGATGCTGCCTTGGTCGTCGTCGTCGTCGCTTTGGGAGGGGTGGCCTTCGGCGCGGCCTTTGTGGTGATCTTGGCCGTCGTGACCTTTGCTGTGGTGACCTTTGTCGTGGTCTTTGGGGCAGCCTTGCTCACGGGCTTGGCCGCCGCCTTTGGCGCTGAGGCTGTCGTCGCATAGCGGAGGAGAAGCCGAGTCTGTTCTGGCGTGAAAGTCCTGGGAAAGCTGCCAGGTCGACCCGCGGCAGCCCGCCAGGCAGGGCTGCTTTGCGGGAGGAGGAAGCGAGGGATCTGGGCTGATCGAGACGCCATGCTGAGCTGGCTGTGGTCCAGGTGCTGTCGGCCTGAGCCGGTCGGTGCGCAGTTCTTGAGCAACGGCCCCGCGAAGTTTGGCGGGCGAGGGCGGCAGGATCCTGGCTTGGATCTGCGGGCTTAGCGTCACGATGGTGAATTCGGCAGTCACGACGGGGAGAAAAAGTGGCAAGGCAGAAGGCCTTGTCGAGCACTTTTAAAGAACTCCTCGACGCAGAAACTGACTGCTTGGACTCTCTGGGCCGGCCTCAAAGATCAAGAAGGCTCCCTCGACTCATTGGAGCGCGTGGTGCTCGAGAGCCAATGGACGCGTCTCTTTAGATTTTCGGAGCAAGGGTCCAACATTATGCACACAGCACTAAGACACGCCTAGCCAAAATGTGCCTGGGAGCACACCAGCAGATCCCAGAGAAGACGGCACTCGCATGAATCTACAAAGAGGCGCCCAGTCATGCACCAGACAGTATAAGTGGGCGGGAAGGGGAACAAGGACCATACCCGGGGCAGCTGTCTCCTGGCAGCATCTGGAGTGGGTGGCCACATGGTTTGATGTTTCGACGGGATGCAAACGAAACAATCTTGCGGGAACCGTCATGACCGGTTGGTGTCTGGACATGTGCTGGATACAATTATGGATGATACCATAGACTGCAAATCGGGCAAGACAGCCTGTGCTTGAATGAGAAGCAGTCTCTCATGGGTATCAACCATGAAGTTGATGCTCCAGGTCTGCTGGGCAGTCCGGGGCTGTTGGCGTCTCGGCTCCAGGGACGTCACGTTGTAGCCAGGGGACCGACAAGCGCTGAGAATGCCTGCCCACCTCAGTAAATGTGAGCAGACTTGTCGTAGGCCTGTACTGTCTTGCTGCTGCTTCTGCTGTATAGTAGCTGCCGCGACGCCAGATGCCTGGCAGAATGACGCCACAGGGCAGGGCCCTGCCTGCAGTTCCTGTGCGTCACGAGGCCATCACCAGCGACTCGTGCTGTCATGCAGAGCCCAGCCCAGACCAGCCCTGGAGAGTGCAAGAGGCGACAGCGGGCTGCCCCGGACCAAAGGGAGCGTGGCGTGGCGTGGGCGGGCGGTCTGCGCCGGGGAAAACCGCGATGGATTTTCCAGCCCGCCGGTCCCGCCCTGACCATCGACCGATCTGCCATTGGCTCGGCCCATGGCGGGTCGCTGCGCGAGTGGGCGCCGTCCCTCGCTCTTGCCAGGTTGCGCCTGCCCTGTCCAGCGCCGCCCAGGGCCTGCGCTCCCGGCGTCATCGCTGCCACGGCGCAACCCCGAGACCTCCCAAGCGCCCTCCTGGTACCTTGCCGCCCACCCAGCATCGGCGCTGGGGTCCATGTACCTTTTGCTGCCGTGCCTGGTCACGGAAATTCCTGGACGGCGCAAACCTGGAAGGGAGCCTAGGTCAAGTCAGGTCATTGGCCGCTCATCGATGTCAGTCCTTTTTTTATTTCTCGCGCTCACCAGCCGGCCCTCCTCGCACTCCCTTCCTCCTCTTCCCATCCTCTCACCGTCTGTCACCTCTGCACGACGACAACGTCCTCACACCAACGTCTAATACCTAATCCTCTCCACATCCACCACATCAACCGCCACAATGGGATTCAAGGAAGGTCAGTCTCATCCTGCTTCATCCGCACGCAGCGCACTCGCTCCTCCCGTCTTGGTGAACCCGCGCACCACTCGATTCTCTGCCGACACACCTGCATACTTCCTGCGCTGTGTGACTGCACTATCTTTGACGCCGCTGAAGCCTTGGCGACGGGTAATGCCGTGGCCACCGTCCATGATGCCGTCGTGATTCACGCGGTCATCGTGGTACGAGGAACCATACTTGGCCCCCTGCGCCATTTTGCGACGGTCTTTGCGAACCGTGCAGGCCCCATTGGCACCGAGTCGACATGGCAGCATTACCACGAGCCGAGGTTTGCCAGGAAATGTGACAGCAGAGATCGAGAACGGCTCCGACGAGACCTTGCGGAACAGCTCATCCAAACCAGAACGCTAGCTGACTCAATCCAACAGGTGACTCCAAGAAGGGTGCCAACCTCTTCAAGACTCGCTGCGCTCAGTGCCACACCCTCAAGGATGGCGAGGGCAACAAGGTCGGCCCTGCTCTCCACGGTCTCTTCGGCCGCAAGACTGGCTCCGTCGACGGCTTCTCCTACACCGACGCCAACAAGGCCAAGGGTATCACCTGGGACGAGAACACTCTGGTAAGCAACAGTCTTAACAATAACTTGCTACTGTGCAGTGACTGACCGCCTTCGCAGTTCGAGTACCTCGAGAACCCCAAGAAGTACATCCCTGGCACCAAGATGGCCTTCGGTGGTCTCAAGAAGGACAAGGACAGGAACGACCTGATCACGTAAGTCCTTTTGATGCACTCGCCTCTCACAGTGGACGGCTGCTAACAACTCCCTACAGCTTCATGAAGGAGGCTACTGCCTAAACGATTGTTCGACACGACTTGTAACGATAAGAAATGCGTAGAATGGGACCAGCTAGTTCTGTACATATAGAATAGACACTCTGGCGGTGCCCCTGCCTTGCGACCTCATTACGACGCCGCCAGGGTGGGCGTGTGCAACAACAAGCACCACGGCGGATAACGACAGTATTACCTTCGTCTACCTTCGCCGGCGCAAAGAATATCTCCCCTTTTTGTAACCTTTTTGAAAAAGCGGGGAGGTCTGGGCTGGAGTTTTCAAGCGGTGGTTTGGATTCTCGCATTAGATCTGTATACCAATAACGAAACATGTTTCTGCATCGCCGTTAAGGGGCGAAAAAGATCAACATCTTTTCCCAATATCATTGATTGGTTATTTGTGAGATAAACCTATGTGACTTGGTAATGTGTCTCATAGATGGCCTAGAGTATATGCTCTCGAGATAAGCATGCGCGGGCGCCCCGTTTGAGGAAAAGAGCAAACACCGGCAGAGCGCAGTCACGATAAAGTTTGTGACTATCCGCATGGCCTGTCCCTCTAGCGTCCGATGCCATCTCGCGTGGCCTAGGCCTTTCAAGGGTCCAGGATCGGTAAACTCAAAAAGCACGTGCAGGTAACGGCTCATCTTTGGAATATTCTTGACGGAAACTGCATCGTGTCATTTGTATAAACAAATGGTGTATGACTCTTTTCCGTTCCGCTCACGAGAGACAGTGTGATCAGGGCGAAGATGGCTACGACACCATAGGCGAACCATACAGCAGAAGCAAAGATCGCGGGTTTGTTTATTTATTGATTTCTCATGTCCACGTTGCTCCCTTTGCAGTAACCAAAAGGGAATCTGACCACTCAAGTTGTGACGTAATCTGCGCAGTCGAGCCAAGACTCTGACCACACATGACACACTTGACCTCCCAGCTTTTTTACTCCCACCCAGTCTCCTTGAGGTTCCTAAACTTCTCTGCGTGCATATGCGACACGCTCGGCCGTACTCTCTGCAGCGCGGCATCCCAATCCTCCTCGGTGAGCGAGTCCGAGACCGAGGAGCCGCTCTCCTCGCGCTGGACCGAGGCGTTGCCCGCCGCGACGTGCAGGTTGTCCAGGTCGGCGCCGCTGAAGCCGTCGCAGCGCGAGTCGCGCGCCACGCGCTCCAGGAGCTCCATGTTGTTGTAGCTCGGCAGGAGGCGGCGCATGCGCGTCTGCAGGATGTCCACGCGGCCGTCCGGGTCGGGCAGGTCCACAAAGATGTTGGTGCCCAGGCGGCCCGGCCGGAGGATCGCCGGGTCGATCATGTCGGGTCGGTTCGTGGCGCCGACGACGTAGACGCCCGCGCGGCTGCCCATCCCGTCGAGCTCGGTGAGGAGCTGGTTGACCACGCGGGCCGAGGCGTCGACCGAGGTGCCGTCGCGGCGCGGGACGAGGGCGTCGAGCTCGTCGAAGAAGAGGATGCACGGCGCTGACGCGCGCGCGCGGCTGAAGACCTGCCGGACGGACCGCTCGGACTCGCCCACGTACTTGTTGAGAAGCTCGGGGCCCTTGACCGAGATGAAGTTGGCCTTGGATTCGTTGGCGACGGCTTTGGCGAGCAGTGTCTTTCCGCATCCCGGCGGCCCCCACAGGAGAACGCCCGAGGGCGCCTCGAGACCGCGCTTGGCAAACATCTCGGGTTTCTGGATGGGCTTGACGATTGCAAGCTCGAGCTGCTCGCGGACATCGTGGAGCGAGCCCACGTGCGCCCAGGTCGTGTCTGGTATCGTTGTGAAGCCTTCTCGCTTGGAAGATGGCTGTACCTTGGACACCGCGCTCATGATGTACTCCATGGTTAGGATCATCTTGTCCTCAGGTATCAGCGTGCCCTTGGAAGCGGCCAATGACCGAATCAGTCGGATCGGCGCTGATAATTGTTCTTGTTGCTGATCGTCCCCGTCGACGTCCATATCTGTCGATGGTGTTTGTGAAATGATTTCGGACATGAGGTCTCGCATGAGGTCGCTCTGGGCTGTAGAGACGACATCTTTCAGATCGGCTCCGACGAATCCAGGTGTCCTCCGCGCAATCTGCTTGTAGTCCATGCCCTCTACCACTCTGCACTTCTGTAACAGCTTCTTGAGAATGGCCTCTCTCGCCTTCTCATTCGGTATGCCCAAGCTGACTTCCCTGTTGAAACGGCCCGCTCGCCGCAGTGCCGGGTCGATGCTATCCGGCCGATTTGTGGCGGCAATTGTCGCAACCACTTTGCCTCCCATGCTCTCCGGATCCAGATCGTCCATGCATGTCAGCATCTGTGCCACTATCCGCTTCTCCATCTCTCTCTGTGCGTTCTCGCGCTTGCCCATGATCGCGTCAATCTCGTCGATGAAAATCAAGCACGGAGCGAGCTTCTTAGCCTCCTCGTACAGCTCGCGGATCTTCTTCTCTGACTCGCCGGACATGCCAGCGACCAGTGAAGGAGCAGACACCGGAATGAAGGCGACACCGAGATCCGCCGCGAAGGCCTTGGCCAGCATCGTTTTTCCGCATCCAGGAGGCCCGTGGAGGAGCACGCCGCGCGCAGGTTCGATGCCAGCTGCCGCAATCTGGGGGTGGTGCATGGGCAGGGCGATGGTCTCGGCCAGCACCTGGATCGCCTCGTCCATACCGCCCAGATCGACTAGGGAGATGTCCGAGGGCGGGCTGCGGTCCTCCTTGGGCTTCTCGGCCCTCCGGCGCTTCAGCTTCGGCTCGCCATTGGGTTGCCGCTCAGCGGTCGTGGACTCTGCCCCGGTCTCGGTTGCCTGGGCCTCTGGTGACGAGGGCCTTTCCCTCCTCGCTACGTTCCAGTTCTTGGTCATCTGCTTGTTGAGCAGTCGGGAGTAGTCCTTGCCGTCCTGCTTGGCGGGTTCGGCTGATGCCTCCTCGAGCGCGGCCTCCTCGTCCTTCTCGAGACGCTCGGCCTTGCGCAGCCGCAGGACCTTCTCGATGGAGTCCTCCAGCGGTCTCTTCTTCTGCCGGGCTAGGCTCGAGTTTGACCTCTTGATGGCATCGTACACGCCCGATACCGTGAACTTGGGCTGTTTCTTGTTTGTGAGGCCCTCGTTGTCCCTCTCAATCTCGTCCTCGAACTTGCGGATGATCTGGTACACGTCCCGGTCCAGGCCTTGGAGCATTTGGGGCGGCATTACGATCTGCGAGTCTCCAGATGCGGCTTTGCCTCTGGGCTTCTGGCGTGTATGGTGCAGATTGTTCTGATATCTGACAGCCCGGGGTCACGATATCAAGATGTACCTTGCAGGCTGAAGGTGCGAAATAAATTCTGCCAGAACTTTAAAGTGGGTCTTCGATCTGCGACTGCCGTGTTAGTCGAGACTGATTGGAGACGTCACAGAGCTGGTGGCCAACAGTGCTGAGAAGCTCGACATGTAAGCAGCAATGTTGCAACTTGAATTACAGTCATGCTGAAATTATGGCATCTCTTGGAGCTGCAATGATCGACATTCATGACTGGTGACATTGCGCACCCCGTTCTGAGAAGTACTGCAGGTTAGAAGTACCCTATGCAGGATGCACACCTTGGTTAAGCGTAAGTATCTCTGGATGGGCCGGTGCTTTACTCCCAGTTAGCTAGACATCGAAGGCTCTCTGCCAGATTTTCGTGGCAGGATGAGAGAGAACTTGCCATTATTCAAGACACCACAGGTCTTGCCTCAGAAGTGCTGTACAATGTTAGCACAGGGCTATCATGGAGTCCCAACAAAATTGGGGGCATTGGTGTGGGGACTCTTCCCCACCAGGCTGATAGGTTAGCGGCTTGTGCATCCCCTGGCACATGGGAATCCGCGCACCTGACGCACGCCAGAGCATGGCATGCGGGGGGGTTGGCTCCCGGTTCCGATGACGATAGTGGGCACCACCAGCACCACCGCGTGCTCTCCCGCATCTTGAATCCCCAGCTCCGGCTTCAGGGCACTCCCCTCCACGCGACCACCAACTTGAATCTTCTTCGGCCCTACGTTCCAGTTCGAATCGACGACTCCCGTTTCCCCTGTCAAATCCTCTTCACGACTGTCCCCTACCTCAGCTCTGACGACTGCTGAAGCTGTCGCTGTCGCTGTCGGCGTCGTCGTCGTCGCTCCCTGACCAAGCCCCCTCCAGACCATGCCACTGGAGTGGTCGTCGCCAGCAGCAACAGCACGGGCAAGATGGGCAACAACCCCAGCAAAGTGACGGCCCAGGACAAGGCGATCCTCGACCTCAAGATCCAGCGCGACAAGCTGCACCAGTACCAGCGGCGCATCACCGTCCTGACCGACAAGGAGACCGACATTGCGCGGCAGATGCTCGCCGCGGGGGACAAGAAGCGCGCGCTGCTGGCCCTGCGCCGCAAAAAGTACCAGGAGTCGCTCCTCGCCAAGACGGACGCCCAGCTGGACCAGCTCGAGCAGCTCACCCGCAACGTCGAGTTCGCCCTCATACAAAAGGACATTGTGTTTGGCCTGCAGCAGGGCACAAAGGTCCTCCAGGAGATCCACGCCGAGATGGGCGGCATCGAGCACGTAGAGAAGCTCATGGGCGAGACGGCCGACGCGGTGGCGTATCAACAGGTATGGACGCAGATTTCCCCCCATCTGCACCTGGCGTTGGCTGCAGCTCCAGACACACTCCGTTTATAATAACCCTTGAACTGACGTAATGTTACCCCGAAATCCAGGAAGTCAGCGAGATGCTCGGCGGCCGGATATCCAACCAGGACGAGGAGGAAGTCGAGGACGAGCTGGCCGCCCTCGAGGCCGAGGTCAATGGGCCCAGCCCCGTTGCGGTCCTGCCTAATGCGCCAGACACTGTTCTGCCCGCGTCACAGGCTGCCGAAGATGAGCAGCTCGTCAAGGCGAAGCAGAGACAGCCAGAAAGACAAGCCATGCTGGCTTAATATTCATGTGAATTGAGGCACAGCTTTCATTTGTGCCAGAGCGGAAGCATTTATAGATCCCAAGGCGTTTCCCGTTGATTTCTCCTTGCTTCATCATTTCTTTTTTGCTCCTTTGGTGTTTCTCCTTATTATCCTGGGTTGGCTTCGTCCATCGATATATGCATCTATTTCCACAGGCGAGAATAGAGACACATAGGTTGGCGTTCTTTAGTGTCCAACGCTACGAGCACAAGCTAGAAACTGGGTACAATCAAGTGTTGTTCAGGAGACATGGTCTTGATGACAGTCCAGGATATTTTTTTATCATCTACCAGATCCAATCACTCTAGTGCAACGCTGCGTCGTGCTAATCTACAGGTGAAACAGAACGCCATTTCTAAACCACATGCGAAGCAAACAATTACGCCGGGGTATCTCAATGCCATGATTGTTCCAAAGGAAGAAGGTCCCCACGTCAACAACCGCCATTCCCGCAGCTGTCTATATCTTCATCGTCATACTGGACCGCACTCGTGATATCAAGCGGGGAAGTTTGCCGTTGGTTCTTTAGTCGTCTACCCATATCACTTCGCGAGGAACTGAATCGTGGGGCAGGTGCACTGGTTGCAATGCCTGATGTATTTGGACGGGTCGATTCTGCACGGGGACTCGTCCTACATAGAATGGCTCTTGCGCAGGTTGGGTTTCGGATGGGCGAGGCTGAACCATGACGTTCCTGTGGGGACGCAAGCCTTGTCCACTCTGCATCGGCTCGTAGTGGACAATAGAATGACGGCTGTATACGTTTGTCAGTACCAGGATTCGAAAGACGACCCGTGTTCCTATAACTTACGAATCAACATATACAGGACCAGAAGCAGGTCCTGGATGCTCAGGAGCCCGTGCAAAGCCACTCACGGCTTCAGCCTGTAGCTTTTCATACGCCAATGAGCCGTGTCCCTGTGGTACATGGTCGCCAAAGTGATGATCACCGAAATGTGACTTCGTTTCTGCCGTGGAAACTTCTGTGCGGTGCTGCTCGTGTGTAGGGCCCGCGCGGTTGGTATAGGAAGCGAGAACAACTGGCTCGTTCCGTTGCGTCGGTTCGTGGACATATCCTGCTGACGACGCAGACGGCAGATCGTGGTAGCCACGGCGTTCGACGAGGTAATGTCGTTCCGAGTTCATAGCGTGTCCCTGACGCACAGGAACATAGCGGGCACCTTCTCGCTCAATGTAACGGGGTGCATCGTCATTTACGACGATTGGGTTGGCCTGGCTACTAACGAGGCCAGAGCCGAAGTGCTCACGCTCGCCTGAGTGCTGTCCATAATACTCCGTGATGCGTGGTCGCATCGACTCAGTTGTGATGACCGTCCTTGCTGGCTCGCTTTGTTGATACGAGTATCCTGCCGCCACTCGGTCATGGGCAGTATCTGAAGTGGGAAGAGGGACCAACGTAGGTCGAGATGGCCGCTCGTAATCCTCTGGAAAGAAAGTCACTGCCGGGCGATGATCACGGTGGCTTCCATTGTGAGCCGTAAACTGGGGTTGAGTTATAGCAGACGCTGCATGACCGCCGGATGAGTGGTCATCAGGCGGCGGTAATGCGGACTCATGCAGGTGCCCATGCCTTTCCCTTAACGGGTAGAACGCTGGAGGAGGGCCTTGAGGTGAAGCAGGCTCAACGGACGGGACGAGGAGGTCTTGCAAGGCCGTTCTTGAATAAGTCATGAGCGGTTCCTGCTGCGCTCTTGTGACATGGATCGCCCGCGGCGGAGCTCGCTCGGACAGTTGTTCGAACCCTACTGAGGCAGGGACAACCCGCTGCACGAAGAATGGTGCGTCATGCCTGAGCGGGTCAGACTGCGCGATGACAGCATGGCCGGGCTGGTTCGATATCCGGTCAGTATACTCGGCCGGATAGCCACTACGGCCAACCGGTAGGATCGAACTGCTGCTGCCACTGCCCTCCTGACGAAAGGCCTTTGACACTGACGCATCGCCCATCCGAGGGCTGTCCAAGAGTCTGTGCGGAGCTGGGTGCAAAGAAGATAGAGCTCTCTCGTCCGCAATTGCATCAGCTGCGGCAGCGTACCGCTTAAAACGCTGAGCGGCTTTCGCTGCCTTGCGCGCGGTCCTTCTCTCAGACCTTGGAACCATAGCCTTGTGCCTGGGAGGCGTCGCCGGATCGTGGCAATTGAGCATGGCAGGCGCAGGGAAAGGTGCCATCGACGAGGGCTGAGCCGGCCGGGACGGCGTGTGCGAGGTCGATGTCACCATTGGCGAAGCAGCCGCAGATCGGTCGGTAAATCCATAGTCAGGGCTCTGAAGTCCAGAGCTCTCGTCTTCGGAATCGTCGTCAGTGTCAGAGATCTCGATCACTTCTCTCAGGATCTCGTCTAGCTGATCCCTGCCGGTCTCTTCGTCGCCTCGCCATTTGACGATAATGTCGAGACACGGCTTCTCCACAGCTTTCCGGGCATTTGCCCAATCAGTCTCTTTCAGCAGCTCATCATATCTGGTCATCGTGTGGCGGATGTGGGCAAGCGCTGCAAGCTGAACACGTCGAGCCAGTGTCAAGTCTTTTGCCATGCCGACCTTGTACTCGCCATGAAATTTGCCATCCTGTAGAAGTGTCAGTGACCAGGCCGGCAGGATGGCAAGATTGCTAGGGTGCTGAGAAAGTTCACCGAAGCCATTTACCTTCTTAAATGCATGAGCAATGATCTCATGTCTGTCAGTGTTTGGAATTCGTGGGAAGAAGTCTCTCAAGACCGCATCGGCCTGTCTGTTGATCTCGGTCTGGCTTTTTGGAATGGGCTCTGGTTGGCCCGGCAAGCCTGGTACGGAAGGTTGGTAGAGGATCCCTGCGCTCTGGAGGTTTTGCCTGGCTTCATCAACAATAGTCTGTCGAAAGTGGCAACCAACACGGTTCATGTGATGATCGAGAATCGTTGTATCTTTGGAATCCTTGGAAGAGTAAGGTTAGTACCGGAAGACGGCGTGGAAGCGCGAGAGCCCGTACGGATACAATGAAGAAGAGAGCATCTTGCTCCCGAGACAGTTCTTTGCAGGCATTGGTCAACTCGGGATGTCCTGTTGGCACGAACTCAAAACCAGGAGGTGGCTCCCGGTCCGTCAAGATCTGATACACTCGTTAGTTGGCGCGGCCGACTTCGAACGGATTGCTGAGAGAGTACCTCAAAGTCGAGCTTCTTCTTCTTTTCCGTGTTTTGCATCGATTCGTAATAAGACTTGTGCTTGAGCGTGGGAGCTGGGTTCACTGCCGTGAGATTCTGCCAGACGCCGTCTTTGTAGCCTTTGGCTCGCTCATGTTTAGCCCGGCGAGCCTGAGCAGCCAGCATCCGGGGGGCGGCCGGTGCCTTCTTCTTCTCTCTGCCCATCTTTTCACGAGTGATGTCCGGGCCCTACCATGATGGGTCAGAGAAGTATACCCGGTGTCAGGCTGCTCCAGTGGCCAAGCAGAATGAAAGAGAGAGTGGCGGAACAATAAAAGAAACGCAAATTGCTGGGACAGGGAACGAGAGGTCACTTCCTCGGAGCAGAGGCACGCGAGCGGTTTTTGTCCAGGAGAGGAACAGGTCCTGTGGTAGGATGCCACAGTCTGCCCACATGCAGGTCAGCCTGCGTTCCTGGGACCGCGCGATGAAAGCTTTTGTGCCTGTGCTTGACTTGCTGTCTCGGTGGTCGCAGACGACAACACCAGATCACCAACAAGGACACAAGCAGCCAGATAATGCAAGACAGGCCACGGCAGATCCAGGCAAGAAAACTCTCCAGGTTTGGACAAGAAGGAGCGACTGCGCACAGATACTGTGACGGACGACAGACATGCGAGGTCCAGCAGGAGTTGACACGCGCGCAGAGCCAGACGCGACTGCAACAAGAGACGAGTGAGGCCACGCTATTGAGAAGCGCAAACAGGATCTCCGGGCTGTACTCCGTCGTCCGGGGATGGGTGATGATGCCCAACGCAGCACGTGCAGAGGTGGATCTCGCTGTAAAGCTCACGAACTGCTGCACAGGTCGAGGCTGGGGCCAGGGGAGACCGTCCAGAGGGAGGCGCGAGTGGTCTGCTTGACTGTGAGGAAGCGGTCACCAGTGCGCCTTGCAGCAGGTTCAGGATGCTCCCATTCGCGGACGCGGGCGTGAGAAGGCAAACAAGGCAACCTTGGACCCACGGTTGAGCAATGAGAACAGTGGAGAGAGCGTGGTCAGGTATCTCTGGGCCATGGCCTGCAGGGCGTTTGGGCAGCCATGCCGCTGGGTCTGATGTAGGCATATACATAAAACCGCGTTGTGCAGCTGACTGTAAAGCGTGCACAACTCTTGAGCCACATTCTGTGCATCGGGTGTTCTCGCGCTGGCAGCACCGCCACAACGAGGCTTGCGCCTGGGTGCCGCCCGCCTCCATTGCTGTCCTGGGCAGGTTGAGTGCAGCAGCGCTGGCTGCCCGCCCGCCCGCCGAGTCACCTGATCCGCCGGCCCGGAAATTTGTCGAGGCGCTCTGCAAGACGACGCAGGCTAGTCAAACCCGTAGTGAAGCTTGGTCTCTACGAACATCTGCAACCTCTCCTCCGTCCCTCTCCACGCATCTCGACATCCGCCTGCATCGCCATGTTGTCCCGACAAGCCTTCCGCTCGATCAGAGCTGCTGCTCCCAAGCGGGCTATCGCCCCTCGCGCTCCCGTCCGCTCCTATGCCGCCGCCGCCGCTGCTCAGGACGTCAAGCCCCCGATTGCCGTCTTTGGCCTTGACGGCACCTACGCCTCTGCTCTGGTACGCAACCACACTCAACCCGAAAGCAACGTCACGACATGCCACGCGCCAATTCAGCCTACTCAAGTGGCTTCCGAGGGCTTCTTGAGATGGCTCAATTGGCTCTGCAATTGGCCTGCGCGACTTGCTGGTGGGGGGGAGCTAGGATCACGAAAAGCATCATCGTCTAACGCACATGAGTGATTTAGTACACTGCCGCCGTCAAGTCCTCCGCCATCGACCCCACGGCCCGCGCCCTGACCAACCTCGGCCAGGTCCTCGCCAAGGATGCTAAGCTCACCTCCATCCTCAGCACCCCTACTCTCAGCGATGCCGACAAGAGCGCCATTGTCGGCGAGCTGCAGAAGCAGGCCGGCGTCTCGAACGAGACCGTCAAGAACTTCCTCGAGACCCTCGCCGAGAACAACCGCCTCGGCATACTGCCCGGCATCGTCGACAAGTTCAGCCAGATCATGAGCGCCGCCCGCGGCGAGGTCGAGCTGAAGATCACCAGCGCCCAGGTATGCTCCAAAGTCCAGTCACTCGGTTCCAAATGATATTTGGCACACATGCTGACGTCTACTGTTCTCCCCCCAATCAGCAACTCGACAGCAAGACCCTTAGCCGCCTCGAGACCGCCGTCTCCAAGTCCCAGTACGTCGGCGCCGGCAAGAAGCTCAAGGTCACCAACGAGGTCAACCCCGACGTCCTTGGCGGACTTGTCGTCGAGATTGGCGACCGGACGATCGACCTCTCCGTCTCCTCCAAGATCGCCAAGCTCAACAAGCTCCTCACTGACACCCTGTAAATTATCAAACTCCAATATAATCTCTTTTGTACTTTGTCGTCGTGTCCCGAACCAAGGGACGAGGAAAAGCAACCAAGAGCGATGCGGACTGGCGAATGGGGACGTCCTGCGCAGGGATTGGAGACGTACTGTCGGCAGGACCGGAGGAGATGTGAGAGAGGTCTATTTCAAAGGGTGCTCTTTTCTCGTGAGATGCTGCTTCTAGCGAGTTCAGACCAACCGTGTATAGATGTTGTCGAAATATGAAATAGATGATTACTATCCTCGGCACTGCCTTGCTCTATGACGTGCTCGGCCCAACACAATGCCGCTGGGAAACAGGCACACAAGGGAATAGCGGTACCCCGTTGTCGTCTTCCTAGGGTCTAGGGGCAAGAGTCCCGCCTATATCTAGGTTGTCCCGGGGGCCGCGTCCCGAACGTTGCAATTCTTTCCCTCAAATGGTACACCTTGTGCCGCCGACCTCGACTCGGATTTGGTTTTTATCCGTTTCTTTGAGCTCACGTGAACCTGCAACTTCCGCAAACACTATCTCGCACTTTCCACGGTGGTTCTGAGTCGAGTCGCGCTGGTGGTCAGTCGCGACGCAGCGACATTGACCACTGTCGCTCCCAATCCGAACCGAAAAAAGGTACATGCAGTCTGCCTCGAACACCCAGAAGACGTGCGGCAAGAAATACTTGATCCAAACGGTAGTGCTGACAGATCACAGCAGGATTTTGATATTGAGCGGAATGGGCTGATTTCGGATGTTGCACCTTCCCGAGCTGGGCCTTGAATTATCCCAGGCACAACCAGTCATACAAGTCTGTCTGGAAATGCCTCTCTTCTTGATTGTTTGGCCGCTTTCCGCATGTGAGAATCACGGATAACAATTCCTTGGGGCCATTGTCAGGATCTGTGTCGGATTGTATATCTTTTGGGTCTGAACTTTGATCTGAGCGTGTCCTGCTATGCTGGTTTCTATCTACTGTAAATTTGTTTGAGACTGTTTTAAGTATGTATGGCAAGAAGCTCCTTTTATGCTTGCAAGTACTCCCTTTTCCAAAATGCCTCCTCTCCATGATGATGTGGGATACCTAGGAACACACCAACTACTCTAGTCTGAAGCGTGTGCCTCGAACTCGTCGCCAGCAATCATGCCTTCGCGGTCCTGCTTCGACTTGACACGCTCCAGCTGATCCGAGATGTACTGGTGCATGTGCGAGTTGGCCTCCTGCAGCTCGGCCTCGCGCTCTGCCTTTTGTTCGTAGCTCTCGGGCTCATCAACTATGCTCCTAGTCTCATCCTCGTCCTCCACATCAAAATCGCTACGGGCACCAATAGACCTGGCAGTCGACGACCGACGCATGCGCGGCTTCTCTTGCTTAGGGCTATCAAGGTTCACGGATCGGCTGAGCATGTCATCAAAGTAGTGCGACATGCCCACACCTGGCGTCCTGGGAGTCTGAGGGAGACGACAGCTGATTCTGTTGAAACTATTAGCATCGGGCCCTTGTGGATGCGTGGAATGGGATGATACTTACCCCGTATCATGAATCATACGAGCAATCAGTCCGGTCCAGCCACATTGATGTGTAGCTCCGAGTCCGCGGCCAGTGTCGCCGTCGAAGAACTCATGGAACCACATGTGATCCTTCCAGTGAGGGTCAAAGTCCAGCATATCGTTGCCCGCATTGATGCTACGACGGCCATCGTCACCGCGAGCGAACAAGTGTTGTAGACGGTGTTGAATCTCCTCGGAAACATGACCCAAGTGCATGTAGTCACCAGATCCTGTCGGGCACTCAACCTGGAAATCTCGTCCGTAGAAGAGGTAGAAACGCTGGAGCGACTCGACCAGGAGGAAATTCACAGCGAGCCAGATGGGGCCTCGCCAGTTGCTGTTGCCGCCAAAGAGTCCGCTGTCCGAGTCGCCAGGTACGTACCCGACGCAGAATTTCTGGCCGTGAACATCCATAGAGAAGGGGTGCTCCTTGTGGTACCTCGAGAGCGAGCGTATTCCGTGATCGGAAAAGAACTCGTTCTCGTCGAGCATACGCTTCAGAATCTTCTCCAGTCTGTCCTTACTGACCATTGCCAGCAGGATACGGTTGCCTTTACCCCTCTTTCTGATACTGGCCATGTTCCGCTCCGCCAGATCGCAGCGGTTCTCCATAAACCACTCTACCCGCTTCTTGAAAGATGGCAATTTGTTGATAAGCTCCGGCTCCAGCGTCAAAGTCGCGTAGAGCGGAATCAGACCGACCAAGGACCGCACAGGGAGCTGTTGACTCCACGGGCCACCCCAAGAGATGGCGTCGTAGTAGAAGCCATCCTCCTCGTTCCAGAGGGACTTCTCGTCCTTGCTGCCAGCCTTGAAGGTCATGGCGTCGCTAATGAAGATGAAATGCTCAAAGAACTTTGAGGCGATATCCTCATATGTCCGGCGGTGCTTGGCCAGCTCAAGCGCAATGTTGAGCATGCAAAGGCAGTAGAATGCCATCCAGCCAGTGCTGTCAGCCTGTTCGAGGACACCACCAGTGGGGAGAGGCTCGGAACGATTGAAAAGGCCGATGTTGTCGAGTCCCAAGAAGCCACCCTCGAAGACATTCTTGCCGTCCATATCCTTTCGGTTCACCCACCACGTGAAATTGAGAAGCAGCTTCTGGAAAACACGCTCCAGGAAATCAAGATCTTGCCTGCCATAAAGTTTCCGCTCAATCTTGAAGACCCGGAAAGTAGCCCAAGCATGTACCGGGGGGTTGACGTCCGAGAAGTTCCATTCGTAGCTATGTGATAGAATTAGCACGAGCTTTCCCGAGAGACTTTACACTTGACACTTACGCAGGAAGTTGCCCATTAGGGTGAAGGTACCACTCTCTTGTAAAGAGGTCGATCTGCTTCTTGGCAAAGTCGGGATCAATCATGGCCAGAGGAATACAGTGAAAGGCACTGTCCCAAGCGGCGAAGAATGGATACTCCCAGGAATCCGGCATCGAGAGAATGTCGTCAATGTGCAGGTGCTTCCACTGCGCATTTCGGATTGCCTTTCTTTCTGGCGGCGGAGGAGGTTGCGCGGGATCGCCATTGGCCCATTGGTCCCAGATGAACTGGTAGTATTGCTTACACCACATCATGCCGGAAAAAGCCTGACGCTGGATGTTGCGGAGGTCGTCGGTCATGGGCAGAGGGCTGAGGCGGTAGTAGAAGTCGTCGGCTTCTTCACGGCGCTTCTCAATGATGTCGTCGAAAACCTCTTCGTCCAGGTAGTTGTCGTTCTTCTTAGAAAAGCGAAAGCGCACGACTGCCGCAAATGTTAGCTTCAACTGCGAAAGTCACAAGAGTCTGGCTTCCGTAACAACTCACCGGCGCATTCACCGGGCCCGACACCACCCGACTCATTGAACGAGAACCAGGCTGCAGCCTTTGTGCCTGTCTGAGCTGGGTTCACAGCCTCCTTTTTCCCGCCAACGATGTAGTTGTGGAAGGCGTCCTTGACGTACGGAACCTTGTTGGGCTGGTCGTACAAGAATTCGGTGTTGGTGTCATTGTCGGTGAAGATCAGCTCTGGCTGCACATCTTCGCCGCTGGTGCCGACACCTGGGGATGGTGACAAAAGGACATAACGGTCTCCGAGAGAGTGATGGGTCGATTTGGCCATGTTCTCGCCATGAGCGCTGATTGAAGGCTTGCGGTCTTCGGGCTCACGACCCCACGCCCAAGTGTTTCGGAACCAGACGTGAGGAATGATGTGCAATGGGGCTGGGTCGGGGCCTCTGTTCCAGGCAGTGACTCGGAAAAGGATCTCGTCGGGCTCGTCATCGTCCTTGGCGGTCTCAATGAAGATGTCCCAGTAGCGGTCCTCATCGAAGATGCCGGTATCGGTGAGCTGATACTCGGGCTCTTGTTTGCTACGCGAGCCGTTGGTCTTGAGCAGATCTTCGTACGGGAAAGCTTTCTGCGGGTATTTGTAGAGGAATTTCATGTAGGAATGCTGGGCTGTGTCAGTGTGGAGGTCCAAATCCGAGAATCAATCCGAATTGGGCTTACAGTCTGGTCAAAAAATAAGTTAGTTGGTGTTCTCTCATCCGTAATTGTACACAAGAAAGCTTACCGGGGTATTGTCGAGGTGGAAGTGGGCTTCTTTGATGCTCTCGCCATGGTTACCCTGGGGATTTGAGAGCCCGAAAAGCCGCTCTTTCAGGAATGGACTTCAAAAACGATCATGTAAGCACGAGTTCCTCAAGTCTTCACCTGGCCGGGTGACATACTCTTCTTCGTTCCAGAATGCGAATGCAATGTTCTGAAGACCATGTGTGTCGCAGACACCAGCAATGCCATCTTCTCCCCAACGGTATGCGCGAGATCGGGCGTGGTCGTGCGAAAAGTCTGGCAAGCGGACAGCTGTTAAAGAATGATCTGAGGAATCGGAGGATCTCGCATTGTGAAGACTCACGACTCCAAGCATCGCCATCACCGCTGTAGTCCTCTCGAACTATGGTTCAAACGTGGTTGGTTAGTTGAATTGGCCCGTAAACTGGGGATCCAGAAGCCAAGCCTGGCTGTGACCGGAGAAGACAGGCGAGGTCTCACCAGTGGCCCATTGGCGCTCTGCGAGGTAGGAACCCCATTTCTTCCAGTACTTGACGCGGTCGCGATCCTCCTTGAGGCGCTTCTCCTCCTCGGTGAGGAACGTGTGGCCGTCAAAGACAACCATTGCTGCGGCGGCGGCGGAGACTGCGGGCGTGCGTGGGGGTGTGCGGAGTATCCCCAGTGATAGACGCTCGCGGGGTTTTTAGAGCTGTCGGACCGTGCCCTGGGGTGGTAATCGAGCAGCGCGGGCCTGGATTCTAAAGAGAAGAGCCAGAGGGGAAGAGGGCGTCAGGAAGGAGAGGGAAGACGAGCGGGTGGAGGAGGATAGAGCAGACGTCGCACGCTGACACCAGCACACGAGCCTGCGGATGAAATCGTCAGTGGCATGCGTCAGGTACCGGAGCAGGAGCAGCACTGGCAGAGAGGGGCTAGCGGGTGCCTTTCTCGTTCCGGCATGGCCTGGGATCTGCTCGACACAAAGCTTCGGGCGACAAGGGCCTTCCCCCCTTCGGCCAGGAACCGACCTGGCTCTGCGACAACAGCCAATCGACACTCGCTTTCGCTGCACGGCTTGCTATCTCTTCGAGTGTCGCTTGTGCCTGTCAAGAGCATGCCACGACGAATGACAAGAGCTACAATCACAGGATTGCGACCGGCGCCCCGAATCTCCCTTGAGCTCAGAACAAGGTACCCTAGTCGGACACATCTCTTGATCGAGCTCCCAATTCCCTCAAGAGCTTGTCTACACGGCGGTGTTTCCCCTCTCAAGTCTCGCGAGCCCCCCAGGTGCTCTCGCGATATGGAGCAGACCACGACCGGGGGCCGTCAACCAGCAGAATTTCCCCCACCAACCGTGCCCCCCAAGGCGCGGACAGCTACGTCATTATCTTGAGATAGACACGTTCCAGACCGGCCCCCCGGACCAATCCTCAGCCTCCTCCATCACCGATCCCACGTCCGCAATGTCTTACCGCGTTTTTCAGTCTGCACAGAGTTCCTGCGCCATTCGGGTGCTGACCCAGCGACGGTACCTAGCACCAGCCGCAGCCACTAGGAACGCGCCCGCATCAAGTTCAAGAACCATGCAAAGTTCCTGACTGGCCTGGCGCCAACCGAGCCGACGCCATTGTCCTGTCTGCCCAGCAACACCCGCCGCCGCCGCCCCCGGCTCGACGTGCGATCTCCCTTCTGCGTTAAGCTGCATGCATGCATGCAGCCATACATACGACCTCGTGCAAGGTTTCAGACCGCTTGCTCCAATATTTCAAAGCATGGCAGCCACGGTCTACACTTTTTCTAGGCTAGGCAGAACTGATGGTGGAGTGCTGCACTTGAGCTTTGCGAGCAACGGCTCCCAAGTGTCACACTAGCTCCTTTTGTTCCTGTCATGTCATATGTCATTCATCCGTTGCACGCCAGAGTGAACACGACATTCAGTCGGACCTTTTGGTCCCCGCCACCTCTCAGAGCCTGCAGAGCCGCTAGTCTCGGCCATGGGACCAGGCGGTGTCTTGACGCCTCAAAATCTCACAGAGATTCAGAGTGTCCACCACTCTCCTAGGCTCCCCGCTCTGGACTAGAATCAGCGAGCAATGAAACGGGACAATGCAGCTTGTGCAGGGTCTGCTACGGGCCAATCACAGATGAAAACATTCTGGTCAGTCAGGCACGATTGGGTGCAATCTGCAATCCTGATTTGCATGGGTGCCGTCCGCAAAAACAACCATAATGGTATGCATATCTTCATAAGCTGTGTCATGCGATAGAGTCTATACTACTGAGGGTGTATATGGTGAACGCAGGCTATTTCCGGCTGACTATGGTGAGAAGCGGATCATATTATGGCATGTCTCTCTGGAGGGGCAAGGCCCCCCTTCATATGCGTCGTAGCATTGCTGCTCGTAACGGATCTTCTTGTGTCGATTATTTGTTTGAGTGCATGAGAGCGCCTCAAGCTTGTTGCTGAGACTGCTCTGCCGTGTGTCCTTCCGGTGTGATCACCTCCTTACTTACTCATGATGCCCAGGACATCGCTGCCGCACTGCTGTGCAGGGACTTTATTAGCCCGTTCCCATTGCCAGACCAAGCAGGCTAGTGCAGAAATTCTTGAAGAGATTGTGATACGCCTCCTGCCAACTTATTTGGCGAACCAAGGAAACTTCTTCTTCGATGAATCGAGCGCGGCACCTGCAGAGCTTTCAACCTGCATACTACGCTGGTATATTTCCTGTTCATTGTACGCGTTAGTCATCTTCGAGGCGCAGGGTGCACTTCACAAGTCGAAGCTTACCTCCTCATCTGTCGGCATTAGACAGTCCAGGATGAGCTCCCTTGCGGTATCATGCTTGGTCAGATTAGGGTATGGGAAACCCTGGCTCTTCATGATAGGTAGCAGCACTTCGCCCAAAACCTCGAACTTCTTCCAGTTGATCCGGTCACCTTGTGGGCCAACGAAGGTCATGCCACCTTCCTCGGCCGAAACCAGATCCCGTCTATGTAGCGGCATGAATGGAATTCTTGGTAGTGGTGAGTTTTCCCACGCTAACCGGTATGCAAAATGACTCTTCTGCGTACCCATGAGTAGAACGAGTCTCGCAAATCGCTTCTGCACTGCTTCGGAGACCAGCTGCCTTGTCTGCACCAGCCGGTGTACTGCCGCGCCATTGATACCAGCAATGACGGCCGCCAGGCTGTTGTAGTTGTTGAGCTGCCGTAGCTTGAGCGCGATGTTCATGAACTTCTCAAGCATCTGTGCACGATGCTTCGCCTTGTCCCTCATGAGAATAAGGTTAGAAACCCACTGCGCAATGTGGTTGAAATGCGCGATCATGCGGTTGACGTTTCGGGCACTCTTGCACTTTCCCTTTTGTTCTGTGGAAAGGCTCACATGCCGGACAAGGTCCCGTATGCGAATAGACGAGAACATTACCCAGTCGATCTTCGTCAGTTCGTCGGCGATATCGTCGTCGGATGTCTCCATGAGCATATGGTAACGCAGCTTTGTGAGTGGCACGTGATACGTTGGCTCCATTGTCGCAGCCTCCCTTTCGTAGTCCTCAGGAGTGTGGAACTGGAAATGTTGATTCTTGCCAGCAGCATCGGCATCCGTGTAGAGCGACGAGCTTGCAGACGGCCGGCGCTCTGCACCATCGTCCACAGCCAGCGCACCCATGCCGTCCACAACAGACAGGTTGTGAGAAGCCTCCGGACTGATGTATGCCTCATCTCCGTCGTTGGACGGCATCCAGCCGGTCTCATCGTCCTCGAGCACGCTTTGGCTCAGGGTTCGTCTCATCTGCTGTGCTGCCGCTGCAAATATAGGTTCTGTTGAGAGATGCCGGATAAAATCCTCTAGACTTCTCCTCATTCTCGGACGCGCAAAGTCCCCAGGATATGCCGAGACCCACTTCGCCACGACTTCAATGATTCTCAATTGGTTTGAAACCTTGGTCAGGTAGTGAACGGACTTGTCATCTTTGGCTCGGTCCAAACGAGACAGAATAGCCGAGAACAGCATGTTCGGAGTCGAGAATTTGCGATACAGACAATGAAAGACATCCATGAAGTTGCTGTCTGCCCTTGAGAATTTCGGCGCAATCAGTCTATCGACAAGCTCATCGAAGGTCACGCCAGTCTTCTTTGCTGGCTGGTTGAAAACCATCTCGTCATTACGTTGCAGTATCGGAATATCGTCAGAGTATCGTAGTGAATCCGCATCAGAATCCTCGACATCCAAGAAGGAGTTTACATGTCGGGTGCTGTCTAGCCTCACGCCAGGCGAGCGCAGCATGTGAGAGACTGACGGCACGGGAACCTCGTCCACGCTCTCTGTTGACTGGTTTGAGGACTGTGAAGCCAGATATTCGACACGAGGTGATTTTGAAAGGCTGCGATACTCCATGCCTGACGGCAGCGGAATGCCCTTTAACAGTGACATGTCTGAGCTCGCACGACTGTGTCTGCTGTGCTGACTTAATGGACGATTGTTAACAGCTTCAACGGGTGTATCGAGATGAGCCGCAGAAGCAGCTCGGCGGCGCTGCCCTCCAGGTAAATCCGTATTGTCAGGATCTGAACCACCCACTGTTAGCTTCGCACGAACAATGCAGATGCAGTTCAGCTCTGTTGGCTTGGGAGTGCAGGGAGGGAAGTGGCGAGTGAAAAAGCATACCCTGGCGCCCGGCGGAGAGAGCTCGAATTAGAGTAGAAAGTGCGAGTCTCGCACTCTCCGGCTTGTGAGCTGATGTCCCAAAAGTCGCAAGGCAGCTTGGGCATGCAGCTGCAACGGATTCGATCTCCATTTGCCTCTCGTCTTCAGGGCTGTCACACTTAGTGGCAACGAGAACTGTTGGCAGAGATGAATTCACGAGAGCACCTGTGGACGCGGTGTCAGTCAATCCCATGTTCAGAGGGCGTGAGAGCACAATATTTCCTTTCATCGAGCAACGTACTTGAGGTTTGAGGTAGTTCAGCAATGCTGTCGCTGCTGGTGACATCAAAAAGAAGGAGCACCCCGTCAACACGAGGCATGATGGAACCACCAATCTGCTTTGGCCATTTGATCTGCCTCTCCGGGTCAACATCGAAGTATTCGAGGTCCAGCTCGAATAGCAGGACGGCGAACGACATGTTGTCGATCTGAATTCGAGCCGTGGTAGGATGTGGTCCTGGAACACGCGGCAGGGACATTGCCCTCTGAATGAAATGGGACTTGCCCACGCCATTGGAGCCAATTACGGCAATGTTGATTTCCTCCATGTTGTCCGCGGATGGTCTCGCCGGCTAGGTGATCTAGCAAGTGGTTCCTGACACTACCAAGATTGGCGTTTGCTGTTCATAATCCTCAGCGACCGTGTATTCTTCAAGAGCTCTTGCACAGAGAATGCCGATGGCACGAGCTCAAGCTGACATCGCGTTCCAGCTAGCTCAACGTAGTAAGTCGCAAGCAATTCCTCGTTACTTTTGTAGCCTCTGGAATCAAGGTTCTACTCGGTGTCGGCGAAATCAAAGGTTGACACTAGCCCACGTTCGCGTGAGGGATGTCGCCTTAGTATGGCTGAACTTGTGCATGTGCTAATGTGCGAGCCGTCCGAAAATCCTGAGATATTTGATGAGAAGTGTTCTTGAGACACATAGGTCATATGAGCTCAAGATAGGCCGCGTATGTTCGTATGTTCGTTTGTCGCGAACACCAGCACCCAGCTTCAGATGTGAGGTATTCCGCTGTCGTTGCTGGTCTGGCAGAGCCGTCAAAGTATGGACTATATTTGCGCGAGATCCTGGTGATATCTCAGAAGCTGAAATGCTAGGGCTTCGAGTGGATTGAACGGGAGCGGATGATGTCGCAGCGAATTCGGCGGACGTCGTGACGTTGGCGTATCTGGCGCGCACCACCTGGGGAGCTCGGCTGTATTGTTGATAGAGAGAGCAGTAGGTAGAGGAGGCCTTGGTCAGTCGAGAGGCGTGGCGAGGAATGTTTGGCTGGTGGCAGAGTTGGCTAGAGCAGAGCAGAGGCGTCTGGGGAGCGGGAGCGAACTGTCGCAGGTGGAGGTAGCACCGATGAAGCCCACGAGCATGGTCAAAAGAGGGGTCTCAGGGGACTGCAATCGTGGAACGGCGGCGTTGCGAGCTAGGCTCCGGCATGGCGCGTGAGTCCGGTCCAGTCCGGGGCACGTCCAGCATAAGCGGGTCACCACACTGAGCAGTCATTGAGCACGTCCGAACCCATGCCTCAAAGTGGATCCCTAACCCCTGCGCCTGACCAGAGGCACGCTGCAGTGCCCAGTTTGCACTCTTCCACCAACATACTGCTGTTTGGCTCTTATTGGCAATCCTGACAACTCCTCAATCGACTTCAATTGTGAAAACTTGCTGCCGTCAAACATTCCATGCGTATCACTGTGCACGGCGAACGGAATGATGCCTGTGTTTTCAGCTTCATCAACGCCAATCAGCTGAATGGCTGTTTATCAAAGCTTGGCTGGTGCTCGACGTCTACGAAAACATGATGGTGGAAGCACACATGCGGATGCACTTCAACCTAACACCATTATCGAGGTTGCTCGAGGGGCTGAGTAGGATGCACTGGCTGTCCTCGCGCCGCGCAGGGCATTTTGATGCTCAGCATCGGACCTCTCTCAAGTCAAGCCTACTTCAGTGATAAGCAGTACTCATTGAGTCTATTGGCCACCTTCGGACAGGGCACGGTCAGCTACACCAAATCAGAGCCCTGCTTGTTTGCTGAAAACTTTCTTGTTTTTTTTTCTTTCTTTCTTTTTTGTTTTTTTTTTGGAAAAGAGAGCGATATGCCATGGCATCCTGACTGGCACAGACGCGCGGGCAATTTCACCCATTCAGCTGCAACCCAGTGCCATTCGTGGTCTTCTATGGAAATATTCGGCATGCCGTCCCAATGTGAGCTCCGCCTAAATGTATGAAATGTGCCGGACGGAAGCGCGAGAAGCACCATTCAGACATCCCCCATTGGCGGCCGCCTGTGAAAACTGGCCTACGAAGACTCATTGCTTGACCATGCTTACCACTACTTCCAAGTTCGGACGTTGATGCTTCCTGCGGAGTGTCGTGTGAGTGAGGGCAGCTGGGAAAACTAATCTCAAACTGAGCGGGATGAAGAAACCCTCGTGTTACCATGTATGGAAGAGGCGGCCCTTCCCAAGCAGGGACTCGCACGACCGCCCTGCATATATCAAACATCCTGTGCAACAGAACACACATGCACATCAAGAAGAGGGCTCCGCATGGACATTCCGCCTACTATGCTCTCTTTCGCTTTGTTTGGATGTTTTCAAAGATTGCTCATTGCCAGTTTGTACTGGTGGCTCGCCCTTTCCGCAAACAAGAGCACCGCTCCCTCAAAGCAGTTGCCCAGTGGTGGTGCTTCTTTCCTCAGGCCGCCTGCAAGCCGACTGAAAAGCAGCCTTCGGCTGCAGCCCACCACCATGTCCTCTACAACCTCATCATGTGACTCTTCAACCGACGAGGACGTTGTGAGCATGGGACGCACCACCACCAAAGCGACTCCTGTGAAGCGAGTCGAGCTCGACCTCACGTGCGTCTTGAGCTCTGAGCAGCTCATGCATCTGAGCTCGTTGACCAGTGCAATTCTCAACGCCATAGAGGCTCAGACTTGGCAGAGCCTCGATACGCTCGGCCATGGTGTGACGGACAGTTCCGGCATCCAGCCACCAATGGCTATGTGCTTCATGGTTCCCAACCCTCGAAATGATGAGCACAAAGCATCAAACGGCGATGATGAAGTCGGCTCGACAACATCTCAGCAAGTCGTTGGTACGACGCAAGCTGGCATCGGCCCATCTCTCAAGTCCGCTCAACCAGTCGAGCATGCCACATCTAGCTGCTGCAACTCGGAGCAAGAGATACTTGCCGAGTCCGTCCGAGAGTTGCAAAAGGACCTGGCCAGCTACTTCGCCAAGTTTCGAGCTGGTATCGAAAGACGAATTCGAGATATAGTTGTTCGTAACGGAGGCACCCCAGGAGATCCCGGAACTGGCACATTGCTGCGACGTCCTGCAGCTTTCACGAAGCAGCGGTCTGCGCAAGGCAGTTGTAAGTAGGATCACTGGAGCTATGGCTGCTGTCACTACAAACTCACCTCCTTTCTCACGACCCCTTCAGCTTCACATTACTGTATTGTCAAATACACACAGCTGCTCGCTAACTATTAGCAGATCCCAGTGTCACTGAAACCACGCCGCCGTCGTTGCTTGAGCTGTCAGACTATGTGTTGGGGACCGAATATGCAAAACTGTCCTCCTCGAGCCAGTATAAACGCGGCCTCATCCTCCACTGCATGCTTTTATTGGTCCTTGGACTTGAACAGTACGCATCATACTCGAAAGTGTTTCTCGAGCACCTAGCCTCTGCGCTCAAAGTGCCTAAGACCGTACTCGTGGACGATGAGATCAGAATCGCTGCAGGGCTTTCAGAGATTGTCGAGAGCATTCCCGCGGAGGAACTCAACCAAAAGCGACTCGAGGAGTGCACCAAGCCGACCCGAAAATCAAGAGCTGGCAACCTTGATCGATTGGCAGCAGGCCCTACCGCAGCATCCTCCACGCTCGCCCCATGCCTCGCAAAACAAGGTATTGGCAGCATGTTTCTTGGCAGGGCGCGCATTCCGCCAAGCACGGCAGCAGCCTTGCTCGGAAATGTGAATGAGAGCACGGTGGCCGTTGGTACTATCTTTGGCCTGTACGGAGGCCGGCTGGGCGGCAAGGCGATCGATAGTTATGCGAGGGATGTGCAGGACTTTGGCTTGCTTTCCCTGAGGGGAGACACATACTCGGAGCTTCTTGACCCAAAGGACGTTCCTGCTCAACATCGGCGTCTTCGAATGTGTATCGCTGTATCGGGTTGGATCACGGGCGCGACAAGTCCTTTTGGCAATAGCTGGAAGGCAATCGGTGATCGCAACGAGAGCTACACCCTACAATGGGAGATGGACGCTGTCGCCAAAATGGGACTTGCCCTGGAGACAGTCATGAAGAGCAGAGCTTGGAGCCTGGCGCGCAAAGACGCCATCTCTAAGGACGGTTCGTTTTTTGTGTTATTGCCGCTGCTTATCTTGTCATTTTCGAGGCTGACACGTTATACCCTTTACAGTTTTCACATGTCTGAGAGCCTCCTTGTGGCCTGCCAGCCTTATCAAGATCAGCAAGGTCATTGAAAACCCCTGGATCGTCGGGATTGTCCGAGCAGAAAAGGCGGGACAGGTGTTGGCCGAAACATTATTGAACAGAGTACAAGGAGAGAGAGGCGTGAGCCTGGTGGGCTTCAGTCTTGGCGCCCGAGTCATCTACTCCTGTCTCATGTCGCTAGCCGAAAAGCGAGCTTTCGGCCTAGTTCACGATGTCGTCCTCATGGGCTCCCCAATACCGACCGAGATCCGAGTCTGGGCCGCAATCCGGAGTGTTGTCACTGGTCGTGTGATAAATGCTTACTCAAAGGAGGACTTCATCCTCGGGTTCTTGTCTCGAGGCACGAATTGGCAGTATGGAGTTGCCGGTCTCCAAAGCATACAAGGAGTGGCCAATGTCGAAAACATAGATCTCGGTGGTCTCGCAAGCAATCATTTCCGATATCAATGCCTCACGTCTCACATCCTACAGAAGTCAGGTTGGGATGATATGAAGCCTGAGCAAATTGCCTCCGACAAACGGGAGTTCGAGGCACTGCTTGAGTCGGAAAGAATCCTTGATATTGAGCGAGAGGTCGACTTGGACACCGAAGTACGGATGAGTCGTGCAAGCATTGAAGAACGGGAGAAAACCGCTGCTGGCCATCGAAAAGCAGGTCGGGCAGGGCCAAGGAGTAAAGGTCACAGGTCGCGTCGATCAGGACCTTACCATAGCAACGAGAACGGAAGCGTCCCCGAGAGGGAGAAGCCTCAAATTTCTACTCGACTTGACGAAAACCGACCACTCAAGGACGTCCGCGGTGGTGGTTTGCCAGGCAAAAGTCACGGACTCGAGAAGGGAGGTAAGCCTGGACGCTTGAGAGCAAGAGATCTCCCCATCCGCCATGCACAGGGTGGAGGCGCCAAGGTTCATCAAAAGTAGGTCAGTGTCCCCTGCATGCCATACAGCATGGCGGAAAGCGCTGTAATTTCAATGTTTTGCAGCCGTCTTCAGAGCGACAACATCGATGGCCGCGGTCGTATTTCGGACGGCGAATGACCCTTATCTCCAATATCGATGTTTGATCGCAGGCTCCGGTGCTCTCACATAGACGTAGGCGAAAGCACATTTCTACAGCCGTCGAGTTATACATAGCAAACGTATGTAATTAATCCAATATGCCATGAGCTGGGAGTTTGAGACAGGGAGCAGGCGTCGTCACGTCTCGAGCGATCCAGTAGTCTTGACCTTATTGCTTGTCGTTGCAGTTTTCGGTGTCAGAAGCGCCACTGCGCACGACGAAGTATGGCCCCACGGTTTCACTTGCGTTTGCTTGCACATTCCAGTCCTCAACACCAGGTTCCACGGTTGGCGCTCTCTTCCTTCTTGGACGGCGCCCATGACCCACGATATCCTCGTTGCTCAAGGCTTCTTTTAGCTCCTGCAATCCTATGGTCTGCTGCTTGAGTCCCTCGACGGTCTCGTCCCGTATGGATCGTAAAGGTTCAACTCCCGTGGTGTCGACCTGCTGTATTGCACGCACAAAATGCAATTGTGAAGACAACGTCTTGAGCATGTCTTCTTCCTCCGCTGGAGAAGCTGGAGGCGGAAGCGCCGAGAGTCGCAACAGGTGGTGTAGAGTTTTGGAGCTGATCTCGCCGTCATGCAAAGGGTGCGACGAGTCAGACGGGGGCGGCAACAGTGATCTCACCGACCATGTCGGTTTAGAGAGGATTGCGCCAATGGCGCTGTCTCCCCGCTCTGGCAGGGCACTGCTCTTCTTGAAGTTCGAATATGAGAGGTTTCGTTTCGAGTTGCGGTAGCTCGTAGGCGCGAGATGGGGAGAGGCCCTCGGACGCGTCGATCGGCGCAAGGCGAGGCGGCAGAACTGATAGACGCTTGACACCATTGCGGTGTTTTGCATGGGTGCGCTGCCGATATCGACTCGTAGAAGCTGGCGCGATGGGGTGTATATAGAAGATGCCGTTTCGCCAACGCAAGAGATGTCTGGAGTTTCTGGACACCCGGGGAGAAATTCGTCTGGACTAGTGTCTGTTGACAAGTAATGCGAAGTTCGAGGTCCAAGTTGAAGTTCCTGGATGCCCCAGCAGCAAGCAGGCTCCGAGGCTGTCCCCACTTTGCCAGCAAGCAGCGTGCTCACGCAACCCTGGATAGGGCTGGCAGTACTTCTTATGCCACGTTTTCAAGGTGGGCGAGCAAGTACCCCATCCACTTGTTTCAAGTACTGCCTCAGGCTGAAGCTTCTTGTACCCTCCGGGCGGGCTGGCTCAGGTGGTGCAAGTGAGCTGGCTCGCAATTACGTAGGGGCACCAGTGGACGGGCGATAGCTGAGCCACTCACCAACACGTCGCCATCTTCTTTGTAACACCAGGCACCGTCCCGAAGACACCACCTTCCACTTGGACAAGACAACACCAAGTCCTTGTCTCTCTACAACACATTTCGGTCCTCCAACTCCCAGAACCACTGCGCACGATGGCTGGAGATCCCCGTGCGCTGCTCTCCAAGGTGAGGATTACCCCCACCTTTGCCATCCATATCTGCCACGAACCACAATCGTATTCTGACCATACCAACGAAACCAGGCGGACAAGACCATCGCCAGCGCTGGCGGTGGCTTCAGCTTCTTCGGCAACAAGGAGCAGAAGTACCAAGATGCTGCCGACCTCTACATCGAGGCGGCCAACGCCTTTCGCATGCAACATATGAGTATGCCCGCCTCAGATCATGACCGGTAGCATACAGGCAGGCGCAATCAAGACTGACCCTTCCGACCGCGAACAGACCGCGAAGCTGGTATGGCTTTCGAGAAGGCAGCCGCTGTGCAGACAAACAACCTCAAAGAGCCCGATGACGCCGCGAACACATACGTCGACGCCTTCAAGGTCTACCGTAAAGAGAACCCCGAGGATGCGATCCGATGCCTTGACGTGGCTATCAACCAGTACTGCAAGAAGGGCAATTTCCGGCGAGCGGCGCAACACAAGGAGAACATGGGCGAGGTTCTGGAGAACGACATTGGTGACATCAAGAGAGCCCTCGAGGCGTACGAACTGGCCGCTGGCTGGTACGAGGGCGACAACGCCGCAGCGTAAGTCGCATGCTGGATCTCAATTAAGGCCTAGACTTTCTGTGTTTACTCACACAATCGTGCATAGACTTGCGAACAAGCTCTGGCTCAAGGTAGCAGACATTGCTGCACTTGATGAAAACTACCAGAAGGCGATCCAGAACTACGAGAAGGTCGCGAGCGCGGCGATCCAAAACAATCTTATGCGCTTCTCCGTCAAGGACTACTTCCTCAAGGCAGGCATCTGCCACCTCGCGACGGGCGATATGGCCTCGATCAACCGTGCTTTTGAGGTCTACAACGACATGGACCCCACGTTTGGAACTACGCGCGAGGCGTTGCTGCTGCGGGATCTGGCGGCCGCGATCGAGGCGGGTGATCCCGACGGGTTCACAGACAAGCTCTTCCAGTTTGACCAGATGAGCAAGTTGGACAAGTGGAAGACAACACTTCTGCTCAGGATCAAGGGCAAGATCGAGCAACAGGGCGAGGACTTTTCTTAGTTGTCAGTTTGTAGGGAGGTGTCAGGTTGGGAGAGAGAATACATGCGATAGCTTCCTCTAGACACGTTGAGCAGCATGTCACCACGTCGAGCTTATTATTGCCTAACTATAAGTAGATACCATGTCAGACACTGCCCAGGTTCTTCTTGGGCTGCCAAGATCATCCCCGGACAAAGACCTGTGAAGGGAATCCACTGCAATGGGGAGGGAGGCACCACGGAGCAGTGACAAAATCAGTCTCACTGCCTAGAAAGGGCCGTTGGTTGCTGGAATCGCTCCAAGGGTGGTCCTGCTCTCTTTGATCAACCGCACCACGGCATGAGAAACTGCGGGTCCGCCGCTCTCAATAGCCCGAGGCCTCAAGCAGAACGCTTGCGCGCAAGGCGACTTAGTGGGGTGAAGTGCGATAAGATAAGCAAAAAAGTTATGGATAGAGGACCCTCGATTCTGCTGCAAAACAATAGAGAACCTGCCGACTGCTTCCTGTACCCCGTCGTGCAAGCTTTGAAAGTCAGCTCACGACGTTCAAGATGGCTACTTTAGAAGAGAAGCTGGATAAGATTCGGTCGCCGAATCTCCAGAGCCAGCAACAGGTACGATCATCCCGTCTTTGTTTGCCACCAGAGAGAGGTCTGCAGACTGACCATTTCACCGCGAACCCGCAGACCGTCGTCATTTTGAAGGCGGTCGATGAGACCCTCGCCGAAGAAAAAACACAACCCACGTCGACAGCCTACTTTGCGGCCCTTCTCGCCCTGCTTAACCAGTCGATATCGAGCGGTCAAATCAACAAAGACCTCACGCCGTCTGTCGTATATCTGCTCGACGTTGTCACGCCCTTTGCGCCGCAGCCCCTCCTCCGATCAAAATTCACACAGATTCTTACGCTTCTCGCGCCAGTGCTCCTATTGCAGGATGCTGAAGCGCCGCTGCTCAAGCCCTGCATTGGCTGCCTCGAGTCCCTGTTGATTGCTCAGGACTCGGCGGCATGGAAGCTACCTACCAGCGAGATCGGCCCACGCCGGGCTGTCGCCGGATTGTTGCACCTTTCCTTGGACCCTCGGCCGAAGGTGCGGAAGCGGGCGCAAGAGGCGCTGCGCAATGTCCTCAAGAACCCGCCCCCCAGTCCATCGCTAGATCATCCTGCGGCTGATCTGTGTGCGGAGACGGCTATGCGTGGCCTGGTCGACTTGGCGAACAAGTCTGCCGAAGCTCGCAAGCAGAAGAAGAACTCGGGCGGAGAACACGATCCTGCGCTCATTCACGCTCTGCAGCTCGTCAAGACCATTGCCTCCGCCAGCGGCGGCTGGCCAAGCAAGAATATCGAGGCGCTCTGCGAGCTTCTGCTCAGAATTGCCAAGAGCGGCAACGAGCACATGACCATGGCTGTGTTTGACATCTTCGAGATGATCTTCGAGGGCATGGCAGCCAACGAGGTCGCTTCGGCCAAGCTGCCCCGTCTCCTCGAGATCATTTCTGAAATGCGCCCCTCCTCAAACGACACACAGCTTCTGCCTCCCTGGATCGCCATCCTGTCTCGCGGCTACGATGTCTCAGCGCAGATGGAGCCGGAGGACACCTTCCAGAAGCTACCCGAGCTGTTCACCATGATCGCGGGCTTTATGGAGTCATCATCACACAACATTCGTGTATCAGCATCCGAGTGCTTGATCTCATTTATGGCCAACTGTATCCCAGATCAGGTCATTCTTGAGCCTTCGATTTACGACGAGAAGATCCTCGACAAGATCGCCAAGGTTGCAGAGAGCTTCCTGAGCGTCAAGTTTCAGGCTGCATGGATGGAGACCTTCAACGTCCTAGGCGCCATGTTTGACGCTCTGAGGTGGAGGGCGAACCCCATGCTCCTGAATGTTGCCAGGAACGTCGGCGATATCCGTGGCAATGATTCATTCATGGGAAAGAAGGAGGCCGACGAAGTGATCGGCAAAGCTATTCGCGCAATGGGCCCCGAGGCTGTGCTACAAGTCCTGCCGCTCAACCTCAGCAAGCCAGTAAAGGGTGAGCCGGGCAGAGCCTGGATGCTCCCCATCCTCCGCGATTACACCACAAATACCGACCTGCAACACTTCAAGTCTGAATTCGTCCCTCTTAGCCAGGCCATGTTCCAGAGAGTCCTTGACAACGGAGCGGCGGCAAAGACGATGGAAATCAAGATCTACGAGACGCTCGTACACCAAATCTGGTCAGTACTGCCTGGATACTGCGATCTTCCCTTGGATTTGAGCACGGCATTCGATCAATCTTTCGCCGAGATGCTGGCAAACCTGCTCTATCAGCAAGTAGACCTGCGCCTAGACATCTGCCGTGGTCTGAAGACTCTGGTAGAGTCGAACCAGGCAGTTGCCGCCTTGGAAGGCGACGATAACCTCCTCGAGCAGAGCAGGATCTCCCAGAAAGACGCAAAGAAGAACCTTGCCTACCTTGGAGGATTCGCCGGCAACTTGCTTGCTGTTCTGTTCAATGTCTACAGCCAGACCCTGCCCCAATCGAGAGGCCCTATTTTGCAAACCATTAACGCCTACCTGAGCATCACACCGGATGCGGAGCTGGTCGAGACCTTTGACCGTGTCAGCCAGATGCTGTCCGAGTCGTTGACGCAAGCCAGCAACGAAGAAGAAAAGAAGGCCGCGAAGGCCAAGGATTCAGCACCGTCAACAAGTCAGACCCTGATGGACCTGGTCATCACCATGTCGATCTATCTGCCCCGTGAGAGTTTCAGCCCGCTGTTCAACATAGCGGCTCTTATCATTGTCAGAGATGACGATCCGCAGCTGCAGAAGAAGGCTTACAAGCTCATCCCGCGATTGGCCGAATCTGAGACCGGCAAGATCGCACTGCTGGACAGGCACACTGAGCTCCAGGCTCTGCTCTTGTCAAGTGCTGACAAGGTGTCGGTTCCCGCCAGACGTGAGCGTCTTGCTGCTCTTGCGGCACTCGTCCCTTTTATTCCCGACGACGCGTTGCACTTCATTCCGGCCGTCCTTTCCGAGGTGGTCATTTGCTGCAAGGAACATAACGAGCGCGCGAGGATGACTGCTTTCGACCTGCTTGTCTTGATGGGCCAGAGACTAAACGACGCCAAGGGCAACCTCATCGACAACAGCAAAGTACCACACATGTCCGAGGACGCGCCCTCGGTCATCGCCAGCATCGAGGAGTACTTCACAATGGTCAGCGCCGGTCTTGCCGGGAGCACGCCGCACATGATCTCCGCGACAATCACAGCCATCACGCGCATTCTCTATGAGTTCCGCGAGGCTGTGAGCGACGAGGTCCTCAGCGATCTGGTGCAGACCATGGACCTCTTTCTGACTTCGAACAACCGCGAGATTGTCGCGAGTGTCCTCGGTTTCGTCAAGGTGTGCGTCATCAGTCTCCCCGTCGACATGATGCTGCCCAGGCTCCCGTCCATGATCCCCAACCTCATGGTCTGGTCGCACGAGCACAAGGGCCACTTCCGGTCCAAGGTCAAGCACATTCTCGAGAGGCTGGTCCGCCGGTTCGGCTTCGACGCCGTCAACAAGCACTGCCCCGAGGCGGACCGCAAGGTGCTCACCAACATCCGCAAGACCAAGGAGCGCAGCAAGCGGAAGAAGGAGGCGGCCAGGAACGGCGGCGAGGACGGCGAGGACGACGAGCAGGCCGGCGGCAAGCGCCGCAACCGCTTCGAGAGCGAGTACGACGAGGCGCTGTACAGCAGCGACGACTCCGAGGGCTCCGGCGACGACGAGGACGACGAGCACACCCCTCACCGCAAGGCCCAGAAGGGCGGCAGCACATACATCATGGAGGACGAGGACGAGCCCTTGGATCTCCTTGACCGCCGGGCGCTGGCGAGCATCTCGTCGACCAAGCCCGGCAAGCTGCGCAAGTCGGGCCCCGGCGGAAGCAAGACCAAGGCCAAGACGGACCTGGACGGCAAGCTCATCCTGGGCCAGGACAGCGACGAGGATGGCGACGACGCCATGGTCCTCGACACCCCCCGGGAAGGAGGAGAGGAGAGCGGCGTTGGCGCCTATGTCGCTGCTCTGCGCGGCAAGGACGTCGGCCGCAGAGGTCAGCGTGGCCGCCTAAAGTTCTCCAACAGGCGCGGCCGGGGCGGCGATGGCGACGACGAGGACGAGGACGACGGCAACAGCATGGCTGTCGACTCGAAGGACGCGTCGGCCATCAAGTCCCAGCTCGCGAGGAGCCCCAGAGGCGGCAGCAGCGGTCGCGGCGGCGGTGGCGGTTTCCGTGGCGGGCGTGGCAGTGGACCTCCCCGTGGCGGTGGTAGCCGTGGTGGTTTTGGTGGTGGCCGTGGTGGCGGCGGTGGTTTCGGTGGTGGTGGTCGTGGACGTGGGGGCCAGTCTGGCCGCGGAGGCATCTCTGCTGGTCGCCGCGGACTGGGCGAGGACAAGAGGCGGACTTCTGGAGGAGGTCCCGGCGGCAGGGTTGGCAAGCCGCAGTTTGGTTCGAGACGGTAAAGATGCAAAGCAGACTTTGGGCGAGTTTATACCATGACGTAAAAGAAGGACCGAAGGGGGAGAGTGAAAGGGGGGGTTGAGTCCAAATAGAAGAGCTGGTAACTGGCCACACTCCGTTTTCTATACCACTTATATGGGCAGTTTCAGTTTCTTTCATGTGTCGCTTGGAGTTTTACAAATAGATAAAATTGCACGGTTATGATTATGCACGCCATCATCATTCGTAACAGCGCAGGGAGGGCGCACCGGTGACTTATAGCCTTGATACTTGTGTGTGTCTGTCTGTGCTTGAGCTCGTGGTGCTTCATCACATGAGCTTCGTGTCTGTCTACTTGTGAAAGTCTGTATATTTACTCCATCTGGGCTGATTTCGGGGACTAACATGACAAACGACCGCAACGAAAGGGACTGTGTGCAACAAAAATCTTCCGCCACGAAAAAGAAACTTGACTACGCCGCTTAACGCCTTCCTTGGAAATTCGATGATGATGATGATGGGGAAAACATGTCCTGGCCCAAATTAGGCACGGGGATTGATATGAGTGCTTCATTTGAACTTGCTGTAAATGACTGCGAGGATGAGAAGGACGAGAATGGTGATGATGGCAATGGTGATTATCCGATTCGTAGCCATCCTATCAAAACACACCCACACGGCGTCAGCGTGAACAGCTCCTTTAGCAGTAAAGCAAGGTGATATAGGAGTCAAAGGAGAGTGAGTTGGGAGGGGGGGAGGAAAGTCCTACCTACGCGCCATCCCGCGCAACGTCTTGACACTGCGGTCGACATAGCCCTCGCTCTCGTTGAGCATGTCGCTCGTGTGCATGATGCGCTCGCGCTGCTGGTGCAGGTCGGCGAGCGTGTTGGCGCCGATGCTCTCCGTCTCGTTGGCGAGGCGCTGCGACTCGCGCAGGCGCTGAGTGCTGCGGTCCAGGCGGTCCGAGCCGGCCAGCAGCTGCTGCCGCTGCTCGTAGTGCGCATCGTTGCCGCCGGACGGGTTGTCCGTGTACCGGCCGCCGAAGAGCGCGGCGCGGTCGTCGGCGAGGTTGCGCAGCTTGGTCTTGTACTGGTCGACGTCGGTCTCGAAGTTGCGGAAGCGCTGGTTCACCTTGCCGCGCGAGGAGGAAGGGATATTTTGCTTCTCGAGGCGCATTTGGCCGAGCTAGAAAAGAGAAAGAATGGTGTCAGCCTGGGTTGTGCATGTCCACCCTTTGAAAACAGGAGGCAGCGTACCAGTTCGTCGGCCTCCTCGAGGGCGCGCTCGGCCTGGCTGATGGCAGCCTTGCGGGGCTCGCCGTTGAGCTCTGGGATCTGGTCGAGCTTCTGGGTCAGGTCGGCCTGAACAAGCTTGAATTCGGCCTCGTAGCTGCTGAAGAGCTCGGAGCCGGCATCGGTGTCGAGCGGGTTCGCCATGGTTGCGGGTGGCGTGGGCTGCCGTGTAGAAGTGGGCGGCCGGCGCAGAGGTGGATTGCGCTTGTGTGGGATAGGCGACGATTAGGAGCTCGACAGAGGATGCGGCGAGTCGGTCGGTGGTGGTGGTGGTGTTGGTGGTGGTGAATGAGACGAACGGGGAACGGAGGCTGTCGTCGTCGGGGCTGTAAGGATGGGATGCCTGGGCTGAGGCTGGCGTGGGCGGGCCGGCGATGCCACTCAAGCAAGGCAAGGGACATGCAAGTGCACGCTGCACCTGGGCGGGCTCATGCCGCACGCACGCCCGGGCACTACTGTCGCCCTGCCTGCAGGCGGCGGCCCAGCTGGGGTTGCTACGCAGAGCTCGCAGCACAGAGTGCTGTTCAAGGGTGTGTCTAGTTAATTGACAGGAGCAGCGGACCACTCTGCTCGAGCCGATGGCTCTCAGGACTGGCTTCGAATCACTTGCGCAGTGCGGAAGCAGACGTTTCTTCCCGTCATTGTAATGGCGTGGACGACATATGGCTAGCCAGAAATGGCGCTTCAAGTCCATGCCAGTCTCATGGTCACGGTTGCCAACACTTAGGCGAATTGCCAATGAGGCTTTGGACTATCATTACGAGTCATGATCTTGTGCCTGCGTATGCTGAGGCTCTCATGGTCCTGAGGCGACGCAGTACGCAGCGTATGATTGCACATTCGCCATGGAACCAGAGTGAGGTTGCCCTGGAGAGAAAGAGAGAGACAGAGAGCTCGGCGCTGGGATGGTCCGTGCGCATCTCTTTGCACTGTGGCACTCCACCTCCTCGCGACGCCCATAAAATCCTGCACGACCGCTCTGCTGCTTTGGCTTTTCCTCTTCTTTCCCTCTCCATGAAAGTTGAACCACCCCCGGAAGCAGATAATTAGGCTCTGCGTCCTCGATCTCGTCACGGACGCCGAGTTGTATTAGCCGGGCAGACCAACATTGGAGCTTTAAAGAACTGGATATTAGACGGTGCCTCCGGGTGCCGCCCCTGAGTATTTGGTCCCGTTGAGCCTCGACATTTTCTTGCTTCGCCCGTGCCCTTGAATGTGTGGACTACCTACACCGCGCGCTTTGACGCGGCCATCCAGCCAAGGTGGCTGTCGTCGTCGGCCATGGTTGACTGCCGAGTCGTGCTGTGTGCCGTTTCGAGGCTGTCTGTCGCAGCCTCCCTTTGGTGGCGGGCTTGTCCGGCTGGTGTCTCAACAGGGTCCTCGTGGCACCGCAACTCAAATGCGGCTTCGGCCCAGGAACGAGCTCCCTCCATCTCGCGTGCCTGGCGCTTCGGGTCTTTCACAAGTATACGCACGCATTAAGCCGTTCGAGGCCGTTGCCCGTCCACCACCCTGACCTGAGGTGCTCGTGACTCGGCGAGGCTGCTCGGGCACAAAAACGGATGACGAGGGTGGAGCCGGCAGGGGACCTGCTTGGCTTTGCCGAGAAGTTGCCCACCCGCCGCTCTCAACAACCAACAATCCGGGGCTGTCAATGGCGCCTGTCAGTCCAGGAGCTTGCTCAAGTGACCTGCCCCATGGCTCCACGACGCCTGCCTGCTTGCCTCCTCGAGTGACGAGCACATACTTACGTACCTTACACTCCTCTTTCCTTCTGCATCTTTGTCGCCGTCGTCGTCTTCGTAGGAAGAGCACACATCTTTTGTCGTCGTTATCGTTGTTGCTGCATTCTCGAGGCCCCCTCCCGCCTCTCCTCTGTGGTATTTCCACCCTTGCACCAGACCCTCTGTGCTGGATACCGTCTGCACACGCCAGCCACTCGTGCAGCGCCGCAGCCCGCCCGCCGGTGACGTCCTCTCCCATGGCCGACCGAACGCACCTGTAAGTGGCCGCCAGCAGAGCAACTTATGGGCCTCTCTGCAGGCTCCTGCACCACCAGCCATCTCACCGTCACTCCCCTCGCACGAGCCAGGCACACGTTATCTAGACATGCACCTCTCGTTCCTCCTTTCGTCTATGCTTTACAAACAATGGCTAGATGAAGTGGCGGGCTTGCTGTGTGTGGCAGTCCCAAGCCTGCTTGGTGCACACCAAGTGTGCCTTCATGACGCATCACCTGCAACCAGCAACCCTATCCCGCTTTCCTTCCAGCCCGATCTGTCTCACCTTCGCAAACTTCCGCCCGCGGCCCGTCCTGCAGGCCTGTTTCATCATCTTCACATGCCAATCTCCCTGGACGCTCTTGGGTTCTCCATCATGTATAACTGCCCTGGTTGAGGTCATCTCAGCTGCTCCACCGCCTGCCCCCTGTCCCGTTCTTGATATATCCTGCCGGCCAGCAACAGTCTCTTCACGGCTTTCCAAGTCTCCCTACACGTCGTCCCGAATGCCAATGGCCGTGGTTAACGTGATACCCAGGAAGAAGATTGCCATTGTGGGCAGTGGCTCGGCAGGCGTCGCCGCGCTCTGGGCTCTCAACCGCACTCACCACGATGTCTATCTCTACGAGGCCTCTGACCGCCTGGGTGGGCACGTCAACACGGTAGAGTGGAAGCAGGGCAAATTCAGGACTTTGCTCGACACCGGCTTCGTCGTCTTCAACAAGGCTGCATCTCGTTCGTCTTCCTTGGCCTGCTGACCACCACGCCGAGCAGCAGCAGCAGCTAACCTGCGCAACAGCCAATTTCATGAGCTTTCTCAACAAGCTGAGCCTCGGGACAGTACACACTCCTGTAACCTCGAGTGTGTCTAGGGACCGCGGCGCATTCGAATGGGCGGGAGCGGGAGCGGGTTTTAGGGCCATCTTCTCTCAGAGGTTGAACCTACTGTCACTTCGCATGTGGAGGATGCTCTTCGATATAGTGCGGTTCAGCCAGTTTGCGTCGGACCTGCTGAGAGAGGACGATCACCGCAAGGGCAGTGCAAGCTATGACGAGACGATCGGGCAGTATCTGGACCGCGAAGGGTACTCAGACGCCTTCCGCGACGAATATCTGCTGCCCCTCGCGGCCGGTTTGTGGAGTACAAGTCCCGAGAAGTGTGCTTTTGAGCTTCCAGTCGTCATGCTGGTTCGTTACATGTGAGTATCGGTCGCCCGTCAGGCCTACTGTTTCGGCATTCTGACACTGCTGGCAGGTGGAACCATGGCCTCCTCGACGTCTCTGGCAACTCCACTCAATGGGCGACCCTCGAAAACGGCTCGCGATCATATGTGGATGCTGTGCTCAAAGGCTTCCCGCCGAACCACCTGTTCCTGAAAACGGCAGTGAAACACGTCAGCAACACGGATGACGGTCGCGTCAATCTGCACCTGGAAAATGGGCGGACAGACATGTACGATCACGTCATTCTGGCCACGCATGGCGACCAGGCATATCAAATCATCTCGCCCTCGGCTACCGAGGAGGAAAAGTCCATCTTGTCCAGGCTCAAGACGCAGGAGACCATCTGTGTACTTCATGCGGACACATCGCTCATGCCGAAGCGGCGGAGAGCTTGGGCCGCGCTGAACCACTCGACAATGACGTCGCGCTGGTCAAGCAGGGAGATTGAAAAGGTGTCATTGACGTATGACATGAACCAGCTGCAGCGAGTCCCGCGGGAGGCGTTCGGCAATGTATTTGTCACTGTCAATCCGTTGCACGAGCCCAAAGCTGCGTTAGTTCAGGGACGGTGTTCCTATTCGAACCCCGTGTATGACCAGGCGACACTCCGAGCACTCGATCTGTTGCCGAGGATCCAGAACAAGCGCGGAATCAGCTACGTCGGTGCGTGGACTAGACACGGCTTCCACGAGGACGGCTTCACCAGCGGGCTGCACGTGGCCAAGACTCATCTGGGTGCGAGGCTGCCATTTGATCTGATCGACCCGGCATATGTGCGCGGGAGATACCCGCGAATTGGCATCGTGGACTACATCATAAGGATACTCCTTTTGATTGTGCAAGTCTTTGTGATAGACTTGGTGGAGAGAGTGTCACGGAAATATCGGACGACCAAGCCCATGCTGAATGGTCGGGGGAGGCACAAACGAGGTATTAGCGAAAAGCTTGCCTGAACAAAAGCGATAATTATGTTGAATAAGGACCAAGAGAAAGTAGAGGAGCATCTTGACATATTGAATGTGGTTGGATGGTGTATTCTTGTATCTAATTTTTTTTTTTTTTTTTTTTTTGCATCTTGGCATATAGCACTGGAAATGTTGCACAAGCATGGAAGAGCACTCGATTACAAATTTTGAAGCAACCTCGAAGGACGTCTGGTTGCTTGGCGGTGTTGCATCCCTCAATTGGCCTGAGGCTGTTCAGGAACCCCCCCCTGCAACCGTCACTTGTGATGGGCAGGGTCCCGCAAATCCCGGGCGACATGCGGAGCGGGCCCCGCAAAAATATCCAACCAGTCCCCGGTGATGACCTCGACTGAGTGAGTGAGACAGCTCCGTCGAACCACTACATCCTATTACCTCCACAAACCAACAACGCTCGACCGCCCACCACGGGCATAGCACGCACAATTGCAGCACGTATTCTGGAGCGGTAGCCGTAGTACAAGAACCCGGAGCTGCCTAGCTCTCCCGGCAGGTGCCAACGGGGGACACTGGGACCGAATCCTTTTCTCAGCGCTTTTCCACCACCACCACCACCGAAACCAGCCTTCTGAGCGCGGAAAACAAGAACGGCCAGGCGTGTGTGTTTTATGTGCACCGCGCAAACAGGCATACTCAACCCGATATGAACACCGCCGCGTTGACCACGCTGCTCCGGCCGAGCACCACCACCATGCTGCTGTGCAGAGCCTGCTGGCGGAGCTCACGCACCGCCGCCGTCAGCGCAAGTCGGCGGGGTATGGCCACCACCAACATCGGCTCGACGACCAGCAACCCAGCGGGAAGGGCACTCAGGTCTAGAGCTTCTGCTGCTCCGACGGCGACGATGACGACCAAGATCAATACGGCGCGGACGACCAGCCGGGCCAGCAGCGTGCGGAGCGCGAGCACGACTAGCAGCGGCAGCGGCAGCGGAAATACGCCGCCGCCGCCGCCGTCAGGAGGCAAGACTACCATGTCGCGGCAGCAGCAGCAGCACGCGCTGCATGCCGAGTCGATGGAGCGCGTGCGGGCGCACTACAAGATAAAGAACAGGACGACTATGTAGGTTTCTTCCTTTCTCGAGAATTTCCTGTTGGGGCCACGCGCCCGCGTTTGGCTAGACCTACAGAAACACACTCCGCTCAACCTCACCTCGCATGAGCTCTGCCGGGAAGTTGCAAAACGAGAGACCTCATGGAGAGAACTTAACCAAGGGGGAGGTGCTTAATGTGGTCACGGATGGTGTCGCAGCGAGAGAGAGGAGAGAGGGCGGACGCGGGGGGAAAGGGCGCCCATGGCCCCTTTTCTCACATTAGGAGAATCAATACGCGATGGCTAACGTTGGGCGGTTCTGTCGCAACCGGGACAGGTTTTACACGCTGAGCATCATCCTCGGTACCGTTGCGCTGTCCTACGGGTCGGTGCCCTTCTACAAGATGGTATGTTCAACTGGCACAATACGCATAACGGCTCCCTCTATGCCCTCATTGTCTACCCCCACAAAAGATAAATAAGGACGTGACTGAATCTAACCAACCTCTTCCAGATCTGCCAAACAACCGGCTACGGCGGCCAGCCCGTCCGCGCCCCAGGCCACGGCGGCGCCGGCGCAGATCCCAACGACCAGGATTACGACCCGTCGGTGCGCCTGAAGCCCGTGACCTCGGCGCCGCGCATCCGGGTCACCTTCAACGCCTCCGTGTCCGACAGCCTGCCGTGGAAGTTCACCCCGCAGCAGCGCGAGGTCCGCGTGCTGCCCGGGGAGACGGCGCTGGCGTTCTACACGGCGACCAACAAGTCGGACCACGACATCATCGGCGTCGCCACGTACAGCGTCACCCCCGCCCAGACGGCCGCGTACTTTAGCAAGATCCAGTGCTTCTGCTTTGAGGAGCAGCGGCTAAACGCCGGCGAGACGGTCGACATGCCCGTCTTCTTCTACCTGGACCCGGACTTGCTGAACGATCTCAACATGCGGGGCGTCAATGAGGTCACGCTGAGTTATACCTTCTTCAGTATGTCGATTCTGGTCTTTCATTCTTTGTCTCTCATCCATCCATCCTGTCGTCACCCCGCCACACCCCGACCGACCGCCCTTGACTCTAGTGGCATTGCTTCGCCCGCGCTTCGTCTCAGTCTCCTCTGCAAAGGGCTAAGCGCCTCTATCTCCCCGTACCGTATATGCTGACAATATCACTCCACAGAGGCCAAGTACGACAACAACGGCGAGTTCAAGGCCATTCCGATGCCACAGACAGCATAGAATTGTCGTATCATGACGCCTAGCTCGAGAGAGCTCGTGCGGCTGTACACTATATATATAATTGTATCATATGTTGAAAGATAGACTAAGAGTTTCGGCGCCTGCGGGGGTCTGACGATTATTATTGTAGTGTCGTCATGGGGACAATGAAAGACATTCAAGGGGTGGCCGCCGCAACTTTTGCCAGGCACACTGGAAGAAAGAAAAAGAAAAATCCATTCTCGCTATGCTCGCACAGAACGACAAAACTTGCTATATCTGTGATGCCAGCTGCACGGCGAGGGAACTGCTAGACCCGGCTCGGTTCTTCTCGAGGGCCCAGTAGTCTGCTCCTGTGTCGCTTGTCGCTGAGCTACTCTGGCCGCTGGCCCCACACAACGTGTCTGCGTGGTGTTAGTTGGAACTTGATGTCATCACCAGCAATGCTGCTTGCACAACTTACAGACTAAGCCCAATATGAATCTGCAACTCTTCTCTGTCAGCACAAGCAACTCGACTTTGTCTCATCCTTCGAGCAAAAAATCGTCAAGACTCACCGCAGGATCAAGCAACTCCTCCCTGCACCGCGCTAGGAAGAGGTCGACCTCCTCCTCGCTATCCCCTCCCAGTATGAAGAGCCGTTTGCTGATGGCGTCAATGCCCTCGTACAAGTCCTTGCGGGCCATGTACCCCAGTCGCTTCTCCCTCTGGCCCTTCGCCCAGGGCCCAAGTGGGCAGAGAAGCTCCACGTGGTTGACGTCCTGGAAGCCCCTATCCCGCAGACGGTCGGCGTGCTTGGTCGCGGCCATCGAGTCGATCCCCAGCTTTGCGCAGACCTCGCGCACCTTGCGGCCCCAGGTCCACAGCGCAGAGCCCTCGGCCACGCTGTCGTCCGGGCTGTCGAGCGGGATCGAGAACTCTTGCAGCTCCAGGAACCCCCCCGGCTGGAGGACCTTGTATGCCTGGTCGACAAAGTGGTCCCAGTTGGCGATGCCCATGGTCAGGGCGCGGCCGTGGACGTAGTCGAAGCGCTCGTGGAAGGCCCACTCCATGGCGGCGTCGTCCACAAAGAATTCGCAGTTGCTGGGCACCCAGTCGGGCTGGATGGGGCTGAGATCGGTGCCGATGACCTTTACTTTGGGGTGCAGATTCGCAAACTCGATTGCCCAGTCTGTGTTTCTTGTTTAGCTGAGCTGGCGCAAAGAGAGGGCGATGCCGACTCTGTCCAGAGCCTCATCCACACAGAGATTGAATTCAAAAGTGAATGGACATACTCCCCGTGCCAGTGCCGACATCCAGGACATGGGTCAGCCGTGCATCTTTGAGCGGCGCCAGATGATACCGACCGCCAGCGATCTCGATCCAGATGAGATGCTGTAACTCGAGCCGGTCCATTTCTTGCTAGAGCGACCAGGTCAGTCGCTGTCGCGATCGCATAGAGAACTCTACCCAAGAAGTCCACTTGCAACATCGTTTGGCAAATGGTAAGTGCCATTCGCACTCTGATACCGCCGCCCATTTTCGTAGCGGAACTCGTAGCCCTCGCTGCGGAGCGACGTCGTGACGCTTGCATGACTAGTCAGTATGGAAGGTATGTAGCACATGCGGGCTCGCACGCACCGGGGAAAAAACCTACGATGATACCTCTGAGCCCATGGTTGAGTCGTCGTCTGGGTTATCAGAGTCAACGTCCAGGTGATCTATGATCTCCTGCGGCTGCGGCGACCGCGACTCGGCAGCTGTCGAGCCACGAGGTTGGTGGTCGTGGGCCAAGCCGGCACTGTCGGACTCCATGATGTTTTACTTAAGAGCTCGGCTGGGGGAACAAGAAACGAGAGTGGAAGCAGAGAGACAAAGGAGTGACGGCGAAGACAATGAATCTTAGATTGGGGTCCAGACGGTTGAAGCCGGATCGGCTGGCTGGGCAGCCCTCAAGGGAGGAGCTCTACATTGTGCCACTCGTGACAACAACAAGCTTCACCTAGTGGTGAGAGCTAGGGCGACGGCCTGTCTCGCCCGCAGCAACCAATGAGAGAAACACCAGCAGCCTCGAGGACCGGGTTTGAGACAATAGGACGCGGGTTTGGGTGGTCTAGAGCCAGATTGCCTCTGGCAAGGCACCAACCGTGGGCCGCCTCATCTGCCGGCCGCCATGGACCGATCGCCGCCCCCAGGGGGCACATAGGGCTGGCTGCCACGGCTCAACCCTGCTCCACCACCAATCGCGGCGGCTGATCCGTCGTCCTAGCCGGGGTCTTGTGTAGTTCATGCAAAGACTGTGCAGCATGCTAAGCGTCTTCTACGGCTGAGTCTCAATTATTCTCGCGCCCTGTGCAGGATGCAGCTTCCGAGGTCCACAGGTAAGTACCTATGAACTTTATGCAACCATGGAAAGTGCGACTTGCCCGCCCGAGTGCGTGCCTGCCTGGAGGAGGATCCGGCTGGCTCGAGCCCCACCCGTGACGCAATCCAGATTCCCCATACAGTAGTACTGTGCCCCACCACAACGAGCTTCCTCGAGGCTGCAGGGTCCAGCCCCAAGCTACACACTCCCACGTGCTTCAGACAAACAACAAGAGATCCAACCTCACCGCACCTCAAACCACCATCATGGACGTCTCGAGCAGCACAACCGCCCGCCTGCGGCGCACCTTTGCCTATCCCGACGACGCCACAACATCCACCGACGACGACGACTCCCGCGAAGCTCTGGACGAGCAGGAGCAGGAAGACCTCATCCTGACCCTCGCCGAGCAGAACGAGGCCCGCAACGCCCAGTTCACCACCGCCCTCCTCGCGCTACCCGTCCTCGCGACCCTGCCTTACCTTGTCGTCCTGCTCGTCCGCGGCTCAACCCTGTCAGATCGCCTCATCGCCCTCCTGAGCCTCTCCAGCCTCGGATCGACCGCGTACATGCTCCGCACGCAGGCGCCCGGAGTCACAGGGATATGGCACATCGATGCGTGGACGGCGGGGGTCTATTCCTTGTCCTCTCCAACCACCACCACAGCAACAACAACAACAACAACATCGCAACCTTCCTCGTCCGCGGTCTTCGACCCCCGCGACAATAACAGCAATAGCGCTGCCACAACCTCATCGGCAACGGGCCTGGGCCCAGACTACGCCGCCATGGGCGGCCTCGGGTCCGCCGCCCGCCGCAAGCGCAGACGCAGCAGTGCCAGTAGCTTTGGGGTCTGGTTCCCGGCCCAGAGGACGCCGCTCGAGCTGTACCTGCCCTATCTCAACGTGGGCCTGTGCCTGGTGCTCGTGCTCATGAGTGCGGCCAAGGCGTGGGCTAGTGGCGGTGGTGGGAATGGTGGAGGATCTTCATCGCCGTCGTCATCAATGTCTTGGGGCGACTTTGGCCTGGGCAACCTGCCTGCTATCGTCTATGCCGTGGTTCTGGTGTCCAAGGTAGTCATGGGTAGTGTCGACCCGGAGAAGGAATTAAGCGCGCTGAGGTATCAGTATAAGGGTGCATAAGGACCACATGAGCACATCAGCACTTGTTCACTATCAAACACGCTCCCGCGCCTACATTGCGTCGTTGACCAAGATGCTATCCCAATTTATCCAACTCCTGTGTGTCGTGTAGTCTTCTTGTACACATGGCCATCATAAATCGGTCTGGCTCTATACATCTAACGATTCGTTGAAACGCAACACGCCATTGCTCTTGAGGAGTCCATCAATGCCCTTGGGCAGCCTTGGGAACGGATCTGCTAATGGGTGAGGGTCGACTGCCTTTTCACCTGTCTTGTCAACCACCAGCGCGAGTCCATGCGACTTGATGGCGTCAACCAAGGCCGGTACCATGTCCTGTATTACGGTTAGCCTGTGAACAGCACAATTTGTTGCAAAGGGGCAGTTTGTCCATATCGCGCATACCAATAGTCTGGAGCAGCAAATTAGCCCCATAAAGTTGTTGTTCTGTGCGACCCGCACTGCCTCCTTGATCGAGAGCGAGTTGCGTCCGCTGATCTGGATCACACTGGGCGACGGCATGGCCTCCTCGCGGCCTAAGTCGTTGCAGAGAAATACGGGGAAATTGGGCTGCTTCCAGTTGAGAGTCGTGCACAGGGTCGGGTTGTATGAGCTGAAGACGACAGACCGCACCGCCTCGGGCGCCTGCATACGCGCGGATCGCTGTTTGCGCGCGTGGTCAAAAACGATGGCGAGGATCGAGTCGACAAAGACATTAATGTCGGCCGACGGTCCCAACCCAAATGCTTGCTCCTCCCTCTCGGTCGGGTACAGAATCTGGATGTTGACATGCATAGAGTTGGGCAGCTGCGCGAGGGCGTGTTCCAGAGAGACACCGGCCGTTGCGAGGATGCGATAAATGTCGGCGATGCTGTCCCGACCAAATGTGGTCAATTCAGACACCTGGCTTCGGCTGCTATTCGAGGCAGTCACGGTCCCGAACTGCTCGAAGCTCAATCGAGACACGGGTATCTCGACGCCACCGCAGTTGACAGTCCATCTAGGCCAGACTACCGGTACCCCGTCATTCGTGTGCTGCACATTGATCTGGACGAAATCACCGGACAAACTTGATCCAGTGACGAACATGTTCGGCGCCTGGTCCAGCTGGCTTGTGGCTTTCCAGTACGTCTCAAAGTCGGCTATCTCAAGTGGCGTACCCCGGAATGGCTTGATGACTTGTGTGTTGAAGCTTATTTGCCCAATCGCACGTAGGCGAGGATCAAAGAGTGGAAGACAACACCTGCCGGCAGTTTGCATGCGGGCCTTGAAGGTATTCGGCAACGCTACAGTCTTGGCGATGACCTTGGCTCCATATGTCGGAAACACATCAAAATCAAGGGTGAAGCTGTCCAGGTTGTCAACCTGGAATGACACCAGGCGAGTATCCTCCTGGAATGGGAGAATAATGTTCTTGGGGATGAGATCAGCCACTTTGGACGATATCGTGAGGCGTGCCGCAGGATATTTGCTGTCGTGGAAGAAGACGAGTGGCTGCTCTGAACGCTCTTCAAAGGTAAGCTGGACAACGGTCTTGGTGTCCAGGAAGTTGTGACCATAACGACGTAAGGGAATGATTGGCGGTGGCAGCTCCAGGACTGGAATGGCGTCGACGTCGAGAGACATGGGCATCGGCCCATTGCTGGTCATGGGTGTTAGATGTGCCTGCATGGTCAGTGGGCTTCTCGTGACGCCTTTCTGGAAAGGAACGAGTAGCCTCATGCAGGCCAAGTGCCCTTCCCACGCAGCGTAATAGACGGCTGGCAGATCTTTCTCGTCGGCAATGTTGGCGTCCACCCCAACATTCAGGAGCTCTTGCAAGCATGGGACATTGCCCTCACTTGCAGCGTGGAACAATGGCGTCCACCCATACAGTTTGTCGCATTGGTCGAGGTCAGCATTATATTGCTGAAGCAGCCGCAGGAGCTGTGGCGTCTGGCCCGACCTTGCAACGAGGTGCTGTGGGTAAAGGCCTTCAGCATCGGGTAAGATCTTCGCTCCATGCCGGAGTATCAACTCGACGATCTCCACGCTACCATGCTCGCAAGCAAGGTTCAGAGGAATGTGTTCGGCTTCGGAAGCCGGGTCTATCCTCGCTGATGCTGCAAGCAGTCTCTGAACACATGACAGGTGGCCATGAATAATGGAATGTATCAATGGCGTGAAGTTGTCGTGATCGATAAGATCAATAGTCCTAGGATCAGCTGTTTGTTCTGGTTAATTACAGTCATGGTGATCAACTGCCAGTACGGATATCATACCTTCCAACAACTCATTGAGCATATCCAGCCTCCCATGCATACTCGCGTAGTGAAGTGGTACCCTGCCGTAGACATCCGTCCGGTTGACAGCTACCCCGCCAGATACTCCGATGCCAAGGACAAAGTTGTTGCCGTAGATGGTCGCCTGGTGCAGACAATTCCTCTCGTTGATGTCGTCCTCTGACTGTATGTCGACCAAGCCTGTTTGCAGAAGTACTTCAAGCGATGCCTGAGGTGCTTCGTGTATGGCTGCGAGGAAGGTCCTGGTGATTCTCTCCATCAGCGTCATGTCAGTCGTGGACGATGTCGCCGCTGTGCTCTGCATCCGCGTAAGAAGGTCACGCAGAGAATCCAGGTTACCAGTGATGGCAGTGTCGAGCAGCAGAGAATCGACATCGCCCTCGTCGGTGCCGAGCAGATGTTGACTGCTGACAATGTGATCAGGCTTCCCCTCGAAGCTGACATGGTCTCCCTCAGCCCATGCTCCAAGCTCCTGTAAGCTGGTAGTGGCTTGGTCGGAGAGCTCACTGATGACCGTGGCGTTGAAAAAGGGCTGCACCTCAACAGCTCGGGATAGATACAGCTCTTTAGTTTTCGACTTGGATGTCTTGTCCCATTTCTTCAGAATCTTTGAAAAGGCAGTTCCGTTGATTTCCACAAACTGCTGGAGCTTGTTGAGATCATTGGCGAATTGCTGGAATCCTTCTTCGAGTGTGGTGAACTTGGCTGAACGGCGAGATATGCCTTGGCGGGCTTTTAGTACTCTCTTCTTGTCGAGCAATGTTTTCAAGCGAATTTTGAGCTGCGCTTGGGGTTAGCGCCGGATTCTGAGGATGAAACATTTGAAATCATCATCACCAACCTCAGCCTCTTTTTGCAGGTACAGTGCATTGACTTTCTCGAGTTCTCGTTCCTGAGACAGGTTAGTTGAGGCGGACATTCAACGAGCGAATCTAACGAGGGCTTTGTGCCTACTAGTTGGAAAAAGAAAGCTGCTTTGTTGGCTTGTAATGCAGCTTGGGTATCGACTGGTGTGTGCGACCTGTTCGGGTCGAGTTGAGCGTGCAAGACAGGAGTAGCGGAGAGTTTTTTGATGAGCTGTTGCCAGTTCTAGTTAGAGAAGTTCGCAGCCATGACTGCTATGGTAAATATGGGATGTACCTTCTTGAGCGCTTTGTAGTTGACAAAACTGGCAGCATACTCGGGCACTTCAAGCTGCCGCTTCTGGATATGCTTGCCGAACTTCCTGAAGGAGTGTCAGCTACTAACAACAACTCAATGACATGCCCGATGCCAACCAGGTGGATAAGAGAGAGATTTACATGGCGCTCTGAGCTTACGGGCAGTGAGCTTAAGCTGACGGCCAAATTATCCTAGTGTGTGACTTGGCAAGCTCCTGAAATTGCCTTGCAGGTCCTGGGCAATATAGCGATCAGATTAGCTGTCCATGCAATCATGTCGAGAAAGTCTTTGGGTGTATTGTAATGCGCAAGGCAACCGCCATTGGCGGTCATTCGGCTGTGTGGTGATGAACGGAGAGGGCGGGACCATCACGAATGGCGATGAGGCAGTACTTGCGTCTAAGGACCCCAATGCCCGTCGGAGCCCTGGCCAGAGGCGAGTGGTGTGTATCCAGGGAGAGAAGCGTATGGGTTGGGGTCAAGGGACCCTGTTGGACGGACGCACTGCATGTGTGGCCATGCAATGGCAGGTGACTAGAAGGCTTGCGGGTGTTCGACGAATAAGGTGCCGGTGCATGGTGCCGCGCACTTGAGGGCAACCCTGAGGCTTTGACCTTACGGTTCGTTGGCAGGAGTGGGATTGTGTTGCCCAGTACAATGGCGAGGGCCGTGGAAGCTGTAGTGAAGAGTGACCAGAAGAACAATTGGAACTTACAGCTGACAACCTAGCCTCGTCCAAGACTGAGTATTTCGATATACCCAGTTGTAGGGATGAGATGGCGTCTTCGGGCAATGGTTCGTACAGCACCTGACCACGCTTGCCTCTGACGGACGTGCGGGATGTCTCTCTGCGATCCTGGCGAACTGGGCCAGGGGTGTATCAGGACCCGGGAACCTGGAGTGGGCGCTCAGAAAAAGAAGCAAGTGCCGGTGGATGATATAAAAGATACAAGCTACACAGGGCGTGTACTGGTAAGATGTGCCAGCAACGGCTGCCGAGGGGTAGAAGAAATGGGAATGACAGTTGGCCCAAACCCAGGAGAGGTGCTTGTCGTGGGCCGAGAACAGCCACTTTGGTCGAGTTGTCACCGGGCAAAATTGCGTCGGGGGCGACCGATGAGATGGCTGTTGGCGGGGTCTTTGAGGGGAGATCAGAGGCGCCTTGCTTGATCCGCCAGCATCGTGAGTATGAGCAGCGCGAAATCACCCAGTGCCTGGGTCGTCGTGGTGCTTTCCGGCTTGCAGACGGACCATGTGGTCGAGCGGCGTGCCTGTAAAAGACCAATCACAGGCCTTGCTTCCTGGCAGGGTCTGCCTCCGTGACGAGCCAACACCGAAGCACAGCAGACGTTGAAGGCGGCTTGTCGTGTGGCGGCCGCGATCCCGGTGGACAGTTGACATGTACCAGTCCCGCTATGTGCGGCCGGAGTGGTCCCTCGAGGCTGGCGCTGTGATGGCGTCGCGAGTCCCGGTTCGCATGTGCGATGTTTGACAGACCAATGAGATGCCGTAGGTCACCCTCGTGCTCGCTCGACATGTCAATCGGCAACAACTGCGGTCCATGAACCCTGCCCGGGAGCTTTCCCAACTTGGCAAGCGCCCCTCTCTCCGTGGTGCCTTTTTGCAGGGCCCTGCCGCCAGAGCCCCCGGTCCTCCCAGGTAGCCACCAGCAGACTGAGCCGACGGAGCATGGCTCGCTTACACGTACTTGAGACAAAAGCATGATGAGGTAATCGATGAAATGACGTATGCACGAGCTGGCTCATAGTCCATGCGCAGCAATGGACGGTGTATTTCCACAATATAGGCACCGCCTAGATTCTTCACATTCGAGCAAGGTTGAGCATGACACGGTTGGCGCATGTGCTGCAGTGGACAGATGGGGAGCCGAAGCATGCATTAAATGCAAGAAGACCCAGGCACAACCAAAGATGCGACAGTGCTGCAACTACAAACTTGAATCAATCGGCGACTCTGAAGATGTGGTATCGAAAATTCGAAATAGAAAGCCTCCAATCTAGCCGACTTCAGCTCCAGTATCCGCTGCCGGTCCGCGCTCTATCTTGTCGTGCTCTAACCAAAGGCCTTGCTCATTTCTTGTCCTTTGGCTTGCTGTCGACGAGGCTGTCAGCCATGGCATCGGCTGTTGCTTGTTGGAGCCTTTCACTGTCCTCCATCTTGATCCCTTTGTCCTTGGTGTCCTTTTCATCCTCGCTGTCGCCAAGACTAAAGGGATCATTCTCAGTAACCGGGTTGTGCTCCTGCGTAGACAGAGGCTGCCACTTGCTCTGTCTACCAGAAGGCGCGGGAGAGACATTGTCCTTGGGTGGAACTCTGGGGGATGCATCATAGGCATCAATGTCCTCAGCTCCATCCTTAAAAGCAACCTTGCGGCCCTCGGGCCGGGGCGAAACCGACGCAGATGTTCGGTTGACGTTTTGTGTGCTTGATGTCCGGTTCGGAATTGGCGCTATTCCACCTTGGTTAGCACCTGACCTGTCACATCGAGAGCACGCTCATCACTTACTTCCATCGGGGTGAAGTCTGATGCCGGCAAAGTCATCACTCAGAACCTGAGGGTCGGCATCATAGCGATCGTAGTCGTTACTGCGGCGACTTGCCTCGCCTTCTCGCCTTCCGTATGTGCCCATACGATCCTGCTGTCTTGCGCGCTCGTGTTCTGCGGCCTCCTCGTCCATGGCATCGTCAATCTTCTTCTTGATCGAAGTGAACCATGTATTGACTGTCTTTTGAGTCTCCTGGAAGCCTTTGCGCAGGTTGTCGCGGATCACTGGAAGATCGTCATCGAGGAAACTGTGCTCGCGATCGTACATTTCGTTGGGTTTGAGGCCAGTCGCCTGACGACGAGGCGCCTGTCCGCGGCTGGAGGTCCTGGCTTCGTATGCGCCAACGTTGTCATAGTGCTCGGCGAGCTGACGTGCGTATCGCTCATCGGCTTCCAGCTGGCTCACAGCCTCTCCGCGAGCAGGGCGTGGGGGTTGCGGCGGGGGTGCAGGTTCGAAGGACGCTTCTTGCTGAACCGCATCTGGATCGCTCATCCCTAAGGGGGGCGTTAGCAACGCGCTATACAGCCAATACTGACGTGCTGCAATAGTGAGTACATACCAAGCAGAGCATTAAAGGCAGGGTCGATGCGGCCGCCACTGGCGGTCAGGACTGCGCGGATGACGGAAAGGTCGATCGTGGGGAATGCCTCTCTGAGGGTCTGCTCGTTCTTCTGCTGCTGGCTCACGGGCCGCGGTGGCTTGCTTGGTGGCGCCTCGTCCGCCGTTGTCTGAGCCGAGGGCTTGCTGGTCGATCCAGGTTGTGCGTTGTCGTTGTCCAGGGGGACGGTGTCCTGAACATCGTCGTCGTCCATGTCGAATGGTTTTACTGTCGTGGGGGATTCGGGAGTAGATGAGGATTGGGTCGTCTTGGACTACAAGGCACGTGGGTCAGATTGGCGCAACGATGAGGAGTATAGTATTGGAAATGGACAAGAAGCTTGTAGCTCGAGCTCGGGGGTGGTCGAGCCCGTTGCCACAGCAGGACGGAGCCTGGGCGGGTTGGTAGCTCAGGGGTTCCTGGCGCAGGGGACTGACCGCATCGGTGGGCGCAGATGCCGCCATCTCTGGTGCAAAGGTGTGAAGAACACTTGTCTTGGGGGTTTTGTTATGGACAACAACGTCGGTGATGGCCAGAAGAACCTTGGAAGCTTGTCAGTTGCAAGGATAGAGTAAATACGCTTGCTGCCTGTCAGATGATGGCGAGGTCCAGACTCCAAACGTACCCCAGCCCCGCGAGCCCCGCACCGTTCCAGCTTGGTGGCCCGAAGCCTACATACGTACCTTAAAGAGCGGGCGATACATGCAATCAAGAATTTGAGGCACCGACAAAAGCCATGCAGGCAGCCATGCAAGGTGCAGCTACCCTTATTTCACGCAAGTCTCAGTGTGGCCAGCTCCGGGCTCCAGAATACCTCATCCGCGCATCACCCAGCTTGATTGCGTCATCCGGCACCGCCACCAGAGCAGACGTGTAGGCAGGAGCAGGTCTACCTCAAGCACCTGCGGTGGCCTTGAGCTCCCGCTTTGATGACCACGACGACTTCTCCGAGCTGAGGACTCAGAACCATGACTGGCAGGGAGACCTAAGCTCAACACCTGGCTCTCTTGTGACTGTGAGTCTCGGACGGTGACTTCGAGACGGCTCCCGAGCCTGCGAACCAGTCACGTTGGGTCACAGCAAGGAGCTCAGTCAGCCCCACTTTGTGTGCATGTTTCGGCTCAATAGCCACTTCGACAAATTGTAGCTGCATGCAGGCCTCGCCTGTGTTAGTGACAGACTACCATAGTAAGGACGACCAACATGCCAATGACCTGCACCCGTGTCACTTGAGGTCTTGGGCTGGACTGTCGAGGCAAGACGTGTCAACACTGCGAAACAACAGCTCCAAGGACCCACGGGCCTTTCTGTTGGCTTTCCTGTCATGGCGGACTTCGATCTTAATTCGTCCTATATTCCTGCCTTGCACAAACCCTCGGCACTGCTGCCTGTTGCCAAGCATCGGGAGAGCCTGCTGTTCCTCATAGAGACAAATCCAGTCACAATTGTCGTCGGTCAGACTGGCTCCGGCAAGACTACACAGATCCCTCAGTTCCTCGAAGCCGCCGGCTGGTGCAGCGACGGCAAGATCATTGGTATCACACAGGTATGTCCTCTCACAAGCATCCAGCCCAGGCTCGCATTATCCAGGTACTGATCCCTTCTTGCAGCCAAGACGCGTAGCTGCTACTACTGTCGCAGTCCGTGTCGCCGAAGAATATGGCTGCGAACTCGGCAAGCAAGTCGGCTACTCAATCCGCTTCGAAGATGTCACATCAGCAGTAACAAGTATCAAGTTCATGACAGACGGATTGCTGATCCGAGAAGCGCTCGTCGATCCCCTCCTTTCCCGGTATTCCGTGATCATGGTCGATGAAGCCCATGAGAGATCGATAAGCACCGACATACTTCTGGGATTGCTGAAAAAGATTTTACGTCGAAGGCCGGAGCTGCGTATTATCATTAGCAGCGCCACCCTGCAGGCTGACGAGTTCTTGCGCTTCTTTGCTGATGGCGACGCGACTGGAAGCCAACCAGGAGCAATCATCACTTTAGAGGGCAGAACATATCCAATCGATGTGCTATATCTGGAACAAGCCACCGAGGACTATGTAGAGTCTGCGGTTTCTACTGTGTTCCAAATCCACCAAAAAGAAGCTGCTGGTGATATCCTTGTGTTTCTTACTGGCCGCGAGGAGATAGACTCGGCAGTGCAAGCGATTGAAGAGCGATCGGCCCAGCTCTCGCAGGGCTCTAGCAGGATCGTCCCGCTCCCACTCTACGCGGGACTGACCACGGAGCAACAGATGTATGTGTTTGAACCGGCAGCGGCGAACACAAGAAAGGTCATCCTCTCGACGAATATCGCGGAGGCATCAGTCACGATCGACGGCGTCGTCTACGTCGTTGACTGCGGATTCGTCAAGCTTCGTGCCTTCAATCCCCAGACAAGCATTGAGAGCCTGACGGTTACACCGGTATCGAAGGCATCTGCCCAGCAAAGAGCTGGTCGGGCTGGCCGGACCAGACCCGGCAAGTGCTTCCGGCTTTACAGCGAAGATGCTTACCAGTCGCTGCCCGACATCACTGCACCCGAAATCCAACGCTCGAACCTGGCACCTTTCATTCTCCAGCTCAAGGCTCTCGGCATAGACAACGTTGTGCGATTTGATTATTTCACTCCACCGCCAGCAGAACTTATGCTGAGAGCCACTGAACTGCTGTTCTCACTTGGCGCACTCGACGAATATGCCAAACTGACTCGGCCACTAGGCATGCGCATGGCGGAACTTGCCGTCGAACCGATGATGGCGAAAACACTGCTCTCTTCTCCCGCCTTTGGCTGTCTCGAGGAGATGCTGTCTATTGCTGCCATGACGGCTTTAGGCGGCTCTGTGTTCTATGCAGACGGCAATAAAAAGCAGCTAGACGGTGCACGCCGTCGTTTTGCAGCGGAAGAAGGTGACCACTTGACCCTTTTGAATATCTATCAAGCTTTTGTCACCAAGGGCAAAAAGGAGTCCAAATTCTGCCATGAAAATCACCTCAATTACAAGTCTCTGCTGCGCGCTGTGAGCATTCGAGGGCAGCTCCGCCGTTATCTGGAGCGCTTCGGCTTGACAGCCGAGATAGCATCCCAGAATCCTGCAATCCCCAAAGCAGAGTCGATTCGGCGGTGCTTGACAACCGGATTCTTTGCGCATGCGGCGAGAATGCAGCCTGATGGCACATTTCTCAATGTCGCTGGAGGCACAGTGCTATACGCTCACCCCAGCTCTCTCATGTTCAACAGGAAGGCGGACTGGGTCATATTTCACGAGGTCATCGAGTCAGGGAAGAAAACGTTCATCCGAGATGTCACCAAGATTGAGAAAGCATGGCTGTTGGAGTACGCCGCAGACTTCTACCAGCTCAAGACCTAGCTGAGGTAGCCGCAGTACTTGGAGAGTCAGAATCCATGGAGTATGTTCTTGACACGCAATGACTCCAGAGATATCACTACCTGAATCCCATGGTCGTAGGCAACGCCAGTAGCCCTGGTTCCGATTTGCTCAGGATTTCGTCGATCTCGTCGATCTGCCCTTTCATGCATGGACAATCTGTATGACAAGACCCGGGCGACCTTTTGCAAACTTTGATTACACCCAGCCTGCCTTTTTTGAAACCAGGCAACTTCATATCTCGACCATGAGCGAGATTAACCGCTTCTAACTTCAAGACTGGCATTGACCTACGTCACCGCTGCCCACAACTGGATGAGGCCGAGAGCTGTTAATTCAGCCAAACAAGGTACTCGAGTCAGATCCGTCGTAGTTTCCGGAGTCAGCCAGGGTCCGGGCCTGGAACCCGAGCAGGGAACCCATGGAGTACTAACGTGGGGCCATGCCTACAGTATTCTAGGCTAGTACGCGTATGTACTACGTACGTACCTCTGGTCGAGTTGCTGTGGAACTTTCTTGATGGGCCCACGCCAGCCCGGCCCAACTCCACCGGGAGAACATGCACCACCAACTTATTGAAAACCACCAGCTGGCTTGGCTCGCTTCTGTCGTCCCGTAATCTTGGTGGCGATGCCCTCTCTGCTGCACATGACTTTTTGTATGCCCTCCATGCCCATATCGCAGCAGGCGAGAGACAAGACTCACAAGGCGGACTAACCAGATCTCGGGTGCGGCGTGGAAGGCCGGGTGCCATCTTTGAGCAGGGCAGCACCACTTGCGGCAGTCAGCCGTGTTCTGCATAATTACCTACCTACCTAGGTAGACAGGTAGTGGTCTCAAGCGCGCCAGATTTTCCAACAGCACGCGTCTGCTTACTGTCACGATATCGGTTAGGCTGGTGCGACTTCAGACGATGGATGGGCCCTTGTCCGAGGGTGATTACATCGTTCAATTCAATTTGTGTGATCTCCTAGCATATGAAGCGCGTTTCAGATAAATCGAGATTCACCGCTGTGTAAGCGGCTGAGTGCGAAGCCCGATGCTAAATCATCACAACCCGGCATACGTACGCCAACGTAGTAAGTAGCGTGGTATACCTTGACGTTAAGTCCTGCCTCTCCGGCTTCTGAACGCGAACGATGGAAAAACGTATAACACCTTCAGCTCATTATCCATTTATCAAAGAGGAAACACATGGATGTCCTCGCCGCCTGTTCGACGACTCTTAGTATCCTTTGAGTCGAGACACTGCGACTGCGAACGATAGTCCACCACTAACTGTCCACTTGACAACGCCATGCACAAAGAAAAAGAACAAAAAACTCAAGACAAAATAAACATGGCCGGCACAAGCGGGTATGCACGACCGGTGGAGCGAGAGGCTACGCCGTACCCACCAGCAGCACCCGCCCGCCGAGAAGGAAGGGGGTTCTGCCTGTGATGATGGTGGCGCTGCGAGAATTGCTGGCGCCGTCCCGTGGTGGCTGGCTCGCGTGACGGCAGTCGATGTTGTGCAGGTCGACATGCAGACCGGGTATGCACCATTTCTGAAGCTTGTCTTGTGCGTGTGCCACTGATGGGGAGAGATGTCGGGACACGCGCACAATTTCCCGACAATGGCAACAAGACTGGGCACACGGCTGAAGTGACGATGAACAGGTGAAAGGCCTCTAGATCTGGCGATCTGCCAGGGGTAGCAGGGAGAACGGCGATGCTCTGGCAAGTCGAGATGCCTGGACGGTGCGCGGGCAGGGCTGCAATAGGGGGCCGGTGGGACAAAAGTTGGCTGGCGGCCCTTGCTGGCGCACACGCCAAGAGCGGCTGGCCAGGCCTGAGTGGGCGAGGGGCCCTGCTTGGCCAAGCTGTTCCTGCATTAGCCCCGGTGCCTTCGCACATGTTGGCCAGGGGTCCTGGACACCATCGACGCCCAGGTGCTGGACTGTGGCTCGCTGGCTGCGGAAGGCCTTGTCAGCGATCAATGCTGCCCTTACACAGCGTACGGGGCACCTGCTCCTCATCACCGAGCTGTTTATGCAATGAGCAAGTCGTGCCTGCACGGAGACAGATGCCGCCACGACCAAGCCTAATCTGACCCGGACAAGCCAGACAAGCAAGGGAGAGAGGTCTGAGAGGGAAAAAGCTTGTCTGGACTGTCGTTGTCGCTTCGCAGCCGATGGATGCCTCTGCCTTGGACTGGGACACTGTGCTGGGAAACCAGAAGCAGGCCCTTGCCTTCGCGCCCTTTGCGTGAAGCAAGGCAAGCCAGTGAGCATGGCTGCAAAACAGGCCCAGCATCAGAGACGGGCGGCAAGTCACTCACTAGAGCCTTGCAGGCAGGGCTTGCTTGTCAGCCGGGGCCACACACACAATGCTTCGTTGTGGCTGAGGAGCCCAAGTGGGCGATTGTGCCGGACGGATGCTGCGCCGGGGGACCCACCACCCCTCTATTCATTTCCCGCAAGATGAGCTGCTACTGGTCCGTCCCCTGACCCCGGCGCCAGGGCAGCGCGCCCATTCGCAGCAAGACGCATCCTGCCCAGGCACAGGCCCACTGGAGCACCCGCGCCGTTGCTTTGCTTGCTCGCCAGTGCTTGTCTCGATGGCCACTTGCGTGGAGGGTCCCGCAAGAGGAGAGGAGAGGAGAGCTCCCAGTGTCTCCTCCTGTTGCGGTGCCCTTCTCCTGACGGCGGTCTGCGGTCTGCGCGCGCTGGCCCTGGCGCTGGCCCTAGCCCGTTCCTGGCCTGGCCTCGCCGCTTCTTCGCTATCTCAGTCTCGACGCCGCCTCTCCTTCCCTCCTGATTGATCACCTCCAACTCCTTTGACAGCTCTAGTCGCTTTGAAGCAGCCGCAGTCTCGACGACAACCAGGTCATTCGCAGACCAGACTGCCTGCCCCCGAGTTGCAAGCCAACTTCTCGTCACTCCTTTCCCGCATACAGCACTCGTTTATACGCATCCTTGCCGTCGTCGCTCCTTAAGCCACCACAGTCATTACATACATCCTCGCTTCGGTACATACTTCTGGATTCTGGTGCAGGAAGCCGACCCCCTTCTCGACAGGACTCTGGCCCTCTGCTCCTGCTCTCCGCACGATAGAACACCCCATTCGACTCGCCGGTCCAGATCACTGTTCCCGCACTCTTCATGATCATCATCACGACTCCGCTTGTATAGATCATAGAGCCTCCGCTGGAAATCATCGAGCCAGTGTTTAGTCATCACTGCCGAAGCCACACTCCACGATAGGAACTTCTCGTGGACAACAACCACCACCTAATTCTGTCATCGGAAACCGACGACTCCATAATCATGGCTGGCCCTCACCATCACGGTCATGCCCATTTCCACCGGCACGTCGATGCTGGCCATCGGGTCTCAGTCGAGCACGTTGCGAGAGCAGTGCCTGTGACTGAGGCCCGTATGGCAAGCCCGGCTCAGGGCATTGAGCAGCCTACCGGACCGCTCACAGCTCGTGGCGTTGGGGACAAGCCCATCGGTCCCGACGTCACAAATATCGCCATCGCTTGTGGCATCGCGTAAGTTTGAAACGTCTGGCATATGAGCAAACGTGGATGGACGTTGATGACATGCTAATACTCGTGAAGTATCCCTATGGTGCTTGCCATTAGTGTTCTCCTCTTCCTTCATCGTCGGTCGGTCAAGCGACAGCGGTTAGAGGATGCCGACGACAAGTACAAGTCCATGGACTTTGGCCTTGGAGAGGGTGTTGGAGGTTCAAAGAACGGCAAACGCCGAAGCAACTTCTTTGGCAAAGAGAAGGACTCGGCACACAAGACCCAGCTTTCTATGGACATGAACCTCTCGAGCCCTTATCTTCTCCCGCCAACCCTGCAGCACTCGCGCGAATCTCTTGCCAGGTCACTCAACAAGGATGAGAGTGACCCTTACCGACTTGTACCTGATTACGCCAGCGAGGTCGGTTCCATGAGGTCGTTCCCGAACAAACGCCCAGACCGTGGGTCATCCATCTACTCTGGAAAGACTGGTGCTACCCGCCCCAGCACGGACGCGCCGCAGAGCAATTTCCCTCTTCGTCAGAATTCGCTCCCTCCTCCTACATCGCCTTTGCCACAGCTGCCAGCTGCTGCTCAGCGCGCAGAAATCGTTGGCTCCGCCACTGCCCCTGAGCTTCCTGCGAAGAATGAGTTCCGCTTCAACGACGATGAGTCTTCGCGCCCCCAAGGCGCGTCTCAAACTATTCCGGAGGAGGGTGTGCCAGAGATTCAACAGCCTCCTCAAGCTGCTACCAAATCGTCTGCAAGAGTTGTGTCCGGCCAATCGGCGTCCAGCGTCCAGCAGCAATACGAATCTAGAGCTGCGTACGACCGCGAGTCTGGACCCCTGCCTCCTCGCGATCCTTCCCGTGGCCAAGGACTGGGTATCACAGATGCTACGCCGTACCCGAGTGACAACAACATGCCGGTCATTGTGACCGAAACTCAGCCCGCGTCTTCTGGCTTTGACTTCAATCTCAACACATCTTCCCCCCAACTTGGTGGCGGTCTTCGCTCACAGGAGCAGGATGAGGCGTACCCTCAGGAGCACGACTACCCCCACTCTGCTGGTCTCGCTGTTCCGGAGCAGGCCAACAAGCGTCTGTCTGTCGGGTTCCGTCCTCTCCCACCGGATGACTACCTCGAGTCTGAGGATCCTGAGTTCAGAGCCAACAGAATTCGATCGTTCTACAAGGAGTACTTTGATGACTCGATCAAGCAGGACAGCGGTAAGCCACCGCCTTTGCCGAACCAGAATGGCGGACCCGCACATGGTAGTCAGGAACCTGCCTACTATGAGGACTACGACGCCAACTACATGGGTGGCGAGGCGGCTTACTTTGATCCCGAGACCAATGCCTTTGTCATGCCTTATGCCCAGCCCGTCACACGACGAGCCATGACACCGCCCCCGAACAACAGACGCCCTATGCCAGGACCCAGAGGTGGTGGCCCACACCGTGGACCGCCCATGATGCCTGGTGGCGGCCCTGGCCGGCCCAGAGCAGGATCGACCATGTCTGGCGCCATGGGCCGCCCTAGGGCTGGCTCCACGATGTCGGGTGGACGATTTGGACCTAACGGCTCGGGATACATGAGCCCGCGCCCTGGCTCTTCTGCCTCGCAGCAGCGATCTGTCAACGGAGGCAAGCCTCGCAAGCCAATGCCCCCGCCCGCTGCCCTGACGACACTTCCTACTCCCTCAAAGCTCAAGGATGACTCCTTCAGCATCTTCAACGCCGCCGACTTTGCGCCTCCCCCCAACATCAGGGATCAGGCTCGTGGTCGCTCCCAGAGTCCTCTTGGCGAGCGCAGACCTTACCACAGCCCATCAGTGCCTGTGCACTCACCTCTCGTAAGCTCTTACGATGAGGTTGCTGCACTTCCCAGCCCGTAAGTTGAAACTCGATCAAGTTCATGTTGTACTGGTTCGCTAACTAACAATGTGTGTAGGCATCTTCTGCGCAAGTCTAGCACCTTCACCGGATTGGATTTCGCGCCACCTCGCCGGTTCAAGGACCCTGACACGATGAGCGATGCCGGATCGATCCGCTCCAACAACAGTGGCATAAGCTCCAAGAACGCCATCGCTCTTCGGAACGGCGCTGGCCGAGTCAGCCGGCTGCCCGGCGACACTGTCTTCACTCAGCATGAGATGGCCGCGACCCTTAGGCCACAGATGGACATGATCAACAGGTCATAAGCGATTGCCACTACAGAGGAAGGTTGCACACAAGATGTTGTACATATGTCTTTTTGATAGCGCTGCATTGGAAGAGTCTTGTGCCATGGGCTTGTATGGATTGTCATTTTCACGATGGCTCTTCTCGTCATGGCTTGGCACATGCACGATCCATCTTTGGGGGCCCCCTTGGCTGGGCACCACACAAAAGCATCACGACCTAGCGTATTTTACCATTGTCATTTACTGCGCTTTGTCCTTTTCACCCAAAGCCGACAATATTTACGCTTCTCTACAGGGACTCTGCGATTTATTTTTCTGTCGTCACACATGGCATGGCGGGCATCGCTTCAAGTAGCCACTCTTTTTGCGGATAGAGGCGTAGACATGCGTAGTCGTTTTCTGGGTAACTGGTGCACATATACACCTTTATATACATATATATATACACACAGTTCGAATTATAGACAGGAAACAATAGGGACAAGTGAATTTCTTCTCTTTAATCTCCATTTTGCGCGCAGTGCCTCTGGCTGTCTTGTTGGAGATATGGATGTGCTTGGCAGAGGCCGTGTGGGTTCAAGTTGTGCTCCGTGTACGAAGGACTGGCTGACACGTGAATTTCCTTGGTGTTGGGCTAGTCTAGTCAGGCGGCTTCTTCGGCACATGATCGCAGTGAGGTCAGGCGATGGTTCTTCCTCCCTGCTTTTCTTGTTTTCTTTACGGTTGTAACTCATCGGAGACCCTGCTCCGTGGTTCGACCAGGATGTGAGCGTTGCTCAGGGAGAAGATTCATCGTGAATGAATGGGCAGCTTTTGTGTCCACCACTCGCCCTGTCCTGTTCACTTCGCTAGATGTGCGAACAGCAAGATGTGTATTAGTGTGTGTGTGTGTGTGTGTGTGTGTGTGTGCGTATGTGGTGCAAGAGTTGTGCCAATTCAGAGCATATAATTGTATACCCTGGGGTGCAGACGGAGAGTTTTATGTGCTACATTTATATATCTAGCAACCGTTTCTGGTTTGTTCTGTCCCGTAATCCTCTTCTGCGTGCTCGAGGGTGAACACACACTCACCTACCTACTACGTCTTGACGTCCTTGGTAAATGTTCGCTTAGCTTTTGTATCTCCTTCCACGAGCGGGCGTTGTGCGGGTTGGAACACAACGTGATTCACTCACTCAGCCTTGGGATTTTGGAAGTTCAGCAATAGCCCTTCCTGGCGCATGGAGACTAAGGACTGAGGAGAGAACTCCGTGTGCAGTGGTGCCCCCAGCTTGGGAACAAGCTACGCTCATATAAATTCGGTCTCTAACGGGACTGCTTCTGGGTACTCTCTATACATCATGAACAACTCCTGGGCCGACTGGTGAACAGGTAGGAGAAGTTGAAATTCTCTTGGCGATGTGGCAGAGAAACCATTCGCTGAATCCACACTAAATGGAAGCTTTGGTAAAGATGCTTTGATTAAACGTGCTTAGGCACGCGCAAATGAGGAGTTTCTGCAAGTAAGTACGCATGCTTGTATGGGGTTTGACCCACGGTTGGGCACTCAGTCTGTCTAGCTGACTGGGCAAAGCATGGAAAGAGGCATTTTCCATAGCACTACATGAGATCAGGGCGATCTCTTATTACTGACCAGTGCACAGTGTATCGTGGATAAGAAATGCAAGGAATGCCAGTGCCTGCCATTGCTGAGTGCTCACGACCAGCAGATAGTCATCGTCTACTTCATTTCTCTCTCTCCAAAGCTCCAGGAGTGCAAGGACTAGACAACAACGTCCTCTCCTGTATAAGTTAAAGCCCCGGGAATAAGCGAGGTTCCTCATACCAAGCACCCTAAGGTAAGCTGAGATTTGCTTACAGAAACGAAAAATGACAGGTTGCTCCAAGGGCTCGGTTTCCAGCTGTCTCTGCGTTGCTAGTTGTATTGTCAGGTATGCTCTGGACTGTTCAGCATCTTCCAGCTGTGCACCGATCATGCCGGCATCGTTCACCGAGTTTGGAGGCAGCTGAGCATAGGCGAGTAACAAGCAGATAACCTGTGTGAATGATGAGCGGCCGAATTTCGGGTGCAACTCTCGATATCCTGCGAGTATTCTGTGGCCAGACGCAACTTCCATGGTCTCATTGAAACAGCTTTGATAGTCATGGTTGCATTCCCAGTGAAAGTGTGTCATGGTCCTCAAGTGATGATCGTCCCCATAGGACATGTTATATGACCGGCGCTGCCCTGTTTTCTCACACGCGGAGCTTGTATGGTGGCTCTTTCCGTCTGAAACATGGCCCCGTAGCAGGGACTGATGTACGATGCGACCTTGCTTACCCTCCCCCCAGTTGGGATGACGATGACACGACTACGGCCCGTTCAGCAAGCGCAGGGATGACTGGCATCTTTACGGCTGACCGGAGCAATCTGTGCAGTCCCACTTTTCTGCTGACGCTGCAAAGAGCCATCTGGATGCTTTAAACGAGAGTGCAAGGCACGACGAGCCCCGGGTCAGATCTGATTACACCAAGAGAACGAATCGACGTAACAGTGCTGATGGTAGTGTAGAATATCCCACTCTGTACGAAGCCGCATCTTCGTGGCTACTGAACCAGAATCGTTCTTAACAGTTCCTCTCAAAGAAAAGCTTGATTGTCTCCGCTTGCTCAAAGGAGCTGCTGGTCGAGTGTGCGTGACGTGAGCGCCAACCCACTCGACAAGGCCCCAGTTGAGGTTTGGCCGGGGCGGACCACCGAAAAAAGGCAGATCCGTGCATGAAAAAGCGTGATGGCGGTTAATATTAGCCAACACCACAATTTCATTATGGACCGGGTATGCCCGGTCACAAGCCAGTCCTTCGACGTCTGGATCGCCCGCGCGCACAATTGCCCGTGCTTATGGTCTTGACCCTTCCTGGTCAATGCTCGCGCAGGAATTATGTCATTGACGGCCAGCGGCAACCGGCGCGCGGGCGGCGTCACGGGCTGATTCAAGTCATTCGCCATTGGTGTCACCGAATTAACCCAGACAGCTGGTCCCGGCATGTCTGTGCACCTGAACCATTCGTCATTGTGGGCTGGGGGTCTGCGACGGATATGTGACCATTGGGGAGGCGGCTCAGTCCGGGGATCCAGCAGAGGTCTCCAGCCGGGCCGATTTTGAACGGAGTTGGACGGCGAGGAATACGGCTCGTTGTGCAGATTCAGATCAGCGTGCTGCCGATGGGAGACGCCGACGCGCGCTAAGGGTGAAGGCGGCGGGCTATGCGGCTCCGGCTGGGCGGGATGATGAGGACCGAGGCGATGGCGGCTGGGTCATTTTGTGCTTGCCGGAACGAACTTGGGACCTGCATGTATGCCAGATGGATGGATGGATGGGGAAGGAGGGCTCGTATTGGTTGTCCTATTAAGTTAGGCCAGTGAGAAAGCCACCCTTGGGCGGCGGGCCCGGCTGGGCTGTCCAGTTAATTAGTGAGTGCTGTGGAGCGAACTCTGTTTTGGCAGTGTTCCAAATTTGGGCAGCCCGTCGACTCGGCAGGCTTGACTCTGCAAATCCCGTCACGACTGCGCGAGGCCTTTTGTGGACTGGCCGAGAGGAGAATGGCCATCTGTCGTGAATGCTGGTCAGCTGCGGGTGCAGGGAATGGAAGGGATGCATCCTTCCTTCGAGCGGCAGTCTGGAGGAAGGAACTGCGGAACAAGCCCAATTTCGCAGCCTGGGGAGTCACGTGTGCATGCACAGGGACCACACTGTGCAGGGCCTGCGTCGGGACAGACAGCCAACGACCTGCCTCAACGAGCCCCTACGAGCCCCTACTGACTGGGCTGGGCAGGGTCTCCAGGGCGGTTTTGTGGGGTCCGCCTGCGCGGGCGCGGCCATGCTCGCTGCAATCCCGTCCAATCCAGTCCGCCAGTCGGGCACAGTGCCGCTGGCCCCGTTTCGACGCGCTGCTCCTCTCGTGTGCCCGGGTGGTTCCCTCTTGCTCTGATCCTTCGCAGCGGCTCGTGTTGCTCCCAGTGCACATACGCACGCCTCACCGCGCCGGCGCTCTTTGTTCTCCTCTTTTTCCCTCCTCTCTGCTTGTCCAGTGCGCCCCGGTGAGACTTGTCTCAACCACACGACTGCCCGCCTGCCGTCATTGCTGTCGCATCTCTGGCATCTCCATTGTTGATCTCGCCATTGCCCGATCCCTCTGCGCGCCGGGACAACACGAGCCCATCCATCCCCAGCTCTTCTCCTCTCCTGGCCAATCGCCCGCGACACAGCCACCTCCCCGTTTATTACTCACTCACTCGCAGCTGCCGCTCGTCGCCTATCGCTTCCATCTCAAACCATAACTTGTTCAGCCCTCGTGCTCCTCCGTCGACGCGCCGCCATCCCCTCTCCCATTAGCGTTTCTCTCATTGCACCACAGCGCAAAACTCTCTGTCCCTCGCCGCGCCTCTGGTCCACCGGCTCCGGCTCCCGCGAGCTGTCGTTGTTCTCTGTGCGGCAGAGAACCGCTCCCGCCTCTGCTGCTACCCCAGGTACGTTTTGGTGCACATTTGCCTCCCGTCTCTCTTTGCGTCATTCCCTCGAGAGAAACCCTCCTTCCGGCTGCACTCTCCGTGCGCGCGAGACCGTGTGGCTCGAAGGCACAGGTCGATGATGCGATCGCGACCGGGCCGGGCTGCGTAGGGGATCATCGCCACGCCGTGGTGCTCCGATGCTACCTACCTGGCTGCTGCTGCTGCTGCTTGTTGCCACGACCCGGCCATGGGCATGGCAGTGCCTGCGCATAGTGTGTGGGCCAGCCGGCTGCCTTGGTTCCGCTGGCCTCGCATAGCTTTGGCATGGCTCCTCCACCCAGCTGCATGCCAATGCCCACTTGCTCCGTCGATTCGCCCGCACCCGTAACCTTGGCCTTGGCCTGCCCGGTTTTCTCATACATGCCTCGCTGCTGCCGCTGCCTCAAAGAAAACAGCCCTCCCCCATCCTTGGTCCGTATCGGATCATTGCCCGCGGCCCTACATGTCGTGCTTCGCTCTCCATCGCCGCCCTCACTGACATGGCCACATCCAACAGCACGCAGCAATTGTCGCTGACACTCACCTCACCAACGCTGCCGCCGTCATCATCAGACTCACCGTCACCCTCCGACTCCACCCCGTCAGCCCTGGATTCCTCATCCTCGCCCTCACAAGACACGGACACGGCCACGGCCACCTCGCCGTCGTCTCCCGCCGCCACCATGTCTACTCCCGCAAACACGTCGACCCCGGTGATTCCGCCTTCGAGCGATCCCGTCACCAGCCCTTCCAATTCGCCTTCGCAGCCCTCCACTCCTACTGCTGAGCCTACGCCAACTACTACACCACCCACAACGCCAACAACGCCTACTCCCACTCCCACCCCAACTGAGCCATCTACGCAGCCGACTCCCACAACGCCAACCAGCACGCCCGTTGAGCCGTCGAGCACACCGGCACCGACTACGCCCACGACGACCACTCCGACGTCAGTGAGCACCCTCACAACACAGATCACCACCGATGGCAGCACGGTTACCGTCGTCGAAACAAAGACGGCGACCCCGACACCAGATCCGTCGTTGCCATCCACGAGCTCCACTCCGGCTCCGGGGCTTACTCAACCAAACGGAGGCGCTGGTGGCAGCGGGCTGGATCAGAAGGGTGTGATTGCTGTGGCTGTCGTAGTCCCAGTCGTCGGAGTCGCCCTCATCGTAGTTGCGGCCTTGTTCTTCTGGAGACGACGACGTCAGCGTCGTGATGCGGAGGAGGAGAGAAGGAAGGAGGTCGAAGACTACAGCTACAACCCCAACAATGACCCCACGCTCCCAGATGTCGGCAGCTCTGCCGGTGCATACGAGCTCAAGGACGACACTACATCCGGCTATCGCGGCTGGGGCTCGACCACTGTGGGTTCGACAGGACGTAAAGCCTCGACCACCATGTCTGGCGGCGTCGGCGGGGTCGCTTACTCTGATGTTTCACACTCAAGGCGTGATCCCTCGGAAGGCTACTCAGAGGGTCCACTCATGGGCGATGGCTCACGATCACCTGAAGGAGAGATCCTTGGCGCCATGGGCCCTTCTGCTGCCGAGAACCGAAGCAATGTCCACCGTGGACCCTCCAACGCATCGTCTTCTTACAGTGCTGCTGGACGCTCCGATGCGTCAGGCGACAATGCCCCTGGTGTAGCATATGGCAACTACTACGACGGTTACGGGAACCCCTATGGCAACAACGCGTCGGGCCAGCAGGGCCCCGTCGAGGTTCCTGGCCAGCCTGTCATTCGCGACAACCCGGCTCGCCGCAATACTCGCATTGAGAATCCCTCCCATTTCCCGCAACAAAGCGCTGGCATCTCACAAAACTTCTAAGCCACCACACTCGCTGAATGTTCTCTTCGGACGATACCCTTCCAGGCTCGATCGCTCTGGATTTATCCACTTGAACTGCCGATCTTTTCCTCTTTTTACGAATACTGGAGAAGATATCGCAGTCTGCCCCTTCAGGTCGCCAGAGAAAAGATTTATATCTCTCTTCGATATGGCGCAAGCTCACTTAATTTTGAGACGACGAATTCCACGGCTCCCTTTGGTCTCCATGAATGGCATACACGAGCCATTGTATATACCCCACTTTCATAATTCGCATGTAAATAGGTACAAGTAGTTCTTGACATCACGCGCCCATCTGTCAATAAGATTGTCAATTTCTGAAGCGTTCGCACCTCTACGGAAGGGACATTCTCGGGGCCGCACGCACATTCACGTATATAAAGGGTCGTTCGTTACCGATCCGCGACGCTTCACATAGGGACGGCTCCTTGTCCTTCATTTTCTTCCTTATCATTCAGTCTCTCTGGGCATCTTCATATTCCTGGGCAAAAGAAAAAGAAAAAAAAGCAAGATAAAACCCAAGTAATACGAAACAAATACAAATCGAGTTCAAACATAAAGCTAGAGGCTCGTTTGTGGTCCAGCTGCGTGATGACAATATATATCATGGTGCCGTGACTAACAAATACAACTGAGAACTACACAACACAGACAGACAACTGAGTACCCACGAGTGAGTGTATGGAAACAAGCAGCGGGCGTACTTATACCCCTCCCCTCTCTGGTGCTTCAATAATTGCGACAATAAGATGGTTTCGCATCTATACGAAGTTTCAATTTTTATTCATTCTTTGGTGGCGACGTGGTATAGAGTTTGTATGTATGTGTCTGTGCATGTGTCTGGCTTAGACTCCTTGTTTTTATTTTATCGCTCTCCGCCATCATGTGCTGCTGACTGACTGACTGACTGACTGACTGACTGACTGACTGACTAATTGACTAGACGCTCCTTTGCAGTCGTCTTCTTTCAGGAAAACAAATCTGGGAATATTCTGACACAACCACATTCGTCTATCGGTATGAGGCATAGGGACTTGATCGATGTACCTGTACCCTTGTCTTGACAGGGCCAGCTAAGAGTACTCGCTGTGTTTCCACCAGCATGGGAACGAAAGCAGGTCTGTAGGAATGCTAGACCGCAACGGAGCAGTCCAGCAGCCAGACAAAACCCAGCGACCGGCCCATGTATTCAATCGACAACATCCAGTCACCCTTCTATCATAAGCCATACAGATCCCAACCATCAAAGGTGGCCGTGGTGATCTTCTCGCTGGCGTTCATCGTGACCTGACTGGGAGCGAATTCGTTCCGGAACTCCTCATTCAGTCATAGCTCCTCATCCTCAATCTCAGACGGCTTCAGCAAACCGCCAACCTTCGATCTCCGTTCGTGGTCGGCAGCGAGCTTATCCCGCGCCTCTTGCTCCTTCTCGACGACATAGAGCTCGGCGTTGTCGTCGGCGAACTCTTTGAGCGAGATGAGAAAGTCGCGAACCTGGAGACGGAACTTCTCGTACGAGGCATTCATGGTGAAGAGCACCTCAAGGAAGTTGTTGATTTGGCCACTGCAGAAAAAGCAATGTTAGCTTGCACAGGCTTGGGCATAAGGCAGACATGATACATACACTTGAAGGTTGGGGAAGGCGTTGCGTAAGAGACCACCAACGTAGTTAGCGAGGTAGTCCTTGTTGCTCGTTCCGCTTGGTGTTCCATCAGAGTAGACGGGGCCCTGGATCTTTGGTGTCGTGCCGTCCGCAGGGTGGACAAAGTAGAACATGCGCATCAGCAGCATACTCTGTGTCTTGAAACCAGCCTTGTGATCGGGATCGCACAGGACAAAGAAAACGTCCTGCAGAATTGTCGAGAAAAACTGTTGGAAGAACGCGTTGGCGGTCTGCACATCCGTCTTCTCGGCAATATTGGTGACGAGCTCCAAGCACATGTTGAGACCAGCACCTTCAACGTCGCGGTTGTCGTGCTTGCTGGCCCACATACAAGCATCGATGACGAACTTGAACTGGCGGTTGTCAAGCTTGAGCAGTGCCGGGAAGCAGTGCAGGTTGATGGCTCGAAGAAGATTGAAAAACTCCACACGGTGCTCGGGGAACTCGGAGAAGTCCTTGTTGATCATCTCCAACGTGCACTCGAACACGTTCTGCATGATGGTCGGCACTTGGTCCTCCATCAATCCCTGCAAGAAGTCAGTTTTAGGACTCGCGCCAAAGGCAAGGGTACAACACATACCGTGAGTTTCGTGATGACCACGGACATGGCACGAAGAACCTCGGCGTCACGAGCACCGGGGACGTTGCGGTTGTAATCAACCAAGACGGAGTCGAGCAGCTGAGGCACCATTTGTGCCCGCACGGCTTGCAAGTCCTCGGCTTTCTCCACGTAGGTCTCGATCAACTTCAAGATCTCCTTCTTGATGGTTCTCAGGCCGCGAACTTTGGGCATGCGTGGTGCGATTTCACCTGGAACATGTCAGCTGAGTTTGAATGGCTTCGAAGCCAAGTGACAAATTGTCCAACTTACCATCACGAGCGACGGCTTCAGAGATCAGCTGACTCGTAGCACGGTACATTTGCAACATGTCCATGTAGATTCGACCAATCTGCGGGCCGAAGTAGCCACCGATTGACGAGCACGCTGAGACATTCGTCTTCATGATGTTGCCAATGATCTTGATAGTCTCGGCATCCTGAAGGATTTCGGGGTTCTGGGTGGCAGCCCGGATGATTTCATCCCAAGCAGCATTGGGAGCAGACATGAGCTCAGCCAGCAGACGCTCCTGCTGGTGCTTGTTGCCTTGGGCGGCGACCATGTAGCCACAGGCCTCGTAGAATGTGTGAATCTGTTGAGGGGTGAGGTCGCAGGTGATGCGCTGCAAGTTGCGAACAATCTCTTCGATGAAGGGCTCGCTCTCACTAGGCTGCAGAGCCACAAAGTGCCGCCTACACTGCCTCGCAATCTTGATGAAGGTATCGCATGCCATGTCCTGGACGCCTATTCAGATGTCAGTTTCGGCTCGGTGGTGCTGTTTGTGCATCGGAGGGGTGCTTACCTTCGTGGGACTCGTGCATGAACTCGAACAATTTGTTGACAACAGTCTTCAAGAACTTCCAGTGGGCCTTGAGGAATCGCGGGTACTGGCCAACAATGTACATGATGTTGGACGCGACAACGGCCTTGTTGTCTTTGCCACGCTTCATCTCGGTCAAGCCAAGCAAATCCTTGATGACTGTGACGAGGAATCGCTTCTCAGTCTCCTCGTTCATGGCAAGGGAGATCGAGCCGATGGCCCAGCAGAGAACGTTGCAGTTGTGCCATGACCATTCCGAGCCGTCCACCTGCTTCGACAGCTTATCCGTCATGATTTGCTCGGTATCGACCACGTCGAGATGTGTAAGGTACACCAGGCACTCGCGAATTGTCTTGTACAGCTGCACTGTGTCACTCTCCTTGACGAACTCGCGCACAATCTCGCCTTCATCGTTTTCGACAATGAGCACCTCCTCTGGCCGGACCATGTTCTCGATCATGACGACCCGCAGATTCGACAAGACCTCCTTGTACTTGTGCATGCGCAAGTTCGGCATGCTCTCAAGAAGAGCTGGATTGACTGCACCGCTGGTCGAGCCGGCAGCCATCATCAAGGGGTTCATCTCCTGCATTGGTGCTGTCTGCATTTCCTCGTACAGCTCTTGGACAAGCTTGAGCCAGTAGTCCAGGCAGATCTTGAAGATTTCGCGGTCCTCGATTTGCGATATCCGAATAAGGTAGAAATGACCGTGTGTAAGGTAGTCGCGGTTGGGAAGTTTCTCGACAAGCTATAGACATGACCTATCAGTAGCCGCAATGCCAGGACGGGAGCAAAAAGGTCGCAGAAGTACCACGACTCAACTTACGTCAACGTGCGCGCCGAAGGTGTTGCAGAGGAATAGAGCTAGCTGCTGAATAAACTGTTGGTCACGCGAGTTGCTCTGAGGATAGGTGGTCTTGAGATCGAGCTCGAGAGGAATGATGTTGGCGATGACCGAAAGTGTGTCGACAAACATCTTGACGAGCTCCTCGCTGTAGGCATTCGGTTGGCCCGGTCCACCCAAGGCAAGGCCACCGATCTCAGTCAAGACCTGGAGAGTGACGTTGCGGAATTCAGGAACCTCCAAGAAACGTGTGCGGAGCGTCTCGATGAGGTTGGTCTCGAAGATGTAGCCGAGTGGGATCCAGTTGCAGAACTTGAGCAGCGTTTCGAGGGTTGCCTTGACGAGGCTCTCCTGGTCGGCCGTAGTGAGAATCTCCTGGCAAAGCTGGAAGATCTGCGAGAACTCGTTGCACATCGTCGTCTTGAGGTTTCGTGTCTTTGTGGATGTCATCTGTTCGGCAGAATAGTCGAAGACTTCCTCGGAGAGGAGTCGGAGGATGATCATGTTGTTCTCGCATATCGACAGGTTAGATCGGCAGGCGGAGATGATCTCGTTGATGAATGTGGGCCAGTTGTGTGGCCACTCCTGCTTGAGGACGGAGATGAGGACGAGGTTGAGCTTGTTCAGGAGGACGCGCTGGGCTTTCAGTGACTCGGGAGTGTTGGAGCACTGAATGATGTAGTTGACGACAAAGTTGCGGATGCCTGGCATGTGGTAAGTTTGAATGTAAACGTTTGTGAGAAGAGCATGGTCAGTCGGTCGCACCTAAGCACTGATCCCGTGGAAGGACCTTCCATCTCGTCGCGATGACGCTGTCAAGAATCTGAAGACCAAGGACTAATGGTGGCAGCTCAGGTTAGCACAAATGTGAATAGGGAGCAAAGGGGATGCCGGCAGCATGACTTACACTTGGTCTGCTCATATTGGGCCTCGGAGAGGATCTGATCGACGAGGAGCCAGGCGTCGGGGTCCTCCTTGAACTATCAGGCAGAGTACTGTCAGAGAACTGTCCCAGCTATTTGTGCTGAGCTGTGCGCATTGCTCGGGTGAGGAGGACAGCCTACCTGGTTGAGTGCGGTCTGGGCAGCTTTTTGCTAGAAGCGGGGAAGATGCACGGATCAGCAAACGCTTCGTCAAGACCGGCGACAAAAGCTCAAAAAGGGCCAGCAGAAGTGCTGCCGATGATAATCTGGTGAGAGTAGCCATTCGTACCTGTTCACCGCGAGCTTCGTAAAAGGACTTGACCATAAGGTCAAGCTCGGGAATGGTGGGCGCCATGGTGAAGGGCGTCGCTGGTGGCGGGGAACAGTCGAGGTAGAGGACGGGTCGGCTACGCGCCCAGGATGCCCACGGGACAGGCTCTCTTGCGCGGGGTGGGTGAGGGAACTGGGCGATGAGGCCGTGCCGGGAGCTGGTGACCGATAGGAAAGCGAACCGGAGAGATGGTTGCTTGGGGACGAGGCGAGGGCGAGGGGGATGTGCGGAAAAGAGCGAACCGGTCAAGAAGAGATGGCGGAGGCAGTTTGGAGGTGGACAGCCCGCCTCGCGAAGACGCAAAAGGCGGCCGCCGGGCGGGGCGTGGAGCAGGCAGCGTGCGCGGTGGTGGAGTGACTGACAGCTCCTGCTGCTGTAGATGCGGTGGCAGCTCCTCGTTGCTGGGGCGGCCAACAGTACCTTAGGTAGCTGTCTGCAACACGTTGTGCCCACTCCCGCTGCAAGTGCCGCCGCGAGGCACACCTCAGGCCGCCCAGCACCGGCACGCCGGGTGCCACCACCGCCGCCGCGTAGCTTATTAATTTCCAACTTCCCATGCTCCCAGCGCCACCAATCACGCCTCCCCTCGCATGGCTTGGTGTCAAGCTTCGGCTGCTGCGGCCTTGTTTGCCTGGTCTGCACCTTGCCGTCATCTGGTGCTCGACTCCAAGGCCGCCTCTCCGCCCAGCCTACTGGAGACGCCTTTGGTTGAAGCAAACGATTAGTACAATGGGTTTGTCACATCCTGGTCACAACGATGCAAACAATTTTCTCATATGGAATTGGAGATAACCGCTACCGAGGGACCCTTCGATAGTCTCGTTGAAGGTTGCAACACGGAGCCGTTGGAGCCCAGACATGGCCAGAAGCAGCAGCAGCAGCATCATCATGTCACTCTCTCTTCACACACTCTCAAAGTTGGAGAGTCAACACTTGCGAGAACGCAGCCGCAGCGGAGGGGGAGCTCGGGGCAACCTGGAACCTTCTGGTACAGTAGCGTCTTGGCCCTGGCTCAATGTCACCAACCTCAATACCCGCCCAGGTCCAACTCTTACATAAGTCGAGAAGATAGTTCCGGCCTCGAGGTCAAGACTGATGCGAACCGTGTGGGGCGGTGACTGCTGCCGGAGCTGAATCAAACACAGAGCGTACAGTTGCAGCCATCTCTAAGTGGCACCCAACTGTTTACTGCCAACAATGTCGTCTCGGTGTGCATTTGCTATATACTGCGTGTTCTAGAATCTTCGTGTACAGTAATCTGCACGGCCATATAATCTAAAGCCGCCTTGTCTACAACTCGAACTGTGTCATGCGTCTTGAGATATTTGGGACAACGTCTAAACCTTTTGGTAGCCAAGATCGGAAAGACCATCCTTCAGCGCGTTGATAGCCTTCTGGATATCGGTTCGGTTGGGGTCGGTCTGTAGTAGCGTTAGCCAGTGAACATGGTGAGAGTCGCCATTACATGGCTCCAGATACTTATGCTTACCACGCTGACGCCCATGTGTCCAAATCGCACGTACTTGGTGGCAATCTCCTTGTGAATGCCACCAGCAAAGACAACGCCGCTCTTGGCCAGCTTGGGCAGGATATCTGGCGGTGTGATGGCCTCTGGCAGGTAGATAGCAGTCATGGCGTGGGCCTGGTCCTCGGGGCTGGACGCAACCTGCTTGAGGCCCAAGTCGGCAACGGCCTTCTTGATCTGGTCCGAGACTTCCTTATGCCTGGCGAAACGCTCGGACAGAGGCTTGGCGAGGATCTGGGTCAATGACGTGTGGAGTGCGTGGATGAGCTGTGGTGACGGCGTAGCAAAGTACGAAGGCTTCTTAGCCTCGTAGTTTTGCATTACTAGAAAAATGTTGTTAGCCATGCACCGGCCGTGAATCTACTACCGTGTCCACGGCACACTTACTCGGCAGCCAGTTTCTGATGTTCGCAAAGTATGTCGCCGGTGGTGTCTTGCGCGCATTGACGGCAGCAATGGCTCTACCGCTGAACATTGAGATAGACAGGCCGGCAGGACAGCCAATAGCCTTTTGGCTGGCCGTCACGACGCCGTCCAGCTTCCAGTCGTCGAACGCAATCTCTTCACACGCAACACTGCAGACGCCGTCAACGATGACAAGCGTATCCGGAGACACGCTGTTTACAGCTTTGGTGAAGTCCTTGAGCTCGCTGAGGACGCCAGTCGAGGTGTCGACATGGGTCACGGTAATGACCTTGTACTGCTTACTCTTGAGGGCCTTCTCAATCTCAGGGAGCTGAGGGCGGGTACCGACGGCAGTTCCTTTGAGGATATCGACATTGGCCCCGTATGCCTTGAAACAGTCGGCGAAGCCGTCACCAAAGTAGCCGGTGCTCAGGACGAGGACGTTCTCGCCAGGTTCGACCAGGTTGGCAGCCACGATATCCCAACCCAGGGTGCCGGAGCCGGAGAGGATGAAGGGCTGGGCATCGGAAGCGGTAGTCTGGAAGAGCTTGCGGGTCATGGACAAGGTCTCGCCAAAGGTGTTGACGAATCCGGGGCCGACATGTGACTCGGAGTAGTGGCTCATGGACTGGAGGACGGCATCATCGAACTCGATGGGGCCTGGGATGAGCAGGGTGGGGTGCTCGGGCTGGGAAGACATGTTGGAGGCTGTGGTCGTGAAGCTGCGGCCGCCAGGAGATGATGGAGATGGGGAGGAGAGCGACAAGCTTTGAGGACTGCTGCCGGCAAGGTGCTGGCTTAAGAGCATGACGCGGGAGGACGAGGAGGAGGGGTTGGATTGCCGGAGTGGGGCCATTGCCGCACGCAGGAGCGGGCTGCTCCGCAAGATGGAAGCCAGGTTGGCGGCGACGGGGGACACTTGGACCGAGACACGCGGGGGAGGGCGGCAGCAGCCGGCTGAGAGGGTTTGTCCAACCTAGGGCGGCGGGCGGCGGGCGAGCTTGCGGGCTGGGACAGCTGGACGGAGAGCCTCAAGGGACCAGGTTCGACCAAGTCAAGACCAAGGACCAATGAGAGCCGGCGCGGGGGAAGGTGGCAGCCCAATTAGAGTGCAGCCAAGGCAACCTTGGGGCATGCAGAGAAGAAGGTAGCTCTCACAGGGGCGATGGTCGGGGGAGAAAAGTTGGAGATGATGGGATTCACCCGCTCTCGGCGCGACTGAATCCAGAGAGACGTGGCTCGGGCTGGGAAGGCCCTGACTAAGTGCCGGCTCAGCTTCCGGGGGTCGCTTCCGATCTCGCAGGTCTGTCCCCGTCTGTCTCAAAGACGGGGCCAGTGCTCCGCCGGGTCGGTCGTGCAGGATCGACTGGTCCATGCAATGCCGCCGGGACGGCACTCCCCTCCGAGCTTCTGAAGTTGAACCTGTGTGCCAAGCAACAGGTTCGGCGGCAAGTCTCCTTGCCGATAAGCCGCACGCCATAAGAGCACCAGGATCGTTGTTGACAGCGAAAATTCTCCCTCGGTGGTTGGGCAATGGTGTAGAAAGCAAGCTCAAGCGTTGGATCTGAAATTACATTGGTCATGTTGCACTCATCCGATTTCTTCTGGCCTCATGGCGAGCAGTGAAGGGTTGCCCATATATGTCCCTGGAGTTCCATGCCGTTCAGCGGCTGAGCTGATGAGTTGTTGAGGCCGGACGGTGGGATAAGTCCTGCCTGGAGCACCCAGGACTTGATAATACTGGACATCATCTACCTCGAACCAGTCCATATCGCATCCAGAGGTAGACTTCATGCAGCACACACACCAAAGAGACATGCTCAGTCGGCTCCAAACCCGTGGGATTACGGCCTGCTCGCTGGGCTGCACCCTTTCCCGCCTTGGCCGTTGCATGCAGGGGCACCAGAGCTCCCCACAGCTCATTGGGTCTAGCGCGGCGACCTGGGCAATGAGCTCACTCCTCCAACAACGTGAGGGGCCTGCTGCGCCTGCGCATCCTGGACAGCATCATAACTCAGCCCCCTTCAGCACCTAGCTTCCCCAGGTCCGACTCGCCCACAGCCGGCAGAGAGCACATCCGTACCCAAGTGAGATAGCTGCGAGCGACATATCTCCTCCTGTCTTCCTCACCTCAAGGCTGCTCACTCTTCACCGCACTCACACGGTCGCCACGGCAGCTCACTGCACATCCGAAGCCATTGGAGTTACTAGGAGAAGCTTATACGAATCGCCGACAAGATGGCGTTCCTGATTTTGGTCATTGGTGACCTGCACATACCCGACCGTGCCCTCGACATCCCCGCAAAGGTAAGTCAGTCGAGATTTCCCTCCTCACTATCCTGTACGATACAACAGGCGGCCGACGAATGCCCCCAGGTCCATACCTCTTCGCTCTCAAGACAGAGGCCATTACAGTGACGCCATGGGCGCGCATGAGCGCGTCTTGCCAGATTTACATCGCTAACACTCTTTGACTCCCTCCCACCAGTTCAAGAAGCTCCTGACGCCCGGCAAGATCGGCCAGACGCTGTGCCTGGGCAACCTGACCGACAAGCACACATACGAGTACCTGCGGTCGATTTCGCCAGACCTCAAGATCGTAAAGGGCCGCTTCGACGTCGAGGCCTCGTCGCTGCCCATCTCGCAGGTCGTGACTCACGGGTCCCTTCGCATCGGCTTCATCGAGGGCTTCACGCTGGTCTCCAACGAGCCCGACCTCCTCCTCGCCGAGGCGCACAAGCTCGACGTCGACGTCCTCTGCGTCGGCGGTACCCACCGCTTCGACGCGTTCGAGTACATGGACAAGTTCTTCGTCAACCCAGGCTCCGCGACAGGGGCGTACACGACCGGCTGGACGCAGGAAGGGGAGGAGATGGTGCCGAGCTTCTGCTTGATGGACGTAGGTCATTTTGTTTGCCCCCCCCCCCCCCGGGACCGCGCCGCCCTGCATGGCTTGTCTGCAATCGCTCGCATCGATGCGCAAAACTGCGGCGCATAACGAGAGTGGTCAACTAACCCTTTGGGTCTTCACGAATTCTAGGTTCAAGGCATATCACTCACGCTTTACGTCTATCAGCTGCGGAAAGACGCAAGCGGTGTTGAGAATGTGGCGGTGGAGAAAGTGACATATACGAAACCAGTCGAGCCGACGGGGGGCTCATCATAATTGCTTGGGTGGTAGCCCGGGAAGGGCCAGGTGCAGCTTGCCAACGTGTTCAGCACGTTAGTGGGTGTGCACAGACATAGCGAATTGAGCCGTCTTTTTATGCAGACAGTCAGAAGTCGACATGCCACTACATGACGCTTCCCTCCAAGCTAGCACGATCAGGTGCTGCGTCACATACTGTCGAGTGATTGTGAAAAACCATAAAGATTCTGCTTCAGGTATTCCTGGTTGCAAGTCAGACATCGACAGAGCTGGCATGCTTCGTGTTACTTTGGCGATATCTACGCAGCAGCTTCACGAGGGGATAGAGATGAAAATAGTCAAGTAAAGGGTATTCAATGCTACATATAAAACTCAACGCCTAAAAGTCTCTCGAGGAGCATCCTAGTGACTTTTTCGCGGCAGTCGCTGGGGCGAACGCTAATGCAAACAACAGAATAGAGAAACTCGCTTCGTCAGAAATGGAGCGCAAAATGACAAAGTGCGAACCAACGGGTAACGTCGTAAGCGGTCGTGAAGAGTCGTGTCATGTCCAAAAATGCCTCTGCTGCACATATCCCCTTACAACATCATGCTTCTTCGCCGCAAGGCACCGCGGTCCTTCAGCGCGGAATCGGCGGCTTCATTTGAGGACGTGCTGAGGATGCTAGCCTGGCTGTCACCGTCTGTTTGGGAGTCTTGGTCCGACGATCCAAGGCTCATCTTGGACTTCTTGGGGGCTGCCATAGATGCTCTCTTGCGTGCGGCGGCCTTGCCGTCGCTGGCCTTTGCAGATCTTGTGTCGTCGGAACCAGAGTTGGTCGATTCTTCCCCAGGAATCGAGGAGAGGCGCCGCGCTCGCGAGTGCCGACTGCCTCCGGTCTTCTTGGCGACTTCGCGGTCGTGCCCAACATATTTGCCATCGTCCTCGGGGGTGGTGGCCGGGAAGTCATATACGTCTTGTCCGTTCTCTTCCGCGCGCTGAGCACCAGATTTCGTTTTTGATTCCGACATCGACTGCGGCCCGACGGCCCCTTCAGAAGCGCGCATTTTCCTCTCCGTTGCAAGTGAGATAGGTAATCCATCAGCTGCAACCCCCTTCGCCACCTTTGTGGCGAGAGGGCTTGCCGCAATACCAGCAGCCGGGTTTGCATCTGTCGCATCAGTGATGTGGCTTTGTGGGAAGTCCCTCCAAATTTGGCTCTTCTCGGTTGATGCCGAGATCGAAATCGCTCCAAGGGCGGACGGCAGGTCATCTCGCTTCGACTGGCTGTGTCGGCGGATGTTCTTGCCCTCTCCCGAGACAGCGTCAAAAAGTTCCTTCGTCGGTCGTCGCATCTTGTCCCTCAGGTTCGGTTCGGCATAACTGACTGCAGGGCGCGCTCTTCGGCTTGCCCGCGCTGTCTCGCCCAGGCACGATATGTGAGCTGGGGGCGGCGTGTCCTTCGCGTCCTCTCGCGAAGCAGCCGACTCGGGAGAAAACGGCGTGTTCAGATTTGGTTCGGTGTTGAGCAGCGTCGACGAATCAACAGACACACTTACAACCGGCGCTTCGTGAAGGGCTGGGGCTGGGATCTGAATTGGTGTGCTCATTGAAGCGTCTCTCTTGGCTTTCGGTCGTGGCTTGCCAGATTCGGACCATTTCGCATCTGCCTTCGCCTTCGTAATCTCGTCCAAAGCCGCTGGCTTTCCCATCTTCTTTGGAGACTTGAGAGAATCATTGCTGTTCTTCGCGCCCAAGGGTTTTCGCTGGCTTCCGGCGGTCGTAGCGGGCAAGACCTGCGACTTGTTGTCTTTCTTGCCCAGGGGGAGACTCTTAATGGGCCGGCTGGGTTGGCTATTGCCAATGTAAGAATCCTTCAGGCCTGTAGAGTTCAGCAAAGCAGGCGTCGCTTCGAGTGGTTGTTGAGACTCCACGAGCTCTCGCTCCTCGTCTGTCCTGGCTTTCCTCTTCAGTGTCGACTTCGATTCGTCTGCCTCGGCAAGGCGTACAGTGGCGCCAGATTCCGATTTCTTCACGGTGGGACCCGTGATTTGAGAGACACCACGTTCGATCATCTTTGTAACGCTTGGTTCGCCCATGGATTCGTCAACCAAAGCTGCCTCCATCGCGGTCTGGACTGATCGTGTAGGTAGGTCGAGCTTTACGGGGTCCTGCTGCGTGTATCTCGAGGTTGGGGGCGGACCAAGGTCCGGTTCGCTGGTCTCGTCGGTAACGTCGCATAAAGCTAGGATCTCCTCACGACTGTATTGCAGGCTCGCGTCAGTAATCAGCCTACCAGAGCATTGCAACAAGTTCGACGTACTTGAGGGTCCCTCGCGGGCAAGGCTTGTTTTCCCAGATTGGTGCCAGCCTACCCTCTTGGTGGGCGGCATCCTCCATTTCTCGCATCACTTCAGCTGTCGGCTCGCGTCGCTGCCACTGGAACCCGCTGCTCCGCCTAGGGCTGGGCTGCAGTCTTGGCTTCTTGTGTGCGCGTGGCGATCTGTTCCGTGGCAGAGGCTCGCTGCCCAGGCTGGCGAGCATGGTGCCCCATTCGAGGAGCTGCGCCTCCATCTTCTCTTTGATTTCCATCGCATGGTCGGCGATTCGTTGCGCGCTACTCTCGCGAATCTCTGACTCAAGATGCAGTATCCGTCCACGAAGCTGGAGGTTCTCTGATAGCATGCGGGCACACTCGTTCTCCAAGCTACGTATTCTCAGCGACTGGGTAGAATTGATTCGCGCGATGTCTCTATTCTGGCGGAGAAACCTCCGTCGCACTACGCTTATGATCAGCAGGCATACCCAAAGTTGTAGCATTCAAAAGGTGGCAATTTGTCTCATCAAGTGTGGGATCACTTACGTATCTCGAGGCCATCAGGAGCCACGAGAGGCTCGTTGAGGCGCGCCATGGGACGGGTGCGATGAGCGCAGGAATTTCCGGGAGTGATATTGTTCGCAGAAGAGATTGTTCACTTCGGTGGCCTTGTAAGCTGGCGTTCGAAATAGCGAGCTGCAAGCAATGCGCGGGAGTCGTGTCGCTGTGGTTGTTGTGGTGTGAGAATTCACGTGGTGGATCAAGCAAGCGTGACGTTTTGGCCCGCTCCCCAATTTGGGCGCCCCGGTGTTGACACGCCGCTGAAAGTTTTGAGAGGCTGGGCCGTGAAGTCAACAAAGTACCGAAAGAAGTTTAGCGCAGATAGCTCTCCTCTTGGAGGAGCTCGATGTGGGGCTCCAACGAAGGACTTGTGCCGTCATTTGCTGCGAAGGCTTACAGGACCCACCATGCAGTTCAGAGCGACCCGCCGTCACTGCTGCATGCAGGCGTACCCGTTGCTGGCTGAACCCCTCCACGTCACTGTATGCCGCAATACAATCACCCGAGTGCGATTGACAGAACAATCCGACGAAACACTAGCACCTTCATCCGCGTCCAGAAATCCTGCTGTTCGATCGATCGACCCTTGAAAGCAACCCCGGCGCAACTGGTTCGCTCATACGAGCACAACATTATGGCATTCTCATCACGGGCCACGATGTCGGGACATATGCGGTCAGGCTCCGGTGCTGCCCATGCCGGGTCGCAAGGCGGGCAATCAGCGTCGTTAGTGGCGCGGGTCAACGAGAAAAAAGCCGAACTTGAAAGTCTCAAAGAGCTGCGAGATCTTAGTGCGGAAATGGCAACTCAAATGGAGGCCCTGGAGCAGAAGCTGGCAACCCTCTCGGACGGCACGGAAGGTAAGATGTCCAATGTGCTTCTACTCTGGAGTCTTGGCTGATCGAGGCCTTCGAGCAGCAATGGCCACTGTCATGAGCAACTGGCACAATGTCCTCCGTGCTATAAACATGGCGTCAGGTATGTAGTTATAGTCGCATCACCGCGTTGAGCGCGCTGAACTGATGGCCCAATTCGTGATAGCGAAACTACCACAACCCAAAATGAACGACGAAGAAGACGAGGGCGAGCCGAAGGACGAGCAAGAGCCGCTACCGCTTCCGCAGACATTGGTTCGCATCCCGACAGAGCATGCGCCGTCACTACAGGCACATGCCGACGAAGCTCTGGAGAACGAGCACAACACATCGGCGACTTGAGCAATAAGTGTGGTCACCTATTACCTGGTTTAATTGTTGCACGCATGTCTATACGACTTTTGCCCAACACAGAGGGTCCAGCGTCTGCAAGCCTAGCTGGTCATATACGGCGGTCAAACCTGGGTCATGGCCCGGCAATGTTGAATGATGCCGCCGAGCTGAGCGCTTGAAGCGACGCTACACTAACGAAGCCACGACGCGGCCACAAAGATCAGACCCCGAAGAAGCACGTGCAAGGCGAGCAGATGTCCATCTACAACTGTGGCTTGTGAACATGGCTTTTCCGAGGACTTTGAAATGGCAGCTGGAGATGCCGTGGCTCATTCAAAAGCGTCTCCAAGCATCAGACTGGCTCAAGGTCCATGACAAGATGCGGGGTGGGGGACCAGGGGCAAGACGCACGCGTCTCCTCCCGCGCGCAAACGCGTCAGTGCTATCCTAAGGCAATGCGCATATTTGACCTCTCCCCGTCCAGTAAATAATGTTGGAAGCCAACCCGGTGGCTTGTCATGAACGAAACTGGCGCCTATCGCTGTTCACTTTTGGGGAGGCAGTTTCGGAGCTTTTTGGCGCACGACCAGTTGAGGCAGGTGCGCTGCAACCTTCTCGCTCTGCAGCTTCTAGGCCTTGCACCACGTCGCGCCTTTTGTTATTGTCTAGCTCGTGTTGTTGCTATGGGAGCCTTGCATTTGACGCCCCTCACCAGGCTTTCCACAAAACATGCAGTCTACACGTCAACTTGCTCATCATCTCTTGCACGCTACATGTTCATTATCGCAAGTCCTGCTCTAGTCTGCGGAGTACTCTTTTTGTCCATCCATCACGTATAACCACGCCACAGAGCCACCAAAGACCAGAGTGCCTCCACGGCCTGCCAAGGGTCCGCCCATCCCGGCTCCCGAAATTACACGCCAAACCTCAATCAAACCCCCGGCCGACATTGGCACGGCCTAGACCCCTAAGTGAACGGACGGCCCCATATTGACCACTGGTAGCCCTCAAAGGAGAGGCCGTGCTCTCTTGCCATGGCCCTGTCCGTCCACGGCAGGCCTCACTTTGAGATCCATGTTGATCACCACGCCAGCGACACTGACAGCGCCCTTCAAGCCGCTTTCGCTTCTTCTCAAGTAGCTCCCTTGCAAAGCCTCTCGCCAGCGCAATTGCAGAATCGCCATCGTGATGTGCCTTCAGCTACCCACGACCCAGCTTGTTCAGACACGGCTCATGTCATAGCTTCAGACGAAACAGGCACTTTAGGTAGCGGGCATCACTGCAGCATCAAGCCTTCACGGCCTGGGAAACAGCAGCAGCACCGTAGGCCCAACCCAAGATCGTCGAGTGCCCTGGAAACAGTCCCAGAGAACAAGTCAACAAGCTTCGGCGCGCCAGCATTGGAGCTTGAACACGCATATCGGTGCCTTGAACTGCCAGGTAAGCTTCAGGCATTTCCAGCGCCGAACAACACAGCTTGAAGCGGCTGGTTTTGTGTCTAACGCGAGATCCCAGCTCACCTGTTTCCTGGACATCCTGTCCTCACTGCGACTGGCAACATACCATCTGCAGAGTCTCAGCGCCGGAAACATCAGAACGGAGATTTTGAATGGGTTCTGGCCATCAACCAGCCTCCTAATCAATCAGCCACAGAGCCAACAAGGGACCACGATCGTCCCAGGAGGCTTTTGTTGGGCTGTAACTTATACCCACAAGCCCAGAAGCCCAAGTCTGGCATTTCGGAGCCGCAGCGAGTCTTACTGCTCGCGACGCCCTTGGAAGACCAGGAAAACAGTCTCGAGCACGTCAGCCTTGGTGCTGCTCAAGTGGCCGAGATTATGGCCGCCACAGACGCGGAGAACAAGTCGCTGGTATCGTCGCCACTCCAGCAAAGTCAGGCACCGGGCCCGCCAAGGTTTATCATCACTGTCAGTGATGCCGAGGAGAGCCAAGTTAAGGACACAAACGTCGAGGCCTCTGAGCCCGATTCCGTCGCACGCATCGAGGACTCATTCGAGGCTCTCGACAAGTTAGAGGACCAGCTTGAAGCCTTTGACAAAGCAGCCATCTTTAAAAGAGTCACAATCTCGGAGCCACCGGCAAGCAAACCCACGGAACCATTGACTACAACTCCGACAAGAGATGTCCCTGCCTTAAAGCATGGCTCAGCTTCAGTTAGGGTAAAGTCAGTCGCGAAAGCTGGCCAAGGTGGTCTTCGCAAGTCCGTGTCCATGGTGTTTGATTCTCCGAAAGTGAAGAAGGAGGAAAAGCCACTCATTCAGATCGCCTCCAAAGTCTCTCCGGCGCGCCCGCCGAACACCTTGGTAGCGTCAAAACCACTGGTCAAATCAACGAAGCCGCTCACCATCCCCTCCTTTGAGCTCCCTGGTGAAGCCACGGCTCGTCGCCTGAAGGAACAGCGTGAAGCTCGCACTGCAGCTCAATTGGCTGAAGAGGAGGCGTTAAAAGCGTCTGCAAAAAGTGCCACGTTACGTCGTTCCAAATCTGCGAGATTGACCAGCCTACCGACTTTTGAGCTGCCGGGGGAGGCCATATCGCGACGGAAACGTGAAGAACGAGCACGGCAGCTGAAGGCACAAGAAGAGGAAGAGCGTAAGAGACGGGAGTTCAAAGCTAGGCCTGTCGGGCTCGCCACCGTGCCTACATTTGTACCAAGGGACACTGCGGCAAGCCGTGCTCGTCAGCAAATCAAGGGAGCAACCTCTGAGAATGACTCTCTCCGCCCTATCACACAGGTCAACGGCAAACGCAACTCGATCGGGCTAGCCATGTCCGCAAGAGGACCCCTGGAAGCGTCGAGTAATCAAGGCACACCACGAGGACGTGCACTGTCGAGTGAAACGCGGCACAATACTCGCGCAGTCTCACACGCAAGCTCAACTGGGAGCGTTGGACATTCAAGCACGGTTTCAGCCGAGGATATCCAGCAACAGCGGCGCAAGGGTGAAGGCATCTACCGTCGCGATAGCTCTTATGCCAAGGATCGGGAGGTCGAGAAGCGGGAACGAGAAGAGCTGGCCAAAGCTGCACGGGCAGAGGCAGCCGAGCGTTCAAGGCTACAGAGCCGTGAGTGGGCACTCAAGCAGGCTCGCAAGCGTATGACCATCGGTTCTATAAGGGATCTTCAGGCCTGAAGCCAGTTCGATGCTTGTTCGCGTATTTATGTTGGTGCTCTACAAGCCTTGTCACTTTCAACAGTTTTTTCTTTTGTTGGCAGGCGTTCAGATCAGGGAGTTAGTATTATCTGTTTTCCAAAGCACGGCGGCCCTTCCCTTGTGGAGACACCAGCTTCCGGCACGAGTTTCGGTCGGTCGTTGTCTGGTAAGGGTTCACAAAGGGCATGCTTGGGTGTAGGAGTATTGTACAGCCTTTGCTTCCTTATAGCGTTCACTGAGATTTTGGTAGCCAGACAGCAGAGACTGTATACTTTAAACGCGCTTCAAGTTCTTTGTATCATGCGCATGATAGTCGCTGCTGGGTTCCTTGATTTAGACGGGACATGCTCCGAGCTGGAGGCGAGGAAATGGGCAGCTGCCATGATGCTCCGAGGCTGTCCTTCGTTGCCAGGAAAACCCGCAGACTCATGACGATTGATGATATCACGGCATGTGCTTCGATTTGTCGATGGAAACGAAATGATTCCAAGGCGGGCCGGCCGTGTTGCACACCATCAAGTGTATTTGTCACAATTGTCACAGTTGTCCCAATAACGAGCAACCGTGTACCGCTAATTACGCTGAGGCTTGCCGTGAATTGGATACGCTAGGTTCGGAGGAATTTTGAAACTGATTATTTTTTTGGGGATGGAATCAATTTTGCGTGTTAGGACGTATCGATAGTGAATAGAGATACTTGTTGATAGTATTGCGTGGTTGGTTTATTATTATAACACAAATCTGGATCAGGGCTGCCGTGCAGCCTCGAATATAACTTGGGTTAACAAATATCACTTGGGCTAACATGGCATGGTCTTTGAGCTCTCGACTCGACTGGGATGTATGGAGCGGGTTCCTACAGCACTGGAGGAACTATTACAGTATGATAGGTGAGGCCCTTTATGTGCAAGGAAGGGCAGGCGGCTTTGGATAGCACTTCACGACATTTGCGAGACAGGAAATAGGTGCAGGCAAAAGGGATGAAAGGGCACGAGCTTGATTGTGCGACGCGCTTGGGAGGCGGGAGACTGAGCTGAATTCATCGAGACGCGGTTTCTTTTTGGCCGCCTTGATAGAATGGTCTGGCGTGGATGCAAAGATTACAAACACAATGTGTCACCGGATACTGGCGGTTGCGTTGTGCGTGAGTTGGAATACACGAGAGGCCTCATATTGGATTTGGGATTTCAGGCGGCCATCGAGATGCATATTGGCGTGACCAGTCACTGCCGTGAGCCTATTGATGAACGGTAGCTTGTGCTTAAGGTAATAGATATAATGTGAAAGGGATGCATGATTGAACGACCGCCTTGCGGAAGTAACCGCAGGACCAGAGTTTTCTGGCTGCCACTAGCTAGGCGACCCAATATTGTGCTGGTCATGGCCTGTTGTTGTCGTCGTCGTCGTCGTCGTTGTCTGGGTTAATTCAAAGGCATCAGCTGATATGCCGGAGAAACAGTTACTTGGAGGGCTTTTGGTGTCACAATCGTTCCACTGGGCGTGCTGTTCAGCCAGCCACCACGGCAATTTCCACAAACCTGCATGGCATTGCCTTGCCACGGACAGAACAGCATAGTGGGGGCCAGCTATTGAGTCTTTCTGTCCATGATCCGGAATGCAGCAATGCCCGCGGACCACGAGAGACGTACGAGTCTGCGTCGCGGGTATTGGGCTGGTCTACAGAGCATGCCGCAGCAGTCGGAAACCGCCGCCGACGTTTGCCTCTCTCTGGTCGCACGCCACCACCTTTCCAATCACGATAAGGACATGCCTAGTGGTGTAGAGTTTCGTGCGACGGTGGCAACTGTGCTGTGCACGAGCCCGTTTCTGACTGAGCCTCCCTCCCTCCCTCGGACATGTCCCGATCGAGACTCCCACAGCATGCATGACGCAGCAGGCCACAGCCTCTCGAACGCCCTCCAATTCGCCCGTTCCGAGAGTCTGGACTGACCTCTGACTGGCGAGGACAGCTGATACTGTGGTGCGGCACCCTCCCTCGGATTGGTCTTTACCTCACACCCTCCTCCTCCTCGTTCGACTTGTGTGGCTCTGTTTGAGAGGGCAAGTCCTCGTGCCAAACCGGTGGCTAGGTCCCTGGCGGCAAACTCTGGTCCAGATGTGTGCCAAACGCCCAAGGTCTCTCGGGCTGAATGGCTTCCTGTCTCGAGTCTCAAGAATTGGGACGGGCCTAGCCAAGGCCGATTCTAGCCTTTACCATGCGTCCCTCGAAGTGCCAATGGCCGACGTTGTGCACACAAGCGCAATGGCAACATGTCCGAGAGCTCACCTGGGGAGCAAATGCTCCTTTAGACAGTGTCAATACTGCTCACATGTAGAACCACTAGATAGCAGTCTGCCAGTGTCGATCAAGGGTACCAGACTGGCCCAGGCGTCCGCTGCCTTGGCCAGTTCCAAAGGTAAGTCGAGGCGAGTCTTGGATCGCAAATGACTCTCCGACTATCGTTGTTGCACTTGATGAGAATGACCTGGGCTGTGAACATGCCTCGAGGTGGTGCTCAGCCAGGCAAGGATGGCTCTCGTCCGTATGCATTCAGCTGACATGGGAGACATGCACCACACATTCGCCAGTTTGGCCCGATCGGGAAAACGACCTTCGTCGGTAAGGTAAGCCGCCATTAGGTCAGCCCAGTGAGGCCTCAGGCATCCCTGTCACTTGCTTCTGACACGGGTTTGCTGGCCGTTGGTGCAGGTGGCTGTAGAAGTCGCGGCGTGACGCTGAGGCTGGTCCGCGCTAATTACCAGTCTTGTCAAAGCATGGCCAGAGATAATCCACAGGGTTGAATGGCTGATACCTGCTGGCCATAACGGGCACGACGTGGCACTCAAGCGCTCTCTGTTGGACCTTTTGTTTTTGCATCCAACAAGCCGCCAAGGAAGCGCAATGTTCCTAGTGGCAGCAGCCCGCCCGTGGCCAGCTCTTGGGCGTATCCCCTGTCGGCAGGGCCGTCTCTACTGGATTGGCGTCGGCAGAAGAGTTGCGTACTGGGAGTCGTGTCCTGAACCACTCTATGCGCAGGCACCCGGACCTGCTGCAGGGTCATTCATTAAAGTGCAGTTCCTCTTCTACTCCAGTTGGTCCCAACATTCGAACTGGACATCCGCATGATGGCAAAACGGTCGTGCCAAGCAGGGACAACCGAAAGCAGTCAATGAAGAGAATGTGGCAGGTCGACAAGGAGGGTTGCCTGGGCGCTACGCTGGAGAGCAACTCACCCAAGAGCCACCCGGATTCGAGACCTAATATCTCAGCAGTTCAATTTCAACCACCATGTCCCGGTAGCTTTAGCTGCAAATCATCTCGATCGGGAAGGTTGCCGCTCGCGTCACCATCCTGCCTTCACTGTGGAGCGATATTCCAAAGCGTGCTCTGTCTGGCTTCTTGGATCGTGGCAGCCATCTCATGCTGCCGAGCGCCGCCTTGTGAGATGATTCCGAGGGATGCTCCGTTGGCTGAAGCAGCGGAGACAATGACGACGAGGTGTGAGCCAGCTAGGAACTTTGAAGAGGCAGGGCAGGGCAGGGCAGGAAGAAGCAGGCAGGCGATGAGGCACAACGACGCAGAGCAGGTGGAGACGGCGAGACAGTTGCAACGCGGGGGAAGTTGCAGGCCGGCGATTGGGCAATGGGGCGAGGCTTGCTCTATTAGGCCTAGTTGTGCCTGGTCTGGTCCTGCCACGTCAGATCACCCGCCAAAACCTTCCGTGCAGTGCAGGGCCCCCTTCATCGCCAGGGACTGTCTGAAGCACTCGCCCTCAGCAGCCAACATATCACGGACGGCACAGTCAAAACCACAGCACCAGATGCTGGCACGCCTCGGTCTCGGCTGGCAATCGCTACCCTCACCAGCCCTGCTGGCTCTAGTCGGCCACGCCTGTCCATGACAGGGACCCATGTACCCTATCTCCAAGCAGGGAATAGACGGGAGAATCTCACTCAGGCACCCTGCTCTCGAGAGCTACACGTACCCCCTCCTCGTCGTCCTGGTCCATTTTCCGAAATTGTCAATGGGTTGCAAGTCGCCATGGAGCCTCGCCCGCCAAAATTGCCCATTCGGAGCTCCCGCTAGGTACTTTTCTCATTTCAGCATGTCTGGACCAACGACGAGGCCTTCGAGGAGAGTGGCACTTTCAAGTTGAGGCGGGAACAAAAGTTCGTCTTCATCACAGCTAACCAAGCTGGCGCAGCCAACAATGGTTCTGCCAACGCATTGGTTTCGGGCAAGCAACCTGTCTACATGAGCTTGGCACCAGGAGCCCCAAAGTCAACTAGATCTCTATTTGAAACACTGCTAAACTCCTCGGAGTTTGCGGACTATCAAACACTATACGCGTCGGTCTTACTGGAAGCGGCCGATCTCATTATCTCGCGGCGCACAGCTGCGTGCTGTCTTTCGTGCCTGGCTTGGACAGGCATCATCCTTGCACAGTTTCCACTTCCGTGGGGTTGCACCTCTGGCGTCCGTCGAGGTTGTGCATGTGCTGCCCTGCCGACCTTGAAGGTATTCATGGCCACCTCAGTGTGGCTCATTTTGCCACGAGGCAGAAACTACTCGGCGCCGTCTGGTCTACCGTGACGCACGTGGGCTTTGTCTCTCTGAGTGGTGTGGAGCCTATCTTCTCGAGCCAGGGGCCAATGCCGCTCTATCAGTTGCGCATCACCTTGTCTCACCTGCTCACGCACAGCAACAAGGCTGCTGCTTCCTAGCACAGGTTGCTTTGAAATCACATTGGTCTGATCTGTAGAGCCATCTCAAGCCTGCACCAAAGTGCCTTTGCATCTTGCTTGCCAGCCGCGTCCCCTCGGCGGTAATCCTTGGTTAGTAATTGCTGTGAGACGGCCATCTTACTCAGAACCAGAACTGTGGTACTGGCGGCCCACCTGCCATGCAACGTCCCGGTCCTTATCTTTCCAAGCCACTGGGACACGGAACAATGCGAGTTCGCGGGCGATAATAACTGCCTGGGTGGTTGGACCAGAGTCATGATCACATGGGCGACGTTTTCGGTTTGAGGTCGTATTGGGGTCTGAATAAGACCCAAGGCCGGATTGAGGTCGTCATCAGCCGACCCAGCAGCTTGGCTTCTCAGTCATGGGCCATGCGATCCCATGCACCATCCCAGGTCTTACGATTGACAGGGCAAGCGGCATGGCCTTGAGATAACCGGGTCCCGTTTCCACTTTCCTGTTGGACCGCCGATGACGACGGATACGCCGAAAGATTGTGGCTTTGAGCTGCACTGCGAATCCACGACCTCGTTAATCACTGGAGTCCATGACATTCGGATGCTTGACCACGGCTGTTCAGCCGTGATCTAGACAGGGCCGAAAGCTGCCGGATTAGGAAACCGGATACTGCGTCTGTGGCTGGCTCAAAATGACATTGCTTCCAAATGATGGGCTCTCAGGGCCTGAAGACGGAATGAGCGGCGCATTGGTTCCTGCATGCGCGCATGAGCTTGGGCCTGCACACTGACAATTCCAGTCCGGCGCCGATGCTTATTGGGCCGTCGTGGCCTAGGTCCCAGACTACTGACAGGATGCCATCGGTGGGTTTGCCAAAAGAGTATGCGGCTGCATGAACATGCCTTCAACCAGCGGGAACTGCTCACCACCAAGGACCGGGGCCGAATCTTAGCTAGGGCCGTCAGTGACAGGGCTTTGCGTGCCACGGCCGCTTTTGCCTTTTCCTTGTTTAGTCCAGCGTCTTACCTCCGAGCGCTGCAACAGACCTGTCATTGGCCGCTCGATTTACAACTTGAGACATGCAGCTTTGAAGGAAATCGGTGAAGGAGAATAAGAAAGCAGATGAAAGCCAAGAGCCTGCTCAGCCAAAACACGTGCCTGGTCAAAGAAAGACAAGACCTTAACTACGACCACCTCCCAACTCTGCGACACGCAAGCTGCATGCCGCGACACCCTTTGGGGTGCGAAAGTATCCGGCCAGCAATATCTAGATAGGAGTAGCACGGAACCCGACACTACCGATGCCTTTGACATATTGTGCCTGCATGCCGCCATGACGGCATGACCACAGCGGAGCAAGACGGATTGCTGTGTCTCAAAACACGACCGAGAAATCAACCGAGCCACGCCGATCAGCAACGGAAACATGGCATTCCCTGCCCCTTGTGGTCGCCAAGCTGCTTGTGCTGCTGTCTGTCGTTGATTTGGTGCCGTCGACGAGAGGTACACAATTCCCGGAAGCGCCGTTGAATTATTAGCTCGAAACCTTGGGAAGCCGAAAGGTCCGCAGACAATGGTAGAGTTTGGCTGACAGGTAGGCGCCGTATGCTAAAAATAAAAGCCAGATGACGCGTGCCTGGCACCCGCCATCCCGAGGCCTCTGAGTAGCAAGCGCCAGAAGGAGCAGCAAGGTGATGTAAGCAGGTGCCAAGCACAAAGGTTTGGTCCGCGGGCGACTTGGCCGTCTGTTCACCTGAGAGACTAGCGAACGGCCTGGCAGAACAGACCATACGTAGCCTGTCTCAGTCTCGTGTCTTTAACCCCCGCGCGCAGTTTCGAGTCCAGACGTGTCGAAAGACGCCATCCCAGGCTCCGCCAGTTCAATATGTCCCTCGCGTCGGCTCTTGTTTTTCGTCAGCGGCGATGGCAGCATGAATGTCTAAGACAGATGGACGTAGTAATAGCCATTGAAGGGTGAGAAACCGCTTGGTCGCCCCGGCAGGGCAGGGTCGGCCACGTGGGCTGTGCAGTGAGACACGCAGACCCCTTTGAGACTTTTGCATTTCATTGCAGCAGGTCACATAATCAAGAGTTTCTCATCCGCAGAGCCCCACGGGGCCACGTCTTTCCGTCCCGGGCCGTGCGGAGAGAACGGAACTTCCAGCCCTCCGCCCAATGCCCGAGGAGAGATGGGATGTCTGACTTTTGAGCTTTTCGAAGCGGGCGTGATTAGAAATATTGAAACTTAATTGCTCGTCCCCGGCAAGGAGAAATGCAGTCGGGTTCTGGAGCTCGCATTCTCCCGCGCTTCCAGGGACTTGTCCGCGCGCTAGCAGCAGCGAGCTCGGATTCTCTATCACTTCTCAGACCACCACCACCACCACCTTGCATAGCAACCACGTACGTACGTACGTACTTACTGCAAGCCAGAAGAAGCACGCATGCGTGTTGTATGAGGAGATGTGATGTGCAAAGTGCACTCCAAACTAATCATGGACGATCCAACCCCAAACCTCGCCTGGCTTCGCCTGACCTGTCCTCGCCTCCTCCATCCAGCATTTGACACGCCGCCACGCGGCACCGCTGCTGCAGCATTCCAACGGAACTAGGTAACCTAGGGCCCCAGACGCCCGTTCTATTTGACAAGTTGCATGGCTTGCAGCAGCCAACGTGTCAGGCCCAATTAGCGCCTGTCGTGGACGCCGCTAAAATGGCCCATGGCGCGGTCTCGTTCGCTGATCATGGCCCCCCAAGTGCTGGTGCTGTTGTGCCACCACCAGGGGGCTGGCCGGGCAGCGTCAAGCAGAGATGGAAGAGGGCAAGGGTGCCCTTCCCCCCCCGGGCGAGAGAAGCCCGAAAAGGAAACTGGCAAGGATCAGGGTTACGGGAATTACACCAGCATCCTTGTCGCCCAATGGATCAACCTGTAAGTACCTACAGTACACTGCCCCTACATTGCTGCTTGGGGGTGGGAGTACCCTGCAGCGGCGGGAAGGGGGGGCGCTTCGGCACCAATTGCACTCGCTCTTGGAGCTTAGAGAGTCTGGGGGCACGGGGCGCGCGCGCCTGAAGTCCTGGCCAGCCGAGGCTGCGTGATCGTCTGTCCCCTCGGAGGGAAATGCGAGATGTCAAGCTCTGTCGTTGGCGGCTTGCGCGCGAGAATTTGAAGAGTAATCGAAGGGACGCGGGAGCGAATTGCGCGAGACCTTTAGGACAATAGTTGACTAATATATGACGGCAGGGGGTTAAGTTAAAAGCGAGGAAACCAGGCGGAACTTTGGAGGCTTTGGCCATGCCCTGAGGACACCTTGCTCAGGGCCAATGCCCGTCCGCCTGTCCACCGTCCGCTAAAGGGACCTGAAAGGAACTTATCAGGCATTCCTTGGTGGATGGGGAAGCTGTATCATTAATCAACGGCGATCGCCGTGGAGCGAAGCGAGATACAACTCTCTCTCTCTCCCCCCCCGCCCCCCTCTCTCCAACCACGCCTCAACCTTGCTGTCCGTTCCATGAGCTCCGATCAGGGTTGCATTCGTACGAGAGCGGCGTGGTGGTGGATCGATCAATAGGGTTGCAGGAGGTCGAGCGCAATACATACTGACTGGAGGATAAGGATTTGGAGAAATAACCCATCAAAAGCCAGTTTTGCTTGCGCACGACCCACCACCACCACCACCACCACCTCTTCAATTTGCGGAGGATGCCGCGCGAAATGCAACGGCTTTTGCCACAATTACCGCCCAACGGCTCTGGGGCGTGCCTCAGAAGACGCTTGACGACGTGTGGTATGTTCCCCTGGAGGAGGGTTCGCCGACAGGGAGCGATTTGCAGTAGGGATGGCGCGCCACGACAGAAGTGACAAAGCAATGCAAAATATCGAAGTGACGGGCCAATGACAGACCACGGCGCGCTCAACAGATCTGCGACGGTGGTTATGATGGTGTGGTTAAGCAGCAGAAACGATGGGGAACCATGGCCGGCAGTTCCTGCTATGAGACGGCCCCTTCCGTCAGGCAACTGTTGCCTCTTTGTGTACGACGACGACGAAGACGCGAGTTCTCTAATATGATACGTCTCTTTCAAGGGCGCAGACGTATGCAGCATCGTGCTGCCTTGTCTTGGAAAAACCAACGCAGGATGCGTGTCGGAAGCAGTCGTGGGGACAACATCCGGTACATGGAGCACTAGTCGCAAAGGAGGCAACGACTTGCTGTCCCTGAGCTGCATGACGAGGGCTTGGTCCTGCCGTGGAATGCCGCAGGGATATGCAAAGAGGGCCTCGTCGACCTTGTGCACGTCCCGTTGTGCGTAGCAGACGGACGGCGGGCAACTCGCTCAATGTGCAGGCAGGGCAGGGGAGGGCAGCGCGGGCCAGGAAGGCAGGCAAGGTTGTCCGTCCAGAGCAGCACTACAACCAGTGCGAAGAATGGAAGGTCGGAAGCCGGCTCGCACGCTGCGTGCTACGGCATGCTGGAGGGAGCCTGCATGATGCTCATGTCGATACCCGCGAACCATATCGCATAGGTTGGCTCATGACCGTGTCCACTTTCAGGCTGCCTGAAGCAAGGCGCTGGCCGAGCGAACTTTTGAGATTGCCCCCCTTTGACAGTGTAGGCGTTGTCGCAGGCACAACCAGTGCCAGACTCGTCAGACAGGATGCCAGCCAGCACAGGCGATCATTTGTGCTAGCTGCGCGCGGAGTGCTGGAGAGAAGAGACTGCCGCGTGCGGTTCGACCCGACATGAATGTCGCAGGTGAAGCCTTCAACCAGGGTGTGTGATGGCTATGTGCGCCTCGCTGGTGCTTTGCTCGTCATGTTTCTTGCATAGCTTCAGCTTGAGCCTCGCCGGAAACACCAACAAGACAGGGCTGCGACTTGCTGGTCTCTGACGGTTACACAAAACCTCGTCGAGGGCTTGGGCCGTGGAGAAGGCCACAAGCTATCGCATCTCAACAGTAGGAGAGACCCCTGCCCTGGACAGGCTACGAGATACGGTTGGTCCAGACACGCGATACGCCCGAACTGTTCGTGAGCATTGCACATATGCCTGGGCCAAGCCCCGCACGGGTGCGGCCGAGCCGATGATGCTAGTCGTCAATAGCTGGAACACCCGGGCCCTTAGTCGCTGGACTACAGTGATTATTCTCTCGGTCAGCCAATCTAATGCTGCAAGAGACTCGTGCACAAGAAGCCCACGACATGCTGCTTCGCCGAAAGCCCGATGTGAGGACACTGTTGGATAAGGCAGATTCTGCTCGCCTTGTTGGCTTGGCATGCTGGCCGGCTTGTAGCACCTGCTGGCAAACACCAGTCTAGTCTCGGGACCGCGGGCTCGATGGCGACGCAAGGCGGTCCGCGAGACTGCCCGGGCGAAACCCCCCAATGGCAGATGCAGGCGGATTTTCCGTGGGGAAGATGGTATCCCCGGTGGCCAAGGAGACCACCCCGGGCAAGATGTGTACGTGAGCAGAGACGAGCGGCGGGCGGGGGGTGTCGTAAGCCCAGTGAGGCTATTGTTGGTTCGCCCGTGGCTCGCGAGGCCCGGAGAGAGCTGGAGGTTGGAGTGCGCCTGGTGCACGGGCGTGTGATGCAGAGGGGACCCGAAAGAGTCTAGCTCGAGGGCAATCCAGGGTGGGCCGCCCATCTCCGCATCCTTGGTCGCAAGCACGGCCTCCCGCGTGCTTGTGGAGATCTCGGGCTGTTTTGCGAGGGGCAAGCCAGCCAGCCAGCCAGCCAGCCAGCCAGGCCCCTGCTGATATGGAGAGCACAGAGCGACGACGCCAGATTAAAGACGAGCCCCTGGTCTCCTCCATGCGCATCCCTTGCGGACCCGGGCGCTATCGACACCCAAACCTGCAGTCCATGCACGGAGGCGGCCGTGACGCCTCTTGCATCGGGCTGCTCGGATGTGCAGTTCGCCAACCTGCAGTGAGTCGCCTGGTCTGTGACAGCCTCGACCAAAACACGGGCTCCAGGTGACGCTGGTGCTCTTATGCAGGTCTCCCGTCGTCCGCCAATACTGTCTCGGGTGGTTGCCTGTCAGCCATCCTGCTTTTCCGGGGATTGAGCAGCCATGTGTTCGTTCATTGGCCTTCCCCACACTCGATGCTGCAGGTGACACCCTCCACGGCCTTCGTTTTCCCATCTTAAAGTCGGGGTGGTGGCTTGTTGCGAGTGGCTTCGATAAGGCCAACGAAGGGGTGCCTTTCACTTCCTGGTGGGAGAAAGTCTGTGAGCCAAGCCTCCCTGGCCCTCTTGGCTCCATCGAGCGCATCGAGAGATTGCATTGCGTTGACAAGAGGGGAGGGCTTGAGGGGACTTGCCAGGCCTGTCCGTCAGGGTCCCCTCCACAAAGACAAACTTCCCGCACTGGTGCTGAGCGACAGCTCCCTAGCTCGTTCTGCAAGGCACGCGGCCGTGAAGAGCATCCACACTATCCGGCGCGCCGTCGTCCACATGTCCACAGATAGGACCGTTCATGGAGGAAACGGACAGGCAGTGCCTCCTCGTATCATGTAGCTTCGGCATATGAGACGATCAGCAGAGATCTGCTATCATTGCGTGTCCGTGCAGAACGCCGTGCCCTGACGCCCAAGCGATGGCGTGGGATGTGGAGCATCGATGCCAGGCAGGAGATCACGCCGTCGACTATAGGAGCTTTCTACCGCGTGAAACGCCAAAGCCGACAGATTGTCTCACCAAGGATTGGGGCCGATAAGCCAGAGTGGACCTGTCGACACTACACGGAGCGACGTCGACACGATGGATGGCGGCATAGACGCCCCAGATGACCAGGAAGCTAATGGCGGCTAGAGATAAGCTAGAGCCCAAGACAGCGTGCGCTGCTGATTGCAAGCCCACAACGCCGCCGCGCAGGCATAGGAACGGCCGTGTGGGGGAAGGATGTGGTCGGCTGAGGAGGTGCTGCCAACCCCAACCTTGGCCCTATTCCGTCTTGGGATGGATCTCCTGGGCTCAGATGACCTGTCTGTGGGCAACCAAGGCGCACCAAGGCGTCAGGTAGCACGCCACTGTTGCGAAGACCATGCCGTCATGCACATCATCTTGGAGCAGATGGTCGTGATACTGCAAGCGCCCACTTGATTGATATCGGTACTCTATTCCAGCAAGCCGCATGGTGGAGGATGGACCGGGGTCCGCGCAGGTAGGTCGACGAGCCCCCCACGGACTTGATTGTCAATCTCGAGGCCTCTCTGGCAAGTCCGCCACGGCCCGGTGATCAATACTGGGGAGATGGACGGAGCCGTACCTATCTATCATGGCGCAACCGGCGCTGGAGCTGGTCCAACCTGCAGCTGGTCCTGATAAGGGGTACAGACCCTTCCAGGAGGTCTGCATGGGTCCTGAATCGAAGCTGGGGATAATTCCCATGGTCTTGTGCATCGCATTCGCCGTGGGCGGCAGGAGGTTTTGTGCGAATGGCCGTCAAGCTGGCTTGGGGAGGGTGGCATGCATGCCCTTGCTCAGCCAATGTGCCCTCTCCGTTGTGCCAGCCGTCGCTTTGAATGCTGCAGCTTGCATCAATGATGCTAGCCACGACCGCAGGCGGGCCTGAGGAAGGGAGGAAGAGGGTGTCTTGTCTCGGCAGAGGGGCAGATGTGGCATGACCACCAGACTCTCCGGCCAAGAACCCCTCGGGACTCTCCTGCGTATGCCGAAACGGTCGTCGACGAAGCAACTACCAGACTGTGCGGGGGAGTCCGTTGGCGCCGAGTTGTCAAGTGATGATGTGCGCTGCGATCACGGGGTCGAAGCTGTCATTGCGGGAATGGTGAATCACTGCAGGTGGTGGTGGATCATCAATGGCCGTGGCTCCGTCTCTCGCCGGCTGCCGGCGAGCGGGGCGAGCCCCAGTTCCCGCGACCAGGAAAGCACAGAGTGGACACCTGCTGCTCCATGATCGCTCGACGGGCGACAATGGCCTGTTAGCCAGCCCACTTGAGCCCTTGGCAGCCAGGCACTGCTTTCTCGAGTCCCCTTTCTGGGGAACATGCTCAGCTCATGCACGACGAGACTTCAGCACGCAGGCGGACGACCAGATGTGGGATGTGGGCCACCATCGGTTTGGGCAGCAGCAATGGCGAGGCCGCCCGGGCTTGTCCTCCTTGAGGCAGGGCTTGCCCTCTCTATCTCCTCCTGGCTGCGCTTGGCGCTGACAACAATTTTTTTCCTTCGATCTGGGCTGCACATTTCGAGGCTATCTGTGCCCCGTGGCGGGCGAGAAGGGAAGAGTTCAGCTGGGCGAGAGAATAAGCGACAAGGCCATGGGGGGAGGCCCGCAAAGAACGATCTGGACACTGGCGCCCGCGCAGCCCGGGGGGAAGTCAAAAAATCTGCTGGCAACCGTCAAGTCCCGGGCGAGAGCGCTCGCTAGTGCCGGGCACTCCAGATTGTGCCCCGATTGCGACAATGGCGAAAGAGCACACCACATCGCACCATTCGCACCGGAGCGGCCCACCTCGGAAGCGCGGTTTCAAAGACTCACACGTCCTGCCGGCAACGGGCTTGTTGCTTTGCTCGAGGGAGAGTCCAAAGTACACCGTCCAGGAACAAAAGAATGGTTTCACGGATAGGACTTCGCCAATGGCCCAGCGAGGCTGTACCGGGGCGCCAAGGACGATCAGCACAGTTCGAGCAGACCCAAGGCAGGCAGGCAGGCAGGCCACAATGGTGCCAGGGGAGAGCCACGGGGGGCGCACGTCGTAAGCACACACCCACCTGTGCGAGCACTCTGTGTACGACGTGAAGGCGCACGAGTGCGTGCCTTGGCTGGCTGGCTGTGAGCACGACCAAGCCAAGAGGAAGAACAGGGGCCAGTCAGTGTCTTAGCCAGCAGCTCCAATCCTCCTCGGCCCACGCCCCCTTAAGGCCAGCCGTCATGGTGATGGCTGCACAGTGGGAGGTCACAGGGCCGGGGCGGCGTTGGGGAGGGGGTGCTCACCCACTCACTCTTGCTCGCTCGCTCACTCGAGGCACGCCCCCCATCTCAGTTGGGCGTCCCCACTGGCAAGATGACGCTAGACCTGCCGGAGAATACGTACAGGGCCAGCAGAGCCTGCCCATGGGTTGGTGCACCTCGCTGGGCAGAATGGACCCACGTATGACTGTACAGGCAGCAGGTACCTGTGCACGCAAGAATGCACCACTCTTGTACCTTCGCCCACCTCCACAGGGGATCTGCGCATACTGCGCCCGCTCCGTGCACTTATCAATCCCTCCTCGTTCCTCCTCCATATTTGACTCCTGCTCTGCCCGCCTCTCTCGACACTCTCTTCCAGACTTCAAACCTCACCACCGTCCAACTCCAGCCCAAAGCAGCTCTGGCTTCGTGCTCTTCCAAAGTCAAGACTCCCGACACTTGCGTTCGCACACACAACACACACAGCAACCACCAACCACCACCACCAACCAGGCTTACTTCCTCCAGGCTCGTTCTTGACTTTGTCGACAACGACATCGGACAGCTTACAGGCTGCCCCAAGGACTTTGTACCACGTTCAAACACCCACCGCACTTCATCATGTCTGCCGACCTTGCCTGGGAGCACCAGTTCTGCCTGGCCTGCGACAGGCAAACAGAGGGCACAACCTACTGCTCCGAGTCCTGCCGCCTTTCCGACTTTGAGAAGTGCTCGCCTTCCCCATACTCGGCCTCCACTCCCATCTGGTCTTCAAAGTCGCAGTCCAAGGTCTACCTCGCGCCTAGCTTTGACTACACCAACGGTCAGGCCGCCGCCAGGCAATCACAAACCTCGTCAACCCACGTGCTGTCGCCCTCAAGCTCCCACAGCAGCCTCTGCTCTTTGCAGAGCATGTCCTCAACCTCGAGCGACTTGAACAACTTGTCAGACAAGGCGAGGAAACAGCTCCGGGACTACGCGAGCTCGTTTGAGCACTCTCGCGTCCAACGCCGCCGCTCATACTAGGTCTGACAGACCTTGACTGGGCCTGCCCTCGATGGCCGCGCCTCCTTTGCTACCATGATCAACCACCATAACGACCCATACAAAACATCCAATCGTCACGAAACACACACAACTCCCCTTTTCCTCCTTTACCAGCGATCCAACAACGACTCTCCACACCTTTCTACCACCAATCCAACATTCAACAACGCACACTTTATCTCTCTGTGCACTTATTGTACAAGCGGCATTACTCGGAGCACAGCATCACCAAAAAAGTTTCAAGGGGCCTTCAGGGCATAACGGGTTTCAACATTCACACTATTTGCTTTTGATTTTTCCACTTTTGGCTCAGGCGCACGATGGGACGCCCCTCGGACGTGGGGCGTGGTTTTATTGTACTACGACTTGTTGCACAAAGATATCCCTTTTTCTTTCACTATTCACTGCATCGCATACCACAAATCACACAGGATGGCGAGAATGGACTCGGCCAGGAAGAACGAGGAAGGAACCCCATCGGGTTGGCCTTTGGATTACGGTCCTTTGGCTGTGATAACTTGAGCTACCACCTTGTCTCAGCTTTTGACGGCACAACTGCCTTTGCGCTTTAGACCTATTCTTCTGCATAGATACTAGGGCACTGCCACGCCACAATACATACAAGACTTTTGACGCTCACATCAAACGCTTTCTTCTTTGCTTTATGAAAACATTACGGCGATGCGCATGCTTGCTCCATGGTTCCCCGTGCCAGACGCCATTGATCCTCCATTCGGGCGGATCATGAAGTGTCGGCATGGGACCCGCCCAGTGACTGGTTGGTGGCCCACCAAGAGCCGATGTCGTTGTCGAGCGTTTGAGCTTCCCCCAGCAATCAATGCCTCTGAAGCCCCCCCGACACACAGCAGGTCGAGACCACGGGCGACACTAAGTGGCCCACGATCCACACTAGCCTGCCTCACTATCATCAATGCGCATACAAGAGGAGGGAGCCAAAAAAAAAAAAAGGGTCACACTCCTGAACACGTCACATCCGATCGCGCGATCCTTTGCACACAGGATCGGTCCCATCAAAACACATGTAAACTTTTCCCCTTCCATGCCATGCGCCTTGATTTTGCGTACCAAGCAAGCCTCAAGAAAAAGATGTTGGTTCAGCAAGCATTCTGCCTGTGCTGAAGAAAATTTTCCTGCTTCCTGTCCCCTTGCCCTGCTTTGTATGTGTCTCTGTTGTTGGGGTGGTACGTGAACATGGACCCCTCCCTTTTGACTCCAAAAGCTTGGATCAAGCCGCGTCCCTTGCCAAAGGAAAGGACAGCAGCACCCACTACTAAAAAGGACAAGGGAGAAAAACCCGTTAGACTGCACGCACGCTACTTCTCAACAGTAAGAGAGAGGGAAAAAAGTTCGAAACCTCGTTTTGGACACAGACCAGCAGACAGCAGCAGCAGCAGCATGAAAGTGGGCACATTCCGGCCGGAACAGCATCTTCACTTCCCCGGGAGGCCGAGGGCAAACCACAGACAAGGACAGACAGCCAGACAGACGGACCACCTGGCATGGCATGGCATGGCATGGCATGGCATGGCATGGCCCATAATCCGGCGGCGCCGCCGTCCGCCGGAATCCACATCCACTGGCTGCTGGCCATGGACCAGGATAGGAGCAAGCAAGCAAGCAAGCCCTTGCCTGTCGTTCCACGGGCGGGACAGATACGGCTCAGCTCCTGAGGGTCTTCTTTCAGCTCACGCCTCTCCCGCAGACTCCTCGGCGAAAGCGATAGGGAGAAAGGGGATTGTTTTTTTTTTTTCGTCTAAAAATTCCCATGAAGAACAAGATACCCTGCACCATAATCTGGACCCAAGCCAACGAAGGCAGCCAAGTATAGGGTGGAGAAGCATATCGCGCACTCCTTGTCGAGCTTGAATTATCTTGCGAAAGAGAATAAGCGACGCCCCAGTGTCACTTACAACATTCGCCGGAGGGAGGTGACCACCTCCGCCCTCCTCCCTCCCGTTCATCGGCGCAGGACCCTTTGGGAGGTCCTCAGACATGTGTGAGGTACGTTAGGTACGCTACGTACGTACCTATCGGGCGTAGCGTCGTCTGGTACGCAGCCATCGTGAGCTACGACCACGCGCCGCCGTCGGGCGGGTAACTCTGTTCCTGAGAGGATGGAGGGAACGATGGTGATTCGCCTTCGCTTGATGAAGCCAATCCCATGCTTGCAGGACCGTGCAGGCTTGCGCGGGCGGGCGCGCTGGTATGTGCGAGGCGTGCCTAGCAAGCACTAGCTAGCTACTGATGCCACCAGCCAGAGCTTATGCGGCGCGCAGAGCCTCAATCCCATCCCGAGGGCCGTTGTTGGTGCTGGTGTGGTCCGACGAAAGGGGGGTCCGGGATCGCTCGCTCGCTGCTGAAACTCGAGAGAGAGGGCTTGTGCTGTGTAGCACATGCAGTACTTTGATGTGTCTGTCTCCACTACTCGGCCTGGAATCGTCGTCGTTGTTGTTGTCCCCCTTTCGTGTAGATTGCCCCCCCAATGCGAAGTTAGCTGTAAGATATAAAGTATGGGCGGTTTGGTATGGCGCCAATGGAGAGTGATTGGCCCACAGGGTCCCACGGGCGAGTCCGATCGGAGCGCGGCGGAGCCTGGCGCCAAGGGCGGGAAGAGTCACACGTCGCCGCTGATAAACTTGTTTTAAGGTTTTCTCTGATTGACACCAGGTACCGCCTGGCGGGCGAATAGGGCGTGCAGCCTCGGGTTGTTTGTTTTCGAGCCAGGCCGGCCTGGAATCCTCGGGCACACACACACCAGCAATAGCGAAGGAGGAAAAAAAGTCTTCACAGCCTGGTGATCGGCCGAGAAAAGTCGCCCTCGAGGCTCTGCTTGCCAAAACAAAACCACACATCCTGATCCATACCACACACTACTTGGCGGTCCCACCCGCTCGCCGGGTTGAGCCATCCACCCACTCTGTGCTTTGGGAGCTGAGTTGAGCTCCACTGCCCACCACGCGCCAGCCAGCTTTCGGCTCCAGCTTTTTTTTTGTCCTGTGACGCTAGCGTAAGGCAGGCAGCTCTACTGCCTGCACTATGGATGTGCTGGATTCCACACACACACACCACATAACAACCATTGTTGTAATTGTTCCCACCTTGAAAACTGGAGAGCCGGGGAGGTGCCCCGGAGTAGCATCTGGCCCAGTTGCAACCCTCCCCGCCAGCACAGGTTGTTTGGAAGCCCAGACCCGACTGGTCACAGGTCAGGTCAGGCCGGATCCCGGATGCGGAACTTCGGATGTTGGTCGATAAGGCATATGGGAAAAGCTCGCTCCTCGCCCACCACCTATGCTTACATACCTGCATGTGGAAAAGACTGCCACTTGCCCAGCAGCATGCGGCTCTGCGTGGACCCTCTTAACTCCTGTTGGCTATGACCATATTACTACATGGCACACCATACGAGGGAGGCAGTGTGTGTAGGTAATTAAAATGCAAATCTCTATCTGCCCGAGCCGCCCCCCTTCCCGCGCCGTGGTCCCAGCCAGGGACCAACCCGGTCGACCTGGTTTCACGCGCCACGCATCCATACACACAATTTTGCTATTCCTCACTAGAATTATTCGTGTGTATATGCGTCCAGGGAAGGGTCAGCCTCTCGGCCCGTCCTGGCAAAAGCCCAAGGGCAAGGGGACGACGGAGGGCGGTGCGGGATGCGAGGATCAGGGTCCAACCAACCAACCAACCAACCAACCCAACGAACACCATGCCAGAGATCTTTTCTGCGAGGTACCGTCGTGGTGGTGGTGGCGTTGCCTCGCAAGCATCAAAGTTTGCTCATGGCTCCCTCCCTGGGGCCAGCACCTCCTGCTGTTGAGAGAGAGAGTTCGTGTTTGCTTTGCTTTGCCGCCGCTGCATATTTATGCATGACATGCATGCGCGTGCGTCTGGTCTTCGTTGATGCGATGGTGACGTTTGAGAAAAAAGGCTAGCAAGAGGGCTGCTGTCATTTGCGCTGCCACAAGCAGACAACAGCAACAATAACAACAACAGCCTTACCCAGCCAGCTAGAGCCGGTTCTGGAGTGGTCCGAAGCCACTTGGCTGCATTAGCACACACACATACACACACAGAAAAGCTGCCCGTGGTCCCAGCCATTGCCCAATGCTGCTCCTAGCCACGGCCGTGTCTACTTTGCTCGGTGTGGTGGTGTCAGGTGGGACCCCCCCCCCTTTCCACACCGAACGTATTCCCCGTGCCTGGCCGCTGGTATGCGCGCGCCGCTTTGTTGCGTGCGGAAACTGCCTGCTTCCGCGGCCGGTTGTGTCAATGTGCCAAAGCGCAAAGTACATTCGAACTTTTATTCCCCTTTTTTCGCTTTGTGCAGCTAAAGTCACTTTGAGTGCTGGCAGTGGCAGAGTGGGGGGTAGCCGCGGGAATAGACTCCCAACATTTTGTGCGTGTTGTGAGACTGTCGTCGTGTTATTTCTCATCCGCGGCCCGGGGGGGGGGGGGGCATTGCCTGAATGCAGACAATACGAGGGGACAGACTACACAGAAAAAAGTGACACAACTCAATACCCGAAAAAGATCTCACAATGGCCTTCAAAGAAGGGAAACAGAACTTTTAGAAGGAAAAGGTTTTTTCTTCCATCCCTCGCGGCCAAGACATACTCGATCTAGCAAGAATGTGAAACCAGGCACGAAAGGTTAAAACAAAACTGAGGGTGTGGTGCGTACCTGACCTCAGTAAAGTTTCCGGGTGCCTGGCCGGTGGCTGGCTGGGACAAAACTTTGACTTTTTCAGAGGGCTGGTACATTCTTCAGGAATGACGCGCTGCTTGGTGCATACTTTCCCGAGAAAAGAAAAAAAGTGGTTTCTCACTTTGTCTTGCGATCTCCTGAGATTTCTTTGTCTCGGGCGCGAGGAAGAACCAGTTGTGTGAGACATTTCAGGCGGAACCCCCACGCGCTGGCTCTCACCGGGTTCGAGGCAACGGGTGTGTCCCGTATTTCTTGCATCGTGAACGGATTGACGAGAAAAAATTGACGAAAAGAAAAGAAAAGAACACACGGGTCAACGGTCTCTAGTTGCTGCATGCAATGCAATGCCGGTACAGCCAGGCCAGGCGAAAGATGGAATGTACCTGTGTCGTTGTCGTATGTTTCGCACACATTCGACACTCTCTGCCTTGCGACGACGAAACAATGGGACTCCACATTGTCAAATTACGGAGGCGGGTCGGTTCCGTTGTCAAACATGGCCTCATTACGTCGTCGGGTGTCGTCGACTTTTCTGCCGAGGTACGTCACATCCGTGTCTCAGAACGGGTCTGTGGGTTCTCGTTCTCCCCCTCGGGTTTAAAGAGTGTGCATGCATCAACCAAGAAACAACAAAACGACAAATGTACTGGAGCCACGTACTTAATCAATCAATTGTGAAACAAGTCATCCCCACTACACCCATCAACCAGAGCTTCTGCTGCTGCTGATCTTCGGGAAATGGGAACAATGAGCGGAGAATACGTCAGCACTTGCTTCGCGTCGTCGACTGGGTACCTAGGTACACACACCAAGGCCCGCCGGCCGAGACCTGTCCATGTCATGTCATGGCATGTCGTGTTTGCCTGCCCAACTGTCGTCGACGGCAAGAGTTTTCGTGGGCAAGCAAGCAAGGTTCATCATCCAAGACCAAGAATCTCGTCGCAATACGTGTTTTTCGACGACAGGCACTCAAATCAGTATTGATTGGTTGAGGCACATTTTGATGTACACCTTTTGACACATGTGCCTGACGCTAGCATCAATCGCGGGCCGTGTGCATACAGGACGGATCGGAAGATCTGGCCAGGTACCAGCCCTCCGAAAGCACCCTGCAAAACAGGATCTTGAGAGCCTGGAGAAGAAGGGAAAACCCCCAGTTCCACGCATTCTGTACATACTATGTACCTTTGTGCAAAAAGTAGGCTTAGCGTGGATGCGTCCGGCAGCAATCACATGGCGCAGTCCCAGAATCGCTTCCACTCGCTCGGTCGACGGAGCCGAGACGGTCGGGATGGGGGCCATGTTTTAGGTACGATCAACGGCCCCTCCCTGTTATTTTGTGATTTTCCATCTTCCAAATCATCTTGTCCGTCCGTGTGTCTGCGGGAGATGGAACCAGTTTGCAGTGCCCAGTTACGGAGTAGTGTGCAGAGTTGCCCCTGTCTGCTCCCCGTCCACCGTCGTTTTCTCAAACAGGCACGAGCGTGTGCAGAAAATATTCATGCGCCACTTGCCGCGTCGTCCCCTCGGGAGGCCACTACCACCGTACACTAGCACGATCAGGGCGGACGAATCGCCGATTTGGCACGGCGATCTGGGGTTGCAAGGCTTTTCCAAGGGAGCCCGGCGGGGACCACTATTTCCTTCCCGTACGGCACAGTACAATGGGCAATAGGAAGGGGAGAATGAAAAAAAAACCTGGCTTGTCCACAGCGGCTCGTTCCTGGATCGCGTCCGGCAAGTTCGTTCGTTCCGGGCGAGGCTGTGGACAGAATAAACCGGACAGGTGCTGTACAGCATGGATCTACATTGTCCGGTTTATTCTGTCCACAGCCTCGCCGGGATCAGAGAAGGAGAATGGCGTTCCATGGTTTTCGATGGGACCCTGGAAGCGGAGTCATCATGGCAAAAGCTTTTTCTTCTGGCATTTTTACTCATATGGATGGAGCCCTTGCGTATGGATTTTTCACAAGGCTCGTGATCGTGAAACGAGTCTCGCAAGTGGGTTTCTCTGTCTTGCGATGATGACGTCGGCGACCAGTGGCGGCCCTCACTGGTCGTCGTCGCCGTCGCCGTCGTTGTCAAGATCCACCCGGCTGGCTACTGTGCTGGCGGTACCTACCATGAGCAGCCCACAGAGTAAGCATGCAAGGGACTAGCAGTGATGACAGTGGAATGATGCGTGCGTAAGGTGGCCGGTGGATGTGTTCTTTTTTTCTTCTGTTTCGCCCGCACCAATTTCATTTCATAGCTCGCATCGGCCGTGGCCTAAAACATCCGAGCCACAGCGGGACTCTTGGCCGTCCTCGCCACCAGTTGTTGAGGACTGATGTGATGGGTGCAGCGACAGGTGGTGCAAGAGCATCAGATCATCAAGACCTCATCACGTACGTCTCTTTCAAAGGACGACGTGGTGGGCGCACGCGACGCTCTGCGGCGTGAATCGTGCCCTGTTTGTGGCAGGTTTCTCGTACGAGAGATCTGCGCACCCGCTGCCCAAGGCCTTGCTTGGTTCGGAGGTGACTTGGGGTGAGACGCATGCTGCACCACCAAAACCGCAGGCCGGTACTGTGTGCACGGGACAGTGCTGCTGTCGCAGTAAGCGGGCCGCACCGAATTTGGGCACGGGCGGCCATGGGATTGTGTGCATTGCGGATGACGCAATGGCGAGGAAAAGGGCGTCTCGTTGAGCCACACAGTGCCGCGATATACGCCTTAGCCACGGTTCGGGGGCCAAAGGGGTGTGGCTGTTGGAAACAAATGGCCCCCACTGCCGCACAGCGCATCGGTGCATGAGGCACTGTGCCTGCCTAGCGTAGCGTACGCTAAGTTATTTTTCGCACACCTCTGCCGAAGTGTCCCTTGCGAGACAAATCGCGGATCCGGCTCGTCCCCGCCCGGGGCCCGGCAGGTCAACAGGGGCGGCTCCAGTCCAGGCCCGGGCAGCGAAAGCCGGGGCCGTTCCCACCCTTCTCCATATTCTTGCTGGTCTGGTCTTGGGTCGACCATGGCTCGCGGGCATTTCTCCTGCACCGGCGTGGCCTGTCTGTCCAGGCGGCGACTCCGCTATCGTGGGCACCTACGTCGTCCTGACGGCATTTACTGTAGACGCTGTCTGGGGTAAGCTCAACTTGCGCACTCGCCGCTTGTCACCCCATGATCTTGCCACTTTTGGCATCGTGTGGTGCTCGTGGGATCCACAGACGTTTTGCGCAACGCTTGTCGAATGACAGCAGTTGGGCTGGCCTGGCCATGCATTCGGAAACTTCAGGGCCAACAAACCTTGGGCTGCACACAATCTCGTCAGGTAACAGCTCCCGCAGCACTTGCTGGTTCGTCGTCACCCAGGCATTTGCATTCCGAGACCGGGCTTGAGGACCGTGAAGAAAACACTCGGTTCCACGAAACCAAGCACCAGTGATTGCCTTACAGCAGTTGACAGATGTCCAAAACCAAAAAACAAATCGCGCCATCACTCGGCAGTACCGTGCAGGGGCCCTGCCTGCTTCGTTCCAAGGTGCTGTCGCAGACACAATCACGATTAGGTTTTCGCTTGCTGGTACCAGGGAAGGAAGGCAGGATCCGTCCAGGGACCATTAGATCCCTTTGGAAGTCTCGTTGGATGTTCCCTGCGCGGCCGACAAATCAATGTCTGGGACCCCGGCGAGGAGGTTCCGGTGCGGCGCGAGGAACTTTTCGCAATCAATGTGCAGAGCAGGCACGCATCGCCGCTTTGTCTGTCTCGACCCTGCAATTGTACGACAGGCCAGACAGCCCGACACTGGGCCCGAAACCGAGACAACGTTGCCGTCAATCTGGGTACTTCGCATGTTTCCGGAGGGATGCGCAGGATGGCGGCATCCTGCATAACCTCGGGATCTTGGTCAAGGGTTTCCTCATGCACGACATGTATTCTGCTTCAGTCTTTGCCGCCGCACGCTACCTTGGCTCTGCCGCTGGCAAGGAACGGGTTGGGGAGAAAAAAAAAGCCAACGGTCTGGTGCCGTCACAGAGTCATGAGCACTTGAATGCAAGGTTTTCCGCTGTGCCCTCCACACCACCATCCTAGCCATCAAGAACGGCGACTATTGACGACCTAGTGTTAAGGTTGTGCGTTCGCGCGCTGCATCGTTAGTGCAGGACCATCCCCACGGGACAACGGGCCAGCCAATCTGGCTCGCCAGCCACGCAGGCACTCGCCGTTGAGCTGCCCCGTGATTCGTCAATGGCTGACAGAGGTGGGTGCGGGTACGCCCGCAAGACAGAGTTTGACGGGCTGCAGGCTAAGGCCAAGTCCGTTGGAGCTCAACATTCTTCGTCCCATCATGTACCAGCTGCCCAGAACCACGTCGGCACGTCGCCCGCGCCAGCATTGGCGTCAAGTCTAAGCGGTGGTATAGTCGCCCATGGTGGTCACACTTTGCTTTTGGATTCGCTGGTTTGTCGCTCGCGGGGAGGATTTGCGCCTAACACTGCTTGTCGGCGCACGCAGGTGAGCGGCTCGCCGCCCTCGCTGGGCATTCTCTGTCATCAAAAGCCATCAAGCGCAGCGCTGCCTTACTACGCTTTCGCTAGTTCCTTCGGACGCGCCAGCTCGCACCCCTCCTGCAGCCGACAACACTCGCAGGGCGCGATGGTGCGATACTTACCCAGAATCGACATTTCCAGCAACATGCCATGTGTATCCGGCATCCCATGCCGTGCCGAGCAGGCGTGTCCTGCTGATGTATGTCCAGACACGGGCCACTTCAGACTTGGCTCCGCGACGCTATTACGTTTGCAGCACGCAGTTGGGCGTGCAAACATATCTTGAGGGCGCTCTGCTCATCCACGTTGGCGCCCAACTCCTTGGGCGTGCACGCATAGGCATGTCTTCCTCTAATGCAACAGCCCGTCGGCATATGACCAATCTCCGTTGATGGCCCCTTCTCACGATGCATCCGAGGGGAAAATCCTTCATGTGCACTGTGGCATCAAGGGATGCTAGATGTGAAAAAGTTTGCTTGTGCTGATGGTGATGCTGTACGGCATCGCCGATTTCAAACAATGTCTTGGACGACGTGGGGGGGAACGCCTCTTTTTCTTTTTCTTTTTTGGTTTGGCGATCTTTCGCTTCGGAGGTCTTTTGCCGGCTGACTGCATACACTCAAGATGTTTACTCTGCGGGAAGGTCGTATTGTTGAAGAAATTTCTTCGGTTGCGTTGTCTCTGTCCCGGGTTACATGAGATTTTTCGTCTCCGACACGCACATTCCAGTGAGAAAGGTCCCTCGCACGCCCAAATCAGGTACACGCACGGATGATGGCCCCAGTGTGGCGGCGTCTTTGCGAGGACAGCTTGTGGTGGTACCTTGCACGCTCCTGTGCCCAGGGGCTGATGCCGTAATGTACCTAGGTACCCTTGGATGACTCAGCCTGCGCTGGGACAGGACTTCAGGATCTCATACACTGTCTGAATGCGGCGCGCTGCCTGGTCTCCACCACTGTTTGAAGGGCTCATTCGCAAACCCTCTTGACACAGTCATCATCATTCTGTTAGTAAAGGCTTGCGTATGCTCCAAGGTAGAAGAGCAGGCGTGCCTCGAGACGCTCTGCCACGAAGCTCTGACCAGTTAATCTGCTGTACAGGGAGAGCAGAGTCTACGGCAGAGATTTCGTTGAGTCGTTGTTGCCGGAGGTGGTCTTTGCTCGTCCAAGCGTGATTGATGCCCTTGTCCTGTGCCTCACACGCCACGAGGTGACCGCTTTCCGCTCACGTTAATCTGTCGACCGTCACCGTCCCGTTCACAAGGTTAATAGCAGATTGCAATAGCGATCCACAGAGAACGCTTTGGGGTGGTGGACTTTCAATCCAACTCCACCACGGTTGAGGGAAGGGATCGTGCCGCACCTCCACAGCTGAGAATCTGCAGCTCGTGCTTGCTCATGAGGTCTGTTGGTGACGGAGGCACTGTGCCCCTTCAGCCTCAATGGTGTCCGGGGAGCCTCTCCTTTGTTGACACTGGGCAGTGGGCTGCTAACCCGACATTCTTGACAGCTTGGGGCTGGTAGACGGTCGGCGGTGAATGGACGACGGGATTGGCTCTCGAGGCGGTGAAAAGCCACATATCCAGCCTGCACTGCACACCTCTGGGGGTGAGAGTGCTCGAAGCGGGCGTAGCGGTAGCGAGAGGCTGCCAGAAATGGCTTGGGCGTTGGAGTAGGCAAATACATGCACCGGTGATGGAGTTACTGGATCATGATATGGAGGCGATATTGGCCCCGTCGTAGACAAGTTCGCTGACGTGTGGACGGACGGTGGTGCTCTGAACTGTGTTGCTTCTGAGCAAGCTGGGAGATGGAGCCAAAATGGCCGCAACGGAGCAATCGACTTGCAGGAGTGAGTGTCTTGCACGGTCGTGTTTCTTCAGATGTCTTGCCCTGTCGGCGCTCGGCTCGGCCGCCCAGCGAGAGAGGCGCGGATGGTCTCACATTAGCATCCGCATTGTGAATGGGCTGCGGAGCAGTTCCTGCATCTGGATATGGTACCTGTCGCGGACAAAGATCCACAGGGCTTGACAGCTGGAGCGGCTTGTGCGAGCATTTGGAAGCCACGAGCGGGTCGTGCTTGCGGCTATTTGCAAACATTGACGCAGCCAGCCCAGCCCAGAGACCCAGGGCGGTAGGCTGGAAGCGACAGGGCAATGCCTGGAGGACAGGCTTGCTCCACCAGACATCTTCACCGTGAGACCTCACGATATTTGTCATGGCTTGTACCGGTGCGCTCTCACGATACCCCGGGCCCGGGGGGCCACCACGACGGCCAACGCACCCCGTCCAAGAAGGTACAGCCGTTATCAGTCCCCCGGACATGCCCAAATCGCAAGGGAGACCAGGCAGCCCTGTGCCGGCAAGGGAGAGAGAAATTCGCCAGGCTGTGACACGGGCGGGTAGCAGGCCCGCCCGGAAGCGGGGCCGGCGCCGACACGTGGTCGCCAAACATTGCTGGCTTCCACCAACATTCAAGGAATGTCGTGGAATGTCCAGGCCGTAGCGCGGCTGGGGACAGACCGTTCCCCCTTGCGCACGCCCTGCACCACCCAGTCTGGTGGACATCACTTCATGCTCCGTCAGATGGACACCCCCCGGAAACCACAAGCGAGCACCGAGCGGTCAAGTAATATCGGTCAAGGGCATTCTTTCACGGCGGTGGATCCGCAACCCAGGAATTCCAGGCCGGGCAGCCGGGGTCGGTGCAGGTACCAGCAAGCTAATGCCGGCTGCTGACCGGAGCTTCCGGCCTGCCGTGCTCCGCCGCTCTCCGGGCCCGACTCCGGCTGGCCACACGCCACAATACGCTCCTTGCGCATTGCTGCACCGACCTCACACCGCCGACCACAAACTCGAGCCCTTTGGCACTGTGGTAGTCCTTGCCGGTGTGCAGACATGCCTCCCAAGCAGAGGCGTGCCATTGCGGGCGGCCAGGCGTTGCCTTCTGGCTTCCGGGTGCCTGCATGCTTGCAGCAAGCCACTCTACCGTGGGCCTGGTACCGAGCCGTGATATTGCATAACGACTCACCCGGTACTGATTCTACTTTGAAGGTCAAGTACGTGGGGGTCAGGCAATGTGGCTGCGATTGACGGCCGCCAATGGCCAAGCTTCGTTCTCGCAACTGAGAAACAATGCCGAAAGCATGCGCATATGGCAGCTGCTGTCACGGTCCAGACCAATCTGAGACAAGGGCCTCACAATTACACGTGCGGCGGACTGTTCCGTGACAGTTTCTCGAGGGCCACCTGCTCCCTAGGTTGTTCATAGGTACTAATCACCATGCCGACGGACCAGCTAACATGTCGAGGTGTGAGTAATGGAACAAAACAGTGCTCAAGCAGCTCATCACTTCTCAGATTCCAATCCAGTCCGCTACAGCACAGTGGCTCAGCATGGCTGGGGGAGCACCGGCCATGGAACTGGAATGTGCTCCTCGTATGACATGCGTGCATTATGAGCCAACGGGCTGTATCCTCCTGGTCTCGGAGAAGGGTTCTCTTCCCTCTTGACAAATCGGCCTGTTTCAGGGCGATTCTCTCCGCGCCAGCCAGTGAATCAAAATCAAACTCAGAAGCCGGCCAGAAGGGGTCCTGTGCTTGTTTGGAATGTGACAATGCACTCAATCCTCGTGGGGGGGGGGACCCCATCACGCCGGATCTGACTAAGGTTCCTGTGTGCATGTCTCACTTGTATGGCAACTTCCGCAACCACGTTTCGCCGCTGCAAACGCTCGGCTTGGCTTGTACCGAAAATTTGTTTGTATCAACGACTGTCGAGTGTGAGAAGGGCGCTCCAGAGAGGCTTTTCGTCAATAGTGGCGCTACTTGTTGATGAATTGGGAGAACCAGTACGTGCTACATGTCTATTCCTATTCGAGTGCAGGCCCTCGATCGATTGCTCTCACCTGGGGAAATATGGCTGCAACCTCGAATTTGGCTTTGCAATTCTGTCATGAACAACGTGAGAACCTCAAAAAGCTGTGCAGTCGTCGTGATCGAAATGTCCATTTGTACAATCGAATCGGGCCCTGGCGTGGAAAGTGCCTGGTGAAGTGCTCCGTGGATAGCTAGTAAGCAGAAAGAGCTTGCACAGAAACGCAAAGGGGCGGCAAAATTTCGCCTCTATTCCTCAAGGCCGCATGCGGATTCGATGTTTCAATACATGCGCGGACAGCAGGTGGCGGGTTTGATTTTTTTCATGGGGGTTTCTTTTGGTAGAGCATACGGACGCCACGTGTACGCCGCGGATGTACGAGAACGAGATAACCATTGAGTTGGGGGCAATGAATGTGCGAGAAAACCTTGGATTAGAACTTCCGGTGTGAATCATTTCGTTTAAAGAGAATTTGTTGAGGGCTGATTGTGCTTGAGTTCAATCGAGGTACATGTGTCTTTCGAGAGCACAGAGATCCAACGATTTGATGTAAAGTACATGGGCTGGGAGGTGAATCAAGACTTTCCGCTTTCAGGCCACCAGCCGGCTCTCACTTTGGCAGCCCGGGGAAAGGTGCATTAGGAATCTGCTTAACAGCATTGGACTCAGGCTCTGTCGTTGAGCAGCGTCCAGTGAAGGGGCGAGTGACGATGCGTTTGTCCAAAGAATACAGGCGAGACCTACAGCGACACACTTCCACGGGCAGCAGCCACTGCCCGGTTGCCGTCGTAAGATTGGTGCTTGGATGAAAAGCGCAGCATAGGCTTCATAGGCGAGATATCCGTCGCGCGTTGATGAGCCACGGACAGAGGCGAAGTCTCGCCTCAAAGAGGGATTCGCCTGATCAGCACTTCAACCTTACCACGTCTTCTAGTCTATCCAATCCTTCGGTGTAATGTTCAATAGATGCAGGGTTTTGGAACATTGTATGTCGTGGTGCAACATATTCCAAGTCGCTTCCAGACGAGACGGATGGATGGTTTCTATCGAATCTGGAGCTTGACTTGCTTGTTCTTCCTGGAATACTGGCCCTGGGTTCGTGGCCGTCGTAGCTACCATGCTCCTGGATTCTATTCACATGGCCACCAATACATCTTACTCCGCAATACCAAGAAACAGGCCACAGCTGCATGGACGTAGTGACATCAAATCTGGTGATTCCCCAATAACATTCGGAAAGCTATCAGTCTCGCTTACACAGTAAGCAGTTCGCCTCACGCGGCGAAAGCCAGATCCTCAAAGCCCCTCGCAAGCTTGTCCTCGCCCCCGACGCACTCCATCTCGTATTCGAGATCCGGTTGAGCCTCGCGGTACAGGGCATTCTCCTCGCTCGCCATGACAAAGTTGTACCTCGCCTCCTCGTCGCTGATGATGTTCTTGGGGATGCCGTTAGCCGCAGCGGCCTCGACCTGGAGCTGCATGGCGCAGGAGCGGTCCAGGATGCCAAAGAGGAAGCCGGCCTCGTCGACGGTGGCGCCGACCGTGATGAGGCCGTGGTTCATGAGGATGGCGGCCTTGTTGTGCGCGCCCAGGGCGTCGGCAATCTTCTCGCCTTCGTCCTCGCCAAACACGATGCCGCCGTACTGCGCGTACACGGCGTGGTGCTCGTGCAGGAAGCAGATGTCCTGGTTCAGCATCTCGAGCGGGCGGGCAAAGACGCTCCAGGCGCGGCCGGCGTTGCTGTGGGCGTGGCAGATGGCGTGCACGTCGCCGCCGCGCCGCTTGTGCACGGCCGAGTGGATGAGGTAGCCCGCCGAGTTGATGGTCCGGGTGTGCGGCTGGCCGCGCAGGGTCGACACGATCTTGCCCGACTCAATGTCCAGGCAGATCATGTCGCCCGCCGTCAGCATGCCAAAGTGCCGGCCGAGCGGGTTCATCCACATGAGGCCCGGGTGCTCCGGGTCCCGGACCGAGATATGGCCCGACTGGCCCTCGGTGAAGTTGCACCGGGCAAAATACCGGAAGGTGGCCGCCATGTGGACGAGGATGTGCTTGCGGTGCTCCAGGTAGCTGGGGAACGTTGGGATGCCTGTTGGGATTCCGGTCAGCTTAGCGATCCTCGGGTGAGCGAAATGATACAGCCGACAGGCGAGACTTGACACCGCAACTTACCAGGCATGACCACGCCGCCATGGGAGATGGCCTCAAGCGGTGTCTTGTGCGGCATGTGTTTGGAGCCTGGAACCACCTCCCGAGTCGCAGTGGCTGGAGTCTTTGCCACCACAGGAGCGGGTGACGCCTCAGGAGAGATAGCGGAGGGAGCCATGATGAGATGCCTGTGGTTTCAAACCCGGCTCGTGTGTCTGCCCAACGGGGTGAGGTAGTCGACAATGACAACAATCGATGGGCCACTGATAAGCCGCCGGTGGGACGAGGTCGTGACTAGAGCAGGGAGAGAGCGCTCAGCGTGGTTGCTTGTCAATCACCTCGAGATTCAATTACAGAACATGGAGCATACCTCACGGTACTTTAAGTAGGCATGAGATGGCACGATGGGTGGCAACAACAGGGACCCCGCGAGTGGCCTGCTGCCGGCGTCGGCTGCCCCCGACGGCGGCGTTGGAGACGCTGGGCACCGGGTTCCGCGCCGACGACCATCGGAGCCAATCAAGCCGGCCGGAGGGCGCTCTTGTTCAACGCCCTCTCGATACATGCGCGTCGCGCCTTCCACAGTTGCACTTGTCGCCACAGGCAACACTTGGAGGTGGCATCTTGGCTTTTTCCAAGGTTTTTCTGCATACACGGCCAATGGAGGCGGCGATCATGGACGTTCACTGCAGGAGCACCCAGAGATGGCCGCCTCAAGGGTCGCCTTCCCAAAACCTGCACATGTAACCAGCTGGGACGGCGATGCAAGTGAGCTCGGAACGACCCGCTCTCGTTGCAATCCGCTTTGACGTCGACCTGCCGCAATATAGGACATTGGGGAATCTTGAAGCGGAAAGACGAATGTGAGCCCTTGGTGAGTACGTTAGTCTACAGGAACGAACGTGGTGCAAGGCTGCTGCCATCGGGTGCTTGACTGGACTGGACCCCTGGATTGCAGGTGGAGCCAGGGGCTACTTGCCGGGTAGGCCACCCTTCACCACCTGGCAAAACAATTTCGGCGGTGGGATAGGAGCTCCTCCAAAATATTCCAGGCACGCCGCCCCGCCATTTCTCAATAAGCTGCCGGGCAGCCTGGACACTCGCATCTCCCACGACAACGCCATCCCCCGCGAAGTCAAACCCCCTCGCCAGTCTCATCCTCCGAGACGCTTCCGACTCCATAATCACCGATCGGATAGTCACTGTGCCTGCGAGGCTCCGTCAAGATGCAGGCTCCTGTCCTGGTTATGAGTACGCCCTACCCCTCCCGAGCTCTCCTCCTCCCGCGACTTCGTTGTGGGGCATCACGACTGACCACATCTACAGACACCAACGCCGGCGGTGAGAGGCAGACTGGCCGCAAGGCGCAGCTGTCGAACATTGCCGCGGCTAAGACGTACGAACCATCCTGACACGTTACGCCCCCTTCCCGTCCGCGGCGCCTACGCCAGTCACTAATGTTGCCGTGTCTCCTAATAGTGTCTCCGACATCATCCGCTCATGTCTCGGTCCCAAGGCCATGTTGAAGATGCTGCTCGACCCCATGGGCGGTATCGTCCTCACAAACGACGGCCATGCCATTCTCCGAGAGATCGAGGTGTCGCATCCTGCTGCCAAGAGCATGATCGAGCTCAGCAGGACACAGGATGAAGAGGTCGGCGATGGCACGACTTCGGTCATTATCCTTGGTATGTTCCAGCTACGCGGATACCTTCCACAAGCGTGGGTGCCAAACAGAACGTCTAATCTCTATGCTACAGGTGGTGAGATTCTCGCCCAGGCCCTGCCCCAACTCGAGCGCAACATTCACCCTGTCAACATCATCGCCGCCTTCAAGAAGGCCCTGGCCGACGCTCTTGAGATCATCGACGAGATCTCCCTGCCGATCGACATTAATGACGACAAGGCCATGAGCAGCCTCATCTCTTCTTCGATCGGTACCAAGTTTGTATCAAGATGGAACGACCTCATGTGCAAGCTCGCACTCGACGCGGTGCGGACAGTAACGTGGGAGACCCAGAACGGCAAGACCGAGGTCGACATCAAGCGGTACGCGCGCGTGGAAAAGGTTCCCGGTGGCGAGATCGAGGACAGCAGAGTGCTCGACGGAGTCATGCTTAACAAGGACATTACCCACCCGAAGATGCGGAGAAGGATCGAGAACCCCAGGATAGTCCTCCTGGATTGCCCCCTCGAGTATAAGAAGGGAGAGTCGCAAACCAACATTGAGATCTCGAAGGAGGAGGACTGGAACCGCATTCTGCAGATCGAGGAGGAGCAGGTCAAGGCCATGTGCGATGCCATCCTGGCCCTCAAGCCTGATCTTGTCATTACCGAAAAGGGCGTCTCCGATCTGGCCCAGCATTACTTTGTCAAGGCCAACGTCACCGCTCTGCGCCGCGTCAGGAAGACCGACAACAACAGAATAGCCAGAGCGACCGGCGCCACTATTGTCAACCGTGTGGACGACCTGCAGGAGTCCGATGTTGGTACTCAATGCGGCTTGTTCGAGATTGAGAAGATTGGCGACGAGTACTTTAGTTTCCTCACCAAGTGCACCACGCCCAAGGCCTGCACTGTGCTGCTCCGCGGCCCGTCCAAGGATATCCTCAACGAGATCGAGCGGAATCTCCAGGACGCCATGGGTGTTGCCCGGAACGTCCTTTTCCACCCCCGCCTGTCTCCTGGCGGTGGTGCCACAGAAATGGCTTTGGCTGTCCGATTAGGTCAGAAGGCCAAGAGCATCGAGGGTGTTCAGCAGTGGCCGTACAAGGCTGTCGCCGAGGCCTTGGAGGTCATCCCCCGCACACTGATTCAGAACGCCGGTGCTAGCCCCGTAAGAGTGCTCACTGAGCTGCGTGCTAAGCACTCCGAGGGCAAGAGTTCCTGGGGAATCAACGGCGAGACCGGAACCCTGGTCGACATGAAGGACTATGGCATCTGGGAGCCTGAGGCTATTAAGCTGCAGAGCATCAAGACAGCCATCGAGGTGAGTGTCCACTAATTCCCGTCAGCTCTACTCCAAAGCATACTAACATGGTATCCAGGCTGCCTGCCTCCTCCTGAGAGTAGACGACATCTGCCCCGCCAAGAAGGCGCCGCAGATGGGCAACGGCCTGAGCGGTGGCGGTGAAGAGTAAGATGATATGTCATCAGATCGTTGTGAACGTTAGTCAAAAGTGTCATCGGGAAATGGATGGGCCGCATACCCCTGCATCAACGGCTGGTGCACAAGAGCAGCTTCCGACATAGAGAATACAAAAAGAGTAAAACATCCACGTCACGTTACGCATTTTGTGTGATGTTTAGGTGTAGATTGTTGATCTTCTCGGAGCTCAGCTGGGTTATAGCGCAATGGCTTTGCAACTACGGGACGACTTCATGTATAGCTAGCACGCGGGCCCTGCTCCCGTTAGGCCCACCCGTTTGACTCATTAACCTCTTCCTCTAATCGTCCTCAATGACAATCCCTTTCGGCTCTTCCACGCTTGTCGAAACATTTTCGTCGGTCCCGTTCGTGCTTGTGTCTTGCCGCGTCTGACTGTTCCCGTTCTCCGTGCCCAACCGCCGTAGCGCATCGGCTCGAGGAGCTTTGCTGTAGCCCCCACCACCACCACCACCTCCTGCCGTCGTACTTGAGCCGCCGCCGTTCTTCTGCTGCCCACCACCACCACCGCCGGATTTAGCCTTGGCCTTCCTCGCCTTCATCTTCTCTCTCTTCTCGCGGTTCCGCCTCGTCTTGTCGTCATCCTTCTTCTCCATCTCCTCCTTCTTGGCGGCAAACTCCTCGTCCGCCTGCTCCCGCGCGAGCTCCTCGTCCATGACGCGCAGCCGCTCGTACTCGCGCCGCCGCGCGGCCTTGTAGACGTGGAACTCGCCCGAGCCCGCGCCGGCGCTGGAGCCCTGAACGTTGGCGACGATCTCGGGGATGCCCGCGTTGTTAGTCCGCCGCGGGCCCCCACCGCGAGGCTCGGTGGGTATGTGCTGGTCTGGCTTGGCGAAGAGGGCCTCTATGGTCGCGGACTGCGCCGACACGGGCGTCAGGGCGCGCTTCTTGGTCGGCCGCTTGGAGCGCGGGTCTGCCGACGTCGGGATCGATTCGGGGCCTTCGCCGGACATGGCGGGCGAGTGAGCGAGCGCGGGCTGGTGTGTGGTTCTTGATTTGTTGTTGGTAGAGAACAAAGAGTGGTTGGTGGGTGTGGGCGTGGTTGTGGGTGTGAGCACTTGCGGTAGGGTGGCGGCTCGCAGATCCGAGTTAGGCGTGGCAGTCTCGCGTGACTGCGACGTGATGCTCGAGTTTTGATCGTCCGGCCCCGGAGAGAGGGAAGGGCAATTGACAATGCGATCCAAAAAGAAATTATGAATGCGACAATCAATGCACAGACAGGGTCCCCCAGAGTGCGCCGAGGGTATGCTGGAACGAATATGGGGTGCTGGGGCCGCGGGCGTAGAAATGTGTGTGTTCGCGATGCTTGGAGGTCGAGTGTGGTTGGGAATAGCTTCAGAATGCGTTTGGCTGTCGCAAAAGTTCTTGAGCGGCCATGACATGTGCTGCCTGCAGTTTGGCGGCGCGCCAGTCGAGCCAATCACAAGCGAGGTTGCGCTGGCAGGGGGATGCCGCCGCGGTGCTACTTCCGCAAGCGCCTACTGCAACTGTGGAATTCGTCCGTTATACATTCCCATCCATGGTACAGCAGTTGTTTTAGGAGACGACGAGATTGGCTCTTTCACATGTGGATGATGCGACTATTGAAAAATTATTTACTGCATTCATATCTCTATACTCCAAAGAATTTGGACATTTTGGTCTCTGGGCGTAGACGTGAGCTTCAAGGCTATGACAACGTTGGATAGGCAGTTGTGAGACAGGGCGTAATTATCCTACATCCCCCGTCTGATACAGTCAGGTCCAGTCCAGTCTGAGTCGGTTGGCGACATGGGGCCATTTGAGCACCTGGCCGAACCAACTGCAGATTTGCGAGTTGGTGGGATGGCGCGGATGCACTGCGAGATGGGCTCACCAACAGACATTTTGCAGCAGCCAGTCAGAGGCTCCGCATATCGGCCGCCTGGGCAGGGGCAACCCGCCTCCACCAACCTGTCGCCAAGTTGTCAGGATGTCAGGAGGGTCCCCACGCACGCAGCGCTGCGCAACGGAGACCTCGCATTGTGGGCACAGAACACGAGTGGTGCAACGCACATATCCAAGCCTGAGCATTTCAAGGCAGGCAGGCAGGCAGGAGGAGGAGGACCAGAAACAGCATTTGCCTGCTACTGCTGCTGCTTACAGAAGAGCCGTCACTTGCCGGGTGCCACATTCTGTCATCAAACGAAACTCGCGGGGGTTATTTATAAGCACCACGATACACGGCTGTGCCTGGGATGGTGACTCCTTCCAGGGGCACTCTCCCCTCACGACCCCACCCGCGCTGCAATGTGCATGAGCCGGGCATGCCACGATCGTGGGCTGTTCGGGCGGAGTCGAGCTCGTGCCAGCAGTACGAAGCAACGTCTTGGCCAATTCCTCCCTACCCGGACTACGCTGGCGTTGCATGGGCGGCTCCGGGAGCCCGGATCCAGCGCTAAGGCAGCTCTCACGCGTGGTTCGCCACGCCGCAAGCTCCAACCCAGGTCAACTGACTGGTTGGGCTACTGCTCGTTGCCACCAAGCCCTCGATCCCAAAGACTATTTCAAGAGGGCGTTTCCCCGTGGCTGAATGTGCCTGCGCCCTGCACACATACCTCGCTCCAGGCCATATACATCTGGAAACACCAGTTGTGCGATCGGCCACAGGGTTCAACGGCTGTGTGATACGACCCTAACCCGATACCGCAGCCGCAATACAGGGCTCCCACCCACGGCCCCTACTCCTCCCGACAACCACTAATGCCGGCAAGCCCACCAGCGACAACCCCTCCAAACCAGCTCTTGTTTCACGTCGTCACCAAATTTCACAATCAAGAAAAGCTCGCCACATTCCTTCGCTCAAGCTCGCTGCCATCCTCCCGACACATCTATCCAGCCTGAACTCCCGACTGCAAGACACTGCCAGAGACAACTGGAGCACCACCTGCAGAACCCCACGACCAGAAGCGCAACCCAGCAACGCACGACCACGGGCAGGACCAACAAACATCCTCGCAAGCACAATGGGCCGTCCAAGACTCATCATCCTCATTAGACACGCCCAGTCGGAGGGTAACAGTGAGTGACACACTGCGGTCCTGTATCGCTGCCCATCTTAGTCTCCACGGCACTGACTCCAGGACTCCCTCGCAGAAAGCCGTGAAATCCACCAGACTGTCCCTGATCACCGTGTCAAGCTCACCTCCGATGGCTGGATACAAGCCCGCGAAGCCGGCCGCCGGCTCAGGGCCATGCTGCGGCCCGAGGACACCCTGCAGTTCTTCACGTCTCCCTATCGCCGGACCCGAGAGACGACCGAGGGTATCCTGGAGACCCTGACCGCGGACGATCCGGAACCCTCACCCTTCCCTCGCCAGAATATCAAGGTGTACGAAGAGCCCCGCCTGCGGGAGCAAGACTTTGGCAACTTCCAACCATGCAGTGCCGAAATGGAGCGCATGTGGCAGGAGCGCGCAGATTACGGTCACTTCTTCTATCGCATACCGAACGGCGAGAGTGCCGCTGATGCCTACGACCGTGTGTCGGGCTTCAACGAGAGCTTGTGGCGCCAGTTTGGCGAGGACGATTTCCCCAGTGTCTGTGTTTTGGGTGAGTCATACCGGGAGACAAAAAGGCTTAATAGATCTCGTTGAGACAAAATGCTAATCGCACGCCCCAGTCACCCACGGACTCATGTCTCGTGTTTTCCTGATGAAGTGGTACCACCACACTGTCGAGTACTTTGAGGATCTGCGCAATGTCAACCACTGCGAGTTCCTCATCATGAGGAAGATGGAGAGTGGCAGCTACAACCTTGAGACTAAGCTGCGAACCTGGTCGGAGCTGCGACAGGAGCGCGCTGCCTTGAAAGCCAAAGAGGAAGAAGCAGCCGGCACCAAGAAGGACGGCAAGCCCGAGCAGAAGGTGGTTCCGGCACCAACGCCACGAAAATGGGGCGGCTGCCCGCAAGGATGCGCCCATGGTAAACATTTCAAGATTCGCAGAGACTTATTGGAGCTACGACAGTACGATGAGAGCTGCGCGATGCAGGTTAACGCTCACCTCACCACAAACGGCAGCAATGGCCTCTCGACCCGTAGGGCGGGACCTAGGAGGCTCATGCCCAACAACTCGGATGAGGACTCGGACGATCCTCGCGGGCACATCCCGCCAGAGATTGACGTGAGCCGTGCTCGGGACGAGCTCGTATCCTCCCCTGATGGCACGCCGTCGTACATCTCCCTCGAGGACCGGCTGCGCTCCACTCAGACGCCACAGCTCAAGACTCACTACCTGCACGTGGGACGAGATGGTGGCGGTACATACTCGGGCCACGCGAGCGAGGAAGAGATTTCCGAGCGCGAAATCTCTGAAGAGGACGCCCGCAGACGTCTCGCCAGCAAGGTTGAGAGAGCCAAGAACCGCGAGCGGAGTGGTCTCAACGGTACCAAATCGGCAGCACATACGGCACGAGTAGCGCACGCCCCTAGACTGGGTGACGCGCCAAACAATGACGACGGAGCTTCCGATGGCGATGCTTCGGAAGACGAGCTGGCTGCGGTTGAGGAAGAAGAGCGAAGTGTCAGAGGAAGTGTGTACTGAGAAGAGAGCATGAGTGCATGTTTGCGTGCTGGCGCTCCCATATTTTGATTTTCCCGCTATTGCGCACACAGATTGTCAACGAGTCCAAGATACCCCGTTGTTAGAAAGCGTGGCTGGTCACTATTGCGTAGCGCAGGCGCCCCCGCATACGAGCAGTCTGAAAGTCAAAAGGATCGGCAGATAGACTCGACTTGGATGTAGTCTTAGAGGACGGCATACATGAATTCAATGTACTATTTGACTCGGCAGATATCATTGAGCTATAACGGTCAGCTTCTCACCTTGGTGACCGAACGAAACCAGACACTTTGCTTTGGATATTTCTATGCATTAGCGGTTCTCGGTCTTGCAATATTGATCCTGAGGGTACCCCCTCTTCGGCCGGTGAATACCTTAAGGTACGCACGCTAGTTACAGAGCAGATCATGCTCATGCTGAGGAGCTGCCATTAGGCCCGTTGGATGCGCCTCGCGCACACAAAGACGCCTACCATGAGGGACGAACTGAGGTACACAAGACAGCCTTACCGGCGGGTCCCTTGCAGCGCTATAAGCGCTAAAAGGGCCCCACTAGTGGGGATCCCTGCATGTCCTGGGACCCCCTTCTGACTCGCCACTTCACAAGTCCAGGCAGTGCCATCTCTGGACGGAAAGTACGGGCTGGAGGCAGCCCTGGAGCCTGCCGCCAGGCAACGGAACCTGCAAGCCTGTGCCTGGCTCGGGTCCAGATCTTCAGAGTGAGGCCTCGACACTATCGATCCTAGGCAACCATACGCACGGGTCGTTGGCCCCTCGGTGCTCGTCACCAATGCTCCGCCATACTCTGATCCTTGCCTACTCAAACGACCATGTAGCCATGGCCCCGCGGCGGCGTAGCGGGAGGATCACGGCTCGCCGAGGCTATGGCTCATCCGGCGACCCCTGGCTCTTGTCATCCCTGGTGGTCTGATTGGCTACAGAACCGCGATCAACTTGTGTGATGGGCGGTCTTGTCGTCCTGCCGCCAGGCAGCACATCCACTATCCGCAGCAGCCATGCAGCTAGCCGTGGACGCATTCTTGGCTGCCCGACCTCACTCAACGACTGACTGACTGGGCCGGTTCGCAAAGTGGCCGCCTTCCTCAGGGAATGGACGCCTTGCCGCAGCTGGAATGTTCTTCTGCTTTCTGCGTCGTGCCTGTGCATGTCCACGTTGGGGGTTGAGTCACACGCCATGGGCACCCACTTGTCAGCCTGCCCAGTCGGTGCTAGACAAGAAGACCAGAGGCAGCCGGCCGACTCTGGGTTTGTGAAAGACATATGAGGACGCCTTGTTCTTGCCCATCTCCTTCCTCCAACTTTCATGTTCATTGCCCTTTCATGTCACGATCTGGATGAGACTGCGATAACCGCGTTCTTGGCTTTTCTTTTCCACATACGTGCTCTTTCTTCCAAGCAGGCATTGGATTTCCACAGTTCCCTCCGAAGCCACGATACCAGAACATCAATTATACATGTTGCGTGGCCAACGTGGAACACGTGCCACACGGGGCTCACGTGGAACGCGTGGATCACGAGCCTCGCGTGGCTCACGTGGCACACACCATTCTTCACCAGATTCTTGGAAAGAGCCTCGAACGACGTGGACAACAGACACAATGGCGCCTTCAGAGGTGATTGATGAGGTACCATCTGGCACCACTACTCAAAAAGTCACCGGAGGCAAAGTCATTGCCAAGGTCAATGGTGTGAATGGTATCAACGGCCATGCATCAGAGACCGAGAAAGATGAAAAGGATATCACGAGCGCTTCAGATGAGAACAAAGCTGAGGATGCTGCCGAGCAGAAGGAAGAGGATAAGACCATGAAGTGCGAGATCAAGCATCTGGACCGGAGGTACGACGATGACGACGAGCAGTATTACGAGGAGCGCAAGAAGGAGGTCCAGGCGCCCGAGCAGCAGGACTGGTGGGAACTCTACGCTTTCTGCATTGTCCGACACTTCCACGCCAGCGGCGACTACGCATTCACCAAGCTCGTCGTCAACCCGGAGCCGCTCCGCAAGCTCCTTCATGACCTCATCGGTGACTATCCCGGCTTCAACCTGGATCTCGACGACATGCAGATCTCGAGCCCGTACCACTCGCTCTTCCACTACCGCAAGGAGATTGAGGAGGAGGGCCGCAAGCGGTTCGCCGATGACGAGGCGTCGCTGGCCCAGCATGCCCTGCTCATCGACTGGATCAACAAGCACTTTGAGCTAGACATTGCAGCGTACGAGCAGTGCGTTAGTGCCAAGGTCAAGAGCATTGCCTTCGAGCACCTGTGGACCCTCTTCCCCGCCGGCAAGATTGTCCACGCCAAGGTCATGAACCACACTCGCGCCTTCCGCGTCAAGAGCAACTGGTACGATGAGGGTGAGATCCCTGGCCTGGGCGTCAACGTTTCCTACATCGATTACGACGGCGAGCGGCTGGGCACGCGGAGGATGGACCTCTTCCTGCACAAGTACGCCAACCGCCACGAGCTCACCGACCTTGACGTCATGCCGCTCGACCTCGACGACGACGCCGAGAACCTCCGCGCCGAACTTCTCGAGCGCGGCCGCAAGTTTGAGAGCCTCGTCGGCGGACAGCACCTCAGGCAATACAGCGGCCTTGCGATCAAGAAGAAGGAGATGGGTTATGCCCGGTTCGATGTCAGCGGTCGCGTCATGATCGACGTCAAGACGTTCCACCGGCTCGAGGCCAACGATTCTTTCAACGTCAAGGAGCTCCCCTACGACAAGGCTGCCCGTGCGTACCGTCTCGCGCGCAAGGCTGCCAAGGAAAACTTTGTCGAGGGTAGCGCGCGCAGGTTTGACCCGCTGAGTGACGAGGATGCGTGTCTTACCAATTCCACGGTACGCGGATACTCCTTTGCTGTCAAGCGGTTTCTCGAGTTCTATGTAGATCAGCTCAGTGACATTGAGTGGAACGACAACTGCTTCGACCAGCTCGTGCTTGACGAGGGCACCAAAAAGACCGTCCAGGCGCTTGTGTCGAGTCACTCCCGCGACCGAGAGACCTTTGATGATATTGTCAAGGGCAAGGGCCAGGGCCTCGTCTGCGTGCTACACGGTCCACCTGGTGTCGGCAAGACCTTGACCGCGGAATGCGTGGCCGAGTACGTGCGCCGGCCCTTGTTCATGGTGAGCTCGGGCGACCTGGGCTCGACCAGCTCGTCGCTGGACGCCGAGCTGACCAAGATTATGGACATGACTTCGACATGGCGGGCGGTACTACTCATCGACGAGGCTGACATCTTCCTCGAGCGGCGCTCGCTGCACGACCTGCACCGCAACGCCATGGTGTCCGTGTTCCTCCGCGTCCTCGAGTACTATTCGGGTATCCTGTTTCTCACGACCAACCGCGTCAACACATTCGACGAGGCCTTCAAGTCCCGCATCCACATTCCCATCCGCTACACGGATCTGTCAGTGGAGTCGCGTGCGACGATCTGGCGCAACTTTTGCAAGCGCGTGCCCGGCGGCGTCGACATTGACGATAAGGGTATCGCCAAGCTCGCAGAGCACGAGCTCAACGGGCGGCAGATCAAGAACGTGCTCAAGGCGGCCGAGAGCCTGGCCGCATTCGACGGGGTCAAGCTTGACATGAAACAGCTTGAGCAGGTCACCAAGATCCAGGCCGTCTTCGAGAAGGACCTTAACAGTGTCGCGGAGATTGACTACACCGCCCCGGGCTCTTCTCGCAAGGACGCGGACCGGCGCAACATGTTCTTGTAAGGCAATCAGAATAGAGGGGTTTTTATGGGGTAAGAAACAACACAACAGGCGCGGTCAAGCAGTCCCTCCTGGCGGCTGAGTCGTTTCTGGACCGGGTCAGGTTGGGATGTTTGTCCTAGCTTTGTGCTTGCCCCAAAGGTTCACTTGCAAGGTGCACCTCTACGGTCTCATGCCCTGCCATCATCTCTCTTTTTTTTGTGTCTCTTTTACCCTCGTCATCTAGATCACACTAGATCTGCTACGATATCATGGTTCATGTCATGTCTTGCACCCGCCGGCGTCATATTGTTTTCCTTCATAGTTCTGTGGGTTCTTTAGTTTACAAAGCTCTGCTGCGGTCATCAAAGGGCTACATGAGTGGCCGTAGTAGTCCTTTCCTCGCCAGAGAGAATATCTCCCGAGATCAAATGAGACAAGAGTATGAGTGTGTCAAGCTAGCTAGCTATGGTTAGCCTTTCGTCTATTCCCCTCAAGACGACTGAACGCAATCCCGCGACCATTTACGCAGCTCTGTGACTTTCGCCTCACCCTCCCTGTAAAGCTACGCTGGAGGGACATCGCGCAACAAAAAACCCCCGCCTTTTCCCGTCTGGTAGCCATGTCACTCCAGCAAAGTGTTGTGGTCGACGCCTCTCTCCATTGTGACACGCTCGCATACCTACCTATATACACCTATCTCCTTGATGCCATTCATGATGTCCCCTCTTGCCCTCTATGCCAATGCCGAAAGAGAACCCAGTGTGCTGTTCATTAGACACCAGGTGCTTGATAAGCGGTCCTTCAATGGTGTCAACCCACCGCTAGGAACTCTTTCACACCACCAAAACCGTCTAAGTATGCCGTTTCCCGTAGTGTCATGCTGCGACGACCGACACCCATGCCTATTGTTGAGCCCCCAGTAACTGGAAGCTAGAATGTTTGTACAGCGAAAAATGTAAGGTAGATGATGATCCACCATGGAAAATGATCATGACGCCGTGCCTGGCTGTGAAAAAGAAAATGCGAAACAGGTGACGTGCTAATCATGTACACCAATGACTCCAATACGCCGAAATAATGCAAAACCAAACTCCCGTGATCAAGTGCTCCATCATGACCGTGCCGCTGCCCTTTCCCATGCTATTTGCGATGCCACCGATCCCGTCATACCAAAGGCAGAAGCTCATATAAACTTCGACATGGCAGTGCTCAAGTCGACGAAGTCGACCGGCTTCGTGACGTAGTCACTGAACCCGGCCGCAAAACATTTCTCTTGCACATCGGACATGACGTTTGCGGAGAGTGCAATGATCGGAAGCTTCGAGTGGCCCTCCTTTGCTTCCCAAGCTCGGATTTCGCGGCATGCTTGGTAACCGTCCTTCCGAGGCATGTGTAAATCACACTACATACCACTGTCAGTATTGTGTTGTGACGCGTTCCTCATGAGGAAGAATGTTTGGGGACTTACCAAGATTAAAGAGTAGTATCCCGAGCCATGCGAAAACACCTTCTCCGTGCACTCGACACCATCCGCAGCAATTTCAGCGTCAATTCCAACTTTTTTGAGGTAGCGCACCAGGACCTTCTGATTGACGGGATTGTCCTCGACGAGCATTACCCTATAGCCCTTGTTGCCGATTCTCTTTTCGACATCAATGTAATTTTGCTTCTGGCTCTCCACCATTTGTGCCGCGCTAGATCTGTTCAGGTCCACGCTTAGATCGCGTTCATTCGCAGGATCAAAGATGACTGCGAAACGTGATGGCTTGACAGGCTTGTAGACAAACGTGATGCGTTTCTCGTCCAGGAGTTGCTGGTGTGCTGGATCAGATGCCAGCTTGAGAACTGACTGTCTTTGCACAGAGTCTGAGAGCACGAGAACGGAGGTGCGGCCACCTGAGCTTTCAATAATCCGGTCGACAACGCCAATGACTTCTTCAGCGGAACTGAGATTGAGGACGACATGGGTGAATGTTACTGATTCGTGCCCGCCAATCAGCTTCTCCGCATCCGCGCTCGTTTCCACAGCCGTGATCTGGTGCGGCACGTCCTTCGGCAGCGTCATCTCGATATGCTTGGTTGTGGCTTCGCGTGAATGCTTCTGGGCGCAGATCACGAGAATCGAATACATGGGCGGCCTGAAGTGTGGTGGTATCTCTGAGTCGTCTTGTATCGGCGTACCTGGAATCCGCGGCTTCTCGAAGGGCATCTGCAAACGCATCTGCGACAAATCCTGCCCACTCGCCTTTGCAGCTTCGCTAAAGTGTGCTAGTCCTACATGGACCGATGACACACTGGAGCGTGCCGTGCGTGCGGATGACCGCACTGAAGGGTCGGAACTTGCCGACGAGTTGAGAGCTGGCGAGATCGTACCAACGTCGGATCCAGGACTGGCAGTGTTGAAACCATTTAGTGTCTGCTGGAGCAAAAAGGGCCGAAGTGCTTGTGCATGCTTGTCGGCAGCCGGTGTTGCGACGGTTGGCAGCATTGGAGGAGTCCCAATTGTGTTAGGATGGTCTTCTGCACTTGGCAATCCGAACCGAGCGGTAAAGGTAAAAGTCGAGCCTTGCCCCGGAACGGCTGTGCCATTCATCTGGCCACCGTGCAGCTCAACAAGTTGTCGAGAGATAACCAGACCTAAACCACTCCCGCCGTGCTGGCGCGTGCTGCTGCCATCGATCTGACTGAAGGGCTTGAAAATGAGTTCGGCCTCCTCCTTCGTAAAGCCTCGTCCCGTGTCGATTATCGAGAATTCAAGCATGATGCTATCTTCGTCCGAGGTTGCAGAGTCATCGACACACACCCTGCATCGACTGAAGACTTCTCCCTCCGACGTGAACTTGATCGCGTTTCCGATGACATTGAGGAGGACCTGCCGAATGCGGACCTTGTCCCCCTTCACCCATGATGGGACATTCTCTTCCACAATGTAGTTGAGCTCAAGCCGTTTCGCAATCGCCATGGCGGACACCAACTCGTTGACGTCCTCAATGAGAGAGCGGGTGTGAAACCACTCAAACTTGAGCTTCATCATGCCTGCGTCGACCTTGGAGAGGTCTAGAATGTCGTTGATGATCATGAGAAGACTCTTGGCGCTCGTCTGTATGGTGTTGGTGTAATCCCGCTGCTCTTCATTCAGCGTAGTGTCCTGGAGAAAGCTCACCATGCCGGAAATACCAATCAGTGGCGTGCGAATCTCGTGAGACATGTTGCTGAGGAAACGCGCTTTAGACTCCATGGCCTCCTTAAGCTTGGCTTCGAGTAATTTGTGGTCGTTGATATCAGTTGCTGATCCAAAGTATGAGCTGGCGCCGTTCCCAAAGTCGATATTGTCAATCTCCACGCATCGCACGAGGTGCCACCTGTAGTCGCCGGATTTGGAGCGCAGGCGGACTTCTGTTGTGTATGACACGCGACCATCACTATCCGTGGCTACTTTGATGATTCCTTTTCTGACAAGATCGGCAAGGTCGCCAGACTGAAACTCAGGTGTGAGGGTATTGTCGCTGGTGCTGCTGCGCGAAAGACTTGAGAGACCTTCATCTGCCGATTGTGAGCTCTTTCCCGTGGTCTGGCTCGAGCCTGGGCTTGATACATCTGTTTGGAAGAACGACATCTCATTGCGAATGCTTGGTAGGCGGCATTTGGCGAGGTCGTCTGGATGCACGAAGTCCATGAAACCAAGTCCGAGGGTGGCCTCTGAGGTCTGTCCAGTATATGAAAGCCACTGGTCATTCGCAAAGGTGATACCTTCCTGTTCAGTTGCGGTGAAAATGATCTGAGGGATAAGGTTGGCTAGCAAACGATGCTTCGCTTCCGAGGCCTCGACTTCGACTTGACGCACACTTTTGAGCTCTGCAACATGCTGGTCGTGGATGTCCATGTAGGAACCGATGAACTGGACCAGTACGCCGCGCTTGTCTCTCAAAGGAACCGCCCTTGCCTGGTGCCATCGGTAATCGCCAGTGAAACGTCGGAGTCGAATTGTCCGCTCAAACGAGCTACCTGACCGGAGTGAGTCGCTCCAGGCCAGGATGTAGTCATCCCTGTCTTCAGGGTGAAGACTTGCCCATGGGTCGGCCACAAGATCACCGATTGTCTGGCCTCGGTAGAAAAGATACCTGCTGTTGACCCAGACTATTTCTCCTGTTACTGGGAGTGCTACAAAAACATGGACTGGCAGGCTATCCAGCATGATGCTCTTGAGCCGATCTGAGGGCGGCAGCATACTAAACTGCGCCGCGGGCCCTGTTTGCGTGCGAGGGTGGGACGTAGTCGGCTTAGATAGCAGAGAAGCACTAGGGGGCAGAGACTGGAAGGTGGCAGCAAAGTCTGCCCCGTACGAGTGCATCAACGTGTGTTTCTGTCCCGGAGTGCCGACAGTAGTATGACCAGAAGGCCGCAAGAGCTTGTCGTCAGAATCCGGAGCATGGTCCGATTCGCTGTGCGTGCTACTGGGTTCCGCGGAGCTCTTCGATGACGGCCGGGTTGAAGACTTTTCATCTCCGTCACCTCTATTAGCGTCCACGAGGCCAGGCTCATTGACTGCCGGGGTATCAGGGATCTGTCTTAGACTTCCAGACCTCCGATGGGTATGTTCAATGGTGGAGGTCTCCTTCGCCAGACGGCTGCCACGAGACGCAATAGCTTCGTGCGCGGTGTCATCGCCAAGGTTAGCATGTCGCGGGCGAGTATTAAAGTAGCTGTCGCCGGACACCATCCCAGGGCTGACTCCAGCAGTCCGACGTTCTGCTGCAAAGCCGGAAGATTTTGAATCCCAGTTTGGCGTGATGGCGGCAGGCGAGCCCGCAATACTCCTGGACCTAGCCGAGTAATCACTGGGGCTAGTGATGCTGCCTGTGGCAGATAGTTGCGAGTGGTACTGGGAGGACATTGCTTCATAGCTGAAATTGCGTAGCGAGGCAGAATTCTGCAATGGCCTGCCGTCCAGGTCCACACCGCCAAAGCCGGATGTCGTAGGTCGTTTCCGATCCAACCCAAGCACTTCGGTTTCAAGCATAGAGTAATGGCTGCAGAGCGAATATGATGTTGCCAAATGGGGCGCGAGATGCTGCAAGGAATGCCTGAGGTTGGCTGGATACGGGATCACAGGGCTCAGAATAGAAAGAATGGCCACAGGTGGACGGGGCTGATCCTGGGTGTCCTCGGCGGACGTCGGGGATTGCGCTTTGGCGCCACCAGGTCGCGAGGCGTTTCTTTGACCCAGGGCGGCAGAGTTGAGTTTGAATCCTCTCGTAGGCTTGGAGAGCAGGATATGGTGCAACGGGACATGTAACACGGTCCAGGAATTGTCCACGCCAATCGCCTCGGGAGTTTGGATCGCCGTATAATCGTGTGGACTCGCGCCAGGATTGAATGAATCCTCATCAATGACAGCATCTGTGAAGAAAGGGTTCTCTGAAGGATCGGATCGCACGGCAGGCGATGGTGCAGGAGACTGTGACCATGGTGATGGTGGTGTTTGTTCAAATTCTTCGTACTTCGGCGTCGGGGGACGCGGGGCACCACTGTCGATGGACGCGAGAATGTCTGCGATTTTGCTTCTTTCCTGGGGGAGCTTCCTGCCTTTGGCCGTGGTCTGCGAGGCTGTGACGCTGTCGAGGAGAGATGAAAGCTGCGTGCTTGAGTCTGAAGTTGTTTGCTTCCTCAAGCCCTTTTTCGACTCCGACGAGCCGTTCGACCAGCTGGTCCGTGGGCCCTTCTTCTTTTCGTCCTCGAAGGGGTTCAAGTACGGGTAGCTTCGCGTTAGCGCAATCACTTTACCTCGCTCAACCACTCTCGCAATGCCGTTATGATCTATCAATGGATCTGCCTCCAGATCAAGGGCCTGGAGCATGGGGAGTACACGGCCTCTCATGTCTCGGCCCATGAACAATGGAGCTTCCCACGAAGGCATAGGTTGATTCTCTTCTTCGGCGTCATGTTTCTCCAGAGTGCGCTTGTTGAGGGCTGGGTGAGGCGAAGCTGGCCGTGGGGCATTCGTCGTGGGGTAGAAGCTCTTGCTACGAAGTATGGACCCCGGGCGTTGGGGGGCAGGCGATGCTGCCGAGTTTGTATGCGTATCCTGGGCACCTTTCTGCTTCTCATACGACGTAAAAGAATGCCGACTGAACATGCCCGGCCGCACTGGACGATCATTCTTCAGCGGCAGATCCGGGGTCGAAGCTGGCTCCTCCTCGGTGCTCTGTGGTGCGAAGCTAGATCGCCCCATGTAGCCCATGCTGAGCTCATCTTCCTCACTCGCGTTGAACGTGGCTTTCTGGCCCCATGGCACATTCTCTAGATCGGTGTTGTCTGCAGGTATTGACAATGTCACACGCTCCGCTTTAAAGTGCTCCGTCATGATCTGGACCACAGTATTCCACCAAGCATCGAGACCGGGCTCAGCCGCGAGCAGTAATGATAGGTCGTACAGGTTTGGGGACGGGTAGTCGAAATTTGGGTGTGGCTCAGGATGACCAGTGGGCTGGAAGGTCATGACAGAAGCAGGGGTAGAAGGATCCGATCGCAGCTGCTCCTGCAGTAAGAAGTGGCTGGCAAACTGACCTCCAGTCGAATGGAGGAGGGGAGTTTGGGATTGTGGGCTGGCCATCATGGGTCCACGGCCAAGCTTAAGCCCGGTCGAGTTCATCCTGGGAAACGGGTACGATGGGGTTCGAGCCACGAGACCAGGCGTTATGCCGCCTCTGACAGTTGTGTTTGACTCAGTTGATGTTGTCGGTAAGTCATCCGCAGGCGTTGCAGATATAGGCGAAGACTCGATAACGGGCGAGACGCCAGGCGCACGTGCTGTCATGACGTGGGCCTCAGGCGAGCCCTTCAAGCCCTGTTCATGCTGGGAGAGATATCGAGTAAGGCCTTCCTTATAGGCCACCACCGGGTTGCCTATAATATCTGGCGAGCTTTCTGAAATGCTCACCTCCCTGTTCTTTTTCTTGGACCCGTGCTCGGGTGATTGCTTAAGTGACGAGGCGTGCTTGACGGCACTCAACTTGGGTCTAGCGGTGCCAGTCGTTTCCGGGCTACCACCGCCGCGTAGACTGACCAGATTACTGCTGAGGCGGGCACTCAGGCGCTTGAGAGGATTCGGTGATCGTGGCAAGGCGTCCCGAGCCAAGGAGCTTTCCCGCTTCTCATCTATACTGACGCGGGCCGGATCACCGTCCGCCACATATCTGGCATCTGGATTCCCTTCATACTCGCGGCTGCCAAGGACCTCTGGGCCATGTTGGACTGGTGGTCGAGACCTGGAGTCGTCGGGCTGAGTAGGGGCGGTCATCCCTTAGCAAAAGCGCGGCCCCATGCAGCAGCAGCGTTGGGGACTTGTGATGTGAGGGCAGTGATCGGTCTCTGCGTGACTCGGCATGAAAGAAGTGTGTATGCTGTTCTCCGCGGTGTGTGGTCGTGCGCTGGGCGCTTCAACTGGTCGTTTGGAGCGGGTACAACCGTGTCGAGGCAGGAGTCGACGGTGGCGTTTTGGGTGGACGGTGACGACAGTAGTGGTTGCGAGGCCTGGCCGGAGACCTCTGGGCTGAAGAAAGGACGGGCCTGACCGCCGGAAACGCGAGGAAACGAAGCGACAGTGGCGGGCTCAACCTCGTGACGGGCGGGAGGGCAGGCGGGCAGGCAGTCGCGGGAGGCGCAGAGGCGAGCGTGATGCAAAGTGGTGACGGCCTTGTGGGGATGTCACGGCGGGTGTTGGCTGGGGAGAGCAGAGCAAAAGAAACCGGCACCTGGCTGGTGGTGCGTGGTGGTGGGAGCCAGCAAGCCACGAGACTGGGCATGGGCTGGATGGCGATGGGGCGGGCGGGCTGGCGGCGGTGGGCGGGCTGCGAGCGACTGACTACCGGCAAGTGGTGCCTTACGTAGCAGCCCAGCTGGGCCCCTGCTCGCGCGTGCATATGACGTAGCGCCAAGCCTGGCATCAAGGCGTCGCTGGTCAAAGTGGCAGGCATGGCAGGGCATGGCAGGGCACTGGCCACCCGCTTCAACAGGGGCCGGCCATGCAGGCCGGGCCTCCCTTTCTGCTGCTCCCGGGCGCCTTTCCTCAAAACAGACTGTCCATCCTCTCTTGCTCATTCATGCCGGAACCAGATGGCTCGCTCGGTCGCCTGCATCGCAGCTGCGTCTTGTTGTCTTCCTTCCACGCGATGCGCCGCGCCCTTCTCGAAGCGTGCGAGCGTGCAGATCGGCCCCCGCCCGGCCGGCTATCGCTTCCGAGCCGTCACTCCCCAGCACCCGTCTTCACACCAGCCAGAGCGGAGGTCTCGACAAAGCTTGCAGTCGTGCCCCTTGGAGTCACATCTTTCTCCTGGTCTGCATCATTGCTCCGGGTTGCGTTTTCATAGCAGTCCTCATAACGTTCCAATCTCTCATGTACCGTCACGGCCTCTGTAGCTCAACCCGTCTCGAGTCAGCGAAAAGCTGAAGACAGCTGGTTGACATCATAGATTGCTCGCTAATTCGCGCCTCAAACCCTTGCACGTCGACATGGCCACTTGCCGGGGTAACTCTTTACTGTGCGCAATAGGACAAGAACCCGGCGCCAGCTTAAAATTCGCCTGTGGCTTCGGGAGCATGGGAATTGAATGGGAAAAGAGGACCCAGGATTGTGTCCCGCCCTTCTTAAGCAGGGATCAGCCTACGGAGTCCTACACAGTTGCGCAAGCATGGGCTTGGGGGCTACTCTATGGCAACGCAGCCAGCGCTTTGATGAGCTCGTGATTCCAGCCTTGAGTATTGGTTTTGCCATGTCATCTTTGCGACTGTTGTGGCTGGAACCCAAACTCTATCGACCTCTCCATACCATGACCTCCAGGTCGCTGTGATCCACATAGCTGCACTCATCGGCCATGGGGCAGGACATGGGAAACCCCTCTCCGATTGCAGGTTTGCCAGGCCACTGATAGTATTTCCGGGGCAATGTTGTTCTCCGGCCTATTGGCGGTTCGCGGCCCCTTCCACGGTCAAGGGCCCGTATGCAGCAATGGTAAGGACCTCTCAATACCGAAATGAGCTTCGCCTAGAGGACACACGGCAGAAGAACTCTCGTCACTCTTCCTCACAACGTCCCGCAGCTACACATTTTGAGGCGCCTCAAGACAAGGCTGCATCATTTGCGCTGATTCACCGCTCTCCTGGTAAGCGCGCTTAGCTCCGCTCCGAGCGCCCAAGAATTGAGTCGCCCGCCCTACAGGAATTCCATTTGCGTGAGAGGCTGGCTGCACGCTTCAGGTGGTTTTCACGTGGCACGACAGGAATCAGCGCCCTAAAATCCCTAGAGCCCTAAAGCCACACTCACGTGCTCGAAGTTGACCACGAAGAACAGGCATGGTGATTCTCTTCGGGCGCCGAGAGACATGCGGTCTTATGAGTCGGGTCGGGGTTTAGGGATCGTTTTAAACCTCGTGGAGGACGGGCCTAGCGTTGTCAACGCAGCCATTACCGCATTATGACAAAGCAGCTCGGAGCTTGCGCAGGTGGGCGGGGTTCAGAAAAGGAGTTTTACAGCTTGTACTACCATCCATCTATGGATGTCATATGCTTTGCTTGAACATGCGGGCCGATGGTCACGCCGTCTTGGCTCTGGAGTGCTCCGCAACCTGTCAACTTGCCCAGGGCAGTGTTATCGCTTTCTTACGGGGATCGTTGACGGGCCAGCCACCCGTCCCATTTGTGTACTGTAAACGGTGGCCATGCCGATCCATCAGTTGTCCATTTCCTACATCCCGGTCTGAATCGCGATCGGAAATGCACACTCCTATTTCTGCTGCCACGTTCCCGACCACCGGCCGGAGCTACTGGCCCGCCAGGGAAAGCCTGGCTGACATTGCAGCCATCCGATTCGACCACAGTCCCCAGCCACAGCTGTATCCACAGGACACGAAGGGGGGCCATGCATCGCCTGTATGTGTGTCCATGCAAGGTGGCATCATATCGGTGCGTAGATGCAGATGACAGTGACAAATCAGCACAGCAGGTGAGACAGAACCTGAGGGGGAAGGTCCACGAAGGGTACGTACTTAAAGAACTTAAAGTATGGAGTGCTAGAACTGGGTGGTTGTGTTGTGAAGCACACCTCCCAAGCGCGAATCATGAACTTCAGCCTCCGCAAGCTCTTTAGGCGAATGAAAAGACGACACCGGCCCGATTTGCGGTGCAACTGGCACTTCCCTGACTATAACGGTCGCCAATTGGTCTGAATGAGCATCGGATGAGTGGCTGGGAGAGAATGCATCAAGACATCTCATATGCGATTGTCCATGCAGGTAGAAGATCGGTTGTGCCGTGCAACGTCCTTGAGGCTGTGTGACTGGATCAAGAGTAACGCCAACCTGTATGCCCCGATCTCAAGGGCCACTTCCGCAATCCCCGAGTGATTTGCAACCGAGCTTGCCGACCGTTACACGAACCGCTGCACAGAAAACCTACCTCTACGAAGCGACGTGGCGAATCCCCAGCGTGAGGGCGAGGCGTCCTACGCACCCAGGCGACAGCTGCCATAGGACTAGGCTTGTTTGATGGCGCGAGTCAGCAGGCGACGATACGACGTACACATGCTGGATGCCAGTTTGACCGCCGTATACTGTGGGCATTGTTGTTGGACATGTTGTCTGCCAACTTTGGACTGGCTTGGGAATAAGGGACGCTTGTACGTACGACCCCATCGATCGCAACACTCAGATCAAGTCGCATGGGAATGCATAAAAGAATGGCAGATATGAACAGGTCGAAACTGTCGGACGAGGCAGGGAAGCAGTTGATGCTTATCAGCAATTCAGGATCTGCACAAGACAATAGACACAGTTGGATCGCTAAGCGTACCTTGAGGTAGGGAGTATGATTGAGGGCCTTGCCGGCCCCGATTAGCGTAATTTGGTACGCTACGTGAGCGACGCTAGCACCGACAACCGAGAACCGCCATGCCCGCATGCGGCTTTAGCACAGTGGCGTGCCGCGCCTGGGGCCACTGTCAAGGGCTGTGCATACTCTGAACAACCTTAAAAACAGCCCTTGGGGTGTGCCGTGCCGCCCTGCCGGCCCTCTTGTCTCTGGTGACGCAACCTAACTCTATCACAAGCGCAGCTCCCATCCGCCCGAGTGAGGGATGGGACCTGGCCACGTTGGAAGCAGCAGCCTCTCTGACGACAGTCCCGTTCGATGGGTGCAAGGCCATCTGGGGGGCCCGGGGGGGCTGACGCGGCGCTCAGCAAGGAGGAGAGGAGCGCAGGTTGTGATGGACAGTGACCGGACGAGTCAAAGGCCGCAGCGCGGCGAGAGTGGCCCTCTGGAGTGGGCAGAGGCCCCTGGATCGGCATGACTATAGCGTGCCTTGGGGTATTATGCAGGCCCGAAGCGGCAGTTGTGACAGGCCGGGCCTGCACAAGCGCTGCTCTGAGGCCCGTCATCCGGTGCAGATCCGCATTGTGTTTGAAACATCGTGGGACCGGCGCACCACTCTATCTGCTTCACAGCCCTCTCGACTGCAGGCCAATCCCGTCGCCCACAGAGCATTTGCCGGGCGCACAGCACAGCACCGCGGCCCTGTCGCCACGAGGGCTCCGGCGCCGTTTGCTGCAGCCCGTGCCGAGCCAAGATCCAAATGCAGCAGCAGACCGGGTCCTCCCGTGGTCGTCGTACTGTACAACGACTTGCTTGGCGGCTCCATGCTTCTGTACCACATGCCCATCAGGTGAGATGAGGAGGACAAGGCGCTGCCATGGGAAAGCCACAAGCCTTGGTTTAACCCTTGCCCCCCTGGGCATCCTTATAACTTTGTGTCCCTTCCCGCAAAGAAGCAAGAGGACTCAAGTCCTGTCCTGGAACGTGGACTGCGCTGCGAGATACCCAGGGGCAGTTCTCGATCAGAGCTACGTAACCGAGACCTTGGAACCAGTTCACTCCTTCAGACTCTTACTACTTGGCGGATTTCCTCAAGCCACCTTCGCAAACCAAACGGAAGGCTTCAGGCTTTTAAGCTCCGTCAGATACACACCTCGGCCGTCTTGGGACCACGCGATGCTTCTCTCTTAACGTCATTCTACATTCTTTGGGCAATCTTTACCTGCTGTGCAAAACATGCGACTATCACCTTCGCCGCTACAGCCTTGTTGGCATTTGTCTCTCGCATTACTGATCACCATTAGCGTCCCGGGAGTCCATGCAGATGCGCCGATATTGTACGATTACCCTGGCTACAATGCCGCGCAGTACGGCCAAGCACCCAGCCAGACCTTCAAATCCTCAGACATCATCGCGCCACGCCTCCAAGTCAACACATGGGAGCGCGAGCTCGTCGACACATCCCCATACATCTTTCTCGGCCTGTGGAGCCCGCTAGGGGGCAACGCCGGCCCGTATATATACTCGGCCCAAGACCTCAGCCTGGTATACGCCGAGCAGCGGTGGCCGAGCGCGCACAACACCCAGATCCAGAAGTACAAGGGAGAGGACTTTGTCGTGTTTTACCAGGGAGAGCAGCGGGACGGCCACTCATCCGGGACATGCCTGTTTTACGACTCGGCATACCAGGTGCGCCACACCGTCGAGGCTGTCGACTTTCCCGCCAGTAGTGTCGACATGCACGAGTGCCAGGTCACGGATAGCGGCACGGTGCTGATCTCGATATACGAGACGCTGGAGTGGGATACATCGCCCGCGGGTGGCATGACGATCGAGCAAGGTGGCAAGCTGCTGGACAGCTTGTTCCAGGAGGTTGATATCGAGACAGGAGAGCTGGTGTTCCAGTGGCGTGCATCAGACTGGTACCCCCTGACGGACTCGTTCTTCACGTGGGATTTCAACAAGACGGAGGGTTGGGATTTTTCCATCTCAACAGTGTTGAGAAGGTAGTTTATCTCGTCCCCCTCAGCGCAGCCCGTCCGGTACTTTCCTGAAGCTTCGGCCCTAACCCTTTATACAGACAACCGACGGCCACTACCTTGTCTCGGCCCGCCACACCCATACGGTGTCTTATGTCAACGGCACCTCTGGGGAGCCCATCTGGACGCTCGGCGGCAAGCGCAACAGCTTTCAGGATCTCTCGGACGGGCAGGCCACAAACTTTGCCTGGAACCACCACGCGCGCTTCCGCGGCGACCCCCTCGAGGGCACACAGCAGCTGACCCTTTTCGACAACCACAACCTCGACACGGCCGTCGAAGGGCCTGGGTGCAACAACAACGCGAACGGCACGGCGACCACGACGTCCTGCTCGCGTGGCAAACATCTCGAGCTGGACTACGAGCGCATGACGGCAAGGCTCGTCCGGGACTATCTGCACCCGGCAAACCTCGTTTCCGGCGCCATGGGGGGATACTCGGTCGTGCCCAACGGCAACGTGCTCATCGGGTGGGGGCTGAACCCGACCTTTACCGAGCACACCCCCGATGGCAAGTGCGTGCTGGACGTGCAGTACAACATCTGGGATCCCCAAGGCGAAGGGAGGGGCCACTACCGCGCGTTCAAGTCAGACTGGGTCGGGCGGCCGACGTGGCCACCGAGCCTGGCGTGGGAGGGTGCCGGGCCTGAGTCGTCGTCGTCGTCGAGGGTGTTCTTGAGCTGGAACGGGGCGACCGAGGTTGCTTCGTGGCAGATTGTAAGTTCATGCTGGTTTCCCCTCTTCCTTCTCACAGCTTCTTTCTTGGGTCGAGCCTACGTGGTGCTTATCGTGTTATTGGACTGACTTTTGGAGAACAGATTGCGGGCAATTCCACCAGCACCCTCGATATCCCATCCAAGCGCTTCCCGCGCGCGGGCTTCGAGACGACCGTCACCATCAGCGCGGGCGTGAGGTACGGCCAGGCCGTGGCACTGGACAAGGAAGGCGCCGCCCTGGGCTGGACGTCTGTCATCGACCTCGAAACCGGAGAGGTTGTGCCGGAGCCGCAAGTCCAGCTTTGAGGGATCCGTGCGACGAGACGTCTCGAGCTAGAACCACCACAAAGTGTCATCTCGCACGAATCTGGATGATTATGATTCCCCAAGACGGACGGAGGGGGGGTGGGGGAGTTTTCGTGTACATATTTTTTTTCCTTTTGTATATACGGGCCTTTGGAGGGCAGTGAGATAGATACCCACCCTTCTGCGCAAAGCCGGTCCTGGTTGCGCGGGTGTGATAGAAATTAAGACCGAGTCACCTTTTGCACCGTGTTGCCGGTCTTCTACCGTATGCTCGCCGGTAAGGACAGGATGGATTCTGGGTAAGTTCCTGACTTACATACTCGAGACACACAACACACAAAACACAAAGACGCGCGCAGCATATACAAAAAAGGTCTGCCGACGAAACCACGAAAGAAGCGCTCCCGCATGCCATGTACCATTGAGCCAATGAATGGCCAACGCTCATCTTCCTGGCCTCCTCCAGTCCCTCCTAGCTTCACATGCCTTCTAGGAAACCCCCTCTCCAGATCATAATGGCAGCCTCGCTGAGTCTCGCAAACCATCAAAACGATGCCTTTTTTTTTTTTTTCTCTTTTTACCACCAGCGACGGCGCGCCACAGCCCCGCCGCCACGGACGGCGACGGGAGGCGTGGCAGTAGCCGGCGGCGGCGGAGCAGCAGCAGCTGGTGGTGCCGCCGCCGGTGCCGCCGCGTCGGGGACGAAGATGGCAAACTCGCCGTCGAGGTTGGTGACCTTGAGCACTAGCTCGTTCTCGTCCGCCTCGAACTCCTTCTCGCCCACGGCGTCGCCAATCTCAAAGACCCCGAGGGCGTCGTTGAACTTGCCGGTCGCCGTGGTGGTAAGGTCCAGGCCTGCGAGGGCGGGGTCTATTTTCGTGTTGTAAAAAGAGTCCAGACGTCAGTTTTCTATTCTACAGAGAATAGTTGGGGGGTATAAGGGGAGGGGGGGGCGTCTGTTGGTCTGGAAGTGTGATAAAAGGGGAAAGAACTTACTGGTCACGTCAAACTGAAAGTCAATTTTGCCGAGTGTGAGATTGCCACCGCCACCCTGGACCACGACGAGGAACGAGCTCGGGTTCAGCAGCTTGAAGCCCGCTGGAGGCGGCCCGGGGGCCTTGTTCTCGAGGACCGCGAGCTTGCGGGCCGTCTTAGCGGAGAACTCGACTTCAAACTGGCCGACGGTCTATAAGGAGGGAAAACCGAAGATGGGTTCCATTAGTCTATGTGTCCTCGTGTGTGGATCCGGGTCAGGAAGTTGCCATGGGGCACCGTATTTTTCCTGGGGAGTTGTGAGACTTACCGCTGGGAAGAGTGTGTCTTGCTTGAGATCACCACCCTGGAGATCGATGAGCGTGCCAAACGCACCTTTGTTCTCCGCTTCCTCGCCGGCAGCGCCCTCACCAGCACCAGCACCGGCGCCAGCTCCAGCTCCAGCGCCATTGCCAGCACCATTGCCAGGTGCGGTGCCATTGCCAGGTGCGGCGCCAGCATTGCCATTGCCTCTACCTTTCCCCTTGCCGGCATTGCCATTGTCACTGTCGCTGCCGCTGTCGTCCGAGTCGTCGAGGACCTTGACTGCCCGCCTCGCCCGCCGCCGAGTTGCGGCCTGGATGCGGCGAGCACGCAGGGCCGCCTTGGCCTCTGCGTCCATGCCCGCCATTGAGCTACGCGGCAAGGCAATGCCCGAGTGCCGAGAACTCAGTGAACCGGAGGCAACATCCTGGGGCGCTGCCGAGGGGAGGGCAGCAACAAAAGGGGCGATGCTGAGAGCCGCGGCGAGGGTGGAGGAGACACGCATGATTTCGACTTGGGTTTTTTTTCTTGAAGATCGGGGAACCGATATAAGTAAGGACGAAAGGATTGTTAAGAAGGATGGGCAGGCACGCTCTGTGCCGTTGTGAAAAGCGGAAATCTCAAGATGATAATGGCAGCTGGAGTGCGAACGAAGAGAAAGAAAGGGGCCAGCCCAGGAACGAAGAGACGAATGAAAGATGATATTCCTTGTCGTGCTGGGAAGATGGGAATATGGTGAGAATAGTACGGAAGAGCAGGTCTGCTGATGAGAGTTTTATATAACTTCAACCTGCGAACGGTTCCTGGAAGTACCTGTTTCTTCATGATACTAAATGCGTGACTGTTCATGGTCTTGTTTCGCGAGCGATGACTTGAGACTCGGCGCCGACCTTGTACTCGCCTGTGGGACACATTCCATGAATCGAGAGCATCCATACAGGCCTACAAGCTCATCACAGGAGCCGAAGTCTTGGCTGGGCCCGATTTGCGCAGTTCTTGGCAGCAGTTTCATAGAAATGCCGGGGGTTTCCCATGGCATCAGTTTGTTCAGCGGCCGGAGACTTGGGTATGGATCAAGCTATTCCCGTCTCACCTGAAGACGACAGTATCCACGGCCGAGGATGGGTCGACTCTATTCTTGGCATGGGAGCCATCCTGGGGATTGGGCGATCTCCATCCCCTCCACAGGTGTCTTTGGGCCGAACCCTTGGCCATGGCACGCTCGCGCATGACGGCAGTGGTTGTAGTCTGGCAGGTTTGTGTCGCGTGCTCACATGCCTGTTTCGTATGTCACTGATCCAAGTCGTGCCAAGCAGCACTTGGGGTCTAGGACGGCCAGGGCCCTTGTCAACACTCCTTCTTGGCGTCACTACTGTATGCTGCCAACGCCAAGACGCTCCGTTGGAGCCATTCCCGTACGAGAGAAGCCACATGGCCCAGATCCGACGGGCGCCGACATGTAGTACTTGGCATTGGACAAGCCTTCTTGGTACTTGGTAGAAAAGCTTGGTCGATACTGGATCTGTGAACTTGCGTCATCAGCGCCGACAGCCACCAATCAAAGTTCAGATGCAAGGGACTTGGCCTTTTTCAACTTAGACAACGAGCAGTGCTCTTTGGACAAAGATCTCCCACTGGCAAAGATGATGACCTGCACGCAGGTCCCAAGTGCAAGTGTCTAGATGAAGTCAGTGATGTCCACACACAACGCTCCAGCGGCAAGGCGGCACCTCTGTCGTCTGCGTCCACGGCAGGGTCCCGCTGCGTGTTTCAGCAAGAGGCCGCCCTACGCCGGCCCACAAGGCGGAAATAGGCCGGCAACAGTTGATGCTATTTCGAGCTCCACAACTCATTGTCAACGTCAACAATGACTGCGATACCGGCACTTCTCTGTTGTTGGCATTCATTTTATGCAATGCGTAGGGAACACTGAGGCAGCACGTTTTTATTCGAGACAGGTGCATGATTGAACAGGTGCGACCAGAACTGTCCTGAACGAAAGTGGCCACCTTAGAACAGCCCAAAGACTTGTTACTACCTACTGGCCCAGAGCTCTTGACGTCAATTAAAATAATCTCATCTGGCGTACCTGAAGTAGACAAGACTACAGAGCCGAAACGCTCTGAAATGATGATAACAAATCAACTCCCACCGGACCGACGATGATCTGCACCACAAGATTCTCATTCCCCACAACCGCAGTCGACCCCTGCATTCGGCAGCGCCTGAGGTGGGATGAAACCTGCCATAATGACAGACAGCTTCGGATTCCCTGAGTGAGGCTCTCCGCTGATGACAGGCCACCACCACCCCTGGCGCCTCTTCCGAACCGCACTTCCGAAGGTGCGCGCACGACCACTTGCCCCATCGAGCACATGACAACCCTTGTCCACCAACAGCAATTGAAACGACCTGCAACCTGGCGAGCATGTGTTGAAACAAGTTGACGAGGGGCACGCTTGCCGAGTTATCCGGACGCCGCTCACAGCATCAATACTGCCAGCTTCTGTTGTTTGTCCCGCTGTCTTCGATAGCTTTCACTGCGCCGGCGCCCAGTTGTTCGACTATCCAAAGGCAGGACAAGGATAGCGTATGGAAGCTCATTTGTCGTCTTTGGGGGTTGCGGCTGCGGGGATCAAGGCGGGGGATTTGGCGTCTCAGCGCGGCCGCGGCGGGTCCCATGGATACACGCTATTTATGGTCATCTATAACGTACCTTTACCATATTATCTCACCATTCAGAATACGCTACGTTCATCAAGCTGAACAAGCCCAGCAGTGGCAAAGTCGTGTGTTGGAGTTTGCGGGGCAGTGGTATCTTTTCACACTACGAGAAACAAGTTGAAATTGTGCTGAATGAATAGATGGAGGTACATGCTGCATGCTGGACACAATCACGGCCCCGCTGCGAACATCGCGAGGCAGACAAAGGGTGGCCGTCCTACGCACCTCATTGCACCCAGGTATCATTTGCAGCAGCGCTGCCTCATACGATGGCCGGGGAGTATGCTATAGATGTCGCGGCCTTACCTGACATTATTCAGCCTGCGATGGACTTCCTCGACACCTCCTTCTTCCAGACGGGCGACTCGTCACATGTGCCGCCACAGCTACCCTCCCCGGCGTCCATCATCAGCCGTTATGGATACAAGGGCTGCTGTGTCATTTTGATCAAGGATGGGCCTCACTACATGCGCATGGCAATGAAATTTGGCGTAGAGCAGGAGAAAATCAGGCTCGAGGAGGTCCAGACAATGCGGGCTATGAGGCAGCTTCTCCTTTCTCAAGGGCAGGACCAAATCGCAATTCCAGAAGTCTTTGGGTGGAGGCGGCATGAAATGTGGCACCGCCCTCATATTTTCATCTCCATGAGCCTGATTGAAGGCGAGACCCTTCGGAATATATGGTCGTCCCTCACTAGTAAGGACAAGACGGCCATACAACTCAATCTACGGAACTTCGTCTCAACGCTCCGACGTATCGCTCAAGAGAACCCTTAGCAGATCGGCAAGTGCTCAAATACAATCGGTGACAATAATCTACAAAGCAGTTCATGAGCATTTCCTAACAAGTTCTCGATTATTATAGCATCAATTAGTGGAGGTGCAGTCCAGGACAGCTTCTTCCAGCCAGAGCACGCGCGAGGGCCATTCTCGACCACCAAAGCATTCAACGACTGGGTTTTCGCAGCAGCCACGCGCCACCCGCCTGATAAGCCGGACGATCCTATCCAGTTTCTGGAACATGATCACGCACTGCGCGACATGCTTCCAGACGATGGGAAAGTCTACTTTTGTCATGGGGATCTGATTCCCCTCAACAGTATGGTGGCTGGAAGTCCCGGCTGCTACCGGGTTTGCGCCATTGTAGACTGGGAGCAAGCCGGATGGTACCCCGAATACTGGGAGTACTGCAAAATGCACTTTGGAGGCGGATCGGATGATGAGTGGTCTGACGAAAACTGGCCGGCCAAGATTGTCGAGCCTGATGAGGAGGCTAACTGGGCTTTCTCGTACTACTACCAGTGGAAGACTGGCGGTTTGTAGCGGCTTCAGCCCGTTTATCGAGTTACCAGATAGATGGTCATGCGAACATGCACGACGCACTGAGCCGCTAAAATTGGGCGCGTGAAGACCGCATGCATAAAGTAAGCGTAAAGTAAGTACGCTTATGTGACGCGATTAAGGTCGCTACTTTATTGTAAGCATGTTTTTTACCTTATGCTAACAAGGTAAGTGCTGTTCTGCAGTGCCTGTAGGCACAACTCTGTCGGCCAGAACAAACGAGGCTGCCGCAACCTAGTGTCGTACGACGAAGTACTTTGGCTTGTAAACTAGCATGTGTATCGTCACTGGCCCAGCTTCCAGGCCAGGCCTACAGACACGGATGGCAGCGCGGCCGATTGGCCACTGAAACTAGCAGACAAAAGAGCGGCCCGTGAACCGAATAACAGCAACTCGCGGTACTCGAGAGAAGCATGAGCACCCCATTTGCGGTGTAAAGTTACTTAGGGTTCGGTTCTATCAATTATTCCACGTGTTTCCAGGTGTGTCGGGACTATCTCGACGACTGCGAGTACCACAACTCCGTCCCGGTGCCCTGGTTTCGAGGGAGTGATGCCACGTCTTGGCGAAGGACCGAGCAGGCTTCCTCGTCAGAATTCAAGCAACGTCCGATGGCGTACCCTTGTCGGCTTTAGCGAGAATGGCGTGCGCTAACGGCACGATCAGCCTCTCGGCAGGTCGGCTCGCTCCATGGAGTTGCCAGAATGGGGTCCCTTGAACCCTGGTCTGGCCACATGGGGATGTGGTTTAAGGTTTGTGACCCAATTTACCCCCAACGTCGAAGAGCTTAACGCCCCTAAGGCCTGCAACCCGCCGTATCGTCGTGAACCTTGTAGTCCTGGGCGTCAAATAGTCCGTCGAGGGCCGGCTCTGAGGCTGGGATCCTGCGATGTTGCGGACGCACCCCTCGTTGGCTCAAGCTTCCGATCTACAAGACCGAGGGGACAGTGGCGCGCGGGCCGCTCTCTTACCAATCAATATCTTCCAAAATACAAACACCCGAAATCGAACTGGTTCTCTAGTTCCAAATTCTGAGGTCTCGGTCACTGTGTTACAAATATCACTTCAGCCAGCTGACATACCTAGAGGGTTGTTCATGCGCGGGGAATCACGGCGGGTGCATCTAGTTCCACGCGACTACTGCGTATCTTACCCAGTTGGATGATCTGTTTCTTGTCTTTGTCTGAATTGGCATCTTTAAAGGCCGAGTAGAAGGCCGCTTTGCTGATGGGTGAGAGTAAATCTAGACTGGCAGTCCTCAGGGGCAGAGTTTAAGGGCAACGCTCCAATCTTGACTCCCGGCTGCAGGGCAGGCTCATGAATGTTGCATCATCAATACCACATTTGCATTACCGCCATAGGCTGTGACATTGATCACCTCGGAAACGCGAGATGAGGACCGAGGTGGCTAGCTTGCAAGCTCAACGGCGGCGGCGCTCATCTAACGCACCCGGAAGCATCTTTTCCCTCGCCCGATTGCCTCGTGTTCTAGATGAGTTTTTGACGCGGTTGCAGGGGAGCTGACCACAGGCGGCTTGCCTTGGCCGAAACCCTGCATTGCCCAGCCCAGCCGGTTCCATTGTCATGGCTGCCAAAAAGCTTGAAAGGACCTCCGCACCGGTCTCGCTGAGGCCCACGACACGTGCGTCGAAAGTACCAATTGGAGCATCAACATCCGACACCTGACGGTGACCACTGACAGCAACCAGCCTACAGCCTACAGCCCTTCGTCCGCCACCGTGCAGCCGGAGCTGATCGCTAGCAGCCTATGGATTCCGGAGTTAAGAGCACTGACAATCATCTCCGTGGCGAGGGCTGCCTGTCAGTCGTTGTAGCAAGCGGCACTTCTGCCTCGCCACCGAAGGTGGTTCTTGCTGCCGGCTATATTGTCTCTCAGCATAGTTGGCAAATTTGAATACAGTGATCTCGTCTGCGAGATACGGAAAGGGGCTAGTTGATCCTGCCGTTGCGCCCTGAGCGAGGTAGTTGGGGCGGGTCCAGAAGGGCGGGAAGTCGAACATCTCGAATAGCCGATTTTCTCCAAGTTCCACCGCGATGGTTGCAACTTCATTGTTAACCTCTCATTGGCTCGGAACAGTTGCCCAATAGGGAATTTGTCAGATCAGTGGCTGAGAGCTAAGCTTTCAACGACTTGGCCTTCAGAAGCCGGCTTACAACGATGTCTCCATCGGGCAATCGTCTTCACAAGCCTTGCTCTTTGGAGCGAGCTGAACAAATCCGAATAATTGTATCGAGGTCCACTGCTTATGGTGATAGAGTGCGACCTGGTTAGGCAAATAAATTCATGCTTGTCAGACAGAGACATACTGACAACCTGGTCATTGTCGATTTCGTGGATATCTGAGTTTTCTATGTGATCCCACGCTCGGCATCTCTCATAAATTCCCACACTGTTCTCTGAGATAGAAGCTCGGGCGGCAAGCTGACCCCTCTCATCTTCTGGTAGCTGATGAAAAGACGGCTTCTAAGTTTTGTTGCGCTTGGTGGCTCAGCGGCCAGATTCTGCAACCTCGACGCCCACGTCCAGCGGAATGTTAGCCAACCACACCCCAAGTGTGCCACCAAAGCTTGATCGACCTGCGGTATTTGGTGTCGGCATTGTGGAAAAGTTGGATGGCTCTCTAATCCGGCCATAACAATCTTCCCGGTCGTTGAGACGTATGCCTCGTTTACTTCGTGTGACATTGGAGTATAAGAAAGCAGACGGTCCACCAACCTTGGCTACCTGTGTTAAAGGCTTTCCTGCAATCCATATTGCCGAGTGCCACCACAGTGATACTTGAGGCTCCTTCTTATCATTTTCAAACCCTGAGCCATGTATTACAATACCACCCTCGTTGCCTTGCTGCTGTGTCTAACCAGCATAGCCGAAGCGAGGGATTGGCTCAGCCCTGCGTATACCTGGCTTTACCAGTTCCCCCTCCCGATTCCCCCAATCAAGCAGCCAAAATGGTCAGTCTTTCCTGCATACTACGGCGTTGATATTACCACTGTGCTATCATGTTTGTCCACGCTCCCCAGTATCAAAGAGTCTGACCGCCACATATCGGCCACAGGACTACCACACATCCTGTCACAGGGGGCACAATCGAGTATCATGAAATCACTATTCTCCCACTGACTCAACAGGTCTACCCGGGCAAGTCGCCCGCTAAACTTGTTGGGTATGACGGCTACTCCCCAGGTCCTACCTTCAAGATGAACAAGGGTACCGAGGCCGTCGTTCGTTTCATCAACAACTCTACTACAGCAAGCTCTATCCATCTTCACGGGTCTTACTCGGTATGTATAAACGCTACCCTACTACCGCATCTCCTATGATATGGACGTTGCTAACATGCTGATGTTAACAAGTGAGCTCCATGGGACGGTTGGGCCGAAGACCTGACAGGCCCGGGCCGGTACAAGGACTATTACTACCCAAACCACCAGGCGGCCCGCACGCTATGGTATCATGATCACGCCGTCGACCATGTAGGTCACCCCAGTCAATCACCAACCAAGGCGGGAGTGAGAATGTGTTGCTAGGAATATGCTGACGGAGCATAGACGGCCGAGAATGCGTATTTCGGCCAGGCCGGTGTATATGTGCTCCACGACCCTGACGAGCTCGGTCTGGGACTCCCGTCTGGCGATTACGATGTTCCCCTCGTCCTCTCCGCCAAGCAGTATAATTCTGATGGCACGCTCTTCAGCCCTGCCAGCGAGACGACCAGCCTGTACGGCGATGTGATTCACGTCAATGGCCAGCCGTGGCCGTACTTCAAGGTCGAACCTCGCCAGTACCGCTTCCGGTTCCTCGACGCGTCCATATCGCGGTCCTTCTTCCTGTACTTTGAGAGGGACGAGAAGCCTGGCGAGAAGCTCGAGTTCCACGTGATTGGCTCGGACGCCGGGCTTCTCGGCAGCCCGCAGAAGACCAAGGACCTCTACATCTCGATGGCTGAGCGCTACGAGGTTGTGGTGGACTTCTCCCGCTGGAAAGGCGAGAACGTCACCTTGCGTAACACCAGAGGGTTCGCCGCAGACGAGGACTTCCTGCACACCGACAAGGTCATGAAGTTTATTGTCGGCGACAAGCCGTCCGGCTCCGGCGACACCAGCAGCTCCCTTCCGAGCCGTCTCCGCACCATCCCGTACCCTCCTGACAAGTCGGGCATTGACCACTCCTTCAAGTTCGAGCGGACCAACGGGAAGTGGAAGATCAACGGTGTCTCGTTCTCTGACATTAAGAATCGCGTCCTGGCCAAGCCGCAGCGGGGCCGAGTCGAGGTCTGGGAGCTGATAAACGGGGGCGGAGGCTGGTCGCACCCGATTCACATCCACCTTATCGACTTCAAGGTCGTCAAGCGGGTCAACGGCCGTGGCGTGGTCCAGCCTTATGAAGCGGCCGGACTCAAGGACGTCGTGTGGCTCGGACCGAACGAACAGGTGACCGTGGAAGCCTATTATGCCCCCTGGGACGGGGTGTACATGTTCCACTGCCACAACCTGATCCACGAGGACCACGAGATGATGGCCGCATTCAACGTCTCGTACCTGGCCCTTGCTGGATACGACGAGACGCATTATATCGACCCCATGGAGGACCGCTGGCGATCCAGGACACAGAATGTCACTGAGATGCAGGAGCCTTTCATCCGCGCGAAAATCAGGGACATGGCTGCCGAACAGCCTTACAACCACGTCGACGACATAGAGACCGCCCTCATAGGGTACTGGGCGACAGCGTCCACTTCACTGAACGCCCCGGCTGCGACTGGCTCGAGCGGTGGTCCTGGCTAGAGGGATCGTGGTTTGGGATCAGCATTGACGACCAATCATACTGGAATCACACTGATCACGGAGACGGCATGATTACATTACACACTGTCAGAGGGCCGAAATGGCCCGAGGCCGACTACATAATCTCTTTTACACGAGACGTCAACGTCAGCGGGTGCCCAAATATTCCACGCCCCAAGCATGCCTGACAGGAGGAAGACATGCAAGTAGCTGCTCTGAGGTGGGACATATCTCAAGGGTGCAAGTTGAGAGCAATAGAAAGCGGCCTGCCCAGTGTGGTTTGTCGTTCATTACACAGTGATATAGCAGTTTCATTTCGCGACCATGACTATCACACAATGGATGTATCTCATGAAAAGAAGTTGTGACTGGCATTCGCCGATAAAGCTGTGGTACTTAATGTTGATGGCATGTAACATATTTATTGATAGCATGGTGAAGAACCACGTTTATTCGATGTTTATCACAAAGCGTGCATCGGGATGCTCACCCTCCACGAGAACACCACTACAGATCTCCTCTGCTGTGGCTCCGCCCGTTTCGGGCAGAACCGAAAGAATGTTGTGATACTTGCAGTCCTCTTTGACGACGCGCGCTTCTGGGCAGGACTTGTCCCGAAATTTGAACGATCCAATGCGGCGGAATGTCCCTGGCCTGTTGTCAAGCGGCTCCAGTATGATACCTCTCAACTCGAGTTCGTCGTACCACATGTCATTAAAATAATCTTTGTCATCATCATCAAAGTCGTGGACTCCTTCGCGCAGATATCTTCTCCCTATATGCCCGCGAAAAACCGGCAACAAGAATGCACTCGAAAGTCGTGCCTCGATTCTTCGAAATGCCCCGAGAAGTCCCTGAAGATTCAGCCTGTAGAAGATGAATGTGCAGAACCTGCAGCCTTCGAGGGTCGCTGCCTCGACCTCTTGCGTTTCCAGGACCCGCGCAACTCGATGAGCCCGCAACAGATCTCTGGGCAGGCTCGGCCAATGTTCAAGAGGATGCCTGCACTGACGGCATAAACCTGGCTCGACACATGCCGTTGCCCGGAGACTCTGGACATGTGAATTGACTAGATTGTCATCGAGGTGGTCGGACTTGACGGCCCGGACGACGGCCGAGTCTATGCTAGTGGCATCGTCGTCCTCTGCAATATATGCCTGATATCACGCCTCGAGACTAGAGGGCTTCATCTTGACATGGCCCACTTGCTCGGACGAACCCGTAGCTGTGTGTCGGTCAGTGGCACGGATCCCCTGCGCAAACCTTGAAGGGATGACCAGATGCAGTCATCTTGTCCCAAAACCATGCTGAAGGTATTATGACTGTCGGACAAGTGGGATCTTAGCACTGTGACGGCAACGCGTACTCACTGTGTACGGCAGGTCCAGCACGCCCGGACTGACACCCCAGCTTCCCCGCATTGGGATGCGATGCCTGCCTGGCCCCGAGTGGAGCTGCGTGCTTGTCGGGGGCCGGGACAATGGGGCGCGTGCCTGCAGCCCACACGTCACAAGCTCCGAGCTAGTCGAGCACCCAAGCGTTTGACGCATCAAGCTCAGCTCCTGCTCCCCAAGCAACCAAGCTCGCCCGAGCTTCCTCCCAGCACTTGCTCACCCTCTCTTTCTCCCTCCTCAACTCATCCGGCTGGTAGGGGACAGCTTCGGTCTCGTCTCCCATCATAGCAATTCGAATCGCTCGCCGCTTAACCTCACAGTTGTGCCCTTAAACTCCACGTCCCACTACCCACAAGCCCAGCTGGTCTGGCACAGCTCCCCAGTTCAACGCGTCATCCCTGCCCGAGGACCGGCGCTGAAGCCTTGGGCCACACAGGCACCACAATCGATCATCGTACACGACCAGCACGTACCTGGGCCTCATCACCATGTCGGGCAACAACGAGCGGACCCCGCTGCTTCCCAATGAGGCCCCCGAGGCCGGCAACCAGAGCAATGTCGACGACGCGCTCTTGGACGAGCAGGTCAGACAGGCAAGGCGTCGTCGCTGGGTCTCCATCTGTGTCAGCGTGTTGATCATTGTGGCCTTCATCGCCATCCTGATCCTCGCTGGAGGTATGCTAATATCTTCCACCTGGGTATTGCATATACCATCATGAGCCTATACTCATCCTTCGTCCTCTCGTTAGTCTTGGACCGCGGCAAGAAGGGCGGAAATGCAGACGCCGCAGTCCCTCTTTGCACCACCGCCGCTTGCATCCACGCAGCATCCGAGCTACTCTGTAAGTCCAAATAACTCGCTGAAGCCCGTTCGTGCAAGGCTCATCCTGTGTCAGACAACCTCTCTCCCGATTACAAGAATATTGATGCTTGCACCAACTTCGACTCTCTGGTCTGCGACGGATTCAACGCTCGCCATGATATCCCCCAGGACCGAAGCTCCTTTTCCACCGCCTCCCAGATGTCTGATATTGGCCAGACGATCCTCCGCCACATTCTGGAGTCACCCTATCCAGGTCAATCAAAGGTAAAACCACAATCTGGGCAAATTCTGTACTGCAAGAAAACACGCTGACAACAGCTAGCACTCCGCCTTCTCCCCGATGAACCTCGCGCACACGACTGCAAACACGGACGAAGAGAACTTCCGAAAGATGCAAACATCCTTTAGCGCATGTATCAATGAGACTGCGATCGAGAATGTCGGAACCGAGCCTCTTATGGAGCTCATCAAGTCGGTAGCATTACACCTCGAGCTTGTCGATGATGTGGCAGAGGGAGAGCTTGGCCAGCCCATGACAGAAGGCGAGCTTGGGTCTCTTCATCAGACGATCGAGTTCCTGCAGAAAATTGGGGTCGGCTCCTTTGAGCAGCTCTTCATTGGTGCAGATGACAAGGACCCTGTGAGTGCTGTGCGCGATTGTCTGCTTGTCTGGAATCGGAGTCCGCTAACATGTGGTTGATAGGAATTGCTGATTGTTCAAGCATTCCCAGATGGCATCACCCTCCCATCCCCAGAGTACTACAAGGACAAGAACACTTTGGCATCATACCAGAAACTTCTGGAAGAAGTCTTCAGCACTCTACTCCCTCATGAGACTTGGAAGAAGTCTGCATCAGTACTGGCCAAGGCTGTCGTAGAGTTAGAAGTCAAGATTGCTGAAATCACCCCACCTCCGGAAGATCTCCAGGACGTCACAGTACGTATGCCTTGCGAGAAATGATGAGGCTTTTGCTAACAGCGTCTAGAAATACTACAACATCGAAAAGATTGACAAGGTTGGGGAGCTTGGACCTGCGCTGCGGCTTGACAAGGTTGTCAGAGCACTTGCTCCCAAGGACTACAAAGACAGCTCAATGCTGCTGGCCTTCCCAGAGTTTCTGACCAAGACATCCAACTTGATCGCCGACACGCCCAAGAGAGTACTGCAAAGCTACCTCATCTGGAAAGTGATATACAGCTATGCTAGCGCCATCGAGGCACCAGAGGTCAAGCCCATCTCCCGGTTCAATAATGTGCTTAGCGGCAGAGTGAGTAAAATGAGCAGTCACGCTGGACGATTCCATTGCTCACTATTGATGACAGGACCCTGAGACCAAGACGGAAAGGTGGAAGACCTGCCTGCGCCACGTCGACGGAACAATCGGCTGGATCCTCAGTAGATTCTACATCGAGGCAGCATTCTCTGAGGAAGCCAAGAAATTTGGCGATGAAATCATCACCGATATCAAGCACCAGTTCATCTCGAAGCTGAATGGCCTGAGCTGGATGGATGACTCCGTCAAGGAGCTTGCTGTCAACAAGGTCAAGAACATCGATCAGAAGATTGGGTATCCGACTAAGTCACCCAACATCATGGAGCCACCCGCCTTGGCAGACTACTACAAAGATCTTCCCATCTCAGACTCTTTCTTCAAGAACACCCTGAGCAGCGCCAAATGGAGTTCTGACAAGAGCTGGTCGTCGCTGGGCAAACCTGTCGACCACAACGAATGGGGCATGCAGGCTGACATTATTAATGCTTACTACAATCCAGTTGGCAACGAGATTGTCTTCCCCGCGGGCATCATGCAGTTCCCCGTGTTTGATGTCGAGCTTCCCAGCTACCTATCGTATGGTGCCTTCGCTTCTGTTGCGGGACACGAGCTGTCACACGCTTTTGATAGCTCCGGCAGACACTACGACGAGCATGGCAACTTCACAGACTGGTGGACCGAGCGTACTGTCAAGGAATTCACAAAGCGCGCAGACTGTTTCGTTGCTCAATATGGCAATTTCACCGTGGAGGGCAACGACGGGAAGCCGCTCCATGTGAATGGCAAGTTGACACTCGGCGAGAACATTGCCGATGCCGGCGGTGTGGCTGCTGCCTTCGCTGCGTGGAAGCAGCGACAAGACACCCAGCCCGACAAGAATCTCCCGGGGCTGGAGTTCTTCTCGCAAGACCAGCTCTTCTTCATCTTCTATGCCAACTTCTGGTGTGGCAAGATCCGGAAGGAGCAGGCCATCAATTACATCTACACGGATCCCCACTCGCCGGCTTGGGCCCGCATTTTGGGCACGACGGCCAATTCGCGCGAGTTCAGAGAGAGCTTCAACTGTCCCGTCAAGGAGCCGACTTGCGAGTTGTGGTAGAGATGGAATTTATTGTGCCTTGACAAATTGTACGGCACGGGTTTTGGATGCTGTGAGCTGGAATAGTTAATTAGCAGAATGGTCATTCCTTTCTTCTCCAGATTGTTGGTCCTGGATGTATCCTGGCTATAGCCTCGCATGACTGTAAAAAGCATGAAGGTTTCTGCTAACGAATCGTGCTGTACAATTATAACACCGTGTCTGTGCCTGCCGCCTGGTCGTGCCAGCTCAAAGGCGTGATTATGTGAAATGCCTGGCAGCTTTGACTGCGCACTCGCGACCATCGACCATGACGTATCCATAGGTATATCACCGCAAATGTCTCGAGCTCTACCTCACCCTTCGTCGTCCATGCACTTTAGCTCTTGTAACAGGAGTCCTGTTTGCGGCATAACTTTCCATTTTCCCAGCAACTAATCGTTCGTGCCTGCCAAGGGACTTCCCTGCGTGATTACCGCCCCCTTCCTTCCATCCATCCTCCCTCTACTTGATCCTTCTCCTTACCGCCGCACCCCTCTCACTCCTCTCGGCTGACCCGGCCTTCAGCCCACCACAACGCCGCGCTCGTTCCCAGGAACAAGGCCGGCCAGAACACGCCCGCGCGCCGCATCGCCCTGCGGACCTGCGGGGGCTGCGTCTTGAGCACCCGGGCCTCGACCTGCGAATGCCACAGCATCTCGGCGAGGAACCCGCCCGCGCAGATCAGGGGCAGGTTGTGCTTGTTTGTGGTGCCGTGCAGGCGCGCCGCGATGGAGTCTAGTGTCTGTTGGACCTTATTGTTGTTGTTGGCGGTGGTGCTGCTGCTGCTACGGTCAGGTTGGGAGGGTTGGGTTGGGGACGCCGCCATATTTTCTGTATAGATGTGCAGCGTAGGATATTGGTCTCGATCCTTTTAGAGGGTGTGATATGACGTCAGTGCTTGAAAGTTAAGAATTGTTGACACAGAGCCACCACCCCGTGGACGTAGGACAAAGCTGCCCCGTGATCCGCAGTGTGCAAGACGAGCAGGCGGCTGCGCCAAAAGTGAAGCTGAGGCAAAGTGTCTGTTGTTATGTCTACTTGGAGTGCTCGGTGGTTCTCACGTCCTGGATTCCGGAAGAGCCAACCGCGTAATGTACGACCGGTCGTCGTGAGGTGCTTGTTCTGATGGCTCACCGGTTCACGGCTGATGTTTGTGGACGTTCAAGCACTGAATTGAATATGTGCAGGCTGATCGAGGCGTTGTCCAAGTAGTAATTTCCCCGCGTGCGCGCAGCGCATAGTCTTGCTCCAAATTTCCAGCCACCTTGATTGCATCATTACCGAAAAATCTCAAGCCCCTGATGGGAGGTCATCAAATGGCTACACTTACGAACAAGACACACGTCACCGAACGCGGGTCAAGCACAACTTTATAGCGTCGACTTCCCGGACATCGCGGCTCTGTAGCCATGTCTCATGATCTGCCTATTATGAGAAGAAGAAAACAAAAAAGTACCAGTACAGTCCTAATAGACAGTCCTAAACGCCATGCCAACATCCCGACTACGAAGATCAAGCCCTGATCTTCTTTTTATAAAGTCGTCATCATGTAGCCAGCAACCACAATGTGGTCGTATTTTCCAATCCCTCTCGGCCGGGCCCCAGCGCTAGTCCGCACAGCATGGTCCCTGCCTTTTTGCGCTCGTATCGCATGGCGGTACGCGGCGCCGTCTCCGGTGCATTTTTTTTCGGTCTCAGAGGCCCAGCTTCTGCTTCTTGATCCTCGGGTAAATACCAGCGATGACGAGGAGGGCAATCACAATCGCCGCCCACAGCTTGAGACCGAGAACGTTGACGTTGTAGTCAGTCTTGGTGGCCGATGTGACGGCAGCCATGTACAGGAGCAGCAGGCCGTAGCCGCTCATCCGGTGGTACTTCCAGATCGCCTTGGCCTTGGCCTCACCGCCGTAGAGCTGAGGCGCGCCGTACATGGTGAAGCCGACGACGTACTGGAGGATCTGCCAGATTGAGGCGACGATGCCGATGTAGGCGTGCGGGGACTTGAAGTGGGCGCCATTGCTGCGGATCTTGTTGTACTCGATGCTGCCGACGCCGACGATGAATGACGCGAGCGCGAGGAAGTTCAGCCCTGCGTGCAGCTTCTGGCCGACCTTCTTCTGCTCGGCCGTCACGGTCGGCTGGACGATGAGGATACTCTGGATGAGAACGAGCAGCCCAAAGGATTGGGCCAGCGGGTGGACCGAGAAGAGGATGTACGGTGGGTGCAGGAAGACTGCTGCCCACACGGACGCAACGAGCAAAAGACCTCCAGCCTCGGCGACGACACCAGTACCTGAAGAGTACATTAGTTTTGCCATGGTTTTGCAGGCGGGCTGAAGGGAGGCTGCGTTGCACTGCTGGAGATGACGCGAAGGACAAAGTGGGTGTTGTCTCGTGAAGGGAGGAGATGCCGCAGGAATATGCCCTGACACCAGAATGATGCTTTGTTGCGGATGCAGAGCCCCAGCCTTTTGTGGACGGGAAAGGAGACGGGGAGCCGAGGAAAAAGAACAGAGTGGTCTCACCGAGGACAAGATTTTTGGCGATGGAGGCAGCAGGCTTCTGGGAGGCATCGCCGGGCCGACCGAGCAGGGGCTCGCTCTCCTCGTTACCGTGCTCGGCCGGAGGTTGTTGGGGAATTCCAGTCGCGGATGCCATGGTGGCCACTGATTCGTAAGCAGAGCCTGGCGTGGCTGTTGTCAATCAGATATCGAGGATGCAAGGCTGCACCACAGACAGAAAGATGTAGGAGTGAGACGTGTCCACAGGCTGGAGCAGCTCAGAGAGATTGCAGAAGAAGAGCTTCGAGACCGCCGTGCGGATTGACGAGGTGATGCATTATTGTCGCCTGGGTGCTGCTTGCTCCTCGTCAGTTCACCACAAACGCTGTCGATGATGCAAGCCCCGAGAGCCCCTGCAGGCAGGCTCTCTGATAGGCGGCACGAGCTGCCCCGACAGCCCCATGCCGGAGCTTGCAGCGAGCCTATCGCCGAGCAGCAGTTGCTCAGCGGGGTCTTTCCACGCCGTGCCGCGCGCGCCTCCGTCGCCCACATTCCCCGCATTCAGACAACCAGTGCCTCCCGCCTGGCTCTTGTTCGTCGAATCACTATTGGACAGGCCTAAGCACCCGTCCGTTCTGTCAGCCATCCCCGAGTCGATGACGACGCCTTACAGCGAGGGTTACACACTGCGAATCTGGGGACAACAGCATAGGGCCCGGGTGCCGTCATCTGCTAGTCTCTCATGCCCTGGACATTATTGCGACTGTCTAGCAGGAAAAACGAGCTGCGCTTGAGGGAATTGGTGGACAGGCTGTACAGCCATTCCAATCGATGGGGGAATAGCCTGCCTCCACCGTTCGCATTATTTTCAAGCTTTGCTACGATGTACGCGGGTTGAGCGGCTCCTTGTGTGACCCGGACGGCAGCCCGCCGCCGACCTTGGAACATGGCCGAATATAAAAGTCCAGGGAGGACTACTTCTCACAAGCTCTCCCACCTTATCAGCGGTCTCTGGCAAGGGTCCTGAACATGCATGATCACGTAGCGGCTTTGACTAAAGCAGCTCCACCATTGCGGCCCGGAGCTCGCCGATGGTCGTCGTTGCACAACGCCAAGTTATCGCCCACGGCCGGCCAAGCCCCACCATCAGGCCCTCCCAAGGCCGATCCCGCAGGCACAGAGCCGGTGGCCGTTCGAGTCGTGTGCGCCGTGAGCCTTTGGGACCGCAGGAGAGACCGTGATTATTCCCTCTCTGTGACTTGAACAGTACCGACACCTCTAGACCACGATACTTTGAGCACAGCAACAACCCTTCCTCTCACAGTAGTGCATTGAAGCTACCAAGAAGACAGTATGGACCAGATCGAGTATCGGCTGGAGGACGTCAAGGCGACGCGGATAGCGTCCGATGACATTGACAAGACCTTCCGGTCGAGCACCATCGGTGAGTGTGCTGGGCTTCACAGCCAATTCTACCGTCCTTGACTAAATCAATATCGAACAGATCTCATCTCGGGCACGCTCGGTGGTAAGATCCTGGGCTTCTCCGATGAGTGGTTCGCTGAGGCCGCGAACTTGGTGACTCCTACGCCACCTATCCGGCAGCCAGGCAAGATGGTTTACACTGGTGCCTGGTACGACGGCTGGGAGACAAGGAGGCACAATTCCGAGCCATTCGACTGGGTTGTGATCCGTCTCGGTGTTGCCTCTGGCACCGTCGAGGGAGTTGAGGTCGACACTGCCTTCTTCAGCGGCAATCATGCGCCGGCCATCTCCGTCGAAGGCTACTTTGGCTCTGATGATGACGAGGTCTTGTCATGGAAGGGTGGTAAGGGAAAGTGGGAGACGATCTTGGGCATCCAGGAGTGCGGCCCATCGCAGCGTTTCGGATGGAAGCTCAACGAGCCGACCAAGAAGCAGTACACTCACGTCCGGCTCAACATGTATCCCGATGGAGGCATTGCCAGATTCCGCCTGTTTGGACACGCCGTGCCCGTGTTCCCACAGGACGTCAACGCAGTCTTCGATCTGGCGGCGGCTCAGAATGGTGCGGTTGCGGTGTCTTGCAGCGACCAGCATTTCGGTACCAAGGACAACCTGATTCTTCCCGGGCGTGGCAAGGACATGGGCGATGGATGGGAGACGGCGAGATCGCGAGGCAAGGGACATGTCGACTGGGCCATAATTCGTCTGGGAGCCCCAGCGTTCATCCAGAGCTTCATTGTTGATACAGCATTCTTCCGCGGAAACTTCCCGCAGAAGTCGAAGATTGATGCTATCGAGTGGAAGGGTGAGGGCGAACCTCCGGCGGATGCTGAAGGCTGGGTGGAGGTGCTCGAGCCAAGCAAGTGTGGTCCGGATGCGGAGCACCCTTTCCCGAGCTCGGTGACCGACAAGGGGTTCACGCACGTCAAATTGACCATCATCCCAGACGGCGGTGTCAAGCGCCTTCGGGTGCTTGCGAAAAGAGCTGTATAGTTTCTCTTGATCTTGGTAGCCAACGAAGACACACCGTGTGACTGAGACGCATCATCAATGTCCCATGCTCACGTCTTGTGCATGATGTTTTCTGGGCAAGGACTCTCGAAGGGGAAGATGTTCTCACATTCGACCTGACAACGTATCTCGAAGACTGACCGGTTTTGTGCTTCGTCATACTGACACAGACGGGAACGATGATTGCAAGGAGAAGGAGGTTTATTGTGTCTTCTACACAGTGCCGCCGTACAGTGCCGTGTTGTGCACTGTACTACTCCCCAGCATTGCTTGGCTTGGCATGGGTGAACCACCCCCCCTCCGTCATTACGTTTCCACAACGGAGATAGGTCGCACGACCACCCAACCAGTTTTAAAGCACCAGCTACGGCAGACCAGGGGCCTCGACTTCGTTCTTGAAGCATGGTGCCTCGACTGAATCCCACGGACGGCTTGTGAACGTCGCCTCACTCCCCTCCCGCACCATGGACTACAGCGACATTGATAGCGGGGGCTTCGGCGGGGACGATGGTTCCCCAAAGGAGCAGAAGCCAAGGGCCCTGCCGGACGACCTGCCCAAGTCGCTGGATGATCGCAGGAGGATGCCAACAGATCTCGTCCAGGAGACGGAGCTGTACGATGGCTGGCAAGGTACGTAGGGCTCAGATGCGCCCACAGCTCTTGACCTAGAGCTCGAGCTCCGACAGCTCGTAGCTTCGGCTGCGGCCCCTGACCGTATGTCTGGGAATGTCTTACTGACTTGGCTCTTTAGGACAATCGCAATTCCTCACAAGTCCGATTGCTGCGAAACCATTACAGTTCGACAATCTCACTCTCGACGACCCAGACTACGACGAAGATTTGACCTCCCGACGTATGCCAGACAGCGACCAACGGCTGATGGAAATGCTGGCAGCTCAAGCACAGCACCAAGGCACCGCCGAGATGTTCGAGGATGCCGAGGCCGTCGCCAACGATGAGAAGATGCCCGAGGAAGAAAAGAAGAAGATGCTGCAGAAGGCTTTCATCATGGCTGCGAGCAATGGCGATCTGGACCAGGTCAAGAAGATTCTGGGAACCAAGGCCAAGGCGTTTGTCGACATCAACGGGCCAGATGAAGATGGAACGCCGCCCCTGGTGTATGCCAGCTGCTTCGGCCACGAAAATGTCGTACAGGCCTTGGTGGATGCAGGCGTCGACGTGGACAAGCAGGATAGGAACCACTGGAGTGCGCTGATGTGGGCCATGACGAACCGGCACAAAGGCATAGCAAAAGTCCTGCTAGACAACGGAGCATCACCAGACGCCAAGACTTCCTCCGGCCGGACAGCGTTTGACTTTGTAGCACCGGACAGCGAGATGTCATTCTACCTACATGACAATGGCTATGCGATCGGCAGCGCGGGTGTCACTGACGACTTCTATAACCCTGGATTTTCTCAAGATAGGTTTGAGGAGGAAATGGCCGAGAACGAGATCCGACGTCGCATGATGATGGAAAGTGCGCGGGATCTCGAGGTCGATCTCGGCAATGTCGGCATCGACGACCAACCAGAGGTACGTCCCTCCTTCCTTCTGTTATGCCGCAATCTGTGCTTCAACTGACCTTGTACAGCCTGTCGATGAATTTGACGAAGAGGAGCAACAAGAATTCGACTGGACGCGGTGTCTTCATGACCAAATGTTTGTCTTTCAGGAAAGCGAGCTCCCACGGATATTGGACGTCATCATCACCAATATGCAACCACAAAGGTCGCCTTCTCAAAAGCCCGTTCCAGCAAACATGATATTCCTGAGCGCTCGATATGCACATTATCACTCCAGCCGCGAGCTACTCAACAAGCTATTAACCTCGGCCCTGGACAGAATGGCCGACGTAATAGAACTGCACCAGTGGGACATGACGATCCTGGCGTTCTGGATGTCGAACGCTACCTTGCTGCTTCACTACCTGAAGAAGGACACCGGGCTGCTTGAAGTCACTACATCGTTCCAAGCACAGCTGGCGGAGCTTATCAACGAAATCTTCATCCTGGTCGTCCGCGATGCGGAACGGCGACTCGATAAAGTGCTCGACGCGGCAATGCTTGAGCACGAGACAATCCCGGGGCTGGATGATGTCACTTTCCAGCATGAATGGAAACTCTTCAAGAGGAAAAAGGAGGTCGCTGAGGAGCCGCTCGAGAAGCGCTTTCGGCCCCCGTCACCCAAGCGACGTGCGAAACCTGCTCCACGAAACGTCACCTCGCTATTATCATCAACGCTATTCGTGCTCGACTTGTATGATATCCATTCCTACATCACGTCGCAGATAATATCGCAACTCTTGTACTGGCTCGGAGCGGAGCTGTTCAACCGCATCATAAACAATCGGAAGTACCTGGCAAGGACGAAAGCCATGCAAATCAGGATGAACGTCTCCGTGCTGGAAGAGTGGGCCAGGACGAACAATCGAAAGCCGGAGCACTTTGAAAGGGGAGAAATGAACGCGACAGGGGAGACGACCATAGACGCAGCACGTAAGCATCTAGCCCCAGTAATCCAGCTGCTGCAGTGGCTGCAGGTCTTTTCCTCTCTCGATCCAGACGACATGGGAGCACTTGTGGCCACCCTGCAGCAGCTCAAGCGTGTCAGTCCTCAACAGCTTATCTTTGCGGCAAAAAACTATCGGCCGGAAGTGGGGGAGAAGGGACTGCCGAAGAGTGCTTTGAAATATCTCAAGGGTCTGGAGCAGGAGGTCGCCACAAGAAGGGATCGGAGGAGGGAGGCTTCTCCTATGCCTGATAGCACCCCCGCGACGCCGATCAAGAAAAGCCAGAGCAGTAGTGGAGGCCAGGACGCGGCCGGGGGAGCAGAAACGAGCGGTGCACAAGGCACACCAGGTGGCGGCGCAGCTAATGCGCAGGAAGACGACGAGGACCTGCCGGTCGGGATCAACCACGACCCTGCAGTCATGCTGCCGTTCTCGCTGCCTTCGGTCACGGACATGCTCGTCTCATATGGTGCCGGCTTTGGCGGCGTCAACAGGGAGAGGGAGCGTAAGTACATCCCCACCATCCCGCCGGAGTTTTTGGACAAGCTCGAGCTGGGCGGTGGCAACAACAACCACAAGCCAATGTTCCAAGAAAAGGACTGGGAGAATGAGGAGGTGTGAGACGGCCCGGCGCCACTCGCGCCTGGACTCGGCAGACTGAAAAGGGAGGGCGCCAAGGCGGGGCCATTGCATAGAGGCCGCCATGACCCTCCTGATGACTTTTTGCCGGTTCGTTCCTATTTCTGCGCGTTCGAAGAACCAGTTCGGCACTTTTGTTTTAATGACCATGTCGAGTCTGGGTTGCCATCCGCCATGGCAGGGCATTGGAGTGACACGCAGATTGAGACGACTCGAGGGGGCAAATCGGATGAGGGAAAGACGCATGTTTGCATCATGGCGGGATTCAGTTTATAGCAACATAGCGGTGTGGGACGGATCGCCACAATCTGGGCGCCGTTGCTAGATAGAGCTGAGCAGATATCCGAGCGTTCAAGTAACACTGCATTCCAACCTCAAGCAGACCAGCGACAAGCCCGTGGCAGGCAAGATCAGATTATAACTATTCTAGTGCTCGCGCGACATGGCATGTGTATCGTGCGAAGACTGTAGGATGCCTCATTCTCTCGGAAAGGTGAGAAAGAATAGCGAAACGCACTGTTGGCAAGGATCGGTAAGGGATGGCTGAGGAGTCTCCAAAATCGAAAGCCACGAGATGTCCTGCAGCTTCACGTATCAGGCAGAAACAACAAAAAAAGAAAGCATGTATCTGCATGCAGCTGAGCAACCCTTTTGAACTCGCCATGCACGCCCGGTTTCGTCATCAGCACCCTTTCGGGACATGGGAAGACGGAATATGGCCGAGCATGGGGCAGTCGCAAGGCGAACGACAATAGCTACGACAGCAAGTGTTCGTTGACATCGCCTTGTCCTTTTCCACGTCTGCCTGATGCGGGCCGTGCCGGAGGGAGGAGCAAGACGGGTTGAGCATGGCTCTTTTCCTGTCTCTGAGAAGTCCTATGCTCGGAAGAGGAGCACAGAGAACTCCGCTCGTGTCGCCAGTGTCCGCTCGCCATGCTCTCCCATATCACTACTGCCTAGCGTATCTACGGCAGAATCGCAAAAGCGATTTTGCCAGCCGGGCGGCCCGGGCGGCGGCCTGCTGCTTGCGCAGTTGCACCACATTGCAATATGTGCGTCGTGGCATGCCATGCCCTGCTGGGGACGGATACCAGAGCAAGAAAGGATGTTCTCGTCGTTGGAAGCAAAGCTGTCAAGCGATCACATATTCAAATGTATCAGAATGGGCTCGTTCTGTCCACCAAATGGGAACACGACAGGAGCACATGTTTGTAAACCACGTGCTAGATGCAGCCGCTCTGCGTCCTTTTGTTCCGTCGAAACGTCGCAAATCCACAGGTCGTGAGCGATCGTGTTTCTAGACATGTCCGGTACATTGTCTGTCCTATCGAGAACGTGAGAAAATGTGAGTGAGCATGCCCGACCAACCCGCAATCACAGACCTGACAAATTATTGCCTTATTCCGCCAATAGAATAAGGACAGTGTCACCTTTCAGGTCAAATCTGACAAGAACGGAACGTGTTCCATTTTCTGCAATGAGGCAAATACATGACAGTTGAGTGGCGCCCGCACCGAGCATGTGAGATAACCCTCGCTTGTGGGGGTGCAGATCTGCAGACTGACTGTCCTTGACGAAGGCAACTGGGTCACGATCAGCTAGCCATGTGCAGGAAATCGACCGAGACGGTTGAGGTGTTTGGAGACCGAAGAGCATGCCAAGCGATGGTCGTGGCCGCATGAGAAGCGACCTCCTCCGTGCTGCAGTTGAGTTCCCGTTCTGTTGATGCGGGCACGGCACGCCCGGCCGCATCCTGCAACCTGGTCGAGTCTCCACGAGGCGAAGAGCCTGCTGGATCTGATTTTTGGCGTCAAACAGTCAATATCGCAGGCTGGCCGCATATTGGGCCCCCCTCCACCGGAAGCTTTGAGCTCGGCCACTCTTCAAGGGTGTCGTGTTGCTCGACCTCCCAAGTCTCATGTCTGCTCAGGATTCTACAGGCGTACTCTGGACGCATGCCTCTTTAGCGAAAGAGTTGGATGCATGATCGCCTTCTGCAAGAAAAGACTGCCCCTTCACGCCCTAGAGCTGTCTTCCGGTAGCCTTCGATCGCGCCTCACGCGTGGGTGCTTCTGACCTAGGATTGTGTACAGTACGGCGAGCAAGATGAGACTGACTTTTGCTAGGGTTGGTGTATGGAGCACCAAACAAAAGTCAGCTACACGTGAACGATGTGCGTGTATCACGAGACTCAAGCCATTGCAGAGGCCATTGCCATACTTACACCCGTATCCCCCTCCTGCCACACACTTACACACCCACGGAGCTCGCGCATACGCAAGGTTGAGTCATCCTCCACCTCCCTTGTTGTCGGGGATGGGCTCATGCGCGTACATCCTCCTTTTTGTGTACGTGTTGGCATGGGGTGAGCAGGCACAAGCGCCGAAGCCGCGGAGATATAGATAGTCTGTGTAATTGTCAAGGACAAGCCCGAAAACCACCGAAGTGGGCTTCTTGCCTCCATCCCAATCCGGGCCGCAGGAATTCGCATGCTCGAGACACTCGAACCTCACTCATACTCGATATCAGAATCGTCTCCGCAGGGTTGGTGTGGAATGACGAGGAGTCATGCAACCGCCTCGACAATCCTTTTTCGGTGAAATGCTCGCATCTGATAGGCCATTGTGGCCCACTCGGCCACTTCTTCTTTATATCGACTGTGAGGCGTGGTCATGGATGCACAACATATTCGACGTCTACGTGAAAGACTGGTCGTGTCCAATCCGCTTCTTCGCTGGTGCTGCGACCTACGGCTCCGAGGATGTAAACTGCAGTAAAGGACTGTCGCCAGGTCTTCTATCACACATGCTGCCACTGATGCAGCCACTTGCCTGCCACCAGCGACATTCGGTCGTGCTCGATTCGGACTCAGCCTCTCTGTCGGTGCATGAAAAGTCCTGGATGGCTGGTTCCTGCGGAGCGAGGTCTGACTCGGCTCTGTGGGCTCGTGGTGTGTAGCGCGCGCTACCCGGTGCGGATATCACGGCCGCAAGGACATCTGCAGCTGGGATCTGTGTCCCAAGGAGTGCTTTGGCCTGTAGTAGGCGCCATGATGTCGCCGTTTTTTCTCGAAAGGAATCGAAGGCACGGAGCCGCCTGGACTGCAGTATGGCAAGCGTAACGCCGGGCCGGGGAAGTTGAACTCCGTGAAAGGGTCAGTATGTATCACCACCGCTCGCATGGACAGCCGGCCGGGCAGGACTGCCCCCTGTTGCTGGGGCAAGGGTACTGACTGGGAGTGGGTCAGCGCGAGTGATTAGTTGGCAGGCTCATGAGGACCAAGTCCGGGTCGCGCAACTGCAGGCGGACAGAGGAGGCAGCAACGGCGCTCGGGGTCAAGAGGCGAGAATGGACGGCGAGACTTGGTTGAAAGAAGGAGGAGGATGAAAATGACGTGGCAGTGCATTCTGCAGGAGAACCCACCAAACAACCTTGGAAGGCAGGCGAGGCAGGCCTGGGTCGGCCGGGCACTCCTATCATGTCTGGCTGTCTTGCCAACTCACTGTGCATCACGCACGCCGACTCGCGCTGGTGGCCAATTGAAGGCGGCTGCATCCCCGGCGCACAGCTTCTTTTCCCAGGCGACCCTGCCGATTCTTGCCAATTGACCAATCGTCACTCGCGACGCCGTCTTTCCCCAGCTCCTTCCACGCCCCTTCCCTTCTTCTCTGCCTCGGGTCTAGGTACCTCTGGCTGTTTGTCCCCGCCACCGGGGTGCGATGAACATCTCCAGGGTCTTGTATAACATCCCAGGGCACTGGTATCGCCCAAGTCACTCGCAAGAGCTGCTTGAGCGAGCCCCCGACGCGACCCCAGCCCCTGGTCTGCCCAGCACTAGTATCAAGCGGTTACCAGTCGGCGACTCTCGTCCCTTGTCGAGCTTGCCCGGGACCGCCTCCCGTGATCGGCCCCAGCTGCGGAGGCCCAGGCCAGCCGCCGGCTTGACACTGTCCCGCGCAGACAAGACAAGCCAACCCCGCCAGCTCTTCGCGAAGGCGCATGCAACAAAACAATGGCAGGGCAGAGCTAGAGCTCGGGTTAGAGTTCTCGCCAGGCTAGCGCGCGGCCGCTGTCATATGTCTGACTGATCCCACGGTAGCCGGCACAGACACACGTGAGCTCAGCGTCTACCGCCGGCTCTGGTGGTGACAACAGGGGCACATCATACCCGGACCGAACTAGCGTGGGTCTGTTGTTGCCGTTGCCGCCCGGTGCTGCTGCCGCTGCTTCTGCTGCTGTTGCAGCGCCTCCTGCTATCATCGAGGTAGAGGCAGAGGCGCCCTATGCTGCTGACGGGTCGCCAGCCAGCCAGTCGCCCAGGCCGCCGGCGGCAAGCAGGCTGGTAGGCATGATGGAACTGGTGGAGATGGCGAGCACCCAGCAGTCCAAGTCTGGCTACGTACCATGGCCATGGCCCATGTCTGTCTGGAGGCGCCTGCAGCTGCAGGTTGCAACGGCTCTGCCTCTCAGGTCGAACCCAGTGCCGCCCACATTGCTGCCTTTCTGGGAAAGCGCTACCTCATTGAACAATGACATTCATGAATAATGTACAATCCCCGAGGACATGGGCCGGCCAGCCCACACGGCTGCAGGCCCCTCTTGACCTCATCTCTGCTGCATTAGCCCGGGGGCAACTTTTGGGGCAATGGGTCGTTCCTCGCTCACGATCAGCGAGCGGTTCCATTTCCACCCTGGGTACCGTGCAGATACAACGCGCCGCCCTGGCCGGCTGGCCGGCCTCCCTGTTGTTGCTGTGTGTTTTTTTCTTCTCTTGTTTATCGCTGCTCGCTGGATGCGGAAGCAGGAGGGCCATCCCGCCTCCGCCAGCAGCCGCCGCCCTCGGTCGTCTCTCATCCACTTGGCCGGGAATATCTGCCTGTGCCGGGGTTTGGCTTGCTCATCAGAACCGGCACCAGAGGTTGTCGCGGACCAATCGCCGGCCGCAGGCTAGAGGCGCCGGGCTAGACTTTTGACAAACCAGCGACCTAGGATTCCTGCGGTGCCGCATCATCGGCCTGCCGTAGATTGCACTTTATTTTATTTTATTTTCGGCGCGCGGCGGGGCGTAAATCTTTGTGTGCCCATGGCAAAGTGGCCGCGAGGACTGGCCGCAGGCCCCGTTGGCCACCATGCCCGTGCAGCAGCAGCCCAGGCAGGGCCGGCTGCCAGCCCTTTTGCGAACGGGATGGCACGCCTCTGGCCATGCAGCGGCGGGCTCTCGTGCCATTGCGAAGCAGATCATCCATGCTGCTCCTGGTGGAGATGCAGAGGCGTGCCGCTCCCACTGGAGCCAGCACAGCAGGATGGGCAACACGCCGGCCGAGCCCCTCCCACCAGTGCCAGTGCCTGCCCCTCTGGCTGGCCGCACCGCTGGGAGCCTCACCTCGCGCCAGCCGTTGCGCCGGCACCTCTTGCCATTGATGCTCGCGCGTTTCCTGTCGTCGTCTCGTCTCGTGTCGAGGAGATGGCTATATCCCTGCTCCGCACTAGCATCTCATAAAGACACATGGCTCGCCTTTGATGGTTTCGCTTTTCTGCACGGCGGCCCTAGAGTCTCTCTGCATCCGTCCTTCCTCCACCTCCCCATCACCGCCTCGCTAGCCTTCCCACCACCTCTTCTGCCTTTTTCTTGCCTGCCCTCGTCCGTCGAGCTCGTCCTCACGCCTCGCCCTGCTGTCATCCTGCCCCTTCCACGTCACCTCCGCCGTTGGGCTCGACTGCATACCCGGATAACTCACGATCTCGCCTGCCGGACCCCTTGTCCCTTGGCCTCATCGTTTGCCACTTGCAACCTTCGTCTGGGCTTCGGTCTGCTGTGTTGACCTGCTTCCCGGCACGGTCTGCATCTCTCATCGCCCGAGCTGCAGTATAGCACAGCCGCCCTGTTCGAACTAATACCACTTGTGCACATCGGAAAGTCTGCCCAAGATGTCCCACGGCTTCTGTAAGTGCAACAACCCATGTACCGTCAGCATGCACACAAGGTCTTTGCTCCAGCAATGTGCAACCAAGACAGCCTCGACGAAAAAGGAAGCAATAATTATTCCTCCCGAACAAACGTGGCTGACTCTTTGACTTCTGCAACACAGATATCCAGTACCTCGAGAGTAAGTCTTGATCACTTTTCCACTCAACTCCGGCCACCATCTTTGGTCTCAAGCACGGGCCGGATGCACGGATCTGGCGAGGGGGGCTGCCACGTTGTGTGTGCACCACCACCTTCCGCCGCCGCCAGCTCTGCGAACCACCCCTGCATGATGAGCGTGGTGTGCAGATGGCGGGTGCGATCCCCGACCCACGGCCGGTGTGCCTGGGCTAGCCACGAAACGAGGCCCGGATCTGGAACCATGCCACACGTTCGCATGCGAGCAGTATCCTTCCGGGGAGGTTCTTGCCTGCTGGCTGGGCTCGGGTGGCGGCCTGGATGCGCCGCACCCTCCTTCCGGTCACCTCTTGCGTGCTGAAGAAGTGGAATAATGCCTGCTGTTGCAGGTATTTCCGCATTGAGCTTGTCAGGCGCTAACGACGGGAAACCACAGGTCTTTGCAAGCGCCGGGGTTGGGTTGACCCCACGTACGAATGTTACCAGGAGCCCCGGGGTTACGCGTGCCTCGTCCTCGTCAATGGACGCGAGTACCAGACCGACAACCTCTACGAGTCGGGCAGCCTCGCTCAGGAGAACGCTGCTATGCGAGCTTTCATGGTCTGCCGTAACTTCTCGGTCAACGGCGGCATGCTTGCCCGAAACGGAATTGTTCAGGGCATGCCGGCCACCGAGTCTGGCGGCAAGCGTAGAAAGTCGTCTCGCCATGTTACATCGTCGAGCCACAGCCACGGCCACCGCGAGTCCCGTCACCACCGGTCCGGCCATCACTCGAGCAGCAGCTCCACTGCCTCGTTTGAATAGATGGCAGATGTGCCCTTTGGAGACGTGATTGGTCAGGCCGATTCTTCTCACCGGCTATTGAGCTTACACCCTGCTGCGGCACCCCATCTCGCACAGCGCAGGTCAACACAACATATTTGGACAACGGCGGCACAGTGATTTTTCTAAACTACACACACGACGAAGCTTCACAGCTTACTTACCAGGAGCTCACATCCTGACTCCTCGGGCGCAAACTTCAATGCATAGCGATTTGGACAACCAAGCAAACATTATAAATAAATACAACAAACCGGTGGTTGATAGGGCGGAAGCGGGAGGAGGTCCACGACCGGACGAGAAGGAGGGGAAAGAGTTTTCGAGGAGACGGGCAATGCCAAAGGGCATGATGCCCAAAAATGCATAAACGGACACGACATCTTACGACCCCCTTACGATATGAATTAACGACTCTTATGATCAAAAGAAATTTTCAGTACTTCACGACACGTCCTTTCGTTCTACATGTGGGCAAACATTCTGGTTTTTCTTTCTTTCACTCCTCCCTGTGATCGACAATGTCGTCACAAGGCTCGGGTGTCTTGGCACAGCCTCGGTTCTTGATACGACGCTGGGCCGGGAGCGCTGCGACCCCATCGGCCCTCTTGTTTGCATTACGCTGCCGGGGTCATCCCGAATGGATGGAGGTTTTGGGGGCAGCTGAGCCTCATCACAGTCCTAGAATGGCAACAGCACCACCTGTTCTCCACCAAAATAGTGTGGGTTGCACGACCTGTCAACCACGACATCCCAGCTCTGCATACTTAGTGGCTGCTTCACAGGGCGCCACTACCGGCAGGAGGACCCATGACCTGCTGTTGCTTTCCGTTGGCTGACATCAGTGCATCAATTTCCCGGTGGCACCCACTGCAGGATGGGGCACCTTGCTTGCCGACAAGAAAGTTGATGACGCAGCGCTTCATGTTTAAGACGGTGTACCTTGTGGCGTGGCCCGGCTGGACTAGTCACGCAAAGACATGGTCATTGTCAGACCCGTCCAAGGAGAAAGTGGGCATGTCCTTCTCGGGTTCAGTCGCTTTGATATCCATGGGGAAACCTCTTGATGCCTACGCAACAGTCAAGTCTCGAAGGTACAGCAGCTGATTTGTTGGCGGCAAGAGAGTTTCTTCACGACTTTCTTCCTTCCTTGAGAATGCAGAACTTTCCTACGAATTTGACCAATCGGCTCTCTGCCCTTCCACCTGTGCTGGTTCTCGTGTGTGATAATCATTTTGAAGCTCTGGCACGGAGCTCCCGCTTACGTATGTCCCTCGCCGTTACCGCCTTGTTTTAGGATGTTTGGGGGCGCGTCTTCCAAGGCAACCAATCAGCCAGCGTTCTTCGACCCGGGCCAGAGAGAAGAGAGCCCGCATGCTTCGAGAAGTCCTATCCGCGGCGACAAAAGTGGTACCTTGCGGCCCAATGAGGACGAGACTCACAGGGTCGGGTGGCAGCATGTAGGCGCAGGTGTGACTTGCATCACGAACCCTACCTGCCTGTGTGTGCCAAGTCCAGCCGGCCAGTCACATTGGCAGCCGCTTTCTCCCAGTGCCGTGTCGGGTTGCCAGCCAGCCAACCAAGCCAAAAGCCCGAGCCCAAGATCCCGGACACGGCACAGACAGCACACGAGCAATTAAGCTAGCTAGCAATGTAACGAAACACCTGCCGGCCGCCGAGTCATGGTGCGTAGGGTGCAGATGGCCGCATCCCTCCCTCGGTCCATGCCAACTCGAAGCGTTTTGGGGGGCCAATGCGGGAAAAAGCGAGGAAATGTTATCGGGACGCCGTTTCGTGGGGCTGCATCACTGAATTCTAGTCAAGCCGCGAATGGACCGCGGGAGCGAGAACTTAATCAGTCACCCAGCCAGCGAAACCGGCGCAACCATGACGCTGCAAATCTCCTCTACCAGAAGCTTGCAAATCCGGTCACCGTATACGTAACTTACACGAGATTAAAAAGCCCAACTTGATCCAGAGGTCCGACCAGCGCTTGAGGTGGGACTGATTGATTGGTGCGCCGCTGATGGAACTTGAGAGGCTCGCCGATGTCAAAGTTCAGGCGCTTTTTGGTTCTCTTCCATGATTTTCATCTTGGCCGGTGTCTGCTCAGAGGTCAAGAGTCGCTCATCAGGCTCTGCTTGCGAAACGACGGGTGCCGAGCGCGGCCAATAGGCTACTCCGCGACCACGGTCCCTCGCTCAGCCTCTGGGCTGTTGACGATATCCCTGGTCGGGTTGCGAGCTGTGTCTGGGCCAATGGGATTCCACAGCCAGCTTCTGGAAGGGCAGTCCGGCCAGGGTTCAGGGATCTGGTTGAAGATCGCTAGCAGGGGTTTTGTCATGGTGGTGGGCCGCCGGGGTGCCAGACCAATGAGACTCTTGCAACGGCCGTAAGTGTGCTGCTGGCCGGGGGGGGGGGGGGGCCGCGAGGCGGGGTTTGAAGTTGTTGTTGTTGCTGCGATGCTTGGACTTCCGTCAAGTCCCGGCGAGTGTGGACGACGACGAAGGAGCAAGACGACCGGCGGGCAAGTGCTTGCGCGCTCCATTGTCTCATGGCTTCTGGCTCACGACGCAGCGCCCACAAAGCCTCACCACGTCAGAAGTGCAGTAGCACGGAGGGGGGCCGACGACGTCGGAGCTGTCACGAGGTCTGAGACAGCGGCTACACTGTTTTGGGCGAGGTGGGCGACCCCCACGAGCAAATAGGATCCGAGACATGGCCTCTTGGGCGGCTTTACCACAGAGTTACGATGCTCTAACCACGCGGCACAGCCAATCAGCTGCGCGAGCAACGCCTCCGTCACCAATGGCCAAAAGTCTGAGGCATCCGTCACATCACGAACCAGCAAGCTCCTTGTTAGTGCCGACGATGTGGTGCCCGCAACATGATTCCCGCTTGCTTGTTAAGTCGTCACCCGTCATCGCCGAATCTGCCCGCCTCGTCGGCCCAACCAACAGAGCGCAACAACCCCTCCTCCTCCTCCTCGGGTCGCCTTCTCTGGCTCCGCTGCGACCGGCTGATCTGCATCAGTACCAAAGACCTCGCACCCGTCCCGCCACAGTGGACTCATCCCTAGCGTTGCCAACGTGTTTCTGCGTCTCGAGCTTGCTGCAGCCAGCCAACCACGGCCCAGAGCGGGACAAGCTCTCGGCCAATTGAGAAAAAGAGAAGCAAGGGGCAGAGAGGGGGGGGGATGTTGAATCAGACTCGTGGTGCAGCACCATGCGTCATGCAGGCCACCTCATGCATGTCTCTTCTGCACGTGGTGCAGAGGGACGAGGGACAAGACACACACACCATCAACCATCACCAAAACCACAACCACAACCACCATAGCCCCACCATGCATAAGTGCACGCTATTCCCTGCAGGCAAGGTGTGCCACCTCAACGCCCGCACGACAAATGCCCGAGAGAAAAACGACAACACAAGTGGCGCTATTTCAGGCCCGTTGACCGCGCGTTTTCATGTGCCATGGACTTTTAGGCGTCCAGCTCCTTCTCCTCATCCCCGATCTCGATGTCGGACCCTCTTCTCAGTATTTCAGAGCACATGAAGGTATTCACCACGTCTACTACAGAAAGGTACCAAGACATTCGCTAAAGATGCACTCACCTCAACCCGGCAGAAGTGACACGACTGCCCTACCATCCATCAAGTTGACCTCATCTCATCTGAGAATCGGCACTATATCAAGCTCCCTATGACTTACCAACGCGGACACACTCTCTCTCTTGACCGCCACGCCACGCTGCGGGCCTGCAGCAAGCATCGTGACAGTGCAACATCCCAACGCGGACCCCAGCGCGCCATCCATGCAGTACCACCAACCCCGCCCCCCATCCCCTCGTCGTCTTTCGGACCCTCTCGATTGAATTTTTAAAAAACAAAAAAGGCTTTCAGATTAATTGACCAATCGCGATGCATTCTAATCCTTGCTGGGCAGAATCGCAAGCGCGACGAAAGGGGAGAGGGGAACCAGAGAGCAAGCCAGCACAGGCCTGCTACTCAGAGAGAGCCTGTGTGATGAACCGCGGCCGCCCTGCCCTTGGGGAGGAAGCTTGACCCGAGGGGCTGGGTCCGCGCACCACACCCGACCTTTCCCCTTCCACCTGTTGAAGCCATCGGCAAGAGACGGGGGCGGCCCAAGGGGAAGTGGCTAGTGCAGGGCGGACTCACAATGGTCTCGCAACAGAAAATTACATAAATGCAGATGCAAGATGGGGAGTTGGCATATGGCGCTTCCCCTACAGGTGTGTGCATTGTGGGCAGTCAGCTTTTCTCTACATAGATCGGCCGCCGTGCTTTGGAACGGCACTTCTCTCGCAGAGGCCCGCCACAGCCACCACGCCACGCGAGAGGGGGGCTTGCTGCTGCCGGCCAGCGTGGAGAGAGAGCCGGCGGAGGGATTGTGGCCCACCCGATTGTGGTGTTGAGCCCGCGGCACATGCTGGCTGCATTGGTCCGAGCCTAAAGAGGCAATCTTCTAGAACCCGAGCTCCGGGGTTTGTCCGTCCGGCGCACTTCTTTCGAGAGGCACCACCAATTAGGTACAGATGCTGCTTGATGCCGCGCGGTTGCCCATGAGATAGGCGTCGAGACCGGTTTTTGACAACTGCGGCGCTGCCGCCGCTGCTACCACCAAGCCTCACAAAGTATTTTGACTTACCTCAAGTAAGTAAGAGACTGCAGAGATATAGGCCCTGCGCTGGCTAGCAGACCCAACTTGTGTTGACTTGCTTTCACCATGGCATGCCCCCAACCAGTAACGGAGAGATGTGGTCCACCAGCTTCTTGGGGGGTTCGATTTCAATAATTATTTCAGACAAGGTAAAACAAGGAGAAAAAAAAGAATCAAGAGCTGAGCACTGCGCGCGGAGATTCCCACCTGTCTGTGTCTCTATCTTCTCTGGAGTCCAAAATTAAGGCTGTTCTGGTAATGCAGAAATAGGTGTGGACAAAACTTGCCTAGAATCGGAGTTAAACGGCATAAGCCCGTGTTCGAGATATCTGCTTTATGTTTTGTTCTGGAAAAGCAGAGCACTTCCGAAGTCGTGCTCGTGAATTGTCACAGCTGCTTCGTCATGTTAGCTTTAAGCGAGGATTCTCTGGGTAACGCCGATTGAGCGGCAGGATAGCATGGGGTGTGTCCTTGTATCGGAGCCGTATGGGCGAGGATGGGCGCACACTTACACACACACACACACACAGAGAGAGAGAGAGAGAGAGAGAGAGAGAGAGAGAGAGAGAGGATAGTTGAACGGAAGTTTGAGCGAGGTTTTAGTTCGCTCGTGTTGGGTTTCAGAGCAACAGGACAAAAAGAAAACGTGCTTCGTTCCTTATCAAAGTAGACTTCGCTGTGCCGTCTAATCCAATTTCTTCAAAGAAATCAACGGAAAAAAGAAATTAGACCCCAATAGTGAATTGTCGCTTGGGATTCTTGCCCATGGAACCTGGACTGACTTGTCCACACGCTTGGAAACCGAGAGGCCAAAGCAGTCAGAGAGAGAGCAACAAGCCCCCCAAGAGCGACAGAATCTGGACAGCAGACGGGGAAGAACAAGAAGAAGGCTTACACTGGCATATCCAAACCTGTGTATCAGTGGGTATCGTCAATAAAAGCTGTCTTGGACTCCGGCTCAAGTCCATACACGGCGTTTATCCTCCGCATCTCTGACTTCAGGTCACGTAGCGTGGCGGCTTGCTCGCGGAGCAAGAAAATTGATAAACGAAGAGAGTATGGTGTGTGTTGCATATAGGAGTCAAATTGTTTACGTTCCTTCCACTCAACAATACAATCTAAGTTTTTCTTTTTGTTTCTTTTTTGGACTAGCCAAGGTCACTCCAGGAAGGACACTCTTGGTGTTGTTGGAGACATCGGAAAAGCTCGTGGAGAGAACCTGCTGGCCGGTTGTGCGACCTCTGTGCAGTAGCATTGAGGTCCAAATCAGTCTGATGAGATTGGGAAAGGGGAGCACCACATTCAATTTCCCGTCCGTGAAAGTAGATCTCACCGATTTTCCCTGTTTGCCCCTTGCCATTGTAGAAAAGACTTGGAAGTCAAGACGCGTGGCGAGGCAAGCAAGAGCAGTGTAGCAGGCGGGGGGACCAAAGTCCTTGGTGGTTGGGACTGCTTACCGCGGGACCTTGAAACACCTTTTGTACAATCTCGCACGCGGCCGTCAGCACATCATGAGATAGCAAGTAGCAAGGCACGCTGGTCAGAACTTCCTAGAAGGTAGGGGTAGTCTGTGACGACCGTTCGCACGGTGATGGTCTGAAGGTCGGCGTTTGATGTTCAACGAGTCCTGTGCTCCATTCATGGCCTTTGAGTGACAACACTGAATGAGCATGTCACATGGCGGGAAAACAAGTATCTTCTCATAAGTAGTCCAACCAACTTATACGGAGTTGCTGCAGCTAGATAAGCCATCATCTCCAAGTCGACTTATGGCACTAGACAGTGGCGATGGTCAGACAGCGCGGCAGTGGCATGTTTGGGATTATTCGGCAGGAACGTGCTGCAACGGAGACGAAACGCTGGAATTCGATCCTCTTGACTCAGTGGCTATAGCAGGGACTTTTGTAAGCATTGACATAGCCTGCAGTGACCTCTCACTTCTCCCTGAGCAATAACGAGTACTACCGACCGACCGAGAAAAGGTAGTTATATATGCCGGGTTTCTTGAACAGGAGCTCCGCTATCCGTTTCCCCGTTTTCACTGCCGGCTCACGCTGATTCAGTACGTCGTGCAAGCAGGTGGTACTTGTTGATGACGGCGGATGTCTCTTGGGGAGGTTGTTGCTCATGTCAACGGTGACAGGCCCTATTTGCTGAGAGTAGGCCAGACCCGCGATGAAGGGGACATATCGAACCGCCATCTCTGCAAGGAGGACCCTATTTAGTCGAGCAGTTACCAGGACTGGTCCTAGTATGTGATGCGGCCTGTACCTTTTAGGCAGTGCCGCAGCACCATTGCGGACGCATCATCTCTGCACCCTCTTCTTTCAAGTCTTTCTGGGACATTATATTATCGCTGCAGGGTAGTGCATGTGTCCACAGGCTTAGAACATGTATCTGGTGACTCGGACGAATGGCTACACAAAGCATGGGAGTATGAGTGCCTCTCATGGGTAACGCCGTGCAAGCATCACGGCATCGTCATTGCGAGATTACTGGCGACATGTCCCGGTGAGGCGAGAACGCCTTACTTGTCCTCGGCGGCCAGGCCAGCGCATTGCACATGATGGCGGAGCAAATGCGCCGCAGTCATGACCGAGCCAATCGAACCGCGTCTTCCATGAACTATTGGTAAAGAAGTCGCTGCCGCCAAATGACAAACTCGTACGGGCGTTGCGGCAGAACCCTGGAAGCACACCACTATGAAGCCTCAAAATCGACGTGTAAATATGCAAGTGTGTATGCGCGTGTGTGTGCCTCGCGGTGAGATACTGCCAGCCAGGTTCATGAAGTGTGGCTGAACTTCGTGTTTCCAGGCTGACCGAGGCTGAGCGATGCGGTCTTGCAGCTCACGTGGTTTCGAAGTTGCGCTTATGCACGTCCAACGAACGAGAAAGCTGTGGGTTCGCCTCGTCTGAGATTGGCGCAAGGCCCCCCGTGGCAAGATGACCCTGCTGATTGGCCCAGGGGAGGCCCCTTTCCCGAAGGCATAGCAGGCTCGTGGTAAAGGAGCCAGGAACCAGGGAAGCCGCTCTGCCTTGGGAGCAGTGACTTGGGCCAAGGATTGGGCTCAATGCAGTCAGTCTCGCATGCAGTGTTTCGACCGCAGTCAAGATGACTCAAACGGCCCATGGGTCCATTCTTGAATCCCTTGGTCACCAGCACCGTTGCGCAGGAGGCGGACAACGGCCAGCACGCATTTGTAAAAACGACAGCTCTCGAAGGTTGGATACCTTGAATCCATGGGCCGACCCCCCTGGCTGGCAAAGAGCTGGAGGGCAGGGCCGTGGTTTTTCTAGAAGCCCGGCGGGGCAAGAGCGCCATGGCCGTGGCCAGCAGGCGAGGAGGATCTGTGCACGGCCAAGCACACGCCGCGCGGCCGATCCTGGAGCAGCGGGAGCAGGCCGGGACGGAGGTGGGCGGAGACGGGTTGTCAGGAGGAGCCCGGCACGCTCGCTCTGCAATTTCGGGGCAGCCAGGGTGGAAATTTGACGTCTGGCAACCGTAGGACCACTCGATGGTCACAAGCTCTGCCAGTCAAGGGTGCTGGACAGCCCACGAATGATCGTGCGGTCCTCGGTGTGCTGATCTGTCCACGTCCGGGTTTGGAATGGCAGGACGATGAATGGGCGAGGCAAGGGAGATAATTAGATGGCCTCCTCCTGAAGAGCACTGCACGCGCCTCGGTGGACCAGCAAAAGGTCTCGGACTGGAAGCCGCGGCGGGAAACCTGCGATTGCTGGGTGGCATACCAAGTACGTTACATAGTACCTACCTTAGGTACTAACAGCCCGTGGCTCCCACGGCGGTGGCCGGCTGGCGTGCATGAATGCCACTTGGTCGACATAATACGAGTCTGGCCGATTCGTGAAGCCTGACACGAGCATTGCACCGTGGCCTCTTTGAGCCAGGGCGCTGATTAGTCCCCTGGCGGCCCGCGGGCCCCACCCGGCCGCGGCGCTCTCACAAACAAGATGCCCCTTTCCTGGTGCGCATCGTGGGAGACTGGACGCTGTGCGTGCCTGGCGGGGACGGGACTCCCACCACCACCCACACTGGACAAAGGCACTCGCACTCACCGACCGACCTACCATAGTACCTGCCTGCCTGCGTGCCTGCCTTGCTTGCATGGCACCTGCCTGTCTGCCCTGCTATTGCGCCTTCCCGCCTCAGCCTCCATCCAAGCTTCCAAGCTTCTTCTTTTCTGCCAGGCCGCCCTGCTTCACGCACTTCTCCATTCTCCCTCTCCTCCCTCTCCCACCCACTTTCGTCCTCCGTGACAACATAACCTCCCACCACCCGCGCCTTATATCACCATCTCGTCGTCCCCGACACAGCGCAGGTCTCCGCTGTCTACACTCGCTTGACTCCGCCTGCTTCGCACCAACCAACAACACCCCTTTACGCCAAACCACCCCCCCAAACCCACACATCATGAAGGGTAAGCTTGTTCTCTCAAGGCCACCATTGCGACTCCTACCGGCTCTTCCCCAGCAGCCCCAAAGAAGAACATGTTCACTAACACGCCGCCTCGCATACAGCCCTCATTCTCGTCGGTGGCTTCGGCACCCGCCTCCGGCCCCTCGTACGTTTCTCGACCTGCTGCTCTCGACAGCTTCAGAACGCCGCCAGCTGATCAGTTGTCTCTACAGACCCTTACCATGCCCAAGCCGCTGGTCGAGTTCGCCAACAAGCCCATGATCATGCACCAGATTGAGGCTCTGGCCAAGGTCGGCGTCACGGATGTCGTCCTCGCTGTCAACTACCGCCCCGAGATCATGGAGCGCGTGCTTAAGGAGGTTCGTCAGCCAACTAGCCTGCTGCACAGTTTCCCAATGGTTTGAGTCCTTGTGTGTACTGACCAGTCACAACTCAATAGTACGAGGCGTCGTGTGGTGTCAAGATTCACTTCTCTCTCGAGCCCGAGCCTCTCGGCACGGCCGGTCCCCTGAAGCTGGCTGAGGATATCCTTGCCAAGGATGACTCGCCCTTTTTCGTCCTCAACTCGGACGTCACCTGCGAGTTCCCGTTCCAGGACCTCATTGACTTCCACAACTCCCACGGCGACGAGGGTACGATTGTCGTTACCAAGGTCGAGGAGCCGTCCAAGTACGGTGTCATTGTGCACAAGCCTAACCACGCTTCCCGCATCGATCGTTTCGTCGAGAAGCCCGTCGAGTTCGTTGGCAACCGCATCAACGCCGGTCTCTACATGCTCAACACTTCCGTCCTTAGCCGCATCGAGAAGAACAAGCCCACGTCGATCGAGCAGGAGACTTTCCCCGCCATTGTTCGGGACGGCAAGCTCCACTCTTTCGACCTGGAGGGATTCTGGATGGACGTTGGCCAGCCCAAGGATTTCTTGACTGGCACTTGCCTCTACCTCTCGTCTCTGGCCAAGAAGGGCTCCAAGCTCCTGGCGTCGCCAAGCGAGAACTACGTGTACGGTGGCAACGTCATGGTTGACGAGACGGCCAAGATTGGCAAGAACTGCCGCATTGGTCCCAACGTCGTCATCGGCAAGAACGTCGTCATTGGCGATGGTGTCCGCCTGCAGCGCTGCACTTTGCTGCCGGGCTCCAAGGTCAAGGACCACGCCTGGATCAAGAGCACAATTGTAGGCTGGAACAGCACTGTCGGCAAGTGGGCTCGTCTCGAGAACGTCACCGTTCTTGGCGACGACGTGACGATTGGCGACGAGATTTATGTCAACGGTGGCAGTGTCTTGCCCCACAAGAGCATCAAGGCCAACGTTGACGTTCCTGCTATCATCATGTAGAGAGTCCAAGAGCTGGCACAGCTACACCACGCAGGTCGTCAATCGATCTTTGCCATATATTACGGGATTGCGCTCCAGCTGTGTTGGGGCCGCGCCCAAATTTTACAGCCCTTTGGCATCATAATACGCCAAATCCAGAAATCTCGACCAGACGAATACTCCACTTCACCAATTCAGCAAAACAGTCACACCTAATATAATCAACAAAATTCTTGGGTCACCCACTGGGTATGGCATTCATGGCGGCAGCCTGAGCGCCGCGTCGATCCGCATTGTTCCGTGCGGTTTCAAGGCTCTCGATGGGGGCTGCAGGGCGGGTGACCTGCTCGCATAGAGATCTACGCCCAGGGACAGCATAAGCGATGGCCGGTAGCGTCAAAAGGACATTGACGAACACACGAGGATTATGAGCGGGGAAAAATAAAAAGAAAGTCTGAGCACCAATCTTGAATGGGCATTGTGGCATACAGCAGGAGTCATGGTGATGCATGTCGGAGTTCACATTGGGCTGCTGCGGATTCTCACTACTTTACGTAGATGTTGTACTACAAAATGGCGCTGATTTTCAAGACACTCGTGAATGTGGCGTTCTCTGCGGCGAGCGTGCCCTGGATGTGAACTTTTGTCTGCTTAGGTGTGCTGTGATTCACGAAGTCTGCTCTCCTTGCGTCCATGCGGGGCGGACGAGAGACACGGGACAAGGCTTCACTGAACAAGTGTATTCTAGGCACGGAAGATACTTGTTCAGCCATGTGATGATGCCTAAAGGATCACACGTCTGGCACTCTCTTCTTGCATGCAGCGTGCAGCACTTGCATGACAGATGGCATGCAAGCCATCCGGGTTGCGGCCAATTCCGACTGAGTACAATGTGTGACCTGCGACACAAGTGGCCCCCGCCTTGACCAAAACTTGCGGTTCACGCGTTGATAAGCAGAGGGTTGATATATCTCGATGGATTTGTATTATTGGTATAACGTAATCCACAAGTGGGTGAATCACACAAGTGGATGAATCAGTTATCGGGTACTCGTACGACAATGTATAAGTCAATTCAACCATAACGCCTCAAATCAATTCAAACTATTCGGAATCCTCTTCTTCAGAGGCAGATATAACTTTCTGACACGTACGAGCATTATGCCCGGGCTCGCCGCAGACGCCACATCGTCGCGCGCGCGTTTCGGGCCTCCTCGTACGACCACTATTCTGACTCGTTTCCGCCATTAACTGCTGCGTCGCATCGATTTGAGCCTTCAAATCCTTTGCCTGATCAATCGTGAGGGACCCTCCTTTCTGTAGCTGCTTTCTTTTCGTACGACGACGGCGGCTGAGGCGGTCGTTTGCATCTCGAAGTTCGGCGATATCATGGCGCATAAGGTCCTGCTCGTGTGCCATCATCGCCATCCCTTTATGAAGCTGCTTAAGGCTTACGACTATAGACGACGGTGAGCTATTCTGGTGTCGTACGATGCGATTTTTGAGATACTCCGTCTGCGATTCGGCCTCAATCGGGTTATTCGGCGTCTTTGAGACCCAGGGGGGTGGTAGTCCAGCAGAACCTGGTGGTGTCGGCGTACGAAGCTTTATATCTAGCTGTGAAATTACATAGTCCGGGTCGTACGGTACTAGGCCTGTCGCTCTAAAGCCTGCCTGGATGTTTGATTTGGTCATTGCAGTGTCGTACGCCTTATAAAAGGCTGGGAGGAAGTCCTCCTTTGAAACGTGGGTTACGTGCGCCCGCATTAGACCTTCGATTTCTTTACCGTACGCCCGTTTCAGAGGTCCAAAACACCCAACATCGAGAGGCTGGAGCTTATGCGACGAATGAGCAGGCATACAGAGCGTAACAATATTCTGTTCCTTGCAGTAGAGCTCGAAATCGACGGAATGGTGGCTCTCGTGGCCGTCGAGGATAAGGAGGCGGTGGGTACCCTTCGTACGACTCTTTGTATGGAAATCAAAGTGTTTTACCCATTCTAGGCCTCTCTCGTTCGTCGTCCAACCGTTTTCTGAAAGCGCGATTACCCAGTTGGCCGGTAGAGGGCTATTCGCGGTCCAGGAGTCGAGGTGGACCTTCCCGGCGAAGATAATGTACGGCGGGATTGAATAGCCGTACGACGCGATACCCTGGATTACTGTAACCCATTCCAGATTGCCTTGTTGTACGGCTCTTGGCCTCCCGCGTCGATCGGAGGTCGTAACGACAGTTTCGGCGGAGATTTTACCCATCGCGAAGCCCGTTTCGTCGAAGTTGTAGATATCGTCATCGTGGATCCCGTATTTCGCGATTATGTTTTGTACGAGCTCAAACCACGCGCGATACCCGTCTGGATCTTCGCAGAGGACTCTCTGGTAGTCGATTCTTCGATTAAAACGCGTACGGAGCTCTGATCGTCGTCGTACGAAGTTTGAGGCCCAGTTTGTTCCGACGCGTGGCGCGTCGCGCACGCGGAGGAGTCGATCCGCCATTTCTCGAACACCACCTAACCGCGGTGGAAACGATCGCGAATCTAGGTCGATTATATATCGTACGATACTGTCCTCTTCGTACGAGGTCAATTTCTGGCAAGGTGGTCGGATATCTTGTTGCGCAGGTCGGCCGTGTTGTCGACGTTGGAGGGTTGAGAAGGATACATTATAGATCTGTGCAGCCTTTCGTACGCTCAATTCTGGGTTCGATTGAAGCGCATTTAGCGCGAGAACTAAATCGCTTTTATTTGATTGTCGTACCATAATTATTGGTGGAGAAAAGGGGGAAAGAAGACAGCCTGTACGAAAGTGGCGGGGGACTGATTCATCCACTTGTGTGATTCACCCACTTGTGGATTACGTTAGAGTATTTACGTATCATCATTAATTGTATCCTGCCGGCCCAAATCAGGCCCACAAGCCCGTAGCTCCAACCAAAAGTATCAATATGAAGAAAAAGCTCGCGAGCCGGGACGCGAGCCTGCACTTCCAGAACGCCGCCTGCTATGCTGTGCAATGAACACGCTTGTACGCCTTTTTGTGCCACTGCTAAATCATGCCTCTGTCTCACACCCTCACCTGCTTGCTGGACTGCTCAAGACGGTGAGACACCCTCGACGCCACTGTCAGCCTCCATATCGTCCTCATACTCCTCCTTGTCGCAATCTTCGTCGTCCTGCACCCAACCACGGCTCATCTCTACACCGCGCTCCCAAGCCTTGTACATGCGCCGGACCGTGCGCTTGTCCATCTCGGGCTGGAAGACGCGGCGGCCCTCCTTGGACCCGATGATGCTCGAAATCTCGTCAAATGACTTCCAGCATCCGGGGACGGCCAAGGCGGCCGCGACGGCCGCGCCGAGAGCGGTGGTCTCATGCATGGCCGGCCGCTCGACAATGGTGTTGCTAATGTCGGCTTGGGTCTGCATGGTGATGTCTGAGTTGGACATGCCGCCATCGACGGCAAGGGACTCGAGCTTATGACCTGAGTCCTTCTCCATGGCCTCTAGAATGGCACGCGTCTGGAAGCAGGTGGCCTCCAGCGTCGCACGGGCGATGTGTCCCTTCTGCGTGTGATGAGTGATGCCAACTATATGTCCAGTTAGTCGAGCCGCCACTTCAATGCGTGTAGCAATGAGGGGGGGGGGTCAAAACTCACAAAGTGTGCCACGGGCATCATCGATCCAGTAGGGCGCAAAAAGGCCACTGAAGGCAGTGACGAAGACGACACCGCCATTATCCGGCACTGATGCAGCGAGCTCCGATACCTTCTTGCTGTCCCGGAGGAAGCCAAGATTGTCCATGAGAAATTTCACACCGGAACCACCAACAGCGATGCTGCCTTCCAAGGCGTAACCAGGGGCCTCGCCGAGGTTGGGGAAATCGTAAGCCACAGTGGCGAGAAGCCCCGACTTGGAGATGACCGGCTTGTCTCCAACGTGGCAGAGAAGGAAACAACCGGTACCATACGTGTTTTTGGCTCTGCCTGGGTAGAAACCGCACTGGCCGACGAGTGCACTGGACTGGTCACCTAGGCACCCCGTGATTCTTGTGCCTGCCAGAACACCCTCGGCAATGCAGCCAAAAGCGTGCGGGTCAGAGGAAGGTACGATTTCTGGGAGAGCGACTTTTTCCCGGTCGAGACCGAAGAAGGAGAGGAGCTCGTCGTCGTATTTCCGGGTGTGAATGTTCATGAACATGGTCCGGCTAGCATTTGTGCTGTCTGTGACGAAAACGTTCTTCTCCTTGCTGTTTAGACGGTAGATGAGCCATGTATCAACGGTGCCAAAGGCGAGCCGACCCTCGTCGTAAGCGCTCTTGACCGCCTCATGGTGGCGCAGGAGCCACAAAAGCTTGACACTCGAAGGATATGTGCTGAGAGGGAGACCACAGAGCTCTTTCAGCTTGTCAGCACCAGGCCTAGCCTTGAGCTCGCGCACAAGGCCCTTGGTACGGGTATCAGGCCAAACCACAGCTCGGCAGAGAGGCTCGCCAGTGTTCTTGTCCCAGCAGACAGTCGTTTCCCTCTGGTTGGTGATACCCACAGACTTGATCTGAGAGGGCGAATAACCCAGCTCAGTGAAACGTTTCGTTGCCTCCTCAATACATGTCTGAACTGAGGCAAGCAGTTCCTCGGGATCATGCTCGTGCCATCTGTGACCAGAGTAAAAGTCAGCGCTGGTGATCCAAAAGCCAAGCGTGTAAGTTGAATATTCATGTCGACTTACCCCGAGACTGGATAGTGGTTCTCAAACTCGATTTGGTGGCTGGCAACGGGGTCGACGTCTTTGTTGAAGATGAGGAAGCGTGACGAGGTGGTTCCCTGGTCGATGCTGCCAACAAACCATTCTTCTTCGTTTTGCGCCGGGGTGTGCTCCATTGTGCGAGCACGCTTGCGTTCACGGACCTCTCCCATGGGGGTGTTGTGTGATTTGTCTACAGGGGGCGGCGCGAGGAAGCGCGGGATGTGTTTCCACCTGTAGCTGTGAGAGGGGGCGCGAGGCAAGCCGGCGTGATCCTAGAGGCGACGGCGTGGCTGATGTTGTGGATGGTGGTGTAAGACCAGTCGGCAGCGAGCTTGCGACGGGTGCAGGCGAGCTATGTTGGACTGGGAGTGGTGGTGGTGGTGGTGATGGTGAAGATTGTGGTATTGGTGGCACTGTTGGCTCTGATATGTGTATGGCAGGGTGTTGAGGTGTCTATGGGACGGAGGGTATGTGAAGAGAGGGCAGGAGGAGAGGGAAGCAGACCGAGGGAGCGACGTGGTTTTTGGGAAGCCGCGGGAGAAGGAGGAGGAAAGCGGGGGGAGTGAGAAGGGGGAGCGTGGCATGCCGGGCCTAGAGCCAGGAGCAGGAGCGGCACCGGAGGAGGAGGAGGACGGCAACGACGAGAGAGAGAGCAGAGGACGGGGTGTCCGGAGTAGGCAACACAGCGCTGGGGATGCTGGCGGACGGGACAGCCAGGCAAGCTCAGGAGCTCCGGTGCGCGGCGTGCAGGCAGGGCAGGGCAGGGCAGGGGAGGGGAGGCAGAGCAGCGCACTGTCCTTGGCCGGCTGGCGCAATCCCAATAGTGTGCGGTGGTTGAGCAATGGAATAATTGCCTTTGGGCTGGGGTTTCGTTGCTTGTGACCTCGAGCGAGTGGCAGCCGGGGGCCCCACGGGGGCTATTCCTGGCCCCAGCGCCGAGCACTGCCAGAAGCGATGAAAGGTCTGCAGGTCAAGTGCGCAGGTGCAGCTGGGGCGCGTGTGGGGGAGCCCTGCCGTGGGGACTGCCTTCCCTGCCACTGCGTGCGGCAACATTCCCCGGCTCCATACCTGTCCCTACCCTAAGGCACGGTAAAAACGCACATGCGCCTGTTGACCCGCGTCCACGGCCCACGGCCCACGGCCCAGGCCCAGACTCTGCCTCGCTGCTCGCGCTCTGCATCGATCGCCCATCGCCACGCTCGCCCGTTCTTGCCAGTAAGCCAGCCATGGATGGCCATCACACAATCCCATCGCAAGTCATCCATCACACTGTCATGGCTGTCCCATCTCCCCTGGGCGTAGCCTCATGCCCGCAACCAATCTGCGCCGTGCCTGCCTGCGACGCCATGGCTTTCCGCCTATCAGTGGCCGAGTTGACAGCCCTCTCCAGCGCCGCGATCTAGATCCCTCGCCAGCAGAGTGGTGGAATCTGTCTGGCCGAAAATTACCCCGGCTCCCTGCCCGCCAGCAATGTGATCGGCATTCACTGCCTCCCCCAAAACCCCACCCGCCCGTGGCCAGAACGCGCAACCCGGCCAGCTCCCGCCCACAGCACACACAAGGGCTTCTTCGCCTATTTGCCTGCCCGTCGCCAAATTCCTCCGCGTCCCGCACAGACTTTGCCAGACATCAGACCGTCCCAATGCAAATTCCGAATCCGCATGCAGGCTGTCCTGCTGGGTCTGCAAGGTACAGACACGCGGCCGAACGTGCGGCTCTGCCTTCCCTTGTGCACGGAGCACTGTGCCTGGCCGGCTGGAGTGGGGGGAAGCGCGGACAGTCTATCGTGGATGTCCCGTCGTTCGAGGGTCTGACCTGTCCTCTGCGGCCGTTCTGGTCCGGAATGTGGTTCCAGACAGTGGGTAAATGCCCGAAGATCGTCAGGCAGCGCCTAATAGGCATCGGTGTGCGGAGACCACATTGTTTGGGGCCCCATGGCATTTGCGGGTTTGTCCAGACGGCCGCAGGTGATCGTGATGCCGGACAGAGCGGCGGCCTTAGTCAGGTGTGATGCTGATACCCACGGGGGTGGAGACGGCGATGCGTGGTGTTGGCTGCTGCCGTGATGGCCGATCCGGATGACGCCGCAGGATGTGAGCACGGCCCGGCCTTGACGTCGGTGCTCCACGGACGGGCCGCCGGCCTGGCATCGCCATGACGACAAGCCGGCGGGTGGCACAATCACACTCCAGCCCTATTGCACGTCCTCCGTATGTCATGGTGAAGTAAGCAGGTCCAGTGCATTATGCGTCGCCGTTGCCGCATGTCGCAGGGCTCGTCCGTTATCTCGATCCGCGGTTCCAAGTGGCTGTGCTCGTCTCGTGGCATGGGTCTCGCGGGCGTCTGTGTGCCAATGGCTGACGTCTTGTGTGAAGGCATGAAACAAGTCGCGGCCCACGGAGTGCCGGGCGTGCCTGTCACCACCACGACTGATGTCAAGAGACTGCTGGAGGCGGGCTGCGTCACATTTACCTTGGCTAAGATAGCGTTGATAGCAGAGCCAGCAGCAGTGCGCTCAGTTGCCCGCACTTCCCCAAGCCAAGGGAGCAAACCCCCCCACGGCAAACACCCAGCGCACATGCCTGCCCCACTACGTCAACCTGCCACTTCGGCACAGCTCCGTCACAACCCGGCGACCCTGCCGATTTCGAGCTTCACCTCCCGCACCCTTCTTGCGTCAACCACTCCAGACAGCTGCCCTCTCGCCTCACCGCCTGCCTGGTGAGTCTTGCTCTGTCACCACCAAATCCTCCAGCAACTAGTCTCTGCCAGCATACGTCCCCAGACAGGCTCTTTTTCGAAGCTTCCCCGTCCATCCACTTGCCCACCATCCACCAGGCCTCCACCATGACTTCATTCGACTTCTCCTCGCTCAAGCTGGTCGACCTCAACCAGCCGAGCCTCTACAGTACGGCCACCACCTGCCTGACTGTCTCTTAGTACTGAAGCCCAGGCTAATATGCAATTCTCTGTCAGTTTCCGCGGCTGCAATCGCGTTCAACCCCCTCTTCTGGAAGTACGTCCACTCAAACAATACCCCTCATCCCCAAGCTGCCGCCCGTATAGCGCTGACCCGTAACTTAGCATTGTTGCTCGCCAAGGTGAGCTGCAGCCAGCAGTGACAACTGGATTGTGAATCCACCCGCTGACCATACCCTCTTGCCCTTTCGCAGAGTACAACAACAAGCTTCTCACCAAGCTCTTTGGCGGACGCTCGCAAACCGCCTGCTATGCCCTCGCCGCTACCATCTTCTCCCTCGGCCTCCTGCGCGACTTCCTCTACGAGCGCGCCCTGCGCGACCAGCCCGTATACCCACTACTTGACACCCCCGAGGTGAAATGGCTCGCTTACGGACTTTTCGCGAGCGGCAACCTCCTCGTGATCTCGTCGACGTGGCAGCTCGGCATCACCGGCACATTCCTGGGTGATTACTTCGGCATCCTCATGGACAGCATCGTGACTGGCTTCCCCTTCAACATCACTGACGCGCCCATGTACAATGGCTCCACCTGCTCGTTCCTCGGTACTGCTCTCTACTTTGGCAAGCCCGCCGGCATCCTCTTGACCGCGTGGGTGTTCATCGTCTACCAGATCGCCCTGAGCTATGAGAATCCTTTCACGGCCGGCATCTACGCCAAGCGTGACAAGGAACGGGCCGCCGGCAAGATCGAGGGCAAGAAGTCGCAATAATACGGTCCACATGTGACTGTCGAGCACGACTTCATGCTTCATCTCTCAAGTAGGAGATTCCTCATCTCGTCCCCAACACAGATGAGGCAACTACCATCAGAGACGGAGTAGGCGAAATTACCGAACGCCGCTACAGGCGAGTCAACAACGGTGCGGGCCGAATGGCTTACGCGGTTCTACCATCACCTTTATCACATTGTGCGCGTTCTGAAGAAGGCTCGGCCGGTCCACCGATGACGCAAAGTTCCCCTTTATTTAGTGGAGTCCATCTTTCACCTCATCGAGTTCCCACAGAAGACGACGACAACGACGACGACTAACGAACACACCTCGGAGAGGTGCCTACCGTGTCTGCATTTGTTTTGGGCTTCGATCCCCACGGATTAGAAGGCCCAATTATTGCAATTTAAAATATGAAGAGGAGGAAGGTGTTGGTGGAGTGATTTGTGCGGTTCGCTTTTCTTCTTCTGTCATGGAGCGTCAAAAAAGATACCAAGTTCAACACTGGAGCGTTCATTTGAATTTTATCCATATCACTTCAACTCTAGATCAAAATTATATTCATACTTCCCAAAACTTGGACACAGTATTACAGGCAATGTGATGAACGGCAGATCCCTCTTGTCGCAAGAAGTGCAACACATCTCATGTCCTTCAACAGACCCGTTCACATTGACAAGAAATATGTCTGTTGTCCACGACCCAGAGGAATGTGAAACCCGGAGTGGACGCTCCTACTGCACAAAAACCTTGATTCTTTAATCCTACTCCTCTTCCTCTTCCTCCTCGTCATCATCATCAGCTTCCTCCTCTTCCTCACTCACAGGAGGGACCCAGAACAAGACTCCTTCCTTGTCGCTCTTCATTCCCTCGGTTGGGATAATCCTGAGCACTTTCTGGAAGTACTTGTCGCGCACGACGAGCGAGGGGCGCACCCACGTGCCCCGGACGAGCGGCAGGAGGCGGTACGTGACGACCCGCCGGGCGATTGGCAACACGTTGAGCGTTGTCGTCTTGGCTCCGGAAAAGGCAAAGTCGTCGCTGAGGTCCATTGTCAGGCCGAATGTGAGGAAGTGCGAGGACGGGTTCTCAACTATGATCTCGAGCAGGACGAGGGGTGGGTCAGACAGGTGGGAGGCCGTGGGCGGAAGTGGTGGTGAGGATGGCGATGTCGGGATGGGTGGGGGTGAGGGGGACGTGTATGTCACGCGAGCGAGGACCCGAGGTTCGGAGACTGTCACAAAAAACCGTGGTAGCGGCAGCGTGGTGGTGTTGCGCGGTCCAGCGGCGCCCGAGGCGTCAATGCGGTGCCAGTCAATCGCGAAGGAGAGGTCTGCGGTCGACGGCGCGCGGTCGTCGAGGCTAAGCTTCTGCGCGATGATGTCAAATGATGCTTCCTCTATAGTCTTGGGGCTGACAATGATGTTCGCCTTCCTTGCAGCTTCGTCCCTTGATGCCGTGCAGACCGCGCCTCCTTGCGTTGCGATGACATTCATGCTCAAATTGGATACCTGAAGATCTTCGGCTGCAAAGGACGCGTAGCGGGTCATCAGAGACCATCGCTGTGCGAGGCCGAGAGGCCTGCCCACATGCTCTGCATCCTCAGTGATCTCCTGTACCGCCTCGTAATCAAACAAGCTAGGCCACTCCGTGTGTACCTTGGGCAGTAGGTCAAAGTTGGCTTCAAACGGCGTGACAACATCCAATAGGAACGTCGCATGCTGCGTGATAGGTGTTGCCGGATCTGACACCAAGTAGTACAGGACTTTGGCTGCGATCTCGACCGTCGTCGGGTGGTCAATAGAATCAAAAGCGATGAACACCGTCGCCATGGCGGACTTCCCGACTCGCCCGACTGGCACATTGCTGACACGACCAGCATCTGCGCTGAAAGTCTTTGAGGCATCCCTGGTCGCATCGGCTTGGACACTAAAAGTCGGCACGACTTGGCCGACGACTGACAAGTCCAGCTTTGCGTCGGCATCGGCATCCTCTGCATTGTGGAGCTGGATCTCGAGTCTGATGGCCTCGTCTGTATAATATTGCTGTATTAATTTGATGAAGCGAAGCTCCATCTTGGGTGGCCTCGGAAGAACGTGCACGTGCTGCGCATTGACTCTCAGGGCCTTTTTCGAAGACAGATTGGAATGCCATAGGCCCACAGTAGTATCCTCAGGTAAGGCCATTGAGTAATTGAGCGCAAACGCGTCATTATCAACGGTAACACGGACGTCGGTTGCCCTCGCATCCCCTGGTTCACGCAGAGGTATGTCCATTTCGAACACCAATATCTGTCCAGGGGCAATTGTGAGGCAACCATGGCCGTGCAGCAGCATGGATGATTTTACTTGTGATGTAGTAGAATCAGACTCAGACTTAGAGTCCTCTTCCTCGTCGATCTCCTTTTCTGTTAGCGAAATGTGTCTAACATGCAGTTTCGCGTTGTTGCTGTGCGCAACATCGCTGCCTTCTTCGTGTTCCAGTTCAATACTCCGTAGGCTACCGTCAAAGTCAATCTTGAGAGAGGTCAAGGTGACGGGAGCGGAGGTGCTGAAGGCGTTGGATCTGATCGCAACTTGGGCCGCACAAGGTTGACCTGCCTTGGCCTCCGCGTGTTTGAAAGCAAACGAGGCAGTGAGGAAGGATGATACCACCTCGTCCGTTATCGTGATGGTGGGTTTGCCGATTTCACTAAAGGTCGGCCCATCCAGAGATCGAGCAATATCGTACTGCCAGCCGTGCCTTTTGGAGAACGCTGAACACATCAAGTCAGCCGAGGGCCCGAACACTCTTTCGTGAGGCTGTACGGGAGAGGGAAAACATACACTGATCCATCAATTCCCAATCAATGGCCACGACCAGATCCCCTTGGCCCAGCTGTACGGCGGCGGCGCGCAAAGTCCAACCTAGTGTCTCCGTGATGTCTCGCCAGCTTTCTTTGCGGAAAGACATGTCTCTCCACAAGGGCGTCAAGAGCTCGGATATTTGCTTCCATGCCTTCATGTTTTCCAGCTCCCAGCAACTTTCGAGAACGACTTCGGCAGCAAGTCTATTCTGCCGCCGCTTCTGGTACTCGTTCCGAGCCATCGTAAGCAGGTTGAAAATAAGTTGGGCATGGTCTACCCCAGCGCCTGTTATAGGGTACTCCTCGTATGGCTCTGGGCACATGTACAAGTCATATCGATGAGACTTGCTTGCTGTGGTCTTTGTGAGCGATGGCGAAGGTGGTTGGCGATCGTCCTCCGGTATACTTCGGGCTAGCCTGCGGCGTTCGACAAGGTATCGCGCGGCTCGGCGATACCAATAGCCAGCATGATGTAGTTGTTCCCAAGGCTGCAGTCGGTCAGCAGACATGTTCTGTTCTGGAGCTCTGAGGATTTCACCCGATGCTGGGTCGAGCTCGGGGAATTTCGCCTTTTCAATCAGTTGCGCCATCACGACCGTCCAGCGTGACTCAAATGCTTTCCAGCCGTAGTTTTGGATCCCTCGGCCGTATTGCTCCAGCAGGTGGGCTATCCTGTCATGATGTATTTGCCAGCGTCGCACAGCGGTCGTACTCTGGCCCTGCCAGAGATGGCAGCGTAGAATGCGGATAGCAATCACATCCGCAAGCTGCCTTGCATCATTGAACTTGGTGCTCCAGCTTGGGATGGCGCCAAGGATGTCAGAGCTGAGGACTGTCTCGTATGCTTGTTCGTACGACCGGATGGCAACATCCATCTCCTGGCGGAACTCTGCAAACACAGCAGTCTTGAAGTCATACCGCACATTCCAGCCTTGCAAGGACAAGGTGTGCGAGGTCGTTGTGGGTGGCACAGTCGGCGGCGGCACTATACCGCGACTCTTCTTTTTCCGGACTCGCCGGCTAAGATCGCGATAGTACTCGCACGCCTGTTCGAAGACAGCTCCGAGGACATTGTCAAGAGCCGTCTCTAGCTCTGCCTCGCTCCTTTGAGTCGGAAGCACGAACAGGGATGCCTTTGGGTCTAGACCCGTGCCCTTCTTGATGTTCTCCAGTCTCTCTTGAAACTGCCCCATCGAAGCCGGGGTCTGATCGCTCAGAATGACGACGGCAAGGCGGGACTTATAGCCCGACTGTGCAAGGGAGTTCTTCAATGCATTGATATCAGTCTTCAGCTGGTTGTCGTGCAGGGTTGCCAGGGTTGGGTCTCGGGTAAGCTGGTAGAAGCAGAGGCACACACTCGGAATGAGATCCTGGTGCTTGCTCAACCATCTTGAATCAATGAGCCCATCTGGATAGAGCGTAGATCCTGGACTGAGAGGCGAGAAGGGCGAGTGTAGAGTGGCGGAACCCGAGGGTGGCTCGACGTCGGCTGGCAGTGTCGCCTGGCGTGGCGGAAGATGGAGCTCCTGCCCGTACGGTGAAGTTAGTTGGATGTTCACATTGCAGCAAAGTCGAGTCCGGGGATACGTACTCGACCTATCGTCTTGACCTTGAACCTGTATTTTCGCGCTCCATCGCCAGGGTTCCACGGAAGATGGGATGCATCTATTGACTGGATATAGTGCAGGATAGACTTGGCTTCACGTGTCTCGATGGGAGGCGCCTCGGATTTGATCGTCACGCTGTTGTCGTGTAACTCGCCAGCACGCGACAATTGCTTGGCGGCCGCCGAGGTCAGGCCAGACACGGCCAGCAGAGGGATATCGTGGGCTAGACATGCTGTCGGGTAGTCGTCCATGTCCGTTAGCAGAACGGCAAGCGCCAGCACAGCAGCCAGTGGCCGCTGCACTCTTGCACTCTTCCGACCTGGGCTGCTGGCGCGCTAGAGCTGGCGCATGAGTGTTGTGCTGCGTGTGGAAGCCCTTCTGGCTGTCCGGGGGGAGTTCCCTGTGATGGTAATGTCGTTGTTGCTTGCCGGCTGGTGGTGTGAAGGGGGTCTCAGCCATCGCAGAGCTTCCCACCATCTCGACGGCAGCTCTAGCCTGCAGCCAGCTCCAAGCCCCGCCATCGGGGGGTATGCCGCTGTCAGATGCGCCGAGGGCCATACTTGACCCATAGGGCCCTTCCAAGCAAGCATCCTACAAGGCATGCTAGGCTTCTACTCAACTCTTCGAGACTTATCAACTCGATTTTCAGGGTACATGTTCGAGTGACAGTAGTCCTCTACCAGCAAGTCTTGTTCCAAGAGCAATATCGTGTTCTCTTTTTTGGCGACTGAGCATCAACTACACTGCGGGACTGCATGGGCTTAAAGGCGCTCAAAAGTCGTGCAAACGCACGCAAGTAAACATGCACTCGTTCTCGGTACCAGGGCCTCTTTTGGGAGTAGCCACCAGCAAGGTGAGCAGTAGACCACCGCGATGCGACCAAGCTGGAGAGCATTCTCACCGTGGGAGGCTGGACTGGAGCTCCGTGGTTCCTGGCTACAGCTATCGATAAGGTTACCTCTGGACCCAGCTCGTGCTTGGCCTGCCAGACAACCAAATGACGCCCGCCCACGGGAGCGCCCTGGGTGGGAGCCGCTTCCGCGCCGGTTCAGAGCAGACAGCCAGCCAGTCAGCCAGTCCGCCTCCAGCCTGTGTGTGACCCTGTCCCGTCCCGTCTGCGGAGCACAACGCACGCTGCCGCGCATCTTGCCTAGCTCTTCCTTTCTCGACTCCTCCTCCTCCTCCTCCTCCTCCTCCTCCGCAACCCGGCCTGGCCGTCCTCTTCCAGTGGCGTCTGCGTTGGCCACTCGACATTGTCTCGTGCTTCACGCGCCCAGTCTTTCGTATCGCTTTCCCGCTTGTGCACCAAAGGTCTGCCTCGGTGCTGTCGCAGCGCACCCACTGCCCTCTCTACTCGATCCCGCACCTTTCGCGACCGACACCAAGGTGACGCACTTTGACGAGCACAATCGCCGCAACGAGCATTTGCCGGTCCCACAGCTTTCACGATCCATTATTGCGAAAACTCTCCTTGAACAGCGACCACGATCTGCCAGAACCTTTGTCTACCACTTCTCAGGATGGCGTCGCAAGCAGTCTTGTTCGCAGAGACCATCATGGCCATGAAAAAGGCCAAGAAAAGAAGGGCATACGGTAGGGCAGCTTCGGCCCTGGCACAACACTCTGGGGATCGACCGCTGACTTATATTTGCAGAGTCCGAGTCCGACTCGGAGATTGAGCATCATGGCAATCGTGGCCAGAAGTTCAAGAAGCGCTCGAGATTTGTGCACGAGGGACAGCTGGCTCCTCCGTCCGGCCCTGAAATGTACAGAGAGGTACGTCAGATCCGACACCTGAGGTCATCACTCTGTCTTGCACTGGAATCACTAACGTCGCGAGAATCCAAAACAGATTATCAATCATGCCGGCTACCGACGTGCCATCATCAGCCGCAACATGCCCCTCTACGATGACGACGGATACGAGATCGACAGCGAGGAAGACGATGATCGCATACAAGACCTGCTTGACGAAGCCGCCGAGTTTGATCCATACGCCACAGTCCGTCTGGAAAGTCAGTGGCGCATCGCAAATACCACACAAAGACACACGTGCTGACCTTGTTGCCTGCGTAGACATCCTCGCACCTCTCACTGCCGTTACCGACCTGCCCTCCCACACGACACTATCGCGACCATACACCTCAAAGACCTTGACGGAGCTCACAACCCAAGGCTGCAACATCATGCACAAAGAGAACGCGGCCCTGTGGAAGATCAAGCACTTGCAGACAAGGCTGATTGGCGACCATACTTGGGTGCCGTGTGAAGCAATGCTTGGCGACAACGACATTGACCTGTTTCGGCACGAGTACCCGGAGGCAACCGTGGACGCGAAGAGCTCTATACAACTAGAAACGACCGGCACAAAGAATGGCGTCGCGAGCGATAGTGGCAACCACGACGGAGTCGAGAAACCCAAACAAGTGAATGGCTCCATTGAAGAGAAGGATACAGAAGATACCACAATGGCTGATGCCGATGACTCTGCCCAGAACAAGGGGACAGTCAATGGAATTGAGAAACCTAATGACACCGACGAAGTAATGAATGATTCCGTCACAGAATCAGAAGCCGACAAGAGACCACCACAGAAGAAACCGGATGGTCATTCGGAGAATACACAAACAGTCGAGCCTCACACAAAGGCAGATGTCACAGTCAATGGCGCGGCGTCGACATCCGCGCGAGGCGACGAAGTCGGCTCGTCAATCGGCCGTCCGGCAACCCCAGACAGTCTCGGCCAGTTCGACATCCACCCATTCTTTCTTGCCCCGCCGTCAGCGCGGCCGGACCGAGACCTGGGCATACCTGAGGCGGAAGCCGAGGACGTTCGCAGGCTGTTGCAGCTCTACGTACAGAAGCAAGAAGAAGTCTGTCGGGGGGCCAAACGCCTGTACCATGGGCTTCTGCGAGCCGAGCGGATGCGCAAGACGGTGCTCCAGTGGGCCAAGTACGAGGCGCATGTCGGCCCCAACGGCGACATGTCGGACGGCGAGGATTGGTATGACAAGGAAGAGTGGGGTCTCGAGGACGATCTCAAGAAAGGCCAGGACGAGGAGGAAGAAGACACCACACAGCCGGCGAAGAAGAGAACGAGGACGCATCGGTAGTAGTCACAAGCATGATGACAAGTTTCACGGGAACGGCGTACTGGCGAGGTTGTTTGTTTGGTTGCGTTATTAGGATTTCTTTCTTTTCCCTGATCTCCATCTCATTTCGTATGAAGCAGCATCTGATTTGAGCTGTCTCTACCTTCGCCTCTGCTATAACCCATTGCTATTGGTACCCAGAGCCACCTCATCCGCCTCCATAGAATACCCGAGCAAAAGCGAGCAACAATGTCCATTGACTCCAGACACGAGCGACCACAAAATCCTCTTCAGACCGAGCAATTGCGTAGTGAAGCAGCATATCCACAAAATAGAGCTTTTCATGGAGATCCTCTAATGATAGCTTACAAGGGTATATATAATGACCTCAGTTCCTGGGTATAGCAAAGTCGATATCCGTGGAAGTTGTCCAAATTGGACGTCCACCAATAATTGGGCCCCTTCTAAATGCGCCATAAACTGATCCAACGACAAAAAGTTCGCGGCTAGAGGCGCTGTCTCGAACCAGAGCGAGTACTTGGCACCGTTGTCGCTTGTAGAAGCCGATCGCGGCGAGCTTCCTCTGATCGTGCGTGGCGTTTATCCCGCCCTCGCTGGGACGAGACTGGCGTGGAGAAAAAGGTTGTGGTATGTCCATGGTTCTGCTCGCCACGTGGTGAGTAGGGCGGGTGCAACGCGTCGGCTGCTCGCCGCGAGGGTGCGGGCTCCAAGGTGTGCGAGGGGTGATGTTAGCCCGAGCCGCTGTCAGGAATGCGGCTTCTGTTACCCGAGTGCTGTTTGGGTATGCCCGACTGGCCGAAAGTCCGTTGTGGATGGGAATATATAAGAACACGGGGTGACGTCCTGATGTCTGAGAGCGTGTCTTCGACTAGACCGCGCCTCTTGCAAACTCGTGAGGGTTGGCACATACGCCAAGCAAGGCTACTCCATCTGGCCCTAGACAGCTGTGCTTTGTATGCCAACACATCTGCGCCAGCAGGTACCCAAAGCAAGAGATCGATATTGTTTGGAAACCCCACAGTCTGCCAGCACGAAGCGAAAAGACCCTTTTCCTCAAACAGATTCTTCTCTGCAAACGCGGCGCTGTATCATAGCCCGGATACCCCTAGTATATGTACTCGTAGACAAGAACCAAAACATGCCATTCATCTATGCGATGCCAGAATGGTCTCATGGGTCTTTGGTAGGTGGTGGCATCCTATACTTTGCCGTGTCAAAGTACATTTCGTCGTCGAGCGGAGAAGAAGCACTGAGGTCTCTGACCATTTCGTGGCCATTCGTCTTTTCTGTGATCAAGGTCTTCTGCACGTCCGACTTATCAGTGCTGCCACTGCCGTTGTCGCTATGAATGCTGCTCGTTTGTGCCGAGTCTTGCTTGTCAACAGTTATGCGGTCGATAACGGTATCACTAAGGATGCTGCTCTCACTCGGCTTGGGTTGAGATGGCCCAAACGATATTGGTGGCTGGCGATCCTTGTCGCTGGGAGAGCGACGGCGCCGTCGGCTCCCAAGCCAGTAAAAGAGGCATGCCACCGCAATCACGACGACAAGACCACCCACGACAGAGCCGGCAATGATTGGTGCTAGGGCAATACTCGCGGGCGCTGATGCTACTGAAGCGTCTGGGATATAGGACTGAACTACGGACATGACTCCTGAGGACGAGGAATCCACACTAGTGGTGATGACCGTAGATGTAGCCGCGCCTGCGATCACGGAACTTGGTGTGGTGCCGGAGGCCAGGTCGACGGCGTTGAGCAGGGTGGGTTCGCGGAAGCTGCATTTAGTCTGAATGTCGTCAAAGCACTTCTGCCTTGCAGCGTCGTCGGCGGCGGCATTGTAGCAGCGTGAGAAAGCCTCCTGGCATATGTGTGTGGGTATGGTACGGGCCCAGTCGGTCATATTTGGTTTGATGTTTGGTTGTCCCTGAACCCAATTGCATTCGCAGCTGTAGTACAAGGACACGTTGTCGCAGCTATTCACCGGGGCGTGGTTGAATCCGCATAGTGTAATGCAGGTCTGTTGCTGATCGTCACACCATGCAACTAGGGCATGTCAGCACCTCGTCTCAACGGGACGCACGACAGCCGCGATGGAGGTGGGCGCCAAGGCAACACTTACTGCGTTTGTCACTTTCAATCTTGTCGCTGTCGATGCCGAAACTGTAGAGCACGGCGTGCACGGGGGGCCACGGGGCAAAGGCCGCGAGGAGGAGAGCAGCGACTGTGATGTGCGCCATCGAGGTGGGCTGTGTGAGAGCGAGAGCGCCCTCGCAGTAGAAGCAGAAGAGTGGAAAGGCCCAAGGGCACTTTAGCAGCTTGCAACGACGAGACTTGGGGATGAGGCAGCGGGCGACGATGGTAATGATGCTTCACATGGCGCTGATGATGGCGACCTGGCTGTGGATAGGTGGAGGTGAGGAGCCAAGCGGCCGCGGGAGAGGAGCAATTCGTCTCGTAGGCAGGCAGGCAGGCAGGCAGAGAGTCCAGGCTGACATAGCAAAGTGCCATTGTCACGATAGGGAGCAGGAATCTGACGGGGGCCGGCGCGTGGTGCCGTGAGTGGCTGGAGGGGGAGCGTGCCACAGGGGTTTGATGAACGCATCGAGGGATACGGGCCCCGGCGTGCTGGTGCCAAGCCTGCTGCGCCTTTGTCGCGCCAATAAGGGCAGAGGCGGGCTCGCTGTCAGCTTGCCAGGCTCCAGTCAGCAGCACAACCGCGATGGTCTCGGACGGCTGGCTGGACCATGGATTCAGGTGGACAGTATGTCGTGCAAGCGGCGATCCAGAGAAGCATAGTGCGCTGATGGCAAGAAGACTTGAGGATTCACTGGAGCTGCGAGGTGCTATGCCATAGATGGCTTCGAGACCACCCGCGCAGCTCGACCCGAGCGCCAGCGAGCTTGTGACCAACAGTAGAGCAGGGTAGGGCACACACGGAACGTTACGCGACGGCATGGGTTTTGCGAGCCATGGCTACTTTGCCTGAGTTGGTGGCGCAGCATCATCGTATGGCTATGCGGGGACAGCCATCAATGCCTGCTCAGCAAGTGGCCATCCGCACATGAGGGTTTCACGATGGGAAATTGTGGTGGGCAGCACTCCAGTCATGGAGTCGCTGAGGTCATGGATCGAGCGTGGACAAAGTAAGCCTGGCTGACTGGGCTCCGAGTCCGAGATCGTCCAGCTGTCATGGCGCCTTGCCTGGCATGGAATGCGTTGATCGGTCAGCCGCACCCAGGTCCCCACCTACTGGGCATATGTACTTGCCTTAGAAATTAGACTAGGCCCGATCATGTCCGTCGCCTCGGAAGGTGTGCCAAACGTGGTAGACCATCTCGCTATCTCCATCTCCAGGCGTGCATACAGCACCACTCCGCATTCGCATCTCTGCCCTGCCGGGAATCCCAGTCAGACGCCGCCGTCGGCACAGAGCCTCGCCTGCGAGGGCTTTCAGTGTTCCACGTGCTGAGGATTACACTACACCACTGCCCACTGGCGCGGCCTATCCTTTCGCCGACCACAGCGAGGGAAGCATGCAGCTACTCGGAGCTAGCCGACCTCCTGCACCCGCTTGTCTCCACAGCCCATTAAATCCGCTCGCCCCAGTGGCGCACGCCCGATGATGCATATGGGCTTCGCGCCGTACCATAACTCCGGCCTGGCACTTGAGTGCGAAGTTTGTTTTCCATGACGGGGCCGCAAAGAGAGCCAGTTGGCTCCGGGCTCGATGCCTCGGACTCGCACACTTTCCTTAAGTCCCTCGGCCAGGACTCGCTGTCCGGGCCGTCGTGGTGCCTGTCCAAGCTTCCCATCTCTTGACTTATAACGTCTCGTTACCCGCCCATCCTTTCCTGAACCGACCTGGATCGCCATGAACTCCTTCTTAGCTCGAGCTCTGCACGCTCTGCACAGACGAACAACAACACAGCCTTATATCCTCAAAGCTTCCCTGACAACGGCAACCACAGCCACCCTGACCATGGCCGTCTACAGCTCGACCATTGCCCAACATACCACTGGTGGGACCGACAGTGATGATGCCAAGTCCCACCACGTCAAGAACTGTTTTGGGAGGACCACCAAGTTCAGGAACCCACATCCGTCTGCCAAAGAGATCAACTTTACCGACATCTTGTCGGTCATGACGTAAGCCGTCCTCTCCATGTCTCGGCTGCCGTTGTTGTTTGCCATGTTTCTTGTCGCTGAAAATCTTCGTCGTATCCCGCAGTGGTCGCCTTACCGGCAAGTATAAGTGGCCTACGCCCAAGTTGGAGGACGGGCTACTCAATGTTGTCGAACCAAAATTTCTCGAGAGCCGCACTGGCTCAACACAGCTGCGGGCTACCTGGCTGGGACACGCATGCTACTATGTCGAGTTCCCATCGGGTCTCCGGGTGCTCTTCGATCCCGTCTTTGAAGACCATTGTGCCCCTGTCAAGTCCCAGGGTCTCAAGCGGTACACGCCGCCGCCATGCGAGCTTTCCGCTCTACCGCATGTCGATGCCGTCCTGATCAGCCACTCTCACTACGACCACTTGTCGTATTCCTCCGTCCTCGAGGTCCAGAAGCACCATCCTAATGCCCACTTCTTCGTCGGCCTTGGTCTTGAGAAATGGTTCAAGGCAAGCGGCATCGAGAATGTCACCGAGCTAGATTGGTGGGATGGCGTCGACCTCAAGCTCGACCCGCAGTCGCCAAAGAAGAATGCGAACGTGGAGGATAGCCACAGCAGTGATGCCAACGCCGAACCGATCACTGCCAGAATATCCTGTCTGCCGTGCCAGCACGGATCGGGGCGCGGCATGCTTGATCAAAACACGACGCTGTGGTGTAGCTGGGCCGTGTCATCTGGTGGCTCCTCTGACGAGGTGCCATCCAAGTCGGTGTGGTTCGGAGGCGATACGGGATACCGGACTGTCTATAAAATGGCTGAAGGCGAGGACGACTATGGTCCTGAGCACCAGGATCTGCCGCGCTGCCCGCAGTTCAAGCAGATCGGCGAGAAGTTTGGCTCGTTCGACCTCGGCCTGATCCCTATCGGAGCATATGCCCCGCGCGAGGTCTTCTCGCCGGTGCACGCAAACCCCTTTGATGCCGTCGAGATCTTCAGGGACACAAACTGCAAGAGGGCCATGGCCATCCATTGGGGAACCTGGGTCTTGACCCCTGAGGAGCCTCTCGAGCCACCGAAGTTGCTGAAAGAAGCCCTTCGTCGCAGAGGTATTGCCGAGACAGGCGTTTTTGACGTCTGCGATGTTGGCGAGAGCAGGTCGTTCTAGGTGATTGCATACTGATCAGCGGTTGCTTTTGTTGCCTTTGTTTAGCGTCATTCCGAGCATGTATACCCTGGCTATAGTATAGAGGCTTTCTGCAACGTCTGAATGGATTGGCGAACGCGCCTTCTTTGAGTGTCCTGGTGAGAGGAGTCTGGAGACAATTGTATCAAATAATTGTGTGTGAAACAAAGCCGCTTTGTCTAGCCAGGTCACATCAAGTTGATCATACCTGTGAGGATTTTTCCGGCGCTTGCTTGCTCGACCTTTCTAGCACGGTTTCATAAATATTTGCCTGTGGTGCCTGTCTTTTATCGAGAACTGTGCCGTGGTCGCCATCAACAAGCCCAGCCAAGATGGCGGTTGAGTTGGTCCAGGGTCCCACCTAAATTCTGAGCTGGAGCGCCTCAAAAGAGCCGATATGCGGTTTCGAGGTCTTCTCACTCAACGCCAGCCCCACTCCGCGCTCTGGACCGAGACGCACACTCATCATCGAGCTCGATCGATCTTCCCATGACGACGATGCAGCCGTGCGAGCCAGCTGATTCGAGGGATCCGTTGCGACATCTTGGGCCGGTTTATATTTGACCATCCCATTCAGCCTTCCTCCCGATTGGACGGTACTCATTTGGAGCATGGCCTGTCATGTCGGATCCCACAGCAGAATTACTGGTGAGAGAGATCCTGCCCCTCCGCCTCTGAGTGCGCTGCGCCGCCTGAATCATATGATTACCTTGCGAGGTTCATGCCATGAGTACACACGACACTCAACCTACTCTTCCTTGTCTTAAAAATCTTGTGCATGCCGTGCGCCCCCCTCATGTATCTTGCTGACCTTCACCACGACAGGCCGAGCTTCGCTCTCTCCTCGATGAGACCACAATCTTGTCCATCGCAGGGGACTATGACCTTACGGACCCTACGCAGTTCGCCGCGGTCCGCGACGTGCTGCTCACCATTGCCAAGGACGTGCCCCTCGAAGAGGCGTCAGGGTTCAACCCAAGCGGTCTCGGGCCCGAGGAGGAGGGGGGCCTGGACGAATTTCAAAACCGCGGCGACGATGCCCACGGCCACGGTGGTGGTGGTGGTGGAAGAGCCGGTGGTGCGGCGAGGTCGGGGACCAGCGAGAGCGACCTGAAGAGCAACGACGGCCTGACTACCGCATCCACGGCCACGACGACGGAGGGCATGGGCGCGCTGTCGCTGGGTTCTTCAGCTTCTTCGCCCAGGACGAGATCGTCACCTGCGTCGAGGGGTGGGGATACTCCTGGGGTTCTGTACGTCGGCGGCATCTTTGATGGGCTCACCGAGTCCGAGAAGGAGCAGCAGCTCGCCGAGATGTTCACGTCGTTGAAGCCCGTAGACGTGAGACTGGCGCTCAAGAAAGCTGGGGGTAATGCAAGTGCAGCTATCGACTCGCTTCTGAACCTCCAGTGGCTGGAGCAGACAGGCCAACGAGTCAAGGGCGTCGAAGGGTTTTATCTGTCGGATGAGGATAGACTGGGCAGTGGCACCGGCACGGCCAAGAGGAAAAAGCAGGGCAAGAGGAAAGGGCAAAAGAAGCAGCTTGGAAAAGGTGGCGCTAGTCGTAGCGAGCCTCACTCGCCGCGATCCCCGGGGTCGCCGGCTGAAGAGGACGTCATGGACGATGAGCAGCATGATGGTACGTGGACATGCTTTGTTCGTGGGAGAGTCCAAAAGGAAATACTGACGGTCTCTGCGTTGCAGCCAACATCGCATTCATCGCAGAGAAGCTGAACCAGCCGGCGTCAGATGTTACGAATATTTACTACCGGCATGGCAACTCCAGTGGCGCGACAATTGTTGAGATCCTGGACAACTTCCTCAGACTCGGGCTGACGTCGTCAGATCAGTCGTTGTTGCAAGACGTTCACGAGCAGAGCACCAAATATCCCTGGATCCCCCGCGAGTACATCGGGGCCTCCATCGAGATCAGCCCTTCCTACGAGTTTGCGATCGCCGTGATCAACGTGCTGGGAGGCTTCTTTGAGAAGCCGGCATACATGAAGTACAATGTTGCGTACAGTGTCGTTGCCTCGGACAAGGACACAGAGTTCGACTCGGTGAACAGCAAAAACGGCTCAAAGTCGGGTTTGAGCCAGCGCGGGAAGACCATCGATTTGAGACCAAGCCCGCTGCCTCAGACACGGCTGCCAACAACTCTGCAGAAGGCGACGGCAAATACATCCCTCCTGGCCGCGGCCAAGGACCACTCATATGCCTCCGCCTCGTCAGCTTTCCGCAAAGGCCGCTCAGATCCTCTGTTCCGACAAGCGGCGGGCTACTATGCCGAGCGGGCGCGCGAGCAGGCCACAAACCACCGCCAGGCCATCAGCGTGGAGACGAATATGCTCGTCGACCAGCAGAGCACGCGCGGGATGGTGGACCTGCACGGCGCGACGGTGCAGGACGGCGTCGAGATTGCGCTCGACCGGTGCTGGCGGTGGTGGGACGGCCTCAACGGCGAAGACCGCGCGCGGCAGGCCAAGGAAGGGTTCGTCGTCGTCACGGGGCTCGGCAGGCACACTACCGACGGGCGCTCGCGGCTGCGGACAAATGTGTTCAAGGCGCTTGTTGCGGACGGGTGGAAGGCCGAGGTGCTCACGGGTGCGTATCTGGTTACTGGCCGACGACGGTAACCTTGGCAAGCAACTTCACATGGGGATGATTATCTTGGCGGGCTCATGTTTGGACACCGATGTCTTGGAAGAGGAGTCTGATGCATTACAAGGCGATCTGTTTTTTGAGTGTTGCGTGCTTGTGGGATGAACGGATTCGAGGGTTTTAGATATTCACGGCATTTTGAAAGGGAATGAATTGTTTGTTCATACATTGAAGCAAAGTTGAGATGCAGAAAGAGAGGCAGTTACGATGACAGTCACTGGACATGATCTTGACTTCAGCTTGCACCAACACTTCCTGTCAACGAGCTCATGTAAGAAGACGAAATGCTGGAGGTTGGAGCTCTCGGCGTCCGAACCAGCAGCAACTGCTTGCTGATGCAGGGACATAGGGCTCGTTGAGCCCGGGAATGCAAGCCCGGAGAGGTCGGGTGGGTGGTGGAGGCGAGCAGGGACCTGGAGGACGCTGCGCGGGAGGAAAACTGTGGAGGATCTGGAGCTTAGCGTCGACGTGGTGGAGTACGCCCTGGCACGCAGTCACTTGACACAGGAACCCGCCCCGGGCAACGGGCGCCCTGACTGGACGGCGGCTCTGGGTGATGACGCAGGGTGCAGCGGGCAAGCTCCCGTTGCTGGAGCTTACCTGCCGGTGCCTGCCTGCCTGCCTGCCTGCCTGCCTGCCACACCTGCGCAATCTGCTGGTCACCACCACACGACTCGCCTCCGACCATCCGACCCGGCGAGCTACACAAGTCGCCGTGCGGTTTCTCCATCACTCTGGGGTTTCCCCATCTCTTCCACCATCGAATTCTCATCCTCTCCAAAGCTTGCGACAGGTCAAGCTTGAACCTACTGCCGCTGTCGTACCCTCCCGCTGGTGCTGTCGCTCTTGTAGCGCCGACCCACGATAAGAGCAACACACGACACCATCGGCCTGGTTCCGGGTCATTCCCACCATGACACGCCTCGCGCACATAGCGGCGGCGGCGTCCTCGCTCCTGGCCGTCGCGCAGGGCGTCCTTGCTGGCGACGATGCCCTCACGCCAAAGCACGAGGCTGGCCGCTGTGCCATGCGCGGCCACTGCGGCAGCAAGAGCTTCTTTGGCAAACCGTTGCCCTGTCTCGACAACGGCCTCGCCGAGAAGCCAGACGACGATTTCGCGCGCGATCTAGCAGAGCTGTGCGGTCCTAAGTGGCTAGACACGAATGTGTGCTGTACCAGAGACCAGGTATGTCGGGGTCCTTGCCAATCGGCGAAGGTGTGTTCTCCGCTCGACATCCAATACTGATAGGCATTTGCTTTGTCCAGTTTGATGCTCTCAAGTCGCAGATGGCTGTGCCCAGCCAAATCCTCGGCGCCTGCCCGGCTTGCAAGGACAACTTCTACAACCTCTTCTGCACATTCAGCTGTTCACCCGACCAGTCGCTATTCATCAATGTGACCAACACCTTGGTCAAGAATGGCAAGACCATGATCACGGAGCTCGACCAGCTCATCTCCAAGGACTATGGCGAGGGCTTCTTCGACAGTTGCAAGAACGTCAAGTTCGGCGCCTCCAACGACAAGGCCATCAATATTATCGGAAACGGTGCAACAAACTACACCAGCCTGCTCAAGTTCCTGGGCGACGAGAAGCCCATCGGCTCTCCTTTCCAGATCAATTTTCCGACATCGTACCCAGACCCGAGCATGAGACCACTCGAGATGAAGCCGAAGCAATGCAATGACGAAGACCCCAACTTCCGCTGCTCCTGCGTAGACTGTCCGGCGGTCTGCCCAAAGCTGCCTGATGTTGAGGACGCCGGCTCATGCCATGTCGGTGTTCTTCCTTGTCTCTCCTTCGCTTCCATCTTTACCTACAGTGTTTTGCTGTTCTCCCTGGTCTTGGCGATTGGCGGCCACGTCGCGTGGCGTAAGCACGCACAACGCCGCAACGAGCGCCTGCATTTGCTTCATGGCGTTGAGCCCAGCGACGATGAGGATGAGGGTGACCTTGTCCGCAACCCTGCCATGTACGACAGGCCACAGAAGCACTACAGAGTCAATACCTGGTGTGACAAGGCTTTCAGCAAGCTCGGCCACGTCTGCGCCAGGTTCCCTGGCATCACGATCTTCGCCAGTCTCCTCCTCGTTGTCGTCCTCAGCGTCGGATGGGTCAAGTTTGACGTCGAGAAGGAGCCCGCCAGGTTATGGGTCAGCCCGGCGTCCAATGCTGCTCAGGAGAAGGCATATTTCGATGAGAACTTCGGCCCTTTCTACCGTGTCGATAAGGCGTTCCTTGTGAACGACACTGGTGGTCCGGTTCTCAGTTACGAAACCCTCAAATGGTGGTCATCGCTCGAAGATGAAGTACGACAGCTTACGGGAAAGAGCTTTGGCACGAAGTTCACGGATGTTTGCTTCAAGCCGACTGGCTCAGCCTGTGTCGTGCAATCTCCCACGGTCTACTTTGACGGCACAAAGCACTGGAAGGACCACTTTCAGGATTGCGCCGAAGGTCCCGTCATGTGCCGCCCAGACTTTGGCCAACCGATTGAGCCCAACATGATTCTTGGAGGCTACAAGAGCCTCGACACAGTTACCGAGGCACCTGCCATGACTGTGACGTGGGTCGTCAGCAACCATCTCGAAGGCAGCACCGAGCTTGCTCACGCCATGGACTGGGAGGCGTCTTTGCGCGACCGTCTCCTGCTTGCGCAGAAGGAAGCCGAGAAGCGGGGTCTTCGCTTATCTTTCAGCACCGAGATCAGTCTCGAGCATGAGCTCAACAAGTCCACAAACACGGATGCCACCATCGTTGCTATCAGTTACCTGGTCATGTTTATCTATGCTTCCTTGGCTCTGGGCTCAACCAGCATCAGTTTCACGGAGCTCATCAAGAACCCTGCCCTTGGTCTGGTTCGGAGCAAGTTCACGCTGGGATTTGTGGGCATTCTCATTGTCCTCATGTCCATCACCTCATCCATTGGACTGTTCTCGTGGTGTGGCATCAAGGCCACTCTCATCATTGCCGAGGTCATCCCCTTCATTGTGCTGGCTGTTGGTGTGGACAACATCTTCTTGATCGTTCATGAGTTTGAGCGTGTCAACTTGAGCCACCCCGATGCCATGGTCGAAGAGAGGATATCCAAGGCACTTGGGCGTATGGGCCCGTCCATCCTCTTCTCTGGAATCACGGAGACCGTCTCTTTTGCGCTGGGAGCCTTTGTTGGTATGCCGGCTGTGCGCAACTTCGCAATCTACGCGGCTGGTGCTGTATTCATCAACGCTATCCTGCAGATGACCCTCTTCATCTCGATTCTATCGTATAACCAGATCCGTATCGAGGATAACCGCGCAGACTGCTTTCCCTGCGTCCAAATCAAAGCCGCCCGCGTCCACCTGGGCAGCAGCAATGGCCACAGCGGCCCTCGAGGCTACGACGTTCCCGAGGAGAGCTTGCTGCAGCAATTCATTCGGAAGTACTACGCTCCTGCACTGCTGGGTCGCAAGGTCAAGGTCCTGGTTGTGACAGTCTTCGTCGGTCTACTTGCCGCCGGGATTGCTCTTATTCCATACGTCAAGCTCGGACTGGATCAGCGCGTGGCTCTCCCAGATGATTCGTACCTCATTGACTACTTCAACGACATGTACAAGTATCTCGACACTGGCCCGCCTGTCTACTTTGTGGCGAAGGATGCCAATGCGACGCAGCGAATCTATCAACAGGACATGTGCTCGCGCTTCTCCACATGCGATCAGTACTCCCTGACCAACATCCTGGAGCAGGAGCGGAAGCGGCCCGAAGTTTCGTATATTGCTTCGCCAACCGCCAGCTGGATCGACGACTTCTTCCAGTGGCTGAACCCCGAGTTTGATGAGTGCTGCAAGGCTGGTCCGAGACACACCTGCTTTGAGAACCGCGACCCAGCGTGGAATGTGACGCTGTACGGCATGCCTGAGGGTGAGGAGTTTGTCCACTACGTGCAGAAGTGGCTGGTTGCTCCGACCAACGAGAATTGCCCGCTTGCTGGCCAGGCAGCATACGGCCAGGCAGTGGTCGTCGACGTGGAGAAGAATGGAGTCCCTGCCAGCCATTTCCGCACAATGCACAAGCCTCTTCGCAGTCAGGATGACTTCATCAAGGCGTACCTCGCTGCACGTCGCATCGCGAACGATATCACGGAGAAGACGGGCATGGAGGTGTTCCCCTACAGCGTATTCTACGTCTTCTTTGATCAGTACGCCAATATTGTCAGCCTGACGGCCACCTTGCTTGGTTCTGCAGTCGCCATCATCTTTGCCGTGTCAACGGTCTTGCTCGGCTCGGTACTCACCGCTCTCGTGGTGACCATCACGGTGGTGATGACTGTCATCGACATTATCGGCGCCATGGCCGTTTTTGACGTGTCACTGAACGCCGTGTCGCTGGTCAACCTGATCATCTGCGTCGGTATCAGCGTCGAGTTCTGCGCACACATTGCCCGGGCCTTCATGTTCCCGTCCGGGTCCGTCATGGAGCGTGCTAGGAATCGCTTCCGTGGCCGCGACGCGCGGGCGTGGACGGCGCTAGTCAACGTCGGCGGGTCCGTGTTCAGCGGCATCACCGTGACGAAGCTGCTCGGCGTCTTCGTGCTGGCCTTTACCAAGTCCAAGATCTTTGAGATCTACTACTTCCGCGTGTGGCTCGCGCTTGTCGTGTTTGCGGCTACGCATGCGCTAATCTTCCTTCCCGTTGCGCTGTCGCTGGCCGGTGGCGATGGGTACGTCGACCCTGAGAGCGAAGGCGGGCTCGTGGAGGATCTGGCGAGTCGGAGATACCGGGCGCTCGTGCCGGACGATGCAAGTGACTCGGACGAATACGACGAGTGATGTGGCAACAGCGTTGGATTATGAATGATCGGCTTAACAGGAAAGAAATGGAAAGGGCGAGGGCGAGATATCGCTAGGACACACGAGACTTTTGGAGAGGTGGATTCAAGATGTGGATTGCATAATGTAACGTACACAGCATATCATAGCTCGAGCGAGCCAAGTATCTTTCTTTCTGTCTGCTCACATCTGGGATCACGAACATGCAAAATGATATATACCGGTCTGTACGACATGAGTCTATGTGGTGATGTTGAACCTACACCTAGAGGACACCTGGCGGCATCTGGACAGTGGATTGGCGCCTCACCTTGAAAGCGCTGTCCGCTGTCCTGGCCGACCGAGACGGGAAGATAGGCGTAAGTATCCCTTGCAAGTATGCAAAGTGTTATAGTGTGATTTGTAACAGATATCTCGCTGAGCGGTCTCGAATATGTCGCTGAGATGTGTGTGTGTGTGTGCGCAGAGAGGTCCTTGCACGCACACGTTGGAGTGAGAGAGAATAGGCGCCGCGACCCCCGGAGACTGTCCGTTGGGGAAACTCCGTGCTGTGTAACGTTTCCCCCCTTGCATCCATTATTCATGTCTGTCTGCCAGGGGAAGGGTCACTTTGGCCTGCTTTGCCTGCCTCTCACCACGTGATTCACATGGCACAACAGCAACGGGGAAAGCGGTAAAGTCAACCAGATGTGCCAAGTCGCTGTGGCCAATACAACGACTGACGTCGACGTTTTGAAGAGTGGGCTGCTGGCTACCTAGTCGAAGAAGAAGAAGAAGAAGAAGCGTGTGTGTCAGTTGGCGGGCATGGGTTGTTTGGCATGGGTGCCGGAAGGAATTCCGTGTGCCTTGTATCCGTGTCGGAAGCCGTGTTTTGCCAAGCCCGCGCGCGTGTGCGGTGGGTTTCTTTTGCTGCTCAGGTTGGGACGGGTGCATCTGGGTGGGTTGTGGGACCACCAAACCACCAAGACGGGGGGGCTGTGACTTTCGGGATTTGGATATTGGACAGGGCCGAGTCAGGCACATCCTGGTCAAGGGCAATGTACGATACGGCGTCATTACTAACAGCCATCGTGGAAAGAAAGGGAGAGGAGGAGACGTTCTACAGGTGGATCTTTAACAGAGAGAGTATGGGATCTTGTCCGGCCGACTGCCGCTCAGGGCTTGTTGCAATGCCGCGCGAGTTGTGAATGAATGGTGTCCTGGCAGTTAGTAATAGGATGGTGCCGTGGGAACGAATACCTAAGGGCAGGAGTGACCCCGTGCATTGACTGTGATCATGGACCGGTTGTGCGTGTGCGTATGTGTGCTGCTGACTGAGATCTGGACTGGCCCCGGAGAGGTAACATGACGCCAGGCAGCCAGCAGTCAGCAGGCGGCATCTCGATGCTCACGATCCGCAGGTGCAGTACTGGACCTCGTGCATCAGAATGTCACTTGCGACAGTGAGATGCCCGCCGCCCAGTTCGGAATGTTCCGCGAATGGGTACTCGGCCGGCGCGCCCTGGTCCTGGCGTCGGGGCCATCGAGCGATGAAGCCCGGAGTGCTGCTAATTATGTGCGCCCTCGGGTCTATGCGAGGGAGTCTGCCTGGGACCGGCGGAGCGGCGGATCGTGCAGAAACGGCGAGGGGAAAAGCAAAGTCGGGAGAGGCAGGGGTGCAGAGCCGCATCGCGATGGCCGACATCGTGGGGGGCCAGTTATGCTGGAATGGCGGCCGTGGCGAGCCTCATTAGCAGGCCTGTTTGGGCGCCAGTGGACTGCAAGCAGCCGCCGGCATGGTCGAGAATCGGCTCGATGCGAGTCTTGGCGGGAAGTGGTTGATGCGTTTATTATGCCCACCTTTGGAAACTGCATTTCTTTGCAATGGGGAGAGCCAGCCAGCACAGCACTGACATGGACTGGGTGGGCTCAAGAGTTTGGAGTGGGTCTGCCGCTGTGGAATGCAGGGCTGGGATTGGCCTGATCCGCAGCATCGGAAACCGCATCTAGGGATCGATGGGCAGACGATGGCGATCCAGGGTCCTCCTCTGCAGCCACACGCCGTCCCCGATCCCACCGCGATGCCAAGCACTCTCCACCATCGCAGCCCATCGGCCAGGGTTCTCTCCATCTCCCGCCCTCTGCCATCACGATGAGCCGCCATCGCGATGTGCTTGCTAGTTGTGTGTCTAGACTTTCCACGATGCAGCAGCGTCTCGCCTTGACCTTCTGAACAGCATACAGGCAGCCCCAGCAGCGGCCCTGGATCCGGGGAGAGCTCAACCATCCATCGCCAGCATCCAGGCCGGCCAGCTGCATCCGCAAGTCAACGGCACTACGCTACTGCCCAATCAGGGTGGGGACTGCGCTCTGCAGACGTACGTCGTGGTGACGTGTGGTACTTTTGCTCCGGGGGGACCTCTGCGCAAACTGTCATGTACCTAGCCCGGTGCAGCCGGGGTCCTCCTTCTCACCCGGGGATGCATTTCTCGATCGACAGACCCCTCGACCTCGCCCTCGATCTCCAGGCACGATTTTGCCCATCGCCAGGCTCCCCCAAATCTGCCAATTCCCCCTCGCCTCAAATCGCGATCCTGCCTGCCGAGGCCATGGCAATCCCCGGCCCCTCTGCCATCCTGCAACACCGTTCGTACCTCGTCATCCGACCGATGCGCCTTGTCCTCCACAAACAGCGGCCCGTAGTCCACTTCACCTCAAGCTCCTGAGCCTCGCCGGACCAAGACCACCGCCTGGCCATCTCTGTCATCCCAAACCCTTGCTGCGTGCGAACGGCAAGGACCCCGCCAGGCACGCCAAACGCCCGCCTGCCATCGACAACCTTCGCGGCCATCTCTGCCTCGCCCAGACCCTCCTCGTACCACCAGCTACGTAGGCGTCCAGGGCGCCTGCCAGCACAACCTTGTCTTCCCTGCTTCTCCTCGCCATAGCCGGAGCTTGATCTCCATCTCCTGACGCACCACCCTAGCCCTTGTCATCTCGAAGCTTGATGCTGCCCGACTAGCCTCGCTCACATATTCGGTTAACGAGAACGTCCACTTAACACTGGCTTTGCCTGCTTGCCTTGGGAGTTGTCATATAAGCAGCTACTCTTTGTACTGCCGTCTCTCGCCTACAGCACGCAAGACGGCCTCTGATATACCACGATACTTCGACCTTTTTATCCGCCTTGCTCTACGCAAACACATCATGTCGACCATGAACCCCTGGGAAGATCGAGCCCTTCAAGTATGTCGCTTCTACGTATGACAAGTCATAATGTCAACCATCTTGGCCTTCGTGGCTACGTCTATCTTTGAAGCTTCTGGTGGACGATCACTAATGAGTGCCTTGCAGTACTACTTTCCCACGCCCACGGAGCCATCACCTGTCGATGTCAGCAACTCGCCACGAACAGTCCCCGCCGAAGATGACAAGGTCCATGACCGCATCATCTATCCTGGCATCTACTCGGCCAGTGGCTTTGATGTCATGGGTGTTCTTGTATGTACTTTCAGGAAGCTTGGTATTGTCGATCTTTGTACTAACGACGTCCTGTAGTGGCGTCTTGCGCAACGCCCAAATCCTGTCGTTGATATTGGCTACGTAGACGCCTCGTGCGCCTTTGTCGTCTGTGACATGCATCAGCCAGACTGCCCCATCATATACGCGTCGGACCCTTTCACGCACTTAACTGGGTACTCGAAACGTGAAATCCTCGGACAGAACTGCCGCTTCCTCCAGGCTCCTGGCGGCTCCGTGGTGAGAGCATCACCCCGGCAATATGTCGACAAGGCCATGGTCAACTACATGCGCCACGCCGTCGAGCATTTTGCTGAGATTAGTGTCGAGCTCATCAACTTCCGCAAGAACGGCCAGCCATTCGTCAACATCTTGACGCTGATTCCAGTCTCCTTCGGCGGTCCGACTCCGGAATACTTCGTTGGTTTTTCGGTCGAGAAGGAGCAAGGCTGGTAGTCGTGTGCTTTGCAATCCAGTTTGACCGTTCGACAACTCTTGCCAATTCGTCTTTCCCTCATTTCCAGAACTTTTGACATTCAGCCATTGGCGTTACAGCGATTCCAAGATAACTCAACAACACCACGCATTCTGGCAACGGTTTGGCCACGGGCATGGGCATGCATATTTGCTTTCAGGCATACACTACGATACCCACTCTCCCGAGTCAACAATTTGATTTTCCACACAGCAAAGGGCGTTTTACACGACGGAGTTCGGTCTTTATATTTGACAGGCATGGAACACTTTTCGGGAAACATGGAATCCAGGCATATCGATACGCCGAGAAGCACAGCGATATTTCTCTTGCCCAAATTGCGCCACAGACTTGTACGTGGTTCGCGTGTACGGACGGCAATTGTTTTTCTTCAGTTGCTCATAGTTCTACGCAGTCAGATGGCGGGTACGTTTCAAAGCATCACGCATGCAAGTTTCGATGGCACACTATAGTTAAAGATTAACGTGGAGGATGGCGATAACTATACAATCTTCACACAGCCGACATCGGCCATGCCCTTTCGCACCTCCTCTTGACAAGTCAATGTTTCTTTGAGACCATGAGTCCTCTCATGAGGCAACCATATATATCTTGAGGCGTCAAAGTGGTTACCGAACCACGCTGTGCATAACTGAGGCTGTCGAATAGCGCATACCATGTCGACGACTATATGTCGTGGTTGTGTTGTCTTCGAAAACCACGACTTCAATTGTTATTATCCAAGTGGCGTGGCGTGCAGCGCGGCAGGTCCATTCACGAGGGAGTTGCGAGATCTTTAAATAACTATATTGCTCTATCTACACGACTGATGCTGCCATTCCTGGTACTATTAAATTACGATGACGCCTGGTCCTCTCCCTCCGCTTCTTCCTCCTGTCCCCCGTGATTCCTCCAGAGGTGTAAAACGCTGCCCGTCGTCGTCGGTCCTGCTGATTTGGAAGTCCCCATACTTGTGGCGGCTTGCCTGGAAGGGAGTTGACAATTTTGACGCTTTTTTATCCGGCCCTAACTTGCGCAGCACGCACGCTGTACCGGCTATGGGTGTTTTGGCTTGCGAGTTTGTCCACCCATCGTCATGGGTATGATGTGCCGGATGTCCGATTGCGTGTTTGCCAGGGAGTTGATTTTCCAGACTTCATCTATGGGGGTTGTTGCCTTTGCTTCCCGCCCCGAATCCTGCTGGTTTTTCTTGCAAACACCAATCATCACTTACGAGGGTATGGCCTCCCCTGTTCCGGTTCGCGTCTCGACTTGCCGGAGCGCCCCTCCCTCCCTCGCTCTCTCTGTCAATCAACATCGTCGGGCTCCGCACAAGTCTCTCTTCTCTCATAGTTGGCTCTTATTGGCAGATGGCCAGGATGTGGTCGTTCTCATGTTGTACTGAGCCCTCGGCAATCGCCTTTTGTCGGCCCAGCTTGCGAAAACCGTATGTATGAGTCGCTGTTGAACGTGCGCGTAAGCCCAGCATTACGAAGGTCGTTATCGTGCAATTGCGGAGGGTAACCCAGGATTGCTCCGGGCGGCGATGCCCGCAATCCCCAGAGAGCCACGCTTCTTAGACAAATCGATGTAGAAGTCCGTTGTCGCCGTGAGGCTGCCACGTGGTGTCGTGCTATCCGTGTAATGCGTATGATGCGCAGGGTTATCCTCTGCCTGCTTGGGGTAGCCCTTGTCGTTTAGTGGCTGTAGGCACCATGTTTTTGTAGCGGACGCATGGATGTCTTGATATTGTCTTGACAGCTGCCTGGCTTCTCGTTGTCGTAATTATACATGCGCGCCTGGTTGTGTTCAGATGACGGCCAATCGTGGTGAACAATGTCGGTCTCTTCAAAGACCAAATATCGTATCTGCAGAGGAAAATCGGCTAGTGCGTTGCCGGTGCGGCCCAGGTGCCCTACGAGCTGTCTAGTTTGGTCGGCCAGGTTTGCGACAGTCTTTGTCAAAGATTCTGCCCACCATTTCCGGAGCGCGATAGGCTTTGGCTGTAATTGAGGATCTCCTGTTCGGACAGTGAGCTTCTTGGCGAAGCTACAACTGAATCCTAGCTCAAGATTCAAAGGTCGCACCCTCGGCTGGCACGCCCAATGTCCCAAGCTTGTCGTCCAACCACTTTGCCAGCTCTTCTGCATGCCGGCGCATCAGTACCACCCCCGTGGCGCCCACACTGCCCAGCGTTGTCGTGCTCGGCGCGGCGCTGTGCACGCTGGCTACCTCGGCGGGCGAGCCTATCGTCGGGGTCGGGTGCTCGCTGTGCAGTGGTGTTTGCAGGTGCTGCCCGTGCCGTTGCTGCCGCTGGCCTGCGTATTCCCCCGACACCGAGGCGGCCGCGGCCTCCGGCGTCGGCCCTATGCACACGAACAGCAGGCCGCACTTGAGCTGGCGCAAGACGACCAGCGCCCCGGCCATCTGCAATGTCAGCGCGCTCGGGGTCGGATCCCGGCTCCCCTGGGAATGGTCGGCTTGTTGAGACGCAGGGAGTGCGTCGGCGATGGAGCTGCTAGTCTCTGGCGTCGCGTAGGTCGCCCAGAGCGAGGCGGCGACGGTACATTGCGTGCGAAGGGTGCTCACAGGCAGGGTGGAGGCGTGCGCGAGGAGCTTGCCAGCCAGCGTGGTGAGCAGCGCAGTGTGGACCTGGGCGTTGAGGTTGGTGTGCAGAAACGCCGTGAGGCGCTTCGTGAGGAGGAGCGGCGGCGTCGGGGATGATACAGACATCTTTGGCGTCGCTGTGCTGTTGAGCAAGAGGGCCTGGTCGGAAGCGGCTCGTCCGGGTCGTGCGGTCGGCTCGTCAACGGGCTGCAGGGTGGCTGGCGGCGTGCTGCTCCTTGCCTATCTGTGGCTGTCTCGTCCAATTGAGCCTTGGGAGATCCTCCTCACCTGCCGTGCCAAAGTCTAGGAAGCTGGGTGGTGAGCGCGTAGCAAGTGGCGCCCTGGTTGTCGCAAACGAGCTTGGGTGCTTGGGAGCCAAGTAGAGCTTCCCAATATGTCTCGACGTTCTGCAGTGGAGGTTAGGCTGTCCAACGACGCTGGAAAAGTGGAACCCCAACCCACGTAATCGTTCATCGTGGAAGTGGCCCAAGCTTTGTACCTGAAGGCTGCATATTGGCAGGCTGTCTCTCTCCCAGAGGCCATGGAGTCTGCGGGTTCAAACTCAAGTCAGTCGGCCCATCGATAGTCGCAGTCTACTGCTAATTACTGCTCTCTGGCATGGTTGAGAAGCCACGTGACCGTAGTCAGACCGCGCAAATGCCCCGTGTTCAATTCAACGCCAAAGTCTATAAAGAGATCGCGTTTAAAAAGCAGAGAAATACAGCTGGTCCGGAGAGTGAGAGCTCCTCCCTGAGGCATACGCTATCTCTGAGGCGCAAGCCCACGAGTGATGCTGTCCTTCAGATCAATGTTCACGTCTGTGCTGCCAATCAATTCGGACGACTGCTGGTGCCGGTGGGCGACGATGTGCAGCTGGCCGCGTCAACGGCTACGATAAGGCAAGCCACGTAATTTCAGCAAAGCGTCTCCAACTGCACCATGTGACGGGCGGTGGCCGGCGATGGGTGCTCCGCAGGCGCCGCGTCGCCTGCTTGCCCGGAAGCAGAAAGCCGGAGCGGCGATGCCAAGGCACGGCGGCCAGTGATCCCCCACAGGGGCAGCTCGTAGCCCTGGCCGCTCATGGGCAAGGCTGGCCGTCCCAAGGGCCTCGAAATTGGACAATGGCAGCCTGCGCATTGTGTTGGGGTCGTCATGCTGTGGGCTTCGGGAGATTGTTGCCAGCGCACCGTCAGGGCCGGCACGCGCTGCGCACTCTATGGGGAAAGAGGTTGTGCAACCGCCAGAGGTAGATTGACCCTGTCCACGGCGCCTCGAGAATAGACGGAGGGTCAAGCACGCGATGGCCATGGCGACAGTTGCCGTCAAAGGCGAATTTTGCGGCCCTTTGCGGGTCCTACTGAGAAAGCGCGCTTGCAGGGAGACACTGACGACCTTTGGAGCTGGCTGGTCGAATTGCAAGTGCAGACACAGGATCTCATCGGCAGAAACGGATGCAGAGGCCTTACGCAGAAGGAGCAAGTCAGCAGGCGTGGCCTCGGACCCCTGCCGCTGCGCCAGGCACGCAGCCACTCAGAGAGCGCGTCGCGGCCGCCCTCAAACGAACCCCTGGCCCCTCGGGCGTTCAGGGGCTCGAGGGGCTCTTGCGCCTTGCCCGTTCAGGCACATGGCTTCTCGAGGCGCCCCACCCGCCCCCAGACTTCAAACTCCCTCTCGTCCACTATCGGGCGCAAGGGCTGACAGCACCAGGGCCACCTCGTGCGGCCTCCTGCCTCTCCTCTTATCACTCCCGGCCACTCGTCTCGTGGTCAGCAGGCGCCTGCGTCCCCGTCCTCGTCCATTTCACTTAATCACTCATTCGGCTCAAGGGCAACCTCTCCAAGCACATCACCAACACCCCATCCTGACTGCTCGCTTCTGTACCTGCGAACGAGCCTGTCGTCCACTCCCTTACCGTCTCTCTCAGTCCCTCTCTCATCGCCGTGTCACAAGTGACTAGAGTCGCGAGACGTACGCCCGTGCTCGCAGATCAAACAGACCCCTCTCGCGATTGGGTGATCCAGGAAACAATCCTGCCCAGGCCAGGACCTCATACAATAGCCTGCACGCAAGCCCCTCGTCCCACATCTGAGACTTGGGCCGGCCATAGCAACCTCGCCTTAACGCAGTCGATCAAACCCGACCGCCCTCGCCCTCGTTACTGTCCTTTCCTTTTCCCATCTCAGGTCTCCGCCACTCCACCGTCACCGCCGTCATCCCTGTGCCGGCGACACACGGTCCCGTGCAGACGAGCGAGTCACGCTGTCGGCTTTCACCCGTAGGCCGAGCTTACTTGATCTGCACTCGGTCGCCTTCCTTTGCGGCCTTGCGACTTGCCTCGCTCTTCTCCTCCTGCCTGGCAACTTCACCAAAGGTGATCTCTTGTCGCAATTACGGTAGCTTCGCAGGCGAGCACCAATTACGCTTTTTGACGGCCGGACCGCTCAAACGACACTCATTCAAACCACCGACGACATACTTGACGAAAGCGCCTTTTATTTCTATTTTTTTTTGACGATGATCGCAACCGCAGTCTGCTTTTGAACCATTCGGAAATCTCGCTCTGTGAAGTCCCGAAGCGTGGACACGGCCATCTTGGGCATTAGTGTACAACAGGGCTGACAGCACGTTACGGCGATTTGCACACGGAGAACCTCAGCATGGGTTGCTTTGGTGGTCGTGCTCCCGTGCAGCCTCGTCCCGAGCAGACATGGGACGCCATTGTACGTCTTGCATCCATAAATGGAGGGTCAACTTGGAATGACCGGGTTTAGTCGCTGACAATCTTCTCCTTTAGACCTTGAAAGATTTCAAGTCAAAGTCCTTCTGGAATGGCACGGCCTTCGCATATCTCTACTTTTCCGTCATCTTGTCCATCGCAGTCTACGGCGTCGATATTTTTACGGCAGTCAACCTGCTCGCCTTTGACACCTGGTCTTCTCAGATCAAGCCTGTGATTGACAGGAACATTTCGAAATGGGTCTTCTCCATATGTATCATCCTGTCTGTCGTGAACCTTATCTACGAGTTCATCGTTGCGGTTCGTGTCATTCGGAGAGGTAACGTGGCGGAATGCTATCTCGACAACCTGGCTGTCAGAATGGAGAGTCTTCGATGGGGCAAAGGGCAAGGGTGGCGGCGCTTCCTTGTCTTCTCCGCATTGACCAAATCCAAGAAAGGTGCCGAGTACATTGCTCTTTTCACATATTTCAGCTTCCAGTGTAAGTCCACACAAGCTCATCTCTAGACCAGGAGTTCGACTGCACGATCCTGCCGTCAGAGCGCATGGAGCTAATGATTCCTCCGGCCGTAGCTTGGTTCCGCGTTATTTTCTGCTCTGGGCCTCGTCAGGTGATAAACGCGACAACGCTGTACTCTGTGTACAACGCAAAGCTTAATCCCACGGATCTCTCCAGCGTGGAGAGCACTCTTGAGACCTTCTTTGCAAAGCTCCGCCTGCTGTACATCGAGAACAACATGCAGGCTGTCATACTGTCGGGTATGCTGTTCACCCTGGTCATCTGGGTATTCACGACCCTCTTCCTAATCATGGCCGTTCTATTCCACATCTTCTTTCTTTGGCACTGGATCCCCAAGGGCGACGGTGGCCTGCAGGGCTACTGTGAACGCAAAATCAACAAGCGGTTGTTGAAGATCGTGTCCAAGAAGATGAACAAGGCTATTATGAGAGAGGAGGAACGCCAGCGGAAGGCAGACGCCAAGGCTCTCAAGGCTGGCACTCAGCCACCAGTTACTCGCCAAGCAACGCTCCCGCAGTTCCTGGACGAAGGCAGCGACGACAAGCTGCCGCAAATGCCTTCAATGACACGGAAAAACACCATGACGACGCTGCCTCAGTACCAGTCACGCGCGCCGTCACCGAGTATCGAGATGAATTCGATGGACCAGAAGAAACCGTACCCTCTGAACCGCAATGGCACAACCACCACGGTCTCCTCAGGCTATGCAGGATCTGTAGCCAGCGCCCGCACGCCACTCGTGGGTGCAGCGGCCCAGATGGGCCGCTCTGCTTCGCCAACACCGTCCATCCCGCAGCTTCCTCCCAATGCAGCTTACGGCAATTATCCACCGCCCAGGCCATCGACAGCAAACTCGAACAGGACGGGTGGCCCAAGCGTTGTATCTGAATGGGAGGACCCTTACATGGCTCGATCTGCATCGCCTGCGCCGACTTTGCCAATTCTGCCTCCTGTCGCAGGCGTCAACAACTATCCGCCGCCAGCGCGTACTGGCACCTCTCACTCGATGCGGGGCCCGGGTCCCGCCCCCAGTGTCATGTCGGAATGGGACATGCCAGGCAGGGCACCGAGCGTTGCACCAAGCGTCGCGAGGTCATACGCAACTGCCCCCTCCACCTTTGCAGGGGCAGAGCCCATGGCCCCTTTCCCGCCCAGGATTACCTCCCCAGCTCCCTCGGCCAATGGTGATCCATACGGTCGGCCAATGCCCCGAGCTGTGGCACAACTTTCTGGTCGGCCTGGCATGCCTGGCCCGCCCGGGAGGTTCATGCCAGAGGACCAGCGAAGCATGATGGAGGGTCGAGCAAGCCCAGCGCCATCGTCCATCTACTCCGAGGCACCTGGGATGGCGGCGCCGGGTGCGAGATACAACGGACCGGGGTACCCCCCTCCGGCCCGGAGCAACACTGCTGGCCCCATGCGGCCGGGATACGGTCCTGTGCCCACGCCACAGCGCAACATGACGGCGCCCATGCCTCCGAGGTTACCACTTGACCCGTATAGTAGGCAGGGCACGCCTGGCGGCGCGCAGTCTGCGTACTCTGCCTATGACGACGATGTGGAGAGTCAGAGGGGACAGCGATGGTGACGGAATTTTGTTTGAGATTTAGAGCAGGCCATAATTGTATTCTGAAATGTAAACCCAAAGAGAACCGTACACGCATCCACCTTGATGACCTGCTGGAGCCATGGTGACATGCAACATGAGTTTACCCAGCCCACGGGGTTTGGGAGGGGGCATAGCCCGATGATTCCACCTTGGCAGCATTGTGTAATCGTGTAGTTCAATATACGGTAGTTTGTACGCGCCCTGTTATGGACTGCAAACGCCGAGGAGAACCTCCATCTACCATGCGTGGCTGACGCCAGCCCCTCCATTGCGTGGGAGTTCGGGGTCTGCTTTGGTGATTTCAATCGCCCGTTCGGCTCTCGTTGTTTGGAAAACTGTAAGCGGCATTAGCATCGCTCTCCGATAGACATATTGGCCCCTCCTTCAGCCTTACAAATGCGGGGGGGAAATGGCACAAGTGGGGGCTCCGGTGGAGCTCTCCCACACGGCAGGCGCATGGTGCTTACTTGATCCCACGGAATCTTGGGGATTGGGTTGATTGACTGACTGGAAAACAAGCACTCAGGTCTCGAGTCTGTTGGGAGTTTTAAATGTCTGGCATCGGCTCATCATCTGCTCATTTCCACATCGGCTCTGGACTTGACAGTCTTCAACTACGAGACCGCCTTGCCGCTCTTGCTCAAGTGTAGAGAGGAATACATAAAGCAGATTTATCCATACCGGCCTTGCAACCCAGACTCCAAGGTCGCTGGCATATCTCCATCACTCCTTAGGCATCCAGAAGAGAAACGACCTTAGCCAGAGAGCGAGGAGACCGTGGAACCCCCACGAACCAGCACGAACAAAAACTTCCAGTCACGGGGGAAAACAGCCGAGTGTGTAGACGACAGTCAACAAAGTCAGCACTTTCACAACAGAAACTCAAGGAAAACACCTAGCATCCACAGGAAAACCCCATCATCATGGCCCCGACACTCCTCCAAGAGCCGTCCCACGCGGGACGTGCTACTAGCAACAACGACAATGACCCAGACTTCAACCCGGCATTGCCCTGGCATGCCGGCGAGCAGGAGATGCACCGCCTCATGCGGCTCCCGCCGCGTTCACAGAATCCGACGTCGCAGGGCCTGCCCGCGCGGTATGGCTTCCGGATCACGGCGTCTCCCTTGGTAGCTCTGGGGACGCTGGATGACGATGGAAGACCCTGGGTCACCTTGGCGGGAGACGAGGCCGGGTTTGCGAGGCCCGTCGCGGAGGGGGTGCTGGCGATGAAGGCGGTCATGGATGTCACTGGTGCGGATCCCGTTGTGAAGGAGCTCCTGACTGCCTGGAGTGACGAGGACGGGGAGCAAAAGGGGGAGAGTGCGGGAGCAGGCGAGAAGAGGAAGATTGTTCCGGACAAGATTGTGCGGCCGCCAGATGGTGGGAAGATCATGGCTGGCTTGTCGATTGATCCGGAAACTAGGGATCGGGTCAAGTTTGCTGGGAGGATGATTGTCGGGTCGATGACGGGGTACAGACATCCCGAAGGGAAGAACGATGGCGACCATGAGAATGCCCCTGCACTCGCCGGCGAGGTGCAGATTGGATTCAACATCCTTGAAACTGTGGGCAACTGCCCTAAGTACATCAACAAGAAGCACATCACGCCGCACATCCCTTCACCAAAGGTAGCCTACGAGGCAAGCCAGCAGGGAGAAGGGGCTGGCGTGGCACTTCCGCAAGAGGCCATCGAGCTGGTCGACAAGGCCGATATGTTCTTCATCGCGTCCAAGCACGGCGTGGAGAGCATGGATGTCAACCACCGTGGCGGCGCGCCGGGCTTCATGAGAGTCCTCAAGACGACGAGCCAAGCCGGCGGCAAGCCGGCCACCACGCTGATATATCCTGAGTTCTCGGGCAACAACCTGTACCAAACACTCGGCAACCTGCGCCGCGATCCGCAGGTAGGCATCTGCGTGCCCGATTATGACACGGGGGACGTGCTCTATGTCACTGGCACCGCAGAGGTGCTCATCGGCGACAGGGCTGCTGCGTATCTGCCGCGCACAAAGCTTGCGGTCAAGGTCGACATCGACGCTGCACGGCTTGTCAAGAGCGGTCTCGGTTTCCGTGGCAGCCCCATCGACCACAGCCCGTACAACCCCACGGTCAAATACCTGAAGACAGAGAAGCCCGACGTTGCCGCCACAGCAGAGGCAACGACGGGTGGCATTGCTGTGGCTACGCTCAAGACGCGCGAGCAGATCACGGACACGGTGGCAAGGTATACATTTGCTCTGTCCCTGACGGAAACCCAGAGGAAGACTCGGGCGAGATTGGAGCCGTGGGAACCGGGGCAGTACATCACACTGGACTTTTCCGAGGAGCTGGATCACGGCTATCGGCACATGGCCGATGACGACCCACAGAGCCTAAATGACGACTACGTTCGCAGCTTCACGATTAGTGCACCGATCAAGAAGCCGGCAACAACAGAGAGCTCGCTCGAGCCGGAGGAATTTGAGATCACGATACGCCGCCATGGTCCTGTCACGGCACTGCTGTCTCGGTGGAACCTTGCGGTGCCGCTGCAGGTACCCGTGCTCGGGTTTGGTGGCGACAAGGAGTTCAGGATGCTTGTTTCTGAAGACGATGGGGCCAGTCAGAGTCTGGCCGTCAAGGATCGCATCTTCTTGGCCCAAGGCGTCGGCATCACGCCACTCATGGCTCAAGCACCCGGGGTGATCGAGTCGATGGCTCAATCCAGACTCGAGGGCAAGCTGAAGCTTCTCTGGAGTCTGCGCGCAGACGACATGCTTCTTGCCCGGGACGTGCTCGGTCGTACGCCGGGCCTCGCTGAACTCACCACGCTGTTTGTGACTGGGAAGGTTCGTGGTGGTCAGTATGGGGCGGCTGCGGAGGCAGCGCAGAAGGAGGTCGAGGACATGGGGGCCAAGATTATCAGCCGGAGAATTGGCAAGGACGACATCCTCACCGTTGGCGAAAAGGGCCGGCGCAAGTACTATGCCTGCATGTCTGGGGTCATGAGAAAAGCCTTGCTCGAGTGGATGGCGGAGGAGGACCTTGTTGTCGAGAGCTTTGATTACTGATTTAAGAACCGGGGGCGTGTTGGAGCGGATCGACGACACGCGGGGACAGACAAGCCGCACCAAGCTATCGTGTGAACCTTATGAATTAATGAATGAATGTACCTTGTAGTCGAGGACAAGTCGTTGGACAAAGATCGTCGAGCTTGTGCCGTGCATGAGGTCCCCTGTAGAAAACCACTTCCGAGGCCGACTGGGCAAGAGCGGGCCCGCCCCCAGGCGGGAATAGAGTGCCGATCACCGCCGGGCTAGAGTCTGAGCGGCAGGCATTGTACTGAACTGCTCCGGGCTAGCAGCACGCGGCACTTGTGCAGCACGGACGGACGGAACGTGGATGGAGAATGAAGCTCAACTCTAGCTTGTCGATGCGCCTTTGTTCCCTTGGAGCGGAGATGCGGGATAGAAAAGGACTGAGCACTTGACCAAAACGAGAATAGGGGTCCGGGGATACAACCGCGGCGAGAGCGGCGGGCTTGAGTCACATTGAAACAGGGAGTGCGACGATGAGGTTCCACTACCAAGACAACGTTTGGTCCGCTGGGCGACGGCGCCTGAGGCGCTCGGGCAGAGGTCGGCGCGCCGACAGCGGGCAGGCTGGCCAGCCGGGCTGTGCCGCCGGGGCAGCTGCCTCAGCGTCGTCAGCCAGTGGCTGCCGCTACTGCATGTGTTTTTCCCGCACTGCGCACCAAGGGCAGCGCTATCCTATCCACGTCTGGGATCCCCGCCCCACGCTTAGACTAGAGTAGAGGCACCCGAGCCGGCCTGCCTGGCCCAGACAGAGGGGCCGGCTACTTCTTTCAATTCTCGCCCTTCTTCGACAAGAGTTGACTTTGACTAAACAATCACACACACACACACGCACACGTAAACGCTACACACTACACGCTACGCCCACGATCGCCTTGCTTACAGTCTCACATCGCACACAGTATTGCCAACGACGCCGCCGCCGCCCCTCTGTTCACATCCCAGCTCTCGTCGCCGGGGGCTCACGGATTCACAATGACGACGCACGCCACCGGCCCTGCGCAACTTCCCATCTCGAACATGGACCTCGACAGCTACAGATTCCCCTCGCACAGGCTGCGCCTGAGGCAGACAGACTCAAATCGCGTGCCCCTCGTCCTCGTCGCCTGCGGCAGTTTCTCTCCAATGTAGGTCATCGCACATCACACCAACATGCACTCTTCAGCAATGGCCGGCCCTGCCGGATGAGTCCACATGCATGCACCTTACATGCAGCACCACTACTCGGACCGCCGTTCGTCAGCCTCGGGACAAACCAAACCACTATTACGCGGGCCAGCAGGCACTATTTCAAGCAGGGTTTCCATTCAGAAGACTGATGCTCGTCTCTAGCACATATCTCCACCTGCGCATGTTTGAGATGGCCAACGACTATGCTCGGATAAACACAAACTTCGAGGTTGTGGGTGGCTATTTATCACCCGTCTCGGACGCCTACAAGAAGGCTGGCTTGGCTTCTTCCCACCACAGGTGAGCTTTCTTCTCTCGAGGTACATATCGACATGTTTGCGACAGTCAATGCTAACATCATCACCCGTCATCAGACTGCGCATGTGCGAGCTCGCCACAGAAGAAACTTCAAATTGGCTCATGGTCGACCCGTGGGAGGCTATTCAGCCGGCCTACATGCCCACTGCTCGCGTGCTCGATCACTTCGAGCACGAGATCAACGGTGTCCATGGCGGCGTTCTGAGTGAGGACGGCACCCACCGCAAGCCGGCCAAGATCATGCTGCTTGCCGGCGCTGATCTGATCGGTACCATGTCTGCACCTGGTGTGTGGGCCGAGAAAGATCTCGACCACATTCTTGGCAACTTCGGCGCTGTACGTGAATCCACCTTGCATTCTCTTAGGCTTTCGACTGACCACCTGCCAGATGATCGTCGAACGCAGCGGCACAGATATGGATGAGGCCCTGGCCAGTCTTAAACAGTGGGAAGACAACATCTACGTCATCCACCAGATGATACAAAACGATGTCAGCAGCACAAAGATTCGGCTCTTCCTCAAGAGGGACATGAGCATCCAGTACCTGATCCCGGAGCCAGTCATCCGTTACATTGAGCAGAACCGGTTGTACATGGACGAAGACAACGCCAAGTCGAAGGAGAAGCAAGCAGCAGGAAACTAGATGCAACCCCGTCTTCTGCATCAACTCACAGCGCCGACCATGCTTATCCCCACCTCCAATGTCGAACCACGCCGTCTTAGCCACGCGCGTCGCCTGGTCTCGAGTACTTGAGACTGTGTTCGGATTGGGCATCACCTTTTGCAGCACGGAATCGAACCAAATTACCAAGTTCCCACAGGTGGAAGCAAGGCTTTTCGAGGCGTTTATACGGGACTCGAGCGCCTAGTTCCGCAAAACGCTTCTCAGAACTGGGCATCGACATCTGGCTCAATCCCCTGTAGGGCTAGAACGACTCCTCAATTGCGCCATTAGCGACCGCCGAGGACCGGGGAGGGGCATCGGCTTTTGCTGCGGCACCCGTAGTGAGCAGCCCCACTACAGAAGTGCGAAGGCTGACCAAGCGGCTCTACCCCATGCCACCGCCAGCTTGCCAGGAAGCACCAGCATCAGAGCTGGCTGATCTGCCTGCCTCTGTGCAGGCCTCAGCTGCAATCATTTCTTACGAGCGATTAATTTTTTCTACTATTTTTTACCTGCCGCCAATCACTAGTGGTGAGCACATTTTTGGTTATGCACGACGTAGACGAGGATATCCAGACACTACAAGAATAAAAGAAAGCACGGGTGACGTATGACAAGCGTCGCGTATGACATTTCCCATCGCAAACACAGATCCTACAGGCTTCGGCCACTAATCTTGTGTATGTACACTACGTCACTGGGCACCTGGGCAAGCTTAGATCTGGGCCTCCTAAACCGTTGTTCTGGGGAGCTTGACACGACACTGCCGAGAGCGCCACTGCACAACGGTGGTCGTCTGCAGGTACTTCTGAAGGATTCTCTGACGGGAATTATACCCTTGCAAGCCAACTTTTATTTGCCGTTTTGACAGACACATGATGCAATCACGCAGGACAAGCCGGCCAAGGTGATACGGCAGTGGGCGCATCGAGTGTGTCCTGCCAAGACCTCGAAATGCAGGGTCGTACAGCACCACCACCACCAGCTGGGTGTCCAGATGCTGTGTACCACGCCGCTCACTAGAAACAAAAACGTTCGAGTGAAGCCGTGGTGGCTACGCGGTGTGGTACAGAGAACTGCAGCAGCTGATGGAGGAGCCATGTGACTGTCCACTCCGCTCCTGTGCTCCGTTCAGCAGCCGCGATATCAAAAAGAAGACAGCACTGGCGTGCAGGGGCCCGGACAAGTATTGCTTACCTACGTAGGTACTTACTCAAGCTTGCGATTGCCGCTGCCTATTTGACAGAGGCCCATACTTTGACGTTTACTGTGAGGCTAAGATATGGACCTCTTTATGAGGATTGCCTCTTAGCCAACCTTGAGCATCATGGGCCGATCCATGACTAAGGAAGGGGCGGGGCAAGCGATCCACGTCACACGAGCATTGGGAGACACTCCACTCTCGACAGCTGGCGATTGCGTCTTCGACACCGGCAGCTGGCCCCACCCGCTGAGCTGCCCGCGTGCTCACCCACGGCGCACCTCTGCTGCCTTCCCTTAGCTCTCGCCATGTCCGCCACTGATTCGCCCGTTCACCTTACAAGCTCCTGACCCAGTCCGTCCGGCCTAATGCGTCAGGACGCAACAGCCAGCCTCTCTAGCTTGGGCGTTTTTAGCCACCAAAACGGCCGCGCTTGCATAAGGCAGGGAGAGGGCCTGTTGCCGACCTCAGTTATCGGTCATGCGTGTCAAGTCGACGTTGGGATGAGCAGGTGATCTGTACCGCAGCGCCCCTCTGTGACTGCCACAACGCAACGCCATCTACTGCTCTAAAACCTCATACTGGCTCATCTGAAACCACGACTCGCGAGATATTTCGCTATCATTCTATACGCATGGAGCCGCCTCGCCGCCATCTCGCCTAGACCGCACGATTCGGAGATCCTGCTGCCTGTTCTCAGATCAAGGACCACAACGTTCTATCGTCTTCCATGTGATCCTCCGTATCATAATTAATCATCTGCGCGCATACACCCCTTCCAAGATGGTCGACACGGGACCATGGCTGCCACCTCGCGGTGAGCCGTTACAGCAACGCTCTCACCGAACCCCGCAACACCAACCAGCCGGTGATCGCCCTCGATCACCACTCCCAGTGCCAGATATGCAGCAGGACATGTTCTTTGACAACGATGACGAAGCTTTGGCGTATGGTTTCGAAGATCATGAGCCCAGTCTGTCCAGCATCATGATGGCGGACAGCCATGGCAGCAGCGATCTGGATCTCGGCATGCCTGACACCCGCCGTGGCTCGATACCCCTGCGTCCACCGGTGCAACAGTCTCCGCGACTGCCTGAAGCGCGACAGAAGCAACGGCCTCCTGCAGTTAGCCGTGATCCCAAGGAAGAGCTGTATCGCCCTGGCAAGTCGGAAGCAACCGCACGTGACAAGAGCAGTCGTGGTGCTTCTGAAGCCCGGATCCCTAAGCGAAAGAGTGCTCCTCCGCCACGGCCAGCATATACTATGAACCATAGTGATGATGAATTCTGCGGCGATGAAGACGATGATGGAGCTGGCATCGTGGATATCGACTCTGCACGGCTGCCACGAAACCCGGATGAAAGCCAGCAGGACCTCGCCGAGCGCATCAATCAGCTGACCCGGACCATCAACGCCAACGCCCAGCTCTGCCTCGAGACCTCGCGTAAGATGGTCGCCCTCGCGCAGGAGAACAAGCACCTCGCTTATGAGGCAGGTGCGCAGCTCGACACATACGTGCTGCAGCCGGCGCTCAAGCTCGGCCAGGCGCTGAGAACGTATTGTCCTGGTGTGGATGAGGGCGTGCAAGCGCTGTGGGAGTATGAGGCGCAGATCAGGAAGAGGGTTATCAACGGGCTGAATGGTCGAGATGCCCTGTTTCAGACTGGAGCTGTGGGCGGGAGGCAGGGCAAAGAGGTTGATCGACTGAAGAACCGGCTCATCGAACAGGATGCTCTGCTGAGGGACTCCAGCCAGCATATTCGAAAGCTCATGAACGAGAGGGACAGGCTGAGGCGCAAGCTCGAGAATGGCTACCAGAACGGAGACTCAGGGGCTGGCGGGGAGGGACCAGCACGCCCAAGCTACCGCGATCTGGACGATGTCGTGAAGCAAGCACAGGCCGGACCAGCTGGACGAGCGCAACACCAACGAACACCGAGTCACGCCGAGGACGCACAACTTGCAGAACAGCTTGGAGAGTTACGCATGTTGGTAGACAGGCTGCCCGTGCTTAATGTGAGTAATTACGGGAGCAAAGTCGACGGCCATGATGTTTCTGACATTTACTCGCAGGATGTACCGTCAAGTAATGATACACAAGCTGGGCATAGCGCCTCTACGCATCTGAAAGCTGATCAGGACGATGAAGAGGATTGGACGCTGTTGTAGGGCGGTGATGTGCGGTGTAGGGAAGCAATACGACTAGTATATAGATATGAGACGTTAAACACACAAGACCATGGCCATCTTGCTTCGACTTGGTCTGTCCAACACTTGCAAGACACTTCCCCGACAAATTTGTCTGCTGCTCAGGTCGGCTTTATTATGACACTGGACCTGATGTGGGCAGCGACCGGCCAGATATCCCCAAGCGCATACTTGATGAATTGCAGCTACGATTGCACGTTGCGCATTCCGACGTCTTTAAGAGCGCTGTTCTGCGCAGAATCCGGCTCAAGCATCAGGAAGTCTACGTGCCGAAAAGTTCCGGGCGGCATTTCGTGGTCTGTAGATCAGACATGCCTGGCATCTTGGGCGTCGCTCCTTCCGTGGCTTGACAGCGACTTCCTCCCAACGTCAGACGATCCTACCAAGCACCCCTCTGCTTTATGTCGCTGCCACTCGATGGTCCCCCTCCTCGAGCACTTCTAACGTTCATCCTCGCTGTTCCTGTCCCAAGCCACACGCGCGTGGCTTCTACATGAAGCAGGTTCAACCGCAATGCATCACTCAGCGCAAGCCTCCTACGACACTTTTTAAAGAACACACTCATTCTACTGTGTGCAAGAGAGATTCTGCAGCCTCCTTCAGTCAAGTTGCTTCTTCCATGAGTTCTGAGCCTACCTCGAGTTTCACATAACACCCGGTTCACCCCAACGTGTCACTTAATGCCTTGCCCTCTCTGAGAACGGCATCATGTCATCCAGCCGTCCGCCTAGTCCTGGCGGTGAGCAGCCCCAGGGACTGCATCACAGTAGTTCACCACGGCATGCGGTCACCGAGGCAGTGATCATGATTCCCAACAAGCGAGAACTACAGGAGGCCGACACCCAAGGCAGTCAGCAACTGGCACCACCATCTCCTGCTGGGTGTTCGCGGGCCACAGTCCTAGGACGCTTCCGTTTACCCACGAACCACTTGGAAGAGGAGGTGATTGGTGATTTCACATTCGCACGAGCCCCCAAAACAAAACCAGTGAACTATGGATCGGCTACAAAGACCGTCCCCTTCATCCAGGAGAACATCGCCGGCATGGAAGACGGCGCTTTTCGAGGGATGAGTGCTCTCAAAAGTTCTGTCAACGACGAGGTCCCGCATATTGAGATTCCCAAGACGACAACCGGCACGCCTCCATCAGGACAGGGGGACGCACGATCGTCTGCGCAGGACAACATCCTCAGCCATGGCAGACTCTCGCGCTCGCCCCAGCAGCCTGTATATGCGGAAGCCATCAATACAAGCGCAGCACCACCATCGGTCGATATTGATCGTGAGATGATCTCAGGTGACCATACTGACAACAAAGCTGAAGATGTCGAAAACGTCATCCGCGCTGCTGCGAGCAAGAGAGCTGCACCTCATGGTATTCAAGCACTATCGTCTCACCCCTTTCGCACCTCGGAAGAGCCTCCCGACCCTACACCCTCTAGCATTGGCAAGAAAGAGAGTACAAAACAAAGGGCTACGCCAGCCATGACTGGGTCGCGACAGAAGACCAGGCGCCTTGACAGAGCTACGGCAAGTCAGATCAAAGTACGACTCCCACAGGCAGGAGAGAAAGGCTGTGCTCTAGTACCTAGCCAGATCATACAACCGCATCATCCCGCTGGTGGTGATTTGAGCTTTCAATCACCGCGAGGTTCTGTCACGAAACCCAAGGATACGAGATCTCAGACAAAGAGAGCTTCGCGCCCCCCAACTCTTGACGGAACACCTATACGACGCCCTGGATCACAGACTTCAAACACATCCAGGCGGCGAGCTGAGCATTCCAACCAAGTACATGAAATGTCCAGCCCATCTTTGTCTGAGCGGAACGTCTTCTTTAGTGACTTCAAGAACACATTCAACAGACTTTCTGTCTACGAGCACCACCTCATGAAGCGACAGGAAACCAAATTAGTGGGGCTTCGGGATGAAATCGCAAAACGTGACGTGATGCTTCACAGGAGCAGCGAGCAGGTTGAGCAGCAGGTTCGCACGATTCAACATCTGGAAGAAGAGAAGTTTGACCTGGAGAACGAAAAATCCGTGTTGCAGGGTTCGACCACCAAGATTGCTGAGCGCTTGTCCCACCTGAAGGACAAATATCAGATTCTCAAGAACCATGCCAACGAAGCGTTGAAGGAACAACAGGCTTTCCAAAAGCAAACTAATATCATGGTTCAGAAGGCCACCTCAACCATGAGGGAAGAACTGGAGGAATATCGCAATCAACGTGCTTTGGATCTCGAGGAAGCCGAACGCATCCGAGCAAGCTTCCAGGACAGAGTTCTCGTAGCCCTCCGCGAGGCTCGTGAGCATTGCCGAGGACGTAGGTCTTCTCGTAATATATTGGAACTAGGAACCCTGCTAACTATCTGTGCCAGTCGATGAGCAGGTGCAGTGGCTTGAGACCCAGCTTGTCGCCAGCAAGGAGGAGACTGTCCGAGAGAGGGCCGTTTCCTCCTCCCTTGAAGAACAGCTACGGAAATCAAAGGAGGAGAACGACGCAACCCTACAACAACTGATTAAAGAGAGCCAAGAAATTATTGCAGAACTTTCACAAGTGAGAGACCATGAGCTCTTGGAGCATGGCGAGCTCGTGGAGCAGAGTGCAAAGTAAGTATATATCACGCAATCTTGACACCGAACTCGGCTGACAATAGTCAGACTCGACAAAATCGCGGGCTTGCTCGTCGATCAAGGTTCGGTACTTGATGAGGACAATATGACGCACGACAGTCTTAAGACTGTGCTCAACGACGCTTTATCACGGTACGCCACAGATTTGCAATGCACACCGCCGTTGTCATCCTTTACTGACATCATATGAAGGCTCTCCGCTGATCTACAAAGTGCTGCCACTTCACTCAAAGCTGGAATATTGAAGAATATGCCAAAACCATCCAATCAAATTGAAACTATCGAATTGATGTGCCAAGACATTCTGGCGCGTTTCGGTGCTGCACAGGAGAGCTATTTCTGGCAACAAAAGCTCCAAGACGCTGAAAATGTGGTCTTTATGCATGAGGGGATCATCGAGGAACTCCAGCGCCAGCTTGCAGAAAGTAACGAGGTTGTGTTTAATCAATGGCAAGAGAACCAAAGCTTGCAAGAGACTATGTGGTCCTACGAATACGAGGCTGCAAATCTGTCGGAAATGCGGGAGGCACTTGGAACACTCACAAGCCAACTCACAGGTCAGGAAATGACACTGCGAGAGAAGGAGAATTCGATTGAGAACCAAGCAGAGGAGATTGCAGAATTACAGAGCCAGCTTGCCAGGCAGGCGACTTCAGTTCAGAGCAGCGAACAGCGCCTTCTAAAGGAAGAGGAATCGCATCAACAGTACAGACATACTATTTGTGGACAGCTGGCAGTACTTGAGGGAAAGTTGGCAGACGCTGAGAAGCTTGCGGCCGAAAAAGACCTCGTGTGCAAGCGCAAGGATGAAAGCCTCGACACACTGAACAGTGAACTAGCTACGGAGAAAGGACGGTCCCGGGCCATGGAGGAACAGCTCGAAAAGGCACACAGGAAATTTGAGCAGCACAATCGAGCACTTCATGAGCAGCAGGCGCAGCGTCTACTCGAAGCCGTCAACAACTCGACTGAAAAGGCTGAGGCGGAGCGTACAGAACTGCTGAAGAAGCTCAAAGCCGCGAATTTGGCCAACGAGAAGCTGCAGCAGGAGCTGTCTGGACGCTCTCGGGAACTTCAACAGCTGGAGGATCAGAAGCGGACCGAAGACCTCGAGCGGGAAGAGGCAGATCAGCGAGCCAGGGCGCGAGAGGAGGAGCGTCAGAAGGCCTTGGACGATGCGACCACCAAGTTGGGTATCGTTGAGGTCGAACGAGCCGATCTAAAGGAGCAGCTGCGAACTGCCGATCAGAACAACAAGAAGCTTGGCGAAGAATTGTCTGGCGCCCAAAGTGCCAGCGAGGTCTCTGGCGTTCGAGTAAGACAACTTGAAATCAGTCTTCAGGAGCTGTCCAGCGAGAAAGAACAACTGCAAGAGCTGCATGAGGTCGCTGTGGCAAATGCTGCAATGCTTCAGCAGGCACTTATCGAAGCTGAGCGCGCTGCCGAAGCTGATGAAAGTGCTCGTGACAAAACCGCAAGTGCGGAATTGTCAGCGGCCCTGAAGGTGGCCAACGATTCTTTGATGGCTTTCCGAACTTCTCAGGACAGTCGCGAAAAGCTCCAGACAAGTCTTGAGGAATTTTCGGGCGGCCGGCTTGCAAGTGCGAAATGGTTGCAGAGTCTGAGCCGACTTCAGAACGACAAATCATCAACCATTGAGCTTGGCGAGCAGTTGGAAAAGGTGCTCAGGGTACATGAGGTGCTGCTGCAATTCTGGGAGAGACACGACAAGACTGTTTTCGAGGTCTCTCAGAATGTGGAATCATCCCTTGCGCCCGCGCCTGGCTTCATACCAATTGCGCCGGTCTCCAATGCCGCCACTTCTAACAACGTGGATCATGAGAGGCGCGTATCCATCAAGTCTCCTGCAGTTCTTGAAGGCGTCGACATGCCAATATCTGTTGAGCAGGAAAGATTGACAAGAAGAGGCTTGGTTGTGCCGAGATCCATCATGAAACTTCAGTCGCAGATCTCTGAGAACCCCATTGCCGATAGTCAGGCAGACGATTCGATGCAAGCCCACGAGCTCGAAATACCTGACTCTCAAGTCGTGGTTCAACCTGTCGCACCGCGTGCCAATCTTCGGCGCCCTGTTGTGCACACAATGTACAATCGGAGGGTGAGCTCTTCGAGCACGGGCACGGAAATACAACCTCTGGAAGCGCAAAACACAGGAAGTAGTGCAGCTCGCGAGGGCCAAAGTCATACAACACTACATGACCTAGCGCCGCGTCAAGGAAGTCTGTCGACTGGCCGAATGCATGCCCGGAACACTCGAAAGGCCGGCCCCGGAAGTGACGACCCGCAACGCAAGCGGCTCAAACTGTCGCGTTCGATGTCACAGTATTTCTCCCAGCCATCGGAAGCTGAGTCGCAGTCCTCCACCATCTCTGCACTCTCAAGCCAAGAGCGACGGGGAGGCCCGATAGAGCGCAAGTCGTCCCGGGTCATCACTTACTCGCAACAGACCGCGCTTCGGGCATGAGATGAGCATCGAATTTGAGGGGATGAAATGATGGCGACATAGACATAGAGAGGCAAGATTGCAGGGACCTCTCGAATGTCGTTTACTCGATAGGTGTATGGTTACCACTCTGACTAGCTTAATGACCTGAATTGCTCACGAAGCACATGGTACATGAACAGTTGCGGTGGAAACCTCATTTTTGGCGCCTCTGCTGTTCAGGCACCACATCGCCACAGTGCACACGTCTGCGATGAAGCAGAACACACACCGAGCCTCATGTATGCTAGAAAATCGAGACTGCGTTGCTTTATTGCTTATGGTCTACCTCCCGTCACTCGTGAAGGTCGTGGGATCTTGGTGATCTGATATGGTACAGATGGTGTACAGGTATGTGATATGAATGCTGCTCAAGCTTTGAAGAGCTGGCACTGCTCAGTAGCTGTTGGGTGGGTGGTGTGCCTCGGCGGCGCTTATTTGGCTCGAGATGCAATGCAGTGAAGATGTTTGCACTTCGGCAGGACGGTAGGGTATATAATGAGGATGCTCGAAGGGTGGCGCCGATCAACCTTTTCGCTTCTGTTCGAGGAAGAGCACCTTTTTCCGCACTACACATTTCCGATCCGACGTCAGCAACCAACCAAGTCTCCCCCTCTAATGCCATTTGATTTGCGCTGCTTATGAACGGGGTTGGAGACATGCGTACCTATCGGGTCGTACTTGAGCATGCTCATTGGTTTCGAGGTCCGGGGCCGGGTGAACTGGTAGAAGAAGCCCGTCATGGCCATGGAGATGAGGCGCACGGGGATCATGCGGGATTTCTCTGTTGACGAGGATCAAGAATTAGCCGGATAGGCCCTTCCTGGAAGGGGTTTCTCGAGATGTCTATTCTGTGTGTCGGGGTGGTCTCGTGGAGGTGTTTGTCGTTCTCGCGTGTAAACTTCTTTCTCTCGGCTAGGGGGTCGGAGGGGCCGGTGCAATATGGTGTGAGGTGCGTTCTTACGTTTCTTCGCCATGGCTACGGCCTGTGGAAGGTGGTCGCACGCGGGGTGTTGAGCGAGGGAGCTGTCGTCGGGTCTCGCAGGCTCGACAAGCAGCAGCAGCAGCAGCAGATCTTCAATTGTCGTTTGTTGCCCTCTGGCGAGTGGTCCGCCACTGGGGTCCTTGAGCCTGGCTGGGCCCAGGAGCCAATAGGATGGACTACTTGTGACTTTTAGGCGGGTACTGAAAAGTGTGGCTTGCGCGTGTGGTGGTTTGGAGGAATGCGCCACAGCTTCGATGGGCCGCCCTCCTCGCTGGGTCTCTTCTGTTTGAGTTGTCGAGTTTACAACTAGTGTACTTGCATCTCATTACAATAAGCGATTTTCCTCGGTCGAGATGGATCACATTGCCGCTGCGACGCTTTGCAACGGCCCATTCCACTTCTCACTAGCATAGGCGTAGTTCCATGACTTGACAGTCGGAACAACACTGCTTGATGCAGTGGGCCAGCGGGATCGGCTGTGGATTGTGTGTCATGGGGCTGGGGTTCGCTGCACGGCTCGCAAACTCCTGCACTTGTTAGAGCCAGACACCCATGGTCATAAGCAATGCTGCCTGCTGTGCAAGTGGAGAGACGGTGGCATCGATGCTGGACCCTGAATCGAATATGACTGCAGCTGGGCCCGAGCCCGCGGGCTCCGATGCAAGGTCCGCCAGCAGATAAGACAAGCTTTCGACCAGCTGCAGACAGAGAGAGAGCGCGGTTAGTGGACGGACGGGTGGACATGCCCAACTAGGGCAAGCAGTGCTCCTGCTGGGTGACTCGACCCCAAGGGACGAAAGGACCCCTCAGCGGCTAGGCCTTGATTGACTTGCAGGGCGCGGAGAGGGAGCCATTCGTGTGCTACCAGATAGTCATCAGGCCCTTTGCTCCCAGTCAGCCCTGCGGAACGATGCCGATTCGTGGAGATCAGCCTGTGTCCCGACGCATGCCAGATATCTGCACTGCTGCAGACTGTTGTTGAACAAGTATATATTCCACGGAGGGAGGCTCGACACAGAGCCCTCCAGACCAGTCACCATCCTACTTCCTATCGCCGTCTTGTCTTAGTGGTGTCTTGAAGACTGCCATACAACTGCTCCGTCAAGATGCCGTCCGTCAGCCTCGAGTACCCCACAAAGCCCTTCAGCAAGGTCAACAGATATGACTCTCGAGGTACCCCATTCCCATTGTTTTACCCTCCCTTCGTGCTCCAACAAACAACATGCTGATGTCGTCTGCACAGCCAGCTACTCCCTTGAGACGATCCACCAGATCATCAACTCGTGCCCCATCCTCCATGTCTCCTTCACCACCCCAGACTCGCCGTTCCCCATGATGCTGCCCATGATTGGGCAGATGGGCTCCTTTGACCGGCCCAGCGCCGACACCGGCGACGTGCTCGACCTGTACCTGCACGGCTACGTCTCCTCGCGCATCATGAACCTGACACGGCAAGGGGGCGACGACAGTGGCGGCACAAAAACAGAGGGTGGCGGCATGCCCCTGACGATTGGCGCGAGCCACGTCGACGGCCTGGTGCTCGCGCTGACGCCCAACAGCCACAGCTACAACTACCGCTCGGCCGTGTTGTTCGGGCACGCGACGCTCGTGACGGAGCTCGACGAGAAAAACTACGCCATGGAGCTCATCACCAACAGCGTGGTGCGCGACCGCTGGCGCAACAGCCGCGTGCCCCCCAACAAGGCCGAGATGGGCAGCACCAGCATCCTGCGCGTCAAGGTCGCCGCCGGAAGCGCGAAAATTCGCACGGGCATGCCCAGCGACGAGAAGGCCGACCTGGCCGACGAGGCCCTCCTGGACCGCGTCTGGACCGGCGTCATCCCCGTGCAGCTGAGCATGGGCGAGCCGCTCCCGGGGCCGTACAACCGGGTCGAGAAGCTGCCAGCTTATCTGGAGGAGGGGAGGAGGGACTTTAATGCCTGGAATGAGGAGGCCGCTGTCGAGGCGGCGAACAAGGCCATGGCCCCGAAGGCCAAGTCCGAGGAGACATGATAATAAGAGTGAGTGTCAGAAGCACAGCTACAAGAGGGTTTACATTATCTATTTCAGAAAAAAGAGAAAAAGAAAGGAAGAAAGAAAACCCCGTCACCCTTGGTGGGGGTTGGACTGTGCCTCTGCTCATGCCCGATTCGTGGATGGCTTCATCTCGGGTACAGGTGCCAATGCATGGCAGGGGGTGCCGGACCAAGAGCTCCCGGCGTGATCCGCAACCCACCCCTGGTGCCCGATATCGACAACCCTATCGTGCAGGCAATGACGTAGTTCTGTCAACATCACGACGGCAGTGATTTGTGAACCAAGCCGATGCCCTGGGGCTTGTAGTTGGATTCCTGCATCTCGGAAGTCTTGTTCTCGTCGATGTGGTGTTTGCGTGCACAATACCTTGGCGGTCACTTTGCAGGCCGTTTTCCGCTTGTCTCGACTTTGATCCACAACCTTCGTCAGATTCGCTAACAAAGGAGTCAGTCCCGCACCAACCTGATTCGAGAAAGGCGAATAAGTTCAGAAAACACCAATTTTGAGGAAAAGTCAGGGTTGGCGGCATCATGCCACAGACACGGCACGACGCAACCTCCCACAGCACAAGCACCACCACCACCACCAGCGTGCCCCGTCTGCCAGCGAGCCTCAGACTCAGACTACACTACTTCCCCCTGGTCGCCGGCACGGTCTGGTTCGCAACCCTGACGACACTCCTCCTGCGCTGGGTGTTCCTGGGCCGGCCCAGATACCCCGAGCAAGCCAACCCCGACGTGCCGTTCATTAGCGACATTGCTGCCCAGACCCTGAAGCCCGTCTTCATCGTGGGCTGTGCCGTCACGGGCGTCTTCTTCTTCGGCACGGTGTTTGGTGTAAGCCATGTCCGGTGCTCGCCGGACCTGTACAGGGTCGAGGGGGGCTCGCTTACACATTATCGTGATGATGCCACTGATGAGGAAAATCCTCAAGACCGCGGTGCCCTTGTGACTACCAAGCCAGCCAGCCCTGGAGAGAGGAAGAAGAAGGAGACCAGCGTGGCAACCACGACCATTGTCAGCTTCTTCGCCCAGCTCACGGGGTTCACCGCCGCCTTGAGCCTCTGCCTCCTCAGCGTCTTCGACACGGTCGACTACTCGGTCCAGCACCACTACCTGCTCATGGTGACCTTTGCCGGGCTGTGGCTCAGCGCGGCGCTCACCACGGCCCTGTGGCGGGATCAGCTCTGGTTTACGGGCCCGCCGGGGCTTGCTGGGTTGAGAAAGTGGTGAGTTCCCCTGTTCTCGGTTCCTACGTGTGCATGCATGAAAAATAATCAAATGACTTGTGTTGCTGAAAGAAACTTCTTTCTGGCGTTACTGCTCCCAAGCTTCCTCGTCCACACAAGATACATCACACCATATGTTGGTGTCGTGTCTGCCTGTGCTTGAGACTAACATAATAACAAAACCAAAAACCCAGGGTGACAATCAACGCCATCCTCGTCGTGGTCCAGCTCGTCGTAGGCGTCCTCTTCGTCGCGCTCATGTACGCCCAGGAGCACCGCTGGGCGGGCTACTGCGAGTGGACGCTCACGTACCTCGGCGCGTTCTGGCTGCTGTCCTTTGTGGGCTTTGTTCGGTACGTCCTCTCTCGCGTCCCCGCCTCGTCTTCTCTTTCGTCATGCAAGTCCTGTGGTTCTGCAGCTCTTTCAACCACACACACATACACCCTTTTGGTCCTCCGCCTGTCATGCAATAATATTCATCACCGCGTGGTTGAGAGAGGTTGGTTCACGTTTTTTTTTTAATCGGAGACGTGTGCTGACTTTTCCCTGGCGTCTACTTATTTGGTAGGGTCCGCGAAGACGAGAAGAATGAAGCTGTTGAGAGTGTGGAAGCTGAAAGACAGCCATTGCTTGGTGCTTGAAACACCTTGAACCGCACTGGTGTGTACGGCTCTCGTCTGGAGACCATGGTCCCAATGCTCGCGAAGGGATGAGCAGTGGATATATAACGGGAATCCATACTCTCCATGCCAGGCGTCATGCGAGAGCGTACATATTATAGGAGATTATAGAATACAGTGCAATGCTATGCTATATAGTACAATGTCGTGTTCTCGTACAAGTTCGTTTGGTGTCCAGACAGCACCGCCGCGGGTGCGAGTACAGGAACCAAAGACAAGGTCCACGTCCTGACCACGCCCGCCCAAAGTTCGCTGAATAGCCAGACCTGAGGCACTCACGTCTCTCTCGTAGCTCAAATCTCGACGTCGGAACACTCGTCATGCGTGTTCGAGTGGGAAGCACAGCTCCCCGCCGCCCCTTCCAGCGTGCACGGTTTACCGCCGAGGATCTCGTAATCCCCATCAAGCAATACATCCCGGACGCGCCGCAGCTCCGCGTCAGGCGGGCTCAACTTGGCCAACCCGATCACCGCGTTGAGCACCATCCTGTGCTGCTGGGCCTGGTACGTGACCGCGCTCCGGACCTGCTCGCGCTCTTCTCCCGGAAATGATGCCGTCGCTGTCGCTGCCGCTGCCGCCGCCGCCGCCGCCGCCGCCTCCACGGTGTCCTTGCCGCTGCCGCCGGCGTTCCAGAACACTCGGAACCCAGAAATTGGTACATCCTGGTCGTCGTCGTCGCCGCCGCCGCTGCCCCTCGCAGGCTGCTGCGGCGCCGTGAGGCACTTCTCGAGCAGGAAGGGCATGGATATTATCACGGATGCGTCGTCGTCTTCGTCTTCACGTTGCTGTTGCGAGCTCAGTGTCGGGCTGGGCATGAGCAAGATCTCCTGCGCCTGGTAGTGGCGGCCCCTTGGTGGTGGTGGTGGTGAAGCGGCCCCATCGTCTGGTGATGGGTCTGCCGTCTCCCCCCGCGTGCCGGGGGCTCGTGTCGTCGAGGACGGGACACAGGCCGTCATGACGACGCCATAGCTGCGCAGGGGCGGTTGCTGGATGAGCATCCGCCGCCAGGACGCTTCTGGCCTGGCAAACGCATGCTTGCGGGAAGTAATGTGCGGCGACGCAGGGAATGGGGTCGCGTTTAGAGCCGAGGCGTCCTTGCTTCTGGAAATGGGTTGTTGTAGCGGCAGGTCAGGCTGCTGATGCTTGTGCTGGTGTTTGTGCTGGTTGTGGAGCTGCTGGAAGCAGAAGGGGAATGTGTCGACGAGGAGCTGGTTGAAGAGCGGTGCTGAGGGTGGTATCGAGGCGTCGGGCTGGAGAAACAGAGCCTTTTGTAGGCCAGGGGAGGTCTTGATGAGGCTGTGCCATGTTGTGCTTGTGCGCTGGGCCGCCACGAGCAGAGTGCGCGTGTCCAGGTGTAGCAGTATGGCTTCCAGGAGCTCTGGGATGGCGAGGGCTGTGTCCATGGTGTCAAAATGGACGAACCCGACGACTGGACAGAGGGGATGGCTCCTTTTACGATGTTGTGTCGAGATACACTCCAGAAACCCCCAATCACTTGGCGCCGTGGATATATATATAGTTGATAGAGCTTGCGCCAAAGGGTCAAGTATGCCGTGGGCTTGCAGACCGACTTGCAATGCGTGGTTCCTGTTTCATCCAGGCTCGTAAGACGTCTCTCATTGTGCCATGGGTGATGTGCCACCGGCTAAATAATGTACTGGCCAGCACCAGTACTGAAGCGATCAGAGATCACGATGACTGCATGTCTACGTGCCTGCCCAGAATTGCCAGATTCGGGCAGAGCAAGCCCAACATGACGGGCTCCACCAAGACACGTCAAGCGCAAGGGTCTTCCCCAGTTTTCCACCACGGCGGCCCGGAGGCGCATCCCACGGGCCAAATGGTCCGCCCCTGCCTGCTTCCTGCCTGCCAACTTTTTTGGACACGGGCAACAAGCTGAGCAACATCAGTGAATGTCGCCCGTGCATCTCTCACATGCAGTTTCAAGTGCTGGTCTACGTAGTATTGGCCAGGACCGGGCAGGCTGGACCAGACGCGCAATGATAGGACTGCCATCCCGGCACAACGAGCAAGGGAAGGGGCAACTGACAAGACACCCCCAGCATCATAGGTGCGCGTCTCATCCCCATCTCAGCACTGATCTGATTCCGCCGTTGCCGTCATGTGCACTCGCAAAAGCCAATGTGTGAGCCGCGTGGGAGGGCATCGAGGGGGCGTGGCATTACGTCATTGTGTCCCAGCTGTCTGGGATTGGCGTGCACTGATAGGCGCAACTGCCCCAACCGGGAAGGAGCCGCGTGCTCGCGGTTTTCTGGGACGCTGATCGCACAATCGCACAATCCCATACATCCATCATCATCCTTCAATATGTGCTCGGCATCTCTGGGCCGGCCGCCCGCACAACATCTTGGGTCATCGAGCACGCATGGGACTTGCAGCTATGTACCTAGCAGGCGCTTCCTGGCGCTCCTGCATTGGCTTGTCCTTGGGGACAGGCAAAGCCGTCTCAAACCACACTGGGCTGGTTAGTTATCAGTCCAGCACGACATTCAGGCGTTCTTTTGCTTTTTCCCGTATAACACAATCGAAAGCTCACGGAAACCCCGCTGAGAATCGCTGTAAGTACTGCAAACCAACACGTAAGGCGCATGAGACGGGTTGGGTCATACTTGCAACATGCTCTTGATGTTGAATCTTGAAATCTTGATCAGAATTACTTTTTGCATGCTTTGTCCTCCTTTTTCACCACCCCAATTGCGCACACCTGCCGTGTTCCGGTCCCACGCCTTACGGCTCTCCCCAGATCTCGTCGGCAATCTGGCGCACGAGACCGAGCTTCTTCTTCTGGTCGTCCACCGACAGCGGGTAGCCCGTCTCGTGCGTGCTGAAGCCGCACTGGGGGCTGATGCACACGCTCTTCAGCGCCTGCTCGCGGGACTCGCCGCGGCCCTCGGCCACAAAGTCGGCGGCCTTGAGGATGCGCTCCTTGGTGGCCTCCTTGTCCTCGAGCTCGCGCAGCTTGGTGCTGATGGCGCCGACGACGACGAACTTGTCCTTGGGCAGGAACTTGAGGGGCTCGAAGCCGCCCGCGCGCTCCGTGTCGTACTCGAGGTAGAAGGTGTCGAGCTCGAGGTCCTGGAACAGCTTCTTGGCAATCACGTCGTAGCCGCCCTCGGCAAAGTGGCGGCCACCGATAAAGTTGCCGCGGCACAGGTGGATGCCCGTGTGGAAGTCGGCGGGCAGGCCGCGGACAGAGTCGTTGTAGAGCTTGATGTAGGCGTCGAGCAGGTCGTCGACGGTGCCAATGTTGTCCTGGTCGGCGGCCCAGCCGTCGCGGAACTTGTCGCTGCAGAAGTAGGCCATGCCCGGGTCGTCAAACTGCACGTTGCGCAGGCCGGCGTCGTACAGCATCTTGAGCTCCGCGTTGTACATCTTGGCCACGTCGGCAAAGTACTCGGCGTCGCTGGCGTACGCCTCGGGCGTGTAGGCGCGGCCCTGCTTGTAGCGCATGTGGAACCAGGCCGGGGTGATGACGGTGAGCTTGATGTTGGGCCACTCGCTCTCGGGCAGCGCGGCCTGGACGAGCTTGAGCTCGTGCAGGTTGGACACCGACTTGGCCCGGTCGTGGCTCAGCTTGGTCTTTGCGATGACCGACTCGCCGGGCATGACGTGGCGGTCCTTCTCGATGAGGCTGACGACGTCCGGGTGGTAGAGGCGGAACATGGACGCGTCGGCCTCCTGCAGCGCCGTCGTGCCCTCAAACTCGTCCCACATCTGGCCCCAGAAGCGCGTCCGGTTGAACTCGCCCGAGTTGACGGCCTTGAAGCCGGCCTCGCGCTGCAGGGCCACGACATCGGCGACGGCCTGCTTCTCGACAGCGGGGAGGCCGGCCTCCTCGGCCGACACGCCCTTGTCCCGGATGTTGGCCCGGATCTCAAGCAGGTTGTCCGGCCGCAGGAGCGAGCCCATGTGCTCAGCCCGGAATGGCGCCATTGCGGAATATGGTTCAAGCGAGCTGCTGCCCGTCCGTTCACGCCATTATTAGCCATCGGCTCTCTGTGACACAAAAAGGATGACGCTGACTGGTGGGGGTGGAGCTGTGTGGTGTGTCTTGCCGAGGCACCTTGCTGGCCATGTGGGAGGAGGGTCTTGGTGCAGCAGCATGCATGATTCGAGATTGAGACATACCTTGATAACGTGGTGATATGGGGGAGGGCTAGGTTTGGTGGCCAGGGAACACTCCGAGTGACGGGAGCTAGTTTCTCGAGGAAGGGTAAAGGAGGCTTGCAATCTGCTTCGTGCTCACAAACAGCGGAAAGAGAAGAAACGGCACAGAAGTGGGAGCGCTCCTGCCTGCCCCTCACCCACTCACTCACTCGCTCATCTCCTCGGACCCTTACTCCACCTTGACTTTGACTCTCTCCCCTCTCTTTCCCCTCTCCGGGCCTCTCCAACTGGTTCCCCTCTCTTCTGGCGGTGAAATTACAATGGCCGACCCGCCAAAAGAGTCGCAAATCTGCACACCTGGGACCAGACTCCGCTCATGCCTCCCCCCTCTCAGGCGCCTGCTTTCCGTCGGAGCCTTTGTCCAGATGAGGTCAGGGTTCCGCCAGGCTGGGCCGTGATTGGGTGCATTGTTTCCGACAGTGGAAGTAAGCCCTGCTGCGAGACTACGTTAGCCTACTCGACGAACGGACTGGGCAAAGTGCCCGATCCGAGAACCACTCAGTGGAGCCCGAGACATAGACCCTCGCTTTTTATGCATGCTTGCTGCATGTTGCTTGCAGGATGCAGCACACACACACACACACATGGCCATCTGGCAGGGGTTCTTGTTCTGTGGCAAAATGCGGGGGTGCCACTGGGTGCTACTGCACATTCCAGGCCTTCTCTTCCACACACCTCCCCCTCATCTTGGCGTGTTAATGCTCTGGGCACGAATGGGCCAGTCCCACTCGACAACTCCTCCTTGGTTTGCAAAGATATACGACGCTCAGTTCTAACGCGAGGGACGAAAAAGATGTAGAAGATATAGAAGATAATGGGGCTTGGGCAGTTGTGATGCTCGAAATTCCCATCCATAATTTCACCAACGGGAGGACGCGAAACGGTCACGTCACGCAGTGCGACACACTCGAAAACCAAAAGTGCGAGTTCATCAGATCGTATTAAAAATCTATGCAGACACCGTTTGAGAAAAGATATTTATATGTATAAAGAACCATGTGTCTCGCAGACGGCGCTTCACTTCAAAACCACTGCAACCACCCACACCACGTCTTCAGAACATCCCACCCTTGGCGGGCATGATTACGCTAAGAAAGGTCTAATACCACATCTGCCGCTTAGAAGAGAGCGAGTATGGCACCGGCGACGGCCAGGACGAGGCCGCTGGCGACCTGCTTAGAGGCACCGGCCGTGGGGATGGGAGTCTCCACGGGGTAGGAGACGGTTGGGTACGGGGCAGGCTTGGTCGGGTAGCCGCCGCCGCCGGTAGGGCCGACTGGGTAGGTGCTCATGGTGGAAGGGCTGCAGGTGGTGGTACCGTTCTGGACCGGAGGGACCGGCATCGAAGGGTAGTACGGCGCTGTCGGGTAGGCAGGCGTCGTCGAAGGGTGCTCGACGGGGTAGGTCTCGGTGGCAGACTCAACCGGGTACTCCTCAGTGATAGGCTTGACGGGGTATCCCTCGGTGGTAGGCTTGACGGGGTACTCCTCAGTGGTGGCGGACGACTGGACAGCGCTCGACGTGGGGTAGGGAGTGCTGGAAGGCGCAGCGGTAGGGAAGCTCGAGGTCGGGTACGCGACGTAAGTCGGAGGGTGGAAGGTGCTGACCGACGAGCAGGGCACGGGCGTGACGTGGGTGACGACAGCGGACGTCGTGGTGGGCGCGGCAGTGGCCGTTGTAGGGTGAGGGTGTATATCGGTGATGGTAGCACCGACCGGGCAGATGGTCGTGTAGGTCGTGGTGTGGACAAGAGTGGTCTCGCCCTGGTACTGGCCGGGGCAGTTGGGCACGCTGGCAGCACAGCTGGTCACGGTGTAGGTGGCAGTCTGGGTGACGGTGGAAATGACGTGTCCGGCAGGAATCGTGATGTCCGAGGTAGGGAAGCCCGAGTGCTCGCTGGCAGAGCCGGTGACACTGGCAGAGATGGTAGCAGTGGCAGTTCCAGTGACAATACCAGTGGCAATACCGGTACCGATCTCAACCAGCTCCGTAGCACTGCCGGTGACCGAGCCGCTGCCGGAACGAGTAAACACGGGGACAGAGGGCGCGCCAGTGGTGGCACAGTGAGTGGCCGTGGGAGCCTCGAGCAGGGCAGTCGAGATGGTAGGGGCCAGGTGGATGCGGGCAAGGTTCTCAACGCTGACGTCCAGGCCGACAATGGCACCGACGTTCAGGCCGTAGCTGTCGTAGGGAACCGGGCAAGACTGGTCGGGGCAGAAGAGACCGACGTATTCGACCAAGTTGACAAACACGGCAAGCTCCAGACCGGCACCGATCTCGGGGACGAAGTCGAGGATGGGCAGGATATCGCCAGCATCAACGTCGACGCCCGCGTCCAGCTCGACACGGAGACGCAGAGTGGCGTGCAGCTCGGTGCAGCCGACACGAACCTCGATCGGGAGGACAGCAACCTCGAGACCGGTGAAGGCAGCGCTGAGAATCTCGCCAGACAGGATGTTGGTGGAGAGCACCGCCTCGTCGACAAGCTCAATCTCGACTCCGGCAGAAACGTCAATGGCGGCCGAGAGGCCGAGGACCAGGTCGAGGTAGATGGAAGCACCGAGGTTGAGGCCAAGGAACGGCAGGTCCACAACCGGGGCAGCAATGAGGTTGACTGCAATCGAAGTAGCATCGCTAGCGCTGATGTCAAGGTCGAGCTTGGCCTCAATATCGGTGATGGACAGCTTGAGCGCGGGAACGACGTGCTCCAGAGAGATGGAGGCCTCGATGTTACCACGAGTGTAGCAGTCGTGGCAGATGACGGAGATGTCGAGATCCTCCTTGACAGCAACAAGGTCACCAACAACGGGGTTGGCCAAAACACCAGCAGCAAGCACCTGGCCAGAGAGGTCCTGGTCAAGGTTGACGCTGGCAGAGATGGGCTTGGCAAGGTGAGTCAGGCCGGAAAGGTCAAGACCAAGACCAGTCCGCTGCTCGACCGAGTTGGCCGAAGCCAGGCTGGAGGCCATGGCCACGGCCACGGCGCTCTGGGGAGCGAAACGCATTATGAAAGAGTGTGGATTAAGAACGATTAATGAGAGGACTGGAGTAGCTATCGTATAGACTACTTCCAAAGGATGTAAAGAGTGACTGTGTCGAGAAGGTATCTCCAGAGCGCGTGGTGAGACTAACAAAGGAATCAGCAGCCCACCAGGCTGGATACTGCCTTCTTATAAGTCATCTCCTGGTACGCGAGCATGATCACTAATGGGGGGCAGACTGTCTCCTCAGGATGCCTGATAGGGGTAGGCGGGACGCGTTAGTGATGGACATGAGATGGAGACAGCCCTGGAAACGTACCGCTTTGGACGTCTCCCGTTGTGCCTGTTCCCCGTCCGGTCCCATCTTCGGAAGCAGGACCCAATGATCCCCGTCAAAGACGCTGCCGGGGCCGCAGTCAGAATGAACTGGCCACGACATATCCCGGAGCCGTGCCTTGTCTGCGACTTCGACTGTCCCGATCTCGCTTTTTGTTCACATCCAATACCCTGCTCCAAGGTTGGATGTCACGCGGTGCAAATGCCGTTTCATAGACAATGTTCTATTCTCCGCTTAGTAGTGTGATTGTGACAGTGTTTCCAGACTCGAAGTGGGCGGAGAAATGGCCGATCGAGATAGCAAGTCAAGCCAGCAGCGGTGGACCGCCCAGAAACGCGGAAGTGTAGGCACGCGCAATATTCATCCTCGTCCCGTGCTGTATGAACCGCTTGTTGGTGGAGTCTCGTGGGCGCTAGGACCTGTGACAGTTCCGAGGGTACCTGAGCTAGCGGCATTTGACCCTGGCTCGCGTGCGCCTCAACCGTCCTGCATCCACGGGAGCACCGTGGCAAAGGCCCAGTTCATTGGCTCTGACCTGACAGACGGGCTGCCCAACCAACTCCTGGATTCATTGTACAAATCAGGAATCCTCTGGAAACCTTGGCTTAGAGCATGTTCCTAATGGAGAGACCGGCCACATGTTCCTCGAGTTCTGAATGAGCAGTCTACGTAGGCTTCAACGCTGGCCGCTGAATCTCGATGTCCCGGGGACCACAAGACACGTGCGAGAGACACACTAGAGAACAGCCACTCTCAACGGCGTGATCGTGCTCGGATCAAAGCGGCGGCCCCCCGTCTATGAGCATCATTGGCATGCGACGAGGCAGCCCTGCACTAACTGTCAAAACGGAGTGCCGAAAAAGGACCCTGGTCCCTAAGCTACGCGAGTCTCCTAACCCCAGTGGCGCTAAGCTTGGCTTCGAAATGCCGATCAGCAGTGAGCCTCTTGGCAGCATGCTTGACCAATGGTTCACCGCCTTGAAAGGGTCGCTGGCACGGCCGCTCGCACGGCCGCTCGCACGTATTTTGCTGGCTATCGTCCTCGTCGCGCCCAGTCCTGACCGTGTGATCAAGCCTGTCTAATCACGCTAGTTGGCCGATAGTGTCGAACGTGTTCAGGCGGGCACCGACACCCATAGCGGCACATGGGCACTACTGTAGTGTGCGAGGCTTCCGAGGAACACCGATACACATCCGGCGACTTCTCGAATCTTGGACGGAAGCAATCCATGTCAACTGCATCGCCTCGGGGTAGAGAGTAATCCTTGATAGAAGGATTGCGGAGGTCGTGTCAGAAGTCTCAATAGGGATAGATCAACCCATCGTGATCAGCCTGATCGACTTTCTTGGGATTGCGCAGACGTCATGTTTGCCAAATCTCGTAGGGGTATCCTGAGTGTCAGCACAGGGGATGAGAGATTGGAAACAGTCACTTCTGACACTGTCGCTACTCTGCCATGTGGCACCATGTCCGCACGGCAGCTATTCCCACTAGCGTGTCAGGGCGGCCCATGTCCAAGAGTGGACCTGGGACTTGTCGATCTTCTCATCGTCAGGTCACGCACAACTCCGGCAGGACTATGTAGACAGGCACCGTATGAACGGGGGGGAGGATTAGTGTACGACTGATGGAGCAAGGGTCTCGACAGGCCGGCCGTCTGTAATGCAACAGCTACTCTGAGCCACATCAGTAACTGGCATCATCAAGTGGCAGTCAAAAGTCTGTCTGAGATGCATGCAACCAAGTTTGACAACTGCATTTTCACCTTGAACGATTGCGGGCGGCAATACGGCTTGAGGCGTGAGGTCTTGTACAGCCTGCAGTACTTACTTCCAGCTTTGATTGTAACGCGTTCTTTGGCTTTGCGGAATGCGGTTGTAGATAAATATATCTAAGCGTGTATGGCCCTAGGTCCCGCTCTCATCTTGAAGAACGACTCGCAGAGGCTCAGCGGTTCTATTCAAGGTGCACAAGCCATCCGTCTCCCAAGGCTGCTCCTGTCTCACTCAAGCCTCCCCACAAAACAACCGTTCGTGTACTGGCTATTGGACAACTGGCAAAGCACGTCCGGGGCTCCGGACGTGGTTCATTCGTGCTGGCCGTTTGGTCGCTGCTTGCACGCGGCTCGACTTTGCACCAAGTCAAGTTTCCGGTATGCGCACCAAGCTTCTCTCTGATCTGGTCCTTGATCTTGGCTGGCTTGATAGCATTCGCCAGATCGGTCGACGCCTTCATTTCAGGCTCGCTGGAGGGAACCTGGAATGTCCACATGTCGTCCCAAATCGCATCTCCGGCCTCCAGAGCAGGGCCATCCGATGTGCCTTCTGCACGCTTTAGTTTGTTGCCAAACATGTAGAGGAGAAAGTTGCGGCCATAGCCCGTGCTAACAGGCAAGAAGCCTGCATTCGTCCTTGGCCCCGGGCCCGGCGTGAGGGGATTCGTGGGAAAGGAGGTGCTGTGCCATGTTGGCGGCTCGGGCGAGTATAGCTCGATAGGGAGCGAGTACATTACGCTGCTGAGATTGTCACTGGCAGCAACGAGATACAGCGTGTCGGATGCAGTCGCAGCACTGCTGGTGGCAACAGGAGCGCTTGGCAACGCGTTCCAGGTCTTTGTGAAGGTGTTGAAATACCAAACGTCGCGCAAAGGTGCACCGCCCTTGTCTCGCCCTCCATATAAGACCAGGTTATTGTCATGCGCCAGAAGTATGCCCTCGCTGCGGCTCGGGGGAATTCTCTCGGGATGCATTTCGGGCTTGAGAATCCGCCACTTGAGCGCCTGGGTGTCAAACTCCCACAAGACACTGCTGTCATCAACCAAATTGCCGGCCTTGTCGCATCCGCCGTACACGACCAAGTTCTTGCCCACGGCACAAGCCGAGTGCTTTGTGCGTGCGGCTGGAGTCGGGCTCGTCTCCTCGCTGGATAACGCAGGCACTGCCTGGTACTCTGGTACGCCGTTCTCTGCGGGTGAGAAGCACAAGATGTGGATCTCGTTGCCGGCGAGCTCTCCTGAGCCAATCTGCCCGCCAAATATGTATGCCCTATTTCCCAGGGCAGTGAGAGTATGGTTCGATCGTGCAAGTGATGCCCTGTGGATGTTTAGTTAGCTTTGGGGACACGTTGATCAAACATGAGGACAAACTGACCTGGATGTCTCAGGGATGGCTGCGCCGAATTGCTCGAATGAGGCTCGCACGGGCATGGTGGGCTTAGCTACCGCGTAACCTGCGGCGCCAGCTTGTACCGAAGTGCTCACGACCTCCTCTGCTGCCCAGAGGCCAGCCACGACTTCTGCCATGTTGAGTGATGTGAAGCGTGCTTGCAGGCGTGAGTTTTAGGAGGGGAATATGTGGTCCGGCTCAAGACTGCTGTTGGCAACTGTGAGGCTCGAAACAGTCTTTTGTCGAAAATGATGAGCACAGATGGACAGAGGATAAGGCGTCGAGGATAATGCATCTGAACAGTGGCCCGTCAGCAGGAAGGTGCTCGCGCCCGTGCGATGACGTAGGCAAGCAAGGAATATGGGATGACGCAGAGGGGCTGCACAGTGCCAATAGGCCTTTAGACGGCTCGCAACATTGCACAAGAGATTCGTTTTGATTTCGCCCAAAGGCAAACTGATCAAGCCTGTGAGCATCGCGAGAACGCAAACGACATCCACGGTCCCTAGACAGGCGGAAAGCAGAATCACCAGGTGGATGGGGGTAGACAAACGCGCCGTGGTCGGCACCCACCGAAGGCAGGGCCAGGCCTGCGCGCGACTTCCTAAAAGAGAACCGTCAAGGCGCCGTGGGCCAATCAGCTTGCCCCAAACGAGCTCAGCTCGTACAGGTGCCACGACGGCCACGAGATGACAATCTCCCAGATGAGATGAAGGCCCTCCATTCCTGAGAACGGCAAATCGATCAAGTCCTGGATTTGCCTGCCGGGCTGCAAACACAGCCACCAGCCACGGCCTTTTGAGGTCTGAGGAGGACAAAGAATTGCGCAACTGCCTCTGGCGGCCGCTGGGTGGGTCTCCCCCCGTTTTGGCGCATTTCGAGATTCGCCCGCTCGGCTCCCCAGAAGCTGCACGGCTGAGAACAGCCTCGGCCGGTCTGCCTTTGCCCCTCGTTCCGCGTTGCGGTGCCATGCAGCAGCTTCCCCCACCCGGCAAAGCCAGGTTCACCCACGAGGAAGACCGTCGCGTCCGCCAGCATGGGCCATTCAAGCACCACTTTCGTCGAATTTGTCTTGGTGAGACATCGCTGGGACCCACGGAACCCGGAGCTCGCCTTCTAATAATCGACAGTGTCATCAAGCCTGCGAAGTGTGGTAATACTGACTACTATAACCTGGTCTGCTACACATGACAACGTGCGCCTAAGACCCACCTCTACCCCGGCATCATGGCAGACGACAACATCACCAAGGACCTGTGTCAGTTTGTGGTCGACGCCACCTACGAGCAGCTCACCAGCCGCGAGATCAACAAGCTCAAGGATCTCGTGGCCGATCTCATCGGCATAGCAGCCGGCGCAGCTGGTGTCTGCGACTCGAGCGAGCCCTTCCTTAAGGCTGTCGTCGCTCTCGGCGGCCAGTCGGGCAACTCGACTGTCTTCACCAAGGGCAACAAGTTTACTCCGCAGCATGCCGCCATGCTGAATGCCGCTTTCGCTCACTCCTTCGACTTTGACGACACGCACGCCCCTTCCATCCTACATCCAGGGGCCACCGCGATCCCCGCTGCCCTAGCCCAGGCAGAACTGTCCGGAGCAGATGGCAAGCTGCTGCTACTTGGCATAGCGGTCGGCTACGAAGTCACGTGTCGCATCGGCAGGGCGTTGAATTATGGCGGCTACACGCGAGGCTTCCACAACACTGCCACTGCTGGCATCTTTGGTGCCGTCTCTGCGATTGCCAAGATCAAGGGCCTTTCTGTCATTGAAGTCAACAATGCTTTTGGTCTGGCCCTGTCAAAGGCTGCCGGGTCGATGCAGTTTCTTGATAATGGCTCGTGGAACAAGCGACTACACCCTGGCTTTGCCGTCCACGATGCCTTTGTCGTCACTGCTCTAGCCGAGGCCGGCGTTTTGGGCGCTACCCATCCGATCGAGGGCAAGTACGGCGCCTTACATTCCTACTCGGCGACTTCGACGGCAAAAGGTCTGACAGACGGGCTGGGCTCCGAATGGATCTTCGCCGCAACAGCCATGAAGCCGTTCCCCGCCTGCCGGATGACGCACTCGGCCATCGAGGCTGTCGCGGGACTTGCCAAGGAATCCACCGGCAAGACGCCTGAGCACATCAAGGTCGAGCTGTCTCCTGGCTGTTACCCTATCGTTGGCCCACCAGACAAGAACCGTATCCATCCTGTGACCATTGTCGATGGGCAATTTAGCATGCACTATCAGGTCGCCATCTCATGGATCTACGGCATGGAGATTGGCTGGCGGATGTACGAAGAGGCGCAGATGAAGAGCCCCGAGGTGTCGGCGCTGTGTGACAAGGTCGAGGTTGTCATCAATCCAAGTGTGCGAGACCTGGAGGCGCGGCTGACCTTTACTTGGGCGGACGGCACGACGACAAACATCGGCCAGGTCTATCCTAAGGGCGAAGATGAACACCCTTTCTCCAAGGAGGACGTGCACAAAAAGTTTCTCAGCATGGTCGAGCCTGTGTACAGCTCGGAGGTGTCCAAGTCCATTCTGGACACCATTGAGAAAATTGACGACTTGACGACTGCGGATCTTGTCAAATTGCTTTGAGGAGGGAATGTTGAATCACCTGACTTTTCTTTTCCTTGGGTGGTTAAGCGGGACACATTTGAGGCCCGAGGGCCACACAACAACTATAGTATTGTCAGACTACCACCAAAGATTGGTTTAGATCAACGTAATCCACAAGTAACCCGCCAATACAAGTGACCCGCCAACTTTGAAGGCACTCGTACGACAATGTGTAAGATAATTCAACCATAACGCCTTAAATCAATTGAAACTATGAGGAATCCTCTTCTTCAGAGGTAGATACAACTTTCTGACACGTACGAGCATTATGGCCAGGCTCGCCGCAGACGCCACATCGTCGCGCGCGCGTTTCGGGCCTCCTCGTACGACCACTATTCTGACTCGTTTCCGCCATTAACTGCTGCGTCGCATCGATTTGAGCCTTCAAATCCTTTGCCTGATTAATCGTGAGGGACCCTCCTTTCTGTAGCTGCTTTCTTTTCGTACGACGACGGCGGCTGAGGCGGTCGTTTGCATCTCGAAGTTCGGCGAGCTCTTGGCGCATAAGGTCCTGCTCGTGTACCATCATCATGACTCCTTTTCTCAGCTGCCGTACGCTCTCAACAATGGACGACGGTGAGCTATTCTGGTGTCGTACGATGCGATTTTCAATATACTTCGTCTGCGATTCGGTCTCAATTGGGTTGTTCGGCGTCTTTGAAACCCATAGGGGTGGTAGTCCAGCAGAGGAACCTGGCGGTGTCGGCGTATGAAACTTCATATCTAGCTGCGAAATCACATAATTCGGGTCGTACGGTACTAGGCCTGTCGCTCTGAAGCCTGCCTGGATGTTTGATTTGGTCATTGCAGCGTCGTACGCCTTATAAAAGGCTGGGAGGAAGTCCTCCTTTGAAACGTAGGTTACGTGCGCCCGCATTAGACCTTCAATTTCTTTACCATACGCCCGTTTCAGAGGTCCAAAACACCCAACATCGAGAGGCTGGAGCTTATGCGACGAATGAGCAGGCATACAGAGGGTAACAATATTCTGTTCCTTGCAGTAGAGCTCGAAATCGACGGAATGGTGGCTCTCGTGGCCGTCGAGGATAAGGAGGCGGTGGGTACCCTTCGTACGACTCTTTGTATGGAAATCGAAGTGTTTTACCCATTCTAGGCCTCTCTCGTTCGTCGTCCAACCGTTTTCTGAAAGCGCGATTACCCAGTCGGCCGGTAGAGGGCTATTCGCGGTCCAGGAGTCGAGGTGGACCTTCCCGGCGAAGATAATGTACGGCGGGATTGAATAGCCGTACGACGCGATACCCTGGATTACTGTAACCCATTCCTGATTGCCTTGTTGTACGGCTCTTGGCCTCCCGCGTCGATCGGAGGTCGTAACGACAGTTTCGGTGGAGATCTTGCCTATCGCGAAGCCCGTTTCGTCGAAGTTATAGATATCGTCATCGTGGATCCCGTATTTCGCGATTATGTTTCGTACGAGCTCAAACCACGCGCGATACGCGTCTGGATCTTCGCAGAGGACCCTCTGGTAGTCGATTCTTCGATTAAAACGCGTACGGAGCTCAGGTCGTCGTCGTACGAAGTTCGAGGCCCAGTTCGTTCCGACGCGTGGCGCGTCGCGTACGGCAAGGAGTCGATCCGCCATTTCTCGAACACCACTAAGTCGCGGTGGAAACGAACGCGAATCTAGGTCGATTACGTATCGTACGATGCTATCCTCTTCGTACGAAGTTAATTTCTGGCAGGGTGGTCGTACGTCTTGTTTTCGCTGTGCGCCACGGTGTCGGTCCCGGAGCGTCGTACGAGGTACATTATAGATCTGTGCAGCCTTGAGTATGCTTAATTTTGGGTCTGATCGAAGCGCATTTAGCGCTAGAATAATGTCGGCTTCGTTTGATTGCTGTGGCATAATTATTGGTGGAGAAGAAGAGGAAAGAAGATAGCTTGTACGAGAGGACAGGAAAATTGGCGGGTCACTTGTATTGGCGGGTCACTTGTGGATTACGTTAATTAAATATACATATGCACGACGGTGGCGGAATTCACTCCATCTGGTAAAATCATAATCTCTAGGGTTGTAAACACACCCTCAATGTTTGCCATAACAACTCGAAGCCGCAGTGTTCGCAGTATTTCCCAATCATCAGCCTACGTCAGAGTCGGGAATGAACCAGATATGTGTGTGTATAGTTCGTTTATTCATTCATGCTAATTAAATGCACAACTTTTCCCCGACTTCCCAAGACCCAGCATGGAATGCAATCTACTCGCGGACAAACAGACCAGCCATACCCATACCAGTGCCGACACACATGCTCACGACACCAACCTCGCCGCCGGTGCGGCCCAGGCCGTGGAGCAGCGTGCTGGTCATGCGAGCGCCGGTCGCGCCGAGCGGGTGGCCAAGGGCAATGGCGCCGCCGTCCGGGTTGATCTTGTCCATGTCGCCCTCGAGGCCGAGCTCACGGATGCAGTAGAGGGCCTGGCTGGCGAACGCCTCGTTGATCTCCCACCGGTCGACGTCCTTGTTCTCGAGCCCGAGGCGGCCCAGCAGGGCGGGGATCGCGAGGGCCGGGCCGATGCCCATCTCGTCCGGGTTGCACCCGACGGTGACGGCGCCGACAAACTTGCCAATGATGCTCGACGTCAGGCCCAGCTCGGTGGCGGTGCTGCGGCGCATGAGCAGCGTGGCCGCAGCGCCGTCGCTGACCTGCGACGAGTTGCCCGCGGTGCTCGTGCCGTCGGCCTTGAAGGCGGGCTTGAGCTTGGCGAGCGCCTCGGCCGTGACGCTGGCCCGGACGCCGTCGTCCTTGGTCACCGTGATTTTCTTCTCCTCGCCGACCTTGTTCCCCTGCTTGTCGACCTCCTGGAACCGCGTGTGCACGGGGACAATCTGCGAGTCGAACCAGCCGTTGTCCTGCGCGCGGGCGGCCCGCCGGTGGCTCTCGAGCGCGAGCGCGTCCTGGTCCGCCCGCCCGACGCCGTACCGCTGCGCGACGTTCTCGCTCGTCAGGCCCATGGGCATGATGCAGTCCCGGGCCGTCTGCTCGGGGCTCTCGCGCAGCTCGGGCCACAGGTCCACGGGGATCGCGCGGCTGCCGTAGTTGCGCGTCATGCTCTCCATGCCCGCGCCGATGCCCGCGCTGATCATGCCCGTCTTGATCTGCGCCGACACGGCCGCGATGGCCTGCAGGCTCGAGCTGCACGCCCGGTTCACCGTGTACAGCGACGTGGCGTGCGTGTCGTACCCGGCCACGTGGTTGAGCGCCATCCGCGCCGCCTTGCTGCCGCCCAGCTCCGAGAGCACCACGCCCACCGCCACGTCCTCGATCACCTTGGGGTCCAGCTTCGGGTTGGCCTTGAGCGTCGCCCCCAGCACGCTCGCCAGCAGCTCCTCCGGGTACGCGTCCTTGAGCTGGCCCCGGTTCGAGCGGCAGACGGGCGTGCGCAGCGAGGAGAGGATCACCGTGTCGGTCGGGGCCTTGGCCAGGACGGCGGCGAGGCCCTTTGGTAAAGACGCCATGTTTTTGTTCTTGTGTGTTGAGAGGTTTGGGGTGGTTTTGGCGGGTGCTGGGTCGAGTTATTCGTCCGAGGTGGTGGCGAAGGGGCCTCTTGAGAGAGCTGAAGAATGACACGAGCTGTGTAGCTTGTGAAAGGAACTGTGGGCGAGAAGCTTTCGAGTCTTGCGGGTGTTTCGCTTCCGCCAGAGGAATACGGAGCAGCTAGGTGAGGGTCACGACAGTGAAAGAAGAGGAAGTTGGAGAAAGAATCACACGATCGGAACTGTGTCCTGCCCAGTGAGTGATGAAACCCGGGAGCGATCCGGAGCCTCCCCCGTCTGGCCGTTGTCGCAGCCCGCCGCAGCAGTGGGCGATTCAATCCCCGACCGCGGAGTGGGGCAGCCGGCACTTGCTGGGGCGGGATTGCACTTATCCCCCTCTCTGCTTCACCCCGGAAGGCGAGCACGGCAACTCACCCGAAGCGACACCCGGCGAGCCGACTCGTCCTCGTCCTCGTCCGGGGCCCCAGTTCCACGCTTGCGCACTGGCTCTGCACTAGTGGCTGTACTCGGGGCATAATCGACCCGGTCTCAACCGACCGTTCCATCTGTGGTCTTGCCTGTGAGGTGCATGAGCGTAAATGGCTGTCGCTGGCAGTCTGGAGATTGGGCAGGATCCATGCTGTGTTGTCATATCTCATTCAAGCCGTTAATGGCGTCGCGCTAGGCATAGTCCGCTACTATCTACATAGTGTATGCATCGACAGCACGCCTCAAGATATTCCTGCATATATCTCGGGCGTGGCCGCTTTGTCGCGTAGCCAGCCGTGTCTCCCGCATAACAAGTCCAGTGTCCGAGGGGTGCAATCCATGCATGCGCAATGTCCAATCGTTCACAATCCAACTCATCAACTCCTCAGTACCGAATCCCCAATCCAACCCGTCGCGCATCAAAGTCCTTCTCCTGTCTGCCGTCACTACCGTACCGCACCTTCTTGGGTGGGCTCGACTGGACTTCTCGACGTGCTGCGGCGTCATCCTCGTTGACATGCTTCCGCTTCTCCACAACAAGTCCTGGTTTGTTGACACCCGCGAACAGCTTTGACTGTAGCTTCAACGACTTCTCCCCGGGCAAAGGCGTTCCGTCACGGGACCCCGGCGTCGAGCCTGCAATATCAAAACTCTCTCTCGGGTCACGCCGCAGCATTTCGGATGCGGCCTGGCTGGCCTGGCTCTCGTAGACATCCTCCTCCTCCACGTCGCGACGAGACCCTCGTGACCCCTGCGACATGTACGACTGCGTGGCTGCAGCTACGGATTCCAGGGCGGCTCTGGCGAGAACCTCGTTGTCTTCTGCCGAGATGGTGCTTTCCCGGCTCTTCCGTGCGCGCTTGCGGGTCGGGGTACGAGGTACGACAACTGGGTCATGAGTAAGTCCGTACCTGGCGGGGGGTTCAGTGTGTGGGACGAGGTCAATAGAAGGCAACAGGCTCGAGTAGTCACCGCGTACACGTCCATTAGGCGTAGTGGGCAGCGAAGATAGAGATTGGACACCGCGCGTGTGTTTGGGTAACATCTGAGGTCTTGGTCGATGTCCCGACACAGGCGTAGACGGCGCGCTGTTGTTGTCGTGGCTCAGTGCCTGGAGCAGAGCAGCGAAGCCAGCCTGACTTTGATCACCTCCGTGGTGGCCGTCTTTGTGACTAGACTTGGGAGTCTGCCTAGGCGTGGCACGTGCAGGTTGTTGAGGTGTCGCCACTGTCGCCAACTTGGGGGTCAATGCGCCATGGAAGGCGCCGCCCGGGCTGCAAAGCATGTGGAAGTGTTCGCGGTTCTCGCGGATGCGTGTCAGAAGCATGTCGCGCTCATCAATGAGGCTGACGATCTCATCCTCCTTCTGCTGGATGACTTTCTTGGCAGTCTTGACGCGCTTCTTGAGGACATCATTGTCTTCAATCAGGGCCTCGTAGCAGCCCTTGAGGTGGATGTACTTTGCATGCGTAGACTCTGCCGCGGCACTGAGGTCGCGCCTGGCTTGGCGCGCATCCTCCGCCACGCGGAGGGCGTCGACCTCACGTCGTATCATGTCATGCTCCACTGCGGCCCTCTTTGCGTCTTCCTCCGCTTGCATGCTAAGCAAGTTGTACTGGAGCTTGTGGTGAGCCGTCTCCATCTTCTGCCTTGCGTTCTCCGCCAGGCACGCTTGGAACATCACTCGAAGCTGTTCGATGTCGGCATCGGCGATCTGCTCAGCTGACGGCGGCGAGTATTCTGTAGCGGCCGCAGTGCTGTCCCGGCGGCCTGCCGTATGGTTTGCAGTTGTCAAAGGAGGAGAGAAAATGCTGGCACGTTGAGAGCTGACGTAGCCTAGTGGCTGTCCAGCCAAGGGGCCTGCGTTACTTTGAGGGACTTGCGAGGATGGGGGCGGTGTGAGCGACGACGGGATGATTCGTGATTGCGAAGCCGTCAGGCGGTCGTCGTTGGGCTCGGACTTGAGTGAGGCGGCTGGCTCAATGGGGGAGCCTGGTGCTTCGGTCGAGGCGATTGTGTTTTGCGACGACACTGGCGCACCATTGACTGGCGGTGTTGCCGGCCTGCGATTGCCCATGGCAGCCTCGTGAGAGGTCGGCGAGGCCTTGTCCGTGTCGGCTGACATGGCGGGCGCAACGGTGGGAAGCCTGAGAGGCCTGGATTCTGCGACGGATTGGGACGCGGTCGTGGTGGGAGCTGAATGTAGGCAAGTCGCACAACCGCTGTGCGAGTCACAGTCGAACTTGTGCTGAGACACACTGATGATGACGACGATGCTGCTAGGCGTGCTGCGGGCAGTGAGACTTCCTTAGCAGCCAGGTCCGTCGTGGATTGGGGAGTCGGTGGTCAACGATGCGCAGGCTGGAGGTTGGTGATGAGCTAATGGTGGTGGCCGGGGCTGGCTGCGGGACAGGGCGAAAATTGGGCAGGCTGGCTGTGGTTGGTTGCTACGGGCACGGCCCAGCCTCGACGCTGGCAGAGGCTGCACTGAGCTTCCAAGGTTGGCCTGGAGTCTGGAGAGCTCCTCCAAACCCTGTGCGCCCCCACCTTTGCTGGCGGCTGCAAACAGAATCTTGGACTCAGCATTCCAACCTCTTTTCAGTGCCTCAAGCTCAGGGTTTCTCCTGGCAACTCTGAATGTCTCCGCGTTCAGATGCTGTCCCATCGGAGCAGGGAGTCGACTTCGCCCATATGCGAGAGGCTCAGACTCCAAGACCCTCCCAAGGGGGACCTGTTCAGTTGGTGGGCAGTACTACCATGCTCATCACGCCTCAAGACCTGGACAAATCAGGGAGGATCTTCTGCACCAAGCACAAAGACGCCATCCTGATGTGATGAGATGAGATAAGTCCTTGCATGGGAAAGCGGAGGGCAGGGCCACCCCTGGGCATATCCAAAGACTTTTAAGATTTGCGGCAGATTAGCACGCTCTTATCACTGGGTGACTGCCGAAGCTTTGACCTTCATCCTGAGAGATCAGCTCGAAGGGGGTTGTTGGCACCACCAGCGTACAAATCCAGTGCCATGAACTCTTCGCCATTTGGTGTAGGGCTTGATCCAAATGGCGATCATGAACATGGCACTCTCAGAGATGTCCCGTAGGCTGGCTACGCTGCTTGCACAACCACTCGTTGTATAGGTTGCCCGGACGATGCCGATAGCACTGCAATTGGCCAGCGATGTTTACTCGTCAGCGGTGGTTGTCAACTCTGACAGCTTAGCACCTCCACTAAGAGCCAGACAGCTCAAGGGGTCGCCTCGGTGGTGGTGTGTTCCCTGCAGCTCAGGTGCGCCAGCGACGGCCCCGCGCGGGCTAACGTCCCCTAGGCTTGCCACTGGGCACTTTTAGTTCACTATCCCTACCCTCAAAACAATAATTGCATTCGCGTCTAGCAATGGCCGTGGACTGTTTTGTTGCTTTTGCTTGCCATATCACTTTCGCCTTACTCCCACCCTTTGGCTGACTTTGAATCGCGACCTGGGGGAACGAACCTACCATCCATGGGTACGCATATACATCGAACGCTCGTTCCTGTCATGTGAGATACTTGGAATCGCCATCTTGCGCACCCATTGCGACACACAACTCCCCAACTCGAACGTACCAGTCCTTCCGTACAAAAGAAATCATGGACGACCGCAGATCCGGCATCCCCAAGCCGAGCGGGCTTCCGCGAGCCTCGTCGCGCCTGCCAATGCCTCGAGCCACATCCACGTCGTCCCAGCCGCCCGCTCCGAAGACATTGCGAACATCGACATCCTTCACGTCATTGGAAACGACGTTGACGACAAGCACGAGTACGAACACGAACACCACAAAAAATCCGAGACTGCGCGCCATGCCATCGCGTGACCGCCTGTCGGCCACGGCCACGGTACGGAAGACAGCAGGCTCGAATATTGCAGCCGGCAGCCTGAGCGGACAAAGAACCTCCATGGGCCCACCAAGCACAGTTAGGAGCTCGACCCAGTACAACGGCTCTGCCTTGCCATCGAGATCTGTGACGAGGTCAGCGTCTCAAACTTTCGACCCCCACGATAGTTATGGCAGGCGCCAGGCCTCAAGCTCGCGGCAGTCAACGTCCGATGCTCGTGCAGGCCAAATATCCTCCAACGACGAGAATGCGGGCTATGAGCAGGACCGCCACAGCCCTGTAGATTTGGAGTCGGCCGCGAGCCCTGTAAGACGTGACTCGCCAGAGGGAGATCATGACACGACCATTGCCACACCGAAGCGGACGCCCAGACTATCCCTCGCCGAGCGCACAATGGAAACTCTTTCGCAGCTTCCCTCATCCCCTGCTGTTGGGCGGCGGACAAGCAACTTCTTTGACGGTGAAAGCAATGGGAGGACACCGTCGAGGGGAGCAAGGTCACGCTCTCGGGCCGGCAGTGCGAGCTCACGGCCTGGCTCGAGCTACAGAGCTGAAAGCTCGAATTCGCTGTTTGGTCGACCCCCAAGTCGCCCAGGGTCGAGTTCGGGCCAGCCGGACAATCTGGTCACATCGTTCAGGGCTTCGACGTCGTCCTTCAAGCCTCCATTGCCCACAGTGAAAGGTACACCGTCGAAACGGACAAGTATAGGAGGTGTTTTTGAATCGCCCCGAACGCCAGGAACGGGTCAGACGGGTGCCCGGTACGGCCAGTTCGGCTTGCGGAAAATGCCATCACAAAGCACATTGCCGACCGCCACAGACTCTCGTCTTGCCGCCCCTTCTCCATCTACGGAGCATACAACGACAAAATATGGGTCCAAAACCGTCAGTGGCCGGCCGCTCAAGCAGAGAGCTTCAGCTATAGGTCTATTCAAGAAGCCGGCTCTTCCATCCTCAAGTGGCACAACGGTGGCATCAAGCAAAGCGGATGCAGACACCGTGGGGGCCTCAACCAGGTCCTCGGTTGCGTCCACAGAAGATCACAACTTGTCTAGTGTGTCACCATCTTCGACCGCTCCGACAGTTGAGTCTGTTGAAGACGCCGCCATTAATAACAGCAAGAAGTCATCAGCAGCACTGAGGGACCAGATTGCGAAGGCAAAGGCGGCTAGGCGGGCTGCCAGTCGCCAGGTTTCATCCACGTCACAGCCGCCTCTCAAGAGCCCGCTTGTGCCCACGGACACTTCATTTGACTTTGGTCTGAGTGATGACCCCTTTGGACTCAACAAGCTCGAGGATGCTGGTCGCAAGGTCATGCAGAACCGAATCAGTACCGCACGCACAACGGGCCGTCTAAACATCGCAGCGATGAGCCTGAAGCAAATACCAGACGAGGTGCTCAAGATGTATGACCTTGATAATGTCAACGGCCAAAGCGCATCATGGGCCGAGTGCGTCGACCTGACCAGGTTCGTGGCAGCGGATAACGAGCTGGAGACTCTTGAGGAGGCACTGTTCCCGGATGTCGACCCCAGTAGCTTTGTGGATGATGATGACTACCAAGGACATCAGTTTGGAGGTCTTGAAGCGTTGGATTTACATGGGAATATGCTCATAGGCTTGCCCATGGGGCTACGGCGCCTGCAAGTTCTGACTACACTCAACTTGGTAGGTGATGTTTGACCGCCGGAAATCAAGCATCTGCTAACTCCATCACAGTCACAAAATAAGCTTACCAACGGCTGCTTGGAGATCATCTCACAGATTGTGCCTCTGCGCGACCTGAAGCTTGGGAACAATCTCCTTTATGGCCAGCTGGATGACACAGTTACGGCCCTTGAAAACCTCGAAAGTCTAGATTTACATGGCAACAACATCACTGCGTTACCGAAGAACATGGACCGCTTGCGGCGGCTGCGCATTCTGAACGTCAACGAGAACGACCTCACACGGTTGCCATTTGACGTGTTGTCAGAGCTTCCGCTGTCGACATTGTCTGCCCGCAGGAACAAGCTAAGCGGCACTCTGGTTGACCCCGAGGTTGAGATCATGCGGTCTCTGCAGATACTCGACGTTGCAATGAATCAGCTCACTGCGCTGACCGCCTCGCAAATCATCGAGCTCCCGGTGCTTCACCAGCTGACAATCTCAATGAATCGCATCCAGTCTCTTCCAGATATCGGCTCGTGGAAGAGTCTGTTGACCATTCATGCCGATGAAAACCTCATTACCGAGTTCCCACAGGGCTTTCTGAAGCTCGGAAACCTTCGCCATGTTGACTTCACGAGCAATGATATCCGTGTCGTCCCTGCCGAGATATCACAAATGAGCAAGCTCGACATGCTCCGCATCGCCGGCAATCCTTTACGAGAGAAGAAGTTCGCGTCATTCAGCACAGAAGAGCTGAAGACGGTCCTGGCTGCGAGATTGGCGCCACAGGAGGAGGAACTTCCAAACAGCGTCGACGATCTGGGCGGCTTGACAGACTACATGGATGGGGGGGCATCACAGGCGACTCAAGCCGAGCCCGCTGCCCAAAGGCAGGACCGTGCAGACTCTGATTCCGAGGATTTTGCGACGCCACCAACCTCGGCACACAACTCGCCATTGCGCCAGCGTTCTAACACTGCTACTGCTATGTCCTGGCCTGTGAAGCAAGGCGGGGTCCTTGATAGGTCGGCCACGCAGTCATCATCTCTGCACCCCGTTGTGTGCTCAAAGCTGGCAGCACAGGAGACTATTCGAGATATCCGTCTCCACAACAACACATTCACCAGCATCCCTTCATCCTTGTCATTCTTTGCTGACACGCTCACGAGCCTCTCGATTTCACACAATGAGCTGGTTGGTGAGGGCTACATCGGCCCAGATGTCCTCGACCTGACGGCGCTCACGGAGCTCAACATGTCCTCCAACAGAATCACCAGCGTGACGCCGCTTACAACGCTGCTGCGCGCACCCAACTTGGCAAAACTAGACCTGTCCCGCAATCGGATTACAACGCTACCAGTGATGCGGGAGTTCTTCCCCAGCCTGACCATCCTGCTCATCAACGATAACCACCTTGAGGATCTCAGCGATGCATCTATCAAGGGGTTAAAGATTGTTGACGCGCGAAACAACGACATTGCACACCTGAATCCGCGAATCGGCCTACTCGGTGGTTCGGGAGGTCTGGAGCGGCTGGAGGTCACTGGAAACCGCTTCCGCGTGCCCAGATGGAATATCCTGGACCTTGGCACAGAGGCAACACTGCGCTGGCTCCGGGGGCGAGTGCCCGTGGCGGAGATTGCAGAGTGGAAGACTAAGGCAGGAGAGTCTAGGGAGGACTTTGAGCTTTGAGAGAGGTGTGGGGAGGTTGTGTTTCTTTCAAGTCTTTTTTATCTGACCGCTGTATGCATTAGCTATGGCGTCCTGGTCTCTTTCTTTTTTGTTCCGGCCGGAGCTGGCGCGGGTGGTTTTGGTATAGAGAATGTATGGCGCGAGGAGCGGCATACAACAAAATTATGCGCGAGGTTTCCCCTCAACTTTGTATATGCATGAATGACAGGTGCTTAAGCAAAGCACCAGTCAGTCATCAAGACAGTTGTATGGTGTCGTCTTGTACACAGCTTCTGTCGTCCTTGTTGGCAGTGTCTAGTCCGCTTGGACCACTGCATGCCCTGCGGATGTCGTGCAGAACTCGCTTCCATCCCTACAGCACGGCTGTAGACTAATTCCAAATTATATCCAGCAAACCACTAGTATTCAATTTGGACGCCAGAAGGTCGAGCGGTGCCCGGTGCTCAGGGAGAAGACGTGCAGAATAGCAAGGTCACCCTGGCAAACCTCATCTTGTCTGTGGCGGGGGCGGTGCGTTTCGAGCATGGCCAGGGTTTTGGTGACGGGTTTCCACAAGTTGAGATTATGCGAGTTGTCGTTGGCTTGTGTGAAGAGATTGCCTTCACGTACGTCAGCGATCACCCCGCAGACTAAATATTATGTATGCTGAACCCGCACACGATCGAGCGTTGAATCAAGCACTGCGAGTTTGACGTTCTGCTGATACATGATGACAGTCGCAGCCGAGGAAGAAATGTCGCGCTGCTCCACCCAAGCTTCTGGGTTCGTCCCAAGTTCGGCAGCAGCAAAGGGGCCCAGGATCGAGGGCCAGGCCCTTGTATGTCCAGTACTGCGATGACCCACCACCCACGCCATCGTCTCCAACGGTACAAGTTCAGCGGCGGACCCTGTTGCTGGATCGGCTGCGAGCTATCGCGCTTTGGGGATGCTTTTCGCGGGCTTTGCTCCACGTCTGTTCAACCTGGCAGAGCAATGAGTGCTCTGCCCGCCATTTATACTGACCCATACCGAAGCCCTCATTCGGCAAGAACCCTTTGGCAGGCCCTCGAAATCGGCTGGTTCGAATGATCGTTCGATCGACGTCAATGGCGAGCTGTCAACCAAGCGACAGTTGTGTCAACGGCGTTGTTGCATTGGCACGCTACCGGGGCATCGGGGGCAGTTGGACTCCACTGCGTTCCGGCCGCCAGTCCAAGCCTGGTCTGGCGTGGTCTGGCGTGTCGGGGTCATACAAACAACCCTCGACAACCCCCGAGGAACCCCAGTTACTGACAACGGTCCCCTAGCCATTTCCATCTTCTGGACAAGGGGCATCCAGTGATCCAGCACTCGCTGACAGCAAGCCATATCGGATCTTGCCTCTGGACCTTCCTCCCATTCCGCCAGGGCCGATCTCAATCTCAAATCTGCACCGAGGCTTGCGGCAACCCACCCGAAGCCACGTTCCCTCCCTGCCCGCTCCAACACGGGCCAGCCCAAAAAGCGAACATCGTGATGAGGCAGGACTGGATTCGACATGCAAGGGCCAGGATTCTGGACAACGACTGGCAGACTCGTTGGCCAGACGGGAGTGCTTCCGACCCCACGAGCTTGTCAAATCCCCTAGCTCTGACAGGCTGGACGGGACCGCAACTTTGCGTCGTCACCTCCATTCTTCATTCCAGGGGCGGAGAGGTTCTTCTCTTACAAGACAAGTTCGTTGCCTGTCTTGGGGTCTTGATCTGCAATGGGAGCGGCCTCTCCGGGGTAAACTGACGACTAATACTACGCTCTTTCTCGACTTGTTTCTCGGCTTTGGTTCATCCCAGAGACACTGGTTCCTCCTACACACTCTCTTTACTTCGGCCCTCACCTCTAGTCACTCATTTCTTTCTCCACCCGGTTTGCCATTCAAAGCCAGCACACGGTAGTTATTTAGCTCAGCCACGATGAAGGTGACCGGATCCAGCCTCATCTCGGTGCTCTCCCTGGCTGCCAGCACAGCCGATGCCTTCCCCTCGCTTCTCCCGGGCGGCCAGTCGGACGCAATCCTCGCGCAATGGCAGAAGCTCCAGGCCGAGCTCGGCGGCGGCGGCCAGAGCACGTCCGGTCCGCAGGCTAGATTCGCGAGGGACCCTCTGAACATGCCCGTCGAGGTCCACGGCTTGCACGAGTTCGTCCCGCCCGACTTTTCTCGCGGCGACCAGCGCGGTCCTTGCCCAGGCCTGAACGCTCTCGCCAACCACGGGTACATCAACCGCAAGGGCGTCACGTCGCTGGCCGAGGTCGTCCCGGCCATCAACCAGGTCTTCGGCATGGGCCTCGACCTGGGCTTCCTGCTGGCCACCATTGGCGTCGTCTTCACGGGCAACCCGCTCAGCCTGAACCCAGGCTTCTCCATTGGCGACTCCTCCTCGGCCAGCCAGAACCTGTTGGGTAATCTTTTCGGCCTGCTCGGCAAGCCCCGCGGCCTCTCGGGCTCGCACAATATCATCGAGGCCGACTCATCAAACACCCGCAACGACCTGTACCTGACGGGCGACGCCTCGAGCCTGGACATGGACGTCTTCAGGGGCTTTGTCGACATGCTTCCCGAAGGCAGCAACTTGGACATTGATGCCATGGCCCAGCGTGCCGAGAACCGCTTCCACGAGTCCATCGCCAGCAACCCCAACTTCTACTATGGCCCTATCACGGGCTCCATGCTGCGGAACGCGGCGTGTGCCTTCACCACGCGCTTCTTCAGCAACCACAGCGCTGAGAATCCCGGTGGTTTCCTGGGTAAGTCCGATCCTGGAAGATGAAAGAGGGAGAACGAAGAAAGCTGCCGCTTGGGTTGTGGAGAGCATTTTGCGGGATGGGAGTAGCCAAAAATGCTGACCAGAAATCACATCCACATAGACAAGAAGATTGCCCAGTCTTTCCTCGGCGTCACCGAGCAGAACGGCGTCATGACCTACCAGCGCGGCTGGGAGCGCATTCCCGAGAACTGGTACCGCCGCCCCGTCGACTACAGCGTGCTCGAGATGAACTTGGACCTCGTAGGCATGATGGTGAAGCACCCGGCCATCGCGTCCATCGGCGGCAACATGGGCAAGGTCAACTCGTTCGCCGCCGTCGACCTGAGCGACATCTCTGGCGGGCTTCTCAACACCGCCATGCTGCTCGAGGACAACAACCTTCTGTGCTTTGTGTTTGAGCTGGTCAAGACCTTGGCGCCCAACTCGCTGTCCAGTGTCTTCAAGCTCATCGACCTGCCCCTGCAGGTTCTCACCAGTGCCATCAACCTCAGGCTGCTCGACCTTGCCTGCCCGGCTTTCGCTGATCTCAAGAAGGATGGGTCTGGACTTGACAAGATTGTTGAAAACATTGACGACTTCCTTCACACTCTTCCTGGAGCTAGAGGGCTGAACTAGGCAGGATTATATGGTGGCGTCTCGACTGAAGATGATGGACTTTATCAACAGGACCACCAACTAATGTAATTGTCGAAGTAGGCTAGAACATGTCAGCCCCAATATTTCGCTAGTGACCTCGTTTTCTTGGACAATGGAAATTGCGCTTGAAACATCAATGACGGGATACAGAACAAAAAATGAGAACAGAGCAGTTGTGAATACAGAGAAAACCCAGAAAAGAAGAAAGAAAAAAAAACCCGAGCTTTCCCTAGCTCTCTCTCTCTCTACATGAGATATAAAGGTAGGCAGGAGCGGCAAAAGTGAAGGTCGCCCGAAGGGGGTCTCGAACCCCCAGCCTTCGGATTACAGGCCCTCGGAAGGGGTAGTTGTAAAAGTCCGACGCTCTGACCAATTGAGCTACCCGGGCCAGGTTTGTTACAGGTGATCTGCGAAATCGGAAGCGCTTATTGCATCCCATATCCAGCTCACGGCAAGGCGGGATCTCTGCTGGCAATTGCAACACATTCCCACATGTAAGTCTTGTGAAGTTGCTGACCAGCGAAGCTCTCGCAACTGCAATTTCGTGGCCCTGGCTATGAACACGCAGGGAACAAGATTGCTTCCCAGGCGCTGCTCTCGGCTTGGGAGGCGTCACTTGTTGCAAGGCCTGCGAAGCCGCTGGGTTTGAGATGGGGATCTGCTCGTCTTGGTGTGGTATTTTGGACATGATGTGTACAGGTTACGATACTGGTTGGCAACATGGCAATGGTTAACAAAGATAGTTGGACAACCGACTCGTGGGTGATAGTGATTGGAAGCCGAGGCATGGTCAGCTTGAGAGTCATTCTACATGCACCACCAGTCTGAATCTCTCTATGAAGTGTGCAACGCGGCCCTCGAGGTTGTAACTTCCATTTGCATCGTTGGGCCCAGAGCACCTTCCTCGCCGGAAGTCTACCATTTGGTCGCCTGGGGGGGTTCGAGTCCTGCGCTTGGCAAAGGGGAATGAATGGCTGGCTCATGATTGGGAAGTCCGTCACATGTTTCCGGGCCTCCATTAGGCTGATGCATCCGCGCCTTCAATGCCTGCCGGCAGCCGATGACGATGAGATGCAAGCTCGACAGCTGCTGGCTGGCTGCATGCCTATTGGGCACTGACTCGGCCTGCAGGTGGGCTTGCATTGCTTGTCCAAGTCACTCGTCCGCAGAACCTCGCCCCGAAGCGACTTTGCGCCGGGGGCTCCACCAAGAGGACAAGGAATGGAGCCCCAAAGCTCCAAAGTCGACCGATCGAACACCACCAAAATTTATCTCCTGAGGCGATCAGCCTCCGCACTGCAAAAGCACGCACGCCCGCCCTCTACGGACCACAGCCCGACCTCGCCGCTCCGTCCCACGAGCACGATTGACAGTGCCGCAGCTGACTCGGCCTACGTCGACTGACCCCTTCGACCGGCACTGCCGCCCTAGAGCAACACAACCAGCGCCCGCCACAACGTGTGGCCTGTCCCTCCAAAATGGCTGCCGACAAGACGCCGCGGACAGTGGCAGACGCTACACGCTTCACGTCCAACACGCCACATGCAAACACAAAATCGTCGCCATCTTCGACGGCCGCCGCCAGCTCGAAGCCCCCGAGCTCTCGTCTTCCCCCACCCGGCATGCCTAAAACGGCAGTACCAGAGTCATTAGATGAGCGCGTTCGCAGGTTGCGGGCTGCACATCTTGCCGCCCGCCAAGCCGAAGTCAGCAAGCTCGACAAGGTCATCAACTCCTCACGACGATACTTTGATGCCGCTCATCGCTTCACCGTTGTTAGCCTCATCGCGTTTAGTGGTACGTCTTTCCAGATCAGGCAAATATAAGTCGCCAAACCCCAGCCTTCTTCCACCCGCTAGGCTCCAAAACTTCCATGACAAAGTAAGGTCGTTGCGACTAACAACCATCTCTAGGTGTGGCGTTGATGGTTACTGTGTACGCGACATTCGACATGATGTACTATAACCGGCAGCGACGCAACGAGTTCTTTGCGCTTCAGAAGCAATTCGCTGACGACAGTCTCGAGGCTGCTCGTCTGGCTTACATGACGGGTAAGGCCACCGAGGAACAAATCGCGCTCGTCGAGGAGGCAACAGCCAAGGCCAGAGAGTCAGGCACGGAGCTCCCGGCGCTTCTATCTGCCCCGAAGCAGGCCAAGTCCGCCGGCTGGGCCAAGGTGATGAGTCCAAGGGAGGAGGGCGGAGATATTGAGACGGCAGAGCGGTCAGTATGGCCAGGGGAGTCAATGACAGAGAGCAGCCTTTCTGCGAGGAGCGAGGTTGAGCAGCCAACCAAGAAGGGCTGGTCCGCGTGGCTATTTGAGGGCCTGAAGAAGGAGGAAGTCAGAGATGACGATCTCACGTCCGCGTCGTCCGATCCCCGGTCTACTTCTGCCTCCCGCACGATAAGCTCGGCGCAGCACAGCATCGTCGACTCCGCAAAGGCTGCGTTTGAGACGGAAAAGGAGAACCAGAGACATGGCGGGCCTCTGGACAGAGTCGGCACCACGGACACGAACACCGGCAGTACTAAGAAGGGCTGGCTCTGGTAGTGGGCAACTTCAAAATATGCGTGCTGACCACACGGCAATGAGTCTTGTGTTGACGGCTTGGTCAGGGCCCCAGCGGTTTGCGACAACACGGGAGTTGGGACTCTGTCCAGTTGTACTATCCGACCGGAATGCCTTCGCCGTTCCCAGAACCAGTGTACACTAAAATCTGCCTATCGCGGTAGATCACCAGTCTGCTTCATGAGGCGGCCTTTTCGGCAGCGGGAACAGCCCATTGGATTACCACGACGAAACGAGCTTGCACACACTCTGGCGTCACTCGATCCAGAATCACCGCCCGGCTCTTCACGGTGATGCTCAGGGTTGGACGCCGGGCAACAGTGGCAATGACGAGAGAGGAGAGCATCTGTGCACGCCGTGCACATGTGAGTGTATATGTATCAAGATATGTAGCTAGAGATGGTTCCGGGTGCATAAAAAACCAGGCGTATTGGGTTCCGAAATATAATCCATTTTGCAAAAGCACTTACTTACTAGCCCTCCAAAGAATATGACCAAGCTTGAAAGAAGCCTGTGCACTCTGTCAGCTGCCGGCCCGCAATGGGCATCCTCGCCATCGTCCCATGCTGTCTGATCACATTTCATATGCTGACTGCTCACATAAACACTTCGGTCTCAAGCGGGAATACTATCATGACATCATACCTACATATCTGGCTGCCGGAGTTCGTGTGCCATGTCCACTACTAAAGCTCTTTCACACAAGCTATCCTCATCGCGGGTCACCATTACGATGCCACCAGACTACAAAACCCACAGGCCGTAGCTGCTGCTGATACGTCAAAGTCATTCTTTTCGCACATGGCCCATAGGGGAAGGCAATAAGTTCTTCATTCGCAATCTTGACAAGTCGCTATATGGCCTCATGATACTGTGAGGCTCTGGGATCGTGAGTAAACGGGCGTACTTCGTTTAAAGTAATGTGCAAGACTGCAGGCCGTCTCTGTGTATGTGTCCTTTCTTGGTCCCAGTTCTCTCAGCGAGGATGCCATTCTTCGGGCATTTGAAAAAACAAAACATGAAAAGCAGACTGGGCGTCGCTCGCCCATCAAAGCAACGCCATGTAGGAAACAAGGTAAATCAAAATCGCTAAGAACATGATCCAACGCCAAAGAGGAAATGATGTGTGCCTGAAATGGCCGGTTTATGCGCATGTGCTCGCTGGTGCATGTGAGAGAGTCGACGAGAGTAAGTCTGCGTGCTTGGATATGTGATGAACTGCGCCAGATAGAAATCTAAGGATCGTGGTGAGGGTATATGTCCGGTGCGAACCATGGAAATGAACGCTCAAAGAACGAATGAGAGTGGTTGAGACGATTAGTGGTTAGGCCGCAGGGGTAAAGCCTAGCAGCAGCAATGAGCAATGGGCTTAACCAAGGGCGGTGGTGGCAGATGCACCATAGTATTTCCAGTGGACTGTGAATCGCAGGACATGATGCCAAGACGACCAAGTGCTGGCTGGTATGAACAACATTAGGGGAGAGTCAGGCTATTAGAGAACGGCATGGTCGCGAACGACTCGTTCTGCCTTAAGACACAATGATGTGATTGAAATGGCCAGGGATCTTCAGGCGGCACTTTTCGCAGTCCGCTCGGTAGCCTATACTGAAGGACTTTTTCATGCCAGGTTGACCTGCGGTCCACGAGCTCAGGGTGTGCTTGCTCCTGCAGTGTCCGAACTTGCCACGGGGAGATGGCGAGGCTGGCGCCGAGGAGGGGGAGCCACCGTCGGCATCGGACATTCCAGCGTCCATATCGGTGTGATGCTGCTGTGGTGTGTGGATGTTGGGATGAAGAACCATGCCGCCGGTCGGGATTATCGAGTCTGGAGCGTGCGGCAGATATGGCCGTTGTGGCGCCGAGTCGTCGTCCCAATCCATTCCTGGCGTCATCGGAGCATCCTCTGTCCCCAGTTCACTAATTGGGGAGGGAAGACGACGGTCCTGCGCAATGGACCACTCGGCTCCTGGAAGCGATCGTGGAACCGATGCGTCCGCGGTATGGCGATGCTCGCAGAAGCCCTCGTCTAGGTCGGGCAGAGTCGGCCGTTGGCTCGCCCACATGTTGCCCTTCACCTGGGCGGCGAACTCGGGATACATGGGAGTTGGCATCCTGCCGGCATTGGCAGCATCGACAAGGGGGTAAGAGCCATTGTCGACCATCATTCCCATGTCAACGTCCATGGCAGGGCCCATCTCATCAGAGTCGGAGTTTGCTGGCGTGAGGCGAGTCGGCGCCATTGACTCTGACGATAGATTCGTCGGGTCAGACCATCGTTTATGTGGTGGTGACATGCGCAACGGTAGTGACTGGATGCGTTTCTGTAGACGATAAATAAGTCAGTATGACACATTTGATATGTATTATGATGATTGATGTGAGCGCGGCTCAAGTAATATGCTCACATTACGGTGCTGTGTAGGACTGGCGAGGCCGTCCATCATCGGGTCGACCTCATCATCCCTCTGCCGTTTTCGGGCGGCCCAGTCCTGATCCATGTCGGCCAGAGCGACGTCTAGCTGCGCGCAGCAAAAGCCGTGGAGGGTCGTGCTACAGAGCGAGAAGAGACATGCACAAAAGAGACGGCTGGCTGAAGGAGAGTGGGACTGAACAAGGCCGCTTCTGTGATTAGCGAACCACACTGGCTGTATGTCGATGCGTGAGGTGTGTGGTGTTGCGAAGGTATGCGAGAGCGGAAGCTGGCGAGAATGACGCGGGGGCAGGCGGTGATATTTTTGGGGATCGGAGGCCAGGCAGGAGCTGGCAGTGCAGAGCAACCAAGGCAGCGAGGGAGACAGGCTCAGCAGGCTGGGGCCGAGGAATGGCGGGGGTTGTGCCTTCCAGAAGGAGGGTCTCCTGCTGGGCGGGTTTGCGTGGAGGTGGCAGGGAGACTAACTGAGGCACGAGCTGTCAAGGGGTGGTCCCTCCCATCCCTCTCTGTGACGGCACCTGGATGAGCAACCAACGGTCGACTTGGCGCTCCCGAGGTCAGCTTCACTTTTCACGAAGACTGACAGCCGCAGCGACGGCTACATTCGGCGACCTGACACGGGGACATTGCAAGACCGCACGGAACCCCCAGAGACGGGCCGCCTGTTTCGTTGTGTTGGGAATCAACAACACGCCGCGTCCTCTTGCTGCGCAGCTGAGCCGTGCGGTAAACACCAGCCGCGAAAAGTCCACGCCAGGCCAGACACAAGGGAGAAAGTGGCCGGGCCCGGGGAAACGGCACCACTCATCCCGACCACGAGACTCCCAAGGGCCGCCTATCGAAGATGTGGGTTCTGCGCCAGGGGTCTGGTTAAGCTAGCTCATCCTAGTGCTGAACCACAGGATCGGTCCTGGCCCACCGGGTCCTTCGTGAACCATCACGGTCATGTCCCTTGCCAGGAGAAAAACACGATGAGGCGCGTGTCAGGAGGGCGGCGCAACCTTCTACGACAAGACGCTTGACGCCTGAGAAGCAAATAACCCCCGCAACTGAGAAAGCGGTTGAACTAGCCAGCTTGTCACGACGTGGGCAATCAGCAGGTACGATGACGGAGAGACCGACGATGGGAGCAGTCCCAGTCATACGAGGTGGGGAATAGCGGATGTGCTGTGGCAGTGTCAAAAACCTCTGGGGCTAAGCAGCATCGAAACAAATGCTCCAGCGACACTTCACAACATCAAGAAACCTCCAGCACGGGCTCGCCCATTCAGCCTATACTCCTGAGACGACTCATAGTGCGACCCTGTCTACGTCAGCCTGGCCTCTTGATGTGCTCGACATCCACAGCGACATCATATGGTGGCTGCCAAGTCAGCGTGGCTGGGGATCGGCCTCTTGCCCCGGTTTCTGACGCTGCACATGTGTGTGACCCCAGCCAGCTCCTCCTGGGCCCAGTCAACCCAAAAGCTCCGCTGCAGCTCAGTTTCGCATGCAGGGACTCGGTCATCCACACTCGACAGCAAGAGCGGTGGACGAAACAAGAACCTTGAGCATCTTTACACACCAAAGTGTTCGCGTGAGTCCGTGCTTTGTGAAACGAAATCCACATGTGCAGAAGCCTCGCGGGATTGCGATGTCGCGCCAATCATTCGCAGATTGCCCTTGCGTCATGGTCATTGTGAAGGCATCCACCGTCGCATCAGTACCAGAGTTCTGCAGTGGGGCACAAACCAGGAGTTCGGGTGCGAGGTTCGGCGAGTGGAGGCGGCTATATGGCTTCAGTCCTCTTACAGAATAACATGTGTTCAGATGGTACCGCTGTTCGGGAGAAGATATGACGATGTTGCGGCGTGCGGCATCCGTTTCACAAGTGCTTCAGCACATGCCTGCAAGGGATACTGTTTCTGGTGCGACGCAAAACAGCCCCTACTGCCCCATCCGCCACACGGTCATCATGGCCGGCAATGGTTATCCCGGACCAGGTGGCTTGTCGCCGCTGGTCAGCGACCGTAAAAGCCCCGATATCAATGTTTTCTCTAGGAGAGCTTTGTGACACAGTAGCATCCTGGCATTGGTGAGCGTCGATGTCGGTGTCGTAGCTCTGGTTCCGTTTCTTCGGAGCTTAGATCTGTAACAGCCCCATTCGCCGAGGAAGAGTTCCATATCTCCTCGAAAATGAGGGGTCATAACAGCGTAACTGGAAAGTGACACTTTGAGATGTGGACAACTCGCAACGCCAAGGTACTGATTACTTGGCTTCCATGTCTCATCGGTCGTTCTCGAGGTCAAACATCATCAGCTCGAGCGCTCGTCCAGATCGTATCGACGAAAGCACGCGACCATGGAGTTTATTCATTCCGTGCACCAGACGTCTCTGCAAGAGCCAGCAGCGCTTCTGCTTCAACACATCGAGTTTGTCGAATAACGCAGAGACCAACGAGCGTGCGTTGTCGAGATTCACATGTAAACACACGGTTATTTCACAAGCGGCAGGAACGAGCCAGCCAGACAGCGTTGGAGAGGTGGAGCCATTCCAGAGCTTATCTTATCGCACGCCGCTGCTCCTGCAAGCGTGCTTTGGGAGAATGCACAGACCACCTGCCGTAGGGTTAGCCCTCCGAATTAATTTTGCTCGTTTGGCCAAATCCTCTGTGTGGGACCCGCCCGGTGCCAGGTCGTTCGCTTGTTGCGGCGCCTGGCAGGAAATTTCGTATCGTGCCTCAATTCTAGGTGAGAGAGCCGCCTTTCGACAATTCCCGTGACAGCCTCCTCTTCACAACCAGCATCACCACCCTTGGTCGCAAGCAGTCACAATGGTACGTTCGATATGCCGTCACCACGAAAAAGCACGCGGCGATGATCGACGTCGCCGCGCTGCCCCCGAAATCCCGGCCGTGTTGGAAGTGGAAGATGGCGAGGAGACATCGAATTGGTTGCTGACGAGCACCTCTACATACAGGCGATCAAGCACAACAACCAGATCCAGAAGAACCGTACGTCGATAAACCACCCAGCGATCATCAGCCTCGCACCCTCCGAGCACCTGTCGCTATTTCCGACCTCGCTTGCAAAAGCACGAATTTCTGGGAACGCTGGACGAGAAGGGCTAATATTTGAAGCACAGACTTCCGCAAGGATTGGCAGCGTCGGGTTCGATGCCACTTCGACCAGCCCACCAAGAAGATTCACCGCCGTGAGGTTCGCAAGGCCAAGGCTGCTGCCCTCGCTCCCCGGCCCGTCGACAAGCTGAGACCTATCGTCCGATGCCCCACGATCAAGTACAACCGCCGCGTCCGTGCCGGTCGGGGTTTCTCCCTCGCTGAGCTCAAGGTACATATCCGCCCAACCCATCGACACCGGAGCCGCCCCCCGACCCAAATGAATTGGATCAAGGTGGCGCGCTCTCGGATATGCTAGGGACACGAATCTAACAATTACTAGGCTGCCGGTATCCCCAAGCTTGTCGCTCCCACCATCGGTATTGCCGTTGACCCCCGCCGCGCCAACCTGTCCGAGGAGTCTCTCGCCGCCAACGTCGAGCGCCTCAAGGCCTACAAGGCCCGCCTTATCGTCTTCCCCCGCAAGGCCGGCAAGCCCAAGGCTGGTGACAGCAAGGACATCGACGCCAAGGACGTCGTCTCCTCTTCTAACGCTGCCCTGCCCTTCGCCCCCGTCGCCGAGGCCCACAGCGTCATCAAGAAGAGCGATCTGCCCAAGGCCTACGAGGGCGGTGCCTACACACTGCTCCGCAAGACGAGAAGCGAGAAGCGGAACCAGGGTGCTCGCGAGAAGCGCGCCCGGGACGCCGCCGAGGCCGAGGCCAACAAGAAATAGACGACGTCAACGACATGAAGAGGATGAACGGGGACGGTGGTGGCACGGCTGCGTGATGTCGGGCGGTCATCAGCAGTGGCGGCCACCACACAGAGGAAAAAAGCCTTACGGGGAATGCACGGGAGTACGGACGGCATCTTTAGGGTTCTGCTTTCGTTTTAAAGGGTCGTGTATTGTTGCGTGCATATGCGTGCTGATCGCCCCACGAAGAGAAGGGGGTCGCGGCCGCCAGCACCATCAAGAAGAGAGATATAAAAGACCTGGTGATGTCCACATGCCTTGTTTCTGGCGTCACCTCTCTCGGCACAAAGGCGAAGCATCATCATTGCATCTCTCGGTTTGCTCTAGGTCGTTCTCAATGGAAAAAACGGATGAACAAAGACAAAAAATCATGAAACCAAAATCTTTCATCTCGCTACATGCTGTGAAAGCCACGTCGGTCATCATAGGGACCATGTTCTGCATTATGAGCTCGTTCGTTTACGCCAAATGCTATATGCTAACCTCGATCAGACGATGACTCAAGACTTTAACAGCTCCGGCGTATCCTTGACAATCTTTCCCAACACATCAGCCACGACTGGTGACCCAAAACCCTGCAGCCCAACCTGCTTCACCAGCTCATGCACCAGCACGATGCCGTTCTCCCTGTCGACCTTTGCCAACCCAGCCGCCGCCTGCGCCCCAACCTGCTGCGGCTCAAGCTCGAGCTTGACCCCTGGCGCTGTGATTGCGGGATCTGTCGTCCCGTGCTCGTCCGTCTCGGAGTGGACATGCGTGGTCACCCCTGTTTGACCCGTCCCTTGCCCAGTGATGGCGGTGGCCGCCGTGTTATTCAACTCGTCTTCTTTCCCCTCGACGGCATTCTCTCCCGTGATGGTCCGCGTCAGCTCGCTCAGGAACTCGTACCGCCCAACCACCGACCCAGCCAGAAACTTGGCGCCGGCGTCGGACCGCGCCACGAGCGCGAGGACGAACCACAGCTCCGAGCGCAGCGTGGGGAACTTGCTCTGCGCCGCGAGGTGCAGGATGATCTTGACCAGGCCCTGGCCGTGGAGCTCGTAGAATGCGTGCAGGAGGTGAGATGACGGCGGCGGTGGTGGTTGTGCTGTCCCTTCTGCGGGAGGGGTGGACAAGCTTAGCGACGAGAGCAAGCTGGGTAGTTCTGTGTCGGGAGAGTGCAGCACACGACACACGGCAAGGGCAGCTCGTGCGGCTTCCATCTTGGTAGGTTCCTGGTCGGAGTCCTTGAAGGCGGTGAGTAGGGAGGTGAACTTGGTCTTTCCTTTGTCCGTCAGCCCACCACCAGGAGCTTGCAGTATCCGCCTCACGTTCGCCGGGCATTGCACGAGGAGCAGTCTCGTCAGCGAGACGGCAGCGAACTGGACTTGAGGCTGCACAGTGAGCCCCCAGAGCCGCGGGAGGGCGCCGCCATCGTCGAGGAGGCCGGCCTCGCCCAGGACAGCCTTGTTGCCTGCGGGGATGGCCAGGTTCTTGAGGAAGCTCAGGCTCGAGTGCAGCAGCTGCGCGTCGGTCGTGGCCTGGTCGGCGAGGAGCACCGCCAGGGGCTTGTGGACTTGCAGTGACGGGTCCTGGACCAACTTTGTGCACACGGCATCGGAGCGAGCGAGGTTGCCCAGTGCGAGACTTGCCGCGGTTGCCTTGGCGGCGGTTGGGCCTGAAGGGTCTGGCGAGAGCCATGTGGTGAGGGTCTGGATCACTTCGCTGTCTAGGGGATAGGTTGACGCAAAGACATCATGAGCGGATAAGTCCGCGATCGCCTGGACAAACACGGACTGCACCTTTTTCAGGCGTTCTTGCTCGTCGGGCTCGGGCCCGGACGGGCCAAGGTCGTCTGTGACCACAGTGAAGGCCTTGAGCAGGAGGGAAATTGCGCCGGGAGTCTGGACGAAGGAGTCCTGGAACTGCTGATGGGAAAGATAGGTGAGCGCGACTGGTGTGGGACCCAAGAAGTCCTCGAGGTCGCCAGCATCCGACGACTCGAGGGCCAGCTTAAGCAGGACGTATGGCGTTGCTGGATGAACAAAGTTGGATTCTGGCTCCTGGGTTGAGAGCTCCTCCAAGAGCCTGAAGATGATGGAGAAGAACGGACGGGCCTGATCAAGTCGTGGGCCCGAGAGAATGGTGATGAGTTCCGGATTCAGCCCGGCCAGGTATGCCGCTTTCTGAGATGGCTCTGTCATGTAGTTAGTCGAGATGTTGCTGGGTTTCTGCATAACAAGCACAGACATACCATGGTCATTGCAGAGATTGTTGAGTACCACCAGCACAATAGGCAGCATGGCATCCTGGACGAGGAGAGCTACAAGCTTGGGCAGCACACCGGCATCTATGACCCTCTGACGGTTGGCATTTGTATCTGCGCAGGCATTTCCGGTGAGCCGCAGAATCTGCAGGATGAGTGAAGGCCGTAGAGCCTCCTCCGTGGCGAGCAGAGAGAGGAAGAAGTTGAGAATGCCAGAGTCGCCCAGAGGCTCTCGCCATATCTCTGCGATTGTAAGTCAGCAAAGCTTTCCAGACAACAGCTCTCCCTTGTTCAGCATACCTTTGCGACTTCCATCAGCGATAGCCTGTGCAGCTTCGTCGAGTCTCAACGAGCCCGACTGCCAGAGCGTTTCGACATAGCTGAGAACTGGCTTCAGTAGGGTGACTCTGTCAGAAAGGCCCTCGCTATGCTCATCGGCGGCGACAGGGGCAGTCTGCCTGTCCACATCGACCTCGGCACCGGCAAAGAGGCGTTCAATGTCCTCGGGCGTCATTCTGAAGTCTTTGCAGACGCCGTGTCATTCATGTCAAGTGGACAGTTGGTTGAGGTCGGTGTGGTGCGTGATTGGTGGAGCATCCTGGCCGGACGATCCGCCGCCAGGCGTGGACCCCTCCCTCCGAAGGCGTAGTCTTGCAGCATCCTCACATGGAGGATTGGTAATCCCGGCTCACCATATCCAAGTGTACTTGCTGTTTTGATATTTCATGGTCGCGGGCATGGCCTTGTTTGGTTGTCCAGTGGAAACTTGGCAATGGGATGTTTCGGTTTACCTGCCACACAATTACACACCGCCAGGGAATCATAAATGGCATCTTGCAGAATAAAATATGAAAAATCAAGGAAAAGAAAAAGGCGAGAAAAGGGAACCAAGTGACAGGCTCAACGAAAGCCCGGGCAGTATTTCAATCTCCAGGTCGAGCGATCACGAGACTAGAGTTGATTCTGGTTTTATCCGTGCTTGAATTGCACACTCTTTATCGTCGAGAGCATCAGAAATCTGGGCATGCCAGTTTATCGTTGAGTTTGTACCAAATGGGAAAGCCGCATATTACACTGGCCAACAGAACAGATGCTTTCCAATGACCTAGAACTAACTGAATGGAATTTCATCAAACACGAACTCATGTAAAATTAGATGGTGATCCCAGCTTCTTGCTCTTGAGATGCCCCCGCCTCGTCTTATTGCTGCTGTATCACATGCACAATGAAGCCAGAATTTTGTGCCATCAGCCATGAAGTGTATACATCGTCAACAACAATACAAGACACACAACTGCAGGACGGGGTATAAACTGTGTCAAACGGAATGCGCCGCTGATGGGGATGACTGTAGGAAAACTGCCGCTGACCCCAGCAGTCAGGGAGATGCCGGTGCCGTGAGGGGAGCTAGAGTTGCTCCAGGGGCCTGCAGATGAACGAAGGGAATTTGGTTGGTCAGTGTCAACATCTCAACTTCCTGCTTGTAGGCAGGAAACTTACTCGTTACGGTCACCGTGATGCAGTCCGAAGTACTGGCAAGACCAGAGTACGCAGTCTGCGTACGAAAGGTCGTGGTTGTCAGAGTGTTTGTATTCGTGAGCGTGAGAGGTGGGAGAGTGCTTGGTTCTGGAGTGGACGATTCCAAATCGCCATACGCGTTGTCAACTACCGAGACTGTCACAGTCACCGCGAGGGTCGAAACGACTGTCTCTGTGGTGGTGCTGGGGACGCACTCTGACGCCAAGATCTCGACGTTGCCGCCAAAGTGGACAGGATCATCCAGGGACCAGGCTGATCCGGCAAGCCCGAGGACGGAAGTAAAGGTGGCGAGACGGACAAGTGCCATTCTGATGGTGTTTCAGTGAAAGAGAGATTGGGAACGAGTGACTTGGGCTGGTGACTACAATTACTTTGATAGAACCAAGAGGGAACTCCGACAGTGCTCACAAGGAGAAGACATCACTCCTTTATAGAGTCAAGCTCCTTTTCTGTTTGGCCATGTCATACCGTACGAGGGCACGACTTTCTTTACATGACTTATTCTCATTGTCATCCACGCTGGTGTGGCACCCGAAATTCCGCGGACCATGCTTTGTGTTCTTCACCCGAGCGGGATTCCGGCTGGTGGCACTCCTGGGCTTTGTCACTATGATGAAGTCGAGGTGACACAGAAACGATGTCGGAGATTGCAGGCTCATTTTCGGGTATCTGCTTGCTGGGCTGATGGTAGTCGCCTCTTGATCCTGGGGTTCGCGCTCACACGATACACGATACACGATACACTTGCTCATCCTTGACCAGGCGACACGATCGCAGGAGACATCGTCTACTCAAACCCTGTCTGCCAGCCTTAGTAGCGGCGGCTTTCGACGTTTTGGCATACAGCCGCTCCGCAGACTGAAGGGGAAGCCTTTCTTCCATGAACCTGAAGGCCCGTGCGGAGTATACACACCATTACTCCTTGATGGAACTGTTCATGCGACTCGTCGAACATGTGCTTTCAGCCATCCAGGCGTTGACATCCAAATGTGGGAATGTGAGCCAACAGCCCCACTTTACCGAGTCCAGGGTTCGAGGCGCGCTTTTGGCCCAAACACTCCATCTTCAAACGAAGCCTGAGCCGTCCACGCACATCGTAAAACAAAAAAACCGCATTCATCCCGTAGAGAAATGGCAGGGCTTCATTTTAATATAAATCAAAAAAGCAAAAAAGAAGATCCAGCTGAGCTGGAGGTCCTTAGACCGACACCTGCAGGATTCGAACCTGCGCTCCCGAGGGAAATGCCTAACCGCATTGGGACTAGCGTAGTAATCTCAATAGCAGGGCATCGCGTTAACCACTCCGCCAAAGTGCCAATTCCTGGTGTTGATCACCGGGATTTGGTGGTTGTTGAAGATCTGGCCAGCTATTGCACATTATACATGCACATGATGAGCCACCCCAAATTCCCCTAGGTCTTTCAGACGCGCCTGCGAAACCGTGTCTGGATCAAGCCGGACCTACCCCTGGCTCGCCTGCCGCCATCATCTGTCACCACTCTCACGACGCCCTCTCTCCTGTGTCGACAACGCCAATTCGTCGCAGTCACTCCTTCTTGCAAGACCGAGGCGCACATTTCGAGTTTAGTCCCAGTCCTATTTTCTCCACGCTCCCGCATACAATCACAACCATGACGCGCGCCCAGCAAACCATTTCCATCGGCCTCCTCGTCACTTCTGTATGTTCACCATCCCTGACCTGGACGGAGATCTGCCAAGCTGCAGCACAAATGCCGATACAACAATGACGCTCGCTAACCCCATTGAATCCGTAGCTTTACCTGGCTCTCTTCCTGCAGCTTATTCCTCTTCCCGAGCTCGTCCAGACCGAGATCGTCCCTGTTGTAGGTGCCCCTTACGACGACCTGCCCCTCCAAGAATACCAAGCACCAGAATAGCTCTCCCGCCCATTCGAAGGAAGCAAAAAAGAACGCCAATGCAGAGCCATTCGTGCTGCGGCAACTTCAATCCCGCGGTCACCAGCGGAACATTACCCTCAAGCAATCTGTCCAGGAATCTTTACCGCTAACATCTTGTTTTCTGTCCACGCCAACAGCTCCCCTTCTGGGCCCTCGTCTCCTTTGGCGCGTACCTCCTCTTCCGCCTCGGCTTCAACGTCATGACCTTCAACGATGTTCCCGAGGCCTACAATGAGCTCATGAGCGAGATCGATCTCGCCAAGACGGACCTCCGCCGCCTGGGCGTCGAGGTGGATTAAATCCGGCAAGAGCGATAATATTTGGGGCTAAGTGACTGGGAGGGAGGGTTCGCGACGCAAGTTCCCTGGCTGCACTGCCAGGGACACGACGGCACACCAGGAATAGAGAATTGCTAGATGGAAGGTTTGTCATGGACGGGTCAAGGCAGAGGGCATGGTCGTCAGCAGTGAAACGTCTTATGGCATGGCAAGATCGCCCAGCCAGTGCCCGAGCTACGAGGGCAGGGCCAGGGCTGCCTGTGTCTTCAAAGGAGCTTTAGATAATACAACAAGCCCTTGACACCACAATTTGTGCGCAGTGGATATGGCAAATGTGGTAGAAGCGCATGACGATCGCGAATATTCCAAAGTGGAACGCCTTCGGAATACTGGCAAGCTAGAGACACAATCCAGTAACACAACATGGGTATCATGTCCTTATATTTTATGAAATGCCATTATCCAAGTCTACTTCCAGCCGTCGCCCACGAGCAGAGCCACGACTGTCTGGACTGCATCCAATGGATCCACCTTGTCTCCAACGAGCTTGTCGAAGATCCCCGGAATTTTATCTAGCTTGGCATTGGAATCTTGCTCGTGCCCTGCAGTGCGAATGCGTCAGTGACTCATAAACATAGAGACGATGCCAACTAGAATGTAGACAAGAACTTACATGCCGGCGGCGTCTCAACCTGCAAACCCATTTTGCTCTGCCCTTCTCCTGTCCAGTCGAATTCAATGGTCCACAAAATGCGTATACTCGGCATAACGTCGTCATCGGGACCGGTAAAGGGTCCCGCAATCCTCAGATCATAGCTGGTCTGGCCCATGCGTGGTAAGAGTTGAGCCTTCGTGTATCGTCCTCGCCTCTCGGCCTCGTCGTTCTCGTTCTCGCTGTCTTCGTCGTCCGAGTCTTGGTGCCGACGCTTCCGCTTCTTTCCTGTCCGTACGGCCGCCACGGATTTGGCGATGCCCTCTTTTGTGCCCAGTTTCTGCTCAACAGCACACCAGAAGTGTGCGCGTTTCGTCGCAAGTCGTACCCATTCGCCCATTGACCAGGTGATAACGCTCAAGTTCCTTGTCAATGCGCTGCTACGGATGTGGCTGCTGCTCCGATCATGCTTGTTGTCGACAATGCTGCGGACAAATGGCCCCAGCTCACTTGCAGCGGCTGGCTCGAGCCGAGAGACGTCAATGTCCGTAATTGAAAGCTTTTTAGTGTTGACGGTAAAGTCAAGCTTTGCGGCGAAAAGACCGGGCGGCGTCGAGGATATGGAAATATTGTGTTTCTGCATGATTGTGCTGTCGCCTGTGTTGCTCTGCACGTTTCGAGGTATGACGCTGACCGAAGACCGGAATGCAAGATTGGAGAACAGCTGGAGGTACGGAAGCTCTTCCTCGGCATTCATAGCCACGGGATAGTGAGAGACTGGCGGCTCCTCTTTTTCCTCCTGAGCATTTGCCTCTGTCGTCGTAGGCAGCATCAATGGCAGGTTAGCGCCAAAAGGCAGCAGCGCAATGGGGTTCATCGCTGTCTCAAGCCACTCCTCTGTGGCACTGGGCGGCGCCTTCTCTTCCGCAGGGAGAGCACTACGGCTGAGCACGTCTATCAAGTTATCAATATTACTGAATGTCTCGAGAGCTGGCCTGGTCGTTTGTGACTGATGTGATCGATACAGCCGCTCGCTTTCCTTGTTGAGCACAGCTAGATCACGCTTGAGGCTCGCAATCTCGTCGAGGAGCGAGTCCCTCGTTCCTCGTACGCTTGCGAAAGAATCTTCGTCTTTGACCTTCCGGGCTTTGTGAGGGCGCCTCAGGGTCTCAGCTTTGACAATGTGTTTTCTTCCTTCGCCCAGCCGTGAGTTCTTCGCAGCCGTTGGCGAGGGCGGCTCTGCTTGTGCTTCCGGAACCTGGAGCGGCGGCTGTTTCAGTGGCGAGCTCTTGATGCGTTCAGACAGCGCCCTGTGCCGCTTCGCGCGCTTGGATGGCGAACTGTGTATGCCGCTAGGAGAACTGACGACAGCCGCAGGATCAGCCAGACCGGCTTGGGTTGGGGTTGGGGGCAGCTCTGGCTCTTCGCGGTCCACGCGCGGCAGCACGCCTGGTGGTGGCGATCGTCTCAAGCCTCGTCGTTGGAAAGGGTCTATTAGGTCGTCGTCTTCTTGCGCCCGTGGTGGGAATGGCCGTGGCGATGGCCGATCGAGAGGCTTTCCATTCTGTCCAGCTCTTCCCGCGATGGCTCGCGCTGTCGCATTCTTGGGACGGCCATCTTGAGGCCCACGTCTTTCCGCGTCGTGGTTTCCAGCACTCCGCTCGCTGCTTGGTCCGTTTGGGTCGGAGGCGAGGGGGTCTTCGTCGTCGTCGCCTGGAGCCCGCTGTCTCTGCGCACTGCGTCGCTTAATGACATCTGGGTTGGAGCGACTCAGGCTTGCCTTCGTGGGCGAGGCAAAGGATGGGCGTCGTGGCTTGCTAGCCGGTTTATTGCCTTCACCAGCATCTGGCGCGGCATCGCGGCCATCTGCCATCGTGTTGAAAGTTCGAGTTGTTAGTCCAAGGGCGAGTAATTATCCATTGTGTTCGCAGCATCGGTGCAAGGAAAACATGCAGATTTCCGGGATCGAAAAGTCGCCTTGGAGCCGGTGCGCTGAATTGTTAAGCTTCCTTGTCGCGAGCTGGTGGATGGATCGTGGGGTTGTGTAGAAACGCGTGCCCAGTGGTGAGGGACGCGTCGCAATCGACCTGGGTGTCTCCTTAGTGGTGCTTAATCCTGTGCAAGCACCCCGACCAGCAAGTGCTGTCACCTCAAACGCCCGCAACTTCTACAATTCTGGCACATGGTAGACCATGCTCTTGCTCAAGATTCACAATGTGACAGACAGCCATCATTTCACAATCATTTGTCGTTTGCACGCGTCATAAAGTTGGGGTGCTTGACGGCGCATCCTTCGACGGTCTTCACAGGCAGCCCTCCAGCGCTGTACCCTAGGAATTCTAGCGCCATCTGGTGGGGCCGATTGCAGAGAGTCTTGCCGCTGGCCCGATGACGTTGAAGCCGCTGCGGGTCAATCCCTCAACTCGACTCTGCCGATCAGAAGCAGCGCTTCTTTGCCAACCTTCTCACCACCGCCACCACCACCAAGCAGAGAGGTGACCTCGCCGGCCGACAGCGCACGCCCGCCTGAATACGCTGCAAATTCCCTTGTGAAATCTTAGCATAACTGCGAAGATGGCCTTTACAGCTCGACCAATCCTGCGGGCCGCTGCCCGCCCGGTTCGTGGTCTGCACCAGGCCCGTCACGCACAACAGGGCTTCTTCTCCACCACGACGTCCCAGCAGAAGCTGCCTGGCGGCACTCCTGGCGAAACGAAGGACCCAAGCGAGCAGAAGACGCCTCTCGGCCCCTACTACGAGTCGATGCTCATCGACCCCCAGCCGATTCCCAAGACCAAGCCTGAGGCGCCCCCAGCCTCTTCGCCCAACGCCCCTCGCTCCACCTCGACATCCTCTTCGTCAGCGACCGGCAAGGCCAAAGCAGACGCTTCCAAGAAGACTACCACAGAGGCAGGTCGACTTCCTACAGACCCAGACCCCGTACCAGCACCGCCATCTCCAATACAGCCACCACTCTCTGCTTCTGCTCCTCCCGCTGCTTCTTCCTCCTCCTCCTCCACCACTGCTGCGAGCGAGCCTTCTCTTTCTTCCAAACCCTCCTCGCCAATCACGTTCGGCACAAAACTAGGCGGTCCCGCTAACGAGGCCGCCCGCGCAGAGCGCCTGAAAGCCCTGCGGCTCAGCCAGGGCACGCTGATAGCCGGTATTCGCGTGCCCCCGCGGCCCGATGAGCCGGACAACTGCTGCATGAGCGGTTGCGTCAACTGTGTGTGGGATCGTTATAGAGACGACATGGAGGAGTGGGCGGCGATATCGATGCGGGCAGAGGCCGCGCTGCAGGCACAGCGGAGCCAGGGCGCGCCCAGCGAGCTTGGCAAAGTCAGCGCGGTCAAGGGGATGCCTTCTGTCAGCAGAGTTGGCGAGGCGGTCAGCATGGACGACGACGGAGGTGGCTCTGACACCAACTGGGTCGACCCTCTGGCTGGTGCCAAGGCAGGCGATTCCAAGCTCGCTAAGGACTTTTGGGACGACGAGCTTTACAAGAACGTGCCTGTGGGGATCAGGGAGTTTATGAAGCAGGAGAAGAGGTTAAAAGAGAAGCATGCGCGGGAAGGCACTCGTGGTGGTTAGCTAGCGTACGTGAGCAATTATAATCACTGAACCGCGAATCCTCCAAAGCCCGGAGTGACCAGTCTCCAACGTGCCAAGCGTTGTCCACAGCAACAAGGCTAGTCTTAAGCGTTCATGGAGGACCGAGGTATTATATCATATGATGTGTATTGGAAAGCAGACGACCTCTATAGTGTGTATATCTCATATCCTCGTCGCCAGAGAATCCTGGATGCCACCACGCTTTTTGATAACACCGGAAATGCAGTCCCACTTTATCTCGCACGACCCTCATCTAAAGATTCCCTTTGATCTTTCTCTCTCTCTTTCTCTATCTCTCCGTGCCTTCTTATTCCATTGCATCAGAAATGAATGAACCACGCAAGCTCTCTTCTACGAGCTGCTGGTCTTCTTCTGCTTCTGCTCGGCCGAGAGGCGGTCGTGCTCCTCAATGTCGGTGGCCTCCCAGGGGTAGCAGATCCAGACGTCGCCGACAGTCTGGGCGGCGAGGTACTTGTTCTGCTCCATGTCGGCGGGGAGGGTGCCCTTCTTGGGCTTGTCCTTGTTCTGGAGAGTTGCAGAAGAAAAAATTGTCAGCCATGCGGTTTCGAAACCAGGATAAGCCACGAGCGAGACCGTTCAATATATCATCCCCCACCCCCTTCAGCATTTCGCGTGATCCGCAAACTCATGGGGCTCGGTGCAAAAAAATGGGACGCCACCCGGGCAACCCGCCGTGGTAGCTGGTCCTGGTCAAGTTGCACATTGAAGCAGACGGCTGTAGAGAAGAACAACCAAAAAAGAAAAACCTAGTACTCACGTGCAGAACAAAGATGCTGAACTCGGTCTTCTCTCCGCCCTTGCCCAGCTTCTCGCTGACGGCCGCGACGTCCTTCTCGAGCTCCTTGACGGCGTACTCGAGGGTGGTGCGGGTGTCGTCGACCTCGTCGACAATGAGGATGCGCTTGCCGACGAGGTTCTCCATGCCGCCCAGGGACGTGAAGTCGAGCCACTGGGTGCGCGTGACCTTTGTGCCGATCTGGTCGACGGCGCCGGTCGTGGCGTTGGCCTCGTGGGCGATGGGCAGCTCCTCGTACAGCGACAGGCCGATCGCCTGGATGGGGATGTTGGGCTGCCCCTGCTGCTTGAGGAAGGATCGCAGGATGCGCGCGGGGACATAGCCGCCGCCACCGATGGCGATCATGAGCTGCGGCTTGAAGGACTCGAGCATGCGAGGAGCGGACTCCTGGCACAGCCTGTGGACCTAGATGGACGGAGAGAACGAGTCATCGTGTCAGCTTTGGGCCGAGATTCTGTGGGTGAATGACGCGGAAAGCGTGGAGAGGCGTGGATGTCGAGGGCCGCGGCGGAGTGAGGAGGCTGCATAGCACGGCAGAACCAATAAAGGCCTGCCATGGCCATCTGTGCTTCCTTATACGGCCATAGATTATCGAGACGGGGGGCCTGGGGCGTCCTGCCCACCATGAGGCTCGGACGACTCCGTGGGCGCGCCGGGAGGAGGCATCGCGGGGCAGGTGCTTACATCGTTGTAAGTGACGTAAAGCTTCTCCACCATTTTGACGGTGTCGTGCGAAAGATGAGCAGGGGTTGCGGGGAAGAAGAGAGGCTGGAGAGCTGGAGAGAGCGGTTGTGTTACACGGAACAGAAAGCTCTTGTCTGCGAGGGGTCGGAGGTCGTCGTGGGCGGTTGCCAAGGGGAGGAGAAGGAAAGGAAAAGAGAAGCAACCAGCAAGAAAAAAAAAAGAGGGCCGTGACATGAGGCGAGCACGCCGAGTGACTGACTCCCTGCCTGGCGGGCCGTCCAGGCCCTGCTGTTTAGGCTCCCAGCGCCCCAGGCACTGGCTCGCGCTGGATCGCAGGTCGTTTATGGGCCGCCGCCTTTGACGGGTCCTTCCTCCGGCCCGGGGGCATTAGAGCGCAGTGCTCTGTCAAGAAAAATTTCAGTGGGGTTCCCTCGACCTCAGAGGCAGCGCCGGCGACGTTGGCGGCGGTCTCCGGCGTTGCATGTGCCTACTACTCGTACGGGGGTCCCGTCCGATCGCCACGCTGGCAATGTGCTTCTCTGCCCCTCCGTGGTCTTCGTCTCTTTGACACAACCTGGCCTGCTGCACAGAATGACATGCACATGACTTGCGCGTGTACCGACGTAGCGTCCGAGTTGAACATGGCATGACGTTGCTATCGCAGCCGTCTTGTTGCCTGCGAAATCTGTGAAGTCAGACGAACATGTCGATGCGGGGTGACTTCCTTTTTCTGCGCATAGGGGAGACAAGCGGGGGCACGGCTTTGCAGCAGCCAGGTTTCCGGGGTCCCTGCCCGGCCCGTGTCCTGATTGGCGGCAGTCGTGCCACCCACTCATGCATTAGGCAAGTGCTCAAGCAGGCTGCATCAAGGACCACCCAGAAGTTGTAGGTACCATAACCATATCTCTGCAATAACAAGCTGCTGGGGCCGGGGCGAAACAACGAGGAATGGATTTGAAATATCGAACTACAGCTACAGTACTCGCGATTCGCCAACCTTTCAACACTCCAAGCAAGAGCCCAGGTCTATTTGAGGCTGACCGTGTGAAGTTTGTCGACATTCCTACTGCCACTGTCCGAACCCTTTGTGGCCTCGTAAGCACGCCGGTAGACGCCGATGCCCTGGCTGAAGGACAGCCGCTTGTCTTGCCATCCAGTAGCTGCCCGAATCTTGCTGCTGTCGACCCACTGACTATACCCAAAGATATTTGCGAGGTGCCCAGGAGTCTCTGAAGTCTCACCGACACACAACACCTTTTCCGCGATACTGTAATCACGAGCAAGCGCTTGGACGACCTGGTCAGTGGTCTCGAAAGAGCTCGACGATATGTTGAAGCACTGTCCCGCAATAGCGTTGCGGCCCGAATGTTCTGCGAGCGCGAGATAGGCTTCCGCACAATCGTCAACATGCAATGCGTGCATGATACTGCGCCCTTCGAGAGGGACCTCAATCTTTCCTGAACGATCGAGACCGCTGCCTTTGCTGGCCAACTCTTCGGCAAATTGGAACGCTGCCCCGTAGAAGCTACTGTTGTAGCCGTAGACGTTGGTAGGCCGAAGCAGTACGGCATCGAATATGTCAGAGTGGCTGAAGATTTTCTGGCTATATTCCGTCCGCGGAGCCAGGAATCCCTCGGTCATTAGCGGCGACTCCTCCGTATGAGGTCTAAGATCTGGCGCGTCGCTCAAAGCGCCCACACCATAGTCTTTGCAGCCGCTCGACCAGAGGACCAGAGGCTTGGTGCCATTAGAGCTACTGATGCTCGCAAGCGCACGGAAGAATTGGGTTACACTCGTGTAGTGCGAGACATAGTCGGGCCACTGCTCCGAGCAGCCAATGATGACGTCCAGCTTTACAGTTTGGGCCAAAAGATCTTTGAGCCAAGGGTATCGTTGCAGGAGTTCGTCGGTGTTGGAGGGATCCGATGCCCCGGAGTCCTGGAGAGTGGCTGATCCAAGTAGAGGAATGACCTCTTGAGCTGCAAGAGACTGGGCAGCCTCGGGTTGTCTGACAAGCCCGAAGACGCACCACCCTGCACGAACAAAGGCCTTGCAGACGGCATTGCCAATATAACCTGAGATTGTTGTCAGTCATCTTCAAGGCTGAAGGGTGTGTAAGTGGTGGTAATACGTACCGTTGGCGCCGGTCACGAGAACTGATTTTCGAGACTGTGACGATGCCATTTTGACAAGCTGTAGTTAATGAAGAATGCTACACCACCATGACCAAAGGCCCGTCGTAGTCTTTTATAAGAAACACGCTGTTGAAGTCGACCGTTCCGATATCGACGTGTTGAAAATCACGGGCCGACTATCGCGGGCGCGGGTCAATGCTCCATCCGGGCTTGGTCAGCTGCCGATGCGGGTCCGCAAGCCGACGGATAGGTATCCATTCTTAATACCCACCTGCGTCCCAGGATGTTATCATCTTGTCCATTCAAGTATGTTTCCACCAAAGAAATCTTCCATAAGTGGGAAAATTGGTTGCTCCGGCATCTCAAAATTGGGCATGACGGGCTGGCCAGCAAGGTGTTGTGCATGATACTCCTCATTCCGATACTGAGGTGGGCCCATGGAGCCAGCTGGGCGTTCAGCAGGAGTTATGGGACTGGCTCTGGACGGCGATCGAAGAGCAGTTTGATGGGTGGGGTGAGGAGGTGCAAGTCCTTGCGATGCACGCATCTTACCGTGTATGCGGGCGTCGAACTTGCGTTTGGCAAGCTCACCGTAACGGTACGACCAAGTCTTGCCAGGCGTGGACTTGCTCCATTCGTTGACACGGTTGATAAAGTCGAGCGTCTTTGCGTCGGAGATCTTTGACTGCGACTCGTCATACTGGGCCAAGACAAATGCACAGTAGCCGATGCAAAGGCAGATGCAAGTGGGGACGGCATCAGCAAGGAAAGGCGGTGCTTCCAGGAATGCCTGGAGCACAAGCATTGCATACTTGCAGATGTTGGTGCGTAGCTGGTCTTCCTGCTCATTCGTCGAGCCGTGGCGCGTTTCGGGGTCGTTGTTCTCATCAGGTACGCTGTTGGCACCACTGCCCCCATTGTAGTCGGAAAGGAAGATTTGGGATCGGAGTCCCGTTCCAGTTTCCTCCAGGCATCGCACGGCAAGAATCAGACACGCGGCATGATAACCAACTTTCAACATGGACGACGTAGGCAAAACTAGACCCGGTTAGCGCTGCGTAGTGCAGCTGTGCAAGCATACATCTAGACTTACCCAGAAGGTGGTTCCACTTCTGCTTCCATGCCAGGAACTCTTCACATTCGCTGCCATCGAGAACATAAGTCTGGGAGGTCAACTTTTCATGAAGACAAGAGTACAGCAAGATCTCGGCGACGAGCATGCCATCCTGCATTGTTGCGTGGTAGAATGTGAGCAGGATGTTGCACTGGTTCACGTAGGCGGGTGGGATGATGGAGGGTCTTCCGGTTGTTGCAGCCCATCTGGAATTCGTTAGCACAGACAGATTGTGGGCGAGGGGTGGTGACTGACTGCAAGTGGTGGAGACAAATTGTTGACCACAGATGGATGGCTTTGTGGTCGTCCACTGTGGATTTCCCTCGCTTGATTCGGCCAACGATCTTCGAAAAGCTAACGCAGAGCATAGCCTGTTTTGCACAGTAGCCGGTGAGAAGCCAACTGTCTATGTATTCCGTGCCGGACTGCGACAAGTTAACTAGGTGTTCCTCGGTGAAGGGATAATGGTGATCTCACGCTATTCGGAGCATTGCCGCTGTCACTCATGAGCAGCATGGCGTTAATCTCTTCCAGAGTGAGCGGACTCGAGATGAGCGCCTGCCCTAAACTGACACGTGCTTGCTCATTGACCTGCCGGTGCAGTTCAGAGCCGAGCAATTCGTTCCGATATGCCATACCGTGGAGACAACAGACTGTGTGCAAGAAAGTGGAAACCTTCCTGGTCTCGCGAGGCTGCACAAGGTCTTCATGTCCACACGCGATCAAGGAGGATGCTTGATATCGGAAAAAGCTGGGACGGATTGCAGTCGTCAGCACCGAAGAGTGAAAGAGGTCTCGAAAACCCAACTTACAGCTGAATGAACTCCCGGGCCGTAGCCTCATCGAGCAATTGCAGTTGCACAAGATCGAGGTTGACATGCTCGAAAATCCTCCGATAGCCTTTGCTGACCTGCTCGCTAATCTCACGCAACACTACGATCGGCGCGGACTGAGTGCCGTGGTCTGCAGGTCGAGAGAAATACTCAGGCATGCCTTCCGACCCTGAGTCTGGGGATCGGCTGCGGGCAGTCCGGGCAGATCCTTCTTGCTGGATCTGACGGTCTGCAGATGCTCGAGCCGAGCTCTGGAGATCTCTAAGCATAGACTTGATCTCGGACAGAGACTCCTCATGGCGTTCTAGTCTGGACAGGTTTGTGACAGGGTCAGCGTCAAATGCGTCAAATGCAAGTCACTTGCACAAAGAGCCTTACCTCTCTTCCACTGTGGTCTTTGGCGGGCCGGACTTGGCATTGTATGTCGCGACTATATTCTCGCCCTTGAGAGAGCACTCGAGCCTGTGTTGGGTGGTCAGATATAGTCACATATCCGAAAAGGTTATTGCGACTGCCAATTGTTGGTCGAGGGGGGAGCATAGATCTGATCGCATGCCAGATCTGCCGAATGAAGACAGCTGTGATTCGCCCGACCCGTGGCGTGTCTGTCCAATTGACAGGGGCAAGGCAGTGCTGCACATAGCATGGTGGTTCCATTCGTGATGCATCACAAGACATACCGCAGTGTCTGGCATCGGTGGCACCCGGGCGCGCCAGGATCGTACTCGCACCGGCATTTTAGCTTTTGGCATGACAGGCAAGAGAACGCTCGCCTCCTACGCTTCTGGTCCGGAGCCTTTGGTGGCAATGGCCCGAGTTCATCGCTGTTGCGACGCTTGATGGGATTCTGCGTGGCCGGGGACATCGAAGCGCTGGCCGGGCTGTCATCGTCGGTTGGGCGTGGTGCAGGACGAGAAGCCGGGGAAGGACCCATAACGCGGAGCAGGTGCTGGCCTTTGACAGGCTTGGGAGAGGTGGGCGACGGTTCGTGGGTGAAGCAACGCGCGCAACCGGCGGTCATCGACGTGGTGGATGCGACCTGCGATCTGGAGTTGTTGGAGGAAGAGTTCGTCAGCCCGGACGTGTCTCAGGTGGGTCCGCCGTTTCCCGACGGATCCTCCTCGGCTCCCGTCCAACAAGACCAGGCAGCCGCACCCCTTACGTAAGGCGACCTTTGAAGGAGGTGCCTGTGCCTGTTGAGGGTTTGTACATCTTCTACAGTCTCGCCAAGAACAACAACATCGCACGCTCCGTGGTCGCCATCATTAATCGTCAATGAACCTATATCTACACGAAGTACCAAAATACAGGAGAGCCGAAAATCCATTGGAACGCAAAGAAACCCACATAACGCCAGCAAAACACAAAGCAAGGAGGATCCCGACTGGATTCTTGCTGGCAGCCTGAATGGAGAAGTCAGGCGACCAACAATATCTCTTGCCACATCCCCGGTTTGCAGGACTCTCATGGCAATGCAGCGTCCTACGCCTCCGCGATAGCATGGTGAATGATGCCTGTCTGGTGCATCATCGCCGGCCGGGCCACTTCTTGGCCGTGCTCTTCTTGCTGCGTCCATCGGGGCTTCGGCGAATGTCCACGGCGAGGCCTTTCTCAATGTCCTCTGGTCGCAGCCTAGGTGTCGGAGGAACATCGTCTAGTCGCATCCGGCCTCTCGAAGCTTTGCCAGAACCTTCTTTGACAGACTTGGGGAATTCGGACCTTCTTGGGGTCAGTGCCGTGACAACCTTCCTGGCAGACCGGCGCATCTTCTCTCGCAGCTTCCACTCCTTCTTCTTGGTCAAATAGAAGAGCACCGCCATGGCGACTAATCAGCTGTGGTTAGCGCTATTTCCGACACACATATGCCGACGACTCCGTGGCCTACTTACTGCCCAGAACAGCCACAACCGAGACGACGACTATGATCGCAATGATGGCCGTTGGAGAGATCTGTGCGCCAGAAAAGCTACCTCCAGAGGCGCCTGCCGCATTGTCGACCTGACCACCAGCATTGACTGAGCCCGCGCTGTTGTCTGTGGCGCCCGCCTCCGTTGCCAATGGGAACGGGTTGACGGTGCTTGAAGCCATCCTAGAGGCTGTTGGTGATTGTCCAGATGTTTGAGCTTTCCCAAATATTGTTTGCACTACGTAACAGCACAAGTGCCGGAGTTATGGCGGGCCGGTGTTGCTTTTGACTTGTTGTGCGCAGAACCGAAATGAGAAGAAGAAAGCGTCAGCGTAATCTATGGCAACGCAGCGGTTCGCATGAGTATATGAGTTGCAGACCCGACCCCTCGGGCGGCTCCTGACAAAGTCTTGGGGCTCTCCAGAGCCACGGGCTATGACTGCCCATCCGTGGGGATGCATGCCGGGTGTATGGCTTTGTCACGGCAATTGTCTGGCCTGCAACAGGGGTCTGCCATGCTGATCACAGAGACCCTAAGGCGCTCGCCCACCCTCGCCATTGGGTACTGCAGAGAAAACTGCCCAAGCCTCTCGTGACGGCTTGAACGTCGTCGCAACCGTCCATGCTTCCCATTGGCTGTGGTGTTTGTCGAAGCGCCGGGCCCAAGGGCGCTTTCACACTTACCCCTGACGCCGCTGGCCAATCACCTCTACAGGACCGGGATCTTGAGCTGTGCCTGCAACTTTCGCTTGGCGGCAACACACATCCCCATCACGGCGCCTCCCTCTTAGCAACAGAGCTTGTCACATCTGCCGCCCGGCCACAGGTGCGTCAGGGGGGAAAACGGTCTTAGTTAGTGCGAAAACTGCGGTGCGGAGGCACATGCAGAACACCACACATGGCTCTGCACCAAGCTATCACACTTTTTGGTCACTATCACCAGCCATTCATCGCGGAGCGTGACATTGGCAGAGACACGATGCAGAGATACGATCAATGGGGACAACATCGGACTATCTAATGGAGTAGCTAAGTGACAAGTAGGACCGTGCGGAAGACTTTGAGGTACCATTTTAGGTGGAGTCACTTGTCGAATTCGACTTGTTCTGGTCTACAACACTTGTCTTACATTCAAATACTTATGACCACACATCCGCCCCTGGTTGCTCCCTGATCGATCGCTCAGTTGGGAGGAGCCTGCAGAATACCCTGGCAATCAAGAACCAGCGAGCGAAACCATGCCAGTCTTTGTGGTCGCTTACAAGCACGCTCCCAGCTTAGAGGGCGGAGGGCATATAACAGCCACAGCTAAGTGAAACGGCGGCCACGCTAAAGGTGCAATGGTCAGAGATAGCCGCCCGTCCACGACACCACGGGCGTATGCACACCACACACCTTCGCACCAATATTATCATATAACGGCTGATCATATAGACCGAGGAGAAAAAGCACCTAGTAGGTGTGACAATGTGATGTGAACCTGCCGTCGGCTTTTTGGCCCCCTTCCCACCCCCCAACCTCAGAATGGGCGGTCTGGTGAGGACATGGCTCCTTATGCATGGCACTGGCCTTGTTGCAGCTGGCAAAGCACGGCGAAGGAATTACTCACTTACGAGTGTCCAGGTTGCACAACTTGAGTGGGGCCTCGAAAACACCCACTGACATGTCATAGCAAGGCGTTTAACATTCTTCAAGAGAGATGTGTCTTGACAGCAACAAGATACGACTAGCACGGAAAGAAACTCAAATATGTGAGTAGTGATGATGACCAAAGCAATGGTAATGATGATTTTGATGATCTCTTATCCCACAAAACGCCGTGCTGATGAATTGTATGCTATGTACAAAATCTTCTCCAACTAGACCTATCCCTCAGATAGAAGGGGTCACGATAACCAGAAGCAGTGCAATGAGCACACTGATGCGCCAACCAGTAGCACGAGGGCTGGGCCGCGCGCGCGCGCACGCAATTGACACCGGACAAGCCCCCTGATCTCCCTCCTTCATGCCCCTTAATACCGGCGGAACGTGTTTCCACTCGCGCTGCGCCTCTGCTTGTCCTTGAAGCGCCTGTCGTTGGCCGGCGCCTGGGCGTCATCGCCACTGTCCGCATCGTCGTTTTGTTGCTGCTGGCGCGACTTCTTCGGCTTGGGCTCGGGGAGGAACGTGACGGACCGCTCACCGACAATGTCGCCCTTTTGTTTGTTCGCGCGGCCCGGCTTCTGGGCTCGCGAGCCGAGCGCCGTGTCCTTGGCATGGCGATCTCCGCGGTTCGCCGAGGAGGATACCTGCATTGTAATGCCGTCGCTCTTGGTGCTTGCTGCCTTCTTGTTCTTCTTGGGTGCTGCTTCGGCTTCGCTCCCGGCGTCGTCCATGCTCTCGTCGTCATCGTCTGAGCCATCATCCTCATCAGAAGTATCTTGAGGCGGTAGGATGTTCCGGCCTGTCTCAGCGTCGACCCTCGTACTGGGATTGAGCACCTGGAACTCGCGGCTCGTCTCATCGACGCGGAACTCCTCGTCCTCGAACAGGCGGCCGAAACGGTCGTCGCCAAAGAGGCCGGCCTTGTCATCCACCACGGCGCGCTTCTCCTGCTTCTTGAGCAGCTTGTCGACAAGCTTCTGGTTGACCTTGACCTTCTTCTTGGCGCCGCGGATGCGGCTGGAGCGCTCCTTCTCAATCTTCTCCTTGACGCGCTTCGCGCGCTCCTCCTCCCAGGCGTACGGGTTGGCGATGAGGCTGGCCTGCTCGTACAGCTTGGAGGCCACGAAGAAGCCGTGCATGTACGGCCGCAGCAGGTTTGTCTTGCCAATGAGGTGGTCCATGCTGAGCGCCTTGAGCTCCGCGAGCGTGAGGAACTTGTAGTTGTCGTACGTCTCCGTGCGCACCTCCTCGGCCATCTCCTCGACCATGTTGTCGAGGAAGCCGCACCAGCGCGGGGCCGGGCCCAGCTGCGGGATGAAGAAGGCGTGCTGCTGCTTGCCCTCGTTGGCCGTCATGATCATGCCGCTGTTCTTGCACCATGCCACGTCGTTGATGTCGACGAGTGGCTCTACTGAAGTCCATGTCTCGCCGTCGTGCTCGTCCCATAGCTTGATCATCTGCTTGTCCGCAGAGAGGACCTTCTTCTCTTGTGACGCCGTCGTCAGGTGGATGAGGTTCTTGACTGCGTAGCCCGCACCGTGGTCCTTGGTCAACAGTGGCACCGGACTGCGCAGATCAAAGATCTTGATCAGGCCTTGGGAGGTACCCGTGGCCAGCGACAATCCCGACGGGTTGAAGTCCAGGGCGGTGATCTCCCCTTCTTGCCCTCCCAAGATGGCGACTCTTGACTTTGACCGAGGATCCCAGCACTCTATTGTCCCTATTGACGTGCCGAACGCGAGCAGGTTGTGGCTCCTCTCGGCGATCGTGCCGCAGTTGACCGCGCCCACCCCGATGCTGCCTTGCAGGCCGCCAACGTCAACGCCGTCATCCTTGCCGACGTCGACCGAGTATGATTTCATGAATCTGCCGACTTCGAGATTGAGGCGGAAGACCTCTCCGCTGCCGTCGGCGTCCAGGCCGACTGAAGGGATCAGAGCCTCGGCCGAGTGCCGATCGTACACGAGGTCGCGTCCGTATCGTGGCAGGCGCAGCTTGTAGTGACATCCGCCCGGGTTGTGCATCTCTATGCTTCGGTCTGACTGGAGGTGTAGCGATTTCGAGCAGTCGGCGGAGAGGAGCTGGAAGGAGGTGTTCTATAGTCCACACCAGAACATTGTTAGCTGTCATGCGCAATAGTGGGAGTGACCCCTTTCTCAAAGTATGCCAGACACTCACAAGGGCATTGGTGTGCCGGGCGTAAGAGAGCGACAGGTGCGGCGTGTAGTGCACGTGCATCTGCGGCTTGTACGTGCCCGTCGACATGATCCAGTCGCCATCCTCGGAGATGCGGATGCACTGGCTGGCCTCCTCAAACTCAAAGTCCTGCAGCAGCTCGACGCGGTTTTGGTACTCTGGGTCGTTCTTCAGACTGCGCTTCCTCCGCCGGGCGAGCCAGTCGGGCAGCGGTCTCGACGTAGATGCGCCGGCGATTGTGTAGACGGCGACATCGCCCTGGTTCGTGACCTTCATGGTCGCCGCTGCTTTCCGTGAAAGCGCTCTTGATTGTGTCAGTTGGGACTCGGTCGCTTGCTCCAGTATATGGGCTGTGTGGGAGCTTGAGCGCCTTCGAATAAGCCGCAGGTCTTTCTGGCAAGCTCTTTTGCGATGATGTGCCCACGGCGGACTGGCGATCGCGAAGCACGACCAGGCGCAGGCCCGGAGTCAAAGAAAATAAATTTTGGCGGGGCGATAAGAAACCGCGTTGATAAGAGCGCGTGAATGGTATCTCTCTCGCACTACAACAACCACTCTCGCACTCCCTGATGGTCTAAGTCCAGCCCGATATTCAGCCATACCTGTACCCAAAAGTGGCTTTGTTCGCCAAGCCATAATGGTCTCTAACAATGGCCAGCGTAAAATTCAAACCACTGAGCTGCCCATAATTGGAGGATTTATCTGCTGCAAAGGTCGTGACCTCTGCTGGTTTTTTGGTTGGGTCGGGGTGCCGGTCTCCACCTTTCCCGCATCATGACGACGCCTGCTTCCGCGATGCGGGATTGGACTGCGAACCCTCAAAAGGGAAGTTGCACAGTGTCTGGGCTGCCGAGGTCTTTCCCTTCCAGCACGGCTATCTAGAGTGTTCAGATGACCTCATCATGCCAAGTCGCTCCAATTCCACATGTCGAAGCCCTCCGAGAGTTCTGGGGCAGTTGCACGACAGTGGTAAAAAGCCAATCAATCGAATGCTATGATCCAAGGCAACGTCAATCACTACGTGGTCCCGTGTCATAGCAGACACCGCCATTACTCCTCTTTCCTGCATGCTTCATCAACACGTGTTGAGCTTCATTCCAGCGCAGCGGCCGATCGCCCTGGTTCCAGCAGCGTAAAGCCCATGCCGGGTCAAAGTGCGCCCGCTTGATTTCAAATCGTCGTCCAAGGTGAACCTCGATCCTCATCCTTTCCACAATGTAATACCAGTACACCGCAGTAGCTTTGTAAGGGAATTGGGTCACATATCTAGTTCCACCCTCAAACCCCTCCGAGACCCGGGTGTGCTTTTCTCCATTGATGAGACCATCATGATATATAACGCTAGACACTATGAGCCAATCCTCTTGTTGGGTTCGCCTCTCGTCCTCATATAAACGCTTCAGCTCATTACCAGCCCTCACAAGACCCATCACACGGGTTCCCACTTACACGTGCCTCCCACCACACCACCACCACCACCATCCTACATATCACCAACGTCACCGCCAGCTCTGTGATCGAGCAGACCACACATCAGCCAAGATGACGTCCACTATGCGCGCCCTCGTCACAACCGAGGACCACAAGGCCACCGTCAAGGAGATCCCCAAGCCTACTCCCGGCGAGGGCGAGATCCTCGTAAAAGTGCACTACGCCGCCCAGAACCCCACGGACTGGAAGGGCGTCGCCAGCGCTCCGCCCGGGGTGATTGTGGGCTGCGACTTTGCCGGCACCGTCGCCTCGCCCTCGTCCCGGTGGCGCGAGGGCCAGCGGGTGGCGGGCTTCGTGTTTGGCAACAACCCGTCTCCCAAGCGTGGTGCGTACGCAGAGTACCTGGTCATCGAGGAGACCCTGGTCTTCCCGATCCCGAACTCCATCTCGTTCGCCGAGGCCGCCACGGTGCCCTTGCCCCTCGCGACCGCAAGCCAGGCGCTCTTCCAGCGCCTCGGCCTCCCCGAGCCCAGCAAGCCCGCAAAGTCGGCGTTCCCCGTGCTCGTCAACGGCGGGACCTCTTCCGTGGGCAAGTACGCCGTGCAGCTGTGCAAGCTGGGCGGCCTGTACGTCATCGCCACGGGCTCTCGCAAGAACCACGACCTGCTGACCTCGCTTGGCGTTGACGCCGTCGTGGACTATGCGGACGACAACTGGCCTGAGAAGGTGCGCGAGCTGTCCCACGACAACCTCCAGCATGCATTTGACTGTATCTCGGAGGAGAACACGACGCCCAAGGTTGCCCAAGCGCTAAGCTCCACCAAGGGAGGTCATGTGCTATGCATCCTGCCGCGCAAGACGTCTGAGCTGCCGCAGGATCTGCAGAGAAAGGTCAAGGTCGAGTCGACGATTGTGTACACCGTGTTTGGCAGGCCCATCAAGTACGGAACCTTTGATAACTGCAGTGACAAGGACCCTCGGCCGCAGGACAAGGCGCACTGGGAGAAGGTGCTCTCTGAGGTGCCGGAGTGGCTGGAGTCTGGCAAGCTCAAGCCGAACCGGGTCAAGGAGGCCGGCGGGCTGGACGATGTACTGGAGGGCTTCAAGCTGCATCAGGAGGGTCGTGTCAGTGCCGAGAAGCTCGTGTACAAGATTGCGTAGGAGGTTTACATACACTTCATAGCTAGTGTCTCACGGCGAGAAAATAACGAGATTAATGAGCAATACTGGAGGGTTAAGACTTCCCATGAGCTGGAGGCCTCATGTGGGGGTTCTTCCTTCATATTGATCAATCTGCGTGTGATGATGTGCATGAATGCGTTGAGACAGGAGAAGCAGAACCAGGGGGCCCCATTTGGCCTCGAGAACTTTGTAGCAATGGCGTGATGTGCTTCGTGAAACCATCCTCCATCCTTCAGCAATTGTACCCCATTACGAAGCCGTTTTTGTCGTCCTGTTTGAACAGCACATCGCCCAGTCCATTGATCGAGTTGATCCTGACATGCAGATATATTGCTTCGGCACACGGTACCGTCCCTGCAGTATGGTTCACAGCACTGGGCGTGTCATTCCAGAACGTGAAGTCTGGGGATAACTCCAGTGCCGTCGATGCGGACGACAAGGGTTCAATGACGCCGTAATTGACTGTGACCTCTTCTTCCTCATCCGTCCCACAGTCTGGGGGAGAAGGAAACTCGTAAAAGGCCTTGACCTTGGTTGATCCATTCTCCTCGACTGTGAACTCGCGCTCAGCGGTCACGGCCTGGATCCAGCCTAGTGTGCAGACCTTGGCGTCTGCCGGGATGCCTTTGAACACGACAACCTGCTCGCGCTCCTCCCGGTCGGAGAGGTTCTGTATGTCAATGTAGCTTGTGGACGGCTCTGACTTGTCTGGGGTGTCGGGATAGATATTGTATGTGACCGGTGCAGTGACGCGGCCTGGTGCCGTACAGGAAGTTTGTCTGGGGCTCATGATAGATTTGTCCGGGAGGCTGGCTGGAGCTGCCAGAGCCATGCTGGCGAGGCAGACTATTAATGCCCCTGTGTAGCGCATCGAAGGCATCTTAGTGTTTCTGTGCGGTGGTTAGAGATACAGCTGGTCCTTGGAATTGATACCCGAGGCGTGGACTGAGGTTGTGGCAGTACGGCTGGAAGGGAACCCCGCTAGATGCTGAATCAAACCAGAGTCGCAAAGGGAGATGCACGGCGGTCAACAATTGATGCGGTCTGCCTCGAGTGAGTGATGAACAACGCAAGGGACGTCATGGATTGACAAATGGGAGGCATCTCCTTTTATGTATCTTGACTGTCGATCTTTCCCAACCGCATCCAAGGGCAAGTCTGTGTCACATTTGGTTCAAGTTCGTTGATGCCGCCCGCAGTGGATTTGAATGTGTTTCCCAAACCTGCTCAGCCACTTTGATCTCACCGTGTCTCACTGTAGCACCGACAACGTGTCGCGCTCTTCCATCTGCGTGGTACAAGCTATTTTGAGGCTACTTCCGTCACCACTATTGCGGGATAGCAGTAGACTGCTTGTCTGCCGGGAAGTTTCCGGAAGCGTTGCCGGCCATGGCACACGGCCGGTAATTCTTTTTGTCAACTTGCACAGATTGTAGCTATGCAGAGAATGAGCACAACACTGGCAGGTTGTACCAGAACGACACGAGGCAACGGCTGCCATATGGGTCGCGCAAAAGCCGGCGAAGCAGGGGCACCCACGGCACCTGGCAGCCTTGGCATCGTGCTATTCCTTGCTTAGCCTTGGCCTCGAAGTTCTGCAGGTAGATGATTGCTCCACTGCCCAGTCAGGTTTGCTTTGTTGTGCCTCGACGAGATGGTCACTGTTGCACTGTGCAGCTTGATCAGTATTCCGTCTGGTCAAACTGTATTGAGGCGGTCAGGAGAGCCCATGTTGCTGCTGCCAAGCGGTTACATAGTACGTGAGTTGGCAAGCAACTGCCGAAGACGTGTTCCATGCCTGCAAGGTACTCGGCTGTGCTGGCACAGACGTCCCTGAAGCCAATATCGTCATTCGCCGTGAGGATTGCCTTGCCGGTTTGGGCCGAGCATTCCTCACGGGACCGTTGCCGTTACCGCTTGGCGGCAGCACCGCGGAAGCCCTCCGGTTTCGTCTGACATTTGAGTTCTTTGCGACGCGGGCTCGGGAGCGAGAAGTTCCTCGAGTGGCACTGATTTGCAGCCCTCTGTCCATTGTGCCAGCGTGGGTGTGAGGGGCGAGTTGGAAGAACCTTTGGAAAGCTTGGACAGGACGGGGCTCGAGCAGCGGCCTGGCCACATCGCCAAGACACACTGGACATGGGCAGGCACGACCCCTCAACCAGCCATGATAAGCCAGGCATCGTGCATGCTCTTGCAATGCGCAACTGCTGACGAAGAAGACATTTGCCGACACTCGCGACACTCGCTTGGGGCAGGCGTGCCTGGGGCAACTTCAACGCCTTCGGCACGCCAGCCCAAGATCTGCACATCAACTCTATCCCCATTCTTCAGCTCGCCTAGTCCTTTGACAGTCGAGCTTGTCTCCATACGGCGCCCGATGCGACATACCCCAGCCTTTGGGGCGCCGCCGATGCAGTTTGCTCGGGACGTAACCTTCCGGCTGGGCCAGGTCCCCGTCCTCGCAAACTGCCGAGTCCCCACCAATCGACATGGCCGCGCTCCTGGATCCTGTCAACATGACACTCCCTCTAATTCCCTGGCGCCAGGAACCGTGGGCTCCAATTAATCATCACCGAATTCCACCTGGCAATAGGCACTTTCCCGATCCCGTTTATCTCTACGGGCACCGCTCATTGCAGGACAACCCCTGGTCCATCCGTCTCCAAGACAGAATCCCTGATGCCAGGTCTCAAGGTCACATTCCATGGTCTGCAATGGCAGTCGCTCACTCGTGACCCATGTCAGGAACCGATTTGACAAGATTGACAGCCCGACCCTGGCTCGCGGCTCACGCCGTGACTGGAGGGATAACATCCTCCGGACACATGCCGGGCCACCACACGGGGCCCTGGGCGAGAGCCTCCCGGGGTCGCTTCTATCCTGCAATCAGAATGTGCTCCGATCAATCTATACTCTGACACGAGCGACTCATGTTCATCTCCGCCGAACTAGCTCGCGGGGCCAAGCCCAAACAAACATGCAGGTCATTTTCTCCAAAGCAAGAATATGCCAGGCCCGGAGAATTTCATGTATATAAGTCTCACGACAACCGCCTGCGTCAAGAGCATGAAGAGATAGTTCAGGCAGGCACTTCGTCTCGGATCTACTCCCACGCTCCACTTGACCCAGCACCTTTAGCATTCTGCTTGTCCATCTTTGACTTCCCTTCAGAGTACAAAACAACCAGTCAATATGCGTTCCGCTGTCCAGTCTGTGGTTGTGGCCCTAGCCCTGGCCATCTCCTCGGTCAATGGCGCTGCCACCACGACTCTGCCCGCTTCCAAGGGTGCCGTTGCCACCAATGCTCCCATCAAGGTCAGCGGCTCCTTTGACGGTGGCATGAAGAAGTACGACCGTTCACGTGAGTCACTCCCGCTTCGCCATCTCTCCGGCATTGCGAGAGGAAAACGACTAATTCTGTCGACACATAGCTGCTGTTTGCCAGGGCCAGAGCGAGACCGGCGAGAAGGATGCCATGTTCATTCTCGAGGCCGGTGCCACTCTTTCCAACGTCATCATCGGTGCTGGCCAGGCAGAGGGTGTCCACTGCAAGGGCACCTGCACGCTCAACAACGTCTGGTGGGCTGACGTTTGTGAGGACGCCATGTAAGTATCGGCTCGATTCGCCTCATTCTCTCTGGCTCCCTCCCGACTCGAACAGAACATCAGTCGTCTAATACGTCCTTTCCCTCGCCCAGCACTCTCAAGCAGTCCTCGGGAACATCCTACATCAACGGTGGCGGCGCCTTCAAGGCCTCCGACAAGGTCGTCCAGTTCAACGGCTTCGGAACCGTCCAGATCAAGGACTTCTTCGCCAACGACTACGGCAAGCTCGTCCGCAGCTGCGGCAACTGCAAGGAGAACGGCAAGGCCCGCAACGTCGTCATCTCGGGTGTCGTCGCCAAGAGCGGCGGCGTCCTCTGCGGCATCAACACCAACTACGGCGACACCTGCACAATTACCAACTCGTGCCAGAACAGCGGCAAGTCGTGCGACCGCTACACCGGCAACAACTCCGGCGCTGAGCCGCCCAAGATTGGCTCCGGCCCTGACGGCAAGTACTGCAAGGCCACTGGCTTCACTAGCAGCTGCTAAGCTGTTGGTAATCTGCATGGGACAAGACTCCCTATGGTGATCCTGAAAGGAGTCGCTAGAGAGATCCAGAAGGCCCGAAGAGATGCTTGACACGATAACGATGAGAGATGTCTGTTGCCAACGAGACATGTTCAAGTACATATTTATTGGCGTGCTGGGAATATTGTCCAGAAGAGTACTATCTGACTTGTATACTGTACCAATTCTTCTCATGGCGTGCCCGTGTCCGCACCTGAACTTGCTGCACGATTTGACAAGGCAACATCAGTGTTCAAAGACCTCTCAGCCCCGCTAACTCAAGACGGCGGCCCAGCAACCCGCACAGGATGCGCCTCCGTGTTCCACACCCATTCATTGGCACCGTCAGCACTGATCTGCCAGGGCTGCTCGGGATCAGCCTGGATCAGATAGCTGTACTTGAGCACCTCGGCGAACCAGAAGCTCTCTTGGAAATCCGTGAACCCGCCGCCGCCCTCGGCGTTGACGTCTTGGATCGAGCTGTACCCGACGCCCGCGGCCGTGGTCTTGTTGATGGCGAGGAACGCCTCCCACGCCCAGTCCTGGTACTTGACATCCCCCGTGGCGCGGTATGCATAGTAGAAGCTCTCGATGACCTCGGGCCGCAGGACGTAGTCGCTGCTCTGGATCCAGAATCCCGCGCGGTCGTAGAAGTCGGCCTGGTCCGCGGGCGGGTCCGGATTGTTGGGCGCGTCGGCGGGCAGGGACGAGTCCTTCCAGCGGAAGGACTCCGGGCCGATCTGAGTGAGCGTCGCGGTGTAGGTCTCGTGGCATGCCGCGGCGAGGCTCAGACCAAAGTCGATGTACTTTTGGGACTTGAGGGTCAAGCCGCCGAGGATGAAATTCCCGCCATCGAAACAGGCCACTTTTTATACATATATGTATGAGCTCGAGATTCCTCATAGCTGTCCAAAGGGATAGTGGATGTACTTACAGTGTGAGGATACAAGGTTGAGATCATCCCGGCCGTTATATGCCGCAAGGAATGTGAGGTTTGTACGACTGGTTGGGTGGGAAGCCAGATATTGGATGGACGAGTCGGCAGCGGCGATCCAGCGGTCCATGTAGAAGGCATATTTGTCTGAGTCGTACAGGTACATCTTTACAAGATACTCGTAGAAGCTGTCGGTGCCGCCATTCCAGCCACCCGCGGAGTCGGCAAAGGTGCCATTAGAGATGAAGACGTTCGTCCCAATCAAGCCCGGCCACGGCTCGCCGACCTCGGGGTTCAATGGGTTGAGCAGGTAGTCCTCGGCCTTCTGCACGAGCTCATGATACTTTGGGTCGCCTGTCAGGTCGCTGAGGCGCGTCCACTCGATGATGAGAGTGCCAATGGTGGCGATTCCATTGGTGGTCTCGTCAGATAGCTGCGTGCGGTTCGGATAGATGTACAACGTGTTGTGAGGCACGCCGCTGTTGGTATCAAAGGCATCGCTCAGTATATCCGCAAGGCGTTTCGCCGAGTCGAGAACCAGGTCGACGTTGAAATCGCCCGCCAAATCAGCGAGAGGACCTTTGAGAAAATCATATCCTGGCGGATTTCAGCACGCAAGCATTTTTTGTTCGACAGCACAAGGCACTTACCGGAAAGAAGGCCGCCGAGGTAGCGAATGGTCGTCTCAAAGACAGAAACGCCCTCGCGGCCCGCTGCCGTCTTGTGCCAGTCGATGTTCGCAATGTGTTCCAGAACTTGCTGCACCACCTCGGCCTTGCCCATGACCAAGGCTGTGGAAAGGGCATCGACAGCACTGGCGCCCCAGCCGTTTCTGCCATTGAAAACGGTTCAATACTGTGTCAAAAGTTACAAGGCTTGTTCATGGGTCAAGAACGGACCTGTCATCCTCAAATGTCTTGGAGATCGGCTTCAGCGTGTCGTGCGGGAACGCGAACTCGTAGTATCCATCCCACGACCGCTGAAATGTGGCCTTCACCGCATCGGCCCTGTCGGGATGAGCCTGGTAGGACGGGCCCGCGAGGACAGTGGTAGCTGCGGTGAGAGCCGCGGTGGCGGCTGTGACAACGAAACGTGACACCATTTTGACGTGACACCTCCTTCCGCACAGCAAGATGGATCCGGCAAAAAGCTATGTCTAGACCTGAGGCTTCGGGCGGGTAGGTAAAGCACTGGAGCTACATGGCGTAGGCGAATTCCATTTTATATAAGTCCAGTCAAGGAGCAGGTGTGAGCACTAGCTCCCCTCGTGACTGCGCCTACCCTTTGAAGATGACCATGGAAGTGACTCGACCTGCAGCAACCTGCTAGCTTATGATCTCATCCCTGCCCTTCTGGGAAAAAGGTCAATACACGATCAGCCAAACGGATGCTGCGACGCAGAGGTACCGTGCCTGCACCAAGACATTGAGGCGGTTGCCCACACCAGACGAGGACAAAGCAAGGGCACTCCAAGATGGAGAAGGAAGGATCGGCAGGTCGTAGTGCATATACCTGGCCATGGGACTTTTTGCTGGGGCATGTGCTCCTCCCTCTTTGGAACAAGGTCTGACGAATTATTGCGTCCTCGGGATTTAGTGAGCGAGGGTGTCTGCCGATCCACGGCTAGCCAGCGGCGATCCGGGGACATCTGACCAGGGAACTCCAAGGCATGACCCGACGCGGAAGCCTGTCGTTATTGGCAGTGGCCGGCTGCCTCTGCGAGTCATCCCGTATAGGAACGTGCCTGGAGCACGTCAGGGCATGGTGCAGAACACATGCGCTGTGTGCGTGGCCACGAGCAGGATGGGCGGGTGCGCAACAATGGTCAATTGTTGTGGCAGGCGAGGAGTGGTGACTTTGCCCACACATGCGCTGATCACTTGCCCAGTCGAGGCTCATAAGGCGGGATGGCTTGTCGCTAATGCGCGGCACGCAGCTTAACACAACCCCAATATCGACGATGGCAGGCAATGGCACCATATACACTTCACCTGGCTGACTGCACTAAAGAAAGCTTCGCATTCAAAAAAATGGGTTGTTCATTGTTGAAAGTTTCGCGGATTACAAGATCCATCCGTCATATTGCGGGGAATTTGCTATCCTGGTGCTGCAAGTCAGGCTCATTGTGGGAGTGAGTCGTGGGCATGTGCCTTGCACTGATGACATGTCGATCTTTCGCGGGGTAGGTCGCGAATGCTTGCAGGATACTGGACCGTACGCCCTTGGCACAATGGTACGCCAGAAGGGCCGATACCTCTGTCATCCTCGTAAGTACAACCTTAAGAGCCTCTCCGGCCCCTGGCTGCAGAATCACCGCACAATCAACATGGCGCATTTGCAAGCTACTGACAAGGTCCATGCTGAACAAAGATGAGGCTGCGACAAGCAAAGCCCTCGGCGAAACAGCATAGTTCCTCAGTCTAGATGTCGTCCAATAACGACCAATGGTTCCGTTCTCGGACAACGTGACGTGATGAGCGCCATTTCAGAGACCAGAGGATGGTCATCCTGGCGAGTGCATGGGTGCCAGCGTCGCATCGTATTCTCCTCGCGACGGAGTTGCGGGGAAGCCTATACACAACGTGCTGCCACACGGGTCGGTACTTCAGTCCCTGTCCCGCTGATGCATTGCGCCTCTGGCCGTGGATGGAAATCGAAGTCACACGGGTAGTCAAGCAGCCACTCGTTAGGATCCAATAGTGTGGCCAGGCTTATACAGGACCGAGTGCATCTGGAGGGCTACGAATTGGCGCGGAGCTCATGTTCTTGGGTGTATCAACTGGGAAAGCCAGCGCAGCATTAAATCATGAACCGCAGAGGAAGCTCACCCGCCTTGCCTCAGTCGAGCTAGAGCAGCAGCCACGCCGTCATTCAACTGGTCCTCCGAAGGTGGTTTTGCGGAAGCTGTCGTTGCCGGCCTGTCCTGCTCGACGGTCTTCATGGATTCCGCAATCGCTGCAGCTATCGCCGCCTCGTCGTCTTGATCATCATCCTCGTCAGGGTCCCAGATATGATGCTGAGCCGGCTTGTCGGACGCCTGGGTGTTCTCTCTGGTCACCGCTCTGGACAGAGCCTGATTCTTTGCTGCGATGGCTCTTGGCATGTCGCGCAAGGGCACGGTGCTGAGAGGAACTGCCACATCCATCGTAGAGCTGTCGCCACGCTCAAGAGTCCGTTTTGCCGCCCTTTCCACTCGGAAGGGTTCTGCTACGACACTGCACCACTTGTTGACTTTCTTCTCACCCCAGCCGCCGATCACGGAAACCTGTTCGGGGTCCGCATTGACTGCGTTCTTCAGGCTACCAAATGCGCTGACCAGCGAGATTGAATCGGCCTTGTTGATACCGCGGGGAACGGTCACAAACTCAACAAGTCGTTCCGCATATCCAGTCGCTTGCTGGCCTTTGATGGCGGCGAAATTGGCATGCTCGTAGGACTTGTACAGTTCCAGATATCGTGCGGCTTCCGCGGCCGACCAGCACAGGATGACGGTGACGTTGTTGATGAGAGAGGTCTTGGAGAGTTCCCGTAACGAATCCTCGTGATTCTGTATATCGACCATGGTCAGGACAATCCGAAGATTGTATCTGCCCTGGAGGTTTCGTATGCGTGTGTATATGTACTCGGGGTGCAGCCGGTGGTATTTGAGACTGAGGAACAGGGCGCATGTCGTCTGGCCCAGGCCATAGTCGGCAGGAATGTCGCTGTATTCCCAGGCTACAGAACGGAGCGAGGCCAGCACGGGATTGCCCTTTTGCCGTGGAGAGACTAGGATCGAGGATCCGGAAGACCGCTGGGGCAGGGCCTGTGGTGTTGGCTGGACAATCTTGGCTGCTCCATTGGCCGAGGCACTGGTGGGAGGCGCGCGGTCGAGCCGCTGTGGTGTCGGCTGCTGGATGCGTTGGGGCGTGGGCTGCTGGATTCGAGGCTGTGATGGTGCCTGGCTGGAGCCTGTCGCTGGCGCAGAGGAGGCTAGGGCAGACAGGAAGTCGGCGTCTGCCCCAAAGTCATCGTCGTCCATGGTCGCCGCCTAGCGAATCGCATGGTCTGCTTATCGCCGTGCTCAGGGCAAGCTCAGGAAGAGCGTCTCGTGTCGCGGTGCGAGTGGTGTTGGAGGGCAGGAGGCATCTGAGGAAGTCGTTGCCTGAAATGCTCAGGGAAGACGTCACTGTGATCCTCGCCCCACCAACGCCGCCCAGACTACGTCCCCTTTGCACCATGGAGCCAAGACCGTGCATCTTTCTACGCCTACAAACTATGAACACTTTCACATACGATCTTGATGCTGGATACTCGAGATTATCCCTAAAATATCGCAACCATCACTTGTCATCTGTGCGACCTCAAAAACATAGCCCTACAACAGGTGCTGTATTCGGTCACGTATTGGTGTGTCGCGGCCCTTGGGCCACTTTTGGTGAGAGGTGCCAGCGCTCCCTGACATGCTCATTAATAACGGCCGAACGGTAGCCATACAAAGATCCAAGCTCCAGTGGACCTTTTACTTCGAGAACGTTTCGACACCTGTGCACAGCGCCGTCCGTGTGCGCTCCTATTAGCCTCTTAATCAAGCGCAGCAGGGGTTTTCAGGGCCGACGGGGCAGGGGCTCCGTGTTTCAATGATTGGTCTTGCACCCCTGCTTTGTTTGACATCGCACCACTTGTCATGAGCACGACAACTTTGTCCTTTCACTTTGCTTGACTGCTTTGGAATTCCAAGTCGTCAACATTGATCATATTTGACCTCTGTCGTGGACTCTTTGGCTGGTCCCAGAGCCTCCCACGCGCCTTGGTTGCTTGTTTGAGGCCTTTGGATAAGCCCTCTTGAAATCCATTGCTCCACCAACCTCTGTTCCTGGCCGAACACCACCACCACCACCACCCAGCCATGGCACCAAAACAGCAAGGCAAGCAGAGGCTCCCGCCGACGACGGCGGCAGCCAAGAACCAGGCCGAGCAGGAACTGGCCGCCCTCATGCGCAAAGGCCAGGGCGACAACCTTCCGGCCAAAATCATCAGCCAGGCCGGCGTGTACCTGAGGGCGGCCATCCTCATCTCGCTCATGGCCATCTCGGCAAACGTGTCCCGCCTCGCCTTGTCGCCAGTATACGGGCAGATCCCGGCCTCAATCTACCATGATTATGTCGTCTGGGCCTTCCTCTTTGTCGGATGGGCTACCAACGTCGTGCTGAAGCGGGTGCTGCCCTTCAAGACGATGGCCCTGATACCCGTGATTGCATGGTACAGCCCCATGGTCCAGACGTATCTCTTTCGCCTGAGCAGCACCCTCTCCATCAAGTACGGTCCCATCGTCACCGAGGCTCTCACTGTCGGCCCTCTTTTGTCTCTCGGCGCCGCTTATGTCGCCGACATTCTTGAGGAGGCAGACATGAGCGCTCTCCCTCAGACTGTCGCCGATGCGATCCCGGGCATGGGCGGGTTCGCCGTATTCCGCCTCAACGAGGCCATCATGGGACAACAGCTGTCTTTACAGATGGGGCGGTCTCTGATGCAGAGCCGGATGGGTATGCAGTTCGTGCTGGCTTCTGTGTACAGCCTGATGTCCCGCTCCAAACTGCTCCTCTGGGTCATTCCTGCTGTGCTTCACGCCGGCATCTTCAACCCGCATATCCCGTCGCCCACCGCAAACAACAACCTCAACACCACGTTGAGCGCGCAGGGCTGGTCGCTTCTTGACAGGTGGGAGTCAATCACTGGCTACGTGTCCGTGATCGAAAGCCACAAGGACGGGTACCGCCTGCTCAGGTGTGACCACAGCCTCCTTGGTGGCGAGTGGAAGAATCTCCCAAAGACGATTGTCGGCGAGCCGGTCTATAGTGTATTCACACAGCTTGAAGCAGTTCGTCTGGTGGAGAACCCAAAGAAGGTCCCTGACCACCAAGCCAAGGCGCTGAACATGTAAGTTGCTATTGCTCCTCCAGGCAGGTCTTGATGGCTGACGCAATCCAAGCGGTCTCGGAATTGGCACGACCCCCTCGGCCTTGATTGCGCATGGGATCGACACCACGATTGTCGAAATCGACCCTATTGTGTATGACTTTGCCGTCAAGTACTTCGACTTGCCAGCAGATCACACGGCAGTCATCGAGGATGCCATCAGCTGGGGCAAGAAGAACATCGTAACCCTCGCAGGACACTTTGACTACATCATTCATGATGTCTTTACTGGTGGCGCAGAACCCATTGATCTCTTTACGGAGGAGTTCTTGGAAACTCTTCGGGCATTGCTGAGCCCCTCTGGTGTGATTGCAATTGTAAGTCTCTCCGTCCGTGCCGAATCTACGGGGCTAACATATGGACAGAACTTTGCTGGCGACTTCACGCTACCGTCCCTGAGCATCGTGGCCAAGACGGTCAAGACTGTGTTTCCGTCTTGCCGCATCTTCCGAGAGATGGAAGCCCCGCCCAGGGAGACTGTAGAAAAGGAAGGCCGAGACTTTGACAACGTCATCATCTTCTGCACCAAGACCGTAGGCGCCATCACGTTCCGCCAGCCGACCGAAGCCGATTTCCTGAAGAGCTACTCTCGGAGGAACTATCTCCTGCCAAAGCACGAAGTCCCCGATTCTGCGTTCATGAGTGGCGAGAAGATTGGCATCCTGCGGCACAACGAGACGTCGATCCTGGCCGCGTCACACGATACCAGTGCGGTTGGCCACTGGAAGATCATGCGGAAGGTGCTGCCAGACTCGATCTGGGAGAACTGGTAGAGCGATGCAAAGGGGAGGAGGGTTTGGGTTCTGCCAGCGAATTTTGGGACATTGGGGTTTCCGATAGAAAACCGCCAAGCTCAATTGGGAACAGGAGAGGCATATCGTTTGAATAGACAGCCATGAGCACAACAAAAATTTGACTACGAAACCTGCCACGGGCCCTGGCCACAGCAAGAGAAGAAGACCTTTGCACTGCCCCGGCATGACGACGGCTTTCTTGTGGATAAAGTGGGAAGGGGGACCCTAGCACCGCAAACCGAAAATGGGACTGAAGGCGGAGTTGCCTAATCTGTCAATTTAGGCTTTCTCTCCGTGTAAGGTCTATGCGCATGTAAGTGGAGGTAATGGCCCAACGACCCGCGGCTACAACCGCAGCAATAAAGCCCGACCTAGCATGTTTACCCCGACTCTTGAACAACAGCAAGGTGGAGTCGGTGCGGGGAAAGTTCTTGGGTGCTGGCTGGCCGGAGGACGAAAGAGGAGGAGGAGAATGATGAAGATGAGGAGGTGAATGGCGATTTCGGAGGTAGTGCGGGTTCTCTCTGGCCCTGACTTCAATGTTTTTTTATTTACTTATTGGTTGACCTGAATCGGGCTTAGAGGCCGTGCTCGCCTGATCCTCCACCACGTGTTTAGAAAGAGGAAGAGGACGAGAATTGCGGATTTCTAAGACTACTCCAGGAGCCCTCAACATCCGTGCAGCAATCGAGCTCGCCGGGCCACTGATCTTGGAAGTCGAGTTGCGCTCTCCTGAGTCGGAGCGAACTTTCTACGGTACCCTTCAAGCCTGGGTTTGACTCAATCGCCCAATCCGGAAAACAACAACGCCGACGAGAATGGCATTCCTCTCCGGTCTCACGGCATCCCTGTGCCGCTTCGAGGCTATGCCCCTAATTATTCTCCGGAAGACACCTTCTCTAAGAGCCCCATTGTCATTACTTAGCACGGCTCGCCGCGTCTCTACACCAGGGCCGAGACCGCTGAGACACGACACCACGCCAAAGGGAGCAGCAGCAAAAAGATCCTTCGCAACAAGCAGTGCCCTCTGCTCCAATACCCGGCAGTCCGTCCCCGACGGGCGTACCGCGATCGTGACCGGCTCGAGCAGGGGCATCGGCAAGGCCATTGCTCTCCGGCTCGCTTCGGACGGGTACAGTGTCTGCGTGCACGACGTGCCTGCCAACAAGGCCGGGTGCGAGGAGGTCGTCGATGAGATCAGGCGGATGGATGGCGGTGGCGGCGAGAAGCGGAAGGCGTGTTATGCCCTTGCCGACGTGTCGAGGCGTGCAGAGGTCGATGCGCTGATCAAGACGAGTGTTGAGCAGCTCGGACCGCTGGATGTCATGTAAGTGCTGAAAGGAACGGCATGCATGCTGTTCAAAAAAACGAAGCTGTTGCTAGAAATCACGCTGACCTGTTCATGCCGATGCTAACAAAAAAAAAAAGGGTCGCCAACGCCGGCATAGCACAAGTCAAGCCCGTCCTCGACATCACAGAGGCTGACCTGGAGCGCATGTTCCGCGTCAACGTGCTCGGGCTGCACAACACCTACGCCGCCGCGGCGAGGCAGATGATTGCCCAGAAGAGCTGCAGGCCGGACCGGCCGGGCAAGATCATTGGCGCGGCCTCGATCGCGGCGTTCAAGCCCACGCCCTTGCTCTCGCACTACACCGCGAGCAAGTTCGCTGTGCGCGGGCTGACCCAGGGTTTTGCCGTCGAGCTGGCGCCGCACAACATCACGGTCAACGCGTACGCCCCGGGTATCGTGGGCACGGCGATGTGGGATCTGATTGACGCCGAGATGGCCAGGCAGCATGGCGTTGCGAAGGGCGAGGTGCTCAAGAAGATGGTGCATGACAACACCGCGCTGGGCAGGGTCAGTGTGGTTGAAGATGTGGCCAGGCTTGTCAGTTTCCTGGCGAGCTCTGATAGCGATTTTGTGACGGGCCAAACTCAGGTTGTCGATGGCGGCATCGTCTATACATAGTCATTCGAGTAGCCAAAGGAGCGCTACGTGGGAAACCCCAGGAGGGACCGCTCGTTTCATGGATGGTCACTGGGTCTTTGTGTGTCGCCGACGACGGCACCACGACCAATGTCTACCCAGATAGGACAGTGGTCACTCGGTCCCCTGTCTCTAGGGTGGTCGCAGATATCAGCACCAATGATGCTGTGTCCAAGCGATCTTGAGGCGACGATCAAGTCGACCCTGTCACAGCAGGTTCCCCATTCTTTCGTCCTGGAGTGCCAACTGTACTTTCTCAAGTTGCCGTGGATGTATCGAAATGTATCAATAGCTTTCAGTCCCTTGACATCGGCCGTGAATCCTTGGGCCTCCGCGAGATTGCCATCTTTCTTGCCCGGCAGCTCATTCATACGATATCGAGCTGCTACTACGCTCGACGAATCTGGCGGCAGGACTTTGCTGGCGAAGAACTTTTGGTTAAAGTCAGCCCTGTTCAAGACGTGCTGATGAGGCGACGTGCGCAGATTCGGGTAGCCGTCGATGCGCTCCCGTGCGATGTTGAGATCGCCGGCAATCACGACAGAAAAGCCCCTTGATTCGAGGCGATGAGCCTCTTGCAGAAGTTCAGTGTGCATGGCCAGTTTACGGTCGTGACGGGTACCGATCACCGCACCGGTGTGAGTCGAGTGGTATGGATTGAATGTGCCGTTGACCGCGTAGATGTTGATGATGGCAAGCTTGAGCGGGCCTCGGCTATCATCTTTGCCGACGGTGGACGGCTTATGCTCCGAAGAAGAAGAGGAAGAACCAATGTTAGTGGGCACAGAGACGTCCAACGCGTGCGTCTCGATAATCTGCACCCGTCCTTCTCTGTCCAACGGCGGCTCACGAATGCAACTAACCACATCCTGCATAAAGTCCTGCCGCAGGATTGCACACACACCATACACCTTCCCGCCAAAACCTCTGGCGTTATGCGGGTCAGAAGGCAGCACAAAGTGTACCTCATATCGTGGACCACCGTCAGCCAGGAGTGTGCCCAGTGGAGGCCGCCCGGAGCTGACGTGGTTCGGCAATTTTTGCATCGAGGCCGGGCCTCCTTCAAGGGAAGACCCATCGTTGGCCGCCACTCGGACGGCGCTCATCGTCTTCTCATCCCCCGGCTTGATCTTGATCTCCTGCAATAAGAGGACCTCCGGCCAGTGCTGTCGTCTCAGAGCATCTCGTAAGGACGGCCTGCTTTCCTTGGAAGGGTCACCCTGCAAATAATCAGTAAATTGTGACGGTAGAATGTCTGCCAATCCTTGAGTACATACAGGAAACTTGCCATCAATTTGGCTGTCACCGGGGCTGTGTTGTCTCTTCCTGGATCTCGCGGTGATTGATGACTGGAAGAATGAGTGTAATGTCTTTTGCAAGTAACCTTGCACGAAAGGCTGGATGCCATTGATGTTCCATGCCACGATGCGAATCCCGGTCCCTCGATTGGGCTTTTGAAGAATGCTTGTAGAGGACGGGTTCGTGGAATCACTGGGTGTTGTTCTATTTGGTGACTCTCGCTTTCTGCGCTTGAGTGGCGGCGGGGAAATGCGGCCGTATTGTGCTGCCGTCATGATTTCGAAATTCACAAGCGTAAACGGGAGCGCTAGAGGCCGTCAGCTGCACTTGCGCCGACGTGGTTGCGCCATCGATACATGTTGTTCCATGAAACAGCTGGGTAGAATGAGTCCTCGAGCATCTGCTCTGCGCGGAGAAACACCATCCACTTATGGCGTCATCGTCTACGGACATAGGCACAGCTGCGAATCGTCCGAGTTTGGCACGAAATGACACCGCAGAGCAGGCAAGCACGATTCAAATTACCCAGTCACAAGCCATTGAGGATACACAGTTACTTTGATGGAAGATGATACATTGGTAACAGAGCTGATAAATTCTCTATGTATGACTTTTAGTCCGTAGTTCTCAGCGAGATAGAACAAGGTTCAACATCTGGAATCCACCAAGTTAGCAGACATTCCATGAAGCGTTTGCAAGAAAATGTGGCTTCAGATTCCATTTCAGTTATAATAATAGTGCCTTGTCAAAGGCGGTATCAGCAATGCTATGACGAGCTATGTTGACCGTCGTGATAAATTAAATCATCACATGGAATTCGGGCTGCGCAGGGACAAACAGGAGAGAAATGTCCTTACCATAGTGCAATGCGGCAGTGAGATCTCACGGTCAAGTCATGCAATTGGCAAGAATCTGCCTGCGCGACGCAACAAGATATGCTCACAAGACAAACTGATCATCGAAGCACAATCAGACAGGACTAGACTCTTCAAGGCCGTGAGGCTCTGACATATGCTTGTCAATTGTTTTCGTCAGATCATCATATTGGCTTCGATGAGCAGTCTGCTGGACAGACAGCTTTGTCGAGAGTGCCTCCTTTGTGCAGGAGAATGTCATCAAGTCACAGGCTAAAATCACTGTTTGCGGTCAGCGAAAATCCTCAGAAGAAAGTGTAAACAAGTCCAAGTGAGGGCATTCGTATCAGTTATGCATGAATGGTATAAGTAAAAAGGTTGTCTCCAACGGTGAACCCGAATCAGACTCGTCATCTAGATGTTCATCAGACGAAAGAGGGGAGAGTGTAGTGTACACAAGAGCGACCAAAGAAAAAATTCTTACCATTGAGCATCATCCAGGCACTTTTCGATACTACCTTGTCAACGAACGCTTGCGCGTCGGGTCGTAGACCTTCTACAGACAACCAAGTCAGCTTGCGTTGAGCAGAGCTTCGTGCAAAATCATATGGTGTCGGATGTGTGATCAGTGGGCGAGGTTTTCTAGGCCTGCCACAAAGAGGCATATCGACTCATGTGTTTTTATTTCGGAGCCCAGTGCCGCTTCATCATTTCGAGGTGATTCGAAAAGGAGGGGTGGTCGGGGATGGCATACCATTCAATACGGTTGGCCCGTGGTGCTCTGAACATGTCTCCGTCAGTGATTGGTTTCAATCGTAGATGCAAGACAATGTGGATGTTGAGGTATTGTATCAGATACAGCCAGTTTTTTTCGTCAAGAGCAGTTGCCTCAGACGGTAATTTCCAGCTGTGCCGAGGCACAGAAGTGATCATCATGGAAAGGGGAGGGCGGGTGCGGATTGAGAGCGCGTGCTGGCGGTGACTTACCGATGAGGAGCACCACGAGGGTACCACACTGGCATCAAGCAGAGCTCAGTGTGGCGCGGGCGCAAGCCCGACTAGCCGGGAAGGCAACAAACATCGTAAACTGTGAAGATACGTTAGCGCTCGACTCAGGAGACGGGACTGGCGTTGCGAAAAGCGTGTCGTGTGCCATGCAATCAGACTGACATGCACCTAGTTTCACTTCGAAAGATCAAAGACTCTAGTTTGTTTGCGGTTTTGCGGTTGTCATCAGATAGGAGAGGGGGTGAGGGCAGGATGAAGCACGAGTGTGCAACTTACCATTGATCACGCATGCATCGCGTGGAGGTGATTGCTGCTGCTGGAAGCAGGATGCAAAGATGCAGGTTGGAAGAAGCAGTGAGGACGGAAGGAGGAAATTTCAATGGATCGTCAAAGAAAAGGCAGCAGCTCGAGTGGAGCTCCGCGCCAGAGTCGGCCCGCGCAAGGAAAAAAGCTGCTGGCACAAGAGGTGGTGCGTGCACGTTGGCTGGACACTGACTGGGATGAGCCACTCGTGGCTGAGGTCGAGTCAAGCACTCTAGGACCTCCAGACCTCAGCCACACTTGAGATCACTTGGCTTCCAAGGTTGGCTCTGTCGTGGATTGCACCGACTGCTCGGGGCCCCGCCTTTGCCAATCATGCTCCCGCGCGTGATGGGGACCCGGCTGGCGGGGTATCAAGGGGCCGAAGGGGGGGGCTGATCCGAAAAGCTAGGGGAGCAAGATGGCATTCTGCCGATGCACAATTGGCACAGCACGAATGCCCCCTCCGGCTGCCCTTTTCTACAAGTGCAGACTTGCTACTGCCGGCGGAAATATCCTTGGCTGGGTCTGCTGCTCCTCAGACAGCCGCAGCCAATTGATCAAGTCGAGCTTGCATACGGCCTGCAGGCACGCTCGGAAGAACTCTCGTGGAACCCCAGTGACGTAAGGCCCAGGCCCGCCGCGACTTCACCCGCATCACCGAGGGGGTCGGCTTCGAGGGCGCGCCGCCGCGTTCTCGTGACCCGGGAAATCCTCTTTGCGGCGCCCCTCGGCCACGACACCTCGGCCGGCTTCCCTCGGGCCATCACTGGACTGCAGTGCTGGCGCCGTCCAAAGTTGGAGACCACGATGCTTTCCCCAATCCTCTGCCCCGGGAACCGTGTAAGCCGATCCGTGCATGCTCGTCGAGCCTGGACCCTCCACGGTGCCAGCACGGCGCTCACGGACTAGCTTTCAGCCCCCGCAATGACAACACGAACCCAATCCCCGTGACGGAGCACAGCTGCTAAACGCTCTTCCCTTCCATCCTCTTCTCATCCTGTTTACCCTCTTAAACACTCCCATTGTCCCTCGTGAGACCCAATCTCGACCTCTTTTCTCCTTGTGTGTGTTGTGCTCGCCACCCGTGATACCCCTCGACAACCCTCTATCCACACAGACGCATACACACCCACTTACACAATGGCCTCGGACCCCAGCAGCCAGAATGCCACCCAGGCGGCTGGCATCAGCACCGACATTGTGACGCTCACCCGCTTCCTGACCGAGGAGCAGGTCAAGGTCAGGGAAGCGACGGGAGACTTCACGCTGCTGTGCCACGCGCTGCAGTTCTCGTTCAAGGCCATCTCGCACTACATCCGCCGGGCCACACTCGTCAACCTCACCGGGCTCGCGGGCCAGAGCAACGCCACGGGCGACGACGTCAAGAAGCTCGACGTCATTGGCAACGACCTCTTCATCGCCGCCATGAAGTCCTCGGGCAAGTGCGCGCTGCTCGTCTCGGAGGAGGAGGAGGAGATCATCTACTTCAAGACACCCCAGGGCTCGGCCCGGTACGCGGTCGCCTGCGACCCGATCGACGGCAGCTCCAACCTGGACGCGGGCGTCTCGGTCGGCACCATCTTCGGCATCCACCGCCTCGCCGAGGGCTCGCAGGGCACCAAGGAGGACATCCTCAAGCCCGGCACCGAGCTCGTCGCCGCGGGCTTCACCATGTACGGCGCCTCGGCGCAGCTCGTCCTCACCATGAAGGGCGGCGGCGTCAACGGCTTCACCCTCGACAACTCGTTTGGCGAGTTCATCCTCACCCACCCGGACATGCGCATCCCCAAGTCCCGCGCCATCTACTCGGTCAACGAGGGCAACTCACTCTACTGGGAGGAGCACACAAAGGAGTACTTCAACTCGCTCAAGTTCCCGCAGGGCGGCTCCGGGAAGCCCTACAGCGCCAGGTACATCGGCAGCATGGTTGCCGACGCCTACCGCACCCTCCTCTACGGCGGCATCTTTGCGTACCCGGCCGACAAGAAGAGCCCCAAGGGCAAGCTGCGGATTCTGTACGAGTGTGCCCCCATGGCCATGGTCTTCGAGAATGGTGAGTTTTTTTTTTTGTTCTGTGGGAGTGGTCTCTTCTTCTTTCCCACCTTTCAGATATTCCGTGTGCAAATGTTTTTTGAATAAACATTTTTGCTGACATTTCGGATTTCCCTCTTCTCTATAGCTGGTGGCCAGGCCGTCGACAGCAAAATGGCGCGCATGCTCGAGGTCGTCCCCGAACACATCCACGACCGTGCAGGTATTTTCCTGGGCAGCTACGACGAGGTCGAGAAGGTCAAGTCGTTCTACAAGTGAGATTGTCGCAATCGGGAGGCAGCGCGGTAGTGCGGAACCCAGCCAGGTAAATGGGGAAAACTTTGGCTTTACTTATGCATATGTTCATAACGGGCAATTAAAAAAATAGTAAAATACACCTAGGCAGGTTCAATTTTGGGCCATTTCCAATTGAGGACGCCGTAGTAGTGCTATGTGACCAAGGTATGGATGCAAGAAGGGGTGAGACCGCGTTGATTCTCAGTCAGGTTTGGAGTGCTTCCTGGTCTTTCGGCCTGAAAGAATTTTGTAATGTGGTACGACAATAACTCTAGTCATGTCGGCCTGTGCCAAGATTATGCATTATTACCAATTCTACAAGCCAATTCTACAAGATCTTTTATATGGTACATGTTGCCTACATGAGTAGAGCGGCGGCACAAGCGGCTGCAACCACTGAGCCAATATCGCCCTTGCTGACCCCACCCCGCGTGGCAGCATTCGAGGGCGTCGCCGTGGCAGTGAACACACCCGTCAACTGCGCAGTGGTAGTCGCCGTCATCACGACTGTAGTAGCAGGTATGCTCGTCGTGGGCGACTGTGTGACCAAGGCGCCATTAACAAAGGTCGCCTTGCCGTTGATAATGGCACTCTGCTCCTGGTCGTTGCAGCTCCCGGCAATGTTGCGTATGTAGCATGTTGGATCGGGGCTTGCGGGCAAGTCCATTGCGCTCGATGCGCTGCTATCGCCCGTTGTGTTGTACGATGACAAGTTGATCTGTGCCCCTGTGGATACACTCGTGCCATAGATGATCCGGGCAAAGATCTCAAAGGCTGTGTTGGGCTGGTAAGCAGGCACAAAATGTCCCGCCTGATAGACACGGCTGAATGAAAGGTTGCCGAATTGGCGGACAACTCCGCCGATGTATGTGTCGTTAACAATTATGGGGGCATAGCCGGCCTTGGCAAAGGGCGCATATGCCGGGACTGATTCTGCAACTGCCAGCGAGACAGCTTCGCCGCCGTACCAGTTGCAGACGTAGTCTCGATCGCCGTACATAAACCCTACTCGAATGCCACTAGCGAGTAGGTTCGCCAATTTTGGGACCATGGCTTCCCTCTCAAAGTCGCCTGTGTTTACATATGCCGAGTACACGGCCATATTGGTCTCTGTGTAATTGAGCCGAGTGCCCATAGCCTCTTGGACATTAGGCGTGTTTAGATAGTCGATGTACTGACTAGAAGGAAAAGAGTCTGGAAGCAGAGCAGCAATGTCGTAAACGCTTCGGCCTGAGTCGCTATACGGCAGAATTACATCCTCGTTGCAAGTGCTGTAAGCTTTGGCACAGAGCTGATTGACGTCTGGGACTGTTCCGGAATTCGTCGGGTCCAGGACCAGGACAGTGCTTCGACATTGCGTGATCAGATCCCGGCACCCGCCATCGGCATAAAAGCTCGCGTTCGCCATCTGTGCCCGGACGGAATTGATGGCGGCAAGGCCGTAGCTGTTCTTTGTTGCCATGATGGGGTAGTACGGCCCTTGGATGAGGTCGTCAACGCAGCCATTCACGATCCCCAAAGCCTTCAGCTCAATGCTGGTGGTAGAGTTTGTGACTGTGCTGTTTGGTTGCAGCGCATTCAGCTTCTGCCATTTCTCAGCAAATGCCGGACCGTACTTGCCGCCATAGCTTTCAGCAAACAAGTTGACACCCAGTGTGTTGCCAGCGGGTGGCCGATACTGTGGGAACGTGCTTAGGAAGCCCTGTAGCATATGCCATATGGCCGTCGCGGATGTTTGCGTGGTGTTGGACGTGTGCAAAGGGTTCTGGGAGCTGAACGTGCCGTTCAGAAACACGTTTGCGGGGAGCGAGTTTGGTCGTGTTGTGGCTGGTATTGCGATTCGGTTCGTCATCAGATCGAGCGAGCCCGCGGTGGCTTCATCGTACGAGAAGCCGACTTGGTTCGGCTGGTCGACAAAGAGCATGTTGGACGCCCTGTCCCAGCCCCATTCTCTCGCTGCTGTCGTCAATCTGCTGGTGCCGTTCTCGATTACTTCGCAAGGGCCGTTTTCGTTGAATAGCCCAAACATGGAGCTGGAGCCCGGCCCGCCATTGAGCCAGACGGTCAGGGTGGATGACGCTTTGGCGTCTCGCCCTTCGATGAACCAGAAGAACGTGTTGGTCGGGTAGTCACCGGGGATGCTGACCCAGCCGGTGTACTGCTGCTGTGAGTCAAAGGCAGTCTTGCAGGCGCCCTCGGGGACCTTGTAGCTGATTGAGATTGTCGGATCACTAGGAGAAGCGATTGTCGTGAGATTGAGATGCTCGGGCGTGGAGTCGGGAAACTGTGCCTCTATGGGTCGTGCCAGGTGCGCAAGGCATGCTGCAGCTGCGACGAAGACCCTTTGAGGGCCGTGGAGTCGCATCCTCGATTGGACCTGCGCCTCATGCTTCACGGGCAAGGAGCGTGCAGAAGGAAATAGGCGCTGGCCTGCAGTGCCGTCGGAGAAGTGAGGGTAATGGCGAGCTGAAAGGTTGAGACGGCCCCAGCCGTGCGTGTTTGCACAAAGAAGAAAAGTTGGCGTGTTGGCTCTGCCTTACGGTACAATGACGCGCGTCAGCCAAGCATGCATGCCGCATGCCGCATGCTCATAAGGCTCTTTCCGGGGCTGCCAGCCTCGACACCAAACGCCCTGTACCCAACTGCACAATGCTTGCTTGCTTGGGGCTGTGCCCTTGCATTGCCGTTGCACTAAATGTCCCTGGGCCGCACTACTTTAGCTCATTGGCCCGTCTCTGCGGCTGAGGACCGATCGACTTCTGGTGTCAGTCAACTCGACTCAAAAGGGGACAGGCTTCCGCTTCGTTGCTGAACACAAACAATGCAAGCCTGATAAGATACCTGGCTCTGTGCCTGTGGCATTGCCTGCGGTTGCATTGTCCTGTCCCTGTTGCGCAACCGCTCGTCTGCGTCGCCATGGGCTACGACGAAGATGGCCACAACGAACTGGCCTCGGATGTCATTACGTACGTCGGTGTCCCGCTGGCCGTGCTGGGCGTCCTGCCCATCCTCTACAACACCATTGCGACCCTGGCCGCGCTGTCCAAGATCAAACGCATGCTCCGGCACAGCAAGCTGAAAGCCTTGACTCGAAGCGACATTGTCAACCGGGTCATAGAGGTCGAACTGCCCCGATATGCTGTCCAGCCATGGGATCGCTTCGACCATCGTAACGAGTACTGGCAGCTGTCCAGGCAGCCCAGCCAGATACCCGGGGGCACGTGGACCACCTTCAACTGGCGGACAAACATGATCGGCATCAAGACCCAGCGTGTCGAGTATGCCGACCAGCTGCGCCAGCCCCAGGTCGAGGTGGCTTTGGACCAGTTGGTCGCTTACCTGCTTGATCTTGGCGCAATCCCGGATCCCCATGGCTGGAAGCTGCTCAGATCGACTGGTCTGTGGACTCCGATGGGTACTGCGCTCATGACCTCTCCGGATGGCCAACAAAGAGCTTTGACCATTGGCCCTCTGGACGATTCTGACGGGCACCTGTCTCTCAAGGTTGAGTGGTCATCCTCGTGGACGACCCGGGATTTTGCATCCCTGCCGCCATACTGGGTCAAGCTCCCGGCGCCACCGCCAAAGCGGCCCAAGACAAGCAATACGGGTGAAGCGTCAACATCTCAAAGTACTCATGAGCAGGATGAGCAGGATCAACATGGACTGGCACAAGCAAAGATCAAGGCAGGCTCAGTACGAGAGTCCTTGGACTCCGTGCAGAAGGATATCGACAAGACCAAGGCGTATCCCATCACTTGTGAGATCTCGAGCAACGGCCTGATGGCTGCTCTCAGCCAGCCAGAGATGCCGTTCACGTCCACCGCGAATCTTGAAAGTCTGTACGCCAACCATCTCCGAATCAGCCACACGGCAACCAACGGTGTGTGGTTCGCCAGCACTGCCACGGCTTATGGCACTTCGTCTCAGACGATCCTTTGGAACTACAAGATTCCCGACGACATCCTCAACTTTGCTCGTCGTGACACGGTGCCATGCGGCATCCTCGTACTCCTGGACATTGTTGATTTGGCAGACACCCCCGAGTGGGCTACTGCTTACGATAACGGACTGGAGCGGCACGAGCTCTTCGTGAGGCGGACGTCGGAGCAGCGTGCCGCAATGGCTGCGGAGGCCAGAATGTCGCCGGCCGAGCGGCAGATCGCTGCCTCGAACCGACAACGCAGGGAGATGGAGCAACGGATGAACGATAGTGAGTCTCTTCAAACACCATTGGACACCACACAGGTATATACGTACTGACATGCCGGCACTGTCAGTGAGGGACGAGCAACGACAAGCACAGCAGCGCCGGGACGCACGCTTCCTGGAGGCCCTGCAGAGCCCCAAGTGGGAAACGGGGCTGGTGGCGGACCGCTGCCTTAAAGTTCTGAAGCGGCGCTCCCTCTTCGAGGAGGATGTGGAACTCCGCGACGCTGCCGGCATGATACTCCATCGCATGGTGCTCGACGGAGAGTTCACGACCTCGATGGTCAAGATTCTTGATCTGTGGAAGGCATGGGCGGACAACGGCGGCATGCGCAGGTCTGACTATGAGGCGATTTCCGGTTCGATCGAGATTTTCGCGCAGGCGACGCTCATGGTGGCCATGATCAAAGGCACTGTGACGGCTCATGAAGGCACGCTGTCGATGGACCTGCAGGAATGCATGCGGATGTGGAAGATGGTGAGGTTAGGATAAATTCAGTATTGAAAGAGAAAGCCTTGCAGAAACATGTCCTGGACTGGCCTTAACCACGAGCATGGAACGGACTGAATGCAACCATTCAACCGCACGTCTTATGTGTTTGTACCAAAGTCATCTACGCAGTCCCCCTTCTCCGCCTTGGCCCCCTCCTTTTCTACGCCGACGACTCCGCACCAGCAGCAGCCGCCGCCGCCGCCTTCTTCTCCATCAGCTCGCGGACTTTGGTGAAGTGCTCGACGGTGTACTTTGAGTCGACAAACTCGTAGAACTTGACGAGCTTCTCGTGCGCCTCGTCAAAGTGGAGGAGCAGCATGTACTCGTTGGCGTAGGGTCCCACGGGGGTGTCGGCGGTGCTCTGGGCCCAGACGCTGACCTTGTTGTGGACGGGGTCCTCGACCACCTCGTTGATGGTGACGTGGAAGTTTGTGAAGGCCGACATGAAGCCGCCGAGGTACTTTGAGTACTCGTCGTTCTTCATCTCGGGACGTCCGAGGGACCCTATTTTTTGTGGGAATGTGGTACTTCTGTTAGCAGTGTTCTGAACTCTCTTGCTATCCCCTGCGTCTCGGAAGGGGGGCATGTCCAGGTGCTCAATGGTACTGCTAGCCATGATTGCTTGCTGGCGTGAGTTGGGATTAATGATTTTGACATACGAGGAAGGACCTGGGTAATGCACTCGGGAGCCCGGATGGCCATGATCTTGTCCAGATCCCAGCTGTTGTAAGCCTCGACTACTCCCGTGGTAGCCTTGAGAAGGCGAGACTGGCTGACTTCGACGGAACCCATGATGGTGAATGGGGTTTGTGTGCTCGCAACAGAGTATCGTTTAAGTGACAAGATGTACTGAATGTGACGAGGCTCGAACACAAGGCAGCGTCTGGTGTTCGAGAATATTGAAGCTTAAGTTGATGGACTCGAGCCAAGAAGTATTTGGATCCATAGATCGCGGACGCCAGCACCTTTTTAAACAGATCTAGATCGCCCCGGCCACCGTCGTCCCCAGGAGACGCCGCCTTCTCCATATCCCTCCTGACGCCACCTTCTCTGTGCCCTCTGACGCCACCTTTGACCCTCCTTCAGGATAGCTATCGTGTACGGCCGAGAGCTGGTCCCCGGGACCCCTGTCCTCGTGCCTGCCGGAACATGACTTGCCCGCCTGCCGGAACTTTGCCGCCAATCCCGGCACGGAGGACTAGGCGTCGTAATGGAGGGCACCGTTTTCCAAGAAAGTGGGAAACAGTTGGAGCAGAGCAGGGTCCTTTCATGCATATGCAGAGCCATCACGAATCCACAAGAATCTGGCCAGCTGCGTCACCTTGTCACCTGCCCAAGAAGAATCCTTCATTTGCTCCACATTGATCTTGCAACTTGTTCGGGTGGCTTTGCGGAACGGACCCGGGGGGGAAGGGGTTTCGTGGATCGTCCAGCGGGCCAGATCGATTGGGAGCGTGGCCAAGGACAGGCTAGAAGCACGCTAGACGAGAGCCTCGGCATTTCTTTTACTGACAAGGAGCTGCGGTGAACAATACCAAGATGTCGGCTCACTTCCCCCAAACGCAGGATGCAGTAGAGATGCAAGGGACCGTTGGAGATAACGGGAGGCCACCGCATGCCAAGCGACTGACATGACCAACGTCCGATTGCTCTCATGCTGAAGATGTAGGAAACTGGCCCCGTCCCCCGAAGGACAGGATGAATCGTCTCAATTCCATGTGCGAGTCGAATACCCCTCATTGTGTCGATGCGGCAGACCCATGGACCTCCAAGGTTGCGACTCATGACTTAGACGTTGCCTAGGATTCTTCAGCATGGCACCAGCCCCACTCCGAGCATGGCGTCAGACCCGCAATTCGATACCGCTCGACCGGGATCCAACACCAGCCCTCGACCAGTCAGCTCGTACGGGTGCCAGCCAGGAGGCAGTAGATAGATGGAGGATTGGTCAAGGATGAATAAGTCATCCTCGGGCACACAAGCAGTGCTTCCAGTCTGCGACTGACGACAGCCAGGCCAGACCATGCACGGATGTCGACCCGACTCGTCCAGCGCTATACGTGCTTCTTAGATGGCGCAAGACTTGGGAAATGTCGTGGAGTTGGGCATATTCTGGACAGCTCCAGAGTCGTGCAACAAGGAACAAAGGCGATAATTACGACCCTACACCAGCGTGGTTGGACTCGCGCGGGGACAATGGCCCCACAGACGACTGCTCAGCGGTCATGCCGCTCAAGGTTGCGTTCTGTGGCGTTCTGTGGAGAGTGTTGGCCGCGGTGATTGAGCATGCGGTATCCTGCACAACGCGCGATACGCGACGGGCCCAACATGCCAGACCGACGGGTTGCCATTGCAAAGCCGCCAATCAGCAACAGCCAACTTCTTTCCCGACGGCTTGTGGTCTGATATGCAAGAGTCCATTTCCGTACAACAGAAGCTTGGCTCTCGGATGAGGCTCTGCCAAATAGACCCTGGCAGAAATTCTCATCTACCATCTTGCCTTCTGGCAGACGACTCTCGTATTGGTCATTGAAATAAGCCCGAGATAAGTCTGGTATAGGGCGATTACGACCTTGAGCCGTCCCTGAGAAGTCCAGCACAATTATCGCTGGATATGGTGATACTGTGCGAGACATACTGTATTGCCACCATATAGCGCCGGTCGTTAGCCGTGCGATTATGGCCGCGCACGGTACCGAGACATGCCTCCTGAAATGGTGCCAAGAAATTGGATGCGTGGAGCTGTCCCGGTGGCAGGAGTGCATCACGACGGACCCTCACTGACGGCCACGAATCCCGCATCGTGGACCAGCTCGACGAGCAACAGTCGCAGCCCGCAGAGCTGCCGTCAACACAGTGTCAGCCACAGCTTGTCAGCTTCGAGCTCGATAGCAGCACAGCCCGCACATTGACGACCCGACGACGCCACGATAGCTTTTCGAGCTGACGCAACTACGCCCCTCAAACCTCCGCGGCTCCATGCCAAACACGACCGCAGTGCGAAGATGCTCATAGAGCCCCCGACACCCTCGCACGTTCTTCCGCATGCCGCTTGACCTGGTGCGGATGTCGACCACCTGATCGCCTCTTCCGTTCGCTGCCATGGACCACCCGCCGCCCCGACCGAGCGCCTTCAGCGCGGGCGGCAACACCTCCGGCATGTCGGCACGAGCCGAGCGGTTCGAGGAGGAGAAGCGCCGGATCATCGAGAGCTGCTTCAGCAAGAAAGACCCAGTCGACAACTCGCTCCTCGAAACCTACATCACACACATTCGCATCCTCGAGTTCTCAACACACCCCACTTCCCCGCCGCCCCCAGAAGCGCGGACGCCCCAGACAGAGAAACCTCGCGTGATCATTGTCGCCGTGCGCAAGTCGGGCCGCGTGCGCATGCACAAGTCCAAGGAGAATGCAAACGGTACCTTTTCTATCGGCAAGACCTGGGACCTCAACGACATGACGGCCATCGAATCGTTCACAGACCCCAATGGCGATCCGCAGCTGCGCAGCTGGGCCGGCGATGTTGGCTTCATTGTCAACCTGGGGAAGCCGTACTACTGGCAGGCGCAGACGGACAAGGAGAAGAAGTTCTTCATTGCCAGTCTGATCAAGATCTATGGCAAATACACGGGTGGCAATGTGCCCGAGCTCCGTGGGTTCGATCCTAAGGAGAACGACCAGGTCCTCGGAGCCCGCCGGGCACAACCGCCTCCGCCGCTCGCTGCAGCCCAGCGAACACAACCGAGCACGATCGGGTCTCGTCCACCTTCACGTCCCGAGCCTACGCCAGGTACTTCGCAGAATCCCAAGATGGCCCCACCATTATCGGCTGGAGGACTGCCTCAAAATAACGACATTAGGCCTTACCGACCGAGTCCTCCACCGCTCCGCAACCTGGCTCCACCAAACGGCTCAGCAACAGACTTGAGTATTGACTCGGGGAGCAGGTCAGGAAGCAGGCCACCCCCAGACCTGAGGAGAGTGGCGGCCAGCAACAAAAGCCAGGACTCCGTGGCGACATCAATCATGTCAAATGCGAGGAGTGAGGACACATCAAGTCTTCCCCCTCGGTCTAGAGGCGGAATGTCTGGCCCAGGGGCCTTTGGAAGATTCGGCGATCCAGGGAGCCAATCTTCGACTCCTCCACAGATGCCATCGCAAACACCTGGTCAGCTTGACCTGCCGGATAGGAGGAGACCGCCGATGGATCCCGCACGATCTCAAGGCCAGCCCGACAGCGATCTTGTGCCTGCTCCTTTGATGAGCCCAGGGAACCGACGTGAACCTCGCGAGCCTCCCCCTCGAAGTACGGAGCGCATGAGGCAGAACTCCCTCAGTCAGCGATCCGACACCAGCTCTGTCAGAGACAGGTCTGCCCTCCCACCAGCTGCTGGTCCACCGCCCTCCAGTCCAGTGCCACCAACGCCTGAGCCCCCGAAAACACCGACCCCAGTCCAACCAGCAGAGCCAGCACCTCTGGCGATCTCTAAGCCCGCGCTCGAAGAGCCGAAACCATTAGCCACAACGGAGCCAGCACCGCCACAAACAGATGGCTCGGCACCGGAAACGCCCGCCGATGAAGAGCGGCCGGGGTTGGGCCCCATGATCAAGGCGAAGATGTCCAAGAACGACCTTGCAGGATCCATGTGGAAGGCGGCCGCTGCAGTGTCTGCATTTAAACCACGAGCCGGCGGTGCTGCCGAGAGACTGAGGAAGGCTGCCGAGCTGGCTAAAGCCGGTGAGACCGAGCCGGATGGGATCACTGGAGTGGTCCCTGCTCCGCCTCGGCCGGTTGCGACTCCCGAGCCTGCCCGGCCTGAAACTCCCAAGGAACAGCCAGCCAAGAGATCTTCGAATGTGGTGCCGGAAGTGAAGATTACGGTGCCCAACGCGAGCCGCCCATCAAGTATACAAGCTGCGCCAAAAGAGTCTCAGCTTGGCACGCTGGAAGTACAGACGAAAGAAGATCGTAATCGCCGGGTGGCTGCTGGCAATGATGCCAAGTATTTCACCGCTCTTGGGGTGGACACCAGCCTCCTCGCCGAAGCGTCTTTCGAGTTTGCCAAGTGGCTGGACCACTTTGGATGGATTCCCGGGGAGCAGATGCGCAGCCGGAGCTTCGACGAGATGAAGCTCGACATTGATCGTGAGATTAGCAAGGCCCAAGCTGGTGGCTGGGTTGCCCGTTTTGAACCAGATGACGATCGCGTCGATGTTATCAAGACCGGGCTAGATGTTGCCATTGCGGAGTGTGAGGAGCTGGATAACCTGCTTACGCTGTATAGCGTCGAGCTCTCTGTAAGTTCATGTCTGCTGTGTAGCATTGGCATTCCGACTAATCTTCGCAGACACTTTCGGACGACATTGCCTATATCGAAGCCCAGGGACAAGGCTTGCAAGTACAGGCGTCAAACCAGAAGCTGCTCCGAAAAGAGCTGGAGTCTCTGCTGGACACTTGTGCCATCACTAGTGATGATCTGCGAGCGTTAGCGGTTGCGTCGCTCGATAGCACAGGTGGACTCGAAGATATCGAGCAGGCCCTGGTCACGCTTTACAAAGCTATGATGAAGATCGACCCGTCGTTGACCGCCGCAGGGCCACGGAAGAGCGAAGACATGAGCAACCCCGACCAGCCTGCCGGCCTGGGCACCGATTACGGCAAGATGCGCATCGTGCAAGAGAAGAAGCAGATGTATATCTCTGAGAGTTCCCAATTTCTCATGAAGCTGGAGCCGTTCATGAGCCGCCAGTTCGACCGTGCTGCGCAGGAGGTCAAGTCCGCAATTGAAGGATCTCTCACCAAGAAGGGCGACCCTCGCCGGCACGATGTCGGCAGAGAGGGGTTGTGGAAGTACAGCCCACTGATCTTGTATGCCAGAGAGATGGATCTGCAAGGCTGGAACCGAATGCTTCAGGTCTACCAGGAGAAGAACTTCCCACTATACAGATCTGAGTGCAAGGATCTTGTCGATTCATGGAAGCGAAACATCAAGAAGATGACCGGGGAAGAGGTAGAACTGCTCTTCACAGCGCAGGTTGAGAAGCAGCACGAGAGCACCATGACCGCAGCCCGCAAGCTCACGGTGAAGCGCAGCCAGACGCTCGCCAAATCGCTACGATCTCCGCTTGGCGATGGCGATCGCAAGAAGGACAAGGGCGGGGACAATCGCAGCGCGCCCTACGAAGTGTTCGCTGGCATTGTCGACGATGTTCTGCCGCTGGTTGAGATTGAGCAGAACTTCATTGTTGACTTTTTCCATGCCACAACGCTGGAGACTGCAGACTTCCCCGATCTGGTAGCGGCCATGAAGCCTCGCGATAGAAGAGGCGGTGACCTGAAGCGGCACCGGCTCATGGAGCCTGATCGAGAGCTGGCGAGGAGAGTGACCCGGGCCATGGAAGTCATCTTCTCGTTCCTCGAGCAAGACCTTCAGAATACAGTAGCCTGGGTGCTCTCACAGGATCCTTTGTAAGTATCGAGGCCGTGTTTTTGGGGCGCGGCAATATGCTGACTTCTGGCACAGACAAGGTGTTGGTGTTTTGGCGGTGCTGGAGCGGAAGCAAACAGAAATGGTACAGTCGAACCAAGACTTTCTGAACACGGTACTGCAGAAGCTCCACAGCGGACTCGAGTCGCGGTTCAACAAGTTTGTGGAGGAGCAGATCCGCGCCATCGAAGAAACCAAGGTCAAGATCAAGAAGCGGAAGGGGGTGATTGCATTCATGCGCGTATTCCCGCACTTCTCTACCGCGATTGAGAATATGCTGGCCAGCGCCGACGCACACTCTGGCGTGCGGCGGATGGTAGACAAGGAGTACGACCGCATCATCAAATCCATGTTCGACTCGCTCAAGTTTATCGCTCGCGAGAACCCAGCCACATTGACGAGCAGCGGCGCGGACCCGGAAGACAAGGAGGCGCTCAATTTCCATATTCTCCTGATTGAGAACATGAACCACTTCCTGGACGAGGTGGACACGAGAGGTCTCGAGATCCTCGAGGAGTGGAAGGAAGCGGCCAACAGCGAGCTGAGTGAGCACATGTCGCTGTACCTCAACGCCGTCATGCGCCGCCCTCTTGGCAAGCTGCTCGAGTTCCTCGAGAACGTCGAAGCACAGATTGCGTCTGGCAAGTCGACGGGTATCATCGCAGCGCTGCCCAGCAACTCAAAGGCCACGTTTGACAAGGTCCTCAGCAACTACGACGGCAAAGAGGTGCGCAAGGGCATCGAGGCACTGCGCAAGCGTGTCGACAAGCACTTTAGCGCCGACGAAGAGCACGAGGGCGGTGGCAGTAGTGGGCTCCCCAGCATGCCGGGCTCTACGAGCACCTTGTCGACAGTCACGTCTTCGTCTGCCAGGAGTGGCGCTGGTGGCGGCGTGCTTGTGCAGCGGGTGCTCAAGGAGTGCGAGAAGTTCTACGGCGACGTGGAGCTGCGGATCAGCAACATCACCACGACGGTGTATGGAGGGGATGTCTTGTTTGAGTGGCCCAGGCAGGAAGTCAAGGCTGCGTTTGCGGCCAAGTAAGGGGCATGTTAGAAAAGACATGATGGTAGTGTCTCTGGGTGGGAGAGCGAGACTGGTTGTATATATTGACACAACATATATCTGTTGCCGTGGCGTGGCAGATTGTGTGAATGAAGAGAAGGGCACAGTGCCTTTGACGAATTCTAAAAACAGACTGCACAGGACCGGAACGCTTGCCAGGAATGGATTCAGGTCTTCACCCTCCTCGGACAAGAAAAAACTGGCATGCATCTATTCTACAATCCCCCCTTCCCCCTCAGACGGTCATCTGCGCCCGCTCGTCCACAGCCATGTACTTCTCCAGGATGTCCTTGACCCTGTCCAGCGGCAAGCCGTCAATCTTGCGGCCCTTGTGCCCGATCATGGTCTCCCCCATGCACAGGACATTGTAGATGGCCTCCTCGGTGGCCTCGGCGGCGGCCTCGAACAGGCCATTGATGGTGGTGTCGTCGACCATCTTGACGCCCTTGCCGTCCTCGCCCTCGAGCACGGTGGCCCTGAAAGGGTCCAGGGCCCTGCGGGTCATGCTGTACGACTGGACGGGGATCTCGTTGCCCGTGCTGAAGGCCAAAAAGATGTCCCCCGAAGGGTTGTGCCCTTGGCCGCCCACGCGGGCGAGACCCACGGTGGCCCGCTTGGCGAGGCGCTGCAGCTGGATCGGCGAGAGGGGCGCGTCGGTGGCCAGCACGACAATGATGGAGCCGTCCTTGCGGTCCTTTTCCGACTCGAGAGCGGCCTGGCGCGCGGCCTCGTCGGCGTCGGCGGCGGCCTTGGCGGCCATCTCGGCAGCCAGGATCCGGCCCACGGGGTAGCCCGCGATGCGCAGGTTGCGGGGCCGGCCGTAGTTGGCCTGGACCAGGGCCGCGACGGTGTAGGTGGTCTCTCCGTCGTTCTCCTTGTCGTTCTCTTTTCCTCCATCTCCGGTTGTGGTGGTGGTGGTTCGCTTGGAAGCGAGCGGATCGAGGCCAGGGACCAGGCGGGACGCGCTGCCCGTGCCGCCCTTGAACATGTGGCAGATCATGCCGGTGCCGCCGCCCGTGGCGCCCTCGGGCACGGCCGCGGCCGAGACGTTCTCGAGGCCGTGGACAATGTGGTGCGGTTGCACGGCAAACGTGGACAGGTCGTTGAGGTACCCGTCAAAGGTCTCGCCGACGACGGGGAGGAGGAACCAGTCCACATCGGCCGGTTCTTGCTGCGCAGCACCGCCGTCCTTGGCGGCCGCCGCGGCAGCGTTGAGGGTCTTGATGGTGTACTCGTAGATGCCCTGGTACGCGGCGCCGACGGAGAAGGAGTTTGTGAGGACGATGGGGGAGTGGAGGAGCCCCGTCTCTTCGATCCAGTGGGAGCCGGTGAACTCGCCGGAGCCGTTGAAGCGGAAGATGCCGGCGTGGCAGGCCGAGTGGAACCAGTTGTCGCGCGGCAGGATGCAGGTGACGCCCGTGTGGACGGCGCGGCCGGTGCCCGTGTCAGTGCTCGGGTCGTCCGAGTGGATGGACTGCACGTGCACCTTGACCCCCGGGACGTCGGTGATGGAGTTGAGCGGGCCCGGAGCCCAGTCGCCGAGCCGGAGGTCCGGGACGAGCTCGCGGAGGCGCATCCGGGGCTGGGCAGCAGTCGGTGGTGCGCCGCCGCTGGTGGTGGTGGAGGGGGCAGTGGACATGGCTGAGAGATGCGCTTGAACTAGCCGGCGGGGGAAGAACCAAAGTCAATGGGGCAAGCAGTGCAGTGTTGCCGAGACAAAAGCCTGGCAATCTGGCTTGGTAGAAAGAATAAGGCTCGGTACAGGCTCAGGATAGCACGTATATATGCACTTGTGGTTGTGTTTGGCTTGTGCTTTGTAATGGTAGGCCATTGTGGTGATGGACCTGCATTTGGAGATCATCCTCGCAGTGACTCACGCCGGACGGGTGGACAAAGGCAACCCACTAAGAAAAAAAAAAGTCACTGCATTGTAGGCTGTCTAGGGTCAAAACCTGCATGGCGACGGCGGAGCACAACTGGGGAATGTTGACAACCGCCGAAAGGAGAGGACGGAGTCCGACTTGCACATTTGACACTGACTGACTATGCCCGAACTCCGTACGAGCTCAATTGGGGTGCTGGAGCTGACGGGGTGGGATCCCATCCCATGAGATGGACCTGGCATGGCAGCCCCTCATCAGGGTCTTGTGCCGGAAGGACTGGCCAATCGTGCAATGACCCTGTTTGTCAGCCTGCGTTCGATGCTAGTCGAACATGCCGGCAGGGCCTCAACTCCAGAATCATGCACTTGAGCGGCTCTAGTGGCAGCTGGTGATGACCTCAAGTTAGGCCCTCCTCTCTTGACCATCGGCAGAGCAGCGCCTGCTCCATTAGCGAGCTTGGTGCGGGGAAGCGGTGCGCTCAGGCCTGAAGGGGCAGAAGCTCTACTGGAGCAAGTGCCCCAGCTTCCCCACACCCCTTCTGTGATTTTGTGGGGTTAAGAGGGGACAAGCCCCGGACTGCTCGCCGAGCGGCCACCTCCGCACTCGTCGTTCCGCCCTCGCTTTGTGAAGCTCGAGCTAACGCCTCTTGGCTCCTCGTCACCACTTCCACCTCTCGTCTCTTTTCCAACCCGTGCCTCCCTTCTGAGTGTCTGCCTGCACGCTCCGACTTCGACACCCACCGAGTGCCACGAAGTCCACTCAGCGAACATCCTCCTTCATCTCCTGCTACCACCGCCTGCCCATCATGGTTGCAGCTGTTCGCGTGGCGCCCACGGTATGATGCTCTTCTCGTTCGTTCTGCAGACACACCTACAGAGCCCTGATCGTCCTCACGGACTACACTAACAACTGCTTCACCCAACAGGCCGCCTCGAGAGCCGCCAGCCTGCTCCGGACCGTCCAGTACACACACCCGCCCTCGTGTCCCTGCCACTCCAACCCGGGCCACCACCACCACCATGCAAAGCCCCAGGTCGAGTCGTATGCCCGCCGCGCCGGCCAGCGTGCCTTTGCCTCTCCCATGGACCCGTCAAAGCAAAAGGAGTACGCCTTTGAGATGGCCGCCTCGTCCATCCGCTTCGGCCCAGGCGTCACCCAGGAGGTCGGCATGGACCTCAAGAACATGCAGGCCAAGCGCGTCTGCGTCGTGACCGACTCGACTGTCGCCAAGCTCACCGCCATTGCCCAGGTCAAGGAGGCCCTGACCCGCGAGGGCATCGAGTTCACCATCTTTGACAAGGTCCGCGTCGAGCCCAAAGACAGCTCGTAAGTGAATTTTTCCCTGCTGCCGCTTCCAGAAAACGGGGCCGTCCCGCTCATGCACCCGTCACCACCACAGCATCAAAGAAGCAATTGCCTTCTCCAAGCCCTACCAGCCAGACGCCTACCTCGCCGTGGGCGGCGGGTCCGTCATCGACACGGCCAAGCTGATGAACCTGTACACCGAGTACCCGGACGCCGACTTTCTCGACTTTGTCAACGCGCCGCTGGGCAAAGGGCGGCCCGTCGACAAGAAGCTCAAGCCGCTCATCGCGATCCCCACGACGGCGGGGACGGGCAGCGAGACGACCGGCACCGCCATCTTCGACCTCGTGGCCAAGCGGGCCAAGACGGGCGTCGCGCACCGCAACCTCAAGCCCACGCTGGGCATCTGCGACCCCCTGAACACGCGCACCATGCCCTCGGCAGTCAAGGCGAGCTCCGGGCTCGACGTGCTGTGCCACTCGCTCGAGTCGTGGACCGCGATCCCCTTCAACGAGCGCACCCCTCGCCCGACCAACCCGATCCTGCGCCCCGCGTACCAGGGTGCCAACCCCATCAGCGACATCTTCTCGCTCAGCGCCCTGCGGTCCACGGTCAAGTACCTGCCCCGCGCGGTGCGGGACCCGGACGACTTCGAGGCCCAGAGCGAGATGCTGCTCGCCGCGACCCTCGCGGGCGTCGGGTTCGGCAACGCGGGCGTGCACCTCTGCCACGGCATGTCGTACCCCATCTCGGGCCAGAACCCAGGATACCAGCACGCCGGCTACGCCGTGCCATTCCCCATCATCCCGCACGGCGTATCCGTCGCCGTCTCGGCCCCCGCAGTGTTCCGCTTCACCGCGGCGTCAAACCCAGACCGGCACCTCGCGGCCGCCGAGGCGTTCGGGGTCGACATTAGCAACGTGAAGCGCGAGGACGCGGGCGCGGTGCTGGCCGACGCCATCACAGAGTTCCTCGAAGAGCTGGGCGACCAGCCTAAGGGGCTCAAGGACCTGGGTTTTACGGGGGAGCACATCGACGCGCTGGTCGAGGGCACGATCCCCCAGCAGAGGGTGCTCATGCTGGCTCCGGGACTGGATGCCGAGCTGCAGAGGGAGAAGGACCAGCTGAGGGGGCTTTTTGAGGATGCCATGACGCATTAGAAGACAACGGAGAAAACGCTGGTAGGTATGTGGTGGTGGTGGTGGTGGTGGTGATGATGCTGGTGTAAATGACCTGCTTGCGATCGAGCGAGCGAGTGAGATTAGGCTGCGCTGAGGGAGAGCTTTCTCTTCTTCGTCAAAGGACCTAGACTTGGAGGGCTTGAAAAGGGACAGCCATTGCGAAGGGGATGTACATTCAAGGGAGGGCGGGCATCTTCACAGTTCGGAAGAGAGAAAAAATGTGAGGGAGTGATTGTACATAATCGACACACATTCTGCTTGAGGATATGCGTGGACCCTGACTTGGGTGTCCTCGTCCTGCGCTGTTCTCTTACCCAATGATCATCGCGTGCTTGTCATGAGCGCTTGATCTCTCGTGATAACAAGCGCTGTCTCGGCCTGTGCACAGTCTCTGTGAGTATAAAGGAGAACGGACAGTTCGACCAAAGGGCGACTGTCGCACGTCATCAGCCGCTCACCTCCCATGCGCAATTAGTTGTCTGCATAGTACACATGAAGAACGGTGGACAGGAATCAACACTGCGCAGGCATAATAGCGCTCGGCGTCATATCATTAAAATCAGAGCTATCATAAACACCACCACCTCCTCCTCCTTCAACAGCAATTGTGTCAAACAACCACCCCGGGATATTCGCTAAGATGAACAAGAACCAGCACGCTGAGGCCACAGCGCCAACGGGAGACGACCATGCTACTGGTGAATAAGCCATGGGCAATCAAACGCTCTTGGCGGACAGAAGCAGTGCCACCAGTAGACGTCGAGCCTCATTCCAGCACAAATGTAGGCAGGACAAGACCACCTGTCTTGACGACAGGTTGATTGCCTTGCCAAAGAAACAAACTCCTCGACGTGTCTGGCATTTAGAGGCTGGCGGACGAGCTGTCGGCAATCTTCTCGGTGACGTGGCCGTCGCTCTGGACAACGACCTTGTCGACCTTGAGAGAGGCCTTGACGGGGTTCTTCTGGTCGTAGACCCACTCGAGCTGCTCGAGGGTGCGGCCCTGGGACTCGACACTGTTCAAGGGTAAATACTTTGTAAGCATGTGCTTGTGCAGAGCAAGGAGAAGAAGTTTGTTGCAAGCCACACTTACCAGAAGAGGTACCACATGAGAGACTCAAAGCAGTCCCATGCGACAAAGACAAAAATGTAGCGGTGCTTGATGTTGTTCAAGGCGATGGGGCCGGCGAACAGGTTGATGAAACTGATCGAGTTGACAATCATGCCGGATGCGGCCAGACCCTTGGCTCTGATGGTCGTTTCGAGAGCCTCGGCGGGAATGACACCCTGGAGAGGCGTGTATGTGAAGGAGAAGATGAAGTTGAAGAGGAAGTAGGCGGCAAGGGCACCTTGGCCGTCTGTGGTAACAACTCGTTAGTTTCGCACTGGAAGGGGGTAAAGCTCTTCAAATACCACGAGACTACTCACAGGAGAGAAGGATCGGGCTTTGCATGGATATGGTTTCGGCAAGGCCACCGTTGGCAGCCAGAGTCACTGCGCAGATGAATGTACCAATAACCAGGACCTTGCGCCGAGGCATCCTGTCTGTAAGGCACACTGCGATACCAGCTCCAATAGCAGAAATGACGCTGTTGAGAATGTTGTATCCAAGCTGAGCGTCGACTGTCTCGACGCCAATCAATTTGAAGATGGTCGCGTTGAAGTAGCCAAGACCATTGCCCGAAAACTGGCCGAAAACGGAGATCATGAGGACCTGAGCCATTCTCCAGCGGCCAGCGTGGGAGAAAAACAAGGGCTTGTCTGTGTTGTTGATGCAAGTGTCAGTTTGCTGAATATGCTCAGGCGGCCTTTCCGGGACCCAACTCACAGTTCAGAGGCTCCTTGTCCACACCATCCTGGCGAATACCCTCCTTCATCTCCTCGATCTCGAGCATGACAAGGCGCGAGTCAGTGCGGCCGTTTCCGTGGTACTTGGCCAGGAACGCGGCGGCCTCTTCCTCGCGGCCGTTGGCCAGGAGCCAGCGAGGCGACTCGGGAATAAACCAGACACTAGTCATGACGAGAACGCACGCGAAACACTGCATGGCCAAGGGAATCTGCCACGAGAGGTTGTTGTCGAGCTTGTTGCAGCCGTAAGTGACCGCAGCGGCAGGGATCGAACCGCCGAACCAGCCACAGTTGTAGAAACCTAATGGCCACGATTGTAAGCATCCGTTCACCATGGGGACGCCCAAGAAACTTACCGACGGCACGACCGCGCCAGTGAGGAGGGGAGATCTCCACAGCGTACTAGAATCCAGAGTTCCGAGTCAGCAAATATCCCCTGCAGGTGAATTTCGGGAGGTCCACGCAGTATCTTGATCACCGAAATTCCTGGAGCTTGTCGTATGGCGCGGACTTACGGCGGGCGCTCCAACGGTCATGATGGCGATACCACCTCCGAGGATGAAGCGGGCAACAACGATCTGGGCGAGGGTCATGGAGGTCGAGGCAACAATAGCGCCAAGGATGATGACAGCACCACCAACGAACATTCTGCGACCACAAATGTTAGTCCAAACGCAACCCAGCCGGATATGTATGGGAGTTCTGCAAGTCAGGTTTGGCATGACAGAACGCGACGCAACCCTAACACTACAGTGTAAGAAGTATGAGATGCTAACTTACGTCATTCTGCGTCCAAACTTGTCGGAAAGCATCGCAGCGAAAGGCGAGCAAACAATGGCACCACTATGTGTCATAAAGTCAGCGCTTCATGTTGACACTGAGGAATACATCACCCGGATGGTCTGTACGCACACCGTGTAGAGGGACATGATCAGCGATGTCTTGATGGGATAATTTTCGATCTCGTAGACCTTCTCAAACTTGGGCATGGCGATGATACCAGTCATGAGAGAGCCATCGTAGCCGTTGGCGCAAGCACAGCAGAAGGCCACGAAGATGGAGACTGGGCGTTTTGTCAGTGACTGAGGCGCTGTTGTTGTGTCTCTGTGGGGGAAGAGACATACAGTAGAGGTGGATGGACTCTTTGCTCCAGCGAGCAATGGGGGATTCCTGGATGGCAGCGAATAGCTCGGCCTATAGTCATTTGTTTCAGCATTATGGCAACACCAGCTCGTCCGCCATTCGCCTGGAGCTGTCGTGGGCAAGCCTCTTGGATAGAGCTCGCTTCTGCGTCTGATGTCAGAGACGCAGAGAGCATTACTTACATTGTGGACCGTCTTGGCCTTGGCACCCTCCTGCTGCGCGGTCTTGCCCGTGCCTTCGGCCACAATGACACGTGCGTGCAGATCATCGTGCACGCCAATGGTGTCGACGTTCTGAACCGACTTGGATTCCGCCATGATGGAGACGGGCGTGTCGTCACAGGTCAAGGCTCCAGCTGATGAGCTCCAAGTGTCGTGCACTGCTGAGGCACGATGACGGCCGTGCTGGTGAGTGTCGGTCGATCTGTGGGTGCTACGGACAACCTGCTGGTCAACATTCCGTCTTGAGAAAGGGGGTCCCACAGCCTTCTTATCACAGGGTGAGATTCTCTATGCACTCCAACTTTTCCCCAACCCTTACCCCGACTTCTAAGGACGGGCTCACGCGTCTGACTGGACTTGAAGTGGGACTGGAACGACGGGCCGCCTTCCTCCGTGAGAGCAGATTGGGACGCCAAGGACCACTGCACAACACGGTCCAACCCTGGATCTGCTTTGATTGGAGGTGGACAGCACGGGCATTGCAGGGCAGGGTCCCGAGCGCTCACCCGAAACATCCTGGCTTGCAACTGGCCCAGAGGGCAAGCATATGCAGTATTGTGTCGGAATTCCTTCTGTCCTCTCCCGGAGGGAGAGCTCCCTTGTGCCACCACAAACAAGGGTCCTCGGCCAGGGGTGAGAGAACATGACAATCTCGCCAATACCTATGCGGCTTGGCGGGCGCGCAACAGTCCATCTCAACACCCGATCGGAGTGGCTCACTGTCTGTGCCGGTCCCGCAAGCCTCGTCTCACAATACGGCATGGCAAGTCTACGCAAGCATGGCGCGTTTTCAACCACCCGGCCAATGTTGTGGTCTTGTTGACCTGCGTGATCGGCCGAGCCGGACCCTGGCCATTGGCGCAAACTCGGCTGAAGAGGGGGCCGCGTTATCCTGCCCTGCCCTGCCCTGCATCCGCTCAAGGGGCCACTTGACAGCCATGGAGTCTCGGGCGTGGAGTTGCCCCAGGATTTAGTGCCCCCGTCCCTCCGCGCTTGCGGTTGTCTCCGCCGAGGAGCCGCTCCACCTGAACGAGGTTTCCACACATACGATCCCAGCTACACCATGCATCATCACATAACGGGTTGCAACCGAATATTCTTTGGCTGGATTGAACCACAGAATATGCAAGCCTCAGCTCAGCTCTTTTGTGGGCCGATTGGACTTTATCAGGTGGTCCGGAATTGAGGCATCGTCGAGCCGGCCTGCAGCATCCTGATTGCCCCCTCGAGTTCTTGGTGCACGTGCGGATCCTCACTCATGCCTGGCCTAGCTGCAGCCCATTCGATATTCTCGTCGTAGTCAATGTGACTGTGTAGTCCACATCAGATGACGACCCAGATGCTCGGTACCTTGGCAATCTTCGTGGCGTATTGAGCTTGTCTGCCGATTTTCGCACATCTTTGTCTAGATTAAAGTCCTTTTGCTTTCGATGTCGATCGTTCCTCGAGGTTCCCACAATACTCCAGCGGAACAGTGGGCAGAGTATGAACCGGTCATGGCCCTGATTTTCATGCCGTGCACGGCGCGAAGCATAGAGATGTACTGGCGAGCCATACGAAGGAGTGTGGCAAGTGCTTGTGAGCGGCCAATAGATGGGCTTGCATCGCATGCTTTGACAAGCCTGCAAGGGTGCACGCTCAGCCGTGGCAACCATGTTACGGCACGATCGTGACAGGGTGGACGTGGGCCAGGTTGGAAGTTTTGGATTAGTGTGGGGAACCCGAGTACATGCGAGGCCAGGATATGATCTCAAGATTATTTGGCCTGCGACCACAGACTGGAGAACCAGTGTCGACCGATTTGAGGAGGCGATATATGAAGACACCGTTTCGTGCGCATCAAGCCCTGGACTTGGCACATCGATCAGCCTGGCCATGCATGCATGTGCGAAAGTGGTAACGGCGAGCGCGCGCAGGCGTGGTGGCGGCACGCCGAATCGACGTTCAACTATGCCCATTGTCCCCAAATTATGTGCATGAAATGCGAGAGACGGGATGGACCATGCATGTTTCTTTGGGGTCAATATTGGCAGACCCTATTGCTGGTCAAACTTGGCCCGTTGGTTGTCCCTGAGAGCCAGGGGGCCGCATGGCAGATTGCAAGGCCGGCCTGTGCGGGCAGAGGGAGATTTGACACGGCAATTGTCGACACCGCAGCACCAAATCGGCAAGTCACACCCAGCCCAGATATATCTCCTGATGTAGCTACATTCGAGTTGCGTTAGTTCCATGGCGGGGAGGCACGAAAACTTGGTGGTTGCCAGAGCTGACGACGCCGTGGTGGCTATTTCTGGACTGCGTGTTCTCGGGGGCTGCCTTTGACATTGTGGGCCTTCCTCGGGCTGATGGCCACGACCCGAATTTCAGATGGACAACAGGCCGATGCGGTCGATGCAATGGGTGCCCGGGTTGTGCTGGTGCTGCTGGGCTCGTTCGCTAAAGCGGAAACCAGAAGCCTCGAGCCGGGCAGGCGGTGGCTGCTACAGGATCGCGAAGGACAGCCAGTCGTCGTTCCGAGCACCTGGGCCGGGCCTGGGACGAGCCTGGCCTCGATCGCGTTCTGGGGCGCGCCGTGAGGGATGGGGAATGCTTGTCGTGGTGGGCTGGATGGGTTGCGTAGATGCGAGGGTGGTTGTGCGGGCCGAAGCTCCGTGCGTCAGCGCCCTGGGGACAGAGGGCCTGAGTGTGCGTGCAAGATAGGCACAAGCCACACCAAGCTCTTGGCCTCCTTCCTCGAATGTGGCGCATGCGGTCGTCGTATAGTCCCCATCTGCGTGGTCCTCGCTGGTTCACCCGCCAAAAGCAACAATTGAGCGGTTGTCTTTCGCCCGACTCTTCTGCCGAATGACGCCAAGATGATAGTGGCGAACCGCCATTTGTCGCCAATCCAAGTCACTGGCGGATAGAAACTTTCAACACGCCCCCGGAATGTCGAGCCGCACAACCACAGTCTTTCTCTCGTTCTTGCTCCTGCCCGTCCTGCAAACTGCCAAGGTCTCGGTTGAAGCCACCCATGACTGCCAGGAGCCCACACACAAGGAAGAAATGGAGATGAGCAGATTTGGCGCGCACACTTGCACAAGGGCGGTGGCTTGCGGCACAGAATTCCGATCACGGTGCTAACATTGCTTCACAGATCTTTGCAAGCCAGGGTGAAAGGGAATTCAATGGCATTGGGGAAACCCTTATGTCTATCTTATTTTGTCCCTCTACACGCTTAAACCTTGCCCCCCAGCGCATACAGATCCCCAAACCTGCTGCCCTCGGTTTGCACAAGCTCTCTCGGCCTCCCGACCTCGGCTACCAAGCCCCGATCCATCACAACGACCCGGTCAAAGTCCATAATCATGTCCAGATGATGGCTCACCGCAACTACTGTGTACGACCGGAACTCGTGGCTGATGATCTCCTGCATCGTCTTCTCCGTGTCCTGATCGACACTGGAGCTCACCTCGTCGAGAAGAAGGACTCCACCATCTGTCGATGTGAGCGAACCATCGGTCTGCTTCGCCGAGAAGTCGTTGATACCCAGCCGACGGGCACGTACCCGTCGTCTCAGAACAGCTCGGGCTAGGGAAAAGAGCTGCCGCTGGCCCTGGCTGAAGGCCTCTGCCGTCATGCCAGCTTCCAGGCCGCCGTGCTCGCTCACAAAAGTCCACAGCCCCACCGTTTCCAGGACAGACTGCGCATCGGCAGCGGTTCCGGCACCCAGTGGGTCGATGTTGTCGAGAAAGCTCGTGCCATCAGGCAAGAAGACTGTGTCCTGGGGCACAGAGATGATGCACTGCCGCAAGACCTGCCTGTCCAGTGTGGCCACATCGACGCCGTCGATCCGTACGCCATCGTTGGTCTCGGGAGTCGGGTCAAGCAGCTTAAGCAAGAGTGCAATCAGCGACGACTTTCCGCTGCCGGTTCGTCCGCAGATTGCCACCTTCTCGCCAGGCTTAATCTCTAGAGTCACCTCGCGCAGAGCCAGATTTGGCGTTTCATCTGGCGAATCGGTGCCGTAAGATGCAGAAACATTGTCCAAGGTGATCGCGCCTCTTGGAGGCCACGCCTCATCTGGGCGGACATCCTCGCCATCGCGATCCTCGGGCTTGACGGTAGCAAAAGCCCGCAAGCGAGCAATTGCGCCAATCGATGTCTCAAACATGGTCCAGAACTGCACGAGGACCATGAGGTTTTCCGAGAACATCATGATGGTGATGAGTGATGCGCCCGTGAACCCGGCGCTGGAGCGCACCGTAACTGCCAGGCCCACAAGGATGAGAGCGAGACCCATCACTACGAGATGCAACACAAGCTCCAGCCAGTGCTGGATCATCATGAGCAGGTAAGCAGGCCGCTGAGAAGTGTTAAGCAGATTGGAGTTTTTGGCGCGGTCGTCTTGGACCTGCCCGTGGGCGCGCAAGGTGACGAGCCCCTTTGTCGTGTCCAAGAAGTGCGTGTACAGCGGACTCTTCGCCTCAAGGTCGAGGATACGCAGCTGTCTCGAAGTACGCAAGTAGAACTTCTGCACGATGTAGATGAGTGCCAGCAAGAACGGGTAGCCGGCCGCCAGGTACGGCGAGGAGATGCACATGACTACAGCCTGTCCGACTGCCGTGAAAGCGGTGGCGACAAAGTTCATCAGCGACATGGGCAGCTGCGTGTCAATAATGTTGAGATCCTGTGAGAACAAGTTCGTCGTGACACCCTGATCCGTCGTCGTGAAGTACCGCAGGGGCGCATGGACCAGTGTGTGAAGGGCCTCGTGGTGAAGATACTTGCCCGACCTTCGCACGCCGACGATGAAGACCGCGTAGCATTGACCCAGGAGCGCGATGAGCCCGAGCATCTGGAAGAGTGCGTACAAGCCAACCCAGTAGCCCATGGCGTGGGCAGGCTGGGCACTTGCCGAGTCCTGCGTCCACAGCGAGAGCCAGACGGGTGGGAAGGAGCTGAAACCGCCGAACATGATGCTGAAGAAGATGAATGCGATGGAGACGATGCTGCCGAGACTTGCAGCGTAGTGCTTGTACACCGTCTTGTCGCCCGTCTGCCGCGCCTTCTGTTCCATGTCGTTCTCCGAGACAGTCGACTTGACCTTGGTAAGAAGCGCCCCCTTGGCGGCAGCCTCTGTTGCACCAGCACTCGGCGATGTTACCGGTCTCGTGATATCACTCGAGGCCAGCGATGCCGCCGACGATGACGACGATAGCGAGGAGGCACTCTTGACCTGCAAGCTGCGCACATAGCCCTGCGCCGCATCCAGCTCCGCAAACGAGCCCTGCTCGACAACCGTCCCGTCGGCACCGAGCGCGACGACGTGCTGAGAGAACGGCAGATGGCGGACCGAGTGCGTGCACAGCACCACCGTGGCGCCGCGCCGCGCAAGCAACCCGCCTCCTCCTCCACTGCCCTTCCCTTCTTCCTCGGTCCCCGTCATTCCCGCGGGCGCAAACACGCGCTGGAAGACCTGGTCCTCGGTGTCCGCGTCCAAGCCGCTAAACACGTCGTCCAGGACCAACAGGTCGGTGTGTAGGTACAGCGCGCGGGCGAGCGCGACGCGCTGCTTCTGCCCGCCGCTCAGTGTGATGCCGTTGCTGCCGACGTTGGTCTCGTCGCGCAGGGGCAGGGTGTCGAGGTCGACCTCGAGCATCGTGGCGCTGACCACCTCTGCGTAGCGCGCCGCGTCGAACGGGGCGAAGCCGACAATGTTCTCGCGGACCGTGGCGTTGGACAGGAACGGCGTCTGCTCGCAGAAGCCCGTCCGGGCCCCGTGGGCGCTGCTGGAGAACGTCACGGAGCCGCCAGTGCTGAAGGGCATCTCGCCCAGCAGGGCCTTGCACAGGGTCGACTTGCCCGAGGCGATGGGGCCGACGACCATGGTCAGCCCGCTCCGGGGGACGCGCATGGAGATGTTCTTCAGGGCCATGGTGTCCTTGTCCCAGCCGAAGCTGGCGTTCTCGACGACGATGGCTGCGGTGTCGGCTGCTGCGGTGGTGCTGGGGATGGCCTTTTCATCTGTTGGGACTACTTCTGGACCTTTCTTCTCGCTGGTATACTCCAGGGCGGGAAAGCGTCTGTAGTCTTCCCTTTCCTCCTTCTCGAGGAACGTCTGGATCCGCTCCATGCACGCGGCCGCCGAGACGATCTGCGGGAGGAACTGGAAGAGCACTGAGAAGGGCTGCGTCAAGAGCGTAATGTACGCGAGCGACGTGAACAGCTGTGCCGGGCCATAGCTCCCGCCGGCGAGCGCAAAAGTCAGGAACGGCGCCACGGTGATCGGGGTGTAGGCCAGGATGGCTGAGGCGGTGCCGAGGGAGCGGTAGCGGGACCCCGAGGCGAGCTCGTCGGTGCGGAGCTTCTGGACGTACTCGGCGATGGGCACGGCGAGCCCAGAGATCTTGAGGTTCTTCATGGCCGCGATGACGGTCGAGGTCAGGCCCACGCGCTTCTGCACGCCCGCCATCCACGCCTTCTGCGAGGGGCCCGTGTACCGCACCAGGATGGACATGAAGCCCGCGCAGATCATGACCGCCACGAGCGGAACCACGAACGCGGCGCCGAGCTTGGTGTAGAGCAGCCAGCTCGCGAGGCCCGTCTCGATCAGGCACGCCCAGAGCTCGTGGAGCATCCTTAGCCCCATGGTGATGCGCTCAATGTCGGCGCTCATCAGCGTCAGCGCGGCGCCGTCGTCCCCCGTCGTGATGCGCACCGCCGTCGCGTGCTTGTAGATGGAGCTGACCAGGCACGACCGCAGCGCCGCCAGCATGCGGAACTGGAAGTACCAGTAGAAGGCCGTCGAGATGGAGATGCCAAAGTACACCAGGCCGCTGGCGCCGATCAGGCCGTACCCTTGCTGCTTCGAGTTGCCGTCCTCGGGGCTGGAGAGGTGCGAGAGCAGGGCCTCGATGAAGAGCGGCTGGCAGAAGGTGAAGGCCGTCATGGCCAGGCGGAACGGGATCGGGAGGAGCAGGTAGGTGCCTAGGCTGCGGCAGAGGACGCGGATCAGCCCGTACTTCTGGCCGCGCATCTCTTCGATCTTTAGATGCGGTCGGAGCATCTCCTGGGCGTGGTCCGCCGCGAGCTTGCGGTCCAGGGAGTAGAGGTCGGGGATCTGCAGGATCTTGCCATAGCCGAGCAAGAAGAGCTTGTTGAGCCAGAAGAATACCCCGAGACTATACATCCCGCTCGTCTCCTCGGGACTGCAGTCCCTCATGTCCTCCTTTGCCCATCGCGACTTCTGCTGTGCCTCTAGGAAGAGCACGGCGACCTTGACGGCGAGTGTGGTGGAGAAAACCGACGCGTATGCACGTTCGCTGGACGTGATGGATGCCAGCCAGAGTGTGCGGGCCTGGGCAATGTCAAGCACGACTGTGGTGAAGACGTACGCACTGAGAACGACCGATGGCCGGACGGACCTCGCGTGGTCTAGTGTCGACAGCAGGATCATGCATAGCGCCGCGGACAAACGCAGGACGGAGGCGGCAATGGCGGCGGCCGACGCAGGGAACGGGTAGAGGCCCGCCAGCACGAGGAGCGCGAGCTCGAACACCGCGTACAGTACAATGGCAGCCTAGTATTGGATGAGAAAAAGTTAGCAAGCTTCATCGAGCTTGGTTTGGTTGTGGAGACGTTATAGAACGTACCAGCTTCGCATATTGGAAGCGCGACCCGGCGATAACGATCGGTCTCCGCCGCAAGAGGAATATCCGCCATGTGGCAACGAGGATGTATATAGACGCCGGCAAGATCGAGAAGAAGAGCTGCTCGAATTTGACGGTGAAGTCAAAGTCATCTCGACAGCCCCGGACCTGGGGACCCAAGGAAAGGTCGCTTGCGCAGGCGGAGAACGACATTGTCGAGACACGGGCAGTGGCTAACCGCTTGGGACAATCTTGTCAGTGCTCACAGAGAGCCTGCAGTATGCAGCGTGCCGTTTGTCGCTGTTGCCGCGTTCTGGTTGTTGAGGGGAACAGGGACTATGCGGTGGCCATGGCGTTGCTTGAAGACTTTTGGGACCTGGACACGGGAAAGAATATATCTTTCTGGGACCCCAAGAGTCAGAGGAGTCGTGAAATGTGACGACAGGGGACCCCATGCTGCATGCTGACAGGCGGGTGTGCTGGGATTCGCTGCCATTGTCGGCATAGGCTGTTGCGGTCTGGAAGCTGGTAGTGATGGCGGGCCGCTGGGATCGGACTGGAGCAGCGGAGTTCGGACTGGAAAGGTCGGAATGGAAAGGGCAGGGGTTTGGGCTCGTTTGGGCACGCCGGCCAAGGCACCAGCAAGCAAGCTTATCTCTAGCTCCGACGCCGCCCAGAGTGGATGCCTTGCCGGCAATCAGATCTGGACCCCTTTCGCGTGAATGCGGCTCTGCTGCCATTCGTCTCTTTGTTGATGCCTGGGCTGGTCTACGCGGCTCCTGCACGAGCACAGAAGGAGTTGCATGGTCGGCATCTTGTTCCATGCGTCACACGCGTCGTGGTTGCGTAAGTTGGACCCGACGCAATGGAGGCACCAACCCGATCATACTAATCCCCAGGGGAGGCTGAATGACGACAACGGAACGCGAATACCCTATCTGTAGACAGGGCTATTGGCTGTTGGCTCCCTTTCAATGACACCTTGGTTTTAAGCAATTGCCTGACAACAGTGATCTTCATGGGCAGCATGCTCAGCAACAGACTGCGACACCGACCTCTGCACCTTGTGGGCACTTGCGTCAGACGGAACTACTATCGAATCTTGTTGATGCGAGTCCATCTGCATGGAGCATGTGTCTCGCATAGCCTTATTATACGCTCCAAACCCGCCACGCAAGCCGGCACTTGTTGAGTCACAGCGACAACCAGCTAGCGTCACTTCATTAGGTCTACACTGCCAGGACAGCAACACGTACAGAACAGAGGTGGAGCACCTTTTGGACAAGACTACAGTACTCACCGAGGAGGACTCCCTGGAGACTCTACTGCTTGCTACCACGTCGCGCCCCCCAATACGAGGCGCACGAAATACTTGATCATAGGTCCGCTGTGCTCGAGCCAAACAGGTCAAGTAGCTGACTAATGTTCCGACTTGTCCCGCCCGAGACGTTTTTATACTCACGCAGAGAACTGCCGAGGAACACTTCCTTCTTCGTCGTCTGAGGAAATGGCGCTGTCAAGCGAATCCAGCGTGAGAAGGTGCATCCCATCGATGTCTTCTGATGAATTTTATCCGCAGGGTTATACCAGTACTTTGATCTGTTACATCAAAGCCGGTGTCATTGTGACATTTACTCGATTTGCCTTCGCGACAGTGAAACTCCATGTGCTCACTGTGCGTGGTAGAGACGTCATCAAGTTATAGGATTGAAAGCCCAGTGAAGACTGTTACTGCAGTATAAACTTCTCCGTGCTGCAGCGGACCGTGCTGATGACTCAGTGTTGGCTCTCGTCAGCTTGGAAATGCTTCCCCCGAACTGCAGCGGAGCTGACATAATGCGGCAGGGGGTGGAGTCGGGAGTTTTGGTGAGCCATGGGAGAAGAGACGTCATTTAGTCAGGGTCACGCAGCCTTCGGCACTTGAATCTCGGAGGTTTAGAAATCATGCGGCTTTAATGGTTCTACGGCCGTCGCGGAATATGACATTGTAGCTGGTCGCGTGTCTGCAATCCTGACCAGAACAGCGGCTATGTCAGTATATATTGGCGCAGTTCGAGGACTGCATAGCTCAGATGTTCAGACATCGTAAACTATCGCAATCAGGATCAACACAAGCTGATAAGCTTGATACCCAGAGCCATTGAATTGTTCATTCATCACCACAAGCACCAATATGGACAAGTCCGCTTCTTCATGGGCCATCACACCTCCCTCGTCATTCAAAGCCTCCCTCGCGATCACGCACATCGGCAGTGCCACTACCCTCATCACCATCACTGCCAAGAATGGCGCCAAGAATGGCAACAAGACAACCTTCCTCACCGATCCCATCTTCTCCCCGGCCGGCACAGCCTTCCCAGTAACTGCTGACTTCTCACTGGTCGTGCAAATCGACCCTGCCCTTTCGCTCTCCAATCTTCCGCCCATCGACGCCGTCCTGCTCAGCCACGAAGACCACCCCGACCATATCGACGCTCCCAGCAGGCAACTCCTCCACGGCCGACAAGTGTTCACCACGCCTGATGGGGCTGCGGTAATCGGCCAAGGCAGAGACCGCGGCGGATTGTGGGGTCTCAGGCCCTGGGAAAGCGTAACAGCCTCGATCGGCGGCAGCGAGTTTACCATCACGGGGACGCCATGCGAGCACCTCCCTGGAGGCGAAGTGACGGGCTTTGTTATTACCACGTCAGACTTTGGCGAAGATGAGCAAGGACGGCCTCACGCGGTCTGGTTCTCGGGGGATACATTGTATCTACCCGAAGCGCACCGCCAGCTGAAGGACAAGTACAATATCTTGGTGGCCATTGTCAACCTGGGCGGCGTCATGATTGACTGGCCGCCGCCGCTGCCAGCCGCGTCTCAGCCGACAACCGCACCCAGCACTGTCGATGTCGACCCTGCCACCGAGAGTGAGCCTGGCAAACTGCAGACCACAATGGACGGGAAGCAGGCGGCACAGCTGTGCAAGGACTTGGAGGTCAGTGTGCTCGTGCCGGTGCACTATGAAGGGTGGCTTCACTACACGCAGTCCAAGGAGAGCCTGGTCAAGGATCTCGAGGACGAGGGCGTGGCAGGACGGGTTTGCTGGCTGCCTGGAGGTGGAGAGGCGAGACGGGTCATATGAACGAGCAGGCCGGGAGTACAGGAACAGAGAACCACTGGCACTCGGCGTTCCTGCTATCACATGTCTCGAGCCGGATCGAAACGTAATATATCATCGCTCTCACTGTACATTGTTCACTAATGCAAGCTTGAAAAGGAGTCCACAAATGCGGCAGGAAAACCCCTGCTGTGCATACAAACTACCAAGCTCTGACGTGCTGATTGTTCACCATTCACATCACAATGATTGTGCGTATCCTTAGGGTTCTGTGTGGATCTTTTGTGAACCTATCTGAGGTGATCCCATCGTTGTTTATCTCCAAACAGGCCAAGTGTTGTCCTACAGTTTTCACCAAAAGCCACCATGTCCAACATCACTCCTATCTCGCTGCGTCTTTGCCAAGAATAACGGCGCCAATGCTGAAGATCATCACCTAAGCTTTCCAGAGATGCCAACTATTTGTTCAACGAACCAGCAGCTTGCAATTATGGCAAACCAGATTTTCTCAAAGTTCTGAAGCTCTCCAAAGCTGGCGAAATAGTATCCCCCCCACAAGAATGCCAGAGAAAGGCCGCTCAGACACGATCCTCCAAGCTTAACGGCGCTTGTCGCCATTCTCCTGCTTCTTCTTCTTGACAATCCAGAGCTTCAAGACAAACTGCTCTCGGGAGTCCCGGGTCGCCTCGGACTCCTGGGGCTCATTCTCCTCCTGTTCTTCACGGATGAGCTCCAAGACGTGCAAGACCGGCCACTCCACTCTTCGGCCGGCAGTCTTGTTTAGGGTGGGAGGCTTGTTCTGGCTCCACAGGCGGCCCTCTCTGTAGCGGCGCTCGAAGCCGTCGTGGGTCGAGTCCCAAAGATCCGCGCCGTACTCGAACTGCGAGTCGATCGTGTCTGCATCTCTGTGGTACTGGCTGCCGAAAAAAGGCCAGGCGTGGTCGGCGTGAGCCCAGCCAGAATCGTTGGTGAAGCTGGCATTGTTCACGTCCAAGTCGTTGTAATAGTAGTCGGCGTTGCCGTCGCCGTCGCTCTCGCGGCCAGGATTCGCCAGGATACCGTTGTTCGTCACGTCGTCATTGGCATCATCCATGCTGGGCAGGGGAAGCTGGCTGTGTGAAGCGCTGCGGGCGATCATGTTGCTCTGAGTGGCGGGATTAACGGCGCTGCTCTGGCTGTTTGAGAAGCTGAAGCTGCGAGATATGCGCGTGGTAATGTCGCCCTCGACGACATCTGTGTCTGGGCTTGGGAGCTGGCCAGCCGATGCGTTGTTGGTGGGTGTAGCAGTGTGCTGGCTGGCTGAGTCGCTGTCGTCGCCAACGTGGACCTGTGCGGCGATGGTTGCAGCGGATGCCGCTGCGGCGGTATTGCCGTTCGCGATGTCGCCTTGGCTGTCAGTGCCTGGGTTCTCAGCGGTGTCGATGCTGTTTTCAACGACATTGCTGTTCTCGACGACGAAGTTGCTGGGCTGGACGTTGTTGAGCACAGGCAACGGGATGCTGTGGCCGGTGCTACCCGCAGGGAAGTCACCGCTGGAAGAGACCGACTCGGTTTGAACGCTCGTACGTCGAGCTGCGAGCTCGCTCTGTCTCGAGCGATTCACGCCAATGGTGGTCTGCGGAAATGGCAAACGGCCAGGTGCATTCTGTGCCGCCGCACTGACGCTGCCACCTCCCTGGGCAGAGCCACTGCTGGTGTGGAAGGTAGTCATCTCATACGCCTCGCCGCCGGTATTGCCAATCATGTACTCATCAATACCAGGGAGCTGCTGACTTGGTCCGATGGAACCAGCCGAAGGGGGCGTGGCAAAGTCGTGCTGCGGGACAGGTGGAGGACTAGGACTGCTCTCTCTCTCCCAGGGTCGTATTCGGTACAGGTCACGGGCAATGTCCCGGCTACCTACCTCATCGTAGTCACCATTGTCCTGGCTGCCATCATCGGAATTGTCACTGTCGTAATCGTTGGAGGGGCCATAGAATCCGGTGGACACATTGCCATTGCGACGTGACAAAGGGCCAGGAGGTGTACGCGGACCGTCGCTGAGGTCGGAACCACCAACAATAGATTCAGGAGGCTGGGGGCCAAAGACTCTTCCCAGGGGGCCAGCGCCGACAATCGGATTGTGGTCCTGCGAAGAACCAGTTGGTCGAGGGCCAGTGACGCTGCTACCAGAGCCGCTAGCACCAACATTACTATCCGCCATAGTCAGACGGTGAGCAAACCGGTGAGGGCGCTCATTTTCGCCGCCGCTGTTGGCCGCCTGGGGGTCCCATGAAGGCAGATCATCATGACCAGGTCCTGCGGGACCTTGATCATCATCATCAGGTGGTTTGGGACCTTGATAGCCCTGATCGTAATAGCCGCCATGACCGCCGTCGTCACTCTCCAGGGATTGGCGGAGACCACAGTCGTCAGGACCAGATTCCTCGAGATCGTGACGGCCGTTGTCATTGCCGTTGTTGCTCGCCTGGGGGGTGAATGGAGGCAAATTACCATGACCGGGTCTGACGGAAGCGGGAGCGGGAGCGGGAACTTGATAGCCCTGATCGAAAGAGCCACCGTCACCACCGTCGTTGCTCGCCGATGGGCTTTGGGCAAGCGAATCACCAGCACCAGTTCCTCCGAGATCGTAATAGCCGCCGTCACTGACGTGGTTGCTGGCGGGCACATGGGTCTGGATGCTCAAGAAAGAGCCTCCATTCGTGGGGCCGGCGAGATTGCTACCACCCATGTCCTGAGGGGTTTGGCACCAGGATGTTGTGTGCCGTGCACCATGGCCGCTGGGGGCAGAAGAAGGCGCGCCATCTCTGTTTTCGAGAGGCTGATTCTGCTGCGGACGCGGCGCCGTGATGCTGGGGCCCACGCGGCTGCTCTGAGCCGAGCTGTAATCGTTGTTGACAATAGCGTTGATGCTACCGAAGTAAGGCTGACGGGGGTCAGTGGAACGCGGTCCAGTAATGCCGAAACCAAAACTGCTGTTCTGGGTGGGATTGATGGGGGCATGGTCAATGGCGTTGGTCCGGGCTGGTCCAGCAGGACGAGGGGCGGCGAGACGCAGACCAGTAGGACGCGGGCCAGCGATGCTGCGACCGAAGCTACCATTCTGAGCGGAGTTGAAGCTTCTGATAGGGGCATTGCTTGTGGCAGTAGTAGTGGACTGATGCGGGCCACTGGGACGCTGTCCCGTCACAGGAGAAACACGACTGCCAGTCTGCGCTGAATTGCTGTTGTTTCTGGCGAAGGCATTGCCACCATAGCCGGCTTGGCGTAAGTTGAGATATGGAGAAGGACCGTTGTACCGGCCAGGGATCTCCCTATAGCGCGATGGGGCATTTCTATAGCTTCTGGGACCTCCTTCATTGCTGCCTTGGCTCAAGGCGTCTCTGCCGCCTCCAGGATTATCGCCATTGTTGCCACGAGGTTGGTCGTGATTGTTAGGGTTGACGGCACGACCATGTCGGCTGGCCTCCTAGGGCGACGACATGATTTGCTTCAGGTCCCGGTAGTGAGTAGGGATATCATAGAGGCTTCGGCGTTGTTCCTCGCGTGCTGCTCTAGCAGCAAGTTGCGCCTGACTGAAGATGCCGAGAGTGTCACCCAGGGATTCCATGGTGGTGCGGACATGGTGTCGAATGGCGCGGCAGTACTGAAAAAAAGTGCCGGCCTGGTTGCGAGGCTGGCCGTATCTATCCTCAAGCCTGTTACGCTCATCCTCGAGCTCGCTGTCGTAGATCATAGAGCGAGACTGGGGGGTGCTGGTAGTGCTAGTGGGAATGTAGTCCCGTGGCACCGTGGGACGAGAGCTGTGAGAAGGGCCAAGGGGAACCGCGATTGTGAGATTATCAGTAGAGCTGTAGGCGTCTCCAGGAAGCTCGCTATTGGAAGAGGCATCCGACTCGTCAAAGCCATCAGATTCTCCTGCATGTTGGGCTTCAACACTGGCTCCTGAGGTTGGGGGGATGGGTTGTAGACCTTGGGTAAAATCCTGTGCCTCACCCTCAGGAAGGTCACTGGACAAGAGACAGTCACTTGCCTCACGGACGAGGTTGTCGTCTGTTACGGCGACTTCCTTTTCCTTGCCTTTGCCTTTATCGGCCATGACGACGCGAGTGAAGCGTGGTCGTCTCTAGACCTTCTACGAGGCTGCCTGAACGACGAGTTTTTCACTCGTGAGGATGCTCGTGATGTGAGCTTGAGGGGTAAGTTGCGACGGCAAAGTGCGAATGAGAGGAATGAATGGTTCGTGCAATGCTAGAGAACCGCAAGATTGACGAGGCTATGGACATTCTCAAGTCTGCGGTGAAGGGACGAGTTTTTCGCTTCAGGCAGACATGATGAGAATGTGAGTTTGTAAAGGTGAAAAGAGGGGTTGCTCGAGAGACGAGGGGAGTTTTGTACGTGCCTTGACTGGACGCGTTGCGCGAGGACCGGCACCAGGGCAACGCCTCGTGGCAACCTGGGAAACTCGTTGAGGCGTGTTCACAATGGGGGCTTTTAATAAAATTCCCGGCTCCAGCAGCATTCACCGGACTGCGTCTTAAGCAGTTCTCCCATGTAGCACGTGCTCTTCTCATTGATTTGGCAGCAATAGACTTTTTCCAATGCCCTCATTGACGGCGTAAGAAAATGTCATCCAGGTCGTCGTGCACCATGTGCCAACGACGCCAAAACAGCTATAGTGCCCCAACGCGACGTAGTGCACGACACTATGACGACAATTAGAACCCGCCTTGAATACGGACAACCCCAACACCTGCTGCAGTAGTAAAGACAAGATGAGACCGCCACCGAAGGCGAGAGCCATCATTCAGATACAGGCGTGAACGACTTTCCGAGCGTCGCCAGAGATCCAAGAGGGGGTCCCACGACATGACCGCACCGTAAGATAGCCCCGATGCGCATTGGGAAGAGCGGCACAACTCGCAACATGCAACAAGGAACGCATATGGTAATATTGTATCTTCGACGACGGCATCGGCATGCCGGGGGAGTCATCGATATTGCGCAGGTGAAGATCTGAGTAACAGGTCGCGAAACGCCCCTTCCGTTTTCGTCAAAGGCGCATTGCGTGAAACTGACGACGAAGTGTTCCTGCAGGCACTCGGCAACCTTAATAGCAACTCAAGACACGTACCGGGCTCGCGAGGCACTTGCCATGCAAACGCCGTTGTTCCCGCAATCAGCCGCAGCAACACGCCGGAAACCCCCCCTCCCTAAGCCCGGGCCAGAAGGCTATGACGAGACCATGACCACCGAGCACGAGCACTCGGCTCCTGTCCATCAATAGGACGGTCGCTCGTGCAAGGACCGGCCCTCATGGGGACTCCGCACTGGGGCCGCCTCACTTTCGCATGCCAACAAGCGCATCCTAGTGCCCAGATGCCCGTTCCTGAATGAGAGGGCTGGGCTGGCTCTAGATCCAGGCACACAATGACCAAGGTTGGCCCTAGCTTTCGACTAGCCGCCGAGCGAAATATATGGGACGATGCTAGGCCCACAGAATTCCTCTGCGAAGCTTCACTGCTGCTGCAAGAAGTGCGTGTGGAAATGCTCACTGTCCTGTTTGATGGGCAGAAATCAGTCGGTCTTGTTGCACGGCATTGTTGCATCATAGAGAAAGGCCAGCCACGTCCTTTGGAGTTGGGCTGGATTGGGCGCGGTACAACAAAGTAAGCTGCAGCGAGGGCGATAAGAGGCCTGGACAGATAGAACACCTCGCTGATCGAGGTGCACAACATTTGATTCAATCGATTCACGGCGTTTTGACAATGGCTCTCAGGATCGGGGAGCAAGTGTGGGCCGGAACCACGGAGCAAGGACCAGGTGTTGAGGAAAATTTGATGGCCGACAAGGACCCTTGCTGAGGGACTCAGCCCGTCAAGAGACAGCGTCAAGCCACGGAGCCCGCCCGCAGCCAGCACGGGCTCGAGCCATCTCACTGCACTGACGTCACACCTCTGAAAGGGCTGGTGGTGCTGGAGACGGAGGCAACGCCAAACCAAAATGTGTCAAGACCGCGCGGTGGTGATTGTCCTTGTGGTGTGGAAAGTGTAGGCCAGCTCTCGTGGATCAGCAACAGTCCCCTGGGTGCCAAATCGCCTGCGCACCCATGTATGGGAATTATTGAGGGCCGACAAAGGTCGTGGGCCATCTCAGGTTTGATGCCCTGCCCAGCACATGAACAGGCAGTGTGATGTGGTGGGAAGGGGGGTCTCAGCCCCCCACCCTCGAACAAGAGAACAAATGCAGGTGTGACCTCATCCCACATGACACCACCTGGGCCACGCCGCCAGACATCTGGCCATTGTCCAGGCCGTTGTGAAGTTAGCGTCGGGGCTAGTAAATGATCCTGGCGGCCACGTCGGCACCCGAAAGATGCCCAATCGCAGCAGACCAGGATACCCCGGATTGCTCAGGTTCTGCTCGAGGCAGCCGCCGGCCAGGGCGTCCATGGCGAGACGGGCGCCGGGCACAGGGTTCTGCCACCATCTTTGCTGTTACAGGTGCGGGCTGGCTCCTGAGCTCTTGTGTGCCCGCCGTCCACAGTCGGGCGCGATGGCCGCGATGGCTTCCTCTTTGAGCCATCTTTGGTGGATGTCGGTTCCTGGCCCGAACATGGAGATCAGGGGCAATGATGGCAAATTGGGCTTCGTCGGGCTGGGATTCTGCCTGTTGCCGAGCGCCGGAGCGGATGCCATGCGGCCCGGTCGGCGCGATATATAAAGTTGACGTCTTGACGATGATGCCGCGATCATGATGGTGTTCTGGCTCCCGTGAGGGCTCTTGACGAAAAGAACTAAAAAGACTGCCACAGATGCTCCTCTCTGTCGCAGCAGCCTTCCTTTGACCGCCAGCAGAAGACAACAACCCGACGGGCAGGACCGCACGCACGCACAACGCATAATACGAAGGGTAACGACTGGCACACACCTGCCAGCATCACGTCGCGTGCCCCTCCCACCGTGCACACCGCAAAGGCTTCCATCTGCCTAGCCGAAGCCGTGGCCAGAATGCCCTGTGACCGGGGCTGGGAAAAGAAGAAAAGGCCAAAAACCGGGAACAGGCCTGACCCTGGACGGAGCCAGTACGGACACGCCATTTGCCAAAACGGACCCTCCTGGCTGCGGCGACTGCTGTCTAGCACCAGAGCCCATCCCTGTCGCCGCCCCGTTTCGCTGCGACGACTGCCTCCATCCAGCCGTGCTGGCGTTTCGCTAGCATTATCCCCCCTCCTACCGGTGTCGTCATCAGCCAAGCTGCTGGCCCCCCCACCACGTTTCCTCGCTCCCTCCATTGTCTTCAACTACCGGCTTTCTCCTCCTTCCTGCTGATCTCGATTGTGCCGCATCACACCTTTTGCATCCCAAGTTCGACGACCCGAACTCTCCTCCCAGGAGCTCGTTCCGAACCCTCCAACCAGCCCTGTTCGAGCTCATCCACACACCATCTCACTCGACACACCCAGCACACGTCGACCACTCCTCTAGCCGTCATGGCCTACAGATCAAGCGACAACGACCTCGCCTACGGCGAGCGTTGGGACCGCGACCGCTTCGCCTCCGAGAGGGACCGTGACCGCCGCCAGCAGAGCAGAGGCCCTATGCCATACTGGGACCGCGACCGCCGGCGGCAAGAGTCTCCCGACGGCGTCCGCTTCCAGTCTCGCGGGCCCCCTGGACCTCCACCTCCCCGGCCGTGGGAGGACGACTACCCCGTGCGCGACCGCCGCTACTACGAGGACGACGGCCCGCCCCGCCGCCGCCGCTCTCCGGACTTTGAGCGCATGCCTGAGAGAGAGCAGCGCGGCCCTTCGCCTCCGCGCAGGCCGACCCGCATGATCCGCCGCCAGTCCTCTCTTGACACGTACGACCGCAAGCCGGTCCCTCGCTTCTTCGAGAGGGAGAGAGAGGAGTACGGCCCTCCAGCGCGCCGTGGGGATGTCCGCCCCGAGTACCGCCCAGACCCATACCAGCCCATTCCTCTCCCCAGATCGCGCGCCCTGCCGCCCCCGCGGACGTATGCCGAGCGTGACTACGAGGAGATCAAGATCCAGGAGCCCGACCGGTACGGCAACGATGAGTACCACCCTTACCCGGAGCGGGTAACGGAGAGAGAGATTGTCCGCTCCACCCGCAGACGGGACCGCAGCGGCTCCCGGACGAGCCGCCGGACGGCCCGGTCGCACAAGAGCAGCGCGCGGAGCAGCTCCCGGACATCGACCACATCCAGCAGCTCCAGCAGCAGCTCCAGCACCAGCGGCGGCACGACCGTCACTGTCAAGAGCGAATATCCGAAGAAGGGCAAGACCAGGATCCCCGCGCGCCTCGTGTCGAAGCGGGCCATTATCGATCTCGGATATCCTTACACTGAGGAGGTATGAGCAGGTTTTCTTTTTTTAAGACGCACAATGTTGCGTCTCTTTTTAGGCACCCCAAAGCTAAACAAAAACATAATGTCTGCAGGGCGGCACAATCATCGTCCAGAAGGCCCTCGGCCAACAAAACATTGATGACCTGCTCAAGCTCAGCGAGGACTACAAAAAGTCCGAGCACGAGGTCATTGCTGCCCGCTCTGTCGCCGGCCACGTCGTCGAGGAGCGCAAGGAGGAGATTTTTACCATTCCTCCCCCGCCACCGGCCGCGCCAGTCGTGGCAGCTCCCGTCGTGGCAGCGCCAGTCGTTGTCCCGGCGGCACCGGCTCCTGCCTCCTCCGTCTCAGAGGAGGTGTTCAGGGAGACCAAGATTGTGCGCGAGGTCTCGCCGGCCCGGACGTCCAGGAGCTACTCGACGTCCACGACGAGCCGGACGCCGCTCATCATCGACGGCGCCGAGCCCGACTACGGCTACGACTACGGCCAGGTTGCCATCGTCGGGGACCGCCGCCGGACCGACCGGGAGATCAAGTACGAGATTGCCAGGCTCGAGGCGGAGCGCGACCTCATGCGCTCGGACCACCACCACCATCACCACCACCACGGCCGGCACCGCAGCCACAGTCAGAGCTACGGCCGCGACGTGGTCCGCGCCGAGCGGCTGCCCACGGGCGAGCTGGTGCTGTACGAGGAGGAGGTCGTCAAGGTCGAGGAGCCGCGGCGCGGAGTGCGCATCGAGAAGGACAAGAAAGGTAGGATGTCCATCAGCGTGCCCAAGAACCGCAGATGAAGGTGCGCGCTTCTTATTCGCCCTCGTTGCGAAGTCCCCCTCCCATTCCCAAAACTTTGTCAGCAACGGCAGCAGAAAATGCTAACATTTTGTTTTCCACAAACGAGCAGGTCCTCCACCTGGACTCATGCGCGCTATGCTCGCTACCCTGACCTAGTTTGCACCAATTACACGGCGGCTGTATTGGCGTTTTTTGGAAGAGATAATTTTGCTGGATATGGGACGGGCGTGCAGTTTATTGCCGAAGGCTGCTTTTTTCACACACACGTTGAGTGTTGCTGCTTACTACACAGTGGCACTTTCTTTTCTCTCTCGGATTCGGATACATATATACATATTTGTGTGGGTGAAAACCAGCGGGATGGCTACATTTTATTAACGACATTATGACCACAAATAAACTCAAAAATGCAACCAACCAACCACTTGCCCTCTTTCTGATTTGTGATATCTTTGATGCGGACACTTGTTTGTTAAGATCCGCCTTTGCAGGACATAGTCTAATTCGGCTTGGAGTGACAGCGACCCAGACAGATCTGGATGATTCCATCTGGTTATTCCCCTAAAAGGATACAAACGAGTTGACCCTTGAGCTGGCGAGTCAAGCCAAAATATCCAGAAACAAAAAGCAAGGTACTTACTTGTTTGCAAACCTGTCCATCCCGGACTGTCACCCCGCGAGACAGGCCCATAAAGGTTTCTTGTTCGTGCTATGTGGACAGAGTGTGTCCTGTGTAGGTGGGTCGCCACTTGTCACAGACCCTACAGTTTGTGTCAAAGTCGTTTCATACTGAAGAGAAAACCGCTTTCGTTTCTTGCGCAGCAACTTCAACTTTATAATCACGGCAGCAGATCGAGCAGTAGATGGGGAGAAATTACAAAATCAGTGTGCCTTACACGCCATTGCCATGCTTGAACAAATTATCTAAAATCTTGCTGCCAAAAAAAACTCGTCGCGATGCACCTCAGACTGAAACTAAGGAGCCAGAAATGACCCCCAAAGCCGCAGATCTGAAGGCTCTCATCCACAATGCGGGAAAAATCGAGTATTTGCAACATGGGATCCCATAACCTCCGTGAGAATCTCTAGACGCACACACCATCCACGTTACTCGTCCTAGTGCTGCCCGCCCCTCGTACAGTTGAATCAAACCCATGGGTGTGCACTTAGTACGCGCCACGGAGCTCGGCGTCGGCGACACGGCGGCGCTGGCTGAAGCCACGGGCGTTGTTGCGGCCGTTGCCCTGGCCGTTGTTCTGGCCACCGCGACCCTGGCCACGTCCTTGGCCGTTGCCCTGGCCGTTGCCACCAGCGGCACGAGTAGGCTGGGCAGCAGCGGCAGAAGTAGCGCTAGCAATAACAGTGGCGGCGTTGCCGCCGAGCTGGACGCTCAGGGTCTGGACGGGAGCAGCCAGGCTGACGAGGGTGGAGGTCTTGGCGTTGAGGATGTCCTCGACCTTCTTGAGGTTGGCAAGGCCCTCCTTGCTACCAGCAACAACGTTGGCAGCGACGGCAGCCTCGAAGTCAGCCTGGTCGTCAGCAACCTGCTTAGCAACGGCCTCAACACCAATGGCAGTGTCGACGGTGGCAGCAGTGTTGGCAGACGGGGTGTTGTCGGTCTGCTGGACGGGGAAGCAGCCACCAAAGGGACCGGCCTGAGCGTTGTTGCGGCAGCGGACAGTGCAGACGTTGCCGGCAGAGGCTAGGGAGGATGTCAGCCAGGGGTTTCTTCGTTCATGCAGATGCAAGATGACTTACAGCCAACGCAGTTGAACTTGTCAGGCATCACGACGGTGATGTTGAAATCCTGGGTGCGGGCCTGGGAGAAGCCGTTGACGCCAGGGACGTTGTCGAGGACGGTCAGGTTCTGGCTGATGACACCGTTGTTGCCAGCCTCGATGAGGTCGCAGGCATAGGGACCGGCGCCATCGGCGTTGACCTGGTGGATGGTGACCTGGACCTTGGAGCCGGCCTTGACCTGGGTGACCTGCTTGGCGGCAAGGGCGTTCTCGGTGTTCTCGCCAATGTCGATGTTGCCGGTCAGCTCGGTGCGGCCGCACTCGTTGACAACGTTGTTCTTGATCTCCTGGTCGCGGATGATGGTGGTGTCCTGCTGGCAGGGGTTGATGGAAGTGCAGTTCCGGGCAATGTCCAAGCTGACTATATGGCGCAGAAGAGGTTGTCAGTCAGTAAAGGGCTTCTCGCCAATATGTGATGGTGTGGTTCTGGACTCACCCTGGAAGCCGATCGAGGCAGGCGAGCCGGCATCACCTTGGGCATTGAGAAGGACGCCGTGGGCCTGGGCGAGGGCCACGAGGGCGGCGGTGGAAAGGAGGGAGGCGAAAGAAGGCATGTTGGCGACGGCTGGCGTGCAAGAAAAAGGGGGGCAACTTGGCAAGGCGTACAAGAAAGGAAAGTGACCAGCACTGAAGTGGAAACGAAGGAGGGAGGACGAGAAAGGAAAGAGGCTTCACAGAGGCACGACCGAGATGGATGAGGAGGAGGACAACATTGGCAAAGGGCACAGCGTATGGCGGATTGTCTTTATAACGGCGGCCGGGTGGGCATCGTCCATCGTCATGGTGGAGAGCGGCGGCGTGCAGATGGGCAGCAGGGTGGCATCGTGGAGTGGACACGGCAACCTCGAACAGCATCTGTCGCAAGCGGGTGGGCTCAGCAGAGGGCGACAGAGTCTTGGCGAGAGACGAAGCTGGCCATGGGATGAGGTTGGTGGAGAACACGACAATGGATGGACGTTGTTGGTGCAAGTGCTAGGTGGTGGACGGGGAGAGCCGTTTGCAGGCAGGCAGGGCCCCCCCCCCGGTGTAGCAGCAGACGGAATCCTCCGATTCGCCAGAGGGCAGGCAGGATTATGTCAGCCAGGATAAGGGCCTTGCAAGTGCCTGCTCAAGTGCTGTCGCTGCACAGGACAATCCAAACCACCAACCAGGGGCCACACGATGGGTGAAACGGCTGCATCCACTTGCGCACCGAGCAATGTCTGGGACCCCTGGGCCTTCTCGCTCGAAACGGGCCAGATGGAGATTGTTTGGCCCACCATCGTCCCATCCTGTGCCCACCGCCCGCCGCGCCTCGCGCCATGCCCTGTTTCGCCTGCCCGTCCTCGCCTCGCCCTTCTGCGCCAGCACGCGCCCGTCTGGCCGATCCTCATGCTCGACATGAGGCTAAACATCTGGTGGCTCACATATGCTTATTTTAGGCTCCGCCTTCATCGACGTTAGACTTTGGCTGCCGCCCGACGCGTGTCGGCTCTTTCGGATCACCCCAAGTCTGCAGAGCCCTGTGCCAAACTTTTGTTCCGACGAGGTCGAGCAGTGCTTGGATCAAGCCAAAGAATCCCAAACCCGCAGTCGATATCTCTTTCTTGGTTGGACAGAAAGGGGTGCGAAACCCTTCGACGACGCCATTCGGCAGCTCCCGATCTTGGCAGTTGCTTGCCTCGTGCATGGTGCCTTGGCGTGCCGGCTTTGCCATCATCATGACTCCTGCTGCTCGCGCATTCCCGCGCAGACGCCTTTGGTCGTTGACTCGGGGAGGGCAGACTGGACGAACCCCTGTGGTCAATCCTTGGCTGGAGCCAACAGCCACCCCTGGACACCCCCTTGCGACAGCATCACACACCAACACAGAACAAAACACGCTCGTCGTCAGGGGCTTTTCGTTCAGTCAGCCTGTCATGCGCCGCCTTGCAACACTTGGCAAACACTGTCGCGTCATGGTCTGCCTTCTCGAAGCACCATCTCGTATTATGCCGCATCCCGCCCTGACAGGAAACAGCCCGGGCCTAAGCTCTTGGCCACGCGGCGTGGCACCACCACCATCACAAGCTAGCGATGCATGGCAGCGCTCATAAACGGATATTAAGCACAGACATAACTGATCCACGACTCTGATCAAGTAGGTAGGCGCGGCATTATTCCCTGATGATGGCTTGCTTTGCATCGGAATATCCGCTTTATAAGCCCATCTCCGCCATAATTAGCAGCGTAGCATCACCGCTCAATCCGACGGGGCGACGGGACATTGACCCAGCGGATCACCCAAGGCCATCCAATCTCCCAGAAAATTCCCACACGCTATTTGGTCCCTTCTCGTGATGCCGAAAGCCGAGCACATATATCCATTTATCCAGGGTCTCGTATGGGGGCAGTCAACGGCGCTGCCAGATTGGGCAGGAAACCTGGCACACGGCCTGTTGCGTGTGGCGTTTCATCGGTTTTGCGCCACCTTTGGTTTCATGCTCGGGGTGGCCCTGGCTTAATCCTGGTTCACCTTTGCACGCGGACCCATTCCCGCGTTTCTGCGCAATGCCACTTTGGGTAAAACCGAAGACGACGGAAGTAAATCCGGCAGAGCTGAGCGCCCGAAAAATGCCGGATGCCTTGCCGCGCCCGTGGCGTGTTCATGCATGCTTGAAGTATATGTATGCTGCCCACCCAGGATCGAATACGCGTTGATTCTTTCCACTCGCTTTTTCTAGAGCGTCGGCCAAGCGTCCGCCGCTTGCTCAAAGGAGCCCCTCCGCAAACGCAGAAGCAGGACGGTAGTATACCGATGTCAGTCGCACCTACCGCAACGTGGCGCCCAGCCGTCCTACTCAGCTTGGTCACGCCAGAACACGATGAGAGACACCAAACGACAAAACACGCAAGTATGAAATGACAACGAACAATCTAAAAGAGCTGCAATTCTGTTCTTCACCGCGGGAAAGCCCTCAGGAATACCAACGCGAGCTCATGGAAAGTCCTCACAAACCTGGCCCTGGCGTCTTGGATACGGTTGGGCCACTCTGTGGCGCTTATCGTGACCTCGACGTTGTTGTTACCTGCTCGACTAGTATGGACTCCCGCCGAGGCGGCAAGTCAAATGTTTGACATGAATTTTGTGACGAAGTCCTCAGGATATTGTAAGAACTTCGTCCCAGTGCATGCACATATCTGAGTCACGTGGCGACCTGAGCGGAATTCTCCTGGGCATCTTGGTTACGCCTTCTACCCCTGATATCTGAGGGCTGCATTACTTCATCGGTCTCCCATTTTGAGATGTGCTTTCTGAAGTGGTATTATTGTCGAAAAGCGCCCCATGCCTAGTCTATTGTGTCCTCTGTGCTCTAATCCAGCTCGACTGCTGATATGGCTTCTTCAATGAACGTCTCGTCGGGTTTTGACGACGGATCCACCGCGCTCATCGTCGTCGCCACGGGGCTCCCTCTCCCGTCAGACATCCAATCACTCGCCTCGCCACTCTCGCTCGCGCCTGCTTCGGAGTCTGTGTCTGGTGGTGTGGGGATGTCGCCCGGCTTGGGTGCCGCCGCCGACTTGTGTCGCTTGAGCATGCAGGTCTCGACCGTGATGCCGGGGCCAAACGCGCAGCCCACGATGAAGTCGCGCACTCTGCCCTCTGGAGCAACCGCGTCCATGTCCTTCTGCCGCAAGCGGTCGAGGACGCTGAATATCGTGGCCGAACTCGAGTTGCCGTGGTTCATGTACACGTCATAGCTGGCGCGCATGTGCTCGGAGGATATGGCCATGGTCTTCTCGGCGCCGGTGAGGATCGTGGCGCCCCCGGGATGCATGGCCCAGTCAAAGTCCGCGGGCGTGGAATAGTCAGGTGGCAGTTGCGGCGAGTTGTCTACGAGCTTGGCAAAGCTCGAGGCGAGAGTCTGCATTGCCAGCTTGGGCACGTTCGGTGTAAGCACGACCTTCCACCCCAGCGGATCGACCTGGAACCCCAGGTCATCTTGCGAGTCTGGGAGGGTCTCGTGCTGCCACCCGAGCAGTGTGTACACGGGCTCGGGGTCTTCTCCGTCCCCTCCCAGGCCGTTGCTCAAGATCGAGGCGCTGGCGCAGTCGGAGAACAGGCACGCGCCGATCCTCGTCTCCTGGAGCTCGTGGATGCTGTCCAGCTCGCTGCGCGCCAGCGTCGTGCTGACCTCAAGCGCTATGCACAAGACACGCGCCGGCTTCCGCCTGAACGTGTGGCCCAGGGCGAGGTTCGCCGACGTGCGCAGCACCGCCAGCCCACCCGAGCACCCGATGCCGTGCAGGAGGACCTTTTCGACCGAGTGCGAGAGCCCGAGCTCCTTTGCGACGTAGTGGTCGAAGCCCGGGTTGGCGCTGTCTGTGCACGTCGTCGACACGACATGGGTGATGTCCGCCGGGCCCAGGTTCGCCTCGGCCAGGGCCTTGCGGGCCGCCTCGACCGCCAGGGGCACGCCGTCGGACATGAAGACCTCGTGCAGCTGGGCTATTGACGGGGCGGTGGGCTGGTTGACAAGCGGGTGTTCTGCGGTGCCGATCGACGAGCGCTTCTCGATGCCGGTCATCTGGTTTATACCGATGACTTTGCGCATGCTAGAAGAGGCCACTTGTGTTGGTCAACGTGACCCTTCGTCCGTCGTGAAAGGGACCAGGCTTAGTGATAAGACCTACGAGGGCGAGTCTGGATAGTATGTCCTCGCAAGCTTGCCCAGCTCGTCGGGCGTGAGGGAGTAGGGCGGATATTGGACCCCCAGCCCGAGGATCGAGAGCTGGAGGTTTCCAAGCTCTGCCGGTAGCGCCATGTCTGTGGTTGTGCCGAAGGCGACGAGGCGTGGTCCTGCAGTAGAAAGTGATTTCTTCGTGTGTGTGTTAAGGGGGGAGGAGACTCAGTAGCCCTTAGCTGGTCCATAAAAGATTCGAGGGGGAGGAAGAATGAGGGGGCGTGCCTGCTTCTGGACTCTAGCACGAAGCGTGTTGAGTTTTGAGGCGTGGCCATGTGAAGAATTGAGTTTGGTGGTGCTTCTTTGGTTTTCTAGGTTGTGTCGACGAAGCATGTGGACGCACAAGGACCTCAGGGCATGCACGTTGCCGTCACCGTCCATGGCGGCGGCACGAGCAGTGAGACAGCCCTGATCAACCATGGCAGGGCAAATCGATCGTATCTGTGTGGGAGCAAATGGTCCGCCACAATGGACGGGTATGTGGTCATCATGGCGTGAATTTGCAAGGAGGCTGCCCTTTTACCTGGCCATGCGCAATCTGGAATTGCCATGGTCGCGCGGGGCGCAAAGAGCCAAAAGTCGATGGCCATGACAGTAGTGTCCTGTGCTGGCGTGGCGCCGTGGCGTGGTGATGTCTCCATGACGTTTGCATCGTGGGTGCGGGTCAGGCCAGTGTTTCTGCCGTATCGCGTGCGTAGCGTCGTGACACGCGGCTGGGCCGAGGCTGTTTCAACCACAAAACCTTGGAACAGCCGTTCCTTGGGTCATGATGATTCACCTTCTGCAGCTCGGCGGAACATCCACCCCGCGTCCAGAATGTGATCCATCTGCTGTAGCACGAGGCGAACCAGCGGGAACAACCGGCGCTATCAACGAGGTCCAGTCCGGCTCCGGCGTGTGTTTGCTGATTGGACCACTCCCCAGTCGACATATATCTGGATCTGATCTCGTTTGGCGGACGCTGATTCGTCCGTCGCGCAGATCACGGAGCCGTCTCGGCCCAGGGCCCCTGAGCGCCGCCACGGTCAATCGGCCATTTATATTTGAGCACTCTTGGCAGCACTTCCGCCACCATTTTGCAACCACGGATTCGACACAGTGGCTCAGCTGCATCTTGAAATGCACTAGTCCCTCTGATATAACCCCAAGTGTCATGAATATTCCCTCAACGCGCCAGACGTGGTCATCCACCAGATATCATCAACACGAAAATAGAGCTCGCCGGTTTTGCCATTATTCGCCCACCTGTCGACAATAATCCGTGCCGCGGGCAGTTTGTGGACGCCATGATCGACTACACCTTCTGGAGACTGCCCTTCCTCCTGCACATCACCATCGAGTCTGCCGCAGTCTTTCTCTTCACCTGCCGGCCGGAATCGCAGCTCAGTACTAAGGAATGCTCAGTGGAGGCGCGGCTAGTGCTCAGGCAGTACGGCGCCCTCCTCGCATCCAGCAATCTGATTTGCCTTGGCACGATCCTTCAACCCTACTCCTCGTCGTTGACTCGACAGATCGCACTGGCACTCGTGGTTTATCATGTGTTTCCCTGCCATCGTGCTTGGTTCAGGCTACAGGCCGGCCACGAAGGCAAGAAGGGCGCTGGCGAACGAAGGGTACCTTTTCTGGCAAGACCAGACCTGCATCTGGTGTTGCACGTAGCCTGTTGTGCGGCTTTTGCTGCTGTTGGCATTTTCTGAACTGAATCAGGCAGCTAAAAATTTGGACATTCCTGGTTTGTGCGAATTTCGTGCTTGTAATTCTAGATCCCAATAGACGTGCGGAGTAACATTTTTGATAGTTGTTGAATTTGGCTGGATCCGCCGCGTGATTATTCCTCCCACGGCAGTTGCGACCGACCCTCACAGCAGCCTCACAGAACACCTTGGAACCATCTTTGCCAGGGCAGCTGTTGCACCCCATCCTGGACTTCAAGCACAACACCTTTCAGAAGGATCCGTCTGAACCAAGAAGTCTGCCATCCCGACAAGCACAGTCGTCAGCCGTATTGAACAGACTTCGTCGTAAACATTCACGATGCGTTCTTTCCAGGTCCGTCTGAATAAACAGCGCGTCTTCCAGCAATGTGTTGCCAAAACTGACAATCGCATCACAGGTGCTCATCGTCGCCTTGATGAGCATCCTAAGCCTCGCCGTCGACACGGCCAGCGCCACGCTTGGCCTCGGCGACATCGTGTCGGCCGATGGCCATACAAACGACGCCGCTGCGCTTCACGCACGTGCCCATGTCATGGCTCGTGCAAAATCAAACGCGATGCTGTTTGGCGTGCCAGTCTCGCGAATGAACAGCATCACGACTGCGGACACTGTCAACGCGAGCGACCCGATCACATCCGGCGCCAAAGTCTTTGCATCCGACGCTAGTCTCAATCTCGGCACCATCAAGAGCATGGACAATCTCGCCACCGCAAAGCCACACCCTCAAGACAACGACGCCGCCGTTAACAGTCTCGATCCCGTTGAGTATGACGACCCAGGCTACCGCGTCAAATGCGTTCAGCCTGACGACCCTGCGAATGACCCCGACGGCGCGACCCACGAAGACTACAAGGAGGCGTTTGAGTGCTGGTTCTATCATCGTACCCGCTGCTTCGGCGGCGTGCTCACCTCGCCCGACCCTACATGTCAGCACGACTGTAGCTGCCAGCGCAACGACTTGGTCAGCTACCACCTCGACAAAAAAGGCAATCATGGCGCCGGACTTTCTGGTGTGTGTGTCGTGTTGCCTGTGCCGGAGTACAGTCCCAAAGATGGTGGCTGTGTTTGAGGACCCGATGTTGGGCCCGATGTTGGACCAGATGATCGAGCTGAGTCAGGGAGAACGGAAACCTCACACCATGTTCTTTGTGCAGCCATGGGCAAGATCACAAACAGTTGTGGGACTGGACACGACAAGAAGTCTACTTGTCCCGTCTAGAGTTGTCTTACCTGGCCCGGATCCCTGTTCATTTTGCACGGCGAGTTCGGAACTCCAGTGGAGCAGACACAAAGACGATGCATAAAATAGTAATCAAGTGACCAGCATCTAAGTGATGGAGAAAACACCCAAGACGTAATTGCGTGGTCGCTATGGGTTTCAGTATGGTGATCGTCAGATGGGTTCGTTTCTCATATGCAGTTCCATGCACGGCTGACAAGATCCAGCAGGCGAGGCCACAGCCGGTGCCATCGATTGCAGGAACAGACGACGAGACGAGTGACTCGGCCGAGAAGGACCCATGTCAGGCCACGAGATTATCCCTATAGTCCTGCACCAAAGTAGTAATAATAGCCCGTTACACCTGGAAAAAACAGAAATCAGCTTTCTCGCCCCCGGCCTCAGCAGCATGGAAGACAATATGATTATAGATATGTAGGGCTGACGTGAGAGAACGATGAGCGAGGAGGAGAGGGGAGAGCTCGGACCTGGTCACCAGCAGACAGCCCTGGGTGATTCCGCTGTCCATGCCCCAGACAACCTGCGTGGGCCCGGCAGGCCCTTGGTCGGTCCGGCGGCGCGAAACAATAGATACCCCAAGACAGTCGGGTGACAGGCCGACAGCGCCAGGCAGCAGTTGACCTGGGGTTGGGGAGAAAGTCGAAGCGCACGAACGACTGCAAGATGACTGAGCCCGACCTTGGCTGCACCGCGGCTGCACCGCGACTGCGTGCACAGCGTATTGATCCGCCCAGCTATAGAACGACGTCATCGTCACATGCTGTTGTTGCTGTTGAAGACAGAAAGTATCTTGCCTTGTTTTTCAGTATGCAGCCTCCGGGGTTTGGTGCATAAGGAACTTATTGCCCATAGACCTTGTTGCCTGTTCAGTATACCTTACTGAATCAGGCCTGCTAGAGCGGGCTAGTTTTCTCACCATGGCCGAAAATAGTATCTCTTTCAGGTCTAATGAGAGGGAGGCCGCACCGCGACCAGGCATTTCTTAATTAAAACAGATCAGGCAATCTGTGCAAGTTCGGACAAGCGTACCAGCCACGCACAACAGATTGGGGCTTAGGTATAGTTTCGCTGGGTGTGGGTGGGGATCTGCGTGATAAGCAGGTGCAATTGGTCAGCGGGTTCCAAGTCGGGAAGGCTTACGTGACCGCTCTTTTCTTTTTTTCTCTTCCTTTTTTGTCCGTGTCCCTGGTCCCTGGTCAATTAGTTGCTGACAGGCGTGCGCGTGCCAGTCAGTCACAGGGCTGAAGAACCTGGTATAGTGGTGTGTGTGCGCGCGTGTGCGCGCGGGTTCAGCCTTTTTTGGAGCCGGGCTGCTGCCAAGAACGATTCCGCCCGGCCGGCCCCAATGCGCGGCTATGCACATGCACGATGCAGTCAGATTTAGATGCAAGGCACACACAGACACATACGCATACACATACATGCAAACGCGTCTAGCTGATGCAGCCTGCGCTGATGGGGGGCACAGTCTTCATTGCGAGGGCATTTTCTACTTCACTTCAGTGGTGCACTTTGTCAATGTCATCCTCAATTGCGCCCCCGGAAGAAGCGCAAATTACCAGAGATAAGGACCCGTGCCGATGGATGCCGAGGGAAACCACCGGGTCAGGCGGCTTCTGTCGTTCGATTTCTGGTGACGCGGGCCCACAGGACCCTGGTGATACGGCCATGGGAGCCCTTGGTCCTCAGCCAGGCCAATTATACTCGACCCAGGTGACATCGCGCTTAAACCATAGGATCGGGACCCCCCTTACTGTCAACAAGAGGGGCCCGATATGCCAGCCTTCCTTCAGGGCTCAGCCACATATCTCTTTTTAGCGACTCCGCCCATTTGGGCAATATCTACGTAATCATGTGCCAAAGATATCGTGCACAGGCTGGGAACCCATGAACCCATGAGCAGCAGTATCCAAGAAAGTGCAGACTCAAAAACGTGTAACTCTGCAGCCTAGGAGAGGAGGCCGCCGCTTGCAACTAAGCGAGGGGCCGCGCACACGTGGCAGGCCGGCTCCCACGAGACCACCACGACCGCCCAGCCCAGTAATGCCAACCAGCCAGCCAGCGCCCGCCCTCGGCCCCCAAGAGTGCGGGCTTGTGATGTCAGTTGAATAGCACGAAGGACTCTATTTTCAGCCTCTTTCGGGGCCTTTGGGGTCTAGCGCGCGCTCGCTCCACCCATGTCTACCAGAGAGCACTTACATCACAATGGGCGGCTGGTTCCTGAAGGTTTGGTAAGGATTCCTCCACATCCGCAAGGCCCCCCCTCCATCCATCCATCCCAAAAAGACCAACCGGGTTTCGCGCAGGGCCTAGTCCGGACCTGGGGTTACTATAGGTCGCTGAATTGGGCCTCTCTCGAAAGTGTCATTACGGAGTTTGCCATTGCTTCTGGCCGTGGTTAGTCGTTCCGCAAACTTTCGTTTCCTAGCCGGGGTTCCAGGCAGCAGGATGTTTCTTTTGTTGAGGTCGACACCTGGTGGGTGAACTTTAACACGGAAGTATACCTCGAGCTATTTCTGTTTATATAGAACCAGGAGATGGCATGTTGTCTTGATAACAAGGAAATTGCAACAGATCCAAGACCAGCACCAAAGACGCAAATCTGCAGGGCCACACAGAGATACTCATAATCAAGGGGCGTTACAACTAACGACTCGAGGGCTCACGACTAAAGACTCGGCGTCAAGGAAAAAGCGTCGGCCGCCCTGTCTGAGACAGACTCGCTTGATTCAGCCATCTCCGCCCACAGCCATTTCCGCTCACAATTAGAAACAAAGCATAATACACACCCGCCCGCCACAATGAGCGAGGTCTACTATGTCCGGTCGTCCATCTACTCGAATACTCAGACATTCCAGGTCTGGCGGACACCGCCGGCACTCTGGATCCCCAATATCCCTGCGCCTTCGTCCTCGAGGACTTCTAGCCTCGACGTCGACGCCGGCGGACCAGGCCACTATCTGACCGGCGGCGGGTTCATTCGGCATGGAGAGGCAGTATACATGGTCATAGCGCCAGACATGGCCGCGTTCGGGTGGCGGACATGCATTGCCCACGAGATGAAGAAGCACCGCCGTTCCCACAAAGACGGTTCATCGTCGTCGTCATCGAGCCGGACAAGCACAAAACGCAGGGACACGGGCAAGACCGCCCATCGCGCTTCCCAACAACAGTCATCAAACCAGCACTCTGCGTGCCAGGAGCTGTACGACTACCACGAGACGACCCGCGCCCAACAGCAAGAGACGCTGCGGTACCAGGCCTCGGGCACCCCGGAAATAATCGGCGTGCTCGGCCACCTGGTCCATTTCTCCTCGCAGCACGGCTTCGCGCTAGTCATGCTCGACCCGGCGGGGATGTACCTTCTCGAAGAGATGACTGCGGCCACCACCACCACCACCGTGGTCGGCAGCGATCACCATGGCACGGGTGGCCACCATGATGAGAGCGACGACGGCACAGCAGCAGTGGCGTTGGTATCAATCTTATCTCAGGCAGTCCCGCTCGGGGACCTGCGCGGGGCCATCGACGACCCGGAGATCACGGACTTTGTCGAGTTCAGCACGGCGAGCGGGGAGGAGGACACGGGCCTTGTGGGCGGGGTGCTGGAGTACTGCTTCGCCTCGGCTGTTCCTTCTCGTCACGGCACAGGATCATCAAAGAGGGGGGCTAGCAGCAACAGCAGCAGCAGCAGCAGGGGAATTGGCAGTTCCAGGTCGACAGGGGATGATGAGGAGCAGACCATGACGACGAGACTGCTGGTGGTGACGCCGTCGAGCTATACCGCCACTTCTGCGGATTGCGGGCTCTCGGTGCGAAGGTCCGTTGCCTCCGAGCGGCCCTTGTTGCTGGGGCAGGTGGTCGGCCTGGTGGGGGGAGATGAGATTGTCATCAGTCATGACGACGAGGATGTCGGCGGCGGCGGCATGGTGATGGTGGGGAGTGCGGCTGCTGGAGGAGAAAGGCAGCTTGCCGGCATGCTGGTCCTGCCACTTGTGGGGTTCGCGGAAGAGATGGAAAAGGTGATCAGCAAGGGGCGGTTCAATCTGCTGTAGATAGCACCCAAGATAGGCATCCCCTCTTTGATTAAATGTACGATTCGACCCTCCGCTAGAGTGGGTGACGACCCTTGTGTCCCACAGGAAGAAACTATTTGCTGGGGACTTTGCATATCCAGGCCCCGTTATCAACCTGTCAGGCTGGCGGCGGCTGCGCTCCTGAGTCGTGGCCGGGTAGCATATCGCTATGCCCCTCCCTTGATCTCGAGACGGAGCCACCCAATCTGCTGTGTCCTTGATTCGGAGATGGGGAGGCAAGCCAATATCATATCAGACACGTGGGAGGGTGTCGAGTGGGAACTTTGGCATCTCCACATGGTATCCTGGGTGGGGGTGTTCGCGGATCCATACGCGCAGCCAGGGACCAGGAGGAAGGATCCTGGTGCATACATGACCGAGGTAGTCAGTCACCACGACATGGCGCTCACCAAACTCGCCCTTTGCCAGCCCGCATGAATCGTGGCGTTGCAATCTCTCTGGACGGAGTCCTGTCAGTTGATTGTGCCTACCCATTCCGTCCACGTGCAGCCAGCCACTCGACGCCTCCCCCAGGGTTGGATGCTGGACTCTTCAGCACGCAGTGCCCAAACAGAGAGCCGCCTTGAAGATGTAGTCTGTCTGAGAGACCGGGGTCCGTGTTTCATGAGCCCGGCCCGTTCTCCACTAGTATGGGGGACCAACTCCCGACACTAGCACCAGCACGGTTCTCGCCCGGCAGGCCTTGGGGCGATTGCGTTAAGAGCCTGCTCAGATCTTGCCGCGGGTCGGCTGGGCTGGCACAGGGTATCCGGCCAGATCAATTGATCGCCACGCTCCAGCCCCCCGCGTGGCGTCGCGATGTACTTGCCCAAACCGTGTTGGAGGGCCGATCATGTGATGAATGATGGTGTGTGCAAGAATGAGGGGGGGGGGAGATGAGTGATTGAGTGTGTGTAAGTGTCCCCGAGTATGACTTTTGATATACCGGCACCGGTGATTTGGGAGAGCGGAGTCCATGTCGTCCAGATACGCCGTACGCGGAATGGGTACGGAGCCAGCCCGGGTCATATTGGACTGTGCTATAGGTTGTAATTAGAGTGTAGTTGCGATGTTGTAGGCTGCTGCCCATTCAACGTCTGCCGGTCACACTGCAGCACATCTGCCTGCCTGCCTGCGGGCAACACGGCGGCCACCCACGTGGCATGGAGCCGACGGCGCGGCTCTCAACAGCTCCAAGAGGCCAGCTGGGGACTCGTCTTGGCGGGGGCACCGATTGAGCATCGTGAAACATGGGCAGGTCTGGCCCGTGTGGCGGTGCGCTGTGCCAGCCTGCCACCATGCCTGCCTCGCGGGTCGCGTCGGAGCCAAGTGTCAAACCCTTGCTCCACGCGGCACGACATCCCGCCCATCATCGTCATCTGACAGCTGTCGTGACCCCCCCTTGATGGAGGGATTGTTCCGCCCCGTGGCGGAGGCGGCCAGTGCACCGACTTGCGCAAGAGGGCATCGCGGGACTGGACTGCAGAACGCGTGGGGTCGTACGAGGAAGGACAAGCATCCACCCATGCCGCCGCGTGCCTTGCCTTGCTTTGCCTTGCGGAGGTGGGAGAGTCTGTCACATCTCACAGTGCTCCAGCCGATCTGTTTGCGATTGCACACAAGGTTGCAGTGGGAGCAGTGTCGATCAACCACGAACCCCAGGTGCCTTGCAGATGGTGTGGGCGAGAGGATGCCGTCGGCACTTTGAAACCTGCAGAGTCGTGGCTTCCAGGGCTGGGGGCGAGTCGTGACTCAGCACGCAGTGCTCGATACATGTAGGCGTATCTAAGGCAATATGCAAAAGTACGTACCTAGATCCCCAGGTGCCCGGGCTATGAGTCGTGCGCAAAGAGCCGCAGCGTTGCCGGGGAGGGACACCACAGGCACAACCTGCAACCTCCCGTTCCGCGCCCTCCCATCGACACGGCCTTCTCCAGCTCCCCTCGACCACGAAGTAAGCTCTTCGGCCCCTTCAGCCCAGCCCCTCCTCAACGGCCTCCTCATCGCCCCGCCCATCCTCCCTTGATGTGCCGCCTCGGAAGCCAAATCGTTCCTCTCAGCCTTGGCCTCTGCCCCACGCATCGCGTGCTCGACCAGGGACCCCTTCACCGCAAACAAAACAATCCCTGGACCAGCCCAGGACCCGTGCTCCATCAAAAAGGCCCCTGGACCCCCACGATGCGCGCAATCCCGTTGTATCCACCAGCTCGCACAAAAACCGTTGCGACTATGCCCTTTTCGATCGGCGCGATGGGTCATGGTTCCCCATCGCGGCCCCAGGCGATGACCATGTTGACACTCGGCTCTTGCAGTCCCGCCTCTTCGTTTCCTGGACTCTCCCGCTCAAAGTGTTCCGCTTCTCCTCCGCTCCCGGAAAATATGTCGGCCTCGTGCCCCCACGGATCTCAGGTAGGCAAACCCATATAGAGGAGACATGATCGCGTCAACAACTTGCTTGCTTCTCTTGTATCTATCTCCTCAACCCAACGCTGCCAGTGCAGCACGACTTACGAAAGGAGCTGGTCCCGATTCACGAAACTATACGACTCGGAGCGTGGTACACTTCCATTCATCATCAGCGGCCAGGGTTGAGCGCGAGCAGCTCAATAGTTTCAACGTCTACCGTCATCACAACTCGAACAGCCTGGGAGACCGGTATTACACAGGCCACCATGGCGTCCGCGCCAACCCCCCCTCCTCCGCCCCCTGGCGGCTTCGAATCACCAATCCCAGTCGAGGTCCAGGGCCAGACCGTCATGATTGTCACATCGACCGTAGCCATCTTGATTCCTATGCTGCTGGTCGGCCTGAGGTTCTATGCCAAGAGAATAGTCGGCAAGGGACACGAGTGGAGTGACTACTGTATTGTGATTGCGTTAGTATGTATCTAATCACTATCTCGCCGCAGACGATCAGGACATTTTCTGATATGTTGTCGCCCAAAGTTTTTCAATTTCGGTCTTCAGATCACAGGCTGGCTGCTTGTTCTCAAAGGAGGGCTGGGCTTTCCTATACTTGATGTCATGGAAAGATTCGGACCTGATGTTGCAAAGTTCTTCTATCAGGTAAGTGACGCCGTGCCTGGCCACAATGACCGTGGCAGCAGCTGACCTCCCCCGCCCCTAGGCTCTCGTTGCCTACACCATACTATGGAACTTCACCACATTGTTCGGAAAGCTGTCTATGCTTCTGCTATTCACAAGCATCATTCCCGTGCGGAACATGGTCATTCCGGCACGCGCGGCGATGCTCTTTCTTGTCTTGGCCCACGGGACATGGGTGATCATGCAGTTCGTCATCTGTCGTCCTTTTGCCCGCATCTATGACAGTTCCATTCCTGGCCAGTGCGACTCGCAGAAGCTGTACTACTTCCTGATGGGACTGATCAACATCTTTCTGGATGTGGTCATCCTGGTCCTTCCCATGCCCTTCATCTATAAGCTACGGCTGCCGTGGAGCAAGAAGGCCATGCTCTTTGCCATTTTTGCCGTCGGCTCGATGTGAGTGTCACCCTGTTTTCTGAGCTGCGAATTCCACATTCCGGGAATGGACATTGCTGACCAATCTTCTTCCGCACAGAACCTGCGCCATCGCCATCTACAGACAAGCCGTCCTCCCAGAGCTGACGTTTGAAGATCTGACGGGCACCGGCCTCATGGCCACCGTGTTCTCGGGCCTGGAGCCCGCCATTGCCATTGCGCTCGCGTGTGTCCCATACCTGCGGCCCTTGTTCCCCAGGACCTCGTCTGCAGAGTACGGCAGCCAACAATACGCGCTTCCTTACTCGTCACCGAGGAGGGCCGGGTCCGACAAGGCATGGCCCGCCAAGCGCGGCGTGCCTGGTGGTGGGATGGATGACTGCGCGGAGACGGTCAGGGACACTTCGTCAGAGCTGCACTTGAAGATGGTCGAGACGGAGCGGGGACGTGCGTTGACCACAAAGGAGAGCGGCGGGGCTAGAGAGGATCAGGCTTCACGGTCCAGCAGCGGTGGCATTTGGGTCACCAGGGTCATTCGGATCGAGAGGAAGTGGGAACAGGCGCCAAAGGTATAACTGGCGCGGATTGATGATGGTGGCGGTGGCGAGTTCTACACTTTAATTATATAAAGCTTCAATATTATATCCTCTAGCTAGCTTGCGCGGTGCTGTAACGCCATGAGCTTTGCGACTCCATGGTGTAGAGCATGTTGTCTGATGTGACAGCAGGCCGGCAAACAAGGCTCTCGTCCTATAGTGGCTGGCCTCAGTATTGTCTTGGCATGGCGCACCTGGTGCGGCGGACATCGAAGGCAGGTATGGTCCTACACACGAGTATGCCAAGGCATTCGTAAACTACGGCCTGCCGACTGAGCAGTTCTGATCCCCCATTGGTATGAACTCAGTGAGGCCTGCGTGAACAGAGCATTCTTCCATGGTGCATAGTCCGGACTTCAGAGATTCAGCCCTCGCTTTGGCCACCCACAGAGGCGGTTGAGCACATTACCACACTCAACTTCGCCCAACCTTCTGAGACCCATCATCCACCACGCAGCTGCCTTGTGGGCTCACAGCACATACTATTATATTGCAGAGCCTCCATATTGCGGACAAAGCTATACCACAGCGTCTACAAGCCCATCTCATCGCAATCTCACCATCACCACCACCCAATCACACACACACAAACACACACACGCACACCCACAAAAGCCTACCAGAATCCAGCACAATCAACATGTCGTCCAACACTGTGAGCCAGAAGGACCTTGAGATGCTCGCCACCGTCTGGAAGACCCTGAAGGAGCCTCCGCAGGTTAGTTCTACCCCCCCTCCCCCCTTCCCCTTCCACTGTTGCCTCCATCGTCGCGAAAACGGCCACGCGGCTCGTCGACCCTCATGACGTGCATTTTTGTGCCAAGAATTGAACATGATCTCACTCACTAACGCGCACGCGCACGCTCGCTCGCCAGGTCGACTTCGAGGCGTTGGTGGACGCGGGCTACTACAAGAATGCCAAGTCTGCCCGCGCCAGCTTTGACAATTTCAAGAAGCGCGTCTTCGGAGCCGAGCACCAGGCTGGCGGCAGCAACAACAATCACGCCGTCACGACCACCGACAACGGCAGCGGCAACGGCAGCGGCAACGGCAGCGGCAACACTGCCACCAACAAGAAGAAAAAGGCGGCGGCAGCAACTACTCCTGTGGCGCGCAAGCGCAAGGCTAACAAGGCCAAGTCTTCTGCCGAGGAAGCTGCCGATGATGAGGAAGAGGAGAAGCCCAGCAAGAAGGGCAAGCATGAGGCCATAGAGGATGGTGCTGACGCTGAGGACAGCGAGGTCTAAGATGGTTGGACGGGCCTTTTGTCTTTTCCAGGCTTCACTCCAGAGTTGATGAATTATGGTCTAAATGGCGGCCGTCTTGGCGAGAGATTGAGAGAGCGCATGGTTTCCAAAGAACAATGGAGGACTACGGGGTGGAAGTAGTTGGCAATCATCCAGCTCGCGAGGCACATCTCATGAGAGCTTAGCAACGGAAAGCGAATCATAGAAAGCAATAAATGCGTCCAGCATTATGAATCAGGCTTTCATTTCATGCCAAAGCCCAGGTCCATTGTCTGTCTCCGTGAAATCATCCTGCCGAAACTGCCAACCTGTCCACCTTGCATTTCGTCTTCCTCGACATCGAAACTCGTTCCTCCCTGTTCACACTGCCTCTCTCCACTCCTCACAACCAAAAAGCTCATCCTATATCAACATTGCCGTTGTGCAGCACGTTGCGAATCACGAGCCATCAAACGACCAGTTCTCACCCACACACAATCAACGCAGAGCCTTGCGACTTGCTAGGATGTCCGACAACAGCAAGCTCACCCCCTCGAGCCGTGACCTAGAGGTCGTCTTCGCGGCCTTCCAGTGCCTCAAGACACCTCCCGCCGTGAGTACTATCATCATCGCCATCGCCATCATCATCTTCATCGTCAACTTCAACTTCATCGAGGAAGTCGAGACGGGCGTGACCACGCCGGGTCCCGCAAAAGATTCATCACCTCCATCTCACCACTTACACCCGGCCCCACTAAACCTCACATCACCCCGTCACCAACTTCACCATGGAGAATGCCTCCCGATTCAAGATGTGTGCATAAAATCGTCGATAAAGAAGTACCGCTGACCAAGAGGGAAAAAAACATGATGCCCACAGATTGACGCAGAAAAGCTAGCCGCCACGGGCCTCTTCAAGAACGCAGCCTCCGCGACCTCTGCGTTCAGCCAACTCCGCAAGCGCCTCTTCCCCAAGGACGGCACGGTCGTGCTGGCCAGCCCGGGCGCCGCGACTTCGGGAAAGAAGGCCACCGCCACCGCCGATGGTGACACTGCTGCCACAGGCCAGACTACTGCATCAGGCTCGCGGAAGCGCGGCAAGGCCAAGGTTGTCGTTGCCCTGAGCGCCAAGCAGGAAGATAGCAGCGGCAGTGGTGACGATGATAAGGACGAGGTGACAGGTAGCGAGGGGCCCGAGGAGCTGGTGAAGACTCAAGTACATAGGGACAATGGCGGCGGTCGTCCACGTGTGATCCAAACCAGGTCTAAAGTTCGCCTCCTGTCTGGTTACTTGCACGCGTCTGGCTTTTCCCACCACTATGCTGGAATGAGACGGCCAGCCAGAACCTACTGTGCCGTTTCCGATATCAATGTCACGAATCTCGTAATTGAGTCTGCATATCGCTGCAGACAGGTGGTCTGAGACGACAAAAAATCGTTGAGCGATAAGTCTGGAGGCTCACGGGCATCTTAAGGCTTCAGCAGTCATGCTGCGATAACACCAGCAGATATCGCTGACCTTGGGCGTGGTGATATACGGAAAGATAGGCAGGGGCGTCGGATCAGGCTGCCAACAAAATTCTCTGCAGCGGCCCATGCTGAGACCACAGGCGGCGCGTTATGCATGCACAATCTCCATTGCTGACAGACTAGGCGCCCCGCGACACCTGACTATACTCAAGGGCCACGTGATCTGACCAAAACTCTAAGATGGACATCAGCCAAACTACTCCGCGACCAGTCTAGCTGGACGAGTATAAGAAGACGTTGAGCCTTTGTATTTCCACATTGTGCCCTGAAGAAGACTGAGCAGGAACTATTGCGTTGCATCATTCGATGAGAGCGAAGGGACGTGCTGATGCAGGTGACAGGTCGAGTCCGCCTGGGCTGTGCCATGCAGGCCGGTGGCGCAGTCAGCCTCACGCGGTTGCGGTTGCATTTGTTGGTTGGCATCGCAGGGGTACCATCTTATTATCTACGGCACTCCCCGCTCTTGTCCAGGCGCACTGCCTCTCCCAAATGTCTACGCTTTGTTTAGCCGAAGGAGCGCCAAGAGCTGGCGCTCCAGCTCAGAACTTGACGCCCCCGAGGTCCGGCTACCTTCATGACTTCTGATCGTCAATCCCCGCGCTAGTTGAAAGCGAGCTACTTGCCCAAAGCCACCTTCCCAAGCGCATAGAGTAGTGCGCTGCGCTCATGGCGACCCTCTCACGTTCTGAAGGTGAGCTCCAAGGTCTCCCTGGCGATGACCACGGAATTGGATCGGTCGGCTGACGGTCACAAGCCATTGAACGGCTCTTTGAAAGTGTCCTGGCCGCCTTCGCCGACATCGACGCTTTTTCTGGACAATCTGCACCCAGCATCTTTCCAGTGTACGCACACGACCAGGAGATAGATCTCAACCAAGGACAGCCACGGGTGCAAGCATACAGTGAAACCGTCAAGCTCCTCATCAAATGGCTACGGCGAATTCGAAGCAGGACGCGATCAGACCAGCATCCTATGCCGCTGTTCGACCATGACCATCGCGCTCGAGGCTACGACGCCTGTAGAGACATACTCGACAACCAGTTTTGTCTTCTCCCAAAGGAGGAGGAGGAGGACCAAATGTTGAGTGGATCGAAGCGCGTTGACTGTGTCATGATTTGTGGATCACCGCTCCTCGAGAGCTATCGTCGAGATCCGTTCGCGTCGAGGTACATAGCTGATGTCCAGACAGCGTACAATTGGTCTCAGGACAGAAGTGATGAAGGTTTGCGTGCTGCCATCCTACGCCACGGTTTGGCCCCCACAATCCGCTCTGCTTCATTCCATCATGTTCTTACCGAGCTAGCATTCGTGGAGCTACGACAACGACGGAGCCCTGACACACGCGGCATGGTGCTCGTATCTCTCGACGACAGCTCAATGGATTACCTAGGCTTCACCGAGGCGACAAATCTTCGGCTGAAGATCCAGTCTCCGTTGTCGACGGACGATCTTCATAAACGGTTTCTCAAACTTCTGCGCCTCCTCTTCACCAACAAACATGCGGCACTCGAAGTCTTTGAGAAAGCATACGACGATGTACGGGCTCAAGTCGACCAAGCCCACATCCACATGATGCAAACTGAGTTGGAGGTACTGATACATGCGGCCCTCGCGCATGCTCGCCGTCAGCTCAAACGCCACGAGGATGCCGAGCTTCGAGACATTATGCGGAGGCAGCAGCTCTTGGAAGCCCAGGCAGGGCTCACTTGGCTCGAACAAGACCGCACTGATCTTCTCGGAAAGCTTTCCACAATCCCATACCGAGACCACAAGGACAGAATCCAGGCCCGAGTGCCAGGGACGTGTAGATGGTTCACCGATCACCCGACATTCCTTCGATGGAGAGCTGGTGAAGGTTCGCCGCTGCTGTGGGTATCAGCATTACCTGGATGCGGCAAGTCTGTGCTGCTCAAGTATCTCGTCGATGACTTTCTCAACGTCCCGAACAGCGTCATATGTTACTTCTTCTTCAAGGACGACTCCGAAGTCCAGAAGTCTGCGATCAATGCGCTAAAATGCTTGCTGCACCAGATCTTGATCAAGCGTCGCGACTTACTGAATAAAGAGCTTCTGAAAAAGTTCGCAGAGGACCAGCAACTGTCGGAATCATTCACAGGCTTATGGGCTGCGATACTAGAAGTCACTGGAGCTGTTCACACAGGCGAAGTGGTTTTCGTCCTTGACGCCTTGGATGAGTGTCAGAGCGCTGAACGCGCGATCCTGATCAGGCATTTGGTCGGGTGGAACGACAACAGGTCTGCTCCGAACAGGCTCAAAATACTTATCTCAAGTCGACTGTACACCGATATCGACCGCGGGTTCTATCATGTCAAGGCCCAGATACACCTTGCCGGAGAAAACGACAGGGAAATCGAGCAGATCTCCAAGGAAATCGACTTGGTTATCACCGCGAGGCTGCATGATGTAGCAGTACCCCTTCAACTGGATGAGCCAGGACGAAAAATCCTGCAGCAGGCATTAAGCGAGATTCCACAAAAGACCTACCTCTGGGTATATCTCGTGCTCGAGGAGCTTGAGAAGACACTCGAGACTGACGCCCGAGCTCTGCAAGAGATAGTCAAAACGCTCCCGAAGCGTGTTGAAGACGTCTACGAAAAAATGCTGAGCAGGATCGGACACCCGCACAGGGTCAAAAAGATGTTCTCTATCCTCCTCGCTGCCGCCGAGCCACTGAATCTGCTGCAGTTGTCCCAGGCATGGGCTATTGTGCCAGAAACGAAGCATTACCAGAAATTGAACGTACTGTCTGAAGCCCAAATCACAAGTCTAGTGGGAGCAATTTGTGGGCTGCTTGTCATTGTCGTCGACAAAAAGGTCTACTTCCTACACCAAACCGCCAGAGAATTTCTACTTTCTTCTACACCAGCGGGTCGGAACAGCCCAAACAACAACCCTTCCTGGAAAGAGAGCATTGTGCTTGCAGAGGCACAACTTGGCTTGACGCGGACGTTGCTGAATTATTTGAGGTTGCCTGATATACCAGCACGTTCCGCCAGGGCCGCCGGGCAGCTGTCCAATCCACCAGACCTGGCAATTTACTGTGCTAAAAATTTGTTACAGCACTTGCAGGATACAGCACCACTCCTTGACCTCGCCGACCTGGAGCAGTTTGAGCTGATATGGAGAGACCGTATGACTGTCTTGGAGCAGCTGTTCCCTGTGTTCTTCCCCATAAATTCATCGCACCTGATCTTGGCGGCTTGGGTAGGATCCTCGCACCTTGTACGAGTGCTGCTCTCTGAAGCACATTTGCAACTCGACCTCGAAGACCCTTACGTCAAACGGACAGCATTGCACTGGGCGATCCGGAGCGGCCATGGCCACATTGCGCTGTTGCTTATAGACGCTGGCGCCGATTTCAGCGGGGCAGATTTGAACAGAGTGACCGCCTTCACTGCGGCCTGCGAGAGTTGTCAACTGGAGGTGGTGAGGAAGATGCTAGACAGTGACTCCACCCTTGTAGACCAAACTGATGACTATGGTCGTACGCCCTTATTTAATGCTATATGGGCGTATGGCGACTTTGTCGCAGACATGTTTCTCGAACATGGCGCGGATCCGCGCTTACAATTGGACACTGGCATACGATTGGATGAGAGTTCTCCTTTTCATCACCTGCTCACCGAATGTCTTGGCTGGGAGGAGCTATTGGATACCTTGATTGCTAGGGGAGCTGATGTCAACGAGACGGACTATGAAGAGTACACAGCATTTGATATGGCAGCAATGAGTGGCTATATCGAGGCGGTACCACTGCTACTGCGGTACGGCGCCACAATCAGCAGGCACGAGGGAGCCCAAGCTCTGGCATGTCTCCTCGGGCAAGTGGATGTGTTGCAATCGTTCCTCGACGAAGATGTCGAGGCTCTTTGGAAAGAAGGGAGTGATTTCTGCGAACCTCTCCTGTGGCTTGCTGCTCGAGGTGGTCACATTGAAGCGGTACGGCTTCTCATGACAAGGGGAGGAGAAGCCTACGTTGCGAGGGAGATCCAGCACTCGGACTATAAACACGGACGGCCACAGATCATGCAGATACTGAAGGCCGAACAGGCACGGTTTCTAGCCGGAAGAGCCAACAATTAGTCTCTTCTCCTCGGGCAAGCAAGAGCCCACGTCAAGCATTGTTAGGCCGGAATACGGGAGGACAAAGGGAAGAGGAAGTAGTCGTTGAGCTGCTGTGTATATATGGCGCCTTGGAGTGATGTCAAGACGACAAGAGTTATGCGATGCTTGAGCACAGGCAAACTACAAATTCCGTGGTTCAGATCGGCACCAGTAATCTCGGTGGAGTGACTTGCCAGCACCGGGGACGCTGGTTATTCAGAATGACACGTTGGATAACAGAGTGAGTTGTTCACGCCCTTTGGTGTTTTGCTAGCGTCTCGGGTCATTCCATGTCCTGTTCTATTGTATTCCGGCGTGGACGATCGATCATTTGAAGTGTTCTAGAAGAATCAATATCCATATGTCCCGCCATTCGAGAGGGATGAAAGTGCTATTCGATTTTACGTCCTGACCTCACGCGCACCAACTCGTTGACCGGACCAATCGGCCATTCCGCACAGTCAAAGATTGACCGGCTCATTTCCAAGCATGCACTCTGGTCCCATGCTACCTTTTCCTCGGTCGCCCTTCTCATCCAGCGTGTGAATAATACGCCTTCTCATGCATAGTGACTTGGTTAGGGCTCAAGCTCATCACTGCCTTCTGGCTACCGGCACTCTCAAGCTCCATTGCAGCCACGCTCTCCTCTTATTTGTACGTATTTCTGGGATTGGTGGGTTCAGCAAGAACGAGATTCCTCAGATGTGACCTGAGCGCAGAACAGGCATGTGCATAGCTTACTGCATTCTCAATCACCCGACTCAAGTGAGGCTCTGTGGAGCTGCAGTGTCCTTTGTCATATGACAGCACAATGCCTCACAAGGGGAATGGGGGGCGAATTTTCATACTGGGAGTCTCTCTCTCTGTTTTTGGAAGTCCTAGGCACCATGCTCGCGAGAAGAGCGGCTCTTTGCCCCGGAGACGCGGAACAGCAGCACAAGGGCGTGGTCGAGATCTTGGACGGGGGTGCTGGATCTGAATTGGTCAGCCGGGTTGCCAAAAGCGGTATTCCCCCATGGGGAGGCGAGGACTGTCTAGGCTCTAACATTTCTAGAGTTAGTGCCAATAATCTGCCGAATGGACACTAAACTGCCTAGTCTGCCCCCAACTGTGGTCGGGGACGTTTTGTCACGTGGCGAAGTGCCCGATCGCGGATCCGGGACTAGGGCTTGGTGAGCACGATTTCCAAAGAAGCTCACTCATACCCGAAAGAAGGTGAGGTCTTTGCCGTTGGGGATATCTGCAGGACGAACGGGTTCTCAAAAGATGCTCAGAGATTGCGAAGGTACGGCGACCGACTGATGAAGCAAAGGGAAGCGCGGAAGCCGAGGATGCCCCATGAAGAGGTGTGCATACACCAAGCAAGGTTCCCGCGGCGTGCGCCGAAAGTTCCGCGTGCGGGGTAGCAGTTAGTGCTTGTGTTTGTGTATGTGTGTCGTCTTCTTGTTGCCTGGCGATTGTGCAACATAAGCCGTTTGGGTTCCGGTGCCGGGCTCTGGCAGCCGATCTGGCCTATCTCTGCTGTAGGTGTGACTGGACAGTCTTGTGCGAGCCCTTTGCTGGTCCTCGTCACACGCAGTGCTCGCTAGAAGGCAGGCAGGGTCATTTACGCGTGCAACCCTGTGTGGCCTGAGGCACCCCCCTGTGGAGAGCGGAAGTCTCCGCTGCAGACGCGAGCAAGTGGGTCTGCGGGGAAAGGCCCGCCTGCCTCGGCAGCCCCACTTCTGCACTGGGGCCAGAACGAATCGGCACCCTCGCAACCTGGGGGTCTTCGTCATGTGCACAAGGTACAAGGTCAGCACTCTATTTGCACAGACAGACACAGACCGCAGTGGTCAATGGTTTCAACACTGGGATCGGGTATTGGGATCACTGCTGCTTGGGGTCTGTTTATCAATCTGTCTGTCTGTCTGTCTCAGGCGAACCCTGCACAATGCTGGCGGCAACGCCCTGCAGGGTGCTTACAGCCCGAGGCATGCGCCAAGCACCGCCTTGTCACACAGTCGCAGTGCAGGCGGGCGCTGCCTATCGCCCCGGTGCGGTACAAGAGGGCCTTTGCTGCCAGACGGTGGGCCGCCCACCTATCCGCCTGCTCACATTTGTGTAGGCGTCTACCCTCGGCCAGAAGTGGAAGTTGGAGCCTCTTTCCTCGTGGGGACCAGACGCGGATGGCGGACCCTGACGGGAGGCTCAACCAGAGGTTAGATGACGACCGTCGCATCAAGACCACCAGGACAGGAGAATTGGAGGCGAGGACGGAGGGTGTGTCTTGCCAAGCAGCCGAGATCGACAGGACCCCAGCCGGGGCCCGTGTCGCCATTGCGGGGAGAAAGCTGCGAGTTCCGCAATCGGGAAAGCCTGCTCGCGTCACAGGCGAGGCCACTCACTGCCGGGCTATGATGCGGCTGATTCGCCAACCTGCAGCCATTCGGTGGGCGCTGCGCAGCCTGTCGCCACGCCCTCTTTGTGGTGGTGTTTGGTTGGAGAGGGAGAGACACGAGGCACCTTTGCGAGTGGGGAGGGGGATTAGTGATGAAGAGGAGATGCGCACCTCCCATGTGCTCGTCGTTAGTAGTACAGTACCACCACATCCCCCAGGCTGATCAACACGACCCTGGGCCTGCACCTGGTTCTTCTGGTCTCTCAATCCTCTGGAAGCATCTCTTTCTTGTAGATACTGCTTCTCTCTTCCGTCATCCTTCACGCATCTGAAACAGCAGACTGGATAAGACATTCTTCTCATCCCCATCTACACACATTCACGAGGCATCCCTTGCCAGCTAGTCTAGCCGCCCTTTGGAATTTCTTCGCATGGTCATCTCTCCCAAAAGTAGCACCAACACCACCGCCACCATGGGCTCCGTCCCAAACACCACCGTCGACATGCCTGCGGAGCATCTCGACACCCTCATCGTCGGGGCCGGCATCTCCGGCATCAACACTGCCTACCGCCTCCAGTCACGCCTTCCCTCCGCCGACTATGCCATCCTCGAGTCCCGCGACGCCATTGGCGGCACCTGGGACTTCTGGAAGTACCCCGGCATCCGCTCAGACTCGGACCTCCACACCTTTGGCTTCGCCTGGGAGCCCTGGCCCTACGAGAACCCCGTCGCCGAGGCCGACCTCATCCTCGGCTACATGAACAAGTGCGCCTCGAAGTACGGCATCGACAAGCACATCCGCTTCCAGCACAGAGTCCTCTCCGCCGACTGGTCCACCAACGAGCAGCGCTGGACCGTCATCGCCGACCACCAGGGCCAGCGCAGGAAGTTCGTCACGCGCTTCTTCGTCCTCGGCACCGGCTACTACAACTACTACAAGCCTCTCGACGCCATCATCCCCGGCATCGACAACTTCAAGGGCAAAGTCATCCACGCCCAGTTCTGGCCAAAGGAGTACGACTACACGGGCAAGCGCGTCATCATCATCGGCAGCGGCGCCGCCGCAATCACCATCCTCCCTGCCATGGTCAAGGACGGCGCCGGCAAGGTCACCATGCTCCAGCGCAGCCCCTCCTACGTCTTCTCGGTCGTCAACAGCGATCGGGCCCCCTTCTGGGTCCGCAAGTTCCTCCCGCTCCGCGTCGTCACCACCTGGGAGCGCATGTTCCACCGCATCGTGCCCTTCCTGGTCGTGCTCTACTGCCACGCCTACCCACAGCATGCCCGCCGCTATATCATCGGCCTGGCCAAGAAGCAGCTGCCCAAGCGGCTCAACTGGGACCCGCACTTCAACCCAAAGTACACGCCCTGGCAGCAGCGCATGTGCATGGCGCCCGACGGCGACTTCTACCAGTGCCTGCAAGACCCCAACAAGGCCGAAGTCGTCACGGGCGTGATCAAGACGGTCACCGAGACGGGCATCGAGCTCAAGGAGGGCAGCGCGGGGATAGACGACACCAAGCCCCAGCACCTCGAGGCCGATGTCATCGTGGCCGCCACGGGCCTCAACATGAACTTTGGCGGATTCGTCGACGTCCGCGTCGACGGCGACAAGGTCGACTGGTCAAAGAAGTTTGTCTGGAACGGCTGCATGATCGAGGGCGTGCCCAACATGTTCTTCATGTTTGGCTACGTCAACGCCTCGTGGACCCTGGGCGCCGACGACTCCGCCAGCATCATGGTGCGCGTGAGGCAGTACCTCGACAAGCGCGGCACGCAGACGGCCTGTCCGCGTATGTCCAGGGGCACTGACACCAGCGAGCCGCTCAAGATGTGGCAGCTCTCGTCGACGTATGTCCAAGCTGCTGGCGACAAGTTCCCCAGGTACCTGAAGCAGGCGCCGTGGCGGCCCAAGACGAATCCTATAATGGATTACTCACATGCCAATTATGGGAATGTGACGAACGGGCTGCACTTGATGGGTTGAAGAGGTATGGGGCAGGTAATATGAATACAAAATACACGATATCATTCGAAGTCGACGATTTCACAACTGTGCCCCCAACTCCGTCCGAGAAAGAACAGCAAAACAAAATGAATGTTTATCAGTGACGCGCATGACATCAGCCTCGCGATGTCTATAATTGCTAGTTGTTGGTTGATGGACCAGCCGAGCATGTTCCTTTAGGGAGAAGAGCAGGGTTTCTGCCTGGCGAGGTGAACCATCATAACAAGGACCTGGGTTGTTGACGGGAGCAAGAAGAGTGCTGGAATCAGCCCGAATGGCCAAGATTCATTTCCTGTTCTCCGAGATCCATCTGCCTGAGAAGCCTTGCTGGACGAAAATGGAAGAATGGTCAGCAGATGCAAGGATGCTCGTATACCAGCTCTGGGAACACGAAGATCTCCAAGTGGGACAAAAGCATATGCACAGAGTCCGAAGTGCAGGTGAGCAGGTTGGGGATTTTCATGTATTGTAGTGTTGTTATTCAAGAGGAGACTTAGGTTTCTAGCTATATGTGCACGATGGTCAGGTAACGGTGCGTGCCCCGCTTCGACAGAATTTGGCTCGCAGATAGCAGACTAAGCTGTGCAGACCAAGTTGTGTAGTGGTGGTCAATAGAATGCGCCAACGGAATATGAGATCTCAAATGGAGCGTGATTATCACAGCCCTGGCCGATGCGAAAAGTTATGAAATCTTGGCATTTGCATAAGATATGCCAGCACAGCCACCACTTTTGCGTACGTTGCATGAGGCTCCCTGCAAGGCGGCTTTTCAGCTCTCCAAGGCTCGCGCACCAGGCTCTGGCACCGGCCCTGTGAACTTCGCGATTTGTTTGACAACCTGCAATTGAACTTGTCGGTATTCATGCCAGATCCCGAAGTCCCTGTACCATTGTCACGACCTGGGACTACCCCTTGACCTTGAGGCCGGGTTGAGACAGGCCAGATGCGTATGGCCACCTCCCAGAACCATGTCGACCAAGCGCCGCCCGTCGTGCAGCCGCGACGAAGGCGATATTAGGCTGGCAAAGCGCCCCGCTGGTCCTGCAAATCCTGGTGCACCCGAGACAGGGCTGGACCAAGCCGCTCGCCCAAGACTGTCACATGAAGACTACACAATCGCCTGGATCTGCGCCCTGCACCTCGAACTCGCGGCCTCGAGACTCATGCTCGACGAAGAGCACCCCGCACTCGGCGCTTACGAGGATGACCACAACGTCTACGTGCTCGGGAGGATCGCGGCGCACAATGTCGTGATGACTGCGTTGCCGGTCGTCTACGGCAAAGTTAACGCTGCTCTCGTAGCGACTCACTTGAGGCGCACCTTTCCCAACATCAGAGCGACTTTGATGGTGGGGATTGGTGGCGGCGCCCCTAGCGAGGCCGACTTGTACTTGGGCGATGTGGTAGTCGGTACCAGAGTTATGGAGTACGACCTCGGCAAGGCGATGGGTGATGGCCTGTTCGAGATCACGGCGAAAGACAAGCACCCGTCCTCGCTGCTTCGGGGCGCGGTCACAAACCTCAGATCTAAGCACGGCTTGGAAAAGTGGTCGCCCAGAGCACAAGAACTGCTCCGAACACGACTATCGCAGTATTGCCGTCCGACACAACCCGATCGACTCTTCCAGGCCAGTTATTCACACCCTACGGACACGAAGACTTGCGATGAGTGCGATTCCACGCGGCTACAGACCAGGCGACGGAGGGTCACAGAGAATTTCCATGTTCACTATGGAGGTGTCGCCTCAGGAGACAGTGTGAACAAGGATGCCCAGAAGCGAGACGCTGTCGGTCGGAAGCTCGATATTATCTGCTTCGAGATGGAAGCTGCGGGGATGATGGATAGTCTACAGTGCCTCCCGATCCGAGGTATATGCGATTACTCAGACTCGCATAAGAACAAGGAGTGGCAAGAATACGCGGCGGCAACGGCGGCGTCTTACGCCAGGGAGCTCCTCGAGACGATACCAGTGGTTGTCGCCAGTAAACCATCAACAACTCACAACGGAGACTTCATCCCAGAAGATGTTGAGACACACCCGGTAGCTGTCGACAGAAGGCAAGCTTTCATGGAGCTCCTCGACTTTCCGCAGAGCAATATCCGCAAGGATGCGATACGACCAGAGCAGGGAAAGACTTGCCGGTGGTTCTTGGCTCACCCCAAGTACGTCTTCTGGACGGATCTGAGTCGGAACACGGAGACGAGCTCGCTCTTGTGGCTGCGCGGCAAGGCTGGAGCGGGCAAGTCGACTCTCATCAAGTTTTTGTACTTGGAGTCGAAGAGGAAACAAAAAGACGCCACGGTCATATCGTTCTTCTTCAACGCCAGGGGTGACACTCTTGAGAAGTCAATCGCTGGAATGTATCGCTCAATCTTGTGGCAAGTCCTGACCCTCCTCCCAGACTTGCAGTCAGTCTTGGGCGACCCCGAAATCGACCCAGCCAAGTATGAGCTAGCTTGTCCAGATCTCGACTCTTTGAAGAACCTTCTGACTAGCGCCGTTACGAAGCTGGGGAACCGACCCCTTCTCTGCTTTATCGACGCCCTTGACGAATGCAACGAAGAAGATGCGCGAGATATAGTCGACTATTTCGAGAGCCTCGTGGAGACAGCACAAGAGGAAGGCATCAAGCTTCGCGTCGCCTTCTCGAGCCGGCCGTACCCATACATCCACATAGAGGAGAGTTGCCTTATCACCCTAGAGAACGAGGCCGGCCACGCGCAAGACTTGGCCCAGTACGTCAAGAAATGCTTAAAAGTCCCGGCGAAGCCGCGTGCAGAACTCGAAGGCAGAATCCTGGAGAAGGCATCTGGGGTGTTTATGTGGGTTGTGCTAGTTGTAGGGATCCTCAACAAAGAAGCAAGCCGTGGGGGTTTGGCACTTCGGAAGAGACTACTGGAGATCCCGCCTACGCTCAGCCAGCTTTTCAAGGACATCCTTACGCGAGACCAGGAGCGCCCACAAGAGCTACGGCGCTGCATTTTGTGGGTCTTGTGCGCGAAGCGACCCTTAAGTCCTGGAGAGTTTTGCCACGCCATGTGGGCAGGAGGCCTAGCGACAGGCGACGTAGACGACGAGATCCCGGACGCTACGGACGACGAGTCGATTGTCGTGCTGGCTACTAGTACATCAAAGGGTCTCGTCGAGATTGTGAGTACCAAGAAGAAGCAGGCGACTGTACAGTTCATTCACGAATCTGTGCGCGACTTCCTGGTCAAGGGCAGAGGTCTCCAGGAGTTATGGCCCGACCTTGGCTTTGACTGGGAGGGGACAAGTCATGAATTGCTTCGAAGTGATTGCGAAGCTTATCTCAGGCGCTGGCGTGTTTTGTCTGCCAGCTCGGGAGGTGACAGCACAGTAGCTGTCCCCGGAACAGAGACCGCGAGCGACATCAACGGTGATCATTTTGAAAATGATCTTCCCCCCCAGGACCCATCAAGGCAGTCAAGTCCGGACAGAACAATCGCCAAATCCCATCCGCCGAGGCCGCACGAGTCGTTGGTGCTTATGGAGTACGCGACGCAAAGCATCCTGCTGCACGCTGACGAAGCGGCGCCTTCCACATCGCAGAAGGATTTCCTCGTCCGCTTCTTTGGCCAATTCGACGCCCCGACACTGGACCTTTACCAGCCTGTCAAAGCAAGACGATTTGGGAAATACCCGAGTCCCCTGCAGATCCTGGCCACTCTTGGGACAAGTAAACTAATCAGACTACACCGCGAGACAATCGACTCGATCAGCGACAGTTCCGAGCATAGAACCTATCATCCACTCTTGATAGCAATGTCAAGGGGCCACAAGGATACAGTCGCCGCCCTTTTGGGCCTGTCAACAATCATTCATGAAGGCGTCGACCCGATGGAGGGCCTCCAGGTCGGGGCCAACTTCAAGCACTTTTATAGGCGATCGCCGATGACCTGGGCAGCACAACAAGGACGGTGTGCGCTCATAAGCCTGTTAGCTGCGAACGGAGTCTCGGTGCAGGAGAAGGATGCTTTGGGGCTCACGCCACTCGAACGAGCCACGGAAGAAGGACGTGTACAAGCACTGCGTGTGCTGGTAGGTCTTGGCGTCTCTGACACTGACTTATGGAAGGCTATATCGTCTGTCGTAAGAAGTGCTGATGAGGGCACTGCAATGTTTCTTTTGAGACACTTGGAAGGCTGGCAGATCCGGTTGGTGAGTTATCGGCGCGACTCAGGCATGTGGCTATTCCATGCGGCCAGACGAGGGTTCGTAGATGCTGTCCGCCTGCTTCTCCAGCACGGTGCAGTGGACAGAGACAGAAATGCCAGTGCTATCGCCGCCGCGGCACAAGACGGGCATTTACAGGTGGTGGGGCTTCTCGCAAACAGCGGCGCCAGCTTGGAAACCGTGGGTGGCTGGTACGGGTGGACCGCATTGATGAACGCCTCTGCGCGGGGCCACCTGAGCGTTGTGGAATTCCTCATCGGTCGTGGCGCAAACTTGCACATTACGAATCGGGACGGAGAGAGTGCACTACACTTGGCTGTCCAGAACGGGCACGATCTGATCGCACAGCGTCTCCGGCGCGCTCTCGACATCCAGGCGAATGAGGAAGGCAATCAACCAAGTAAGTAGGAAGATACTTAGGAAAGCACTGCCGATCTACGGGCAGCACTTACTAGCCAGGTAATCTCAAGGCGAAGGCTGAGCTTTGGCCTGGCTGAAATGGAGGAGGTACCAAGTCACTCCGGCAAGGTGCTTACTATATATTTCTGGAATCAAGTGTCGTTTGGATCGCCAAGCGAACTCTAAAGAGATGAGTGTTGCGTGTCACACAGGCGTTGACAACGAACCGGGGGCGTTGTGCTTGGTCGTTTGCCGTGAAAAGTGGGCCGAACTGGTGTGCAACTCGAGTTGAAAGAACCTGGCAAACCAGCAGCATAGAGGGCTGTAACGTTGCCGTCGAGGAGAGCTCAAGCGATCCACGAGCCATGGCCGCCAGTCACCGGAGCACTTGTGGTTGCTGCATGCCTTATCATCTCCACCTTCGCCAACTTACTTCAACACGTCGATTGTATCTGATCTAAAGTATCTACCCAGACGTTTTGCAATGAGAAGGCGAGCACGACGAGACTGGCGTCATGAGAGAGCACCAAATCAGTGTCTCCTCCCTTCCAATTGCAGCTCTCCGAGTTCAAAATGACCCCAGTAGTACGTGCCTGTGCCATTCCTATGTGTCCTTTCCAGTCCATCCTTGCTCCATTCTTGCCTGGCGCGAGCGCTCCAAGTCCCTTGGCCTTCAAGCCGGCCTTGTTTCTTGCTTGCAACGCTTGGGATGCTGTGTTTTCCACCATTGGCAATTCCATGAAAGCATCTTACGGCAGTAGCACTGCTGTGTAATCACTGTTGGTCCAACTGAGTGACTCCTGATCCTCTGGCTGCGGTGCCAGATTTTCGGATGACCCCATTCATGATCCGGCTGATGACCTGGTCCTTGCCCTGGGTCGAGAGCTTCGAGTCCAGGTCGCTGTTGCCGGCGATGATCTTGACCCCGATGACCTGGCCCTTCTGCCCCGGGCCGAATACACGCGAAACCTGCTTCTCCTGCAGCTCAGAGAACCACGGCTCGGTCTGGATCACAATTGACGCGCAGGTGAGATTGGGCCAGGACTACCCGCGCCGGCGGTGATCAGGATCGGGCGGCTGGGACTCGCGGACTCGAAGGCAGCTTGCACCCCAGGTCTCTTGTGGCTGGGCGCGGATCCATCATACCTTAGCGCTGTGACGCCTTTGAACTTCAGCCTGGCATTGATGATGTCTAAGAACTTCAAGCATCGGGAGAATATGATGATCTTAGAAGATGGGCGTTTCTGGCGCAGTGAATCATACACGCGCATGAGCTCCCGCAGGCGAGGAGAGCTGTCGTCCAGCTGTCGTTCTATACAAGCGTCCAGGCGGTCAAGCCACATATCTCTGTCGCTCATTGATTCGTCGGCGTCCGTGGAGGGGATAACTTTATCATCAGCCATGATAGAGGAGAGGGTGAGAAGCTGCGCCTCGATGAGGATACCGACTGTGTTTTCCTGGTTCTTGCCCAGATCGGAGCACCGCTGTAGCGGCATGGAACTTCTTCAACTTGGCCTTGACTTCCTTTGCAACATTCTTCGGGAGTCCAAACGCCGAGTGAGTCAGAGCGCAAGGCGTAGATCGAGAACCTTGGACGGCCGACCTATCATGGATGCACAGAGGAACTTGGAGAGCATCCTGAAGCTTGCTGCTGATGGACGCTTTGTGTCCTCCCCGAGTCGTCTCCCAGGAAGGCGCGAACGAACGCTTCCTTATCCACCGCGAAGTGACCAGAAAGCAAGCTCACAAGCCCGGCGATGTCCCACCAGCGGTTCGTCATAGGGGTGCCAGTCAGGATGACTACTGCCTCGTAGCACAACGCCTTGATCGCCTGGTGCCGCTTGCCTTCGTCTTTGTTGATCACATGCGCTTCGTCGAGTATCAGGCGCTTGATAGGCAGGTTCAGCTTCTGCCAGAGCCTGGTGTGGAAGGTTGACAGTGGTCGGCGGGGCCTCTCGTTCTCGGGCATGCCCTCGTCAACCCAGTCCTGCAGTACGGTGGGGAACTCATTTCTCGTGCGGTAAGAGTACTCAATGATTTCATACGAGGTGATGATGACATCGACATGCAAGGCGTGAAGTTGGTGAGCTGTCAATGCCGTTGTTGATTCTACCACATAGACTGACAGCTCATGACCCTGACCATGTGTTAGCTACTCTGACGTGGTCACTAGGGGCATCTCGTGTGAACCTACATTCTGGAAGGCTTCATTCACTGCGAGGCGCCATTGGGGTACCAGTGTCGCGGGACAGACCACCATCGAAAAGCCAGGCAGTGCGCGGACTTCGGCCATGACCATGATGACCTGAAGAGTCTTTCCAAGGCCCATCTCATCGGTGAGGATGGCCCCTTGGATGCAAAGTTGCACAGGAACTACATCTGGGCCGCACCCTGCCTTTGACCCTCTCAAACTCTGACCCTCCGGGGACGCGGTTGTCGAGCGGTAGGCGGCAGGCCTCATCATGCATGAAGATCTTTGGGGTCCACTTGCTCTTGGTCACGATCATGGCTGAGGCGACTGGGGTGCAGTGGATGTCACCTTGCTCTCAGTCCCTGGTGATCTGCTCAAGGGTGCGCTCGGTCTGCATGCAGTCGTGTAGGTCGACCGGCTCATCAAGATTGCGGAAATCGGGCTTCTCATTGTTCTCAAAAACCTTGAGCTCCCGCTTCACCGGACACATGCGACCGATATCACCAGCCTCGAGGCCAACGTCAGCATGGTCACAAGCTGACTGGTCTGCCTGCACATTGGACGTGGACACAACCATGAAGCGTGGTGTCGCTAACTCGGTGGCGGCGGGTGTCTTGGCCTCGTCGTCAGCTGCATCCCCGAAGTCGCCTCCGCAGACGATCGGCGAATGCAGACCTTTCAGAATGGACACGTTGACCGCGACCTCTTGGAGCTGCATCAGCGTGCCAAGAGTGAGACAGACGCTCGTCTTGCCAGTGCCGGGGGAAGGCTCCCAAAGAGAGTATACCATGCTCAGAACTGGTGACAGCCGGGCTCATAACCGTTGGACTGACCAGGAGCGAGGGGAGACCGAACCAACGGGCCGTGCTGTGGCGACCTCGGTGCTTCAAGGATGACGAGTAAGGCGCACGCCAAATTGAGGCCGAGGCTGCTGCGTCGGCAGTCTCGTCGGCGAGGACGCCGCCCTTGAATGGCGAGGTACAGAGATGGCTCATCTAAGCTGCGCCTTTTTTCTGCCAGGGACGTATGGCTGGTGGGTCATGTTGCGAGCGGCAGCGAGCACCTCGGCATCGTCAAGGCATCCTAGGTATTCTGTCAGTCATTACTCTTGCAGTTATGACAGTGTTTGGCTCCACACCTACAATTTTCGCCTCCCAGTCCCGCCAAAAATAGTCCCCCTTGGAGTGGATGGTGCCATGCTCGTCGATGATGTGTGTGTGCCACAAAATGTCGGCCTCTGACCCTGTCGAGTACTTGCCGAGTGTCTGCTGCTCCTCCTCTCTTTGCGCGATCCATTCGCGTCTGCCCTGGTACATGCTCTCTTCGCTTGCCGTGCCGGTGTCGAAAACTCCGGGGCCTATATGCGGGCCAAAGTCCAGACACTCATCGAGGCCTTTCCATGTGAGATTGATGGGGATGCTCATGAGTTCAGCGCAGATGCCTCCAACATCACGTTTACTGAGGGTTGTCTGGTGTTTCTTTGCAGCTGTTGGGGCGTCAGGCTCTTTGCCGGATGCATCCTTGGCTCTGCCTGTCTCCGCCATCTAGTTGACCCAATTAGCGCTCAACACTTGCATGCTATAAGTAGTGGTAGGATCCCTACCTCAACATCTGTGCCGCGCAGATAACTTGCCAGTCGGCGAGCTGGGCAAGATGTGGCGTTGCACATGGGATAGTCGGTGAAGTGATCTTCGACCTAGACAGAGCGTCCAGTCCAGTCTTGGGAGGCACAGGACGTGGTCAGCTTGGAGTTTTCATTGTTCAGGGATGGACAAAACACCCAAGTGCCTGCACTTACCACTGGGCAACTGTCATGCTGCGACCTTTGTATATCTGGCTTCAGTGCAAGCATGATGGCTGCAACGCCGCTGTTCCAAGAGTGGAAGCGTCGGTCTCGGCTGGTCTGGTAGTTCCGGAAGTGGTGCCGGTAGAGAACCTGTCGACCACTGATTGGGAATGGCTGACACATGCCTTCATTGCCCGGGCATGCAAGCACATGTAGATGGAGCGCACTACGAGCATGCGCGTAGTCGTCACGCATCTCTACGACGACGGGAAGGGGGAGGTCGCTCGCGGTGTCGGCCTTCAGTCCGCTGGCCGGTTTCAGTGCCAACGCCTGTGCCCTTTGTCTTCATCTGCGTCCATGCATGCAGGAACGGGTAGAACGTGAATTGCACGACGAGAAGCAGCGTGCCATGGATTGACGGTGAAACAAAGCGTTGCTCAGATTGAGAAAGAGGCCATGAAGCCTGGCTCATAACCAGAGGTCTGTTGGGTAAGGATGAAGGAGTTTGAGGGCGGAGAGATGGTGGTAAGGATAAAGCTTAGAGAGTGTGTGAGGGGAAGGTGATGCTCTTGTGGTTGTATGTGATGGAGGTTTGCGAGAGATGTTGGTAATGGAAGTTTGTAATGGATGGATGTTGATAATGGATGTTTGTAGCGGATGTATCTGATGGGTGTTTGTGATGGATGCTGGGAAGAGATGTTGCCCAAGATCTGGAGGGGACGAGGGTTAATATACGAGTCGTGGGATATGTGGTCAATGTGCTCCCGGGACGACTGACCATTGTCTGAGATTTTGCATTGGCTGTGTCAGTTGTGCCAGTGAGGCAGCTATAAGATCACTGATGACGCGGTCTCATGGGTCTGAATCAGGCAGTGTGAAGACGGCAAGGTCAAACGAACCTCCAGGTGGCCGGCAAGGCGTCCCCAGTGGAAGCGCTCAACCGGAGTGGCATCCTGACAGGCATCGGCAGTGTTCATTCAGCAGAGGCTTGCAGCCCGCCCTTGAATTGAATCAGGCACCGAAGAAGGAGGAGATGGATGAGTGCAAAACGATGAATGCAGTGTCTGGAAGAGGCTCGATCCGCCACAGAGGCTACGAAGGCCAAGAACTCCTAGCTGGCCTGGCTGACTTTGGCGAGCGTTGCGGCACCAAACAGAGGATGACCCGCAAAGGCAGCAATGACCAACTCTCGGGTGCAAACGAGGTGAAACATCCTGAGGCTGCAATCAGCTGTTGATGAAACCATGAATCACTGCGGATTCTGAGGGGCAGTGTTCTCGCAAGGCACCTCAAGGCTCAATGCGCTTCAGTGTACGCGGCCTGCCAGGCACCTACAGCCATGCGCGTCCCACTGGCCTGGCCTTCTCAAGGGCACTCACGTGCATCTGCATTTGTGGTCTTTGAATGCCACATTCTACATTGAGCGGGGAATTGTTGTGCCTGTCGCTTCGAGACATGGTTGACCAAAGTGACAAGGTCATCGAGTGACACTTGAGTAGAACACATGCTGTAGTTTGGCGAGTTGAGAGATAAGCAAGTGGTGGCAGGCCCAGACCTCGACGAGATGCCCATAGCAGCTTGTCGCTGTCCTCTGCGGGCAAGTCTGGAATCACGTTGAAGCGAGGCGACAACAGGATGCCCCAGCAAATGAAGCTCCTGCACCCACGAGCGCACCACCTTTGGGTGAGCCCGACTACTTTCACTGGCCTAGACTGGACTCTTGAGTGGTTGTCCGATCCTGCTCACCAGAGCTTTACCTCAGGCATATGCTGAGTGCGGTCTTGCCCCAGCCCTCTGCTAAACCTTTGCCGCTGGGACTCAACTGGTCACTTGATGCACTCCTTGTTCTTGCACACTCAATATAGTGACGCTGTTTATTCTCAACCCAACCCTGCAACCATCTTCCGACAGGTCTTCGCAACTCGGCTAAGACTTTCAGCGAGTGCTTCCATCTAGGACTTCGTTGCACTTGTTGTAGACAGTCCTTTGACCAGCTGCCCTATCGCACCTCAACAACCGCAGCGCCGAAGCATCCTCACAAGACCGCCACCATGCCTCCCAAAGCTGTCAACACCACTGCCCGTGACCTCGAGCTACTCGTGCTCGCATGGCAGAGTCTCAAGACCACTCCTCAGGTGAGCCATTACTGGATTCCACTCGCCACGTTCACAACAGCCTCGCGGATCTTCATTGTCTATTGACGTCTGCTTCGCAACCCAACATCCCACCCGCGGACTCGTGCAATCCTGTCAACCCCATTGATTCACTGTGCTCTTCGCCGCCTGTAACTGTCCTCCATGTGGGCATTCCCGTTTGGCTCTTCACCACGCCCTCTTCCTGGCCTCTTCTCGCCCCCACCCCCATACATCTACTCACAACTCGCACTCAACGACTAACATGCCTTCCCTCCCCTCACAAAACAGGTCGATTACGAACTCTTCGCCCAGAAGGCTGGATACAAGAACGCAGCAACCGCAACGACTCAGTTCAACACGCTCAAGAAGAAGCTCTTCGCCCTCGCAGCCCCTGCTGACGCATCCACCACCGGCGCAGGAGGCGGTGGTGGTGCCGGCCCGACTTCTAGCCCTTCGACCCCCAATTCTACTCGCAAGACCGCAGCAGGTGGAGGCGGCGCTGCGGGCACTCCGGGCTCGAAGAAGCGTGGCGGAGGCACGCGCAAGGCAGCGGGCAAAGCTGTTGCTGCCACTGCTGCTGCTGGCGACACCGACGGGGATGACGACGAGGCAGTGCCCGAGACGCCGAGCAAGAAGCACAAGACTTCTACCACCGCTAATCTCAAGGCTGAAGATCGCAATGGAGGCGAAGCAGGTGACAATGAAGTCTAGCGTTCGAGTTGCCCGCTGCTGCTCAAGGGCAAACAAAGCCGGACTGATACAGGTCATGACTTGGAGCAAGGGATGAGCTATGCGTCATGTCAAAAAGCGATCTTTTCCATTTGATCTTGGCATCCTGGGATCGGGTTTGTGAACGAGGTGCTGCTCATCAGTACCTTCGTCAAGTTCAAGGGTTCATGGAGCTTTAGTTAGCATAGCAACCTTGTGTTCTTGATATGAATGCCTTGCACGTCTCTGCAAAAGCCATTCAGCATGAATGAATACAGACAAACAGTCTATTTAATCGAGAACAAGAAGAGCGCCATCCCCCGCGTGCAGGTTTATCTACTCCCCAGCACATAGTTCATGAACACTATCCAAGCCGTAAATGTGGTATATGCGGGCATCCTTCAAGCATCCATGGCCGCAGCGGCTTTGTGATGTGGCCTCCATCCAGTTGAAAAGTCCATCTTGCATTCCTGCGTTCCTCCACAAGCAGACAACGGCCACTGATCCTCATATGGTGGTGTTTCGGCGTAGTCAGCCTAACCACGAGTAACGTCGGGGTTTCTTTGTCATATCCGTCATCTTGGGCATTTGGGACCTGATGCGACAGCATCGGCCAGAGGGCGCAATCGTTTGCGCATGAGTCTTGAACGTTCAAGAGCAGCGGTGCCACCCTTGGCACAGAGGTTCATGGCAGAGAGATTGTTGTCGAAGTTCAGTACGCATACGAGAGGCGGCCCAACAGCAAGCTTGCGGACCCCGAGGAGAGGTGGGCGGGTGATCTTAACCTCAAGAAAGCTTGGTAGAAAACCAGACCTGCCGCGAATTTCGGATCCAGGCTCAGGTTCAGCCTGCCTATGATCGTGGGACTTCGCCGGAACGGAGCCGTGTCCGTTGTGATTGTTGGGATGAGGCACATTGGAGAAGCACGGAAACTACAAGACAAGGGATGAGCACAAAGTGGAACGTATTGAGAATTAAAAGAGAAAAAGCGTGAGAATTCACCAATTAGTCTACTAGCCATGTCAGAGCTGGAAAGAATGTGGCTTGCGGAGTTGTGACAAATGATAATGTGGGGACAGGGCAAGGTGTTGCGATTTCGCTGCCACTGGCACCTTAACGTTGAGGTTGGCGGCATCAAATCATCGACAATGTCACTCTGTCATGTAAAGCAGGGAAGTTGAGAGGATCATCGTTCGCATTGTATCTTGACAACTGCAAGTTGACCAGTGAAGAACAATATGGTGACGGCTTGAACTGCCTTCCCAGGGCCGCCCACAACTTCTCATGCACCTTGCACCGACTCTTAGGACTAGGATCGCGATAATTACATACTTCATGACTTGCAAGCCCCGATTCCCACTTTCAAACTCCCGCCTGCCAAGACTGCCACCTGATTCCCGTGAAGAACGAGCATGCCAAGAGCTGTTACAGTGTCCCAGTGAACCACGCATCTTCTGCGCCAAAGCGCTATGAATCTGGTGCTCTTGGCAATAGTTTCTGTGGAGCTCGTGTGTCCCTCGAAGTTTGACTCATCTTGAACCTTGAAGGTTTTTACCAGAAGGGAGAGGCGTTGGGCTGCAGTAAACCCTGAGACAGGCACACGACAGTCATGGCAGGCTCCGCCATGACCGAGAAGGAATTCTCCTCAAGGGCTTGACATGTTTGTGCATCAACCGAGCCGAAGTCGCGACTCGACTAGCTTTGAAGCCTGAGGTCTGGGGAGATGATAGGGCGCGCGAATGTGAAAATGCAAACACTGTGTATGCGACTCATATTGTTTGACATGGAGCAAGAAGACGCTACGTGGACAACCCATCCGCATCGGCCTCAGCTGATCTCGAATGGACAGGCTCATACTGTCTCGTGGAACAAGCGTCGGGTGCGTTCATTGAGTGCAAGCAGAATGTCTGGCACGACCTATTCGATCTCTCACATCCGTGGGTGCATAGGTTGATTGTTACTTGTGTCACTGTACCGTGAGAGACAGGCGCGATCAGCATGCATAGCTCACGTGGAGTTGCCGCTTCCGAGAGAGCCAAGCGTGCCGTGAATGTTGTCAGCACCGGACAAGTCTTGACTGAGATGGTGGCTGTAGATGTGTCCATGGTCGGACTTCTTTTAGCGGTGCTCGCCATCGTGATCACATGGTACACAGACGGACTCATCGTCAGAGGTGGTGACGACGCTGATAGTGTCCGCTCGCGGCGGAGCGGTCGTACCCTGGACGGAGCTGCCATGGGCATGCTGTTGTGATCCACGGAACTCGTGGCGGTCGGACTGGTTGTAGGAAATCATGCGGCCCACTGAAAACGGACTCACAACAGCCGGAGCGGACCAGGCGCGATGCGGCTGAGGTCTGGAGTGATTGATCTTGTGGGACAAGCTGTCAGAGTCGTTGTCGTTGGGGGCTGGTGGACGACGAAACACAACGTGGTCATCTCTGGACCTGGATGAGTGGCTGCCTCGTCATCGCCATCGAAGCCCGGCTGCTCCACGAGTTGTGCATCTGGCAACGAGTAAGTGTGGTCTGACTTATAGCAAAAGGGGTTGCTTTGGCAGGCAATCTCGCACTACGAATAGGCGTCACCTTTCTCAGAATAGTCGCTGAGCAGATCCAGGTACTTCATCTCGACATCGGAGGACTTCCCATCGGTCGATGCCTGTCGAATCCTGGATGCATTTGTCTCCCGAGTCGTCAAGGTCGCCATGTTCAATAAGGATCGTGCCGTGTACGAACATGTTGCCGTTACGGTCTGTGGAGTGAGGGGCGTCATTGGTTAAGGCGGACAGGGCTGGCTGTTCTGATTCGGGGGTTTGATGGGCCCAGCCATGACCAAACTCGAGATGCACGCGTCTTGTTGAGCTGATGTGTTACTCTGGGGAACGCGGGTCTGCGCTGGCGATTGGAAGGGTCTGGTGAAGCGTGCCCGCGTAGACTGAACCTTGAGCAGGTGTTGCGCTGGGGCCGACCGTGGTGATGACTGTCAGAGGCGGGACAGTAACTGGGATGTGGAGTGAGGAGCCACTTGATGGCCCAAAACGAGGAGTGACTAGGAGGTCCCAAGCCGTAACACTCTAGAGCAGGCACGCGGTAATTGTGGCAGGCGCGATGCAAGTCTAAAAAATGCAGATCGTCAGTAGTCTTGTCGAACTCAGCCTGGCGAAGGTGATCTCATGCTCACCCATGATCAAAGACGAAACTCAACATAGTACGACCGAGCAGAAGAATATCTACTCAGCGAAATGATGATGATAAATGCAGTCAACGGAAATTCCGAAGAATTGATGTTGGGTAGTTGGGTTTTTCACCAGAGATCCGGCACTTCTCTGGTACAGTCGCATTGCCTTTTAGCGATGTGCCGTGGTCGATCGGGTGTGCGGACCCGTTGCCGACTGCATAGTATCATCTTTTCGCTCCCCATGCTTCCAGTGGCACCGTTGTGTTGGTGGTGGCGATGCCTGAGGTGGCGATGCCCAAGGTGGAGTGATTGTGGTGTGGGGGTTGAGTGTGAAGGGGGTTAAGGTGCGCCACTCCTTTAAGGTCCCAAGGTCCAGAGGTCCAGAAGCAAAACATCAGAGTGCACGACGATGTCACTCGCCTCTTTGCTGCGTGTTGATGGACTCCCGAGCGACAGGGATCCAGCTATTGAGTTGATCCTTGGGGCTGGACGCTTGACAAGAGCCGGAGACCAAGAGAGGCCACCTTGGCGTGCAAACTTGCATGCGTAGAAGTCATTGGCCCAAACAAGACTCGTGGCTTCGCAGTTGATGATCAGCTCGCAATCAGAGTTGATGACTTGGGGCTTTGGGAGTGAGGCAACAACGGTGCTCCTGCTCGCTTTACTCGTGTAGAACAGCCGCGACATGCAGACCAACAAAGCTGTGGGAACGGACAGGCAGGCGGAGAGACAGTAAGCCGGGATCTGCCATGGTGATTTGTGTATTTTTCGGCATGAGAACCTGGATTGACATCATGGAGGTGACCCTGCCACTGGGATCATCGACATGGGGGTGCTTCTTGGCGACTGGAAACCCATGTGGAGACTGTCAGTCATCCGAAGAAATGAGGGAGCTGCTGGAAGGGATGTTTACTCACGGCAGTCTTGGTTCCAGAGGAGTATGTTGTGAAACCAATCCTTGGAATAGGCACTCAAGGAAACTTCGGCAGATGTGACCGTGTGATCTGTGGAGAGGCGGATGACTGACGGGTCCTGGAGTTGACGGTTTGTGCTTTTGCCGATGCCGAGTGCTGACGAAGCGACCTCTGCAGGATGAGAAAGAGAGGACTGCGGAGGCATTCAGCGTGGGTGTGTGTCCAGAAGGATGGTGAGCTCTTTGGGCTGTAAAAGCCACGAAGGATTCTGATTAGGAAGAGACGTGTCTGCTGGCGGCTGGGAGTGGTGCTCAAGTACCATGGAGACAGCGTGTTGTGTCGAGTGAACAGAATTGGCTTGGCCCTGTCTAAGGAACATTATAAAAATAATTGGAATGATATGAGGTGTTGTAAGGGAAGGCATAAGATGTGATGTGCGTGTGATGCGTGCGTGAAGTTGTCAACGGGAGATTCAGAAGAACCAAGAAGTGGTGGAATGGTTTTTTCACAGGGGCGGCGTGACCTCCCCCGAGCAGTCACTCCTCACCGAGGTGAAGAGTGCCGCAGATACTGAGGCGTCACGAGCCTTTGTTGACAGACATCTCGCGAACAACACAAGGTGGTGATGATGTTGTCGGTGAGGGAGGAAGGCATGTCGGGTTGCGTGCACCAGCTTGCAAAGCCCAAGTGCAAGCGTGCATGGGTGGTTGTTTGGCTCCACTCGCGTTGCAGCTCCACAAGCTGAGTCAGCCAAGTGCCATGCACGAAAGATAAGGGTGATGGCTGGCTGTTTCACGATCTGCACCTGCCACTGCCCAGAGAGGAAGCTTGACCTCGACTGTGCCTGAGGCCGTGTGCTTGGCATTTTGCCATCTTCTTCACTCGTTCTTGGGGTGTTTACCCGTCGCCGCCGCCGCCGCCCGCCCACCATGGCCAAGTCAAGGCCAGTGCCTCATGCCACTCCTTCACCTCGCCGGTTGTCTACCTGCTGGCTCGGAATACTGGCCGCCACATCTGTCGCATTGCTCACCGTCGCGATGCTGTCAACCCAGACCTTTACCTCCGGGCTGCTCCTATGGCTGTCGCCAACCCTTGCAGCAACAATTGGTCGCGAAACTTATCCAGTCGGCCTCCCCTTTGTCATCAACACCTGGGGTGGCCCCTTCACTGCAGCGACAGATGCTGCATTCCTCTCCCTGCTGGACGCCAACACGTCAGCGCTCGATGCTGTCGAGATCGGGTGCGCAAAATGTGAGGCGAATCAATGCGACGGCACAGTTGGCTTTGGCGGCTCGCCCGACGAGAATTGCGAGACGACGCTCGACGCCATGATCATGGACGGCACGACAATGAAATCTGGCGCTGTGGCCGGTCTTCGACGGATTAAGAACGTCATCAGCGTCGCCAGGCACGTGCTTGAGCACACAACCCACACACTCCTCGCCGGTGACCTGGCCACCGAATTCGCGGTGGCCAATGGCTTCCCCGAGGAGGACCTTTCCACCGAGGCATCCAGGGAGAAGTGCGAGGCCTGGCGCGCTGCAGGGTGCCAGCCAAACTATCGCCTTAATGTGACGCCTGATCCAGCGGCTTCCTGCGGGCCGTACACACCCATGGGCCTTGACTCGCTGAGTCCTGCATACGCAGGCTTGATTGAAGCCCGTGGTCGCCCTGTCGGACACGACACAATCTCCATGATCACAATAGACTCGCGAGGAATCATGGCAGCGGGCACGTCGACGAATGGCGCGAGCTACAAAGTGCCTGGGAGGGTTGGCGATGGGCCTATTACGGGTAGTGGCTCGTACGTGGATGGCGAGGTCGGTGGCTGTGGCGCCACAGGTGACGGGGACATCATGATGCGGTTCCTGCCCTGCTACCAAGCCGTTGAAAACCTCCGCAACGGCATGACTCCAACTGCCGCTGCCGAGGACGCTGTGCGCCGGATGGTCCGCAAGTACCCGCAGGTTTCGAGCGGGGTGGTGGTCGTCAACAGTAAGGGCGAGCATGGCGGTGCAGGTTCAGGATGGACGTTCACGTACGCTTACCGGAGCGCGGGCATGGATGAGACGGCGGTCGTGAGCGTGCCGCCTGTCGACGCTGCGCGAGCACACCTATGAGCACTAGCGATCTATGGTCAACGTGGGAAACACATGTTGTTGTACTTCACCTCACCCCCAGACCCTGTAGAGAGTGAGAGTAGCTCGATCATCCAACAACGATTCTATCAACCCCATGCGTGTGCGCTGACGTGTTCATGTGATTCATCGAAGCCATTCTCGCTTGCGAGGCCTTCTGCCGCCGCACGCCTGCAGCAGCGGCTCCACTGCCACTGCCATGTTGAAGCGACGTTCTAGCCGCAAGCCCGGCGGTGCGGATTTCCCAACGCAAGTAGCATTTCACGTCGGCTCTTGGCTCGACTCCAGCGGCTTAAACAGAACAGAGACCCGTTTTACTGGCTCTCGGCTCTCGGCCCATCACTGCAGCGGCTGAACATTCCCAGGGCCGCCGTCTCTGTCTTTTCCCTGGCTCCGGGCATTTGGACCGGCGGAAGTTCGTCATCGTCCTGCACCTGGATCGAAGGGTCTTCGAAGACTGAACCGAGAGGCTGACGGGATCACAACCTACTGCTGAGGTCTGATGTTGTCCTGCACGCTCACCAGCAAGGGCAGCTGGGCCGTCCCTGCCGAGAAGCATCTGAGCTCAAATGACTGATGCTCTTCGCTTGGCATCTGTGGAAGGACGCGCCCTCTTGCTTGTTTGTGTTGGTCTCGCATTGATTTGGTTTCCAACGCCAGATCAGAAGAAGTGCCTGGGGCGGTGCTGGAGACGAAGCAGCTGTAATATTGGGTGAGTCACCAGGTCGGAAGAAGCTGGCAATAAGGGCCGGAGCTGTTGGAGTTGGACTCCGCAGTGGCAGCCGCGCCAGTCGTGAACTGCGGTCTGTTTTCTCTTGATCTTAGGCGCATCCACAGGAGACTCCCTCTTGCGAGCAGGTTCAATCCTCAGGGCCTGGTTTTCGCAGTCCCGCGCGGCTGGCGACATCAAGAGAGCGGTATCCTGCGTTTGGGCTCAGATTGAGTGACATGGGAACAGGCTGCAACTGCCTCGTTTCGGGAGCCTGAGGCACTGCAGATGCGAGTTGTGGGTTGCGCCTAACACAGCTCCCTCTGCCCGCTCAAGGCACGCACGACCGTTCCATGCAATGTGCCCAGGGGTAACGGCCACCACATGGAATCGAACAGATTCCCTGATATTGACGGAGAGTGTGATGACGATCATGGTCCGGTGCGAGAACGCCGTGAAAACATCGCCTACAGTAAGAAGTCCAAGCAGACCAAGCGCAGCAACTGTGACATGGCCAGTCCCGCAGATACTGCCACATCGACCCGGAACGAGACAGTTGCAAGTTGCTCCCATGTCACCCTAGCTGAGCCCAACCGAGGCGACAACGACCAGAAGAATTTGATCCGACGTCGTGCCCAGAAAGAGGACGCACACGACTCTGTATCATGCGCCGATGCATCAAATGCAGCCTCCCCAGCTCGTGACGTGACAGCAGCAGCCGCCACGCCCCAGATGCCCCTCTGCCCCGAGCCGCAGCGACCACCACAACCTCGTTTCTGCGCTCAAAGGCGACCAACGACCGCCCCGCGGCTCTTGGCAAGTGTCGCCACTCGAAATTGGACGACCATATCCCAGATACTCACGAAAATAGTGATGGTGATTATGATCCGGCACAGGAACCCCGCGAGAAAGTCGCGCAACGCAAGAAGCCCAAGCAGACCAAGCGCAAGTAGTGCAGATTCGTTGTTTTTACGGGTCATGGATCGGGAGAGATCGCGCGCACGACAACACTCGCACTCCAAATGAAATAGCCATATGTGTCGTTATATGGTGAGACCGTCAAAACAAAACAGATCACTACTAGCTAGAACAGAAACATCAACAATGCACAAGATTATTATCATTTATTGACGCTATTTCACCACGAGATAATCTAGATTGTACTGCTACGGTAAAGGCAGCCAGTTGGCGCCATGAACTAGCGGAAATGCAATGCTTGCGAACTTGTCTGTCGCGCGGTTGTTGGTCGTGTCACATTTTATGAGCCAATGTTTGCCAAGATGCTGTGTATGCACGTGCGAAGTCGTAATTCGAATACTGCAATGATCCCGTAGTGGCGTGCCGGCCTTGGCCACTGCTGGCTGAGGATGGTTGTGGCCCTTGAGCATTGCCTTAAGACCTGGAGTCCTGGAGAATGGCGAATCGTATGAAGTGAGGGCCACCTGCGGGCTCGTGAGTTCGTTGGGGTTTATGATGCTGTGCAGCAAAGGGCCCACTTAAAGATCCCGTGGAGTGTCTGACTAAGCAGGCCGAGCTCCTCGCAGGCATATATCATGGCACTCTGAAGGGGTATTTCTCCAAGAATCAATATCCCCTTGCTTGGGTGGAAGTCGACTATTTCAATAGCAAGCTGTGTTCGAAATCGTACTCTCGGAGCACCATCTCGTCAAAGTAGCACGGTTTGTTTCCCAACCTGAGTCTCCAAAGTTATTCATGCCACATTGCAGGACGGCGATCTCAACTTCTTTGCATTTCAATGGCTTTGTCGATACTGGGACGCTATTTCTAGCGTGCCACATTTTTATATTCATTGTTGAAGTATATACCAGAATATTTCCTCGAAAGAAAAAACCTCGAAAGGCAAACGACTGTGAAAGCGAGCGACTTAAAACGCGGATAGGAAAGATGAAGAGGGAGCAGAGGTCTCAATGATGGAAGGAAGCAATGAAGAAGTGAAGCCAGATGAAGACTTCACTTCCGTCAGATTGCCTGCCCCGAGAGCTGCTAAGCAGCCAGACAAGAAGGGGAGGGGACCTCTCATTTCTGGAGTCCGTTTCTTGTCCGCACCGCCTAAGGACGCAGTGCATGCTGTTCTTGTAGCAAGTCCTTAGTCGTACCAGCCACCGAGGCGCTGGGAAACGTCGCTGACGTACTCGGGAGTGGCGCCAAGTGGGTCGCTCAGATCGTTCCAGTTGACCTGGCCGCTGTTGTACTCGCGCAGAGCAGGGTACACGCACCAAGCCTCCCAACCGTTGCCACCCCAGTTGTCCAGGTTGCCCCTGAAGTGAGCAGTGCCGCCCATGATCATCTCCGTAGTCCACTCCTGCGGGAGGTTGGTCTGGCCCGGGAAACCGGCGCAGCCTGAGCACTGCATGAGGCCGGCTGTCGGGATGCCCTGGTACGAGTAGGTGGTGCGCACGCCGACGTACCCGTGCGATTCCTGCATAATAATGACCAAGATCACCCTTGGATCGACGCTGTATTGATTAGAGGCCTCCCAGATAGCAACGTTGATGCGGCCGACATCGTCCCAGGTCGAGCCCGTCAGCCTGATCATGTCATCGTTACGCTGCCACTAAACCACAAGAGAACTCAGGTCAGTATACTGGCATCGTCAACCAGCATTCGAAGGTGGAAAACTGCTTACAAGGTCCTCCCAGCCGAGCCAGTTGGTCGGGTAGTTGTACCAAGGACCGGAGTACCACTGCGGTGCTGACATGATGGAGACACCAGTCTTTTCGGAGACACGGCTCTCACTGGCGACAGTGGTCTCGTTAGAGGCCACTCCCTCGCGAGGAGCAATGACGGCCGCGGTTGTAAGCGATGCCGTTGCGGCGAGGGCGAGAATGGCATTTTTGATGAAGGCCATTTTGGACGGTTGAAGTACTCTTGAATGTCGTGAGGGTAAAGGGAGTGTAGACAAAGGAGTATGCCAGGTCTTTCCGTGAAGCGTCGAGGGCGTATGCGGTCTGGGCTTGCAACTGTGAGAGGAGGTCGTCTGCTGATCTCTTGAGCCTGGAGGAGAAAAGACTGGACAAGACCGAGGAAGATCAAGCAAGTTATATACAAGATGCCCTACTCATATTTGGGGATCGAGCCGAAGGGTTGCCGGCGTTCCACTTTCAGCCGTTTCCAGCGCATGATGCCTTGACTACAGTTCTGATGCTGGTGCAGAGCCTTACAACAGTCCTAGGTCAGATGTTGAATTCTCGGCATGCACGAGCGCCCGGCAGATGATGATTGGAGGCTCTGCGGACTGGGGAAACGTGCAGGCGGGTAATACCGACGTAGCAGCGACACCTTCTATTTCGGCCTTGCACCTTTCAGTCGTTCAGATGAACCAACCAGATTGATTTATTGCCTCTACGGAATGGCCCGCCTCCCCTGCCTCCCGGTCTATTGCAATCTTGCGAAGCGGCGCACCAACTTAGCAAGGCTGCATGCCACCTACCATGAACGGCAATTGGCCCATGTCGCCATGCCACCCTAGGCCACCCCTGGCCGTCAGGTACCATCTCCTGACTCGCTAAAGTGCTCGATACATAGTTGCTGGCGCCAGCCTCATTACCGCCAGGTTCTTGGCATCGACTCTCTGGCGTCAGCTTTTCATAAGTGCCGAGGGTGCTTTACCAAAAGCGGAACTCTCAGCGAATTCCCTCTTTACAAATCTGCTCTGCAGCATGGTCATGGAGGACATCTGACCCCCAATCGCTCGGCTTGTGAAAGATCTGGCCATCTTCTTTATTCTATTTTAGGAGCAGCGCAAATGCGGGGGCACATCGTGGCCAGATGTGCGACAGGGGTGCTGTCCTGCACGTGCTCAGCTCAATTCGGCAGACATGACGGTTACACGGGTCCCAGGAAACGTTGCTGGTGAGTTTGTCTTGACGGGCAAACCCACTACTTCTGCAACAGCATCCGCAAAGAATATAATGGCGTCCCATCAAGTGGCTCGGAATATCCATCGACTAAATAGCCTATTTTGCGAATACTGACGAGGTAATCTTGCCATCCTCATCCCACTTTGAATTAATACTTCATTACCACCGGCTTCCAAGGTCACCACTGCAACCAGTTGTCGCATCCGCTAGGACGTCGCATTTCGGTATTTACAGGACAACTGTGCCAAGTTCAATAAGCTACTTGCTTTCGGCGGTGAGGTGACTTATTCAGCGTGCCCAGTTGATGGTTGCAGTATCTGCATCATGCAAATCTGACGCCATGCTTAAACGCCAAGACACATGTCTCGCGCTGACTCAAAATAGCCATACCATACTGAGAGCGAGAGCTTATTGACTCTGCGGTCTAAAGGATGCAGCCTCTCACATTTGCGGTCATTTCGCACTGCTGGAGAGCCGAGTCTTTCATGGTCTCGTCTCTCAAGTGTGGAGTGGCAGGCTCCCCTGCCTAGTGCACTAGCACCACAACCCTTCCTAGATGAGAGCAATCGGCCCGAGCGTGGTGTCAGACGATGCTTGTGGGCCGACTGACCCTGTGATCTGGCATGCAACCATTCGGCTGCTCAACGGTATCTCCCAGTCCACATCACAAGGCCCAAGCTCCCGCTCCCGCTTCGCGTCCGCCACAGACAGCATGCCTGGTCACAGCTGAACTGTCGTTTGTCCTGGTACGTGCTCAAAAGCAGGCGAAGGGTGTTGGGGAGAACAAAATCTGGAGCATGCCTCACACTCGTCCTTCGGAAGGCCTTTACCGTTCACAAGAAGCTTCGCAAACGCCATCTGCACCTCCGATCATACAAACAGTGCCTCTGCCGCAGACGCCAGAGTCAGGTAAGACTTGGGAAGTATCATTTCAATTCTGGTCCGTATACTCGCTACTACTTGTGCTTGCTCCTCCCTTGTGACCTGATCCCTAGCCTATGCCACCAGATCGACATCCGTTCTGCGGACTGACCTTCATGGCTCAATCAAGGCCAAGTCAAGCAACACCTCCCTCTTCTCGTTGACTTGGATGTGTTTAAAGTATCGCTCACAGTGATAGCTAGCTCAGTGTCAGCGGCCGTGACCTCCGCAAACTCTTGCAGCCACCTCGAGAAGGACTGCTCAGAGTCTCTATACTCACCTCCAGTACGCCGTGCCCGTGGCTAGTCGATGACATCCACGCACATACTCGCGCATGTCCTCGTTGAACTTCTCGTCCGAATCGCTCCACGGCAGCCTGGCCTCAGCCTCGACACAGATGTCGTAGTGCTTGCGGATGAGATCGAGGACCCTGTTCACGGCACTGTGCAGGGACATGTTGTCGTGGGCCATAAATAGGGTGACAAGGTTTTCGACTAAGACGAGGTCAGTTCTCTATAAACGGGGCACGTGATCTTGGGTAGTCGCAAAATAGCAGGTAGCTCGACATACGCTGTCCCACCCTCTGTTTGGCATGACATGGTCAGCACCTGGTCTTATCGATGTGGGACGATCGGGGAACTCACAAACTCCTTCTGAAGTGACAAAATCTCGTTGAGAAGAACAGTCAACCTGGTGCATTCCTGGATGATGGACTCCATGGCCTCATGTCTGTTCAGGGAGTGGTCAGCACCACGCATTCTACCTCCAAAGGCAGGTCAGCCCCCTTTTATGTATATACCTCCGTACCCACTCGGGGAGCTCAAACTGCATGGCATATTCGTTCTGGGTGATGCTGGGAATCACACCGACATCGTCACTACGCATCTGGAAGTGCTCCCAGGGATTGGGCAGGTCTTCGGCCTGGCGGACATCCTGCTGCTTCGCCACACCATTGATGTAGTCGTGCAGCTCGCTGCGGAAGCGCTCCACGGTCACCGGGCCCATGCCGGCGCGCAGATCTCTGAGGATGGGGTAGAACATCTCTACCGTGCCGCGGGAGCCGGCTGGTGGTTCGTAGTTGGGGTTGGGGCCGAGGCAGTCGTCAACGCACTGGTTTGTCTCCTTGCAGCACTGAAGAGTGCCTTCTTTGTCCTCGGTGAGCTCACCGCCTGTGTCGATCTCGTCGTCCCAAAAGAAGATCTAACCGGGCAATTGTTCAGTTAGTCGCATGCCTCGATAGGACGTGCAGAGGTCTTTTGATTATACCCAGTAGAGGAACTGCGTCAACGGGAGCATCTTGTCCCGCGTACAGTGTGGGTAGTATACGGCAGTGAGTAAAGTATAGTTTCCCCGTGCTCGATGCTTGGCCTTCTTGTGCTCAGCAACCTTGACACTGAAGAGAGATGTCGATGTGGTCAGAAAATGCAACATATGAAGTGGTGGCGGTGTTGAACAGAGAGCTCATACGTCTTCAGCCACTCGTCTATCTCTTCATTGACGGCATCGATGTCGGGCTGCAGCTCGCTTGGCCATGCCGGCATCAGTGAGAGGATATCGGGCACGAGGATTCGCTGGCCGGCCGCACGCTTTACCACGTTCTTGCGCGAGTCGATGGGCTCGATGGCATCGGCGTGGCCATGCTTGGCAAGATAGTCTATGTCTGGAGCCATGTTGATGAAATGGGAAGCAAGATTTTCGGAACAGTGTAACTGTCACTCTGATAGGTGTCGCAATAAAGGCTACAAAAGGAGAGAGGCGGAAAGTAACCCAAGCGGCAAGCGGCCAAGTATATAACTCTATACTCATGGCATTATCGGGGACTCGGCTTCATGACTGGGATCCCCTTGAGGACCTCCGCGACGTCAGCCACATGATGTAACATGGCCTTTCTGTCAATAGGACTTCTGCCAGTACCCCTTCAAAGTACGAGAGAGCTCCAGCGGCACGCGAGCTGGCTAAATCCTTTTGCGGTATGTTGCATGCAGATCAGCCTAGCATATCTCGCAGCTGAACTATTGATGACTTGGGAGCCGAAAGCTGGCCCGGTGTCGGTGCTCTGGCAACAGCTTTGACTCAAGGACTGCCAATTGAGTACAGGACGACTACTCAGATTACCCCTGTTTCACCAGGCTTACTCAAGCTAAGGCAGTCTAGTTCTATTGCATTTGATAGTATCTGGATGTACATATTTCTTTTGATCACGACTCCTTATCCGCTAGTCTCGAAAGCGATGGTCCCAAGATGTTTTGTGGGCTGGATTTGGCATATTTGGAATTTGAGCTACCGTTCTTACTCATCCACTAACAGCAGCTGCCAAAGATGACATGGTGTAAACACGACACGCCTATCTGCTGCATATCATGACCGGGTTGCTGCATGTCAGCAATAGTGATGACAAATTTCATTGGTGGTATTTACCATTCGCCGCTAGCCCCTACCCCTGCGTACAGTCTTTGAGGATCCGGGGACCTCCAAACAAGGTCCCCGGATCCGGTGGCGCCACGGGTTCTTTCGGATTGAAATCATGTGGCGCTATCCGGTATGGCTATTGGATGTAAGACGAAGGAACCATCGTATTCTGCGTGATGTGCCGTTATCTACATTTGGTTTGCATTCTCTGCAACGCCAGACGCATATGAAAGTCGGGTAGATCCCCCAGAAAGCATTGACCTAATCCAGGATTAATTCCGTGGTTGGCATAAGATCTTTTCGTCGTTCGTCCACAAAATACCCCGACCTCGGGCTTTAGATCCTGGCTGCACTCCCGCCGACATGTTATCTTGCCCTGCATGCTTCAGTTACGAGTATGCACAACTATCTAGCGAGACCTGATAACAATGTAACGTAACCCTTCTCGCGAAGCTGCCGTTGTGCCCTGCACACGAGACGCCATCACTTCGGTGGCGATCCATTTTACGAGATGGGGGTCACTGCCGCTGCCTGCATGAACAGCAACCAATTGATACTAGGCTCTGCATGCCGCAGATCCGCCAGGATATTCATGTAGTGCTGTCAGGCCGCGTCTCCAAAAGTCCTTGCATGAGAAAGCCTACGAAACGTGAGATGGCCGAGGCAATTCCCCATTCTCGCCGCCGAGCGAACTCGTCTTCCCTGGGCCATGCAGATCAAGGCAGCATCGTATTGCCTACCAACCATGCCTCCTTGAGAATAGCCCTTGATACGCAACGCGTACAGCTCCATGGGTGAAATGATCATATCCGATACTGGCTGAACCCCCTCCCCGCCCCCCTGCCCATGCCCCGTAACGATGACGAATAGACAGTCCAGGTATACCTGCCTAAACCGTGGAGGTTGGCCACCCCACCAGCGTATCAGTCGTAACGCTGCAATGGTGAAGAGCCATAGACGTGGCATTCCAGTCAGTCCTCTGATTCTGGTCCTGACAGTGTATGCATCTGACCATCGCGGCACGAAGCTAATATTCAGCCCAGATGGTGTCCAACCTGTCTGGGCGATTGTATTGTGTATATTACGCAATAAACTATTGAGTGATAAAAGGTCCTTCTAGAGCTAAACAAGAGACAGCTTGTTCTCAAGCAGTTGCACCTGAAGTCTGTGCCTACTTCTTCTCAATCCGCTTGAATAGCACGACCGCGCTCGGGTCAGCCATCACGTTGACCTCAAACATGAAGTTTTTGGGCCTCTCCTTGAGTCCGTCCGCAAACTTGATGTCATAGTTTGACAAGATGTGTGCCAGCACCAGTTTGATTTGCTGGCCTGCGAACCACCGCCCTGGGCACGCATCATTGCCATAGCCAAACTGCATGCTGTCATAAGTGGGACTGACGAACTGAAACTTGTGCGAGTTCTCCTCCGGGTTGTTTTCCGTGCGGAGCTTGTAAAAGCGAAATCCGTCAAAGGCGTGTGGGTCGCCCCATTCGGCGGGCGTCTCGTCAAGGACGTTCGTGTTGACCTGCGCTATTGTCCCAGCGGGGATGTGGAAACCGTCCGAGAGCGTGATTGGGACCATGGCCTTGCGCTGGAAGGTGGCTGTTGTTGTTTTAGGAGCTTGGTCAGTCTTCTTCCGCTTATACATGGCATTTAAAGAGTGTGACCTACCGACTGAAGGAGGGGAGTGTCGCTGAGACTCTTTCATGAACGAGTCAAGCTTCCGAAGCGCAGTTAGGGTCTGCTTCTTCAAGACCGGACTTCCTTCCTCCGCTCTGACTGCCGCAATCTCCTGCCTCAATGGCTCGACGTACTCGGGATGGGCGGCCAGGTCGTACAGAGCGTGAATGATGGCCAGCCTCGTCGTGTGAATTGCGGCGGTGGCGGTCAACATCTGGAGGTTCGCCAGCTCCTTGTCGTCAAAGCTCGTATCGCCAGTCTTCTTGGCGCGGTCAAACATCCACTGGATCATGTCGTTTCGGGGCACGGCGACTCCCGCGCGCTCCTCATCACGACGCCTCCGCAGCTCTGGGGCGAGAAGATCTCGTGCCCGTTGGTGGTCGCCATGTATCCGCCTCATTTCTGGAACAAACCACTGCGCGACTGGCCGCAGCCATGGCGACCACTGCTTGAGCTTCTCTCCTCCAGTCATTACATCTAGGGCAAACTTGGTGCTGCATTCGAGCCACTCGTCATTTCGGCACAGTGGTGCGCCAACGAAAATGCGTGCGCTTGCCTGGGCAACGACCCGGAGAAGCTGTTCGTGGAGGTCGATAGGCGTCCAATCTAAAAGGGGGGATATGTTTAGCAAGTCTGATCAATAGAGCTGGCACGGAATGTCAGCGCGTGATCTTACCATCGCACGGGAGGAATTGTGTATCGAAGCAAAGCCGGATTTCCTCCTCCACATCACCCACAAACAGACCCAAGTTGCGGTTTAGGTCCATCTTGATGGCCCCCAGCATTATATCGCTCTCGTGGTCAATCGTCGTGTAGTTGCCGATGTGTCGCTGAGACTGTCAGCCTCTCGAACTGCTAAGTCAAGTATCGTTACTCACATCCGCCAGCGCCTTCATCCCACTCGCCTCGTGGCGCTTGTACTTCTTGAGGTCGTGTGCATATCTCCGGGGCAGGAAGAGCCTCGGGCCGTCGGGCGTAGCCACTTGGAAGATTTCGTTGCGGAACTGCAACGGATTGACTGTTAGTTCCCCGTTCAGTATCGAGAGCAGCTTTTCCTTAGCCCGCGACTTGCCTTTTCGTACCCCTCCTGCAATACGACGTCTGCCTCCCGCACGTATCTGAGCTTGAGAGCATTGATGTCCGCATCCTCACCTCCAACAAGGGGGACTTTGAATTCATCAGGCCTGGACAGCTTTTTTACCAGGACAATGCCCAGGGCCAAGGAGAGCGTCGCTGCGCCCGAGGCAAGCACAATCTGATTATGAGAGAGCTCCATACTGAAGTCGACGAGAGGCAGTATAACGCGGTCCAAATTTTTGGCAAGCAGGCAGAGTCGAGGGCGGCGTCTTGGAATGACGCAGTAGACCTTTCAATTGAACTAATGGTCGGCACCGCGCCGGAGGTCCCTGGATTGGTCCATTTCACGTGGATGCGCCGCATACTATCGGAGCATGGGAGCACGCGTTTGCTGACATCACAAGATCCCTGTCTGACAGATTGGCAAGCTCTGATAAGCTGCAGTTGTGTAACGTCACATCTCACCACAGGATGTGGGATGACACGACACTCGACTGCGGGCGATATGCCTTGGCGACCTTACAACCCACCATGCTGCAAGCCTGGCAGGGATTGGAAGGCCCACTCGCCGGGCCGCGAACGGGCGAAAGACCCTGAGTAAGGGACACAGGGTCTGCTTCCCCGACCACCGGCCGGGGTTGGTGCATGAAGAAATGCAAGAAAGAGGGTCTTGTACGCTGATCATGCCCAAGTATACGAGGGATGATGATCGGGTATTTCAAATGACTGGCCAGCTCTGTGCATTAGGTCTTCCTCGGGGATTCCTTCAGGAAGACCCCGACAGGGGCGCAATCCGGAAGTGATCTTCCATCGTGACAGTTTCTTTTGGGGGAGTCTGTACCAAGGCAAGGTCCAATCGTCAGCTCTAAGCACGATAGGTTGTCGTGTGAATGTGGAGACATCTTGTGAAGCGGCGTTGGCGATGTGCATGCGGCACAGTTCAGTCATCTGACCGAGGTGGCAGATAGTGCTACTGATGGGCCTGACAGGGTTCTTGGTTCAAGCCGGTTTTCCCTGATGACTTCGGCATTGACGAATGTGGTCTCCAGAATGAACTTACCTCCTACTATTTGTCATTTTCTATTTGTCATTCATCGTCATCTCTGGGATCATCATCGCCATCATATCATTAACATTTTCACGCCGCCCACCATATCATTATCACTCTCAAGAACCATGGCACCGTCAGCCATCCAACCACCACCCGCTCTTGACGCCCGTCGTGAAGTGACCAAACTCACCAAAGAACCGCTGCCCGCAGGGCTGGTTCGTATCCCCCCTTCAAAGCTCGATCTCCGCTCCGACGATGAGATCGCAGCGCTCCTGCAAACCCGCCGGCCCATCGTCTCGGACAAGAATGTCTGGGCATTCTGGCACACGGGCTTCCAGGCGATGCAGCCCTGGAACAGACGCAACATCATCAACTGGACTCGCCGCCTCGGGCCGGAATGGACAGTCCACGTAGTCGACCGCGTGGACGGGTCGCCCACAAACATCTTCAACTACGTCGACAAGTCGCCGCAGTGGTTCCCGCGCGCGTTCCTCGAGAACACGATGGACGGGCCGAGCGTGGGCCCGCACTCGGGCGATCTCGTGCGGCTGCCCCTGCTCTGGCTGTACGGGGGCGTCTGGATGGACGCCGGCACGCTGCTGTTCCGACACATCGAGGACATTTGCTGGCGGGAGATTGAGGATCCGGCCAGCCCGTACGAGATGGCCGGGTTCATCATCGAGATGCGGCCCGAGATCGACACCATGCTCAACGGCTTCATCGCGACGAAGCGGCACAACGACTTTGTCAGGAAGTGGCACGAGATCTACCTTGAGCTGTGGCGTGGCGAGAATCAGGAAGGAGGAGGAGGCCACAAGACCAACGCCGCCGGCTTCCACAAGCACCCCCTCCTTGCCCACCTGCCGCTGCTCAAGCCGCCAGTCGACAAGCTCAACTGCCCAGACTTGAACGTCATGACCGAGGCGTTTAATGACTACCTCGCCCACTTCTTGTGCTTCGAGAGACTTCGTACTCTCGTCGACGATGGCAAGGACGCCAGTGGACAAGACAAGTTCGATGGGCCAGAGTACTACGCCAAGAAAATGTGGTTCGCCCCTGCAATGCAGGAGCTCTGGGCCTTCCAGCAGCAAACTGGGTGGTCAGGCACGCGGCAATTCGAGCTCCTCAACACACACCGAGACAATAAAGCCCAGGAGAAGGACGACCTGTGGACCCAGGCAGAGTCGTTCGTGCACGAGGCCCTCGCCAACACGGCGACCATGAAGCTCTCCCACGGCCCCGCGGGCGCACTGGACTCGTTCCTCGCGGACCTGTGGGACTCGGAGGAGCATCAGGACAAGGATATCGCCGAGGGCACGTTTGCGGCGTACTTGCGCTATGGCAGTGTATGTGTTCACCCCCGACCCCCTGACTTCCGCTTTTTCTCTTGCCCTCATCTGCTCTTAATCCCCTTTTGATTCAGCCCTACTGGGTGACACCAGGTGCAAGATATTTGCTGATATTTGTTTCGTGGTGGCGTGCTACAGGTCCACTATGATCAGATCAGGGTCATTGAGCCGGTTAAGCCGAGAACTGCAGGGGAATATACCTTGCACGCAGGTTATCTCGAGCCCAAGACAATGTGAAGATGAGGGATGGCATTGATGCATGGGTAGAGATTGATTCTGGCGCAGGGACGAGATAGTTCACTTCTGTTGATGTGATCTTTAATACAGCCCAAAGTACCTAGAAAATGCACCGCGCTGGAGCGCCGTTGACGCAGACGTGCTGTTTCCCAATGCTGCTGAACTTGAGACCAGACATATGCTAGACAATATACATCTACATGAAGACCCCAAGCGGCACCTGCTTCACCTAATCAGGGCGCTCAACGAGTCAGGATGGGGCTTGTGGGCGACGCAACCACTAAACTTCTCCTCTCCTCACCGAGGTACTTCCGCCTCACCCTGTTCTTCCACTGGTCCAGTGTGATCCACCTCTCCTCGCCCGCCTTTCCCTCTATATCTGGTAATGGCACACTGCCCCGGGGCATCCCTATGTAGATGCTCGGAACCCATTTGGGAATCGCAAAGAGGGTATGCTCACGATCGCAACGCATTGTCTTGGTCTTAGGCAGCTCGCCCTTTTTCAGCTTCGCGTAGCATGTCTCGCAGAGCTTAACCACGCCGACACAGTCCGCGCAAGTGTGCAGTACCTCCTGGTCCTCCACGATCCACTTCTTGCCGCAGGATGCGCAGTCAACGAACCAGTCGGGCTTGGTAGGGCCAGTGTAACTTGGTTCGGTGCCGGCGTTCGACGCGTCTGGCGAGTTCGGCAGCTGCGGCATCGACGAGTCTGTATTTACGTGCAGGATTCCCTGAGCAGGGGCCGATGTGCGCCGCGACACGTGCATTGGCGTCTCTGAAGAGGCGGTCGATCCATTGGTATTGGTCCGTGTGGGGAGCTGTCGGCGCTTGTCCATCTTGGTATTGTCGGCATGTCCGTTTGTGCGCGGGTCGATAGGCTCGGTGCGGTGGCGGTATAGAGTGCTGCTTTCAAAGCTGTCCTGGCCGTAGAAACTGCTCTCACGCGAGGAGTACGGCGTGGGCTCCGAGTAGGCTTGACTTGGCAACTCTGAACTGGCCCACCCCTCACGAGCAGATTTCCACTGCTCCCATGACTGCAGGGCTTGTGCCTGAAGAGAGTTGCGGAGGTTGTAGACAATGCGGGTGTTCTCGCGGTCCTCAACCGTAGTCAAAATCCGTGACAAAACCCAGAAGGCAATGTCGTCATTGTCCTCGTCCTCATCCGATAATAGCTCGAGACTGGAACGAATGATGCGGTGGAGCCAGTATGTCGACAACTTTGTGCTTGTACTGCGCTTCGTATGATACCGTATGAGGCAGCAGACAGGTACTATGATGGACCATATATCGTATTGATGATCCGTCTCCGGGGTAAGGCCAGCGAGACGTGCGCCATACGTCTCAGCTTCGGTTTCCGACATGGTCGAAGGCGGGGTCAAGGCCAATTCCAGATAAGCAAGAGCCAAGGATCCAGTCATCGCGCTGACAGAGTCCTTCGGCAGATAGTCGTCAGGATGCTCCTTGACCATCGCCAAGGCGTCGCTGCGGATGCTCAAAATCTTCTCCTTGTGCTGCTCGCCAGCAGCAGCTTCGAGGACCTTGGCGAATGCATCCTGTACGACAAATAGAAGGCTCGTCGCGTCTCTCTTCTCCCCGAGATCGATACTGATGGTGAAGAAGACCTCCACAACATCCCAACGCTGTGTAGCGTCTGCGGCCTTGGCGAGGAAGTTTTCGCCCGATTTCGTAAGTGCAACCATGAACTCGTTGACAAGCTCATCATACCACGCTTCCCAAGACTCCTTCGCATTGTTCAGGGCTTCCACAAACGCTATGATAGCATCCCACGCTGCACGTTGCTGATAGTTCTCGAGGATGGTTACATAGTCCCGGAAATGCGTATAGTCGTACTGCAGACTCTCGCGGTGGACTTTCGCGGCCAATGCCGCATCCTCGCCTAGATCCCACAGCCGATCGCCGAGCTCCAGAGTGGTTCGTGCCAGCAGGGACGAGTTGGCATGGTCACTCAGCCATGAGGGTGAACGTGAACGTGCGATATCCATGTCCTTCTTGGCCCTCTTCAGCAGTGTGATTGCCTCCTCGTTTGAGGTAGAGGTCTGACTGGCGATGAAATGGCATGCGTGCCAGTTCTGTGGGTTGAGCCTGATGGCTTCACGTGCTCGCTTCTGATATTCCTCAGTATTGCCCTTGGTCAGTTGAAAGATGGCGAGGGCTGCATGAATCTGCCATAACGATTGCTGTTTCGAATCATCCTTGGAGCTCTGCAGTTCCGTTGCGCACCAAGCCTCAATCTCTAGGACTTCTTCAAGCGTGAAAGACTCGCCCTCGAACGGCTTGAACATAGCAGAGTCTTCCAGGACGTAGTCGTGTCGGGAGTCTGTCATCATTTTCGATTTCTCCGGGTCACACTGGTGCGTCTTGGTTAGCCAGTAGGATTTCCACGTCGCTTTGCAGTACTTACCCGTGCTAGATAGCCGCGGATGAACCAATGGCCTGCCAAAATTTGGCGTTTGGTGAACTCCATACGCCGATAGAGGTGCTTGGCCATGCGTATCGCGGCTGGACGCAAGATGACCATGTGCAGATCTTTGACATCGGCATTTCGCACGGCTGTGATAAAGTCCTCCCCCGGAGGACTCGTCACCGCGCTAATGACACTGCTGTCTTTGAACCACCGCTTGAGTTCTTCCATGCCGTATCCGTGTAGCGTGTAGAGCCATTCACTTCGAACGTCCCTCAGCGTTGCACCTTCGCCATGTCTCCATGTTTCCATGCTAACATTGAGATCAAAGGGCCACAAGAAAGTGTCGATACCGTAATCGTCCGTGAAAAGCTTCGCAAGCAGCACGCCGGCAGAAGCCTTCAGCTCCCGGCTTGCCAGTGATAGATCTGTCTCCTTCATATGGTCTAGCAACCACCAGCACGCATAGTATCGGAGTTCAACATTGAGCTTCAGCCCGGGATCTGTGAGGAGTGTGAGGCATGTTATGGTGATGCGCAGGTGGGAATTATGCGGGTCAATGTGAACGCCCTCGCGCGTTCCGCCACCGACTTTATCATTGAAGAACTTTTCAAAGTCAAATCGGTCGTAGAGCTCGGTCGGGCACACGTTGTGGAGGAAGTGGCGGACGATGTTGATCTCTGTCTCAGCAACGCGGCCAGTGGTGGCAGGGATGTCTGTCCGGTGGCCAACCTCATAGTCGTCATACTCGGGAATGAAAGGCACATAGTCAATAGAGCGCCAGTCGACATTTCCGGAGTCTGTGATGGTGAAGAGCGAATACTTCTCGACGAGCTTCTGAGCTAGAGGGAGAAGAGATATGCCGTATCGAGACTGCGTATTTCCCAGGGGGCTGCTGGATCGGGTCCCGCTATCAACAGGCGACGCTATCCCCAGGCCACTCCCAAGGCCCAATCCCGATAGTTTCGGAGATTGTGTGTAGCCTTTGGGAGAGTTGGCAAATCGGCCAACGCTGGCAACCGTCGGTGTTGAGTTGGAATTGCGGCGAGAACGATGGTGCTTGACAGAAAGCAGAGCTTCCATCTGGTCAACTGAGAACCATTGGCGCCCTGCTTCAATCCAGTACATGATCTCATTGATCTCCTGGATCTCCTTGGGCGTTCTTGTGGTATTGAGGCGCCGAATCTCTGCCTGTATCAGGTCATCACGCGTTTGACCGGCCTGCTTGAGGATGTCGGTGATGTCGTCCACAAGGTCAACAGTAGATAGCTTGTTGAGGCTGTTGTTCAACTTGATGAAATCACCTTGGCACTCTTTTTGAAGGGTTCTGAGGATGGTCTTGCGCCAACTGTCTATTCCAGGACGCCTTTCAGCGTCTCGCGTTATTGGCATCTTGTCCATGCGATCGACAATGTACTTTTGCACATCATCCTCGTTGAGTTCCCGAATAGGAATCATGCCGAAATTGAGTGACAAGGACTTTCTGAGGAAGCCGCTGACCGTGGCTGGCCGGGCGTTGATAAAGATGCGCATCTTCTTGTTATCGGGCACCTCGGACAGGGTTTCTAGGAGCGGCAGTAGCTTCTGGATCTCTTCGTCCACTCCGTCGATGAAAAGATAGAAGGTGGTGTCGGGGTTGAGCCGCTCTTTATTGTTTACGAACAGCTTTCGCCATTGGTCCACAGAATTGGTGAAATCAGCGTGCCGGTCCATAAGTTGCATGAAGGACTTGGTCATTGCTTCGTAGGCCGTGGCGATTTGCCACAAGAGTGTGCGTGTGACGACTTCCAGCAAGGTCCCAATGTCCTCATCGTCCTCCTTTCGCCTATCGGCCTCGGGGAAGTAGTACGCGCAGACCACCCTTGATGTCGGTCCAGGCTGATCTGCCGTGAGAAATGACCGGAGGATGTTCGCCATCAAGGATGTTTTCCCGGAACCGCTATCACCCTGTGTGACAAGCATGTAGTGTCGGGGGTTCTCGGAAGCCAGCCAGTCTTTGAAAGGAGCATAGTTGGAAACCCACTTGCCCGTGCCGTCAACCAGGCTGTTCTTCCTGTTGTCATAGGACTTTCGCCAGTATGGGACTGGCTCCTTGTTGCTTCCGAGTGAGGTTTCTGGAAATCCGAGCCTCGCCACAATCGCTCGTCGCCAATTCTTCATCTCCTCGTCTCGCCGCTGCTTGCGCTGCCCTTCCAGCAGTATGTCCAATCTCCCGGCACTGTCCTGCACTATTCGCCATGTCTGTGCGTTCACGAGGAGTGTTTCTTTGCCGTTGAGCCGATCCATCATGTCGAGCAGATCCTGGATGCCATTATCGTTGAGGAACAACTGCCTCGTGAAAGCAAAAAGCCTTGCATGTTTCTTGCGAAGTTGTATGGTCTTGGCGCACACCTCGACAAACAGCCGGAGGTTTTGGCAAGCCAAGCAGGCAAGTCTGGTGTCCATCTTGTCCTTATAATATGTGAGACGCTCCAGAAATTCTGTGCATTTCTCGAGAAGCTCGGCCAGGTTCTCAAACATGCCCTCATATCCCTGCCAAGCCTGAATGACAAACGTCAGTGCATTAAAGCACATCTGTGAAGGTCCAAACACCTGTGAACAGTTAGCCGGAGGTCGTCTGTTTGAGCGGAGTTAGGTGATCAGGACTAACTTCAGAGGCACCATCGGCGATCATCCCGCCGACTGTTTGGATGCATTGCAACGTTTTGCCGGTTACATCTTTGAGCCATGCAAACTTGTCTGCCGCTTTCTTCGCGGCTTTCTCCGTCGCAACCTTGTCGAGTGTGAGCAGGACATCATCAATGTCAAGCTTTTTGAGATTGGACGGGTTGCCGCCAGCCAGTATGAGAACCTGCTCCTTGAGGTCTCGCCACACGTTCTCGAGCTCCTTCCGTTCCAGTGTGGACGTCGTGTTTGGCGTGCTTGGGGTGGCTGAGAAGCCCGTTCCGGCCCGGGATAGTTGCATATGCGCCATGGCAGGCCCTGGCGTCTGTTGAGTGGCGCGCCGAGTTGACCTATGCTACAGGCAAGACGGCCTGCAGATTGTTTGAGCAGCCAGGGCAGGAGGGTGTGGAGGTGAAGGAGAGCCTTGAATTGTACGTGGATGCCAATACATAGATGTTTTGCTCGCCGTCAACGACAATGGACCACAGTGCTCCCAGAAGCTCGGTGGCGACCCAAACGCCTTTTTTTCACAACGGAAGAGGCTCCTTGGCGCCTCGCGTGGAGCGGTGTGGCGGGATATATAGGAAAATATGCATGTCAGACTGGCTAGGACCCCGGAGCCTGCCAGAGGATCCGCCCCAGGGGGCCGCCTCAAACATCGTCGTTCGCCCCACGCAACGCAACGCACGGCAAGGCTGCGGCTGTGGCTGCAGCTGGAGCAGCGAAGCAGAACAGCTCAGCCTCTGACGGGGGAAGCTTGACGACTCGAATGGGTGGCCAGGCCAGCCAGACACTCCAGGCATACGGCAACCAGTGATCAGGCTACCCTATTGTAGACAAGAACTGCAGTAGGCTCCCAGCCACACATAATTAGTGGCGTAGAGCTCTGGGACGGACCGATCCTCATGGGCTATGCCCGGCGCGTGATGGGGGATCGACCACCAGGAGAAAGGAGGGTGGTGCAAGCGGCTGGGTACTCCAAGTGCGCAGCCTCAAACACCTGCAGTTGGCCCGATGCATAGCCTTGGGGGGAAAACTCTTCGTTGGTGTTCTGTGCCGTTTCTGGGTGTCGGGTATCGCACCCTTTGTCAGGGATCTGTTGCACAGCCCTGTCGACTTCCAACAGAGCCTGAGCTAGGGCCTGATGGGGGCTGATGTTGCGTGCCGTGGTGCCGGCGGCTCAAGGCTGGGTTCGAGGCGGGGATGCCCTGGGGAGGGCCTGGCAGAAGTGCTGTTGCTGAGACTGGTCTCGTCGATCGACACAGGGGGCTCAGCAACGGGTTGGCACATTGCCGAGCCTTGTCGCTGTCATTCTGGATGGCCATTGTCGAAAGCTTTGCCATGACTACGCTAACGTAGATTGCGCCGGTCAGTAACGGGACGGAGGGTTTGGTTGTTTGGTGCATGAGGTGAAATGTGCACGTGGGAGACAATGGGCATCGTGTGGCAGGTGCGGGGCGTTACTGCTTGAAGTCTACGCCTGCAATCACACCTGCACTCTGAGGGCGTGAGGTGTCTTCCAGTGCTGCAGGGGCCACAGGGCGCTTAGCTTCATTGCCAGCCACAACTTCAATCACAGCGCAGCGTCTACGCAGCACACAATCGATGTCCAATCACTATGGTTATTCTCGTCTCATTGCCACATGATTGAATGATTGACTGACTGATAGTCATGAATTGTTCTCAGCATGAACATTAGCTACCATAACGTAGCCACGACCATAGACAGATCCAACCGCCTGAGCATCATTCGCCGTGCCAACACACTCTCTCACCAGCAAGACCTCCCCCCACAAATGCGTCCTTCGCTCGTCCACGAATCCAAAGTCTCCCTCAGCGTCCGTTTCTGTGCCAGGATCAGGGATACCATCTCCAATTGGGATGCTTCCACTCAAGACTCTCAATCTCGGCCTCCGACAGTCCGCGAAGCTGCTCCTCGGCATCCCGCCCGTCCCGCTTCTTGTTGTCACGGTGCATCCACAGCAGCGCGGCTGTGCTGACTAGCAGAATCAAGCCGCTGGCCCCCAGGTTGATGCCATTACCAATCTTGAAGTCGGGCTTGTCCCAGGGAAGATAGGTCCACGTGGCAATCAGGCCTCCAATGTTGCCGCCCATCATGTTGATGGCCAGACTCATGCTGCGAGACGTGTCGCTAGACACCATGGCCGCCGCCTGTGCGTTTGTCAGCGTCCCGACCGCGAAACAGCTGCTGGCCGTCAGAAACGTGGCAGCGTAGCGAGCCGTCGGGTTGTTGGTCGCCAGAAACATGATGTATCCCGCCATAACCATCGGCGTCGAGGCAACAATGAAGATCTGTCGTTTGTCGAGTCGCCAGGCCATCAGAGGAAGCAGCAGCTCAAAGAAAGCGCCAACCACGAACGGGGGCACGGTGTACAGCTGCTTCTGGACTGTGCTGAAGGTCGGGTAGATTGTGCCAACGATCGTCGGGGTGAAGAAGGCCAGGCCCTGGACGGTGATGTTGTTGAGAAGGAACGTAAACGCGGTCGCAAGGACTATCGACATCCAGACGTCAGCAGTATTCCAGGAACTCAGCGCGGGCTGGTACCTACTCATCGGGTTCCAGAAACCCAGCCACAGCTTTTGCTTGCCCATTTTGTCAAGCACCTTGGACTGTGCTACACGCTCGGACTGGACGCGAGAAACCGCCAAGGCCTTCTCTTCCTCGTTCAGCCATCTTGCAGTCTCTGGCCGATCGGTCAGGGTGAAGAAGGCGATGATGGCGAGCCCGATCGTGATGATGCCCTCAATGGCAAAGATCATGCGCCAGGACCGGAGAGTTCCAAAGTGGTCCAGGCTCAAGATGCCCGAGGCCAGCAGTCCTCCAAAGGCACCGGCCAGGGGCGCCATGACGATGAAGAGCGACAGCCGGAACGCAAGCTCGCCACGGCGGTACCATCGGGAGAGGTAATACGATATGCAGGGCATCATGCCGGCCTCGAAGATGCCCAGGACAAAGCGCACACCGCACGCCTCGCTCAAAGTGTGCACAAACGCCGTGCCAACCGAGACAACGCCAAAGGCGAGAGTGAGGAATGGAATGAACCGTCCAGGCCCAATCCATTTGCACGCGATAGTGGACGGGATTTCGAAGAGAATGTACTACGCGGTGTCAGTGGACACTACTGCGGCTGCTCGAATGTAATTTCCAGGCGGGCTCTCGCACGTACCGAAATGTAGAAGATGGACAGCAGCGTGTTGTAGTCGTATCCTGTCATGCCCAGGTCCTGCTCAAGGCCAGCCAATCGAGCGTTGCCTTTTGAGTTGAATATTGTCAGTAGCTGGGGGGATACGGCGGATTCGTGGTGTGCATTCGCTCACCAATATTGGCTCTGTCGATGAAGCAAAACAGGTACAGGAACGATACGATGGGCACGATGGCCCAGTCAATCTTAGTGCGCAGGCGACGCTCGGCATCTCTGTTGCTGCTGTAGCTGCATGCGCGTGTTGTTGTCAGCCATCCTCCCCAACCAGCCTGCGATCGGTCTCGAAGGAACACAAGCTCACCTGTCCACGGCCCCGGTTCCTCGCTCTGCTGAGCTGTGCTCGTCCAGCACGTCGGAAATCTTCTCAGGAGTCGACGTCATGATTGCAACTGTGATCTTCGCCTGCGGATGGAGGGATGGCAGTTTCCAAAGACAGGAGGATGATGCGGACGAGGCAGCTTCTTTTGAAGTAACCTGGGCGCAAGGAACAGGGCGGAAGAGCGTTGAACCGCGGTGTAACCCCAGACAGCCACTCGCCGCCCCACGAGATCAGCATGGCATGCATGCCTGTGATAGCGACCCAAACACGCACGGAGCGTTCAAGAGGCCAAATGAATCTCCGCTCGTGGAACAGGGGTCACAGAAGTGCCGAGCACATTCGGCCGGGTCTGTGATTGCAGAATGGCCCTGGGACAACTGAGAGACCGCATTTGTCCCATTGTCCCCCTTACTAGAGTGTAACCCGGCACTAGTTGGGATCGCGTTGACGGGCGGAGGATGATTGTTCCCTTCGCCAATGCTCAAGTCCTTCCCACAATGTGTGGGGACCCCGCGTTCTCTCAGCCTCCCTAAGACAAGCCTGGTCACGCCAAGATGCCCGGGACACACTCAGCCAATGTCCTAGTCGCGATTTCATCACAGGTGTCACCACTACTTCTCGTTTTGTTGCCAAATAAGCCCAGTTAGTTTCGATATTCACTCCCGCCTTCAATTCGGGAGTTTTTTAACTTTCCCTCTCGACACATCACAATGACGGGCAATTCGTTCGTGTCTAAGTGGACATGTTCCCCATCCCCTTAACGAGCACGCTGGGGTGTGTGGTCCACGGCGGGATCTCCGCACTCCGGGGCCGCCACCCCCCTGGCTCCCGCGCCCCCCATGAATGGCGTTCGATCGCCCTCTTCTTGTGCGGAGTAGCAGCGATACAGCCGCGGGCTGCGACGCTCGCGGTATGGTTCGCCGGCAGTTGGGCTCGGCAATGCTTGGAGCCTGCACGCTCAACTTTTTTTTTTGTGTAGGTGCCCCTGCTTGAATTTCACGCTTGTGGTGCCTTGCTTTATGCTTGATGTTATGCTTGGAACTTTGTTGCTTCAGACAGGCCAGAAACTTTCTCCTCAAGGGTCTCGAGATTACGCAATTGATGAATCTGGCGGTCGCCTGGCTTCAAATGCAAGATGTACGAGTCCGCTCCCACAGAAAGACTGAATGGTACCCTGCAAATGCATGAAGCATCGACCAAGTCCACATATCTGCACAAGCCAGCCAAGGCGATAGGGGGCCAGATCATCGTCAAGACACGGCCCACGTAGTATCGGGCCGGGAGGAAAATGCCGTTATGGGTCTGCGTATCACGGTTGTATGTCGGCCGGTTGTTGAAACGCATGCTGTTTTTTTATCTTTGTTGACTCGGCCCAATCAGTAATTCCACGAGGCAAGATAGCTTTGATGATCGCCGGCAGCGCTGCAGTTGCGTTGCAGTGCATGCAGGTCCATGCATCCCATGAACAGTGCGCCTGGCATGGCACGGCTGTATTTCGGACGCTGGCAGGGCAGCACAGGACAAGACAGGCCAGGACAGGACAGTAAAGTATGCTGCATCTCGTGCGAGTTATGAAAGCACTTCTTTTGCTGCTTGCACGTCCAGAGGCTGACAGGTTGCAGGTTTGCAGAGGGCCGGAAAGCTAGAAAGGTTACAGGGCATCGTCCTCTGTCCTGCCTATTGGGGCAGTTGATGCACTGCGCGCGGGCCCTCAGATACCGCTTTGTATGTAACGGAGACACCGGGATATGGAACTTTAGGATGCAACTTGGGTATCATGCCGCGACTGATCTCGAACAGCAATATGTGTCCGATCAGCTTCCATCGGGACCCCCGAGCTCCTTGTACAGTGTCATCAGCGGCTGCCCGGCCACATCCTGCTCGAGCTGCTGCTGCAACTCGTCCTGCACAGACAGCGAATGTTCTGACTGGTGGCCGCCGCCGCCGCCGTGTTGGGCAGCAGCAGCAGCAGCAGGACTAGGATGCTCCTCCAGCTCTGGCTCGTGGACTTGATGTCCCTGTGGCGCATCCTGGTGATGCGAGTTATGCTCCTGTCCCGACATCATACTGGCCATCGACACATCCTCTTCGCCATTCCCCACGCCACCGCCGGCGCCGCCACCACTGCCACCACTAGCACCGCATTCTTCCTCGTAGACGGCGGAGAAAAACTCGTCATCCTCATCAGCGCCCCTCCGCCTCTTCCTCTTGAGCCTGCTGACCTCTGCGTCCTTCCAATCGAGCACCTCTACGTGCGGCCACCGCCGCTGCCAGTGCACAATCCACTGCTTGCCCAGCTTCTTCTTGTTGTTGTTCACCGCCCCAGCGGCACCGGCGGCGTGCTGCTGTTGCTGCTGCTGCTGCTGCTTCTGCATGACCCGCTCCGCGAGGTCGTACAACTCGTCCTTGGTCGGGGGCAGGCCCAGCGCGCCCTGCGCGACCGCCCAGTCCGCGAGCAGGCTCTCCTGGCGCAGCGTGAGCCGCGACATCTCCCCCTTGAGGCTCTTGGGCTCGCGGCCCCGGGCGCGCGAGTTGAGATTGCTGGGCGGCACGCCGTAGCGCTTCGCCGCGTCGGCGACGGTCGCGGCGCCGGACTGCACGGCCTCTACTGCCTGGGCCATCTCGTCCTCGGTCCAGGTGTACCGCGTCGACGGGGTGGGGATGTGCTGCTGCTGCTGCTGCTGAGGGTGCTGCTGTGACTGTGGCTGGAGGGCCAGCCCCGCGACGGCTTGTTGCGAGAGCGGTGTCGTCGTGCTATTTGCGGTGTCATTGTTGACGGCATGCCCGGCGGTGGCGGTGTCGTCGCGACGCCGGGTGATGATGACAGGAGCCGTGGCGGCGCCTGGCACTGAAGACGCAGCAGAAGAAGCGGGCCTGGGCTTGGACGGCGGCGGCCGTCGATCTGCTACACGTTCCGCGAGGGTCGTCTTGGGCACGCCGTACGCGTTGGACGCCTTGCGCAGCGACATGCCCTTCTCCAGGATGGCGTGGACGGCGAGCTTGAGGTTCTCCTCGCTGTAGACGCGGTATTTGGTCTTGCGCTGCGGGCCGGTCCGGGCCTCTGGGCCTGGACGTCGGTGGTCTGTTGGCACTGCATCTAGTGCGCTGCTGTTGCTGTCCACGCCCATGCTTTGTGAGTGTGGTGTGTCGATGTTTGGGTCGATCAACATTGGCCCTGCTGATGTCGTGGCAGACTCAGTGCCAGAGAAGGCTTGAGCAATTGCTGGAGCTGCTGTTGTATCATGGGTGGCAGCAAGCTCGTCTCGTCTCATCGACGGGTCGACACCATGCTCGGGCGGGAAGCTATCATGATATGCTGGGACTTCAAAACCTGATGCCATGCCCGAGGGCGGGTGTTGGAGCAGGGGCGCGTCCATGGCCCAGACAGGCTTGATGAAGCTGATGGACACGGTCTGAACCGACCTCACGCTGGTGGCAATTCTCTGCGCGCCCGGGAGGATGGCCTCTGGAGGCCGGGACCCCAGCTGTTGCTTCTCTGGGGGCTGTGAGTGAAGCCGGAGAGGTCGTGTAAGTGGGAGTCGTGGTGTCCCAATTCCGTCCAGAAGGCTTCTGTCCGGAAGGGTTGCGAGAGATGAGCAAAATGCGTGAAAGGTGTCCCAAAATTGGAAATGGCGAGTTGTTGACAGTCCCTTGAAGTGGGGCCCAACGCAGCCAACCAGAGTTGAGCACGAGCATGGCATGAGAGGTACGATTGACTGTAGAGGAGGTCAAGATCTCTGGGCGCAACTGCAAGGACCTGGGCGCTCGCCTTTCGCAATACCGATAAAATAACACAAGGAGCCGCAAACTAGGCTATGCTGATCGTTATTTCGTGGCGCGCAATGCAACCTGCAGCTCGTCTAGCCAAACCCATATGTCGTTTTGAACACCTGCAGTCATGTAGAAGGCCCTCTATGATTCCCGCTCGGCACCCAATGTCCCCTCCTGTATCCACCCGAGCGGATACGCCACAGTTGTTTTCGTTATATATATACATATACACTACGAGGGCCGGCAATCTCGCAAAGCCCCCAGCATGTTTGTGCGGACCTGGAATGCCTGTCCATCTCGCACAAGACACAATAGCCTCTCCCAGTCTTCAAGTCAAAGACTTGGCCAGAGTGCCGGTTCCCCTAGAGCTGAAGATACCCATGATGCCGAAGCCCGCATAGAAGAGCATCAGAGGATACGCCACGAGGCCCCTCATGCCGCGCATCCTTCCGACAGCGCAGAACATAGCACTGGCGCTGGTCGTGCACCAGATGATCGCTGCCGTGGTGAGCAGGTAGCCAAAGATTCCGTCCATTGGCACGACGATGCCAACCAAGCTGATCATTACCAGAGGCAACAGGCAGTATCCCAGAACACTCGCGCTTCGCACAAAAGTCAAGGTGCTGTTCATGTGATCCTTGTGGTCATCGCTTCCGCCACTGCTGGGGTCCCCCGGGTAGCCAGGACCTGCCGAGTATGGCGGTACAGCATGCGCCGCTTGGGCCGCAGTTGACCCATCTGGAGACATCAAGGACAGAATTGTATGCAATCCAATCGAGCCAACCAGTCCCAGACCATAGATATAGCCGAAATGCACCTTGCCGCTGAAGAGCAGGAAAGTGCCGAACATGAGGAAGAAGAGGATAGGGCCTGCAAGGTCGGAGTCGTCCATGATGTGTTGGTCTATCCGCGCGAATGGGTTGAGGACGGCTAATGTCTGTACTCGGTCAGCACAAAACCGTGGGCACTGACCCGGAGTTACGGCAGCTCACCTTTCTTTGGATGTGGTCAAAGTTGACTCCCAGCTCCTCAAGCAGCGGTGGCTCGCCATCGTAGCCTTCCGTGGAGAAGGCAGCTAACCAGCCTGTCCGGAGGCCACCCTGCTCGCCCATGCGCCCACTGACACCAGGAGGAGCGCCAAAGCCACCGAAACTTGCCTGGCCGGCAGGAGGGGAACCATAGCCATAACCTCCTTGCTGAGCCGCGCCGTGCGCGCCGGGCACTCCGGGTGAATATGTTGACGGGTAGAACTGGAGGTTGGAGTCGCCGGCCCCTTGGAATTGGTTCGGCCCACCGTAGTACTGCGCCATGATCTGCGGCGCCCTTCGCTTTCCGTCGTCGACAGCAGGGTACGTGAAGAGGTTATTTCGAGTATGTGCTGGCGGTCGAGATGATCGTAGAGGGGGGATGCGAGTAGAGGACCCAGTACAAGCACCCTGATGAGTGATAGTGGGTTCTTCCAAAGGAGTCGTGCCAGGAGGACTCCCTCAAGCGGTTCCGGATAGGCAACAGCGATCTATAATCGGCGCGGTAGGGTGGTGGGCTGCCCAGTGATGTCGTCGGAATTGTGTCTCGCAGACAGGACAGCTTAAGCTTGCCCACCCAGCTCCGTGCTCAGGGAAGTGGCCAGCAGTTGCTTCGTCACTTGGTGGGGTCCCATTTGCCTACCCGGTAATGGGGCCTTGGCCGCCCTGTGCCGCCGCACGAGGGAGAACAGCGGTGGCACCTTCCGCACGCACATGTTCTGTGCTAGGCTTACCCGGGCTTAGCGCAAGCGGAACGGATCCAAAGATTCTCGCCAACATTCAAGTCCCAGGCGAGAATCGGCAGACCTCAGCACCTCTCCCCACGACGACGACGACGACGACAACGACTACGACGACGACGACAACGACTACGACGACGACGTACAGCTTCGCTGCTGGCCAACACAAAACATGGTGCGTACAGTACATTCCCGCTCTCCTTGTGTCCCTTCCTACCTATCTGCAGCCACAGGCAGTCCCTGTCTTGCATGTCCACCTCATCTACACAACTAACATCGGGTTCCCCCCTCCACAGGCACACCGTCTCATCACCCAAGTCGTCCTTATTGGCGGCCGCGTGCTCGGCCGCGCCTTCACAGAAGCGTACAAGCAGGCGCAGGCATCATCGAACTACCAGCGCGCGCAGGCCAAGCTCAACCCGAATGCCGTCTCCGCCCGCGCCAGCCTGTCGAGCGGCATGACGCTCGGCGAGGCGTGCCAGATCCTCAACGTCAAGCCCCCGCAGAACGGCCAGACCAACATGGAGGAGGTCATGTCGCGGTTCAAGGCGCTCTTTGACGCCAACGACCCGCAGAAGGGCGGCAGCTTCTACCTCCAGAGCAAGGTCCTCCGCGCTAGGGAGAGGATAGAGGCAGAGGTGCGGCCGGCGATGGAGAAGGCCGCGCAGGAGGCCGAGGTCAAGGAGGGGTGGAAGCCAAAGGTGTACAAGGACAGGTAGTCGAGGTGGAAGCACAGCCGATCCCGAAGCCACCCAGGCGAGACGAATCGACCCTCGGAGATCACACAGTCAAGGTTGTCAGCTGTTTTCAACGACTTGACAGAGCGCCGCCACGACGACACACCAGCATGGAGCCACATAGGCGCCCCCAAATCGATCCGATCCATACCGACGGCTCAACATATTTTCATCACACCACTCTACATTCCCAGTCAACTTGGACGTGGGCAGCCGGTCTCCACGACGCAGTCGTGCCTTGCTGCAACAGCTTTGATCATGACTGCTTGAGCACTCCGCGCACACACACACACACATACGACACTATTCTAGACAAAATCTCGATTCCTTTAGCGCCAGAGGCGGAGACCTCTTGTACGATGTACCTGTATGAAAAGAAACGGTAGAGGCACTGTTGAGAGCGAAGCGCAGGGCCATGGAATAGCTTTGAGCAGGCAGTGCTCTTTGGATTTTACAGCATGGCCATGCACATATCACACAATACAACCACTGTATATTATTCACGCCTGGATCATTACCGTGTTAGTTGGAAGATGCTGCGTGTTTGATATTAGAGGCCACACTCTCAAGTCGGCGCAAAAGCCACCCCGGTCAGTTATTCATGAGTATCTTGTGTGGCATCGTGCCCTTGAATATCTACCAAGGCAGCACATCGCCATTGTAGAAGACCATGTTGCCCCCAACGACCTCGCGGTCCAGCGGTCCGCCAAGCACACTGACCATGCCGTCACAGGCGACCGCAAAGTCTACCAGGTACGCGCTCGCCGCCTCGAGCGTCAGGCCGAGCCCCTCGATCCCGGCTTTCCCCAGGTCCGTCTCGACGAGCCCCGGGACCAGGGAGATGCACGTCAGCCAGGAGCCCTCCTCCGCGGCGATGCGCTTGGTCAGCCAGCCCGCGGCTGCTTTGGAGGTTCCGTACGCCGCGTTGGGCAAGGGGAGCTGGTTTCTGCGTGGGGGGGTTTTTTCAATGATGTTAGTCTGGGACTGCGTGCGAACTTGAGAAGACAGGGTGTGGCGGGAACCAAGGCAAGCGCCCAAGCAGAACAGTTGGACCAAGGGCCCGTCAAGAACACTTGGCTTTGAAAAAAGGACGGGCTCAGAGGGAAAGAGAAACACAGAGAGAGAGAACACGCACGCAATTGAAGCCGCGGTGGTGCCCATTGGAGCAAAGATGGGCGTCCCCTTGGACTCCTTGAGCAGCGGCCTTGTGGCCTGGAACACGCTCACCAGGCCGTACACGTTGGTCCGGATGTGCGCGTCAATGTCGGCGATCTTGACGTCCGCGACAGCCGGCCAGATGTACGAGATGCCCGCGTTGGCAATGACAATGTCGAGATACTCGATCCCGTGCTTCGTCTTGAGCTCGGCGACGGCGGCCGCGGCGTCGGTCTCCGAGTCGGCGTCGATCTTGACGATGATGAGCTTGCTGCCGGCGCCCTTGGGTAGCTGTTCCAGGGAAGTAGAGGATGGGCTTGACGGGTCGCGGTTTGCGGCGATGACGGTGTGGTTTGGCTTCAGCAGGTAGCGCTCGAGCAGGCCTCTTCCGAGGCCGCGGCTGGCGCCGGTGATGAGGACGTTGGTGGACGCAGACATGGTGCTGAAGTGTCTGTATGGGTGGGTTCTCTTTGGATCGATGAGGTGTAGTCCTGTTCTGTAGTCTAATGCCTTCTCGTATCTTTCATTCACGACGGGAAAGCACATTTATATACTTTCCCATGAGTCGTTCCGCCATATTCAACAGAACTGGCGAAGACCGCTGTGGGATTTCCAAGACGGTATTCCAACTCTTGGCGGCCATGGGTAACACAATGCCGGCTGGCTGAGCGTGAATTGTCGAGCATGAAGTTGGTAAGCTGCTTACAGAGGTGCCAGTTACATAACAGTTTGGCAAGGTAGTGTTCTTGCGCCGTTCTGAAATGTGTTGGTGTTTGATGTGGAATACACGTATCCGGGTTCCGGCTGTCAACTAGTGGCCAATGGCATAACGCTGGATACGCGTATTGGACCCTGGCTGGCGCTGGAGGGTCCTTGGCTGTCCCGCCCCCCTCGAAAAGCCAGGGACAAATGCCTGATCGCAACCCACGAGGCTCATAGTAAACGCCTCGTGATGATCCATTTCTAAGCACAGATATCTCGCATTGGGATGACAAATTCAAAGGCTGCATCGCGGCGCGGACCTCGTCCACGTGGAAGGGCTGTGACGGTGCGAAATGGACCGGGGCTTTGGCAACCAGGTCAAGTGAATAGGCTACATACACGTGCCTTCACTTGGAGATTGCTTGTGCAGCCAGAACACTTCGAGCGGGTGATAACTGCAACTGCTGTTCGGGCCACTCGAGCCATTTGGCCCAATATTCCCCAAGATGCATCTTGATGCATCGAAAGAGACGTGAGCCTGCATCTCCGACACACCAAAAGTCTCGACCTCGGTGAAGCAGCACGGAAAAGTGCGCGAGAACGACGAGGGCTTCGGGCCTGCGCCGGGCCACCAGCTCATTGTATTCTGGTGTCGCTCGAGTCGGCCATTCCTGCGCGATAATGACCCAGCGGCCATGCTGGTGGCCACTCTCAAACATGTCGATGAGGGCATCGATGGCCACGCGAAGCACTTCTCGCGAGGCAGCCGTCACATCGGAGATGTCTAGGAGCGCCAGCAGCTGGGAGCACTCGCTGCTGCGACGTTCTGCAGCCCTGGCTGACGCCGAAAGATCTCTCTTGGACACGTCCCACATGCGCACGTCGCACCCGACGCGCTCGCTGACTTGGTCCCAAATCGGTGTGGCAATCTTGCGGATGCCCTGCAGCAGCTTGAAGTAATGCGTAAACTGATCCAGTCCAAGCGTTGGGTTGGCCCAAGTGGCATCCTCTATCTGGGTGAGGTCGTACAGCACGTGCAATCCCAGAAACGAGGCAAAAGTGAAAGCCGCCATGGCCTTGTCACTTGGGATGCCGGCGTCTGCAGTCTCGGCCGTGAAGAGAGCAACAGCACGGGTCTGCAGGCTGGTTGCCTCAAGATGGTAGGCTTGCCGTGCCTGGGCGTCTGTCAAGGTGCTGGCCTTGTGGGCGGCAGCGATGGCGAGGACCTGGTCCATGACATAGCGGCTAGCAAACCCCTCGACGAGGGCAAGCTGGCAGGCATCATACATGAGCGTGTTGTAGATCTGCATGTCGTTGGCCATGTGGTGCTCAAAGTGATGCATGAGCTCTAGGTGCCTCAAGGTGAAGTGCTTTTGGTGAGCATCAGGACCGCTGGTGGGATCGGGGGACGGGGAAGCGGAAGAGGCATTGTACGGTTCGGATGAGCTGGCAGCAGTCAGATCGCGATGCTGTGAATGCGGTTGCGCTGGACGTGATGCGCCGGAGGACAGAAACGAGCAGGAGCGTTGTGCGCGGGTGCAGTTGAGGCAGGCCGGGCGGCTCTCGTCACATCTCATGTGCCGCTTCTTGCACTCGCTGCAGCCAAGCCGGGACTTGCGGTGGGATCTGCGCATCTATAATCAAAGGCGGCTTGTCGTGCGCACAGCAAGACGCACTCCATTTGCAGCATGTCATGATCATGATGGAAGTTGAGAAAGCGGGACGGCTGCCTGCGTTTCCGCAGCAGTGGCAGGCCCCAGTGGGCTGCTGCGGTGCTTGCCACAGTGCTCGTTCTGGCGGGGGTTCACCCCAGCCCAGCCTATGGCAAACGCCGCATAAGTGCATCCCCGTCACGCACCTCAGTAAGCCTACCATTTCATGCGACAGGCTACCATCTCGGAGTGCCTTTCATTTGTTTGTTTTGTTTCTTTTTGTTCTATCTTCTTCTTCTTCTAAATCTTCTTCTTCTTCGGAAGCTGCAGGCAGAGCTCATCTCATCGGGTGCGCACGCATCGCCCTTCACCTCTCCCCCACCCGTGGAACATGGTCTTGTCGCCAAACATCTTGTCCACCGTATAAACCTCGATGGTGAAGATCGTCTTGGAGATGATCTCGAGCAACTTCTCCGACTGGGTCGCGTTCTGCTCCAGAATCGCCTCCTTGTCAATGTCCAACGTGGAGAACTCACAGATCTGCAGCCAGTCTGGACACGGCAGCTCTGCTCCGTCTCCCGATGACCACCACCCGTGGTCCAGCTTGTATCGCGTGCTGCGCAGGAACCCGCCAAACTTGGTCATCATGGGGTTGTGCTGTGTCCGCGCCGGTCAGCACTTGACATCATCATGCCTGTCTCTGGAAGTGGACTCACGTACCGCTTTGTAATAGAACTCGTCAAACTCCTCTTGTGCAACCTCGGCCCGGAAGTCCCAGGTCACTATCAACAGGCACCTGGTCTTCTCTGCATGCGAATCCGCGGCGGCCAATGGCCCCTCTCCCACGTCAGCGCTTGCAGCCCTTGAAGGAGGTAGCGTCCTGTCTGGCAACATACCCATCGTCGTCTCGCCTGCAGGCTCATAGGAGCTCAGGATGTTGTAGAACCGGCAGTCAAAATCGGCCAGGTCCATGTACTGACCACCGCCTGGCAGGAATTTGCTCTTCCCGGGCATGCCCTCGTCGACTTCGGGTGTGTGGAGGTAGCTGAGGTCGTCCATGACGAAAATGCAGAGGGTCGGCCACTCCTCACTCTGGTCTCTGGCTGTCGACCTCATGGCACTGCGGATGCCTTTTAAGCCAACCATTGCCGGCAGCATTTCGGTGTCGTACCAGCTGAGAAACGTCGGCCAGCTCAGCAGATCGCGCTTTTTTATCTTGGACCCGACCCAGAGAAGCCCCGGCCCCTTGAGATCCTTCAATCTCGGATTCGTCTCCGACAGCGTCATGGTCCTGTCGGCCGAGATTGCCATGATTCCGCTTCGTTGCCCGGTCTTCCGTGAGGACTTTTGGGGAAAGTGGAAGAAGCCTACACCCTGGTGAGCTCACTTTCTGGGACGACTCGAACGTGGACCCAACGTAAGGCGAGGTCAACGCAGACCAAATACGGGTCAAATCAGGTGAAAAGGAGGCTGCAGGTGTTCGGCAGACTAGCCCCCTTCGAGCTGGCGATGCACCTCTGGTGCAGAACCCTGAATCCCCCTAGAGCTGTTTCGCCCACGAGCTTGCGGAGCGACCGCGCAAGGGGTTGCCTTCCCCAGCACACACACGGCCACCCCCCGTTGTGGGGCAGATCAGCACTGCTGGCATGCTGGCCATTTGGCAGGCTTCCAAGGTGAATGACTAGCCAGACTTGATCTCCAATCTAGATACTGTGAGGGGTATGAAGACAACTTGAAGGCCGTTCAATCTGCTTTCAGCCATTGAGCTCATCATTGGCCACCTGGCAGTCTGCGGCACCCGGATTGTTCTACAAGCAATTTGCCGTGCTGCTGTGCACAAGGTTCTCTGGTGGTCTGCCACTTTATCGGAGCCAGGTGATTATTCACAGGGCAGATCCCTTCCAAAGCTACTCCAGCATGCCGCTAGGGATTGGTGGCACGGCGCCGTGGCTGGCAGGCTGGCGTGGTCCCTCAGACTACTCCATCCAGCACACCCTCTGTCACGATGTCAACGAGACACCACCACCTCGAAGTGCAATCCGTCAAAACCTTAAATACGCCTGCCCCAACTGTTACACGTCAATCAAGCTCCGGCTGGTTCCCTGAGGCTTGGCTGGGCAATGTATCAAGATCAGCGTCCCAGCTGGAACAACAAGGTTGGTTTGATCCAATTCCCCACACAACACACGGCAAAACACGGCCCTCCAAGGAGAAGCTCACTCATGTGCCGTGCCACGTCTTCGCAGGACACGAGAGCAACGTGGGGTGCTCCGCGGCCCCCACACACTCCCCTCCCCGGCTTTGCATGGTGGCAGATCCGGTATGGCCAACAGATACAGTTGATGCAGATACTTCCGCAACGAACGAATCATTTCGCCAGCGAACAACCAGGGATTCCCCTGCGATCACAGACTTTGCCGCTCAAATCATGAATGCCCTCTGCTGTCGCGTGAGACGCCAGCCGTGGGCTGTATCAGAAGCTCACTCGAATTGCATATGACGACTGTCCGAAACTGATCCAGTGCCCTAGGCTCTCTTTGAGCACCCTTCTACAACTCGTTGTAGCCGTCAAGAGGGCAATCTAGTTGTCAGTTAATTCACCATAGAATGTCTGATCTCATCATCAATCCGGCTCCCTTGAAAGATGAAGCACAGGAAGAGGAACGGGGTAAGTCATATCCTTGTACGCAGGCAAAATCCGACGTTCCTGCCCTTACTAGGTTAAGAACTAGAGCAGACGGGCCATAGCGGGTGTTACACATGGCCTCACTCGCCGCTATGTGCCACAAACTAGCGCGAGACTGATGCATCAGTATACGGCGAGGCCTGCAACTACGATGCAGGATATCTAACGTGCCACCTACAACAGTCGGTATTATTTTGCCACAGCCAGAAACTGCGCGAGACCTGAGATGATGTAATAATGGCGAATGCGCAGAGGAGCGGCCTCAGTCTGGAAATCTTCGTTACTAACGTCAAACCTTTGAATGTTTAGCCGGAGCAGACCGCCATGCACTTGTTTATGCAACCAATCAGGGTGCCAAGTATGTAATAGGTCGTTTTGAACTTTGAAAGAGGCGCTTCAGGCGTTGTGACTAAAATACATCAAGATGTGCTTGAACGAGCAAGCTCGCTTCGAAGCCTGTGTGCAGGAAGCCGAGGTCTCGCAGACAACGTCAATTCCTGGATCAAACCCCTGAGCTTCTTTTTTCTGATGCATCATATCTAGCATTCTGACGGGAGGAGACTGATTCTTTCCTTCTGCGCACCTCAGCAGAGCAACAGCGAGAAGTACCTACCTTGGGCACCATACTAATTCGTGCCTCTCTTGTGTCATACAGACTTCGGAATGCCGTCACTAAATTCATAAGTTTGACCTCTTGTCCTTACGATCGTGTTCAAAACAAGACGAATGTTCCATCAACAGTCTAGGTGTCCTTTTCTATCCTCTTCCACTTTCACCAAGATTGCAAGAGCAAACGATGCTCACCATCGCTGCTCGTATACGTTGGGGAGACACTAGCTCAACAGCGGCTGTCGTATTTTGGTCGATCCGATAAAGACGGAATCCTACCTCATTTAGGGCTGATGGATTACGGCTATTATGAAATAGTTCACGATGACGTGAAGTGGAAGACAGGGATTGAAAATAGCGGTAAGCGGTTCTGTGCTGACAAGCAGGTCGTATGGAGCCCTGCCTGTAACCCCAGTGCTTGCAACCAACATCGTACGACACTTGTATGCAGCCGAGACGCTATCATCTGCACGGTGGATTCGTGCGTTGCCGTGTTCCAAAACAAGAAGCCTGCGCGATACGACAGTTGCAACGAAACCCTACCCACTCCTACGCAAACGAGGTTTGCGGGAACTGCACACCCTCTTACCCCTGCAAGCTGCCGTGAATGTAATGCAACAACGACAACTTCTGTACGCGCGACACATGCGGCCCATGCACCAACAACGCCTCGGACCCGAACTCGTATGCAGGGGACATGCGTGGGACCTCGAATCTGCACCATCCCTGTATCTTCTTGCTGGACTTGATCTTACCTCACCATACGGGGTCCTGACTCTTGGCTTCACACAGCCCCCTTTCGAGTCAAGTATGCATGGGCCGTCTTGAAAAGCATTAAGCACGCCAACTTAACCCCTCTTTTGGACGACTTTGAAACCATTCAACAACTACATCGCGGACGACATGTTGAGACTATCGAACAGGGCAGCTTCCACTGCTAGTTGGACGTGGCGGGCGGTAGCCGTCAGGGCCGCAGCCAGTAGTCTGTCGGCCCCGGTGTTATCCACCACGCGCACACGCTGCGGCTCTAAAACCCCAATGTCCATGCGTTATTCGACAGTCACTGCGGCTTCGATTCCGACAACAGCAGTACCTGATAAGCCTCGCGCAGAGGTGTTGAAGATCGTCAAGGGTCAGGAGTTACGCATTCCGGACATCGAGAAGCTGTTCGACGGCTGGCAACGACTCGTGAGCCCTCACAGGAGCTCAGTCACGAACGTCGTCAATGAAATCGTGCAAAAGTACGTCAGGACTTGGAATATCCATGTGTGCCCATTTCCCGATAGATCAGTCTGGTTTGCTGACGACGGGGACATGGCAATGCAGGTACGCGGTCTCGCCAAAGATCAGGCACAGGCTTACGAACAACAACCTGGACCTGCTGGTGGCGACTTGGTTTCCGCTCGCCTCGCCAGAGAGGCTCGCGGAGCTGGCCCAGTTCGTGTGCTGGATGTTCATCATTGATGACGAGATTGACAGCATAAAGCAGGCCAACGTCAGCATCGAAGAGTTCAAACACCTCTGGAGCGAGGCGCTGCGGGTCATCAGCGAGAGCTGCGGCTTGCATGGTCACGAGGTGGGAGCAAAGTTCGAGCCCAGCAAGTACCAGTCAGCCGAGACCTTTCGGCCATTTGGGGAACTGTTGATGACCCGGTATTCATTTGGTAAGTGCAGGGCAACCCATCAGCCTCTGAGTCGTGCCATCAGAAGTGGCAGAAAAAAAGAAATAATTCCAAGACTGCCCAATTCTGACTATTGTATACTTCTTCCTGCAATGTGTAGACCAACGGCAAAGATTTTGGGACGAATTGGAAACAACGGCAAATGCATATATCCAGGAGTACGGATTTACCAAACTCGACTGGGTACCAGACTATGAGGCCTATTGCGCCGGCCGGTACGGAACCTCCTGCATGGCGCAGAATCTTTCAATGTTTGAGTAAGTCACCGGGGCGACGTCTAGGTCTTGATAGAGGCAAATGCTGATGCGATTCCGAAGGTACTCCAATGAGTCAAACATCCCACAGGAGCTCATGGAGTCTCCGGAGCTGAAGTCGCTTTGGAAACAGACGACTGATCTTCTTTGGATGTGAGTGCATGCTTACTTCAGATACTGTCATGTCCCGAAGGGCGGCGAATTAACGCAAGGCCAAGCACCAACGACATTGTTTCTTTCAAGAAGGAGATTGTAGGTGGTTCCAGACTGCGTACTTCTGTGTTTGATTCTGCTGGGCTAACTATGACTTCTCTGGTTCAAGGCCGACGACTTCGTCGACAACATGATCGTCATAGCTGCCAAGCCAGATTATCATCTCCAGAGCGGCTTAGACCACTGCATTCGACAGTTGACTAGTGCCATATCAAAGGTGGATGAAGCAGCTCGGGTCCTCGAGGCCAAGTATCCCATTCAGAAGACAGAAAGTGGCTCTGCCAGCAACGGAACAGTTGCAAGGGATATCCAGAACTTTGTTGCCTGCTGCCGCAACATTTCCGCGGGCATGTGCACCTGGAGGTACCTCACCCTGTTCCCCTCCCCTGCGTGACCACATGTTTTCTTGTTCTGGCAGTGCTATTCGCACAAAATGCTGATGGCCGGTCTCCAGTTTGTTGACACCAAGGTATGGCGTTCTAAAGAGTCTGCGATCTGCTGATGGAAGCATCACGTTCACTGCTGGAGAAGCTGTACCAATCTGAACATGCCAAAATCGGGGGTAAATGTCAAAGGATACATGCCAGAATGGTTGTTGAGCACATCCCTCTGGCCTATGGCTAGACATTATATCTCAGTAAGCGCCGGCCAGACATTGATGGCTTCAACGGTCCCGGACGAGAGACGAGACCCCGGACAGAATCATACACGAAGACCTTGTTCCCGCATGATCAGGGGATACCGCGACTATCCTCTTTTGTGAAATGCTTGAAAATCAGGTTGTCACAATCTTTGCTGAGATCAGCCGTGGATCACGCAAGCTGCCGATCTCAGCGTAGATCAATCCGACTTTCACTACCACATCTGATGCTTTTTGTCTCGATCACGAGCCTTGATTTGCCTACCATGGGGCCCTGGACGCAAGCTGCAATTTAGTCTCTGATGCAGGCCTCCAATTTCTTGGAAGCGCATCGAGTCGCGGAGCAGTTGATGTACCCCACCGTCGTGTGTACACCGTCGAGTGTCCCCTGTATAGGGTGAAGGCGTCCTATACTATGACAAAGAACTCCTGTTTGGGTCCAGTATGAGCAGTGTGATGCACTTTTGGCTTCATGCCATGCCCCTGTGTCCGACTGCCGGGCTTTGATGGGCAAGTAGACGCGCCTGGAAGAACCGGACCAATGCGTGACGATATTCCCAGCCGTATTCAGTCAAGATTTGGGCCAAGCCGAAGCAAGTGCCATTGAAGTGTGTGAGACGGCGGCCTTGGCGAGGTCTTCGACTCTCTTGGTAAAGCTTGAACGATGGCGCAACCGGGCAAGGACCCGGGGACAGAGCCAGTACTGCAACGTGAGCCGACGCCTGATCCTGCGCACAAGGATAAATGCAGCAAAGGCATCGAGATCGCTTGTAGGGAGTGAGTCAGCTATTGCCCCAAAAAGTCCTGATCAGGTTATTCTCTAGCACAGCCGGCCATGCCAAGACCGGGGGCGGTACAACTTGTTGTTAAGCACACAGTGAAAAACTGTGCGCGCACATGATTGGTACTAGGGACTGATATTGGGGACCGAGAACCTCGAGTCACCAACAGACCACTATGGATTGGCCTTCAACCTGTCACAAAGGCAAGTTGAAGACTGCAGGCTGTAGCCTATAAAACAACGATGCCTGGCCTCCTGATTTCACTTTCAAACCTCGGAAGCAGCACTCCCTCTTATCGTCCCACACAGAGCACATCTCGACTTCGTTTCCCATCATGATTGCCTTCGGCGCCGATTCAAAAGCGCTTCTCGCTGCGGCGGCGGCCCTGGCTTGTGCACGCCTTGTCGCAGCCAGTCCTTTTCCGACTGCGACTGCTGCTCCACGTGCGTTGAGGCCCAGGGACGAAACCCCCCAGCTTCCCTTTGACCCAAACACCACGCCTGACTGCAGCTGGTGGTGGGACAATGATGGATCCATTGCCTGCGCGGACATGCCAGAGGAATGGGGGATCAGCCGGCAAGACTTCCTCGCCTGGGTAAGCTAACCTCCTACCTTAACAATAATGCCATCCGGAGGGCTGTTTCCCACGTCCGTTGAGCCCTGACACCGAGGCAGAACCCGTCCATCACAGCTACTTGTGGCAACTACATTACTGGCCGATCGTACTGCGTGGAGGCCCCCTCTGTCACGCCTCCCGAGGGGCCATCCAGCCAGTCTTCCACCACCACCACCGCCACCACTACTGCAAGCCCGACAGGCCCTACCAACGGCATTGAGACGCCACAGCCGATCCAGCCAGGCATGACGCAGGATTGCGACCGCTTCTACTTTGTCAAGCTTGGGGACACGTGTGCTGGCATTGCCTCGCAGTTTGGCATCAGCCAGCAGCAGTTCCAGCAGTGGAACCCTGCGGTCGGCTCGACATGCACCGGCATCTGGGCCGACACGTATGCCTGCGTCCATGTCGTTGGCCTGCAGACGTCGAAGACGACGTCCAAGCCGACAACGACGTCCACGCCTGGCAACGGGATCCAGACGCCGCAGCCAACACAGCCGCAGATTGTCAGCAACTGCGACAAGTTCGTGCTGGTCCAGGCCGGTGAGACATGCGCCACCATTGCCGCCAAGAACGGCATCACGGAGCAGCAGTTTGCCGCCTGGAACCCGTCTGTCGGATCGACGTGCACGGGGTTATGGGCCAATGCGTATGCCTGTGTGCACATCATCGGCCTGGCCACCACAACAAAGGCAACCTCGACGACAAGCGCCGGCAACGGCATTCAGACGCCACAGCCGACGCAGCCGTCGATGGTCACAAACTGCGCAAAGTTCCACAAGGTCTCCAGCGGCCAGACCTGCGCGCGGATCGCCGCCGACGCCGGCATCACCGTCTCGCGGCTGCGCACCTGGAACAAGTCGCTCAGCGCGGCATGCACGGAGCTCTGGGCCAACGCCTACGTCTGCATCGGCACCATCGGCTTCGCGCCGTCGACCAAGGCGACGTGCTCGACCTCAGACAAGACCTGGGGCGACAACAAGGCCGCCGCGGTCAGCAACGTGGCCAAGTGGTGTGACGGCAACTCGAACACGGACGGCAGCGGCGGCTTCGCCACAGGCCAGACAAAGTACGGCTGCTACAACGCGCCCTACGGGACCAACAAGATTGAGTTCTGGGCGCGCAACGATTTTACCATCGGCACCAGCCTGTCCGTCGCCAAGTGCAACGACATTGTCAAGGTTCCCATTAACAGCTGTGCGCGCGGCGGCACAGCCGTACAGGAAGGCTGGTGGGTCAAGTAAGTGCCCAAAACGAGCTCCTTCATGAAAGGTCCCGTGTGTGGATAAAAGTCGGCTAATCTTGCTCACGACATATCTAGGGCCCTTATCACGGCAGGCAAGTGTTAGGCATGATCAGCAAGTCCGTGATTGCAAAGGCTGCTGGCACATGGGGCATCTACGCAGGTGCGACGGGCTGGGGTTATGTTGTGGACTGCCTGTCTGCTGTTTTATTTTTTTTCATTCCCGTAAGGACATGGTTGCCACATGCGCATAGATGCCGTCACAGGCGGTTTGCAAGGTGTACCCATCACTCTGTCGTAAATCAACTTCTGTGGGCCACCGTCAATGCCTGACTTTTTGAGCTGGAAGTCTAACGTTGCAGCGCTTTGGCTAAAGTAGCGATTGACTTGCCGCTTCCGCTCTAATTAAGGACTATATAGGTACTTCGAAGGGCGCTAGGATAGCATGCGACGCCTTTGTATCGGAGTCTTATGGGCTCATAGAGGATATTCGACCGTAATTGTTGAGACGTGATTGATTCCAGTGGATTGGAAGTCCTACCACTCAGCCACTTAGCGGGACGACCAAGGTTCCGTGGCCCTATTACAGACCTGAGGCGAGCTGGAAATGTCTTGAGGCAATCCCTACCCAGGCAAGGGCAATCTTGGTAGCCTGTGAGTTCTGACATCACTCAAGGGCTATCCGTGTTCTCGTTGGTCATTGGGTATGTGAGGAGCGGCCGCAATGGATGGTCATGGTCAGGCCAAGAGAGGGGTTTCCGCACGTGTGCTCGGCATCTTCCGTCGCTTTTCTCCTGGAAGGAACTTGATATTTGTCTAAAGGCTTGGAGGTCCGGCGTAGAGAATCCTGTGCTCGATGTGGCCTACCAGGAATCAGCTCTGGCCAGCCCTAGGTCGTCATGTGGATGTCTAATGTCATACCAGTCAGTTCCTGCCTCATGCGGCATCCTGTAGTAGGATTCGCTTCCCTGTCCAGTCCATGCTTACCATTGCTACAACCATGCGGGTGCTTACACACACCGAGCCGTACCGTACCCCTGACACCCCCAGCTTACCCTCCACAGGGCACTAGACAGCCCAAAGATCAAATTGGGATGCCCTGTACGGTCCTTTGCATCTGATTCGCTGCCAGCGCCCACTAGGTCCCGAATGCGAGTGATGGTATTTTCCAAGCGTGTCTTTCAGCCCTATCCGCTGCCCTGCCATTTCGCTAGCCTCCTTTCCAGTTGGAAGGAATCCTTGCTCATAACCTTGCACGGCTGTCAGCTGGGCACAGAGCAGGGCTATGCTAGCGTCTCGGCCACTCTCCTGCCCAAACGGGAGCCAACCCACGCCAGGAGTGGTCGAAAATCGATCTGCGTGTAAGTCCTATCTGGCTTGCTCGAATTCAGCAGCATCCAGGCCGAGGGATGGCGAAATTTTTGTAAGTACTGCACAGTGCAATGAAGCAGGATTTTGATCAGCCTGAACGCCAGGAAGTATTGGGAGATCAAGGCACTGAAGATGATCTTTGCCGTTCATGATCTCGGGCGTCCCAAAAGGTATAAAACATAGAGTCACTGAGCTAGGTTTCCTGATGAAGTTGCCGTCTCCATGCTCGGGCATCCTGATCATTACTTGCATTCGGCCCGCAAAGGGGCGACGTCCAGCTTCGTTGTACCTCATCAGCACCAATAGCATGTCGTCGAGCGCCGCCACAGCACCTACATTGGGTGCATGGCTTCAGCTCTTGCTGTTGGCTGTGCCCCTATCAAGCGCCCAGACCCTGTCGCAATTTGAGCAATTTCAGAACTTGGCAAAGCCTTGTCCGGGGGCTCGCAAGTCTGGAGTGCCGCCAAGCAACTGGACTTTTTACCACGACATCGACAGTCTCTCGGTCTGCGCCGAACCAGTTCTACTTGACTACAACCTTTACACGGATCTCCTAACGGAAGGGGCGCACCTCACAATCAGAGCGTGCACTCTGGGTGATGCCGCTAGCGAGGCCAACTTCCTCGCCAACGATGCCTCAGTTGGCGCCCTAGGTCTCAGTGACTTGGGCCAGGTTGCTCGCAGAAGCAATACGTCCTTTCGTAACATTACGTGTGGAGGCGGGACGTCCGCAGAAAACAAGGCGGCAGTGACGATTTCGTCGTGGCAGCAGAATGATTCTACGCCACCCTTCAGCGACATGCCCGGCGAGTATTTACTCCAGGGCCTATCATACCTCGGAACATACATGAAGCAGCAAGACGCAAGCTGTGACAAAACTATCTCGTCCTCAACTTTCAAGCAAGCGAGGAAGTGGATCGCGGATTGCGTAGAGAACCATCCACACTGTCGCAATTAACATCGTGCTCTCAGACGAGACTTCCGGCCGAGCAGGCTTCTTCGCTTGAGTGAAGGCTCAGAAGTTGTCGTTCTGCGCGAATTCGAAGACTCTGCAAACGAAACGCCGGTTTATATGACTCTCAGCCATTGTTGGGGCCACAGCATGCCTTACCGATTGACAACGGCAAACCACTCGCAGCTTCTCAAAGTGGGCGCCCCTCTGGCCGAGCTTGGGGCCACGTTCCAAGATGCTGTTAAGATTGCGCTTGAGCTAGGGGTAGGCTATCTCTGGATTGACAGCTTGTGCATCATCCAGGACTCCACAGAGGACTGGATGACGCAGTCCGTCCAAATGCAACAAATATACAGCTCCTCCTTCTGTAAAACGTACGGCGATACAACAAGTCAGCGCCGCACATATAATGTTCATCCGGCGGCTTATCCGATACCACGGCCGCTGACTAAGTAGGGCCCTTCTCGGTGCTTGGATTGCTCCCGCCGTTAGGGCACGGCCCGTCCGGCACTTGTTTGGTCTGCAGTATGCATAGCTCTGTTAGCGGGATGCATGCGCCAAGATATCCTCCGACCCTTCGACATGACCGATGTGTGCCCGTGAGTGAAATTTCAGAAACGCGTCATTGTCGTTGTCAGACAACTCTTGGCTCTTGCTGTACGTGGAGGAGAAGCAGCCAATGTCACGAGGAAGCATCTTCGACGTCAGACTCAAGCTGGAACGCCTCTCGCAGAAAGTTGTCTGGGTCATCGTCTACATGCTGATACAAGCACATTGTTGAATTTATAAGCCACAAGACCTGCATTGGATCAGGTTGGTCGACTGAAGCCTTCTTGGGGGTCATGGAAAGCAATTAAAAACTTCTAATTACCCAGTATGCTACACAACACTCACCCAAACATCAATCCAGGAATACTTAAAGATTGGGGAAACCTTGGCTTGGCCATCCCCGAGAAATTGGACGGCTCGAGCTGTCAAGTCCCCTCATGTCGAATACGAAGCATCATCGGACGGGAAGTAAGCACAACCTGCGCGCTCTGGACTGCTATAAAGTTGATGAGCGTGTCAGCAGTCGCATTGGGACGTCCCCCGACCTATAGCTCACGAACTCTTGTCACCAGCTGTCGCCACCTCGCATCCGGTGAGGAAGCCAAATTCAACAATCACGCTTGGCCGATATGCAGGGAGTGTCCCCGCCACACGTAGCGGGGGTCCAGGTTGGCTATGTCTCCTGCTGCAGTACTTGCATTGAGGCATTCCGAGTTTCAATCGTTCTGCTGGCGACCAGAATAATCCCGACCTTCAATTCTTGCGCTAAACGATGCTCTCTACCCCGCACGCAAGCCAGCCTGTCCTGCATAGAGTTTACAGAGCTACATCCTGGTACATGCAACCATCCTACACCTCATATGATGCTCGGCGGTGTATGATGAACTTGTCCCAATCCTAGGGCCGCACACATTCAGCGCAACACAGCCGCAAACGCGTCAGCTTACATATTACTGCACTTGGATGTCTTCGCAGTCGAACGAGGCAAAGACGCCATCCTGGACTTCGCTTTTCCTGAGAGCTGGTCATCCAGGAGTTTTGTGAATCGCATTAGCACTTTTCGGCCTGTTCGGAAGGGCTGGGCATCTTTTGGAGCACGGCACGGTGCCGAGAGGCCAGATGATGTGGGCATCGATGGGACATGTAATACTCCCAAAACACGACAACAAGAATAATAACATCAGCGACCGTGGGACAGGCCAACAGCCAAAGAAGTGCGATACACATGGATTCAAGCACGTGGCGCGCACAAACCGAATGTATGACACCAAAGCGACCCACCCCTCCAATCCAACAACACGTGTGCCAACTGCTGCCGGGCCACCCCTATGCCCCGGACCACCCACTCACACCGACAAACAATCAAGAACATTTTCCAAACCCGCCCTGACACCCAGCACCGCAGTGATCGCCCGAGTCACCGCACCATCCATACTGCGAACAACAGTCCCCGAGCCCCGAGCCCAGACATATGTACCCCTTATCGCCACCACACGACCCGTCCGGGCTGATCTTGTCCGAGTTCGCGGCACACCCGGAGCTGAACCCAGTCTGACACCCCGCGCCGCAGTGACCGGCCGTGTCGCCGCACCAAGACGAACTGGAGCAGCAGGAGCCGAAGCTGGATCCCGCGCAGGTGTACTTGTTTGTGCCGCTGCAGGTGCCGTCCTTGCTGACGACGAGGGGGTTACCCGTCGGTGTGGAAGACGGGGCGGATGAAGTCGATGGACCTGCCGAAGAAGCAGAAGTAGTGCCTGACGCTGTTGTTGTCGTCGGCCGGCCAATGCCCGTAGCGCTGGGCGGGAGACCCGAGCCGCCCTTGACCATGACGCAAACGTTGTAGCCCGCCTTGAGGCCCGCACATGTCGACCCCGTGCCGGCTACCGACGGGTTCCACTTGTAAAAGTCGCTCAGTGCGATCCCCTTGCTCCTGGCAATGGACTCGCAGGAGTCGAGTGACGAGACGAGCCACAGGTCACTACAGTCTGCAGCGAGCCCGCTCTGCGTCGGGGCTTCGACGGGTGGCGCGGTCGGCGAGGGGCCGGCACTCGTGCGCGTGGTGGGCGTGCCGGGCACGCCGACGCAGTAGTACGTGTCGTCACGGATGCCGCTGCAGGTGCTGTCCACCGACGGGTTCCAGGACACAAAGTCGGTCTGGCTGAAGCGGCCAAACATGTCGGTAATCAGCTTACAGTCGTCGCCGTTAGTCGCCTGGTACCAGGCCACGCAGTTAGCTGTGCTGTCGCCGGGGGTATTGCCTGGCCGGGTCGACACGGTGGGAGGGGCCGGCAGGGCGTCGCCCAAGCTGCCTGCCCAGACACAATAGTAGACGCCAGTCCACAGGCCGTCGCAATTACCGTTGAGCACGGGGTTCCATTGGAAGAACTGGCTGCGGCTCATCAGGGGGTTCTTGGCCAGGACGTTATCGCACCGGTCACCAGCCTTTGCAAAGTGCCACGACACGCAGTCGCTGGGCATGGGTCCGTGGCTGGGCACCGGCGTGAAGTCCGGCAGCTGGGACGTGACTGTGTCCGTGTACGACGAGCTACCCGTGGGGATGACAACGGGGGTTTCTGGGTTGTTGAAGACGATGGAGGCCTGCTTTTGAGGCTGCAGGTGGATGCACACCCACCAGCCGAGCTGGAGGCCCGAGCAGTCGTCCATGAGGCTGGGATTCCAGTCCAGCAAGTCGTCCATGTCCATGCGGTAGCGATTGCGGATCGACTGGCACGTCTCGCCGCCACTGACAAGGTGCCAGTCGTTGCAATTGCCGGGCTGGCCTGTCTGCGTACGGCTGGGTGGGAAGCTGGTCTCCGCAGACGTGGACGTGATCTTCCAGCTTGTGACGGGGTGGGCGATCGTGTAGGGGTCTGTATTGCTCGTCGGTGTGGGCGGCTTGGTCGAGGACTTGCTCGCTGTGGATGAGCTTGTCGAGGATTTGCTTGTCGTGGATGGCCTGGTAGTGGGCAATGTCGGGTCGACGCCTACGCAGTACGCATAGTCGGGAAGAAAGTTGCTCGCACAAGTCGTGGGGACATCCGGATTCCATGCAAAGAATTGCTGGGCCGTGATACCGGCCGCTGAGTACGCAGAGTAGCAGCCCTCTCCGCTGACGGCGATATGCCACTTGTTGCAATTGGCAGCCACATTGGGAAGTGTCTTGATTCCCCCTGACGGAGGGGACGGCTGCTGGGTGGAAGGGGCCGTCGACGATGACTTGCTCGTCGTGGACGACTTGGTTATGGATATGGAAGGGTCGATGCCGACGCAGTAGCTGTAGTCTGGGAGATAGTTGCTCGCGCAGGTCGTGGGGACATCCGGATTCCACGCAAAGAATTGCTGGGCTGTGATGCCGGCCGCTGAGTACGCAGAGTAGCAGCCCTCTCCGCTGACGGCAATGTGCCACTTGTTGCAGTTGGCAGCAATGTTTGGGAGCGTCTTGATGCCCTGTGCAAGCGCGAGCCTGCTTTGCATCAAAGCAAAGACGACGGCAGCGGTCGACAGCATAGTACGAGCCATTGTGAACGTTGTGGTTGCTGTTGTGAACAGCTCACCAGCATCGAGGAAGGGACAAGAAAGCTGCCCAGGTAGACAATATCAGAGAGGCGGCGTCGAGACCCTGACAGGCTTGCCACTCTTGTCCCGTCTGGCTCCAACACCGGCTCGGACCGGATGTCGTGATGGTCAAGCCTGAAGGAAAATCACAGCGCCGAGAACTAGTGCTGACGACCAGGGATTGAAACCCATACCGCGAAAGCGGTGAAAGCTGATGGTCTTCAGCACCCCTACGATGGCACGGTCACTGTTGCTACAAGCGGAAGGAACAATTTCGCTATAGGATATTCACGCTAATACCCGCGCGATGGCTTTGGTCACACCAGAAAGCGCCCCTGCAAGGACTATTACCGGACAGGTATGTAGACCTGCATCCGGGCCGAAAAGAGCCAAATTTTCAGAAAACCAGCACACCGTTGACATGATACTGTGCGACAGGGGTGCCATGGTTCTAGACTACCCCTGATGGGCGGGCCCGCGGCTATATAGCCTGTACGCTTTTCTGGGGTCGAGAACGGGCCTCGGCCGACCACCCTTGGAGGCCATCCTGAACCCCCCTGCACGCCATACATGGCAGGCGGTCTGGGTGAGGACGGGATTGGAACACAGCAATGTCCGTCGAGTGTTCCTGATGTGCGACCTCACGGGAGATGGATCGCTCCCCAGAACTCCTCTTGGTTTGGTTCCCAGATTGAGCTGCGTCCTTCCAGCATTTTCTCTACGCCAGTTAATCATTGCTAAACTGCCACACTTACAGGATCATGGCACTGATGGCAGCGATGCTTCTCAAGTTGTTAGTCGTCTTCTGTTGGCTGTCCACTGGCATCGACGCCAGTGGCAGAGGCTTCCAGCCTGCGCTGAGAGCACCTGGGCCCGGCCCCAGCCTGCGCTCCAACAGCACCCACGCTCACGGACCGAACAAGCGCTTCGCCTCATTCGAACCCGGTTCAAACAATAACCTGTGGCCGGGTCGCACGATCACCTTCAGCACCGAGAATTTAAAGGACGTGATCAATGCCGCGACGCAGCTTAGGAGAGCACAAGCTCTCTGGACAGCGAATGGGCTACCAGATGACTTCCAAGTGGAATACATCTCAAGGACGGAATGTGAAAAACGTGAGTCCTTTACTCGGGTGCTGCCCCGTTCCCTATGATGGAGAGCTTCTATCTATCATCACAATGTTGTTCTTTCAGGCTGACCAAGGTGCTGCTCTGACCCGGCTAGGACGATCCACATGCCTCATGGTCAAGTACGTCAGCAAGGGAGGCTTCTCGTCAAACGTCGGCATGCCGCCAGTGGACAGCAAGGGGGACTCGGACTACAAGGGTCCCGTGATGACGCTGCTGACGGAAGATGCTGAAGGGAGGCGTGCGCTCAACGACAACCCCAGTGGAGACAAGCTCAACGTCGTCATTGCCCACGAGCTCGGGCACGCCTGGGGCCTGATTCACGAGCACGCAAATCCCGTCTACTGGAAGAGGCTGTACCACAACGATGAGCGCTGGGACGGCAACGCGTTTTGGAGCCCCAACTTTGTCTGCACCAATATTCCTGGCTACAGTGCCGCCAAGGGCAGGGCCCAGAAACTCATCGATGCGCCGGGTTCCAAGTTCAAGACCCTCAGCGCAGAAGACATATGCGTCAACTGGGGCCTTGCCAAGGCGGCAGATTTCGCCGCGTCCGACTTCTTGCCAGGGAGAACCAAGATCTGGGCGGACAGAATAGACAAGGCCCAGGCTCAGGAAGAAGATGTCGATTGGGACTCGATCATGATGTACTCCACGTTTCATCTTGGTCCGAACAACGGAGTCCTGTACAAGCCTTTCCAAGAAGACACGATCCCGGAGCGCACCAAGCCGTCGCAGCGCGACATTGCGGGTCTCATCGCCCTGTACGAGGCCGGATACAAGCGTGAGGCGCGGGGCCCGTTGCACAACGAGCAGGACAGCGCCGAGCTCAGCGAGTTTCGCAAGCTGACCTGCGGCTAGGCCGTACCTTGGACTGAGCAGCTCCGTCTTGGTTCCTTCGGGAGACTAGGGGTTGGGTTTTCTTTGGGGTTGGGGGTTGGGGCGGGGGTCGTTCTTACGGTGGGGGTTGGTCTGAGATCTTGTATGTAGCTCAAGGGGGCGCATCGCTTCAATATGAAGGTGTTTGTATAACTCCCGGGGTGGCATTATATCGAAGCCACAGGTAGTGACTGGTCAATATTATATATCTCGATTTTAAGTACAGTCTTGGGTATGTTACTCTGTGACTCGCCCCTCGCCCGTGATATAATAAGTTTCACTATGAGCACTAGACACGGATCTGAGCGCGATGTTCTGTACGTGAGATACACCAGTTGCCAATTTCAAATCGAGACTATCTCTTAAGTCCATGTCTAGGCTCTCCACCAACTCTTTATGCAGCAGTGGTTCAAGGGCTGTCTGCTGGAATCAAACCGTTCGACAGTAGAAGAATTGCAGTTTGCATTCTCGATCGCCTGCTCCACCAGCCTCATGTAGACCCAATCAAGTACTCCACATTGCGGGTCTGCATGTCCCACTCCGTCTCGAACGGCATTACCATACTCTTGTTGCGCTTGATGTTGGCGCCCAGGGCCTCGATCAGAGTGCCATCGTCTAGGTCGATGGCCCAAACCATAGTCCTGTCACGGCCAGTGCTGCATTAGCGCTACACATTCTCATAACAAGGACTAGGAAAGGAAGGGGAATACGGAGAGGAATATAACAAGCAAGCGAGACAAAGACTTACCCTCCAAGGCATCTCTCATTAGCATGATCAATCTTGAGCTTGAGCGTCTCGGCATCGTCCCAGCTGACCCACTGCCGATCACCCCAGGTGGCAATCTTGCAGGCGGCGACCGGGTCGAACGTGACTGTCGCGCCCCTGTTCTCAACAATGTCGTGGATCTCGGCGGCAGACAACACACCGGCGGTGTCCGTGCACGTGCCGTTCGCGGCACCGGACGCAAAGGGGCAGCCTGCGGCCATGCAGTTGGCGTCCTTCATCGTGAAGCCTGCAATCGTGCGGAGAATGGTGAGTATTTGATATTCGTCTGCGGAGGAAATGGGTAAGAAAAGCGGAGAGAGCTTACTGCGTCCATAGAAGCCCAGGCCCATAACCACTCTGTCCGGGTTGACGTTATTACGCCACAGCAGGTTCAAGCCCAAGTCAATCTCCGTCAGGTTAGTGTGCGCGTAGGCGAAAGAACCGATGGAGTGGACCGTGCTGTCCCAGACACCGTCTGCATATCGTGGTGGTGTTAGCGCATGAGTTGCAGAGAAGCAGCTGATCAGACGCACGGATATCATAAGTCATAATGTTGAACCAGTCGAGGTATGGCTCCAGCTCCTTGAGGTTGAAGCCGCGGAGGTACCAATACGATGCTGGCTAGAATTGGTGAACGAGCTGGCGTTAGCTGAGACTGTACCCTGCAAACCCAAAAACAAGTGATGGCTGGTTGGTGATTACATACCAGCGTCATCGTTATGCCCCATGCGCGTCCTGAGCTGTTCAGACGCTCGCGCAGCCTCCGGCAAAACGTTACATAATTATCGAAATCTTCGGGGATACCACCGCGGTCCTCAGCCATCGGGTACTCCCAATCGAGGTCAACGCCGTCGAAGCCATTATTAGTCATAAAGGTAAGGAGAGACTCGAAGAATACATCCTGCGCAGCTGTCGACTTAGCCAGGTCTGAGAACGTGGTTCGGTACGGACCAGGGTCGTTCATGGCCCAACCACCAATGGCGATCCAGACTTGAAGTCCAGGCTGGCCGGCTTTGAGCGCAGTAACGCGCTTATAGCGGGCCGCCGTCCCCTCGTCCATGGGCGCGATGCGGAACGTGTTGGGGTCGATGAGGGCAAAGGCAAAGTTGATATGCGTGTACCAGCCTAGGGGGATGTCCTCGGGCTCCATGTCTGTTCGGGGCAGATTACGCAGAGTCAGCTTGAACATGCCAAAGAAATCGATATCTATCACATTGAGCAACTTACTGCCGCAAGGTCTCTTATAGTTCCAGCCCTCGTAGTACCCGATAGTGCGCTTGTCGGAGCTGGAACCGCTGCACTTGGGGTTTGGCACAGTCTTGCCATCGCAGAAGTCTGCCGTCGTCCCGCAGAAGCCAAACCTGCCCGCGAGTGTCAATCTCGACGAATATTCGTATGGTCAGATGAATCCACTTACTTTGAGCAGCAGACGTTGAGAGGGCAGGTCGATGCATTGGACCACTGCATTCCCCAGCCCGGGTCGCACTCGCTCTTCTCATTGCACTGGCCGGTACAGTCTTTGCCGCAGTAGTCGGGGCCCATGCCACAGACACCATTGCCCTCATCGTCACTAGGAAAAGGTTAGTACACAGATAATGCCTTTGCGACCACCACCTCAACAGGGCTTTACATACAGCGGGCCGCAGCAACCAAGTTTGCATGGCTTGGCCTTGCTGCAGGTGTAGTCTGGCTTCTCGCCGTCTTCTGCGGCTATCGCAAACCCTGTCTGCTCGACAACGTCGGCGAACAAGAGACCATCATCGCCATCGGCGAGGACATGCGAGGCCCCTAGGAAGACACCAAGCAGGAGAGCTGCGAGGGATAACTGCTTCTGCGACTTCATCGTGGTGCAAATGTGAGTGAAAGCTTTTGCTCGCTAGTTGTCGTTGCTGGCTGATCAACAGCAAGACTGCAATACCAAAACAAGATGAAGGATAGCAGCAGAGTCAAGGCAGGACATCCACGACTGAAGCAGAACTTGCAGAGCCAATCTCCATGGGATACGGGTTGACCCCTCAGTCGAGGCCATTACAGCTTGTCATCATGGCAGAATTCTGCCGGATCTTTTTCTGCCGCTCCGATCCCTGACAGGGGCCCTGCATGCATCCTTTGAGACCCCGGAGCTGACATGCACCCCATTGCTAGAAGCTGCATTACCCCTGCAGGATGCACAAGCCACGAACCAGCAGGGGGCCGGGAGTATTCCTCCGTCATACCGGACAACTCGTCCAGGTCTGAAAATACCGCCTAAACTATGAGTCAATGGCACGACAGCGGGGAAAGTCTGACCACTCCTACGAATGCTAGCCTGAGGAAAATCTGGTGGTTTCTCAGGAGGCGAGACGACCGTTGCAGCCGGAAGGATATTAAGCGGTCCGACTGCGGGTCAATTAATCTTCTCCTCAAAAGACCAGACTAGACCCTATCCCCTGTAATATGCTTATGAGTCTTACTTTAGCTTGCCGCTGGTGATGCGTTCAACGTCCGCCACTGCCTGAAGCTGGGTCATAGGCGCTCGAGCCAAACATCCCCATAGGTTCACGCGATCACATGCCGTAATGATGCTTGTTGATCCCGAGTATGTACCCACAGTTGCCCCTTGTTCTGGACCCTGCAGTCGACGGCGCTTGTCGTTATTCCAGCCACCAAGTATGTCAGCAAAGCCGAGAAGGCTGTTCCAGTGACAATAGCGGCCCACCTATTTACCCCTAGCATGATTAGCGGGGCTCCTCGGCAATTGTAACAGGCTATCAGCACAGACCGAAGCATTACAATGAGGATACATCCAATGTGTAGAACTTCTCTTTTGCCGCGACATAATCACGCTCAACGATACTGCACGAGACTTGTCGTCTCGTTGGACAATATTCTACATTTTTACCGGCAAAAGGGGTCACTGTAGCCCTCTCGGCTCCGACGGCATAGCGGCTGACGGCTTCCTCGTATACCCGGATAGCCTTTGATCCTGGTCGCAATGGCTCTGCCGTGTTGCGTTGCACTAGAAAAAGGGCGCTAAACCAGGATGTCCAACACACACTGTACGCATATTGTTCGCCATTGGGCAAGCTGACACGAGCCGCAGCCTGGGCCATTCCATGGCGCCGAGTTGTACATGAGACCAGGCATCCTGCCAGGGGCCGACGTGGCAGAAACTGGTCGGCTGGTTGGCCGGACCACAGCTCCGGGTCTTGACCGGCGCTTTATCGCCTTGGCCCGAAGCTTGTTCCCACACTCGTCGCCTTTGTCCGATTGCCATAAGCAGCTAATATACCCAAAGCAGACGAGTACTGCCACTATTGCCGAACCCCGACAGGTGCCCCTGCGTCGCAAAGATCTCCCGAGCATGGTCAGCTCGGTGCAGGGATGCGTCGGCCCTAAATGCTTATTTGCTCCACCGAGAGAAGGCTAATATCCTGGCATCACGTCCGTATATCCGCGGATGATGGGCAGACCGCTTCAACCGACGAATGCCGCGTCGACGAGCGCAGAAAGCAGGCCTACACTGAAGGCACTTTTCAGGGTTTTTCTTCTTCCCAGTCCTGCCCCGTCTTGCCGTCTGCTTTGCTTCCTCGGCGACCAGCAACAACACATGCATCTCAGTTGAGCTGATTCTCACCAGACTCGACGATCATCATGTTGAGCCAAACTGCTCTGAGTCTCCTCGCGTGGAGCTCAGTGCTCAGCTTGGGCTCCTCGTACATCCTCCCTCACGGCGCCGGCAAACAAGTGCTGGACACCCTCATGAAGCGAGCCACCGACCCGACCGAACTCGACTGGGTCAAGAACGTACTTGTAGTCGGAGACAGCTACACGGCCGCGATCGGTGCAGGCACGCCCTTGGGAGGTTTTCCGACCAACGACTGGTCGTGCGCGCGTTATGACCAAGGCTACCCGACTGTACTCAAAGACAAGATCGGGCCGAGCATCAAGAAGTTTGTGTACAAGGCATGCAGCGGAGATCGTTCTGAGGGCATCTATAAGCAAGTCACTGATGTGACCGATTCTGACTTCAACCTGGCTCTACTGACGGCTGGTGGAAATGATCTGTGTTTGGTACGTTTTGATTGCATGGCTACCAAATCCGTCGAGGCAACTTGCTCCCATGTGTGCACACAAGCGATGGCTAACCTGCGCGCGTTGCTGAATAGGCTGGCATGATCAAAGCCTGTGTTTTGGTGCCGTAAGTGGAACTACCATGCCACTACCAGACTGCGACGGCCGAAATATCATTGACTGGAGCAACATGAGCTAACACTGCCGGGGCGCAATCTCTACAGATTTGACGGTGACGCAGTCTGCGACACGGTCATCAAGAAGGCCGAGGAGAACATCAAGACCATTCTTAAGCCCAACATCAAGTCTATCCTGCTCAAGCTCAATGACCGGATGGCCAAGGACAGCGTAGTGGTAATGCTTGGCTATGCGCAGTTCTTCAACACGGACAACGAGGACGTGTGCACCAAGAACCAGGACTGGACACAGGCCATCCCCTTTATGAACTTCTGGGGCAAGAAGGGCATCCCGCTAGACATTGCCCTCCGCAAGCGCCTCAATAACCTCGTCATCGGCATCAACGACGCGACCAAGGAGGTTATACGTGATGTGCGGGACAACGGAAATGTCAAGTACAAGTTGAAGTAAGTCTGCTCTGGTTTTCCCTCTCATTAATCCTCCGCCCATGCTGACGCTTTTCTCGCCACCTCACAGATACGCCGACTGGGACAAGTGGGCCTATCAGGTGGTTCGCGGCCAGTACTGTGATCCCCAGGGCGACGGCACTTACCCCGACGCGAAGCAGCCCGATCTGCACTTTTTCAAGCCAGACACCAAGATCCCTCGTAAGTCCCTGCCATGTTTAGCCCCCTGGCCTGTCGATGACGACGCGCCCTTGCCCACAAGCTGACGCTCGTTGCAGCCTGGCAAAGCGAACTCCGCAAACGCGCAATGGACGCGTACAACGAAACCAGTATGGAGGAGGTCCACGCGCACATCATCTATGACTCTATCCTGTACAACTCGCCCGATCCCCGCGCAGCGGCGCTGCACGCGCTGGACCCCCGGGACGCACCGTCGCCCCCAGGCTGTCCTGGCGACGGGACCATCGCCTCCAAACTCAGCCTGCCCGACGTCTGGGCCAAGTGGTTCCACCCCAACGAGAAAGGCCACATGACCATGGCCTCGTTCGCCATGGACGCCATTGTCAAGGGCCGCGCTGAGGTCCTGGGCCAGGGTGAGACTTGCAATATCCGCAAAGACGAGTTCAAGTGCTGGTCGGCCGACGGGTCCAGGGGATACGTCCACCCTAAAGTCATGGACGGCAACTTCCGCGACTTTTGCAGCACGCTCGACGCGCCCAAGAACGAGATCAACTGGAAGCGGTCCAAGACGTACCAGACAGGCACACCAGACGAGGCGACCGTCTCTCTCGAGCTGGATAACGGCGTGGGCTCCTTTGATAAGGAGCTCTGCCTTAACTCGTTCAATAAGATTGTTAACGGGTGCGACGAGAAGACGGCCGACAACCCTATGATCTGGAAGTCTGGCGGTAAGTGGGTGCGCGGCGACTACACGTACCGCATCGACGTTAAGCGCTCGAACCGCAAGTGGCCGTACTACAAGGAGCCCATAGGCGACTGCAGGAGCGAGTACAAGTTCGTCCTCAACTCCATCTTCATCCACGGCGGCGGCTGGGCGACCGCCGACTTTGGCCAGGACACGCTCAAGAAGCGCGCGGGCGCGTGCATCGGGTCCACCCCGACGTCGTGGAAGTTCTGGTACTACGACCAGCCGGACAAGGACGGCTACGAGTGGGCCGCCAGCTTTAACACGCCCGTCTTCACCCGCTCTCGGTGCTTCGACAATGACAAGGTGCCCAACGAGTCGGGCGGGCATGTCGGCGGCTGTGGTGGAACTGGCTAGATGGGGCAGAGGGCGGATGAGACAAGGTCCTGCCCCTTGCGATGGTGTGGGCACTCCTCGTAATCAGCTTCACACTGTCGATATGAAAATGCAACTTCCTGGCCCTTATGTTTTCGAAAATTTGAGATGAGACGCCTTCTCTTGCTTACGTGGTTGTTCTGTCAGGAATATCCGCGAAAGATTCTGAAGACGTGTCGCGGTTCGCTTCTCACGGCTATCCAGTTGCATATGCGTGGCTTCGCTGACCATTGACTGACAATCTTGCTACAAGGGGATACTTTCGCCCTTGGTCACTCCTGGGTAAGGCCAGCGCTCATTCGATCAGCTCATATCGTCGATCGCATGACAGCCAGCAATGCGGGAAACCCATGCCGCCCCGTGGGGCCCAAGGAATTCCGCGCCGAGGCGGTGAAACCAGAAGTGCACATTCAGCGAACTGAAGCCAGGTTATGCTCAGTCGCAAATATGAAATAATTTCGCTTAATCCCTCATCCTCATCTGCTCTTATGCGTGACACTCACCGCAACACACTTCAAGAAGACCACTCGCTAGCTGTCTCGTTGAATTGTGTAGGTCTAGCTACGACGCCCTTCTGCAAAGACACTACAGCGCATACGAGGCCGCTGACTTGACCGCAATTCCCTTCTGCTACAGGAAGTCGAGATCATTCAAACCCGCTTCCTCGCCTGGTCGACCCTGCAACAGGAATCCGCATCTCAAGCGGGATGACTCCGCTGTCTCCAGTTGTGTGAACTGCTGACAGCGAACCAGACTCAGATTGCCTGGGAATGCGACCAGCTTCTCGCCACGGAGCGATTTCCGCTAGGACTAGGCCACCTTATTGGCTTGGAGATCGTATATCGGACCCTTCGTGCTCCTCTCGACGGCCAGCTGCGCATCAGCCAGGAAGAAAGCATTCCCGGCCGCGCACTGGTCGAACTGTGGTGACCGGTCGTGGGTGTCTACAGCAATTTGCGCATTTCCCGATGGTCTGACCGCCTGATCGCTCTTGCTGGTGCTGGAAAACATCTGCAAGACCACCTCGGCTGGGAATATGAGGCTGGCATGTATATGACCAATATTACCTCTCAGCTCACGTGGCGCCTGGAGGAGAAGAGCATGAAGACGCAACTGAGGGACCCCGAGAGGAGAAACAGGACGGCTAGTCGGCCGTTGCCACACCTGGCCCCGACCTGGTCATGGCTGTCTATAGACGGCCCGGTCACATTCATGCCGCAGTGGGGCATAGTCAAGTTCAGTGACAACGTACAGCACATGGATACAATTAGACGAGTAAGTCCATACAAGTGGGAAACAAAGCGCAGATTGCCCAGCATGCGACTGCCGCTAACGTGTGCCACGGGAGCACATATCACCCGAGCGTTGGATCCTTCCAGAGGATCTGAAAGAAGTACCACTATGCCGGTTACGGAGCTTGGAGCGCGGACAGTCACGAGAGGAGAGCTTGGGGCTGCTGAGTACCTCTGCTCTTCAGATGATTGGCTATCTGATTCCGGTCACATTGAAAAGCTCTGCCGATGTCATCGAGTGGTGCGACAAAAACAGGAATTCCAGCCATGATGGTGTGGCTAGGAGGACGAAATGTGTTCCATTTCCAGTCCCCTTCGATGATTCAGTGAAGGGATCCCAAGAACTTGCGTCACTTGCGTCACTTGGACACGAAGATCCGAACCACAAAACGAAGCCGTGTAAGCAAGATGTCTTCGAGATGGTGGTTGGTTGGGACCTTGTTGAGGAGTGCGATCCACTTGGCGAGCTGTTTCTTATGCCCGTGCACGAGCTGCTGGACCATCAACCCCGGGACATTTTCGAGATGTATACATATCGCAACGTCCATGGATTGTTGTTAACACGCTCTCGTGGCGGCGGCGGCTCGGCCACCAATCGGTTTGTAAGACGAGGTATTTTCAAGCTCGCGAGCTCGAAGCCGTATTTCGCCAGCTTCTGGCATGCAGCAATACGACTCGAACCGATTCCCGGGGTGCCACTGGTTGCAGACGACGGGGTACAGTGGCCTATGTTTTTATAGAAGGAAGGTGTTTCTGATTACAAGCAGGACTACGTGGGCATCCACAAACAGGACGGAAAGATGCAGTACCAGTTTGACCTCGTGTAATCAGTCAGTATATACCCATTGGTTTTGCACTGTGAATGACTTAGATTAGACCAGCAAAGTGGCTGTCATGGTTGAGGGACCTCCCAAAGCTCAAGTGGCTGCAAGCATTTGAACGACTTTCATGGAGAATGCGGGGACAGAAGTTCTGACGACCAGCAGCACGTCGCACCTGGGTTCGAATTCTTTGGGTTGATTGATCAGACACTATCTCAAATTAGAGCGACAGGCATATGCAGAACGAAGAGGAGCTACAGGTCTGAGGCGGCTACGTTTTGTTTTCAGTCCATGTTTCATGCTCTTCTCCTGCCGTCTAGGCGGCTCCATTCGGGGAAGCTCTTCTGTACCACGTCTATGCGCTCTGAGAAAGCATCTTACGCCCACACCGCTTGTCTAGTAAGTGTGGCCCGCAACGGCTGTCTGTGCACCGCAATTTTAAGGCTCTCGAGAAAGTTGTATTTAGCCACATCAATGTGGCTGTACTGCTTGGCTATTCAGCAGGGTTCCACTGCAATCTTGGACGACCATTGGAGGGTTCTCGGTCCGTTCTCTACATGGTCCTTGCCAAGAGCCACTGCGGCCGAGTGCCTTGCACAAGGATCCAGGGATAGCAGCGGTGCATGCCAGCATTTTCCCCACAGAATTAGCTCTTTACAGCAACACTACCAAATTAGGCAGATCCCGCCTTGCCTACGTTAGCGTATGAAATATTTTTACCGCGGGAAATCAAGCGTTTGCGGAAGGAGGGTATGGCAAAACCTCCTTGGCATAATCAGGCCAGGAGCAATGCCCCTCTGTGCACGAGCAACAACTATGTTTAGGCACGCCAGCCATTTGTCGAGCTGCGGACAACATATGCCAATGCTTGGCAGGCCCCAGAAGTAGTGGGCGAGCACATAGACAACAAGACTACATGCTAGCCAGAAAGGGCGGGCACACCCGAGACTAAAGCACCAGGTATACGAATGTTTCTGTGCAGGTGAGGACCTTGAGCCAGATCGAAATGTATATAAGCCCAGAATATCCCAAGCCACAAGCACCTTTGCTCGCTCAAACTACTCAGATCTGTACCACAACATCCTCTCAAAAAAGAAAAATGCACACAATCACTCTCCGAAGTGCTACGGCACTTATCACGACGTTCTTTGCTCTGTTCCCCGGCCCCGCGCAGGCCAACTTCGACATCTACAGAACCCAGATCTACTGGGGTAACAGACCGTCTATCTCGTGGCAGTTCTGGGAGGCCGAGGCGCCCAACGACTGCAACAAGCTCATCGCGCAGGGTTTGAGGGACGACATCAGCGGCAAAGACCCCCTAGACGTGCTCTGGAGCGTTTCGTGCCAGGGCAGTGGCTGCGCTGAATCCACTCCGCCTGGGGACATCGACGTGCTGAAGTTGAAGCTCAGTCCTAATCCGCTTTTGTACTGGAGTGAGTTTTGTCTCTCTTCTTCAAACACGCTGAATTAGCTTTTGTTGCCCGGGACAGGGTCTTTTCAGCTTGGTGTAACACGCGTGGTTGTGCTGTAGGCTAACGCTGGCGTCTTGCGCAAATATAGCACTGTACAAGGACCGCAACTGGTCCATGATTGGTCGTAAGTGGCAACCCTTTTCGTCCACGTCGCAACCTGAATCCCTGTTGACACTGAAAAGAGGACGGCAACTCCTACGGAGACTGCATGGTATTTCCTCATGGCGATGTAGACTGCTGGTATGGCCCGTACCACATCCGATCGCGGCGCAAGTTTCGCTGCCTCACCCGGTTTACGGCGGACAATATCAACAAAGGCACCATGCCGAGTAAGCGTGCTGAGATCGAGGGGGAGCCGCAAGGTCAGGAGCAGGAGCAGAGAGGGCGATCGCTCACGTTTGAGGAGCTGATTGCGAAGCAGTTCGGGACGAGCCCTTCGGGCTTGGTGCCCAAGGCTTATACTGCATAGAAGGTTGGTCGTGGCTCATTCACCAACGTGAGGAGCGTCGCTTCGGGGCATCGCACGAATTCTTCGATGGCTTCAGCATCAAAAGCGATAGCAGCATTTACTGTATGAAATGTCATTATAGATTCTTCCCTTCATAGCCCAGGTTCTATTTCGTGATTGACAAACAGCACTGGGTCTGCAGACGTTCCCCCCCTTCTGCGCCGCTATATTTGCCCGGCAAAGTCCTACACCTTCATACCGGAACCGCATCCCGATCATTGCGACTTGTCCCATTCCTTTTGCTCACGCAAAAAGTCCTCCTTTAGCCTTTGATACACCTCGTCCCGCTTACACCGTTCCCACACCTTCTTGAACACCAGACTCGCCTCCTCCTTCTCTGCTTTGCCCTGGTGGTTCTCACTCCTGGGCAGCTCCTCGCGCGACGTGGTGCCCTTCTTGTACTTGCGCCCGCCCGCGTGGTTCGCGTACCTCTTGGCCCGCGTCATGCCCATCTGGATAAACTTGCGCGCCATGTCCATGCCCACAAAGTCCCCCTCGGCGCCGAACTGCCGGAACTCCCGCCACAGGGCCGCGGAGCTCGTGACGGCGATGGGCACCGTGCGGAAGCGCCAGAGCGGCAGGAGGAAGGACTTGTAGGGCTCAAAGGTGAGCACGCCTTGCTCGCCGCGGGCGATGCGGTAGCTCATGCGGACTGTGTGGGGGACGGTCTTGATGAGCGGCTGGGAAGATGGCATGGCGGCCGTGTCGTGTTTGACATGTGGCCCTGGCTCTGGGGGCGGGGATTCCTGCTTCGGTGTTGTTGACTCTTGTCTGGGCTTGTCCGTACTACTGTCCCGCGGTGGTGGTTGTGGTGGATGAGTCCCATCCTTTGGCTTGGGGCTCTTGCGCCGCGTGGCTTCACGTGCCGATTTGGTCGACGCTGCGCGCGTCTTTGGCGCCATCGATGCCCCTTCGTAACTTCTTAGAAAAAGCCGGCGTTATGCAGTTTTGTTTTGATCTCCGTTCTTTATCTCATTTCACAATCAGCGTGGTTTATTCGTCGGGGTCTGCTAAGGGTTGGTCTTGGTGTGCTATGGTGGATGTGGTGATGTCATGGGTGGTTGTCGCACGTGGCAGACAGACACTGACCGCTAAGCCGCTCCTATGAATTTGATGCCCGTGACACATGCCAGCAGTATCTCGGAAAACCACGATCACTCATCACTTATCATATTCTGCAAAGAAAGTCACGGGCTTATTATTCTCGGCACACACCAACATCATGGCTCCTGCACCTATAGCTTTCTATACATCTAAATATTGGGATTATGCGGAACAGGCTCGAAGGCGAGTTGCGAGGCCTGCTCGGGATGACTGCTAAAGGGAGATCTAATGCTAGTGAAATATCAGGTACACGATCGAACGTTTGTCCAATGAGCTCTTTACAAAATCCTCTTGACCGAGAAAGGGTTCGGCGTAAAAGTCCCGTTCGGGTCCGCCTTGCCTCTAGCACGCCCGATCCGCTCGTACACCTCCTTGCTGTCGTAGTACTTGCGCCAGATCTTCTCGTCGCCCAGGTCCCAGTCATACGAGCCCCACAGCGTCGCGCGCTCGGCGTTCTTGCTGAAGGAGCTGTCCGGCCCGGTCATGACCTCGTCGTTCTTTGCCTGCCACGCCTCCGCCATGGCTTTGGCCTTGGGGTTCGGCTCGTAAAAGCAGTCGAGCACCTGCGTGATCCTAGAGTCCCGCCAGGCATAGCTCGTGCCGTTGTCCTTGTTGGCGCGGAATTGCGAGTGCTTGCCGCCGTAGACCTGGATCTGCGCGACGAGCTTGTTGCTAAGGTACTGCTCGTAGTCGTCGTCTCCTTCGTTCGAGTCGAGAAAGTGCTTCTCGTTGTAGATGAGGTCGATACGGTCCACCACCGCGTCGACCCAGTTGTCCTTGACGAGCGTCTTTGAGGCGGTCGTGTACGCGCGCTTGACGTACGGCAGCTCAAACTCGCGCTCCTTGTCCATGATCCACTTTCCCGACATCTGCGCCATGTCCTCGTCGAACTCGGAGAAGAGCAGCGACTCGTTGCCGAAGAAGCCCTTGAGCTCGCGGAACTTTTCGAACCACGCCTCGACGGACTCGTCGTACTTGTCTGTCGGAGAGGTCGGGCACCACGAGGCGTACAGGATGATGCTCGCGGGGAAGCTGCCGTTCAGCCAGGTCAGGAACTCGTCGGCAAAGTGCTGCTTGATCTTGTCCTGGATCTTCTCCCAAACATGCGCGTCCCGGAGGGTGGGGAAGAGGTATGTGATGGGGAACTCTGTGCTCATGACGCTCACGCAGAGGTCAAAGCCTCGTGGCACGGAGTCGTCATCAGCCATCTCGGCAACAAAGTTGAGCAGCCGCCGCAGAATGGGCTCCGAATATATCCAGAGCGCCTTGATTCCGTGGGGGCCTTTGAAGCCGTTGGGACCGGCCACGGTGCCCATGTAGTGCGAGGCCTGGTAGACTTCCAGTGTGTAGTGGGTGATGATGCCAAAGTTTCCTGGGCTGCCGCCGCAGATGGAAAAGAAGAGCTCCGGGTCAGATTCCTTGGTGATGTCGCGGATCACGCCGTCGTGGCAGATCATGCGAATTGTCCGGATGTGGTCGCCAAACAGGCCGAAGCCGCGGCCCATCTGGCCAACGCCACCCGTCTGTCCGTGTCCGCCGATGCATACCGATGCACACTGGCCATGGGGCACAAAGAGGCCGTTGTGTGTGAGGTACTCGTTGAAGTCTTTGAGCTTGTTGCTGACTCCAGCATAGACAAGTGTCCGCCCAGCATCGAGCTTGTTAGTTGGCTCGATGACCATGAGGTCCTTGTATGTGCTACCGAGGTCGAGCTGGATGTTCTTGCCGCTGGTTGACGATGCGCCACTGTACTGGTGGCCGCCAGACTTGATGGCCACGGCGACATTGTTCTCGACGGCCCAGCGGAGCGCCCTGATTACATCCTCGTCGTCTTTGGGCTGGATGATGGCGCTGGGGTGCATGTCATGCTCCTCGCCGTGCGAGGATGTTGCGTATTGCTCGTTGAAGAATGCATAGTCGCGTTTCTCGGCTGCCGTGCCGTCACGCAGATACTGCATGCCCTGGACGCCTTGGATGCGGACCATTGTGAAGATGTGAAGGGAAAAGCAGAAATGATTTCGAAATGGACTGTAAATTACCCCTGGATGGAGGGAGATGAGAGTGACTGGCTAGACACATGTAAATGCATCCAACCGCTCTACGGGTCCAGGTCTGGCTTTTTGTAGCCAGCACCAGGCACAGGCAGCCAGGCAGGCTTCACGTCATTTGCCTGACACACGCTGAAGGCAGGGTCGCGGCCCAGTTCAGCCTTACGGGGCTTATGCATCGGTTTGGTCGGGTTCGGTGAACGCCGATGGCGTCGTGAGGGCGCTGACTGACCACAGGTGCCGGGACGGGAGCACTACCCACATGCCGTGACGGGAAGAAATATGACACCAAGTACCAGGATTGGGCGTCCCAGGCCAGTGAGATCAGACGATTGGTCCCCGATCCAAGGGAGTGGCGGCCGCTCGGCAGAGCCCGCTGCGCCGGGAGGCCATGTTGACCGCAGGGCTGCCTTGGTGTTTCTCCACATCCTTGGGGGCCAAGGACCCTTTGCCTGGGTCTCCGCAGCCAAATTGGAGGCAAGAGCAGGCTTCTGCACCTGGGCGGGCACATTGGGGCTGTGTGCCTGTTGCTTTGCAGCGACATGGTTGGCCGCGCTGTGCTATGGCGACCAACACTGCTCAGCCGCACCTGACATGTAGGGGACGTTGCAGATTGGACAAGGCAGTCAGCCAGGATTGTGTCGTCTGCTTTTACGGTTTCGTAAGGGCTGTTTGGTCACTGAAGAAACACCGTAAGTGCGGTACTCCCAAGAGCCGGCTTCCTTAGTGCTTCGGTAAGCGGAGCGGCGCAGCACAGGTGGCGCCATCCCTCTGACTGGTCCTCGAACGACTTTTTGATCTCTCCGCACAAGAACATGTCATCATGGTTGCGACCATCGGCCTGGAGCGTCTCACTCTTCCATAAAGGCACTGTTGCCAGAAGACTTGACAAACCTGGGGAAAACCGTTGTGCTGGCCTTTAAGGACACGCGAGGGGATTATTAGAACCGATGTCCGGCCCAAAATAATAAAAACCGCGTGTAAGCGTGGGTGCATTCCTCGGCGGCTAGGCAGGCGACCTGTCCTCTCTGTCACAATATTACCAAGTCGTCGAGTCACAGACCGGCACTTTGTCGCTGCATGGCCTAGGCACGTGGAACACCCGCCTTTTGCCTGCATAGCCGGTAGGCTGCCTCGAGCGTCCGACTGGGGCGGCTGGGGAGCAAATGTAGAATCGCAGCAGCCGGGGGCTGTGGCGGAACGCGCTTCCGTGCTGTTCCCCACCAGTGAGGCTTTTCAGTCTGACCAAAATCTCACTCACTTATTGGGGCATAGTGCAGGCTATACAAGTGTATGCGAAAGAGCACATCTACAACGAACATCACGACAAAATCCCATCGTTTCAGATCTTCGGCGTCCTTATCGCACACAAGAATCCTCATAGCATTTGAAGACCATCCCTACACCTTGGCACCATGACGCGTAGACCATGGCCGTCCCAGCCCCCAAAAGACCCTGGCAAGTTCTCCGCACCGGGACGGCTGCTCATTGGCGCAACTTGTACGAATCCGCCTTGATTGCGCTGGTTTGAGCTTACCTGTTTATACTCGTGTGGGTTTGGCTGCATGGCTCGCGGGGGTCGTCGTCCGCTCTCACAACCTCCTCTCGCCCTCGCCACACCTCTGAATACAGGCGTCTGGCATAACCGCCTAACTGCCAGTACCCACGCTGGAGAGCCACGACCGCCATGACGGATCTTGCAGCGCCCGGCGAGCTCGCCGTGCAACCGCACTTCTCATTCTTTCAAGCTCTGCGGCACGGAGCCATCGCGTGGTCCGTCAAGGGCCTCGTCAACTCCATGCTGACCTTCAGACAGCTGTCGCAATGGTGGAACAAAGGCCCCAACGTGCCCGACATGGTCAAGACATATCCGTGCCGGCCATCGTTGCCCATTAGGTACTTTCTCTACAAGACATCTGTCCCCCCAGGGGGTTTTTCGCGTGCTCAGAACCGCCACTAACCCAGCATAAAACCTAAGAATCTTCTTCCCCAAGGGTTACGAGCGCAACAGCAACACCAAGCTGCCCACGCTCTTCATGGTCCACGGCGGCGGCTTCCTCGTCGGGGACCCGTCCGACGACGACCTCGTGAACCGGCGCTTCGCCGACACGCACGGCTTCCTGGTCATCGAGCTCAACTACCGCAAGGGCCCCGGCTCCCCGTTCCCCGTCGGGCTGCGCGACCTCGAGGCGATCCTCATCGCGCTGTACAGCGACCTCAACGCCAGGGAGGACATCCCGGCCACGGAGCGCCTGCCCATCGACCAGGGCCGCGTCGCCATCAGCGGCTTCTCCGCGGGCGCCTGCATCGCCCTGGGCGCGTGCCAGCTGCCCTCGATCCAGGAGAAGGTGCGCTTCTCCGCCGTGATCCCCGTGTACCCCGTCGTCGACCAGAGCATCAAGCCCGGCGAGCGCGCGCTGCGGCGCCACTACAAGACCACCTTTCCGGGGCTGCGGGGGAACCCGACGGACCTGCTGGCCCGGTTGTCGCCGTACTTTGTGTGGAGCTACCTCCCCTACGGCCAGGACCTGCGCGACCCGCTGCTCTCGCCCGCGTACGCGGCGCGCGAGGAGCTGCCCAGGGGTGTGTTCGTGGTCGGGGCCGAGCTCGACCAGCTGTGTCACGAGGGCTGGCGGCTCGCGTGCAGGCTCGGGGGTAAGAGGGTGCCGCCTGACTCCGCGGAGGAGAAGCCCGGCCAGGAGATGCCTGCCGCGGAAGCGGGCAAGTTGATCATGGGCAACGGGGACGAGAGGTTCTACTGGGAGAATGACGAGGAGGTGCAAGGGGTGAAGAAGTCGGTCCGGTGGTTGCTGATCCCCGACGCTGTGCACGGGTTCAACCTGATCCCGCCGAGTATGCATGCTGATCCCGGGGCTGTGGAGGATGCCAAGTCCAAGGCGATTGCGTATGAGAAGGTCGTGGCGGAGTGGTTGGTCAATGTGATCTGGAAGAAATGAGGCATCCTCGTTCTAAGCAAGCAATGATTATTTTCGTACTCTAGGTTCTCAAGCAAGCCTTCATCTTCTTGTCTACAAACATTCAGGAGTTTGAGGAAACTGGATGTGGCTATCTCAAATATTAGAGTCTATTATTGCGGGCATTCATGGGACCGTCTGGCCGCAAGCGCCTGAGTAGCAAGGTGTTTCATCGTCTTATTTATGTTTCTTGTAGAAATTGGATCCTCCTCAATCCTTTCCCATCCGTGTCTTTTCACAGCGCCTTGATATAAATAGGCTCATACGACGAACCCGCCCTTCCAAAATCCCAGGACGACGAGCTGCCAGGATAGACCCGCATCGAACTCAAAGAGGTGACAATCACTCTGATGCCGTTGCCCTCCTTGCTGATCGTGGCGTTGCGGATGTCGAGAAGCATGGCGAAGATAGCCCACAGAGCGCCCACAGCGGCAAGCTTGAGAATGGTGTCGAGCGCATGGTAGACGCGGTTTGAGCTGGAACTTGACGTCTTCTCGGCCATGGTGGATGTCGTTGGGGGTATTTTTCAATATATGTTTGGGTTGTCCTGCGCGTGGTAGGCGGTGTTGACAGGTGTTCTTGCTTGGGAACGGCTTGATTTTCGTGATTCAACCGATGTGAATAGCTTGGAATGCGCTTAGTTTTCGAGACTCGAGTGATAATGGTGGGAGTATTCTGGGGGCCTCCTAGAAGGCTCCCCTTTTGATTTATGTCACCCCAGAGACGACCTTAGCGAGCTCAGGATCTCCCTTGCCAAGGTACGGCTGAAGTAGCCGCACCACAACGCCAAGCCGTAAGCGTGCGTCTGCCCAGTGGGGAAGCAAGAAGAAGCAAGCATCGCTCCAGTAGCAACAGGGAAGGACCCTGCCGCTGGTTCCGATGAGGTCTTTCAGATCGGCAGTGCTTTGCTCCTGTTTGGCAGACGCGAACCTCGTTGGTTCAAATGCTCCGCCGTCTAGAGTTGGGACCGGTCCTTGGCGCACGGGCGATCGAGCGTTTCAGCCACAAATCAGAGACCTGTCCGTAGAAGGCTAGAATAAACAAGCCCCCTAATTACCTTCATTATACTCGGCCGGGATGTCAAAGGTGGAATCTGCACTTTGCCACCATCTCAACAAGGAATAACCAGCGACGACCCTATGACGCAACGTCTTCATGCCGTCACTACGTAGCTGAATATTCCATAGGCATTCCCCAGTCCCAGTCTAGCACGCTTTGCAAGCTGCGGATCTATCTGGCACTTTGCCTGTACTCTGTTAGTCAATAATCCCAGGAGTGGGTGGGAGAACGCCACCGATGGGTCTAGCGCGAATCATCATCCCTCGTGCAACAGCAGGTACAGATCTAAGCTTTGACAGCCCTGGATAAGCGTAATTTGCTCGTTGAATAATCTGCTGAAGCTGGATCGTGTAGATACGAGATCCGACACGAGCGCCTTCCATTCACATCGCCTGGCGAATAACACGCCAACTTGGGCTTGGTCTTTGTGAGTGAGGCTTGCGCGAATGCAGGAGGCACGCATCTCACACCGGCGAACCCGCTTGATGCTCGATGGGTGATTGGCAAACCGCAATATGGCCAGTTGTGACGACCTAAAGAAATTCAACTGAATCTGTCTGCCGGCACGGGGAGACCAACTTCACCTGCCTAGTACTGCCCAGCAGGCTACAATGTGGAACATGATGGTCGACTACAGCATTTAAGGCGAGCCGCTTTTCAGTCCTGTTTTATAATCTTCGACAAGCAGCTCTCCGTCTAGTCAGGGCCAGACTTTCGATCAAGGCTGTCAAAGGTGCTCCTGTCGCCTGCGGAGCTTCGCTGTTGATTGGGTCGCTTCAGTCTATATGTGCTGTCGCAGACAGACAAACAGATGAAAAGACAAACAGCAAAAGGGCGTAATAATGCCACATATTGGAGCGACTGGCAGCAGAGTTTCCTCGCGGATTCCAGGAACAGGAAACTCCTTGCAGGAAACCATCCAATTCTAGAACGCAGAGACAAACAAGAAGCGCATGACGATACAGCCTCTCTTTCTCTCTGTCTCTTTCTCTCTGTCTCTCTTGCGGGGGGCAAGTCCATAAGCCTAAACTGCCCAGGCCACTGGCCTCAAAGGGTGTCGAGGACAATAAGCTTGCGGCGACACACAACACAGTAGTCGTCAGCACGGTTTGGAACTGGGCCTACCAGCGCGCCCCCGCAGACGACGGTATTTGGCCTCGTGCTTCAGAGGACAGACAATATAAGGGCGGGAATGGTTGGACAAGCGCACGCGTAGTCAGTGATGGACAGAGAGAGATTGGGGGGGGGCAAGAGATGGTCAAACACGGGGCTTCCAACCGAGGCGCATCCGCGGATTGCTTGGATGAAATGCTAAATCATCAGCATTCTAGCCCTATCAAGGACCAGCTAGCACAATATTCACGAATAGAACAAAGCAACTGACTCGTCAGAATGTGTAAAAACCTCATATAAAAAGAGTTCACCGATATCGCGGGTCACACTTGACGTCAAGAGCATGCGGAAACGAGGAGGGGGGCCTTGTCGAAGCGAAACTAGATTATATATTAAAAGGAGTGTACTCGTTCTAACCCTGTCGACCGTTTATATATTCGTTCGCACGCCATGTGCTGTGCGTATGTATATATGCATACATATATATGTACGTATGTGTGTGGGTGTGTATATAGATATATATATATATCGCCACTCGCTCAAGCGCACCCAATTAAGATCTCCTTCCCCCCCTTCCACGTCTTCGCCCGATCAAGCGAGAAAAGAACTGCGGACCAAGGCGGCCACAGCAAGGCCATCAGACATAAAAAGAAGAGCGGACATTTCCTCGGTATTACGAAACAAAAAGACGAAAAAAAAAACGGGAGAAAGACTATGCCATACCAATATGCAGGCTCGATTACTCGCTCGCTCGATCATGATGCATCGTCTCTGCACTCTCGTCATCGTGTCGCGCTCTCTGGCTCTCTCTCTCTCGGATATGCTTTCTGGAGCTCCCGTGGGGTCAAGGAGAAGGGGAGGATTGCTGTTCGGCGAGCAAGAGGCAGCTGGCCCCTTTCACTATCCTCGGAAAAATGCCAACTGATGATTTGAGACCACCTCGCTCAATTTACAAAGCAAAAACCAGGGCGCTCAGGCCAGAGGCGACCAGGGCCCAAGCGGCGCCCGAGAGGCGCGCGGCCGCGTTGGGCGGCGGCGTGCTCGAGGGACTGACGTTGCCCTGGACTGGGTCTGTCGGGGTCGGGGTGGTGGAGGCGGGAGGCGCCGTGGTCGAGCCCGAGCTCTGACCGGGTGTCGAGGACGACGCGGGGCTGCTGCTCGTGGCCGCTGACGAGGACGCCTTGTCGGTCGAGGACGACGTGGGCTTGTCGGTCGTGGTGGCGGCGACGACGGCGGTGCTCTTGGTCCAGTCGGGGCTCATGGTGACGCCGCCGCTGGGCGTCTCGGTGCCAATCGTGGCGTAGTCCTGGACGGTGCCCGAGACGGACGTGGGGATGGCCGTGACGAAGCTGCCGCCCGTGTCCAGCTGGGCCTTCTTCTGCACCCACTGGGCAAAGTCGCCAGTCAGGCGGGCAAAGTAGGACAGGTGGTCCGCGACGACGGCGCCGTCCTTGAGGGACTTGTTGCCGCAGATGGGGTCCGTCTCGATGCACTCGTCGCGCAGGATGTCGGCCCAGCCGTCGAGAGCGGCCTTCTGGTCGCCCGTGCGGGGGAACATGCCAGACATGCCGGAACCGGTGCCGGTGTTGAAGGGCTCGCCGCCAGTGTGGCGGACGTTACCCGAAACGAGGACGGCAGCGACTGGGAACAGAAAGAAAAAAAGGTCAGCAATCGCTGCCAAGAGGCAAATAAAGTCTTGTAGAAGCGAAAGGTTGGCGTACTCATGTTGCCCGGCGCGTTTTCTCTGCTCAACGGAGGCGCAGAAGGCTGGACGCAGCCATTGTAGAATGTGCCACCCGCACCGGCGAGGATGTCGGTGATGACCTGGGCGCCGACCGAGTAGCCACCGAGAACGAGCTTGGACTTGGGACACCGGCTGGCGTAGGCGGCAAGCTGTGTGTGGCCGGCAATGACGCCGTCGTAGACAATCTGGCAGTAGAGGTCCGTGTAGCGGGCCGAGTAGAGGAGGTCCTCGTAGTCGCAGCTGTCGACGCCCTTGCAGATGGCGGCAACGAGGTCGCCCTGGCGGCCCGGGTAGGGCTCGTTGTTGCCGCGGGCGAGGAAGATGTGGACGTCGGAGCATTCCGCAGCGGCCCGGCGGGGCTCGTGTGAGTTGTTGTTTGCAATGTGTACGGCAGAGGCCCCCGCCGACGCGGCGAGCAGGGCGGCGGCTGCGGCCGCCCGTGTGCTGGCCCTCATGGTCACCATGGCTCCGAGAATTATGTGTGTTTGCCGCTGCTCGTCGTGCTGGAGAATACAACCGAAGAATATGCAAATGTCGTCGGGCAGGAGGAGAAGACGGAGGAGGAGAAGAAGACGGGCGGGAAACGACAGTACTTGGTAGCGAGGCCCAAGAGAGAGACAAGAGGTCGCCAGAGAGGAAGACGAACGGCATCACGGACCAACAGTGGGCGGCAGTGCGGACAATTATGGAAACGGGCGAGGGATGTGTCTGGAGGCGGGCAGGGTGTGTGTGCCGGGGTGCCCCTGGCCGCAAACACGAGATCCGAGGCCGACCCTGGTGGAGCACTGCGCGGCCTCTTGCGCACTCGCCGCCCATCCAGGCAGGCATCTCAGCCATCACGAGAGAAATCGGCGGGGCCTGTCTGGCGTCCAGGTGTTGCTATCATGGCCTAGGGAAGTCGCCGGCACACCAGCGCGCACGCTGCCAACCGCCACAATGGCCCCTGCCCCTGGCTAGACTATCCCCCACACCCACTGTCCAGCTGCCTTCTAGCACTCTTTGGGCCAAGCTGACGCCCGTGGCCGCCCCCTTAGCTCCGGTGCCATGCACGCAATAGTCCAAAGAAACCCGCCGAGGCGCGCGCCAGCCTCGCACAATAGGAATGGCCGCTCGCTATCATGATCGGTGGCGCCTGTTCGCCGATCTGATGACGACTCTCGAGCCTCTCTCCTCCCCGAAAAACCACCCCGAAAAATTCGACAACAAAAAAACCGGCCGCCCCGGTCGAGTGATAGGCGCAGAGCCCCAAGCGGCCCTCTGTCTCTCCGTTGGTGCCGCCGTTGCCCTTGGCTGCTGTCAGCAGCGACAAGCCCACAGATAGCAGTACGCTAGGCTGATCGCCATTTTTGTGATTGCGTCCGCCCGTCGGTCCCCTGTCTGTTCCGCATTTTCCTTTATCATCTGCCCCGTGCGCCCGACATGCAGCTCATCCATCGTCCTCGGCTATCTTGTTGCGATTGGCGTGGCATGCGCAAGCCAGAAGCCACACGACGACTGTACGTCGCAATTGACGTGCCCGAGATTTGAGTCGGTGCAAGTAAGTCCTCGGGCAGGTGGTGCATGAACTTGCAAGCCACCTGTGCAAGCCTCCATGCAAGGCACGTCGACGGCACTCTTTGTTCCCGGCCAGGCTCCTGCCCAGGATGGCCCTCCCCATGCGACCTTGCTTGGGTACTCCTTAATGCGGACATGGTTCTTCATTATCTGGGGGCCCTGCTGATCGGGGGTTCATGGTGGCCTGTCAGGGGGTCGGATCAGGGCGGCTGCATCCAAGTCATCATTGCCAAGCACGCTCGTCGCCGCATGCCAACAGGTCTTGAGGATTCCTGCCTCATCTGGCTCCTCCATAGATACAACGTGACCTGGCCCTCCATGTAGACCAATATCCTGATCCTGGCTCAGATCGCTTCCTCTCGATCCTGCTAGCCTCCAAAGGAACTTTTCCTCCTCGCCGGCGCCATCATCCCACTGCCCGGAACCTGATTGTGAGCTCACGGGGGCGCGGACCCCGTAAACAAGAACTCCATTGTCGTTGCAGGTGTGTTTCCGTGTCCAACTGACGCAACCGGACCACGAAGCATGAGTCAATCCATGGAAGCTCCCACATACGACGCAGACCCAGTTATGTCACTAGGCCCGACATGACAAGCCAAGTTTAGTGGTATAATGATGTCAAATGTGGGCGCGCGGTCAAAGCACGGGCGCGTGCCCACTGTTGCAGCACCACCACCAACAACCACGACGTGTTTCGGGCGCACTGCGTCATGCCTTCGGCTTCTTTGCTACTTCCACACACTTAGCGACCCCTGACCAGGCTCGGTTTTGTTTCGTCTCCGTACCGAACGACCGAGTCTCATCGTGAAATGGTCAGATTTTCCTCTTCACCAGCCCTTTGAAAAAGTCAAAGCTGTTCTCGTCGCTCTGCAGCGCCCACATTTTGCCGGTCGGCTTGTCGTCCCGATTTAATTCTTGCGCCATGAGCATGCCCCAATCGCGTGTAATGCCAACAATTCTGGCTTTCGCGCCAGCCTCCTGCTCGAGCGTGACGACCTGGTTCCCATGCAGCCAGCTGTCGTAGTAAGCGCCCTCCATCTCCCGGGTGAAGCCCTGCCGGACGAAATCCTTGTACAGCACTTCCATCTTTGAAATGAGCCCGGCAAGCAGCCTCTCAATGCTGAAAGGTGGCAAGTGCTTCGGCAACAGCGCATCGAGAGACGTAGTTGGCCGGCCGTTCGTCGTATTCAGTCCGATACCAAGGACAACCTGATAGTTGCCCGAGGAATATGCACAATTGGCAAGTATGCCACCGATCTTGACATATGAACGGGTCTTGGAGGTGTCCCGCGGATCAGCCGCATAGATATCGTTTGGCCACTTGAGCTTGACGGGAAGGTTCTCGTATCCTCTGCCGTACGACTTAATAGCCTGGATCACGGCAATCGCAGAGAGGTACTGTATGAAGACGATGGGTCGAGTCGCGGCAATCTGCGCCGGGTGGTTGATGACCACGGAGAACAGGAGAGAGCCAGGAGGAGCGATCCACACGTTGCTGCCGCGGCCTCGGGCAGCGACCGATGTTGTGGCTGTAAAAGTGAATCCGGACGGTAGTTTCGACAGCAGGCTGTTGTTCTTCTCGAGGAGGGTGTTGGTACTGGTAACCACTTCGCCGTATAAAAGATGATCCCCCCAGCTTTCAGACTTGGGGTCCTTCCTCCTAGCATCTCGAAGACCGGAAAAGTATGCTGCGTGGTTGAAGTATGGCGTTTCCTTGGGTTCGGGCCAAGCCTCGTCATGAATCACCACGTTCTTCACTATGGTGCTGTAATCTATCGTGCCCTGCTCGCTGGCGTCGACGGTCCCTGCGGTAGGCTGTATGGCGGTGGGCAAGGCTTGCTTCAGGCCGTTGACAGACCATCGCGTGTGGTGTTTCTCGAGATGGAAGGTATCTTGCTCGCCCTTGATGAAGTCTTCACCGTCCTCTCGAGAAATAATGTCGTCAAAGGTGCACACCAGATCGTCCACGTCCGGGCTGTTGATGCATGATAAGTGGAGTTTCGAGAGCGACGGGGTACTTGAAGTGCTTTGGCTTACTTCTAGGCCCAACTTTGTCAAGCAGGCCTTGAGAAAGTCGGTTCTTGTTTGATCAGACTCTCGAATCTCGGCGATCAGCGTGTCGTACCCGGGAATGCTATGCTGCGGGCTCAGATTGACCGCAGAGAATTCTGGATGGGGGCCAGTCAAGATGGCGGAGCCCAGGCCGACCTTGCTGAAGACAATTGCAGCCTTGTCCTGGCCACCGTCCACGTCGATATCGTCGCCGTACGTGGCAAGCACCTCGACATCTGCTCCTTCAGCCGGCGTTACGAAAACGGAGCCGCCATTGAAGTACGAGGTGAATTCATCCGGCACGGCTCCAGCGCTCTTGAAGGCGTCCTTGTTGGTCAGAATGCGGACGGCGCGTGCGCCTTTTTCGCTCTGGTACTGGAAGCCCTTAAAGGCACCCCCACGTGCGGTGCCGGGATAAAAGGCAAGCTCTCTGGAGCCGACGACCTCGAGGTGCTTGTCGCCCACCTCAAACTCGCATCTCTTGCTGCCGTAGTAGCCGCCCGCACAGAATCCCAGGTATGCACCGCCTTTGCGGACATACTGCTTGATGACGGAGTTGCCATGCCCGTTGAGCACCTTGCAGTAGCCGAGGTCGGCCCCGCCAGGGAAGACGAGGAGGGCGCAGGTCGATGTCCAGGGCTCTTTGAGGATGGCGGTCTCGGTGATGGGGATGACGGCGTAGTTTGGCGAGAGCAGGCGCCGCAGCGAGAAGAGGGCGTGCTTGACAGACTCGACGGTGCTGCCCGTGCCCGTGTAGACGAGCACGTTGAGCTTGCGGGCAGCCATGGTAGCACGGGACGAGCTTTAGCGGGGTTGGGACCTGGCCTTGCGGTCGCAGGGAATGGCCACAGACAACACGCAGAGGTTAATTGACGGTTGTCTGCCTACACCAAGTAGCTTGATGCTGACGACATTGGTGGCCTTTTGCAAGAGCTTGGGGAGGTGTCTGGTTTTGAGAATCGCGGGTTTTTGCGTAGGCGGTCCCATTGAGGTGTGTGTTGGGGCGGAGGAGCTCACCAACTTTGGCTGCTGAGTGTGCTTTCCACTCCTAGCCGAAAGTAGCCTCGAGCTCTCTTCAACCACCCGAGGCTGGTCTGAAACCTGCAGGACCCGACCAGGCAATTCAGTCCAACAACATACCTTATTAGACTGCTCAATCCGGAGCGCAGCACAGCTCCTTTCTGTGGTGACAATGTCCAAGGACGAGAGCGACGCCAGCCAGAGTGCTACGCAAGACGACGATGAGCCAGACGAGTGGTTTGTACCCCGGGCGGCGTGAGGGGCGCCCGCCATCACACACCCACAGCATGGACTGACACGGGCCGCACCGGCACAGGGACAAGCGCATCTTCAGCACCGGCTGTGCCGACGAGAATGCGAAACTGACCGACTGCTACTTTGACAAGAAGGACTGGCGGCAGTGCACGCAGGAGGCAAGTCTTTCCACGATCGGGGCTGCTGCCTGGATTCGAGCTGACGGCAGACCGCTGGCTCCGGTTACGGAATGCAGATGGCCACGTTCAAGGAGTGCTGGAAGAGGCACAACAATGACCAGAGGACTTCGACAAAAGACGCATGAGCATAGTCCACAGCATCACTGCTGCAGGATTGGTTCAACTTGTAGATTATGTTGTACATCATTACATTTCGACCCGCAAATGCCACTGGCAAGTTTCCCATTTAACAACAGAGGCGGAATCGCGCCTGCGCCACAGGCTTCACGAATTTGATGTTTGAGTGAGAATACCGCTAGGTTTATCATGCTACTGGTAATCATGGGCATTTTCACTTTCACGCATGCTTTGCTCTCAGGTCATCGAGAAATTCAACCTCGGCGTGTTGCATGACCATGACGCACCGCCCTTATCGCACCTTCAACACGCCTTATCGCAGCCCTCCAAGCTCCGGGCTAGCGAGAACTTGCACTCCGCCAGACCAGTAGCATCACGAACCCTTGGTCTTCTTGTCAAAACGCGGCCTTCCTCACGAAAAAAGCTTTGAATAGCTTGACTGCACTACCGAACCTTTGAACAGATCTCAGCCACAACATCAGAATGATAATATCAAGGACGATGCAGCCCCTCCGTGCTGCCGCCGCCCGCTCGGCAACCCGGGCGCAACTCCGCCACGCCACTACGGCCACCAAGCCTCGAGCATATCCCGTGGCATCGACAGCAGCCTCCAAGACCACAGCGACGCCCTCCTCAGCGGCAAAGACCACAGCAGCTGCCTCCAAGGCCGCCACCCCAGCAGCGACCGCCGGCAAGCTCGCCCGCACCCCGCTCGCCCAGACGACCGGCCAACACATCCCCGATGCGCCGGGCTTCGGCACCCCGTCCACGCTCACGGGTGCCCCTCCACTCGCCCATCTCGAGGGAACCAACGGCAGCAGCACCGCCGAGGCGGGTGCGATAGACGCCGCCCAGCAACAGAACGGCGGCGACGCGATCGACTGGTCCTCGTCATACCACGGCCTCGGCACAAACGCCTTCCCCGTCGAGACGTCACGCATCCTCATGGCCCCGATCGACCCGGAGGACGTCGAGGTCAAGCCCGACGGCATCATATACCTGCCCGAGATCAAGTACCGGCGGATCCTGAACAACGCCTTTGGGCCGGGCGCGTGGGGCCTGGCGCCACGGGGCCAGCTCATGGTCCAGGAGCGGTTGGTGACGAGAGAATACGCGCTGGTTGTGCATGGGCGGTAAGTTTTCTCCCTGTCCCCTTCCTTCCGTCTGTCTCTCTTTCTTCCTTGTACTCTACTGTTGCTGCGCTGTGGCGGTGGCCCGCTCAAACCTCCCCCCCCTCCTTCTCCCGGAAACCGTGCTGACCATTGTTCTTGAAACCAAAAACAGATTCGTAGCCCAAGCCCGCGGCGAGCAGCAATACTTCTCCGACGACGGCGTCTCGACCGCCGCGGAAGGGTGCAAGTCGAACGCGCTCATGCGCTGCTGCAAGGACCTGGGCATCGCGTCGGAGCTCTGGGACCCGCGCTTCATCCGGGCGTTCATGAAGTCCCACGCCCAGCAGGTCTGGGTCGAGCACGCGACCACCAAGAAGAAGCGCCAGATCTGGCTGCGCAAGGACGACGAGGTCCGGTACCCGTACAAGAAGAGTGTCGGTGGGGCTGCTGCTTTCGCGTGAAAGGAAGAAGAAAGGAACGACGTGTAAACTTGGGCGGGACTGGCGAATGGGAAAGAGGTTGGGTGTAGATTAACTGGAACAGGGCTTGGTTTATGGAGACCGGTCATGCCACTGTACGATGAGAAGAAGAGATTCCTTGGCCGTCTTGGACGCTGGCCAATACATTCATATAGCATGGAAGTCTGGCACCCGCTGGGCCAGGCTTCCAGAAAGACCAGACTAGATCTGCTTTGTACCATAATCACAAGGGAAGGAAATACCACTTTTTGGAATACGCAATGGTTGTTACGCTGTCTGGCGCAATTGCGGGGGCAGCACGTTTGCAAGTTCACTGCAAGATGGCGGCATAGGGAAGATATATCATTGTAAGTGCTGCTTGTTACAATCAACTCAATGCAGCCATCACGAAAGACGGAGCTGCTCAAAGTCGCCGGAACTCCAAAAACGCATAACAGCCAAAATCGTGTGCGAACACAATGATGTCCACCTACTTCTGAAACCCTGAGCTCCGGCCAGCACCATCGTCATCAGCCTTTGGCGTCGCGGGGCCGGTAGTCGTCGTTCCGAAACCGAGGAAGCTCCACGCCTTGCTAGTCACGCCGGGCGTCTCGTCGCCGTCGGCCAGCTGCGCCGCGCGCCGCCGCATGCCGTTCTCGTCCTCGGCACCGCTCTCGGCGTCAATCTTCTCAAAGTCGACCTCGCTGCGTGACTTGCTCAGGCCGCTCCAGACACTGCCGCCGCTGGGTGGGCGCGAAGCCTCGTTGTCTGGCGTGGTGCCGTCGAGGCTGATGCTGCTGGGCCGCAGGTCGCCTCCGCGGGCGTATCCGCCGCGGCTCTTCTCGATTTCGGCGGCTTCCTTGTCGAGCGCGCCCAACACGAAGTTCAGACGCTCCCGCTGCGCCGCGATAAATGTTATCTTCTCCTGCGCGTCACGGATGTTCTGCGGGATCAAGGTGCTGCTCTGGCCGCCAGCACCTCTTGCCGCCGCACTGGTGCTACTGCTCGACCCGCCGGTAGCGCTCCCGGCCGCCGCGCTGACTGCGCCAGCCAGCAAGTTGTAGAAGTCGTGTCCGGCGCTGCCGGCATTGTTCGCAGCCCAGCGCGCCGCAGGCACGCTGAACCTAGCAAGCAGAGCCTGTGTGTAGCCCTGTGGGGCCTCACTTGCGCGCCGCTGGTCCTCCTGGGCCACCTCGGATGGTGCGAGCCCGAGCACGCGGGTCCTGAACAGCTCGATCGCCTGCTTTAGATATGCCAGGCCGGCTTCCTTGAGTCTGTCGTGGGCGTTCGCGATAAATTCTTCGATGGCCGACTCGTTCTCTTCGAGGTACGGGTGGAGGTAGGTCTCGTAGATTTGCCGGGCGCCTTGTGTCTGCGGCAGGACGAGATACAGCAGGAAGAAGAGGCGTATGTACGCGTAGAAGGGGACCCAGGCGAGGATGAACTCGGTCCAGGACTCAAACAGCACGACACATGACAAGACGGACCAGTACATGAGCCATGGTGTAAGCTGGGCCGGGTCGGATGTCTTGAGGGCCTTGTAGGATGCGAAGAGCGGGAAGAGGAAAGAGGCGATGGAGCTGCAGTCGACGCACACCTGTCAGCGTGCCTCTGTCGCAGCCCGAAGACCAAGCGGCATTGCAGGGAAAGACTCACGAGAGGAAGTTTGGCAGGATGTCAAACATAATGACGACGGGGCGCCTTGCGGCTAGACTTGGGCCACAAGGTACGAGTTTCGCTGTCGGTATTGCTCACGTCGTTCCGGGGGGCTGGGGTTGAATTGTGGACTCTACGAGATGTAGTCTAGGTCTTTTGCAATCACAGTGCTGGCGGCAGGTATCTAGGGAGCATCGGTTGGAGGTGAGAGGATGAAGCCGGGCGGAATGTCGCAAAGCGCTCTAGAGATTAACCCAACCCAAACGGCGCGACAAAGCAGGTCAAGTGCTGGAGCTGGCCGAGGAGGCGGATCAAGTTGCTGGAGGCCGAAGGTTGAAGCTAGGGGAGTGGTCTTGGAGCCTAGAGGCGCAACCGCTCAGAGACGCCTGCACGCGCTGCTTGGTGGATGGTGGGGATGACGTCGGGACTGGCAGGCCGTGACCCAGTGCGTTGCTTGTTTTGGTTCGCGGGGGGCCTCAGGAGTGATGGTTTCGGCGGCTCGAGCGGGACAAGGGAGACAAAGAGGACAAGGCTTTTCCAGACTCGGTGCTCCGTCGGCCAGAGATGCTAGGGCAGAGGAGTCGGCTTGCGGCGGCCTTTGGGGCAGAGGCGATACGCAGGAATGCTGCTGAGGGCGGATGGTCGAGGCTGGCGGGGTCATCAGCCCGCACGTGTGACGTGTGCCTGCGCGCAGAGACGTCGCGTGGGGTCCGAGGCTCCAGCTGGTCACCCGCAGGCCAAACGCTCCACAGGGGTCCGGTCCCGTGCTGTCCGCCTGCCGTGCCCACTTCCTTAATTGACTGATTGCTGACAGTGGGCAGACAGGCAGGGATCCTCCGCTTGGATGGGGGGCACGGCGATGGAAGGATGCCAGCTGAGGTTAGGGTTGTTGTGGACAGGAAGTCTCTGGCTCGACAATTGAAGGGCTGATCAGGACCCTGTGTTGCTGTTCTCTTGCTGCTCCAACTTGCCCATATTAGACGGTCTGGCCGTCGACGACAGAGTTGCAATTGGCCAGGGTCGGCTGTCAACTGCCTGGATTAGTCAGCACATTCAACGTCAGCTCTACAAGCATTCTCCCAAAAGGTGACGATATATCAATGGCTGTAGAGGGATGATCTGAGTCCATGTCGATCTATCATCTTCCACGTGTCCTCTCTCAGGCCAACCTTCCTTCACGTAGGGCCACACTATCTGGCAAAGTACATAATCTGGCCTGTTTCGAGGCCCAAATGCTGCTGCCTACTCGGGTCCGTCTATCAACATCCAGAGCTCCTTGGCAGAGCTTGCCGAGCACTTCTTTCGTGTCTCTTGCGTTCTCCCCTCAAGGCATCATGGAGTTACGCGAATCAAGCCAAATTGTATGGTACAGTCGACGAACCGAAACCCTGAAATCGGGCCATGGGCCTGGCTTTGTGCACAAGCACGATTCCAGACCACCGATCTGGCAACTTCAGGTCATCTTTTGAACAAACTTGACATGTTCCCTTGAGAGATGGAGGATTAAGTGCAGAATGAGAATTAAATTATATTATCCGTTTGTGAAAAAAATGCGACAAATGGGGAATACATGTGTTGGCGTGACAAGGTGTTTCCGGACTTCAAGGGAAACCTACGACGGCCGTGGCAGTCAAGAAATCCCGCCAGCCTTTGTGCGCAAGCAGAGATGCGAGATGTTGCCTTCACCAATACTATCGGGCCTGAGTACCACTATATGACCTTTGCCAATATGTCCCACCACGAGTGACAGATCCCTCCGAACGAGATCAACAGAATGGCCGGTTGGAGCTGATAGAATCGGTACAGAAGTCGAGGTTGGCGCGATAGTTCATGTAGCCGATGAACGGGGTCAGGCCATTGTTGTTGGCCCATGTTCCGGGGACGTACCAGCCACATTTGTTTGTAATCTTCTGGAAAATATCCGTCTGGCCGTCACGGCGGGAGGCAGGAACCAGAAGCCAGTTCAAGTTGCACTCGAACGCCACGACACTTCCCCGAATGGAATACCAGGCCAGTCCTGGGCGGATCAGGTTGTCACAATCCCATGAACCGTAGCAGTTGTCGGACTGGACCTTCAAGTCCTCGACAGCTGCATCGCAGTCGCCATGGTGCATGCTCAAGCCGCACCCGCACCAGTAGGTGGCTCCCGGGTTCTGACGAGCTTCCAGCTGTGCTTCTGGCTGTGGATCCGAAGCAACGGCCTCATAGTATCGTGCTATCTCTTCAGGGGTAGCCGGGCCGCGAATGAGCTCATGGACCTGTTTGGATCTCTTGTCAATACGAAGGATGAGTCGAGCTTGCTTTGAGCATGGAATAGCTACCTCGTGGCCGGTCTCATTGAAATAGGCAGCGTAGAATCCATCCGTCAGATTAGCGGGGAGCTTGAAGCCTCGTCCTTGAAGTGAGGTCTCTTGGGCTGCTGGAGCCGCGAGGACGGCCTTCAAGAGAAGTGCTGGAAACGTGATGGCTGAATACCGCATGATTGTGTATAGGGTGAAATACGGGAGCTGAATAGGTGTATTGGTAGCAGATGGTGGGCGATGGAGCACAGGAATTCATGTTCTCGTAACGAAGGAAACGGTCATACTTATAGAAATGAAGTATCTCTACTAGTTGACTCGACCTGCTGCGGTTCTGAGCGAAGTTAATTTCCAGCTCAGAACGTTTCCGTCTCCCGGCCTCATTATGGTGCGATCTCAGAGCGCTCTCATCTCCCGACCTCATTCATGGCGTGATCTCAACCACCTTGAGCAAGGACTTCACTGGTCTCCTGCCGTGGTTGGCTTGGTTTTGTGGCTTGTTGGTTGACAATGTGTTCTTGGCAATGCGGTGATTCCTGCAACGACAACGACAAGCCCGTGAGCAACAATTTGTGGAGATTGGATTCATGGAGAAGGAATAGACAATATGAGCTCTGGTAGGTTATGTGTTGGTTGGTTGCAGAACTTTTGGCTTGGCAAGTGTGCCGGTGGCTGAAGGCTTGCCGGGATTGCGGCATCTCGAACAGGGGGCCGAGTCAAGTGCCACAATAAGCGACCGCCTGTACGGACATGTTGTGCCCGGAATAACCACGTATGGAGGCACCGTCATCAATCCGATCAAGTTGTGCCCAGGTCAAGAGGTCGTGGACGGGTCAGTCTTCAATATTAATCAGTGGGCAAATGATTTTGCAATAGCTGCCACAATGCTTCATAGATAAGCTGTAGAGAGCAATTGACATGAGCGGCACGCTACCGAAATCAAATTCTTTTTATGCGGAGGCTAGGATATCCGTTCCATATGTCCTAAGTGTTGGCTTGCTCGAACCATATGCACGACGCAACGGGGACTGGGTCAAAACCGCATCGTGCATCTGGTTCGAGCAAGCTCGTGACCATCAAGCGCCTTTCAGCAACACAAGTCCATAGCCTGACCCAGACTTAAGCAGAGAAAACGCAGACCGTCATTCATTAATCAGACGTTTGACTGAAGAGCAAACCAAGGCAAGACAATGATCCAAGGCAAAGAACGACTTCAACGATATGGCATAGTAGTCATGAACTGGACACCTGTAGAATCGAGCGGACAACCATTTGAGAATGATAAAGATTCCAATTAGGTAGCTATGGGTATAGGTAATGAAGGCCAGTCTTCCCCACGCACCTAGCCAAGATCTAGGCCGTCACGCGGGCAAGGATATCGACGAGGATGCCAGAATGGGTATTCTAGCACTGTCCAGCTGGGCAGGCAATGGTGCTGCCAACCACGGAACCACCGACACCTCCGAGGGTTAGGGCAGCGTTGATGACACCGCCGAGACCCTCACCAGCGATCATACCAGCAGCAATGGCGTAGCAGTAGGCTGAGAGAACTTATGTTAGTATTGATCCGCGTCGAGCTATGAAAAAGGGCAAACTTACTCTCAAAGTGTTGGGGCCACTTCTTGAGCCAGATGTGCGAGATGATGGCACCCATGCACATGGCAGTTGAGTAGTGGGTGGCAGGCAGCACGAAGGCGACACCAATGGCCATCCAGTTGGGGAGCCAGTTGCGGTACTTCTCACGTTCACCGATGAGGAAGGTGCGCTTGATATAGACCTGGATGACACACCAGATACCGAGGGCGATGGAGAAGTAACCAGACGACGACGGGATGGGGATCTGGGGGAGAGTGACGGCCTCGGCAACGGCTCTCCAGGCAGTGACAGAAGGAACATCAAAGGGGCACTCATCTGCCTCAGCATCCAGAATGCAGGGGTAGGCCTTTGCAAACAGGACGAAAATGCCAGGAGCCAAGAACATGGCGATGAAGGTACCCGCAGCCTGCGCATACCATTGGAGCTTGGGAGGCGTGCGAAGGAGGAAACCAACACGGAAGTCACTGACGAGACCGGCAGACATATCCGCACCAGCCGAGGCAACGGCACCGGCCAGCAAGTTAATGGTGAGGGCAGGGTCTCTCGCCAGGCCCATGCCGTGGGTAACACCACCAAAGACAAGCTGGGAGGCCTTGGCTGAAGCAGTGAGGGGAGTGACGTCGGTGACTGCACCGCCGTGGATGGACATGAATGCAAAAATGACACCCAGAAGAGAGGCAAGGAGAGCGAGTCCGGCGTTGGCGTGGTATTGAACCTCGAAGATAATCATGGTAACAGCCAGGACGGCAACAATACCAGTGGACCAGATCCAGCCGGGAACCTGCTGGTCGGGAGTGGCGAAATCCTCGGTGATGGCACTGCGGTCGTTCTCGAGAGCAGCCTGCTTCTCGAGCCACGGGCTCGACTTGCCGCGCTTGGCCATGGTCTTGTGGAGGCTGCCGGCCATACTGGTCCAACCATACTTGGCTCCAAACCAGAGAATTCTCCAGTTGAAGACGAACTCAGCCATGGAGTAGCAGAGCAGGACCATGACACCCGGCCACAGGAACCAGTATCGAGGGCTGGGAACGTAACCCGGCTTGCTCATACCAGACATGCTGTTGTAGCTAGTGAAGCGCTCCCAGCCCGGCTCGTCAGGGGCACGAGGCTTGCCAACGCAAACACCTGTGTAGACCAGAAGAGGGCCAGCGAAACCCCAGGCAAAGAAACTGCCGATGAAGTAAGAGATACCGACGTTCAGGCCGACCAGGAAGCCGGAGCCAATGAACGCAGGGGTCCACTCAATGAACCAGCCCCAGTTCTCAGCAAGGATGGCAGCGTTGTTGTAGTTGCCCCAGATGAAGAACCAGGTGAAGATGTGCCAATCCCACAAAATGCCAAGAGCGTAATCGGAGACGACACGCAGCACAAAGGCGATGAGGAAAGCGACGCCAAGAGCCTTGATCTTCCTGATGGCGTCCTCAGCACCACTGCCAACAGCGTGCATGGAGCGGATGGTGAAGGCGGTGGCGGTGGCGGATGGGAAGACAAGCTTGAGCTCGCGAGCCACGTTAATGATGAAGAACTTGCGGAGAGGCGTGCCAAAGAAGAGACCGAAGAAGGAGCCGACAAGAGTCATGGTCAGGATCCGGCCGAAATCATCGGCAACGTTTTTCGAAAGCAGGTTAAGCTGGTACATGGCGGGAAGAGCAGCGACGAAGAGACCAGAGAGACCACCGGCACCAGCGGCGGCGGCCTGGATGATGCTGTTCTCCTGAGGGCCGAAAGGCCCACCAAGCAGGGGTGTGTTGTGCGGCAAGGCTGTCGAGAGGAACTTGACGATACCATATCCGAAGCTGCAGGAGTACACTGATTAGCCGTGGTTTAGGTCAAGCATTTGATAACGCCGCACTTACATGGCACCAAACATGGAAGCACCGAAGGTGAAACCGGTCTTCAAGCCGAGGTAGACATTGGAGGCGTTGACCAGAGAGCCAAGAACGATACCGACCATAACGGCACGGAAGGTCAACGGCATTGGCTCCTCGGGAATGCCGGGAAGGGTAGCGAGGGGCGCATAGATGTCCTCGAGCTCGAACTTCTCCTCGAGAGAGGGCTTCTCAGGGTCCTCGGGGACAAGGTGGGAGGCCGGAATGGTGTAGCTAGCCTCCTTGTCGGTGGCCGCCGTATCGGCGGTGACCGGGTTGGCGTCGGTGAGGTGGACGGTGGTCGTCATCGTAGCTGCTATTGAGACTACTCAACAGGTCGACTGTGGGAAAGACGATGAGAAGCTCGAGCACCAAGAAGACGTCCGTGAGACGAAGGAGCGGGACGGGCTAGATATATGCGTTGCTGGTGCGGCCGATCAGGGTAGCACAGAGTTGCGAGTCGCGTTCGTGCGGGCTTGACTCTACGCAGTAACGCAGACACGCCTGTCATTGCACATTGCAACCTGAGCAGCGGCATGTCGAGGCCGATATCAGTCGCCTCCACCCGATGCTGGGACAAGAGGACCCCTGGGTAATGTATAGACGGGCTTGGCAGACTGGGGTGTGTCGTGGCGAGAGCCAATGGCAGGCACGGCGTCTGATGGAGAGATGGCAAAGTGGGTGGTGATGCAGGTCGAGGCCCTTGGACTGGAGAGGCAGGTAGCCAGGGCGGGCCTGCCCGGCGAGGAAAGGGCTCCGCCGGTCGCGTGGGCGCGCAGGCGACGTTGGCGATGCTCGTCTTATCGGGGGGCTTGCGCGCCGGCCTTGGCGGTCTGGGGTTGCCCCTGCCGTGCTCCTTGCTGCACTCTCCCCACCACCATGCGCAAGCCCCACCCCTCAGATACCAACCTTCGCATCCAAGACGACAACCACCCACCACCACCTCCCTCACATGCACCACGCCCACGAGCATTCCACGGGCTAGGCTAGGCCCAAACGACACGAGCCCCTGGTTCGCAACTGATCGGCTCCCTCACGGCCGCTGCTACAACAATGGAACGCAATCCATCGTCTCGCCTCCTCTGCAAACCCCTACCACGCCGCGGATCTCTTGCTCGGCCCGTCCGATACTTTGATGGGTGGCACACATGGAGACGGATCATCCAAGACCGCACACTATTATCATGATCATGATTTGTGCCGGACCGCTTTCATCCGCCACGCCGTTCCTGCGATCAAGATCTGGCTCCTTCCAGCGCTAATGCGACTGATGCACAACCTCACCAACTTGGACAGGCGGTTGTCTCGCGCGCCTTGGCACAATTTCTGCGCATCTCCGCTGCCTCTGTGTTGCTCGCAGCAGTTCAGGCACGCTTCATGCACCTCCCACGTTGGGCGAAGCATTGCACATTAGAGGCACGAGGCAGTGGGCCTGCCTATGCCAGACGCCAGCCGCCGAGACAGCAACCTGACAAGACAAGCCTTGCTGGTTTATTGCGCAGTATATCGCAGCACTACTAACTGGGCTGCTGAGAGCCTATCTGTGTATCAGGCCCGGATCAGCTCTCGGGAGCGCTCGAGAACGGCATGGCACGATTGCGGATACACCTAATTCGGAAGGTGAATAGGGTGTGGCGTGCATGGGGTCCGCCGCCCCAGAAGCTACCGGTAGTGGTTCCAGGACGTTGTCAGTCGCCACAGCTCCCCGTTAGCGCCAGGCAAGTCCAGGAAATCCTCCGCTGAAGCGCCTGAGGAGCCAAGGACAATCAAGCAGTGCAGAGCGCTAACAATTAAGAGCGGGCTTGGCCTTACTGACCAGGGGGGTCCAGTTGGACCCCCCATGTTGGGGGTTCCGATGGCTCCTTTGACAAGCCACGAAGGAGCCCTCGTAGAGCATGTGCCGTTTATCCACCTGACACTGCTGGACAGCCTGATCGCCACAGTTCAGGACACACAGCGTCAAGCAGCTGTCACGCAGATCAGCCGCATATGCTACCCTGTGCGTCCCTCTGATACAACGTGCGAAGCAAAAGCGAGCAGCCGGTACGGCCAAATCGATTCTGCGCGCAGTTCTTGGCCACAACCAAGCATTTGCCAATGCTTGGAAGTGGCTGAACTCTGACAGGGTTTACACCTGTTGCTGCTCTCAATATTTGCCAGACAACCACAAGACGTTGTACAGGTTGATGCTACTGCAAGATCCCACCCTGAACCTCCATGTCGACTCTCAGACAACGGCCACATCATGTCAGCCATGAAAATAAACGATGTACAAAACAGTGCAGCTGATCAAGAATGGCTGGGCAGAGCCCTGCCAATGGGCTCTGCCTTGTCTTGGGTTTGAGGTCCTTTCAGGCAAGGCAAGCACCCCTGGGAGAATTATATCTAGAGTTGACTCGCTCGTGAACAGTTCGAGGGGAGTTGCCTCGTATTGGCTCGACGCCAGTCACTTTCCAGGCGTTGGCATTGTTCCTCTGTGATGCACCGGCAGGGCCACCGCCCGCATGCACCAGGCGTAGAGGCTGAAATTAGTCATTTCAGTACCCATGCCCTGTCGACAAGATAGCACCAGGGATCCCCGGATTCCACACTCTCGCCTGGCAATGCACACTGACTGGCTGGCCTTAGACATGGCCCCTCCACGCTTCAACGTGCCGAGTCAACTACAAGCAAGCGAAGCTCATGAATTTCAAGTTACACCTTTTTAAGCCTTGGCGACCGCTCCCTTGTACATGGCTACAAATGTGCCTCGAAACCCATGCTGTTTCGATCTCGTGACCACAACGCCATTGACACATGGATATGTCGATGAAGACGGAGACCAATCACTCAACCCTCGAATGGACTGCCACTAAACCTCCTCCAGCAGGAGCAAGGCCACGCTTCGCAGGCTGTTGTCAGGAAAGGACTGCCCGCGATTGCCAAGCAGCGCCCAGCTGTGCCAACCTGTGGTCCATGCTATGGTCCTTGGTCTCCATGGCCCTTGCGATCACATGCTGGTTGAAGGCGTCAGCACTTCGCTGGACATGCTATCTTTGGTGCTATGCCCCTGGCTGACGGCTTGATAGTTTCCCCAGATCATGCTACAGTGCCATCTACGACTCGGATCTATGACATAGGCTTGAACCATACCTGAACGCTGCCACTGAGCTGTAACTCCTTCGAATAGAGTGCACCTCCTCATCACGCATAGCTGCACATGCGGATCCCGTCTCTTCCAGACTTGGGACTGCAGCACGAGCTCGACCCAGCAAAGCACACATCGTATGCCCACGACTGCCTCCAGCAACCTCGGTATGTTGGAACTTGAGCACGTATTCCATGCGACGACCTATCTGGCCAGGGCTCGAGCTGAACATGCGATGTACCCCTCCGCGCAGATCCGCCCGCACGGGGCGATGTGACTTTTGCAGGCCACAGCCCGGCAAGTCGTGCGGTGGCCCTGGTGGCGTGCCAAGCCGTCGCCAAGATGCTGCCAAGCACGACGGTCTGCCGCCACTGCTCTTATCAAATGATGGGTGGGCTGGCATTTTTTGCGCACCCCAATCTAGCATCAACCCCAGACGACCGGCGAACAGCAGTCTGCAATTGTCAAGTCCAACTCGACCCTGCGATCAATGGGCAACGGCCCGCCGTCGTGGAATGCCAGCAGCACGCAATGGCCGCCCCAAATTGTACTAGCCTCACCTGCCAGAGCTGGGATGGCCCCACGATGCCGGAGCCGAGTCTCGTCAGCTTCATGGACAACCACCGACGAACACCGCTTGACCGGCGGCACGCCCTATTGCATGTGTCGCGCCCTTTGTCCTCATCCCCGGGTCTCGTCCGCCGGTCATCGCTGTCACGATGCAGTCGGCTGGGCACAGGACCCGTCGGCGGGTGGACTGGGCCCCGCTGCTGAGTCGAGAGAATCAGTCACACAAACGTTGGTCGGCAGAACCAACAAGCGCAGTGGTGACCCGATCAAGCAGGCCGGCAGCTCCTCCGTTATTGGCTCAGACACAACCTTACGAGGATGAATCGTTCTGCGGAGGCGTTCTTGACCAATATAGCCGACCAATAGTCTTGTCGGGACTGTCGAGCACACTTCATCTTGATATCACCACCAACTCGGCCGCGCCTGTTTGCAGACACGACCAACCCATTCATCTCATCTATCCCCTTGCGACCATGCGATAAGCAGCATGCGCCGTATCGATGCCACCAGGGTCGGAATGGATGGGGCCAGCCCTCCCACTATTCAGGGATTCAACCACCCAAGATCCACAGATTGTGCCCTATGTGCCAGGTGCCTGGTCAGGTCCGAATGGCCAAGGCGGTCCAGTATCGTCCAGCCCGGCCGGGGTGCTTCCAGGGTCGCCGCATGGCAGAGCCTGGACATGTCCGTTGCCACTCCATCCTGGCATCGATGGACATGGCGGTTGCGTCTATCCGGAACCTCGGGTCTTTTCTCGTGCTTCTGGAACCATTTCCACTACCTCCACAAAAGCAGCCGCAAAAAACATGTGCAAGTCGAATCTGGTCGGCCAGCTTTGTAGATGCATCGGAGGCCCTTCGGGATCAGCCGAGACAGCCTAACCTCGCCACGTATGACTGCTTGACTACTCGGGTCATCGACGGGGATTTTCGTCCGGCTTATCAGGTCTCCGATGGTTAGTGATAATTGAGCAAGACCATCGGCGATGCAGGGCTGTACGACATGGCGAGATGTCACCTTGGCGCTGTCTTGATTATGTGTGAGTTGCTGATCAGACAAGTCGCCCGTTGCGACGGCGGCTGTCTCCGTGGCTGGTTATGGTATTGAGGGTCGTCTGTGTTGGTCGAATGGCTGGCTGGTTCGGCTGGTTGGTCCACAAGCGAGGATTGTCTTGCAGCCAGCCAACATCGAGATGGCCGAGTTATCATGATGTCGCACTTGCAGTTCCACCCGCGCAAATTGTCTCCTCCTAAGCAATGAGCAGATAAGACGCCACGCTTATTCCTGTGGCCGGCCGGCGTGCCTCTGATAGAGGGACCGGAAGCGGTTGTGACGGCAAGATCTTGGTCCGATCAGTACTGCAGAGCAGCTCGTGCAACCAGATGCAGGCAGGCCACCTCTGCATTGGCCAATGGCAGTTGGTGAGATATCCTGCCTGGCTGCTTACGGCCTCCCTGCCTGACTGCATGTGTGCGCGTGTGCGTTGCAACTGAGCTTGGCACTTCCGGCTTGACCAAGAAGGCTGGGCAGAGCAGGGCTGGGCAGAGCAGGGCAGGGCAGGGCAAGTGCTTGTCTGGCCGTTTGTTATCCGCCGCCTTCATTCCGTGACGCCGTCACGTACTGACTGACTACCTGCTGCTTCCTTTGCCAAGCGTGCTCGCAGTCGACGAAGCCTGAGCCCCGTCAAGGGACGCTGACTGCAGCTTGATCCTTTCGCTGTCCTACCTCTGGGAAAGCTTATCATTGTCACAATCTTGTCTTTCACCTTCGGCAAGATGCAGCTCTGCCGCCCGACGGAATTCTACGTGTTTGCTGGCGCTGGCTGTTTCGCGGGCCGGGAGCACATTGTGTCCCGATTGTAGCGCTGTCATCTCACATGTCCGTCCATTCTCTCTTCCATGTCATGCAACTACAGGACAATGGTCACGCGCCCCGCGTGTTTGCTTCATCAGATCTGGTCAGACCATGATCCGTGCTTGCTGCGACGCACACGAAGTGTGTACACTTCGTACGGCATGGCATGTTCTCACCCTCTGCTCTCTCTCTCTCTCCCTGGCGTTTACGCGTCTTTCCCCCCCGCACGCCACCGCCGGCTGCCGCCAAGAGGTTGCATTCGCAAACATGAAAGGTGACATGGCCCGCCGTGTGGCGTATGGCGTGACCGCGGACAATGCGACGGCAGGGAAAGCCACACAGTTGCAATCAATCGTTGGTTTGTATCGCGATACCTGCGACGAGGCAACCCGGGCTTTTCAGCGGCTCTGTCTTGATGATGTGATGTCATCTTCTCTGCGTTGCAGCGCTATTGGCGATAACAGAGGGAGGTTTGGCCGGGATGCTGCTATCTCATGTACGCGAGGCAATAGATCGAGATTGCCCAAGTGCAGTGGTAGGTACGTTGGTAGCTTAGTGAATTAGAGGCACTGCAGGTGTCATTATGGCTTGCCACGAGGGTCGTCTGCCGGGTAAAGTTTCGCACAGCGATTGGGCAATCGAAGGGCATCTGAGGGCATATTCGTTCGCGGTGAATTGCGATACCAACTCTTGGTCTTGTCGTTTCGGATGTGTGAATTGAAACAACCGGCTTTAGGGGTGTGGTTGTCGTGAGCTTTTCTGTGCCTCTTGGCGAGCGAGACGGGGAGGCACAGGGAGCCGAAGGTGAAGGTTTCTCGCGAGCCAGAAAGTCTTGCCAGGTTGTTCGTGAGAACATCCTCGTTCTCTTGTTCACGCACTGGCATAAGTTAATTTCATGATATGCCTGTCTGAGAGCCTGGGATAAGAGTCAATCTCCCCACGGGACGACTGGCAAAGGCTGATATCAACGTATCTGGGTTTGCACCATTTCTCAATTTCAACCAGAAATGCTGATTACTGGAGAATATTTTGAAACTCCAGACTATTCCTTGTTTTCCCTTCCCTTTCTCTGTTTCCCTCCTATTGTTTCCTTTTCTTTGGCGACATCTCACAAGCAATCACCTGGCTGTGAAAACAACCAAACCTCCTGCCTAGAAATTGAAATAAAATTTGTGCACAATATTTCCGCACGTTGAGAAACCCTCGCTCGACGTTGATCGCGCGCAAATTTTATTCATATGATTACACATGTCACTCGGCACATTGTCTCTCCACCCACTGTGTTGTGCACCTGCCACTCTGACTGCTCCGCGCCAATCTCATCTTTTGGTTAGCAACAAAAACCCACAAACTGGACAGACGAGCTGGTGGGTTTGTTACACTGACAGGCGACTGAGCATGACTCTGCTTAGACCAGGACAAAAGAGACCCTTCCCCTCCCCCCTCTTGAGAAGGTTCTCGAATTGCGTCTGAGACGAGAACTCTTGCGCTTCTCAGGGAAACACCTTTTCTTTTTGGTCTACATTCTCCACCATGGGCTGATGTTGGAAACAGAGACGGAAAGACCGAGGTCAACTCCTCATGCTGGCCAAGAACACGCATGGACAGATATCGTTAACTAGGGACGAAACGGACGGAGTCAAACCACCCCATGATCAGAACTCCTTCATGAGATGATCTCGAGTCAGAGTCTTCATTCAATTCATGCAAAGCAAAGAAGAGCGTGGGGAAGCAACCCCAGAGAGAAAGAACATTTCTTCCTCTGCGACTTTCGAACCCGGTCAAACCCCACCGTTTCAGCCTTCAAGTCATGCTCTTTCTCGTGAGTGGGGGTCTATCTCGTCTTAGTCTTTTGGATGCCAACAGACCAGAGAGCCACACGCGCGTCGCTGCCCCGGACCCCTTGCCCAATCGCAACATGTCGGTTCCTAACATCAAGTGTGGATTGCTTGTAAAGAAAAGAGCAGGGTCGCTTATCAGGAGGGGCATTTCCAAGAGTCCGCAAAGGCAGCCGTGTCTGTCCGCACTTGGAAACCTGCAAGGATCTTTGCGGTGTTGTTGTTGTTGTACGAATGAACGTTTACCCTGTTTGCTTTTCCATCATCTCGGTCTTCTTCTCTGGAGAAGTCAGGCGTGTTGCGGCACTGCGCATTGGGGTGGCAGTGACGCCGACGCGGCTACACTCATTGTCCTCACGATCGTATAATCTGCTCTTGTTCCGGCACACTCACCCGGACTTTTGGCACGGCGAACGACGCTCTCTGGTGTCGTCGTCTGGCCGAGTTCATTTGAGATGGAACGATGAATTGCGTGAGATGTAAGTATTTACAGGATAGTCCCGGTGTCCCGGTTGACATCCATAAACGGAATCTATTTTCGCCGATATTTCCCGATGAAAATACATCAGGAGCAGGTTCCTGACATAGATGCTGCTCTTCACGGGGTAAATTCATCAGCGCCGACTCGCTCGAAACGGCCAAAAAAATGGCAGTAAACAGCATAAAGCAGCTCGCCACTCCAGAGTGAACGAGACGGCATTTCCGCGTCCCTGAGGCAGCCCCACGCAACGGCCAACCAGCCACTGGCGACGAGTGCTGCGTGAAAAAACGAGAGCCGATCCAAGCTGACTTGGCTTTGCTCATCACCCAGCATTGTTGCATTTGCGACGCTCCATGAGTGCTGGAAGAAACATCTCAGGCTATCTGCAGACATGTGGCATTGTGTTGATCAGACGGATCCGCAACGGCAACGTTCACGTGGACGTCACCACTCTGCGGGGAACGTCGCATTGATGCTTCGGATGAGGCGACAGTTGCTGTGTCAAGATGGTAGAAATCACGTCGATCCGTAGTGTTGTGGATCTGGAAGCCTCGAACCCCCTCTGCCTTGAGGTCCGGTCGCTTCGTATGGCCCAGCCAATGGCCATGCGTTGGCACCGCGGCCTTGCGCACTCCGAGCAGCATAAGAGCCAAGGATAGAATTGCTCAGGGTATGCTCGATGCTCGTCTGTTTGTGGGGGAACAGAGTTCGTGCCGTGGTCCAAGATGCTAGCAAGCGGGAGAGATGCAAGGCACAATTGGCGTGGGGTCGGCATCTATGCAATGCCTTCGCGGCGTTAGGTGCGGGTGACGATTGTTGCCTAGCGGCTGGAATGGGTCAGGATATGCCTGTTGTCATCCCACCAACTTTCACGTTACAGACTGGCCAAGCTCTGGGCTCTTCATCGCAAGATTGCCTGTCCTCAGAATACCGGGTCCAGAGATTTGCCCACAACGAAAAGCATGAGATGAAACCTAGACGAATGTCACCCTGAGCCAGGCGAAATGTCGCCTCCGGCTATGTGATGCAGCGTTACGATCAGGACGTGCCGTACCAAGCGCAGAACACCACTGTATTACGCTCACAGCAATTGCAATTGCAATTGCAATTGGAAAATTGGACTGGTCGAGACAGCTTCGCAGTCCCGACGTCGTGCAGAAAAGTGAGCGGATGTGTGCACCGGGACCACGATGAAACGGCCCAACCGGCACGGAGGCGTCCTGGCGAGTCAAGACGTCAGTGCCGGGAGGAATCATTGGGACAGTCTGAAACCCCTCAGCTGTTCGGCACCACCGCCACGAAACCTGGGGTTCACTGGCCGATTGGCCGTTGCTCGTCTCCCTGGCCGTCCCTTGACTCTGACTGCTTATGTTCCCGAGAGCGCATTCCAATGTGATTTTGCGTCACGCTGAAGAAGAGCATCCAAGATCATTTCCCTGTGAGAGCCGAGAAATGCCACCACGCACCTGCGATTGGCTGCCTCGCGCGACGACCGTCATGTCTGCGCGACCAGCGCCCCGCCCAACATGAAACGTCGAGGCAGGGGGCATGGCGCCTTTCTTATTTGCCCGAGCGTGGGTCGCCCATGTGCCGTAGGCCGCGCCTCTGGCGTGTGCGACTCCGCATGGTGCACTCGCTGGGCGCTGTGACTGGTCGGTCAGCGCGGAGGCGTGCCTGACTAACGTAGCCGGCAAAGCAACGGGAGCTCAGAGGAACACAATCTTCAGGGATCGACAGGGGGCCCCCTTGTTGGCGCTGTCTGGCAGGAGCCCCTGCAGATCGCTCGCTCGCTCGCTCGCTTGGCGGCGATCCGACTGCCTCTGTGCCGCAGGACAGGCATGTCTCGACGTCGGCTGTACCATCTATTCTGGACTGTGGTTGCCGTTGCCTGCTGGCTGCTGATGATTTCGCTGGTAGCACGAGAAGCGGTGGATTCTTGCGATTCTGAGCTGGAGCGAAGCTTGCGAGGAGGGGGCAGCTGAGGTTATATTGCATGTCGCATTGATTATGACACTGGGGAGCAAGAGGGCAGTGGAGGCGCAGCGTCGAAAAGCCAGGAGGCCATGGCCGATGATGACTGGTGGAACAAGGACCTTTCGCCGTTCTTGCGTGCCTGACCGAGTCGTGATTGTTTCGTGGCGGGCCTGTATGGCACGAGGCAGGCCGTGTGTTGCTGTTTCTGACTCTGCGGGAGTGGCTGCCACGAGCAACGAGAGACATTTTCGGCACGGGCAGGCCGTGCCGGGAAGGCCCCTGGCCGGGTTGGAGTGAACCTTGACGAGGTTGACGTCGGTGGGTTTGTGAACAGAGGGCAAGGCTGGCTGGCGGGTGGGTGGTGGTGCACATCCATGCCATGGCTGGCTGGCCAAGGCCGATCAGTTCAATGCGAGCGGCCTCTGCTTAATAACTGGCCAGGGCGCTCCGCCACCCCACGCCGCATGCACTTCCTGCGCTCCTTCCCTCTCATCTAAGTGACACGGCTGCTGCGGTCTGTTTTTTCCATTTGTTTCAACCCGCACCGCCTATATCCTCATCCACACCTTCCAAGGCGCGAGACAGCTGGTCCTCTCGTGCCATCCCTTCTTTGTTTCCTCGATCGTCATCTCCACAGGTTTATCCTGTCCTGTCAGCCGGCTGCTCCACGCACCTCACTCTCCTTCCTGGTGAAGCCGTCACTCAACCTGGTGTTGTGACATTTCTCGCCCCAGCCAGAGCAGCAGCGGCAGCAAGAACCACACGCTCCTTCACGATCAAAACTTGACACCGCGAAACAATGGCTGGCCTATTCGACGGTTTACTGCCCGGCCTTGGCCTCGGCGGTGGCAACAACAACAATAACGACAACAACGCACCTGTCACCGCTCCGGCCAAGGGTGAGGACAACGACAACAACAACTCTGGTGGTGGACTCTTGGATGACCTCCTTGGACCCATCGGCGGCGGCGGCGACAACGAGAGCAGTAACACTCCCAAGCCCACAACAACAGCTGGTGTAGGCGCACCTCCTCCGCCCTTGACGCAGACTCGGCCGACCACGAACACGAACACCGCTACCTCAGCGACAACCCGGCCTACAACCGTACAGACAAGCGCGCAACCAACGACTCCCACAAGCAAGCCTACCACAGCAACGACTCCTACTGTCGTGTCAAAACCACCCACGACGATGCTGACGATCCCTTCGCCCACGACAACAGCGCAAGAGACTACGGCGACGGATCTCACGACGCCTGCGCCTGAGGTTTCTTCCACCAGCGAGCCGGCATCCCAGACCACGGCCTCACTGCCGGCCTCTGGGACTGCCGCCCCCGTCACGAATGGCAGCCAAGACACCGTCGCTGGCCTGCCAAAGATGACGGTCATCGGCATTGCTGCCGGTGTGGGCGGTCTCATCTTCCTCCTCATCATTGTCTTCATGGTCCGCAGGACACTGCGCAGCCGCCGTGAGGGCAACAGACAGGTCCTCGAGCGGCTTGACTTGACCATCGGCACAAGCGAGGGCGCTGTTGCCGGCGGCAAGCCCGCCATGTCACGAAGCATGGAGGATCTCAACCGCAGCTGGAACGCTGGTCTTGAGCAGTACCACCAGCCGCCCAGGTCACAAGTGGACGCCAAGGGTCTAGGATACTCGATGTAGGCGGTTGTGACGGGTTGTCTCGAAGACAAGCATGAAAGTCGTTGATGACGCTTGCCGTATATCGTTTGGGATGTCAGGATATCTGGAACGGGGTCATGTACCAACAATTATTTTGCTTTCTTGGGACAAGAGGTTATCAACACTCACTTTTTTCATTTCTCATTTGGCACGAAAACCTTCTGCCGGGAGCTTTCGCCACGGCGGAAGTCCTAGGTCTGAAAGAAATGACCGTGTCTGCGCAGCCTGGGCTTGCTGCACCACGACAGAGACGACAACTCCCTTACCCAGGGCACGAACACCAGCGTCCCGCGTCGGAAAAAACGGCATGATACCCCCTTCACGAACAAGAGGATGACCAAGGTGGTCCACCTGGGCCGACGCACCCGCACCATGCGTCAACTACATATATCCACGGGCATACATATACATATATATCAGGCACCAGTGGACGGCGCTATTAAGCATATTGTTTTATTTTATTTTCTTAGCTAGGCTATCTGACTGGCACGGCTTTGGTAAGCTACGTCGTGGCGACGAATATATATCTTGAAATACTGGTTCATCTCATCAATCTTTCCACCACGTGACAAGGTGTGTGTATGCATGTGCCAAGGCTTTGAACACGAAAGAAGGGGAAGGATGGGGCTCTGGATTCGCGGACAAATCCATCCCGTCTTTCGTCTTTGCTGGCTTGCCAGTGCCCGTCCCCACTGCTGGTCCTTATCCATTGAGCTTCGCAATCTCTAGGTCTTCGATCACGTTCCTGACACCACTACGTGCGTGCCTCTCCATCCACCACAGCAATATGCGCACAACCAGTAGGCACAAGAGCGAATGTTTTCCGCCATTATTGTGTGTGTGATCCGTCATTTCTCTGCTCCTCCTCATCTGCACGTTGCATCCAGAATGCCTGAGCCTTCTGGACGTCGTGCTCCGCCAAAGGGGTTGACTGTCTCACATCATGACACAACCTCGTGGGTGAACAAAAGCACCCTCATGATGATGACTGGGCCGTTTGTGCAACCCAAAGAAAAGTGGTAAATTTCAATCTATAATCATTCTTTTTGTATATCCTAGCCGGTCATAAACCCCTCAAACGCCGTCTCATGCTTTATGCGCCGCCGCTCATTTTTCCCACAATCTAACAAAACAAAATAAAGAACAGGATCACTGTCACCACCGCTACAAGTCGCCCTTCCGCACAACACTGACAGTCTCCTGCCTGACCTCAGCCGCAGCAGCCGCAGCAGCTGAAGAACCCTTAGTGATGTTGCACGACAAGTCCTTCATCCTGCCGTGCCGATCGCACGGCGCGAACCGCCACCAGTCGCGGTGCACCCACCAGGCGACATTCCGGAGCAGCCAGACCAGGACGGCTGGCGCGGGCGGGAAGCCCCTGTGCAGCCCGCCTTCGTAGTCGACGTCGTGGGTGGCTATGACGCACGCGGCGCCCTTGAACAGTCCCAGGGTCTGCATGTGCTTGGCCCCTTCGTCCGAGAACTCCTTGTACATGCCCGCGAGCTTGTCTGCGTGCTCGCGCAGGGCGAGCAGCGTGGGGATCTCGTCGGCGAGGTGCTGCCTCAGGACGGCGCCGAACGAGTCGATCATGCCGACGATCTTGTCGCCGTCGTAGGCAGAGGGGTTCTGCAGGCAGCGCTGCACGTACGCGTCGAGCTCGTCGACCCCGCGCTCGAACTGGGCGTGCTGGGCAACGTTGCCGTCCATGATGCCCTTGATCCCCGTGCGGGCCTCAAGCATCGGGAAGAAGAGCTCCTCCTCGCCCGTGTGGTGCACGTGCAGGCCCCGGTACCACTGGTGGGCAAAGTTGAGGAAGGCGTGCTGGTCTGCTGGGGTGCGGATGTGTGGTGCTTGTAGGTAAATGGCGTTGAGGCCACGGATGAGGAAGTTGTGGACGCAGGCCATCTCGGTGGCCAGGACCGTGAACTCGTCAGGCTAACGATGATGGCGATGTTGGTGGTTAGCTTGTGGGGGATGATCACGAAGAACAACGATTGCGAGGAAACAGTTTGCTCACCTTTTCGCCCTTGGCCAGTATCACCATGGGTGTTGGGATTGGCGCGAACGGCCGGTCGGCAAAGACTGGTGCCATCGTGATAGGATATTTGATGAAACAGGAGTGATGTTTCACTCCTTTGCCGTGGTACTAGTGAAGAAGTGTTGGAAGTAATGTGAATTCAAGTCGCAAAGCCCGAATCAGCCGCCTCAAAGATGGTGTGCACTATATCGGGTGGGAGATTCTTGAAGCCTCACGACGGAGAAGCTGGACATATTTATATCTGGTAGCCAGGGGGCTCTGTTCTATCCCAAGATTCGGGCAGCATACTCTCTTCGATATGCATTCTCATCATCGGCCCGGTCTCACGAACGACTTTCTCGGGCCTGTCTTCTCTCATTGGCAGCCTGCTGCCTCGTTGTGGTTGCTGGCTGTGATGCTAGATGGTTGTGGCTCATAGTTGGTCTTTCAGCTGGTTCAGCCACGCTGAACACTGACGCCGTGTTGTGTGGTTGTAAGCATGCCAGTTAGACTCAGACATGGCGCCGCTAGAGAAGCATCACAGAACATTCTGAAGCTGGCACTGGTGCCAAGCCTCAGCCTCGATGTTTAGTGCCTGTCCCTATTTGTAGCGCCGGAGAACGCCTAGAGACAGAACAGCCACAGGGCTGAAGCACAGAGCGATTGCGCATGTGACGTGCAACTCGGTGCCGCGCAAAATTGACCCACGTCCGGAGCCGAGTGTCCGGCCTGAAAACGTGGTTGATGGCGTCTTTCACAACCACCCTACGCTTTGACAGACGGCTTGCATTGTTGCTTCAGATAGAGTTTCATCTAGGTGAGCTCCGTTGGTCCCCTTCGTGGGAGATACGATAGCGCGAGACTGGGCGGTCGTGGAGATGGACATGCTCAGTTTGTAATGAGGTTCCGTCTTTGAGAGTTTGCCCGTCTCAAAGAGGTCCTCCATGCTGTCTTGTCGTGTTTCGCGGACGGCGTGCTCTGTGATGGTGGCAGGACTGTGGCAGTGACTCAGCCCAGGCGCCGCGGCACGAGGCAAGGGCTGCATGCGGCAAGACGAAGAGACAAAACCGCCCTTTCGAATATGCTTCCAGAAGCTATTCGTGTCTTGGTGGCTGCCACGTCTCAGCCGCAGTGCTGGAAGCTTGATTGTAACATGCCAACCGTCCACGCTGCACCACTATTAGAAATGGCGGCCATCGCCGGAGGTGAGTCAGGCGGGTGCATCGCTGGCGCAGCGTGTGTGATTGTCGGTGGCCATGCCTGGTCGACTCGGCCCGGACGCCTCACATATCTGGACCGGCCTTGAGATGCAAGCCTGTACACGCCGTCCGTTTGCATCGTGTTGGTAGTGCTCGCCACGGCTGGGCCATGCTACGCGTAGGCTTGGAAATCAGGTATGTGATGCAAGTGATTGGCAGGAGCCAGGACAGGCGGCGGCCCAACGCCACGAACGTGGAACGGTTGTCTGGTCGGAGCGGGATATCTGGAGGCGCTGGTAGTCTGTCATGGTGGAAAGGATGAGGTAGGGCACGGAGGTGCTGATGCAAGGCGGTAAAGGGAAGAGTTTGGAGGTTCTGAGCTGTGAACAAGCGGGACGCCATCAGAGCCGGTCGCAGCTTCCCAGGATTATTGGTGCCAAGCCAGAGCTCCCTCCGAACAACGGCGGGCAGCACTGGCACGTGGCACGACTACTTATACAGTGCTCTAGATACCTCTTGTGACGAATTGGAGGGCCAGCAGTTTGCAGTTGCAGTGCCATATCGTGTTAAATTCCGTCCATCCTACGGAGGCGTGGAAACATGCTTCGTCATGCAAATTGCTGTCTCTCCTGTTGGAGCCCGGAGCTCAGTGCGCCGGTGACTGCCGCCCTTGAGAAATCGCCACGGCCGAGCAGTCACGAACAACTCAACACGAAGGGTCCCGGTCATCCGCATTGAACCATCGATGATCGTTAGTGATGGAGCTTTGTTCAGGTGTCTCGCCAGCGCTCGAGGATGTTACTCAGCCACCATGTCGTAGTGCAGCAGGGCCTCCGCTCTCGGGAGACCCCCGTCTTCCCCACATCACTACAGACCCCGGACAACAAATCCCGGTCCTGGCCAAACTTCACCACAGACAAGCTGCTGGCACGGGCACATCCTGGGGCCAATGAGTGAATGAGAGAACACGATAGATGCCATGAAGACCGTGATGGACCGACCACAACCTTGTCGTCGCTGGGCCATTGTCGCTGCCGCCATTCGAGAGTGGTCGGTCCCCAACGTTTATGAGTGTGTTGTGCCAGGGTTCCCCGCAGGCCAGGGAGAGCCCTGGAGAGTCCACGGGTGCCTTAGTGGTGATGTGGGACCGGTGGAGTTGGAGCCACAGCGGCATCCTCCCCCATTGCTGGCGGCACTTGCACCTGCTGCTGGCCATGACACAACGCCTGCATTGCCTCCCCATCCATTCATCAGCACGACTTGCTTCTCCGAGACAATAACCCTTCCAGCAGAACCCGCTAGTGCCTCATTTGGAAATTTAGCCGCTGCGGGGTTCAAGTCGGGCACCATGTTCGCTCCCCCGCATCCTCGCACGGCAGCGTGGGTGTCGACCCTCACCAGGCATATCGGCCGGGACGGGTGCTCATGGAAGCCCCTCGTAGACAGCCCCTTGGCCTTAATGTACATTCATCTCTATCGGACGGCTGGGCGGAACAAGCCGCGTCCCAGCCATATTTGAGCACTCTGGCACTCCTCTCATCTTTTCTCCCCTTCTTGCAACAACTCTCCTTTTAGGTATCTGCCACCCCATTTCTCCTCCAAGTGTGCCAGCTTAACATTGTTTCGCCCATCCAAAACACCCAGCTGGCAAAGAACAATAAGAACTTGCTTGCTGGCACTGCTCAATTCAACTCCTAAGCCCTTGCACAATGGGGTCTAACAGTGGCGATCTCGTTGATATCCTGCCCGCAGACGAGCGGAGGGAGCCCGGATCGGCCAACCTCAAGGTGGCCAAGTACCCGGCCCCGGCGGACATTGCAGGCGACGACCCGGCCAAGGAAGCAGAGTCCATCATCGCCAGCCTCAACCAGGCCCTCGCGGCCAGGGACTACAATGCCGTGTCGCAGCTCTTCCACGACGACTCGTACTGGCGCGACCACCTCGCCCTCACCTGGGAGTTCCGCACCCTCGACAACCCCAGCAAGATTGCCGACCTCCTCAGCAAGGAGTGCCGGCTGGTCCAGGTCGAGCTGGACACATCTGCCGCACACAAGGCGCCACAGGTCGCGTCGATTGACGCGCTCGGCACGGTCAAGGGCGTCGTCTTCTTCACCACGTTCACCACGACGCTCGGGTCTGGGCAGGGCTTCGTGCGGCTGGCCAAGGTTGGAGGCAAGTGGAAGTTCTACACCTTCTTCACGACTCTGAAGAAGCTCAAAGACGTGGACGAGCCGCGGGCCGCCAAGAGACCTGTGGGCCACGGCCATGGTCCCGACAAACCAGAGAAGAACTGGAAAGAGCTCCGCGACCAGGAGCAGAGTTATGAAGGGTCCGAACCTGCCGTACTCATTATCGGTAAGTCCTTTCTTATTACAGGTGGCCAAAGTTCCCACACGAAGACCCAAACTGACACTCCCCTCAGGAGCCGGACAAGGTGGCCTGTCGCTGGCTGCACGGCTGAAGATGCAGAATGTCGACGCACTCATCGTCGACAGGCAGAAGAGGGTAGGCGACAACTGGAGGAACCGATACCGGCGCCTTGTCCTGCACGACCCGGTGTGGCTCGACCACCTGCCCTACGTCAACTTTCCGGACCACTGGCCCATCTACACGCCCAAGGACAAGCTGGGCGACTTCTTCGAGGCCTACGTCAACCTGCTGGAGCTTAACGTGTGGCTCGAGACGGAACTGGTCTCGTCGGAATGGGACGACGCGAAGCAGCAGTGGACCGTCACGGTCGAGCGCACGCTCGGAGACCAAAAGACCAGGCGCACGTTTCACCCGCGGCACGTCGTGCAGGCGACAGGCCACTCTGGCAAGAAGAACTTCCCAACGATCAAGGGCATGGAGACGTTCGAGGGCCCGTTGTGCCACAGCTCCGATTTCCGCGGGGCCGCGCCCAACTCGCAAGGGAAGCGGGCGATCGTGGTCGGGTCGTGCAACTCGGGCCACGATATTGCGCAGGACTTTTACGACAACGGGTACGATGTGATGATGGTGCAGCGGTCGAGCACGCTCGTCGTGTCGACCAAGAACATCTCGGACATCTTCCTGTATCCCTTGTACTCGGAGGTGGGGCCGCCAGTCGAGGACGCGGACATGATGTTTATTGGCACGCCGTGGCCGCTGCACAAGGCGCTCAACGTCGAGGCCACCAGGATCTCGTTTGAGGCGGACCGGCCGATGCTCGAGGGCCTGACGAAGGCCGGGTTCAAGCTGGACAAGGGACCGGACGGGGCGGGGTTATTCTACAAGTACTTCCAGCGCGGAGGCGGCTACTACATCGACGTGGGCACGAGCCAGGTCATTGCGGACGGGGGCATCAGGATGAAGAGCGGGACAGAGCCGAGCGAGATCACGGCCCGGGGGATCCGGTTTGCGGACGGGGAGGATCTCGAGGCGGACGAGATAGTGTTTGCGACGGGGTACCAGAACATGCGGACGCAGGCGCGGGCCATGTTTGGGGACAGGCTGGGCGACAAGGTCGGGGACGTCTGGGGCCTGAGCGAGGAGGGCGAGTTCCGGACCATGTGGCAGCGCAGCGGACACCCGGGGTTCTGGTTCATGGGCGGCAACCTGGTGCTGTGCCGGTACCACTCGCAGCTGCTGGCGCTGCAGATCAAGGCGCTCGAGGAGGGGATCGCGACGTACGACAAGGTGTAGCAGCCTGTGAGGGATAGTCTATTGGCAGGACTTGGCACTCTTGGGCCAATGTGTGTGGACCTTGTTGCTGTGCTCAAAAGAGGTGTGTGACTTGATGTGTTGTGGGCGAATGGGTGTCCGCCAAAGTAAAGTAGCCTCTCATGGCTGCCGCCAGGTCGTCAGCACCTTAATCGGACTGGACCCTTGCGCGCTCTTGCATGTGTGCCTCGGCTGCAACCTTGAGCTGGAGCATTACGCCCGCCCGCTCGCCACATTGCAGGCAGCCGATCAATCTTTGCTGAAGATCAGTGCAACTGCGGGGAGCCGGACAGATTGCTCGTCCCGACGACGAGGGCGTGACGTAGTCGACTGCCTGTTGAGGTCCAGCGAGAGTCTTGACTGAGACTCTGGGCCGAGATGCAGTAGTAGAGCCGCTGTACTGCTGCACTGGCGACACTCATTTCTCAAACCCACGAAACCGTGCATTCCCCACCGTCAACCTCACTCCAACATCACAGAGCTGTGCCAGATCGACGAGCATCCCCAACGCACATTGAAAAGTGCTCCATCTCGTGCCAATCCCATTGCGCCTCCCGCCCAACAGCATCCTGCACCATCTCATCAGCTAAAACATACTTGAGCAGGGGCAGCTTGGCTCAGCACCACAGCCCCAAAACAATGCACATCCCGCTCAACCCCCTCGAGGCCCTGCGCATCGTCGCCTCGCAGTTCGCGCGCCTGCCCTACCCGACGCACGACTTCACGGGCCAGACCATCATCGTGACGGGCGCCAACACGGGCCTCGGCCTCGAGGCCGCGCGGCACTTTGTCCGGCTCAACGCCTCCCGGGTGATTCTCGCCGTGCGCGACCCGGCCAAGGGCGCCGCCGCGGCCGAGTCCATCGCCGTGTCCACGGGCCGCCCCGGGGTCGCCCAGGTCTGGGACCTCGACCTCTCGCGGCGGGCCAGCGTCGAGGCGTTCGCGGCCCGCGTCAACACCAGCGGCGAGCTGGACCGCGTGGACCGCGTGGTCGAGAACGCGGGCGTGCTGACCAAGAAGTTCGCCATGGATCCCGACCGCGTGTGCGAGCAGACCATCACGGTCAACGTGGTCAACACGCTGTACCTGGGCCTGCTGCTGCTGCCGAAGCTGAGGGAAACGTCGGTCAAGTTTGCGGATGAGACGACGGGGGCAAGCAAGCCTCGGGAGACGGTGCTGACCTTTGTAGGCTCGTTTGTGCACTTCCTCACGTGGTTCCCCGAGCGCAGGCATCCGAGCCACGCCGGCGTGTTTGAAGGGCTCGCGGATAAGGAAAAGGCGCGCATGTTTGATCGGTACAACGTCTCCAAGATGATGGAGCTGCTCCTGGTGCGCGAGCTGGCCGGGCACGTCTCCGCCCGGGAGGAGAAAGACCCCGCCGGCGCCGGGAGGGTCACCGTATCGGTGGTCAATCCGGGCTGGGTCATCACCGATCTCCAGCGCGAAGGGGTCGGCTTGCTCATGGCGCTCGGCAGGAGGTTCGTTGCCAGGGACACGGAGCTCGGGAGCCGCACGCTCGTGCACGCCGCGCAGGGCGGGCGGGAGACGCATGGGCAGTTCCTTTCGGATTGCCGGGTGGATCAGTAAGTCCTTTTTCTTGTCCTTCGGTTGGGATAAATGTTGTCAAAGAGATGAGTACTGACGATTTCTTCAGAGCATCGGGATGGGTCAGGAGTGCCGACGGCCAGGCCACGCAGAAGAAGCTCTGGGCAGAGCTGATGGAAATGCTCGAGCGGACGAACCCGGATGTCAGGAACGCTCTGTGATCGAGGCGGTGGCTTCAACGTGGATGTTTGACCAGCTCGGGTCGGATGTTTGAGAGCAACTCGGCTGCGAAAAATCAATAATACCCTTTGCTTCTGCGACGCGGCTCTGGTCACTCGGAGCTCTCTCAACACATTGCGACGTTGTGATGCCTGATCTTGACTCCCTTCGTGTTGCATTTCATGCTGTCAAATATCCCCATGGGCACAACACATGGGCGTCTCTCAACTTTTTAGAGAATGTCAATTGATACTTGCACTCCAGTCTGATTTGGTTTCGTACAGCAAAAGAACAAACAACAAGGTACGCCCGCAACCACCGTAAAAGTAGTACAATAAACAACCTACAACAGAAACAGCCAGCACTTCCTCCGGCCAAATACTTCTCCTTCACTAGTTAGTGTCCGTTTGTGCCCTGACAGCAGGCGCCATTCGTCCCCTCCGCCGGCGCCGGCGCTCCAAACGCCAACCGGCTCAACTTGTCCCGCGCATCAACCAACCCATCCACAATCGCACCCACAACGCCGCCGCCCTGGCCCCCAGACTCGGCAGCCGCAGCAGCAGCCTTCTTCTGCGCGGCGACCTGGCTCGGCGTGGCGGCGTAGCTCGGGGGCACGTCCATGACGGGGTTGTTGGCGAAGAAGTTCCTGGGCCGGAGCAGCAGGGTGATGGGCTCGACGGGCATGACGGGGAAGTCCTCGGGCGCGGGGAAGTGGGTGACGCCAAAGGTGTGCCAGAGCACCACGTCCGTGTTGTCGATGGCCTCGGTGCCGTCGCCGATCCACTCGGGCAGGCCGAGCGAGGGCTCGCCCGAGGTCTGCGGGACGTGGCGGCCTGCGGGCCAGAGCTGGTCGTCGCGGTCTGTTCGAAGCGGAGAAATGAATCTCTTTTGTCAGTGAAATTTCCTTTTTTGTCTTCTTCGGGTTTGTGTCTTCAGAGGGGATGTCTTGATGAAAAGAGCAAGAGAGAGAGGCGAGGCGAGACGAGCCGAGGAGATGGAAAACTCACACTTGGTCACATGCACCGCGTGCCTGGCAAACCCGGCCCGCTTCCACACCAGCCCTCCTTCCTTGGGCAGCAGGCCCGGGACCTCCCTGCTCACGAGCTTGTAGCTGACGGGCTTGCCGCTGTACGGGTGCAGCTTGCTCGGGTTGCACATGTCCCACGTGCGGCTGGTGCTGCCGTCGTAGTCGGTCTTGGACTCGCCCGTGGTCTTGAACACGGTGCGCCGCGCCGAGAAGGCGTTGCCGTAGAAGTTCTCGGGGGAACCCACGGGGGCGCTCGAGGCGACCGCGTCGCACACGGCGATGCTGTTGTTGTGCCCGTCGATCTGCGGGTCGATGCGCAGGCAGAACAGGTGCTGGTGGTTGTGGGCGTTGACGCCTGGATTACACAGACACACACGAGGATTAGATATCAGGTTGGGAGCACAGGAGGGAAAGGGGTCCCAATAGGAAAAAAGGAAGGAGACGAACCTGGATAGACCTGTGTGCCCCAGCCGTTGGTGTCCTCGCCGGGGTTCATCGAGTAAGTGTTGAGGATGCCTGTGAGCTTGATCTCGGGCTGGATGGTGCCGTCTTGCTGTGTGGGTGTCAGTAGTCTGCCCTGTATCCATCCGTCATTGTGTTCACTCCACTTGTAAAACTTACGTGGAAAATCCACTGTTCATGACAAAAAAAATCGTCAGCAGGTTACTTCCAATATTATCACATGGGCGCACATATCCGAGACCACATACCTGAATGGCGTACTCATAGTTGGCCGCAGTGAAGATCTGCTGGACGATGAGCTTGCGCGCGCGCGTCACAATGGTCGAGTCGTCGCGGAAGTCGCTGTGCTTGAACAGGATGCCGGCGTCCTCCTCGTGGATGCACACGGCGTTCTTGATGGTCCGGATGCTGCCGTCGCGGGCCGGGAAGTCGGCGTCCAGGTAGTGGATGGAGCCCTTGCAGTCGCAGCCCAGGGTCAGGCTGTTGGTCATGTAGCCCGCGCCGTACTCGCCCAGGTCGAAGGCGTGCTTGCGCTGGTGCGGGTGCTCCGGGTTGCCGCTTTATTTTGTTGTTAGCGTGTTTCCGTCCTGCTCTTTCCCGGGGCAAAGCAGAATCGGAGGGGAATAGAGAAAGATAAACTCACTAAGGGACGACCATCTCGGCAAGGGACAGACGATAGAAAATGGGCCGCTCATTGCCCTTGTCGTTGTACGTGATGTTATTGAGCACGATGCCCTCGCGGTAGTTGAAGCCAATGTGGAACTTCCAGTTCTGCCACTCAATCTCGCGGCCCTTCATCTCAAAGGAGACACCCTCGGGCTGTGTGATGTTGATGGGCTTGAGGTTCTTGCGGTAGCCGCCGGCCTTCTCGACGGCGGCAGTTGTGTAGTTGACGGGGGCGGCCGTGCTCAGGGGCCGGCGGATCTTGGGGATGTCGATGGCGACGATGGCCTGCTTCTCGGCGTCGTAGATGGGGCAGAAGTCGAGCGGGTACTGGTACTGGCAGTCGTCGACGTGCGGGCGGTAGTACATGAGGGCCTGCTGCAGCCGGATCTTGCTGCCGTGCCGCTCGTCGTAGCCAATCGTCCACGGGTCGCAGTACACCTTGTCCATGTCCTCCTCGGCGATGCCGCTGATCTTGCACTGCTCAATGACCTTGGGGTCCTTGCGGCAGACATACTCGACTGCCTGCAGCTCCTCCATGGTGATCTGGGGCAAGTGTGGTCAGCGCTGGTGTTTTTTTCCCCCACGAGAGAACGGGTGAGGGACTGTCTGAGGACGACTCACGATTGGCTGCAGACCGTCGAGCAGCTCCCACTTGGTGATCTTGCCCGAGGCCAGGTCGACGAGGCCATCATAAACCTTGCCGCCCGGTGCGATGACAACGGTGTCTGCGATTCTCAGCGGCCGGGGGGCGTTTTCGGGGTCGGCGAGCCATACAGTCATCTCGGCCTTGCGCGGCTCGTGGAGGGAGACGACATTGAAGAAGACATCGCCGTGGGCCTTCTTGACAATGGCGATGGCTGCCTCGATCTCACTCTGCGAGAGGGGATCAAAAGGGTGGGGGAGAGGGCTTGCGACGGAAGAACCCATCGTGACAAGCGGGGAGGTGGCGTGTCTTGTTACAGGTAAGTGAGGGAGCTTGCTTGAGTTTTAGATCTCTGTGAACCATGGGTCGATGGACTTGGCTAGGTTCAGATCAGGGGATGGGGTGCAGATGGTGTCAATAATGGCATCGAATATCTTCTACAACATCGTGAGGGGTCAGACAGGACGGCACAAAGCATATATATCCATTGCTGGTGGTGGCAAGGCGTGGCCGTGAGATATTGGGCAGCTGTTCAATTGGCCCGCAAGTGGTTCGACACCACATTGCTATCGAGCTCGGCGATTCAGCTGCCCTCGCCGCTGCTCCAGAGATAAGCAAGACCCCGCGAGCGAGCTCCGTTTCGGCTGCTAATTGTCCTGGTCACGGTTTCTGATAACCTTTCCGAACTCGTCAAGCCCATCCCCCACCAGCTCTCGGGTGAGATAAGAATCTACAATGTCATTGATAAGAGGCAAACCGACCTGCTGGAAGCAAGTTTGCGGGGTTGACAAAGTGTGGGGAGCTGTTAATTGAGCTCGGCGCCGGTGCTGGCGGGCGCCGAGACCGGATGTTTTAACCAGATTAGGGCAAGTTATGCGGCCGCGTCGCCGTGTTGTCCACGCTGCGGAATACTCAGAACCACCAAATGGCCATTCCGCGGATTCCGAGCACTATTCCGTAGAATGTCTCGAACACACCATCACATGGACCCAATGTTAGGGACTGCTGCTGAAAGGCACACCAGACTTTAATAGGGCCCTGCTGCACCACTTGGGCCAGTTTGTGACGTCATCAGACCTCATTTGCATGCTTCCGCCACCCAGTAGTTCTGCACTTCACCAGTATACTGAGGTTATTCTAGTGCACCTATACTTCAAGCTGCCTGAACTTGAGCTCTACGAGTCTGCAAATAGGCCACGCCAAGGGTGCGGGAGCTGTGATCAGCTGGCATTTTTGGTAACTTGGATCTGAGAGTTTGGCAGGGGAGCCAATGCAAGAATATTGTGTGGATCGCAGACCAAGTGTGGCATAGGCAAGACTACAAGGCTGGCCGGACTTCAGCCTGGGGACTGTAGTACACAAAACTTGCAACGTCGAACCAGAACACAACTTACTTTCCCCATCCGAGGGATGGTATCTGGCGGCACTAGCCCTATGACGACGCATAACCGCAGTCGAAACAGTGATCGGCATATTTTCAAAAACCCTATAATCCGTTGGATTTCTTGATCAGTAGATCCCCTCTAGGCTGGCACGTGGGACTTGGTTGGGGCAAAGCATCATCACTAGTGGGAGTATTACAGAACCCTTCGGTCGGCGCTGTTTGCACTGGTTTCGGTATCGGGCGGTCCTGTTGTGCCAAAGGCGAATTTTTAAGCCGGTTTGGCACGAAAATTCGTGGCAGAGTCCACGCGACTTTCGCTGTGCGCTATAGCGTTGAACGAGCCGCGCAACTAAGCCGGCCCTCTGTGCCGTGCGCAGACTCGATCTCGGCTTGGCCTTTGAAACCCAAGCCTGCCGCTATGTAATTCGCTTGGACTAAGACGATGCATTTTCTGAGAATAGCTAAATAGCCCAGGCCGCTCCATTCATGGTTGCCGGGATTGCTTGGGTTGAGAAGCGCAGCGAGCCGCGTATCTTCCCGTCAGGAGTGGCTATTATGTCGACCGAGCGCCCACACAGATATTCGGGGCTCCCTTACACTCTACGCGGTTGACTTGCACTCGCAGTGCTGATGACACTATCCACTTGAACACCCTCTGAAGTTGGACAAAAGTGCCGGCGCGTGGGCGACCCGAGAACCAACGTCAGAGCAAAGTGGACTTCTGGAAGACAAAGCCCGGAATCGTCGTATATATCCTCTTCCCTTATCACATAGCCGGGTCCATGGCAGCTGGGTTGGGTCGATCTGAGTTCTGCCCACCCTCTGGGCCTGAGCACCTTCGCTTGTTACCTGGTATTGCAGACTATATCGCAGGAACATCTCGTTTCATCACACGGAAGGGCTTCAGCCGCCGGGCTCGGCGATTATGATGGTGCATGGTACGATGGCGTTTTGCATGCACGTTTTATGCTGTACGCCTTATCCGGCAGCATTGGTGTTCCGAAGTATATTCAAGGTAAGGCGTATTTTAGCAAGACGCCGTATCGGAGAATCCGACAGCACATTTGTTGCCTGTGATGAGGAAGATGGAAGTTGGGGGCCTATCGGCAGAGAAATCCGCGGTAATTGCTGTTCCAATAATCCTGGTCTTTTTTCTCAAACCTGCACCGGCGGAAAGTCCTGCTCTCATCTGCGTCTTAACACAAACATCGGATGATCAATCAGCGGCGGCCGCAGCCCTGTGGAGAAGCCGCTTCCGCACGCCCAGCCAGTGGTAGCCCCAAAGGCCAACATGCCCGTCCATGAAGCTGAGTCTGAAAGGAGCCTCGGGATCCGCTACCTGGCTTCCCCTGGGTCCCGAGCAGGCTTGGAAGAGGGCTCTGTCGGCGGGCTCACCGGGCCGTGGGTGGAAGATCTCCTCGTAGGCCGCTCGCAGCGGCTGCGTCTCGAGGTAGGCGCCGACCTCGCGGACAAAGTCGGCAACGGTGATGATGCTCTGGCCACCACCAACCTGGGTGCGCGGGGTTGTGCGATCTATGACAAGGGGCGCGGGTCTCTGGCCCATGAGACATGAGTCTTGCCACCAGTCGTGATCGTCGATTGTGGCAATGTGAACAATCATCCTGGAGCGGGGAGGGTGCGTTGTGGGCAGGCCAGCAATTGCGTGAACGGGCTCAAGTGCATCGTTAAAAAGCGGTTGCCACTGCATCGGTCTGTCTTCCGTGAGATTCTCGACGGCGAGCACCCTAATGTTGGACAGGGGCTCCCACAGGGGCCAGTTGAGGCGCGCAAAGAGGTCATGCTTAAAGGCCTTTGGCTGAGGATTGCCCTGAGAGCTTTGCCGCACATTGTGGCTGGCGCGGCTCAGGGGTGCATACCTGGCGACGAAGTCTGGTTCGACGCCGCTGGGGTGTGGGTTCGCATCGTCTTGCATGCTGCTCGTCTTGCCCGCCGGCAATTTTTGGCGCGAGGGTCGCTGGTCAGGTACGTCCTGGGATGTCAAAGGTGTTGTTGGTTGGGATGGTGAGTTTGGCGAGTGCTAGTGATGGGGAGCCGGCCGTCTGATAGCCTTGAACCAACATGCATGCCAAGTAATCCACATATGCACGTTCCTCTGGAATCTGTCAGTGACAGCTGCACAGTTTCCAAATTCTGGCAAGGGCCTGGTCAGGGTGGGATGGTCGTCAGCTTTTTTTCCCATTCCCCCTTGCGAGCAGCCAGCCTCGCCAGAACCCGGATGTCCTTAACGGGCAGTTTGTAATATCAACCATGATCACACGAGTTTTAATGTATTGTTTTGAGTGCTTGAAGTATCTCTGGAAGCGGACATCGTTGCCTGAGGTAAACTATTTCTACGATCTCGCGCCATCCTCGAGCCATTCTCTGAGTCAATTCTTCCTTTCTGCCCTGCCATCTAGAAAAATACCCATGACCTCACGCAACAGCATCACGTCATTAGACACCGCAACGTCTGATTACTTTCCACATCATTAGTGTTTAGTTGAGATAGTCTAAATATAGAATGTTTTTCTCACAACTGAGCGACCAAAAAACGACTCAGGGGTATTATGTCCAAGAAAGCAACGCTTGATGATACACCGCCATTTCGGGACCAACGCCATGATCCCAGGTGCTGTCCAATATATGTACAACGTGAGACCACTTTCATGTCCGCGTCAGAGGCAGGACCTTGGAGATCTCGGTCAGGCTGTTGAGGTTCTTGACGCCGAGCATGCTCATGCGGAAGTAGGAGGAGGCGTAGGCCTGTGACCAAAAAAAAAAAAGGGTTGTTAGCCTGCTGGGTGCTCTTATTACGACTATAAACCCCCGCTGTCTCTCCATCCATATCACACACTGGGGATATATGTTTTTTAAGAAAAAGTGAAAAAGAACTTACCAGCGCCCACGTGGGCTTGCCCAGCTTGCCCGCAAAGATGGCCCACTGGATCTTGGTCTTTGAGTAGACGGCGAGGTTCTTGTCGCTCTGGAAGACAAACACGTCGGTGGCGGTGGGGCCGTCGTTGTCGGTGCCGTCGGCCTCTTCCGGATCAGCGGTCTTTGTGGCGTTGCGCGAGATGCCCCTGGCGGCGTCGAGTGTCTCCGAGTAGAAGCTGGTGTCCCAGTAGTGCGGCGTCGAGTCCTGGGCGGCGCCGGCGCGGCTGGGGTCGACGAAGCGCTGCTTGGAGGCCGTGTGAGCGCCGACGAGGGCGACGAGGTCGGTGGCGGTGAACGTCTTTGCGGCGAAGAGGTCGATGAGGGACTGCGCGTCGGCGTGGACCGAGGGCAGCTTGCCGTCCGGGGCCGGCTTGGAGCTGTCGGGGCGGCCGACAAAGGTCCGGATCCGGGGCCCGTCTGGGCACGCGACGACGCCGACGTTGGCGCCGAGCTGGATGATGTCGGCCATGCCCGCGCCGTAGGGCTTGTACTTGGTGTACCAGCCCATCGTGGTCGAGCCGATGGTCTCGAGGCCAAAGTTCTCGGGCCGGCTCAGCTCCCCGGCGAGCAGGATCGACCCGTCGGCGCCCCCGTTGGGCGACTTGCGGTCCCAGGAGCCCGCGTCGTGGAAGCCCAGCCGGATCGCGCCCCGCGCGAGGTCGGTGCACCCTTCCGAGTCGGCAAAGACGGCGTACATCTCGTCCGCCAGGTACTTCCACATGCACAGCTTGTCCTTCTTGCAGGCGTCGGAGCCAAGGGCGCCGGGCGCCTTGTACTGCGTCTTGTCGGCGACGGCAATGCCAAACCCCTGCAGGATGCCCTTGATCGCCTGGCCCGCGGGCGAGTACGCGCCCGAGATGAGATCGCCAATCAGCTCGATCGAGCGGCCCTTGAGCATCTCGTCACGGGCCTCGATCTCCTCCATGACCTTGCCCATGCCGGGGTAGGCGAGGGTGCCGGCGGCACTGGCCAGGGAGACTAGTGTTGTTGAGAGTCTCATTCTGGATGTTTTTATGTTTGTGTGTATATGCGTGTGAGAGAGAAAGGAAGGACGGGGGGTTTGCTGCCAAAGCGATGGTGAAGACGAAGCAGGATAGCTGTCGATTCTGACGGGTGTGCCGGTAAGCGATACAACACCTGAACGAGAGTTGGATACGCCGAGGTCGTTATGGACTAACAGCACAGTGCTCTGCTGCTCTGCCGCTGAGATGATGATCTGCAAGAATGACAAGCTTCACACCATCATGTCAAGGACGAGGGACACGGTCATCTTTATATCCTCCGCGGCCTGGCAAAGGAAAAACTACAGACGGCGCTCAACAACCCGCAGGTCTAGAGCGCCGAGGTGCAAGCCCATCCCCCCGACTGCAGACTAATTCCCGGGGTGCTCAAGTGCCTGCGAAGCAACGACCGCCGAGAGGCCGAGCCTCGCGATGGCTAACCAGGTCAAGCAGTGTCGTGACCCGGGCCGTGCCACGCCAGCACGAAAAGGGAAGGGTCGAGAGCTCTTCCCGAGGCGGGTGACAACGCATGAGCACAGCCGGAGCAGGGCCTAGGGTCCAGACAGACGCCGTGTCTTCCTAGCTGAGCTGCTGGCTGCCCAATGTGGTAATCACCGAGACGACGTGCATGTGGTCCGGCTCCCGGCCCTGGACACTAAGAACCGCAGTCGTCGGTAAACTAACGGCTGGCTCCGACCGTTGCCCCGGGTCTTTCGAGGGTTGCAAAGGCCCCCAACGGCCGTCTCTGAGCGTTAGCCATTGTCTTTTGGGCGAGACTAGGTCACGAGCGGCCGAAAACTGGCTTCTAGCACGGACTAAAACAAAGTATCAGGCAATAAAGCACGTGCCCGGCCACGCGCGTGGAGCAAAAGATCCTGGAAAAGAACGAACACAAAGGCGGGCTAGGCGGTCGAGGCAAACTTTCCTCCGCGACATGGCCCTCGCTTATTCCAGGACCAAGGGATCCGAGCCGGCGCTTCCAGGCCACCGGGCCAAGCCTACACCAGATTTGTGCTCCCCACCTTCGAGGCCCCGTCAAACTGCTTGTACGAGCTGCGGGCATAAAAGAGGCACAGTGACGTGCAGCGGTCGCCTGTTCAGTTCTAGTCTCGGCTGCCACTGGGCGGGGTGGGCCAATAAGAGGACCGCACGTCCCATCACGGCCTCATTTTGGGTTTGCCGCGATCGCCGGTGCTATACCCAATATGCGGCTCCAGCTGGGGCCGCCTAGGCCCCCAACAGCGCAGCCCATCCACCCGCTTATTGTCTTGGCAGACGAGGAAAAGGGCGAGTGGCTCACCCAGAACCGACGGCAAGTCTAGACCCGTCAGGACTTTCTGCAGGCGATAAACTTTGCCCCCCTGGTACGAGCTGAAAGGCGAGTTTTGGCACAAAGCTGAGGCTGAGATTGAGGAGGCGCTTTCTGTTGCTCCCCAACACGCGAGCAACAAGAAAAAGACCACATGGGCGCGCGCGTGGACCCTCCAAAAAGCCACATGGACAGGTAACAAGCATTTTCCTAAATCATGCCATGTGGCGCACGTCCCGAGTGATGCCATTTCCACCTCGTGCCATTGGCCACGGCTAGATTATGGTGAGGCTTTCCGGAGTTCTCTGAAGGAGCAGGCAAGCCATTCCGTAGAAGATCTGGAGACCAGGTAAGCTTATCAGAGAGGCTTCGCTACAAGAGTGACGGCAGAGAGAGACCTGCAGGAGTCTGGCCTGGTCCGGAAAGCCCGTCCATAAAGCAATGGATCCCTGTCTTTTGCAGTCAAAAGATCGTGAGTGGAGCGGGCGGGATGCTCAGGTGCCGGACAGGGGGGCCGCCAATGGCCATTTGCCGCGATCTGCAAGCTGGTGCAGATTGCTTAGACTGAGACAAGCAGCCTGTCGACGCTCAGCTTAAGCAACACTCTGTGCATGCAGCGCTGCAGTGTGCCTGGCGAGAGTGGACCAACAAGGCCTAGCATAACGTTGTTCCGCTTCTTTGACTCAGACAAAAGTACCGGGAACTTTTCGCTAGTTGCAGCTGAGTCAAGGGCGACTTTGGGAGGGTCTAGGTGAATGTCTTATACTTGCTCTTGAAGCCTCATGGACCACATGCTCATACCCGTGCCTTTTTATAGGCAAGAGGGTGATTTGGTGAAAAAGGTCTGACAGAGGCCCGGCCCCAGCGGAATAGCGACAATTTGGAAGAAATAGATCCATCCATCCATGCTGTTCCTTGCTCAAAAAGTGCACCTCCGAATGAACATGCCCGATGCGACATTGCGTTGCATCCCGTCGGCACCCCTGGCCAGATCGTAGACAAGGATGAGACATGGGCCGGCGGCCCGCGCGAGGATCATGCCAGGGTTCAGCCCTGCATTGACCACGTCATGAGCCCATTACTACCAGATAATAAATCATTGCACGATTGCTGTAATAGTGATTTGTTTGTTTGTTCATATGCTCTCCTCACAGCACGGACCAGGCTATAACAGTGCCGAGTTCCGCCGCGGGCGTGGGCAGCGACAGGTGCGGGCAATACGTGTATCAATCAATAGCGCTCCATTGCCAGGGACAGAAGACAGGGTTACCCTTGGGAGTTGAGCTCAGACAAAAAGACGTGGCAGCTTGTGTTTTCTTTTTGCCCCGTCGCCGTGGCATGAACGGAAGTTGGTCGCGAGGTCTCATCGGACATATAAAATGCAGCTGCCTTTCTATTCTTGGACACGCAAAAAGTCCCTGCTTTGCATGATGGCGCGCCTGTGGACACTGAGAGAGGCCGGTGGTTCTAGACCGCACCTCCCAGCGAAAGTGGGCTGGTGTGTCTTGAAATGTGCATTGCATCAATGATACGAGGTAACATCGCTGACGGGAGAGACCCGTGTGTGTGAAGTCGTGCATGATGATGTCTCGCGGAGCCTCAAATGCGCTGTTTGCGTTATTCGGTGAGGCCAGACGCTCGGGCGGCGTCTCCTCAACAGCAGATCCTGCCTGCACAGGATTTTCTTTCTATACCACAGTTAAGAGACTGTGTGACTTGTCCGCGGTGATCGATACCGACAACACAGGGAGAGTCGAGGACCGTCTGTGAGTATCGTGTCTCGTCGTTTAGCCCTTGGGCCAGATGCCGCACAGTGGCCCACGTCGCACTCACCATTCGTCCAGCCAGACAGAATTTGATCCATGTCGAGCTACAGAGTCACAACAGCATGTTACTCAGACAGACCTTATGTGGCTGTGACCCCATCTCGGCTTGCTTTTGCTGCGTGGGTGCTTGCTTGGGGTCCCATGTGTGCCTGGCGCACACCGCCACGGGCGAAAACAGCGCTTATGAGCAATTTTGCCATGGGTGATTGAATGGCACATTGTGGCTGGCTGGGCGGCGAGTGTAAGTCAAGTCAGCGCCTGTGTGGCTTGTTAATCATTGGTAGGTACCCGCGATATCGCGTGGTCGCAACGGGGTCATGTCGCGATGCGGAGACGTCTGCATGCCGAGATGCCTCAGAAAATCATCTTCCCCCATACACGCATAATCAGTATACTCGGATGAAAAAAAAAGCCCCGGCGCTGGCATCAAAGTATACTCTGTCTGCCCATGCCTAGTATGGATGACAGCCAACAGAAAACCTAGGGAAGCTCGGGAGCTGGGGGGCCATTTTTGCCAGATCGGGCACCTCGGTAGTGGGTGACAGGGGTGGGGTGATCCCCCATTACGTCATGGAGCGTACCCGCCGCCGTCAGCTGGGCTTCTTGTTCCTCGGCCCCTCCGGACACTCGCGCAACGACAACCAGGCAGTTCCTTTGGATATGCTGCAAAAGGTCAACCATTAGTTCTCAGTGATCACGACCCACGAGCGCGCACCTCTTCTTGTCTTCGGTTGACTGGCGTGGGTCCCGCTACAGACATACCCCTCCCTCTGCGTCCCCGCCGCCAGCATTCCTTCTCGTCTTGCTCTGGTTCAGAGACCCCGGGCCGACCACAAAGCTCACCTCGGGCACACCTCGCGACTCTCACACACACACACACACAAACACAGCCTCGACAATGTCCGCTCTCATCCCGCCTCCGACGTCCGTCTCCCAGGCTGCTCTGGCCGCGACAATGCTGCTGGCCGCGTGGCTGACTTTCGTCGGCGTCACGCCTCCACACGTCCCTCCCTCCGATGACGATAACGACGGCGACAACGACGACGACAATGAAAAGACTGCGAAGCATTCCACATCCTCCTCTGCCGCTGGCTCGGGCAGCAGCGCCAAGACTGCTGTCAAAGCCCAGCAGCAGAAGCAGAAGCAGCAGCAGCAGGCGCCCCCCGACGACACGATCCGCGCAATCCAGCTCACCACCCGCCGGGGCCCCAGCATCGTCTTCAGCCACATCGCCTTCCTGGCGTCGTACGCCGCGTTCCTCGCGTACAACTACGACCCGGCGACAAACACCCTGCCGGGCATCTCGGGCGCGACAACGGCCTGGGCCGCGCCCTACTGCCACCTCAACAATGACAACAACGGTAACAACGGTAACAACAGCAGCAGCGGCAACAGCTTGCAGCCAGCACTCCTGACATGGTCGCCCCACACGATCCTCCCGCTCCTCAGCATCATCCTCATCGGCGCACCCTTGCGGCTGATCCCCTACTCCACGCTCGCCAAGAACTTCACCTTCGCCCTCACGGAGCCCGACAAGCTCGTGACGAGCGGGATATACAGCCTGGTCCAGCACCCCAGCTACACGGGGCTCGCGGCCCTCTTCTTTGGTAACTCGGTCCTGTACTACCGCTACGACACACCCCTCGCCGCGTGCTGGTGCCCGCCAGAGTGGTATCCCTGGATCAAGATGCTCGCCGTGGGGTTCGTGTGGCCGACATTTGTCGCCGCGGGCTTCTTTGGGATCAGCGTACGCGTCCGGCAGGAGGAGCGCATGCTCAAGGCCAAATTCGGCAAGGAGTGGGAGCAGTGGAACTCGCGCACTGCTAGATTCATCCCTTATCTGTTCTAGACCTGAGATGATGTCCAAAACGAGTAATGTCACAAACATCAATAAACACAGATTTTGCTTGGATTATGTCACTGGTAAATCGGCATTGTGATCTTGCCTAACTTGCGGATTGACGACGGAAAGCCCCAAGGTTCACCATGGTATCAACAGTGTTCAACCCTGGTGCTTTCTGCAGACCCTATTCTGCGCTTTGAGCGACTGAAATGCATTGTCGAGAATCTCCTGAAGCAGATCTTGACTTGAAGGCCGGTCTGATCCATGGCTTCGCATGGGCACTTGGTCCGAGTTCTTAGGAGCAAGCGCTGCTTGACGGAGACTCTCGGGCGTCTGGTCGATCATTGGCAGGAAGCTGTAGCGCCTCAGCACATTCAGCACTTTGGATCCTGTCGCAACTTGATGCTGCCGCTCACTTGTGAGATCCGCCTCCTCCTCGGGACCCTCATTTGTGGCACCAACAGTCGTGAAACTTGGTCCACCTTGCTCTCCACGTTCCACTCGACGCTGACCAAATAGCAGAGCCAGTGGCCCGGCCGAAGGTCCAGAATCACAACCCCTTAGCCTTTTGCCAAAGGCAAGCCCATTTTTGGCATTGCTGGCGTGTACATGTGCATCAATACCAACACTGTGTAAGGGCGGACTGGTTGGGGATTGAGTAGGTGTTGGACACTTGTCTCGATATTCGTCACTTTGGCCGCCTGGCGATAAAGTCGTTGCAGGATCTGCCGTGCTTGCTGGAGGAATTGCATTGATGCTGACACTTTCAGGAGATCTTGCACTGTCGAGACTGCTGTGATGTCCCTCAATAACCTTCAGGCTTCTGAGCAGATGCTCACTAATGCTGCTTGGAGAAGTGGCCTCCGCCACTCTACCCGATGTTGTATCACCACCTGGGGAAGGCGGACTGTCAGTCCCGCGGTGGGCGACTTCCAGAGCAAGCTCGGAGACTTTTCTGGTTGGAATTTCGACAGCATCGCGACTCATAGCAGCACTGCAAAATGGTTCATGGAGGCTCCATTCAATCTCTGTCACACTCTGCCGTGATACGATGGTTGCTTTGTCAGGGCTGTCGCGCAACTTGACAGGCTTGTCAATCGTTGAGCAGGACCCGAAGGACGGACCCACGGAACTGAATGTCATCGCCGGAGGCGCAGTTTGTCCGAGCGAGTGGCCCATGGTCGGCTTGATTTTCCTTCTGAGATCTAAGGGTTCATACCTCAGATTGCTCATTCCTGTAATGACAATCTCTAATATTATTGCAACGTCGGTAACATTGACCAAGTACAACTCGCGCTGGTCGCCCCAAGGGCCACTTCTAGTGTCTTTGGGCGGAGTGTTCTCGTTCCTTAAACACGCATCACCCATCATGGTAGTGTATGGGTACCGGCGAGTGGCGAGGTAGTCTCGGATTCGTTCGACAATGACTTCGGCATTCTCGTCATCTGTGTATTCTATTGCAGAAGGGCTGCTAGTCATTGTGCCGACCGCTTGGTCCTTTCGGAATGACTTCTCCGGCTGAGTACCCGCGGCCGAGGTCGTTTCCGCGCTATTGGACGAGGGCGCGTGCGGGACTTGGTGTAAAGGGCATGTCACGTCTAGGAAGGAGGCCCCTTCAAACTGAGTCTGACCGAGGGGATCTATCGTGTCGTGGGCGGAGTCTCTGCGGGCTCGATCTCCCTTGAGTAGTCGCCGAAGGACTTTGAAGGGAAGATGGTCGTGGGCAGACTCATGTTTGTGACTCCAAGGGGTGGTGAACCTCTGTCGCCAGCTGTCCGCCGAAGCTGTGCCAGTTGTGTCTGCGAGCGGATGGCTAACTTCGCAAACCGGGACCAAAGGCTCATGATGCGGTTTTGCATGATCTGGATTCTGCAGCGTGGCCTTGACTGGGTCAATGCTGGTATGACGGGTCTGTGGTGCGCTGAAGAACTCTTCGTCCTCGAGATCATGTATGGAGAAGCGTGTTGTTGGCTGAGGCAATTCAGGAAGTGGTGCCATCGTGTTAGGGTAAATGGTTTAAGGCAGGAAAGGACCCCTGTCATCAACTTAGGGCGGTAATTCAAGACAAAGTCGATGCTACAAGGAAATATGATACTTATGCGGTTGGGATAGATACAGACGTGAGCAGTAAAAGGCGGAAAGCTCGTCGAAGCCTTCTCGTGCTGAACGACACCAGGGTCTTGGGCACCAGCAGTTCACTCGGCAACCGTGACCTAGCTGACTGGGAAAGAACAGCCTTGGCGCGGATCCGTATCTTGAGCAGGCACGATATTGGAAGCGGCGCTTGTCCTTCCTCTCCACATCCTCCATGCCTTGGAATGGGAGTGATGCAAAAGTTTCTTGCGTCGGATGGCATTTTAATTGGTAGTATCGCCTATGTGGAACTTCTTGACTACATCAGCCTCGCCCCTTTTCAGGGCATTTCCGTGCGCATCCCACAACGCCCTCTCCTTGTAGGTGACGTTGCCATCCCAGTCAACCAAGATGATGGTCTGTCGCTGTGTGCCATACGCGCCCTGCAAAAAGGCTTCTTTCGGCTCTAGGTCGTCCCCGTCCTTGCTCTCGTCGTCTTCCGGAGCCGTCTCAAACTGCGGCAGGTTTTCTTCTCGTCCCCTTCGTTTTGCATCTTCCATGCACTTCTGGCTCTCTTGGTTGTTGAAGGGAGGAATAAAAATGGATGTCCTCAAGAGGTCCCGAAACTCGGCCAGTGTCCTATCAGGATCTCGCGGCATCGTATCGTGGTCGAGCACGGAGAACAGGTTTTCTGTCAGAGTGTCCTCGTCCCAATCCTGTTTGACCGCCTCATTGATTGTGTTCTCCATAAGCTCCTCGCCGAGGTTGACTTTTGGCCACGTGCTGGCCGACGAATAGATGGTGTTACTGAGTGAGACGGTCGTGCCTCGGGTGCCGCAGATGCGGGGGACCTGGTCTACACTGTCGCACCGGTTCGACAAAATGGACGCCGCTCTCATGCCTTTCGCTTCCGACATGCCGCGGAGATCCCCGCAGATCAAGGAGAAGCCTCCGACTCCTTTAAAGGTGCCGCTGGTCATGACTCGGGGCACGAAGTCGTCCAGGCTTTCTGATGGAGGTGCGCCGAGCCACTCATTGACAATGACGCCACGGCTCATGACGGTGCCCAGAGACTTGTCCGGATCGTCGAGGGCCGATTCGCGGAAGTTGGTGAGGACTGCAAAGCGACCGTCTTGGTTGAAGCCCATCCAGGTGCCACGCTCCCGGCGATAGAGGTCGCGTGACGAGAGAATGCGGTTGCCGGAAGGGCCATGGGTCCACCAGTATGGCTGGGTCGTTGGCCGGAGGACGTACTCATCGCGGTTGTCAATGATGATGAGGGCGTACCGCGGATGCGCCGTGCTGAGGAGGACAATACACATGATGCTGGCGGCCAGCAGGGGGCGATTTGGCTCCGTGTGTTGTCGCGATGTGGATGGCAAGTCGAAGAGGGCTTGAAGCACGCGACACCTGACGACGGCCAATGTGAATCCCTCGGTCGGGCCTCAACTTTCTTGGGGACAGGGGTGGGCTTGGGCGTCGAAGATGTCGATGAGATGCGTCCGCTGTCGCAGGGGCGCGGCTCGATGCACGCTGGATGCACGCGGGATGCAGGAACGGTGTCGCCAACACCACTTGCAGGACGACACGTCACCGAGCTGTACCGCCTGGGGGAGCGAGTCTGGGTCCTGCGATGCTCTGACCGCTTTCTGCGAGAGGCTTGGAAGAGGCGGCAGGGACCGGCAAGCGCACTTGGGACTCGACCTGGTGATGGGACTGCGGCTTCCACTTGTCGATGTCACGCCTGATGCGGAGGAGATGGCAATTGCAGAGCTTGGGGTTGTCCGGCGCCGGCGCCGGCACGGATGGGGCTCTGGCGGGGTGGCCTGGCGCCGGCTGATGTCATTTTTAGTTACCATCTTAGGGTCGCCCCAGGCACTTCTCTGGCACGTCCACCACAGGTTTCTCGCCGTCTTATGTCCATGGGCTTGGGTTGGCCACAGCATCCATTGGCATCGCCGGAGAAGTGTGTTTGTGTCCGCCCATACCGTTCCCAGGGCCCTGACCTTGTGGTGATTGATCGGCCTCACCTTTTCAGCCGGGCTGCCCCAACGCCAGGATCGCCCCTCAGCCGCTTGGGGCCCTCATGGCACTGCCGCGCCGTGGCAATAGCCAGGCCGCTGCCACATCGGAGTCCATAACATGGCGGGACGACTGCCAGGATACGCTGACATGGCCTGGAAGCAGTTGAATCTGACCATCATCATTCTGGCTCAGAGTGAGTCACCAGAAAACACACTGCGGCACCTCCAGAATTAGCCGATGATCCGCACTAGGCAACCGTCGATTCTCAAGCCTGGACTTGCATAAAGGTTCCACAGAAGCCACCATTTCGCGGTTCTCGGGCTCTGATCCTCATTTCCAAAGGCGATCGAACCATGCACATCTAATTGAGATACCCCGGACAAGGATAAACACCCTCACAACTTCAACATGTCTGCCAAAACTCAGTCACGATGGATCCCCCACGCACAATCCAAACCCCTCGGGGCACTATCGTCGAGCTGGCCCTACCCGAGCATGAACACGAGATTCTCGAGTCAGGAACCACTCAGGAGCGAATAAATGCGATTTCCTACCAGCCAATTGACTTTTCCCAGACGGACCTGCCCGAGTACCACCCGTTCTTCGCCCTGGTCCTGGACAATGTCTTCTCCGAAGAAGAATGCGCCATGATTCGGGCTCTGCCAGAGGATCACTGGGCTCCCCTGGTCCAGGGAAACGCCTTCCGAGAGGTTGATCGCACGCTCGTTCTTAACACGCAGGTGGCGGACGTCTTGTATGCGCGGATCCGACCACACTTGGAGAAAGCCGGTGTCACTCGCCTCCGCAAAGCTGGCCGACACCAAGCGCCGGCATCCGGCGCAAACGCAGCAGCAGGAGCAGAAGCATCGACGGAACCTGTCAGGCAGATCTCTTCTCCCGCACAAGACTGGTCCGAGGGCATTGCGGGCGCGAGCAACCTCAAGGCCGGCCAGGGTCGGCACAAGGCGACCTGGGACATGTACGCGGCCAACGAGAGGCTCAGCTTCCTGCGCTACGGGCCAGGCATGCACCACGACCGGCACTGCGACCAGGTCTTTTCGCGGCCGGGTACAGACAAGGAGGACAAGAGCTTCCTGACGTGCCAGGTCTATCTAAGCGACAGGCCTGCTGCCGAGGCTGGCACGGCGGACGCGGGAGGTACGACTCGCTTTTGGGGTCCGCCTGGGTCATCTTTCGAGCGGCGGTTTGTCGATGTTGTCCCCAGGGCTGGCCGTGTGCTTGTCTTCCAGCAGCGGATGCTGTGGCATTCGGGACAGCCAGTAAATGCTGGGCTCAAGTACGCGATGAGGACGGATCTGATGTACCAGAGATCCTTTACATGAGCAATTGTCAGAGACGGATTCCTGGCAGGCAGGCGGACAGGCTGGTACACAATACTTGATCTCATTTCGGATCCCATTCCGGGTCTCTTCCCTACGCGTTGCTATTTCTGAGACTACATGAATTGAGTTCAGGTTTTGCTCGGCCTGTTTCACTGCCACTGCACAATGGCGATGCAATCTTTTGCCATGGTCCTCGCATGCCCTATGTTTTGAGGATGGCATAGACTGCTGCCGGCCATCTTGTATCTCGTGCAGTGTGCAAGAATGAATGGAAGGTCGGGTTTCGTGAGATGCAAGCGTGGAAGGCATCGTCTGGGTCACGCCTGCCACTTCACCGGTGTCCCAAGGCTCATGTTCCTGGCAGAGCAACAATCCTCCACTAGCACTCGCCCATCAAGGGCATCTGAGCAATGTTGGTCCTAATCGATGCCTCAGACACTTACTTGTAAGCATCCCAGCGCTGCGCAATGCAGCACGCGGGGCCGTCCTCAAACGCGATGGCAGACCTTCAGATGCCTTACAGGCTACGCCAGGCAGAGCTTCACTGTGTTCGCTTCACCTCCGAGACTCTTCAAATCCCCTCTGGCTCCGTGATTCGTCATGAGAAGACATGGACTAGCCGCCGCATCTCGGCAAGTTACACCACTGACGAACCACTGACAAGCCATCCAACGACCGAATTCCAACCCGTATCCGCCACGAGTTCGCCAGCTACAACACTGCCACGGAGATCCCGATTCCAGCCATCCATCAACATGCCTGCTGGTGCTGCTACTGCTGCTATTGCTGATGTTAGACGTGATGCCCTTGCGCAACGAGCTTATCACCAGGGCGACACTGCGCAAGCACGAGGTCCGCTTTTGGAGCGGCCTTACAATGCTGCAGCAACCAGACGCCCTTTTCTTCGTACGCCACCTCCCCTTCCTCCTCAGCTCTCCATCCTGGACGAAAATCTGTCGCCTGTCTACAGGAGCGAAGTGGCCATGAATCACAGAGACAGCCTCGAGCTTCCCGCTACCAAGATGCTTCCCAAACTCGTCCAGGACGAAGGTGATCCACAGGAATCACCAACACCCCGATCAAGAGCACGGACTGGTATCCCGCGGGCTAGAACCCTCAATGTGCTCTCAAACCTGACGGCGTCCATGTCCCGCACGTCCATCGGCCTTGCAACCAGGAATAGCCAACGCAAGTTGTCTAGGTCGTCAAGAAACACGTCAGGCTCATCTACAACTACGCAAAATAGTCTACTACCTCCTCTAGGTCCTGCTGGCGGCAGCATGGCGTCGGGACTCGCCATCTCGATCCCCAACGCGAGCTTTGAGGATCATGGTGTTCCTGAGACACCACATCGGGACCCAAGACACATCTACACGGCACAGAGCTCAGAATATTGGTCAGGCCGTTTCATGGCACTCAACGATCGCTTCATGAGTGAGAGCTTGCCAGAGGAGATGTCTTCGTCACCAAGGCTGTGCGAGTCCACAGAACTGCAAGACTCACCGGCAGAGTCAGCCACAGACTCACTGACCGAGCTAGCGCCGTCCACGGATCATTCTTTCGATGCCCAGCGACACCGAGGATGTGATCCATGGATTTCATCAGGACCTCTTAGAACCACATCACTGATCTCTCACCCGGGCACGATGCCAAAACTGCACAATGATCACAGGCTCACATTGGAGGAGCCACAGGTACAATATGACCGGAGCAGCGACATTTCAGAGGCACGCAGCCGAAGGCGAAACTTTTCTCGCGTGGCTGCACTGGAGGACGAAGACGAGCGCTTCAAGCGAGTGTTCCACTACCTCGAAGGCATGTGCAAGACATCTGAAGCACGCAAGAGCCTATATACTTATCAGCAGGTATTTGCTCGAAGGATGAACAAGGAGCATCTCCTGCCATCAGGCAGAAGCATGGAGGACCGCGGATGGGTTGGACGCCTCCTCAGCAGCAGCTCCAGCGTCGGCAAGGGATTCGTCCATGCGAGCTCTTTCAGCCGTCGAAAGCGCAACAGTCTGATTGTGTGATCATACCCAAGATGTGGACAATATCGAGTACTCTGTTGTGCTCCCCTGTGTATGAGATATGATGTTATTTTACATGGTGCCGTTGTTGGCCTTGGAATAGGGCGGGGCATTGTAAGAAGTAACGTTTAAATAGCTTCACCCGGGGGCCCAGGAGGCAGTTCAGAGTTTGTAGCGCTTACGAAAACTACACCATGTAGAGACTAGGGCGGATCACATGTCTCTTTTTACCTTTCAATGATCCAAGCACATGTTAAACCCAGTAAGAAAGTCGTGGACGAGGTCAATGTGAAGTGTGATACTTTCTTTTTTGTTTCTAAGGCCGGCATCCGGTGGATTGGTTCTCATTGAACCAAGCCTAAGGCAAGGTTGCCAGATTGTGCATACCACCGATGAGCTTTCAGCCCAGCTTGACCCTCAGGTTTCTGTCTATTTGACACTGAGAGGGATCTCACAGTCAGCCAGGAGTCTGACGACGAATCCTCTCTACGTTCGATCGGCACCGCCACCACCACCACCACCACCTGGGCAGCAGTGATTTTTTCATGCGTGAATTTTCCCTTACGTCAAAGTCCAACCCCCCATTCCCCGTTCCCTTACCACTCACGCTCCATTGGCACCGCCGCCGCCGCCGCCGCCCTGTTCCTCGGCCTTGACCTTCTTCCTGGCCTTCATGAAATCCTTAATCTGGTCAGTCTTGTTGGCAAAGAAGACGCCGCGCTTGTCGTTGCGCCAAGACACGACGCCAATGTCGTCGGCAAAGTTGCAGATCTCGAGGTAGTCCTTGTAGTTGTCAAAGTCCTTGAACAGGTAGCCCGTGGTGGTGAGCATGCGCTCCGTGTCGAGCTGCCACAGGCGGATCTGGTCGACCACGACGGGCGGGAGGAGGGGCTTGTTGTTGGTCGCCGACACGCGGTGCATCTGCTCGTGCGCGTGCGTCGCCAGGTAGCTGATGATCTGGTCGGCCGTGATGCCCATGTCGACCGCCCTCCGCACGCTGCCCCGCGTCAGGTGGCCCGAGACGAGGCCCTTGAAGCGGAACTTGAGGTCCGAGAAGAGCGCCAGGACGGCGATCTGCAGCGGCGACTGGATGTACGCGTACAGCCGGAAGTTGGTCTCGAGGATGATGGCGTTGCGGTCTTGGGACTCGCCCAGCCCGGGCGCCGGGCTGTCACCGCCGTTGGCACCCCCGCTGGCTCCGCTGCTCTTCTTGCTGCTGCTGCCGCCGCCTGCCGTGGCCGCTGCGAAGCCTGCGCTGACGGAGCGCAAGCTCGTCTCGCTGCTCGTCAGGGTCGTGGCGAGCCGGGTCGGGAAGAACTGGGACGGGTTGCCGTGGGGGATGTAGATGAGCCCAAAGTCTGCGAGATTCGGCAGGAGATCTCGCCGTGCCGGGGTCAGCGCAGCGGTGCTGTATGCCCTCCCCAGTTCCAAGGACGAGAGCAGGAAGAAGAATGACAGCATGTCGGGCCCTTCCAGGCCGATGCTGTCGGCGCCTGCCTTCTTCTTAGCATGGTCATTCGCGCGGTCGACAGCAGTGAGCCATAGCAGCAACAGTGTCCAGACTTGTGCATTCGCCTCCTGCAGCAGGAAAGTGAAGCCCTCCTGTGTGATGTTGACGCTTGCGCCGGGCTTCTGCTCCACCAGGTTTCCGTTCAACAGGAGGTCCTTGACAGACTGCTTGGGCCCTGTCGAGCCTCGACCTCCGCCGCCGGAGCCGACACTGTTGACTACGAAGTGTAATATGTCGTCCCATTTCCGCCGCGCGTATTTGTCTAGAAATGCGATGTCGATCTCGGGTGGCACCGGTTGTGTTGAGGGGACGCCGAACGAGTTGTGGTCGCCACCGCCCTCGAGGGCCAGTCGCAGGCTGTTTCGGAAGTTTGGAGAGAGGGTGATGTGATGTGGTGTGTCTCGTGATATTATGTGGAGGGTTCGTAGCGCTGATATGGCCTGATCTTTTTCTCGTTTCGCCGAGGGCCTGATCCAGATTTCGAGGTCAGAAAGTAGGAATGGCGCCGGCATGTACAGAATTGCCATGACAATCGTCTTGGCTATTGTCGCGACGAAAGAGTCAGCAGGCGTTCATGGGTTGGATGCAGGAGGAGGCTCAGAGCGTCTTGGGAGGGCCGGAATTGGTGTCTTGACGGTGGGCAGCGTACCGAGATGAGGAAGCATGCGACGGAAGATGGCGAAGACGGTGGAGGGCTGCTGGTAGAGGCGCTGGAAGGTTGTGCCCCGCAGCTGCTCGAGATACTGCGAGAGCGAGTTTGAGGCGTTGGCCGACATGGCGGCAGAGGCGACGTCGGGTCACGCGCAGCCTGGTGATGCTATATCATGGTCGAGGAAGAAAGGATGCGAGGCGGGAGGTCGCGGCACGGTCGCGGACGCCGGCGTTAGGAGACGCGGCAGTTGTGATATCCCCACAGCAAGGTTGGTGTTGCGATTTGGGCTGCCTATGTGGACATGTGTGTCGTGTGGAAGCTCGAATGGATGGCGTGAATCAGACGGAGGAAAGTGACAATGGTGAGGCTCTACATGTGCGCGCGATGACGACGAGCAAGGATTGCTCACAGCTCCAGGCAGGGCCCACTGGAGGTCCGGCTTGCATGCGCTAGACCGCTGTGCCAGGTATGCTCCACCTTTACTGTCCGGCACCTGCCTGCCCTCAGCCCAGGCCTCCCCATGAGCAACAGGCTGACGACAGCTTTGCCGAGTCCTTGACAAGGCCCCGTCGGGGTTTCTCAGGCGTGGTCTCTGAGGACAAGCGATTGTTGACTCCTGTGGTAATCAATTCGCTGAGCAAATTATGTAGTGTAAGCACGCTCGGGCAGCCGTCTCTGCCGGTTTTCGTTCCTGCTATCGCAGCCCAGCACAACCTCGGCCCATTCAGTGTAAGTGCGTTTCCCGCTGCCCTAATGCTCGACATGTTGTGATATTAGGCCTGTGGAAACATCAGTCGTTGCAGACTGCACAAGCGTCTCGCATGACCTGGAGAGCTAAGCCTAGGCAAAAAGTTGGGGAAGGCACCAGAGCAGGGATCTCGGCCTCCACCAGGCTCTGTCCATTGCGGGGAATACATCATCAACCTTGAAGGACCAGAGAACCAGACACGACGTCTGACAATCTGTCATTTCGCAAAGCTCGCGCAAGACCAAAAATTTTGCTTTTTGGTTGATAGATCATCACCTGCACATACGTCGCTGTCTCTATATAAATCAGCAGCCGACAATCTCCCCAGAGCCTCCCTCATCCATTACCTCTAAGACCTCGTTGGTGCAACTTCGTTGTGTCAGCCATGGCTGGACCTCGGCTCATCCCCATCATCGTCGGTGTGGGCGACGTCTGCAATAAGTCGCTCCAGGTCGCCGACGCCTTCGAGCCCGCCGAGCTCATGACCAGGGCCATCAATGCGGCACTCAAAGACTCTGGAATCGCCAAGCACGACTTCACAGCACAACTCGACAGCATCTCGGTGGTGCCGCCCTGGACGTGGCCCTATCCGGATCTTCCTGGGCTACTGGCGCAGAAACTGGGGTCAAGTCCTAGCCACAAGGATATTGGCAAGTATCATGGGGGAAACCAGCCAGCCCTTCTGTGCGACGAGGCTGCGCGCCGTGTTGCCACCGGCCAGGCTCGCCTCGCAGTCGTCACTGGTGGTGAAGCTTTGGCATCCCGTAAGTGGATCAGCGTATCCCAACAAAAATCAAGACTGACGCAGTTTCATGGTCTCCTTATTCAGTGGCAGCTTGTCAGAAGGCCGGCAAGTTCCCACCGCCTGGATGGGCGACTCCCGACCCGTCTTCAAGCACAATCAGTGCCAGCGATAGCTCGAGACTGGGACAGAGTCAGTTTGCACATATCCATGACCCTGTGGATTGTTGCAGCTGGAAGCTGACTTGGAGACATGGCAACAGGTATTGGCGGTCGTCATTCTGTCGGACTCCCCCTTCACGTGTACCCCATGTACGAGAACGGCTTCCGCAGCCATGAAGGGCAGACTTTTGCCGAAAACACGAGCGAGTCTGCCGATATGTACGCCGCGTTTGACGCGATAGCCTGCAAGCAGCCTTACAGCTGGCGATCCGGAGCATCGCCAAAGACTGCGAGTGACATTGGCACCCCGACACCCAAGAATCGCATGATCTGCATGCCTTGTAAGTGCTCGTGCCTAGGTCTTTGTGCACGTAGGGCATGCTGACCATAATCCTGCAAGACCCCCTGCTGATGAACGCGTTCAACACTGTCAATTTGTCCGGAGCCTGCATCTTGACCTCCACTGAACATGCACGAAAGCTTGGTATCCCCGAGGAGAAGTGGGTGTACATCTTGGGCGGCGCTGGGACAAGTGATAGCAGCCAGTGTAAGTCATGATCACAGCATGCTCTCATCCATGGCAGATAAGATTGACGCTCTCCGTGGCTCCCAGTTTGGGATCGACCCAACTACTTCTCCAGTCCTGCACTCACCCAGTCCATTGATGCTGCCCTCGAGGCCTCTGGCATCACGAAGAATGACATTGACTGTTTCGACATTTATTCGTAGGTGCACTAGGGGAGACTTGACCTCAATTCCGGCTCACGCCTGGACTAAATGATGTAGCTGACTTGTACTACAGTTGCTTTCCAATTGTGCCCAAGCTGGCATGTAAGCATCTCGGCCTGAGTGTCACACGGCCGGAGAAGCCCATCACGGTGCTCGGCGGCTTGACGTCCTTTGGCGGCGCCGGCAACAACTATTCCATGCACGTAAGTAGGGCTTGAGCAGATCGGGGGCATGAGGACCCGAGCTCCCATGCATGGAAATGGCAGACTAACAGCGCGCTACCGACTTTAGGCCATAACCGAGATGACTCGTCTGATCCGCAAGAGTGAAGTCAAGACGGGGTTGATTCTGGCCAATGGCGGCATGCTGACGTATCAACATGCTCTTTGTTTGTCCAAGGGCGCTCGCAGAGAGGCCTCCCCTTACCCGTCGAAGAATCCCCTGCCAGAGTTCAGCAAGGGTGTCATCGCTCCGCCTGTGTCGGAGAAGCCGCAAGGCCGGGCAATTATCGAGGTGCGTGCTCCAGATCTCGCCTGTCCTCGGAAGGAGCAAGGCTAACACAAAGGTCCATAGACATACACGGTCGACTTTGACCGACAGGGCAAGCCGAACCAGGGATTTATTGTTGGGCGCCTCGAGTCTGGAGACAGAGCTCGTTTTGTGGCAAATCACGGGGACGACTCAACGCTGGCCAGACTCACGGACATGACACGCGAGCCAATCGGATGCCGTGGCCTGGTCAAGCAGGGCGAGGACGGCAGGAACTTGTTTTTCGTCGACCAAGATGGCAAGCTGTGAGACAGGGCACTCGGAGTGGAAGTGTTTACGATGGGGTTGCGGATCTCATGATCCGAGGTGCCGGAGGTTGAACCACGAACCACGAGGGGAGCAGCGGGCTTGTTGCTGTCAGGCAGTATCTTGACATGAAGAATAAACAAATTCCAGCGACCTGTGACATGGTTGGCTGTCTTGTCCGCCAGGCACCAGCCCTACCAGGGGGTGCAGGTCCCCATGCAGGTCCCCGAGCGGAATCTCGAGCGGCTCCCTAGCTGGCGCCTGTTGGCGCCATTGTTTTACCACTAGAGTCCCTGTGACAACCAGAGGCCTCCGTGACGGCTCCATGCGGCAGGATACTGCCAGGCAGCCATATTCCCCTTCCGTCGGAGGACTCAATATGCGCCACCCGATACAATTGGTATGGACACAGACTTCAAGTTACCCCGATGAGAGCCATTAAATCGAGCTCAATGCCGCCCTGTGGGTTTCAAACAACAGTCCCACCACCTCTCCAAGCATCACCGCTGAACGAGTAATCACATCAAATTGGACCGCGCCATTCCCCAAGTTGACGCTCCTCATACCGGATCCCTTGCCCATCTATTCCCCCTCCCCCTCCTCTGCCTCCTCAGCACAACGCAACGCAAGTACCAGCACACAATGGCATCCCCGAGCAACGACAACCCTGCCGCGACCACTCCGGCACCCGACCCCGCCTCCGCCTCCGCTTCCGCATCCGCCACTGCTGGCACTGCCGCCGCCAAGCCGGCACCGCCCTCGGAAGAGGCGGACCCCACCTTCCGGCACTACACGCCGCAGGACGGCCTGGTCTACGCCCAGCACCGGCAGGACTACCACGCGACGCTGTACGGCTTGGTCCTCGAGCACCACGCGGCCACGGGCGGACAGTTCGGCACGCTGCTCGACGTCGGCTGCGGGCCGGGCATCGCCGCGCGGGCGCTGGCGCCGCGCTTCGAGGCGGCCTGGGGGCTCGACCCTTCCGAGGGCATGATTGGTGCTGCGAGGGAGATTGGCGGCGATACCGGCGGCACGGCAGGAGCAGCGCGACCGATCCGCTTCGAGGTCGCCGACGCCGAGGAGCTCGCCGTCGTGCCGGCCGGGAGCGTCGACCTGATCGTCTCGGCCGCCGCGGCGCACTGGTTCGACATGCCGCGCTTCTGGCGGGCCGCGGGGCGGGTGCTGAAGCCCGGCGGCACCGTGGCCCTCTGGGTCGGCGGCGCGATCCGGCCGGACGCCGACTTCCTCCCCGACCAGGTGGTCGCCGGGGAGATCCAGGCGGCCGTGGACGAGTTCGACGCCGAGGTGGACGCGTTCCTGATGCCCGGGAACCGGCTGTGCGTGGGGCTGTACCGAGACCTGGGCATGCCGTGGGATGACGGCCGCCACCCCCGGACAGACTCCAGTGCCGGTGCCGGTGCCGGTGCCGGTGAGGGTGAGGGTGGTCAAGATGCCGGCGAGGTGTTTGACAAGGAGACGTTCCGCCGGGTGGAGTGGGGCACCCAGACTCCCGGGTCTCTCCCGATGGCCGAGTTCCTGGCCAACGGCGGGCGCGAGGTCCCGCTCGACGCGCTCGAGATGGTGCTCGGCACCGCGAGCTACGTGACGCGCTGGCGCGAGGCCAACGCCCACCTCGCGGGCACCGGCGCGGACGTGGTCAAGAAGTTCCGCGCCAAGGTGCAGGCGGCGCTCGAGAGGGCCGGCCTGCCGGCGGATCGGATCAGAGGTGGGATGCTGGGAGTGCTCTTGCTGGTCAAGAAGAAGGCGACCTTGGAGTGAAGGATATCAAATGGACAATCTAGGTTGTTGGCGGTGAAAGAGCAGGGCCCCTCCCCCCTGTGGGATTTGTAATGTTTAATATTGTAACCTAGTAGCGCATGTGAGAAGCAAGATGAAAGCATGAGGTTTCATGACGGCGACAAAGATGGTGTCGAAGCTCGACCCCGTTTCCTCTGCTTTGTTAATCACGCATAGGCTTGTCATGGTCAAAGAGTGTAATACATTGGAAAACAAATATACTGGTTCAGTCAAATGTGACTAACATCGTTTATTCAACAAGCAAGATCTATCATGTTCTCGGCTCTATTGCGTATGCTTGTTCTTATCGTGATCAGATTGCCTCAGCGCCAGTTGGTTTCACACAACCCCTGTAACGCGGTCTATGTTCTTTATACCATCCCGTAGGTTGTGCTTCCTGTGTGTACAAGTCCTTGTGGTCGCATCTCTTTACAATCCCCTTTTTGTGCAGAATCCATCCAAGACCAGACTGGCCGTGTAATCGTGTACGCCGGTCTTCCTGGCTAAAAGAAAATGTAGACATTGAGCGAGGTTGAGGATATCGCAAAGCTCCGATTTCGGGCTAGGAAGGTGCTTCGACTGCCCTGGCCCACAAGGTCCCGAATAATCGTAATGTCGATGCCACTTGTGTGGAGCATTGATGAGGGTTCGCTGGTAGTGATGCCAACTGGAGGCAGGGTTGGCAGCGACCAAAGCCGAAAGCAAGTCCTTACCGTCCTTGGCGGCTCGTTGTGCAAACAACCGGTGTGGACTGAGAAACTGCAGCAGCAGCAGCAGCCAGGCCGGGATGAGCGCACGAATTTCGTACCACGTTTCGGCGTGCAGCCCGTCGTACAGAGTCGCGTACCGGACGTTGCCATCGTACAGTCTTTACGACTCGAGTCTTTCCGGTACAGCGGGTGGTTCCACAAAGACTTTTCCCTGAGCACGTGCCTACCAGAAACTCCCACGTGAAAGCTCTCCGAGGTGCTGGAACCACGGCTAGGGGTTGTCGTCAAGAATCAGGCCTGGCCGGAAGCCCGTCCTGCTGACGTGAAAAGTCTAAAATGTCGCGCCGCCGAGTGCCGGATCTCGTCAGCACGTGCTCTTGTGTGTCGCGTGTGTGAGCGTTCAAAAAGTCAAGAGCTGAGGCTGGGCTGACGAGTGCGGTCCGCACGGTGGCGTCCGCCACCCAAGATGATGACGACAGCACGTGCACGGAGACCTGCTCTACCAAATGCTGACAGCCGTCGCATTGTCTGGCGGTCGTGTAAGATTGTGGTGATCCAATCCCACCAAGACTTTCAGTGCAAATTTGCCATACTTAGCACGACGTGTCTCGTCTCGAGTGGGTTACCCGACCTGTGCGAGATGGCGAAGAAAAGCCAGTCATCAGACAAGCCCTCACGGCCACTCCATGGTCCACATCGAGGCGGCGCTCGCGACGCTCTCGGGGTGCCATCTCGGCCCGTCAGCAAAGAAGACGGCCTGCCTCGCGATGGTGTGCAGGACTTGCTTGGCCTGCATCAGGCCCACGTGGGCTCCGCCTGGCGCCACGGTGGTGCCAGGAATGCTCGCCCGCGAGTACTGCTGCAGCGGCGTCGGTGTGGGCGTGTTGGACTGGGAGGTGCTGCTGCTGTTGCTGCCGCCGCCGGCCGTGTTGTGGTTCGTGTAGCCGCCGTCGTGGCTGCTCCCGGGCAGGGCCATGGCTCCGCTCCGCAGCGCGGCCTCGAGGTCCGGAAACCCGGGCCCGAGCATGTGCCGGAGTTGTTCCTCGACGGCGAGGGCCGGGATGTAAGCGGCGGGGTCGAGACCGGCAAGCGTCGTGCTGTTGCTCATCAGGGACTCCATGGAACCCAGGGGTCCGGCCCCCACGTGGTGCTGCGGAGTGGGTGGTGTGACGGACGACATGCCGCTCATCCCGTCAAATGCGGTGCTGGCAGAGCTGCTGCTGCTCCCCATGGATCGATCTCGAAGCAGGCCCGGGGCGGATGCTGTTGGTGTTGTTGGCCGTGGTTGGCGAGGTGGTGTTGTGAAGGTGCCTCGCCTGGTCGCACCGAGGCGGCTCGCTGCTTGCGAAAGGCTAGGCGCCGGTACAGGTGATCCTTTACAACTGCCGTGGACTGGGGGTTTGTGGCATCAATATGGAAGAGGTTGTAGACTGTGCCCAGCGTCTCTGGGGAGTGGGCAGGGTATGACGTGTCGAGCGTCCTCAGTACCTGCCACGCGTAGCCCAGCGTGGCCCAGTATACCTGACCTGCGATCGTATAGGCTCTGGGCCCAAGATATGGCATGATGTCCTCGGGCGCCTGGGCCTGGAGTATCGCGGTGGCGTGTTCTTGGCGCGGTGGACTGCTCCGAGAGGGCAGATACGGCTGTATCGACTGGTCAAACGGCATCATGTCAGGACTCTTTCCCCTGGGAGGGATCTCTGCGTAACCCTGCGAGTAGACAGTTGAGAAGCTGGGCGCATGCGCCGGGCGCAGCCCATTGATGGGTGCCGCATTCATGTGAGCCACGGGCGGCGCGAAGAGATCCGCGTGGCTGTTCACGTAGCCCTGGTTGTGTGAAGGGTCGAATCCATACAGACTGTTGCTGCCCAGGCCAGGCTGTGAAGTGTCAATGTGAGGCGACCTCAGCTCGAGCGGCGCAGGCCATGCCGAAGCGCCCTGGCCAAGCGGAGGATACGAGCTGCTGAGAGGCTGGGCAGAAGACGGCCGAGGGCTTTGTGTTGTCACACTGCCGTGCTCAAAGTCGTCGTCGGCCTGTTGCGCCGGTGAGCTTTCATGGGCTGCGCCACTGGGGTTAAGCTCTGCGATCCGGCAGGCTTCCGTAATGGCGTCCTTGAGCTCCCTCTGGCTCCTGTACGCCGCCGTGCTTATGGTTGAGATGGCATCTTTGAGTTTCGCATTCTCGTCCTTGAGAATGCGGATCATGTCAATCTGGCGCTGACGAAACGCTCGTTGGGCAAGCTTGCCGCGTTCTCGACGGACCTGGGAACAGTGGCCACATCATGGCGGTCGTTAGCCTTGGTGCAGACAATACCACGGCCGGTACAATCTGTGTCGATCAATCAAAGCGAGCACGGATACACACCGACGACATTTCAAGATGTAGTCGGGGTACCTTGGGTAGATGTTGGACGAAGACGGGTGGGTAGTAGCCAGGGGTGTGTCAAGATGTGTGCAAAGACGACATACCGAGATCTCATCGGAAGCAGGTTCCGTGGCTCCACTGGTGCTGCCTCGAGTTTCGGACCCGTGTCCGCCGTCAGGCATTGTTGTCCCCCGCCTCCGGCTCGAGGCTGTTGGTGCTGTTGGACGCCTCGACGTCTTGGGGGTGGTTCCGTTGCTGCTGGTAATGATTGTCTTCTCGTCGAAACCGCCCACCGACCCTCCATCGAAGCTGTCTTGGGAGTCACTTGGGGGGGAAATGGGGTAGGCAAGCTTGCTGTGCGCAGAAAGAGAGCTAAAAAGGCTGTCTGAGGCCCGGTGCTGTAGTGCCGGCATGGGGGAATGGGCAGCAAGGGAAAATGGGGTCGGGGCGCTGGTCTGTCGGCTCGCTGGCTGGTAGATAGAGCCGGGAGATCGTCATTCCCCGTGGGCGGCAGACGGTGGATCTTGGCGAAGAGGAAAGCACGACGGCGTGCTGCTTGTCTTGTCTAGTATTTCGGTGCCCTGTGCCACGGGTGCGTTTTTTCTCAGCACGGCGATGGTTCTGGGTCGGGGGATGGCTCTGTGATAAAAGCTGCGGCGTGGTCTGACCTCTTGACCCGACTATCACCAATAGGTATGTCTGGCTGCCGGGAGTCTCGACAGGGGTCCGCTTGTAGAAGAAGCTGTCGTATGCGGAATCCTGGCGCCGGCCCCGCATGGGTAGATCTGGCGTGTGCCTTTATCCGTGTCTCGTTGCCCGAATCGTCGTCCAAGTTACTTCATCATGGGGGCCCACCTGCCGTTCGGTCAATTACCACAAGCCAGAACGAATGCTGGTGTGGCTCGAACCTAATCCCAAGCGTGGTATTGACAACGGCTGGCCGTGCTGCGTTCGCAGGGACTGGCTCATAAACACCCCCCCGAGGCACAAGAGGGATCATGGGAGTGGCAGCGGGCTATTTTCAGGACCTTGTCAAAAGATCGGGGGGTCATGCCGCACACGAGGAGCAGCATAAGGGACCCCAGGACGAGTGGATAGACGCAAGGAGGGGCTTACTCATGTCATGGATGGCCCGTGACAAGGCAGAACGGTCGCCTATGGCCTCCATGTTCCCGAGAAACTGGGACGGCGCTGACGCCATCGCGTAACGGTGCCGGCAAAGGGAGGGTGGGCACGGCTGCGGTGGCCACCCGCTCCTCGCAGTCCGCGAGGGAGACAATACCCCTGATTAGCCACTGACGATGCCAAAGAAAGTTTGGCTGGAATTCGTGGCAGCCTTTGGCCTAATTATTTGGAATATGCCCGGGCTGCTGAGGGTTGCAATCCTGCCCTGCAGCTATGTCAGGGCTCGAGAGTCAGGCAGAGCATATTTCAAGCCACGGCTTCTTCGCGCTGGAGCGGCCGGTCTCAAAGTCGACCCCCGAGTGTGGCTTTAGTGCTGAGCACAAGGGCCTCCTCAATAGCGCTAAGCCTCGTACCGCGCGCCCAATGTGGCAAATGATGCCGAACCGCATACAATCAGGCAGGTCCGGGATTGAACACGAGAAATGTCCGTCATTGAGCACGCGAGAGCATTCCCCGATCTTGATTTGCTGTCGTGGTGGTTTTCCTTCTCTTCAAACTCTACGAATCCGGTTGTCCTCGCCGCGTCAGTACGCGCAAAATTAGCTCATATCAATCCTGAGATGCCTCATGGAGGGGGCGGAAATGAGCTGATTAACGAGCTCCCGTTACAGAATGGCCCTTTTTCCGAACAGAGCATCTCTCGCGGAGGATCGGTGATGTGGTTGCGTTTCGCATTGATTGGCGATCGGGCCCAGTGCTGTCAACCATCACAAGGGGCTCTATAGGAACACCTTCCTGTCAGCCCTAACGGAGCTTTTTACTTCAGCAACTTGCAGATATCCTAGTCACTTCGGCTCGGAGGATTACGTCTGTGGTAACTAAAATCGGCTAACGGCTCTTCGTAATACAGTTGCGACCGAGTGCAGCTCATTCTATATCATTTGTTGGAGCCTGGGCCTTCGAAGGCAGCGTTTGGATTTCCAACAACCAAGACAAGAGTGCGCTTCGAGAAGCAACGAAGGCAAGTAGCGTGCTTTCTCGTACTGGTAGGGGTTTCAGGCGTCGTCTCGGTCCGATACACAAGACACCAGAGAGTCACCCCATGGAAACTTCCGTGCCGCCACCAGTAGCTAGGCAATTTACATTATTGCGTTTTGGGCAATTCCTGGCGGAGTGCTCTTTGTTACCAGCAAGAATGGCATGCACACCAAGGAGGATTCGTCAAAGCTTTTTCGAGACGCTGGCGAGCTTGCATCGAGGCGTTGGCCAGCTGGATATACCCTTATGCAGCATGGGAGCTCCCGCAGACTCCCCTGACATTGTGGTATGTCACTATTGAGAGTCGCCCAGTACTATTGACGCTGGCGCTCCCCACACTAACCTTGAGCAGGTAATGCCCCAGGGGGCCGGCCAATGGTGGCGCCTGCGCAAGGAAGCTTCTCACGAGGTTAGCCCCTGTCACATACAGCCAAGACAACAAATCCTATCTGAACACGCCGGAACGACCGCGAACAGATCCACGTGCGATTTTTTGGCTGGGGATCATGCGGTCATGGTATCTTTGAACTGCGGAGGCGCGGACTCTTAGCTCGCTCTCGACGGAACCACTGCCGTGCAAATCCAGCCTGCTGGAATCATTTGTGGCGCAGACAGCAGTGCCCCTCTCACCTCGACTAGCCGTGTTGATACAAGCCTGCCGTGCCGGTGCCCGAGCTCGGATTACCGGACGAGGTTCCAGGCTCGTTCTTCCCACTTTTCCTCAAGGTTGTGAAGCGCTATGATCTACGCCATCCCTGAGCGCTCTAACCTGGACAAGGGGGATGTCCTCGTAACCACCGTGACCGCTGTGACCACTGCCCAAGAACGAGCGCCCCAGCACAGAATTGCAGGGTAATTGCAGTTCATCCTTTGCGTGAAGCTTAATACCCGCCGGTCCTTTCCCCCACAATGCCCAGGAATCGGCGATTGTTGTGTGGCTCGTTTCTGCTGCCCACACGAGTGGTGTTCGAGAGGGACCCTGTCGCCCTGAATCGTGAGATCTAGATACACCGCTTGCGGACTTGCATTCTACCGCCACCCTATCTATGTGGTACTTGGACATTGCCGTTTGGCATTGGACAGCTTGGCAGGTCACGGAGACATGGCTGTTCCACGCTCCGCCGCGTGGTGTGGCTCCAGCCTTGGCCTGAAAGGCGCACTGCAGCCAGTCACATCATGTCCCAAATACTTGGTTTTCCATGGCCAAAAGGGAATAGGCCATGATTTGGCGCCTTTGGTTTTTGCGCATGCATCGGAGGGCGCATCACCAGGGGAGGCTTGAGGCCGCAGTGATCGCCGAATGCAGCCTAACAAGGGAGAATGCTCACAACCCTGGGACCTTGCTGCATCAGGAGGTCAGGAACGATTGCCGTTGGCAGGTCAGGGAGCCGCTCAGGTTCAAAGCGGGAGTGTGGTGTCGTTAATGCCCGCTAGTGAGCCTTGAGGGTAACAACGAACTGGCAGGCTCTCGGGAATTCCCTTGTGGGCACCTGCGACTGGCAGACCCAGCAGGAAGCCCAGCCGCTGGCCAGGTGATCGACGTCATGGAAGCCACATGGCCAAGCAGTCTGCGAGGCGGGCACGGAGAAGATTCCAACCGCAGATGTCCTTCTGGGGTGGTGTGGAACCAGTTCCGCGGAGCTTCGTCGATGTCGGCCCACGGGCATTCCACAGGCATACGCACGGACCGACACCATGCTGCTATGGAAGAGAAACGACCATAGCCCGTGACCAGCTAGCCGTACATCAAAAACCCTCATATGTGTGCGGACACGTCTCCGGCGGAAATCCTGACCGCGAAGGTTCTCCAGATAGAGACAGCCACGAAGAACGGTACGCACTCTCATGCACACGTGGACGGACGCACCAGCACTGTTGTGGCTCTTTTGCTAGGGAAACGGACCGTTGACCGCACAGAGGGTCTCCATCTGGCAAGCAATCTTTTGCCCAAGGGGGCTGGCACTATTAGCGATGCTAGAGATCCTCGCCTTGCCTCTTTCAGGCGCTTTAGCCCCTTGGGCCGGCACATGTTCGTTTGGGCCAGCCCACTTAGGCGCCGGTCCAGATCGTCCTGGCCAAACCTTGTTCACCTGAATCAGAGACATTCGTGCCCGTGCGGCACTGCTTCCCCTGCGCTTCTCTGCTTTGGACTACCGAGGGCGGCCACATGGCCTGGTGAGGAGCCGGTACGGAGAAGGGAAGTGTCGTCCACGCCAAGAACCGGCGCAAGTTCCCATGCAACTGCCGGGAGGGTGGCTTCCAACGATCTTTGTACCCTTTCCCATAGAGCCAACGGCTGCATACGTGTTGCAATTGCCGACTCGCTCTGGCTTGCGGGTATTGCGGATAAGCGACCAACCAACCAGCTGTGGAGGGTGCTGCCGAGAATCACCTTCGTCACTCACCCCTGGCTCTGGAGAGACTATACTCGTCGCCCTCTGCCGCGCCTTGTCGCCCCCATCCCCTACCCCCTTGAACCGCCTCCATCTGCGTTCCTGCCCGACCGTCTGAAAGAATGGCGCCGTCTAGAAAGCTTCCAGGGCCTTCTGCGCCCGGGCTAGCGGCAGCGCTAAAACACTCTCGGCAGCAATTCCGTGTCGATGCAGGAGCCTTGTTACGCCCTGTAATGATGCCCACTTTCCGGCCCGTTAAGCGCACCCTTCGTTCCATAACTGGCCCACACACTTTGCACTCGACTTCACGCCGATGCACATTCATGGGTCAGGGGTGGGATGGGGAGGAGCATTCTCCAGGCGTTCGTTTTCACATCTTTGCGGGGCAATACAATGGTGGTCTAACGACTATAGCTGTGTTCACTGGCTTTGCACGACGATAGCCCCTGCGCCAGGTGCGTCAAAATGCCAACCCCTAATTGCATGTCTCGTGCCTTGGGGCTTGAGTATTTATCCGACAATTTCACCGGGGCACTTTCTCGTTTGCCTATCGAGGATGCTAGGCAGCGAGTCGAAATCACCCCTCCCCAGCTCCCGGCACCACCCGATGCAAGGAGGCCACTACACGTTGGACGAAAGCTTAATCCAAGCCACTGTTTCTTCCCTGCCTACGTAAGCGGATACCAGTGCATATTGCAGCTCCATGTTGGTTGGACCTCAGATGAGGTGACACTACGTCAGTGCGCGAGAAACCATGCATCTCGGAGGGGGGGCTGGAACGCGTTCTATAGCGCACTTTGCCGCGGAAAAGGTTGTCCTGCCGGCGGCTGCGACGTCGTATGACTTTCTTCAGATTCGCCAATGACGCCACAGGGGTCCATGTGTGAGCTTGCCAGATCCTGGCTCAATATTGCAATCAAGGGAGGCGCAGGGGTTTCGCTGAATTCGGCCGAGCGACCGTTTGATGGTGGTCGAGTAGGGCCCTACTCCCACTCTAATCCACCTGGCTGTACCTTTGCTTGAGCATGGTCACTATCATTGGCTACATTTTTGTATTGTGATAGAAAGCCCGCAGGTGGCAAAAGTGTCGACGCCAAAATCAGACTGGAATGTTTACATGTACAAATTAATTTGACAGTCACTTATGTTACTCTGTTTACACAGTACGTACATCGCCAATCCGTGAGACTCCTGATTGCTGCCTGACTGCCTGTCTGCCTGCCTGCCTGCCTGCCTGCCAGTCGCAAGTGCGTCGTCATCACCTTTGTAGCGGCTCCAAAGACCATTCTTCCGAACGTCTGCCTTGTCACGCAGGCGAATGGTGTATCGCACATGCGGCACCAAGCCCCATTCCTTGCAAACGGTCCCGTCACCAGTTCCCAGGAATGCCACTCACGGAAGGTCGATGATACTCTCGCCGGCCCTGGGCTCTGGAACTGGCTGGAAAGCTGGGATTGAGTCTTGTCGGATACTTGGGCTGCCTCTTCGGGTCGTGGATGAGGTCTCGCTTGGCTCTGTATACACGGGGATTCATGCGCCTTGATGGCTTGATGAGTCATGGGATCATTACTGGCGGTCGTTGGAGCGAGACAGCTTCTGAACGGTGGGTTGACGGACGATGCTGCTCTCAGTAGCTGCAATGCTATGCTTCGAGTGTTCGGCGGTCTTGTTGGTGCTGCAAGTATCCATATCATTGGTGAGGACGGGTTCCTTAAGATACTGATTAGATTAGAGCTCTCGGGCTTTGTCTTCTTAGCAGTCTTTGCACCATCCCTGACGGGATTCGAAGCCTCCATTGCTTTTTCTGCTACTTCCTCGCGGCGCTTACCGTTATACTTCTTGATCCAGGCTGTACGGGTGGCCGCAATCCCTTTATTGGAGCAACGGAGCACATGGGCATACATAGAATCTGCATTCGTGGTTTATTTCTTGTTACTTGTGGGGTATATGTGGTTGTTATGTGGGAGTTGGTAATCCGCCACGACCAAAACCACGAATGGATAGTGGTCTGGCTATGGCGGCTTGATATTTTGCCCGATGACCCCGCTTTGACATTTCAATTCCAATACCTGGTCTTGACTCGTAAAGCCAATAGTTGATTGCTATTGTGTGAATATATTTGCAAATGCTTGGGGTGTGCAAATCTATCCCGCGAATGTGAGATGACGTATCTCTGCGGTCCTCGGTAAGTTTTGTACTCTGAGTTGTGTTGCTTTCTGAACTTTCTGCTCTCTGCGTGATGTTACTATCAACGACGAAGGCGATTTCCGTGAATCGAGGACCATCTCCAACTACTTTCCCTCTGTCTCGAGCACTGGCTCTACCTTTCAAGTGGGCCATATTCTTCTTACAACTAATGGGAAGCTCTATGTAGACACCCTTACAGCACTGTCGAGGATCTTATAGTCGAGTATTATACGATGGAAGACATGAGTGACTATAAGCGTCCTAGGACCAGAGGACCTTTGTGCTTGTCCTCGAAATTGGCTTGAACCTAGGCATCGACTTCGGATTAGGTTTGACTACACCGCTACTGTTCACCACGTGTATCATGTCGACGTTTCGAAGAAATCCGCAACACTAGAGTCCATTGTGTTTAGGATGTACCGGAGATATCACATGCCACGCTTTCCAAACAAAGCCGTGTACCGGATCCAAAGCCATATTCTGTACAAAGATGGGGGTGCTCAATGGATGTAACAGTGTTCATGTCGTTTGTCCAGGTTTCGCACGAATAGATAATTCCACGCCACAATTGGTATATTTCTGCACATTCACGGAGGCAGAAACGGGAATATTAGAGGATTTTGATCAAAATCGACATTGAAAACGATTAGACAAACAACAAGCCCATGTCACTCCCAGACCCTTCCAAGGCCGGTCAAGGTAAGCCAGATTTCCATCATCCCCCCCGGACAACGCTCCCGCATCAGGACAGGGCCCTTATCGCTTCCACTGGCCCGCGTTCTCGACGCCCTTGCTCACGCTCGTCGCGCCGTCCTGCACGCCGTTGCCCAGCGCGCTGATGGCGTCGCCCACGGGCTTGCCCGCGCTGCCCGTCGTGCTAGTGATGGTCTCGCCGACGCCCCGGCCCGCGGCTCCCGTCACGTTGCCGACGGTCCTGCCCACGCCGCCGACCGCGTTGCCCAGCGTGCTCGTGACGAACTTGGCGGCGCCGGTGACGCCCTGGTTCTGAGAGTTGTCGAGAGGCATTTTTGCTTTTGGTTTTTCCCTCGTGTGATGTGTGCACTTGTGCTTTTTGTGGTTGTTCTACAGGGAGTGGTGTTTTGAGTTTCTGCTAGGTGTGCTGGTAGCTTGGTGGGTTAGTCGTTATGCTATGCTAGGCGGGCCAGGCCGGCGCCAGGAGCTCGGGCACAACTCACAACCTCGCCTTTTCAGTTGTGTGACTGTGTGATAGTAAATTTGCTGGGGAATTTGTGACTTCTGTTAGCTGCAATGAGGGTTCTTTATATGCCCGTCCCCCAATGCCATGTAAGCACAGCACACATAGTCCGAGAGCTGTGCTCACCAATAACTCTGGACCTTGTGACGTCATCGGGGTCTCGCCCTGACACCACTCCCATCCTTCGGCGACGTCACTCAGCCACACCCCTCACGCCGAAATCAGGGTCAAGCCATACGCTCTCCAATGGATGAATGGCGGTGCAACCCTCTCCACACAAAGGTTAGAGTGCCTATAGCAGGGCGTGATATAGCTCGCAATCATGTTTCGGCACAGCTTGGCGGGCCGTACATATTGCGATCTGGTTGCCTCACATTTACAGCAGACGTACCGAATGTGTTTCCAAAGGACACGTGAAAACAACTCGAGGCTCCGTGATTGACAGATCGGATTGGGACCTTTTAATCGATTGTATTATCTCAAGGTCCATGAGAGATGTAGCAGTAACACGCCATCCCAACAACATGTGCATAATCCACATGTGTCAGGGCCCTTAGCTCAAGACTCATCACTGCAGCATCTGCTGCAACGCGTTGACCCTGTACGACTCGCTGCGCTCCATCAGGTCCCGGTGGCTGCCCTTATCCAGCACCTTGCCGTCCTCGATCATGAAGATGAGGTCGGCCTTCTGCACGGTGTGCAGGCGATGCGTAATGGCCACCACGGTGATGCCCCTCGCAATCCGCTCCAGTCCGACCTGCAGCGCCTTCTCGCTCTCTGCATCGAGGGCACTGGTGCTCTCATCCAGAAGCAGGAGGCCCGGCTTGCGCACCAGAGCGCGAGCGATCGCCAAGCGCTGACGTTGCCCTCCAGACAGACGCATGCCGTTAGGTCCGCACTCGGTGTCGTAGCCCTGCGGCAGGGCAGCAATGGTGTCGTGGATGTTGGCAGTCTTGCACGCCTCCTCAATCTCTTCGTCAGTAGCATCATGTCCTGGTCGGGCGCCCAGGCCTACATTGAAGCGGATGCTGCCGCTGAACAGCGCGCTGTCCTGAGGGACCACGGCGATGTCGTCTCTGTACGCGGTGTTGCCGTCGCCCCGGCGCGTGGAGATATTGAGTCCGTTGATCTCGATTGATCCGCTTGAAGGAAGATACAGTCGCTGCATCAGGCCCATAACGGTGGACTTGCCAGCACCTGACGGTCCAACGAGCCCAACAAACTGGCCGGCAGACACGTTGAACGACATGCCCTGCAGGATCTTGTGCTGGGGCCTTGAGGGGTAGGCAAAGTGAACGTCGCGGAATGCGATGTTGAGTCCCACGCTCTTGCCGGCGCTGATTGTGTCCTTAGCTGTGGTCTTCATGGCTTCAACGTCTTGGCGTAGTTTCCCGCTCTCGCGCTTCTCCTCGCCATCCTTGCCAATCTGGATGATGTGCGGCAGCTTGATGTCATCCACACCACCCTCGTTACCCATATTGATCAAGCTCATGGCTCTCGTGGCGGCCCCTTGTGCACGGGAGAACTCGGGCGCCAGTGTGAACATGTAACCCCAGAGCTGGGCGCTCACCAGCATCGAGACCTGCACCACGAAGAACTGTGTCTGCGTGTACTCGCCCTTCATGATGAGCTGAGAGCCCCACCAGTACGACAGCGCGTATATGAAGAAGCCCGTGCTGTTCGAAATGCTCAGATAGATGCAAGTATGCAAGCCTTGCTTGATCATGTCGGTTCTGGGGGACTTCAGCGCCCGACGGTAGTCCTCGACCACCTGGTCTTCGAGAGAGAAACTGGCGATTGTCTTGATCTGGTTAACGGCCTCGACAGTGATGCCAATGGCCTTGACGTATGCCGTATGGCTCTTCTCCATATAGCTATGCGTTGCACGAAGCTGCAACGCGCCTGCGAGGAGAAGAATGGGCACCATGGACAGACAAACCAAAGCAATCTTCCAAGCGTAGGCGTGCGCAACGATGATAGCAACCAGGAAGTTGACTAGGACGGACAGGATCGTGGCAATAATGCTGCCACTAAATGCTGCCAGAGCAGCACCGTCTTTGGTAATGTAGCCCAGAAGGACTGCGGGATTGCGCCCCTCGGAATTGTGCCACTCGACAGGTTGCTCGACCAGCTTCTTGAAGTTGAGCACTCGAATCCGGTAGACAAGATCCTCGGACACACGCCCGAAGGCGGTCCAGCTGCCGACGTTCGCGAAGAACTCGACAACAGCAAGCATGAACATCAGCCCTCCATAGAAGAAACCCAACTGAGTGACCTCGGCAGCGGTAGACACACAGGCACTGAGAGAGCTCACAGTGTAGCCGAAGATGAGGCCCATGGCGGTGTAAGTGCAGCCAACGATAAATACAGCTGGCAGGGCAACTGCCAACCACTTGTAGTTAGGTCTGATCAGCTTGTGCATGCCAGCAGAAACGATTCCCTTCGGCAGTTCTTGACCAACGCTAACCGATGCTGTCTTCATCTCTGGCGTTTCCTCCTCGGGCAATGTAGCGACATCCCCTTTCTCCTCCGTGGTCGGACCTGCAAGACTATCCTTCTCGATATCACGGCTCAAGGATCCGATCTCGCTATTGGCCAGGGATGAGGACTCGGAAAATTCGCCGGAATCAATGCCCTGCAGGTTGACAAGGCGCGCAAATGCACCGCCCTGTTCTAGTAGCGCATCATATGTGCCCTCTTCCACCACAGATCCTTCATGGAAGACGACGATCTTGTCTGCATGTTTGATCGTGGACAGGCGGTGTGCGATTGAGATGACGGTGCGGCCAATGGCAACACGGTCGATGGCCGCCTGAATACGCTTCTCAGAAGCTTGGTCGAGGGATGCACTGGCCTCATCGAGGACCAGGATCTTGGGGTCGCGGATGAGTGCTCGGGCCAGGGCGATGCGCTGGCGCTGGCCACCGCTAACGAGCTTGCCTGCAGTTCCCACTTGAGTGCTGTAGCCGTGATCAAGACCGGTAATGAAAGCCAGATCGGCAAGCTCGCTAGCATGCTTGACCAACTCCGCAATCTTGGCGATCAGGCCTCCTCGCCGAGCGGCCTCCTCCATGATATCTTTGCCAGCGTCTGCGACCAATTGCTCAAGATCAGGACTGCCAACAATGTTTCGGAGGTCTTGGTGCTCTGGGTGAGGCGAGTTGACCAGGCCGATGGCTATATTCTCAAAGATCGACCGGTCGAGCAGCGCTGCTTCCTGCTGCACCAAACTCAGGAAGCCTCGCACGTTGCGGACGTTGAGAGCGGTGATGTCAGACCCATCCATGAGGATCGTACCACTGCTTGGGTTGTACAGTCGATCTAGCAGGGCAGCCACCGTCGACTTGCCACTTCCTGACTGACCGACTATAGCAGTGTGCTTGCCGGCTTCCAGAATCAGACTGACATTCTTCAGTGCTGGCTGGTCAGGTCTCGAAGGGTAAGCAAAGCCGACATTACGGAATTCGACAGTGCCTGGAGTCTCCCAGCTGAGCTTGTTGCCGTCTTCTGTCACTCCATCAATGGCCGATACGTGCTGCATGTCCTCGCAGAGCCGATCATATGCTGCGGATGCAGCGCCGAAAATCGGGAAAAGGGGTGCGAGACCACCCATGATGATGCAAGCTGATGTCTATTGTTAGTCCAAACGCGGGAATATGAAGGACATGATGAGAACACTACGCACCATCAACCATGAGGAACACGACCGTGTACACTTGACCAACCGTCGCATCGCCATTGCCATTGATGGCATCTGCAACGATCCGACTGCCCTGCCAGTAGGCCAAGGCGTTGGAGCTGTAGGCAATAAAGTAGAGCAAACCAGCTTGCCCGCCAGCCACGATAGCCTTGTTGATGCCAAACTTGCGAGCGAGGGCAATCTGCTTCGCAAACTTTTGTTCGAGTCGAGGTCCGGCGCCAAAGGATTGGACAATGGGGATATTGTTCAAGGCCTCGGAGGCGATCGAGCTTGCCACTCCAAACGCGGCAGTGCTCTTGGCATTATACTTTTTGAAAAAGTAGCTGCCAGCCAATGTAAGCGCGAGGAACGCCGGCAGCAAAGAGATGAGGATGCCGGCAAGGACCGCGTGCTTGATGAAGGCGACAATGTAGGCTGTGGTGAAGAAGCTTACTTGGCCCAACAGTCTTCCGACCTTCTCGTTCGTCCCCGAGTCTATTGCGGCAAAGTCGTCGTTAAGGCGGGCGCTGACCTGACCAGCATGCTTGTCGTCGAAGAAACTGGGCTCTTGCCGCAGCAAGGCGCGGAAGTAGCGGTCGCGCAATCGCTGTGTCAGACGCTGAGCCTGTATGTTCCAACACACCGAGTAGACGTAGATGAGGACGAATTGAGCGGCAGCTATGTAGCAGATCTTGATGACGGTCTGGTTGATGACATCTTCGTACTCGTAGGGGTTTGCGTTGCCTGTCTCGGCAATGCACGTGGCACCGTTGAGGTTGTCGACAAGCTGGCCGAAGAGAATCACTAGGAGCGGGAAAGGAACACCAGCTGCTATTGCTGCGAGCGTACCGACGACAATGATGGTGATGTCGAACCAGCCAGGGTGGGTGAGGAGGATAAGCCTGAAGAAGCTAAGGAAGGGGCGCTTCTTGCTGTCTTTGGCGCTATTGGCGACCAGCGGGACAGGATTGCTCGCAGCCATGACGACAGCAGGCAAGGACGGTGTCGACTTGCTTGTGCTGCTGGGTTTTGTCGTCAGTGATCAAGAGACTGAGGGGAGGTGATTGTGGCCTCATTGCCCGCTGCGAGCATGGAAGAGGAGAGAGGGAGGAAGAACAGGAGGCAGCATGGTGCCAACAATGTAACGGCGTCTCTGCAGGATCGGCGTCGGCACTTGCCAGGCGGCCGGCGACGAAATGACCCGATGTCGGGTGCTGATCCCTGAAGATCTGATAAAAGTTTTGCTGCCAGGAGGATCAGATAACTCATTATAGTGGGGCCCCGCAATTGCCCAATACAGTTCAGCTTGCACGGTGCCCGCGAGGTTGTTTTGCCTCTTGGAAGAGTGAGATCTGCATTCACGGATATTGGATGTAGCGCTTCAAAAACAGACCTTTTGAGTTTGCTGGACTTGAGATGCTGAGGGAGGTTCCCGTCAGGTGTCTGTGAAAGGCACGGAGGCATAAAGCGCACAGAGAACACCTGGCGGATACGCTATAGGTATCGCGACAAAGGGACCGCAAAGTCCTCGGCCGGACATGGTGCCTCTTTTCTCTGCAGTGCGCGTGGCTGATTTCTTCAGTTGTGCCATGACTGCCACAACCTTCTAGCAGATTGATTCTTTGGAGCTGTCCGGACGCACTCCTGTTGGATGGCCAGGGATCCCCACTTCACAAAGGCCAGCGACAGAATGGCACTAGAGCCTGAATGAGAGATGCATTTGCCAATGTCCGCGGATCCTGGGCCTGTCTATAGCCGAAGCAAACTCTGAAATTGAAAATGCAGTTCGCACGTCCGGAACGTGGAACTCGAAAGTGTCTCCAAATAGTTATGTGAAAGCCACAATTACATGCGAAGCCATCCTATGGACAGAATGGACGCCAAGAAGCGAAGCAAACCTCCAAGAAGGCCTCAACAAGTTCGGCACCTGGAAGACGAGAACAGGAGGCATGTGGTCTTTATGCGCGCTCGGAGATTTTCCGTATCGGCGAGGAAAGCGAACCTCCCGGCACCCGTCCGAGCTGGCTTGCGAGGCGCATACGCAATGCATGCAGGGTCCCCGACGCTGCCCCTCTTCTGCAGCTTAGGTGCCCGAGACGGGCCACCGCCGACATGCTATCGCGTGACTCATCCGACGCAATCAGGCACTACTAGCTGACGGAATGGGTTCAAGGCAGTCAAACGATTGCGAGACGTTGTCGACCTGCCATAAGCAGTAACGCTGTGTTTCCTAAGTAGATCCTCCCCAATGACTCAATCATCCCAATCAATTTGCAAACTTCCCCAGAGCGGTCAATTCTTTCCGTCCTGCAATTAACCAGAGAAACATCTCCCTGGTATAGTCGCGGTCAATAGCCGCTTTGAGAAGACGACGTTATAGCACTTGTCCTCAGATACATGCACGATGGCAGCAAACGCAAAACAACCCGCCGTCATCACCACGGTATCGGGCTTCGACCCTACGCCCCCGGCCCTACAGCCAGCAAGCACCACCACCACCACCACTGCTCCCCTTCCTGTAACTCCTCCACAGCGCAAGGTCAAAGTCAGGACAACGCTCCCCTTCTCGCCGCTGCCACCCCTGGCCACCCGGCAGCCCCTTGAGACCGAGCGCCTCAGGCTGGTCCCCATCACGCAGGACCTGCTGCCCGACTACCACTGGATCCGCACGCAGCCCGAGTACATGGTCAACTCGCGCCAGGGCCGGCCGGACCGGGACCTGGCCGAGACGCAGAAGTGGATGGACCGGTTCGTCCCGCCGGGCGACCAGCACACGTACACCTTTGCCATCAAGATGAAGAAGGAGCCTTCTGCGGCGGCGGCGGCGGCCGAGGGTGAGGAGGCGGCCTTTGAGAGCAGAGCGATTGGCATGATGGGGATCGTCCGCATGAACCGCGGGACCGGGTGGCCGGAGATCGGCTACGGGATCAACAACACGCATCATGGCAGGGGGTACGCGACGGAGCTCCTGCGCGAGGTGCTCAAGTTCTGGTGGTCCCTCCCGAGAGAGGAGGTCGTCGTCGAGATGGATGCCAAGTACGTGTTTGGGACGGCGGAGGATGGTGATGGTGGGCATGCAGCAGACAAGGCAGACGGTATTGTCGTGGACATGCCGGAGCGGGTCATGGCGATTGCCGACGTCACCAACCTGCCGAGCCTTAGGGTGATGGAGAAGGTCGGCTTCACACAGTTTGCGAGTTTCGTCTTTGAGGATGATGATCCGCCGTTGCCGGTGGTTGCGTCTTGGCTTCTCCGGCCGGCCTGAGCTCTACGTCTAGCGGTCTGCGTCCCTTGCCCAGGGGGGAGGGGGATAACAGCATCCCGAGAGACTATTTCCAAGCAAGACATCGAGGCGCACATAATCAGCCAAGCAAGCTCACCGCTCTCGCTTGTCACGTCAGAAGTATAGACAAAAAGAGTACTCTGAGTGGCACGAGGAGATGTAGCTGGGGAGTTTCAAGGTTTCTGCATACGTTTCGATGTCTAACAGAAGTGCTATCAGCTGGAAACACCCTTTGGGACCAATATACTGCCAGTAGTCCAATCACAAGTTCCTAGGTCTCGACCCACGAAACCGATCTGGGACATGTGATACTCTATGTGAACCTGCCTTTTATCTGTTATGCCAGCGATCTGAGATCATCCTGCCGACTGTGGTCATCAATACCAGGAGACCCCAGTAGTCCAGGTCCTAACCTTGAAGAAATGATCACATACTTCCAAGGTTACTTTGCAAGTACCTAAGTAGCCATGAATTGGCACAGTGCTGATAGTTGATGAAGCCAAGTGGGGACGCTTAGACACGGACGAACTAACCGGCAGCCTCGGCATCCGGAGCTGTCTGTCACAATTCCGGACACTCCACAGTGTGGCTCGTGGCGGTACGTGGACAGTCTCCAGCATCGCGGCGCATAACTTGAGGTGTTTCGAGTACTTGTCGGCGCATAGAACCCAAAAGCCCCGAACCTTGGAAAATATCTCCATGCGAGCCGTCAACGGCGACCATGCGGCGGTACAAGAAAATCGTGGCCGGCTCACAGTGGTCTTGCTTGTGGCTGTCAGCCTCCTGGCCGTGGCCGTGCTGCAGACCTAAGCGCAGCGCGTACCCGAGGCCCGGCCCCTGGATTTGACAGGCCAGGCTTGTAGGGTCCACAAAAAGGGTCCCCAGCTCAACACCAAGCAGAGGATCAATTGTACGCAGCAAAAACCATCATGGACGCTAGCATAAAAGAACAAACAATCCCCACAGAACAGCCAGTTGCCAGTGTACCAAAACACCACACTGACTTGGCTTCATCCCACTTGCCCCTTACTCACAGCCCAACTTTCTCACCATTGCCTCTCCCGGGACTTTCTGGAAGGCGCCGCCTCCACAAGGACTGGGCCACTTTTGCTCTCTGCCTCCCGAGGGTAATTTGGCACGTGCATGAAGCCGAGCATTACATAAGCACAACCACGTTGCTGTCCAGCCCACGCTGAGTCATCATCAGCATCTCAATCGCCCTTCACCACGTCGGTGCACATCTACAGCGCGTGCCGGCGACGAGCATGGCCTTGATGATGGCTAGGCCAGGGCCAGCTGCCTCCATGGTCCGCTCAAGCTTCGCTGTCTGTCTTCGCGCCTATCCTTCCTCACCAACGTGGTCAAGGTCAATCACCCCGGTCCTGCCCCAAGGACAACATGTACGCTCCTCACAACATCATCATATATATGCGCAACAACAAAGATGGAGCTCTCATTCTCCCCTGGGCGCCTCCACATCCGCCGCTTCGTCCCGCAAGAAGGTGACCACGGGCACAATTCGCTCGCTCTACAAGAAAGGCGAGCCAATCACCGTCATGACGGCGCACGACTTCCCCAGTGCGCACGTTGCTGATGCTGCAGGCATGGACATGATCTTGGTCGGAGACAGCCTGGCCATGGTTGCCTTGGGTATGGAGGATACGAGCGAGGTCATGGTCGATGAGATGTTGCTACACTGCAAGTCGGTAGCACGGGCGACCAAGGCTGCTTTCACCGTGAGTGGTTCATCTGCCTCGTAATCCCTGCCCCGACAACAGCCAGGCCCTGGACAACCAACTGACGAGACTTGTCCAGGTTGGTGATCTACCAATGGGCTCTTATGAGATTTCGCCAGAGCAGGCCCTGGCGACTGCCATTCGCTTCGTCAAGGAAGGTCGTGTACAGGGCATCAAGCTCGAGGGAGGCAAGGAGATGGCCCCGACGATCAAGAAGATCACGCAGGCCGGAATTCCTGTTCTTGCGCACATAGGGCTCACCCCGCAGCGGCAGAATGCGCTCGGTGGCTTCCGTGTGCAAGGAAAGACGTCGAGCGGCGCAATGAAGGTTCTCGAGGATGCCCTCGCCGTGCAAGAGGCTGGCTGCTTCGCCATGGTCGTTGAGGCTGTGCCAGCAGAGATAGCGACCGTCATCACCAACAAGCTGTCGGTGCCCACTATTGGCATTGGTGCCGGCAACGGGTGCTCCGGACAGGTTCTTGTGCAGGTCGACATGCTGGGCAACTTTCCGCCTGGAAGGTTCCTGCCGAAGTTCGTCAAGAAGTATGGAGACGTCTGGGGCGAAAGTCTGCGTGCCATCGAGGCATACCGGGACGAGGTCAAGGATCGATCGTACCCGGCGTCCGAGCATACTTACCCCATTGCGAAAGAGGAGGTTGAAGCATTTGCCAAGGCAGTCGAGAATATCTGAGCGCGACATGGCTTTCATTTCCTAGGCGTCGGCGAGTGAGCCGAGCTCTTGAGGGTGCTAGCGAAAAGCATTCGAGGCCAAGCTAGAGTCGTGGGAGTCCAGGGGACAAGCAGCGTTGTCCCTGGGTAGAGAGGACAGTTGTGAACAAACTGGCATGATCAACCGAAAGCAGGCGTTATTGAATAGACCACGATCAACTGTCCGTTGGAATCTTTGAAACACTGTGGAACACATCAGCGCGTTGTTTGGACTTTTTGTTGAGCCAAAGCATCCATCAAGCATTTAACACGGGCGAGCCCCCGTGCCTAATCACGCCCGGCTCGAAGCTTACCCTGTGAAGATTCCCCACGATCTCGTCAAGAGCTGGCGCAAAGGCGCTGTTCACATACAGGAACAGCCCCTCTGTGGGCGCCAGACGGAGTGCTTTGCGGAGGTGCACTACGACGGCCTCGAACTTCTGGTTGGCGCTGATCTTGCGGACACTGTTGCGAGCGAGCTGCGGGGCACCGCCGACTGGCTTGAAGCGCACGACGACTTTGTCTTGGTCAAAACCACCGGCCGTGGCGAGTGCGGCGCTGGCGTCTTGAGGCAGTGCGGTGAGAACCACCGACGCCGCCATGGTCAAGGGGATTTCCGGCGAGGCTGGGCGGCCATCACCGTTGTCGTCGTCGTCAGCATCGATGGGGGTTGAGGGCGATGTTCCGCGCTCGGGGACGTCTGGGTACTCCATGTCGAGGTGTCGGAGCAGGCTGGTGAGACGAGTCGCGTTGGGTGGGAGCTGGCTCTCTCTTTGAGCCTGGTCCCAGAGCAGAACTACGTCGAGGCGATGACACGTTGTCAAGCTGGCCTTGAGGTGCTCATCTGTGGCAGTTGTGGCAGGCTCCGACATGTGGATCGTCGTCACTGCTGCGCTACGCTGTTGGTGGGGCATGCCAGCACAGTCTGTAGGGCCGTGTGCAGACGGTCAGTGCTCATCACGCACCGCGGGAAACGGCATGAGGAATCTTTAATTGTCGCACCCATTCATGCCAAAGATCAACAGTTACTCAAAGCGTATGTAGGCACAACTTTTGATCTGCGAATTCGTGCTCGTGCTTTCCGTCTTGCATGGTGGCACGCAAGATCCGGCGAGCAGAGACAAGCTCTGCTTGCCTCAGGGGGTGCACTCGGGCAATGGGCCCGGTCCAGTGGCTCCCAGGTGTCTCAGTGCCACAAGCTCATCCATGGATGGTTCTAAAGCTTCTGTACCTGGGACCGTCAGCATGCTAATTGACCACCGGCCCAGCAGTGAAACAAGCCAAGCCTGCACAGGTCAGCGTCGGCGATGTTAGCGCGTTCAGCTCTCAGCTGGTCCAGATGCCAGCCAATGTTTGGTGTTTAACGCCCGTTGGAAACCTTATGTAGAAAGCTGTGCATGCGACTGAAGGCTCAGGAGATGGGCCAGAGACTTTCACTTTGTTCTCGCCATCGCGATGCCGCGGGCCCGGTCGCACGATATCTGCGCTGAGCCCATCAGACCTCGGTACCAAAAATATGAAGGAAAAACCCCAGGATCTGAGCCGGCAGCGGCCCTTTTGTTCGAGGTAGTGATGATCGTCACACTGGCCTGCCACTTCAAGGCAAACAAGCAAGGTATTTCGATGAGCGGCAGCATAGCATGGGGCGTCCTTGTATTGGAGCCTTGGTTACGGGCTCAGACAGGCCACGAGATACCCACTGCGTAGCCGGCTCCGGCATCTTACGTGCCGACATACAGGGGAGCCGCCCTGCTGCTGGCGGGTCCGTGGGTCTGCTCTGCCAGCTCGCCGGCCTCTAAAGTCGCCCGTTGCACTTGGCCAAGCGTCAGGCAAGGACGCACACATGGTATGCAACTCTAACGCAGTTAACTCTAAATCCTTGCACGTTGCGGCCAACGTGCCGTCTGATGGCCCAGACGACGACCAACACGCAAGCCTTGGCCCGACGACTGCAGTGACAGCGGCCTTGGGGCAGACAGCCTCGCAAGCACCCAATCATGATGGGCAGCCTGAACGCTGGCGCTGACGGACCTGGGGCGGCGCCACAAGCATGGGAAGGCCCATGCGGCTCCCCAGGCTGCGGCACGACTCGCGTGTCACCATGCATGCTTCCGCCCGTGTTCCTGTCCAATGCCCTGCCAGGAGATCCCGGCCAGCTGCGAGGATTTGTGAACACCGTCAGCCCGGTGTGGGCCAACCTTGGATGGCGACCCTGGGCCAGACAGGCCACACATGCGATCGATGCTCGGCAGATGACCAGTCGGGCACCGTCAACGAGATTACCGATGGTGGCTGGCCCTCCCATCCTCCATCCACCAGCAGCTTGCTACGCGCGGCGTGTAGATCTCAACCCCCAGCCAAGGCCGCCCCTTTCTCTCCGTGATGGGCCCTCTGCCCTGCCAGGCTCCATGTGCAAGCAAGCAGACAAGGAAGGAGCCGGCAAGGCTAAGTACTCGGCAGTTGACATGACGAAATTATTCTCCTTGGCTCCGCACGGAGGAGCATGGTGCGGCGGGTACGTAGCCCCTCGATGCTGCGTCCCCTCCGGTGCCCATGCGTCTGGCTGACCATATGAGGCATGCCCATGTCCTTTGGTTTGTCTGTTGTTTCACGCCGCGTAATGACGAGTTCCTGACCATTCTTCACTACTTCCTGTCGTCGTACGGCAGTCCGCCGCCGCCAATCCGGCACAGATTCCGAGCAACGACATGTGAGCCAGTCGTGGCAACATCCTCACCCATACTTCACCAGCCATGATAGCAGCGCCGGCAAGAAGCCGGCCCCTGGTCATCGTCATCGTTACGACGATTGCAGTCCTCCTTCTCTACGCCCTCCTCACCGAGACGCAATACGTCACGTCGGCACCAAAGCTCTCGTCGACGCTCGGCGACTTCCACCAGGGCTACGCGCCAGATCCCAATGCCTGGCTCGGCAGCACGACCGAGCCCAACACGAGATTTACATACAAGACAAGGAGCGGCTGGACCTTTGTCCCAGAGCGCGACGAGAGAAACCTGGGCCTGAGCGAGGAACAATGCAAGGCTGCATTTCCTCTGCAGTACTACGAGATAGACCGTGCCCGCGAGTGGCACGCGGCCCGAGGTGGCATCAATGAGAGCCAGATCGCTCTGTGGAGGACAGAGCCTGACAAGGCCCATGGACAGCTTCGCCTGCTCATTTACGATGGCGATCTGTATGTTGTCGGCGAGAAACAGGGCGTCGTCGACCGCACGCGATACCTGGACGGTGCCGCCATGATCTACCGTGCCATCACCGCCATTCCTGACCCGCGCGTCCTTCCCAACATTGAGTTCACGCTCGACCGCATGGACCATCCCAACCCGGAGCCCGTGCGGCCAGGCCGTATCGCCTGGGGCTGGACACGACACAGGTCCGACAACGACACATGGGTCATGCCCGATTTCAACGGCTGGGCCTCGTCGTCATGGGACACTGTGGGTGGATATCGCACCTTCCGGGAGAAGACGAAGAAGTTCCTCACGCCATTTTCGGAGAAGACACAAAAGGCCCTGTGGAGAGGCCAGATCAACGTGGGACAGAAGGTCAGCGTGGTGCGCAGCAAGCTCCTCGAGGCGGCCAAGAACAAGACCTGGAGCGACGTCGACCAGATCCGCTGGGAAAACGGCAACAAGGGCGTGGTGGCCATGGAGGAGCACTGCTCGTGGCAGTACCTCATCCATACCGAAGGAAACTCGTGGAGTGGCCGGCTGCGCAACCTTGTCAACTGCAACTCGGCCATCATCATCCACACGCCACTCGAGTACACGGCCCATTTCTACTCGGTCCTCAAGTCTGCTGGGCCAAGTCAGGTATGTCACCTCTCTCACACACATCTCGAGCTGCAAAGCACAATAAACACTGACATGGAAACGACAAACGACAGAATTACATTGCCGCCAAGAGCGACTGGTCAGACCTCGACGAGCTCATGACCTACTACCTCGCGTACCCCGCCGAGGCGGCCAAGATTGCCGACGAGACGAAACGCACCCTGCGCGACCGCTACATGACGCCGGCGGCCGAGGCGTGCTACATCCGGCAGATGATCCACGAGTGGGCCAAGGTCCAGAACTACGAGCCAGAGTTGTACAAGCTGACGGAGGACGGCAAGGAGCGGATGCGCGGCAAGAGCTGGGAGCGCTTCGCGTTCCTGTCGCCGCCTCGTTTCGACATACCGCCGCCGCCGAACGACTACTTCTTCAAGTCGGACAAGGTAGACTTTGAAGATTGATAGAGCACTTCCCGATCTTTTTTGTGATCGTTTAATAGAGAAATCGAAAACCGAATCTTGATGCAAGCCGTTCAGAATGCGTCATGCTGTGAAAGTGCACACCGCCCTATCATGATGGCCTGAAACACCTCGTGGGGGACGAACATGCCAGCACGCGCTGCACTTCGCATCATACATGATGAGCACATGGACGACCATCGTGGTGGCTGTGGTGCTGTGATTTGACATACCTTTGTTTGCCTTGTGTGTCTTGTTTGTGCGGCGGACTGGCCACTGTCACACGAGCACGGACAAATTCCACCTGCTTTCGCTACCTGGTTGTGTTCCCGTTGCCGGTCGTTGGATCCGCCGGTCTGCTGACCTCGGGAGCTGTGAAGATTCAAATGTACCAAGATCTCGCCAATGTGACTTGTGCAAGGCCTGAGCGCGTGAAGTGTTTCTTTTTTTTTGGTCTATTCCGCTGCATGCTACAATATTATCTCGCTGATTATATGCTATAGATTGGCAACATGAGATGAGATGCTCATAGCATTACTCATCGGCGCATCTTTTCTCACTCAACCGCAAGTTCCCGCAGCCTCGCATCCAGCCTGGCAAAGAACTTCTCGGCAAACTGCTTCTCCACGACGCCATCTTGCCATGTGCAGGCCAGGAACAAGCCCTGACCTTTCACCGCGACGGGGCTGACCATGAACACGCCCCCCGTGACCATGGCGCCCACCGTGAACCACGACTTGTCGATGGTCCAATTGTTGCCGCTGGTACCGTCGCCGCCGTTAATCACGCCAATGTTGCTCAAAGCCCACGCGAAATGCCGCGGCTTCTTGGCGCTGGCGCTGTGCTGGGCTCGCCAGTCGCCCACCAGAGCCATCAGGCCAGCCTGGTCGTTCTTGACGCCGAGGTCCATCCGGGCTTGCAGATCACGCTTGATTTGTGCTGCGGCTCTCCACACTACAGCTTTGGTGGCATCGGTAAGCTGGACACCTGAAGGATCATCTGAGGCGTCGGTCTTGCGGATCTCAGCAACTATGTCAGGGCCAAACTTGTGGTCCAGGGATGTAACATAGTTGGCCATGGTTCGGCTAGGTTCAAAGCCTGGATAACCCGGGGGACTGGGCTTGAGGAAGCGCCGGAAGTTCAGAGCGGTGCCTGCCTCGAAATAATCTGGTGGTGGCACAGTGCCTGTTGTTGCTGTGCCGGCAGGAAACAGAGGGGCCATGGACGACAGGCACAGAGCATGAAGTAAGGCAGTGAGCGTGACACCGCCGCCTGCCTGTTTGCGGCAGAGCGCAAGGACTCTGCTGAGGGCGGGCCCGTCAAGTGGGTGCGAGCGCAGCGTGTGCGTCTTGTACGGCTCCTCCACGCAGGGCGCCCACAACGTGCCATGAGAATTTGTCGAGACTGCAGGGTCAGCAGCAGTCTTCTTGGCAGGCTTGAGCTCCTTCCAAGCCGTCTTGACTGTGAAGCCGGGCGTGACTGGCAGCTTTGTGACGTCATGTAGATTGGGAGTGAAGTTCTTCTTGTTGAGCGGGTAGGCGGCCAAGTCGAGCACATGGCCCTCTAGAGGAAGCTGGATGTCATCCTTCGCGGCTGACGCGACCTTGTTGAGGTTGCCGAGGAGTGTCTCGTGGAAGATTTTGCCACCCATGCCGTCAAAGTTGGCGTGGTTCCAAGAGAAGACAACCTCGACAAAGGGCTCGAGGCCGCTGGCGGGTGCCGCGGTGCCGTCTACAGCGGAAAGATTTCCGGGGCTCGAAATGCGACGGCGCAACAGCGTCATTCGCCAACCGGGCTTGGTGGCAAGCTCTGTGAACTGGGTGTCATGGTGGTGGTCGATGAGCGCCTGCAGCTTGGTCTCGTAGTCTTGCTCAGAGGTGCAATCGAGCGTCTGCCAGTCCATGTGGGCAGCAAGGTCTACCGAGGGGATGCGGGCCCAGATGGGCTTCTTTGAGGTGTCATCGATGATGCCGACGCGGAGCACTGGGTGGTCTAGGACGGTGCGGGCGACGGCATGCTCAAAGACGGTCCTGAGCTGCTGCTCGGAGAGACCTGGGGAGCTCGGGACGGCATAGCGGCAGGCGATGACGACGGCGATGAGATGGCGGAGGGTGTGCCAGGCCGAGTGGTAGACGTCGCTGTGAGGCGGGTTGTTAGCCGGAGTGGTGGTGTCCCATGCAATGGGTGCTGGCTTACAGGTGTCCCAGCTTGCGGATGACTGCTGGGCGGCCAGTGGCTGTGGCGGCGGCGGCCATGCTGGTGGTGGCCCTGGGGGGGGGGGGGGGGGGGGGGCAAGCGATCAGCTTCCGTGCGTGCGGTGCTGCTGCCACGTGGAGTGGAGACGAGCCGAGACAACGAACGGCCTGTGGTGTGGAGACGCTGGCAAGATACGTAACTTTGGAAGAATATCGGATGAGCGTGTCGTCGCGGCAGTCAAACTCTAACGCTCTTGAATAATATTGATCTCATCCTGGATTCAGACGACAGATTGACGCTGCTTTATGTTGCCCTCCGGCCCCCGGTCAGCACCACGGGCGGCGCAAAGGAGACCGCGGAGGCCGTTGCGTACGTACCCTAGCGAGCGTACCTTTGTGGACTTTTGTCGTTCCAGGATCCTCGGGCTCCATCTTGGCCCGTCGGGCCAGCATCAGGCTGGTTCGTTCCACGATCCTACCAAGAGGAGCACCCGAGCTGTCTGTCATGTCATCCCCGCACAGACCGGCACACTGCCACAATTAACAACTCGTGCATTCAGGGTGAGCCTTACGAGCACCCATGCCTCTCCCTGGCACAACCACTCTACAAAACACACCATGTACTCGTACTCTCGGCACCCGTCTCGGGACCGGGCCTCTGTGGGCAAGCCCTCGCCTAGGTGTCAATTTCTCGATCTTGCCACTACATAGTACCTACAGCCTGCAGCTGCCGTACGGCACCTCCCGCGTCAGATCTTCTCGCCATTGAAGATCTTCTGGTCGCCGTGCGCCTTGTTGAGCGCCGCAGTGCCAAGCACATAGTCATCGCAGTTGGCAAAGATCTTCTTTGTCCACTCCGTCGTCGTCAGCCGCTGCAGCTCGGGCACGTCCACCTCGCCCGTCTCAAACTCGTGCAGCGCAAACCACTCGGGCAGCCGCGCCGGCCCTGGCGCTGTGTCGTTGCTGCCCGCCAGGCCCTTGAAGGCCCGAGACGTCTCGCTGTTGCGGCCCCAGACGAGCTTGTAACGAGTCGACCGCAGGTAACCTGGGGCCGCGGCCAGCTGGGGCAGGTGCTGCAAGGTCCTGGTCAGCGGCCTATCTGTCTCATGCATATGTATCGTGCACACAACCAACTCACCTCGTCGCGGTACCAGTTGTTCAGATCTTCGCTCGGGTACCCTTCCTTGAGGGCAAAGTGCACAAGGAAGACGCTCCTCGTGTGCCCAGGCCCCTTGTTGGTCGGGTCAAACACCTGCACGAGGCTGTAGTACCGCACGTCAAAGTCGACCAGGTCATAGACGAGCTTCGACCCGGGCAGCATCTCGCTGGTGACGGCAATCTTGGCGAACTCGGGGGTCAGCAAGAAGCCAAGGTCCTGCAGCGGGTACACGTGTAGGTACGGCCTGGCCCGGTCCTCCTTGGGTTTCGCGCGGGCGGCCTCGTCGATGAAGCGGATCGCCGACGTGATGCCGCTCGTGGCCAGGATCTCGGGGATGTGGTCCTCGTCGTACCACTTCAGCAGAGTCGGTTCGTCGAGCAAGTCGCTGGTGATGCGCGAGTGCACGTACAATAGGCCCTTGCCAGACATATCTGTGGGAGGTGTGGCCATCTTGAGCTGTAGTGACTGTCCTGCAGCAAGAGAGGAGTTGACCTGGTGAAGTTACAAGGTGAACGAAGCAAAAGGATGCCTTGATTCCGTGTAGGTAAGCTCGTCTTATGTGTGTTTGTGTGGTCTACCAACACTGCAAACAGGTTGGGATATGCAAAGTATGTTGTCAGACCCGTGAGCTTAAGAGAGCCTTGGAGGACCGCGGCCGGGTACATTTGGCCATGCCTGATATGCTCCATGCATTGAGTTCATCATGAAACGTGGGCAGCGGATGTCTTTAGCCTTAACGCCGATCTCGCCAGTCCACCCCGTAGTGCGAATGCTGGATGCGGGGGCGGCCCAAGGTTGGAGTCCCGCCCGCAAGCTGGGCATGACGATGCATTTGAGTTTGGTCCCGCCATTCATGGAGAACAACGAGATCAGCTTGCGCTGTGCTGTGCTTTGCCGTGCTGAGCCCAATGAGTGGTCCGTTTGGAATTTCTCGAAAGCAGGGCTGTCGGATCGCGTATCTGCATGGTCCTTCGGCGTTAAGCCCTCCCTGCGAGCTTCCCTGTGCAAGGCTCTTGGAGCCTATCACCGACATATGATTATGCTGGGCAGATACGTTTGTGGCAAAGACTCACATGCTGAAGGAACCACCAGGCTTGACCGGGTTAGTCACTCGTTACGAGGATAAACTTTTTACACCCATCAACCAATCATCGAGCTGTTATTGTTGAAAAGCGCATAATGCACAGCTTGGTGGTAAGCAGATCTAGCTCACCCTGAAATGCCGTTGCCACGACAAGACATTATCAAGGCAGCCTCGCAAAAAGAATATCAGCGTTCTACAAGCCTTGTCCGTGATATCCTGGGCATTCCCACAGCAGGCTACCCAAATCATTTGACCGATCCAGACAAGCCCTCGCTCGAGGGTCGCCAAAGGACAATGAGGACCAAAATGCACCTGTGTCTTCTCAGCCAGGCCCGCAACTCAAGCAATCCTCTTCCCAATCCCGGGACCTTTCTTCCCCGTCACTGCGGTCTGGAGCCAAGCATCGATGCGGTCCCTGGTAGCCTCCGTGGTCACTTCTGCGCGCCGTGCCTCGAGCTGGCGGGCCTCCTCTGCTTCTTCGGCAATGATCTTTGCCTGGCTGTCCGCTTCACCATCGGCATCGGCAAGACCTTCTTCTTCGTTTTCTTCTCCTCCTGCTCCGTGGATCGCTGGTTCTGGCTCCGACGGGGCTTCATTGCCGGGCTGATGGGTGTTCTCGTCGGGCTTATTGTTCTTGTCGTTGTCGTCGCTGCTTCGGGTGTTGTTCACCGGTACATCGATGTCCTGGTCTCCCCCTCCACCGCCCAACTTGGCTCCGCCGTCTTCCTGCTTGTCTGACTCAAGAACAGCGGCAATGCAAGTATCGCACAAGACCTCGTCTCCTTTGTCATCACCCGCACCTGTACCAGCAGCAGCAGCAGCAGCAGGAGCGGCGCCATCCACCACAAGCACGACGTCTTCGTCGTTACCTTCCTCCTCCTTCTCTCCTTCCTTTACTTTCTTGTTCACTGTCCCGCCTTCTCTCTGCGTGCTCTCGCCGGCCCCGTTGTTGGAGGGAGAAGACAGAGTCTTCTTGCGCTTCTTGCACAGCAGACCGCCCAGCTGGGCATCCGGGCAGGGCTGGATCTCGACTAGTCCCGTGGTCGGGACGAAGCCGCCGCAGCGGGCGCAGGGCCGGCCTCGGAGCTCTTTAGTGCACATGTTTCTGGGCGTCCTCAATGCTTGACACGGAAGCGGGACCAAAAAGAGAAAATAAAGGGCAGTACTGTGAAGATGAGCCTCGTGTTGTGCTCAAGTTGGGGGGATGGGGGGGGGGATGGAGGCTGGACTGAGAGGTGCTACTGCTGGGGGCTGTGGTCCTGGAAGAGTAAGGGTTTGTCCGCGTCGAGCTCGAATGTCGTGATGTTCTGCAGATTTGTCGTCCAGGGGCTGGGCCGTTGGCAGTTCTGGTCCGTCGGTTGTGCGGGCTACTCTCTCGGGCCCTCGTGGGTGTCTGTTTGTGTTATGGATGACGAGGCTCGTTTCTTTTGCTCTGAGACTCTAGTTGGCAAGTGTGAATAGAACTGTGAGAACTCAAGTCTCTCGTAGGGAGCGATTGAGACTAATATACGACGACCAGCATGCCTTCAACACAGAGAGAGAGAGGCGGGCTGGCCTGGCCTGGCCTGGCCGGGCTTGTGTGGAATCAGGCTCTTCACTTCCCCTGGGCCTATTGGAACTCACTCGCTTCTCATTCCTCCGGCAATTTGTAGTGCCTGGCGTCTTCTGGTCCCCTCTAACCTCTCCTCCCACTCTCTCGCCTCGTCCGTTTCTTTGATCAGCCTGGCGCTCAGGTTCCAATCGTTTGCATACCGTCAAGCATACTACTCCTGCTGCGATCAGGTGTGCCTTGTCCACGCCAGGCAGGAGAAGCTGTTGGCAGTTGCTCCTGCTGACCAAACGATACTGGCAATGCAATGGATATATCTGCCACGGGAGGCTGTGGCCGGCTTGGACGAGGCAGGAGTGGCGGTGGGAGTGTGGGGTGGGTGCAGTCTATAGTCTTGTTCGTTGTTACTATTTTCCCGGCAGTCAAACGCTCGGCTTGGACTGACTGGCTAGATCTCAATTGGGGCCGTTTTGAAGGTGGTGAAGTTTCGTGTGTGCTCACCAGGACCTCTTGAACAGGGGAACGATGTTCGAACCGTGTTTTGTAAGTAAACACTATTTCTGCACTCAATCCCTGGTACGGTCTACAGGTAAAACAACGCCCTGTTTGATAAAGTATCACGGATGGAAGTCGCAGATCCAAACGTGCCGTTCGCCGTGAGCAGAACCCGTGTTCGAGTGTTGGGAAAGCCATCAACAATACCGATGGCTGTCAAATCGAGGACGGGCCACACTTGGAGTATTGTCGAAGTAGCATATAGTCGCCAATCGTGCAAGTTATAGTCGGCTGGTCACGCGTCCGATGGCTGCACGGAGAGTAGTGCTAAACTGCGCGGTATATCAGCTCAAGATCCCGCCAGGCACTATCTTGCAAGCCATCGTTGACTCCATCAAATTGTAGATTATTTCTGTCCAATATTTGCTGCGGAGCAAGGCCTCAGTCTTCAAATTGCGTAAAAAGTTATCATGCTCGCGAAAATACAGGCGAGATCAGCCAAGGTAGGTTAATCTGCGAAATACCGCCTACTAGCAATACCATCCCTCAATGAATGTGCAAGAACTGTACGAAAAGAAAAATGGTCCACGGGCTCTCGTTGCCTGCCTGCCCTCGATGAAGTTCACCAAACCATCCGTCTTTTGTTGCAAGTCCCCTAACTCCTGCCGTGCTTGCCCCCAAAACGCCTAGAATGTATGACAAAGCGATGCCTCACAAGACTTGGTCACGACGCTGTACAAACCGCAACCACTGCTTTTGTTTTTTGCTGAGGTTGGTGTGTCAGACACAAGACAACAAACCGCACCAACCGCATCAATTCTTCTTGGTCCGCCCCCGTTTGGCGAGGAATTTACTGCGGCCACCAACACTGTCCCAGTACTCCTTCAGCAAGTCGGGCGCGATTTGCTGGAGCTTGGCCTCGCCCTCCCAGCTCGTGTTGCCCTTTGTGGCGGGATAGCCAACCCACTGGACCTCGAGCACAAAGCCTCCGCGGGGCTTCTTTTCGTGGTTGAGAATGCGGAAGACGTGATATACCTCGGTCATGGTCTGGAAGAGGGTCTCTGTCCGGCCCCCAGCCTTCTTCCAATAGCTATAAAGCAGCTCACTCGCTCCGTCCTGGATCTCCTGCTCTGGCTCCCAGGTGGCCTGCTCCGCGGGCTCGCCTGCCCAGTGAACCAGCAAGTCTACGCTGTCATCTTCTAGCATCTTGTGGTCAAGGAGCGCCTGCACCTCTGCAATTTCCGCCTCTCCGCCGGCTTCCGCCTTGACACTTTCTTGCGCCGCCTCGGGAGCTGCTGATGACTTGGGACCTGTCTCTTTCGGTGGGAGATGTGAGTTCACGGGGCTCGAGCTGGGCACTTCGGTTTTTTCGTTTATCGGCGGGCTAAAGAGATCTGCAGTGACGCGCAGCGGCGGGTCAGACGACCGTCTGATAGGAAAGTCACGGGGCAGCTTGAGAGTCTACTCACCGGCGGTTCCGCCCATGTCGGCTACAGGGACAGCAGCAATGACCGAGCCATGATCGTGCGGGCCTGGTTGTTGCAGGCGCACAGCATCAGGAGCTAGCGCGCGCTCGAGGTTTGCGGGCGCATCTACGCGAGGGTCGACGTCTCGTGAAATGTCGTTCTGGGCTGCGCTTAGGCGGTAGCGACGCTCTAGGATGCGAGGTCAGTAACACGGGTCGCCGCGACGGGCTCGCCGCCCGCGCGCGCGCGGTGCAAGGGTTTTGCAACCTACTAATCTTGCTACCGCTGGCTGTTACGGAGCCGGGGCCAATTGATCGGCGCGCCTTGCCGCTCTCGGGTGTGCTCGCTGCGAGGCCGTCTGCGAAAGGAGGGCACAATGCCTGTCAGTCACTACATGCGCATGAGGAGGAAGAAGACGGAGAGAGACACACCTTGTAGGTCGTCTGTGACGTCGTAAATGTCTGACTTGCGCTTGGTGCCGCGCGACTCTGAATCTGAGGAGGGGACCATCTTGTCGGATGGCTCTTCCGAGGCGGGTTTCCTAGGGGAGAGGGCCTTGGATATCGTGTCGGTCCAGCTTGAGATGATGCCCGACATTGTCAGTCGAGCGCTCGGGGCGTGACGCGGGACCGGGGAAGGAGGAGCTGAGGTGAGCTGCGGGTGGTGCGAGAATGTGGAGGAGGGAGGCGGTCTCTGGCGTAATTGGGTCGTGGGAGGCAGGAGACGACGGGTGCAGTAGTAGCATGCAGGATCTTGCGGGAGGAGGGGAGGGGGGATCCAGAGAGGTGTGTGTGTGTGTGTGTGTGTGCCAATGCTGACAGGGAGAGTTGGAGTCGGCGGAGGAGGTGGAAGACTGGACTGACCGACAGACTGACAGACTGACTGGAGGTGGTGCTGCTGGGCGCGGGATAAGATGCGAGTGATGCGCAGCTGAGATGGACCGGCGCAACACGACCCGGCCACCAGCAGCAGCCGGAAATGACGCCGCCTTTACGACCGGGTGGGCGGTGGTGGAATGCAGCGAGCCACCCACTTCTTGCCTGCCGGGAATCTCTGCGGACAGTGTGCATTCACAAAGTCGCGTCGCCATACACTGTACGCGCCTGCCGAGTCGAGCTCGCTCGCTGCTGTCGTGGTGGTGGTCGTGGCTGCTGGAGAGGGCCGGAAGTATCCCAGAGACAAGACTCTTTTCATGCAGCACGAGGCACTTTGAGACATGGAAGAGACAAGATCTGGCCGCGCGAGTTTTTCCACGAAATTTTCACACTGAGAAGGTACGGGCGTAGCAACGCCTGGGCCACGGCAAAGGGCCTGCAGAGTGCTCAAAGCATGCAATTGCCCGTGTTGGCAGGAGGGAGCAAACAACACTCGGCGGTCCATGCTTGCGTCCAGGCTCTATATTTAGCACAGAGCATTCTCGACGACGAGGCTGAGCACGAGAGTCTACCACGACGTGAGCACTGGGCAGCTGGTCTGTTTGTTGTGTGTGCCTCGCTCCCTGGCCATCGCAATGCTCGTGGAAAGCAATCACGGGCACCAGCAGACCTCGCCGCTCCAACACAAAGGGTAGAGCCAATCACTAACAGCGACTTCAACAATTTTGATAAACAAAACTCATACCAGAAACAAAAGAAGAGAAAAAAAAACATTACTTCAAAGGTATAGGCCGCCTTCCCAACGCCTAACCCCATTCCGAGCATTGCCAACAAGCCAGTCCCAGCCAGCATCAAAAAGTTCCAGCGTCCATCGGAACAAGTTCATCAAGTCTTGCATCAGTACCAGCGACAACACAATCATTCACTCCTGACCAGGTCCTCCTTGCCGGTAAGCAACGTCGAGTCCGCACCCACAACTCTTCCTCCTACTGCTGCCCATCCCGCAGCCCCGAACCCGGCTGCTGCAGCCCGGTGGCCTGAGCATAGGCGATCCATTGCTGACACTGTTGCTTATACTGGCTCTGCTCGCTGGCGCTTATGAGGGCCTTCTGCGCGTTGGCCTGCTCCAGGAAGTTGATGCCCATCCCGCCCTCAATGTGCCACGCGATATGGCAGTGCATCAGCCACGCGCCCGGGTTGTCGGTGAAGAACGCCAGCACCAGCCACCCGTTCGCCGGCGCCATCGTCACATCCCGCCTGGTTGGGTTCTGGGTCTTCAGCGAGCCCTTGTCCCGCGCATACACAAAAGGCCCCGCGTTCTTGCCCGACACCCCCAGCACAAAGAAGTCGTGCCCGTGCAGGTGGATCGGGTGGTCCAGCAGGTTGTTGTTGTTGATGATCCAGTACGTCCACGCGTCCTTCTGCGGCACCCTGACAATGTTGAGCGCGGGCGGGAACTGTGTCTGCCCCGCCAGCACGTAGTCGACAATCGGCTTCTTCCAGTCGACGACCAGCGACGTATTGTCGATCCTCCACAGGATGTTGTGTGTTGTTGCCGAGACTACAAAGTCCATGGGCAGCTCGCTGTCCTTGTTGGCCTTGAACTTGTCCAGCGGCACATTCTTGCTCACGACCGGCGCGTAATTGATCAGATCCTGGCAGCCCAGATTTGGCGGGCTTGCTCCCCGAACCGTCGGGGTCTTCTTCGGCGCGCCCTTGTACCGCACTATGGCTGCCGGGAAAGGATTGCGTGACCTTCCGCACCTGTTGGCCGCCGGGAGGGTCACATTCATCCAGTAGTTGTCGACCTTTTGATCCGCCTCGATGATGACGTCTGCTCTCTGGCCGATGCCCAGGAACAGGTTTTGCACCTTCTTGGGCTTGACCGGGGTAAAGTCTGTCGCGATGACCTTCATTGAGTGGCCGTTGATCGAGAGCTGGAAGTTGTGCTCGACAGAGGGGTTGATCAGCCGGAGCAGGTGCTTCTTCCCCGGCGTCAGGGTGATGACCGAGTAGGCGCCGCCGCTTCCGCCAGGGTTGATGTTCTTGCCATTGAACATGACGTTGTCGCTGGGAGGAGGCGGGCCCTTGGCAGCAACCTGGTACAGCTGCTCGACGGTCTGGTAGTAGTAGTCGCTAATGGGATACGCGCCAAGGTTGATGTCGTAGTTGGCCGAGGCTGGGCCGTAGACGACGACGGAGCCCCAGACGCCATTTCCATACTGCGACGAATAGTGGCTGTGGTACCACGAGGTGCCGTACTGCTCGGCCCGGAAGGTATAAGTGCTGGACGCGCCGGGCTTGATCGGGCACTCGGTAACGCCGGGGACACCATCGTTGATGTTGTTCTCAAGCATGCGGAAGCCGTGCCAGTGAATGCCTGTGCCCTGGTTGGGGAGCTTGTTGACGACCGTTACCTGGAAGGTGTCGCCCCAGTTGCCCCGGAGCGTGGGCCCGGGAAACTTGCCGTTGATGAGCAGGACCGAGGGTTTGACCACGCCGTCAGGGCCCTTCCAGTTGTAAGCCTGCTCAATGGTCCACCAATACTGTGTAGGAACAAGGTTGAAATTAGCTTCTTGTCAGCGTCAGCGACTGGCAGATGAGAAATATGTACCTTCCGGACTTGGCCGTTTGGCGTCTTTTTCATGTAGTTGGTGTTGATGTCGAAACCCGGAGACCAGCATTGCCGATTATTCGGGCGGTTGCATATACCGGCAACTTGTGCCGTCATATCATCGGTTCCAGGGTCGCCGGCGACACTGACATCGTCAATGCCGGCCACAGCGATGCCGGGAGCAGCTGAGCCCGCCGCAGTCGGCTGCGGTGCCGGAGAATTTGCGGCGGCCACGAAGGCCGCCGACACGGCCTGCGCGGCAGCCTGGTCGATGTCGTCGCTCTGTGCAGCAGGAGCAGGCGACGCGCTTGCAAGCGGCCCAACAATCAAGAGCGCGCGCAGCGCGATGGCTGTGAAAGCGGCGTTGGGCATCATCATGCTCTCTGTACGATCTGCAGGACGAGGAAGATGGAGGGAGACACTGGAAGACTTTTGTCAATCAGTTTTACCGTGCCGTAGTACTTCTGGTCCTGCTGTGCATGGACTTGGGCGAAGACGGCTCCTCTGCATGTCCAACACGGAACGGCCAGATGAATCCCTTTTATCTCTCTGCTCCCCCTGCTCGCATGCGTCCCGGCGGACGTGGTAATGACTTATACTTTCAGCCATCTATCGCCACTTTTCAATGTCAACAGTTGCGGCTGAAAGGGTCCCGACAGCCACCGCTGGCGCTCATCCGGGACGTTGAATCGTTGCAAAAGAAAAACGTATATCGTGCCAGGCGCTGACGAACCGCTGGGCGAGCCGAAGGACGGGGACCACGGTCCGCGGGGGCGGAATCTAGCGGGAGCCGCCGTGGCCGTCGCCGGGCCTTAGTGTCCGACCAGGGATGTCAGAGTTTCGGACGTGACTCCGTGGGTGTGCAGTCTCGGTGCATTGAGTTTGCCAGGCCAACGGGGCTCAACGCCGCTCACCACGGCTTGTGGCGCGGGAAAACTCCAAGAATCACGTCTACGTTGCAGGCCGCTAGTCTTAGCTTGGAGTCAGTCCGGGGTAGGGACTTGCGCTTGCGGTAATGTTCCCAAGGACTCGGGACGCCAAAACCTTGTCGACCACAAAGAGGTTGCCAGGCAACAGGGCCGGGCGGAACGTAAACTTTCTATTGCCCAGAAATCCCACGGGGACCTGGGCCCGTGGGATTTCTGGGCATGAAAAAGTTCTTACACATCATGCGAGCCAAGAACCCGACAGCTTTCGATCTTGGCTGTCTGAAGCCGTTCGCCAATGCGTTCGACTATCCTGGTGCCGACCTCGAATTGTAATGAGAAAGTTGGGGCCTGACAGAACCAAAATCTGTATTGGGATCGCAAGGCAAAGCTCGAATCCGATAGGTGCTCCCCGTAGCTATGTTGCCAGATGTGGAAGCCTACACAATTTAGCCACTGAGATGCTGCCGAGATGTGTGTGGGCTGTGAGCCGTGTCAGCGCATCGTGTCTTGGCGGGATGCGGCGCGGAAGCACATGATGTGAAAGCCTGACGCCATTTCTCAGGTGTCTCGGGAGCCGACAAGTCTGAATGCACGCCTCAATTTCAGGGCAATGGCCCGATCAGGTCTCGCGTCATTGTCTGTTGGGAATAGTAAGAGTGTCATTCATGCAGGCACACGGGAGCCAGCCGTGCGACCCTCGGCGCTAAGCATTTAGCAGTGTTCGCTTCCGGCCAGAAAAGGATGTGTCATGCCATGTTCAGTGCTCGGGAATGGCCAGCCGCATCAGCCATTGTGTCCGTTAGTCACCACATCCTCGTGTCCTTGTTGAGTCGGATCGATACCACTCCGTCCGAAAACCTGCGTGTCACATCCTTGCAGAACAAGGGGGGAGGGGTCTTGGCAGCCAACTTCTGGCGTGCCAAGTGTGCTCGTCCCGAAGCTGGTATCCCCGTGATGAACCTTGTAACGGGCTCGGCAGCTCACATAGCTCTGGCTAGTCATCGCTGATCCGGCGCCAGGAACTCTATTTCGGCTTCTTGGGTCGGTCTGCTCAGAGCGCGCTGCCAGCCCAGAGAGCAAGAATGGCATTGGCAAGTTCCTTTACTCTAGGCAAATGCCTGAGCTTTTCAAGTAGAGTGTCGCCGGGTCTCCAGTTTGATGGTCAAGCGGACGCTTCCTCGACGGGTTTGCAATTTTGGCATGATTGTGCCTGTATCGGCTGGGCGCTGCTCGATGCATTGTCGTCATATCAGGCAAAGCTTCAGCCGTTGAGTATAGTAAGATAGATGAAGTGTATATAGCGCACGTGATGAGCCATCTGGGCACGAGGTCACCTGCAGTGCAACTCATGGTGGATCCGGTCCTTTGATGCTGCACGAGGTCACAGGCTCTGAAATCATCTTGCTTTGGAAGATTGGGGCGACTTGATCGACGTGTGACATTTCTGAAGCAGCGAGCAACGTCATGGGAGGTGCCAGCCCGCCACTTCGGGCCTGCGCGTGGGCTGTCAACCTGTCGCGGTCCGAAGCACTAGGCCACCACAAGATCCTTTTACGAGCGCATCCTATTACGAGCGTATCGTCTGGGGCTACATTGGGCAAAGTCGCGGCTAAGCGGGGCCCAACTCAGCCAGTGCTTCCACATTCAGCTGAAGGGCTGAAAAAGAGTTCAGAACGGGTACGAACTCTACTTCGTGCAGGTGCAGGAATGCATCTACCAACTCCTCAAGGCAGTGACAGGTCCATGACTGGAAACAACCTTTAAGAGCGCCAAGCCCTTCCTCCCAAACCGACATACTGTGCTCCATCCGCTATTGACAATGATTATTGGTCGACTTAGGATCTCTTGCTGGAGAAGCGAATCAGCGTGATTCGGAGCTCGGCGCCATCACACTCATCCGCCCGACTGGGGCACCTTGGCAGACCTATCCCTTGCGATGACTCCTCCACAATTTGGTATCATCAAGAAATGTAACACTCCACAGCACAGTCCTAGTAGAGATTGCCCCTTCGCTACGGGGGAAGCAACGATAATCTCACCTTAGCAACTTGTAGCTGCGGAGACGCGAGAGTGCCTGTCACTTCTGTGCCACGTGTTTGACGTATCATCAACAGCACCTCGGCTCAACTGGATTGCGCCCCTCGGTGCCTGTCCAGACATCTGCAGGGTCTTCCTTCTATAGGAAGGAGAGGTTACGAGCAGCAAGCAGGACCAGGCATCCTATTCGCCCATAGCAAGGTGTCAGGGTGCCACAAAGGGCATGACTTACACGCCTCGTTGGGGAAATCATTCGAGTATGAACAAAACTATGGGTCACATATCACGGCGTAGTGTTGTGCAATCAGAGCTCTCCCGCTTAGCCACATAGCGTCAGGGCGTTGGGGCGCAGCAACCATCACGGTAACCGTACAACTCCGCGCCCAATAACCTGCCTCCGCATCGACAAGGATGGCACATCATCGACTAATCATGCTCCTTGCTCGCTAGTATCCGGAGGAATCCTAGCACGCGTATGCGTCGACAGTGTCTCTTCGCGTCGCTTGCGAACTTCGTGATCGCAGAGTCCTAGTCCACAAGGTGACACGATGGAGGTGCTTGGGACCGCGCCGAAAACTATAAAGGGACGAGGTTGAGCAGGCCATTGCGCATCACTGCTTGCCTAGCACTCAATCTAGAGCAGAGATTCCTATCACTTGCGACCGTAGGAAACCGACACTTAGGATACAATTCGAAAAATTCTCTTCGTGCCCATCATGTCCCCCCAACTCTCTGCGCCGTTTCTTGCTGCATTTCTGGCGACGCACGCACAGGCTTGCATTCACTTTTGGGGATCAACAACGAAGGTTCCATACCCTGGAACCTCTGGCTGGGAGTACAATTACCAGATCGAGGACAACGGAGAGAGAGTCTGCGATGGTATAGCTGGATTCCACGATGGACGATGATGGGCTCATTGCAAGGAAGGTACGTGTTAATTGATATTATATGCTGCCCGTCGGATAGGGGAACGGCCTGGGTCCAAAGAAGCTAACAATCTGGCTCCTCAAGGTGTTGCGTTGTCATTCACAATGGAGGGCAGGCATGTCTGATACCATGCCCACGGGACTGATTTCGAGTGGGACCAGTACGTCAGGGACTGGAGTTTCTGCTGCTTGGGAGCTTGTGAGGATAAAGGGCCCAAGTGGAAGTGTCACGACCATGAGTGGAACACCTGGATGTTCTGCTGATGGGAGAATGATGAGGTCGTTGTCGATTGCGTGGCACTCGGCCAATCTCCTGCCCTCGCATTTTGTCTGTGTTGCGTCTGACCCGCAGGACGTACAACCGGGGTTCGCGAGGTTACTGGCCTGCCAATTCCTCTGAGCTGTCGTTGTAGCTGGAGAGCAGCCGCACTCGCGGAGAATTATCATGAGCTATATGGTGACGTTTCTCCTCAAGATTGTCTCGTGTTTCTACACCAGGCTGCTTATAGCTGTGTAGAGCACAGGTGAAATCCGGCGATGCACATCTAGAAAATAGGGAGTTATCTACTTGCACGACGGCTAGTGTGGCTTGGTAGTGATGACCTGCCAAGTTTAACAATTGTCCACAAGAGCAGGGATAGTCATACCTTGTTGCCGCGGAAGCAATGTACAGTCCTTCGATAACTGTCAACTGAAGACAGCGATTGTTCGCGTCTCTAGCATCAAGTGTCATGACTATAGTGGCCTGGCAGGGCGCTTGCTCGGCACTATAGTGCAAGACTGCACGACTAGTGCAACTATGGCACTTGTTTGCAGCTCAAGCGCATGGTCTGCACCACAACTCCTTCCCGTCGCCATGCCCGCAAGGACCGAGTCGTCTCGTGAGATATGAATAGTGTATGTCGTGCAAATAATGCCATGGCGTGGAGATTGAAAAGTATCACCATCCAGAAGAAATCTCTGGCCGTTCCGACCTGGCACTGATCCCAGCTCAGACCTTTGGAGTTTTGATGGATCAAGCGTCAGAGCATCACGAATTTCGGTCCCTGTTAATCTCAATAAATGCTAGTTCGACAGAGTCGACATCGAATTTGTTGCTGAAGGCTTGGAAATACCAAGACTTTGGAGGAGTAGAGGAGAAAAAGTGTGAGCTTCAGCCCCTGGGTGACGAGACTGCGCACGAGTTGAGAATTTGGATATCTTGGACTGCAAGCATGAGGCCCTGATTCTGGTTCTGAGATTGACCGCAGGCACTGTTGTTAGGCCGTCACGTGTAAGTGTGTTTAGTGCGGCTGACGAACTGCCCATCCGGCCAGTCGCATATAGTCCGAGTGGTTTATCCAGGCGAATGTAACCCAAGTACAGCTTACCACACGAGATCTACTGATTTCTGATGGGTATAATAGCCATGGGATCCCATCGTGACGGCAACAAATCGCGAGCCTCAGCCGGGGATTTACCCCAGAGGCTGAATTGTGACAAAAGAGCTTGTTGCAGTGTGACGTTTCGGTTGCCAAGCTGGGTAAAGTGCACGACAGCAGTCCTACGGGCCGGGGCGGTCCAGCAGATGGGAGGAAAGGCTTGTGACGGAGGGAAGAGATCCGCGGTTTGTTTCATCCTGTCATTATTGGAAGTGGGCCAGGGTGAACCTTCAATGCGGCAACTGCCGTGGTGGGGAGGCCTGGCTAGCGTATGCAGGTTCCTAGGCGGCCGCATCTTTATAGAATTGAGGTGCCGACCGAGTAGGCAGACGCGGTTCCTCAGACGGGCAAAAGATCTCTCCATTTGGTCAGGTGGCTGATTACCCCGGAGTGAGGATGCAGCTGCTGGATGGGCATCGAGGTGTTTTGCCACCACCCTGTAGACATCCATGGATACCTTACAAACCAAGCAAGGTACGCTATACGCTATACTGTCAAGATGGGCCAGGGGGGCCCCCCGCAAGAGCTGCCGAAACGGGCAGAACGGAGTCAAAACGAGCCAAACAACGGCTGGAATCGAGACGACGGCGTCTCGCCCTCCGCAACTACCCACCGGCTAAAATGGCTGGCAACCCTGCCCCAATCACGACGAGACACTCGCGCGGCGCAGTCCACCGCGCGGGCAATGCCCTTTCGGAGCCTGGCCGGCCTCCTTCCAGCTTAGACACGTGGAGAAAAGGAAGCCGTGGAATATTCCAACCAATGCCCACCCCTGCTTAATCTCCGCTGCACGTCCCTCGGCTGCGTCCTGCCACTGAGCCTCACGAAACACGAAACGGGCAGCATGGCAAGGCCCCAACCGGGCGGCTCCTTATAAGGGTCGTCCCAGCACGCCGCTCTTGACAAAGAAGCTCCTCCTCATCATCGGCCGCCTGTCAACCACCAAGGAACCCGACCGACAGCCTCGACAAGGCTCTCTCGTCCGCAGCCATGTATACCAAGTCTCTTCTCCTCGCAGCTCTTCCGGCTACCGTGCTGGCCCAAAGCCCCGTCTATGGCCAGTGTAAGTGGACACTCATAAGATTGTTACCTGTGTAAATGTACTGACGCGTTCTCATCAATCTAGGCGGTGGTCAGGGCTGGACCGGTCCAACGACCTGTGTCTCTGGCTCAACCTGTGTTGTCAGCAAGTGAGTGACCTAGTGACCCAGACCTAGTTGTCCTTGTCTCTTGTCACAACAGCACCGATGTGCTAACCTCACAAAATTAGCCAATGGTACTCGCAATGTCTTCCCGGCGGCTCGGGAGGCGGCGGCGGTGGCGGCAGCCCGACCAACACCCCGACACCCACGCCTACCAATGGTGGCGGTAACGGAGGTGGTGGTGGCAGTACCGCCAGTGGCCTGGACGGCAAGTTCAAGGCCAAGGGCAAGCTGTACTTTGGCACCGAGATCGACCACTACCATCTCAACAAGGCCCAGATCACCAACATTGTCAAGGCCCAGTTTGGCCAGGTCACCTGTGAGAACAGCATGAAGTGGGATGCCACCGAGCGTAAGTTTTCCACCCTTTTCACTTTCCCTTGGAGATACTGACTATGAGTCTCGGATAGCTTCTCGCGGCTCCTTCAGCTTCGGCAACGCCGACGCCGTGGTCAACTTTGCCCAGGCCAACGGCAAGCTGGTGCGCGGCCACACGCTGCTGTGGCACTCGCAGCTGCCGACGTGGGTGCAAAACATCAACGACCGCAACACGCTGACGACGGTCATCCAGAACCACGTCACGAGCCTGGTGACGCGGTACAAGGGCAAGATCGTGCAGTGGGACGTGGTCAACGAGATCTTTGCCGAGGACGGCAGCCTGCGCAACAGCGTCTTCAGCCGCGTGCTGGGCGAGGACTTTGTCGGCATCGCTTTCCGCGCCGCCCGCGCGGCAGACCCCAATGCCAAGCTCTACATCAACGACTACAACCTCGACATTGCCAACTACGCCAAGGTCACGACGGGAATGGTCGCCCACGTCAACAAGTGGATCTCGCAGGGCATCCCCATTGACGGCATCGGCTCGCAGGCCCACCTTGCCGCTCCCGGTGGCTGGAACCCGGCCTCGGGCGTGCCCAACGCGCTCAAGGCCCTCGCCGCCGCCAACGTCAAGGAGGTTGCCATCACCGAGCTCGACATTGCCGGCGCCTCGGCCAACGACTACGTCACCGTCATGAACGCCTGCCTCCAGGTCTCCAAGTGCGTCGGCATCACCGTCTGGGGCGTCAGCGACGCCGACAGCTGGCGGCCCAACGACAACCCGCTCCTCTACGACCGCAACTACTCGCCCAAGGCTGCCTTCACCGCTCTCGTCAACGCCTTGTAAATAAGGCGGCCGAGTGGTGCTTCGTCTCTCTCACTCTCCAGGTGGAGGAGAGGAAAGAAAGTCTCATGGCTGGAGCATTGTCTGTCAGTCTGGGAACTTTGAACCGGTACAAGGCTCTTGTGTCCGCTTGAGCTCTTGTTATATCTAGTCCATTGATTTCTTATTAGTACATATTTTTTTTCCATCTCAGTACACATCAAGCTATACATTCATTATCTCGTTTGCTTGGTCTTGTTTTCGCCACGTGAGTTCTGCAACCTGCTCCACGTGCTATGGCGGTGTTGCACAAGTTGCTCGGAACGTGATTTCAGTCGCATGCCCCCCTAGATTCACAAATCGCGACCATCTCGGACGGGTAAGTTTTAAAAATAGTCTGAAATTATGCCCAGGCGGCCTCTGCCCTGATTATGTATCCGGCCATGGGACCCTTTTACTCTGCCCTCTCCCTTCCGACACGCTGTGCTTCTTGCTTTTCTTCGCGAATCTGACTAAGGCTTCCTTGCCGTCTACCTTGCCCCCCAGCCTAGATGTGCAAGAACAGGTCTGCCGAGCCCTTGGGATCTGTAACGACATTCTTGAGCGCCAGGTCGACAATCCTGGCCCTGACCTGCGCCGGTGTCTGAGCGCCCTCCTTGCCCAGCAGGTACGCGGCGACGCCGGCGACGTGCGGCGCGGCCTCGGAGGTGCCAGAGCTGGTATAGGTGGCTGAGTTGGAGGTCGAGTCGGCGGTCAAGATCTGGACGCCGGGGCTAAAGATGTCGACGTCGACGCCGTAGTTGGAGAAGCTGGCGCGGCGGTAGCTGCTGTCGGCGGCGCCGACGGTGATGACGTTGGGCTGGTTGGCCGGGGACGAGGAGCTCGCGTCCCTGCCCTCGTTGCCGGCCGCGACGGCGACGGTGATGCCCGCGTCCACCATGGCCTGGACGGCGTTGTTCATGGTCGCCGAGTTCGAGCCGCCGAGCGACATGTTGGCGACGCTCTTGTTGGCGCGGCCTTTGGCTTTCACGTCGTTGACGGCCCACTGGATCCCCGCGAGCACCGACGAGGTGCTGCCAGTCTCGCCGTCCATGACCTGCACGTCGACCAGCGTCACCTTCTTGGCCACGCCGTAGGTCACGCCGCCGACAATGGCGGCCACGAGGGTGCCGTGGTGCCGGTCGGTCGAGCGGCCGGTGCTGTAGCCCGCGACGGCGCGGCCCTGGAACTCGTTGTGCGTGAGCAGGATGCCGCTGTCGATCACGTAGGCGAAGATCCCGGAGCCGGCAGTCGAGTCGTAGTTGTAGGGGGCGTTGGCGGCATAGCCCTTGGGGTTGGAGATGGCCGACAGGCCCCACGGCGGGCTCGTCTGGGTGTCGGAGAGGCGGATAATCTTGTCCTCCTCGACGCGCAGGACCTGCAGAGGTTTGCGGCGTAACGTTAGCGAGACGCGGAAACAAAGATACACGTTGTTGTTGTTGTTATTGCAGGCATTATGATGATGACGATGACGGGCTTACACTGGAGTTGGCCCTGATGACTGCTAGTGTCTCGTCATCAAAGGAGCCCGCATAGGCGTGGAAGCCGGGGATGTCAAACTTGTTCTCGACGCCCACGGTGTCGCCGCCTCTCTTGCGGAGGCCCTCACGGTGCACATCCGACACCCAGCGGGTGTGCAGCTCCAGCTCGTGGCCGACTTCGGGCCGGAGGGTGACAATGTACTGTCCCGGGATGACGTCGCTCACGGCGGGGGTAGGGAGGGCGTTGGCAACACCCAGAAGGGCGAGCGCGAGGCGGAGGGACTTGTAGGCCATGGCTGCTGGGGGGTTGTAACGAATGTGGTTGGCGAGTTGTGCCTGGGAGAGAAGGGAGAGGCAGACTCTAGGAATTGGGATCCCCGTCGGGCGCTGAGGACAGCAGATATATACATGATCTCGACTTCGAATTCTCCCTATTAGCACAAGCACTGCCGAGATGCCGTCATCTAGGCAGGCACTGCGGCATATGAGACGAAATCAATGGCCTTGGCCTCATGCCTTGTAGGATTGACTGGGGGCTTGCCGTTATGCTTCATGCGGATCCCGTCAGGACCCCTGCTCAGGTACGCCTGGAGACCCTGCCCAGCGTGCTCAGCCCCTTGCTCCCCCGGCCGGCACCACGACCAGCAGCGTCCACCTTCCCCTTAGGGGGTCTTGAGAGCACGTGGAGCGCAACGCTGTCATTTCGGGGCCCTCGTGTCCCGCCCTGCCCCCCAGGCCAGCGGGATGGCGAAGGAAGATGCCAAGTCTGCACCGTTGGGCACGACGTGCGCAGTTGCCTTTCGCGGCGAAAAGTTGGTTGGGTTCAACAAAACAATCAACTGATGCCGAGTTATCCTTCCCAATGTGGGAATCTGGGATTGAGAGTGAGTCGTGAACTGCACATGGCTCGTGGTAACGTGTCCTTGCAAGGACAAAGGCACAAGCCAGACTACCTACTTTAGAACGTACGCACCTGACTTGTGCTGGCTGTCCTCCTCGGCCACCAGACTAGCATCATCGCTGGCCGTGTAAGTGCCGCCGGCAGACCCTGCGAATCCGGCATGGCCAGAGAATGCTGCCTCTGTCATGGCTGGTCGGCCTTGGGACGCACGCCTGGTTGGTTCCGGATCGGCCGTACGGAGCGGAGCCCGGGCTCCAGTCTATCCAGAGTGGCGGGGAGGGCCGATGTTCGGGGCTCCGCACACGGATTCATCCAACCCCCAACCATCAGCATCCCATTGTTGAAAGAGAGTGCCGTTTCCCCCTTCCCCCCTCCGCCCGCCACGTGGCCTGGCCTTCTCCATTCCAACAGTGTCTGGTCAGTCACGAGTAGCCTGCTCTCGTAAACGAACCTAGAATATGCCCAGCGCTATCTTCCACAACGGGCGCTTCTTCACGGCGGACCGTGGCGGCGCCAACCACGCCTTTGCCTCGTGCGCCGTCGTCGACACGGACACGGGGCTCATCACGCACGTCGGCCACGAGGGCGACAGCGAGGTGCTCGCCCTCACCAGCAACAACAACAACCACAACAACAACAACCAGACAGGCGGCCATGGCGGCGTCACGCGGCACGACCTGGCCGGCCATGTCGTCCTCCCGGGCTTCATCGACGGGCACATGCACCTGCTCATGATGGGCCAGTCCCTGCAGAAGTGCGGGCTGGAGCACTGCAAGAGCCTCGCCGACATCCGGGCCACCATTGCCGCCTTTGCAGCGGCGAACCCGGGCCTGCCGCGCATCATGTGCAAGGGCTGGATGCACTCGATGACGGACGGCCAGGCGCTGGCGAGCATGCTCGACGACCTGGACCCGCGGCCCATCTTTATCGACTCCAAGGACCTGCACTCGGCCTGGTGCAACACGGCGGCGCTCGCGGAGCTGGGCGTGCTGGAGGACATGCCGGACCCGGAGGGCGGCAAGATCCACCGCGACGCAGCGACGGGGCGGGCGTCCGGGTACCTGACCGAGTCGGCGGCCGTCGTCATAGTGTGGCCGCACGTGGCCAAGGTGGCGAGCACGCAGCAGAAGCTCGACGCCATCCGGGCGGCCGTGGACGCGTACAACGCGGCGGGCTACACGGGGCTCGTCGAGATGGCCATGGACGAGAACGCGTGGGAGGCGCTGCAGCTGCTGCGCCGCACGACCCTCGCCGAGACCGGCCAGCCGCTGCCGATGCGCTTCGCCGTGCACTGGCTCATCACGCCCACAAAGACCGAGGCCGCCAACCTCGCCCAGGTCGACCGCGCCATCGCCCTCGCCCGCGAGTACAGCGCCGCCGCCAGCCCGGACTGCCGCGTCGTCGGCATCAAGATCATCTGCGACGGCATCGTCGACGGCTGCACCGCCGCCCTCACCCAGCCCTACGCCGGCCCCCACGCCGGTGCCGACTGCGCGCCCATCTGGTCCCCCGCCGAGCTCGCCCCCGTCGTCCGCAAGGCCGACGCCGCCGGTCTGCAGTGCGCCCTCCACGCCATTGGCGACCTGGCCATCCGCAACGCCATCGACGCCCTCGAGCACCACGCCACCCCGGGCCGCCGCCACCGCATCGAGCACCTCGAGCTCGCCTCCGCCGCCGACGCCGCCCGCCTCGGCCGCCTCGGCATCACCGCCTCCATCCAGCCCGTCCACGCAGACCCGGCCATCCTGCGCGCCTGGCCCGCCCTGCTCGGACACGAGCGCTGCGGCCGCGCCTTTGCCTACAAGGACTTTGCCGACTCGGGTGCCGTCCTGGCCCTCGGCTCCGACGCGCCTACCGCCCCGCACGCCCCCATGCGCAACCTCTACACGGCCACCACCCGCCGCTCCGCCCGCGAGCCAGACCTCGAGGACACGGTCAACCCGCACTTCGCCCTCGACCTGGCCGCCGCCGTGAGCGCCGCCACCGCCGGGAGCGCCTACAGCTGCTTCGCCGACGCCTGGGCGGGCACCATAACCCCGGGCAAGTCGGCAGACTTTGCCGTCGTCGACATGCACTGGGACAAGGACAAGCTGCTCGGCTCCAGGGTCGTGCAGACGTGGTTCAAGGGCGGCAAGGTCTTTGATGTTCAACAACAACAACAACAACAACAACAATAAGGCGGCGGTGGCCGCGGCCGGGGCGGGCAGTAGACTGTTTTTGTTTTTTTTGGTGCAACACAAGATTCACATTTCGTCTGAGGGTGCCCCCCCCCCCCAGGTCATTATGTCATGGTTATGGATATGGGCGAGAGCTTATTGTACTGCTGCCATTGGCAACCCCGTAGACTGTGAAATCGAAATCAAAAGCCAGTGTCGACTCCTTGTCGTGTCAAATCGAGAGAGAATAAGTCCGTTGGCGCATTGCATTGCTGGTGGTGCATAAGAGCATCGTTCGGACCATGGCCGAGTTTCCAGGACGCCTCAGGGAGCACTTTGCACCCCGACAAAACCGCTGTGACTGGAATACGGCTGTTGTTTGATACAGCCCCTCAGGCAGGTGTAGAAGAATGGCTAGGACGACAAAAATGCATCCACGACAGCCGTGAGAAGCCGCAGCTCTACATCAGTGCAAGGCCTGCTGCAAATGCCATGAGCGTGTGGACACAGAACAACTATCCCACCAAGCGATTCACAGCCAGGGGGCAAACCGTGAACGGAACTTCAAGGCAATAACGCCCTGCTTGGCACTCTGACTCGTGAGAGGAGAACCCCCGCGAGATTGTCTCTATCAATGTCTTGGCTCAATGGCGATCGGATCATATTCTGCGACGTCCGCGACTCTGGCCTCACGGCAAACGTCCGTCCGTAAGCTTGAATCCGCAGGAAGCACTGTGTGGCAGAGGTGGAGCACGCCTTGTGGTCAAGCATGCGGAGCTCTGTTCTCGGAGCCGCTTGCTGCCCATGGGGATGAGGAAAATGAGGGGAAGGCTAGCAAGGGGGCATTGGTCAAAAGGCTCCGGTGTGGGTATCTTGGGGACCACAGCCATATCAATCATTGGTGACACTGATTCCACCCATTGCAGACAGAGCTACCGCAACACACTGAAAGGGCGCGCGCCGGCTTGGCTAAAGCACCAAGCGGCAACACAAGAATCTCCGAAGCCAAGCAACCGGCCCTGTATCCCCTCCTCTTTGTGACAACCTTACCACTGCCGAGCCGCTGGGCGTTTGTAGATTTTTTTTGCATAGTGAAAAGTCGCAGGCTTGGCGCGCTTGGGGACAGCCGCGCGTAAGGGTAGTGCCCTGTGATTGTCGGCTCGGACGTTCGGTGATCACGGATTTGTACCCTTCCATCCTGTTCTAGGTCCTCAAGGAATAGGTGGCTTGACAGCAGCGACCTGCCAGGTTCACCACGACAACGGTGAACTTTGCTACGACTGACCCCTCGTTGCAGGGCAGGGCAGTACTGTCTAAGCTGTGCTATTTGGTTCGTGCCTGCGTAGCCAGCCGACTGCCATGTCCTGTGTCGGCGCGCGATCCCAATTCTCAACAACTAGGCGGTATCTCTGAGGTTGAAGCTCGCAGCTCATCGCTGCGGGGTGCCAATCCGGGGGAAATTGCCTTTGATACATCTGGCCTCCAGGGTTCTCCGCACAATTGTGGGCAAATACGGCACGTTGACTCTAATCAAGATATGCTCGTGGAGTTCCTTGCGGCGGTGGACCGTCCCCAGACTTTTTCTGCGCTCCTGCTCAAACCTCAAGGGCCAATGCGCTGGCACTTTAAAATCGACTGTGTGTCGGATCATGGACTCCATGAGAGCGGGACACGACGGCGTCGGGGCCAGGGGTTGGTGCCCTGGTACAGGCACCGCAAGTGGCTCCGCTTCGGAAGTTGACCGCACGCGCTTGGCTTCAGCAGTCGCACATTGCCAAGTCGTCCGTCTTATCAGCGACTTCTTGTGGTCCTCGTCCAAGACTCGCAATGTTCCTCTCGTGCAGTGTTGGCAAGCTTGGAACTTGTCTTGATTGGCGGTCCACCAGAGGATTGCCCAGAAGAGTGCAGATTGGTTGGTGCAGGATGTATTCGTAGGTATTCCCCACCCACATCACACATTCAGGCCTTGACCTCCCATTTCCAGCAGAGCGCATCCTGGGCAAGCGCTCGGCTGTGTTGGCATGATCCTGTCGCACAGAACACGCTCTTTGTGGATGGATTTGTGCGCAAGCCACGTTCTCGAACAATGTAGGAAACCACCCGGGGGTATGCGGCCGTGTCCAGGGTCCAGGGACACTTCGGACAAGACCCCGAAGGTCGGGGCAGGCCGCCACGCCGTGGACGGGCACGGGGCGTGCGGTCGAGGCAGCCCGGAGGCAGTCGGCGGTGACACGGCCGTGCGGGGCTGGTGGTCCGGAGCTGGAGGCAGAGAACGACTGGAATAAACCCCCCGCCTGGCTGTGGCCAAAAGCCAGCAAGGCACAGTCAAGAGAGCCAAGGCGCCGGTGATGGAGAGCCTTGGTGTTCCTTGATTTACGAGATGCTGGCGACATCGACAAATGCCCAGCAGACGCCAAGCCGCTCAGGCACTTGGCGGACGAGGCCATCCAGCATATGTGGTGGATTGCAGGCAGTCGGACCACTGGACGGCCGCGCAGCGTGCATGCACCGCCCCGAAGCCCCACTGCTCGGCGCTGGGCAAGACCTGGGGACTGCCCTCAGAGGCAAGGCCGGCCTGGCCACGTTTCTCGACTCCTTGTCAGCGTGTGCTGATAGGACGGCGGGGAACGTGTCTTTGGTTGTATTGTACTTGAGCTGGATTGTGCTATGTCGGATCGAATCAAGTGAGTCTTTGGCCACTGTGGTTTGTTGTGAAACAGCGCCGGCTCAGCGACCAACCAAGGCTGCATGCATGTCTACGCTTCGGACCTGCGTGTGTTTGTTGGCCCCGGCTCGCACGGGATGTCACTTCTGGGACCAGATGACAGGACCTCTGAAGCGTTGATGGTCAGCCAGTCAGCGCAGCGCAGAGCAGAGCAAAGCAGAGCAGAGCCCTTACAAGGTCATGACAGAGCCGGAGGAGGCCTACGCCAAGGGGCGGCCCCGCTGGAGCACAAGCAGGCGTAGTAGCATGGCCCGAGGTGATGGCGAGGTGATGGGCAGAGGAGGTGATGACCGCGCCGAGAATGTGTGCAAGCAACGGGCCAGTCTTGGAAGGCACGCGGGCGACATGCCAAGTCGACAACTTTGTTGCGTGCAGGGGAGGAGGTGCTTGGCGGCAGAGGGCCCGGCAGGGCACATGACTGGATTATGGCAGCATCCGCACAGTGTACTCGTGCGGGCGTCACTGAGCCAGCTGCACCTCAGCGCAACTCAGTGCGGCTCAGTGCAGCTCCCGTCCATTGTCACTCACAGTCAGACAGATGCGGCCGAGTGGGGGACCGCTCGCCTCCTCTGGCTCCTCCCACCAGCGCCTTCCAAGGTTGCCCCGGGTGCCCCAGGATTGTCCGTCCCCGGGTATATCTAGCCCGCCCCCCTCCGTCTCTGGCCTGCCGCTTTCCCCGAGGAGAAGAGCCACGATCCATTTTTGGACCATCCTACAAAGCACTCCGCTGCTACTTCAACTCACGTGAATGGGTATTGAGATTGATATTCCTGTCGAGGAGTCGACTGAACCTCCTATACGTGGCTATACCAATGCCACAAACTCCAACCCCCCTGGGCCCATAAACCAGGCGGACGCACACTCCTCCCCCTCCGCAGGTCTCGAACCTGGTCGCCAGCACCGCTCCACCGTCTCCTCGGCCGCCCCGACCCTCATCGGAACCTCGAGTGAGAATGAGAAGTCCCCGCTGCCCTTCGTCGCAGCAGTGCCCCCAGAAGCCGTAGCTGCCGTCGTCAGCAACGAGCCTCACACCCGCAGCCCCGCCGAGCTCGAGGCGCTCCTCAAGACCAGCATCCAGCATGGCCTCACCAGCAGTGACGCGGCTCGTCGCCTGGAGGACGATGGCCCCAACAAGGTTGAGGGAGCTAAGGGCCTATCCCTGTGGACGATTCTCGTGAGGCAGGTCTCCAACGCTCTGACCATGGTCCTCTTTATCGTCATGGCTCTGTCTTTTGCCATCCAGGACTTTATCGAGGGCGCCGTCATTGCCGCCGTCATCCTCCTCAACATCGTCGTTGGCCTCGTCCAAGACTACCGCGCTGAGCAGACCATCCAGTCTCTCTTCGCCCTCTCCGCCCCTACCTGCAAGGTCATTCGCGACGGTCAGATCGAGTCCATCAAGGCCGAACACCTCGTCAAGGGTGACATTGTCCTCCTCAACGTTGGCGGCATTGTCCCCGCGGACCTGCGCCTCGTCGATGGGCTCAACCTCTCCACCGACGAAGCCCTGCTCACCGGAGAGTCCCTCCCTATCAGCAAGCATGCCGACGCTCTCCTGTCCGAGGCCGATGTGCCTCTGGGTGATCGCATCAACATGCTCTACTCGGCCAGCACCATCACTCGCGGTCGCGGTACTGGTATCGTCACCGCCACTGCGATGAACACCGAGGTTGGCAAGATTGCAGAAATGCTTCGTGCTCATCCCAAGGTCGCCGAGAACAAGTCCACTGTCGGCAGAGCTCTTCACAGATTCAAGGAGACCGGTCGCAGCATCCTTGGCCTGGTGGGCACTCCCCTTCAAGTCAAGCTCAGCAAGTTTGCTCTGCTCCTCTTCGCCCTTGCTATCCTGCTCTGCATCATTGTCTTCTCTGCCTCCAAGTTCAACGTCACCTCGGACGTGCTCATCTACGGCATCTGCGTCGGTGTTGCCGTCATCCCCGAGTCTCTCATCGCCGTCCTCACCATCTCCATGGCTGTTGGCACAAAGGCCATGGCTCGCGGCAACGTCATTGTCCGCAAGCTCTCGGCTCTCGAGGCCGTAGGTGGCGTCACCAACATCTGCTCCGACAAGACTGGTACCTTGACCCAAGGCAAGATGATTACCCGCAAGGTCTGGCTCAACAACGGCCTCGGCGCCACTGTTGAGGGTTGCACCAACCCCTTCGACCCGACCAGCGGAGTTGTCACTTGGGATGGCGAGGTTGCCGATGAGTCCAAGGGCACGAAGACCATATCACGCCTCCCTCCTGACGCACGCGCGTTTGTCCAGTGTCTCGCACTCTGTAACAATGCCGTCGTCACTGATGGTAAATCTGGTGTGGCGGATGATACAGCCGAGACCTCTACAGTGTCAAGCGCCGGCGCTGTCAAATGGTCTGCTGTTGGTGAGCCTACCGAAATCGCGCTCTCCGTGTTCGGCCTGCGCTTTGGCATGAGCAAGGCCACTGTCTCCCAGGCACATGATACCAGGCTTGTCGCCGAGCACCCGTTCGATTCAAGCTGCAAGCGTATGTCTGTTGTCTATACCTCTGTCGGCTCTAGCAACTACGACGTCTACACCAAGGGTGCTCTCGAGGCAGTTCTCCCTCTTCTTGACGCTTCGGAGGCTACCAAAGCCGAGTTCACCGCCAAGGCCGAGTCCCTTGCCGCCCAAGGCCTCAGGGTCTTATGTATTGCCCACAAGTCTGTCCCGGCCAACGACAAGCTGAAGGAGGAGCGTGAGGCTGCCGAGTGCAACCTCACCGCCCTCGGACTGGCTGGTCTTTATGATCCTCCTCGACTCGAGACTGCCGGCGCTGTGCAGAAGTGCAAGGTCGCCGGCATCCGGGTCCACATGCTTACTGGTGACCACATCAAGACCGCCACAGCCATTGCCCACGAGGTCGGCATCCTTTCGCCTGACATGACAGCGGCAGAAGCTGTCAGCGCCACGATGCCGGCCGCGGCTTTTGATGCCCTGACCGACGCCCAAATCGACGCTATGGACAAGCTCCCGCTTGTTCTCGCTCGCTGCAGTCCTTCTACCAAGGTCCGCATGGTCGAGGCCATGCACCGTCGTGGCGCATTCTGTGTCATGACTGGTGATGGAGTCAACGACTCACCTGCGCTCAAGAAGTCTGATGTCGGTATTGCCATGGGTCTCAACGGAAGCGATGTGGCAAAGGAGGCTGCGGACATGGTCCTCACAGATGACAACTTCTCCTCCATCGTCACGGCTGTGGAGGAGGGTCGCCGCCTGTTCGACAATATCCAGAAGTTCCTTCTCCATCTACTCGTTTCCAACATCGCCCAGGTCTTCCTCCTCTTGATTGGTCTAGCTTTCAAGGACGCGCAGAACCTTTCTGTGTTCCCCTTGTCACCCATTGAAATTCTGTGGGCCAATCTCATCACCTCATCCTTCCTCGCTCTCGGTCTTGGTCTTGAGGAGGCCCAGCCCGACATCATGTTGCGCAAGCCCCACTCTCTCCGCGTCGGCGTCTTCACCAAGGAGATCATTATGGACAAGATGGCCTACGGTACCTTTATGGGTGCCCTATGTATCGCCGCCTTTGTCTCGGTCACCTACACGCCCACTCCCGACCCGCTGCGCCTAGGTAGCGACTGCAACTCGGGCTACAACGAGACCTGCGAGGTTGTTTTCCGCGCGCGCGCCACCACCTACTCTGTGCTTAGCTTCCTCCTGCTCTTTACTGCGTGGGAGGTCAAGCACTTTACTCGATCGCTCTTCAACATGTACCCCGAGCGCTGGACTGGTCCGCTGTCTGTCTTCAAGACGGTCTACTGCTCCAACCGCTTTCTATTTGGTGCTGTTGTCGCGGGCTTCGTCATCACGTTTCCAGTGGTGTATTTGCCTGTTGTCAACCACATCGTCTTCAAGCACACGGCCATCACCTGGGAGTGGGGTGTGGTCTTTGCCTGCGTTGTCGTCTACATTGCTCTCATTGAGCTATGGAAGGCCGGCAAGAGACGCTTTGGCGTCGGCACCATCGTCTACGGAAACGCTGCTCCTGCTCACGATGTCTAAGCCCACTGCGGGCTGGTTCACCTGTGCCGTCTGGCTCGATATATGAAGAGAACGGGACAAAAGTTTGGAGTTGATTCCTGACCCGTGTCGTCTATAAGATACCGGTCCTAAATTACCTTTCGTGCCTGCGCAGATTGTGTTTGACACAGCAGACGTTTCATCTTTTCGTCTTGGTTCCATTCCTGCCGAGTGATCAAGTAGCTCCGGCAGAGGTTCTGAGCAGTTCGAGTCCATAGGACCAATATTAACTACAGTCACTCGTTACGTGTAATCTGTCTCTGTCGTTGGGAAGTGCATCTCGTGTACTCGGCGTATCCTTCGAGGTGCGGCAGCCACTAATGGAGACGCTGCGACGTGAGTGCGAAGCATGATGAGCCATCAATCTGTCGTCATACTGGCTACGGAGAGGTCAGTGCGTGGTGATGCCGGCAAGATGGTGGTGACCAGCAGTTGCGAAAGCCGTGCGACAGAATTGGTTCGGATGATAAGTGAGCCGGCCGTGCCTGCCATGATGAAACCTCTCAATCGTAGCAACTTGTGCCTATCGTCGAATGCCCAACGCGATGGATTGGGGTCGTTGTTGACGTGCAAGTCTGTAGTCGGGGTTTCTGCGGCATGGGCAACAGCTTAAGTTGAGGTGAGAGGTAAGACAGGGAGGGATTCCCGCTGGGCACACCCCTTCATTCTTCGAAGATGCCTGGCCTGATGCATGGTACCTTGACGCAGCCTCGATGCGCCAAAGTGCGGAGGCAGGCATGCTCCTCGCTAGTATAGCCAGCTCTTCCAGAGCGAGTGACAACGACGATATTGTGCATCGTTTGGTACGGTGGACACAGAGTTGTGCTTGGTCAGCAATCAGCAAACAAGCCAATGTGCAACCCAGCGTGGATGACCAGGAAGTGAGCTGCAGCTTCTTGGCCCCGGATTACAAGACATTTCCTGCACAAGCAGCTTCACACTTTTTTTCACGGGCACGCAATCTGAGAAACCCGCTGAACTAATAAGACACATGCGGTATGTTTGCAACAGTATCTGGGCGGTAGGACGGGCCGTTGAGAACAAACTTTAAGGTGACTTTAAGGATGAAAGGCAAAAAGACAAGAACACGACAGGGATGGGGACAAGAAGGCGGGTGGCGCACCCTCCTCGTTTACAGGACCAAGGACACCAGGACACCAGGACACCATGGCAGGCCCCGTTCTGCAGTGACAGGAATCTAGACCCGGGGAGACTCAGCCTGGCGGGCGGCAAGAAGGCACCCTTTCAGCTACCTTAAGCTACCCTAGGGCCGACGGCTGACCTGGAGCCGCCCCCAGTGCAGCCCGCCTGCCACTCTCTATTATCCCTCTGCTGCCCTTCTTCCTGGCTGACTTGTTCATCCTGTGTCTTGCATCGCTTTTCTTGCTCCAACGAAAGACGATATATCACGCGCATGAGCGAGTACTTCCAGTCAGCCGGCCCCTGAGTGGCGTTCCTGCAGTGAGCCCCGGGGACATTTTTGTGTCACGCAGATCCTGCAGCAGCCTGCACAGCACTGCACGGCAGACACCACACAAGCTTTCCTTGGCTGTGATCGACCACTGATCAGTACCACCAACAAAGACCCAAACCCCCGTTCCCAAGCCTTGGCTTGCGTTGAACACGGATACAACGACAATAGTGATCCAGTCTACCTTGCGGCATCTCAAGGGGTCTAGGGACAGAGTGTCATATCTCCATACTAATCACTGCACCTCTGCACCTCTGCACCTCTGCACCTCTGCACCTCTGCACACTCACGCACACAGAGGCAAGGGCGCCAACAAAACCGTGCCAAACCAGGCATTTCATTTTCCGAAACAAGTGTGTCCAGCTACGAATCGATATCAGGCGACAGGAAGAAGCCAGATCCGTAATGATATTCATCATCTTCTTCATCCTTCTAGCCGCTGCCTCGTCGAGCAAGGTCGCCAAGCGGCTGCTGCGGGCCTCGAGCTCTGCGGCTCCAAGAGGGCCGTGGTATGTCGGACATCAGAAGGGATACCGGCCTTGAGCGAGCGAGAGAGAGAGAGAGAGAGAGAGAGAGAGAGAGAGAGAGAGAGAGAGAGAGAGATCCGCCGGGGATATAACCGCATCTTCGCCCTGAGACAATCCCAAAGACGGAACAGTTCTGGAAAATCGGTTTCACGTCGAAAGGGGCCCTCGAGTCCGTATGGCTGCGCCACTTCCTTTGCGGCGGCAGCGGCTGCTACACTTCTTTTTGGAGCCCATTGGAACGAAACACTGTCACAGGCTTGCTGCCTGTCAGACCGCAAAACGGTCCTGCAGTATTGACGGAGCAATGTCACAGTGCAGCAGCTGGCGCCCTTTGCGTCGCTGAGGTTATCCGCAGGATGCAATGGCCATGGGTGTTCCGTCCTCCTTTCTCGGCTTGTCGGCCCTAAGCTCGTCACGGAGTTTCGTCCGTGGCATGTCCCATTCCGCAAAGACGGAAGACCGGACAGCTAGAGAGAAACCTGGCGACTTCAGACACGGCGCTGCCCCAAAGCTCAACATCAGCATAAATGGCCAGGGTACAACATCTCTCTGGTTGGGCCTGATTTGCCTCCCCTCCAGGGGGTGAAGGGGAGCTATCTCCTGGCTGGAGCACCGCAGAATGATTTAGGGAGCCCTCGCTTGCTGCCCAAACTTGCGACAGCGACCAGGAAGACAGGTATCCGGCATTACCAGTGGACTGTTCCCCTCTTCCCTCCACCGTACCTTTTCCATGCTGCTACACGCTCGAGCAGCGCGAGCAGGGCAAACCGTGCGCGGCGCAAAGCAGGAGATCTCCTCACGGCCACGCTCAACTGTATGCTCGAGGAGATGTGACCAGAGATCAACCCCGCAACGCTGTGCTCTTGGGCAGGGATTGCAACATTCGCCGCCTTGTGGAACACGGCCCGTGTCCCTAATTCGGTCAGGGACCAGTACAGACAAGAAAAGGCAAAGGCATGAACGCCATCTACTAGCTGGCACGATTGATGGGGCATGGAAGTACAACTGTGAGGCTTGCAGTCCTGTGTAGCAATGTAAACTACCACAAGTGATCTGAAGCCACTCAGACCGCGCTGGAGCGACAATTGCCAGGCCAAATGTTGACAATGGCCTATAACCCAGCAGGATCAGGAGAAAAGACAGATGAGCATGTGGGAAAGCATTTTTGTTGGCCGACTCTAGGCGGTGAATCTACTTTTGTCTATAGTACAGCGTCAACCACCAAAAAAAATCAAGATGGCAACTATTTACAGCAAAGCCTGCCAAGTACATGTCATATCAGTAGTCTACAAGAAGTTGATGCCGACGCCAACCTGCAGTCCCTTGCGGCCTTCCTCGCCTCTCCTCAGAACAAGCGGTAGACTGAAGTTGAGCTCAAACCGGGCCACAGGGTGTGCATACACGAGGCCGACACCGGCGGCCAAGGTAGGGAGACCCGTCATTATGTCCTTTGTCGCATTGGTGATGCCCTTGGAGACGGTCGAGGCGCTCATGACCTGTGACGAGCCAGAATCCTTGGACGACTTGGATTTGGACTTGAGAGCGACCGAGCGCCCACCGTTCGCAAACAGTTGTATCCGGAAAGGAGAGTCTGCGCCGACACGTGGCAGTGGTACCAGCATGTTGACGCTTCCAGCGGCATAGACGTCGCCACCGAGCGCATCGCCTCCGTCTCGGGGTCCGAGGCCGCCAAGAGAGAATCCACGCACGTCTGTTGGTCCGCCCAGTGCGAAGCGGTCATTGATACGACTGGGAAGTGCGCCGTTCAGACCGTAGGAAAGTGGCAGAGGGTACAGCATGCCAGCCTTGAACCCGGCTCCAATAGAAACGCCAGAGAACCCCTTTACCCCCGGGATCGGCACAGGCACGGCACCACCAAGCTCGACCTCACTCTTGGAGAAGGCAACGTCACCACCAAGAGGACCCCAGCCGGCGAGTTCTGATACAGTCTTGACCAAATATCCACTTTGAGGAAGCATGGCGTTGCCCCTGCGATCTCTCGTGAAAATGTACGAGAGGGCGTTCTTGACGGAATCTCCGGCATCAGCACGCACGCTGGGGCTTGCATTGGCACTGAGTCCAGTAAGCTGCCTCCACGAGCCTGCAAAGCCGACCTGGTGCTGGTCGCCCAGCGGGCTCAGCCAGTTGAGCTTGATGCCGGCACCTTTCAACACTTCTTCGTGGCTGGCCCATGGTTTTTGTGTAGCGCTAGCTAGTCCCTCCAGGCTGATTCGCATGTTGGGGTTGCTCTGCACCGGTGCCGCCAGCTCCGCGCTGTAGGCCGACCGAGTTCTGGTGCCGGCGGCCGCGTTGAGAGTCAGCGTCTCCGCGCCACCAAGGATGTTTCGCCACAGCAATGAACCGTAGGCCGAGCCTTCGGTGTTTCCGAGATCGGTTCCTGTCTTGAGGAGGAAGCGTGACTTCTCGCGGACGGCCAGCGAGACCTCGAGATCAGTAGGCGTGGTTGATGGGTCGACTTGGGAGGGTTGTGACAGGTGCACCATGATGTTGGGATGGAATATGTCTACACAGAATTCCCACTATTAGTGCATACTCATGCTCCTTGCCTCGGGGGGAGGTCATACCAAACTTTTGCAGCTTCTGGACAGCTTCGCCGACTTGCTCGAGCATTGTGGCCATGGTGAAATCGGCCTGGCGGCTGCCGGTCACAATCGGCTCGAAGATGGGGTCGAGAAAGTCCTTTCTTGTATTTTTGGCGCCATGGATCTGTACGGAGGATATGGTCACGGGGAGAGTTTGGTTGGACGAGAGCTGGGCGAGATATCTTAGTCGGCTGGTCGACCTTCAAATTCTAGAAGCTGGCGCGGGCGGAACTTACTATGTTGGCGAGACGTTGCTCGGACGAGGCCTCGGGCCCAGGGGATGGGGAACGATGCTCGACAGCTGACTTTTCTCTGCGGAGCATGTTTTCAAAGAGCTATCAAGAGGCACAGAATTCAGTACTGTTGTTCCTGCTGCTGCTGAAGCGATGCTTGGGCTGGGGAGTGGTGGCGGGGCTCACGTCGTCGCCTCCGGTAGAGGCATTGCTCGCCATGGTGGACACGCGAGCTACCAGGAGCTCACAGCAGTGACGGGGCAGGCTGGTCTGGAGGTTTTCTGGCAATGGTCGCCAAGGGCTGGTTTGGGAGCCTGGTGCGCAAGAATGACGATTTGGACGCAGACACCGCTCAAACAGCTTGTGGTGAAGCTGGGCGGCAGCGATCGGAAACAACCGCCAACTCGGGCTGGAGCTTTGCCATGGACGGAGCTAGAGCTACGTCGGCGAGTCTGGTCTTGGCGCCCTTTATCTGGGCCTCCCTTGTCGGTCGGGGCCCACCTTCACCTTGCGGCCCAAGGGACCAAGTGGGCCTCAGCCTAAGGTACTTGGATGATGTCCACGGGTAGTTGAAGGGACCATGCCCAGGTGTACCTGATGGGTATGTGGCTGACTTTTGGTCCAGATTGTGGCGCACGCTGACGCTCATGTGGCGCATGGGGACCGTTTGTCAATCTGCATTCTGCTTTATATCGGAGATGGGCATCTCGTGATTAGGAACAAGTGGTCTCCAAAGCGCGGTCTACTGAAGTATCATATTGTATATTTCTAAACATCTGCAGCACCCCAGTCGTCATTTGAGGTACCCTTCTGTGCAACGATACATCAACCGCAACTGCAGTCCTGAAGCCCACATCAGATCCTCGCAGCCAATCAGCATCGGCAGCTTGTACCAACGCTAGCGCGAGCCTCGCAGACCAGCCCAGCCCTGGGAGCCCACGGTCGCCTCTCGCTCTGCGCCCCATTCCCAGCCAGGGTCGTCATCAGTCACTCATCCGGCGTGCATGCGACGCTCCCAACCTTGGCCGAATCCAACCTCCGGAACACACCTTTAGACATCACCGCTGCTCGCACACGACCAAATTCCACCAGCGGATCCCGCCGCATCGTCCTGGCTTTCGCTGCGTCCGTCTACAGTCGCTTCAGTCGCACAACAGCCCGACATCCACTACTTCATCTCGACAACCCTTTTCGAACCACACACAACCACTCGTCATCTCCGAACCCATCGATCGCAGACCTCACGCAAGCCCTGGCCTTTGGTGCCGTGGTGCCGCCTGTCCTCCGTTACCTCCTGCAGAGTTCTGAGACATCGCCCGTTCAGTCACCACGATGGCTAGCAAGGCTGCTCACAAGCGTGTACGTACCTCCCGCAGCTACTCATGATTCACCTGTCGGTGGTTCGGATGACCACAACGCCCACGGCTTGGGGCTTCGGTGCTGGATTGCAAGACTTCCCATGCTAACCACTTCTTCTCAGTTGACGCGCGAGTACAAGGCAATTACCGAGAACCCGCCGCCGTACATTCAAGCTCACCCCTCAGACTCCAACATCCTTGAGTAAGCAGAACCCGAATTGCAAACAAAGTGCAGGATGCGGTGCTAACTTTGGCTGGCCTCAAGATGGCATTATATAATCACAGGACCTGAGAACACCCCTTACCACAACGGCCAATACTGGGGAACGCTGGTTTTCCCTCCCAACTACCCGTTCGCTCCGCCCGCCATCCGCATGCATACCCCATCCGGTCGCTTTCAGCAATCGACGCGGCTGTGCTTGTCCATCTCCGACTTCCACCCGAAATCGTTCAACCCAGCTTGGGAGGTGTCGACCATCCTCATTGGACTCTTGTCATTCATGACATCGGAGGAGATGACAACAGGCTCAATATCAAACACTGCGGCCGAGCGGCGGTTCCTGGCTGCGCGCTCGCGATGGTGGAACTCGACCGGCGGCGGCTCACACCTGAAGAACCCCCAGGCTAAGGGCAACGTCAAGGCCGGAGACGGTGGCGCGAAGTTCAAGTCCGAATGGCCAGAGGTAGACAAGGAGAACTGGGACTGGATGAAGGAGAACAAGATCGACCCCGCGAATGGGGCTCGGATGGGAGGTTCGCCTTGCGCTCCGCAACTAGCGGTACCCGCAAGCAGTGGCGCGCAGACACAGGCAGTCGTAGACGCGGTGGTCCAGAGGCGAGATGCTGGTGCTGGTTGGGTGAGTCGCAATCGGCTCCTCCTATTTGGAGGCGCCATCTTCGTGTACGTCATGATTGCAAGACTTCTTGGAGATGGTGAACGGGCGTGATGGCCGCATAGCGCCGGTTCGTCCAGGAGCCCGTTGGGCCCTTCGCGTCATATTTTTCTTGATAACGGGCTGGAGCTGGAGCGCATGTGCTTCGTCCTAGCTGTTCAGCCGTACATAGACCTTCTTCTGGCTGGCTTGCCTGTAGTTAGCGTTTCGTCCCTCCACGATGGTGCGATTTAAAGTATTGATGCCATGGTAAACAATCCCAATTGTCTTATATCGAGTGCTCCCATCTTGTATGTCCCGGCGTTTGTTCGTGAAGCAGGCTGTCTTTGTCACCTGGTAAGCGTAGGCTTGACGAATGCTCGCCGTTGTGCCGGCGCGGCCGCGCAGGAACACACGACCGGTTTGCACCGCAGATCCCGAAGCAGGTTGGCGCTGTTCAAATGACCAACTGCTTGGTAGGCACACGCAATACTGTCCGTCCGAGAGTAGGCATGCACGTCGCTTGCAAACCCACCGCGCCTTCCTCTCGTCCATCGTGCAACGACCAAACGAGCTCCTTCTTTCTTTCTCCCTGACCACCCACACCACTCCTGGGCGTTCTGCACAACCCTCGCCACTCAGCAAACTTCAGTCTGGGTGTTTCTGGCAGCTAGCCGAATGAACCTTTCTCGTGTACTCATCACTTCAAAAACTGAACGACTCCAACTGTTCGACCATCCACCTTCCTCGTTCACGGCACACAGCCCGTTAATACTGCCACTCCTTCCGCTTCGGGCCACATTCACCAGTGCCTCCCAGTGTTTAAGACTTGTCTTTCTGTCTACCGCATCCCGTGCGTCGTTTATGGTGCTCTATTTATGAGGTACGTACCTGAGGCTGCCACCAAATTGTCGCCCAACGGTTGACTTCACATCTCCTTCACCTACGCTTCACAACCAACGAAAATCAGAGAGGTCCTAATGTCTTCCACAGTATCCCCACACCATTGTAGTCTCGTCTGAGCAGCAACTTCGTCACGACATCGCCCTACGTCTCTCGTCAGGCAACGACAAAAGTCGCATTGCGATCGCGCAGTAATACAATGACGGGCACGCAGGTTACTATTTCCGATGGCTCTCAGGCGCAGAAAGCCAGCAAAACTGCGAGCAAGAAGAAGTCTGGTCACAATGAGTCGTCGCCGGGGGTTTCACTTTCCATTCCCTCTGTCAAGTCGGGATTCGTGTCCTCAAACAGCCCAATCCGCACAGAACAGGCAGCGGATGCGAACTTCTCGGCACTCCACGGCAGCAAACAGTCGTACAACTCTGGAGACATGATTCATGTTGTCGTTGGTGGAGCAGAGATCGTGGCTTCCAGCTCTGCCATGATGCTGGCTTCGCCTGTTTGGGGTGCAATGCTGGCGGACAGCTTCAAGCTTACGGAAAGGCAGACTGGGTTAACAATAATCAAGCTTGATGGGGACGCCAAGGCAATCACTCTGCTCCTCGACATTGTCCACTATCGCTTCGCAGAGGTCCCCAGTACTACGAGTTTGTCAGAGCTCTATCAGCTCTCGCTCACGATAGCTCAGTACAAGTGCGAACCATTGATCCACCCATGGGCTCGTACTTGGCTTGGGCTTCTCAACCTGAACTCGGCAAATTTCGTATCCGAGAAGGACTCCCATAAGGCGCTATGGATTGCCTACACCCTCGGCGACGAAGAATTGTACAAGACCATGCTGAAGACACTGATTCTGAGCCTCAGCCGCAACTCAGATGGTGACCTTTCCATCGAAGCAAGTATCAAGTTGACGGATATGGTGCTTCCCGTTGCACTACTTGGTAAGAAGCCCCATCAGATGAGCTTTCTGCGTGGGAACAAGACACTAACATGTGGAGCAGACATCATCTGCGAGACCAGAATGGTGCTACTCGACACGCTTCTCACAGGGATCTCAAAGGCCATCAACCCAGACTCCGCTATCGAGATCTGCCGTGTTGGCAAGGATGAAGACCAGTGTGAAGCCATCGTCATAGGCTCGGTCATGAAGCAGCTCAGGCGCCACAAGCTGTTCCCAGAACTCCCCAAGGCTGTTGACTACAAAGGCAGCGTCCAAGCGCTTGCTGCCACAATCAAGTCCATCAAGTCGCTTACCTTTGTTGGCCAGAACCCCGTGCCGCATCAGAGCCACGACGGTTGCAAGCTCGGTCTGGATGACATGGCTGACAGCGTTCTGGCAGAGCTTCCGCTTGTCATTACCGACGAGCACCAGGAGCATTTGTATTTGCAGGGACGGAAGTCTGGCATCATCACAGCACCCCAGACTGCCGAGGTCAAGCCTGCAGTCCAGCAACAGGTGGAGCATGAAGGCCTAATTAGCACTGTCCACTCCAGCCCATGCGCGTCCGAGCGCGAGACTTCTCCATCGAAGCCAGCGGAGAGTGTTGAAGAGGCGTCCATCGTTCGCTCGGCAGTCGTGAACGATGACGTTGTGGCGGACACTAACAAGACAAGTGAGTTTCCGGCCTGGTAAGCCATACGGCGCAGCGTGTATGGAATGTCTCTGCGCGCTTCGAAGGGACTGAGCGACAGGATTGGCCATGAACAATGGACCATCCGCGAGTTGAATGGGGAAAGCATGTGTTTGCGTGTAAGATGTACTGTAAGAAGCGAAGGATGCCGGGCGTACGCAACCCTTCTTGAAAGGGAGCACGTTTGCATCAATGTGTGAGAACGTGCAACTAGGAGCGATTGCCTCTTGCGTTAGGCACAAACTGTAATGTAGTCGAGAAAGCAGCAAAACATGCAGCCTGTGGAAAGCAGATTCTCGCCCCTGTGCTGCTTCAACTGTGCAAGTTCAATGCATGTACCAAGCCAATAGTGGACATTGAGGCATGAGGCTGGATGTGGATGCCGCCGAGTGGAGTTCGGTCCGCACATGGCATGATTCGTCCCTTAGACGCCGCATCAGTTGTTCCCACCTGGTTAATGTTGCGGTGAACACTGCCAGACTTTACGATGAAGAGAAACTGTGCGGACCATGTCAAGAAGTCGCGTGACCCCCATCACCGTGGTGCCAACTTATCCAGCATGTTTGACCGCCTCACAAATACCTTGTTTCGTCATTATCGCACGAACATGTAGGCAGGGTTCTCTTCCATGTGACCCACGGGACTCGTCCTTGTCCCTGCACCTCTGTCTGTCCGTGGTCAACGGCGCTGCACCTACAAGGATTAAAAGGTCGAGGCGGTGGCCTGGTGGGGACTCTTTCTGGGGGCCGGGTGTGCGGAGGAGTGCTGACAAGAATCGGGCCAAGCTGCCGCCGCCGCCCTCCGAGGGCTGTTCTCGTCCACGTGGGGTTGCTGCCTTAGGTACTTTCTAAAGGGGAAAGAGAGGTCCAGATTTACGCCAGTATGGCCTGCGTGAGTGGAGTGGCAGTGACCACTGGTTGCTTTGTGCTGATCGACTACTTTCAGCTAGACGCACGTTGTGATGCATACCGTCTTGAGAGGCGTCATAATGGCGGCACTCCATGGCAAGACTTGACAGAAAGGGAGCGTAGGCATATCCGCATCCTTGGAGGCAGCGCAACTACCGAGACACGGCTCACGCAGAAATCGCTCATCGCGGTGTAGCAGGGGTTTGGGTTTCCTTCTCTACGGCGTCATATCGAGCATGAAGCAGAGCGGCTGGGGAGCCAATACAGGAGCAGCACCAGGATCCAGCTGCATGGGTGGCGGACATGGGGGTGGTTATCTCTTTTCAATTTAGGAAAGCCGGGCTGCAGTCCCTCGTGGCTCAGGCAGGCTTCCGATGCATGGAAGACGTACGTCGGTGCCTGTGAGGAGTCTCCCTGTGAGGAGTCATCGAGGCGTGGAAGGACGAGGATCCTTGGGCCAATGTATGCCCACTGCTTTAGGCGCGCTTAGAGGGCCGAGGGCGGCTGGGGGAGGCCGTCGATGGATGTCGTTGGTGTGAGCCAGGGCCCCGGGAGCGGTGGAGTGGGCCCTTGGCGATCCGCCACGCAAGTGATTGGCCTGCCGGCCACCAAAGTCGACCAATCCGGTATTTCAGAGGCCATGCAGTCTGCTGATTGGGCCTGCATCCCTGCAGCCTCTCTTGCGGTCCGCCGCGCACGACAACCCACTGGTTCGGCCTCGGGTTGGTGAGGCAGAGTCACGCTGCCGGGGCGCCATGTTGTTGGTTGCTGTGATATGACGATGACCGCAAAGGCAATGCAGTCGCCGTGCTGCCATTGGCAATGGCAAGGATCGCCAGTCCAGCCTCTGACCCTCCCCCGATGCTCCGGCAACCCTAGCCAAATCGGCGTAGATTCTGTCGTTCACCCTCCCTATTTCGTCAGCTTCTGTGCCTCTGCCGTCCCCAAATGCATGCCACATGACTCTTCCTGGCACGTCCTGCTATCTCCGGAGCCATCTCGGAAGCTATCTCGCACCCCCGATCCATGTCATGTCGGCCTAGCGGCTGTACCTGATATTCCCTTTCCCCCCCGCGCGCTCCCCGGGTCTAAGCTCGAGGGTCCGGTCTTGTTCTTCCCTCAATCGCAAACCCCTTTCTAACTAACAACGACGACTACACCGTCCGGAGACGTGTCCGGGTACATCGTGGGATCCTGAGGCGATATCGTCCATCCCCTCTCGACACCACACCTCGAAGCAAGTCGTCTTGCCGAAACTGATGAACTGCGACATATGCCGAGTTGCGACTGCTCGCTCATACGCGGATCGCAATCACAATGATGAACACTGGCTATGAGCTCGCTTGCGCCATGTGGGCCATGACGGCCCTCTCCCTCTCTCTCGTGGCCCTCAGGCTCTACACCCGAATCGTGGTTGTCAAGTTCGTCGGCGCCGAGGACTACATGTATGCCTGCACAGGGGTGAGTGACCCCCAGACTAGGCCATCGCCAGGCCGAACTGTTCTCATCGTTTGTTACTCGTTGCTGACTGCAAAGCTTCGTGTTACTTTAGGTCTTCTTGTTGTGTTTCACAATTGGTATCCAGATGTCTGTTCGCCATGGTCTAGGACAGGACTTTTGGAAATTATCCTTGGACGACTCGTCACAGGCCATCTTCTGGTCCTATGTTGCCAATAGCTTTGCTATCATTGGCAATGCCATGGCAAAGCTTTCGATGGGTCTCTTTCTGCTCCGGGTTGTCCAGGTTACTTGGCACAAGGTCGCGCTTTGGATGGCAGTCATCATCACGACCGCCACTTCGATCGCTCTCACCGTCATGCTCTGGAATCAGACAACACCGGTCAAAGCAAGTTGGGATGTTCTCAGGACGCCCGGGATCTGGCGGGTCAATATCCAGCCGACTAGTGTGGGCTTAGGAGGTGAGAACTTCCGGGCGACCGCCAAACATCTTCAGCCACTTGTGGTTGCTAACGTCATTTCACAGTCTGGTCCAGCATATGCGACTTCTTCTTCGCGATATTTCCTTGGCTCTTCATATGGTCCTTGCGCATGTCCCGTAGGGAAAAGATCATGCTCGCGGGTGGCATGAGCGTTGGAGTTGTGTAAGCTAACCTCGTCCCCCCCCCCCGAATAACTCATCGTGGCGGTTCTTACTGATGGTTCTCTAACTTGATCGGCAGTGCTGGTGCTTGCGGTATCACAAGAACGGTTGTCTTATCTCGCCTGAATGTTTTCAACTATACGCGTAAGTCAACACGGCCTTTTGAATATGTTCGGTGTCGGCTTCGTTGATATTGACCTCATGACGTGATGCAGTCAACTTTGTGCCGTATTTTGCTTGGGCTGCGGCCGAGATTGCCGTGGCTATGGTGTGCATCGGCGTGCCAACATTGAGACCGCTGTATCTCAAGACACGCGGTTTGACGATAGGTAGTGGCTACGGCCGCCACCAGAGTCGTGCAAGCAGCACATTGCCTCAGTTTGAGATTGTCGAGAAGGAACCGAAGCACAAGCGGATCGTGAGCGGCAGTATCAGCAGTCCGGTTCTGTTGTCGACCACCAATCTTGCCACAAACTTCATGGCGCCCATCCACTCTAATATCCAGCCAAACAAGATTGGATCGCCACCGCGTCTCTCTGAGTCATCCATTGCGCCAAGTTGGCCGGCGCCTACGAGGCTCTCGAGCTCTCCGAGAGCCAGCATTGACCACGTACAGTCGAGAATCTCAGACGAGTCCAGAGACCACGTCGTTATTGCAAGGGAGCACCCTCAGACACCATCATCAGCATATGGCCAGTGGGTGCTGCCAAGGTTGCCTCCAAGGAGTGACAGTCTACGCAGCCACGTGGCGCGGCCGCCCACGGCCAGTAGCCTCCAAAGCGCCGGTGAGGGCGTCATTTGGGTTCGCAATGAGGTAGTAGTCGAGAAAGATATGGCGCCGGAGTGGCCTTTGAGGTAATGTCCCGGCTGGCCAGGGGCGGAGACGAGGAGGTTGTGTAGGCAAAATTTCTAGACCTGGTTCCAGGTAGAAGCCAAGGGAGCGATCCCGACTGCACTAATACCGGAGGCAATAATGCCACCAAAGGACAAAAGGGAGTTACGAGATACCCCGCCAGCCATCCTGGCGATAGGAGAGTTTGGAGGTTAGACTCAGGCCGGTGTCCTTGGAAGAACACAGATGGGCCATGCTGACGCAAGTCGCCACAGTTTTTCCAACTTTCTTTTTTCTTTCTTGACAGTAATGAGACTCGTGCAGATGATAACCGCGCGTGAAGCAAACAGTGTCAATCTGACGGCGACAGCGGAAACAAACGCTTGCTGACAGTCGGGTGGAGGCGATGTAGTGAGATGCAGCGGACCGAGGCGGGCGCAGGTGCAGGTGGTGCCTGGCCGTGCGGCCCGCCAGGTGGCAGCCGCGCATCCGGCGCGTGTCGATCCCAGCAGCTCTGGGGAGCTGCAGCCTGCAATGCCTGTTGGGAAATCTCTGACGCGGGCTCGGCCACGGGCCTGAACTGCCAACGCTCAACGCCTGCCTGGGGCGTCAAGTACAGCTGCCAATTGACAGCTCAGGCACACGTGCTTTCCCACGGACGAGAACCCGGAGCCGATCGCTCATGCCGGCAGTGGCAGGGCTTGGTGCTCAGTTCTAGCCTTGAGGTACGTACTCTGCGTGGCAGGGGCCCAGGTCCAGCCGTCGACAAATCTTTGCGGCTCTTTGAGCTTCCACCCCGTCCAAAATTCAATCGCGGCCCTCACCCCACATTTCCAGCTCGCCGGCCTCCATCCACAGCTGCCCACCCGCATCGGCCCAACTCTCCCCAAGCTTCCGCAGCTTCGCCCGCCCGTCGAGCCGCAGACCGACAGCAGCCACGACGACGGCATCGGCTACGACCCTCTTCCTCTCGACCCTTGGCCGCCGGCAGCCACGGGCACCGCTCGCCTCCTCGTCGACAGCGCCAGATCACGTCCCACGACCTGCCGCCATTCCGTCTCTCTCGACACGCAAACACCCATCTGCCACCATCGAGCGACCACGACCAACCCTTCGTCAACTGGGCCCCTCCATCCCGGCGCCCTCACCACTCCGCCAGCTCGACTCCTTCCTGCGCACAGCCGTCCCTGTACTATCACCACTCGCGCCGAGCGACAGCTGACTTGCCTGTGGCATGCCTTCAGCATCCCCAACGACATCGCCGTTCCTTGGCTGAAGCGCGCTTCGCTTACTCCTGGTACACCTACCGTCGTCACGATCATACGCACGCCAGTCCCTGCAGGCAAACCGGTCGAGCTACCATCTCACTCGGGCCCTCCCACCGCCTGTTCCTAGCGGCTAGCACAGATGCTGGACCTGCCAACTGGAGCTTCATCACTCTCCCGGTCCTCTGTTGCATCCTTCATCACCACCCGCTCACGATCCGAACTCTGCCCACCATGGCTCCTGCGAAGGCGCCTCTTGCGAAGGCTGCGTCGAGCCACACCAAGACTCCATCACTCAGCTCGCGGTCCGTGGTGCCTGCCATTCCTCTTGCGATGATGCCCAAGAAGACGAACAAAACTTCCAGTCCTGCAACTGCCAATGCCGCCTCAGCCACCTCGCTTGATGCTGCTTTGATTGACCGGAAACCCAGCGCCCCAGCCAAAACCTCACGGACACGGTCTCCAACCAAATCGCGAGCCAATGGCGTCAATGGAACGAACTTAGCAAGTGAGGAATCCGGCAAGCTTCATGTCCCGGAGGGATCCGGCACCGTACCCTACCAGGATGGCAGCCAAGTCAACGGAGCAGGCAAAACACCATCAGAAGATGCAACGCCACAGCCAACCCCGCAAGTGTCTACACCTCGGGACACTCGGGCTTTGGCCGACGGTTCTGCTCTCAACAATGGCGAAGCGCCGAAGCCTTCTTCGTCTCAAGGTAAGCATCGCAATCTCTACTACACAGACAATTCGTGATCAATCCAGGTCGCTGACTTGAGTTACCTCGAGCCAGATCGTACTGCCAGTACTTTACGACAAGTGACGAGCGCGCCTCCGAACGGCCGATATCCGACTGTCGAGGCAGCATATTCTCTGGAACATGCTGCTGTTGGATCTTCGACCTCAACCACGCATACGATTGATCCTGAGATTCCCAACTTTCGTCAAATGCATCACTCGCGCCTAAGCAACGGAGGTGATATCATGTTTGGAGGCTTTCCGGGCTCACACACCCCCTCTCCTGTTCCCTTGCCCTTGGGGTCAGCTGGGTTTGCTCCCCCGCCGCATCCGCCCATGAATGGCGGAGTGCCTCCGGTCTACCGTGGACCAGAACACGGCCATTCAAGCTCCATCCACAGTGGCCCTTCAGTACCTGTTCGACCTGACAGTATACCTGGCGCAGCTACACTGGACGGCTATGGCCAGGTTCAGGTGCCCATGCCGCAAGCTCACGGCGAGACGTTCAGCTCCAATGCCGCGCGCTACGCTCCGCCAACACCCCTGAGTTACCACGGATCACACAATTCTGTTGACACCATGAACAATGTTGAGGTGGGCGCTCCATTTGTGCCAGCTCCTGGTTTGCCACGTGCGGCAGCGAACCAGTCAATTGCGCCGCATCACCCAGTGCCACCATTTCCACCGTTCATGTTGCCAAATATGTACAGCGACAGGTCTCTTGTTGCGGAAGATCAGTTGGTGGGAAGCATTGACTACTTTCGCGCTCAGTTTGGTAACACTGAGATGTCTGATTGCATAGTTGAACTTACTTACGCTGACGGGCGCCACCCTCCGGTCAAGCTTCCGGGTCACAAGATCATCATTTGCCGCAGCCCCCCACTGAAGCGACAGGTGATGATGGCGCTTCGCCACTCTTCGGCACCCAGCGTCATCACCATCCCCACGGAAGACAAGTTCATGCGCTCTGACGCCTGGTGGATGGCTGTACAGCGATTGTACCTCCACCCACTTCTCGATCTGCCACCATTGAGTGGAACTGCCCAGAACGGTGACTTCGCTGGGGATCATGGAGATCGCTTCGAGTTCTGCTTGGGGTATGCGGCAGCGGGTCATCTTCTCAAGCTCCACGATGTTTTGCTTCGTGGAGTGCAGATGGCGTCTGGTCTGCTCAACTGGAACACCGTCGAGATCGCGCTAGCATTTGTCCTCCAGAACACCCGCCAGCGCCACACGGATTACAATCCTGAACCAGATGGCTCGCATCGATCTTTCGTCGAGGTAGAATATGGCTATGGCCCGGAGACACGGATTCTCATGGACGCCATCATCAGTTTCCTGGTAGCCGCGTTTCCGCCGAACTTTGAGCTCGACACGACCGTGTCTGACCCGACGTCTTATGCGCGAATTCCTCAGCTCCCTAGTCTATCCACAATCAGCTCGCCAGTCGACAACAACGCTCCAGCAATTGCGCGAGGCTCGAATGCTCAGCATCGGTCTAAGCCGTCTCGTCTTGGTAACATCAAATTTGGGGATTTGCCTTCTACGGAGACTCGTGAAGTGCAGAGTTCGCACTCTCAGCCTCCTCCATCCTCGTCGATACTTTCGCGTATCTTGCTCAACATTCCATTCGACGAGCTCCGTGCAGTGCTTTCTTATGGCCACAACGGCAATGGCAGTTGGAAGAGTGCTCAGAGCCGTGCACGCGCGATTCCGAGCGTTGTTGCCGCCAGGGAGGCGAGACGTCTGCGAGCCCTTGAATTCATCCGGAGCGGGTCATTTCCTGAAGCCAGACCGATCCAGGAGCGTTTGTCAGCCAATCGTCGTTACGCAATCGTCGAGCCTTGGGACGTACTCAACTGGACCGAGCTGCCTACCGTCAATGAAAGCAACGAACCAGTTAGTCTTGCACGCAACTGGCAGCCGACCTTTTCCACTGGTGTGCAGTCTGGACAACTCCCTATATCCAAGGTCGCCCAGTCCATGGTATAGGAGTATCTGCTGTTTGCGTCACACGACAGCACTAGTCGCCACGTATGGAACAGCGTAGGACACCGTCGCAAGGCGCACTGCGGGAGTGGTACACGTTTGCGCACTTCGCAGGCTTTGGGTTCTTCTTTTCTTCGCTGTTTGCCGGTTTAGGGTTGGCTTGGTATCGTTTTCTGCGGCATTGCGATAGGTGTTCATATTTTGCGGGACTGTTTCAGTATTTGGATTCCCCAAATTGGCCGGGTACTATCGGATCGTATCGACGCTGCTTGTGCCGAGCTTCCGTGGACGCCATTCCATATTTATATCCACAAAAGAGTTGTGTACAATATTCATAAAAATCGGAGAGAAAGGGGTGGTCGGGTAGGCTCTGGACAAAGGCCGGGTAATGCATCTAGGCGACACCAAGTCGCGGGTCAAGGGTGTTTGCGGTTAACAAAACGTCAAATAGCATGGGCATGCATGCACATGCTATTCGACGACCTAGCGTGCTTCCGTTTCATCGCTGTGCCGTCACGTCTCAATAAAAATTGTACACCTTCACTTTTGTCCTGCGTGATATTCTGTCCCCAGCGAGGCCGGCTGGAGGTTTGCAGCCTTGACGCTCATCCACCAATCACAGGTAATTGTGGGTTCGTCCATTTTTAATAGTGCAGGCCGTCTCGTGCCTCTCAGTGGGCTTCACTTTCCCTCGGGCATCGTCGACACCCACACTTCCGACACGCGGTGAATCTAGCAGCCCGCAAGGCAGAAGGATACAACCCTGCGCACACGATGTCTGACGCGAATGCCACCACGCCACGGGTATTTATTGCCCGCCACGGTAAGCCTATCAATCTTCCACTCGGGCGGTGTGTCTTCGCGCCAGTTCAAAGCTGCAACGCAAGTGCCCGGACTCTTTGACTTTATGACAAAGGCGGCACGACGACGCCGACGGATTTGCAAGCCCTTGTTTGTCGTCCTTCTGCTTTCGCTCTCCGGTCAATTGTCCACACAAGACCCCTCCATTATGAGTCCCGATCCCCAGACTTACTGACACCAAATCTTCTCACGATCGGGACGAGCGTCATAGGAGAGACGGAGTGGACTATATCCGGCCAGTGCACGGGCAACACGGCAGACATCCCCCTTACTGCTCGAGGCGAGGACCAAGTCCGGGCCACGGCAGCCCTGCTCGTGGGGGCGGGAAAGCTGATCGACCCGGCGAGGCTGGCGCGGGTGTTTTGCAGTCCCAGACAGAGGGCCGTGCGGACCATGGAGCTGCTCCTGGGTGAGGAGGATGCTGCTGCTGCTCGGGCCAGCGCGAGCAAGGGTGATCGGACTGAACATGCCAGCAGGGTCGTGCTCACCGAGGACATCCGCGAGTGGGACTATGGCGCTTACGAGGGGCTGCGACCAGGTGAGATTGCGGAGCGAAGGCGCAGCCAGGGTAAGGGCAAGTGGGATATCTGGGTCGATGGATGCGAGGATGGAGAGTGAGTTTCTGCGTCGAGCTGTTGTCGGTTTGGGGTCTCCCCCCGCGTCCTGAAGCGAGGAAAGCTGACTGTGTCCTGGATCACAGGAGGCCCGACCAGGTGGAAGCCCGTTTAGACCGCCTTATCGCCGAGATCAAGGCGATCCAGGCTCCGGTGATACATGGTGGGCCAGCCCCTGATGTGTTGATTGTAAGTCACCCACAGAGCACGTGTCCCGGATCGCATTCTCATTATCGGAATATCACGGCTGGGATTGGGCCCCTGGCAGTGTGTGTATGCTGACATGGAGGTCTGCCAAAGGTGGCCCATGGCCATATCCTGCGAGCTTTTGTCAAACGGTGGCTGCGGTTCCCAATGAACTTTGCCTTTGCGCAGATGATGGAACCCGGGGCCATTGGCATTCTAAGCTATGCCCACCATAACATTGAAGAGCCGGCTCTCCTGGTTGGGATGGGGTTTCCAGCAAGTTCTTGAGCTATTGTGATACCACATTGCTGCGCAAGGCTTGAGCTGGCAACCTATACACCAATTCAAATGGGGCGGGGGTATAGTCGGCCGCGGTCAGACGGTCCGCAGGGCTGCATCCGCTCGAGTGGATGCGCTATCTATATGCAAATGCACATATCATTATCTCTGGCTGTGTTGCGAGTCCTCTGTTCCTCAAACGGTTTCGCAAAATCGTGCCGTCAATGGGAAGCAGCGGTCGGCACTGAGTAGAGGGCAGGCATTAAGTCAGGCATGTTCTCGCACACGTCTTGGTTCCAAACACACAAGTTCTTCGGAGTCGCCTCAGTGGGATATCTCATCCGTGTATGCCACACTGGTCAGCATCGTCCACCTCACCCTGTATTGTCAGCAGATCCGAGGCGCCACCAAACCTGCGCTGCGACAGTCTGTATTGGGTCGCCAGTGGCACCCTGCGCTTCTTACCTATGGTGGCAGTACTATTGGAACTGGCCAACCACGACTCCGCTGATGAAGCAGCGCTCCGAGGCGATCCGGCCAATGACTAATCGTCGTGGAATGACACCGAAAACTGGTTAGACCCAAAGACTCGATGTAGTGGAACTCTGTTGTGTCTGGCGCGCCGGGCTTACGGCGCTCTATGACTGAGCTGACCCCAGCAGGGAGGCCAGTTGAGATTTCGCGTGCGCAGAACGAGCAACTTTGGAACTGCTTGGTTGCTTAGCAAATTGGCAGGTTTTGTTTCTTTGTGGCGCCGCTTCGGCCCGGACCCTGTCCGTCGGTGACACGCGTGAAGTGCACAGCATCATTGCCCCGTGCCACCTCCAGTATACTCTCGCCACCACCACTGACTACCAGCAGCCACTTCGCACTACACTAGTGGTCCCACCACCCCCGGCCAGGCAGTTGGCGCGTCGTGGCCCGTAAGCAAGTATCACAAGCCGGCAGTTTCGCCCCAGGCGTCCTGAAATAGAGACGCGCCAGGCATCAAGGTCGGACCTGTTTCTGGTTGGCGTGCCAGGCAAGACTTGTACCCCAGGTTGACGGGGACGCCCATCCCACGTCGTTGCTGCCGGTTGGCATTCGTGTCTTGACCTTACAAATCACTCTGTTATACCTAGGGGCCAGGGAAGAGTCCAGGGGTGGCGATGTACTGCCAGGCCGGAGACATCGGACTCCGTGTGGAGAGTCGTCTCAAGAGTGGAGTGGTTGTCACAGGAGCCCGATATACGTACATAAGTACTTTGTTTATCCGGAAGGGTCCAGCTTGCAGCCCGAGGTATCGCCGCCCATCTAGCCCGTAAATACGGGCACGCTTAAGCAGGGCAAAGGCTTGACTTGCTGACATGAAGCCACACCCATCCCATCCGCTGGTGCCGGCCGGCCAATGGCCTTGGACCTGCGACAACCCCAGGAGCCAAAACCGTCAGCACTTAACTCCGTTGGTCGCCGGCCGTCGCGGCCCCGGACCGCCAACCGCACCAGACCCGCGATTAAGAGGGGCCAAAAATTGGCCGCAACAGCATGCCCTTGGACGCGGGTCTAAAACAGGGCACTTTTACTGGGAGGAGCTCGGGATTGTCGTTGCTGCGGAACCGTCCGGTTCGTTTAGGGCTGACCGCATTACGTAGCTCATGGTCAGAGTCTCACCGCAACAGAGGGGCCTAGCCATATAAGTCACAGCTAAGTGCTCGCAACCGCCTTGCTCTTTTTTTTGGCTGTAGTTTTCGTGTAGACTCTAGGCATTCGAAAATCTTGCCCAGCATTTCAGTCCCCACGAGAACATACTATAGCCGGTCCAAGGAGCGTCATCGGCAGACAAATTACTATAGCCATCCATCATGAGTGGTCAACCCTGGCACCAGCAGCCCGACCTGCACACCTATGCTCCGCACCGGTCGACTCTTCTCTCACATCCCGGAAATCTCCAGCAGGCGCTTAAGGATGCCCAAGCAGACCCGGGCAAGGCCCTCTTTGGCGTGGCCCAGGGCATACCCAGTGTGTTTGTCACAAAGGTATGCCTCATGAGCCAGACATGCACAATCCCGAACTCCAAAAACACTGACCACAACGCCTTGTGTGCCCGTCTTATAGGTCATCGCCTCTGCCAAGCCAGATTTCATCTGGATAGATGTGGAACACGGCATCTGGAACCGCCTGGCCCTCTACGAGTGAGTCAGGACGACTTGCCTCAAAGCGCTGTTGCTTTCACTGCCCCCGGCATCCTCGGGCCCATCAGATGGTGTTTTGGCAGAATGGAACCAACTAATCAAAAAACAGTGCCATCCAAGCCGCCCAACACCACTCCGAGGGCAAGACCCTCGTCCTCGTCCGCGTGCCCAAGCATGACGAGATCAGCTTGACCACCGCACTGGACGCCGGCGCGGCTGGCATTGTGATCCCGCACTGCGAGAGCGCCGACGAGGTGAGGAAGATGGTCAAGGAGATGTACTTCCGTGAGTGCTCCCCCCCCCCTTTTCCCCCGCCTGGACGGTTTCAGAGCTTTGGCCCGGAGAGTGTGCCCTTTCATCCATGACTGACAGAAGCCGTTTTTTTCTCTTGCCATGCTCAGCACCCATCGGCGCCCGCTCCTTCAGCCCCTGGACTTTCGCGCCGGGAGTCAATGACCAGTCGCTTTACCCCGGGGACTCGTTCAACACCAAGACAGCCAACAACCACGTCGTCCTGATCCCGCAGATCGAATCGGTCAAGGGCGTCGAGAACGCAGACGAGATTGCCAGCGTCGAGCATGTCGGCGGGCTCATGTTCGGTCCCGGAGATTTCATGGCCGATGCCGGGGTCCCCCTCACCTTGGAGGGTCCCCCGCACCCTGTATTGATTGATGCCATGACCAAGTTCGCCATGGCTGGTGCTAAGGCGGGCGTGCCGCTCTTCGGGTATGTTCCTAGGTCCCTTTCGACGTGTTTTTTTTTCGTGTTTTGGAGTGGTGGTGCACGAGCTGACTGTCGATGTGTCTGTGAATAGTGCCGCCCAAAAGCCTGGCCAGATCCCCATGTTGCTCGAACAAGGATACCGCCTCATCGCCGTAGCCTTTGACGTATGGGCCCTTGCAGGCCTCATAGCCGGGAAGCTCAAGGAAGGTCGTGAGGACGCTGCTGAGATGTCGGCCAAGTTGAAGGCCGCCGGCAATGGTGATGCTGCGACCAGTGGCGAGGAGAAGGAGGTCGCCCTGAACGGCAAGGCTTGAGCTCACAGAATGAGCTGCGCTCGATGACCGACGCTGCTGTCGAATAAAGTAGATGTTTCTCTCATCGTGCTGAATATTAGAGCCATAGAGATGTCTTTCTTTTGCCATCAAGTCATGAATGCCAAAGCGTGGTTCTGATACAACATCATATACAGAGACTGTCTGCTGCAAAAACAAATGATATCGAACCTCTTCACACCACGCCAGTAAGAGTGCACGAACTGCACCCTCCATCGAAACGCGAAACCTGAACGCCTAGCATGAGATGATAATAACAACGAGGCCGCAAAACCCACCAAAAATAGAGCATCAGGCTTGCCTAGTCGTCCTTGGAACGATCTCCATCTTTCTCGTCCTCTTCATCCTCGAAACCCCAATCTCGGTAGTCGGTGCCCTGGAGCCAACTCACCCCCTTGCGCCAAGACGCCTCACGGATGGCTGCAGCATCTCGTTCGTAGACAGCTCCCGTGACGGCTAAAGCAAGGACGAAAACCCACACGTCGCCTCCACGCATGGCTTTCCACCACCGACGCTTGACACCAACCTTCCACAAAGAGTCGACACTGGCACGGGCTGTGTACATGAACATGCCGTGGCCGCTCTTGCGCTCGATAAAGGCCCAGAGGCCGGCGAGGAAGCCACCCAGGAAAAACCGTTGCGTGGCGAAGAAGTTGCGTGGGAACCAGTTCTGGAAGAAGCAGATGCTAGCCCAGAATGTTGATAGTGAGCCAGTGACAAATGTGGACATGCGTAGAGACTTTGCGAGCAGCTTGTTGATCAGGTATAGCGGCGAGTTGTACAACAGCTTGAACTTTGGCAGCATCATCAGCGAGTAGAACAACAGGACGACACGGCCGATGCGAGGCAGTGTCTGTGCCCAGAAGGTAAGTGTCGTGCGCGCACATGACGGATCCGAGGGGTGCAGCGTGGCACAACTGAGCGAGGTAATGAGGGGATGCGCTTGGGCCGTGAGCGGTGCGAGTGCCACAAGCGAAGCAGGGAGTGTCTGCTGACCGGGAAACATGGCAGGAGACACGAACGAGCTGCAGGATGGGTCAGTGAGACAAGGACGGCAAGTGTTTCGAGAAACAGGGAGAAAATGCTTACGGCCATTTGAGCTTGGCCATTTCTGCGAGGTTGTCTGCAACCCCGGCTGGGTCCAGCCACTGCATGCTAGCAGGCAGGTTTGCGGGAGCCTCGTGCAGATATGTGGAACTGCCCTTGAATAGCAGGGCCAGAAGGGGCGCCGGCGCGCAGTCGCGATCAAAGATGGCGGCATGGAGTAACTGGCCAAAGGCCAGTGGCTGCAGCATCCAGCTCCCCCACCACCAAGGCCGCTCATTCTTGATGAGACCCTTGCCACCAGCGCGGGCTCTGAAACCCCAGATGGTGCCGTCGCCTTCCAGCATGTTCCAGCCGAACTCCAGTGCTCTGAAGATTGTGTAAATGGCAACCGACAAGCGGAACTGGCTCGATGGGTAGACACCGAGCGCCAGGCCCGCCAGACTGGCACCGACAGCGGGGGCGATTGGCGAGGTGAGCGCTTGCGCCGTGCGCGGGTTCCGCTGCCTGAATGGCATGGCTGACGGGTCGAGGAGGTGGGCACGCAAGCGGCTAAGGAAGCGGAACAGCAGGCGATAGAGCAGCAAAATTGTCGAGAGAGACAAGGACAAGCGCATTGTTGCCGATCTATAGAATGGCTCCTTGGATTTTGAGGCCACAGCACTGCGAAGTAGATGTCAGTCTACGAGAAACGGCGCCTTCTGAGGCAACCCTCCATGCTCACGTACCTCTGTCCTCCTTTGATGCGAGCCATCAGGACTTCGTAGGCCTTCATGCCGACATTGGTGACGATGAAGACGCGTAGGGCATGCCGAACCGCGCGGGCGTTGTAGGTGTCACCCGCGGCCGTCGGCTCACCTGCCTTTGGCCTGGCTCCCTTGGACTTGTCGGAGCCCCTCGGCTGGGGTAGGTCGTGGGACGCCTCACTCGAGGAGCGGCGTCCAGAGCTGCCGTCCATGTATTTCTCCATTGCGGTAGGGGATGGGACCTTGCGACGCAGCACGCGGGAACGCGAGAGGACAAACTTGTGCAGCTTCTCATATTCGCGCGAGGTGATTGTGTAGCGCAGGGCGTTGCGCAGGATCGGGTCGGCGGCAGGGGAGGGCTTCGACTTTGAGCCTGCCCGTGGCCTGGAGAAGCTGTCCGAAGACGACAGATTGCCAGGACCACTCGCTGACGGGGCAGCCATGACGGTGGTGGTGGTGGTGGTGGTGATGTTCAGGAGGAGCGCGTGGTCGACATGGATGGCGCAAACGAAGTCGGCTGCGGCCTGCGGCGGGATCACTGGAGGCGCAGGATCAGGGGATTAGACGCGACAGCCTCGAACGCAAGGGCAGCATCGAAGAGGCCTGGCGATGTTGCTGGCGATGGCGACGGGCGACGGACGACTGGAGGCGGCAGTGGTTGCCGCGTGTGGGGGTGGGCGGGCAGGCGCGATGAGATAAGACGGGAGTCGAAGCTGACGAGCGGGCGTGCTTGGGCGAGGAATGGCCTGGCCTGGCTGACGCATTGGGAGCCAGCAGGCCAGAAACAGCAAGTTCCTCGGCTGGCCGCCCGCTTAGGAGCCCGGCGGCCGGCACTGCATCGCGACCAGGCTCGCACATGCCAGCCAGCTCCGCATCCCTGCCCGTCCAATCTCCGGCCCACCATCCATAAAGCAAGGCAAAGCACTGACGGGCTGATCGCCCTTCCGTCTCATGCTCGCCTGCTCTCCAGAGCTTTGCTCTCTGCACAGGCATCCTCTTGTGGGCGTGCATCTCACTTTCCACCTTCGCCCTGCACCTCTACGAGGAAAGGGGGGTCTTCTTCGCACCGAGGGCTGGCACGGCAGCATCCTCGTTGCTCCCTGCCTTACGCAGTAAGGTACCCTGCCTTGTTCATGCGACTGGCCCGCTGGTGTCTTCCCCAGCTTCCACTCTGGAGCCGGCCCAGGATCTCGGGTGGGGCACAAACACACTTTTTTGGCTCCATCACGGCCACCCGCAATCTCCTTTCTCCAGAGCTCATCATGCAGCAGCACCCGCCTCTCTGGCATCCTCCGTAGCCTCGAGAGTCAATGGAGGTGTGCACATTGAGCCGTGGCCGTCTTTTGGAAGCATGTGAACAAGGCACAATTCTGCCTGGACGGGCTTGGCGAGTCATGCGATAGAGTGCTATACTACTACAGTGTCCAATAATTAGCCTATTCCCCAGCTTGAACCTCAATATCGGGCACATCCCATTTCTGTGGCGGTCTGGCGAACCCTCCGCAAGCCATCTCCGAGCATGCTCGGCGACCTCTGAACATACAGCCCTGGCTACAAGAGCAAGACTGCACGATCCTTTGCAATCCATGGGAGAGTCGCGCTGTATTATCAGACCTCAGGCGCAATTCGTCCAGGTGAAGAGCAGAGGGAAAAGTTGAACGCTCGGCTGAACCACGCTGGCAGACCTATTGCATGTCGCGCAGCCTGGAACCACGAAAAGAGCCCGCTTCTTAATGGAGCGTTCATTGTGCCATACGGATAAAACGTCACATTGCATCATTCGGGATAATTGGAGTGTTGAGAGGCATTGAGGGGCTGGTCGGGTGGTTATAGTCCGATGACAACCTTCGTGGACCTCACTCCTGCACAAGTATGTCCATTATGAGTGCATATCCATCCTTATGGTGTGATGGAGTAGCTGTGACGATAATTCTGCTGCATGTGTATATTGGGCTCATATTGGGTTTTGCCGGACGAGGTTTGAGAGGGCTCGGCGTGCGCATTATATAGCTCGCGTGTGTTCAATCAAGATAACAAACGATCTGCAGGGTGCATGGAACACTGTCTTCCATTTATCGGGGCTTGTCGCGCCATTATAAAGGGCGAAATCGTCGTCGTCGTTCGTATCCCTTCACCCGTGAGGCTTAATGCGAAACTTAGGATGCACCCCTTCTGCCAGGAAGCCACAAAGGCAAACATTATATCAACAGAAGAATGCGCCAGACTAGAACGGTGGAGCCATTCAGGTCAAGGCACAACTCAGAACAGCAGACATGAGAGCCACCAACCTGTCACCAATACTGTATTGTACGAGCACCGAAGAGTCGCCGCCAGCGTATCGCAAGCCTGACGAATTGCCCACACATTGGCCCAGCAGTACGTGCTGTGGTCTTACTTGCCCCTGTTTGATACTTTATACAAGTCTCTTCATCTGGGCGTCCATAAGTTTGTCCGAAAAAAGATGGCGCTAATCCTCTATACTAAGTAGATATGTGACAGGATAGCATGGCAGCACTTGATCAATCTATTCGTCATTGTGGTTTGAAAGATCCTCGCGTGGGGCCTGATTTAGAGCAAGGACGCCTGTGACGTTCCGAGCCGGCACTGTATTTTTAGGTGACTTGTTCAATACTTCCCCAGCCAACCCGGGCCTACCGCGATATCTCAGTGCTCTGACTCGATAGGTATCAAGATGACTGTTCGAGAAGGAGGCTGGAGATATGACTGCATGATTCCAAATAGGCGTCCTCCTGGACGTATCAGGCTGCAATGAGGAGCTCCCTACAATATAGCCGTTCAGTCGAACACAGTGTGCGTGGCAACTCACGCCGCTCCATGGGCAGCGCGATACAGATGTTCTTTGCGTCTATGGGCAGCAGCTTCGCGTCCACCACGTTCATACAAAAGAAGTATCCGAAACATCCGACTGGTTTCTGGTGTGCGGTTGGAACGCAGTTGCTGTTGACCGGGCTTGTGGTGTTGATTACATGCCACTTTAGGCGGAATCGACTAGCCGATGAAGTCGGGCTGGTGTTTTAAGGCGATCTTAGTTACAGACACGAGTTGTAGTCGGAGAAGGGCTCGCATGGTCGAGAGCTTTTGCGGCCGAGTTGTTGTACTGAATGGTATTGTTGAGGCTAGCAGGTGAAGCTCTGCATGTTCTAGACGATATCACAACAATCGATCGATAGTTGTACGTGAACGAAGCCCAATATTCTTAAGTGTATCGTGTACGGGCGACGGAATTGAGTGCAAGTATAAAACATAACCGCAGGTGGCAGCTTACTACAAATGATAGGTAGCGAAGCGCACGAGTGTATAGGGAAAAGCTCGCGAGTGTAATGGAGAACGGAGGTGACCATAGACTGGCCACATCGGATTCGTATGCAGGCCGCAGATCCTGACTCGAGCAACTCGAGGAAGCATCTGCCAAAGCCGCGACACCAGCAGAACCCCAGAGTCCACGGCCAGAAAATCCTTATCGAGAATCATCTGACATTTGCCACGAAACCGACTGATCTCAAGCGCGTTTCAGGCCCGGATCGAATGCAATACCTCTCGAATGCCAGTTTGCACATGCGCCAAGAAATATTATGAGCTAGGTACGTAAACCGCCGGAGCTCCTAGGAGATTTTGGGCGCTGAGCACAGGACTTTGAAGAGCCTGCTTGGGGACCTCCGACAGAGCTCGGGAGCAGCCGCCTCCAAGCTCTCCCGGCAATCGCGAGCGGGAGGGGATGATGCAGCCACATCTTGAAGGTCCGAGGGGCTGCCCAGCTCAGAGTTATCAGCCGCATCGGAACGATAGCCCCGGCTCTTACTGCCGACTAGGTACTGGGAGGGTGAATCGTTGATCTCCTGCTGCGCATCGTACGATAGATTGGCCGCCCCCCCCTTTCCTCGCTTTCGGAGCCCGCCAGCATCCTCTTACAGCACAATAGTAAGTCGTGAGATACCATGTGATCAGGGGGACTACACAAGGCGCCTCGGGCATCATGATTACATGGTTGCTATGGAGCCAAACGCTAGTTTCAGGCCGATGCCATACTTCAGGATCGTTAAGCATTCCCGTTGGCGGAAGTTATCACTGACTGGATAGGCTGTTCTTGTAAAGTGCCCGCGAGATAGACTCTTGACAATGCCTATGGTGCCATGTTTCATGTCCAAGTTGACGCGTGGTATCGTTTCCCAGCGGGGGCCAAGTCGATATCGAACTTGCACCTCAGCGCGTGATGCGGTCTACGTCGGGAGACTGGCTGACCCTCGTGATTCGACATTCAGGGGGATCATCTACCATGCACGAGGGAGAAGTCACCGGTTAATGAGACATGGTGCGATCAGGCTCATGAAACTGCTATGCGATTTGTGAAGAGTCTGCGAAAATGTGGCGGTGGATTATAGCTGGCTTTGACTATCAACATGAGTCGTGATCTCTACGATGTGTGCAAGCTGGATGAATTCTTCTCGCACAAAGAATCGGGAATGGTGGATTTCGAGGCAGAAGCCAGAGTCTCTGACCTCCACGTATTGGGCTTGCAGGTTCACAGAATGAAGCTTTTCGCGGATTGTAGCTCGAAGCACGCCCGAGCACGCCTGTGTGCTATCGCAAGCCTACCTTGGAGAATGTGTGAAGCACGTGTCATTTGTGATTTGCTAGACACTGCAGCGAGTCGTGACCTCAACGTTGGGAACGTCATACTGATCTCGGCAAGCGCTCTCGGCACAACCCGAAGAATGCAAAGTCTTCCCCGGATGGTGCAGTCATCTCGTGTGTGGGGTCTGAAAGCTGTGAGACAGGCCTGTGTTGACTCATCTGGGAACAGCTCAACATGTTGCATTGAACGCTGGCCATCAACACCGACGGAGACCGTTAGTGGTCTGAAGATCCTCCGCAGAGCACCAGCGAGGTGTCGCAACTTGTGCGCATGTGTTGAGGAGCTCAGTGTGACAATTTTAGCCCAGTGATTGCTCATGCACCAATGACATTTTGAGACACGCCAAGGGTGCATCAGCGAGCACTTTAGAGGGGGGAATTGGGTGGTGCCATTTTCTGATGGATGTCGTCCGAGCCGGGTCTTCAGTGGCCGGCCGCTCCACGCATCGTCGAGATGAGGGCGCGTTAGGGAGGGTCGCCGGACAGCGACGGCCGGCCGAACGGGAGCCTTGCGAAGGAATATAGCGGAGGCTTTTCCGGCCCCTGCCGGCCAGCTGGAAGAGGAACGCAGTCCACCTGGAGTGATCTGAGCAGGCATGACCCTCCCAGTGTAACCTGGCCGCCATGGTGCCGTCGGAACCGCCAAACCATCTCGTTTCGCGGCAGGGCTGAGGCACCGAACACGCGGCCTGTCACTGGCCACTCTCGTGTCCACTGGGCAAGGGCAAAGACGAGACCGAAGGCTTAACATGGGTTACGATGAGCCGGCGGAGACCGACGTCGGGCAATGTCATTACACCGTGTGCCAGGAAGCCACGGTGCAGACTGTCCTTTGAACCAAAAGTCAAGATGGTTTGCATCCGGGACAAGTCGGGAGGTTAGTAGGCTGACGTACGGAACCAGATGTGGGCAAATGAGCTCGAACTTCGGCCCGTGGCTTTTTTCACGTTCACGAGCTATGAGGCTGATGCTCGGCGGGTAAGTAATGATGATGGTGCAGATGGTTTGTTTGATTTCAATGTCTTGTACACCAGATCGAATCGAATCATCCCAAAGCGATTTGATCTGTCTCGCGGAATTACCAAAAACCAGACAGTGGCTTATGGCTTGTGTGCATTGAGCACACGACGCTCTGGTCTAGATGTTTTGATCAAGTCGCTTGCTGGCGGCCGAGGCGAGTAAAAGTGCGTCGCCGTGCGTCGCCAAGATCACCACCCTAGGTCATGGCACGAGCCAAAGGCTGCTGGGGAAACTGGCCCGTCTTTCCGCTCCGCCAAGGAGTCGACCATGTGCTGCAGAGACAGGAAGCTGTTGCCGAGGGCGAGGTCCATTGAGGCTAGCGGACGCAAATCTGGCAGCACGACAGCGGGGAACTAGAACAGCACTAGAAGGCACTTTTCCTGTCGGTCTGTACATGAAGGCCACGAGACAGGTGGAACCCGGGGTCCTTGGGCCGACCGAAACATTTTGCCTTTGCAGGTCCCGGGCATCATGCTGACGTCGGCACATTGATAAACTTGCCCCAGGAGGGATGTTGCTCTCCCGTACAGACTGCCACCGAGCAGTCTGCTCAATATCGTGACTACCTACCATGGAGCCCGTCTCTACATGTCGAACACCTCAGCTCGGAGTGGATGTAAGGAAAGTGAGGAAAGATCATGATGAGCTGTCGTCAGTGGGGTGCTGGCTAGCAAGCGAGGGTGTGTGTCGAGAATCTCTGCCTGGGGATGGTCGACTTGAAAGGCACGTTGGTGGTGGGAAGGAGGTGAGGTGGGCGTGGAGGAGGCAATAGCGGAGGGGTGCATGGAGTAGACGAGGCTGAAGTGGGGGATGCCACGCTGCAAGGGAGAAGCCGCCTTGGCAAGGGTTGGAAGGGTCCGCGGCAACGGTGGCTACCAATCAGAGGGGCGCCTGGGGCAGTGGGCGGGGCTGCTCATACGATTTGGGGCGCCAGCCTTGCAGATGGCCTGATCTGGCCGGCGCCGGCCCCTCGAGCCCTGCCTGGTCAGGCCACTTCGACTCCTCCCTCATGCGACTTTGCATCTGCGCTGGCCAGCCCTCCTCCTTGACCTCCCACTGCAGGCAACTGTGCGTGCCTGTGACACAGCGTCCATGGCACGAGCCAGGCGCAACGTTTGCCCGCGCGAGGACCAACGGAACTCGCAGCAATGGAAATCAATCATGATCACGGGTCTCGGATCGCTGCCACGGCCGCCCACGCCAACGGCTTCCGATGGCAGCACTGCTGCGCTCTGCATGCTCCTGTGCGCTCTCGCGCTGCGCAGTGCTGCAACCATGGGCCGATGCCACCGTCCCGCCGCGGGCCCTGGCCTCCGGGCGCTGCTCGTGCGTGCCCAGCATCCGTGACACTGCACACACACGCGAGACAGCACCGCTCCGCACCGCTGTTTCCTCGCCGTCCTTGACTGACCCGATCCGGGAACATCCTTTCCCCCCTCAACAACAGCAACAACTGTACCGCCAATTACCCCTAGGAAGCGACCCTCGTCCAGCGACTACGCTAACGTCCTGCCACCTGCTCCCGGCATAGCCTGCCTTCGTTGCCATTGATATTTACTCGGCCACTGTCCACCACCACCTCCGTCATCGACCTCCCACTCGACTCCCCATCTGCCATCATCAAACGATCTTCCATCTGCCCATCTCGCCCGCCACACCATCTGCCCACCCAAGGGCCTCTATAGCACAGCACCTACCCAGAGTCTCGCAGAGACAACAACCAGGACGCCCCTTGGACGACCTCCACCCCCCGCCATGGACCCAAGTGTCATGCAAGGCATTGACGCTTTCCAGCCTTCCGCCCACGACGCAGCTGCCAGCTCCCCCGACCAGCCTGCCGCCGCTGTCAAGCCCCAGCACCTTTCAAAGAAACGCAAGTGTGCCGAGCCCAAGCCGCCCTCGGCTCAAGACCTGTCTGCCCTCGATTGCTCCGATTACTGGCTCCGCTTTGACAGCGACACCGAGAGCATCACCTACCCCCAGGACAACGAAACCTCCTCCTCTTCCCAAGCCGCCGCGCAGTCGCGCAGGTAAGTCTGATACGAGATATCAAAGGTCTGGTCATTGGGTGATTACCCCCCACCCCGCGCCTGGTGCCGGCGCTCGAGCTGCCTTGCTGACCGAGTCCTCTCTACAGCTTCTTCAACGCCTTCACGCCCAACCTGCGCGGCGGTCTAGCCTACCCAGGCGACTTTGGCTTGAGCAGGCGCTCGCCATCCAACGACTTACTCGACGACAGTCCACTGGACAACGCTTTGTCAGAAGAGGAAGATATCTTTTCCGCCCTGGCACTGGACGAGGAACTCCGGAGGACAGAAGCTGCACCCATCCCCAACGACGTACCCCCACGGGAGACTTTGTACTCTACTCCGCTGAGCTGGGAGCCGCCGCAACCAGGTGTGCGCATGGAGAGCTACATCAACATGAATCCAGCCTTCAACAACCCCGAGCAGCGCCGTCTCCTCGCCATTGCCATGGGGACTGGCCAAGCCTTCTCACCCGACGGCACCAGGCCAGATGCGATCATGGATTTCAACTTCGACGACATCACACACAGCCCCGCGAGCACGAATGCACGACCACGGAGACCACAGCCTCCAACGAGAACCGACTCATCCGAGAAGCAGAAGATGAAGCCCAAGAGCAGCGAGAGAGCGGCCCATAACGACATTGAGCGCAAGTATCGGACCAACCTCAAGGATCGGATATCCGAGTTGCGTGATGCTGTACCCTCACTCAGGGCCATTCCAGAAGACCCAGATGACGACTCTGGGGCAGCTGCATCTCGCTCAACACCCAAAGTCAGCAAGGTGAGCCACGGCTCTTTCACTTCTTCATGACCAACTATTGTGACTAACAATATCACACAGGGTACGATCCTGACCAAGGCTACAGAGTACATTCATCAGCTCGAGCGCCGCAATCGATCCATGGAGAAGAAGCATGAAGAGCTCTGCCGGAGACTGCAAGCATTTGAGCAGCTGGTTGGTGCAACACCTTCGGGTCCAACTTGGCAACCCCAAGGCTACGGCACCGCCGTTTTCAACCCCAGAGCATTCCCATGAGCAACAAGGAGGCACGCATTTGGCAAGCCTATCAACCAACGATCACAAACCAATCAACCTTACCACATCCTCCCGAAACGAATCAGCCTACACATTCATCAAAACTTCGCACTCTCATGATTTATGACCACCATACTGCTTTGCATGAGGGAGCGAATCCGCCAAACCCAAGAATGGGCGCGGTCCTTCTAGATTGGCGTTCTGGTTTGTTTTTCGGCATGGGAAAGGGATATACCAATACAACACACCAATTTCAGCGGTCAAGATGACTTCTGAACCATGCTAGCACGCATGGCTCTATGCACAATTGCACAATTGCACGTGCACACATACACATACACACACACACACATACGGCGTTCACTGGGAGGTTTCAGAATTATCGATTGGGCAAAAAAAGAAAAGTCGACTCCAATTCACTCTCCACACATACTTACCTAATCGCACTCGTCAGGGACCACCGTGTACTGATCTGTTGGTTCGCCTGGCTTCTTACACTCCGTCTCCGCGCATTTCGTCGGCGTCGAGGAAATAGGTTCACCTCGATCCCCTGTATCATACCATAGTTTAAGCAGTCTCAAACAACGCCTCTCATAGGCTCGTCATATGACGTGAGGGTTTTCTTCGCCAGATCCTGGAATGATGTGCATGCTGGCGTAGGTCTCGCCGCACCTGAGGAGTGGCGGATATTTGTGTCCAAGGTGTCGGGTCAGAAATGTGAATTCTACAGCATCTCTAGCAATCATGCAAGTTCAAAGTGAGATAAAGGTGCCTCTTTGTGCCCTTGTTTCCTAAGAGTAGGATATATAGCTATTCTACAATCATGACAAGTTCCACATGTCATGTCCTACGCCATACCGCTTTCACGTTGGTTATTGCATCTAGTGTTGCTATATGACACTCGTGTCACCATGACGTGCCCTTCAACTTCGGAGTGCCTCGATGTCGTCGACCTCCTTGACAGCCTCCGTGGTAAGGATAAGAGGGTTCTCCTCACCAACGCAGACACTGTCTTCGATCCGGACCCCCAAGCCGCGGAATGCAGGCGGGAACCGGTCGTCGTCGGGGACGTAAATGCCTGGCTCGATAGTGACACAGTGACCCTCACGCAGCACCTCGCCCCTCGAATAGCCTGGGGTGTCATGTACGTCGAGACCAATGTAGTGCCCAACATGGTGCGGGAACAAAACGCTCATTTCATTGCCTTTGAGCTGGAAGCCCAGGGCCTGGAGCTGGTCCCGTAGGGCTGTGTCGGTAATGTGGTGGATCTTGTCGAGCGTCATGTTGGCGCTCGCGCGGCACAGAGACACCGATGCACGCTGTGCTTTGAGGACGGCGTTATATAGGTCCTTTTGCGCAGGAGAGAATTTGCCCGATGCTGGCCACGTTCGAGTGATGTCGGTGATATATGTGCCGTATTCGCCACCAGAGTCGACCAGGATGAACTCGTCATCATTGAGTATTCCGTTATTCAGAACGTAGTGGATGAGCAGTGCCTTTGGGCCTCCAGCAATGACGGGGATATAGGCATGACCGTCAAGGCCTCTGGTCTGGTACTGGTAGTCGAGGAATGCCGCAAGGTCTTTCTCATATTCCCAGTGCTGGCTCATGGCTGCGGTCAAGGCACGCCCCGACTCCTGTCCGGCATGGCGCATGTTGGCAATCTCGGCCGGCGACTTGATGGCTCGTAGAGCATTGACATGCTGTCTCAGGGCGGCAGTTGGAATATTGTCTGCAGCGGCGCGCACAACGTTCCCAAGTTTTGTCGGGACTCCAGACTTGGTCAACTCGGCATCGGTGTAGATCTTGGTAACTCCATTGAGCACATCAGGCAAGACAGCCTCGATCTTGGCGATATCGGCAACCTCGTCGGCATTCCACACGTCCCTAGCTGCGTCCAGTCCGCTCCAAGGGCCCGTCCATTGTTCAGCTTTTGGGTTTTTTGGCCGGCAGAAGAGGTGAAAGACGTAGTCGTCCGCGGCGGGCCCCTCTTTGCGCAGGACAGCGAGTGAGTCAGGCTCGGAGAATCCTGTGAGGTAAAGAAAATTCGATTCTTGGCGGAAGGCATGAAAAACGGCGCCAGAGCGGTAGGTTACGGCGGCGGATGGGAGAAGGACGGCCGAGTTTGACGGAAGGTTGCGGCACAGGGCAGCACGGCGTTCATGGTATTCCTGCGCAGAGATGCCGGGCGTCAGCTCGCCAGGGCGTAGAAGATGCGGATGTGTCTCATGGACAGGCTGACCGAAGAGGAGCTCTGAGGCTGAGACTGTCGCTCTTGAGGCGTAGGATCTAGGACAAGCCGATGTCGGTGGGTGAGGGAGGCGCCGTGGTCGAGCTGGCGAGGCTGAGCCGAACCAAAGGGCCTGCCGAAGGGGTGAAGAGGCTGAGAGGGCCGGCCTCAAGAGCCTCGCGGACAAGGACGGTGACATGGCAGCAGAGGGTAGAAGATCTTATCGTTGGCAGGCACGAGAGCTTGCCATGGTGGCCCGTGGAGGAGCAGGTCGCGAGGGTAGGTAGTGGTGACTGACGTACTTGCACGGAGCGAATTGTGCTAGCATCGGACGGAGATCGAGTGACAGGGGCAGCTGGAAGGTGGTCGATTTCAGCCGTCTGTGATTGGTCGCAGTTCCGTTACCCCAGTTTTAAGCTTCGCTCGTTTGAAAACCAGGACGGCTGATGTCGTCAAGCTCCTCCAGGGCTGGATCAAGAGCTGTCAGATGCTTCGATCATGCAGAGTCCTGCATGTTTCCATTGGCGAGCCGCTCCATACTTTCCGGATGCCAGGGCGCTGGGACACAAATACCAAAGAAAGCGCAGTGAGTCTCTGAAATATGGTTTTGCCGTGCCGCCATCACCGGCTCCGGACCAATCAAGCAGGCAAGCGAGCAGCCGTGCAAGATTTCAAGACAAGGTTGCCACGCGACGAGCCAGAGCAAAGGACCTCTTCGTGCAGACCACGGACAATGGCTCATTGCCTCGGGTCACACCATGAGTGCAGTGCGCGGCTGTCTGGTGATGTGGGCTCGGCAATTTCGAAGCCGCCTTTTGTCCCGCTAACAAAAACAAGCTGCCAGTTTGGGAAATGACGACAGACATGGGCCGTTGCCGTGCGTGAGGGCGGCTCTGCCCGTCGGCATGAGCACGCTGTGGCCTCCACAGTACATGCCATAGGAGTTGGTGCCTTCATGCCGTGCTGGACATGAGGAACCCGACCAATCCGTTGCACCTGAAGTGCTGGTCTTGACATCTGCGGCCAGACCCCAGCAGGGCATGAGCATCGTGGCGGTCCTGACATAGATGTGAGCTCATATGAGGGCGCTGCGCATACCGTGGCTGGCCTGAGCGTCGGTGTGGGCGGGGAGTGGGTGGTGCACTCTGATGCAAGGGAAGAGCGTGTTTTCAGTGGAGCTCGGCTGCGTTGCTGTGGCCCGTCGCGTCAAGTCGAGCCTGCTTACCTGAGCCTCGCCTGAGAGGCCCGGCCGGCCCCCGCAGACACGTTCTCGCACCAAAAGCTCTCCGGTCCCGTCTTCTGCCACTCACTCCAAGTCGTGTCTGCCACCGTTCCAGCTCATCGACCTCTTCCTCTCGACCAGACTGCTCGTCCCATTCCGCCTCTGTGCGCAGATCAGGCCTCACGAGATTCTCCCCCGTCTTTCACTGACTCTTTCCCGAACACTGAAGAGCTCCGCGGCCCCCACGGCGACCGCAACCGCGCCCATCTGCTCGCCGTTTGCCCAGGCCTCGACGCGGTCCCCCCCGACACGCTCGGCACGTGCTGCATCTGCTGCCATTGCGTGCACGAACGCCCGGCCCAGCCACCAGTGAGCACCCACAGTGCCCGCTCCACCACAAGCTCCATCGCAGCTCGCCCCACAGCATCAACATCAACAACATCAAAACACCAGCACTTCTTATCCTCCAACTGCTAGGCCGCTCTGTCTGCCGGAAGCCCGCCTATCTGCCTGCCTGGATCATGATACAATAGCGCTGGTCCTTGCCGCCCCCGATCCGTACATGGCAGCAGTAGCTCTTTCTCCCTCTCCTGTCCATCCATCCCTCTCCCGGCCGACTGCCGCCATGTCTGGCCGACGCGTGCTCCCCCTCCAGACAAACATCAACGCCGCCAACTCGCCTCTTCGGCCCTCGGCCGCTGCTGCTAGCCATGCCGCAGCGGCCGGGATGCCTCTCAAGCCTCGCCGCACCTTACCACAGCCTGTGGCCGCACACCGTGACCACAACCGCGACGCTCAAGACACTTACGCTGAGCAGCCTCCCGCAAAGAAGCAGATCGTAGAGAATGTGGCTCCCTCTCGACTTCTCAAATCACCCTCTCAACAATCCCGCGCCACCTCGAGAAGCCAGCCTGTATTCCAGCAACGCACGAATGCCACCACGTATCGCTCCAAGGTCGACCTTGAGCGAACACGCCCGCAGCATGCCTCCCAACAGCTTCACCAGCAGATTGCGGCAGCTACCAATGTTTCTGCCGTCGAGCAGAATAGCCGACAAGCTGATAAGAGCGTCGAAGACTTTCGTAACTGGCAAAAACATCATAGAGCCAAGTTTCCAAAAATGGTCTTCTTTTTTGATCACATTCCCACAGAAGCCCGTCACAAATTGGCCAAGCAGATAAGTCAGCTAGGCTCGGTAAGTTGTCACGAGACCTGCTCTTTTCCACAGCCCTACTCGCCTTGGTGGAAAGGTTGACTGACCCGATTGGAATGTCATCACAATAGCGCGAGGAAAAATTCTTCTCGATTGAGATCACCCATGTCATCACTACCCGGTCAATTCCCACGGATAAGGGCATTATTGCTAGAGACAGCAATGACGGTCTTGGGAACGTGGACAAAGACGACACGCACATGGACCAAGAACACGAACAACTACAGACGATCGATCCCAAAAAGCTGAGCAGACCTTCGGAGATACCAGTCAAGCGGAAGCTCTTCGACGCCGAACTACGCAGCCGCCAGATTCAGCCTCAAATCCAGCAAGATGTGTTGAGAGTGATGCCGAAGCGTAACACCGATATTCTGCTCCGAGCTCGAGAAATGGGCAAGAAGATATGGTCCTTGGACAAGTTGCAACGAATGCTGCCACTCCTCTTGGAACAAGATCCATATGTGAGCATGCAAATGACCTATGGTAGTCGCACGCAGGCACACGAGTCCCGTGCATCACAGGATCGAAATCTGCTGCAACTGCTCCACAATGAGCGCGTAAACGGGCCGTCTGACCGTGACCCTACAGTCGCTGCGCGGGAACTGCACTACTTCAAGGGTCCATATTTGTACATCTACGACATGGATGAGAAGCAGAAGCCGATCATGGTCAGGGAGTATGAGAAGGTGGCCGATAAGGCGGACGGGGACTGGCCGCAGTTTCGCACCGCAGCAGTTGGTCGATGCCCATTCGTCGAGGATTACGACCATCGGGAAGCCAGACATCACCGACCAAAGCCTGCCGCTGCCGCTGCTGCCTCTCGACCTGCTGTCGAGGTCAAGAAGCCTGTCATACAGCCTCCTGAAGTCCAGCCTTCCAAGCCTATCACAGGCAAGCGCACTTTGAGCGAAATGGAGCAAAGTCACAGTCGCAATTCGAGCGTCGCGTCGATCGAAGTCGCCCAGAGTCTGGCCAGCAAGAGGCCTGATTCGCGCGGCAATGCTTTCACAAGTCGTGCTGCAGCTGGACGACTCTTTGGTGGTGAGCCGGTAGCTTCTGGTCTGCAACCGTCCAACATCACGTCTGCCATCCGCTCGCAGATGATATCGTCAACTGCAGCCACTCCAGGCGTGATTACTGGGTTGAGCAAAGAAGTGCATGGCCTGCAACGACAGGTGCTCAAACGGAACAGCACAGCCACTTCTCAGGATTTCAGTTCGCGTCGTGCTGCAGAGGCCGCTCTGCGGGAGGAAACGGGCAACAAGCGCCCATCGACTCTGGCACGCACATCCAGCAAAAAGCTCGACCAGGTCGACGAAGCATTTATTGGCAAGGGTGACGACAGTGAAATCAGTCGAGCCATGGCTCAACCAGAGAAGCGCCCCTTGCCTAAGCCCAAAAAGCGTGAACTCAAGCCTGGCTACTGCGAAAATTGTGTGGAGAAGTACAATGATTTTGACGAGGTTAGTGTGGCACCATTTGCAACTGACAGGGAAGCTTCAGAAGACTAATCTGTTTCTCAACAGCATATCGTCAGCAGAAAGCACCGTAGATTCGCAGACGACGACCGCAACTGGGTGGAGCTTGACGAGTTGCTGGCTCAACTACAACGTGTTCCAAAGCACGTCCCATTCCAACCGCGCGCTGTCTCCTTCACAGATGATGATGAGCAGTGCTGAGTCGAGGGGAGTGCAAGATCAGGAACATTCTGCTTACGTCACGGGCTCAATCAACAGTTCAACCATTCCGGGCACAACCAACGACATTCACCCACCTCAATTATCGGCCTCCACCGAGCGAACGAAATTTGAGATCCATTCGACGACATCTGCAGTGCGATGATACCCTTCAACCTTGTTTATTGATATAACAAAAATACATTCTCGATTTCCATGATTACCCCTATGCATGCCCAGCGCAGTCGGCTGCATCTGAAGGGCGGCACATGGCATTGCAACGGAGTTCCTAGCATACAGCATGGCTTCATTTTCCAGCACTCCTTTACATCATTTTGCTATTTTTACCTTTGTTGCCTGGAAATCGTTGGTTGGGGGTTGGTTAGGCCCACCAAAGCAGGCTCTCTTGTATCAAGCATTAGTCGGACGCAAAGTCCTTTGAGATGCACAATCGGTATGGCGTGGTTGCGACGAGCAACAGAGCACGGCGGGCAAATGCGGACGTGGCGGCTATTTGGAACGCTCTGAGACGGGTGTGGTTACCTCATTTGATTCATCAGGCGCAATATGGCAAACAGTCAGGGCGTAACAGCTTCACATTGTGTGTTGCATGTGGGAGATTAGGTGCACAAGGATATGTCGACTTCGGTCATCGAAAGCACATTCACTCGAGAGGTCTCATACGCAAATGCAATAAACTTGTGTCTCCCTACAACTATCAAGCCGCGCCTTGCAAGGCCTTTTATGCTCCTTTTGTGAATGATCTGTTAATACCCCCCTTTTCAACCTACACTTGCAGTTGCCGAGCTGGGCACCCTCTCATAGACACCAAGTTAACGAGTGATCAACACACGAGGAACACACATTGTTTGCCCCATCGTAGCATGCAAAATTTCGTCACTGCCCTAAGTGCCAGCCAGAGTTCATCCTCTGTGGGCATTGTCTACTCAAACTTTCCAAGAACGCTTCATAATGCTTTACAATTACACTCTCGATCACATACGACCATAGGATCAAGAAAATTGAGGGTCCCGTCCGCTCCCCTGTACACAAGCTTGATACCGCCGGATCAGTAGTTGGGTCGGTGACGACCAGCGAATCCCCGGTGTTGTATGTTTTTGCTACTTCCAATTTTCTTTTTACCGACTTGATATTATGTTTGTGAGCCGTGTCGTTTGTTTAGGGTAACACTTGCTTGACTTGTCTGTTGGCAAAGAAGCAGATTCAACATGGAAAACGATGAATATTGAGGGTTGGTCGAGCAAATCGACGCGCTTTTTCCTTCGTTGGGGGGGGTGGGGTTGAGGGCTGCCTTTGTGCCAAGTTCCGTGCACCAACTTTCCATCTTGCAAGCTGAAGACTGAATATGTGGTGGACCACGGCCCAGCGGTTGTCGACTCGACCTTGGCAACTGGAGTTCGCTCGTAGTTGTCAAGGGAAGCCCCCATGAAAGACGAAACGGATAGGTTGCGGTGGATGCCTCTCATCTCGTGCCGGGTAAGTCACTCTGAGCGTGGCTCAACATAAGCTGGAGAATGGCTGCTCGTCACCTGCGAACGAATTCCCGGCCGACCTGGGATTTGTACATCTCGTAGCCTGATGAGCCCATGGAAGATCGCGGGGCAGTTGATGTTTCTATGTTGCGTTGTGAGAAAACTAACCCGTCGTGCAGAGTTCGGACCCAGCTGGACCAGGGGAGCGGGGCTGGAGGTGGAGCCCGAAGTCTGGGTCGCGGAACCGGATCGCGCCGTTGTCAGGCCCAAGATAGTTAAAATACATCCCCTGGACAATAGCATTCAATCATTCTTGACGAGTGAATGAGCTTCTGGTACAAGCAGGACATGGAAAATAAATGTAGTGTCTCCTTTATAAGCACGGACATCGCTGTCCCGGCTGCACTTTGCCGCATCTGTGCAAAATGTCTTGGGACTCAGCAAAGATCAGGCCCTGGATGTGGCTGGTTCCATCTACACCATCCGATGTTCCATATGGGTTCCAGCACGCGTATTTCGTGCACGCAGCCGCATCTTGTCGAGGATGTCTGCCCTGGCGCCTCGCAGCTCATGGACATGGCCTCGAATTCCGACGATGTCGAACCGATGGTGTGTGGCATCCCCGGCGTCCGCTGCAGAGACGACGGAACTTTTGTTCCGCCCGGCTTTAGTGAACAATGCTGGCGACAGGGGTCACTGGTTGAGCTGTTGTCCATTTGTTGCTTGGGACTGACTGTTGCAAGGGATACGTCCAGGGCTAGTCAGCCATGGAGGACGGTCTATCTACGTCATTCTGAGGTAAGTAGCAAGGCCTGTGCGTTGAGAAGAGGCAGAAGTCAGGGTCCAAGTGGGGCGATCTCGAGAAGTGCTGAGCGTCGCTGCGATCACGACACTGATCACTTGCAACATACTTCGCAGGCGACAGCTTCGTGGAATGGAGGAGGACCAGGGCCTCGGGCCACCCGCCCATGTGCCTTGTGACGGCTGCCGATCGCTCTTAAGAACTTTGCCATCCCGCTTTGCGATTACCGCCGTCCCAGATTCCCATGGCGAGCTGCTCCACGCCCCACGACTCGGTCCAGCCCTGGCATTTTGGCCATCGTCCTCTACCTAGGTAGCTGTTCAGAACCAGCCTCGTGCTCCTGTCCATGCTCCCGCTGGCCGGGTAGTTCCTCGACTCTCCACGATTCCAGATCCGACGGCCGATGATGCCTCTGCTTGCACAACTTCCCTTTGAGCTTCGCCATCTCATCATTGCTCGCATCGCCACCGACAACCAGCACCAGCGTCACGTGCTCCCAGCCCTCGCATCTGTGTCCGCCGAGTGGCAGACTGCCATAGAGGCCTTCACCTTTGCCCGCATCCATCTCATCCCAGAACGCCTCGATACCTTTGCCAGCATAGTTGTTGGCAGCCGTCGTGCTCGGCTCAGAGTCCTGTCCCTCCATGTCCCTCTCGACCCGTATCCGTCTCGCCTCAACGACGACAAGGAACTGCCAGATGCACGCAAGCACACGTCTGCCACCGTCATCAAGCCACTTGAGCGTCTTTTCGACATTCTCCACGATTGGCCTCAGCCCCCACCTCTTCATCGAGTATGCTTGCTGCTCTCGGTCGACTCCGTGAGCGATACGGCCAGAGATGAGAAATGGGATCACACGGGCTTGACGCACCGAGCTCGCAGTAGCCCGCTCAAGCTCGAACGGGTGCCCATGACCCTGCAGCCCAACAGTTTAATCCACAGCATCAGATGTACGGGGCGCCACTTGCAGCCAACGTCTCTCCTTGCCATAGGGTCCCGGTGCACCGTCCTAGACACATTGGATGTCGAGCTCAATCACGACTCGTCTAGTGACAGAGACGAGAAACAAAGAGCTGGTCAGTGAGGCTAAACCCCCTCCCCCGAGAAGCAAAACCCAGTATTTTGATGATTTGCTAACAACTGCTCTTCCTTCTGCAGTCTTTGCTGGCAGCCTTGAGCTGCAAACGCCCCGCATACGACATCTTCACCTTCGTCGCCCAAAGGCCCTTCCAGGATCCAACATTGCTCCGCGGCGGCAGCCCTGGTCGGCTTTCTACTCTGGGTTGAGGCGCTTTAGTCAGCAGTGCGAGTCGCTTGTGTTTGATGATTGCGTATATGCTCTCGAGTTCTTCGCTCCCTTTCTGCGAGAAACGGCTGCCTCGGATCAGGACATACCCCATTGGGCCGGCCTCAGAGCCTTGCACGCCCGCAATTCGTACATGCTGCGAAAACCATATCTCCGCGTCAAGCACCGGTCCCACGCCCTCACGGCGGTACACAAGCTCTTCCTGGCCCTGGGTCAAGCTGTCAAGCACATGCCGAGTTTGGAAAAAGCTCGCTTGTCCCTATGCATCTTGTCCAACGTGGGAATGGAGTGGATTACACTAACATACATGTACGCCGCCGGCGTTGCCAAATTGGCGATCAAGGGGATCACGCCCAGCAAGATTGCCACTGATGCGTGGGGCAAATCTGTCGTCATGTCTCGTGGTTGCATTCTGGACATCACGATAGATCCTAGGGATGCGGGCATGTCCTGAAACAGCAAGCACATGAATGACCGACACATTCCAATTGAGGCTGGGCTTCTCACATCTAGACATGCCTGCACGGTGATGGGTACCCCGTATCACGACGCCAAATGATTCGGAGAGACTACAGAATTACACGAGGCACACATCTCTTTTTATCGGGCTTCCCCTTTCCGTATCGCCGCGATCAAGGGTTTCCCGATACGGTGGAGACTCTTATGGCTTTTGGAGTCAACATCACGAGAGCACTCGTACTCTATGGGTTTCACAAGGCGCCTCGACTCCCATGCGGCTGAGGCGGTGCAGAAACAATGCGGACAGCAGATACGAGATGAAGGCAGTGGTCGCACTGCTCTATGCTCTTGTTCTGTACCACATTGCTTCTCTGGGGTGGGGGACGACAGCACGCAGGACCCCAGGCACACCAGAACACACATCCGTTTTGCTACAGAAGCCAGTTACACGATATGGGATAACTGCAAACTTGGTTGGGAACTCACATAGAATGTGAGCGGTCCTTGTCTCACGTGTACGAAAATCTCAAAAGCAATACCGGCATCGGCATAGAGGAGATAAACTGTTTTCGATTGTCATGCTTGACTTGATAGCAAAGCAGCTGATTTGTACATCGGCGCACGAAAGCTCTAGCATCCAGCCGTTGATGGCTTCTTCATCTGTCCTGTCCGGCTGCATCCATTGTTGTTCCACACACGTAACTCCTGGGTAATGAACAGGTTTCCTGCTCCTAGACAAGGCCCCTGTTGGTTGATCGTACGATACATGTATGTGCCTGAGCTGGAACATCCTTGGCGTCTTCTCGAACATTGTGTGCCACGTAACACAGCGAACTGGTATACAGGAGCCCGCATTTGCAGGTGTCAATGGTGAGACAAACCAACCCGAGGAGGAATCTCTGAACGGGACCTCGTCCATGTGCAGAGACTCATTCGACAAGAACGACCCCCTCGAGTCCTGACGCATGTCGCAAGCACTCTACCCGGCTTGTAGACATTTCACTGTGCCTGTTGGCCGGCGCCCACAAACCGCAGATAGACACCCTTCCAGCATCTCGCATCATCGAGGTGCGGTTTCGCGCTGCAGTGTTCATCCTGAGCCCTTGTCATTTTGACGTCTACCAGATGCAGTATGTGTCGGTGTGTCCTGCACCTTTTCAGCACTGCTCTACAACCCTACGGTGATTAGAATGTGAAGACTCTAGCTCCCAGCTTCAACCATGTGCCGATGCAGCCTGGACATGACTGCCTCTAAGTAGTGCAGTCATGTTCATGCCTCACACCACGCTCTCGTTACAGGTAGCACGTGCATCTTGTTCCAAAATGCATGTTGGGCATGCTGTGATTGTGAACATCTGCATGAGCTCGGACTTTCTTTTTCGTCGGTTTTCCGGCCTATCAGGCAACAACGGTACTTTCTATGACCTCTCGATGTTTCCCTGCACCACATCATATATGGCTGAAGGCGACCTGACGCAATTCAATTTCCATCCACCCTTTTCCTTCTCGCGGGTCGTCGCAAATATTGCTTTTAAGATCATTTACCCAGAGCGTGATCTGTTGACCCCACGCGCCTCCACCGCAAAATGTTGTTTGATACAGCACATATCCTCGGCATTCTCTTGATTATCCTCAACCAAACTTCTGCTCGAGAGTGCGATACTCCACTTGCACCAGAACAATATGTCGGTACTCCTTTCGATCATGCCCTGCCGCGGTCGGCTTCTTCAGAGGTCACGTTCTTCAAAATCAAGGATCCAACGGGCGAATTCCTCTGCGACTCAGAAGACGCGAGAGCAGATCTGAGCCTGCTCAATTACATGTCGCTCAACAAGGACGGCGAACGCCCTGACCCCAAGAAGCTCATGCGCGCCGTCATCGCTGTCCACGGCTGGAACCGAGATCCCTGGAATTACCATGCAGCGCTGCTGCTGGCGTTGGCGAAAGCAGAGGCTCAAGACCCGGCCAAAAGCCTTGGCACAGTGGCCGTCATAGCGCCATATTTCCCGAATGGGGACGACAAAGGCATCGGCTACCCATGGGACGAAGACGGAGAGAGTGTTGCCGATAGAGCATACTCGCCGGCACTGGTCTGGTGGGCGTCGGCGTGGTCGGCAGGAGCAGTAAACAACTACCCGCCGGAGACAAAGACTGTCTCTTCCTTTGCCGTCTTGGACCAGATTGTGCAGTACTTTGGCAACCTGGAGCGGTTTCCGAATATGAGACAGATCATCGTCGCTGGTCATTCGCTCGGCGGCCAGACAGTCCAGCGATATGTGGCGGTCGGCAAGACCAGGCAGGAGCTTGGCGTCACAGTCCCCGTAGACTACTGGATCGGCGACCCAAACTCATTCGTCTGGCTTAACGAGACCCGGCCCTTTCCTGTTGATGCCTGCTCCGACTTCGACAACTATCGAGAAGGGTTCACGGGCTATGAAGCTTATGGCGCCGAGCACACGGGACAGCCGATGAACTACAATCTCGAACTCGTCAGCCAGGGCAGCGAAGCCATCATCAAGAACTTTCAGGACAAGCCGGTCCACTGGGCGCGGGCGACGCGCGACCTCGGCGACCACCCTGATGACGGGTGCGGGCCTTACACGCAGGGCAAGGATCGCAACGAGCGCTTCTTTGCGTTCATCCGGCAGTTCCCTCCGAGCTGTACGTCGCAGTCTGCAGAGGCCTGTGACACTGTAGATTTCGTGGATGCGTCGCACGATGCACCTGCGCTGTTTGCTGACGAGTCTGGCTTGGCAAGGCTGTTTCATGACAACTTCTACGGAAGGGGGCAGTATGCTCCTGATTATGGTCACCCGAGGCAGATGGGTTTCGATGACCCGCGCCCAGATGGTGGAAGACTAGGTGAGCCTCTGTTGGGGGCCGACGAGGGGGTCTATGCTGGACAGATGAAACATCGGGGGTGCTGGTCTGATGTTGATCGAGCTCAGACGGAGCGCACTCTGAGCGAGCTTGTGTATGATGGACCAGAAAATACCCGGGCATTCTGTACTGCAACTTGTGCTGAGAGCTGGTTCAAGATTGCTGCGGTAAGCGGAAGTCGTTGCTATTGCGGAAATCAGCTTGACCGGCAGGCGGTCGAAGTTCCGCCGTCTTCGTGCACGACAAAGTGTCCTGGGGATGCGGCCCAGGTTTGCGGAGGAGATACCCGACTGAATGTGTTCGGCCAGGACGCCTTTGTGTAGGCATCAGAGTTGTGCATGTATGGAGCGTGAAATATACATCCGTGGGTGAAAGCGAGCACAAGCTACAAAGGCATAGTGGCCGACAACCCGCAGGACAAATAGGTCAAGGAGGGTCCGTGACGTAGCAAGTAGAATCTTGTATAAATAATGAGGACGATTTCATGCAGACACGATCTCGGGTAGAGAATAATCTACCACCACCTTTTCGGTATCTCTGGTAACATTTCCGTATAAGCGTACAACCCGCCTCCGGACGAGCCATAATAAAATGTTCCCTGTCTCTCGTAGACTGGCTGGCCTGTGCCGGCGTCTGTTCGTACGCTCAGATCTGCCGTCGAGTCGGTCGACCGTATCCTGCGCACGTCAGGGGGCCGCTCATTCCAGGCGACCGAAGTTGCCTCGGCGAGGGGCATCTCGTCATCGCCGAGTGAGATCTGGTGCTCGAGCTCAATTACCCGCTTCCCAGTGGCGTAGTGCGCAGCAGTCTCCCAGAGGTTTTCCCTCGCTACGCTAAGGGTCCGCAGCAACGAGAGGGCGCGGAGCCGCGTCGCGAGGCAGCGGCACTTGAGCACGATGAAGTAGAGACCTGGCGTATAGCCCATCTCAAAGGTGAATCTGGGCCGCTCTGTTGTTGCGCCGTCGGAATCCCTGCTGTGGCTGCTGCTGCTGCTGCTGCTGTCGTCAGTGTCACTGGCGTCACTGTCTTCTCGCCCCATGGTGAGAAGCTCAATCTTGGTTGCTTCGTCAACGAGCTCTCGAAAGACGTGGATATACTGGTCGTACATCATCTCGTCGTCCTTGAAGGTCGTCTCAACCCATACACGGGCGCTGCCAGCCATGAAGCGCATGTGGGCGCTAGTTCTGGCGTTTGTCCTTGGACTGGCAGGATTCCCGCGCATCGCCGCGAAGCTGGCATGCCACTGCTTGAGGCGCCGCATGAGATCGAGCTGCTCGTCGAGGATTGCCTGGGGGATAGGTAGGGAGGCATAGTTTGGCGTGTTGGGGCGGTTGATCATGCCGTAGCGCAGGAGATGGATGGCGCGGTTTATGATGCCGTCGAGGTGGAGCTGGGCGTCACTCAGGTCGGCAAAGGAGAACGGGATAGGGTCGTCGAGCTCGGTCATACGGGGGAAGTCTGGCTGGCCGAAGAAAAAGGGCATGATGTTGATGCGGCGGAATATGGGGGACAGGTACCGGCGGGCCCAGGGATATGTCTTCTCGACATGAGAAAGGATGAGGGTGCCATGTCGGCAATGGGCGCTGGCGGCGGGCTTGTTGCCCTGGAGGACCTCGATACAGGTGAAGAGGATGCAGACGAGGAGGGCGAGGGGCTCGTTGCGCATGGCGCGTAGCTTGCGGATAGCGGCATTGTAGTGGTGGAGGGCGAAAGGGTTGTCGGCGAGCTGGGGCCGGGTGGTGGTGAGGGCGGTGGGCTGGTCATGGAGAGCGCTGATGGCGACGAGGGAGTGGCGGACAGCAGGCTCAAAGTGTGAGAACTGCATGACTAGGTGCGTCCAGAAGTACGGGTCGAGGTGGCCGGCCAGCACGGGGCTCAAGTCCTCGGTGAAGCGCTGGATGGCCCGGAGCTCGGCCGCATCGTCGACGCCCTGGAACGCCGTCCGGGGCCGGTACCACAGCGTCCCGGTCGGCGGCGGGCTCGCCTCGGCGTACCCGTCGCATTTGCGCCCCGTGCTGGTGCACCGCTGGCAGCTCGGCTTGCCTTCATCGCACTTGATCTTGCGGACCCTGCTTCGGGGCAGTGGCGAGGCGGGAATCAGCCTTTGTCTCTTTGGCCAGGCCAAGGCTTGTGGGTGGTCGGGAGAGGGACAAAGACTCACTTGCAGGTCAGGCACCCGGTCCGGACCTTGCGGGACCCCTTCCGAGCCATTGGGCGGCGGTCTGCCGGATACTCGCGAGACGGAGCGAGGTGAAGCCCGCTAATGAGGTTGGCGTCGACTTACTCCGACAGGCTGTTCCGGTACAACACAGTCGAGCACGGCTTGGCTGCTAAGCTGCTGGTGTAGTCGGGCAGACTGGATGATGTCTCCAGGGAAAACCGAGGTTGGCGCATCGACATGCCAGCCCGAGGGTGCCGGGACAAGATGTATGGACACAGACATGGTGATGGAACCATGGAGCCAAAGTGCCATGCATGCCCTCGGTGCCTGCCAGGGCCGTCCAGGGAAGCCTCGCAGGCCATGTGTGGCTGTGGGGGAGGCGGGACGACCGGATAAGGCTGAACCTCCAAATATGCACTGGTGCGCCACCCATGCACCATGTCAGCATCCACCCGCACCATGCAGCACTCTGGGGCGCATCAATGTACACGTAGGGGAGGATCAGGCTCTCTTGGCCAGGCCAGGCCAATCACCACATGCTGGATTGGCACAAACCAAGGACCTAGTCGAACTTGATGAGGTTCCCATGGCCCACTACCACTCATTATCCTCCTCTGCTATTGATCAGGACCTCACACGCTGTCGTCCATTCTCTCTGTGCTGACACGCGGCTATTTATAAGCCAGGACCATCCCCAGCTGCAAAGATCTACGCAGTAATAGACACTCGGCCCAATCGCATCTTCGCCCCCCTGTCCAGGCACCCAGCAAAACCTTAACAGTCCTGGTCGTTTGCCACAGACCCTCGCGAGCTCGCTGCGTCAACTCAAGGGCGCAGCCCGGCAGGCAACCAATACGGAGCAGGGCCGCGTTGTACTCCGCAGTTCTCATCCCCTGGCCCCTTCGCGGTTAAAGCCCACACAACCGCCTGGGCATCATCAGACTGATGGGCTTGTAGCGAGATCAATCCATACCTAGGCAATGAAGGCGGGCCGTAATGTCAGTTGCAGGCTATGCAGAAGAGCCGAGCGGTGCAATACATCGCACCTGTTTCACAGACCACTCTGGACTGTAGCAGACACACGTATCATGGAGTGGCAATGCGCTTCATACTTCGCCATGTCGGGACGGTCAGTACCAGGTTGACGTTGCCGGCCTCCGACATTCTAGCAGATCAATGTGATGTTTCATGCCGGTGGGAAATGCAACTCTTGCTCCCAAGCCGCATCTCCAGCAAGGGGGTGTTGACCAGTTCTGAACAGGCTGGCGACCCCTCTAGTCATTCGATGCAAGCTCCAAGTCTATAATTATCTCTTCAAAGTGCAGAACTTCGGGGAGAAGTCCCTATTTGCCGCCCGTGTGTTTCTAGGGCGGAATACCTTTGAGGCCACATTTCGAATGCACACTAATGATGAAGGGCCTTAGTGGGCAAAGGCGTCGGTCGTGGTTTCAAGAAGTTTCCAGAGACCGGCGTCATTGGACATGCCAGTGCTGCTAGGTACAGCCCCAGCCGCTTGATATGACCCGGTGGTCCTGAAACGCGCACGACATTTACCAGCGCCTGATAGCCCGCAATGCCGAATTTCAGACCATTGCTGATACAAGGATTCACCGGCAAGCGGGCTGTCTCAGCCACAAACAAGCCTGCACCCTCGCGGGCGCTCACGCGTCGAGTTGACCCAAAGCAAAGTCTGAAAAGGGGGCGGTTGGCCGTTTTCTGTTTTATGCGTATGAGAAGGTAATACAAATTCCCGATAAAGCAGACCTTCGAGTGAAATCATGCACCAGGAGGGTCATAAACGTATCTCACATCAACCTCATCAGGAGTCCACCCCTGGCTATGATGAACTGGGCCTTCCTATAAGGGACGCAGAAATTCACCATTGGGACTGTAGTCTCCACGGAATATGACCTGGACTTTTTCCCCTGCACCTTTATGATCGACTCAATTTTCATGCCTAGCTTGAAGGCTTGAAGTCAACCTAGATCTGCGAGACCGGCTCCGGAGTGAGCACAACCGGGAAGTAGTTTTGGATGATCATGCTCTGACCTGTACGACAAGCTTTATCAGCACACGAGCCTTATATGATTGTAAGTCGGAGTCACCACAACTTACCATCATACCAGGAGATTGCCCAGCCACCAATCTTGGGAATGGCGACCCAGCATCCTCCGTTGTAATCCTCCATGATGTTGTCCCCTGCTACCGAGAAGGAGTAGGCATCAATGTCCTGGCTGGTTGTGTCGCGCACGCGATCGATCTGGACAAGGGGCCGAAGACCAGAAGTGCCATTGAGAGCAAGGACTTGGTCGCCAGGACCGCCGGATGGGAAGATGTGCATGACGATCTGCTGCTCGAGCTCGCTGGGGGTGATGTAGACCTGAACTGGAACTGATGCGGCATCTTGCAGACCCACTGCATCGTCGCTGACAGTGAGAAGTCTGCCTGCGAGCTCAGGGTTGCGGCTTATGACAGGCAGTCAGTACGTGAATCCAAGCGTTTACAGCAGGTTGTTGCATGGAGTCCTTGACGAACCTGTTGACACGAATGTTGACGAGATCATTGCCCTCCTTCATCTCTGTCGGCCGAGCCAAACCACCGGTGGCCAGAGCCATGAGATTGGCGATGAGGATACAGAGCTGCATGGTGCTAGATGGATGACGATCTTGAGTCGTCGGGACGCCCTGTAGTCTGTGATGTGCAGAGTCGAGGACTGTGGCACAATTGTTCTGGCTGTACGTGTGGAAGGGCTTTTCAAGCTCTCTCCCAGGGTTGATTGGGAAAATCCTGATCAGGCAGTATTGTGGTGGTCACCGTGGTGATGAGAGCTTTGGCGCCGCCTACCAGAGCTATTTGGCGACTGGCCGCGGGGACTTTGAGGCCTGATGCGGACTTCCGCCCAACATGTATATCTGGATCATTCTGAACGTATTCATCTTTCAGCATCATAGAGATTCATCACGTTCTTCGACACAGATCACAAGACGCGATGACATCTGGATTGCGAGGAAGGCATGGCACGATTGGTAGGACGGTATGATGTGGCACGGGATTCAACACCTTCGAGGAGTTGCATCAGGGTTGGATCCACGAAAGCCGCGCGCGGTCATGGTAGATGGCAGCTTCAGACATGAAGCGATCTCGAGCCAGCATTTGCGTGATGCTGCGTGGCTTGGCCCAGGTGCGAAAGGAGGGCGATGGCAGGCGGCAGGTGTGCTTGCACAAACAAGTGGGTCGTGTGTGAGGCTGGGTGGCTGCATTGTGTAACTGGACAAGCCAGGCCGGCCAGCAGTCACGTCTAAGTGTTTCGTCGGCAATGTCTCAGATGGCCTGTCTCGCCAGCACAATGCTGCAGCACGCCCACCCGCCATCTGCGTCACCGGCTCTCTGCTGGACGGCACGCAGGCATGTGCGAGCCGCGCGATGGCACCTGTCCCCGCCCCCATCCATGGGACTACCGAGGGCAGCCCAGAGGGCTTCTAGCCGCGCTTGGGCGAGGCGCTGGCGCTTGACTGGCGGCCTTGACCGCCAATCGAGTGCGCCGAGGGCTCTGCCGCGGCTTGACGAGGCCAGGGTTGGTGCCGTTTCCACGGCATGTGAAGACGTACATGGTGCTGCAGGAGGACCTCGTCGCGGCCTATCGGGGTGGCCTCGAATGTCTCTTGGGTCCTGCCCGGTATCCTGTCTCGTGTCTCTTGGCTGTCGCGCGCCCGCCCCATTGTCGCTGGCCCGCGTGGCCGAGCAAGTGATGCCAATAATGGGCTTTGTCTAGTGCAGGCAAAGCGGCCAACCACAACGGCGCCCGCACGCATCGGGTGGCCTCGTGCCTCTGCGACATCGGGGCATCTCTGTGCACGCCGCCCGCGGCGCGCTGCCACTGGCCAGTCACTGACAGCAAGCCATCCCGCCCTGCAGCCGGCCGGGTCCCCGTCTGGCTTCCATGTATGTCTTGTCTTGACTTGTCTTGACCCGTCGTGGACTGCGTCAAGCATTGCCAACTTCAGACGATCACAAGGGCACCCCCGTCCCGTCCTTTGCACGTGAAAGACACGGGCTTTCAACACCTCGCCTCTCTCTCTCCAGGCCTTCGATGGGCCGATATAGTCCTCAGCATTTTCCCCTCCTCTTCCCGCCATGGTGCTTCCTCGCACGTCTCTCTGCCAGCCCCCATCTTCCAGTGACCGCACCAAGGTTGCCCATGCCTTTGCCGCCCCAAAGTTCAGGAACAGCACCTCGTTGAGTCGGCTGTACCCGCACCCCCACCACCGCTAGCGAGCCGGCTAGCAAAAAAACCACCTTCTCGTGGGGTGCTCCCCCAGCCAGTGGGGTCACGATACCCTCATGGGACAGCCCGTCGGCCTGACCGCTCTTTGACGACAACCACGACCACAACAATAACGTTTGCCGTAGCGACACCAACAGACAACGGCGATCAACAGATCACGTCTGCAGTTTGGCCGCCATCTCCCGTCATCTCTGATCGGCCGTCACCGGGCCGTCTCCAAGCTCCGATCGGGCCACTTACAACACGCCCAAGCTCATCCGCTCAACAAGGCCCGTGAACACGCATGGTTAAAGACCAGCTATCCAGTTTTGTACCCACTTGGCCTGCATCAACACGCCCTCGCTTGGTTCCTGGCCGCTCCTTTGGCAGACCGCAACTCGCTCCATTGGTCACCCGGTCCCAGGTCCATTCACCGCGACTCAATCTAGCAAAACCCTATAACTGCCTCCTCGCCCCTGCTGCTCGCAGACAACGCACAATCCCGACAAAACAGCCATTTTTCCACTTCTGCTCTGTCGCCTCTCCTGGCTCGGGCCCGTCCCACTCGAGTTCGTCCGTGGTCATGTAATTGTTCTTTTCTCGAAAGTGTGCAGCTTTCTTTTCTTCTCATGCAGCAATCACAGCCAATCGTATCATTACATGATCACGCTGCATCATGTCTCGGCTGGCTCACCTAAGTGCACGCCACGACCCTTGCCGTTCGGCGTCTCCCGTCAGTATTGCCGCCTCGGATACCACATATCACAGCTTCCAAGACATTGAGCTCTACGCCCCCAAATCTCCACCTGCGTCTACGGACCTGCGGGTGATCAAGCCCATGCCCACACGGGGTCCGGAACGATATACAGATCCCGTGCCCATGCGTCGGCAGGACTCAGGCTACGCATCAATCCCGTCAGGGTCAAAGTCGGGCAGTTCTCATGGCTCGTCACGCCGTCGAAGATCGACAGCGTCCAGCCACTCCTCTCACACCAAGGTCCAAACCCGGCCAGCAATTCATCGTGCCTCAAAGTCAACGCCCAGCCCGCACAATGCCCCGGCTCTGGGGCACACCATACATCGTACCCGATCACAACAGCACCAGCGACACTCGTACTACCACTTCCCGAGTCTCGAGGGCATTCCCGGATCACAGCCAGAACCAGAGCCTATGGAGGATGTGCCCATGTACACCCCACCACCCCAGACGACCCACTATTGGACCAGTGACCATACTCGTCGCCTGGAGTATGCCGCTATCGACGCAGCTAGCCGGGGGGTAAAGGGATGGGTTCTCCGGCATATGGTCCCCGACTGCTTCGTGCCAAAGTCGAATCGGCGGCTGACTTTTGATGACGACACTGGCAGCGTGCGACGCTATCGCCTTGAGCTGGAATGTGATGAGCAAGCAGAGAAGCAAGACAAACCACGCAAGAGGAGATTCGGCTGGCTGTTTGGTCGGTGAATCCGAACCGCAGTACTGCTCGACGAGGAATGAAGTAATGGGTCCGGTGTGAAGACGACATGATGGTAATTTTTCTTCCCTCCCTCCTTTCAACGTGCATGGATGCCTGGCGTTTTTTGATACCTTCATTTCATAAGCACCGCGATGGTTATCATCCTAGCAACCAACTTCAAAACGTGGCTGCGAATAGCGACTTGACTTTTAGGTGTTTTTTGTCTTTGAGCGGGAGCGTTCTGAGCATGGTTGAGAGCCTTGAGATTGAATATCGGCAATACCACGAGAGAAGGGACAGGATATCGTTGATTTTGCCCATTACCTTTTGCTTTCGCTTTATCGCAGCTTTGCATAATCATTTATATCACATATATACTTCAATCAACATATCAATGGCAATCCGCACGCATGACTACACAGTTTACTGCGATATGGTCTCAAGACATTACCCTTAGCGGTTGTCCTAAAATTCTGGCTGAGCCCTCGTTGGTCAACCAGAACCGGCCCGATTTGCTGGCTCAGACCAAAACCGGGCCTTTAAGCTAGCTCTGTGAGTCCCATCGCAGCCTTCTCTGTCTTCTTGGGACGAAACGCGGAAGTGCGGCGTAATGGTTATCTGAAGCCATACGCTTCCAGAGCGTGAGAAACTCAGGGAGACCTACCCTGCAGGAGGTTTTGGAATGAGTTCGATGGCATGACTAACAGTACTCGGCAGTCTATCGTCATTAGTATGCAGTGCGATTCGGCTTTCGATGACCAGTGCCAACGTCTAGTCTGTAAAGCATGACATCGTATGCCTCAATTTATTGATGTGGATAGACCGCAGGCAAGCACGCCTCTCATGTAACGCCTGACTTGTTGTCAAGGTCGTTGCAAGTTGCAGGCCACCACATAACATACGTGCGCGTCAGACAGAGAGTGTGGGCACCCAAAATACGATGGGTCGTTGATGGACAAAGTTCTGCATGCAATGCACAAACTATGTCAAGTCCGTTGAGTATCGGCCCGGGCAAGGTTCTTTTCTATGGGATGCGGCCGGACTCAGTCCCAGTGGCCAGCTTCGAGCGGTTTTGTCTTGGCCAAGTAGTTGAATAGTACTTCTTACTCCTTGCAGTTTAGAGCATTCCTTGTACTCGGAAACTTCGGTGGGGTCAGCTTTTTACTTCTGTTGCTTAGATGCGGCGATGTCTATTGCCCGTCAGCGGGTTGTGGATGGACATACAAGAAACATCCGTTGCATTGATTATACGCAACGGTGCTGACATCATTCGGTTGGGCATGGCCAATTCCGGACACAAATCGACGGCTGAACTAAATTTCAGCAAGATTTGCCTGGTCACAAATTGTGCAGCAAGCCTGGTTGCTGCACGTTACTAACGCCCCGGAGATAGGATGATCCCCAGAGAGCTCGCGACCACGTCGCAGGAGACCTTTGACTGATGAGACCATGAGCGGAACCTGGAGGCACGAAATGAAGGAGCCTGTAGCTCACTTCACTACAAAATTCGATCCGGATGTGTGAGTCCACGTAAGTTTTCAGCACGGGCTCGAGGCCGTCATGAGATGCCTGACTACAACCTTTTAGACTTCGTGAACGTGGAGACCATGTGTGCTTGATAGGTGTCTCAGAAAGGTCAACTGGACTGACTGGCTTGAGCAGTGAGGAGCAGCTAGTAGCGAGTGCAGCACGAGCCTTCAGGCGAAGGTATATGAACTATTCGTCCTGCAGTTCTAGTGCTCGATATTTGCGACGGCGATCCCAAGAATCGCATCTGCCATCCGCCCAAAACCCCGCAGCAAGCGCGGGCAAGCTAAGGGTGCGCTGCAGGTGTTGATCGGTGGCGACATCCACGAAGGTCACAACACGGCCGAGGGGGTTCAAGTCAAATGTGATGGGTGCTTCCCCAGTCCGGTGCAGAGTAGTTTTCAACTACTCGAGGCTACGCAAGCTTGTTTCTCCTCACAAGGCAAAATGGCACTTGACGTCAATGGGAAGCTGCAAGGTGGGGCTAGCAAGATCCCATTTAACGGCGCAGATCGTGAGACAAGTCATTTGCGCGTTGCCTCCTCAGCCGCACATGGATGAACCTAGGTCGCGGGCTAAGGTGTTTCGACCGCCAGCGGTCGGCGAGGTGATTGGCCCGGGGTTGGAGATCCCCTAATGTGCGGCGTCAAAACTGTTCTTGACCTTCGAAAAAGGTGGCAGTCAGTGCATTCTGACCTCTTGCTCGCTCGTAGGCCACCTTGGGATCAGAGGCACAGGACCATGCAACAAGGCATGCACAAGGCAAAATGCATACAGAGATCTACAGAAGACGTGACATCTCGCAGTCGGTTCCGCTGTTTGTTGCACCGCGTCGGAAGCAGCTGAGCGTGTTGGGCTGTGCTGTTGGACTGAACATCAGAACGTGCCAAGCGTAAGGCGGGGAAGTTGGAAGCGTTGCGTGCAGCTCGCTAGAAGAAGCTTGTTGCGTGCATGGAGATGTGCACGTGTACGTTCCTTGCTGAGAATGGAAAGTCGGGCGCAGAATCCAGCATTGATCCGCTGTGGCAGGCAGGGCAAGTTGAGCATGAGGCAGCCGCGGGGGGTTGGGTTCTGGTCTGGGTAGGTGGCGGACGTTTCGGCCAGGAGGGTGTGATCGGCGAGCAGGGCGGAGGCCGGGCCCTGCTGGTAACGGACGGACTAGACGGATCGGCCTGATCGTCCGTCACGGTCGGAGTGGGCAGCAGTAAATGCCAGTCGCCGCCCGGCGATGATTGGCCGCCCCGGCCCCTTTCCCCGCTTCCTACTGCCGTGGCTGGCTGGGCTGGCTTTGAAAGGCCAGCAGCACAGGCAGGATGGGAACTGCCCTCGAGGACAACAAGCGCACGACCAGGCCGTACCACGGGGCCACGGCGCAAGTCATGCGACTGCGACTGGGCGTGACAGAGAGGTGGACGGCCACGAGCCTACCGGCCCAGTGGGGCCCGGCAGCCAGGTCCCGCAGCCGGCCAGGCCAGACCAGACCAGACCATTGCGACGAGGAGGGCCAGGCGGCAGAGGACACGATCGGGGACTTTGGGCCACAAGAGACATGAGACGAGAGGCGTGCGGGTCACAGCCGAGCAATGCAGGGTCCAGCCGGTGGGCGCCGGGGGGAGCTGGTTGCGGAGTTGGGAAGGTGTTCCGTGCAGAGATTGTGTTGAGAGGGCGATCGACAGTGGCGGCGCCAGCGATTACGTCTGTGGCCGGCGGGTTACCACGCCAAGAGCGACAAGTGCCGCTGGGTAACAGCAAATGGCACAACCTTGCAGCTGCCTGGCTGCCTCCGGCCCCACCTGCCTGCAAGGGTAGCAGAAAGACTGCCAGAACGACAGTCACACAATGCCTCCCAGCGGCGTCTGACGCCTTGCCGATACGCGACCCAAGATCGCCGCCCTCCTTGCGCTTGGCCGTGCTGTGCCACGGTACATACTGTCCCACGCCCTCTTGTCCTTAGACTTTGCCCTATCAACGGCCGCCGCCTGATCATCACCCTTCTTGCCCTCCTAGGCCCCGGCTCGTCCTGTCGCCTCCGTCAACGCCTGTCACACAATAGGTCACCTTAGCTACTGGTCATCCTAGCAAAGTCCGTCACAGCATGTCCACAACAAAAATGGCTGCCCGCGGCCACTCGCCCGTTTTGCGACATCTTCCGTTGCCCTCTCTCCCCTTTCAGTCTCTTTCCGCCCTGCGCAGCCGTAGCAGCCCCATTGCCAGCAGCCTCGACTCCAGACGCTCAAAATCTCCCAACCACAGCATGTCAACGAGCAACACCCAACTGTCCTGGCCCCGTCTTGACACCAATAGCCCCGGCTGAGCACTGGCCTTGACCAATGCCATCAGCCCCGAGTCCCCGTCTCTGGTCCCCAGATTCGGGCCTACGCGCCGCTCCCGCCTACGACGGCCTCCCCCTGCCGCCGGCGCCTCCTCTTCCTCCTCCTCCTTCACTACCTCGTTCTTCTGCTCCCTCTCGCGCCGCTAGCTGCGAGTGCTGCATATCCGGAAACGGCGCCGACTCTCCTCGTGGTCACACTCGGCTTCCCGGCCTGGCTGCCATGTTACCCACCAAGCCGTCCTCCCCTGAGCTCCAGCAGCACTCGCGCCCACCGCCGCCGCCGTCTCACCACTTTCACAATCGTCAGGGACAACAGCATCAACTACATCGCCATCGCCACAATCCTCAGCACCACCTGCAGCATGGGACTTCGAGCCCGGCCCCCCGGCCTCTGTCCCCTCCTTCCTCCGCAACGACCACGACAGGTCCCCAGGCGATACCACGGCCACCTCTGCTCACCACTTCGGGACAGTCCTCACAGGGACAGCAGCCTCCTCTGCCGCACTCCCCTGCGCCAACTCCGGTGACAGCCCCCGTGTCGGCCGTGACTGCATCTCCCTCATCTACTTCGCCGAACTCAGCTTTCAGCTCGGCCCCTGTCTCCGCTTCTACTACCGCGCTGCCCATGGCTCCAAGGTCCGCAGGTTCCAAGCGTCCAGCCGCGGCCGATCTCCAACGCAGTGTCAGTACTGCTCCGCCCCTCAAACGTCCAGCAACCAGCAGCACAGTACCTCTACCCGCCTCCACTATTAAAGGTTCCGGTTCTCCCTCTCCCGCACCTGCGATCATTTACCATGAGTACATGCGACAGCTTCCTGCCTCTACTGCTTTACCACAGGTCATGTCTACGTCTGCCACTACGACTAGCATACCACTTCTACCTGTGCCGTCCGCCGCCATGATGCACCAACCTTTGACCGCCGACCAGCTACAGGGGAAGAGTTCCGAGCAGCTCATTCATGCTGTTCTCCAACTTCAGTCACAACACCATCAATACGTCGCACACATATCGACGCAATACCAGAACATCAGTCAGCAGCTTGCGGAGCTGCGTGGCAGTCTGCATGCTTTTTATAGTGGTCAAGCTGCCTGCCACCAAGCTGCAGCATCCGTAGGTCACTAGCCCAAGGAACACTGCCCTTGTGCCGCTGGGCCAATCTACTAACCGGCTTTGAATCTCAGGCTATATCCCCCAGTTCGGCCCTCACTATCAGCACTCCCCGCGATCCTTTCAGCAGTAGTCGACAGACGACTGCGCCAGTTTTACCAGCAGTCCCGCAGCAACCACCAACTGCACCACAACAGGCTCCGGCATCAGGCCATTACCACCAGCGACCATCAACGTCACATTCCCGTAGTGGCTCGCAGAGACTACCGCCCCTGTCACCTACCACAGAAGCAGGCGTACTTCCCCGGCCCCCTGGGCAAGGTTCGGCCACTTCCAGTGGCCCCCCAACCTACGAATACCGCACTGTCGCGACAGTAGAGGAAGTTTGGAGAGAATACAAAGAAGGTATCGACGGCCAGCCAGCGATCGAGGATCTTGATGCGAGCTGGGGTTCACGCTGGCGTCCCGAACCTCGCGGTCGTACATGGTACTCGAGGCGAAAGGTCATTTGGGACAAGATTAAGGAATACATGAGTGATGGTTTGGACGAATCGGCCGCGGTACGAGAGGTGGAGAAACTGCGTGACGGGGGCACTATCAACAAGCTGATTCGACTCCTGCAAGACGAGCGCAAGGACCGTGGCTTAGATGATAGTCTTCTTGCCTAAGTACCAGCCAGCATTTCAGCATCAAGAGCGAAGGATTCCGGGGCCCGTCTGCCACTTTTGGACTTGTTATTTTTCACTTTCTACTGCGCACGAGCTGCAATGATACCATGGCGAGCATGAATTTTAAAACACTACTGGCAACTTGGAATGCTGGCCAGAAACTCTCTGCTGGGCTGATCAGGGGCTTACGAATATGGCATGAGTGCCAAGCCTGACCTCCAGAAGCTGTCTGAGGACAAGTGATGAGCGGAGCAAAAGCTGCGGGGACCCGGCACGGAGCCCGGCCCCACTTGTCGGTTTCGGACGGGGACCTCTGGCTTAGCGTCAACGGCTGCCCCAGTGGGTGTCTATCGAGCCCGTGCATGTGGCAGCCCCACTTCCCCTGGCTTTTGGTGGAGCCTCTTCCCATGCATATGAAAAGCACGGTGAAACCGCTCTGGTTGCAAAACTCCGCCGGGCAGTGCGACAACGCGGGGAGGCAGGCACCTCCAACAAAGGATCTGATTTTATTTGATAGCGACATCGTAACTCCGCCGTGTCCCGTGTGGGCCTGTCGATGGCTTCTATTTGCAACCACGTGCGTGGCAAACAAAAATGTGAAACACAACCGACCCGCGTATGGCCTTTCCCACTTCCGTGACCACTTCTTGACCAGAACACCCAACAGGAACGCCGGATCCCCTCCCTCCCCGAATGCCTGAACAGATCGGCAGCGCGAGCGACCACGTGGCATTCCTATTTTTATTGCCAAGTTGCCGTTGTACTGCTCATTCACAGCTGGCAGGGTTGCCGCACTACATGCAGAAAACTCATGTGACCTTGTCATAAGTAACTGCGGATCCAGTTCGGCAGACTTGGAAAATGTCTTCCCACGTCATCAGAGGCCCACGTGCACGGGACAAGCACCTACGTTCCCGGTCTATTCGTTGTCACTGGCCGATAATGGCGAGCCAGGGAGGCTGAGCCCCCTCGTACATGGAGAAAATACGCTCTGATTGTCATCCATGGCCCAGCCGCTCGGGACCGAAACTTCTCGGTCCGCATGACTTTTCTAAAGTGGCTGGCTCATGACCAAGCTGGGATCTGAGTGAGCGAGTAGAGCCTCGTCCCGTGAAGTACTACAAGCACGCCTGTTACTCACAGTATAATGCCTCTTTCTTGACGGAATGCAAACTTCATGGCAGTCTAGCGCTCGTCCGATGTGGCTATCTATTGTCTAATGGTAGCGGGTTGATACCTAAGGTACGCACCTCAATCTAGTGGGCACGACTAGACCAGGCTTCCAACGATTGGCATCTGTCCTGGGTTGGCTTGGACACGGAACGACGGGTAGTTTTAGATCCACAAGAGGTCTGTGGACCCCGGAAGCGCCTGCCGATGCCCGGCATTACGACTATGCCTTTCACTCTGTCTGCAGTACCCTTGTATCATGCAAATATGGACAGGTTTGGCAGGCTGCATCCTGCACGGAACCTTTGGGGCCAAACTGTATTTTCGAAGGTCCACGTGGTGGCCCCGTACTTGCGAATGTCCTCGGCTCCGAGGTTCCGCCCCGAGTTTTGGTCGCTTACACAACCGTTTTCCCCGACTTCATAGCGTTGATAGGTCGGGCGCAAGTCGGGCGCAAGTCGTTCGAGCCACCCGAACAATAATAGGTTGTCCCATTCGGAATGAGATGTGCCCCGCCCTCTTGGGATCGAGAAGCCGTGTCGTTCGCAGGGTTCTGGCCACGATGCTTGGATGTAAGCACCCACTTGCCTCTCACAGTTTGTGTGCAAGTAGATACCGAAGTGAGGAGGCCACGTTAGTCACATCCTCCGGAGCTGATCATTGGGTTTCTAGTTCACACCACTAGGCGATTTTTTATTTCGGACAATTCTCTTGATATTTTCTGGAATTAACATTTCGAGTCTCTGGCTGCTGATGACTCCGCCATATTGAAGCTCTAAGTGTAGCGCTTGACGAAGATCCAATCATGGGCTTTCTAGACCTTGCGACTGGCTAGAGACTGCCATTGCCGAGAACAAGTCGCTCAAGACACCAATGAGTACGCGGCCAGTATGGCAAATGTACTCAGATGGCCCTATCTGCGCGGGCACGATTGTCACGATAGCGTTTCTCCTTCGCAGCGGTCTTCCTTCTCCTTCGCCATTTACGATTGAGGTCGCCCCGGTTCTCCCAGAAATGTTTTTGGAAGTCAGAGGTGGGCGCAGGTCTCACGCTGGTGGCCACTGTTAATGGATGATCGCCCTCGGCGTCAAGCATGTCCAGGTCGAGTTCAGCTGCGCGGTCAGCTTCGTCGACATCTTCCCCGCCTTCTGAATCCTCTCCCTCATCCTCTTCATCTACAGTCTCTTGGGTTGACCAGGGGGGAAATGTCCGGTTTGGGTGAGCCGTATCTGGAGTTGGAGCAGCACTACGCATAGTCCTGAACTCGAAATCGCGTTCTGTGAAAGGTGTCATAGGCACTTGCAAAGTCTGCAGTGTTGTTGTTGCGTCCTCTTCCTCGATGTCGTCATTATTGTCATTGTCGAAGAAACTGAACCCTTTCGACTCCTGGGCGTTCGGTGTGGACGCACCGCCTTGGGGTCGCTTATAAAGGGCTTCCAGGGGATGCACCTTGGCAGGCGCGGGCGTCGCTGGTGGGATTTTGATGGTGAGATTATTAACGGACCCAGAAGATCTCGGCCTTGCGTTTTCTGGCTTTTGGGCTGATGTTGCACTTGCCTCACACAAGTCCAGCATTCGTGGAGTGATCCTGTCTCTGGGTTGCACTGCCTTGGAATCTGTTGTATCCTGCTCAGAAGCAGAGCTGTCTGAGTCTTCACCTTCCGAGCTGGTAGTGTTGTCATCTGGATCATCCCTGGGTGCATCTGCCTCGCCGTCGGTTGTCTGTGGTTCTTCGTCTTCGGAAGAGGAGGAGTCGTCACTGGTCGTGTCATCTAATGTTTGGACTGGCATGGCCACCTTGACACGATTCTCCTTCTTCGCCCGCTTGGATTTTGCTGGGATGATACCAGCTGTAGGTGGCCGAGTGCTCTTGGCACTCTCCACCACGGCGCCATTACTATCCACCCAGCCCTTGCCATCTTCAAAGGTGACAGCCTCAGCCACTGATTTGACAGAGGAGTTGACCTTGAGAAACGAAGGGAACTTGGTGGACTTTTCAAATTCGTGTATAATGGCGTCGCGTTCTGTTCGGCGCTTCTTCTTCTTGGGCGCAGTCGAAGCCTCTTCGCCCTCGTGCTGTGGCTCCACTACTGGCACAGGCTCAGATTTGGACGGCAGACGGGCCTTGAACAGGCATTCGGGCGCGTCTGTAAACTTGGACTTCTTCGTTTCGCCCTTCTTCGTCTTTTTTATGCTGACCATGCCATCCTTCTTGTCCTTCTTACCCTCCTTGGACTTCCCTGATCTCTCGCGCTTTTTCTGAATCATCTCGGCTTCGCTTGTCGTCCAGCCTCGTTTGATTTTACGCCCCTGTATCTCGGTACCGGCAATTACGCCTTGCTCTCTCTTGCGCTTCCTCAGGCCACGAGCACTGGCTACGGCAGTGCTTTCCTTGGTGCTGACTGGCGATGGTTTCTGGGCAATCGGCCGGGCAGTTTCGATCCGGAGCTTGTGACCTCGGAGGACTGCACTGTTGAGCTTCTTCCTGAGGCGTTCTGCGTCGCCAGTGGGAAGCTCGATGAAGCCGTAGGGCTTATCAGGGAAAGTCTGGAGAGTGTGGTAGGAGATGTTGCGGGCGAGCGGCCGAACAGAGGATGGCACGACGACAGAGAACAGCGACTCATCAAAGGGTGTGATGTGCAGCCTGGTGTAAGAAGCGGGCTCGTCGGCTTGTTCGACGAGCATGGTGCTCGCTGGGAGAGCGGAGGGACCGGTCGATGCGATGCGATGCGATGCGAAGGGTGTGTGCGCGCGCGCGACAACTGACAAAATGATTGTCGACTTTTTTGCGGGCGGGCTGCAAGGAGATCGACATGCCGAAGCAATGTGTGGGTCTGAGCGGCGCGGCGGCCAGAATTATGCATCAATGCAGCATTGCCCCAACAGGCCCATCCGTTCCTGCATCGTCATGCCGAAGCTGTCCATTGTCCGGCAGCATCCGACACGGCTCCGGCGTGATTCATGAATATTCACGACAGTCTCCAGCCAGCGACACCTGCTTTTCACAATGGCGACCAAACTTGGCCCGACCCGATTTGTACGATCGGTATGATGTCTGTCTTTGGCTTTGGTGTCATTCCCGGGCTTGGATTCCTTGTCTGATATGCACACACCTTTTCCACAGGTCCTTAAGTCTTTTATGGCACAGTCGGGCCTAGAGCCTAGGTTCGTTCGACCTGGCCATCATCCATGATTTCATCTAGACGGATTAGACTGACCGAAGGCTGCGTGCAAAGATTGCTCGGACCTCAGGTATGCCTCCTCATTGACTTCACCAGCAGCCGAGATGCTGACCATGCTCAGCTCCGTGTCCTCAGTGCATCCAAGGGACAGGTCGACTTTGAGCTGGAAATCACCAAGGATCACACCGTTAGTCTGCAAATTAAAACCTCACACCACAAGACACGAGTAATGAACACTCTCCTTTGAACAGAACCGCCTCAAAATCCTGCATGGCGGTACCATCGCCAGCATGGTCGATCTCGGAGGCTCATTGGCGGTAGCATCGATGGGCCTGTATGCCACCGGTGTTTCGACTGACCTCAATGGTAAACAAAGACCAACCTCCAGTTAGCTGCCAAACACATTGCGTGGATATGTGATACTGACTCGTGTTTGCCAGTCACATATCTCAATAGTGGTGGCAAAGTAGGAGACAAGATCCTGGCCACGGCGACGTGTGAAAAGTGTACGCTCTTATAATCCTACACCATTCAGCTGTAAGTTGCAGCTGCTTCTCTGTGCTGACCATATCCGCGCAGTTGGGAAGAGTTTGGCATACACGACAATCACCTTCAGGAACAGCAAGGGCGAGCTCGCAGCCCGCGGAAGTCACACAAAGTAAGCCACATCTAGCTCCATGATTCATCTAGCTACGAATCCTTTGCTAAAGCCATTCATAGGTACATTGTTCAGGCATGGAAATCACAAGGCGAGGAGCTCTTCGTTGTACCTGAAGGCGCCGAGGTAGACGAAGATGTGGACTAGGCATTCCAGCACGACCAACCACCCCCCAGTCGATTTTGCCCAATAGAAGAAAAGGTGGTTCTACCCGAGAGAATGCCTTTGGATTCGGTGACTGTCATATCTAGTTGAGCAAGACCAGTCAGAGAGAACGTCGACATGAGCAGACATTGAGCCGAGTCTTTGACTAGCCATGACCAACAGCCTACTCAGCTCGGTATCGCGATACCCAGTTACAGAGCTGTCATGGTACCAAATGCGTCGACCTAACCTCGTAGATGTCCCCATAGAATGAACGGTCTATTTCTAACGTTGTCAGCCTTCATCGACTGATTCTGTCGGCGTGTTGGCGGGAATCATTCACTGGCTAGGGCATCAAGACACGTGCCAGCACCAGTTGTGATCCAATGTTGTGATGCCATCTGAGAAATCATTGCTTCATGGGGCAACCTAGCTTATTTTCCTGGATATACGTGGCCCCACAGGGACTTCTGGACTGACCTTCGCGCCAAATTACCGTGAGCTGTGTGCCAAAGGCCGCACTCTCTGCGACCACTATCTTCCTCGCAGGCCATGACTTCCTTCCGGAGCCTTTAGGATATGTCACAAGAATTAAGCTGCTTTCATGTCGGTAGATGCTCTAATGTTTCTGGCTCCGTGATCACCAGACTACGCGTGCTTCGCAAAATGCTCACCTCGTACTTCGTCGCATATTCTGGTCGTGGCGTTTATTGCTACTAGCAGCTGTATAGAGGCCCTACCGTCGAAGGTGGCTGAGCTGATCAACTGAGTAGCCGTAAAGTCGACCATGTCACGATAGATTGGGTTCGAAGCAAGAGATTGATACCTCGTGAATAAGAAGACACGAACGTCAAGGGGGGTTGGGAAACTACATTCTCTGGTCCGTCACACAGCATCTTGGACAATTAGCACGATTGTGGGAAAGGTTCCGACTTTGGTTGCATGTCTGATCCATAAAATTTGTGCTTTCGTGACCTTTTAGAGGGTTATGAGCAAGTCCCGATTGTTGAATACATCCTGGTCCATGTTACGTGCAAGAGAAACATGGCACATGGTCCCATTAGGGAGAATTACCGTGACCTTGGTCTCGACTTGATTTTCATACATGTCTTCACTATTGTTCTGACATTGGGAATACTTTCTCGATACCCCCAGTCGCCGTTAGGTGGGTTTGTCAGAGTGGTTCATGAACATCGGCGCCGCATACCGAACACCCAATTCTGGCACCATGTGTAGTCTCAAGCGTGTGATCTGCGGTACTGAGCATCTCAAACTCTAGACTTGAGGCAGAGGGTCAAGTCGGGTGAATGATTGTGCTCGGCTCACTTGTTGTTGATACGTCTTAACCTCAGACTTCGCCACGGAGAGTGGCACAAGACATATTTTGGTCATTATGGTTAATTTTGTCGAACCTGTGGGGAAGCATACGACCTCATTTGCACACACGGACTGACCTTACATGTGTATGTCACTCTTCTTCCCGCGAAGGGGCGGGGGTGAGGGCAGCGAGATTTTATGGTAGCTCTTGATTCCAGCAGTATGGATCTGGCCACGCTGGCCGGACACCCACGGGTGTCGCCAGCCACCGAATCAAGCGAAAGCCACTGAGGATCATTCCTCCAGTTCACCATTTTGTGTTGTAACTGGGCAACAGGGAGGACGTTCACGGCAACAAGCAGATCCTCGAAGCTATCTACTGGAAGGGTGATGGATGCGCACACCGGTTTTGTACTGGTGCGAAAGGCGGCCATGCGTGAAGAGTCACTAGGAGAAAGTATCGCAGACAGCATTAAAGTTGGAGTACGGCAATGAGAGTTCCGCATATCTGTGATTGAGTTGATGTAGAGTTGCGCTTCTCAGGTCGGCGTTGTACGTAAACTACCAGTGCCTCGCCCGCGACATCCATCTTATCATGAACCACTCGGAAGTGCCATTTTCAAATCCCCCAAACTGACCGGTGCCCACAATTCGCACCAGCCTGGTATCATGAATGCGCCATTATCCCCATCATCAAAATGTCGAATGCGTCGTGTCTATGTGGCGAAAGCATCGACGACATGCTTATTTGCAGCCGGAGCAAGAGCAGCTAGAGCCGCAGTTGCTGCACGGAATGACGTTAGTGCAAGTTCAACTTTTCGCGGAAAGGGCATGGAGCGGGGTCCTCTGAGCGACGACATACCAGGAGGAGGCACCGGAGCAGCCGCAGTCACCCTTCATTTTGGCGGTTTGGTTGTAGGAGGGGTTTGCTTGAAGCAGGTAGTTGATATATGTAGTATGTTGTTGGAAGGACAAGTGATGAGAGTGTGTGATGGGACGAAGATAGAAGTCAGGTCTTCAGTGGAAGGGAGATGGTTATATATGCGCGGAGGGCACAGCCGTGACTGCGGTGTTTGTGCGTGAATCGCTGATGCCGGAAGCGGGCGGGTGAGGGGAGAGGGTGCCAAGCGATCTAGAGGGGTGAAGGTTCCGCCACTCACACCACTCGCCGCCGTGGGGCCTGAGGCCATTACCAAGGAGCCAACTCAGGGTCCTGCTGGATGCCCCGCACCGCGCTCTTTGTGCGTGCCTCTGACCCAACAGCTGACCAGGCGGCCGTTGCCACATGGTTGCAGTCTGATGCAGCCACCACGCCTTGCCGCCGTCACGCACATTTCCCGCTCGCCGCCTTGCCCACTTGCCAAGAATGCCTAGCCGTCAGCGCCTTGCCTCTGATCAGCTCAAACGATTCTGAGAGCCATCCCTATGGTCAAGACCATCCCGATCACTCAGATCACGATAACCTGCCAATGATCAGGACCAGGGAACCGTGTAACCCCTGTTGATAAACCGTGGGGACCGCTGCTCGGCAGTCCTGCCTATTTCAATCTTCCACCGGACGTGGGCCGCCGTCCTGAGTAACCTCTCCGAAACGCTCCTGCGCAGAAAACCACCCGTCCTGGTCGACTCTCGATTACCGACCCCACTCCCGCCGGTCGCCGTCAGGATCGGTCGTGCCGCGGGCTGCGACCGGCCACGGATCTCTGAGAGCCACTTGCCTTATCGCGAATGACTGTACTCTGCCTGGCCGAACTCGGACGGCCGTTGCGAGCACGCTATGAGATAATTACTGCTCGGCCAACCTCAGGATGCATTTCCGTAGAAGCCACTGTTTGGATGTGACCAAGTCAAGGCGCATCGTCATCGCTCACTCCAGTCCTGCCGTGTCCCTCCGTCCAGAAACGTGGCTTCCGCCTCCCACGCTCGAGAATGGCTTCGCGTCCCGAGCCGGTGCTGACTCCGGGCCACACCATAACGGCCATCGAAACCCCAGAACAGCTCTCCCTGCACCTCCCCTCTTTGAGGAAGCTTCTCCAGTTCCACGTTAATGATGATCCGTCCATGTCTTCCATCGGCTTCCGTGCTCCCCTGGCCGATGACGAGGCCGACAAGTTCTGGCTCGGCATCTCCGACCGCCTCAGGGACGAAGCGGCTGGTCTGATCCAACGATCATATTTCCTATTCGTTCTGACTGCACCAGACAGTACAGAAGTCTTGGCCACAGCTGCGCTTGCCGTCGTCAATAAGCCTACCCATGCGCATCGTGCCGAAATTGTCAAAGTCCTTGTCCACCCATCCCAGCAGCGCAAGGGATTGGGCCAGGCCATCATGCAGCATGTGGAGGACTTCGCCAAGGTCCAGCTGCGGCGCGAGGTTCTTACACTGGACACGGCCACGGAGCTGCCAGCCATGCATTTCTACCGCCGCCTGGGTTGGAAAGAGTGGGGCACTTGTCCTGAGTATGCCGATTTTGCAGACGGCAGGCGAGGCGATGCAACATTCTTTGTCAAGATCGTGCGCGACCCTTGAGTGGGTAGTCACACCGCACGAATCATCTCTCAGAAACTTGCGCTCGTCACTTTGTAGGGTTTGTCCTTCAACCTGACGATCCAGGCAGAGTCAGATATAAACTGAATGTAACGCTAGCAACACGGCATGCAAGAATGGATCTGGCGATGGGGGAAACGGGGCAGAGGCATTTGGAATAGTGCGAGGCACAGCTATCGAATCTATAGAGTATGCTGGACATAATGTACATTGTCGCATTTTGAGGACCATTTCTCTACCTCTGTTCACAGCTTGGCACGACCAGCCTGTAGTGCAGCGCCATCCTCCTCTGTAAATGGCACATATTTGTCTCCCTTGCCCAAGTTGTCAACCCAGAACAGCGGATCGCCTTCGACCTTGGAGTGGTCGATGCCAGCGTTGCGAAGAGGTGCCTTGTCCTGCTTGTTGTTGTGTGTAGCAGAACGCTTCTTGATGTGTCGAAGGAAAAGAGGCACCGCATACTTGGGGAGCTGGCTGCGTGCATGTCTATTTGATGATCGTCAATCAGCTGTGTGGACCGTACAGAGGGCCAGCATCTCAGATACTTACCTCAGGAGACCTGTAAAGTCAATGTCTGTGACAGAGTCATCCAGGAAGATGGACGCCATTCCGGCTTTACCGTCATGGTTTGGCAAAGAAACACCATAAACAACAGCCTCGCTGACCCCGGGGTACTGTCCTAGCACCTGAGCAACCTCTGCCGTGGAGACATTTTCACCCTTCCAGCGGAATGTGTCGCCTAGTCGATCCATGAAGAACCAGCGTCCCTCGCTATCGCGCCGGAGTGCGTCGCCAGTACGGTAATACTTGTCACCCCGCTTGAACACATCATGCACAAACTTGCCCTCCGTAGCCTCTGTATTCCCATAGTACCCACCAAACATTGGTGCCAAGGGCGTACCCTGGGCAACGAGGATCTCGCCGCCGGCCTCGGGAGGGACGCGCTTGACAAAGCCGGTTTTTGGGTCCCGCACGAGATCACCCGTATCCGGGTTGATCTCGACGGGCACATATGTATCACGGAACCTGCGGCGATAGAGCCAGCCGTGGTGTCCCACAGCGTGAGCCCGGAAATCGCCACGGCACCTGTTGTCAAACGAAAGGACGCCTTCGGTGCTGTTGAAGAATTCAAACACTGTTGTGATGCCGAACCTGTCGCGGAATGCTTTCCAGACGTCGGGCCGCAGGCCATTGCCATAGATGCCATGTACCTTGTGGCTCTTGTCAAGCGGCGAAGGAGGGGCAGCCAAAAGGTATCGCAGTGTCTCGCCGACATATGCAAACCACGTGGCTTCCGAAGTGCGGATGTCATCCCAAAAGCCCGATGCGCTGAATTTCGGAGCGATGAGCAGTGTCTGACCTGTAAGCAGCTGGGTCATGCCGCTGATGCCTCCTGTGCCGTGATACATTGGCATGCAGACGTAATACCGCTGCCCATCGCCCTGCACGATGGAAAAGCCGCATTCGCGGCTGACACCTGCAGTGGTGCCGGCCATCATAGGAATAACACCAGCTTTGGGCAAGCCGGTTGTTCCACTAGTGTAAAGCAGTCCAAAAGGTGAGGTTGGCGTGATCGCAGCCCGCAACTCGTCGGGCGGGCGCTCCGTGCTTGTCCTGTGGAGCTCTGGCAAAACTTCACCAAGCTGAATGATTTCGATATTCTGCTCGCTGAGCTCGGGTCGTACAGCTTCGAGCCGCTGCAGTAAGTCTGGGCGGCCATCTGCAAGGATGAGGTTACTCCCCGCAACGTTCAGACAGTGCAGAAGGGCCTGGTTCGTAAGATTGTGGTTGATCAAGGCTGGGGCGGCGCCAATGGCCCAGAGTCCCAACCAGGCTAATGCAAAGTCCGGGCTGTTGTCCATGAAGAGAGCAACGAGATGGCCAGGCCCAATGCCCCGGCTTCGGAAGAAGTTCCCATACTGGTGAACACGATTGTAAGCCTCTGCATAGGTGTAGCAGCCCTTCCGTGACCATATGCACTGCTGATCGGGTGCGGCAAGTGCGCTTCTCTCAAAGGCATAGTAGGCCGAAAGTTGCTTCTTGCGCACTGACAAGAGTGAGGATCAGCGGACGAACGAGGCAGACGCAAACGGGGACCAGTGGAGATGCTCATACTCAGCTGGGCGATGCGCGCCTTGCCTCTGTTGCGAGCACGCAGGTCGTGCAGGTCTTGACGGAGATGCAGCTTCGCGTCGAGATAGGCGGCAGCGACCGCCGTCGCGCCTACTGATGCTGCTGTGCACAGGAAAGCTGTCAATACCAATCCTGCTTGAGAACCATATACGGAGGCGCCCCGGACTCACCGATGGTGGCAGCCATGATAAGCGGCCCCGGGTATTATAGGCCCTGGTGTGTTTTCAGCCTGTTGCCAGCGTTGATGCTCCGAGGGAGATGTGCTTGGAAGGAAGGTCGGATGCAGTAGATATGAGGGTGTGGAAACTCAGGAGGCCCTGGCAGGGACCACTTGCGAGCTAGAATCCGGGGTAGAAAGGTGGGGCCCAAGGGACAACTTTACGCCGGACCCGGCGCGGCACCCGGCTCAGGCAAAAAAGCCCCCGGCAACATCCCTTTTCCCAGCTCCGTAGCCCGACGCCGTAAGGTGCGGGTGCCGGTTCTCCAGCCGACCACGCCTGCACATTGCCTGCCGGCGCTCCGTCTTTGCCAACACCTCGGTATTTTGGCTGTGCTACAGTATGCACAAGCCGCCTCGAGTGCACATATATCTCTCGTGACAGCTTCCTGGCTTTTGACCTAAATAGGGTCTGCACGGCGGTCATATGCACGTGTGGTCTAGATGGATAGACCCAGTCAGTCACGAGGCCTGTGGCGCATTTCGTAGCTATGTCTCGAGCCCAATCGCCATAGGGGAGCCCCAACGCACACTCGACCAGCTCCACGTTGATCTACTCACAGCTAGGTCACTTCTTTGCGACTTTCAGTATCTTGGACGCCCAAAGCAAGCATTGGTCGGGCTTGATCTTGCACGCCATGATCTAGTATGTGAGCAGAGAATTCCAGTAGTAGGCCAGCAAATGACGCATCCTTGGTGCTCATATCAGCAGATGAACACCCTCGTGCTGGTTGATTCGAGATGGAAATGTGGGTTTTTGGGCGATAGGCTGGTGATTTCCTTCCTCTACCGGCTTGTAGACCTGCATGCTTGTTGTAGCGCATGGCTGTGCATCTTGCTACTGAGTCCCACCTATACTGCCAATATCTCGACACTGAGCCTCTCCAGGTCTCCGATTGTTTCACACCACCCGGCCCCATACAGCCTCTCACCCAGTCTCCTTCCACAGTTTGTTCTGCTGCCTTCGCCAGCAAAACCACTCTCAAGAGCCGGGTGGTCGCATGGACATCTGCTGGACTTTCGTCTTAGTTGCAATCGTGTTCTACGTGATCTCCTACACTCAGCACGGTCATGGCATGCACAGCTGACTCAAACACGCGCTGCGATTATGCGAGGATGCCATACTACCTGGGGTGGATTCTTCGGACAATCATAATTCTAGGATATGGGTCATGCATACACACGCATAGCAAACCGGGCAGTTACAGTAGACCATAGAAAACCATTCGATGGATCCGCTGACAACTTTTTATATTTTCAACACTTCCCAAGTACTTACTGAGCGATGTCGTATGAATATATAATCATAATCTTGCCTGTCTACGATTCATGTCAGCACGCTTGTATACGGCTGTTAGCGGGACCTGCATTGGGACTACTTGGCATCTGGTTGAGTGGATGAGCACTGTGACCAGATCCAACGGCAGCAAGACCATGCTTCCAGGCCATGGCCTATATGGGCATTAATGCTTTGGCATTATAATTTTGTCTTTCGCACCCGTTCCTCATTGGACCCGTACCGGACGAGATCTAGGGCTTCATCCATGACAACATCGAGTAAAGAGAATGCTGCTTCACACAACTGATGGTGAGTGACAACCCTTTTCCCGTTAAGCATAATACCATGCTTCTTGCCTATTGAGTTCCATGAATTGATATCGACTGCAGACGCGTTGAGATCGAGCCATACCATGTTGGTTTCGGCATCACGGAGCAGGCGACCTCCGCGATTGGTCCAGGCTTGTGCAACTCGTTGAGCCATGAGATGGCTTTTGATCAAATGAGGCTGGGTACACACTATGCCCCCACCGAAGTGCTCGAAAACGGACTGTCTCGCAGCTGCGGCCAAGATGCCTGCCTGACGCATGCCGCCGCCAAGGCCTTTCCGGATTCTTTTCAGGGCCGTGATTGCACGACGAGAACCGACCACCATGGCACCCATTGGTGCTGCTAGATTCTTGCTGAAGTCTAGGGTTGTCAGGTGTGCACATTGAGCGAAGTCTCTCAACGTTCCTGCGCCCGTGCCGACAGCTTCCCACAGACGGGCTCCGTCCAGGTGCACAAGAATTCCACGGTCATCCGCCCATGCCTTGATCATCCTCATATCAGATAGCGGTATGATGTTGCCTGAGGTTGTGTTCTCCAGACTGATGACACGTGTCGGACACTTGTGAACGTCATCAGTCCAAATCGCATGCTTCCGAATATCATCGAGCGTGAGGTGACGGCCGTTCACAGGGCGGACGGCCTGAATAGCGGCCCCTGACAAGAACGAAGCTGCCCCAGCTTCCCAGTGTATAATATGGGAATGGGCGTCAGTGAGGATTGAGTGAGGAGGCTGATATAGAAGGCTGCGGAGAGCCAGCTGGTTTGCCATTGTCCCTGTGATGACGAATGCTGCGGCCTCGTGGCCACACCGCGCTGCCATATCGTTCTCGAATTCTGCGGTTGTCGTATCCTCGTTATACACATCGTCGTTGAGAGTCGCACACGCGATAGCCGCAAGAGTAGCGCGCGAAGGTGTGGTCACAACATCGCCTGCCAACCCGAAATTTAAAAATGTCAGCCTCTGTGTTGGAAGACAAAGCTGCGCTGTCAAGCATACTTCTGAAATCAAACGCGGCTCCGGTCTTCTCTGGGTTACCCCAGGCTATTGACGAGTAGTCTGTTGTCCTGGCCATGATGCACCTGACGTTTGCATACAATTGATAAGAGCTGCATCCACAATTAACGACTACATGGTGGTATTTAACTCTCCAGTGCCGACCAACACAAGGCTACGATCCCAGGCCTTCCGAACACGAACGCAAATGCAACCCGCACGGATCATGATCTGATCGGGCTCAATGGAGTACAACTCTCTAACTTGCCCCTCATAGGCACCCCCTGCCCTGCCCCCCTCCCCTCTCCCCTCTCCCCAAGGTTGTGCTGATGTGAGATGAAGGGGAATGCTTCGTCCGAATGATTTGATGCACATATAGCAAGGCCACAGTGACAAAGCACGCGAAGATACGACCTATGTGGCCGACTAGCTTGTCTGACTGCATGTATCGAGACCCACTGACGACGACCTTCGCATACATACCTCGACCATGGCGGCCTAACTTTAGGTCGCTTGACCTGCACTCCCTGCCGCCAAGGGCAAATCGGACACTTTTCTGCGGTGCATTTTGTCAACCCTTCTAGCACAATAGCCTATCTTGGTTGACTCGATCACGGCTGTCACAATTGGGAATTACCCGGCGGTAGTACGAAAAGGGCAGGTCGATATATCAAGGTGTCAAGTCAGAGCATAGTGCCATTCACGGGCCGATTCTTCTTTTTTTGGCTATGAGGCATTGCTTGAAGGTTCGTCCGACTTTGTATGCTGCTAATTTTTCGTTCGTGGCCAGGGCAAGGCTATGGGTGTGGGCGAGTAAAATACTTTGATGGCTCGAGCTGAAACCAAGGTGGACATCACGGCCGGACAATGTCAAGGTGACCACCTGATTGCGAACTGTTGGTCTGACTGAACCTACCGGATGGAAGCTGAATTCTCTGAAGCATTCTGATACCAATGCCCGTTAAAGTTATCCAGCGAGACGATTCGAATACCAACCTCAATGTTGCCTATTCTGGCACAAGTCAACGGTCTTTGGGACTGACGTGCTGTATGCAATGTCAGCTGACAACAGCACGACCCCGGATGTGTGCAGCCCTCTCGCAGGTCCAAAATAGACTATATACGAGGCAACAGGACCAATAGCGGCAGTTCGCCCAAGATTTTATTGCCCACGAGCCGTGTGTCATGGCCACTGAAAGGGCTGTGTATCCGACAGAAGTTCGCCTTCCCAACCAAGCTGTGATGCGATCACTTCGGCAGACGCACTACGGTGTTAAGGAGGGTGGCAGAAACGGTGATATCGACACATAAGGCTGGCTATCGCACCATGAACTGCTGATTTATTCCTCTAAAGTAGCACAGGTGCATGACCACCGCGACCATCACTATCCGAGGCCATCTGTATCTGGAAGCCACACTTCTCAACCTCCTGCGCGACCCAGTGAGTTGTCTCGCAACAATGATGGCGAAAGCTGCAGTAACAAGAATAAACGAGGCCGTGGACAACGATTCACAAGTCCTTGCTTCGTTTGGACTCTGCCGGGATGGAAACGGCCTTATATGCTGGACTACTGACAGCCATGACCATCCCCGCAAATGGAACGCCCGCACGAAGATTTACACAATATCACTCATCATACTGTTGGAGTTATTCACGTGTGTCTCATCTAACCTACTCGGCGTGGAGATGCTAATGGCCCGTCTGAAAGGACTGTCATCAGCACCACCGGGGTAAGCCGAGGGCCATGACTCTTTACGGCGACCTGATACACCTAGCAAACGCCAGTGCTGACTGCGTCTGGTAGGCTGCTGTGGCCCACGAAGCTGGACCTAGTTACGGATTAGGAGAAATGCAAGCACTTGTTGCATTCGTTTCAATGTAAGGCAGAACACTCGGCCAAACACTGCCGCGGAAACGCATTTCGCTGACAGCAAAGCACCGACTAGGTATCAATTCGGCCAAGCCGTCGGCGGCTATCTGATCCCACCGGTATCTGAGCTCGCTGGTCGGTGGTGGCCGTACTTTCTCTCGACCATGGTGTTCAGCGCGTTCTGCCTCGTGATCCCACTGGGGAATCATGTAGCTGCGGTCTACGCTGGGCGTTTTGCGACGGGTCTGGCATCAGCTGTGCCATCGGTGGTCATCGCCGGAAGCATCGAGGACCTGTTTAACAGCCGGGAGCGGGTGTGGGCAGTGATCTGCTGGAACTCGATGACGACGATTGCGCTGTGCCTGGGGCCTATCTATGCTGCTCACATCATACCTTCTGCTGGCTGGCAGTGGGTGTACTACAGCGCGAGCATCTGTACGCTAGTCATGTCTCTAGCACTGCTTCTCATGAAGGAGAGTCGGCCGAGTGTCATCCTGGGTCGCAAGATCCGCGTGCTGCGCAAAACAACAACGTTGGCTGATCTGCGCTGGACCAACGCAGACTTGGCGCAGGACTGGAGAGCATGGGGCAGGCTCGTGCTGGTCCGCCCGATGCATATACTTATGACGGAGCCATTGGTGATGCTGGTAGCCATTACGTCGGGGCTGTCCTGGAGCGTGGTGTACCTCTTCACCGAGTCGGTCGTGCGCGTCTACAGCTCGATGGGCCTTGGCGACTCGGAGTCGTCGCTGGCTTTCTTGTCCCTGGCAGCCGGCGTGCTGGTGACGCTTGCTCCCCGGTTCGCAGACACGAGGAGGATTGAGAGCCTGCAGGCCGCAGGGAAACACATTGAACCGTAAGCGCAAACGCCCTCGGCGGGAAGAATACGAGCTAACTACAAGTATTGTCAAACCCGGGACAACAGTGAGGACAAGATGCAGGGCTTCGCGTATGCGGCGCCAGCGCTGACGGGCGGGCTTGTGTGGTTCGCATGGAGCGTCCCGCCAGCCGCAGTAGGCGTGCACTGGGTGGTGCCAACTCTGAGCCTGGTACCTATCGGGTATGCAGTCAATGAGACGGCGCATGCGCTGAGCGGGTTCCTGGCCGACTCATATGTGCTGTACAGCGCGTCCGTCTTCTCGGGGCTGGCGTTGGCTCGGGCCGTCATCTCGGGCGTGATGCCTCTGGTGGCCCATGAGCTGTACGTCCGCCTCGATGCCAACCAGGCAGGGTCCGTTATCGCAGCCCTGTCACTTGTCTTTGCTGCCGCGGCCGTCGTATTCCTGCGCTGTAGCAAGGCCCTGCGGCGCCGCAGCCCGTTTGCCACCTACAGCATAGCCATGCACGAGGCCACACAGGTAGAGCTGGACTGATGAGGGTGTGGAAAGCGTTCATTCACGCGGCAATGGGATCAGCCTGAACTGTGCGTGCATCTGTGGTGGAGCTGGCCGCTCGGGGGCCCCGAGTTCCCGTTGTCTGACACGTCTGACAGGGCAGGCGGCCAATCGCTGTACATCCGTAGCTAGTCAGGCATGGCAACCACTGGAAGTCAAAGGGGGACACCCAGAAGTACTGTATTATAATCTCACAACTCGGTTTCGTACGCTACTCTCCATGCGCCTGGGAATGCATCACAAGAGCATCCCAGCACTTCGCCAACTGTCCTCTGACCATCTGCCCGAGCGCGTCGCCTGCTGCCACCATCGCCATGGAACCCCAGTGCTCGATCGTCACCAACGCCCTCGCTTGCACCATTTGCGGCAAGCCCTTCACAAGTAGTTCGTGCTGCCTTGCCGTGTTTACCCCTGCGCGGCCTGCTTGCTGACTGCCTGAGCAGCTCCGGCATACAAGCGACATGTCAACTATTGCTCGCAGGCCCAGAAGCGGCCTCGTAAGCGCATGCGGTCTTGCCTCGCCTGCAGCGCTGCCAAGCACAAGTGCTCGTTCGGCCACCCGTGCACACGCTGCGCGGCGCGAGCCATCGCTTGCCACTACCAACAGCGTGGCTTGCCAGTATCAGGGGCAACAACACCACCACCTACTGGGTCTGACCTGATCTCGCCCATTACAATCCAGCACAGTCATGGGCCTGGAGCACAGCGTCTCCAAAGCACGGTCTTGGAACCAGACCTGGCGTGGAGAAAGGCGGAGATTCTCCCTGCTGATGAAGTTACCGCCATGGCCAGGCTTGCATTCCAGGAAATCAGCTATGACGAACTCAAGACTTTCTACGATGCCCTTATGAAAAACGAGAATGTGTCCAGCACCGCTTTCATCATGATGGGCACCCTCCTGCCTGGCATGTCTTCTGCAGCAAGCTGCACCATTCGGGGCTTCAGCCCTAATTCAACCAGTGCCTCACTAAAGGTCGAGGATCTCGTACTTCCAGGCCGGATCATGCCGCATTGTACGCCGCAGCTTTCGATCGACGATGGGAATCTTCTGAAGCGACGTGCTGCCTTGCACAGCCTGACTCGGAACCAGATCCCAGGAAATGGCTACAGGCTACCGCCCACTCTACAGCCTCGCCACAATGTGCGGCCATTGGATTTGGTACGCCATGATGCCATCTTCTACAGCAGCAGCAGAGGCATCGTGGAGTGCCTGCGATCCTACCCATTCATGATGACGCGACGCAAGTCGTTTCCGCCCATCATTCACCAATATTGCGATTCTGTTGCCACTCTGCCAGAGGCTCTCTCGCAGTGTGCCGAAATTGCGAGGCTGTTCATCCAGTCTCCCCAAGGCGAGCGGCAGGAGGTCTGGGCCAAGATCAGTGCCCAGCAAGCCATTTTTCGTGCCAATATTGACATCTCGTCCAAAATGGACATTGTCAGCCAGATCCAGGCAGATTTGATCTATGTACTGATGCGTGCCCTGGACGACCAATCGCCAAGCCTTGTCATCGGCTTAGAAGATTTAGAAGTTCACCAGGTACGCTATCCTCGTCCGGGCCGCATTTCCTGGCAGCCTCACCCCTCCGCGTTCCATGATTGACCAAATGCAACCAGCTACTTGCCATAAAATCGATAAACCTGATCGAGTTCGAAAGCATCTTGCTCCTGATGAACCCGTGGCGTGATACCTCGTGGGCCGAATGGGTTTACGACGAAACGCGTCGCAGGTGAGTGCATGCCCACAGATTTTACTCTTGATGTACTGACGTGAGACTGTTACAAACACAGACTGGCATGCTTGTGGTTCATCATCAGCCGTGTCGTGGACATCCGTCACGGGGTATGGTGCCCGGGACTTCAAGGATGCCGAGACATGCCCCTCCCTGCGCCCAAAGCACTATGGGAAGCGAGAAGCGAGGCGGAGTGGCGCGAGGAGCGTCGAGAAATTGAGGCGCGGTCTGGCTCGATGCTGACGACCATTGGTGATCTCCTGGACGCCCGCGAGGCTGGAACCGCTGGCCAGCGTGCGCTTTCGATGTGGTATGCCGAATGTGACAGCTTTGGTCACCTTCTTCGGCTAGCAGTGTCTCTGATATGAGCTACGCACAAACCGCCACTGCGCCTAATGCCCTGTCGTGGTGGTGGTATGCAGTAAACTTAGTGGCAGCTGTGCGGGCAAGTGCTTAATCCGCCACGGGTGACGTCGGAGTGTTGCTGCCGCTTCCCATGAAGCCCCACCACAATCACCGCGCGCCGGCCCCTGTGGCTCCCATGAACACCCGAAACCACCCGGACCACGGATCCGGGCCCCGTACATATTGTCTCGGCCATGTTGATGTCAACACATGCCTTTAAGACCTGCCCGTCGACCGCCAACTACACCAAGATTACCCGTGATCAGGGCACAGCAACAATGAGCAATGCGATCCAGAGTTCCGGGCCCGCCGCGCGGCTCTTGCGGACTTCCTACACCGCGGCGCCTCGGCATCTGCGTTTGAGGGCACCATCGGCTCAGCACAGCACATGGTTGACGCAGTCCCTTCATCGTCGCCATCTGCGCACATCGGCCCCGTGTCGTACCGACGGTGTTTTCCGTGGTCTCATTGACGATCGGCTGCCGACACCGTGGATCGAGGCTTTCAAAGCGCAGCAACAGGGCAAGGCCCCAAACAGCAGCCAGGACAATGAAGTGTCGCGAGAGCGAGACCTCTCTCCGAAACGGATGAAGGACAGCTACCACCGCGTCGTGCTGCCATTGGGCCAGGATCCGTGGCTGTCTGACTCGTACATCAACTCAAGCGGCCACATCCGGCTCGGGACCATCCTCATGGACCTCGACGCGCTCTCTGGTATCGTCGTCTACAAACACACCGGCCCCGGCGTCACCACCGTCACTGCGGCTCTCGACAGAGTCACCATCGCCCGCCCCCTGACTGAAATCTGCGATCTAGAGTACAGCGGCCAGGTGACCTACGCTACAGGCCGCAGCAGTGTCGAGATCACCTGCAAGGTTGCCAAGGCCAGACCTGACAACGAGCCCAGCAAGCCCGAAGATGTGCTGCTTACTTGTACCTTCACTATGGTCGCCCTCGATCCTGCCACTAGGAAGCCCACAAACATCCCGCGTCTCATATGCGAAACCCCGGAAGAGGAGCAGATTTTTCAGCAGGGCGAGGCCAAATCTCAGGCTAAGAAGGAGGCAGCTCGAATATCCCTCCTTGAGACAGAGCCCAACGACGACGAGTCCAAGCTCGTCCACAACATCTGGCGCCGCCAGGTTGCCTATCACGATCCAAACAACCCGATTCGCCAACCTTCCAACGTCATCGCCATGTCCAAGACACAAATCTCTGATGCCTCCATCATGCAGCCGCAATATAGAAATCGCCATCAAACCATGATTTTTGGGGGATTTCATATGAAGCAGACTTTTGAGCTCGCATTTTGCTGTGCGGCCTCCTTCGCCCACGCCCGGCCTACCTTCATAAGCGCGGACCCGTGTACTTTTCGCAACCCTGTCCCCGTTGGCTCGGTCCTCTATCTCACTGCCACCATTGTCTACACGGATCCACCATTGATCGACCTGGACGGATCCGAGGGCAAGCAAGCGGACCCAGAGAACCCAATGACCCGGGTTCACGTGCGAGTGGATAGCAAAGTCCGCGACGTCGAGCATGGCGTTGCCAAGCCTACGGGACAATTCAACTACACCTTCTCGGTACCTAAGGACGTCAAGGTATTGCCACATACGTATCAGGAGTTCATGATGTATGTGGATGCCCGGCGAAGAGTGTGCTTGGGTGACGTGCAGCATCGCCAAGACAGCACGCAGTCCAAGGAGGAGCGCGAAGGTGTGGCGTCTGATGGCAATATCATGGGCTGAAGAAGCCCCGTACCTGACATCGCCAATGTAGCAAGAGTTTCGCATGCATGCCGTCACGGGGAAAGTTCTCCTTCTTCTTCCTAATTCTCCAATCTGAACTCAAACGAAGTCTTGGCTTCCGCTGGTGTTTCTCAACACTGCACGGACAGAGTCAACCACAGGGTGATCTCAGCTGCGCACACAATTTTAGAGTCGTAACATTATACTCATCCGCCGCAACGGCAAGCGCGACACTTCTAGTACACTGGCCCCGGACGCTTGCTGATGAAACCCTGCCAGTCTTCAAAGTGGTTTGCACGAGAGGAAAGCTGGCGTGGACATTCAACGGTTCCCACTCGCTTTCACGCTCCATTGGGAGAAGTCACCAGGGCTACAGACACGTAAGAGACGCATTCAATCCGACGGGGTGTATTCACTGATACCAAGAAAGCGCCTCCCCCCCCCCCCCCCCCCCAAAAAAAAAGGCGGGGAAATGAGGTATATTTACATGTATGGTACATATCTTTTCGCGCGCCGGCAGTGACTTCAATTGACAATACCGTGCATCCGCGAGACGATGAGAACTATACTCCGCCATTGTGACGTTGGATTTCCCTGTTCTTGTCCGCAAAGCCATGTCCGTCGAGTGGCAGATCTCGCTTCTTGAGCTCCTCTTCGATTACCTTGAAGCGGCCCAGTGACTTGTCCTTATCGCCTCGAGTGATTCTCTTGGCCGCAAACGTGATATTGGGCACACTGAAAAGCTCTGGCCGACGGACCTCGATTTCTTGTGCCAACGTTTGTGCCTTTGGCGGTTGCTGAACGATAGTCAAGACGGAGCGAGCACTTACAACGCTACCAAAGTTGATGTCTGGCACGCGTTGGCCCGTCAGTTGGAAAAATCGCTTAAGCACCTGCTCATTGGAAGTAGAGTCTAGTTAGCATTCATTTGACACAAGTGCAACGACGGACGATAGACAAGGAAGACAGATTGGTAACTTACAGCGAATTTGATGCCGTCATCGGGGAGCGCTATTGAATCCCAAAAGGAATCGTCCACCTTGTCGGCTTCCGACAATAATGACTTTCCGCTCGGGGGCACACAGGCGGAGGTCTCCAAGATCTGCAGGTCGGCTAGGACAGCCTGCACGTCGCCGGTGAAGTCGCCTTCCGGGCCCACGGTGACAGACAGAGCATGCCGTTGCTGCTCGAGACCACCAACGGGCCATGAGCTGACCATAAGACTTTCCAGCCCCGCTTTACGCAATGCAAAAGCCTCGACTACAGCACGGCGAAGAGCAAGGCGTAAAGCTGCAGGCTCTGAGATCTTCCGCCGTGGCTTGAAGCTGGCGAAGGTCTGCTTGTAATTTTCCGATTTATCCCACCAGCCACCGAGGCCTCCAATCGTTTCGAGACCATCCGCGACAGTGGCAGGGACATACGTCGGGTCGGATACAGCTTCTGGCTGCTCAGCTTGCGAGGGCACGGGCGGTGACCGATAATGTGTATTATCCAGCGGGGCAAGCACGTCGGCGCCTACTGCCGCATCGTGGTCCGGCGCCAGGCTCTTGGGCAAGCTGTCCTCGTTGTGCCTAGCAGATGTCGTAGAGACGAAGCGTACGGAGGCCGGCTGCGCCGTATAGAGGCAATCGGTCGTGCGCCGTGTCGATGTGCGAGCGCGCGGAGAAGACAGTGCCTGCCGTGAAGCTGGCGTGCCCGCTATCGTGGATTGTGTTGTCGGGATGATGCCAGCAAGTTGGCCAACGGCCTGCCGGATCGGTGCTATGCGTCGCATAGCGGAGGCTGTACGGTGATCGAGGTTATCAGAGCGGCCGCGTGGTTGCTAGCGGTGGTTAGGAATTCCGAGTCAACGGGCCGACTTTGACTATGCCTTTTTTTTCTTGAGGGTGCGCGTGCAGCTAGATCGCCCGCCCAGGTACGTTGGAGACTCGGGCCTCTGAGGTCCACATGTACTTCAAGAGTCCCGAGGATTGGGAGGGCACGAGCCACACAGGCAGAGACCTCTCTCCACTAGGTAGACCACAAGCCACACCAAAGTACCTCCCCTGGGATCGACGAGTACCTACGTGTAGGTACCCCGAATGCTGGTAGCCGCCGCTGGACGCTCTCCTGGCATACTACCCAGATCGCAGCCAGCTCCCTGAACATCACAGCGGCTGGGCCCTGGCCACCTGCGCCTGCGCAAACACACAAGTCCGTCCAACCACCACCATGCCGCGCGCCAGCAACGGGATTTGGCTGCTGCTCCTGGCCCTGCTGGCTCTTTGTTCATCTTTGGCACAGGCAGGTGAGTCAATAAATGGTCCTGTCGACTCTGTGCGCATCCGGCATAGTTCCCTCTCGCTGGCAAGTTCCATGACTGACACGGCCGTTCGCCTCAGCTGCGCCTACGTTCTGCAAATGCACCTGCTTCAAGAACAGCACCCTCATCCAACTCGGACCCGAGTCTTCGTCGTCATCAACCTCCCGTAGCACCCACCTGCAGGCCGAAGCCGAATACCTTCCCGAGCGCTCTGCCTCTGCCTCGTGCACCCAGTGCACCCGTGCCTTCTGCTTGTCCCACAATCTTCCAATCTGCAAGGACGCCGAGGAGAGCGACACAGTCGCGACATGCTTTCAGCGGGACAGCCGCAAGGACGAGATTATCGTTTGGGCCTTCATCCTCGGTACAACTGGCCTTCTTGCATGGGCTGCCGTCAAGAGGCTCTCTGAGTACCGTGATGCGAAAAAGGGAACGTCACCATCAGGAACTGTTCCCTCTCGGCCCATCGCAGGAGACGCCGGTGGCTCAAGTAGCCAGAATCGTGGCGCGTACGCGCCCCTAGACGACGCCGAGTCTCGCAGCATGGGGATACGATGATGGTGACACGATGTGCGCTGTTTAGCTACCGGCCTCCGTCGCTGCAGATAGAGACGCACTTTCTGGGAGATGAAATCATCAATTGTATTGCTTATACTATCTTTACATCTCCACCTATCTGGTTGCAAGCAATCAGGAGCTGTTCTCATCGATCGTGATGGTGATGTCCCCTACCAATCCACATGAAACCAAAGATATCCCACCCTAGAACGCCTCGTTATCGTTTTTGCCGCTCAAGATGACAGAAGATTGATCCTGAAACACAAACTTTTGGGGTCTGAAAAAAATGGACAGGGGCAGAGTGGGCAGGTCTACTCCGTTTGGAGTGCCATCTACAATGCCTTTGCTTGGCGAGACACCTAGTCCTCCTCCAGGAGCGTGGCCTTGTGGTCGGCAACATTGCTGTCGACAGCACCATTCTTCTGTCTGCGCGCACGCACGGCATCAGCAAGGTCGTCCAAGACAGTGACGGTGGTCTCCCAATCGATGCATGCGTCGGTGATGCTGACGCCGGGCTTAAGAGCAGAGCGGCCCTCGGCTGGGACCTTCTGGTTGCCCTCGTTGATGTTGGACTCAATCATGACACCGATGATGGCAGACTCGCCATCGCGGAGCTGGGCGCCAATGTCGGCAGCCACCTTTGGCTGGTTCTTGTGGTCCTTGTTGGAGTTGCCGTGTGAACAGTCAATCATGATGGCCATCTTTTGGCCCTTCTTGGCAAGGACCTCCTTGGCGCCCTTGACGCTCTCGCGGTCATAGTTTGTGCCACGCGTGCCGCCACGGAGGATGACAAAGCCGTGCTCGTTGCCAGCGGTGCGGGTGATGGCGGCAAGGCCCTGCTTGGTGACACCCATGAAGTGGTGGCGGGCGGCAGCGGCGCCAATGGCGTCAATGGCAACGCCGAGGCTGCCGTCGGTACCGTTCTTGAAGCCGATGGGGAACGAAAGGCCGGAGGCTAGCTCGCGGTGCAGCTGAGACTCGGTGGTGCGGGCGCCAATGGCACCGACAGAGATGAAGTCGGCCAGGAACTGTGGGGAGATGGTGTCGAGCATCTCGCTCGCAATGGGCATGCCAGCGTTGGTGAGATCCGCAAACATCTGGCGTGAGAGACGCAGACCCTTGTTGATCTGGAAGCTGTTGTCAATGTCCGGGTCGTTGATGAGGCCCTTCCAGCCAACAGTCGTGCGAGGCTTCTCGAGATAAGCGCGCATGACGATGCAGAGGTCTTCGGAGAGGCGGTCCGCCACCGCCTTGAGACGGTTCATGTAGTCTGTGGCCATGGCAGGATCGTGGATCGAGCAGGGACCGACGATGACAAGCAGGCGGTCACTGCGCCCCATGATGATGTCGGCCGCATCGCGGCGGCCCTTGACGACGGTTTCCAGAGATGCAGACGAGATGGGGATCTCCGACATGAGCAGCGCAGGAGGGATCAAGGGGTCCTGGCCAAGGACACGGGTATCGTCAGCCCGGAGGGGCGCCAAATCGACTCCTGGCATGGTGCGGGTAGTGAGGATATGTCGGTTGTGAGTCACTGCAGTCTTTTAGGCGGCGGGTGAAAAATGAGGGCACGACTCTTTGTGCGCAGAGGAAACGAAGCTGACAAGCAGGATCCGGAGCGCGTGTGGCATAAATACAAGGCGTGGCTGGATGGGAGTGAGAAGCAGTTCAAACGTGTGTGTGCCTGGCGAGACCCGGTGTTGTGCTGGGGCAGACTCACAGGAGGCCGATCCCGGCTGGAGCAACAAAAAAAATCAAGGGCCCATCCCTCCACGCATGACGAACGGCACGCCAGCCAGGAACGCGGGGCTCCCTGCCGATAGTTGGCCAACGCACCGACTAGCTTGGTTCACTCGAGCCGCACGCTGTTCATCGGGGAAACAAGGCCCTTGAGATGCTGATCCTATATATTCGATTGCAACTGATCTGGTGACAGGAATGGTGCCTAGACACAGTCGTCGGTGCGGCTCTCATCCAGGACAGAGAGGCGACATTCTTGGTCATGACACTTTGACGAGGCGCCGGCCTGGGCAAGGTGGGGTTCGCACTCAGGCATGCATCATTGTGGGCTGCAACGGAGAATGCCAGGCCATCCCCCTTGATCCTTGCTACCACTCACGCACGGCACATTCATCATCAACACTCCACGTGCTGCCTTACTCGCAGCGACCGTAGCAGCCACCAAAGCACAAAGTCAAAAGAACAAACAGGTCGACCGCCCAATCAAGATCCTGCAGTTGCCTTCACCGCTCCCGCCCGGGCACGGCTCTTGCGCTGCACAGCATCTGCATCAAAGAGCTCAAGTGCTGCCCAGCACGAGCCAGTGCCCAACCGTCCAACACATGCTGCAGTGGCACAAGTCTCGCGTAGTTGGCCAGCGGCCCTTGGCCTTAGCGTTGGTGTCTATGTGGAGACATTAGGCTGTCTAGGTCCGCATATCCTCAGACACAACTTCCGTCATGTTGCCACGTCCAGTTTGCAGTGTCCAGAGTCTCGGCAGCACACTGACAGGACTACCTAGGTACCTTGATAGCAATACCCACAAGCCCCGTCCCGGCTTATGTAATACACATACACTCATACAATCATCACAACACACCACGACCCGCAGTCAAAAATCTTCACGATAATCAACCACAACATTTTCCAGCAGGTCTGCTTGAAGAGCAAAAGGAATGCTGTGAATGTAAGTCGAACACACGACCTTGCCCGTAATCGTGCGTTTCGGTGTAGTCAGTCCCGCAAAGTTGGTGATGGAGGGGCGTCGCAACCTCCAGAGACTTTGTAGATGTTCCACTTTGAACCGACACAGCTCCTCTGCGGTGTACTATAAAGTGTGCCCATGTCTGCTGTCCACACCAAGCTTGCAAATGTTGCTCTCCAGTATCGCAAGTTGGTACTTACCAGTCACATCAGCAAGACGGGAACCTCCAGAAAAAAAGCAACGGTATACCAACTGCAGGACGGGACTGCGGCTACTTTGGAGACGTTCCAACAAAGTACCATCTTAGTCAACAGACAACTCTTCCCATACGAGCGAACTCGAGGCCTACCTAGTTGGTTTCTCATTACTTCACCACCAGAGACGCACGTACACCAAGGGGCTCTAACAGGGATGTAGCAAGCTCGACCAGGACTCGTGCAATGCAAAAAGTAAATCACGAGTGTTCTCCCATGCTTGGATTATGCGGTGACCGTGGATCGAACACGGGGCCTTCAGATAAATAGTTACCAAAGTATTGACTTCAGTCTGACGCTCTCCCAGCTGAGCTATCCCCGCAGGCTTGTGATTGGTGGAGGAAACTGACAACTTCGATTTGGTTATATCGCGACGAGCGCACTCAGCACGACAACTACTGATTATCACGATGGACCCGTTAGGTGCTACCATACATGTCTGTTATATTCGTAAGAACCGAGGTGCCGGATTCGACTTGACGCTCTCTCAACTGAGCTCTCCCCGCTTGTGGATGTTGAAAATGTTGCTTGAGATTTATCCAAGCTCTGAAGTGCACCGCAGGATGCACGAGCACATTATCCTTGCGAAGATTGATGCATCGGGTGCAAGCTGACCAGAGTCTAAGGAGGCGAGAACATTGCATCTTGAAAAAGGGAGATGTCCTATAGGATGGGCCTCACGCCAACTGTATGGACGATATCTCACCTGACACCTGCTACTCCCAAATAAACTTGAATGTAATTGCTCTTCTCTTTGCTGGTGTCGGTGGGAGGCAACTGCCCATTGAAATTGCGACGAAGGTCACATGGTGGACACCGATACTTGCTGAGGGTTTAGACACCCATCACTTCCGGACCACAGCGTCATTGGAGTGGGATCGACGCCATAAATGGTTGGCCTGACCCTCTTGGTATGTGTATGAGCAAGTCAAGGAACTCGACTGCATATTGCTTATCGAGTGCTCGTTTCACTAAGGGATGGCGGTCGCCTTCCCAACTCCAATATGTCACTACATAATAGCTTCATGTCACAGCACCCCAATGGAAGGGCTATGTCAGCGCATGCATTCTCAGCGGTTTCACAGGAGCCTCACTTGAGCGGCGATTTCACATGCGGCACACCCCGTTTGGCAGTTTCGTGGTCGCCACAACAAGCAGTTCTGGCGGAGTACGATCAAGCCCGAATATTGTCTCATGGCGCCATCCGTCCAGGCCAGCAACGTAAGCATCGTAGCTGGCCACCCGACTCTCACCAGAGAGCTCAAGTCATGGTCCATTTCAACGATGGCATCCTGGATATCCCAAGCCCCACGGTTCTTAGCTCCATGGCCACGTCGTAGCAGTGTACTCAGCAAGGAATCCTCAGCACTCCTCGATGCAAGTGCTCCCAATTTGTGATGGCTTGTCATTGACCTTTGGAATGACTGCAAAATGCTAACTACGGGCACGCGGCCAAAATGATGAGATGACATTCCCTGATCATCTGACCAGTCCTTGGTTGGCGCCTGCCTTCACAACCTCCCTCGAAACAACAATGTATATCGTGACCTCACGATCAGTCCTGAATTTTGCGATTCGCATACGGGAAAGCCGGAACCTCTTTTCCACTTGACAAGTCTATAAACCCTTCGTCCTGTACCTCTAGCCAAGGCCTATGCTACCTCTTGTAGATCATCCACTTCTAGGTCGTTCTCGTTTGCTGGCAGCTTTTTGTAGACCCGAGGCCAACTTCTGTCCGAACCAGTTGCAGTAGGATAATCGCGTCCTTCGACAGGTGCCAAACCACTGTGCCGAGTGGAGCATCCTTTGAGAGTTCTGTGACCACTTGTTTGTCTGTCATAGCGCTTCCTAACTTGTCTGCTGTAACGTCACCCTCTCTGGTTGGCTGCTTCGCCAATCGTGCAAGTGATACCCCATGTGCCGATACCAGGATTTGGTTCTTTCGCATCGACTTTGGCTCTATTAGTTTCAAATCTATCTATTCGGTAGGCCTTGAGTTTACAATGGCTTGGCCGCTCGCGTTGTATGGTCCCTGCTTCACTTTTGCCCGAGCTCCCAAACCCTTCTGGATTTTCTGTATGGCATCCAAATCACCGGCTTCTTTTGAGGATCTCTGGTAACTTAGACTGGGCCTTTACCATTGCATATGTGAGCACCTGGCGATAATGTGCCAAGTCCAACGATAATCCCGGCGCTTTGAACATAACGCTGCGATATCCCACTTGCCAGGTGTCGAGCGCCCCCAGCGCTGCCAGCTCCCATTACTCGTCATACGTGCATAGAAGCCAACCAGGCAGAAGTCGGTAACCTCGAATAGCAGAGTCCGCCGTTGCACATGGACTGAGCCATCACCTAAGCATCGTCTCGTCTGTTATCATTCGTGAAGTCAGCAAGCAACCTGTGCTGATAACACTATATAAGTGCAATTCTGCCTGGCTATCTCAGCCCATACGAGATGCAACCGCATGAGAACGTCCCCAGAGCACGGAAGCATACTGGCAAGACCTGGAACATATGAATGCGTGTATTCGGTAGTACGTTACTCCACTGCAGAGGAGCAAGTATATGTAATGCCTCGGCTGCCTCTCGTACAAAGACCGCCAACAGTTCCCGGGGAGGTTAAACATCCTTACCTGTGCATTATATCCCAACGACCCCGACGACCTCTTCAAGGCATGCCTTGTTGTGAGATGTTCCAGCTGGAATGGCTTTTCACTTTTCATCTCCGAGCATCCATCAATAGCCCAAGGATTGTGCTTGGGCGACAGAGGCGGACGGGCTTGGTGTTTCTTTCGTAAGCTACACCATATGATAATCGCTGGCGAGCTGCACCAATCCTAAGGCAGCATGGTTCTGTCCAAAGATAGCCTCGTGCCTCTTCCGCCCGTACCATTACCACTCGCTAATGCGCCCAGTCACTTACTTCTCCATGTAGCGCAATACCCTACGGCCTCCCGTCACGAATTCGTTGTCAGCGCGCAAATCAAGCTTGGGTCGTGGGGTCTGCTCTCTCGGGATATGGAGCGATCATGAGCCCGTAGCTGGCTTCCGAGAATGTCTCATCAAGTTTTGTTGCTGCCAATACCAACAATAAATGGTGCAACTACCAAACTGGGAGAGGTTGACGGTATCGACCATACTCGGACTAACGCGGATTGGGCATAAGTACGAATATGTTTCCCTCACTACCTGCAGGTTGTTCGTTGCATCCCCCATGTGCAGTCTGCCTACATAAGGTGATCGTAATTTGCATACGAGTCTTATCATCGTCAAATGACAATAGCACAAATCCCATTAAGTCGCTGTGGATGGAAGAAAGTGTAAGGTCGACACAATGAAAGCCAACTGGGCTCACGTGCTAAAAATACATATGGAGCATACGATGTCGAAGGTGAAAGTAAGCTAGCAAGCCTGGAGCAGTTGTCAAGAACTTCGTAAGCTTTAGACACTTAGCAGGATACTTCTGTATACGTTATGGTACGATTTGAGACTTCTCCGTCACAACAAACCAGCCCTATCTCAAGACAAAGTTATGTTCTTTCCATCTACATATATAGGTGGCTGGACGAGCGGAGCGAAATTAAGGTTTGGAAGATTTGGAGTCTTTGGTGCACGTGGGTTTCACAGTACACTGTGTTTGAAGGGGCTCATGGAGTTCTGATACGCGGCCCTTACGGGTTTTGCTCCCTTGTCTTCAGATTCCAAGGGTACAGCAAATGTACTTTTGAATCCTAGTTTCGCGTAGGGGCCTAGCTCGACCGGAAAAGATTTTGCGAGGAATACTTTCGCCGTAGGTGGTGACTACGGCATTTGTGTTTAAGGGGGCTTGCTGCGCTGCTGACGGCGCGGGGTCGATTATTTTTGAGACACCAAATCACGGCTCCTGGCAGAATTTTCAGTACCGACGGGGCACGACTTCTACCTGTGACCCGTAGATTTGTATATTTCGAAAATTGAAACATGGTATATGATTGGCCATATATTATGACCGGAAGACGAGAACAAAATCAGATATGAGAAGGCAGGAAACAGACTGTGTTCACCCCACCTGCAATTCCCTTCATTAATTCACGTGCTCAATCTGCTTCGTTACTGGAGAAAGCTAAGATATGGAGTATTGCATGCAAGTCGGTTGGGGGACAGACTGTACTGGTGTCATGGCTTATGAAAATGACACGGACGCCCAGGTCTCTCGTCTTTGCATCTGTGTCACTGCTTGGAAGATGTGAGTTCTCTCCCGCTTAAAGCTTTGCTAGTCAGTTTGTTAATAAGAACTCCATAAGTTATCAACCTGGAACTCCTGCTTATATTAATCTGGATTTTCGTGAATAAGCAGAAGGCTGTGCGCTGCACTCCTCCTTGTTGTATTACCTACTCTGGCTATGTATACTGAGATACTATATATAGACTGTCCTACCAAGAATAGTGATAGTCAATTACGTTGTGCTAGAAGCTAAAGCGACCATGCCGGAATATTGTGCATGGGGGGTGGTTACCATAGAGTAACGAATTCTAATATTACCATTTCTATATTGCCCGACTCGCGCGCTAGTGCTCTAGCTAGTGCTTTCTTGTACGTTGCTCTTTATATTGCGCTGTAATTTCATTCATTGTCTGCGTCAATAGCTCCGTAGACGCTGTTTGACTGTCCATTATGATAATACATAAAGGCGACCGGCAAAGCTACTCGGGCAGGTGGAAAGTCCGAACTGCCGATGGATTTTACCGTGGTACAAGACATTTCAAGAAATGAAACGAGTTCCGTAGCACTGATCGGTTGTTTTCGTCGTGTATTGAGTCGCTGTGTGAGATGCTGAAAACATAGAAACGAGACGCTACAATGGTTTCGAATGATCTTCTGCTGGCAGCTAACATAATTCTCGCCATCATCTTGACTGTTTGACAGTAGGTCTAATATCAGGAGGACCTTAACTCAGCCGTGTACAAAGTATCCTTGGCGTCAAGGCGCTGGCAATTGGTTAGATCTACTTCATTAAGCATCTTTATAATAGTTGTATACTTGGGTTAGTTGTATACTTGGGCTTTTCTTTCAAGTTGCTCTGACCACGGGTGTATTGTAGCTTTAAGTCAATGTTTAACAGGATGCACTCAACAAGTGGTCTAATAACAATAAGGAACGAAGGCACGCTGAATGACAGTGGACATGTTCTCGGACCTGTGCAGAATTTCCTTTGGAAAGACTCTGTTAAGCCGCTAACTACTAAAGAGCGCTCCGTCGTATCAGAGGCTGAGAAGAAGGCTTGTTTTTTGTGAGCTAGACGTGCTGACTACACTCACTACATTACGGCAATTTTGCTTCCCCCGGACGTCTCATCCCCGGTTCGTTCTGGGCACATACTCCCTCCGTCTAAGACCAAACTCGGGGCAGCGCAATTTATGGCAGAACAGCCACAGCCCTATATAAAGACTATTTTCCCGCTGTCCCGCAATGAGTTAATCTGATCCCACTGGTTCGCTTCCCTGTGACGAACTCCTGGAATTTTGTCAAACCAGTACGCTTCATTAAATAGTAATGTTTTTTCGGAGTCGTTAGGATGACTAGCCTGTTCTGTATTCGGATGCGTATCCATGCAGACGGGTCTCTAGCTGACACCCTAGCATCACGTTTGATTGATTCTTAGGGGCTGAGGCGCCAATTGTTCGGCAGTTTGGCAGAAGACCCCTTAGTGGATTGGCAGCTTCAAATGTTGCGATCGTTTGTAGCCATCTGACCCGATAACATTGCTTTGTTATCATAAGGTACGAAAGTCCCCGACAGGTCGTTATGTATCTGGATTTTCTCAAATGCTATCACTCCGTACCATGCAGTTGACCATGAACCTTGGAAATCCTACCCTTATTGTCTGCATAGTGGAAATTCGTCTGCGAGATGAGTAGACGGGTTTAGAGGTTAGTCAAGATAAACGAACTCCTGACCCCTCGTCACAGTTCGGAATGCACTGTCAAAATCAAGCTGGGTGCGATGGTTGATTGGTTTTTGATGGGGGCATTTTCTGTTATCATCAGCACATGACATCTTTCGCTGTCATAGAATTCAGCCGTCATGGGTATAATCTCGCAATGCTCGAGGGGATTGGCGGGTGCTGATAACATGACCCCATTAGAAGCGGTCTCCCTCTACTGCGTGTTTAAATAGAATTGAAGAGAACTACTAGGATGGCAATCGGTTAGTTAGCATGAAGATAGTCGTGCTGGAAAATATAGTTACGTACCACCAAGCCACAGATGTTCGCTGTCAGGCTTAACAAGATGTAACTGAAAGGATACACGGCGGCGTTGAGGCGATAGTGAATAGCAACTGCTGACGTATCATATAGAT